TCACCGTCTTACGGGAGCGAGTCATCTACAAGTGTTCGGGGATATGACGTGGCAATGCGCGGTGCAATCCATCACGCTTCATAAGAGCTCTTCGCCAACCGATGGCTTAAGGTAGCGGTGAGCGACATGACTATCCAGGTACGGCCCGATATATACATGGCTTGCCCGCTGGAGCAGAATCTATTATAGAGCCAAAGGACAGATGCAATACCTATTCCGGCGACCCACATACAATGATTAAGGTATGTGAAGTCTTTGTAGGATTAGCCTGATAACGACGGCTCTCCTTCCCTATACCCAGCTAAGCTAGCTGCGGAGCAGTGCCGCGTTACAGTGCGATTATTGTATACACTCGACGTATCGTAGAGTAGACCTGATAAGTATTGTTTAATTTGCTACTTACAATGAATAGTTAAAAATTCTATAATTATAGTGGAAATGTCTAGGCTCAAAGGGAGAGTAAAAATTCGTAAGAACGAACTATTAAATAAAGGACTATAAAAGGGAGTACTAACATAGCATTATCCAAGCAGCTTCAATATATATGTCGGAGGTACGTCGAATATTAAGGCTTTCTCTCGGCGGTCCCAAATCTTATATACGTCGGCCCAAGACCAAGACAGACAAAGTACGGGTCGCTGTCTTGACTACTTCGCAGTGACTGACCCGCGCAATATCAAGACGAACATCTATCAGGCCAGAGGTGCCGCCAAGGATTCATACGACTGGATCCTCTATCATCCTCAGTTCTAGTGTTAGCGCGACAGTAACGTAACGACAGTCAGGTGCTTTGGGTCAAGGGAGACCCCGGTAAAGGCAAGACTATGCTACTGTGTGGCATCATCGATGAGCTCCACCTTACCACGAAACTAGCAGATCCCCAAGCCAAGACAATCCTATCATTCTTTTTCTGCCAAGCCACAGTCCCTAAGCCCAGCAACCCTCATGCCGTCATGCACGGCCTAATCTAATAACTTACATACATGTTGGACTAGGAATAAGACACCGAACTCGGCTGGTATCCCATTGCATTGTGTTTGCAAGACTAGTTCAACTCGATCATCCTATAAGCGCGTTTCTCGCTTGCCTTCAAAGCCACGAAAATCCCATCATTAAGGGCAGCCGCAGCTTTCCGGCAGCCGAATAGCTCCAGAGCCTGATCATTACAGCACTGGAGTAATATACCGCATTCAGCGGTCAGCCATGCAATTGACCGCTGAAGCTGACCCTGCTCTTATTCGAGCCGTATCTTCAGTGCAGAATCGACGATATAACAATCCCATAAGCGGAGGTACCAGTTCAGAAGGCTGACGGTGGGAGCCGCGAGGGAGATGTGATGATTTAGAATATATTCAAACTCGGTGGAGAGGCTTGCTGAAGTTGTGGGACCTTGTATTCACTCTGATCAGCATTGCTATTTCTATGTTTACGTGGCTCTTAGACCTGGTTTTCGCTAACTCAAATGCCTTTTCTAGGTGTCCGATTGTGTGATTCCTCCTGCATCTCATCATCCGCATTTGCGTCAACGCGTTGTCTTTTGGACTGCGACGTGGGAGAGGACAAAGGTCGTCTAAGAGAACTTATAGTGGTCGATTAGTTGCTAGATGGTAACCTGACTCTCATGAGTCTGTTAAATACATCGTGAAAATATTCATTATACAGCGTATGACATGTCTATCACCGTAATACTTGTAGCTTCCAATGTTGGTGTTCACGGTTCACGGTTTATTAACCTCTCAATGCCTCATAATCAAGTTGATTCAACGTTCAAATCTGGCCTCGTCGTACCATACGCTTTGACCGATGACCTCGGCCGACCTTGGCTCTCAGATTGTTGCATGTAATCTATAGCCTCCGCAGACATCCGATCTGACTTTTGCAAGTGGCCATGGGAAGCAGACCTTGATCGCGTTCGTTGCGAATTGCAATATGCCTCTGGGGCTGGATCACCTTTCTGCCTCCACAGCGTCTGTATTTCATGGCGTATGTTAAGGCACTTTCTTTCTCTCTATTTTGCATGCGAAGGTTGATCTTCCTATGACTGAGCAGGAGTTCAATAACATTTGACACCCCATATTGAATCGCTCTCATTAAAGGAGTCTCCCTATGCGAGAATGGGCTGGCATCGGCACCATAAAAAAGCATGAGCTCCGCCCGAGCATAATCGTTGTCTGTGGCTGCCAGGCGCAGGAGACTACTGTTCTGGCGCTGGATGTTCCACTTGAGGATGTGGGGTTGCAGTCTGCAGTAGAGATCTCGAAATGACATGCCCAGCGAGCCCAGGCCATGACAGTCTAGCTGAGAGACAATAAGGACAATAAGTGAGATAATCTGGTCTGGAAGGGCTTGGAGTATTCCCTATAGGGATTCAGCGGATGTCCACAGGAAAGCGTGGAGGGCTTGCAGAAGTGATATTAAACTGACCATTGCAGAGGATGAGCGTATATAGATAGTGAGAATCATACAAACGGCAGTAAGTTTGTGAGTGGGAGAGCTTGTAGCTGTTTTCAAAGATTGTCCTGATACAGGGTATGTGTGTGTGTGATATCATTTACCCTGACCCCTCGCGAACGATATGCAGGATACAACTACTTTCTAAATACATGTTGATTGATCCCTGAGATTGTTCCAAACTTCCTGAACGGTGAACTTTGAGCCTCACCTCGTAAAGCCCGTCGTGGCCTTGTTGCCATCGGCGTTATTAGGCTGCCCGCATGGCACGGCTATAATGAGTTCCAATCAGAACTCCCATATTTAGGATGTATTTTCCCGGAATCAAGTCTAAAGAGTGTGAGGTCAGACTGATTTCGAAAACTACTGTATTCAAATTCAAATTCTGCGTTGAGAGGCCAGTGTTGTGTTCAAAAGCCAAAATAAGACCGCAGCGATGCGATCCATCATAAACAGAGTATTGATTTTAAACGTACTGTAGCCGCTTTGAATGACGTATCTAAGGAGCCCAGAGCTTATGTCACCCTAGAATGACGATTGGGTGAACGTCTCGTGAACTTCGACCAAATGAGAAGGTGCCCGTGAGCAATCACGTAGAAATCCACAGCAGGAAGGTAAGTCGCAGGAGAGAATGTACTTCTCCGATCATCGCTGATGCTCTGTGATGTCACCGAAGAACAAATAGGAAGCCTTTAGCCGCGAGGAAATAAGGGTGGCTTTACGATTTGTATCTTACTAGTCAACTTCATGGGCGTGTAAAATTAGATGTAAAGCCCTATCCGGGTTGACACAAGTTAAGAATGCGCCCTAAGCATAGATGAATTTGTTTGGTTCGTAGGATTAAGTATTACCCGGCGAGGCGAAGAAATATATAGTAGTTGGAAGTTTATTCAATTAATCATCCGAGTAAAAATTTGGTTTGAAAAGGAAGATGTAAAGATGCCTGGATTCGTAAAGCAAGTTCCTGCTCTGGTCGAGATGGATCAGGTCCCACGCTATCTATGAAGTCTCTTAAGTGGAGAATAGCAGGGGAATTCATCTGGGATGGCATGAGGACGAGGAATTAAGTGCAGACGGTGTCAGCGAAAACTAAAGATTTGTGGGCATTTCAAAGGTTTAATATGAGATGTCCGTATATAGAGGAAATATACGTGTTGAGGGCACCACCAGTGCAGAGGACATCAGTTTAATACAAGCTTCGGGACAAGAGGAAAGACTGCAATATTTTAGTATTACCTCCTTGCTACAGGGGTTTGGTCTTATATACTACGTAAGAAAAGCATGTGAAGAAGAATCGCAGCGGCATAGTACGAGAAGGCGAGAAAGGTAGTGTCGATATGTTTAGTAACTATGGGGAATTATGGTAAGCTTCAACTTATACTTATTTGGGTAGAAATGCATAAGGAATAAACCTGACCGTCTCTGGCTACAGACCCTCGTACATGTAATCTGGATATCTGTGGGGGAAAAGTGTCAGAAGCCACGGCCAGAGTTTCTAGCTCGTCGCGCAGGAAATCTAGCGCTCGATTCAAACTATCCTGGAGCGTCGGTAAGTGTAACATTCTTTTCTTTTTGACTACGGGGCGCAATAGAGTCGATTGCCGTCTTTTCTCTATAGCAGGCAGGGATGGCTGGGAGAGGAGCGACTGTTGTAGGGTGGGCAGTGGCATAGTAGGAACAGGGGCTCTATGACGGTCAGCGTTTGGAAGATCAAATGATTGTGGGGAGAGTCAACTTTCAAATACGGATCCTCTAGTATTGTGAGGACACTGAAAGGAGTTAACGAAGGGGTCAAACGTAGTTATACGTAAGCGGTCATAATTAACTAGCGCTTGTATAATAGTTTGATCTTATATACCGACAATCGAACAGCGAATTATGCGAGTCCGAGCTGGAAATTGTGATCCACTGTTATAACAAGGGCGATAATTAAGGGGAGGTGGAGGAGATGGACGGGTTCGATACTGGCCGTAGTGAAGGTCGTGCGAATTTACTGGAATCGGAACGCTGCAGCCTATGTAAGGACGAGTTTTGACTAGAGGGGGCAAAGACACTAATCGATAGGAGGGCACCGCGGCGGTTCGATAGTTGTTGTAAGGAATCAGGATCATCAAGAGATAATATCGTACGTGAAGGGACAGCTTTGCACGACCAACACGCCTCGGCTCGTAATTGGCGTGGATGATGTTTATTTTATTCCAAATCTCAGCTCCATTACGACAGTTCCAGTGACTCCGGGGGCCACCGAAGGGCGCTTATAGAAGTAGAAGTTGAACTGCGGTTCCTTGGGTGGCCTTAGTGTGACCTCAATCGGCTTCGATACCAAAAAGGGGTTGACTTCCGAACATAATTGCTGTGTACTCGTATTAACGCGCCAAACCCTTTAGTATTTCCAATTTCTCGTATTCGGGGAAATAAACTTCTTGGCACATTCTGCAACCAGGCACTAGGATATGAAACAAAAAATGGCTCACCGCTCCCACTGTTCTTGGATAAATACCACGAGCCCCTCTGCTTATTGACATAGTTCTCGTTGGCAACTCGCAATTATGGATATCTCAACCACTTTGAATCCAAATGATCTTTTCTCCGCCAAGGGCCTAGTTGTCGTCGTCACAGGCGGAGGCAGTGGTATGCCTTTACTATGTCTGGCGTTTTATGTTCATTAACCCTGATATCTCTTAGGAATTGGCCTCGCCATAACCTCGTGTCTCAGCCAAGCCGGTGCGGCCCGCATATATATTCTTGGCCGCCGCCTATCCACACTTCAGGAAGCTGCTAGCAGCGTCGGCAGTGCTGTTATACCCGTGCAATGCGATATCACTAGCCATTCCTCCGTTTCCGCCGCTGTTGCAAAGATAGAAACTGAGATCGGCTATATCGATGTTTTAATCAATAATGCTGGTGTGCAGGGCCCCGATCACAAGCCTGCTAGAGACGCAGAAACAATAGAAGATCTTCAAGTGATATTGCTCACGGATCCGGAGGGCTGGCAGCCCACTTTTGCAGCTAACTCAAGCGCAGTTGTTGGAGTCTCCGCAGCCTTCTTGAAACTCCTTGATGCAGGAAACATACGGCGGGGCTGGGAAGGAGGGAAGATTCCTTTGGGGCGATCTCGGCGGCGGGATACCGCAGGCTTTACCGAAGATGGGACCCAAGTTAACGATGAGAGGAGCAGTCAGATAATAACAGTTGGGAGTATTTCTGGCCTTAACCGCTTTATAACGGCGGGATTAGCTTATGGCGCGAGCAAGGCTGCGGCGATTCATTTGAGTAAGATGTTGACTTACTTATTGGCACCATGGGGGATCAGAAGCAACGTGATAAATCCTGGAGGTAAGTCACTTATCTAGCAAGAGCCCCAACATCATTGGTTTTTTGTTGGACCGTAACTTACCACTTATAGTCTATCCTTCAAGGATGACAGCTGGCACAAATGACAACTACACCTACATGGAAGTCCCCGCTGGTCGGAAAGGCGGCTATCAGGATATTTGTGGCGTTTTATTATATCTTGTAGGGAAGGCCGGAGCTTATGTCAATGGAAGTATGGAGAATACAGACGGGGGCCGCCTGAGCGTGATGCCTGCAACATATTAGCCCTGGCTAATTAATGTTCGCATAAGATGTCGAAGGTGTTATGATTCGAGGCAGTTGCTGCTCAAGAACCACGCCGCATCATCGGAAATAATTCCCACACTATCTCTACGAAGACCAAGTTGATTTGCTTGAATTTCTGATGTATATCCCCTCAGAGATTAGAATGACCAAGCTTCGATTGGTCTGCTGGAACAGTTTCCATTCGCGGAGCACGGCACTCGCAACGACGCTGCGGACTGATTCCATTCAAGATACAGCCGCGAACATCTCCTGATAGTCGATGCCAAATTTCTGTCGGTAGCCTTTCATCACCAGTCACGCTTTCCGAATCCCATTAGGCTTAGTCTTAAATACACACTTAAAGCCTATGATACAGCATGATCCCTAGGGGGAACTTCTTTTCGTGGTACCTCCCCCCCCCCCCCCCCGGCCCTCTCCTCCCATGTTCCATGATCGAGAAGAGAAGCGTATTCGTTCTGGATGTTGGAAATAGATTGTGGGTCACGTGGCCGCCAAGCGGGCGGAGCGGCCCCACTCGTAGCTATCTAGACCTCTTCGCCCTTAGCAATTTCATCCTCTTTACACTCTCGTCAACCTTCCAGTGTGCACTGTAGCCTATCTCCAACACTGGATAGCGGCCCACCTTTCCAGCTGGTTCGGACCGACACTGTTTCGTGGAATTTCGAAGGATCAACGTCTTTGTTGGTGCTCCGCTCGCCATCAAATGACCTCATTGCCAGGGTGCGGGATGCCAGCAGTGGCCAATGCTTTCAGACCCTGGAGGGCCATAACGACTCGATCCATTTATCGCCTTCTCCCATGATTATAGGCTCGTCGCCTCAGCTTCGGTCAATGAGACCATCAAGTTAGAGGATACAAGCAGCGAGAAATGCCTCCGGACCCGCAGGGCCCATTGCAATCTGGTTAGCTTGGTCACCTTCTCCCGTTGTTCCAGGCTCCTGACCTCGGCTTCGGTCAATTTCATATCGGAAAATGGTATCAAGCTGTGGGATGTCGGCACTGGCGACTGCCTAACAGGCCCTTCATGATGAAAGAGATATCGCAGTAAAATCGCTCGACGTTACTATCTCATGCCTCGAAACTGATAACCGTACCATTTACTTACCTTCAATTCCGAATATAGGACTAACCAGCGTCGATCTCCAGGTGTAGTGATTTAGAGGATATACTGTAGTAAGCTACGGATAATATTCTACCATGTTTATAGAACTTGAAGACATGCTAAACGTACTTCTGCTTCGACCACCTTATGCCAACCTAGAGACATTGTACCCTGGCCCTACAGCAGAAAAGGACTCCAGGGCATTTTGTGGCGCTGGATTATAGCCTCTTCGTTCCAGATACCCCGAGAGCATCCGCGGTTGCTCATCCCTGGGTGGAGGACCCCATCGCGCCTCCCCTGGTGGCAGCCACCTTCGCTGTGGAGCAGATGAGTCGAGCCTATCCTCCTGGCGTCTCCTTCGGTCAAGCTCAGGTTCTGGCGCTGACTCCTCCATTGCTAGCATCATCTCACGTAAATTAGTGAAATCGCCGGACTTAGACGCGTCAATGATATCCGACCATTCTTGGAAATAGCTTTCTTTCGCTCCCACTTGCATGATCAGATGCTTCTTCTTGTGAGCACGGATTGCCTGTGAGAAGCTCTTTCGAAGTTTATCTGCTTCTTCTACCATCATGGCCGCGCGATCTGCGACGTCCAGCATTTGCCGCAGTCTTGACTCCTGGTCGTATGCAGAGATGGCATCGAGCTTGGGTATCGAATAAACAGGGCCTTCAGGAGCCGTTAACGTGCGTGGGATTCCAAGGGAGAAAAGATGACAGGCCTTGGCGGAGAGACTCAGCCGTATGTCGAACTCGGCCTCGCAGTTCACCAACAACAGCAAGCGAACAATTTCAGGTAACCCGCTCCTACTCCCCGGTTCCTCGTACATTCGCCAGGAAGCACGTAGTCTGTCTCTTATAGCTCCGTGGATGATTCGTACACCTTTGAACGTCGACTTCCGAGTCTTTGAACCTTCCATACTGATATTTACATTCGATGGCCCGCCGCTGCCAGCAGCCCCAACTGTAAACTTTTGGCCGGAGGTGATCTCCTGTTCGGAGACCTCCATTCGATCTGCCTGGGGCATTACCCCTCGGATGTGAGGACCATGTTCGGCATTATTGGAGCTGACAATAGCGTCGACCTGGGCATACCGGATGCGATGGCTCATAGAATATGGCCGCATGAAGTTGAGCTTTAGCTGGATCTCATGCATCTCTCTCCCTTCGTGCATGCATGGCCGGATAGATTCCAATTTCGCATCGAAGCTGATATCGTGCTTGTCGTAGCTGGCTAGGATGAAACCATCGCCGTTATCGCGACGTACTCCGCTCCAGATATTGGGGTTGAATTCGGGCGTCAGGTGTATCCCTTTACTTTCTTCCTGAGGATCTTCGCTTGCCTTTTCAACCGAATCACGGATAGGCCGGCCCATTGAATTGTCACTCATAGGTCTGGTATATACCAAAGGCTGTTCCTCGAGTTCATCGGAAAGCTTCGAATATTGAGCAAGCAAGTCCACTATCTCTTTCAAGCCCCCCTGCTTAGCCAGTTGCAGCGCCGACATACCTTCACACCCTTTCATGTCAACATCCGCCCTATACTTGAGCAAAAGCTTCACAACATCCTTCCACCCAAACCGGCAGACCTTATGCAGTACCGTATTCCCATCGTCATCGGCCAGGTTCACATCCGCCCCATACCGAAGCAGAACCTCCATAACCTCAATGCTTTTCCCACTCAAACACAAATGTAACGCCGTCTGTCCCCAATGATCAACAGCATCAGCCACTGCCCGGAACTGAAGCAACATCTCAGCAGCGTCCTGCGAGCCCCCCATCGCCGCTTTATGCAACGGTGTGCGCCCATCATTACCCTTAACATCAATCTCCACATCAGTCTCAAGCAGCAAGCGCAGGATCCCAACCTCTCCGAAATTACTCGCCACATGCAGCGCCGTTTCACCGGTATTCATCATCTTGTTAGCATCCGCCCCACCCTCAATCAGCAACTTAACAGCACCCACGTTCCTCGTAGAGCAGGCAATATGCAATGGCGTGTTTCCGAGAAAATCCCGAACATCGACATCCGCACAGCGTCGGATAATGAACTTAACAATCTCTGGGTTGCCGCTAGAACACGCCTTGTGAAGCGGCGTTTGGCCGTCTTTGCTGTCGACGTAGTCGATTCTCGCTCCCTGCGAGAAGAGAGCGATGACTCTGTCCACGTCGTTTTCGCCGGCAGCATAGAGTAACCGGTTATTGTGCGCGACCTGTACCAGGTTATTTTAAATACTCACCTTTTTTTGGTTACCCCGGGCGAGTTAATTGCACACTCACGTCTCCGTTCATATCCGCCGACGACCCTTGAATACCGCCATCTGGTGCAGATGAATGCCGCTCTGACTCAACCGAAACTACCTGAACTGGTTCAGTTCGGTATCGACTGACTCGGTAATCCATTGAGGTCAGAAAACGGGTCACTTCCGCGAGAGTGAAAAGCTTGTGAATGTTTTGTTTTGGAGGGGCGGGGAAGAAGATGGAAATTGAGGTCGGGCTCAGCCGCACTTCAGGGCACTACAGCCAACGATGTATCCTTAGTACAGTAGTATCTAAAGACCCTCATGAGCTTGCACATGGCAGCAGTCCTCGTCAGGCTATTGGGACCATGGATTCATACTTTCTCCTGGTGTCCGGTGTTGATCCCCGCTAGGCAGACCAAAGTGAATCATCCGTGGTTGTGCAATGCGGCCCGATCTTGCACGTGAGGGTAAGCATAAGGCAAACCCAGTTAGACAGAAACCCAAAATCTAAAGACAGTGAAGAACGCAAGCCAGTTATTTCCGGCACCTTATCAAAACCGAACGTTTTCAACTTTCGGAACTTCTCCAAATTCTGTCTCGCTTTTCGCCCTTGTTTCGTTTCAGGGCCACAGCGTGCGACAGCGCGCGTCACCAGTTATTCTCTTCGATCGCCCTGAAACGAAGAACGACTGAAGGGGTTACAACCCTGCGCGAGCTGCCCGCAAAGTTTGGCTGCGTTGTCACTACAAAAATCGTTCCAAATTCTCGCCGCTGATTGGTTAATTTTCTCGCCAAGACGTATTCTAGTTCGCTTGAGTCTATCTCGTCTGATTGCTCGTCGACTTCTCCATCCATCTTATTAGCTCTTAGGGTTCTAGGGCTTCGTTCCACACTTCTGTCTACGTTTCCCTCCTATGGCTGGCTCGTGCTGAGTCGGCTTTGCTAGAATAACTCTCTTCTTGACTTAAGTTCTGTTAAGGTATTGATATTAAGTTAATACTTTTAACGTTTATCGTTGCTGATTCGCTGGCTTGTGGAATCCGCGGCTTTACGACTTGACTAACATGTGAGAGTACACTGAGTGCTGTCGAAACTACGGTTGCAGTTAGATTTATAGTTTGACTCGATTCTTCGGTCTATTCATGATTCAAATAGATCCAATCGGCTTCGGCTGCTACCTTCCGTAAATTTAAGCACGCCATGACCGTGTAGCCTGAGCTCTTCGCACTCCCACTAGGCCAGATATCTTCGACTATGACGTCATAAAAGAAAACTTACCCTGCTTAGCTCTTTTGTGAGATTTTAGTTTTATGTTTTTTTCTGCCTAGCTTTAATATATGTCCCACTCTTCAACCTGTTCTGACTTTACGGATATAGTTTTGTATCTATGTACTGTACAGAGACGTACGCCGCACTTTGCTACGCAACTTAGCATATATAATTAGCTAATCCTATGGATCATGTGCGTGTACCTACGTTAGACTTTATTATCACTCAAGTTAGCTCCACTTCACTTTCGCACTGATTTATACAGTAGTTTGCGATTTTGCGATGTCTGTATGATTCCCCACGAGTGCACTTTTAGCACATACAACCATAGGGTGTGGAGAGCAGGGCTTCCCGTCCGCTCAGCCGTATTTAAGTCACATGCCGGCCAGTTAGTAGTATAGTGGGTGACCACATGCTAATCCTGGCTGTTGTATGTTTTTATTTCTTCTTGTGGATTAGATAGAATATCTCATTAGTTCCTGGTCTCTCCACTTTGGCTGAGGCTTGGCTTGTGTATTGTGCAGGAGTATATCCGATATTAGGATGTCCGCGCTTCATCTTTCCCGGTCATTGTTCAGGGTGGACGGACCAGCCCGCTGCTTTTGCTGAGGCCTTGATCAATGCTCTTAGAATTTTTTTGGCGAGTAGAGAATGGAAGGCTCTATGGTAATGCTTTGTCTACAGGTCAGGAGTAATAATGAGCCGCCGACTCATCAGGGTCGATCCGACCCCTAGATCGGAGGCTTGACATTTTGAGATACAAGATTTTAAGATCAAGTCCTATAGCGGAGCTAAGTATCATTGTATTTAATCAAAGACCGTAGGCCGAGTAGTTTGAAGGCGCTAAATATTTTGGAAGGTTACGGAAGTTCTTGGTTTGAGATATTACAGTAAGGATTTTGGAGAGAGATTCCGTAGAATAAATAATTGTTGTTAGCATCGCTGCAAGTGGTATATACTATCTACACCGATAGCCGTCTTATACTATGTACCTTCTCTCTGGGTCTCCTAGTAGGTACTGTGGGTAAAACAAGATCGCAACTCCTCACACAGCATCTATATTTACGAAGAAAGCTAGATAATTATGGTTTATGAAAAGAACATACGATTGATTGGTCGATCTGCGTAGTTATACAGGACAGAGTTCTAATGGTTGTAAGAAAACGTGGCCTTTTTGACTGAATTGGGTTTAGGCGGTGTTTGTTGGTGATAACGATAAGAGGGCACATGCATCATCATCGGGGGATCTCCCATTGTTGCCAACTTCACCTCGGACCTACTCACTCTTTCGTAGTTCAAATACCACTACAATGGTAAGCCTTACTCTGGTCCTGGCACTCACAAGTTGATGAATCTAATTCCTCAGGCTCAAACTCCTCAACAACGCCGTGCAAACGAAAAGTTTGCTAAGAACGAGGCCGCCAAGCGCGGAAAAGGGCCAACCGCCGTCTTGAAAGCCAAACAACAGAACAAGTCGCCCATTTCCACCAGCTGGGTTGGTATGTAGCTGGGTAGCTCCTCATCGCAAGCTGTATCATGAAGCTAACCTCAATCTCCAGTGATTTTGGCCTTCGTCGTGTGCGGTGGCCTCATCCTTGAGCTGTTCAGGATCGTCCCTGAGATCTGGAATACCGTGGCCTCGATGCTCTCCCGAATCACTGGGTAGAGGAACCTCTTCCCTCTCCCACACACCCATACCTCCCTCCATTCGAAGATACCCTAAGATCGATTCGACTTCGACCTTGTGTCTACACCCCGACACTCCATACTCCATTGCGACCGGACGTAACTGCTGCTCCGGTATGGCTGGGAAGAGCCTCCCCCCTTCCGCGCTTCCTTCATTGTACAATACTCTTAACCTACGATCCAACATTGCATTGACAAACCGCAATGCCAGTGCCAATACTTTTTTTTGCTGCCTTCAAAGATGCTATTCTATGGACAAAGTCGTAGATCGCTATTATCTGTTTGTAAACAAGTTGTAGATAAACTTCTGACCTTCGACCAGACCACCTGATTGAAGACAGGCCGCAAAAGCAAGAAGAGTGCTAAGTGAGAGCTTCCGACGGATCACTCACGATGTCTCCTGTGTCTGCCTGCAGCTCTTTCTTTGATTTCTCTTTCTTCTCCTTCCGCTTCTTCTTCTTCTTCAATTCGGCCGGCTGGAAGGAGGCCTCATCAATAGTAGCCTCCTGGGTCGACGATGGTGTGACCTTCTTCTTGCCTTTCTTCTTCTTGATCAAAGTGCCTTCGGTCGGGATTCCATCCAATTCAATCCGTTCCGAGGCCCGTTGCATGAGCAAACGCATCTGCTCCACATTTCGCATCGCCTTCTTCATCTCAGCGTCGCCGTCATCCTCCACCAAGATAGCTTCGGGCCCGTCTTTGCTTGCCAGTGATAGGTGTCCGAGCCCGCTAGAGTCCACCTGTAGCAGTGAGCGCTTAGTACCTGTGGGACCACCAGCCGGTCCAACCAGATAGTCGCGGGATGGGATCTCCTCAGTTCCGAATGTCTCATCAGCTGCGACTTCCATTTTTTTGTGTCGGCTCCGGCGGATACCAGGATCTCGCTCCGAGCGATCAGGCTGACTGGAGTCCAACTTCAAGTCCACGATGGGGATGGAATCAATATCCAGTGCGTCGGCGTTCGAATCGTTGGCGAACGGAGGCGTTGATGTCCCTGAAAGCGAGGCAATGTAGAATGGATCGTCTTTGTAGCGTTCCCTGCGCCCGAGTTTTCGCCTCTCGGTCGCACCGGAGGATTCTGTTGCGCCCCGAAGAACGTTCTGGTATGAGCTATCGGGGTGCATCTCAATAGAAGCAATGGCAGGAAGTGCCTTGGCAGGGGAGAGAGCGAGGTCAGAGACGTAGTAGAAATCCTGCAACGAGCCACGCTGGTTTGTTTCGAATTGAGAACCGTCCAATGTATGAAATAGGCTCTGGAGATCATCATTGAACGGTACATCCAGTTGCAAGGTTGGAGGCAAGACCACCTTCTTTTGAGCACTGAATGCTACCGGGTTGAGCTCCAGACCCGTGAAGAGACTAGGAAGGACGGAGGCGAGAAGGAACGGCATTTCCTGGACATCAGGACGTAGTGCTTCAGCACTCAAGCGAAGAACCTCCAAGAACTCGATAGCACGCTCCTGCACATCCAAGTCCGGATGAGCTGCCAACGCCTCAAGAAACTCCACGACTCTCGCCAGAAGGAGAGATGTTTCAGTTTTCCACGAATCACCCGGTCCCGAATCTCGGTTCACCCGTGCAAAGACTTTTGGAATTGCCTGCAGGAATAGTTGAAGTGTCCTTGCAGGCAGGGTGACGTTAGATAGGTCGATCAAAGATTGAAGAGTCCGACTAGGTGAGGAGAGATCGTTGGCATATTCGCCTGCGACCCAAGATATGGGGCCGAGGACGTCACTGCCGACGTTTGAACCGGCCGGAAAGAAATTTGATCGGTTGTCGATCAGCAAAAGCGACTCGGCAGCTCTGGTCGCCTCCAATCGCACTCCTCTTACACGCACAGCGATGTTGCGTATCTCCGATCCAATTCGGAAAGCAGTGCTCGATTTGAAGTTCACGGCAGCGTCCTGGCCAGGCGTCTGATTCCAATACTTGTCTACCTCTGACGGTGGCAGGAGACGGATTAGTTGGACCAGAATACTGACGTACCACTCAAAATCCACAACCTCTGAATAGTTGTTTTGAGAGCAGATGTCTAAGATGCGATGCACGACCTCACTTCGGTAGTCGTTTGGCAAGGCGACCGCAGTATGTGCACTAGGTTCTGGAGACCTGGACCCCTCAGGTTCTTCAAATTCAGGGTGGATAGATGGTACTGTCTCAAGTTCAGGTCCATTTGCCGAGGACAGCGTAGCCAATCGCAGCTGATCAAGTAGTCGTTCTACCACCACTTGCAGGGTCTCACTTGTCACCATTCCAGCAGCAAGCTCCAGTGCCTGTAGCCGGATAGAAATGTCTGGATCGTCCAAGCAGTCCATAATCACATCCTGCTGCATGGACACCAAGGTAGGGTGTGTGGTGACAATACGGTTCAATGCCAGAAGAGCGACGTATTTCACTTCAAAGCATCAGCGGCAATACAAATCAAAAGCATCCAGTAGGGGTTCTCTTACAGTTAGGATCAGAGTCGATGACGATCATCCCTCTAAGCTTCCCAACACAGAGAGTTGCAACGTCATCTCTTTCCTGAAGATTGTCCTCGCCATCAAGAATTCCTCCTTGGATGATTCCATTGATACACTCGTATAGCAGGGACATCGCCGATGTGGTTTGAATAATAGTGACCAAAGGACGCAGCAGTTTGCGGGTCAACCTTGGCTCCAAGGGTGTCAAAGTCGCGAACTGAGAAAATTAGCATTTCCCAATCAAAAAAAGGGAAGGGAGGCTCACAAGCTTGATAATCTTTATGGCCATCCAATTATTGCCGCTGTCGACGAGAAGCTCGAAGAACCTCGGGGCCAGTGGGAGGAAATCGTGTGGTCGCCGCCATCCTAATTCACAGACAACATTGATAGCAGCCGTGGTCACACTGCTATCCTCTTGGTCATCCATCAATCGATCTTGAATTTTGGGCCATCCGAGCTTGAGCGCCTCCGGATACACTAGCGCAAGGCGGTAGAGGCACACAATCGACTTCTTCCGGACGACTGGGCTTGAATGTGAAAGTCGAGATAGAATATCGGGTAATAATGACATGGCCAGTGATGGGGTGATGATGTGCGGTAGAGAAGCTAGCGGTAATGATAACGTGGGGATGGTGGGAGAGACGATGTCCTGGTTATACTGCTCAGATCTTGCACGACGGGAATCGGGGGAGAGACAGATCATCCTGAGAAGCTCAAGTCTCCACCAGCTGATCATAACGGACCTTCTTTAACATATTTGTTGCCAACATCAGCACTTCCGTGTCAGGACGGAAGCTCTGTACTGCCCCTAAATATCCCACTCGTTTTTGAAGGTATTTCGAGGAGGACATTACTTCCAGGACATGGAAGGAAGCCCATGACATGTCGTAGCCAAACATTTCCAGGTAGATGAGCTTCAATAGTGCCGTTGCCTTTTTGTCTATCGAGATTCAGCAAGCGAAGCTGACCGGGGATTCAATATCGAGCGCCTACCCATGTCTTGGGATTTGATCTCCGCTTTACACTCGCGCAAGCAGCTTTGGACATATTCATCCTCCCCGCCTTTGTGAGTTCGGAGACCTTTGATCAGGTCATAGAGGGATTTTTCGAACCTGTGCGATTAAGATTGGTCCGTTAGCCCAGTGGCCAAGCCTATCTTCGGGGAGGTTGTCGGTCGGAAGTACACTCACATCGTGTCTGCGAGTCACCGACTGACAATGACGTGAAATTATTAGACTTCAAGACCACGTTGTAGAATGATTCATCAACCACGCAGCATAGTCTGTACAGTGTGTACGATGGTACTGCGTGGTCCTGATCGTCCCGAAAGCTGAGCTCCGAGTGCGCCGCAATGCCGAGTTTACGTGGGGGGAGCTGGGCGGGTTGACCGATAAGGATCACGGGACCTGGTATCGCAAGCTCCGGGGGTGTTCAAGCGGGTGAGACTGTGAGATGGTCGAGAGACGTCTCCACCATCTCGACGTCCGTCAATCATCACTCCCAAACACCTATTGCACTCTTTTGTTCCCGCAGTTTGTGGGTTGCTTTGAAAGAGCGCAAGACTCGATTCTACAGAGTAACTACCTCTTGATCTCCCCCCCAATTGGCTTATGTCGTTATAGACCTACCTTTTTGCCTTCCGGACCCCCCCCCTATGATGAACTCTTGACTGATCGGATTCCTTCTAGTCTCGTCCCCCCGCACGTCTTCCAAGCACTTTTCACCATGGGTGGTCTCGCAGATGCAGAAGTCAATGGGTCTGATGTGCTATCTGCCCTTCGACTCTCCCAACAGGCCCCGGCAATCCTCGGACATGGTCCAGCACCGAACACGCACGCCGCTTCCTCCAAGTCCTCACGGGATACAGCCGAGGAATACAGCCGTATTGAACAACTTTTCCTCGCCTGCCTGCAAACTGGAGATGACCAGTCCGCACAAACATGCCTTGATCGGCTGAGCAATCGCTTTGGTCCCTCAAACGAGCGAGTCATGGGGCTGCGTGGCTTGTTCCAGGAAGCGACTGCAAAAGATCAGCCAGCGCTGGAAAAATGCCTGGCAGAATATGAGACAATTCTGTCCGAGAGTCCAGTCAATGTGGTTAGTCATTATTGTCCTTTATTTTTGGGCTGCCCTCGGGCAGGGTAGGCGATCGCAGTATGGTTTTAACTGACCCGTCTCTCCATCCATGTCTAGCCTATCATGAAACGCCGAGTCGCTCTGCTTCGCTCACTCCAACGGCCCTCCGATGCCATTGCCGCTCTCATTCAGCTTCTCGATGCTATCCCCACAGATGCCGAGGCCTGGGGAGAGCTGGCCGACCTATATCAATCCCAAGGACTGGGATCACAGGCAATTTTTAGCTTGGAGGAGGCACTACTGATCGCCCCGAATTCCTGGAATGTATGGCTTTGGTTTTTCCCCTCGGTTATCAAACCCCTGCTGACTCATGTCTATCTTTTGCAGATTCACGCCCGGCTTGGTGAATTGCTCTACGTCTGTTCCTCTTCTTCCGAGGGTGATGCAGCCCGACTTGCTGGCAAGTCGGTTCAGCATTTCTGCCGGAGTATTGAACTCTGCGATGATTATCTGCGGGGTTTCTACGGTTTAGCCTTGGTAAGTTCGCTCCTGTGGGGACTGATTGCATCTTGTGGTACCATCTACTGACAAGATCTCGCTCTTTTTTCTTGTTGTCCTATAGGCCTCGTCTCGCGTTCTTGATAACAAGTACGCCCCCGAAAGCCCTTCCGACCCAGCTGTCCCTTCCCGAAAAACAATTCAGCAGCTCCAGGCATTTGCACTTCAGCGGCTGGAACATATCATTCAATCCCGGTCGGTGGATGATCAACATTGGGCATCCAGTCGGAGTGAGCTTATTGCGGCCAAGGAGCTGCTGAATCGCTTCGCGCCGTCCAAATGATGATCGACCGTTATTACTCTGTTTCTCTCTGGATACCCTAATCAAACTTATCAACATGTCACCCGTTGCAAGGATGTGTCAAGGATGTTTTTATTGTTGTAATTTTATCATGTATGCCTAGGCTTGGATCTGAGTGAGGAAACGCAGTCGGCATGACGTACGTGGTGGTGGCTGTACCGGGGCCTACGGGCATGTCGAGTTGCTGACCATGGGCTGCCCAATAATTCTGTTCATGGATTGGATGCGCTCTGTTGATGTGGTGGAGTATACAAAACTGCTCTATAGTAGACGTGGTTGCATGAATGCATGAATCGCCGGGGTTGTATGTTCAGCTCGTCCCTCTTGAGTCATCTTCTCCTTGCATCTCTATATATTTCAGGGGAGCCTAGCTTCCCAAGACCTTTACCATTTGAGGTGATCGCTATCTTATGGTAAAATGACAGTCAATTAGTTCTGGACCAGTCTGTATGTTGGACGTTCTTGAGCCAAGACGTCAAGGCATGAAAGTTAGAGACCGCCGGCCTACATGGAGGCTCATCTGCTGTCTATTATTTCCGGGTGGTCAACCGTTGGTAGGGTAGCTTTCCAACTGCTCGATGTGTACCCAATCGATCCTGGATGGAGACAGATCAGGCTCTTTGCAGATGCATGATGAGTCAGACAAACCGACAGGCTGTACGATCGAGATTCGCAGGCATTAGTTTGATGAAGTAGTACTACTATATAGTATAGGACACATCATCAATCATTTATTGACTATTGATCCTGGATCATTCTACATGGGATCCCTACTACTACACAAGTCGGTTGTTGCCACTTCGTTATCTTTCATCCTTTCCCGTTCCCAGTGCTAGCATCGGGGCTGGTGATTGGGCACAGTAGTCGGGCAGCAGATCGACATGGATCTTAGCCGATCCACTCGCTACTCAGGCGGCTAACTGAATTGACCCAATCCTGATGGGCGAGAGAGAGTATGTATGCCAGAGTGTGTCGTCCGTCGTGAGTCAGATCTTGGGACAGACTCACATTATGAGTCCCCTGCCGGGTTGACTCCTGGAGAGAAGAGCAAAAGTTGGTACCTAAATCTCTACGTATAGTCAGGTAGACATAGGGCACTGAGCACCAGGGGAACATCTGGTGGCGTCTCGATCCTTAGAGCCTGCGCTACTTACGCGCCTTACAGAGTCAGTCGGGATTCTAGGCTCTCGTCGTGCAGGGATCTAAAAGTACCATGCGAGAAGAACCTTCTTTTCTCGTGGTCTCGACCTGTCGCGTTTGGAGGTTCTTTGTTCTTGTGCTACTACGATAATACTTAGTACATAGTATGGAATTCTAGTGTTGCCCTTAGTACCGGAGGATATTGGTAGTAGACTCGGTAGAGGGTAAAGAGTTGTTGTTATACTTAGTATTATGGTCTAACGAGGGTCAACTGATACCCAATCCAGGCCCAATCTCGGTTTTCTGTTGAATTATTTCGTAGAGTTACACACATTCTTTTACTGTAGGGTCATGGACATTTCCATACCAGCTGTACATAGCCACTGACAAAATCTTCACCCACATTTAACTAATATTATTATTTACTCCGATCAGGCAGGCATGAGACACAACACAAAACCCTCCATCCACCCTGGTCTTCCTTTTTTCTCTTCCTCTTCCCTTCCTCTCGCGATAGTCAACTCCCTGGCTATAATATACCCTAGTATTACTATCCCGGCCTATCGTGAACAAGGGCCACCGTCTTAAGCTCACACGATATACTCCTACCATACCTCTTGATACTTGATCCACCCACTTTTTCTCTCTCCGTGATTCTCATCCTTGAACCTATAATATACTTTCCAAGGATTCATCCCTTGTCCGTGCAAAGAAAACGGGAACATTCTGATCCTCCTTCTTGACTCTCTCGATCGGCGCAAGGGGATTTCCCAAGTTGTCCCAAGTCAATCCTCAAGGCCCAAGCCTCACGCCTCCTAAAAACAAGCGGGGCCAGTCAAATGCGAGGTTCTCTCTTCCCTTTACCCCCCGCGTCCACCAAACTGGATCCTGGTCAAAACAAAACAAAAAAACTAAACTGACCAAGAGAGAAAAAAAAAAGTGCCCAACCAGTCTTCCCCACCAAACAAGCACAAGCAGCAGCCCGTCGCCGCCTGGAAAATCCTCCGCCCTCTCCGTCTCGTCCACCACCTCCACTTCCTCCGCTTCCTCCTCCTTCTCTTTTCTTCCCACATCGCCGCCACATTCCCACCCTAAACTTCCCTCCTCGCTTCGTGCATGCGAGACGAAGAGAGAGGAAGAGGGCCTTTCTTCCTTTCAAAACCTATATCTCCCTCTTTTAATTACAGAGGCTCTGCAATCTCTCTATGACGTATGTTTACACTTGCTCTTAATCTTATTAAATTCCCCCTCCATCCCCCTCCCCATTGTTTTGGCCCTTCTTCTTCCCACCCCTGTCCCTTTTCCTTGCCGATCAAAGGAAAAAACAACCCCCCCCCCTCCTAGGGCCTCCACCGCCCGCGCAGCTCAGTCTCCTTGCGCCGAGATCCTTCGCTGACTCTCTCTTCCTTCTCCTTTCCCCTTACAGGCTCAGCATCTCGATTGACCCCCAAGATCCGCACGGCTCGGATTCTCTGTCGGACGAGGACGACTCGTCGCCGGTGCATATTGGCAGCCATGACTTTGATGAGGACTATGATGAGTGGGCGCAGCTGTCTTATCCGGATGAATTGAAACCGTCTGATTCAGCCTCGAGACCAAGGATATCGCACCGTAGTCGCTCGCTCCACGGTTCCCGCTCCGCTTCGGGCCGCCCAACCCCAGCACACCGGCGAATGGTTCCTGAACGCGAGTCACGCGAGTCCTATGGGACTCGCTCCCGCCGGCACCCGTCGCCTCCAGAATCCCCCGACAGTGGCGATTCAGAGGAGTACCCGATTCCGAGCCATTACACCCGCGCCCCTCCTGCCGAACGGAGGTGGCCACAGGCCCCGGCCGCACCGGGTTACCCCCAAGCAACTCATCCGGTCCAACCTTTGGCGCATATCCTCCAGGACAGGCGCCGCCCTACCAGCAGCACCCCAATGGCGAGCTAGTTCGCCTCGGCCCTGCCAATCCTGGGGCTCAACCGTACGGCCCGGGACACTACCCATACGGCGCCCACGGCGCGCAGTTCCAAGCCCCACACGCAGCCGCCATGCACCAGTTCTATCCCCACGATCAAGGGCACCCCCGTCACCCCTCTCGCCCACCACCGCAGTCACGAATGGATCCGCATAATCCCCAACCACACATGCCACCCCACATGGCCGGGCATGTCTCACCCTCGCCATACGGCGCATCGCCGTTCCACCAAGAATTGATGCATTATGCGCCAAACCCATTCCTCAACTATCGAGACCCATACTCTATGATTCCTGGCATGGTACCGCCAGGCTTTTTCCCTTATCCTCAGGTACCTTCCCCATCTCAACTGCCGGAAGCAGCCAAGTCTCCAGCGCCCGCGCCTGCACCAACCCCGGCACCGGCACCAGCACCCGAACCAGCATCCGCCCCAGCTCCCGCAGCTGATGCAGCAAAGGATGAAGCCATTGCGCGACTGGAGAAGTTGATTATGGACGAACGTGCAGAGCGTGAGGCCAAGGAGGCGGCGCGTATTGCTGCAATTGAGCGTGAGAAGGCTGAGAAGGCGGCTCGAGAGCAGCAGCTCGCGCACGACCGGAAGATCGCCGAGGAAGCGGCATTCTTGGCTCGGACAGATGCGGAGAAAAGGGCTGCCGAAGCAGCGGCGGCAGCGAAGGATGAAGCAGAGAAACTTGCGGCCACTGCGGCGTCAGAGGCTGCAGCGGCCGCTACTAAAGCTGCTACCGATGCCGCCGCGGCCGCGGCCGAGCAGGCAGCCAAGGAGGCAGCCAGTGCCGCAGCTGCAGCAGCCAACAAGCCTCCTCCGGAGAAAAAGAAGCCTATCAAATTCAAGGATGCCGTGGGAAGGAAATTCAGTTTCCCCTTCGAGTTGTGTGCTACATGGCAGGTGAGTAATCTTTTCCATCTTTCTATCTTCTTTTTGGAGAGACTGTATATGCATGAAAGTGTGACTGACAGATGCGTTTATAGGGAATGGAAGATCTGATCAAGCAGGCCTTCCTTCATATCGAAGTGATTGGACCACATGTTGCGGAAGGGCATTATGATCTTGTAGGCCCCAACGGTGACATCATTCTCCCTCAAGTCTGGGAGACTGTCGTTGAACCGGATTGGACCATCACCATGCACATGTGGCCTATTCCTGAAAAGCCCAAAGATCCGGAACCCCCAGCTAAGGAGGAGGGCGCGGCTCCCCCTGCAAAGGCCGACCCGCCTTCCGCAGCAGCAGCTCCGGAGCCTAAAAAGAAACCTGAAGGTATGTCCCGTGGCTATTGGCTATCTAGCTGAGCAGAGCTAGAGGAATGCGCCTCCCGTACACTTCTAGGTAATGTACTAACCATTTATCTTAACAGTTGTCAAGAAACCGGTACGGAAAGGCGACGCAGGTGGTTTTGCAAAGTGGATGTTGGGTGGCCGCCCTCCTCCCAAGGGACCCAAGGCTGCAAAGGCCGCAGAGAAGAAACCCGAACCCGCTCCTGCTCCTCAGTGAGGTGTATTGCAGAATATGTTGGATGGCCGGGGCGTGGCTCGCCTTGTGGGGGGCTTCCCCCGTTCTATCCTTCTAGATACATAACCATCCACCACCCCCATACCCCACCCTTCACCCTCCGTGGGTCGAATTGTTGGCCCTCTCGCAATTGAGCTTGGGGCAGGCAAGAGAAGAAAGGCATCAAGCCTTGAGAGTGAAATGTTGCAGAAAAAGTCGGTCACCAAGGACATCGGACTGTGTTTGGACAGCCAGTAGCTTCGGCCTCTTTGCCTCTCGGGTGACTCGTCGTCACCTACCAAGAAGACACATGAGAACCCGGTCTTCAAGGCATTCTTGTGCCGTGGCCCTGGTTAACAGTCGCGAAGGTGTCCATGAAAGGCTTGTCACTTAATTACTGTCCCTCCGTGGACCTTATCGCCATTTACTCACATCTATAACTGAATTGAAATACCCATGAAAATGTTTTTAAACTAAATCTTGGAAGACCCACATATAATTTGGCTTTTGATTTCGCGCTGGACTTGCGGTGGGCGTAAACAACCCTCTCTATTTCTTGCTCTAGACCTCTAGATCTTGCGTAATTTTCCCAGCTGAGCTTCTGTGATAGGCTCGCAGTGTAGAGAAGATGTTCCCATTTATCGCTGAGGAAGTAGCGGCTTCCACCCAATAGGTTCTCCTGACGCATCGCCTAAGAGATCTCCTGTCTCAGCACTGGACACTCCTCTCCCTCCATCTGCGGTCTGCCTCAAACTAGGACTACCTTGTAGAGAAGCACTTCTCTCTTGGCTAGAACTTCCAGAGGGAATTCGACCAGCTGTTGCTTGGGAGCTCAACGATACTGGTTTCCGAGGGACCGCCGGCGGCGATTTCTCCACGACAGGAGCATCTCCTCCTGGAGACTGCATGTTATCTTTAGATCTGCCTGAAGTTCCCCGCCGGGGAGGTGGTAATGGCCGTCTATCAACACGAGCATCTGGTCCCTGGTCTGTATCTCTCGAGCCTGGGATCCAGTCCGGCTCGTCGTCCATACTAAAGGGATTTGATTTTCGTTGAGGGTTTGGAACGAGTCCGGCCTTTGGCGGTTGTACCGCTGCTTTTGCAGCCACGCCTATCATATTATTGATCAGCAACTGAGCTGAGTAATTTGCGCGAGAATCAGCACTGTTTTACCTACCATTATCAAGCCACCATTTGCTTCGATCAGAGCTCGCAGGTGGTAAGCCAGGTGCAATGGGATCTTGCGGGGCACTGTCTTCATCATCCATGTCTAGCAGATTGATGGTATCGGAAAGCGCATCGCGCTGTTTCTCTTCGTAGAGTAAACGTCTGAGATTATCTTTGAGTGCGATGTCGACGATGTCAATTATACAATCGAATTTGGCGTAGACTGGTCGATGATCTGAACACCTTAGATCGGCGGTATGGTATTGTGTCTGTCGCAGGTTGGCTCCTCTCCACAGGATGCGGTCACACCAAGCGGGGATTCGGGACTTATCACTGCAGATAGGTTAGTTGAAGGCTATACCTCTGATGGAATTAGGCCAGGGAGGAGGGTCTCTTACGAGGTATCATAATGATCGGTTCCAACGTCATATTTATAGGTTGGAGGGAATGTAATGAGGCCTTCAGAATAGAATTGGAAAACCCTTCCTGCGCCCATGTGCAGATTCAACTAATAGTCGTTAGTACAGAGCAATGCAAGCTGTGAGTCAAGTTGTTCCCTTACCTGATCGTTGTCGTACAGTTTCTGGAGATCACCTTGCGATACAAGATCGCGAACGATGTGGTTGCCTAGACCAATTCGATAATTGAAGTCACCAAGCCAGATCGTGGAGTCATGGTCGGCGATAGTTCGATTCTTTTGGAATCGCAAGCCACGGTCAATTGTTTCGTAATCGCGATCTCGTTCATCGTCATTCCCAAATCCAGCAGCCAGATGGGCAGTGACGAAGCAGATGCTCGTGTTTGAGAAGTCGAAACGGATTGCACAGCCTCCTTTGTTGCCAGCAATTCCGGAAAGACCGGTCTATCAATTTATTAGCTTCAGAACACACAGGAGGCCAGCAGTTTGATACAATATCATGATGAAGCATTACCTTTTTGACAGCTCCTTCAACATTTTTGATCTCCTTCAGCGCATCTGCTTTTACGTAGATCATCAAGGCAGCGCCTACAAGCTGTCCACTTCGCAGCAAGACATATTTACCGGTTCCTCTCGCGCTCGTGTGTTCATTCAAACAATTTTGAACGGCCCTTTCCCAGCCCTTGCGGTTGCTTGGATCAGTTGACATGATCTGTTGAGGGCTGAGGTCAACAATTTCCTGGAACCCGACGGCGAATATTGTGGGATCTTCCTTCGAATGATCCCCGTCAGGGAAGAGCCAAGAAGAAAGATCTGCGCCTGGACCTTCATCACGACCGTTCACGTTGAACGTACCAACCCACATGCGAATCTTCCTAGAAGACGAGTATTCAGCCGCGCGTCGACTTAAGTCTTCGGTGACTAGATCATTCATTGGGTCATAGAGATGAACCGGGATTTGGTTTGCTAGTCGACCTAGCAAGAGGTCAATCGTCTTTTGTCGCGCTTTGTCGGTGAAATTGTTGACGTAGAGTCTTGTTGCGCTTTTCCTTGCGTCTGCCAACGCTCCCGCAAGAGACATTTTTCCAGTGCGGGTAAAAGAGGACTTGAGGGCCCCAGTTCCTGCATATATCTTAGAAAGTGCATCTCCATTATCGGCCCATAGGGTGGAGTGTCGCATTTGCAGGTCCGAACTAAGTCTTGCACCTTGCTGAGATAAAAAGGCTCCCAGAGCCATCGCACTGATGATGGTTTGAACCAGGTTTGTCCGATCAAGACAATCCAGACAATTAGTTCGAAAAACACCTTCTTGTTGAAGAAGGATGGACGAAGTGCTGGCTGCATCCTCTCTGTCCAAGATCGAAGAGGCCGGGCGGGTACTATCCTCGGATAGGAAATAGGCAAATCCGTCCAGAGAGTCGGCCAATTCATACTTGATTTGATGACTGGCTTCATATCCAGCGGGGCCTCGAGTTTCGGCATGGAAGTCATAATCTGTCATTCGCAAAAGGCTTTGGTGGGGAGATCTCGGGAACCCCTCTTTCTGCCTGACAGAGCTTCGAGCAATATGTTCTCGAAACTTGGCCGATAGATCTGCCTCGCCAGATTTGAGTTCACTGAGTAGGTTAACAATGTGGACAGCTCCGTACTCCAGTTCCAAACTCTCAAAGTGTTGGTTGAACGCGTGCTGGGTTGCTTCAAACGAGCGTGTCACTTCAATCTTCTGCTGACCAGGGATCAGTCCGGGTGTTTGTTCCCAGAAAATGGGCACCGAGCCTCGAATTTGCACATATGAAAAGCAGATCCCTGGAGACACCCAAAGAACTATCTCGGTCTCTACAAAATTCGCCACATTTCCGTCGTCATCGATACCTCGCGAGTTGAATCGTGTACCGGCACGCCGGGAGGATTGCCGAGAGATGATGGTCAACAGAGCTGGTAAATTCGTCCGTACTTTCGGCAAGATTGAGACTGTTGCAGGGATCTTCAGTGTACCGGCATACCCTCGAATGACACATGTCAACATTTGAGATGCATCGAGCTTTGCCTTGTCGTAAGGTGGAAGGTGACTTCGGAACAAAAGAAGGGGGTGGATCATGTATGAATTCCACAACATGTCCTCGTCTAATGAGTCAATGTCAAAAGCGGCTGATTTCTCCGACCTAGTGTGAAAGTTCAGCTGGCTGATAACTTGGTGGATGAGTTTATTAGCTTACCGATCCTGCAAACGATCAGTCAAGTTGAAATCGAGACTATAGTAAAAACTCCCATCTCCAAGAAGCTTCTTCAAGGCCAGGAACGGATGATCGGTGACAACTTCTTTCCCATCCGTGCCAGGCCGCTCATCGACGGCGAATTGGGAGCTAGTTTCGTAGTCCAGGCCATACTCATATTCGGATCGGTTGAGACAATCTAAAATTTTGTTAGAATATCAAAAAAAGGGAAGAACTGATGATAGGTATTTTTCATCAGATGCGTACAGAAGTCTACATTGTCAATCCTAGAAACTGCTTCTGCGGGACGCACAGTAGCCGCTTGCGAGGAGCCGGTAACCACGCAAACAAAAACATCTTCGTTCAGCGTAACAAGACCTAGAGTGCCGTACCCAGCACCCAAAGATCGATATCCCGCAAGGTCCACGGACGAAGCCTCGAGAAATTCGACCTGACAGCGGGGGGCGGCTCTAGGCCCACCCTCTGCTTCGTTGTAGTGGAAGATCAAGACATGATCGGAAGCAAGTAATGCAATTGTCCGTCGTGGCTGATCTTGACAGAGAACGCGGAGATTAAACATGGCTCGTGAAATGATTTTGAATTGTCGCGCTGTCTATCATATGCACTGCTGGAGGCTTAGCCTCAACTGCCCAACGGAAAGCAGGTGGCTCCTGCTGGTCCATGCGCGAGTAAAACCGCTTGATCGAAGAGGACGACCACTGGTCACCGACAGTATCTGTCAAAATATTGGCGCGTATCTTGATTTTCCAGGATTGTACTCTTTTCGAATATTTTGACACTAGATGAGTGGTGATGGATGTGGTTGGATGTGGATGTGGCTGAGCTTGGGGGTTGTATAAGTGATGATTGATACGCGGGGAATGGTTCCTTATCGCCCGCTGACTCAGCACCGCAAGTTTTCAATTTTCTCCAAAAACCTTCTTTTCTCCAGTTCCTGGAGATTCAAACCAACAAAAGTCCTTTCTTCATACACACACTCTCTTTTGCTGCAGCCATGGGTTTGGCCGGGCCCAAGAAGTATGCCTCTCTCCTGCGATTTACATCGCATCCTTACTAACATTTCACAGCAAAACTAAGATCTCCCATGATCCGAACAACACAAAATGGGCCCGCTCCACGTCCGGCTTCGGACACCGGATCATGAGCGCCCAGGGCTGGACCCCAGGTAATCGCCTGGGAGCCAAAGATGCTGCACATGCCGAACACTTGACCTCTGCGAGTATCTCTCATATCAAGGTCACCCTCAAGGACGATAATCTTGGACTGGGTGCGCGCGTCGGACGAGAGGGCCAACCCACCGGCTTGGATGCTTTCAAAGGGTTGCTGGGTCGACTAAACGGCAAGAGCGACACGGAACTTCAAGTCGAACAACGGAAGAGAGATGACGTTCAGTTGGCTCGTTACGTTGCCCTCAAGTTCCAGGAGGTGCGCTTCGTGCGGGGTGGGCTACTGACCCAGGAGAAACTCCAGCGCTTGCCCGAGACACCCAAGGAAGAGCAGGTGAACAAGAAGACCGAAACCACATCCAGCGACGATAACACCGAGTCTGCGACCGATAAATCCTCCAAGTCCAAATCCAAGTCCAAGTCTTCGAAAAAGTCCTCGAAGAAGTCCCGCTCCCAATCCGACGAGGCAGACAGCTCGTCATCTGATAAGAAGAAAAAGAAGAAGTCCAAGAAGAGAAAGGCGGAAGAGGACGATGATGAGCCCGAAACCACAACCAAACGCCGGGCCTCTACTCCTGAGGATAAGCCTTCCACCGAGTCTAAGCCTCCAGTGCCCACGGTTCCCGCCGTTTCACTAGGCGAACGTCGGCCGATTGGCAGACAGGTGTTCCGTGGGCGACACATTGCGCAGAAAAAGAGGGCTCTCATGGACGACAAATCGCTCAATGAGGTGAGTTCATGAATCCAGAGGATTAACCCATTCAGAGTTCAATATTTGATCACATTGCTAATTCTGGTGTTTGGGAACAGATCTTCATGGTTAAGGCGTAGATATCAGGGCTGCATTTCATAGACATACATTATCGGGATTCATGGGCAGGGTGTTTGGCGCAAATCGGTCGTTCGTTACACAAAGTCCAATACATTTATTTTTCAATCGGGGCGAGAACAGTCTATTGGCTGTCTCCGTCTGTTTGATATCTTTCTCACACAAATACTTTCATGAAGTTTCTCCTGCAAACGAAGCTCCGTAACTCAAGTCGACGCCAAAGTCGCGACTCATCTTCCACCATTCCCTCATAGGAGATGATCAAGATTGATAAAACACACGGTCTTATTTTATTTGCTTCCGCCAGAATCCCGGTTGCCCCGACTCATCCCCCTAACAATCATCCGTCTGTGGTGGCCCCACGTAGCTATTGTACCAGGCGCAAAGATGGGCATATTCCAACTTATCATACTGCTCCACATACTCACCAACATGCATATACATTCATCCCACATCCTCTTCACCCATCTCAGTCGTCCCGTCCTCCCAGCCAGGATTGACCTCATAATTCCTCTCTTCAGGAGTCAAGGTAGGCCACTGCTTAGACATGATCTTAACAACAGGCCTGTGCATATGATCCAACGACTCTAAACAAATATCATCCACAAAGAGCGCGAAATTATAGCGTGCTCCAAATCCATATTCTGGGCCCGGTTGGTGGTAAGGCTTATCCTCCCTAAGCTCCTGCTGTAAACAGCGAGGGGATGACGATACTAACGGCAGCTGCTCCGCAACCCAGATATTGAAGTGATCGCGGACTTCATGGGAGGTTGCACCGTCGAACTTCTTAGGATCATTTTTGATGATGAGCTGGTGGTATGGTAGCATATCAGCCGCTTCTGGTCCTCGAGCATTTTCATTTTCAAACATCTCTTGGATTTTATCTTCAATCAGTTGGGGAGCATCCGCTCCCAGGCTTTGTTGTCTTTGTACGTGCAGCGATACATGGAGAAGCCCCATGGAAGATTCGGTTTCTTGTAACCATTACCAAATTCATGCGAATCCATTCAAATGGAATGTTTTCTTCTGGGACGCCGCAATACTTCCGGCGTTGGATGGCATGAAATTGGAAGTTGGAGGGTTTGTTGGTGATGATTCGTGGTAGCAGACGCAAAGCTACTGGGAATGCGAGGCTGAGATGCCTCATGGGTTGAAGAGTCTTCATGTCGATAAAGAATCAATTGTTCTTCCGTTTGATCATAAAGAATTGGTACCAGGGACTAAATTCAGGTTCTGGGAAGAAAGATTAAGGAGAAGGTCTCAAGCATTTTTAGCGTCTCCTGAGCCTCTCTTTTATCACGTGCCAAGATGCAGGGATTACAGTAGTCTTAGAAGCTGTATAGATAAGTCAAGTGTCTGTGTTTCAACTTTGAATTTACATCATTGAAGGGTTTCCAGCGATATACTCGCAAAAAGGTCATGCTGTGACTTGATGTTCAGCCTCTAATTTAACAGATTGAACTATACGGCGGAGAATCTTTTACTAGTTGGTACAATCAAATGACCGAACTAATCAAATAGCGTGATGATTGACTGATGCTCCCAGCCGTGTCTCATATAAACTGCAATGTAACTACTACGACCTATACTATATCTCCATTTATTATTGTAGTACAATGTACTCCGTACACAAAGTGTAACTATGTAGAAACTAAAAATGGGATAACTACCGCTCGGAGCCTCGGTATTACCTAAGCCCGTGGCACCCGACGTCATCTGCCCTTGCAACTGTTAAGAATCTAAAGATTCCCTGCGACACACGCGGGGAGCCCAAAGTCAATATTCCAATCTTCTCCCCGATTCCCTTCTTCAGGTCGTGGTACAGAAAGATGAATGGAGATACCACGCAAAGACGCGAGCCAACCACCACGGCCACCAGGCCTCGAGCAAGGCCCGGGAATGCTGAGAGGAAACGGTATGCACCCTGCTGCCTGTCCAGCCTCCATATTCCAAGATCCTCACTGACATCTCATCAGCATCCACTGGGCACCGCTGAATGTCGGTCTGGAGCGTCGCGCACAGACACTAATCGTGCTCTGCCATACACTCACTATTGCTATCTTCTTGACCAGTTTCTTCTTCACATGCGCCATCCCCTTGTTCTGGCCACTCCTGCTCCCGTACCTGGTCTATATCTCACTATTCTCCACGGCACCCACATCAGGAGAACTCAAGGGCCGGAGTAACTTCTTGCGTCACCTTCCAATCTGGAAGGTCTACGCATCTTACTTCCCAGCCCGTCTTCACAGGGAGGAAGTCTTGCCCCCAACGAAGAAGTATATCTTCGGCTATCACCCACATGGCATCATCTCACACGGTGCATTTGCCGCCTTCGGCACAGAGGCACTCGGTTTTTCAAAACTATTCCCAGGAATCACAAACACCCTCTTGACCCTGGACTCGAACTTCCGCATCCCATTCTACCGAGAGTACGCGCTTGCCATGGGTCTGGCGAGTGTGTCCAGGGAATCATGCGAGAATCTCCTAACCAAAGGCGGTCCCAACGGCGAAGGCATGGGCCGGGCAATCACCATCGTCATTGGCGGAGCTCGTGAATCACTCAACTCTCAACCCTATTCACTCCGTCTAGTCCTAAAGCGACGAAAAGGGTTCATCAAACTAGCCATTCGCACGGGCGCAGATTTAGTGCCCGTTCTCGCCTTTGGCGAAAATGATCTTTACGAACAAGTCGACTCTGACGAACATCCGATTATCCACAAACTGCAAATGCTGATCAAGCGCACAATGGGATTTACGATTCCGCTTTTCCATGCGCGAGGAGTATTCAACTATGACGTTGGATTGATGCCTTATCGACGACCTCTTAATATTGTGACTGGCAAGCCGATTCCAGTGATGCAACAGTCGAATCGGGATAAGATCAATGATAGCTACATCGATGAGCTTCATGCCAAATATGTGGAGGAACTGCAACGATTATGGGATCAGTGGAAAGATGTCTACGCTAAGGATAGGACAGGTGAATTGGAGATTATTGCCTGATTTAAACCAGTGAAGTCTCTCGGCTGGTTGGGATGTTTACAGCCGGTGTGTAAGGGAGCTTTATGAGTATGAAAATCTGTCCATGTCCATATATCTATTTGTCTACAGATACCATGCATACCCAGCACCTGAAATCAGGCATCGAAAGGAGAACACACATCGCAAATTAAAACAATTCACGCTCAAGAAAAGCAAGTAATCAAAAATACATTGTCTCTTGGGCGGGAAAATGCCAGAGAAAAAGGAACCAAATTCTTAATAAAGAGAAAAAAAAAAATCGCATGGACATGATAAAGGTAACATCAAGTAGATAGACGGGGTATCAGATCAATCAGAAGCATCAAAAAAAGGCAAGAAAAAAAATGAAACGGAATGAGGTCCAACTGCAGCAGCTTTATTAACTTGATGGAGAGCCTGGGATTGGCTCCACGGGGAGAGAAGGAGTGGGAGTCAACCCCGGGACTTCAGCAGAGCTTGAACCTCGACGACTATCACCCGAAACGCGCTTGAAGTGTCCAAGAGAGTTTCTGTCCAGATGACCGCTCTCCACTCGGCCTTGAATCATCTCATCAAGCATCCGGGACACCTCGTCCATGTTCTTTCTCCGGTCCTCCTCTCTTTCACCGGATTTCCCGGGAACAGCATGCCTAGAGGGGCTTGTATTTTTGTCGCTCACGTCACCTGGGGGCGGAAGCCGGGGACTGCTGGGCCCAGAAGCCGACGAGTCCACCTTGACTTTGAGTTCTGGGGATTGAGAGTCGCCGGTCACAGCCGCCAGATCACGGTGGCGGGCAGCAGACCGCAGTGCCGCTAGCATTCGGTCTTTATCATCGAGCTGGATGCGAAGCTCATTGATCTCCATGTCTTTCTCACGAAGTAAGGTCATCATGTCTGGGTGTTCAGAGATAGTGGTGGTGGATGGAGCGTTAGATTTGACTCCCACCGACATTCGGGAGTGACTCGAACGGCGAGCCTGAAGTAGTCGACGCTCCAACGTGGAAATGTATCGATTCTTGTCGCTCAGGTCAGCTTGCAGGGCGGTGACTTGTCGCTGCAGGCTTGCTTTGCCATCACCAAACTCGCCCATGTCCTCGTCATCTTCATTGCTGAAGGAGCCGTTGGCGAATGACATCCCTGAAGGGTCATTGCTGTTGACCGACATGAATGAGATGGGTCGAATGGAGTGAGCTGCACCCAATGTAGATTGACTGGCCGATGACCGAAGTGAACGGGTTCCCGCGTCGGTGCTGGACATTCTGGAAAGGCGACCAAAGGCAGAAGAGAGACTACCGTGGTTGTTCACACCGGTTGATTTGGAGCTGAGAATCAACCGGTTCAGATGCTCAATCCGTTCTTTCAAAGCGGTCCTGGCCAGCTGCATCTCCAGCACTTGCTCCTCATGGCGAGCCTGGGCCTCCTTTTCAAATTGTTGCTCATCCCACTTGAGCTCCTTCTCCGCCTGCGCCTTGGCCTGGGTGTCCAGTTGGCCACGAAGTGCTTGAATCTCCATCCGGTAGCGTTCAAGCAGAACCCGACTACCCGCATCACCACCACCACTACCGTATGCTTCCTCGGCCTTCTTTGCATGACTGACGATGCTGTTCTTCGCTCGAGCAGCAAACTTCAAGGTGTTCAGGGTCTCCCCCGAGTGTGCATTGATACCAGCGACTAGCTGAACCGTGCAGAGAATACTCACGAGAGAGTTTCCTGATAGCGCGGGCTGTAGCAATCTCGTCAATTTGGAATCACGGTATGGCAAATGCCTACCATCCCGATCAATCGGATTGCCTTGCTTGTCCTTGTTCTCCGAAAGCTTTGAGATAATGTTACCCAAAGTAAGCAAACTCTTGTTGATGTGGGCACCTTCGGTTCGGCGCTCTTTGTCGTCGGCCGCACGCTCTGAACCAGCCAGATCGATCAAACTCAGGGTTGACACTCGGACACCACCAGGAGCAATGCCAGACCGCTTATCCTGCGAGTCGCCGGCAGGGACTCGTTCGCGACTTTCGACGACAATCTGAACAACCGCATGACTTCGAGAACTGCGCGCATTGAACTGGGTGCTGCTAGTGCGTCTGGCATGGTCTCCTCTTGCGATCACCCGCAGAAGCTGTGTCGGGCTCTGCACGATCTCTTCCTTCAGTGGCGTTGCATACACGCCGCGTTTACTGTCTTCGCGAAGCTTGATTTCCTCCTGTTGAGGTGCAGGGACACCGTTGGTAACCGACGTCGAGAGAAGATCGTGAATTTTTTCATTATAGATCTCCAGATAACTGACTCGGAGCAAAAACTCTCGATGAGGCGTTTCTCGAATGAAGGAAAATATATCGGTGATGGCGAGTGGAATCACACCAGGAGAAGTGGCGGTACCTTGCATCGAGAACGTTTTACCAGTACCTGTCATACCGTAGGCAAAGACAGTACCGTGATATCCTTCCATGACCCGTCGCACAAGCCGTTTCGCGGCTGCATCATACACCTTGGCGTTGTTTTCCTGTGGTGTAAAGACATTATCTGTTTGCGAGGGTTAGCGCAGGTTCTGATTTCCGACCTTGTAAGATCAATCTCTGTGCGCCCTAAATACTTACCATAATAGTAATCACCTCCATCTTTGCCGCGGTGAGAAATCAGACTGCGACGTCCATCCAGTCCCCATTCACCGTGGTTTCGTGGAGTCTCGCCTCCCATGCTGGTATCCGGTCGGACACGGACACTGACAATCACATTGCCCTTGGACTCTTTAGGCTTGCCACCCTTGCCGGTACCCGCGGCATCTTCCGTGTCCTCAAATGTGGTTGCACTGGTGGAACAGGAACCATTGGCAGAAGAGCTCCGACTGTGAGACGGCGAGGCCTCCGGATCCCGTGCCTCTGCCAGGACTGACTTTCCATCTGCGCTGCCATTGAGTAAAGACGGGGTTTTGGAGCTGCGATAGCTGCTCGTAGTGCCTGTGCTTAGCCGTGAGCTTCGCTGCTGCTTCACACTCCCGGAGGAAGTGAGGCCTTGGATGCCTGACACCGAGGATGCCGCTGTGGATGGGCGGCTGGCCGCCTTGGGAGGCTGTGGGAAAGAAGCGATGCTAATTGTACGGCGTAGAGTCTTGTCGGGGCTGCTCGGTGTGCGGCCACTGGAAACAGATCGGACGGCACTCAGATTGGAAGTTGAGTTGGAATTCGATAGCGGGGACCGAGCGAGGGACGGGGGTCTGGGACTGGACGGTGTCCGTAGCTTTGACAGTTGGTATGGTGATGCGGATCGGGTGCCATCGGGGGCCGGGGTGCTTTTTCTGGCAGGTTTGGGAGTTGGTAGTGGGGGCAAAGAGCCCGTTGGAGGGTTTGTTGATGGCCGTGAAGGTGTTGGAAGAGTGGACATGGAGGCCATGGTTCTGTTTGTATTGCGCCGGTCACCGGGGCATGTAATAATTCCCAATTCCCTTCCCCAGATCGTTAATTCAGTTGATAAGTTGCAGGCGAGAACACCACATGCGGGCGAGTTTAAAGAGTTGTTTGCGTCGCGACTGTGAGAGATCTCAAATTGGGCGGCGGCGGGGGGATTCAGCACTGTCAACGCGATTTGATCAGCCACTGATTTCCGATACACAACGGCGATAAACACCAGCCCTTTCCCAGCGTTGTCGGAGCTGGTTGCGGGAGCAGTGGTTTTTCTCCCACTAGACCGAGAGTCCTCAAGAGTGTCGCGCGCGCCGGGTCTGTTGAGAGATTGAAGAATTGTGGGGGTTCGGATACTCACAGGTTCAAACAACCATGCGTTGCGATCGCGACGGGGGAGGTGAAACTCGGATGTCCACGAAGCGCCACTGCCGCAGTGTTTAAGAGAGAAGGTGACCGAGGAGAGGATCGAACAGTTTGGACTCGAGCCGTGCCGATCAGCGATCAGAGGGAAAATCGGGAGATCGAAATAGCGGTAGAGGAAATAATCGAAAGATGGAGTGGAGAGAGAAAAGAGTGTGAAGAAGGCACGACAGTTGGAAGAATAATTGGAGTAGAGTAGAGTAGTAACTAAGTCTAAGTCTGTCTAAAATCTCCAAGTCTCTTTTGCTCCCCCGCGCAACGCGGAAAGGCACCAGGCCCCATTTTGGTTTATTTCTATCCTCCTGAAGATTACGAAGATTTACTAAGTAGGTATGTACACTACCTACTCCTTCTACCTCCTCGAAGGACCTCGAAGGAGAGAGTCCCTTCTACCCTTAACTCTTCTCTCCTGTCCTCCTCTAGGCACAAATACTCTCCTATATTGTCCATCAATACTTGCATGAAGTAAACAATCTCCCAGTCCCCTTGGTCTTTTCTCGGCCAATCCTTTTTTTCGGTCCTTTTGTTTTCCTCCTTCCATCAAATCACACCCAATCCACTAAGTTACCAACCGTCTCCCGGAGAAAAGGGGTAGACATGGCGTGGTGCTAAAACAAGACAATCACAGTCTAATGCTCGAAGGAGTCAAGGTGCCAGTTCCTGGTGGTCTCGAGGGAGCTGAGGGGATCCAATCATGATCTTGGATAGACCAGCTGTGGAGGAAGTTACTCGGGACCCAAAGGAACTTGGTGAAAAAGGGGGGCGAATGAAGGTTCGCCCTGGGCTCTGGTGGAGTGTGTCTGGACCGAATTATTGTGATGATTGGGAAACTCACTGATTACAGAGTGTCCCAAGAAACTTAGAAACTTAGAAACTGGAGACCGGGGCGAAACAAGCAGCAATTAAAGGCGCAGCACTTGGACAATCCAAATGATGGCTGATTTGTGGGACTTCATCTGTGCTGAACGCCCAGACGAGTCACAACGCTGAAAAAGGAAACAAACTCGGGCCCCATGTGCGAACTGAACGTTGATCCTCATTTGATCTTCGCCCCATCATTACCACCAGACCCACTCCGGTCTACACTTCCACTGTCCAGTGTGGTCTCTCCCTCAAGACTGGAGAGAAACAGACAACCTCCAAAGACCACGGAATCTCCTTGAAGATGACTCCCGGATTGTTTACCAAGTCTCTCTCCTTTTTTTCGCCTCTCAGCAGGCCACAGCCCAGTGAGGATCAACAAATAGATCGAGAATAAACGCAAGGGTCAAAACGAACTGCCGTCCCATCCGGTAGACGGTGGAGTCCCTGGTACTCCAAACCGATTTGCCTGGATGATCATAGGAGAGATTGCGACATGACAGGTAGCGGATCGTGCGGCTGACAGATCGAGGGAGATGTCAGTGTCACTACTAAATAGTATGGTTGATCAACGAACTCCTTAGAGTCTCTACCACTCCCTCCGCTGTGCAAGGACCTCCGAGGGTCGATGCCCTCCCGAGTCCCTAGATTGGCGAGCTATCAACTTGATCTCTCGTTGATCCTGTCGGGGGAGAGTTAGGCAGAGATAATAGTCCCATTGACCTGCATGCATATCATGCAGTCGAGGTATGTATATGCGTTGGCCTACTCCCCTGGCGACTATCAATTATGAAACATCATACGGCATCGATCCCGGGACGCAGGAGAGAACAGAACAATGGAAGCCATAACAAGTTTGTACAAAGATCCAAGGAAGTATGGTTCATCAATTTCTTCGTCATTATTTTCATCATCAAATGGTCATTATTTCATACCCCCAAAGTCCAACTGTCGGGCCGCATTCTTAAAGGGACCGTCATCGTTATCGCCACCACGTCGAGCCAAATCATCCCCCATTTTCTTAGTCCCCGACTTCCGCGGGAGATCTTCATTCTTGGTCGGACGCGGCTCGGCCGTCCACCACTTGTGCTGTAAGACCTGCAGGGCCGTGGCGCGCTTACGAGGGTCCAAAACACACATCGACATGAGCAGATCAGCGCCCACCGGGCCCGCCGTAGGGAACTGCCGAAGGAAGAAGTCTCGTCCTTGCAACGGCACCGCCTTGTCTGTGACGTAATTGGCCAATTGGGTTACCCCCGGCCAATTTTCCTCGGTGGGTGTGCCAAAGGCCTCGCAGATCTTGCTAATCTGGTCTAGATCCGACATGCCTGCCAGCAATGGGACTCGCAAGAGTAACTCTGCAAAGACCATGCCCATAGACCAGACGTCCACCGCGCCGGAATATTGCTTGGCACCGAAGAGCAGCTCAGGAGGCCGATACCAGCGAGTGATGACTTGGTGGGTCATATTGAGGTAGGGGTCTGCAAATGATCGCGCCAGACCAAAATCAGCCAACTTGACCTCGCCATCGGCTGCGATCAACAAGTTGTTAGGTTTGATATCTCGATGGAGGACAAAGTTTTCATGGCAGAACCACACTCCTCGAGCCAACATGCCCATCCAGGCTTTGACATCACCCACACCGTAGTGAATATCACCATCTTTTATCAGCATTTCAAGATCGCCTCCGGGAAGAAACTCCAAGACTAGATTGAGATTCTGATCTTTGGATGAAAAGACATCATGGAGCGCAATGACATTCCGATGAGACAGCTCTTGGAGGTACTTGACTTCCCGGATTGCGTCCATGGTGAGTCCATCTTTATATTCCGCATTGACTTTGATCTTCTTGATCGCGACGCATGAGGAGGGGTCGTCGCGGAAGTGTCCTAGGTATACGATAGCGTATGTACCTTCACCGAGTTTTTTGCCTATTCCATTTGTTAGTCTCGATGCGGATTTCTCAGTGACTTGGGTTGCTATGGTATGAAACGTACCCTTGGTGTATTTCCGTCGCACATCATCATTTAGCTGTTCCGTGAGCTCACGTTCCGGATTCGATTGGGCCTTGGCAGCGACTGCCTGGCCAGTTGAACGAGGAACAGCCGAAGCTTTCAACCGTAGGGCAGAATTGGGTGATGCGACGGTCAACGAAGGCGAGCGAGAGGCGAATGGTGAAAGGGCCATTGCGAATGTGAGCTGAGCACAGAGGCTCGAATGAGCTCAGAACTGGAGGATAGAAATAGCCAGTATCCAGGGACGAGATGATTGAAAGACAATCAAAAAGTATATGAGATTCCCTATCGCAGAGTCATCTCTTAAAAAAGAGAAATGGATGTAGATAGGTTGAAAGAATGCGAGAGCTCCAGCAGGTAAATGGCCCAGAAGCTGTACCATGAACGCGCCTCGGAGTATCGTTGATCCCGAAGGTGGTGAGTGGCTCCGAAATTTCTCAGCGCGGCCAAACAGTTGGAAGCCACGGGCAACTCGGCCATCCAACGATATACTTCCCTCGGGCCAATTCCTCCCTCACCTCTCCTCCCTCCCTCATTTCTGTCCTGAGGAGGGCCGCCAATTCCCAGGGAGCGATCTACCCACGCCAGCCCAACATAAACCACAAGCCCAGAGAGTAACTTGCGGGAGTCAGTCCGCAAGTTCAATTCAACCCCGTCATGGCTCTGCACAACCCCCAAGTCCGAAGTCTCCCACGACTCTTCCAAACCCTCAACATCTCCAAACAATGCATTCGCCCACTGCACCGCAAAGCCGCACCCTCTGTGCCGGCCCCAACCCCCTTCGTTCCGGACGTCCAAACCTTCCTCACTCTGATCGGCCGTGAAATGTCCAAGCACGCGAGCAAGATCTCCTCCTGGGAGCAACTCTTCGCCTCCAACTCCGACCAGCTCCGCGAACTAGGCATCGAACCCGCCCGGCAACGCCGATATCTCATGCGGAAGCGCGAGAAGTTCCGCAACGGCGTCTACGGACCCGGCGGTGACCTGGAACAAGTCGTGGACGGGGTGGCCCAATTGCGCGTTGTGGAAGTCCCCCGCGAGTCCGGCAGTGCAGCAGACGGAGCATCATCTGCAACATTGACGCCGGGAATGAAAAAGGCCATTGTGAACCTGGCACCCGATGTCACGGAATACAAGCACAGCGTGACGGCCGAGCTGAAGAAGTTTGCGCATATGAAGATCCACCGGGGTTCGAAGATTATGGGGCCGTTTCTACAGCCTATCAAGGGGTCTCATGGCTCTGCGGCGACGATCTCGGTTCAGGAGGGTATGTGGGAGGATAAGCGGGGAGTGAAGGTTGATGGTGGTGAGCGACGACGGGTTGAGGTTCGGGCGAAGAAGAGGCTCGAGGAGAGGAGGAAAGCGTAAGGGTTTGACTCGGATGGAATTGGCGTTTTCCTGCATATCTCTTGAGCCCTTCCTGATGGACTTGTGTGTTCTATTTGCAATGTACCATACTGCTATACTATCAACTATCTCATATTCAAGGGCTGTAATTGCCCCTTTCAGTTTGCTACCATTCCAGTTCGGGGAGTTATTCATTGAGTACCATCTTCGAAAGTACAGTCAAGAGAGCCTTTCCGTCTTATACAGCTAGATGGTCAGTCAGGATTGTCTGTCATACTTTCTCACCAGCTACTCGCTTTCAAACGTGAGATCGTCTTGAATCGTCTTCAATTAGATAGATATAATAACAGTCACGGTATCAACACAGAAGGGATAACGAAGATAGAAACCGCACAGCGCGATGAAGAGAAATACAAAGGTTTAGTGTACAAGGAGTACGATCGTTCCCAGGACGTCGAGAGTGGGAGGACGAGAGGCGATATCTATAAGAGAGGATGACCAACCTCAGGAGCAACCTCCTTTCTTCATGTCCCCACCACTCCGATGCGAAGAGGTCATTAAATGTAATAACAGGTAACCAAAGTTCTAGTGACTTTCTTTTGTAGGAGGTGCCGACTCGCGGGCTCCGTCTATTCCTTGGTGTTACGCTTCTCATAACGGACAAAGGACTTGCCCAGAGGCTTGGAGAACAGGGACTAGAGATAATGTTAGTTGAGGACTTTTTTTTTAATAAGTATACGACATGTTGTGCATGAATCACTTACCGAGTAGTCTGTCTCAGGAATGCCGGGGGCATCGGGGGGGGTTGGAGAACTTGAATTGCCTGACCAGGGCGGCCAAAATTGTGCCGAGCTGGACGTAGGCGAACTGCTCACCGATGCAGCGGTGACGACCGGCGCCGAAGGGCAGGTAAGGGCTGTTGGTACCCTTGCTCACCAGACCATAACCGTAATCGATCTTCTCGTCGTCCTCCTCATCCTCCTTGACGGCGTTGTCCTCGTCCCAGCGGTGGGGGTTCCACTTCAGAGGCTCGGGGAAGTACTCCTCTGACCGAGCAGTGACACCGGGGGAAGACAGGACGTTGTGGGAAGTGGGGATGACATAGGGGGTTCCCTCGACGGGCATGGGGTTCTTGACGGCGCGAATGATAGAGTGGATAGGAGCGTGGATGCGGAGGGTCTCCTTGATGACCTTGGAGTGCAAGTCGAGCTTCTGGAGGGTCTCGAAGGTCAGGTCAGGCAGATCCTTACCCAGAATACGGAGCTGCTCCTGGTAGAGTTCCTCAATGATCTCGGGGCAGGTGGCCAGGCGCAGAACAATCCAAGCAGCGGTCGAAGAGGACGAGTGCTGACCGGCCATCAACAAGGCGATCATCATGTGGGCGACCTCCTCATCAGGGACCGGGGTACCGTTCTTGTAGGTGCACGACATCAGGTTCCAGACCATATCCTCAGAGTCCTTCTTGCCACCAGCCTCACGACGCTTGCGAATGATATCCATGTAGGTCTCGGTCAACTTGCGCTGGGCAGCGTCACGCTTGCGGTTGTGAGGGAGCGGGGCCCAGGGCAGCATGAAGTTGATAGGGGCGAATCCCATGTCCAGGTCGTGGTACATCTCGGCGAAGGTAGAGTTGAATCGATCACGAACCTCCTTGCCCTGCAGGGAGCGCGACGCAGTGTAGATGGTGATTTCCGCAATGACCTTGGTAACGTCGAAGGTGCCCTTGGAGTCCTGGAAAGCGGGGGAGGTCTTGACAAAGTCATTGACCTCGTCGGTGATCAGGCGGACATAGGAGCGGAGCGCGTCAGAAGTGAGGCCGAACTTGACGAACTATATGTAGCCATTTTGGTTAGTACTCGGCGCGTAAAGATTTAGCAGTGGCGGATGGTTGCCTGTTCTCACCTTCTTCTGCTCCATCAATTTGGAGTTGGGGCAATCGTAGACGACATTGCTTCCAAAGACAGGAGTGGTCAGGGGCGAGTAAACCTCCTCGGCGCACACGTCACGCAGCTTGCCGTTCAGAATGAATTCATTGCCCTTAGTACCCAGGTACACGGTGGTCTTCTTGCCGAGGAGGACGAAGGTGAAAATGTCACCGTACTGCAAAGGAGAGGCATTAGAGCGCGTTCACTTCAAAGGAGTATAGAGGGAGTTTGCGCACCTTTTCACGGGCATTGAAGAAGAACTTGTACGGGTCAATACCATAACTGATGGTGCTGCCAACGAAGGGGAACCAGTGGAAAACGACGGGGGGCTCGTGAGGGTTCTTGAACAGGAGCTGGCGCAGGACATTGATCACGACGGACAAGGCGATGAATGACAATGCGCCGACCGAGACGAGTGTGTAAATGGACTGCGTCGAGCAATGCTCGCAGAACTTGTCGAGGAAACTGTTGAGGAGACCCATGGCGGACGGAGGCGATTAGGGGGTTCGAAGATCAAGTGGACAAGAGGAGAAAGGAATTCCCAAAGCCTTCAGGGGCGAGGCGACGGGGAAAAACAAGATAGAACCACGCGAACGGTAGCAGCTGGTTCCTCCGCAGTTCAAGAGGGAAAATTGGTGTAGTGGAAGAGTTGGCAGTTGTCCCAGGTGGAAGGGGGCGCAAAATAATTATCTCCGCGCTCATTCGGTGAGGACCCGCCAGTGGCCATTGGTCCCTCGTCCCATAGTCTGTTTCCCATGGTTCGATCAAGAATATTCTTGTACAATTGTGCACACTATAATAGACTATATCACATATTTCGCAGTTTGGTTGAACCTATTCCTTAATCCTCAATTCTTAAAGGACCTTTCTTGACTGGACAATCGAGTGCCTTCGACGGAAGTATGGGTTCATACAGAAAAAGGACTCCGATCTCCCGTCCAATAAGGATCGCGCAATCCCCAAATGGGCAGTTTATCACGCCACGTTGGTGGAGGCTTTTGACTCCCCGAATCTACACCCCTAAATGGTTACTTCAAACAGCACCCTACTATAGACTTTGTCAAGCTAGTTTTCGTACATTATATGGTAATCGGGGCTTGTGGTCAGTACACTGTTTATGATTCAACGTATGGCCACTCGGTTTGGAAATTATCGAAGATTGTGTACTAGACAACGGCAAGTATGGCACACACGGGGTCCAGAGCAACGGCATGCTCTGGCGTGTTGTAGAATGACCGTAGTAGGGCATACGAGAAGGGTAGAGGTGAAGTTGGAGGGCAAATAGCGGAACAAAGGGTTATCATTGTATTCTCCCTATTTGACAGAGGAAATATATCCATCTATGACGCTAGCCATGGCGCTAGCCATGGCGCTGAGCAAAGCGCAGTCTATGCTCTAGAGGGTCTTTCCCACTAGCGCGCAGTGGTGGCATGATGTAGGGTCCAAGCAATACTGTAGCAGTTTCACTACAATGATGTTGATTCGAGACGCTCATGGTACTATGAATATTGCATTCCTATCAACGCCAGACTGTAAAAGGACTCTACACTATACATTAAGAAAGCCCCTTTTGTGCCATACCAGTCCCTGTCCCCAAATAGTTACCTTCCTGAACCGCAAAGTAATACATACACAAAATTCACAAAATTCACACAATTCACCCCACTAGACCCCAGTCCAAGTAAGATGGAACCCTGACTAGTCATAAAGGGCAGGATCTCCAGCTTGGCCCAAATTCACAAAGTCCTTGGGATCACGATCACCGCGAGGAGAGGGTTCGCGGCGCGACGCTCTGGGCCGATTGTGCACTCGCTTCCCAGCCTCGTTCTTGTGGTAGACCTTGACTGGAGTGCTGCTGCCCTCGGCATGCTCGCTGAAGTGGACGTCATTAACACTACTCAGCATAGTGCGCTCACGCTCGACCTTGCGCTTGGAGAAGTCCAGCTTGTCAAGTGCTCCAGTGAGGCCATCTGTGCTGTCGTTCACGGTAGGATACTTTTGGGTAAGCCATGGATGTTCGAGACACTCATCCACCGTGATGCGTTTCTCAACGTCCACGGTGAGCATCTTGTCAATCAGGTCCAGAGCCGGGTCGCCAACAGAGTCCCAGTAAGGGGAGGGGTAGTCGAAACGACCCATCTTGATCTGCTGTGCCAGAGTGTAGGGGTTCTCCCGCGTGTACAATTCATCCGAAAAGGGCGGGAAGCCGCAGAGGCAGATGTAAAGTACCACACCCAGGGACCAGACATCCACAGCCTTGGTGTATCGTCGCCGGCGGGTCTCTTGCAAGATCTCTGGCGCGACATCTGTATCGATTAGTCTCGAGAACAATTCCCTCTCTTCTGCGTATCAATAGCTTTGAACTTACAACTAGGTGTACCGCAGCTATGGACAAGAAGTGTTAGCGCATGTCTACGGTTGGGATGAAATGAGAAATGGTCTGAAGTCTTACAGGGTTGTGGTGAATGAATCCTCCCCAATGATCTTAGCCAGACCGAAGTCGCCCAGCTTGACGGTCAGCTTCTTGTCCGAGACAAGAATATTCTCGGGCTTGATGTCCCGATGAACGATTCCTCGATCATGCTGAATTCGGGGGTTAGCACGAGTTCATTTGCTAGACAGTCCGGAACGGAGGAAAACACTTACCAGATACTTCAACCCCTCGAAGAGCTGACGGAACACATGGCGGGTTTCGGCCTCGCTGAGCTTCTGCTTGGTCACGATCAAGTTGAACAGCTCACCCTCCGGGGCTAGCTCCAAAATCAGATAGGCACCATCGGTCTCATCAAAGGTGTCCTTCAGGCAAAGCAAGTTTGGGTGATTCACACTCATCAGAAGAGCAATCTCTTGCTGTAATGCCTCATTCTGGGACTGGGATTTTTGTGAATCACCTGGCCGTTTCTCGAAACACTTGGCGGCATACTGCTTGCCCGTAGTTCGATCAGCACATAGGTACACCGTAGCAAAATGACCTTTGCCAAGCTGCTGAAGTCTTCGGTAATGGTGGCGGAAGCCACTGGCATCTCGCGTACGAGGGTAACGGAAGACAAATCGAGCCTCGTTCAGAATGGAGACTTCATCTCTATCTTCGAGCTCGCGAGACTTGTTACGGCCCACCAAGGCATCATTAACGAAGGTTCCGTTGCTGGAGAGATCCTCCAACATGGCAACCACATCGCCTTTGCGCTTCTCGGAGAAGAGAAGGAAATGCCGGTTCGAAATCGTTGGGCTGTTTATGACCAGATCTACACAGGGAAGAAGAAACATGTTAGTTGATCGTCATGCAAGTGCCAATGAACATGTGTTTACGAACCACACTCGGGATGACGGCCGAACAAGTAGCCGCCAGGGACGCGACCATTCCCTTGTTTGCGCGACTGGGACTTCTTGCTGGATTTATCATTGGCGGACTCATCACGCCCGTCACAACCATCTCGTTGCTTCAAGACGACGGCACCGCTCACACTGTCATCAAGCGGAATGAGGTATCCCCAAACTCCCTCCGCACTCTCGTCGTCCACCTCGTCTGCGTATGTCCGTGGGGGGTAAATGAACTGTGACAGGGCTTGCGTATCCCCTGGAGGCGACGAATAGGCCTGAGAGAAATCATTCGCTGGAGTTTGCTGACTGACATGTTGGTTCGGGCTGTCTGGAGGAGTGGCCGTGACTTCGTTACGGATATCCGTGGCCGTCGAGTTGCCGTGGGTCAGCGGAGTCGGTAGATAGTCATGGATAACCGGTGTCTCGAGGGGTTGGTGTTGTTGCTGACTTGAGATTCTCTGCGAGCGCCGGGGCTTCTTCAAATCCTGCGAATCGAGGTCCACGCTGTGCTGTCGGAGATGGAACAGACGGGGTCAGCCAAGCCGCAAGTCACGAACCACGTCGACGAATACTTACTCTGCCTCGTTTGAGCGAGCTTTTTTCACGAGGCGCCATCTTTCTCACTCATACCACACAGACCCCCGGTATTGGGAATTTGTCACAGGCCAATTAGCTGTGCCGTCTGGATGAGGCTTCCCGGGGCATGGACCGTCGGGGGTAGCCAGCGAGAATTCAGGAACTCGGCAGTATCGAGTCTTCACAGGTGAACTTCGGACGAATCGGAGTTCCTTGGGCCAAACAAAACCAATCTGAAGGGAAAGTGGGTTTGGGACGAGCGGGGGAAAGAAGAAACGGGGGAAGCTTTGGAGGCTCAAAGAAGCTACTTTTTCGAGGGTAGGAGGTCCTCAGCCGCCACCCGCCCCAAGTTGGACATGTCAACACGGTCTTATTTGCTATGTATCCAATTGGTAGGGATGTATATGGATCAATGTTATGGAATAATATATCGCCTAGATTAGGTATGCTAGTAGAAGATATCAATTTTTGACCCTGGTCAAGCCTGGTTGATCATGAATCTTTTTGATTACTAGTTATTTGTTTTCTCGTAGTTACTCAGAGCGGGTCAATTCCTCTATTGGACCAGGGGGGAACCAACCAACCAAGTATGGAATTAACTGCCTAGGTTCGCCGCGTCAACACGTGCCGTCTCCATTCCCCACGAATTCTAAGGAATCTCGAGTCCGACCGTGGTCACTTTCTCTCTCTCAACATCCCTAGACTGAAAGTGAGAATGGACGGGTAAGTGAAATCAATGAACCTGTTTCAGAGGAACTATACCATATGCTAATTAGAAACTCTGACGACCAGTCTCTCGGTCGGGATTCGACGCTCTGCATTCGAGAAGTTGGCGGCCTTGGCCGTCAAGTCTCCCGGCAATGACGACGGTTCGGACCTGGCGCGCCTGGCCAAACAGACTCGACTGGCCCGTCAGCCCGATGGAGCTCTCAATGGAGTATTGAAAGAGCAAGCTCCGACTTCTCGAGTTCCAATGGTATGCATATACCCACGACTGCATGCTGTTGCGGGGTGATCGTATACTAATACCAAGATCTATACATAGGGGATTCGTGAACTCGATGTCTTGCTCGCCCTATGCAAGGCCGCCTCCTCCGTGAACGATCCCGAACATGCCAATCGTCTGGTCTCCCAATTGTCTCGATACTTGCCAGAGTCCCCTACTCAGCTGTTTCGCCCATCACCGTTCCTCCACCAGGTTAAGCCGTCACCGTGGGAGATTCTCTCTCACAGTCTGACTACGGCACTTTTGTCCTTGGCCACCGAGTTTTCATCATTGCGCAAAGTGGCCCTCAACGCGGTCAGCGGATACCTGAAGAACTGCTCCGATGCGGTCAATGCGGTCACCCCGTTTCAATACTCCTCATCCGAAGCGGGCGGACGGGGTGTTGTCCACGAATCGATCGCTGTCTTGTCAATTGCGGTGTCGCTGGTTGGATTCCTGGAGGCATCCGCCAAGTATACTGTTATCTGGACTGCCGGAGAGAAGTTGCAAATCATCGATCTGTTGCGATCAATGCTTTCTGAGTCGTTCATGATTGCCGTTGAAACTGCTTCGTCGACTGTTCGTAATGCCAGCCACTCGGACGCCTCCATCAAGGATTGGAGAAAGTACACGAGGCGGTATGCAGCCCATGGGCGCCCATTGGGTGCCATGCTGGTTCAAGAGGGCTTCATGCGCTTCGTCAAGTCATGCGCCGCATCCTTGATCGGATCCCAGAATCTGTCGGATGACCAGCTTTTGGATGAATACATGGCTGGGGTTGGCATTGCCAAGAGTTACGATGAAGCCGACATCGCTCTGATCGAACGCGTTACGGACCTCATTAGCGAGGAGATCAACCTGCTGGAGGATGGATCAGATTATCTGCAAGTTGGGTCTCCCTCTCAGCAGCGACTGGCCTTTTCCGTGAAGGGCCATGCTCTGGTTGGATTCTTGAACTGCGTTGTTCTCGGTGAAGATGCTGCTAATAATGATGTCCTTTTGTCCTGGCTTGAGACTACTGTGGGTGACCCTCAACAGATGGCGTGTGACGAGCTGGCAATCACTGCGCTCAAGTGCACGGCAATTCTCGCCAGAATGTCTTCAAATGGAGCCACGCTGGGACGACGCTGCTTGTTGAAATATTTGGTCCACGGTCGCGCATCAAAGGGCTCTGTTGTTGCTGTGGCCTCTCGATGCCTTGCCCAAATTTTGAGTATTCTCTCCGAGGATTCCGTGATTGCGACATTGTACTCTCTGGGCAATTCACTGAGCCCCGGCCCCAAGGGTGACCAAGCAAATCAAGATCATGTCCTGGTCGATTCCACTGGGATTACAGGAAACCTGGTCGCTTATGCGCATGCAGGCAATGCAAGCCAAGCAACACTCTCGGCTCTTGGCGAGGAAGAGACCTTGACCAACCGAAATATCGTCCATGCTATTGTGATCATTGCGACCAGCTGCAATGATGATAAGATCAGCGCACTCGCACAGTCGATGCTTCTACAAAAGGTCGGCAAGATCAATGTCTCAGTGGACGCTTTCATCATCCAGGAAGCGGCTGTCCTTGCATTGAGTAGCGGACAGCCTGAGTTCCTGCTGCTGCTGAAGTTCTACAACCGCATTTACCTTGACGGAGTTCACAAGGGTCTTGATATGATTACCGATGCTGTTCAGTGTGCCATGTCGTATCTCTCTGCAACCCTAGACGGCAACTCTCCACTTCACAGACTTTACCTGACCCATCTGCTGGAGAGTGTTGTCAACAAGGGAGATGTCCCTGATGTGGGTGAGTCCGAACGCCATAGGGAGGTTGTCTTCGCCCATGGCGACATCACGCCCCTCTTGAAACCCCTGGCACTGCTTGTATCTTCAAAGAAGGCAACCATGGAGACTTGCAATTTGACTTTGGGCTATGATGAGGCCATCTGCTCGTTGTTCCGTGATGCCTGGTTCAACATCGCCATTCATGGAATTTCGCTCAACTCCAGCATTTATCACAAGCATCTCAAGGAACTGAGTCTCCTCGCGAGCCACTCCCCACCATTGGTTGCAGAGGAGCGTATGGAGTCTCTTGAGAGTGACGTCGAGCTCAACACGGTGCTCAGGAGGGGCACGGGACCACAGCGTGTTCTAGAGCAGAAACGCTCGCTGATTGCGGAGCTACCCGGTCGGGAGTCTGACATCAAGCGCTTGGATTACCCCAGATCGGTGTTTCTCAATGCTGTCTTGCTGGTTGAAACTCTCCGCTCGGCATCTGGTGACTGCACTAAGGTTCTTAATTACTTCCGGGATCCAGCCGTGGCTGCTCCCGAGATGGTCATTTGCATGAATGCCGTTGCAGACAAGGTTGTAACCTGCTATCTCTCGCGCACGCTTTCTGGGGAGTTTGATGAGTTCTCGGCGCCCTACCTTGCGAAGCAGCTGGCCAACTTCCTCACAGCTTGCTGCCATCGCATCGAGAGAATTCAACACATCGCGACGCAATGCACCGACAAGATCATTCGTGAATGCCCTTCTGCTCTCTGCGAGAAGCATTCGCTCTTTGCTTTACTCGAGATTTTGACCGTGATGTGGTTATCATGCCTCCAAGGGGAGCTTGATGAATTCGAGTGGAAGCCAACACTGGTTTCTCCGATGGGCATTGTCAAAGTAGACTTGCCTGATAATTATGCTCTGCGAAAGGCCACATTGAACCGTTTCCTAGAGCGAGCTAGAACATGGGTTACCACAGTCTTGAACATCGCCCCATTGGACATCAAGGGATTGCTTCAGGTACGTGGAGTTTAACGTTCTAATATGCGAATCAGCACTCACATCTATATCAGACATATCTCTCTGAGTACGATGACGATGGTGGCTATGGCCATATCTCATTGGGTCGCTCCTTCGCTCTTGAGATGGGTTCCCTTATTCCCCGTAGCGACCCTCGTCTGGGTAAGTTCTTCTCTGACCCGGAGGTACTCTCTAATCCGCTTGTCTAACATGTTGAACAGGTTCCATTGATAGCCATGAGAGTGAAGTTAATGTCGCTTCCGACTTTATGGCGCTCTATACCACACGACAGAAGTACCGCCGTCCAGATATCTCGTTGCTTGACAATGCAGATGGCCTTAACTTTGGAATTGGCGGTTGGTCAACTAGTCCTATCTCTCATCAATGTCTATACTGACCCGCTGCAATTTCTAGGCCGCAAGTCCGAATCGGACTTCTCAACCGAGTCTGCTAACGCTCTTGAATACTCCCTGGCTCGCCTTTACGGACGTAGCATGAAGGGAGACGAAATTCCTCTCGGAGAAGTGAGAGATGCTCTGCGGCAAGCTGCGCGTTTGATCTGCAGCAGTAGCAACCCTCGACTCTCTGTTGTTCACTACTTGGTGGCTTTGCCCTTCCAGATCTTCACCAAGGATACAATCAAGCTGGGCGTCTCTTTGTGGCTTGGTGTGATCCACGAGAACCCAAGCGTCGAGCCGCGCATCCTGGCACATGTAGTCGAGGCATGGGACAAGAGCATCCAGAGACGCCAAGGCCTGTTTGACCCGACTTTCGAGTATGAAATTTATTTCCCCCCTTGTTCGTGCTCAACAATTTCTAACATCTTGCTTTAGTTACTTGGATCCGCTGCAGACCAAGATCGAGTTGCTGCCTACAGACAAAGCATCTATGCTGAGGAAGCAACAGGAAGCGCAGGACACACTCTCGCCACACTTGCGTGTGCTTCAGTTCTTTGAGAGCCACTTCAGTGCTGTGCGCCTAGGCAATCTCCAGGACCAGCAGTTGTTCTGTCGCCTGATTAACAACACGCTCGTGGCGCTCACTAAAACGAAGGGTCATCCTTTGGCGAGGGAGATTCACTTCCGCATCGTTCTCTTTGGCTTGCGCATCTTGCAGCATCTAAGCCCACGTAATGGTGCCGCCACCTGGAAGCTCAAGGACCAGATTTTGTCTGCTGCACTAAGCTGGTTCAAGCATGCACCAAGGTATGTGTTCTTTTCGAGAACACTATTAACGAGACGGGAACATTTCGCTAACTCGCTTAGATGGTCATTCGGTGGTAATCGCTTGCAGATCAAGGCCGAAGACAAGGTTTTCAGCGACGTGCTTTCCGCTCTGCGGAATGTTGCAGACATTGCTACCCAGGTCCAGGGATCGTACAAGTCCTTGCAATCTAAGCAAGAACTGACCCAGATCCTCATCGAGAATGAGAGAACCCGTCTTCGAGTTTGGCTGTTCCCTCTGGAGCCTGAGCGAAAGCACCACATTCCCGGAATTGGCGGCTCCAAGAACTCCACAGATGTAAGCTCTCCCAGTTTCCATTTATCTAACATTTACGAATCGAGAGACGCTGACACGAAAAAATAGGCTGTTACGGCGTATCTCCGACTTGCGTGGGCTGAGAGCCCGGGTCTTGCCATTCAGCTTGCTTCGCGTTTCCCATCGATCAAGATGCAGACCGAGATTCGGTGGTTGATCCTCAATTTCCCTGAGAAGGCTGTCCATGAGCCGAGCGCTTTGGAAATCATGTTTGACTCCTCCCTGCAGCCTGATGTCAACTTCCAGCTCAAGGTTAGTATCCGAACGGATCTATGCGATGATGTATCTCGACTTGCTGACAGTGATTTAGTATCTGTTGTACTGGGCGCCAGTCAACCCAACAGAAGCGATCACCTACTTCCTTCCTGCATATGGGAATCATCCATTCATTCTTCAGTATGCCATGCGGGCCCTGGAGAGCCATTCTATGGATATTCGTTTCTACTTTGTGCCACAGCTGGTCCAGGCTCTTCGATACGATGCTTTGGGTTATGTTGAACGCTATACCCTTGAAACAGCGAAGCAATCCCAGCTGTTCGCTCATCAAGTGATCTGGAACATGAAGGCCAACTCCTACAAGGACGAGGACTCGCAAGTGGTAAGTGTCTACTATGCCTCTCATATTTCATTAGTCGTGATCTAACTCTCAAAACCTACAGCCGGATCCGATTAAGCCAACACTGGATCGATTCCTCGAGGCCCTGATCTCAAGTTTCACGATTGAAGAGCGTGACTTTTACGAGCGAGAATTCTCCTTCTTCAATGAAATCACCGGCATATCTGGTAAGCTCCGTCCGTATATCAAGCGGAGCAAGCCCGAGAAGAAGCAAAAGATTGAAGAGGAACTGCGCAAGATCAAGGTCGAGGTCGGCGTGTACCTGCCCAGTAATCCCGACGGTGTGGTCGTCGGAATCGACCGCAAGTCCGGAAAGCCTTTGCAGAGTCACGCCAAGGCACCGTACATGGCAACCTTCCGAATCCAAAAGACCCGGCCTCGTCTCGAAGGCAAGGGTGATGCGGCCAAGGCTGTCGTCGTTAACGGGACTGAACAGCGCCAGCTGGGGTCTCGTCAAGGCGAGCAAGACCAGGAGACTTACGAAGTTTGGCAGTCGGCTATCTTCAAGGTCGGCGACGACTGTCGTCAGGATATGCTTGCCCTGCAGATGATTGCAGCCTTCCGTAGCATCTTCTCCAACGTCGGACTGGACGTCTGGGTATTCCCATACCGGGTGACCTCGACCGCGCCAGGCTGCGGTGTGATCGACGTCCTGCCGAACTCAATCTCCCGAGACATGCTCGGCCGCGAGGCCGTCAACGGATTATACGATTACTTCGTCTCCAAATACGGCGGCGAAGACTCAATCCGCTTCCAAGAAGCCCGCACAAACTTCGTCAAGAGTATGGCCGCATACTCCGTCATCTCCTATCTCCTCCAATTCAAGGACCGACACAACGGCAACATCATGGTCGACGACGCAGGACATATCATCCACATCGATTTCGGATTCTGCTTCGACATCGCCCCCGGCGGTGTCCGCTTCGAGCGCGCCCCTTTCAAGTTAACCTCCGAAATGGTCGCAGTCATGAGCGGCACCCACAACCCCGCGCACCATCCTAGCGGGACGTCCGGAATTAGCCTTCCAGGCAGCAACTCGCATAACCCGACGACCACACAGCCGTACCGGTGGTTCGAGTCGCTTGTGGTCAAGGCGTTCCTTGCTTCGCGGCCGTACTGCACGAAGCTGGCGCATATTGTCTCGCTGATGCTGGATAGTGGACTTCCGTGCTTCAAACCTGAGACACTGAAGAACTTCCGGGATCGATTTGTGTTGGAGAAGAGCGAGCGCGATGCTGCGGAGTACATGCGTGAATTGGTGCGCAAGTCGTACATGAGCGTGTCGACTAAGGGATATGATCAGTTCCAGCTTATGACAAACGGTATCCCATACTAATTGGGTCTGATTTGCCTTGGTTATGGCGGTTTAAGCTTTGCTGTTGGCCGTTTTGTCTTCACTGTTTGTGACATCCGTTCAAGTATGATTTGCTTTTTTCTTCTCACCATTTATGGTCTAATAATATTTCAATGAATATGGATCCGCCTTATCATAAGCTTCTTTTTTAGTATGAGCCAGAAAAACATAATACACGTGCCAAAATCAAGTCCTGAATCGCTTAAAAAAATAAAAGTTCATAGCTCATGCATGTCTCACTTGGAGGCCTGGACAGCCAGAGATCGTAGATAACGTCGTGTCTGAAACTTTCCCAGCCCTTCAAGTCAATATCAAATAGTCGATAGCGGCCGGTCATCCACCAGGCGGACTCAGTTAAACCAGCTCCTTCTGTGTGATCCCATCGATTGTCAATTTGGCACCGACTGTACCAATCACCGCGACACCCCGGGGCACCTTGACATCACGAATCTTGAAGCAGCCAAAGACAACCATTCTCGTCAGAGCCGGGCAGCATCGGAAGATGCACTGCGCCAAGTAGTCATCCACCACGCCATTAAACGAAATATCCAAATACTTCAGCTCTGGGTAACGCTTGTTCTCGCCAAAGACTGTTTCGTATGCTGCGTGTGAGATGTGGCGGCAAGAGGCGACGTTCAAACTTTGGAGTCTGGCACCTGAGTGCTCCATCAATGCGATGAAGCTGTTTGATGCGAGGCCGACGGGCTCGGGTGGGCCACCGGGATTCGCCATATCCACGTCGCGTACACGGTGGAAATCTGCGAATGTCAGGGGAGGATTGGGCCATTCGTGGAAAAGATCGGATAGAGCTTTGTCTGTGAATTCTGCGTTTATGGCAAGACGAAGCTTGGTCAGACGTCGACATTTCTGCCGTATTAGCTGGAGCAGCCTGTCATCTGCAAAGTAAAATTCTTCCAAGGATAGGGATCGTAGATTGGAACCGAGCTCAGTGATAATCTGGAGAAGAGGCTCGGGGGTCGTTTCCTGACTGATATGCAATGATAGGTGCTCCAGGGTCTTCATCGTAGAGATTGCTTCCAGTGCTTTGTCACCAATCTTGTTGAGATGCTTCAACTTCAGACGCTGAAGTTGTGTGCAGTTCTTGGCCATGACTTCGGCTGTCTCGTCATCAAAGGCGGAATCAAGGTTCCACAGTTTTAGGCTCCGAAGTCGCGGACCCAGCCGAGTGAAAAGCTCCCGCCAGACTTCGTCTGTCACCAAATTTGGTGAATCTAGATGTAAGTCTTGAATGTTCATATCTCGGTCCATCATGTATTGGAAAATGCGATCCTTCATTGGGGTGACGAATCGCAAGTTGAGTCGAGTGAGATTTGGCATGGTGGCGAGGATCTTATGGTAGTCATCGGTACCAAGCTCTGTACTTCGCGTCAGAATTCGACTCAAAGGGTGAAAGCTTTGATATAGTTATTCATGATCAGTGGTACGTACTAGCACAATCGTAAATGTCAATCTCCTTGTTCTGCGGGCGTAGAAAAAGATCCAAAGTCGTGGAGGTGATCGCTCGTCTTCGAGCCAAAATCTGGCTGAGGCGTTGCATCACTGGTGGCGGAAGGTCGCCAAACTCTTCCACATCGGAGATGTTTTCCGCCACTTTCTATCAGGAGAATTAGCATCCATTGCCATAGCAGAAGGGCAAAATCTTTCTCGAGCATACCTTGATGCAGGTCTCTAGTAGACTCTGAGCGCCCTGGGAAACCAGTCCATCCAGCAGATCAGCTTGATTTTGGCGCCGCCTAATTCCAGGTGTGGGCTTCTTAGGTGAAGCCTTCTTGTTGTCCCCGTCGACATGCTTCTTGGAGCATTCTGCGCAGAGGAGGCCTCCATCGGGGCCCGCCTTGCTGTAGGGGGTGACAGTGAACCGCTTGCCACAGACTTCGCAGTTTTCTAGTTGTCCGGGAACCGGCCGCTCTTTCTCGTCCACCATCTCGTTGGCCAGAGCATCATCGTCATCGTCCGGTTCTCCAACCCGACGAGCCTTGCGGCGGGCGAACTCCTTGCTCTTCTTAATCTTTTCAATGGCTTGTTGGCGTTTGCGCTTCTTTGCCTTGTCCTCTGGCGAGTCCGGCTCTGGTGTTGGCTCATATTCGGGCTCTTCCATGTCAACGTCGCCATCTTCCTCTTCGTTTGTAGCCTGGCGGGCAGCGTCTGCCACTCGTCGGTCGTAGTCATCGCGAATCTGGGCGGCGGAGATATTGTTTGACTGTAGCGAAAAGAACAGAATTAGCCAATGAAGACCGATGAACCAGTAGATAAGTGTCGACCGGTGCACATACAGCAAGGAAATCCGTCAGTGCAGATCGCCTAAAAAGTGATCAATTAGTTGAATGCAAATACTGGAGTTTATGGAGTCGGGAATATGAGGTCATACGGGCCGCGAATATTACTAGCCTGTCTTCGGCTCGCCCTGCAACAAAGTATTAGTACCTCAGTCATCCAGAAAATCGAGGGGTAGCATACATCTTGACCGTAAGGAGAGCAGTGAAGGTGAAGGTGAGAGTACCAGAGAGTGTTGTTGATAATATCGATGAGAGAGTACAGTAGTTGGGCAGTTGCGATTGGAGCGCAGGTCACGGGATCGCGACAGTTTCGCGTTGCACTTAACGCGAGTCTCGTTGTTTCTTATCGACAGATAAGTGGATAAAGTGGCGACGGACTGGCAACTCGATCTCTCGATTTCGCGATCGGGGGATGGAAGAATATCAAAAAGAGAGAGAGAATTAAAAGGGTACTGGAATGAGGCAAATCCTTTTCCGATAGTTGATCTTGGAATGGTCATGAAAATTTTTTGGAGTCGGACCGACCGAAGAGATTTCCTGGTTCCTGATTGAGTGGTTCACTTCAGGCACCTCAGTCGATCGATCACCGCTCCTCTCTCCGATCACCTCGTCTTCTTCTTCTCCTCATCCATCTCTCCCTTCATTTGATCATCATTTCCTTTCCTTCTACACGCTCGCTTGAGAGTCTGGTCTACTCCAACTCAGTTCTTCACTCTCTTCCTTTCCTTCAACCCCTTTTCCGTGTTTACCCTTTCACCCGGCGCCGGGATCTCAGATACTAGGTGAGTGAGGCTCTTAAGTCAAGCGCATTTCTCGAGTTTGCCCAGTTTTTATTTCCATCACGTCGATCGACTTGATGCTGAGTCAAGGTGCTAATTAGGTCAATATCACAGATTAGAGCCCTTCCATCACCTCAGCCATTTCTCAGTTTCCCCAATACTCCATAGTCCCTCTTCCCTACAATCTCCGCTTATCTCTCCCTCCACCCTTTACTCTCCAACATCCACCATCCACCATCACAATGAGAAGAAGATCTCAGGCCGCGGTGATCCCCGACTCGGAGGAGGACGTTGTCAGTGGCACGTCATTGAGGAATTCTTCCTCCTCTCGTCGACAAGCGCCCCCGCGGAAGCCTTCACATTCCTCTCGCGTCATCCAAGATTCCGAGGATGATGGCCTCGCCAGTCTAGACTCGGATCCTCCTAACATTTCTACTTCTCGAAATGGCTCTACAATGGCTGTGAAGGTGGTAATTCCCACAAAGAAAGATGCATCGCCGAGCGACTCAAGCGGCTCGTCCGGTATCCGGTCCACCGATGGGACCACCGGCTGCAGTACCCCGGCGACCAGTGTCGGGACTCCTGCCGAGTCTAGCATCAAGCGGACTCGAGGCCGTGTGAACGCATCGGATCGTGCCCAAAGCCTTCGCACCAGCATCATGACCAGAAGAGCATCCTTACGAGGCCAGCGTGGGACAAAGAGGTCCGCGGATGATGCTGCATTGTCAGAAGATGAACTAAGCCTCGAAACCTCCGACGCGGCCATAGCTCATGCTCTCCAGATGGAGGAGTATGAACAGCCGGCGCCCAAGAAACAGAAGACTGCGGCCTCAAAGCGATCCAGGCAACGCGCACCAGCTGTTCCGGAAATCATGGATCTATCGAGCGACAGTGAATTGTCCGAATGGGATCTCATCGAGAAGTCCTTGAGCTCAGAGGAGGATCTGTATTCCTCGGCCGGCTCATTCTACGAGACGGGACCGCGAGGACAATCAGAGGAACAGGGCCAGGACGATGATGACGACGACGACTCATATGATTGGGATGCGGGGGACCGGCGAAGAAGAGAGGAGAATCAAGCTGACCTGCCCCCGAGCTGGGATGAGCAGAGAAAAGCACGCCGGGTAAGTCTTAGGGTTGAGCGATTCTTGGGTAAGATGCCTCGACAACTGGTCGACTGACGCTGTTCTAGATGCTCGCCGACCGGAAGAAGCTGGAGAAGAAGCATCCAGCCATCATCACTATGTGGGATACGCTAAAGGCAACGCCTATCATCACACCAAAGGCCGCCCCGCAGCCGGAATCCATTACTCGCAAACTCAAACCATTCCAATTGGAAGGTTTGAACTGGATGATGGAGCAGGAAAAGACCCAATACCGAGGTGGTCTCCTTGGTGATGAAATGGGCATGGGCAAGACAATTCAAGCCGTGTCCCTTATAATGTCGGATTTCCCTCAGCGTGAACCGACCCTTGTCCTTGTTCCACCCGTTGCTCTGATGCAATGGGTTTCTGAGATCAAGGTGCGTATCCGGTTCTCCCTTCGAACTGTGAATTTGCAAGCTCATTTTATCTTTCAGGAATACACCAATGGCAAGTTGAAGGTTTGCGTTTACCACAACTCGGATTCCAAGGTCAAAAAGCTCTCGCGGGCGGATCTGCGGAAGTACAACGTGATCATGATTTCTTGTGAGTTACCAACCTCTTTACTTATGAACAGAGTGTGCTAACTTTGCCTCAAGACTCGAGCCTTGAATCCATTCACAGAAAGCAAGAAAAGGGTTGGACTCGTGGCAATGGAACCGTGAAGGAAGATAGCGTGATTCATTCTATCGACTATCACCGGTTGATCCTCGATGAAGCACACAGTATCAAGGTAATTTGAACCTTTCTACCCGCGATTTCTTGAGGTGATGGTGCTGACTTGAGCAGCAACGTACTACGGGTGTGGCCAAAGCTTGCTTTGCCCTGAAGGCTTCCTACAAGTGGTGCTTGTCCGGCACCCCCGTGCAAAACAGGATTGGAGAGTTTTTCTCCCTCTTGCGCTTCCTACAAGTCAAGCCCTTTGCCTGTTACTTTTGCAAGCAATGCCCCTGTGAGCAGCTCCAGTGGTCTGCGAACAAGCAGGGTCGTTGCACCGAATGTGGACATACGTATGTTGACGAATCTGTTATCGTCTAATTCCAGAACCCTCCTTTGAGACACCCGCTGACTTGAGTTTAGTGGCTTCAACCATATCTCCCTCTTCAACAAAGAGATTCTGAATCCCAGTAAGTTGAACTTGCACTACACTGCTCTCCTGGAAGGATACTGATATTGTTATAGTCACGGAGGGAAGATCTATGACAGAGCGTAAGGAAGGCTTGGCGAAGCTTCGGTTGATCACCGACCATATCATGCTTCGACGCATGAAGGAAGAGCATACGTCTTCGTTGGAACTTCCACCAAAACGGTAAGAATTTTGCCAGCTACAACAATCACCCTACCTGGTCGTTTGAGGCTAATGCGTAATTACCTCCCCCAGCATCACCATCCACAATGAGTTTTTCGGCGAGATCGAACATGATTTCTCCCGGAGTATCATGACCAACACTTCGCGCCAATTTGACACCTATGTCAGCCGAGGTGTGATGCTCAACAATTACGCCAACATTTTCGGTTTGATCATGCAGATGCGACAAGTCGCCAATCACCCCGATCTCATCCTCAAGAAACATGTGCAGCCTGGATTCAATGTTCTGGTCTGCCGCGTTTGTGATGAGCCTGCGGAGGATGCGATTCGGTCGCGTTGTCGCCATGAGTTCTGCCGCAAGTGTGCGAAGGATTACATTCAGTCCTTCGACGATACCTCGGCGGTCGACTGCCCTCAATGCCACATCCCTCTCTCGATTGATCTGGAGCAGCCTACCATTGAACAAACTGGGGAAGGAGTGAAGAAGAACTCGATCATCAACCGCATAATGATGGATAAGTGGACGTCCTCGACCAAGATCGAAACTCTTCTTTACGAACTCTACCAGCAGCGAAGCAAGAGTCATACACCCAAATCGATCATCTTTTCGCAGTTCACATCGATGCTTCAGCTTGTGGAGTGGCGCCTGCGTCATGCCGGATTCAATACGGTGATGCTCGATGGAACGATGACGCCTGCACAGCGACAGAAGTCTATCGAACACTTCATGAAGAATGCCGACGTGGAAGTGTTTCTGGTTTCGCTGAAGGCGGGCGGTGTGGCCCTGAACTTGACCGAGGCATCCCGAGTGTTCATTGTTGACCCGTAAATCCCCCACCCACATCGATGTTTTCTTGATCGTCTTTTCGGTTCCTTTTCACTGACAGTTTCCATACAGATGGTGGAATCCCGCAGCGGAATGGCAGAGTGCCGATCGGAGTCACCGCATTGGCCAGCAGCGGCCCTGTGTCATTACCCGGCTGACTATCGAAGATTCGGTCGAGTCGCGAATTGTCCAGCTCCAGGAAAAGAAGGCGAACCTCATTCGGGGTACAATCAACAAAGACCAGGGCAAGGCCCTGGAGAAACTGACACCCGAAGACATGCAGTTCTTGTTCCGGGGTTCGTAGACAGCCCTGGCGTCAATGCGGAAACCCAATTTGCCGCCTCTGCCAAAGGGGAAGCCACGCGGCGCCTGTGATTGTTTTACGGTTCACGATGTCTCCCCGACGTCACTCCAAAGCTGCAGGGTTGACCCCACGAAAAGCAACATGTATGATTTCATGACCCCATTTTTTTTATTTTTGAAACCCCCCTCTATCGTTTGTATGCGGCGGATTCGCAGCGAGTGATTTGACCTTTGCACTTGATCCCCTGTGTTCCTTTATCAAGTACGCTTTAATATGCTTTAACTTAGCTATTGTACTATCAAAAAACAAATTTCACATCATTACAATTTTGAATGGCTCCTACAGTACTTATTTTTTTCTTGTGTACACAACACAGTACTCCACACATGTGCTTGGCATTAATCGGAACCCGGATCTTTATCAGTTACCGTATCCGAGTTGTCTCCACCTTGACTTTCGCAAGGCATCCATGTATGTACAGTAAATGCCAGTATGCCACGGGCGTGTACTGTACTGTAGGGCTGGTGATGGTGCCCACTAGGGAAATATAACTCCAAAGAGTACACCAATAAGGTGATTGATCAACACTCAGGGACCCATTATGATTCCTATCCATTTGTACTGTGTCCACCAGATACAAAGTATAAACCCATCGCGATGACCTCATCCGGCATTAAATCTTGGCATGGACTTGGCGCAACCACAGCCCCTCCACCTCGCAACCGATGATCAATGCAAGTCTTGCGATCGTGCTGCTCTTTTTATGCTGTTGCCTGTGGTAAGGCTGAAAAGCTTGGCTCATACTGGGCTATTTCCCACCCCACCTGCCCTGAGTAACCTGAGATTTCTTAGAGAGAAAAAAAAGGGCGGCCATATCATTTCCCGTTCTAACCGACCTCGCCTAGGCCGTGTCGTCCTCTTCCTCCAGCCCCCACGCTTTCCTTTTTCTTACGCCCCTCTGATCACTGCATATCCTTACCATTCCTACGATTATCCTTACTCTTCGCTCCATTAATCCCATAATGATCCTGCCCGACTAGTGCCGCATCCAGATCCATACTGTTTAAAGAAGACAAACTCCCCACTCGCCATGGCTGCAAATACCGTGGATCACTTTGGCCCGAAGCTGGTCGAAAAGGCCGACAAAATCCAGCAACGCATGAGCACGAAGGAAGACTCACAGCCTGCCGGTGGCTTTGATGCGACCCCCATTCCCCATGCGCCGCCGGGGTATACCGTCAAGTTCACCTTCCACCGCGCGGTGGACCTCCCCTTCGCAGATATCAGTAGTTTCTCGTCGGATCCTTACGTCTTTGCGCGTCTCGAGGTCGATCTGCCCCGCCGTCACAAGCAAGACCCTGGTGTGACATTCCGAACTCCTACGATACACAAGGATAAGAACCCCATCTGGAACTGTGAATGGATTGTCGCGAACGTGCCAGCCTCGGGGTTCAAGCTCAAGACGCTTGTGTATGATGAGGATCCCGCGGATCACGATGATAAGCTGGGTCTCACAACTATTGATGTTCCCTCACTCTCGGAGAACTGGTCGGATATCAAAGAACAACCGTTCAAGGTCAAGCATCGCTTCGCTAGTAAGCGGGTCTATGTCTTGACCAACATCTCCAAGGTCACGGGTCACCATAAAGAGTCGTTTATTTACATGAGCATCGAATGCCTGGGGAAGACTCCGGGTACCGAGGGTGGCCAGATGTATACCGTCGGTCCCAATATCTGGTTCAAGCACTTCTCTCCTCTCATCGGACGGCTAGCTGGTGTGAAGGACCAAGTTCAGAGCGAGGATGGAAGTGGCAAGGAGATCAGTCGATACAAGTAAGTCGCGCGATCAATCTTTCTGTTTTGGTGTTTTGCTCTTCGTGCTGACAATCTGCCCGACCAGTTTCCAAGCCATCCAGATGCAGCTAACCGGGCCAGTCCCGTCGCAGATGTACCACCGCTATGTAGAGTTTAAGCCTTTCGTGGCAGGCATGTTCCAGGCCCAAAGCTTGCGAGGTCGAATCCTGCACAAGGCGCTTCGTCACCAGCATCAGCGCATCTACAACTTTGATCGCTCGACGCTGTATGGTACCTTCCCAGAGCCTTGCCGGGAAATGACCCAAAAGTTCCTTGAGTTTATCCAATATGGCCAAGGTGGACGTATTTTCACCTACGTGCTTATGCTGGATGGCCAATTCCGGTTCACCGAGACTGGCAAAGAATTTGGAATCGACTTGCTAAGCAAACACACTATGCACAGTGATGTCACGAGCTACATTGCTTTCTCGGGCGAGTTCTTTGTCCGCCGTCGCAAACACCGCCATCGCCATCGCTCTCGCTCGCAGTCCCCTGCATCACGCCCCTCCACATCGCATCCATCTACTGAGATTCCCGTTGAGGAGGACGGCGACGAGGACCATTCCAAGGAGGTCCAGGAAGTCTCCACCGATCCTGCGGACTATGAACTTTTCATCGACAACGATAGCGGTACATATCGTCCGAATGCCGAGCTTCTACCCTTGCTCAAGGAGTTTTTCGGCTCCAACTTCCCCGGTCTGCATATCACGACACTAGACTGCAACGGCGACGCTGAGCGTATGGGCCAGCTCAAGGAAGAGCAGCGTGAGTCTAAGAGAAAGCAGGGCCACCTCGTCACGTACCTGCAACAGAACAGTGTCTCCTCCCTGTCCATCTCCAGCTCAGAGGAGGATGAACTCAACGAGCGCAGCGGGTCTGGCAAACAACGCGGTGATCTCTCTCGCCGAGTTCATGAGATGCGCGATGTCAAGGGTCAGATGATGCGGTGGGTTGAACACGATGGCCACGCCGATCGACCCAAGCATCGCCATGGCGCCGGGCGCGATCGAGCAGCTTCGATGGGTGAGGTTAAAAATGCTCGCAAACCTGCGTCTGCGGTAGATTCGGCGGCCTAGGTTGTGCTGTTAATTTTGTTTCCCAGTGCCTCCTTGTTTGTGTGTTTTCTTTTTTTTGTCCTTTCAGCTGCTTAATACACTTTCTGCTCGGTCTGGAACCGAGTATCACGACGTTCACGACCTGGTTGATATTCGAGGCCACGATGCAATATCTGGAAAGGAAGGAGATAGATGGGAGAGAATGGTCGGGAGGAGGCGTTGTATAGTGATTCCGAGTGTGTTTCATAGGCCTTTCTTTGATGATCATTAGTTTTATTACTATTGTTACTTTACGATTTTACACTTACGATGACTATTAATATGGCGTGCACTTTGTGTCTGGAACTCTTGTGCCTGGAGTGTGTAAACATGATAGATGTTGTTTTGATTCCGGACTTCTTATATTTCTCCATTCCTCTATAGCTCAAGCTGCTTCTTTTTTCTTTTTTTCCCTCCTTTCTGACAGTAACTTTAACCAGCGCCTCGCGAGGGACTCGTTGTTGGAGGCTGAAACAAAGCGCCTGATCAGCCCCTCTCCGTGGTAATCTCGGAGCTCTGCACCGAAGAGAGGTGAGAGAGAATCATGACTCTGTCGAGTGACTTGAACAAGCCCAGAAAGTGAATGGAAAGTCATGCAAAACATATCAACTTCCACATAAAACAAAGGCGCAAACTATCAGGCGATCCATGGGGCGTAACAAGCCCAAGATTGAAAGAGGCGCTCCACCGATCCCCCCCGAGGGCATCCACCCCCTCCTTCAAATCGACGCGATCAACCCGATCCCAAGCTTCGACTACTCCACCCTCTTCGCCCCCTCCTCCTCCCTCTCCTCTCCTACTCCTCCCACCAGCCCCCCAACATCGCAGCTTTTCACGACTGAATGACGGGTTTCTCTTGTTTGCCTACTCTCTCCTACGGGCCATCCGACTACCGCGCGCCTTGTCGATGGCCGATTGACTCGGTGCTTATTCCGACTCTTTCTCGCGCCGTGACCTGAATCCTCTGGTGCCTGCGCCGCCATCATGGGCAATGTCGCCAGTCGTCTCGATGACGCTGGGAACTTGTTCTTCAAGGACCAGAATCGCTGTATGTCTGCCCCTTGCCGGCTCCTATCTCCCGAGTCTTGCGACCAAGCTGATCAAATTCGGTGCCCTCACAGTGTCCATCGCCGCCGTCACCATAAGCAACTCCCGCCGCCGCTTGCTGACGCTATCCCCGAATGCGTTCCCTGCGGCCAGATTTATTGCAAAGAGGGAACCTGGCGACGAGACGCCGATCGAATATATCCAGGTAAGGTCTACAAGAGAGGGTGTTTAGGATACCCCGGAGCGGCGGTGTCAAGCGGGCTAATCAATAACAACATTGCAGGATCCTGATCTCCCCCCAACAGCCCCACTCCCGACGTTCCTGCTGCGCCTATCGAATGATGATGAGCTCATCTTCAACTTCACCTTCATTCTCCGCCAGACACAGACCGGAAATGTCGCCGGTTCCACCGTTAATGGCGTTTCGACATCGCTACCCGAGGTGGTGGACACCAACCTTACAGGGCTCACGTTTGCCCACGCGTCCAACTCGAAAGAACTGGATAACCTGATCACAAGGGAGTTCCACGCGAACCCAAACTTGCAGAATAATTCCAACGTCCAGCTCATCGGAAATTACTCCACCGAAGGTTCGCCCTCTGTGTCTTTCGAATGGTGCTGGAGATGGAAGCCTCCAAAAGCCACAGAAGACAAAGGAGGTGGCTGGCGGAACAGCTGCAGCTTCTTGGACTACGATCAGAAAACGAATCGCCTTAATACCCTTGCGCATTTCTCCTTCTGGGTACATAATTCCGTTCGCCCACTACCCAGCCCGCTTCTCTCCTCACCCAACCTAGAGTTGCCCGTGCTGCCCTCACGGAGCCGCGTCCCCTCGACTCAGTCCGCCATTTCGCATTTCAGCGACAGCGATGCTGTTTCAACGTCGAATTTTCCAGTCACCACTCCCCCCGAATCCGCAGACGGACCTCCTTCACTCCCACCACCACCCGTTCCAGCCTTACCCCCGCCCCCACCTCCCGTGAAAGTCGATCTGTTGCATTCTCGCCCGGGAGATGATGTGAGCGTCGCGGAGGATGGCCCGCTCTTCCGTGCCACGATGAAAGCGTTGGAGCAGAAGACAGGGAGCATGCGGGCGAAAATAAAGAAGGTCCTTAAAAAGGCCGAGGCTGCACAGCAAGCACAAGTGGCCTGCAACGAGTCTATGGAGGCGTTCCTGGGCTCTCTGAACGATGCATCGACATCAAATGCCCACGCGATCCAGCCGGCGTTGGATCATTACTTCGAGAAGATCGCTCGTCAGATCCAGAACTACGAGCTGACCAACACGGTACAATTGCAGAAGCTGGTTATTGACCCGCTCATCAAGCTCTACAATAACGACATCAAACAAGCCGAGTCTAAAAAGAAGGACTTTGATGAGGAGAGCCGCGACTACTATGCCTATGTCAGCCGATACCTCGGCCAACGGCAAGACTCTCTCAAGGAGAAGAAACGCGCAGAAAGTGACTCAAAATATCAGGCTAAGCGTCGGAACTTCGAGCTCAAGCGCTTTGATTATTCTTCCTTCATGCAAGATCTGCACGGCGGCCGCAAGGAACAAGAGGTCCTTTCGCATCTGACTAAGTATGCAGACTTCCAGGCACAAGCTTTCTTGGCAGCTGCCAAGAAAGTTGAAGAAATGGCTCCTCAATTAAATGCCCTCGTGCATGAGGTCAACCAAGCGGACAAGGAGTTCCAGTTCCAAAGGTCCGAGCGTGAAGAGAAGCGTAGGGCGTTGGAGAAGAACAGCAACCCCTACTTGGAGCCTGATGTCGTTGCTGGTGCGCCCGCAAGCCTCGCATCGGCGTCCACCACTGCTGCTGCTGCTGCTGCTGCTGCCGCCGCCGCCGCTAATAACGGTAGCGCGTCTGGTGAAGTAGAGTTGGGGCGAGCAGACAGCACTGGCTCACAGCTCCGCGGGGTTATTAGCAACAGTTCTTCTGTTTCGTCGCAAGTGAACGCGGGGTCGGTTGGTTCTTCTGCTGGGATCTCGGCACCTACCGCGAATAACAATGCGGCTGGCGCACAGAACCAGAATCGCTTCAAGGGCATTCGAGATCTTGAAGAGCGAGATAATCTTGGATCTGATCGCACTGCTGGTCAGCAGCGGAAAGAGGGTCTCCTGTGGGCGCTATCTCGTCCTGGTTCGCACATGGATCCGAAGGGTATCAATAAACAGGCATGGCACAAGTAAGTTACCCTAATCTCTCTTCCCTTCCCCTCCTATCGGATTTCTGTTCTTACGCTTTTTTCTCTCCCAGGTTTTGGATTGTTTTAGATCAAGGAAAGCTTTCCGAGTACAGTAATTGGAAGCAAAAACTAGACCTCCACATGGAGCCCATTGATCTGCGGATGGCTTCTGTTCGCGAAGCTAGAAATGCGGAGCGACGCTTCTGCTTTGAAGTCATTACGCCTCAGTACAAACGCATATATCAAGCCACCTCGGAAGAGGACATGGCAAATTGGATACGCTCTATCAATAATGCGCTTCAGAGTGCAGTGGAAGGCCAGGGAATGCCGCCACCCCCGCTTTCGTCCAAGAATGAGTCTTCTAGCGGCCGTGACATTGGCTCAGTGTTGACGGGCAAGAGCTCCTCTGTGTCTGGTCACCATTCTTATTCGAATAGCTCCAGCACCACCGCCACCACTAGCGGTGTCAGTCGCCGCACTACGGTTGGAGCCCGACCTAGCTTCGTGAGAAATGACAGCAACACTTACGAGGAGAATCCCTCACGCTTGCTTCAGGTTGTTCGCGAGGCCGACGAAGGGAATAACTGGTGTGCCGACTGTGGTTCCTCGTCCAAGGTTGAATGGGTGTCCATCAACCTTGGTATTATACTGTGCATCGAGTGTAGCGGTATCCACCGATCTCTAGGAACTCACATTTCCAAGATCCGTTCGCTCACACTTGATGTCCACTCGTTCTCCAACGATATTGTGGAAATCCTCTTGCAGATCGGTAACCGTGTCAGCAACATGATCTGGGAGGCCACGCTGGACCAGTCACAGAAGCCGATTGCCAGCTCCACCCGCGAGCAACGGCTCAAGTTTATCACGGCTAAATACGTTGATCGAGCACACGTCGAGCGTCTGCCGTCCCCACGATCCCGCTTTGCAACCCCGGATGAGACACTGCTAGCATCTATCAAGAAGAATGATATACAAGGTGTTCTCTATGGTATCGCCTTGCGTGCCAACGTGAACGTGGCAGATCGCTCCCGCAACACGCACGCCGTTTTCCTGGCCCTTGCAGCCGCCGACCCAGCCTCTCCAGGCTCCACCCCGACCACCCTCTCCGCTCGCTCGAGTGCAAAGGCCATCCCTTTCCCTATCGCCGAGCTGCTGGTCCAGAACGGCGCGGAGATTCCCCCAGCACCGCCATCCATCCCTCTCTCCCCGGCCGCCCAACTGTACATCAGTCAACGCACGGCCCGCACATCTGCCTTTAGTGCTCCTGGCCTGGGTAAGCCCGCCGTCAGTGATACCTTAGGCTCGCTACCTACCATCCGTGCTTCTAGTAAAGATGGACCGGTCTCGTCTGCGTCCCAGAGCTCCACTAGCTCCTTGGATACTAAGGAGAAAGAGAAGCTCTCTAAGCGCGGGAGTGCTGGTGCCCGTTTTGCCGGGAAGGTGGCGTCTCTTGGAATTGATCGATAAAATCTCTACCTAAATCTCACGTCAACTACCTTTCTTTCCATCTTTCCGTTTCCCTCCTCGTCCCTCCAGATACTCTCTCCCCCCTCTCGATTGGCATGAGAGGCTCTACCTTGATCACGCCTTTTATATACTATCCTATTCACCGTCCGAATATATCCTTCTAATGAGCTTTGCATGACCCACTCCCATTCCCCTTTTGATGACCTTTTTCTTCTCACGTATAGGCAGGGGGTAATGTTTGAGATCATTGATCATTGGTGGCCTAGCTTCTTTTCTTTTTCAATTTCATTTTTGTCTCTTTTGACTCCCCACCTTTTGCTATTGCTTCTTTATACTCTTCTCATTTCCTTATGGAAGAGCACAGGTATGAGGCCGTTTACCTGGTCTCTCTATTTTATATCATGACTTTGTCTTTTTTTGTATTCACTTTATACTTCTTGAGATAATTGACTGGGATGGTGGTCTTGGGTCTTTGACCGGACGGATCTTCCTTGGATTGTCTGTTCTTTTCTTGATGCTTCTTTTCTTGGGTATGTTGGTTTTTACACGGTTATAGGAAGGGTTGTCCGATGTCGGTTGTGAATATTCGTATTGGCGAGTTGATGGGGTTGGACTGATTCTGGTCTCTGCGCTATCTAGTTGATGGCTTGTGAGTTTGATTTGTCTAAAGTTTCTTACTAAAGGTTCATTGCCGAAGGGTCTCTTCGTTTGCTAGAAGACATGTATCTTGCTTAACGTTGAACATACTTAGCGAAGACATGTGCGTCGATGAGAGAGCATTCCATTAGAGTGTACGTGCTATTCTAGAACGAGGTCTACCTAGCTTCTACCAACTTCAACCAAACATCGACGAAAGCGTAGTCACTCTACAAACATAGACCCTATGCTGCTACAATGCTACAATGAATTAGTTAGTCCCAATTGGTAATGTCAATCCAACCAACCCTTCGAAGATTCAAATCAGCCCTGCCAATTCTCCCAACACATTTGACTTTTGCATGTGAGTCAATCACCAGCGCAAGCCCACAGGCCGTTCCATCCTATCCGGACAATACAAATCCTGCGGAGATACCCTACCCTACCGGAGGGGGATGCTCAGCTCCGAATATCTCGTTGCCTGACAGTGGCAATTTCTATCCTTCTGTTGAATGTGATCCTCCACTGACGCCAGCAGCTGCCGATGTCCACTTATCGATCCACATGATGCGACGCAGGTGCATGCTGTGGGGCCCGTGGCGTGCACGGTATGCGGCATCGGCCGAAGAAAATGCTCAGCTCCGAGTGGAGATTGTCAACTCCAATCGGTAAGTCCGTGAAGTTTTGATCGTGGTTCTGCTTTAGCTGAGTTTGGATAGACTATTATTGAGTAGTCGTAGTGGTGGTGCTGTGGCATCTGGTTGAGCCACAGTTAACTCGGACCAGCCGAGTCCAATCCAGTCCAGTCGAGCATAACACACGCGATTAAAGCCCCGCGGATAAAGTAGGGCGAAAAGCAGAAGTCTGTCCGTACAGTGCCACACCAACAATCGCCTCAAAGCACAAAGCACCTGCCTCAAGCAGAGCAGGTACCATGGCCACAGTAACAGACCAATCATGCCGATCCTGCAGTAGCTGATTCCTTCTTTAGGCAAAGGAGCAATAACATTCTGGGGCCAAGTCCCATCACTTTGACTCACCCCAATTGATCTCCAGTCGATCAGCCACGACGCCCTCGTTGAACCATTCTCCATTCCCCTTCCAGAAACAGAACGGGGCTGTGCAAGCCTTTCTGTCTCAAGACAACAGTAACATTGCCTGTGTACCGGGTCCTACGGTCCTGCGATCCCCCAAACCTGTGGAATATGGAGTATGGACACATTTGTCCCACGAAGACCATACACCGAAGTGGAGCAGTAAGACACTCCCACCCCTTTGTGGCGTCTGTAAGTGTCTCTTTCCAAGGAAAAGGTGATCTCCAAAAATGGTACGTGTTCAATTGGATACAGTAGTACCCTGGTTAGTACTGTCCGGTGAACTGTAGTCGGTATGACTATGCGGAGGGCATAAGTCCGAATGAACCAAAATAACATCCCTGACTGGGCCGCGTAGTATCGCCCAACCCCTTCCCATCCATATCTTCAGAATTCCATCAGCGGCGCTCAATTGGGAAGACTTGTGGATGGGGACACCGTTTCCTCTAGGGCTTTTCACCATGTCGCAAAGTGATGCCCATCAACGTATGTGGAGGTAAGATGACGTTGTGTGATTGGGTGGCTGGTCAGGAACGCGGAGATCATAACCGCCTGTGACGTCATGAACCCCCATGTGGCGCCTGGGCGCCTCAGGCTTGTTAGGCTCGTCAGGCTTCCGGGTGGCGCCGATCGTGACCGTGATGTGAAGTGTGCGAAATGAGAAGGAGGAGAAGTTCAACTGGGGCGGGTCTGTCCTCTAGTTTGAGGTCTTGGGGTTGGCATGAATTTTGTGGTAGTGGAGGTGGCTGCCTCGGCTGTCAATAGCATATACCTCTTCTATGTAATCGAAGTAGGTCGCAAGTACGTCCAGTATATGTCTGTAATCGACGATCGGTATGCATGGCAGGAGCGTCGTTTTCATTCTTGTGTAACATAGAGCTCTATGCAGTCATCGGGCTGGAATCTTTGATCCTGCATTGATTGAGTCCCTGACCATCACTGTCTAAAGAAGCTTCGGACAGCGTTCAGGGGTGATGATGAACACTGTCAAGTCTCACAGTGAGGCGGACTGATCACCTGATCCTTCAGGAAAAGGTTTCTTGACCATCCATATGCGAGGATACCCAAAGAGCTGAGCAGCAGCGAGGGAAAGGGCTGCAGCAATTGGTCATCAGAGACCTATTCATAGAACCACAAGCCAGGGCTTGACATGCTTTCCTTCGTGTACTCAACGATGCCTACGAGTAGTCGGCGCCGTATAGTACAGTATAACACCTAATTCAGTCTGCGTCAGTGGTAGCTCAAGCCCGAAGGGGTACTCCGTATGTTGTACGGAGTAGAGATGAGAAAGAATCAAAGAGCCGGAGAAACGTCCTCCTTTCGAAAGAGCGAGATGGCGACTCTATGAACTCGGGGAGGCCGTGTGATCGACAGGCTGATTGCTATTTTGTTTCTCATGTGATTGCCACCACAAGAAAGACCAGCGTATGGGTCGTGTGGAGGGGTCTGAAACAAATCAGATTACGGGACAAAGTCAATGGGAAATGAGGATGCAGTAATCCATAGGGCACACGTGTACCTTTGGTATAGGATTATTGGAAATTATAGATAGTATGTAACCGTGTATACATGATTGCAGTAGTATCAACATAGAGAATACTTGGAGTATATCTGGTTGCTCACCGCCCTCATGATTGGCTGGGGCGCAATGCCGAAGGTGGAGACTCTGACGTCAGAAATCGACTCAACTTCCACTTCCACCCCCACTAGTCGACTCGATTCAAGCCTCTCGAGTCCAGCCCCCCGTCTCGCACGAAAGATAGACAAGAGGTTAAAATACAGCTCCTGCAGCGGGTTCCCGCCTTACCCGACAGGATGGTCTGATCGCCCTGGTGCCCTTGGGTCACCTCCGGGAAACCCAAAATGTTGCACAACGGTCCTCGGATGAAGCTTGCCTTTCTGTAAGGTATGAATGCATTGAACGGTCCTGGAATGCTCATGACAAGCCACATTGGGCTTCTGTGGTGGCGCTATTTATGGGCATTGTCCTAGGGTGATGTTCGTTTCATCCACAACCACACACGGCGTCGACTACCGAAATGGGCAGTAGCCAGTAAGCAGCTTTTGGTTTTCCGGGCGCCACCGGAATTTTTGGAGACCTCATCGCCCATTGGCGGGATCATGATCGAGTCTAGTGGGAGTGTACCAAGTGGTCCTTCCCGGGCTCTCCTCCCCCCGTCTGTGCGGCTAATGTCGTGCCCTCTTTTGCTGCACCTGGGCACCTGGCTTTGGTCCCCTGGTCCTGGCCTTGGAAGTGCTGACGGACCCCATTCTTTGATACCTCATCAGTACCGTTGTCCTCCCTTGGAAGGAAACAGAAGCCCGCGATTATTGTGTGGCCGCCGCCACCACCACCCAATTTCCATCGAGATACACATACTGATACTCTATATTTACGAATTATTATTATTATTATATTTGGATCATTTCGCTTTTTATTCCCCAATTGTTCAATTTCCCCATTATCGATCCACTTATCGACAGTTCACCCACTCCCTCATACATGCATAACCGACACCCCTGACGGTGGCAACTTGGCCTTGCAACCCTTTTCACTGCCACCACCATTGGCTGCCCCAATCTGTAATTTTGGCTTGTCCTCCAGTTTCCATACTCGCGGCCCGCTGGTTGGCACGTCTCTCCCCCATTGCCCATGGTCCCGCTTGTTTCTATTTATGATCCCTTTGTACTGTAAGATCGGTGATCCATGATTGAAGACGGATCAAGTCCGATTTATGCCTTGTGTGACTCGCCATCAGGCATTAACAGATCGCCAATTGCGTTGCCTGACTCTTGGACTTTAATTCCACCTCTCTCAGACCTGCGTCATTGGCTCAATGCCACGCAATTTGTGGCTTGATAACCCCCGAATGGTCTACAATCTCCAATTGGCTTCTCCAATCCCCAAGCGTTCTTTTCTTCCCCCAGCAGATCCGTGGGCTGCTTAAGCCACAACCCACCTGTGGCACGGCCTACTCTGTTCAACGACCCGCTGAGCCGCTTATATTCGAGGAACAACCGAGCCAACTTCTTCAATTTACTACTCTCTACTGAAGGTGAGAGTGGACAGATATAAGAGAAGAAAAAAGGGTTTGCGAGATCAAAAGGCCCGCACTTGCTCCACCTTGCTTGATCACAAGCATTCGTCAACAGAACAATAATCATTCAAAAAGCCCCCCAAGGCTCAAGAATAAAAAGAAGATCGGCGGATTGAGTGGCGCATGGCTGAAAGAAAAACCCGACCAACTTGAAGATCTGATTCAAATCCGTCTGTTGGTGGAGCTTGTGGTGCATACCTTGTTATGGTGATGGTACCTAGTCCCAGTGACTTTTGTCTAGGAGGTTATTTAGTTTAGTGTGCTGCTGTGGTCTGGGCAGGGGATATCCACTTATCCTCCTCGCGCACACAAACACCCACCCCCAATCCCACACTCCCAACGCCTCTCCATCACCAGACTTGACCCACAAGCTTCGACTAGGTACTTCCCAAGACACACCAATACTCTGGGTGCATTTTCTGTACCCTTTTTCCCAGTGTCTCCAGCACAGTCGTGACTCAAAAAAACATACTCCTTCACGGCCTATCACCGCTCACGAATCATCCTGGGTCCGATCAATCATTCAATCGGTTCACAACGGTTCACTTCCCTTGTCCACCTCCTCCACCTGATTGACTCTATTCACTCGCCCGTTCTCTAGACATCTGATGTTTCATTGACCCTATAGCACATCTGTCCCACTGTCAGCCACAGCTCAGACGTGGTTCTGACGATTCTACTCCATATCCCTGCTCTTCTTTGGGCGCCCAAAGCATTCGATTCCGCCACAGTGCTCATCCACAGTCGCAAAGCTCATTCGTCTAGCACGCTGTGGCTGGTTGTCAGCAGAGCAATTCTGTTGTTTGACATCCATTGATCTGGATTTCTGTCAATTCCTTTTTGCTTCAACCTATCCTTTAGCCTTGTATTCTTTTTCGATTCTCTTATTTTCTGATTATTTTTACTCTGCTGCCTTTTTCTTGTCTCCATTCAAGCTCTCCACATTTGCCGTCCGTTAGGAGGTATATCTGGGAAGTCCCAGGTCCCGCGGAGGTTCGGGTTTCTTTTGCTTTGATCCTTCGAGCACTTCTCTTTTCATCTTCACGCTCAACGGTACGTCCGTGCAGGGAGTCTCTTATTGCTCCTCGTCAACTGAGCCACACCCGATCCCTCGGTCCCGCTTCCTGCAGCGGCTTTGCTCCCTTTCCACTAGGTTGGTTCTCTCTTGGCCTATCATTTGCTTGTTGTTTCATTCGTCTATTTGTTTTTCTCTTCTATCTGGATCCCCGTTTGGTGCTTAGGGCCCCTCTTGCCCCGCGGCCCTTCTCACCATCACACATTGTCAACAAACTATATCTATGTTTCATTCTAGTCTGACCCTTCTGACTTGACGGTCACATAGGCTGTTGTGTCTCATTTTTTCTTGTCCCTATTAGCCAGGTAAGCTACAATCTCTCTGATCGGTTCTTGCTGCGTCTACCCTGTTGTCTCGCGTTGTCCCCTTTCCCACGTTCCTCCAGTCTTGCCTGTCACCGAATTTTGTGCGAATCACCAACCCTACAAGGGCTAGGCTCTTGTCCAATCGGTTTCGGGCCTTCTTGGCGGGGTCTTTTTCCATCCCTTTGCCTACCTTTGTGCTATTCGTATCCTCGCGGAGGATTTACCCTTTCCCCTGCCTTTGATAGAAGATCAGGCCGTTGGTCGAGTTTTCACCTCGTGGGGAAAATAGTTTCAACACTTTACCCAAAAGAGTTCCTATAGCGGCGCTCCCAGGATCTCTCCCATGCCCTCTTTCAATTTGTTGTCCCCTTTTCACCCCAGACAGTCAAATTTGCCGTCCGGCTACGACCCCTCTCTATTGGGGTGAAGCTCTCATTTTGCATCTCATATTGATTCATCTCATTTTGATTCATTTATTTCTCCGCCCTCTACCTTATTCCACTAGTGTTGACCAGCAGGCGTACACTTCCGTCATGGGTCACAGTACTGTGTGGCTTTCCATGGGAAAGCCTACCACTGTTGGCTCGGTCGTGCTTAAGCGCCTGGCTGTACGCTATCAACAGCCTTCTGCATCGTGAGGGCACTGTTGTTTCTCTTCCTGGTTCTGCTGTCCCTACTTCCTACTTTTCGTTTGATTGGCATCTTCGTGTCTGGGCTTCTATCACTTACCTTGCAAGCCTACCCACTTTGTTCAAACTGACCTCGTCTTTTGTCCTCATTCTTCTGCAGAGGTTTTACTGACCATTGTATCTATTATCAACAGAGTCTTTCTTCCCAACGCCGCTTGGTCCGTCTAGCATTCTGTGATAGGTTTGATTTCTTTGGTCATCTGCTTCTGTGGACGGTCCTTAGACCCGGAAGGGCCTCACGCTCCGTCGGTTCAGTTCTAGACGTATGTGGTATCATATACATCATCTTCTCCGGCCTTCCATTCTTGTCTCCTATTTACTCACACCAGTCTAGGAAGAGATCTCACCAAACTTATCCTCCCACCACGCTAGTCTGCGAAACCAGGCCCCATGGGCAATGTTTCTCCCAAAAAGATCATTACATCCCAAGCGGCAGGAGATGGGATATCTCTAGCACCTGAGCCCAACATGTTACAATCCAACTCGACATACGGTCAGTGTTTTCCCAGACGATACAGCAAACGCGCAATGACGCATATCCTGGAGCCATATCCGTGGGGAATATATCCGTTGATGAGATGTTTTGATTTTGCAGATGTGTCAACCGCGAACAAGTACCCACAGCCAGGATATTCAATCCACCCGTCGACTTCGACTTACCCTCCCGGACACTATGAACCGCCATCTCCCCTGAATATGAGCAACATGGCTTATTCGCTCCCGAATCATAATCGTCAATCACCGTCATCTCCGTTTGAAGGCCAGCATCTTATCCATCAATACCCGTCTGCCCATCCACAGGGCCTCGTGTACCCGATACAATCCATGGGCCATTATCCCGGTCCAAATTCTGGTGGGAATGTACCATATGCCGTACCTTATGCACCAGGGTTCGTGCCTTACTCGATGCAGCACCCTGGGGCTGGCCAACATGTCGCGGGTCACTATCCACAGTATGTGAATAATCCGACGATGCAGAACATGGGCCCAGGACAAGCCCCGGGCTATGGGGCAGGCTATTACCATCCGGGTTACGCACCGTCTTCTCGACATGGATCACAATCTGGGCCTGTACAAATGCGGCACTCGGGTTCTCAATCCAGACAGGGGAGTTTATCTCAGGGAACGTCGACGGGACACACGAAGAAGGATACAGACAAACGGGGATTGGATGGAGAATACGACGTATCGAAGACAATTGTGGACGGCTCGAATCCGATGAAGTTGGCGCCAGCTTCATCCATCTCACCCGGTACGTGGGAACCTATGTACTCGAAAAGAGCTGTCAACAAGCCCCGCGGTAGGAGACGTCTTCAGGCAAATACTCTTACTGACGTACCTTGTTTCCTTCCATCAGATTCAGCCCTTCTCTCTCAACCCGTACAGACTACACTTAGTACCCCCCGCGGACCACCCCGAAAGCCTAAACAGTCCGGTCACGCCTTATGGGTGGGAAACCTACCACCCGGCGCAAGCGTGGTCGACCTCAAAGACCATTTCTCACAGGACGCAACCACCAACATCGAAAGCGTGTTTCTAATTTCCAAGAGTAATTGTGCGTTTGTGAACTACAAGTCCGCCGCGGCCTGTGCGGCTGCTCTCGCTCGCTTCCACGACTCCCGTTTCCAGGGTATCCGTCTCGTGTGTCGTCTCCGTAAGGGCTTCACAGCTCCGGGGTCAGGTTTGGGTCTCGGTGTGGCGGGTCCAGGTTCTCGGTCTCGTCCGGAGGAGACGAGAGACCCTCCTCATCCTGGGGTTGAAGTCGGATCGTTATCGGAGACCCCGAGTCCTGGACAGCTGGCGGACGGGGAGGGTTCTCGTACTCTGGATCGGTACTTTATCGTTAAGAGTTTGACGGTGGAGGATCTTGAGCTTAGCAAGCAGAGTGGGATCTGGGCGACGCAGACGCACAATGAAACTAACTTGAATCGTGCCTTCGAGGTGAGTGAATCCCCCTTCCCAAGTGGACTTTGTTTCTCTTTGATTTTCTCGACTTCATCTACTCGCATGATAACTCCTCACTGACACCGGTGTACCTACTAGAATACCGATCATGTTTACCTGATCTTCTCAGCCAACAAGTCAGGTGAATACTTCGGCTACGCTCGCATGTTATCACCCATCAACGACGACGAGGAGCTCGCCCTGGAGATGCCACCTCGCCCGGAGCCTCTCGCCGGCACAACCGATGAATTGGAGGTGACTACAACCGCAGCGACTTCCACAGCCCCTAAGGGCCGAATCATCGATGACTCAGCACGCGGCACGATCTTCTGGGAAGTTGAATCCTCAGAAGACGAGCACGACAATTCCAACGGCGAGAAAAGTGTCGATGGCACTGGTGCTGGTGCCGGCCCTGGCCCTCCTATCTCCGCCCCTGGATCTATCACAGTCGACGATGAAGAGGCTCAGTCCTTTGGCAAGCCGTTTCGCATTCAGTGGTTATCGACCGAGCGGGTGCCATTCCATCGGACACGGGGACTCCGGAATCCGTGGAATGCTAATCGCGAGGTGAAGATTGCCCGCGACGGTACTGAAATCGAGCCGACCGTTGGGCGGAAATTGATTGCCTTGTTCCATCTGCCATGAGGGGCTCCCCATTCCCCGAAGGTATGATTCTGGGATCTTTCAGGGCGGGTGATAAGACCGGGCTTTTCCCCGTCCTCTTTCGTTTCCTCTCTCTGTCTCTTCTGGGTTTGGGATTATTTTGGTGAATGGGGTGACTACCTTGGGAATCGAGGAGATACGCTCCTCTGTGTATGCTTTTGTGATTTAATTGTCCATATCAATGGTTCGTAATATGGTATACTTGAATTGCATACTATATTATGGCAAATGATCTGGGCAATTGATCCTTCAGGCATGCATAGACAGCTAAGATCTTCGATCGTCGATCTATGATTGATTATCTCTACCCAAGTGGTTCCCATTCACCTAAAACCCCGGAAGAGAAGAGTCATCTTGAAATGAGGATGTCAAAGGGGGGGAAACACAGCAATCAGAAATCCACACTCCCACAACCCCTCAACCCGGGTGGTGATGGGAGGAGGGATGGGGTCTGTACCAAAAAAACACTATTTATGGGAGAGGAGCAATACACGATGTACGTCCACTTGGGCTTTTGTTGACGATTCTTTACTTTTTCTTTCTTCAAATTTGATCTCCATTTTTATTTCCATTTCCATTTCCACCTTTATTCTCATCTCCATATCACCCCTCTCTACTACTACTCTATGTGGATTCTGGTGGCGCCACACCTCCATTTTCGGTGGTGCCATACAATATTCCCCTGGTGGAATGATACTCTACCAGTGACCAAATCAACCCACGGAATTACTTACTGGGGTGTTTTCCTTTTATGTGCTATTTTGTCATTGATTGCGTTTGTCTTCTTTCTTTTTTTTGTGCATGGGGTAATGTGTATCACTATGACGAGGGATGGAATGTGGCGGGTGTGGGGAAGAGAAGAAGTGGACAGTAGTACAGACTGTAATGTGGTATGGGGTAAAGGGGAGGAGAACTAAAAGGAAGTACGACATGATGACTGTATGCATACATAGGCACATTGCTAAGGTCGAGGTGACACTATATGGAACTTTACAGATTTCTTATGTGTAGAGATATGTATACATAAATAGCATGGCATGTTTATGCAGAGGTCGGGTGTACCTTTTGGTGGTGAGTCCGCGCTAACCCGAAAGTGGGTTTAGTATGTCGTGCCGTGAACGTTCTTGTCGTGCCGTTAACACGATCCTAAATTTAGACATGATCAGTATAGAGACTGTTCACTATCCAATAACCACTAATCTGATTTTGCGTACAAGTCTGCTCCGTGTTCGAGAAGCATTTTTACTACTTCGACATGACCCTCGGCAGATGCAGTGTTGATAGGGGTCCAGCCACGGTCGTTGGTCTAGTGGATATTTGCACCATTTTTGATGAGGATCATGACAAAGCCTAGATCACCACTGCGTGCGGCCTCGTATAGTGGCGATTGTTCTTCCATCTGCGGTATGTCGATACTCGTTCGATTTCTATCTGACGAGTTGAGTAAAAAGCGTCAATCGCTGCAAGGGTATCCGTCAATATCAAATTTGTCAAGAAAGTGTAAGGGCATAAAAGCGATTAGGTAGTAAGGCTATGGTTGAGGTTAGCACTTTAATGAGTCTTCGGTCCCTTGTCGCCGCTTACAATGGAAGGTGTATACAACTGCCGCTGAATTTAACTTGTGATGATCGAGCTCGGCTGACCTGGTTACGAACTTATTCTCAGGTGTCCATGAGAGCCTTTGCCATACTTGTGTCTTCAACTCCGAGGATGTGATCTTAATGAGACAAAACTCCGCTTTTACTTGTATCCTATGAAATAACATACCCATTTCACTAACGGGATGATTCACTATCCTATAACCAGTGGAAACTGCCCTTTACCCTCTTCCACATGGAAACCCCACTTGATACCTGCATATTCCTTTCTTGCGCTCGCTTCGACTAGGAACTTTTCTTTGATAGGTCCCATGATCGAGACCATACTCGCCGCGATTTTGGGCTCCTTCCAGACTCCACCAACAGGTGAAATATCATATCGAAGGATGACCATGGCCACCAAGAGCAGAATCTCGGAGCTGGCAAAGTGTCGGCCAGGACAGATTGTTGGCGATAAACCAAACGTCAGGAACCCTCCCACCCGACGAGATTCCTTTTTCTCTCCAGAGTTCATGAACCGACGTTCGTTAAATACCCCAGAAGTCTCGCCCCAAACTTCTGGGCGCTGAGCCACCAATTCTGATACGATGCTGACCGTGTTCCCGGCCTTGAGAAGATATTCATCCGCAAGGAGAGTGTCTTTCAAAACGAGGCGGGTCGGGGCGGAATTAGTCCGGGTACGAAGAATCTCCTGGAATGTGGAGAGTAGAAGGGGGCACTGCTCCCGAATCGCTGTTAAGTTGATGCGATATGTTCCATCCGTAGCTATAATAAGAGCATTCGCCTGAATCTCCTCACGGATTTCGTCGAGGAGCTTTTGTCGGTAGTATAGGTCAAAGAGGCACCAGAACATAGCGGGAATAGTATTTGATACCAATCCTAGTAGCGTACCGACTTCGAGCTTAGAGTATTCCTCGAGAGTGAATCCACTTTCTATAGATATCTTTAACCGCATAGTTGTAAGTTCCGATGCTTGGTTATGGCCGCCGTCCTGAAAGTACTTCAGAATTGCATTAGCGGCCCTCCGACGACCCTTCCATGCCTTTCGTGCAGTAAGCCACGGTAGAGTATTTGCTATTAGCATAGTAAGGCCGGTTTCGAAGTCCCTTAGGAACACTTAGTATCGGGAGTCTTCTTTATAAAAATATGGTTTAACTCACCACCACCCATCCTTAATTACCTTATCTTTATAAGGGTTCATTGGGCCGTATGCAGCTTCTGTGCTAGCAGCTATGGTAGCATCTTTGCACCACTCGTATAAGTCGAATATGGAGCTCTCCCCTAACTTCTCAATAAATGGCCGAAGCAACTGGATCATCTGAATGTTCATTTTATCCAAAGCTTTCCCCGACAGTGCCGGGGTCATAGCGTGCAAGATCTTAGAGCTGAGACCCTCACCGCCGGCATCTCTCTCCTTAAGGAGATTTAGAGTCCTCTGGTTTGAGATACCGGAGATATTCTTAGCACTAAAAAATAGTAGTGGCTCAAAGCTAAGCGTTTTAGCGTTACGCTGCACAGCTTGCATCAGATCTGGCGAGGTAATCACATAAAACTTAGTAAAGAACATGTCCAAACTAATGATAGGTTGCCCAGGGTGCTTCTTGCTGTTCAAATCATCTGTTATCATCCTAACTCCACCATTTCGGATAGGTCGGAGGAAACCTACGCCTGATTACCCCAGTGATCGACTCCATACCACAAAATGCCAAATATGTGTCCCAGGATCGGAATGCCGCTGATCACTAACGGTGGTTCACGAGGATCATGTCGCGAGCCATTAAACACAAAGTACCCCAGTGCCACGACGACGCCGAGGATCAAGAGCTGTGTTATGTCGATCATGGCGAGCTCTTAGATCAGCAAATTCCTATGAACGACAAGTTTTGGGGAAAGGGGTGAACCTTTAAACCCCCGATGCAGATCTTGATTGTTTCCTTTGAGCGTTCCAGTTCACTAGTTTACTTAGTTCAGCGTCAGCTTAGCATGCTTACAGCTGACTAGCCCGAGATAGCATGTGTAGAGAAAAGTGCCCCACTGGTGTCAGCGTTGAGCGGTTTGTGATTCAGCCGTGGCCCAGAGCTGGTGGCTGAATCGTGGGCCAATTACTGAAAAAGTTCCAGGTCAAAATGGTGTTTGCCCCCAAAAGGTGGTGGACTTCGAAGTTACATGACAGATTGAGATCTGGCAATGCCCTTCAGTCGCATCCGCAGTTCGTCGTATTTCAAAAACACCACAAAATTAGCTATATTCTACCACCTCCCATGAATACGTGATTACTGCTGCCAGCCAATCTTTAAAGGTATTCCGGCCGTGTAGGAAGAGAAGGGAGTTATACCAAGTGACCAACTCTCTCTTATTGTTTTGTTTGGTAATAAATCCGGTATCTATGGCATTTTGATCGTCGTAATACCGAGTACTAGCACCATTCCTGGGGTACCCGACTTTTCTCTGTCGAAGCTTTAGTATGCAAGAGCTTTCAGCCGGCTAAGATTCCCACCACCCCCTGGAACTTAACGATAATTTCGTAGCACACCTTCATCCTATCCCATGGGGGTGATTGGGATTCGGCGTATTCTATTCCATTTGTATGGCTAAGGGTTTTGGGGTTACCATAAATCCCAATCAGGGTTTTAATGTTTTTGCCCCTAAACCCCAATCAATCTTTTTGGCAACACTATACCTCAAAATTTTCATTGATTAGCTAATGTTGGTTCTTCTCTTATGCTGTAAATTTTTAAAGCGATTAGAGCAAGAAAGGTCAATCTTAGCGCGGTTAAAATTGGTCGACTTTTTCTAACCTGTATATGAATACAATTACGTACCATATCTAGAATCTTATATATAAATAAAATTAGGCCCAATTAGATAGAAAATCTTTCAGGCTCTACAAAAATACATTTATCATCCCTCTACGTCTAATATTCACGGAATTATTTGCGTATGAAATTCAATAGATGTAGGTGGGCCTCCTTCCCAATCCGTTGAAACTGTCACTTAAGGTTATTCCTATCCGTCAAAACCGTCACAACAAAAGGTTATTACCGAAGCCACGCACGCTAACTAAATAACGGGGAATCAACACAGACACAACACGTTTTAATAACGTAATTCACAAGCTGGTGGCCCACCCCAAAACACCTGTAAAAGGATGGTCTCCTAGTCAAGGTAGAAGCCCGTCAATCAGGTAGGAGAAAGGTACCATGTCAGATTGTGCAAAGAAGTCAAACACTGTTTCTTGAGGAGCTCTAAAGCCTCCTCTTCGTGACTCTATTTTTTACAGTCTTGTCTCCAAAACAGGAAGGAGAACTATCCTTGGAGATAAAGAGGGGTAATGGGGTGAACACGAAGCATTTGGTAGGACGAAATATCACGTGGCTTTTGTCTATGTCACGTGGTCACAACGGATAAGGCCACTAGGAACAGGAGACTGTAAGTTTTATGTAAATGCGGCTAGTAAAAAGCTGCTGTGTCCCTAGTGATTCCCCGTTCGACGCTTCTCCAATCTTCATCCCGTGACTCGACGCTCGAAAACACAACACCAGCCTGCACACGAGCATACATAAGTCTGCCTGATGGATGGCCTTCGCGACATTATTCTCTCAGAACTCAGGGTTTTGCATCAAGATGGTGGCATTCTTGGATTAATCCAGCTCATTGACCGGCTTCGATCGACCGGCCCTCCGTATCATCCTGTGATTCTCGATCTCTGCTGCCTCATCCGAACACTTTGGCAATTACGGTCGCTGACAAGGGATCAATTATGGCCTGGTAACTTTATGTTGCAAGCCTTTCAGTGGATTTGCGAGGCAAAGATGGCAATGAAAGGACTATTTGCAACGATGACGAGCAAGGTTGTAGATGAGGGCGCGATCCAACAAAGAGCAAACTCTGTGCTATGGGCGCTGAATCGATTTCAGGCGATGACTCGATTGTATGGACTTTTAAAATCCATTGGAAAGTCTGTAGGCTAATCCCGTCATACAGCCTGGTCGCGCCATGTGAGTCTGTTGTCAACAAAGGTGGAGGCCTTCTTATTTGCCGGAGGCACGGCCAGGATCGGTATAAACTGGATTCAGGTTGCACATACGAGGACGAGAACACCGTATTGCAAGAATTTTGGAGCAATCGCAATGCCGGAATCTTTGAGCATATCAGCCTCAAGAGTGGTGGAACACAGTACTATGACCCTAGTAGGTGCTCTTTCATGGTCCTTCACCCGTCGGTCAGTGGCAAGCTTACCAAATTATAGTGTTCTGGTCTCGTGACCAACTCAGTGCGAGGGAGTACTTCACCGTCGGTCGCGTTTTTATGATGCTTTGGGATGTGAACGCCCTTCGAAGGGACCTTCAGGAGATTGCTGATGAGGACCCAACGGTTCACGCGAATCGGCGCTCGTTTATGGTCATGGAGAACTCTTACACCGGACCATACACCGGGCCGGAGACTGTTAGGCGGTTTGTCGTCGTTGCGGAAGGCGTCCGATCATCCTATTGCCTGTGTGTCGGAATCAGGACCTTTAAAGTTTCCTTACTGACTCTCATCAGACCAATAAGTTCGTTCAACGACCACGGCTGCTCCCAGCAGCAGGATCAGCGGAGTTATGGAGTGATTTATACCGGGAATATATCGCAAGCCGCCGACCTTCCAGAGGAGAGAGGGATGATTTATCCGCCTATCTACATTACTCCTGTTGCGCCCAAGCCCTGGTCTCGCGAGGTTCTGCTTAAGACTGACGTACCACCGGTGCCCTTAAACTCGGAACTTCCCTCACTTGAACTGCCTGCCCAATGTCGACTTGACTATCGTCGCCTGTGTGAAGTGGAGCATATCGTTTGCAGCAGGAATATAGGCTTGGTTTGTAGCGAGTCATTAAGAATCCTTGAGGAATACGCTGCGTCTGTCGGTTTGGCAAGCCAAAGCCTAAGCAAGATAGATGAAGACGTCATGGATTTGTCATGAATTCTTTGCGGTCCAAGCACGCGATTTGTTGCAGCTCGCGAAGGGGGGTGCTCCTGGCCCCATGTCAGTCTCGCCTGTTGGTTTGTTTGATAAACTAAAGTTTGAAACAGCTAAAGTCGCGATGGAGATTGGACAGCAGGATCACGCAAAGGTCGGAGGTGAGACTGCGGATACGGATACCTCGCTTACGATGGACTTGTGCCATGCTGAGCTAGCAAGGCCACCCTTTGTCGAAATTTTTGAACGTCGAAGCCACCAATTAACCGGAAGTAAGTACCACACTTTAATGCAAAATTCGCCTGACCTGTGCATTACCTACTAGCCGCCCAAGTGTTTCACCTTAACATTGTGGAACACACTAACAGCCAAACCAACATTCCCAGTAGTATTCAGAGTCCACAAAGAGCCTTGTTGCTGTTCGCTGAACATTCCAAGCACTCTTAACCACTCAGGGTAGCACATTGTCCCAATAGATTCAAGCTTTCTACGTAGAAAGGACGTCTTCCATTTGTTGCCGTTATAGCCTGGTCAAACATCTCAAGATCGAATGAATTCTTCCATGCTGAATATTGGCCCTGAGGTCTCCTTGAGATTTGATTGATCCTCGCCCGCTGCCACCATGGCGAACGAATGCTTTCGCTGAAATCAAACTCGAGCGCGATCGAGAGACAGCGAGAGAAATGGCGGAGTCCACGAGGGAGATATCCGATGTCGTTGTCTGCTCGGACGCATTTGTGCGTGAGGGCTACCTGGGAGCGGCTATTGTCACGCTCAATAATGACAAAGCGGTGATAGAATCTCGCCAGGTGCGGGTGGGCCCGATGGCATAACGTTTTCGAATCTCACATTTACTTTGGCTTAGACAGACTGCTGTTTCATTTAGAGCCAGCTAGAAGGTGAGGCTTACAGTAACACCACATAACCACTCTTCTGCCATTTATTGTTCTGCGTGGATTATCTTTCACCAGTCACCTTCCAGAATCTACCATACATCATCAATTGCGTTGGACTCCTCTTCTTCTCCGTCACCTGTGTCCCAACAATCATCATCTTCGAACTGCCAATTACTCTTCTCACTCAAGGAATTTCAATCTTCATTAGATAATATGTCTAATTGGTCCGAATTGTCCTGACCTAGTCCGGATAGTGCGTCGCTATTAACTAACCCAGAAAGCATTCCGAACAAACCACCTTCGATTGTTGATATTCTGCCCAAGAAGCGATCGTCGTGCCTCTTAAAAGCTAGCAATATCTCACCTTATACCAATTATCGTTTTCAAGTGGACATCCCAGTTCCATTGTGCCACGATCCCATCGAGCGTAACCTTAAGAAAACAAAGATATTAATTTTTGTAGTAAGAAATAGCCCTCCCATATAGGTCTTTCACTTCATCCTACTCCAATTCAGATTCCATTTCGACCATTAGTAGATTATTAGCGGCGCGAACATTTAGACTGATAACTGTAAGTATTCTTGGAAGGCTTAAGACCGTTTCGTCGGGACAGCGAATCTGAGGCGGTAAATTACAGTATATGAAAGTTAGCGTAGGCGAATAGCCAGATATTTTTGTATCTCGTGAGCCCAACCGCTCCCGAAGCAGGCGAGCCTGCAATTTTCACAATTAATCTAGGAGCCTGCCAGATTGTTCATCCCATATCCGAAGGAGAGGAATAGAGTAAATAGGATCAATAGAGGCCCATGAGTGATTAGAGAGTCCTTTCCCCCAAGAACACGGTTAGTATATCGCAAAAGCTCAGAAACAAGCCTTGTTGAAGCCTGTGGTGGTTTGTACAGGAAACCTAGAGATATTATTTCCGAGATTTATCTTACGTTGTTCGATCAATGTAGAGATCAATTAATTATCTATGATCAGAAGAGTAGCTGATGGAACCTTATCAACGAAAGTTCGTTCCGCATTATCATCACATGTCAGACTTTGGTTAACATAGTGGTAGTTCTGTTGCGTTTTTAGGGGGCATATGAACACATAACGACACAACATGCGATATCTTTACATGTGGGTCAGGGCGCTCAGAGGCGTGCTCAGTTCTACTCAGTGAGCAAAAGTGGCGAGGGGCTGAGCACTAAAACGGAACGGGAAAGCTAAGACCTGGCATAGGAAATCCGGTACGTAGGTAGTTAATAATGTATGGAGGACATAGTTAATATATCTTTACTATCATAGATAATCTGCCCTACATCATTTGTCTGGAATTCGTAGATTGCTTAATGGGATAGTCCACCAATCATGGAGAGAATCGGTCTTTCTATCTTCAAGGACTACTAAAGTCTGTCGGAGGATATTTCCAATAAGCATCCAGAGTCTATCCTACAACGACTACTGACCACCTGGGTTAAACGCAGTCGTACTTATGTAACCGGCCAGTCCAAACCCAAAACGGCCCACGGTCAACTCTTTTCCTCCTTCAACCAGTTAGATTCACTTCTCCTCGACTCGTCAGCATCATTACTCATTACTCTCTCCATCCCGTCCGATCCAATCTGATCCCATCTCGGCCCAATCTTTCCATCGTTTCGTCTCCACTTACCCTGCCTCTTGATCCACCCGGTGCCCCGTCGTTACCTTTCGGATACGACAAGCTAACGAGCTAAGACAAACTCACTTGACTGAGTTGGGTAATGGGTGGATACTAACTCTCTTAATATCATGATCTCACTGGCTGGCTGGAATTTGTGATGGCGCTACCCCAGATATTCTGCTCTGTGGACTTGGCCCGAGCTTAACTTTCCTGATTGCAGCTGTCCTCTTTTTTGCCCCCCTCCTCTTCTGCTCTCACTTACTCCTCTCATCTCTGTGTGTGGGAACTCTCTCCCTGTCTCTCTCTTAGTGGCACCACCACACAACTCGTCTGCTTCCTTTCCCCGGTTTCAATTATTCCCCCCCCCCCCCTCGTTCTCTCTTCCCTCCTTCCTGCTTCTCTCTCCTCTTCCCATTTCTACTCTCATCCTACCCATCCTCTCTCTCACTGCTGATCTCTTCCAACCATTCTTCCATTCTTCTACATCTCCCTGGCCCCTTTCAACCCCCCCTTCTTTGCAGTGTCCCCATCAACGTCATCCACAATCACCTCTCCTACGCTACAACTGGGTCCCCTCTTCCCTCCTGGTTGTGCGTACGCTTCGGCTTCACCCCAATCGACCCTTATCGCATGAGAAGGGCGGCGAGTCCGTCCGAGACCCCGTCTTCTCATCCCCCAGCTCAGTTTCCTGAGTTTCTTCGTGCTCTCTCTTCCATCCTACGTCCATCCGTGGCTCACTCGCATCATCGCCATTATCCATTCCCACGACTAGCACGCCCATCCCATCAACAACCACACCTCCATAATCATCATGTCTGACGATCGCTCGACCTCCCCCATCTCCGTCCCCTCGTCGGAGAATCGTCCCCGCCGGGGTTCGTTCGCGGGTCTCCCATTCACCGACCTCTTCTCCAAGCAGAGTAACAATCCCTCCGGCCAGCAGACAGGCAACAACACCCAAGCCAATCAGCAGCGCCGGCTGTCCATTACCACCCTCGGCCTGTCGGGCTCGCCCACCCAGGCCTCCACCTTCGGAAGCCGAGCCTTCCGCCGAGGCAGCCTGTCCAGCTCATGGGGCTCAACCCAGAACAATGAAGATGCCGTGGCGGAGGATGCAGAGGGGTCCTCCCCCGGTGCGACTCCTAGTTCACCCTTTGCTCGGCGAGTGTCCTTTGGGGCCCAAGCTCTACGCGAGGCACGGGCCGGAAGTATAGGCAATGGTAGATACCCACCCCCTAGTTCATCCCTGGCAGGGGCTCGGCGCACCGCGTCGACCGCGGTGGCGGGCTCCTCCATCCCGGGTCATAGCCCTTCTTCTTCTGCTTCTTCCCGATCTCCCGCATCTGCAAGTTCTTCAGCTGCCCCTCTGGAAGAGAGATCTAACGCATCACGCCGCCCAGGCGAAGGCTTCAATTGGACCGAGGCGCTCCGTCACCGCGCCGAGCGTGCCCCATCCATCGGGGGGCCCGTCTCGCCGAATCCTGGCCGTAACGTAGGCCACCAACGTGCCGCATCGATTGCCACGATGGAGCAACCGATTCGAGAAATCCCTAAGCAGCCTAAGCAGAATAAGCCCGATTTCTTCCAGGAGAAGATCCTGCGGGGTGACTTTATGGATTAAGGAAGTATGTGGATGATGAAGTTATCTGCATGTTTTTCCTGCCATATTCTCTTCTATATCTTGTCTATCTGCATCTGTTATTGTCAAGGGCTACTTTCCATCCGGTATCCTCTCGTGTTTGGATGACATCCAACGAGAGAGATGGACGAGGCCCTGGCAGGCGTCATACTGTGTGTTTTTTGGTCTTTTTATCTTCATCGTGGAGTTTTGGAAATAGGTCCCAAGTTGCCTACCTTTCTTATGTCATGATTATTGAGGGGAAGTTTCAGATTGTGATTGGAATTGGGATTGACGCATACTGGATGTTCATCTACAACTGATTACTGTTGATTATGCTTGTCTGGGTCTGGATCGTGTTACCTGGCTATCATTTGTTGTCTCATTTAAAGTACACGATTCCTCATCCTGGTGTTGAGGACGGAATGTCTGATGAAACTAAATTGTCATGAGAATACTATTGAAATACTCAAAAAGATCAACAAATGACAATGCTCTTGTAAACTGCAAATATACCATTCTAAAACTCTCCTTGTCTATATGTGTACTCAATTTCCCTCGATATAATACATTTTACTTCTTCTCTGCCCTCTCTTGTCCGTCCCATCTCTCTTTCTCTCCCTCCATCACTCCTCACCACCTCATCTCTAAGCCTGCGAAGGCCCCGCCTCCGTCGTATCCTCCGCATGAATATGCCCCGGCATCTCAGCATTCTTCCTCCCCGCTGCCTCTTCCTCCTCCCGATCAAACCCCTCGGCGACCCTCTGATCCATCAACTGCGCCGTAGTCAACTGCTCCTCCGGCGCCGGCGCCGTCCATTTCGAACTCTCCCAAGGCTTCACCCGCATAACATACATCATATCCATCTCCTCAAGCGTCTTATCCTTGCCCTCCAGAACAAAGAAATAAACCACAAGCACCGCAACAAACAAACACCCCGCAAACACATACCCATACGCAAAATCAATATCCCCCGTAATAAACGGGGTAAAAAACCCAATCAAAAAATTCCACAACCAATTCGACGCCGTCGCTAACGCCATTGCCCGTGCTCTGTAACGACTGGGATATAGTTCGGCGACGATGGCCCATACCATGGGTCCCCATGTCATTGCGAAGCCGGTGATGAAGAGGCACGCGAAGACGACCATTGCTTTTCCGGCAGCGGGGGTTGCGGGGGGGTTTGCGACGTCCAGGGAGAAGTGCCCGACGGAGGCGAAGATCATGAAACAGATGAACATCCAGATTCCGCCGGCGATGAGCGATTTGCGGCGGCCGAAGTGCTCGATTACGTAGAGGCCGCCAAAGGTGGTGCCGAAGTTTACGCCGCCGAGGATCATTTGGGTTACGTAGGTGTTGCTGATGCCGGCGCCGTTGAAGATGACGGTTCCCTAGAGAAGAGAAGAAGAAAGAGGTTAGCCTCTAACTGGAGAAGGATTTTCAAGACCAGACACCCATGGTAGAGGATTAGGGCTTATGGTTTACAATTTGGGGTTCACTCACATAATAAAAGAAATAATTAGCACCCGTAAGCTGCTGCAACGCCTGCAGCACCACACCAAGGGCAATCCGATACGGCATCCTCGGAGCCTGAAACATTTCAATCCACCCATGCCAACCACCCCTCGCACCCTTCTCTGCATCAAGTTGTTCCTGAATCTCAAGAATCTCATGAACAATGACACGGTGATTCTCCGAGACACCGTATAACTTGCTCATCGTCTTCTTGGCAATATCGATTTTCCCCATGCGGTAGTCGAAACGTGGTGATTCGGGGAAGAGGAGGATTCCGAATCCGAGAATTAGACCCCAGAGAAATGTTATTCCGAGGGGGATGCGCCAGGATGCGGTGTTGGAGATGTGTTCTGTGCCGTAGTTTATGCAGTAGGCAATGAAGATTCCCAGGGTTACGAAGAGTTGGTAGGAACTAGCCCCGAGAATTAGCATTAGCATATCCATATCCATGTTCCCATTCTTCTTCTCTTCTTCTTATCCAGTTTCTTTTTCTTTCTTTCAAGATTATGTTTGGGGTTAACTTACCAAACCATCGCACCACGAATATGTCTCGGCGCAATCTCACCCTGATACATAGGAACAAGCAGCGAACAAGCACCAACCCCAAACCCCGTCACAAAACGACCCATCATCATTTGATACCATTTCCCCGACGGAGAAGAGATCTGGATAATCAGGCCAACATGCAGAATCACACACCAGGCGAAAATGGACCATTTACGGCCGATTCGATCGGCGAGGGGACCGGCGAGGAGGGCGCCTATCATGGTGCCGATTGATAACTGGATAAAAAACCGAACTGTTAGTGATGACACTGGTATACACATCAAACCCTGAATAGTTACAATCTCCCTTTCTTTATTCTCTTTCTGGTTAAAGTGCCCTTTCGAGGTGAATGTGTAAACTTACCATAGAAACAATCAACCCAGACCTAACATTACTAAATGCCCACTCCCCATTCCTAAACTGTCCATACCGCTGCTTATAGTTCATCATTTCGAGGAACCCTGAGATCTGGCCCGTATCATAACCGAAAATAATACCGCCGATAGAGACGAATGCGCCCAGGGTGAGGGAGCGCCATGTTACCCATGGGACGCGGCTTTCGTCAAAGGAGGAGCTGCGGCGCTTTTTTTCGTTGTCGGAGGCTGTGGAGGAGGGAGGGAAGGGGGGTGTTGATTCTGATTGTGGTTGGGATTGGGATTGGGATTGGGGTTGGGAGTTGTTGTTGTTGGTGAAAGGGTTTTTCATGGTGAGGATATACAATGGATAATTGATAGAGGGATTGTCGAAGGAGGAATGAAATGGAAGTGAACTGGGAGGATTCGACCAATATGAGGCAAGAAGAGGATAAAAAGAAGAAACTGCCCAGCTAAGCTCTGGTTTAAAGAAACAAGTTATTAATTAACGAGATAAATCCGCCTCCATCCGCTCCCAACTTGAAATCACACGCCACTATCCCCATTGCAACTATCGAATGTTGGAATGAGCCCGTCATGGATGATGGAGGGGATGAGCCCCGCCGCCACTGGGGTGGCATGCTTACATTATTCTTTGAATTAGATTGAAAATCCTGAATATTCTAGTTATTCTATAGTATATACAGGCCAGTTACTTCTCTTATTGTGGTTCTTCGGTGGTGGCTCTATATATGTAATAACTAATAAGTATACTAGGGCTGTACTAAGGTTAAGGATCGCCGGGGCCTTGGGTCTCTCCCGCAGCCACCACCGCACGTTCCTAACTTCCTATAGGTGGTGGTTGAAGATATAAAGCCACATCGATAATCCTTAATTCTCGTTCCCAGGGCCCTGGCTTTTGGCCTTGCTCTCTATTAAACTTATTTATTTCTGTATATAGTGATTCAGTGATTGCGAGACTTTGCGCTGCCCGTTTTGTTACATTGCTGCGTGTGGTAGGAGGCGGGTACGGAGTAATGACGTCAACCACCAGTTTGTTCGTTTAGAAATGTTTCCGTGGGAGGGATCTTTTTGAATCCGTGTTTTGGTCGAGAAAGGTTGGGGTTATTATGGGTTTCGGGGAGGGGAGGCGAGATTTGGGTAAGGTGGTGTGTGTGTGTGTGTGTGTGTGTGTGTGGTTGGATTTAGGAGGCAATGTATGTACCATGATTTATTGAGCTAGATGTCATTTTAGGGTTATGAGGAAGAGAAAGAAAGTAGTGTTTAATATATGCAACAACAATGTCTCATAATTCATTCAGAATCAAATCAAGGTATCCCTAACTATACGCCAAATCTAAGTGCGATAACAATGCCAAAAAAAATACAATCTCATCTTTTTAATCTCATCTCTCATCCCATCTTTAATAGGCCATCCGCTTGCCAATCTCACTCTGCCAGTTACGCGACTTCTCGAAGCCGTTAGACGCAGTCTGGTAGTCGAGCATGGCCTGGTAAACCTCCTCTTGACTGTTCAGCACGAATGGGCCGTACTGCACCACCTTCTGATCCAGAGGCTGACCAGCCACAATGATAAAGCGGGCATCTGAGTCCGCATTATCTGGCACAGAGGCCTCGACAAGGTCACCCTCCTGTTCAAAGACAACATTGTGGAATTCCTTGACAGTCTGTGTAGAATCGTTCGATCCAAAGATAGTCTTGCCAGCCAGAGTATAAGCAAAGGCATTCCAGCCCTGAGGCAGGGCCTGCGATAGACGACCACCAGGACGAATAGTAACATCTAACAACCAGACAGGCGTATACGCAAGTTCCTTCACAGAATCAACACCATGCGACTGGCCAGAAATGACCTTAATCTCAACACGGTCCTCATCCGTCTTAACGAGGGGGATCTCGCTAGCACGCAGATCCCGATACCGAGGCTCACACATCTTCAATTCCTTGGGGAGATCAACCCAAAGTTGCATGCCGACATTGGGCGAGCCATCGGGGTTCTCGTGGGGCATTTCAGCGTGCATAATGCCACGACCGGCAGTCATGAATTGCAAATCGCCCGGTCCGATGGTTCCCTTGTTTCCGGCGAAATCTTCGTGATCGACACCCCCGGACAACAGGTATGTGATGGTCTCCTGGCCGCGGTGGGGGTGATCGGGGAACCCGGCACCCTTGCCGATGGTGAAGTGATCAAGCATGAGGAAGGGGCTGAAGTTGCGCAGTTTGGCGGTGCCGATGGAGCGGCGGACGCGGGCGCCGGCGCCTTCGGCTTGCTCGATGGCCAGAAAGACCTGGCGGATTGCGCGGGCGGTGCTCATTTCGGTGATGGGGAGGACGATGGGGGTGGGGTAGGACAAGAGGGAGTCGAAGTTGGGATCTGTAGGAGTAGTGGTGGTATTGATGGAAGTCTTAGGCAGATACTGCGACAAAGTAGCTGGGAGCTTCTGGTGCAGGAAAGTAGTGATAGAGTCCTGAATAAATGTAGTAGTCGAAGGACTATAAGCGTAGAGGATTGCTGTGATGCAAATTAAAAAAGGCAAAAGTAGTCTCATGGGCGCGATGGCGGCCTTTTATGTCTCTGGAGGTCGGGACCTCGGAATGTTCGAGTATGGAGTAGAGAAATAGAGATTGAATTATGGAAGAGTCTAAAGTCTAAAGTCAGCGTTAGTCAATGGCTTATAATAAGAATGTTTAAGCAGCGTAGCTGGGCGCATCCAGTGCTTTGCAAGAAATCAGTCAGCGGGGTCGATAGACACATTCGGGGTGATTTCAGCGAATCGTGGCGAGCGGATTTACGGAATTAATCCATTCTGAGTGATGGTTAAGATGACCAAGATGCCCGTCAGCAGGTGATAAGCGGGTCCACCTTGATGCTTTGACACCTTGTGGCCTTGGTGCCGTGGTGCCTATATTCTAAGGTGTAATAATCATTGGATCAGCAAATGACTCCAATAGAAGAACATAGAGTTGTCTGGTTTTGGTTTGGATTTTAGCTGACTATTTCCATTATAAGCAAGGACAGATTCAAGTGAATTAGCATAACTCTAACTGTCTCTGTCGTCGTGTGGCGAGCTTGTTGAACAGACATGCTCTTGAGTGTAAGCAGTATATATTTAGACAGAGAAGAAGTCACAATAGCGATGGATAAGGCATGTTGTTTCCCCAAGCATGTATTCGTAAAGCAGGAATATCTATACTACTCTTGGAAATTGAGGCCGAGTAGTATAATTGTTAGAGTCTCTTCCATGCATCTCATATTGCGATCTAGTCGGACTCGACTTTGTAGTTGATGCTGTGGCCACCTCAGATAATCGCTATCTGATAAGGCCACGGAGCAGCTCCCGCTCTCCGTTCTCCGCTTTACGCCCAGCTCTCTCCACGCGATCGCCTACTGCATAGGCTTACAGCACTCTTGTCGGTTGATCTTGAGATACCGTATTGGAATTTATGATATTTCATCTCTCCTGCCGAGAGATCCCGCGAATACCCTGACGGGGAAGCCCGAGCGCAGCAAACGCCTGTCGACACCCTCTCTTGGCTGTGTGCCATACAAACCACGTCATTGCCAGCCGGAGATATCATATCAGACTAAATTTCCAGCAGGATGGGTCGATCGAGGTGGAATCTCACACCTTGGCTGGTGCTGGGATGCGCTGCATCCAACGCTTGGGCAGCCAAGAGACCGTTCAACATCCATGACGATCTACTGGCCTATCCACAGGTACGTCGAGGACGCAGCGCACCTTACCTTGCCTTATTTGTCGCATGATCTAATCAATCCCGTCTTCGCAGTACCAAGTTCTTTTCCCAGAGGAATACATCTTAGAATCCCAAGCCGAAGAGCTACTCCAGACACATGTCTCGCCCGAAACCCCAGACTCCAGCGTCGAGCGAAACGACCCGCAAATCTACACAGGAAAGGACCACACCGAAGATACCACACAAGCGCGCGAAGACCTGATTCACCCGAAATACGCATACGAAGAGATGATCCTGGACGACCGGCGGCTTCTTTGCCAGATTCCCCGCGTGGCCACCGACGAGGCTAATAGCACGGCTGGCCGCGCAACTCAAGAAGCCGATGAACAGAATGAGCTGGCACGGGCTACTGATCGGGGTCTTGAGCTTCTACGTGAGATGGAGGGAAAGTGCATGTACTATTTCTCTGGTTGGTGGTCGTACTCTTTCTGCTACAGAAACCAGATTAAGCAGTTTCATGCTCGTCCTGTTGGAGGTGGTGTTCCGAGTTACCCACCTGTTGAGGACCCTACTACCCATTCCTTCGTGCTGGGTCGATTCCAAGAGGGAACGAGTAAGGATGGGGAGGGGGATGAGAAGAAGAAGCAGAAGCAGAAGCAGACAACTCAAACCGATGTGGCGGAACTACGCACCAAGGGTGGCTCACGCTATCTGGTACAACATCTCCGTGGCGGTACCAAGTGTGATCTGACGGGGCGAGACCGCAGGGTCGAAGTCCAGTTCCACTGTCACCCGCAGTCAACGGACCAGATTGGCTGGATTAAAGAGCTGACCACCTGTTCCTACTTGATGGTTATCTACACTCCCCGTCTTTGCGACGACGTTGCTTTCCTGCCACCGCAGCAAGATGAGGTCCACAATATCGAATGCCGCGAGATCCTCAGACCCGAGGACGTCTCTGACTGGGAGGCCGGGAATGAGTGGTACCAGGCCCATCAACTGGCCGATGCTGCCGCTGCCCATACGGAAGTGCAAACCGTCGGTGGAATTGTCGTTGGCGGCCAGCAACTAGTCGGCATGGAAGGCAAGAAAATCGAGAAGGGTAAAGTGGCCTCGTTCGGTGAGGAGACCGTGGAGGTGGTTGTCAAGCGCGAAAATGGTGAAATGCAGCGTCCGTCCAAAGAGGTGATGAAGAAGTATAACATTGACCTGGAGAGTATCGAGGAAATGAAGAAACGACTCGATAAAATCGCCGAAGGCAAAGACTGGACCTTGGAAGTTGTGGAGAGCAACGGAGTGATCAAGTTCCAGGGTGCCATTGAGAAGGATGAAGATGAACTTGATGTGAAAGCAGAGTCCGGTTCATCTTCGCAGCAGCCCGCAGACCAAGCCAATGTCGATGATACAGCAGGTTCCGAATCTGCATCTGAGACAAAGAAAAATTCAAAATCGCACCAGAAGCCCTCCGAGGATGAAATGGAGGAGTCTGTTGGCAGTGAGGAAACTTTCAAAGATGAGCTATAAGAGGAGAGGGGGAAAGATCGTGATCCTGTACAGTAGAAGATCAATTGATATAGTTTCTTGAAGTAATCCGTTCAGTGATCCATCGATCAAAATAGATTGTGAAGAAAGGCCCAGTCTGGGGCCTCTGGGCACGACCGGGTTGGTTCCAGGAACAGCCGGTTAGCTTCATGCCCAAAGACGTCAGTTGCCCAAGTTGCCGGGAACCGAGTGGGGGCATCAGGAGAAGCAGTTTAAAGGACACGCAGTTGGGGAGAGAGGGGTTCATAGAGAGGAAATAAGTAATTGGTTAGATTATTATTTGTGGGAGAGAAAAGAAGAGGATAAAAAGCAGAGATAAGTAGTTTGTAGTTGGGTGGTTTGAGGTTTGATGGCCCAGGCACTCGAGCCTACGTAAGGAACGTGACCCGTGAACCCAAACCTCCTAGCGATCGTCTCCCGGCCCACCTTCCCACTCCTCCCTGATTCCCTATTCCCTAATCCCAATTCCACTCGGCCACTGCCACTCTTCTCCTCCCCCTCCTGCCCTTTGGGTCTCTCTTCCTTCTATCGGCGGTTCTTCTATTCCTCCCCGCCTACTCTCTTTCGCCCATCTATCCTCCTCCTATCTAACCCCCCTCCCTTGCCCGCACCAGCCTAAACACACCAGAGCTGCCAAGGCTGACCAACCCCCGGCAACGGCCAGCAACACCCACCCGGTCTCCTCTCCGGATAAACAAGCATACCTCAATCCGAGCTGGCACTTTATCTTCGCTGCTGTCGCTAGCAGCGCTCGGACTCTGTTACTCGAACGAGACGAAGAACCAGCCCAATAGGTGGCTTCGCATTAATCATGGGGTTCCTCGGGGTTTACACGGCTGTGTATGATTACCAGCCTCAGGGAGAGGGCGAACTGGAAATCAAAGAGGGTGATCTTCTCTATGTTCTGGACAAGAACAGTGATGATGATTGGTGGAAGGCCAAGAAGAAGGCTGAACGGGACGATGAGGATGAACCGGAAGGTCTAGTCCCGAACAACTATGTTGAAGAGGTGAGTTCGCCAGGACTTTGGAGATATACAGCCGCGTAGCCCGGTCTGCGCATTGAATGCGCTCAGGGGATGTCAAGAATATGCAATTGGATTGATACTTACCTCTCAACTCGCATTAAACAGGCGCAACCAGTACACCAGGCCAAGGCTCTTTTCGACTACACACGGCAAACGGACGAGGAGGTTTCATTCTCGGAAGACTCCGAGATCCTGGTCTACGATACGTCAGATCCGGATTGGACTTTGGTTGGAGTCGGCGCGGAGTATGGATTTGCGCCGGCCAACTACATCGAAATCGTGGGAGATGCTACTCCAACCGCTGGTACAACCGCCGTGCCTCCCTCTCCACCATCCGCCGCCGAGCCCGCACCGCCGTCTCTTCCTACACGGCCAACGCAGCCTGCCCCCGAAGAATATGAAGAGACCCCGTCTCCGTCTCCCATAGACACCCTGCAGAATCCCGCGGCGGCCGCGATTGCGAATATCATCCATCAGCAGCATGCGCCTCCCAGCGCGCAACCCGAGCCCACACGAGATGAGCCGTCACCACCCCGGTTGCCAACTCGGCCTTCGCATGAGCAGGAAGAGGTTCGTGAAGAATCCCCGCCACCTGCTCTTCCGCGCCGGCCTCCATCGGAACAGTTTACCCCGCCAATGCCCCAATACGATCCCGACCCGTCTCCACCTCCGCCTCGTCCTTCGCAGCCCGCTCCTCCTATGGGTGGAAATAGCCGGCATTATGTCAAGGAATCTCCTCCATACAATCGGGCCGGCGAGATGACGCCCCGATCGCCGTCTGGCTACCATATCTACAACATCAACGAGATGGTCGAAGTCATGGGCAAGCGGAAGAAGATGCCGACGACGTTGGGTATTAACATGGTCACGGGAATCATCTTTATTTCCCCCGAGGGCGACGATCGTCAACAGGAATGGACCGCGGAGAAGCTCACCCACTACTCAATTGAGGGTAAGCACGTCTTTGTCGACTTGGTCCGACCTAGCAAGAGCATCGATTTCCACGCAGGAGCCAAAGATACCGCTCAAGAGATTGTCGCTGCTCTGGGTGAGATTGCTGGAGCTTACCGAGCCGAAGGACTTCGAGAAGTGATCGCAGCTGGTGAAGGCGGTGGTGCTCAAAAGAAGGGTCAGATTTTGTATGATTTCATGGCGCAAGGAGATGATGAAGTTACGGTAGCCGTGGGCGACGAAGTTGCAATCATTGATGACACCAAGGCTGAAGAATGGTGGATGGTCCGACGCTTGAAGAACGGAAAAGAGGGTGTCGTTCCCAGCAGTTACGTTGAGATTACCGGATTTATGCCTCTCATACCCACCCCGGTGGTTGATACTGGTATTTCGAGCGTCGAGCGAAACCGCTTGGAGGAAGCTCGTCTTGCCAAAGCCGCAATTGGAAAGACCAGGACCGATTCAATGGATTCTAGCGAGGTAAGAATGCGACACCCACGACGCTATCCCCAAAGTGTGCCCCCATTGGTTATTGACACACAACTCCCTATCCAGCGCAAACGTGATAGCAAGCGCGACAGTAAATCGGCCAAGTCAAGTGAGTCATTCTATGGAAGCTTCGGAAAGTTGGGAATTGGGTCATTAACGGAATACATTAGAGCCGGATCCTAGCAAGGTGAGGAAGTGGACAGATCGGAGCAAGGCTTTCACTGTGGAGGCGCAGTATATCGGCCTTTTGGACGGCAAGATTCAACTTCACAAGGTCAACGGTATTAAGATTGCAGTTCCTATCGCAAAAATGTCCGTCGAGGATCTCGAGTACGTGGAGAAGGTTGCCGGTGTTTCACTCGATGAAGACAAGCCACTGTCCAGCATTCGAGCTCGGGGAACTTCTGACTCCAAACGAGGCTCTGCGGGTGCGTCCGTGCAGCGTCCCGAGTACGATTGGTTCGACTTTTTCCTCAAGTCTGGCGTTGGGCCACACCAATGCGAGCGCTATGCGCAGAACTTTATTAAGGACTCGATGGATGAGTCTGTCTTGCCAGATATCACCCCGGAGACACTGCGTACGCTAGGTTTGAAGGAGGGCGATATTCTCCGAGTTATGCGCCACCTTGACACCACGCTTGGCCGTACTGGTGCCAAATCTAAGCTTCGCAACGTGAGTTTCGGGGGCGAGGAGGTTATTGGCAATGGCGAAGAAGGTGGACTCTTTGCCGGACCTGGTGGTATGCTGCGTAACAACACTCGCAAGGGGAGACCGGCACCGGCTGTTCAGGCGGGTGACGTTGTTGATCCTAAGGCGTTTGAGCAAGCAGATGAGTCCAAGCCCAAGGCTGAAGAGAGAGCCTCAACTCCCCCGGCTCCTGCAGCCCCCGAGAAGCCTGTTGCTCGTGGGTTCGATGATGATGCATGGGAGGTGAAGAAGCCCAAGGAGTCTGCAGCAGCAGCAGCTCTTCCATCTGGTACAGCTTCGCCCCCACCTGCTCAACCTCCTATCCAGAAGCAAGTCACTGGTGCATTGGCAGACTTGTCCCTTCTTCAAGCCCCTCTGCAGCCGAATGCTGCACAACCCACTCCCACACCGGCCGTCTCAACTATCCCTGCGCTTCAGCCGCAGCAGACTGCTGTGCAGAGCCCACCAGTCCAGCCACAGCAGACAGGTGCCACTCCTAATTTCTTTACCCAAATCGCACAGATCGGCCAGCATCAGCAGCAACAGCAGGCCCAGGCATTCAGCCCTCAACAAACTGGATTCCAGGCGCAAGCCAGACAGCGTCCACAGGCTCCGCAGAACATGGCCCAGAACTCGCTTCTCCCACCACCTCCGCAGCGTCCGCTGTCAGCACCACAGAACTTCATGCAGCAGCAGAACTCCTTTGGTCCTCCTCCATTGCAGCCTCAGTTGACAGGAGTTCCCCAGCCAGGTCCTGCTCTTCCAGGCCAGAGTTTGACCGAGCTGAACCAGCAACGTTTACAGCCTCAGATCCAGATGCAGCCGCAAGTCACTGGCTTCATGGGCCAGAATCAGTACCAGAACGGAATGATGATCCCTCAGCCTACGGGCTTCACTCCGCAGTCACAATTTGGCATCCAGCAGCAACAACAGAACCAGCTGCCCTACACGAACGGCCAACCTGGCTTCCAGGGCATGGCTCCACAAGCTACTGGCTTTGGTGGATTCGCACCACCCCAGCAGCCGATGCAAACTGGAATCAACTCCATGCTACCCCCCGCACTCCAGCCTCAGCAGACTGGTGCTAATGGCTTCGGCACCAACGCATACTCGATCAATAATCCGCCCCCAGTCCCACCAATTCCTCAGCAGCCAACAGCCACCCCTCTGTCGCCTCAGAAGACGGGACCGCCTCCATCAATTAGATTCGGTGTCAAGCCAGATGCACCCAAGAAGCTTGCCCCTCAGCCGACGGGATTGCGGGCAAACCTTTCTCAAGCTAGTAAGTGCATCATCCTTGATCTATACCTAGGCCATGAGCAATTCAGATAACTAACCTATACTTTCTATAGCGCCCAACAACCCCTTCGGCTTCTAGTGGACATTGTGTCTTTGAACATTCGCTCCGTCCTGTCTGGCATATATAATTCTGTCGTTGTCTACCTTTTGTGATACTGGCGATTGGCAAACCCCTCCCTCTTTGTTTTGCGCGAATTCTGTATCCACTGGGGGCTGGAATCTTACATATCTCAGCTTGTCCTTTTCATACTCATTCTTGCACTCGTGGAATTGACATGCGTACATACTATATACCACATCATACCATTACCGCTCTATCCATGGTCTCAAATGTCTCGTCTCGTCTCGTCTTCAGTTTCTCTAATGCAGGCCACGTTTATATGAGCCTGGTTTTCTTGCGAAATTCCCTGACTTAGCGAGCCATCATCGTCCCATTTACCTTTATCCCGTCCCTGTCCCCGTCTGTGTCTTTCACACTTTGACCCATTTACATGCCCTTGCATTCCCTCGTCTCCGTTGATGGTTATGTGGTTGCTTCAGTGCCATTGAATGCCCCATGTCTCTCTCACAGATACTTTCGTTCGCTGTTCTGCTTTTCATTTGTCGCATGAGTGACCATCATGGTTCTTCTCTACCCTGCTCTATCTCTCCTGTTACATATCTCATGCGCTCTGATATGGGTAAAATGCTGTCTTGCATCTTCCATAGCTTTTTCATTTTGCCCTTTTCCTTTTTCTGTTGGGTGTAACTTTGTTTGTGGATGATGTTGATGTATGGTACATAGGATGAAATTTGATGTGTATTTTCAAGATAAATGATTTTCCTCCTTAGATCAAGATTGGGGCCATGCGCAGGCTTCTTTTGAAAGACTTTATGATAGGGATCTAGTTGTGCGTTTCTACGGGTAACCAGAGGATAAGTGCATGTAAAAGCTTTTGTAAGATTGAATGCTGCTTCGGGGGTATAAGATAATAAAGATCAAGATTGACCCGTCTAATCGTTCCAAAGAACCAAAATCACCGCCGGATATCCTGAAAGATATCCATGAATATTCATCACATCATAGATCCCGCCCTTTCTATAAGAAACAGAAGCACCAAGCGCCGGAGATAACCCGCTACCAAGAAAGATATGCATCACGACAAAAGAAGACATCAAAAAAAGCCCTCTATCTGGAGGTGCCTCTCCGTCTAGAGGTGCACTCCTAAGGTACTTCGCTGTCATCCCAGATGCCAAAGACCGGCAGGTCCTCGGCCATATACAACAGACCGTTCTCCGGGAACATCACATCAGAAAGTGGAGAGGGTCCGCCGGACATCGGCGGTTGACCTTGATCTGTTGGTATGGTACCACCGGGTGAACAACCGACTGGAATACCAGAAGTAGTCAGCGCCGAGATAGCAGCGTCGTAAGACAGCGGTGCGCCGTCCGGTCCGTACGAGAGGGCGTCCCAGATATCAGTCCCAGAGGCGTGTGCGCCCGCCGTGGCACCACCTGGTTGTGCAGCGAACATTGAGGATGGGGTATTTCCAGCTAATTTAGCGGAGGAGGATGGTGATGGGACTATGGGGGATTGCTGGGGTTCGCGGTGACTGGGTCGGGGAAGATCACGGACGGCGAGGGGGGATGTAGAGTCTGTACTGCCGCCGACTTGACCGAAGAGTTGGTCGACTTGTCTGCTTCGGCGCTCCATCCATGTCCGGTTGCGTCGTTGGACGTATTCCGCTACTGCGCCGCGGAGGTACTTCACAATCTGAAGGAAACGACATGCGTGAGGATCGTGAGGGACGAAGAGGCCCAGGAAGCGTTCTGCTTTATTGAGACCTTCTTCCAACGGGAGAAGGTTGTCGTAATCGGCGAAGAAGGCTGCGCCGAGAACGACGGCCGAGTTGAAGACTGAGTTTATTAGGAATGGGAGACGGCGTGGGAGAGAACCGAATCGGGCGAGGTCATCTACCACGTCTAGGCCGCGGAGGGCAGAGTAGACACATGCGTCTGCGAAGAGGGAGATGCGGGAGCTGCTGTTGCGTGATTCGGATGTGGAGGATTGGTCTGCTTTGCTTTTGACGTACTGAGCCACGCGGTAGACGAGGAAAGGTCGCGTTAGGAGGATAATCGACCAGTAGTATGATCCAAAGACATGGGCGGCAGCAAGGCTTTCCTCCATGGACTTATTGTCCAGTCGTTCTGTTTGCATCCTGAGGACTGTAGGCAAAGTTCGAACCCAAGCACGATGTTGGTTTGAGATCGCTTCGGCCACGTTGATCGAGATGAATTGTTTCATATAGACATCCGTCAAGATCCGTTCAAAGATACGACACAGCGATATCACAGCTACCGAAAGCTGTTGATCGGGTGTCAAATTTCGCTGCTGATCTCCAGAAACGAGCGTATCGTCTCGAATGTCATAGTCATAATCCGATGTGGCTGGGGGCCGGCCTAATGATGCACTAAGGAACAGATCCATCATCCGTAGACTCTTCCAGACACGTTCTCTAGCTCTCCTTTCACGACCACAGAAAAGTGCATTTGCGTCTTTCCGGTGTATACCGACAGCATAAGCAGCTCGCAGAGCAACACCGAGGTTCATAAATGCGCCGTTCCGCCTGCATGCGCCAAGCATGTACATCGAGACCAAGATGTATGATTGAATAGTGTGAATGCTGGGCGTTTCTTGAAAGGCTGAAAAAGCCAATTGACGACCACTGCTGAAGTACTGTTCCGCGAGGGTCTGATTGATATCGGAGACTTGCGCACCAATCGCAAGGACGAGATAGAAGATGGAGCTGACGGTATCTTCATCACCAGATGGGTTTCCAACCCAATTGGCCAGACGCGGATGAAATTCTTCAAGATCGAAAAGATCTAGCAGTGGGCTTGTAGCAAGGACAAATTGCTGCGCAAGTCGCTGGGCCTCTTCATTACTTGGCGGTGGGATGAGAGGTCCGGGCTGGGTACTCGGGTTACTCTGAAAGGCCTCCAACATGGAATGGCGCGAGTTGTCTTCGGTAAACTCGCACCGGCCAATAGAAGAGGACACAACCCGGCGCACACTCTGTAAGAAGGACAAGCTCGCCGAATCTCCAATATACATGAACTTCCCTTGCCCATCACGCAGAAGTCGAGCCACTTTTGGCACAGGCGCCGTACCCTCCTTCTCATCCCTGACCTGTTGCTCCAAATTCATGCCGCGGTCCTCCAATGAATTCAACAAGCGATCCATAGCCGTTTCGCGCTGCGGCGAAGGCACTATACGTTCGCTGAGTAGCATTGTAGAGTCCTTGGATTCGGGTTTGAGCAAGCGTGCGGGGCGATCGGAGAAATGGCATTCTGGTTCCTTGTTCCGTTGGATACATATTGTACAGGGCTGCTCGCCATTGCATTTCTGCTTGCGTCGCTTGCAGCTGTCACAGGCTCGGCGACATCGGAGTCGCCCCCCTGGGGCTGTACTGGCACGAGGCATCTCGGTGGGTAGGTTGCACGGCTCGTGCCGGATTTAGTTGGTGGGACGGCAGTATCGAGTGGTGGGGGTCATGGAAATGAGGGAACAATATCGAAGGAATGTTGATCTCAGCAGAGAGACTGAGTGCTAAGCTGGGATTAGTTGGATTGCGCGTGGCGCATGAGTCCGCGGCGGAACGGAGGAAGTGCGGGTTGCTGCTGCTTTCCCCGGACTCGGCGACCTGACTAAGCGCGTTCCGCCGATGCCAAGACGAAGTATAGAACTCAGGCAGGGCGAACTACTCCGTACAGTGGGGTTCTTAAGTTTGAAACCACCACCAAATTCCAAAATCATCTTCGTAGTCACTATCTAAAAAGAGAGTAAAATTTTGGTATCCGGGCAATCGGGAAAGACAATCAAACTGAACTTTAGAAAGATAAAAAGAAGAGAAGATTCAAGATTATGTGGTTGGACCGTTTGTCTGGTCTTGACTCAGAGATTTAAACTGTCACTGTATACGTATAGCGATTTCCATTTAGATTTTAACAGTAAATACTAAGCCCTCACGATTTAATTTGGCCTGAATGTCACAATCTTCCCCCAAGTATCCGCAGTGCCCCAAATACCAGATCGCAAACACGTCAACTGCGCAATCTGGCTATGATCCACAAACAAATCGACATCGACGCCGAACTCACGGATATACCAGTTGAAAACCTTGGGATCTGCCGCCTCAAATATCACACGTTCCGGTGGAAGCTCTTTCATGATCCTCGAGACTCCATCGGTTCGCCACGAATTGACATTCTCAGTGATGCCATCGGATTCGATCATTAGGCGCTTGAACCCCGCGTCGAGGAACTTGCGGCCCAAGTTAATCAATTTTCCTGGGTCTGAAGTACCGATGGCTTCGAGTCCAGATGTAGGGGTGTCACCACCAGCGCCGAATTGGATTCCCAGTTCGGGCTTGGGCTCGAGTTTGTAGGATTGGACTTTGTCGACTAGTCGAAGCCAATCGTCTTCGGGAATGGAAAGGAAGCCTGATGATAACTCGATGATGTCGAAGCTAGGGGCATAATGATTAGCTATAGAAGCAAAGATGGAGAGGGATGAGAATGTACCCCAAGTCTTTGCATTTCCTTAAATATCGGTCGAAGACAGTATTCGGATCGGGATGGGTGAGAAGGCGCTCAGCCCATCCACCCTAAAAAAAGGTTATACCTTTTAACCAAACATCCGAACATAGTTTTTGGAGACATACCGTGGAAACATAGACACCATTATCGTGGGCCAGATCAATTAATTCGCGCAGGGTTTTCTCCTGGAACAGCGTAAATGACCCTAAATAGCTCATCAGTCATATGCTCTCACTCTGTTGATCAAGGACTCATTCAACGAGCCTCCGGCAAATTTCAACCCATCAACATGATCACCCATTCTGCAAAGATTTATTACAAGCTGAATACCTTTATCGCGATAGGTGTATCTTACGTCTCCAACACGTCTGCCAGGTATCGCTTCCCCATCACCTAAACCAGCATGAGTTACAATTTGAGCTGTCCGAGTCAATCGTTCATACCGAGTAATATGGACCTCGAATTTCAGTCATGCCAATACTTCTGGGCTTTCCTTGGCGAGGGTTTGATCTTGCAATGACGAATCCATTCTGATCTTGCAAAAGAGTTGGGCTTTCGTTTGGAGACCTCCCTGATAACGCTCTAATGTGCATGGGTCCCGCAACCCTTGGCGATATGAGGCACAGTACGGTGAGTGATCTGCTTGGAAGCAGTTGTAATCAACAGGGTGATACTCGTCATGATCGTTGGTTATGGGTTGGGGGTTAGACACAGTGGAGATGAGCTATACAGCACCGAACCGAGCAACAACAGATCCATCAATTCTTGGACTGTCGATGAAGAGCGAAGAAGCTAAGTTCAATGCGTGGAACGTATTGAGAAAGGAGACCAATATTTTATTCATATCCTGTTTAGATACATTGTGTTCCTTTGTTACCGAGTTGTGCGAGGGTTGACGTCAATTATACTTCACTCCGCGGACTTGAGTACTGCATGCTGAAGATGACCTCAGAAGGAGCCAAACAGACTTGGAAAATAGCTGGACCTTCATTGATATGATACCACTATCTCCAGAGTAGGAATAATCAGATAATGCTAAATCCATTTCACATTTCTAGGATCTCCAGTGAAGCTTTCGGCAGCGTTCCGAGCCCCACCTACAAAACTAAACGAAGTATACAATGTCGACCGGCCCTCCTCTGGGCACAGACCCAACCAAACCGAACCAGAAAGCAGACTTTCGTACTTTGTGAGCTGCTAGTCTGCTTGATGGGCCAGCCTGCGTGGTCACTATTCTCTTATAGCGAGGCCCACTTTTACTAATGCCAAAGCCCATGTAGCTTCTCGGATCCGCCCGGATTCAAAGAGGACCAGGACCAGGTCCTGCCAAGGAAGCCCGGGACCCTGGGATGTCCGATTCCGCGTTCTCGGATTCTGGATTCTAGGGGTTCCGCTGAGTAAAGAGAGAGCCTATACCTAGCCCTTTCTTTAAGTTATTAGAGGTAGATAAAAAGTCATCTTCTATAAAGCAGGGGGGAGGTGACTCCCATCCGCCGGGATCCGGTGTAGAATGGACCCTAGTCTGCATGTTTGCCCACATGCATACGAGTCCCTCTCGTACCAAGGAGAAATGAACAGGGCAGAACGAGCATAGTTATGCAATGCCACACGAAGATATACACAAGTTATACCAATAGCTTGATCTAACGAGAGTCATTTTCGGAGGACCCGAGACGGGTCAAGTCTTGATTATATTCTAATTGTCTCTATCCTTAAACGAAAGTATAGCTAAAAAGGAGTCGGCGCCGAGGCCACAGCGCAGGGCTGATCCAATTTATTTGGTGTCACATTCATCAATTATGTTATGCACATAGATTCGATGCATTTTGGATGATTTTATCCTCCAAAAATACACTGAAGTGGCCTATCAGATCTCGTCAGACTATGATACGGTGGAGCCACCCGCCATATACGAAGTATGAGCAATACATATGTTAGTATGTGCATTGTCTATAGCCTTTGTACGAGAACGAGTACGCAAGAGGCACGCGACACTTGTTTTCCTTTCATGCACGATCTCCTCTACCAATCCGCTCGAGTTCCACAAGCCTTGGCGCATTGCCCTACTGCCTGTCACGCATTTGATTCGATGATGATTCTAATTCGGACTCATCAAGTACCATTCAGTTGATTGACTCGGCATCCGGCCTGTCCGAACATCCGCTGGGCATGCTGTCCCTATTGCCAAGTTTCAGAGGTCGTCGGCGGTTTCGGTTGGCCGTGGCTGCTCTTTCCTCCCCAGGACCCCAGCAAAATAGACCAACCATGGCCAAAAAGGGAAATGATGGGCGGAAATCACCCACCGGTGACTGCCCTCGTGCCTGGTTCTCTCTTCGGATCGGTCTCGGTCTCTACAATCTCACGGCGTTGGGCTTTGGATTCGGCCCAGCATGATTCTGGTCACTTACCCTCCACCAGTGCTATTCTTACGGGGACCCATGCCTCATTTGTATCATATCTGATTTTATCTCTTGTTTCCCCCCCCGTTCTTTTCATCGGTGGCAGCTTCTCTTCGACGTTGTGCTGCGAGAGCTTGGCTATCTTGAACTCGTCATGGGTGCTGGGGCTATTCTCGAGCCCTTGGCGGTGATTGTGCTCCTCTTTGGAGGTACCTGGATCAATAGGGTCACCAAAACCGCGTTTTCACACACATATATTCGGCGACAGTCTTCCGAATACGTACAAGCCGACTCGCGAGACTCTCTGGAGTCAGGATGTTCAAGCCCAACATCCAAGGACGGCCGTTTGAGCGCTCGATCCTGCTCCCCGATACCGCAGATTTCCGATGATCGATGGCATAAACGACAGCTCAAAATCCTAGGCCTGTCCTGGACGATATCTTCTCCCAATACGGAGGTGTTCAAAGACCGACTGCTGAGCCGTCTGCTTCGAAAATTGCCTTTTCTGGTGGAATGCTGGTACTGGGCTCTGGTATATTGGGTAAGTTGACGCTGGCCGTGGGAAGAAAAGAAGATAACAAGCTCCATTCCCTTCTCTAACCGTCGGGTTATACAAACAGACATATCAGCTCGGTCGTGCATTCACCGCCGTCACTCTTCAAGAAGACACCGTCAACGTCGCCAGAAGCCATGCCCTGAAATTGATTGAGTTGGAGGAACGCCTAAGAATCTTCTGGGAGTTGCCCATTCAGCACTTCTTTCTTCGTCACCCTTTGGTCATGACTTGGATCAATTGGATATACTCCTTCATCCATATCCCGGGTACTATCGCATTCCTTGTCTGGCTATATTACTATACTATCACTCGCAATCGAATTAGTGAGCCGCAACAAGGAAAGCCCCGAGGGACAGTGGGTGGATCGCCAGCAGGCCCATTACTGTATCAGGCGAGACGACGCACATTGGCTGTGTGCAATCTGCTCGCATTCGTGGTGTTTACCCTCTGGCCCTGTATGCCGCCTCGTTTGCTTAGCGATCCAAATGTCGAGGGCCCCGAAGGAGAGCTTGCTCGTAGTTATGGCTTCATCGACACTGTACATGGGGCCAATGGTGCTGGAAGTGTGTGGACAGAGAACCGATTCTGCAATCAATATGGTAAGTATGATTGTATTTTCTTGCGCCACAGTCGAGTTCCTTATCTGACTATGTTTGCTTTCTTCAGCGGCAATGCCGTCCTTGCATTTTGGTTACTCTCTAATGATTGGACTTACCATTATGACCATCCCACTTCCTTCGCACCATCGAAGAGCCCTCCGTTCTCGCCTCGGATGGGGCATCGGGCTGCGCATCCCATCGTGGCAGAGGATGGTCTGTCTAGTTCTCGGTTTCCTCTATCCGTTCATTATCTTGGTGGCTATCGTGGCCACAGCCAACCACTTTATTGTGGATGCAGTTGCCGGAGCTCTGGTGTGTGCCTTAGGATGGTGGTCAAATGGAGTGCTGTTGAATCTGTTACCGGTGGAGGACTACTTTCTCTGGCTGGTTCGAATCCATAAGCCAGAGCCAACATCCATCAACATCATCGACAGGTTATCCGATGAGTGGGAATCGGAGGATTCCGAGATACGACCGGCTGTACTGCCACCATGAAGAAGCACATTCTTTGTAGATAGTTGCTGAACACCACTGTGATAGCATGATTGACGTTGGACAGAACTTGTGGATACCCAAAGGACTTCGCCGCCTAGTGGCCGAAGCTCGTCGATGCCGTGTGAATATGGCATAAGCATTATTATTACCAGGCACGTCTTACATAGAACGAAGCTTGATGTTGTTTGGACTTTGTGCATTCTCATGTCCCTGTCGTAGGTTGGTCGATACCTGTGAATACTATAATTTCTTTGTCTTTTCATCCATTAGAACATGATATCTTCAAAGTCTTAAAAGAAGTCAAAATGCTAGAAACTGGTATGCAGTATGCCGTATCCGGAGAGTGACAGGTGTATATTCTCGGTGACGTTTTCCAGCTGTGGGGTTTCAGATGCTTACAGAAGCAGAGAGCTATCACAATGAGACCACAGCCACCAACTTCCAATCGAATTATTTCAAGTCTTATGGCGACAGTACGGCTCTTTCAAATCTCCATTTCTTTTGAATATTTCTTTTCTACACCTTGAGAATCTCTTCTTCATTTAAAACGACATTGCTGTCAACCTGGTAGCTCGTGGTATCTCCTAGTGAGTCTCTAGTCCCATAAACTGAGCCTGAATCTAACTCAGCATCAACGGAATCATATATACGAATTTCTGTGACTGAGTTAGACACTATCAAAGACCTCAGCAGTCTACAATCACTTCTGGGTGGCTCCTGAGCTTTATTCTCCATCTGGCCACCTACGGGGGCTAGATACAGATTGCACCGGCTTCGAGAAGCGGATTACAACTATCACCAGGCCTCAAGAAACCTTGGGTGGAACGAAAGTGGTGTTAATTGACCATCAAACACTTCAAGTGAAGGTCTTGCAGGCGGTGATTCAGACGACAAGCTGCCTATCTACGGTGACATCGCGGTGGAGCCCTGTGCACTCCAATCAGCTCGCCCTACATTCAACTTCGTGAGCTAATTCAAGAGTTTTTGACTCGAGGAGAGCTCTATTCAGCTCTACAAACATCTACCGAGGCAGGAAGCACCCACCGGACCCTTCAGTGCTGCCGTGGTGAAGCTATTCCGAAGTTGTGGCGTCATTGGCCGCTGTTCCCCGTTCTCAGACCCCAACGCGTCCTTCCCGCGATCCGACCTGCGCGACTCTAACCTTCTCCACATCTTTCTCACCCACCTTCCCCTGCCACCCATTCGCACCACCCAACATCCCCCTCTCCCCCAATTCTTGACCCATTCCCCTCGACACACTGGGTACTGCAACCATGGCCGACGATACTCCTGTCGCTGCCCCCGCTGAGGCCGTCGACCAGCCCGAGCGCGCTGCCGCGGCCGGCGACAAGCCTACCGACCAGGAATCCGAGAACGTGACCACCACCGAGGACAAGAAGACCGGTAAGCTCACCCTCACATCCGCGCATGGCCCCCGATCGGGAGTCAAGCTTCTCGATTGAAGCTGGCCCTCAGACCGGGAGGATCATGCCCTCTGTGCGACCACAGCCAGCTAACCTCACTTGCCTTGGCCCGCCTAGACACTGCGAGCGCAACCGACGAGAAGAAGGGCGCCGAAGCTGGCGCTGACAAGGCTATTGACTCTGGTGATGCGAATGAGGCCAAGGATGCCGCCGCCACTGCCGCTGGTGATGCCGCAGAGGCGAACGGAACCCCAGCCTCTTCCAAGAAGGCCTCAAAGGACCGCCGCCGCTCCAGCGGTGTCGCTGAGAAGTCCAAGCTGAACAAACGCAAGTCTATGACCAAGCTCACTCAGCTGAGCGTGCAGCCTGGCGAGTACTACCTTGCGCGTCTGCGTAGCTATGCGCCATGGCCATCCATCATCTGCGACGAGGAGATGCTCCCTCAGTCTCTGCTTGACACCCGTCCCGTCACGGCTGCGCAACCCGACGGAACCTACCGCGCTGACTACGCGGATGGTGGAAAGCGAGCCCACGAGCGTACCTACCCCGTCATGTTCTTCCAGAGCAACGAGTTGTAAGTGATTGACATCTTCGAAAACCCGAGAATGGCCGGGTGTACATTGTTTCAATTGATAGCTGATTGTCGGTCTACGCAGCGCCTGGATCCCCAACACCCAACTTACCCCGATCACCGCTGCCGAGTGCAAGGATGTCTCTGAGAAGAACAAGGCCAAGGGCCTGATCGAGGCATACAAGGTTGCTTCGGAGGGCCACGACCTCGCATACTTCAAAAAGATGCTGTCGGACCACGAGGCCGCCATCCAGCAAGAAATTGAGGAGGAAGAAGCCGCCGAGGCCGCAAAGGCAGCTGCTAAGGCTGAGAAGGAGGCCGCAAAGGAGGCCGCTAAGGAGGCTAAGAAGGCCGCCGCCACCAAGTCCAAGCGCAAGAGCAAGGGCCCCGATACCGATGTTGAAATGGAGGATGCGGACGACTCCAAGAAGGCCAAGGCCTCCAAGAAGCGCAAGAACGAGACTGATGGCGATGCTGAGAAGGTGAGTGTCCATTGCTACATTGCCGACGAGCTTTACAAGCTTTGAAACTGACTTCATGGATAGCCCGCGAAGACTCCCAAGACCAGCACCAAGCTGAAGTTGACTACCCCGAAGGCGCCTGCGGAGGAGAAGAAGACCCCCGCCAGCAAGGCCAAGAAGGCCACCTCCAAGAAGGCCAAGGCCGCGGAGGAAGACTCTACCCCCGAGGCCAAGGAGCCAGAGAAGCAGGTTGACCCCGAGGAGCTGAAGAAAAAGAAGGAGAAGGAGAGTATGTATCACCAAGAGCCTACCGAGGGCGAAGCTATACTTTTGAAGAAAACACAGACTAATTATCGACTACAGTTCTTTTCCTGCGTCACAAGCTGCAAAAGGGATTCATTTCCCGTGAAATGCCACCCAAGGAGGATGAGATGGCCACCATGGCCGGTTATTTCGACAAGTTGGACAAGCACGCTGATCTGGAAGTTTCCATCATCCGCTCTACCAAGATCAACAAGGTTCTGAAGATGATCGTCAAGCTGGACACCATCCCCCGGGATGAGGAATTCCAATTCCGTCACCGCGCAATGAACATCTTGACTAGCTGGAAGAGTGTGCTGGAGACTGACGTCCCTGCGCCATCCGACAAGGAGAGCAAGCCCACTGCGAACGGCGCCCACAAGAACGATGACGGTGCCGATACTCCCAAGGTGGACACCGAGGAGGAGAAGGAGCCCGAGAGCAAGGCCGCCAACGATGATACCCCTATGCCCGACGCCGAAAAGGAAGAGGCCGATCAGACGGAATCCAAGGAACCCGCCGAGGAGAAGACTGTGGGGGCTGCCGCGTAAGCGTGCAACGCCGGGAATGGAGTACAAGTACATGCTCTGGAGTCTTCTACGTTGTTCTCCCTTCCAATCTTGTGTGTCTTTTCTTTTGCTGTCTCTCATGGAACCGGTCTGGGTGCTGCTCTGCTCTGATACTGAACTTCTGATGTCTTTCCTCTCTAACTCTCCTCTGATCCGATTTGGACAGAGACTTGTTCATGTTATGCTGTGTTTCTTTCTTCCTCTATCTCCCCCTCCCTTCCTGATAATCCACCCATGCGTTGCCATTGCCATGTAGTATCTGCAAATCTTTGGGTCTGGGGTTTGAAACTGGTCTGGGCTTTTTGTGGCTTGGCCTGGTTAATTGTTTTGTGTTAATTTAAGGCAATGAAAAATGGTGTCCTTCAATTTAATATTTGTGGTGTTTCTTCTAATGTATCTGATTCGTTCCTTAGTGACCGTATAAATGGGTAGTGGTAGAAGGTGTGGTTGTATCTTGCCCCTATGGCCGATGACTGACCGTAATTGAAAGTATCTCTACTTTCATGCCATTTAGGTATCAAGACAGCCCTCAGCGTAGGGGGAAGTCTCAGTGGAGAGGGTATTCAAGGTTCGAAGAGATCCCGATGTACATAAAGTAGACTATCTGTGGAGGCATGGTATCATCCTGAATCTCTTCTGCGATGGTACAAGGTCTATCATCCTATATCAAGATATCAAACATCTATGAAGATTGTTTGTCATTAGGCACTTCCATCCATCTAAGACTGATATTCGAGCCATATCCAACTAGCCACGGCCAAACATCAAACATTTCAAAGTAAGTCCCGTCGCCTCTCTCATGAATCGAACCTCCAACCTTCGTCTCCCCTATATACTGCACCGTGTTACTGCATCACCATCCACGGACACCGATAAACATCGTCGTTTCTACACTGCACCTGATATCCACCTTTATACCCTCTTCACATCGTTTAAAAGGCTATTGACGTATGAAATAAAGTAAGGCATAGAGGTGTATTACTATAAATCTTTATTCGAAGAATAGTATTACTAAAAAACCTCCAAAAAAGAACTCCCCCGCCTAGGGGTGTGCCCGGCCGTCCGTGGAGCTTACAGCGTCAACACTGGCCCAGTACTTTTCTTCTTTTGTCTGCTCTTTCCTCCAGGGCACACCTATGGTTCACCAATTTATGGTGGGTACCAACTAGGCCATGTGAGGGGGGAGAGTGAATGTTTGTCCTGGAAATCGGTGATAAGCTTGCTTTGACGCTTGGAATTGCCTTTTTGGATCTTGACTCTTTTTGGATGTTGTACATACTCAATGCTGGAATTTGAGGATGAACAAACAATTTGGTGTTTATTTTTCCTATCGCTCTACTATAGACCGGACACCCTTTATAATGGAGGAAGTCCTCGAAAAGAAAACAAGTAACTAAATCTGATGATATGTATGATATAAGACGAATAATCCTCCTGCCCAATTAACAATCCCTGCGCCCGACAATGCAGAATGAAAGATGCAAGTGATTAATCCCAATGTTTCCGATGTTTATCGACTCAAGTCGTAGAGTTTTATATAAGTGCACCGCGGTGTTCTACTCGCCACGTGTGCCGCTGGCAAGACTCTCGTCGACGGCCACAATGACCAGAGCGCAGATGTCATCCACCTTGCCCCCGCGGTAGTAGTCTCCCGGGTAGTAACGCTGCGCCTCCTTGGCGAAGGGGCCATCGCGGCGGAAGTCGACACTGGCAACCTTGGCTTCACCGGCGATGGAGGCGGCCAGAAGGGATTGGAGGGTAAGGGTGGATTCGAGAGATGCGTTCTCCTTTTCGTTTGGTTGAGATGCGGAAGGGTTCTTTGGCGGTGGGAATGCAGTGGCCAGTCCGCCTGGAACTGTCAGTCCAGCAAGAGTATCGGAAATCCCGACGCCATAGTCTTCAGTGGCTGTCCAAGCGCCAGTCAAGACCATACGACTCGTGACAACTTTCAGTATATCCTGATTATTCAGGTTGTCAAAGACACCGTCTGTAGCGAGGATGAGCACGTCACCGTGCTGCATCTGGACATTTGTGACGGCGGCATCCTTGGGGAAGTCTTCCAAATAGGCTCCCCCAAAGACTGACGCCTGAGCACGCATTTTCGGGGGAATCACGCTTAGTTGATAGGGTGTATTGAACCCGTGGGTTTGCGGGACAGAGTAGTGGTGGACGGCGGCAAGACGGAGTAGCACAGAGCCCGAGTCACCCAGATTAGCCAGCTCAACACGGCCATCTGGAAGCGCGACGCCGACAGACGCAGTGCTGCCACCCGCCTTGATCGCCGGGTCCTCCACAACCTGGTCATATCCGGCCTGCAACAGTTGCTTCGGCCGCAGTTTGTCTGCAGGCGAGTCCCAGGACAGAGCCGACTGAGCCATATACCCACACAGACCATGCGAAAAGTCCGCCGGATCGACGCGGGACTCTGTCCAGCCGCCTACACCATCAGCCACCGCAAAGGCGACCGCATCGCCTGCATCCGGGTGGCCTGAAATCTCGGAGCCGATGCGGCTTACAAAGAAGGCATCCTCACCACTGTCAGGGCGATTGCGCCGGCGGACGGTCGGGTTCTTGTCTGTAGAGACACCGATGACATCTGACACCGTAGGATCATAGTTATAGGCATTTTTGAGCGGGTGGAAGCGGCGGCCTTTACCCGACGAGGAGACGGCAACCCGATAGGAGATCCGAGAGGACGAGGGCGAGGGATCGGATAGCCGGCCGGGAGTGAAATGGAAGGACCGCTGGAGGGTGTTGTTCAGGGCATATTTGCGAGAGATGGGCGCCAAGGACGGTCGAGAAGTCCCGGCGAACGAGAATAAGGAAGTTTTTGCGCTAGAGTGAGAAATCCTGTCGCGAACAAGGGTTTGTATTTGTAGGCTGCAGGTGGAACTGCAGGCTCTACAGGACACACTTGGCGGGATCATCGCAGGGGGGAAGATCACGACCCTCCCACGAACGAGAGCTCACTGGAGCATCGGAGGACTCGAGAGAAAGAAGGAAGAGAACGAGTCAATTTGGACGAGTAAAGTATAAAGAAAAGAACAGGTGAAGATGAGAGAAAGTCACAAAGGAAATAAAAAACTCAGGAGCGCAGCTGGCCGAACGGATAAGAAATGAACCCGCAGCCTTATCGCGATTGACCGCCTGGCGTCATTGTAATTTTAATTTTTTGTTGAGATTTATCAAGTTTACTTAAGAAGATATGGTATTATAGACTAATTAAAGGTATTTTTACTCTGTACAGGTCCATAGGACTGCCGGTATGTGGTTATTTTCGTAGACTTATCTCAAGCTAGGCTCTGATGTAGGTATACTAGTTGCTGTGTTGGTAAATTTCTATCTTCTCCGGCTTCTGCTTTATCAGTTCTGCCGCCCGCAACTTCCACCTCTGACTTGCTCGCCCATTTGGCTCAGCTCCAAGCTCCTCTTTTAACGCAGCACCTCCTCTTTCGTTGAACAAATTCATTCCCTAGAAGCGCGAGCTTCACTACATTCAAGATGATGCACCCCTCACGACAGGCCTATGTCGAGGAGGCGGCAGAGGTAAGCGACCATCCATTCACGCGACGATTCCTACTGGTCAAGCCTTGTACATGGATTCGCAAGCTATTGCTTGGACTCGGGGCCTCAATCTATCGCTTTTGTTTGAATGCGCGTCGTCGCATGATATTCTTGAATACGAAGCTAATATGCGACACCTCTAGGAGATGGACACGGGCATTGATCTCGCCAACATCCGTAAGCGATCCCCTCCAACAAGCACTCTATAACCCTACTAACAACACGAAAACAGCTGTCGACACAGACTATGAGATCCCCGCATCAGCAGCGGGCATCGCCCCCGAACGGGCATCCGCCATCGCAGCCCAATTCGAGCGCAAACGACGCGCCGCCGCTATGGTGGTGCCCACAGACGATACCCGCGTGCGCCTACGACTACGAGAGCTCGGCGAACCCATCACACTCTTCGGTGAAGGCGTCGTAGAGCGACGAGACCGTCTGCGCGAGCTGTTGACCGACCTGGCAGACCGACGGGGTGAGGGTGATATTGAGATGGAAGAGGCCGAGGAGGAGGAAGAGGCCGAACAGCAGGAGGAATTCTACACAGAGGGCACAGACGCGCTTCTAGAAGCTCGGAAAGCTATTGCTCGCTATTCACTACCGCGAGCGAAGGCCCGAGTAGCACGACTAAAGGAGGAATCGACTATCCCGCTTCGAACACACGTCAAGCACCGGAAAGCGGTCAAAGAGAAGCTGGGAGGGTTTGACTTGTACGGATCACAGATTGCGGGTGACCGGCCGGTCAGTATCTGTCGATTCGCACCGGATGGGCAGACTATCGCGGCTGGAAACTGGGGCGGCAGTATCAAGCTGCTGACCGTGCCGAACTTGGAGGAAAAGGCAAACCTGAAGGGACATAATGACCGTGTTGGTGGTCTAGCGTGGTTCCCAGGAGCTACGCTCCCGGAATCAAACGTATCACCATCAAGTGTTAACCTCATCTCCGGAGGTGGGGAGGGAAATATCAAGCTGTGGGCACTCGATTCAGACAAACCACTAGCCACGCTGTCTGGACACTCAGGGCGAGTGTGTCGCACCGAATTCCACCCCTCAGGACGATATGCAGCGTCTGCCTCCTTCGATACAACATGGCGACTCTGGGACGTCGAGACTACTACGGAGCTACTCTTGCAAGAAGGCCATTCACGGGAGGTGTACACCATATCCTTCAACAACGACGGATCTCTCCTTGCCAGCGGAGGTCTTGACAGTATTGGCCGTATCTGGGATCTGCGGACAGGCCGCACGGTAATGATTCTGGAGGGCCACGTCCGCGAAATCTTCGCCATGGACTGGGGTGTGGACGGATACCGCGTTCTGTCGGGATCTGGCGATGGATGGGTCAAATGCTGGGATCTGCGACAAGTGCGGAATATCGGCGGGATTGGCGCACACAAGAGTGTTGTGTCTGATCTTCGCTGGTATAAGGGTGCCGAGTCAGCTTCCTTCTTGCCTACTACCGATGGGCAGATGGAGGTTGATGGAGCTCCTGCACCGACGGGCGATGCGGGAGTCCAGCCCAAGAAGTCTGGTACTTTCTTCGTGTCGAGTGGTTTTGACAAGAATGTCAATATCTTCAGCGCTGATGACTGGTCGTTGGTGAAGACGCTTAGTGGGCATTCGGGTAATGTTCTCAGTACGGATGTTAGTGGTGATGCACAGTGGATCGCAAGCTGTGGCCACGATCGTACCGTGAAGCTTTGGGGTATTGAGGGATAAATTCATAAAATCTTTTGTCCTCGTCCATTCGGACTGCTTCTGTATTAGCCTGCTTTTCCTCACGATGGTGACTGTGGGATGTTCATTATGAATAAGATGATGCTCTAGAACTAGTAAATCTATCGACCTTCGAATTCGTGGTAGACCCCAGTACATAAAGGGCCACCCGATTGTTTTCATAAAACAAGATCCAAGAAGTACAGCCTTTCCATAGCATATTTAAATCTCAAATGCCCCTGTACAATATATGCGTACAGAGTGACCTGAAATAAGACTCTTCAAGGCCTCCAGCAAAGCACACGTACTATTACCAGAACCCAGGTCTCGAATTCAACTTGAACAATAGTTAGGGGCAGATTTGAATAGGGCAATCAGATGTATCCGACCCAAAGATGTTCTTTGTATACTATCACGTGAGCGTGCGGGGATGACGTAAGTTGCAGTTTTCCGCGGCAGGATATCTCCGACTCCGACGCTCGGCTTCAAGCTTTCTTCTATCAACAATTTCAAAATGGCCCTCCACGCCCCACGCCTGGCGCGGCACTTATGCCGCTCAGCGACACCACGGAAGATCATCACATCCACCCGACAAGGCCTGATCAACTCATCCCAACGCGATGCGTGCACGCTCTGCCAGTCTCGCACCCAGATAAACCGAAGCTCAACTTTCGGCCTCGGGCCAAAGTCCATATACAAGCCTACAAACACACCAACCCGCCGCGCAGCCTCAACAGCAACATCCTCAGCACAAACTCCTACTGAAACAACCGAACCCCCCATCACCGGCGCCCCAGACATAACAAACCATTACACAATCTTCCCAAAAACCCTCCCAGCGGGACCACCCCCATCCTCACCCTTCGAAATCTCCATCAGCGACCTCCGCCGCGAATTCCTCCAACTCCAAGGCACAGTCCACCCCGACAAATACCCCTCCGGCGCGGCAAAACAGCAAGCCGAAGCGCTATCCGCGCGCATCAACGAAGCCTACCGCACCCTCTCCGACCCTCTCCAACGCGCGCAGTATCTCCTCCGTGAATGGCACGGGATCGACGTCACAGCCGAAGACGCCTCGACCAAGCACGCGCTGGACGCTAACACGCTTATGGAAGTGATGGAGGTGCAGGAGACGATTGAGGAGGTTGGTGCTTCGCCGGAGGCGGAGGCGGAGATTGATGCTTTAAAGGATGAGAATGAGGTGCGGATTAGGGATTGTGTGGGGGTTTTGGCGGGGGCGTTTGATCGGGGGGATATTGAGGGGGCGAGGAGGGAGTGTGTTAAGTTGAGGTTTTGGTATAGCGTTGGGGAAGGGTTGAGGGAGTGGGAGCCTGGGAGTACGGAGATTCGGTTGGTGCATGGGTCTTAGATGGGGGAAGTGTATTATGATTTGGATATGACTTGTATTGGATTGAAGATGGGACTTTCTTGGGATAGTATATAGATTTGAGATATCCTCCCCTCTTGTATTATTTGAGATTGTTATTTGATGGTGGTGATGTACGATATTCTCGGTTGTAGTATAATGACGATGATATCGATAGACATTGACTTGTATGTTCCAAGATGTCAGTCAATTACTATGACGAGCTCTGCTTGTGTAGAAACACATTCTAGCCATGAAATCCTGGGTACACTGTGGAAATCATGAATGGAATCCAATAATATTGACTTCTACTTTCTTGAAGGAATGCCACGAGTCTATTGAAACTTCGGGTCCCATTCATGTAGAAGCAGTAATGTTCTAGATTATAAAACAGGGTGAGCATGAATATTGATACTGTAATCGTCCAATACTAATCTTTCCTTATAAAGAGAGCAACCAAACCATTCAAGTTGAAGCAGAATAACAAAGTACGACCCATCCTGCAACTACAACCTATTCCATTTGCCTTATCAGCGCTACCAACAACTCCCCGCACCACAGACCGCCACCAGAACTCAGTCAAGGCGAACAAGATCAAGTCCAAATCGGCGAACAAAACATTTTCTTGTCTTGCTATAGTCAGCACTAAAAATCTAAAAAAGTGAAGCTGTCTAGGACACGCACTAACTACAATAGAAACCCAAATTCCAGGGCGATGGTTCTGTTCCAAGTGAGGCCCGCATTTGGGAGGCGAGTTGTAGGCGATTGGGCACGAATGGGGGAAGAAGATCGGCTTTAGTTCTACCTGATTCGCCCAACAAACCCCCATCTCGAATCCCTAATTTGCGGAGCTTGATTGGATATGGAGGCTTGCTGCATAGTTGCTTTACTTTTTTACTAATTAGATTTTTACCGATGCGATTGCGGGTATGCACGGTGATGGAAATGAATGTCTAAGAGTACTACTAACTACTAACGGTTCGTGATGAGGTACTACTATAAATGGGAGAACATACTTGACAAGGTTATTCCAGAGGAATATTGTTGACTTCATGATTACTATTGAGAACCCTTTGGGTACCAGACGAGTTGATACACCGGAGACAAACCCCTGGTCGATCCGAGTCGAGTCGGTCTGCTGGCAAGGCGTTGGCGTTGATGATGGCCCCCCTCCTCTTCTCCTCTCCCCATCAGCACTGCACACGTAGCCCGCTACCAGGACTTTCGGCGACTATCTGGGTCCTGTACCCGAGTGATGCTGGGCCAAGATTGACTAAACTCCTGTGGGAGGGTGGAATCAGTGCTGCATACTTAAACAGTTGCGACACCACGGTCGCCGACAGTAGTGGGAATAATCATTTACCTTTTCATCATCATCAAATATAATCCGCCTTTGGGATCACACCAGCAGAGCAGCAGCTCCCATGGACCAACGGGACTTTAGTAGGTGTGTACCACCACACAACCCTCCCAGTACCCCCAACCCATTGTCCCAAGCGGCTTTAGCCTCGGATCTAAAATCGCGGAACATTGCTGACCCCGTCAACCCTCTCTGCACCAACAGTATTATCCACTCACCATCATTCACATTCCTCGTCGGGCCCAAACACACCAAATTAACCATCCAGTCCGGTCTCGCCCAACATGTCTCCAAACCACTGCACAACCTCATGAACAATGGACACACACGGGAATCCAGACACCGCATCGCAGTACTAGAGGATGAAGATGTCGAAACCTTCGTCGCATTCTGCGAGTATGCGTATACCGGCGATTATAAGGTGCCTCGGTTACCGGTGCCAGCACCACTGCTAACACCCGTACCCGCACCAGAGTCATCACCCCGAGAGGATACCCGGACGAGAGCGGTAGAGTGTGTGACCAGTCCAGGACTTTCTTGGAGAGGGACGTATCGTTCGGATTCGGTTTCGTCGGCGGTACCCCCGCCAGCCCCGTCGCCGCCGCCGGAGAGTGAGACTGATGCTCAGACTGTGAAGGCTGAGGGGGAGGTAGCGTCGGTGGTTGAGGAGGATGTGTCTGCTGAAGCGGAGGCTGAGGTAGAGACTGAAGCTGAAGCTAGTCCTGAGACAGAAGCAGTTGCAGAAGAAGCGGCAGAGCCCGAGGCACAGGAGACACCTACCGATGAAGCTCAACCGCCACAAGAGACAGATGAGACCATCGAGCCCACCGAGCCAGTTGAGGAACCTAGCATAGCAGACTGGGCCCAATATCGGGTTTACGAGGATGCACTTGCAGACACTGGAGCGCAGACAACCACTGAACCCGCTGAACGGGCCAACTCGCCAACCTGGGAAGGATCATCAGCATGTCTGGGGATGAGTAGGAGGAAAAGAATTGCGCTGAAAAAGAAGATGAGGAAAGAGAGGATGCAAACCGTGCCGCTGGAAGAGGAACCCCCAGCAAGCTTGACGCCGCCATCGACGCCGCCTCGTCAGGCCTCTGACGTTGTCCAGACGCAAGACGAGCCCGCACCAGATCCCGAGCCTGTACCGATAGAAGCGGAAGACATTGAGCCCGAGCCAGTTGCAAACGAAGACGATGCGCCAGCAGAACTAGAAGAAGCAGAGGCAGAGGCAGAAATAGAGGCACCAACGAAGGAACCACCAGCCTCGTTCCTACCCTCCCCAGCGCCCTCGCCCTCCGCAATCCTCTACGATGGCCCAGAATGGGCTCAACCTGACTGTCCTCCCCAAGAAGAAAATGCAAATTCCAAAGGCGAAGATGACACACCAGGCCCAAAATCCTCAACCTCCTGGGACAATTCCCCAACAGCCTCACAAACCATCCAAGAACCCTCCTCCCCGAAACCAATCATCGACATGTCCTTTGCAAAGCAACAATCCGACTCGTCCCCAAGAACCCCCGGCCTCAGCCTCTGGGACGAATTCGCCGCATTACAATACAACGATGACACCGCAGTACCATCAACCCCAAAGCCACCCACCAACTCAACGTCAACTTCAACGGAACTCCCCTACCTAACCTTCCACGCAAAAGTCTACGTCTTCGCAACACGATACCTCATCCCAGCCCTCGCCCAACTCTGTCTCCGGAAACTGCACACCGACCTCGTCCACCTTCCTCTTGGCGGTGGGAACATCGAGGAAGGACAGACACAATCACAAACACAGGACTACACAGAAGCCGACGCCGATGCCGATGCACAGGCACATCCACCCACTAGACCGGGTCTACCCGGTGCATCAGCAATAGTCCTCGACGTGCTCCGCTACGCCTACACAAAGACCACACGTCTAGAACCAATCAACCCTACCTCTGCGACACAGCTACGTGAGAACGAGCTGCGGAGACTGGTGGTGCATTATGCAGCTTGTCGGGTAAAGGAATTGGCGCGGTGGCATGGGGGTGGAAGTGGGAGTGCGACGCCTGCGGTTAGAGGGGTTGGTGTGGGTGTTGATGGGATGAAGCCGGATAGTTTGCGGGCTTTGTTGGATGGGACGCCTGAGTTGGCGAGTGATCTTGTTTATCGGATGATGTGATGGAGACCTAGATTCGAGATTGGTAGTGGATTTGGGATGGGATTCGGGGGTTGTCCGGGTTTGATGCACTGTTTCCCTGTTGTTCATGATGCAAGAGTGCATAAGTGTATATATGAAGGGGATCCGCTGGACTACTGCTTTTCTTCTTTCTTGGTATCTTGGCCTTTGTATCAGGTTGCATTATTTTGTGATTCTTGGCGTTGAGACTGTTTCATTGAAGTCTTTTCATTTCTTGGCTGTGGCAATGCATTTTTTGTACTCCGTACTCTGTGAATGGAGTTGTCCAAGGACCTCAATTTTGAGTCTGAATATGAGTATCTTCTAGAGAGCACGTCATACATCGAAGACTTATAGACATTCGAGAATAGTCTCCGCATATCGTACATAGGTATGATATATATCTGTATAAACTGATAGAAAACGGTTGACACCATTCAATCGAATACTATTACAACCAATGATGTACCTCATATTCCCCACGATCCACTAACCGTTATGAACTAGGACTGTACAATCCTCCACCCACATCCTCTTTTTCATCCATATTATTCATTCAGTAGTCATCGTACTGTGCTCCATCACCGACCCACCAACAAGCACCCGCCAGGCCTGGGCAGACTTGGCAGACACCGATAACATCATAACAACCGACCAATCCGCCACTCCTCAAAAATGATGAAAGAATAAGCATGAAACGCAATTCTGCCGGTGATCGACAGTCGTGATTCCTTGGTTCTCTTGGCAGGGATTATTTCCGGGACTGAATAGTTCAATAGTTCCCCGTTAGCGCGGGGTGTTGGCGTGGAGGCTGTGAAGGAAATTTAAGATAGGCGATGGATGATGATGCATTCAGGGGTCGCCTAATACAGTAGTTGCAGCTAGTTATGAATCATGATAGTTACGAGATTCAATTAGCATAAAGTTGATTAGTGACAGGAGTTTCATTAGGAGAATAAGTACGGAGTACTGATCACCTGATCCATCACCTGGGCTTGGATCTATCAACATCGCCTCTTCTCCTCTCCACCCAGTCAGCCTATTCGCTGATCATTACAGACTGTTTTCTGCCTTGTCTGGTTGCAATTTCCCCTGACTTGAACTCTTTTATTTCTTTTTTCTCACACAGCCTCACACACTACAGCCCCTAAAAAGCTTGGCAGCGGTCCGGCGATGATGCGTCGATCATCGGCCTTGGCTGACCACGTTGTACAGTTCCTTCCTCCGAAAGGTATACCAAGACTGCTGTCCATTCGGCCCGAGAGGATTACCTCTTTAATATTCATCCCAAAGACCAAGATTTCCGGCGTGAAGTTTCTCACAGAATTCAACAAAGCACAATCTTGCGAGTTGCTCGTTCAGACCTGACGTGCAACTCACCTGGTCCCAACCCGCTCAGGGGTGGATATCAACACACCCGAACCGAGCCACGCAGCAAGAACCACAGCCAGTTCTTGGCACTGATGAACGCTCTTCCGGCCCAGGCAGAGAAATTTCCTTTTCCTGCAAGACACTGACTTCAGACCCCAATTTCAAATCCCCAGAGGGTGGGAACTGGGCATCCGACATCTAACGCCCAACTGTGACCCCCTAAACCCTTAACTCTCCGGCCCAGAGTGGGTCGCCCGCACTGACTCCTCGAACTATAGACTCCATTTTCCCACTATTCCATCCACCAAACAAACCATGTCCCCATACGGAGTATGGACCACATCACCCTGCGCCCCCCTGGCGGCAATGAATGCCTAGCCAGAAATCACGGGGCGATCAATGCTCCAGTTCTTGGCCTCCTGATAAGCCTCTGGATTCTGGTAGGTCCATTCTGGCGAGCAATGCCCTGACGACAGAGTCAATGGCCTAGGCACCAGGTTATACAGTTGCCCTCGGAGACGCGGTGTGTCTAGTTGTCGCGGCAGTTCTTGGTGTTTGTCTTGGCCGTGGATCGTGCCGTGAAGATCTGGCTGGGCGATGATGAATCTGTGGCGGATGGTTTGGACCATCTGAGATGGTACTATTGAATTATCGGGGATTTAAAGGTGATGGAGAGCTTCTTTAAGGGAGTTAATTCTATTCCATTCAATCTATTCATCTGCATTTCCAAGCTATTTCTGATTCTTCTTCCAGTCACTTCATTGCATTTGCATCAGCCATTGCCAATTATCATTGCCGTCTTTTGTTCCCTTTCCCTCTTCTTTTTTCCGGTCCCCACTGGACATCTCGTTTGTTGATATCTTCATTCTTTGCTTCATCAAGCTGGAGGGACTATCATAGTCCTTGACCTCCAATCCACTCTCTTTTGATTCTATCTACTTCCAAGGGGAACATCCAATTGCATTGCTATACAGCACATCTCATTTTATATAACAATTTTCATCACAATGTCCGCTCTCTCCAGCCCAGGCCTCCTGGGCACCGAAAGCTACGAGCTTCCACCACACTCCTCCCACTCCAACGCCTCCAACACACCAATCCTACATGGAGACCCCGAGAAGTCTCAAAAACCATACAGACTTCCCTTCACACAACGACTTCGCCACTTCACCTGGGCCTGGTATACCCTCACAATGAGCACAGGCGGCCTCGCCCTACTAATCGCCAACCAACCAAACACATTCCCGGGCCTCTACCAGATCGGCCTCGCAGTCTACATCATCAACCTCGTCCTCTTCGCCGCAGTGTGCTCTCTTATGGCTACCCGCTTCATCATCCACGGCAATTTCATTGAATCCCTCACCCACGACCGCGAAGGCCTCTTCTTCCCAACCTTCTGGCTCTCCATCGCAACAATGATCACCGGACTAGAGAAATACTTCGGCGACGACCCCGCACCCGCCTTCTCCACAACCCTCCAAGTCCTTTTCTGGATATATTGCGTCTGCACCTTCGCCGTCGCCGTCTTCCAATACTCCTACCTCTTCTCCTCAGTCACCTACAGACTCCAAACCATGATGCCCTCCTGGGTCCTCCCAGCCTTCCCCATCATGCTCAGCGGAACAATCGCCTCTGTCATCGCCGAGCGTCAACCCTCCCACTCTGCCATCCCCATCGTCGCCGCAGGAATGACCTTCCAAGGCCTCGGCTTCAGCCTCAGCTTCATGATGTACTCGCACTACATCGGCCGCCTAATGGAATCAGGCCTGCCCTGCCGCGAGCACAGACCGGGAATGTTCATCTGCGTCGGTCCACCCGCTTTCACTGCACTAGCCCTCATCGGCATGGCGCGCGGTCTCCCAGAAACAATCTCCGTAATGGGAAGCGAAGATACCGTCGCCGATGGCCGGGTCTTGGAGATTCTGGCTCTAGCAGCAGGCGCGTTCCTGTGGGCTTTGAGTCTGTGGTTCTTCTGTGTTGCGCTTATTGCGGTTGTGAGGGCACCACCTACAGCTTTCCACTTGAGTTGGTGGGCGATGGTTTTCCCGAATACGGGGTTTACGCTTGCGACTATTGTTTTGGGAAACGCGTTTGGGAGTGAGGCGATTAAGGGGGTTGGTTCGGCTATGTCGGTTTGTGTTGTGGGGATGTGGGTATTTGTGTTTGTGAATCATGTTTTGGCGGTGGTTCGTCAGGATATTATGTTTCCTGGCAAGGACGAGGATGTCTCGGATTAGGTTGAGGAGTCGTGTTGATTTCTTGTCCGGCGAGTGTCGTGGAGTCTTGCTTTTCATCTTCTGCTCTGCTGGTTTCTTCATCTTGTCTCATGCTCTTTTCAGCATATGGTTTCACTCTTCATGGCGTTGCGATTCCCTCTTTGGTTTGGATATACTGGCATGTTTTGGGCGTTGGTGCATCTTGTGGGGGTCGTTTGTGACACGGCTTCATTTCGATCTTGCATATACACATACACATACATATACACTAGAGCCTCGATAAATAAATGGTCTAAAAGGAGTCAATTCTTATTCGCCCTGCCTCAAAACTGTAACCTGTCCAGTGTTCTATCTATCTGTAACCTCATGCCGACCATCGAACCAGGAGACTAGCCTTCGCGTCACGAGACACGGCTCTAGAATCAGCCCCAACTGATCGGCCATGCTACCTGTTGCTCAAGCTGATGTACCACCGAGCTTCGTGATATGCGTAAGAAGGGCTTTGTTCCAGCATGGACTTGGGTTTGTCCCTTCAGCACGAGTGCCTTGGTTTCCATGGGATCTCTTCATGTCGCGTTGCAATGCCTCCCAGCATGATCAGAGGCCTTGCACGAATGCATGGGGTCTTTGAAACAAAGATTTGAGCAGTCACTTTGACGTTCTCTCTCCATTCTCTCAATCAGTGCAATCTTTCTAGTGTTCTGATTTTCTATTCCCGGCCAAGATCGAAATAACCGCGCGTCAACAAGCACCATGGAGCTCCAAAGTAAGACGCGACGAATCACAAATCTCCTCAAGTCTACTCTCTCAAAGTCAAGAAGACCAAGCGAAGAGGAAGATGAAGATAAAGTTCAGGTTCAAATTCTATCTATTTTCTATTTGACAAAGTGAGTTCCTCTTGGCTTCGTCCCTGTTGACCGAAGTCATCAGGGACTACTAGGCCCCAGCACCACGTCGAGGTGGGAACTCGTCGCTGGGGTAAATCGCGAAAGAGTAAATGTCTTAGATCAAAAAAAGGAGAGTGGGCAAGTCTACGATGAGAGGAGGACAGAATGGGCAGAAGAGAAGAAGAATGAGTGCAGAGGGGAAGGGAGTGTTTACAAGAGTGAAGGCAGCGTCATGTGCAGCATCTGGCATGAGGTAGATGGCCGAAATGGTCAGGGGAGATAGCAGACGATAATTGGTTGAAGAGATCCAAAAGATGAGTACGGCAAGGAGAAGGGGAGTGGGCAGAATGGGCAGAGATGGAGGGGAAAGGGGAGAACCTGGGGGCCAGCAGTCAGTTGGGAATGAAGAAGGGACGATGAAGAAGAAGTCTGGAGAGGAAAAAAAGAGAAGAAGAAGATGGAAGGGAGAGAAGGGAGTATTTAAATGCCTTGGCTTAAGGATGGCGAAGGCTATTTCCAGCGCGCTGTTGATGGGGATGTTGACTTGTTGAGGGTATACAACGCGTCCCAGCAGGTGGATTTTGCTGGGGTTCCAGGATCGACGTCGGAGTCCCAAGAGGGAAGAGAACCAGAAAATCAGGGGGCTGGGAAACTTAGAATATAATCCTGGTTCAGGGCAAAAGGTCGGATGATCGGCTGTCAAGTTCAGTGTTCCTTAGGTCCGTCTGGCCGTTGGGAATACGTATCAAAACACGGCACATGTATTTCTGGCTCCTTCCTACTATGCAGTCGGGAGTCCTGATTAGGGTGCTGGGATGGAAAACTCTGCAAAGGCTCCCGGCTGCACTGTTGACATGCCCAACTGTTTAGAAGGCATGAAAGTTTGTTATTGTCGTATTGTTCCTGTTGGATGGTCGGACGACGTTGTTCAACTAAGCTGCGGCGGTCCGAAATTAGACGCGGTAAACGCCCCTGCCAGATCCCGTGACTTCGTAAACCCTCATTCGGGAATATATACTGTTGACATGACTAGCCTTGTTTGAACAATAAATCCGTCATTCGGGTCGAAACTGTTGGAAGACTTCACATTCTTGCATTCCTGTAGCTTTTGTTATGATATGATGACCCAAGTGTATGGGGAGCGAGCTTCCTTTCCGATAATCAACGCACTTACCTACTTAGATGAGATGGAGCAAGTGGCCCAAGCACTGCAACAAACGGGAAAAATTTCAGGATATCACCGGCCGGTACCCCTTCGGCATATGGCTTACTCGGATGCGCCGTCTTGTATTTTTCACTTGGCTCCGGGACCTTCTCCCGACTTTCGGCCGACCCTGGCTCAATTCATTGATTCCCATACGGTTGGTTCAGTAATTTTCACTTGGTCATTTTCAGTACGGTACGTTTTGACAGGTGGCTGTCACAGCACTATCTATACACATATTATCCCTGCGATGGGCATTATGAATTATGCACACTTCAAGCCCTGTAAGTCATCGAGATGCATTTGGAATACCAGCCACTTTGCATCCAGATCAACTCTTCAGCAAGTATTGAGGGCTTCCCCAAACTTCAGTTCGTCGTCATTATTCTCCATCTCCTGCACATCCTGAAAGATATCCTGATAAAAGCGATCCTTGGCAAACATCCACTTGGTGTACTCGGCATCACTGGGGGCGATTCTATGCCGGATCAAGCTCTCATATGCCTCGATGTCCTTCCGAGAAGAGCCAGGAACGGGGTACGACCAGGGACGAAGGAAGATGTTTCGGCTTTCCAAGTACTGCTGATAACCGGTGATGACTTCCCAAAACATTAGTGAAAGCACTCCAAATCATGATCGAAATTACTGACTAGTGGTGCCTTTTTCTTATTGTAGAAATCGAGGGGAGCACGCTACGTACAGATCAGAGTCTCAGATCAAACAAAGTGGTTGCGAACAGCCTCTGCCACTTTCTTGATAGTTTCGGTATCGTAACTGGGCTTTCCATCACTCGAGAACTGGAAGATAATTCAAAATGAGACATAAATTGCTTCTCTCTAAACAACAGGATAGGTAGATTGACCGTGACTGCTCGAGCATTTTCCGAAACAGACCACATCAACTGGGCATCAACCAGAGTTTCCCATTTCTCGTGTTGCATCCGCAAAAGAGAGTCCATCAGCCTTCTCCGCTTGTTTAGTTCCCATCTTGCATTCACTGCAATTTACCCTGACCGCGTCTGTCACCATCTTAGAGGTTGTTCTGGTGTTATGGACCCTCTTTTCCTTCTTATTGTGGTCTTTGCCCTTGTTCCTTATCGGCGAACTTCGTGGTAATCATCTCGCCGGTTTCGTCGTGGTAGTTGCGGACCAAGCCGCGGTTAGTGACGACGAGATCGTCGCCAGCAAGAACAAGGTCAATCAGCTAGTCGGCCACGACTATCTTGGTTGTGGCATTGTTTTTGATCGCAATTCCGTAGCGTACCCGCAGAGAATGTGGTGGCCCTACCCTGGTCGGCAAGTCTGACGTATGTCTGCACCAGACGCGCTTCACTGCGCTCGTGATCCCAGTACTGATGGATGGAAAAGTGAAATACCATCCACGTCGCAAGGACTTCCATATCGACTTTCCCGCTGTTGGACGGGCCTGGTCTCTTTCCGTTCCGCTGTCCGACGAGTGGATGGGTCATTCCCGTCTCGTGCCAGTGTAGCGCGTAGCGGGTCGAATGGTCGTAGTAAAATCAGCGAGCGCAATGAGAATGGTGATTTTTGTGCGAGGTGAGCAACCGTGTAACGTTCGTCCGAGGGGACCGGGGGAAGTGCATATTTGATCTCGACAAGATCTCTCATTGGGTCAACCTTACCGTTATAAGCGGGGTGGCGTGTCCGAATACATAGATCTCGTGAACTTGAGTAGCATATTCTCCGCGGTGTTGTAAAGCTTGCCCGCCTCCCAGGCCCAGCATGGCTTTGCAGAGTGAGACTGCAGAGAGCCCCCACGTCATATTTATGGACCAGAATGTGTAGGCGAATGTGTTGGATGAGACTGAGGCGAGATTATCGTCTGTTGTGTTGATGGGCGAGGTGGAACCGGAGGACTTAAAGTATTAACGGAAGCAACCATTGCTAGTTGGATATCGCCGTTGTTTTCGTAATCGACCGGCCAGAAGATGTCCTTCACCTGGGTTGCGACCCCGGTACATTCAACGAGGAAAACAAGCTCATCGGAGTGGACGACCCTGGCGAGTAGTACCGGCTTATTGTCTTCAAAGACACCTCGGTGGACAGGGGTAGCTTGGAAATTTGGTAGGCCGAGAGGCTCTTTGGGAGCGTGCTCTTGTCGTACTCCGAAGTGCTAGGAATGGAGTGGGGTAAAGCTATAACAAGGAAGAGCTCGTGTGTCACAATCCCCTTTTAGGCAAGCAGTAGAAGAAGATGGAGAGAAGGAATCAACACAGGAAATATCCACGCAGTGTGGCAAAAAAAGCCTCAAAACTCCGATCAAGAACTCGAATATCCAGAGGGAGAGGAAAAAGTAATTCAGAGCCGTACTTGAAGAAGCAGTCATTCGTATTAAGTGAGATGCTGTGCTCTTTGATTTTCTTCACCACGCTCTTAGCATCGAGCGTTCCATGTTGAGATGGCACTGCTTTCATTCTCCCCTCATACCTCTTTTGGAACCATGTCAGTGGTGCAGGGGGGTTGGATGAGGTCGGCTGGATAGTACCCTTGCGGTATTTTGTGAAGCGATCGAGTAGGTTTGTGCCGTCAAGACTAAAGATTCCAATCTGAAGGACTTGACGGGTGTCGAAAGTGAACTCCAGGTCAATGCTAACGAGCGTGGAAAGTTGGCAAAGTGGGCGTATGAGCGTGCTCAGCCTGGATAGTCGTTGCCAACTTGCTGACGGGAAACCATTGACTAGACGCTGACAGTGAAAACATCTTTTTCGACTTCTGCAGGGACTTCTTGACTATTTTGTTGAGTAGTTTATAGAATTCGTGATATATAGGAGGGCAGTCTCCTGGTATCCTTCAATCTTCAATATGTACAACCCATCTTGAGGAGAGATGCAGATAACTTCATCAGGAATAATATAGTAGCGGACAGACGCCCAGGGTCAAGCGAGACCAGCCGAGAGAGAAGAGGATTTAATGCCTAGTTATAGATGATGGGAAGTAAAAGTAGGAGGAGCGTAACAAGGTTTCTGGAAAGAAGAAGGAAAAATGTATCAGACCCAGAGAGGACGTCTTATAGAAGACCTCAATAAAGAAACCAAACGTTGGTAGTGCTGGAGATCTACATTAGTGTTCAATGACCACTGTTTGAGACATGTCCATTTCAAACCAGTTTTCCCAGTCAGCATAGAGGAAAGACCCCCAAAGCCCTGCTACATCTAGTATCAAAGTGCAACCTCAATGCAGGCCACCCACTTAATCACGGACGGTTCGATAGCAGAATTGCTTGAAGTATCAAGCCTCGGAGCGAATTTCAAAAACCTGGACGCAGCGGTAGAAGGCATCTATCGTCGGGGTTTGAATTGGCGAGGATGTTCATACATTTCAAGATGGACCGATTCATCTGGGAAATAGGAATATGGAATTTGAAAGTCCGAAAGAAACCAGAAGGATTCACAGAGGATCTGTATGGAAGCGAGACCACACCTAGAAGAAGCAACGGAAGACGGGATCTCGCCTCAGCATTTTATGCTGACAAGGATATCATACACCGACCACCCACCCACCTCTCGATGGACCAACTCACCTGAGAAAACAGTAGTCCACGTGGGTTGAGAAACACTTCAGGTTCATAGGGAATGCCAAAGAGGGCCCGTAGCGGAGAGTCATCGAACCTAGAAGAAGCAGTGGAAGACAGAGATCTCCCCTCAGCCTTTGGCCTGCAGAGAATGGGAAGAGAGAATTTTAGAAGAGTTGACTCACCTTGGATGAAAAGAACTCTTGATGTTTGATAAACATTCAAGAGGATCTGTAGGGGAGAGTGACCGAACCTAGGAGAAGCGGAGGAAGACAGGAATCTCCCCTCAGCCTTTGGACCGGAGAGAACGGGAGAGAATGAAAGATAATTAGAGAGAGAGGTCAAGAAGGGTGTACTCACCAGAGAGGAAAAGATATTGACGATGTTTGAGAAACAACAAGTGGGAATAAACAGGAAAGTGGGAGAGTCTAGAAGAAGCGGCGGAAGACGAGGATCTCCCCTCAGCTTTTGAACTTGGTGAGGAGGGGAGGGGATTGGGGATAGCGGTAGAGAGGACTCACCTTATGGGGGACAAGTTGACAGAGGAGAGGAAGGATGAATGGAGGTGAAAGTGGGTGGGGAAGTAGAAGCCCAGAGGAAGAGAGGAGGAAAGATGGAGTTGTAAGAAAGAAGAAGAAGAGGAGGAGTAAGGTTGGGGGTGGGAGAGAAGAGAAGAAGATGGTTGGAGAAGGGGAGAAAGAAGGGGAAATTAGGGAGAGGGAGGAAACTTTTATAATTCCCAGGGAGCAGGAAGGCAGCACTTTGCCCGATTAGGCAGTCTATAGGATTGTCGTGCTGCCTTTGGCTGCAGGGAGGCAGCTGCAGCCCTACGCCCAAGCACCCACTACCAAGGACCTACGTTGCATTGGCCATGGCAAACAGGCTACAATAGTCGATAACCGGATTGGGATTTTGATGTACTACACCTAGATGGGAAATACTGGGGCTGTTATGGTATCAAAGTCGGATTTTGGATCTGTGTATTGAATGGAATATTGAAACCTGTAAAATTCCTGATTTGTAGCGTTCGCGCACAGGAAACATCCAGAAATTCAGGTAGAGGGATAGAATGAAGGAAACAAAAGAGATGTATCGGAATGGAACGCTTGTAGCTATCAAATTGATTATTTCCCCAAGTCTCATCCGCTATATTCACAAATCAATCCAAAGTGTCCGAGTAGTAACAATAAGGGCAGTAAATGCGAGATTGATGACGTTGAAAACGAATGTACCGCACGTCAGTCCATAGTTTGTCCTGCAGTGCCAGTCCCATACAGGTCTCCGAGTCGGTCTCGCAGATCCTGGACTCTCGCGAGCCGACCTCGCTCCCGCAGCTCCAGATAGGCGATTTTTCGCATAATCAAAGGGTCCCCTTTGTGGAGGAAAGCGTAGCGGTTGGCGAACTATCCGAGTAGATCATTGTTGTTAACGGCGTCCTCACAAGCGCTGATGCACTCGTCTTCGTGGAGAGATGTGATCTTTGTGTGGTCCAAAAGCTTGTTCATGGCGTCCGCGATCTCTTCCGGACGTATGGCGTCGTCATGGTCCACACGCACTTCGTAGAGGCGTGGTAGAGGGGTAGTAGGTACCATGATGAGGTGTTGTGGAGGTTGTAGGCTGAGAGGAGCCCGTTTCAGGGAAAGTGACGAGTAGGAATAATGAGTTGCGCAGTGTGTAAATCCGAAAGTGTAATTATGTGAGATAGTCGGCAAGACCGCTTGAATGCGGGATGGAGATGATTATGGAAAACCATAGAGGTGACCAGAAGATAGGAAGTTGGATTTGGAGGCAACGTTTGCTTTCACTTTATAGTTTGGTACCTTGACACCCTGTATAGATGCGAGAGATATAGAAGCGAGAGATGTTAATAGGAGAGAGGAGAAGCAGGAAGGGAAATTCGTTAATTCCTGCAGTAATTCGAAATCAGCCTAGGTTGCCTAATTGGGATACGTACAGGCCTTGGGAACTAGGCATCAAAGTAAAGGCGGTCTTGGGAAGCAGTCAGTTAGATATCCAATAATGGGTTCTTAGCCTGTGGCCGCTATGCGCGGCCGTAGATCGTCAACAATCGTATCAGATAAAAAAGCAACGAGATTCCCAAGACTCTCCTATCTCTATTCTTTTATTTCGGACTTCCTACATCTTGTGATCTCTAATCGTGTAACTTATGTTACAAATACTGCCTGTTTTCTAAGTTTAATTCAACAAGTTTGACATCTTTCATATTGATGAGTAGAGTTTCTAGGTCTACTTGACCATACTGTGTTGACCTCCCAGTGTTCAACCTTTCTGTTTAATACTGCCGTTGTTCGCTCCCTTGTGTTTAGTCTCTCTTCCACAATCGTGGCTCTTTGCCTAAATCGCACGACCTTCGTATCCTATTCCGATCGCGGATGAACGCTTCTGTGCACACCCCATAATTTATGCGCAGTGTGTGAATCCGACAAGATGCGTGAAGGTAGTAGGAGTGATAACAAGATAAGAACGCGACGCGGAATTCACACAGTGACTAGCTCCCTTTCTACCACCCTTTGTACCGCCTATCCTTATCATCTCCCTTAGATAATTAGACCCTCTATACAACCGTATCATCTTCATCATTATCAAGAGTGGCAGGAATGTAAGGGTACTGTCATGGGCTCATAAGGGCCCGTTCGAAGCTATCCCTAGCTCGAGGATTACTGCCAAGATTTCTCAGGTGCGATCAAAGGGCCGGTCAGGATATGTGGGGGTAATCGAAGGTCACGTGGAATTTCGGGAAAGTTCGTGGGCGCACACATATTATTATGACTTCATGCTCCAAGTGAATAAGACTCTAAGCCGTTCTGAGAGGTTAATTGACTTTTGACAGAGCCTAGCATTACTCGTCACCTAACCTTCTTCGGTAATTGGTCTAATCCTATGTTGCCACTGCACTGCATCATTCCAACCCCAACATTTAATAACGCCACCTTACGCACAAGAAGAAATAGCCTACGTCAATATGATTTTAGCTGAAGCTTAACTAAATCCATAGATAGTTATGGCACAGTACGTACCATATATAAGACAGATAATTCTTTCTTGCTAGGCATATGCCATCTCCTCTTTTTCATCGCTCCACGGAGACGAAGGCACTCTACTACACCACACCTATCCTATTGGTATTTATACTACTCTCCATTCCCCAGACCCAACAGTTGCCGATGAGTATGGTTCGAGCTCAACTGCTTACTTTTACTACTAGGAATTATCAACCTAATAAAAAACGTCGATATGGCGACTACAAACCAATACCTTGACATCATCATTGAAGATGACATGAAGTATGACATTCGTATTGAAAATGCTCAAATGGAAAGGTATTTTTGCCAGAAACCGTTCGAGTCTGCAATATTTGACATTGGAATAGCGGCGAATTTTACAGACTGGGTAATCCAAACGATGTCCTAACCACCGATGACATTAATGACATGAGCATTCGTCACAACGGTGGTAGTAGGGAGATCTGTTCTATATGCGAGCCCGGTTCTATGTTAGGACCTTCCGGCGCGATCGACCTTGTGGACGATGTGAGGGATACAAGAATTTGCACTCTCACTTGGCATGCAACTCTGAAGCCCGGAGAACACAATTCCTTCCTGATACGTAATCAAGATCCCAAATACCGAGTCGATATCGGAAAATGGAATGAATCTGGGCCTATTGGGGAAGTTCCGGTTTCTGTCAGCGAGAACTAAAACAACTCATCCTTGTCGAGCATGTTCTCGTCAAGCATGAACTATATGGGAAAGCAATTTGGATCGATTGCCAGGCTGTTTCACTGCTTTGTTGGGTTGTCGTTGGCAGAAAGAAGATTGTTATTTGCGTTGTCTTCGGTTGTCACTGCCATTTATGGAATCAGATTGTCTTGTACACACACAGACTTATTATTCAAAGAATCGTCCTGGACTATATTCAATTATCCCATTCAATTATTCTAGTTAAAGTATATTTTGAAGTCCTATCCCTCCACAAGCGACACCTGCTACTTCAAACAGGAGAAGGGTCCTAGCCAATAGAGGCCCTCCAAACGTTATTATTATTGGCTGGAGCTAATCATGGTTGATCGATCACACGCCCGTACTGATCCGCACATAACCATCGCTCAGATCCACTAATTTTCGATCTCCAATCCCTTGTACTCATGCGACCCGCAATAATCCCAGTTTTTTTTTTTTTTTCGAGAGATTCATCATCCAGCTCGAACGCCTAGGTGAGTGATGCCATGAGAGAAGGACCAGTCTATAGCGCGAAGGAGGTCAATGACTAACCATCATATGACGCATAGCATCCAGGAATTAAGGACCGCGAGGACCCCGAGCTAAAGGGTTATAGGCCTTGCGAGCGCGCAATGGTGGAGCGCACGACCGAGCAGCCATCAGAGTATAGTTATTATCGTCGCGCCGTAGAATAGCACTCTCTAGGGTAGAACCTTCAGAACGTATTGTGCGTTGGTTAATCTGTCTAGCTAAGAAAATTAATAAGCCTCGCGGGCCGCCGCGTCTAAATCGAATGTAAATACAGGGTTACACTAACGTGGGCGCCTAATGTACAGAATATAGGAGGCGAGACTACAGATCAGGTATAACGATCCGGTATATAATATCCTTCGAGTAGTTATTAGAGAACTATTTACCTATACCTTTAGTCGAATCGTGTTTTATATCAAAAAAAACTAGTGAGAAGTTCGTTGACAAATCCTCTGAATAATTTCTCTAGCCTAGTCAGTATTTTTAGTTAACTAAAGTCCTCTATTGTTGGCACTAGGCGGACAATATGAATGTAAAATGCACCTACAACCATGCATTCATCTATTGATTGTTGAGTAGTTTTCAAAACCAATCAACTTGGCATTCTCTGACACCACAAAGCTTGTGGCATAATACTTGGTATGGAAGGACTTTTGATGTGGGCTAGATCTCTGGCTTAGCTGAAGCGAGAGCTGTACTTTGTTACATTCCTAAGCGATGAGACTGATGTGATCCGAGCTAGTGGAGCTAAAGCGACTGCGAATTTTTCGTTGCTGCTAACCTGGCAATATGCTACCTATACGCCACGAAATGCTAAGAGTTATGAAAAGTGGAATGGCGTAGAAACAACCGAAATGACGAACAATGCACCTATGACTAAGGAACTTGAACGAGAAAATTTCTGCAGAATATGCTTAGTGTAAAGTCGACTGGAAGGCCGATTGAATATTATTACAGGTTTTTTGATTCGGTTGAATCATCACCGAGAGATACAAGCGAGAAATAATGTTCTCCTCCCTGGATACAGCATAGAGGCCCTGGAGAACTTCCCATCAATATCCTAGGAGCTACTGTATCACCGCTCTTGCCTAACTAGATTACATAAGAAATATTAAGAGTTTTCTGAGCCGGTGGAAAGCGAGGAAGCCCGAGTATGATGAGCCCGAGTATGATGAGCTTTGGCCAGCTACCAGCAACGAATATCGATAAAGGCACAACCGTCTCAACAGTTTCATTGTCGGATTTCCGCACGATCCAAGTTTTAGTTACATTGTGGTATCATCCTTTCATTTACACATCAACACAACCTTTTATTGACGCAGAGCCCTAAAACATTGAGATTCTCGGTGTCCCTACCTCTGCAATGTCTCTACTCCTAGTGCTATTCTGAGAGTAACATCGACCAGTATCGGCGAGGTGGTAAAGAAACCCCCTCAAAACAAATTTCTTTGAAGGAGGCTAATATGCCTAAGGGTACCCTCAGATGTTCTTTAGAAACTCTACGACAGCTAGCCATATGAGAGGGGTGGTGGGGCAAAGCGTTATTAAGCGGACGCAGCACTGGGAATGTTTAACCGCGAATATCTCACCAACACCCCACAAAACTAGCTTCAAGTCCCGTAAACAAGACCATTCCACTATAGTCTCTCGACAAACGCTTCGGCAATTAACAGAAGCTAAGACCTTATTTACAAGTGTGACATCGATATATTCTTTCGTAATGATATACACCAGAAAGGTCATCAGCATAGAACTTTGTTATCGTGAAATTGACTGCTCCCTAATTTATACACACAATTTATATCGAGGCAAAGGATCCTTTGTCTACCAGCCAAGAAATTACATTACAGACTAACTAATAGTATAAAGGTCACTTGTTCGAGTAAAGTGTTGGAGAAAGCAGGTGGCATTACACGCTTCAAATTATAAACCGGTAGTCCTTTAGAGAATTTTCAAAACTCAAATTCACACGTATCTCAAATGTTACTCTGTCACCGTCTCTGCTATTATATAGTCTGTTATCATACCTATTTGAGTAGATTGTTGTGGGTTCAAACGGTGGTCAGATGAGACTGACTTCGCAATGTGCTCTGCATCTTCCGTGAAAGTACACACGTGCTGAAGACCACCACTGCCGAGTAGATTTATAGCTGCTCTTTTCCAAGAATTGCGAGTGCGTTATCTCGCAATAACTTTGTTTTCAGGTTAGGCAAAATAATTGATACCGTCAAACAGCCTTGAGAATCATGCATAAAGGTAGACGCAAAGAGCTTTTATGTTCCCACAAGTTGAGCGTCATCACTTGCAAAAACTTCCCTGGGTAGATTCGATTCCTGTAGTGAGACACGCCCATGTGCGATCGTGAGAATCCATCAAGACGGCGGCTCCGACCAGTTTGCTGCAAGGGCCACCGTTCGCAGTCAGGGTCCTGATATCGTCCGTCACACCACTGATAGGAACATCCTTCGCTGACTGAACCCGACACAGCCAATGAGGATGACCTGGGACCGAGGCGGGTGCCTGGTAGTCCGCATAGTTCAAAGCACCTAGAACAAACTTAGGGTCCCCAACTTGCAGCTTTCCATCACATATATGAAAGTGGATCTGCTCCTGTTTTCGTGATTTCACCGAATTGATCACCAAAGCCTGTGTCTCTCGATCGTAGAGAGTCTGTCCCCAGTCCCAAGGCTCTTCAGAGGTGAGTTCAAGGATCCCCGGTACCCGCTGTGTGGTCGACAGCAGCTCATCATTCAACCTTATCCACAAACCGCTGGGACTAGATGGACAATTCTTGTGTCTCACGCAGTTGCACACCGAATTGAACCAGAGGTAACATGAGTCGCAGCCCCAATTGGCTTCGGCACAGCCTTCGTTGCAGTAGGACTGCTTTAGCTTGCTTGTTGAGGTGAGGGGTGTATTATTGCAGGTTCCCAGATCACACTGTTGACAAGTTGCGCTTCCTTGGTCACAATCGCATTTGGTGAGGTTATTGTTTTGGATCCAATCTGAGTGACAGTGATTGTCAGGCGCAGGGCCCTGTGCGGAGCAAGTTTCCAAAGCCCAGAAGAGAATCAAGCATATTTTGATGCAAAATATCTTGTCAAATTTCATATTGAAGTTTGTTCCAGTTCGAGGAGCATTGAAATTCATATCGATATTGTAAAGCTGGATACTTTACCATATTAATACGACATTCACCTTCGAACTATTTGGTTATATTTAAGACGACTGCGTCATTTTGACCGAGAATGAACGAAAGGTATTTGGCTCGTAGTTTCGCTTACTATTTGTTCTCCTCACTTCCCCCAGGCTCACAGAAAACTGAAGTTCTAGCCCGAGTACTTGACCGTGGTTCAAGATCCGGCCCAGGCTCGCGCCCATGAGCTGTCGTCTGACCGCCCAAGAGTGGATGACGTATTGCCACTTGGCTACCTAAGTAGCCAGCGATCAAAATACATTACTTGTTCACGAGTGATGACCTGCGAGCCCTCTCGTGGAAAGATCACATCTTGTACACGCGATTGAAGAGGTGAAGGCATGATAACCGCACTGAAGGAGGTCCGCAAAGAAGATGGAATGATATAAGTATCTCGATAACCAACTTTAAGGGAACACGTTGTCCAATGCGGGAATTATTTAGCTAGGTTAGGTACGGTCATTAGAGCAACGTGCAGGAAGAGGGGAAGAAGCCGAGCTAAGTTATGTCCGATCTAGGTCCTAGGTAACCAAGAAGCAACAGCGCGGTTACAGTCGGATGATAACGACTAGCAGACACGAGCAACGCGCAGGGTATTCTGGTTGCTCAGAAAAGTAGCTCAGGGAGTAGCTCAGCCTCAACAGGCAAGCTCGGGAGCGCTCAGGACCAGCTTAGGGCAGCGTGATGAATAACCCCACCTGTGCTGAGGTCCAGGAGTCGATCGCTTCCCGAGACGGTAGCCTTACCGTCACCAATATTAGAAGGGAAAGGAATTTTTAGAAAGGGGAAGAACGATCATATTCCGACTTTTTATATACACCGAACACCGTAACAGCCCACCAGGGCGGTAACATCCAGTATAGCTCATGCAGGTAGAAGACAAACAACACCGGGTATCATGACGGTCTAGTAGTAGACCAAGATAATGCAAGATTTTTTGTAGACGCCATCATGGGAAGAGGCGTGATGTCAAGGGAAAGATCAGAGTCGATAGCCGTAGACAGGTTCTGCGATTACGCAGGCGCTGGGGAGCCGAAACGTCGTTGATCTCCAGGACCGCAAAGCGCACGGTCCATGACCGAACCAAAGACTGAGATGCCAAAGCTCATCGCGAATCATTTAAGCAACCTTCCTGCCCACATTCCCAATTCCACGACCAACGACGCTAATAATCACATCACCATCCTCGTTCTCACCAGCAGCATCACGGATACCCCAGCCCGGAGCACCAAATTTGGCCAGATCACGAGCAAGCTGGATCATATTAGGGTCGGCGATAACCTCCCGACCAACCTGGAGACGTCCGACATCCTCAGAGCCCATAGTCATAAGGGTCAACATAGTCGTAGCCGCAGCCGGGGGTACACAGCCACCCTTGGAGATAGTCTCGAGCAACTGGAAAGCACACTTCTTGCCGATATCCTCGGGGGCTTCGCCGCCGGAGGGTGGGGAGGCAACGTCGGCAGAGAAGAGGCAGCCGGTGGAAGACTCAGCAACGAGGGACAGACCGAATCCAAGACCGATCTTCTTCTTGGCATTGGCGTTGTTCCTGTCCGGAACGGAGATGAGAGGCGCAGACGAGACGTCGGAGAAGATATAAGTGTCTGGGCTGAGGGGGTTGAGGATGCCACGGGCGGACTCGATCATGCGAGCGTTGTTGGAGCCGGAGACACCAATCGAGTATGCGACACCGCGGACGCGCTTTATACGGCCGGGATTCATAAGGTGTAGGGTCTTTGGTAGGCGAATCTGATGGCCAAACGTGAACTGAACCTCACCACCGCCACCGCGGCCATTGGGTCCTGGGTTGGAACGCTTCAGGATGCGCAGTTCGACGTTGTTGAACATGCCGAATTGGTTGTACAGCGGGAGGATTGCGGTGCGGACGCTGTCGACAGACATATCGCCTGTCGGGGTCGAGGAGGTAATCACACCGGGTCCAGAGAAAAGGACCTTCAGAGGCGCTTTGGAGAATGGGGCCAACAAGCACAGAGGAATCAAGAAGTAGCTCAATCCGCGACTGCAGTTTGATGGAAGCTCATGTCTGATTACACCGCCACTGGCGCCAACTCCGCTTGCACTGCCAGTGACCAAGCCGGGCTTGTACACAAGAATAGTACCCGTGTACGAGATTTCCATTTGGGAGCCATTGGTGACAGCTTCGAGCAGGCGCAGGAAAGAAATCTCATGCGGCGCCAGACCAGGGTTCGTGGGCGAGGAGGCGCGAATTTGCGAGATGTGTACGGTGCGGCCGGTCAAGGTTGAGAGGACCAGGCGATAAACGAGGTTGTGATGCGAGGTAAACCGCAGGGGGGCCTGGGATGTTGTCGCCATTTTTGCGGTTGGCTTTGTCTTGGTCTTTTCACTCTTTTCAGCAGGCTCCGCTTGAAGCTCGGCCTGTCGAAAAAAGAAAAATCGACGGCGACAGGTTGATCCGCTCCGGTGGATCGGGTTAAGTCCGGGGGGTCTGAGCTTTATCTCCGCCCCATCGGATTATTGTGCAATGGCCCGCAGTTGATCCCTTTGCATGCGACATCACACCACTGACATCTATTCTCGAAACTTGACCCGTTGATTGATATTTCTTGTTGGTTTTATACCCTGCGACTTGCTACAAGATGCTTCCTCCAGCACTCAACATTCCAAAATGGTATTCATCTCCCACGATGCCCCCTCCATGTTACCCCTCCACCAATGATTCATAATCATTCATCACAGGGAAACCAGTCACATCCCAAATCAATACCCAGACCCTTTAACAGATATGCTGATACATACAAATCTAGGCTCGAGGCAAATTCCCACCTCCTCCAACCCCCAGTCAATAACTACTGCGTGTACCACCCCTCCTCCCCGGCAACAGCCGGTTACACCGTCATGATCGTCGGCGGGCCCAACGCACGAACAGACTACCACATCAACACCACACCAGAGTTCTTCTATCAATACCGGGGCTCCATGCTGCTCAAGACAGTAGACACATCAACAATGCCGCCCACATTCCAAGACATTCCGATCCACGAAGGCTCGATCTTCTTGCTACCGCCGAATACACCGCACTGTCCTGTGCGCTTCAAGGATACGGTGGGCGTGGTGATGGAGCAGCCCCGGGCCGAGAATGCGGTTGATATCATGCGGTGGTACTGCAGGAATTGTAGTGGGGTTGTATGGGAGAAGCGCTTTGTGTGCACTGATCTCGGGACGCAGGTCAAGGAAGTGGTTGAGGAGTTTGCTGCAGACGAGGAGAAAAGACGGTGCAAGGCGTGTGGAGAGATGGCGGCTACAAAATATGGCGAGGGAGAATTGGAACAACCACCTGCGCATCCTGAATGAAGGAGGCCTGTCTTGACTAACTGGCTGTATGAGTAAGGAGAGAAGCGGGCGTTGTCACATATTGTGTTTCACTTGACGACGAACCTGCACGACGGTGGAGGGAGGTATATCACGAGTGATGAATTCAACATTTCCGAAAGACAGCCGTCCGTGCCCAAGGCACTAAGGACTACTTGGTTCCCAATGCAGTGAGAGGACGAGCCCTTCAACCACCGTGACGTACGGGGCATTCAAAAACGACCAAGATTGGGGGTATGATGATTAGATTTTATAGTAATCTCTACATATGTGGCTCGTAGAAAAGCAGTATGGTACGGCCAAGAGCAAGTACCTGACTCAAGAAATACACCAACAGTATTGACAATCATTGATATCAGTGCAAATCCGAAGTGAAAAAGAAAGTTGAAGTTTGAGGGAAAATAAAAAGGAAGTGGCAAATGAAGGCCAGGCAAATGCGATAGATGCAAGTCCCACGAAGCGAAAGGCAAAATGTGTATAGACACGCTTGAGAACGAATGAAAAGATCCGAAAATGAGGGAGGAGTAATACACAGTGTTGAAGGGGGAATGGGGAAGCAACGTCATGTCAAAGACCAAAAGCTGGCAGCTTGAGCAGATCTCATGCTCGAGTGCAAAGATGGTGGAGATGCAAAAACATGTACTAGAATGAAGTCAAAATGTAAAAAAAAGTAGCAGCCATATTAATCACCCCCATTGTGCATCTTCATGTGATGCCATCGGCATCACTCACATATTCACCATTGCCCATTATTCATCAAAAGGACAGTCGATACTCTCATGGCCATCTCGCTCGCAAAGAGCACACCACTTCGACTCATCAATGACTCCAGACGACTTGCCGGCGATAGGGGCCATCGATGAACCCAGGCCGCCAATACCCTTTAGACCCTCGAGCACAACGTCGCGGCCAGTCTTCTGGGAGGGAGCGCTATCCGTGTGGCTGTTAGCGTATGCATTGTCCTCAGGTGCTTCAGTAGGCTTCTCGACGGGCGCTGCGGGGCTTTTTGGCTTGTTGACCCCGGTGTTGCCAGAGCCGAACATGCTGGTGCAGTTCAAGATATCATGACCGCCCGTCTCGCAGATTTCACACCACAGAGCATCGTCATCAGAAGAACGCTCCGACTCGGGCATGGGCTCCAATCGGGGCTGGGACGAATTGGAGAAGCCACGGTGGTGTTGCCGCTGATCGTTTGTCGGCATATCGTGCCAGTCATTAGGGACCACGGTGCGGTCAGAGAGACGGTGAGCGTGGTTGATATTGTGGTTCACAGTAATGTTACCCGAAGAACTTGACGGCTTGTGTTGCTGCTTTGGCGAGAGTGTCACCGTGGAGCTGCGGTTGCGACCACCGGAGCCCAATCGTAGTTCCTGCAGTTCCCGTTCCAGTTCCTCAATGCGTGTGTCCTTGGACTGGGTGGTTCCCTCGAACTCCTGCAGCCGTTGCTCCAGCTGAGAGATCTGCTCGCTCTGCTCTTTGTGGGCATCGACCGAGCCGTTCTCGCCCAGACCGGCAGCTCCAGGGTTGCCCCGGCTCAAAGAGTGGATGATAGCCTTGAGTCCACGGATCTCATCATCTTTCTGTTCCAGCTCGTATGAGCCCCGAGGGCCATCTGCTGCAGCATGGGCATGTTTCAGTGCGGTCGCTGACTGATCCCGCTCTTTCTTCAGTTCCAACTTGGTTCGTTCCACCTCGCCGCGGAGGAACTCGACCTCGGCCCTTGCCTCTGCCTCGCCTCGCCGTGCATCTTCGAGCCCTTCCTCCAACTCTGAGACAAGCTCCTCCAGCTGCTTGAGCTGTTGTGCAACGATTTCAACATCCTCACCACGGTTCTGCAACTCATTGTTTTGCTGCATGAGCTCGTCCAGACGTTGTTCATACACGCGCTCCGTCTCAGATGCGGCGATCTCCAAGGTATCCAAAGTACTTCGGAAATCCGCACGGTGGCCATCAAACTCAGCAGTCAGTTGGGCGATCCGTTCATTCCTCTCGCGTAGTTGCGTGCGGATATTGATCGCATCTGCCCCTTCTAGCTCCTCCATCGTCTTTTGGAATTCGCTCAGTGTCTTCGATTGCTCATCCAATTGCTTATCTCGGTCGAGTAATTGTTTCTCCAAGCTCTTGATCTGATCCTTCAACTCTTGTGTCTCCGCAGACGACGGCCGAGCGAAGTCGGAGGGTCTACCATATGAGGAGGCATTGTCGTCATCCAAACTGATGCGCGAAGGTGGTCTATCGGACAGACGAGAGGGTGCCTTGACTGGGCTTCGTGGGTATCCATTGATGCCAGAAGTTCTGGAAGCTGCGGAGGGTGTGCGCAGGCCACCGAGGCTGAGTTTCGGGGGAGAGACGGAGGTTCGCGGAGACTCCGGACGAGGCAGCGATGGTCGACGGATTCGAGGACGAGCCATCGATGGGCTTGGGCCCATTGACTTGCTGAAATTAGGTGGGGGTCGTCCTGGAGTTGTAGGCACGGTGAACGTATTTGCCGACGAAGACGCTGATCGGCGCGTGACGTATTTGCTGTTGTTCATAGGCACAAAGATACCCGATCCAGGGACGGTGGTAGCAAAGTACTTTCGTCCTTCCACATCGCCGCTATTCTTTCCTCGTTGCGAGTGTTCAGGGCCGAGTTCGATGCCGGCGAAGCGACCAGGCTTGCCCGCCACGGTTCCCAAGTATTTGACGGTGCCGTACATGCCACCAGGCACGTTGACAATATCGCCAACCTTGATGTCGTCAAAGGCCGCCATTTTGCAAAGTAGGCCCCAGCCAGTATGCGAATCGACAGGGGTAGTCGATGTTTGACAAAGGATCGAGGGGAAGTTGTTGACGCGGGCGGGGAGCAAAAAAAGTGCAGATGACAGTCAGGAGGAATCTAAACAATCAAAGTGCCGGGCCCAACGTGGATCATGGTCGTCGGGCTAAAAGGATAGACACCCAACGACGTGAGGAGGAAAGGAGAAGAACGAGATCGAAAACAAACCTGTACAGCCCGAGACACAACTGGGCATATATACAAAGGCCTGGCAGAAAGGGGGCAATTGCGGGACAACAAAGCCAAAAAGGAACTTGAGTTACTTAGTACTTCAGCTTTACCCGTAGTCCCATGGATCTTAAGGTGGAACTCCCGCCTCCACCCTGCGTAATCTTCTCCCCCCATTCATCCACTCACATTACCGCCCGGAACTCGACGACTCTTCTCCGACCTCGAACTGCTTCTTGCATATCCCTCCTTACCGTGGACATACTATTGCAACCAATCCGAGACAATCTCAACTCCTGTCTTTCTTTCAAATACTGCGCTCAGCGTGGGATCCTAGCGCGTCGACTGGCCATTTTCCAATACTCGCGGTCGATCAGATCTCCCATTAATCGGGAAGCTCCATTCTCACCATGGCGCAATATTTCTTCGACCTCCTCTACAACTTTACGGATTGCATGTGTTGCTTTCCAAGCACACCGCAGCTGAAGATTAATAACAGGAGTTTCAAGCTTCTGCGACTGCTAGGCGAGGTATGAATCAAGCCGCGTGGCCGCTCTCAGTCCTTGAACTAGGTGACCTGTCCGGATGAAGACGTGGTCCCAGAACTAACGCGTACACCAAATGTATCCAGGGTGGTTTCTCCTACGTTTACCTCGTCCAAGATAAGACAACCTCGGAACTGTTCGCGCTCAAGAAAATCCGCTGCCCGTTCGGCCAAGAATCCGTCTCGCAAGCCCTGAAGGAAGTCGAAGCTTACAGCCTGTTCACATCGACGGACAACATCATCCACGCGATTGATCACTGCGTCTCGAAAGAATCTGGATCCAAATTCCGGTCTGATGGTGGCGAGCCTGGCTCAAAAACAGTCTATATTCTGCTGCCATACTACCAACGGGGCAACCTCCAAGATGCCATTAACGCCAACCTGGTCAATCACACTCGATTCCCGGAGAAGCGACTGATGATGTTGATGCTGGGCGTGGCCAAAGCCTTGAAGGCCATGCATCAGTATCGAGTTCAGAGCGGCTCCGCATCGACTCGCAAGGCCAAGGGCGTGCGAAGAGAGGGTGAGGAGGCGGATGACGAGAGGACAATGCAGATGAAGCCTAAGCGGCGCGCCAGCCATCGCGCGGATGATGAGGATGAGGAGAATGAGCCATTGATGGATGATGAGGTGACGCGCAGTCAGGAGGGCGTGCAGGAGGGTGGTCTGCGCCCTTATGCGCACCGTGATATCAAGCCGGGTGGGTATCCTCTCGTTCTCTATGCTTTCATCATTACCACCCGAGTCACAATGCTAATTCTTCCTCCATAGGTAATATCATGATTGACGACGATGGTCAGACCCCTATTTTGATGGACCTCGGTTCCCTCGCCCCGAGTCCCATTGCCATCACATCCCGCTCCTTGGCCTTGGCAGTGCAGGATACCGCCGCCGAGCATAGCACGATGCCATACCGCGCCCCAGAACTCTTCGACGTGAAGACGGGATCCATCATTGACACAAAAGTTGACATCTGGTCTTTGGGTTGCACACTATATGCCTGTCTAGTGGGTAAGAGCCCCTTCGAGGCTCGTAGTGATGAGACCGGTGGTAGCCTGAGCATGTGCGTGCTCGGCGGCGACTGGCGATTCCCGGACGAAAAGACCACCGCCACCAAGGGCAAGGGCAAGGTTGGCGTTGATGCCGACAACTCATCCGGCAGCAGCGAGCAAGTGATCAGTGCTCCTGTCAAGGAGGTTGTTCGCAAGTGTCTGCAAGTCGAGGCGGCGGAACGTCCGGATATCGATGAGTTGATCCAAATCATGCAGGATGTCATCAGCGAGTTGCCGGACGACGATGGCATCGCGTAGGCTCATCATATTTTGTTTTACTTCTGTCTTGTCTTTTCATTCTCATCTACCCTCAATTTCCCCGACAGGCTCGGAAGGACTGTCTCGCGCGCGATTTGAAATTTGGCGATCTGTACAGTATAGGTTGAACATTGGTTATAACTTGGCATATAATCTGTCTCTATTGATTTGGTCATTTACCACGGATTCGCTGAAGTAGTGCACATTATGCTTTGGATATTAATGCATGCATTTTTGTCACTTTGATTTTAGATCTTCCAGTGCTGCTATCTGCTCACATAGGCAGGCTTGATGCTGGGTACATCCAATATACCCTCATCATGACGAAATATCGCCATCCACCATTCCATCCTCGCGAGATGGTCGCCATCCAATTCAACAGTCTCCTTCCTAGCATCAAGGCACAGGAACTCTCAATTCTCTACCCACAATGAGCCATAAATTCACACCTGATACAAGGGGAACAGCAGTAGTCGAATGGTTCCCCGAAAGAGTCCAAAACAAAACCTGTACTAACCTACCCACCCTCACCCTCATACTTCCCAAATCTCCTATCTCCATCCAAACTAACATCTCCAACCACAGTCCTCCTAGCAGGCTTCATCCACGGCGAACTCCCCGCCGCAACCGCCGAAGCCCTCTCCCACGGCGGCGCAGGCTGCATAATCTTCACCGGCCGCTCCCAATCCGAAGTCCAACCCGCCATAAACAACATAAACCGCAAATACCCACAGACAAAAATCCTCTTCGTCACAGCCGACACATCCAGTCTATCGAACATGCGCGAGGCAGCCCGGACAATCAAAGGACTTGGTGTCCCCATAGACGGCATCGTTTGTTATCCAACCATTATGGCGGCGGATTGGCAGAAGACTGCTGATGGGATCGAGTCGCATTTCCAGAATAATTATCTGGCTTATTTTGTGCTTGTTAATGCTTTGTTGGAGGCTATGTTATCTGGTTCGAGGGTCGTGTTGATGACGACTAGTATACGGCGGGAGGCGCCGGCGCCGAGGTGGGAGGATATTAATTTTGCGGTGAGTTGGTGCCAATAGGGATCTTTTGAGATGAAATAGAAGTGATTCTCTACTGGTGGATTGGGGCTGGGCTGATATGATGTGCAGAATGGGGAGAGATATCACTCTCTTGATGGGTATTCGCAGTCGATGTTTGCGAATATTCTGTTCGCGAAATCGCTGGCCCAGATATGTGCTGAAAAATCTGTTGTTGCATTCTCGGCTAATCCTGGGAGTAAGTTATAGTTTCCTCGTCGCTGTGTACGACCGTGATTATTTGAGGTCAAGCTCATGAAGGCAGATACTACGACCAACGTGCAAACGTACCTCTCGCCCGAGGACGTGGCATCGTGGCTGCAGCGGAAGAAAGAAGGTAGGTCTGACGATGTATTCATATACATCTGATGGATTTTGCTTTGCCATCCTAAGATCAACTTCTCATACATCTCCAGCTGGCGAGGATCTGCCCATCCTGCTTCAACAAGCCCCCAAGTCCCTTTCGCAAGCAAGTGCCACCATTATCCGGGGCCTCCTCGACCCCATGCTCGCAGGTAAGCAGGAAACTCTCCCCTCCCTAACTACTACCGGTATCATATCAAGTGGAGCAAATCAGTAACGTAAGCTTGATGCTATCAGAACAATCCGGCGCTTTCCTGGATAACTGCGAAGTCCTCACCCTGCCGTACCTAGATTTCCCCGTGGGCGAAGAAAGCGCTACAGCACTATGGAAGCAAAGTGAAGTCTACGTCGAAGCAGCCGGATTAACACAAGTTGTCTAGATAGCATCCATTTCTAGATAAACAACTACTCCGGCTGCTGGGGTAGATCCGTCCTACCGAGATAAGCTTGCGGGGAAGTTTGTCAGACCGCGGTAGATACCCTGCCGGGATAGGAAAGCTGTCTGCCATCGGACCAATTGAGAGAGACTGAGGAGTTGATAAGAGATTTGGTTGTTGGAGATGGATGAGCGGGCAATTGTCCGCCATCGTTAACTTGTTATGTTGATGCTCTGTCCGCCACCGTCGTTTTCTCCGCAAGCCTGGCGCTTTGACCTGGTGGATTGGGGGCTTGTCATTGGTGCGATGGTGTTAGGGTGGCCGGGAGGCGATAGCTTGTTCTTTTGTGTCGGAATGAGTTCCGGGTTGTGGCTTTCATGGGAGGGGGTGATTTGGGGTATATCAAGGCAAGATAGATATGGAAAGGGAGGTACCGTCAGTGGAATCGATGCCAGATACTGATTTTCGTTGAAGAGGCTTGGATTCGACTATAGACGAATGATCTGCGCGGTTCTTATCATTGCTTTTCTCTGGGTAGGACTCGTCTCTTTAGGCGTCCATTGTTGATGTGCGCATAATTGCGATCAACATCAGTGGAAAGTCTTGTATTCACAGTGTCCTCCCTTCCAGACAACTCGGCTGGTCGGCCATAGAAATACACGCCGAGCTGCCTACCCCATAGTCTACTATTACATATCCATAACCAACCACTGGGTTTCATCGTTAGGTAATGAAATCATGGCCATTATGAACAGACCAGGCAAAGATCATCAAGACATGTTTGGGCACTGCGGGGAAAGATTATCTATCGTACCCACCGCTTATCATGCAGGTGTACTCCGTACATTCCACACTGTGACTCTCAAGCGGAATCCAGGCCGCCTTATTTCGTTCATTCTTTCTCCTCTTCTGAACCAGAATTGGTTATCTTCTGCCGACCGGACATCATCGGCAAATTTGGAACACCTAGACTAGGACGAGCATCTGGTGTCTTATCAACGCTGTGATGTGCCCTTGTACTACCGCACGTATATACATCTGCACGTAACCCGCCGATCTTAGCAGGGGTTGTATTTGCTTTTGTGCCTTGCCAAACTCTGCTATTCCTTCTCCCTTTTCTCTTAACACTGCATCTAGGGACCTACTATGGCACCAGTTGTGGATAAATCGGCCATTCCTGGCACAGTGACACTAGTGGATGTGGAGCATGTCCTGCATACACGCCATCTGGACAGTGGAAATGGGGATATTGTGTTGATTCCGACCCCTTCGCATGATCCAGATGATCCGTTAAATTGGAGTCGCAAGCGGAAATTGCTATCGACTGTTTGTGTGAGCGTGTGAGTACTAACCACATTCAATAATCAATTGTGGGCAGGTATAACTGACGAGAATTTGATTGGTCTAGTTATACTCTGTTCGCTGGTATCGCCTGCTCGGTGGTATACTCCGTGCTCACCCCTCTATCAAAAGAGACCGGGCTCTCAGTGAGCACACTCAATGAAGGAACTGGGTACATGTTTCTGCTGGCTGGATGGGGTTTGCTATTCTGGCAGCCCTTTGCTATGCAATTTGGCAAGCGTTTGACCTTTATACTCTCTCTGGCTGGTATCTTGGTATGTTATCCGAAGCTAAGGCATGGTAGAATACTGCTAATTTATCGCAGGGTACTACAATGTGGGGGTAAGAATATCCTGGGCTTTTGATCAAAGAGAGGAGCATATGACTGACCCTATCCAACTGCAGACCATATGCAAACACTCAAGGCCAATGGATTGCTCGAAATGTCATCTCGGGCTTTTTCACTGCACCCATCGAAGCCCTCCCTGAAATCAGCGTGACAGACGTGGTAAGTCTCCCTCATTCAATCCAGAACCAAAAAACCCCGAGCTTGTAGCTAAACCCCTCCAAAATAGTATTTCACCCACGAACGCGGCACATACATGGGCCTCTACGCTTTTTTCCTCGCCGGCAGCAACTACTTCGCCCCAGTAATCTGCGGCTTTATCGCCGAATACCAAGGCTGGCGCTGGGTATTCTACTGGCCCAGCATCTTCGTCGGCTGCGCCATGATCTTTTTATTCTTTTTCATGGAAGAAACAAACTACGTCCGCGAACGTGCCGAAGATAGCACTATCGCCAACGTGCGTTTGAGCTCGTCGAATAGTTCACAAAGTGGCGATCCTGAGAAAGGCGTTCCAGTATCGGATCCGCCGACGCAGACTGAGGAGGGCACTGTTTATACGAAGAAGTCGTATATTCAGAAACTTGCTCTTCTGGGGCCGAAGCAGAAGCAGAATACTATGTTTCGGCGGCTTTGGCAGACGATTTATTACCTTTCGTGGCCGGTTATTTTTTATGCTGGGTGAGTTATTGTGATGGAGACTTTAGAGCTTGATTACTGGATTCTAATGGTCGATTAGATTTTCATATGGTTCATACCTCGTTTTATTCAATATCCTGAATGGCACGGCTTCCATCATTTTGGGCTCCGCACCGTACAATTTTGGGTAAGCAGCATAAGCCCATGAATACATTGTTCCAAGGCTAACAAGCAATAGCACCTCCATGGTCGGTCTCAGCTACGTCGCATGCTGCCTAGGAGTAGCAATCGGGTGGGCCTCCTTCCGAACATATCATGAACTCAGACTAACTCAACACAGCTCCATCTTCACCGGCCGCTTCAGCGACTGGCTAACCATCAAGCTCGCCCGCCGCAACGGGGGCGTAATGGAAGCTGAGCACCGACTATGGCCATTCCTCGCCTGTCTCATCCTCGTTCCCGGGTCTCTGCTTTTGTGGGGTGTCGGTGCCGCACACGAGGTCCACTGGTTTGGCCTCATGGTGGCTATGTGCATGCTCGCATTCACCAATACCTGCGGAATCACCCTGAGTGTGAATTACCTGGTTGACAGCTACCGGGAGCTGAGTGGCGTCGCTATGGCGAGTGTGATTCTTGTGCGGAACACTATGTCCTTTGCTATTGGATATGGGTGAGTTCATGACTTTCAAAGTACTATCCTGTGGGCGGGAAATGCTAATATTTCGTCTCTGTCAGTATCACGCCATGGATCGATAATATGGGGTACCAGAACTGTTTTATTTCGGCTGCTTTTGTTGGTATGGCTTGTGCGGCGGTGTTCCTGGTTATGATCAAATTTGGAAAGTCGTGTCGGATTCGTAGTCGGGAGAAGTATTGGGCGATTGTGCAAGAGAACTGGGAGAAGGGAATGGGTCATTAGGTTAGTCACATAATCAAATATCAGATTCAGTGGCCCAGAAGGGAAGTTCATTTTGAGATTATGGCGTTGAACACGTGAGACTCCTTAGCCTATAGTTCGATTACAGATCTTAGGCTCTAGGAGATGAAATTCGGCCACGCCCGCTTGAAGGCGATTCTGCGTATCGGCTCCTCTTCCTCAATCTAGCACCGTAGATCCTGAAAACAAACGGCATGGGAGCTAACAAGATTGATATCCCTCCCAAAATAGTCATTGTCCAATGTACCCCGATCCCTTCGTACATCGGGCGGGCAGCCATCACCATTCCGCCCGCTACTAGGTAGCGAGCCATCGTAATGCTCGCCAGTGCACTCGCTGCGTGATCCCCATAGCTATCGATGATATATTCGTAGCTACTGATGTAGATCGATATCAGCACAGCACCGAACAGTCCGCACGCAATGAGGCCCGACCACGCCGGGATAGACGGGTAATTTGTCCATCCCAACCAGAATAGTGAGATGGGTAAGAACGGGCCGGCAACAATTGCTGGCCAGAGTCGGAATTCGGGAGGTACCGACGCGCCCCTTTCGTACTGAGTCTTTCTGCGCGCCCATGTATAGAGGGCAGGAGCTGTGAATGTAGCGATTGTTGCACCGGCAGCGATCGCCCCGAAACAGGACCCGGTTTGTCCTGTGGAGAAGTTGTATGTCTGTTTGAAGATGTAGTCAAATCCAGAGAGAAAAGTGAAAAGAATGCAATATAACAGAATCAAGTACGCTCCCAGCACAGCAATCACTGGCTCGGTGCTGAAGAATATAACGGGACGCAGGATGGTAGCTTTCACACGTTGGAAGAAGGAGCTCCTAGAATGCTCAGACATGTAGCGCTGATCGCCAGTTTGACGTCGTAGTTGCTTCGATTTCCAATCGAGTAATATCGGTAGATATGATTCGGGGAGAAAGAGAAGTGCCACGATCCAGGCAAAGGTCGATATAATGAGAGTTATATACTCTGTCCAGCGCCAGGTTAAGTCTGGTTGGGAAGAAATCCAACCACCTGCGATTGGGCTAATCATCGGACCTGAATTACCGCAGTATCAGTATTGGGATATTGAGCTTTAGGAGTTGACATACCTGCAATATTAGCCCAAGCAATCATTGGAAACACGAAAGCACGTTTCACAGGACGAAATTGATCGCCAACACTGGATCCATTTATCGATAGCGTCGGACTAGAGAAAAGTCCCACGAAGTAACGACATATCACTTGACCCGCGAATGTCGGCGTAAGGGCTGACCCAAGGACGAAAAGGAGGTATATAAAAGTAGACACCAGGTAAGTAGGATTCCGTCCAATCGATTCTGACAACGGTCCTGCGAAAAGGGAGCCTGAACCAATCCCAAAAAGATACATTGCCGTTGAGAGATTTTGGGCTACTCGAGATACTCCAAACTCGCGGCTTGCACGCTCGTTGGCCTGGGAGTCGGCGGCGCCCGCCCATCCTTGGGTGAAAATCAAAAGCACGAGGATTCCAATATTTTTCGATCTTGACAGCAGTGACCAGTTTTTGGGATCTATTGGGTCGGCTTCCCCGCTCGTCTTCACCCAGATTTGGCCATTACTATCGGCGGCTAGGAACGTGGTTAGCACTCTACCCGTCTACGTGTATTCGGACATTTTCTCACATGGTGATTCATGGATGAGCTCGTCGGTGCTAATTCGTAATGCAGCGGTTGACTCTTGTCCGACTTCAAGGGTAACGAGCTTCTTGATGCGTCGATTTTGGACCAAGGCCCACATCCGGGATGCAGATGAATGAAAACTACTCACACGATCTCTTTCCGGAACGGGAGGGATGGGGTATTCGGAAATCCAGGTGATATTGACCCATAAGAACGCCCATACATGACCAATTTCCAGACCGGCAGAGAGCGTGTGGTCAGTCTCAGTCTGAGAGGGATTGATTCAGTTCGACAGTCCTCGATGCACGAACGGTGAAGGTCATGGAAGCTTCAGCAGCTTTCAAGGCGGTCGGTCTTCTTACTTTCTGGTTTTCGTGCCAAAAGTTCAGTGATGTCAAAATCGGTGATGTAAATATCAGTGAACAGCCAATCACAATCACTGTCCATCACGTGATGGCGCTGAACCTTGGTGAGTCTTGACCCCAGACTGACATTACTCAGTTTACTCATTGAGCCTGGCTCTGAGCGCCATCCTAAGAGTGGCGGCTTCTCAGATAGGAAAGCTCTGCCCTGCACTGCCCTGCAGTGCTCTGTAAAGGAAACATGGTACATATGGTGCCATAGGTACTGTCATAATGTGGGGATTGCAGCGGTGGGGAAAATTCGGGGAGGAAAAAGCGTGGGGGAGGCAAAGGATCTGTAGAAGTTCAATGCCAACCTATCTTCTATATCCTTGGTTTATTTTTGAATGTTTACATACCTTAGGCTGTTATTTACCAAAGTCTTCACCTGTAGGATGCCCTTGATACTATTTCCGAGGCTGAAGTCATTGGCTTGCCTAATCTCCTCGACGCGGGGCTACTCACTTTTAGCCGGCGCGGGTAAAATGCGCTACACTGGGCTTCTTGGCTATTCTCGAGGTCGCTTAAATAGCAATTGGGTTTCCCTTCATTTTGTTTAAATGATCACGGTATTCTGACTGGCTGGATTACACTTCTTCTGCCGCAGATTCATTCAAAATCACACTCTTGATACCCATCTCCAAGATTGACACCTAAATCCCCACAAAAGGCCCCAAAAGAAACATCAATATGGCTGCTCCCAAACCCCTCATCACGCATCTCTACACAGCAGACCCCTCAGCACACGTGTTCAACGGCAAGCTATACATCTACCCCTCCCACGACCGGGAGACAGATATTCAATTCAACGACAATGGCGACCAATACGACATGACCGACTACCACGTCTTCTCGATGGACTCCATTGACGGTCCCGTCGCAGACTCCGGCGTCGTTCTCTCCGCCAAGGACGTCCCCTGGGTTTCCAAGCAGATGTGGGCACCAGACGCCGCCACCAAGAACGGAAAATACTATCTTGTTTTCCCAGCCCGAGACCAGGAGGGTATCTTCCGCATTGGCGTTGCCGTTTCCGACTCGCCCACTGGTCCTTTCGCTCCTGAGAAGAACTATATCCCGGGTAGTTACAGTATTGATCCGGCTGTTTTTGTCGACGAGGATGAGAAGCCTTATTTGTACTTTGGCGGTCTTTGGGGTGGACAATTGCAGTGCTGGGAGAAGTCTGGCTCTGAGGTTAAGGAGGGCGATAAGATGAATGGACTCGTCTTTAATGCTTCCAAGTCCGGTCCACAAGAGCCTTCTGGTGCAGGTGTGCCGGCTTTGTGTCCGCGTGTGGGCCAGTTGAGCGATGATATGCTCACTTTCGTCTCGCCTCCACAAGAGTTGCAGATTCTGGCTCCGGAGACTGGTGAGCCTATTGCGGCTGATGATCATGAGAGACGCTTCTTTGAGGCGGCGTGGATGCATCGCTACAATGGTCAATATTACTTCTCGTACTCTACGGGTGACTCGCATTATCTTGTCTATGCGACGGGATCTTCGCCTATGGGACCATTCACCTACCAGGGTCGGATTTTGGAGCCTGTGCTGGGATGGACTACGCATCATTCTATTGTGGAGTTCAAGGGCAAGTGGTACTTGTTCTATCATGATTGCGAGCTCTCTGGGGGTGTGGATCATTTGAGATCTGTCAAGGTGCGGGAGATTGTGTACGATGCGGAAGGGAAGATACACTTGGCTTGATTGTTACTTTTGTAAACTTATATCTTGGAAGGAATTGAATAAGCAAGTCAAGTTGGGTATTTTTGAAAAAGTCTGTCCGACTGAGGATCTAGAGCTCGACTATGTCACGACCTTATACGCATTCCGCTAATTGACTTATGAATTATGCAAAATCTAGAAATTGTGTTGTAACCTCTAGGCAAATATAATTGATTGGTGGAGAATTCGTCGAAGTAGGTTCCGGATAATTGAGCCTACCCATATTGGACGAGGATATCTCTCAACGTACAGCCTCTAGCCTATATAACAAAAGAACAATAAAGAAAGTCTTGATTGGAAGGATGAAAGAATTCTATTATACGCATTGTAGTCTAATGCAAAACAAAGCCAATGCGCTATGCCAAAAAGATTCCCGTAAAACCAGCATCCCGGCCCAAGAACAAAGAGAATATCTCATCTCATCAATATTTCCGAAACGGCCCATCACTCGAATTCCTCGCCTTCCTAAGCGCATCCTCCCACTCACGAGCCATCCATTCAAGAACCTCCTCCTCCTCCGTACCATCCTCACTCATCTCGTAATCCCCCTCATCGTCATCATTCCCCTCCCCCTCTACTTCTTCTTCTTCTTCTTCTTCTTCTTCTTCTTCTTCTTCTTCTTCACTCCCATAACACTCCCAAACTGGCTCAAAAAAGACACCATCCCCCAAACCCCCCATATCCAGCGCCGGCACCGGCACCGACAACCCACTATTCACAGCATCAGTAAAACCCGGCATCCCAATAAAATACCCAAAACGGCGTCTTTTCGTCGCAATATCCACATAACTCTCGTCCGGGACCCCCACCCAACTCCGAATCTGGAAGGGATAGGACAACGTCGCCGGTTGAGCGGGATGCACTTGGTGGTAGTGCCGAGCTAGGGTGTCGAGTTGAGGTGAGGTGAGGAGGTGGAAGGCTAGGTGGGTTTTTGGGAATTCGGGGTGTGGTTGGCCTGTTTCGTTGTTTACGAAGGGGGTTAGTGGGGAAGACATTGAGTGCATGGTTGCTGAGAAGGAGGGGTGGTATTTTCGTCTTTTGTTGGGTGTGGTTGATGATGGAGGGTTGGATTGGGGAGGTGGCGAGGATGATGTGGATGGAGTTGAGTTGGATGCAGTTGTGTCTGAGGTCTCGGTGGGAGTGGAGGCTGATGATTCGGAGCTTGACGAGTCGAAGCTGGACCTTCGGTCTTGATGGAACTGGTCTGAAGGCATTTTGAACACGCCAAAGCTGCGAGAAGGTGAAGAAATAGATCAATCAAATAGCAACGCGAATGCCAATGTGGATGAGGTTTGCTAAAAAAAAAAAAAAAAAAAGGGACCGAAAAAGGCCACATTTATAGAATTGATCCGAAGGGTTCAAGAACTCAATTGTATTTGTTTGCTTTGTTCAGTTTGATATGAATGCAGGAAATAGACAATGGGATGTAACTTTCTCAAACATAAAGGTGTACAGGCTTGAAGCTCGCAGACAATTGACATCCTTTGTTTCCCTCCCGAGACGAGGAGATTCCTGAGAAAGCGAACCCGCGATTGCTTTGTTGCAGAAACAGCGATGCAAGAAATGTGAGATAACCCAAAATCTCACTTTAGATCATAATGTGCACGTCAACAGTCGACACATACCCCCTAGAGAGACAAGTTGGCAACACCTGAAGAAAGATCGGGTTCATCTGAGACCGGCGGAAGTCCGGCATACTTGTTGATCCAGTTCAAAACGGTACGGTGCCACAACAAAGAGTTCTCCGGGTTGAGCACCCAGTGATTTTCATCAGGGAATGTCAGGAAGGCACTGTCTACACCTCGCATCTGCAGCACGTTAAACGCGGCGAGGCCTTCTGCGATAGTGAGGCGGTAGTCCAGCTCATTGTGGATGATGAGATGAGGTGTCGCCCAATTCTCGGTGAACCGTGAGGGATCCCACTTCGCCCAGTTCTCGGGGACTTTCCAGATAGGGCCCTTCAGGTCGTGCAGTGGGAAGTACTGCTCCTCACTTGCTAGCTGCGAGGTCATGCTGAATACACCGTCGTGAGTGACCAGCGCCTTGAACTTGCGGCCGAGTGGATGCCCCTGGATCCAGTTCATCATGTAGCCGCCATAGGATGCACCTAGCGCCACAGCTCGGGTGGTGTCGATGTAGTGGAGGTTTTGCTCAATGTACTCAAAGCCCTTGACAAGGTCCTCGTATGGCCGGCCACCCCATTCACCGCAGATGCCGTCTGTAAAGTCCTGGCCATAGCCAGTACTGCCGGTCGGATTGGGAGTGACAACGACATAGCCTTGTTCGGCGAATACGGCAGGGTTCCATCGAGTGCTCCACGAATCATTCCAAGCACCCTGAGGCCCGCCGTGGATCAGATAGGCCAGGGGATATCGCTCCCCGGGCTTGAAATGGGAAGGCTTCACCACCCAGGCATGCACCTTATGGCCCTCGGCTCCCTTGAACCAGATCTCGTCCACCTGTGCTGATGATAAACCAAAGGCAGAGCCTCCGCGGCAGTTCGACGAGACGACCCGGACTTGGTCTGGGTGAGCCGGGTCAATGATAGACCACACACTGTTATCCACTAAGCTAGAGCTAGAAACAAATAGTTTGGATGTCTTGGCCCCAGCAGGAACGACATCATTCACAGTGCCCTCCCATGTCAGCTTCTTCAGTGAATCAGGAGTAGCCTTTCGAACTCCGTCCAGAGGCAACTGGTACAAGACTCCACGGCCGGTTTCCTCAACCTGGATGAGCAAGGACTTGCCGTCCTGAGCAAAGGACACGGCTGAAGGGCTAAGCTCCCAATCACCCTTTCCATCAGCGGTCTCGAATACCTCAAACATCTCGCCATTCCACGGGTTTGGAGCATAGAGAATTCGATTCTTGTCCGACTCATATCCGTCCTTCTGCATAGCCAGTAGAGCAATAGAGCCACCATCTGGGGACAGCACAGGTGAGGCCATTGCACCCTGGAGGCTCGTTACCTTGCAGGGCTTGGCATCTGAGACGCTCATACTGGTCCACGAGAACATCGGAGCATAGTAGCAAGCGCAGGCAGTGTGCGTGGCGGGGTTTAGATTCGGGTCCTTCGCAATAAATACGATAGCCGAAGGACTGATATCAAAGTCACCAGTACCACCGAAAGGGGGAATTGGCGATTCAACCGGTCCCAGCCCAGACACAGAAATCAAATTCGTAAGTCCCGAAACCGAGTACTTGCCCGCCTGTCTGCGCGCCGGCGACAGGGGCGCCTGCTCAAGCAAACCATAAAAGATGGCATACTTCTGCGGGTCAATGTACGCATCCCAATGCCGCACAAACAACGAAGTGTACAGTCGACCGGTGGTGTGTGATTTTTTCGCGTCGTGTGGGTTGAACAGGGAACCGTCTGTATTGGCCTTGCCTGACACAGCAAAGCCAATCTTGCCCGGTTCGATGACAGTGACCTTCAAATCCGACACTGGGCCGGGGACGGTACCAGCGGTGTATGTTCTATCAACCTCGCGCGCATTGCCGACAATGAAGCTCGTGTTGCCGTTGGGCTTGATCTTCAGCCAGACGAGCTGGTCGCTATCGCCCAGCCACTGGGGGTTGCTGGCACTGGGATCATTGGTGATAAGAGCCGATCGGCCAGAGTCAATGTCAATAACACGGATCTCGTTGGTCTTAGAATGCGAGTCGAATGAGTAGGATGTTTGGGTGTAGACAGCGAGGGTGCCTGCGGCGTTGGGGACGGCTGAGGACCGCCTGGGGGCGCCGAGGAGGACCCTGAGGGATGTTAATTGGGGAGCTTTATAGGTATCACGACGAAAACCATATAATGAAAGGCCAATATGGAGGGCGATGATATTTAACTAGAGGTCACTTACTCGGGAGTAAACTTCATAGGGCGGATTGTCATATCAATCAGCTCGAGATGAGGGGACAAGATAGCTAGCGCGGAGCTTCCCAGGGATGAGGGTGTAGACAGGGAAATGTGATGTCAGGGGTAAGAATAAGTAAATCCAGGAGGGAATGGTCCTGAATTCAGCGACTGTCAGTGAGAGTAAAATGTAGTGAAGATATGAACTGTAAGAGGAATGCAAAGACGAGCTTGCTGGGGAGGTTGGGGAATGCAACGTGACTCGACTCCATGCGGGGTATCGTCGCCATGGGTCCACGACTCCAACTAAGATCGGGTCCCGATCTAAACACGCTACTTTGCCACAACAAGCAAAGAGTGACCATGGTACAACCTGATTTATTTTTAACCTATAACAGCGAGTCTCTTGTAATAAAATTAAACAACAACGCGTCTACACGGTGAAGGAACTCACCCTTGAAGATAGATTAGGTAGATGGAACCCGGATATATATTTCTAGACTCGGACTGAAGCCTATACCTGCTGTTTGCTGTTCTTGGGAACAACCAAATTCTTAAAACCAACAGATTAAAGAAAAAGAAATAACACCTTTTGTATCCAGATAGCTCCAAAAACTATTATTACAAACAAGAAAACAAAATTGGAATCATAATCTACTCCTCTTCCTCCTCGCTCTCGTCCTCCTCCATACCCTCTGCAGCATTCACAGTGAAGGTAGGAGCCTGATCCACACCAACATAGCTGTCGCTCATGAGGTACAGCGTCAATTCATGCTCCCCAGGCGTGGGCACCACATATTCCAGTCGCAAATCAAGCTTGCGACCAATAGTAACTCGCTTAATGGCCAGCAGGTTCTTGGTCTTCTCCTCACCAACAACCAGCCACCAGTTCTCCATCTTCTGGTTGGGATAGAAGGGCGCGTGGACAACGGTGTCGACTTCGTCTTCTTCCTCGACCTCCCGCTGGATCTTGACCTTGAGGTAGGCGGGTTCGCCGGAGGTGACATTCTCCGGGTCTTCGACTTCAAAGTCCAGCTCGATGCTGGGGTACTTGTCGTTGGTGAATGCGGCGGCTTGGGCGAGCTGCTTGTTGTTGAGCCCAAGGCGCTTGACCAGGGTGGCGTAGTCCTTGTTCTCCGATGGATCCATGGCCTCCATGAACTCGAAGATGTCGTTGATCCTGCAAGAAGTCGAATTAGTATATGTGCAATGTCGATCTGAGATAGGTGATACATACTCATACTCCTTGGCCACCTCGATAACCTCGGGCGAGAAGTGAGGAATTTGCTTGAGGGGACTATCGCGATCCCACATAGCCTGAACCACCATCTGCGACAGCTCCATGGCATTCATAGCGTTGAGGTGACCCTCCGAGGAGAGAACATCCACACAGGCACTGAGCAAGTTGAGAACTTTCCGAACAATGTCCTCCTGATCCTTGGCAAGATCGATAGGAAGTTGCATCCGCGAGAAGTGGGCTTGCAAGAGAACGAACGCCTTGAAGTGTGGGGAGTCGAACGCGGGCTCAGACATCTTGACTGGCACACGGTCGTATACACGACGGAGGATGTGGTCCTCATGCCGGCGCATCTGGACGGACTCGAACTCGGTGGCCGAGGTGACGATCTCCAGGATACCCTTGAGCTTCGTACGAGCAGAGAGAGACAGCAGGAAGGTTTGCATGGTAATGAAGGAGATGTTGTAGTAGGCGCTGATCATAGCGGCATTCAGAGGGGACACGCTATCATCCTCCTCGTCCAGGTCGATAATCTTGGCGTCGGACAGTTCCTTCAAGGTAGTCTCAACCAACTCGGACAAAAAGGTGCTGAGACCCTCATGGCTCACGTCACTGAGGCCGTAGAAGCTGGGGTTGGCGAGAAGACGGCGGTAGAAGTAGGTATAAGTCATCCAGTCAACAGCATCCTGGGTGGAAGCGAGGGTACGAGTGCTAGCCTCCGTTACAAAAGCGTCATGCAAATAGACCTGGAGGTGGCTCTCAACGGGCAAAGCCTCATTAAGGAACTTCTTGTAGTACTCGCGCTTAACAGCAGGCACCATCAGCACACCACGACCGCTCTTGTCAACGCCGGGACGAGAAGCCTTGCCGAACATCTGAAGGATCTCGCTGATGGGGTAGTCGATGTAGCGGTGCTCACGGCCATCGAAGAACTGGGTGTTCATGACAATGACTAAATGGGCAGTGACATTCAACTCCCAGCAGACATCACGCGAGGCGAGGAGAACCTGGATAGCGCCAATGCTGAAGAGATGCGAAACAATACGCTTGTCAGTCTGGCTTAAAGCCTCGTGATAGTAGCCAATACCGTGACTCAACGAAGTAGCCAGGGTCTGCTCCTGGACGCGAGACAGCAGTGGGGCCAGCTCCTCGACATCCGCGTTCAAGAACCGATCTTCATTATCATCAATGGCACATGCAGCCAAAAGATCCATCGCTGTGGAACGAGTCTGCTTGCGGCTGGGGACGAAAACCAGAGCAGGCTTGTCAGGAGACAGCTGAAGAATTGATTGGTAGGCGGGTCGAGACATGGCAAGCATGAGGGAGGGGAAGTGAGGAATGGTGTATGACTGGATGTGCAGCTCCAAGGGCACAGGGCGAGCGTGAGGACTGAAATTGTAGATAGTGTGCTTGTTGGCGCCGATCCACTCGCCAATATCGCGGGCGTTGGAAAGAGGCACACTTAGGCCGAGAATGCGCATCTCGTTCTCGGTCTGTAGGGCAATGTAATGCATCCGAGAAACAACTACCTCGTAGACGTATCCACCAAAACCACCGAGCATGTGAAGCTCATCGGCGATGAACAGCTGGACAGTCTGAACGTTCTTACGCCTCTGCCACTGACGGGACAGGACGTCCCATTGAACAGGGGTGGCAAGGACAAGATCGGCCTGCTCTAGGAGCTTCAAGTCGGCTGTTGTCTCGCCGGTAAGCTTGACAATGGTCTTGCCACCACCGATGCCGCCTAGTCGCTTCTCCCAGTCAGCTAGGCGCAGGTCGACGAGCTCCTGGAAGGGAGCAATGTAGACCGCACGGCCCTCATTCTCAGCAGACCAGTGACGGAGCAGGGCCAGCTCAGCGCAAACAGTCTTGCCGCTACCAGTGGGTGCGCCGATGAAGACATTGTCGTCTGAGTCGAAGACAGACTTGAAGACCTGAGTCTGAATCTTGTTGAAGTGCTCCCAGTCGGGATACAACTTCTGGTACTCCTCGCGCTTCAAGGCCTTGACGGGGGCACGCTGCATATCCAGCAGAGGAGTGTGGGGAGGGAAGCGCTCGGGGAGAATAAGCTTCTGGAAAGACACGGCGATCTTCGTCTCAGAGTGCATCCAGCGATCGGACACCAGGGAGATGAAGTAGTTGGGAGGCATAGGCTCGGTAATCGGGACAGTAAACTCGACCATGTGCTCGTTCATCTCGGAAATGGCAAATTCACGGCGCAAAAGGAAACGGTCATGGAACAGGATCTCTTCACCATCACAATCCTCAACCAGAATCCAGAAATCTTGAGCGTTTCCATGAACAGCATCGTCCCAGACAAAGTTGGGGCTGATGGTCAATTCAACGCGAAGCATGGATCGGGTAATGGGCTGCACTTGAGCTTGCACATCAAGTCGAGGGAACTTGGAGACAAGGTCACATACAACACGACCAGCCTTGGGCATACCGAGCAGCTCACCCATGCGGGGAGGATCCAGGTCGAAGTAGCTGGGCCATGGAACATCAATTCGCTCAGCCTTCTGGAGAATATCCCTTGGACAGCCTGGGAATTGACGCAGAGGTGACATGGTGGGCCACATACGCTTCTCGGCCATCTTGCAGAGGTCAAGGGCAGTCTTGGCTACCGAGGACCAGCCCTTCTTCAAGCAAATCTCGAAAATGGCGCGAATGATACGACCAGCAGACTGGGTGACGTAGACCATGTCGGCCATCAAAGCGAGACCTTCCAGCTTCAGACGGGAGATGTAGGCCTGAAGGAGGACATTGATCTTAGCGTGAGGCTCATCAATAGTCTCTTTAACAGGGACTGGCACACGGCCCAGAAGCTTGCCAAGCTCCAGCTTCTCATCCTGGCGAACCGGGATGTACTTAAACTCGTCACTAAGAGCGAAAATGCGGAAGAGTTCGATGGTAGTAATGGAAGGCTGGAGGTGCTGGGCGTAGGTGAGCATCGAGTTGTGACCAATGTAGTAATGAGAGGAGATGCGGCCAAGCTCAGTCGACTGGAGACGACCAGTCTTCTTCTCGTACTTGACCAGACCGGCTCTCTCGAGGACCGTGGCGGCAGAATGGATCAGATCGACACGCTTCTGCTCTAGAGCATCGTCATTCTCATAGTCTGCACCGACGCTGTACAGACCAGGTGAGCGGAGCATGCGGACGTAAAGGTAGGTATAACCAAGCCACTCGACACCATCGTCACGGGTGCGAACATTGCCAAGCACAACTTCAGCATTCAGATTGTCAGCAAGCTTGCTCATGAGCTGAGACTCGATGGGCAATTGCTGATTCAGAAGCGAGAGGTAGTATTGGATCTCGGCTTGGGAGGTGATGATGATACCTTCACCAAAAGTATCGTACTGCGGTCGGCCAGCACGTCCGAGCATCTGGAGAACATCTTGCGGGCTGAGCTCGACCCAGCTACCCTTCTCGGGGGAATAGACTTGAGTTCCCTTGATGATGACAGTATGGGCAGGAAGATTGACACCCCAAGCCAAAGTTGCGGTACAGACAAGGACCTGAATGCTGCCATCGGCGAACAGGGCTTGGACGGAATCACGATCCGCAAGACTGAGACCAGCGTGATGGATTCCGAGACCGTAGGGCAGAAGATCCTTCAAGGACGCGTCGTCAACGGAATCAGCCTCCTCGGAGAGGATTGCACGGCTGGCAGCATCACTGCGGAGAATCTGTCCAATGGTCTCCATCTCGATGGCCTTGTCCCTGATATACTTGGCCGTCTTTGCTGTTTCCTTCCGCGAGTGGACGAAGATAAGCATCTGGTTTCGCTTCTGACCAACCTGCTCCATGACCTTGTTGTAGCAGATATCGTTCATGGTCTTCAGCTGCTTGATCGCCTTCTTATCGGTCACGCCGATGAATTCCTGCTTCAGAGGGCAAGGGCGGTAAGAGCCGTCGAAGTGGAACACACCCGTCTCAGGGTCTGCACGGAGGAAGCTTGCCACATCGCGGTAATTGGGAAGAGTAGCACTCAGACCAACAATGCGGACGGGGTCACCAGTCTGCTCAACTCGGCGGATGGTACGGCTGACAATGCTCTCGAGAACGGGACCACGGTCGTCGTGGAGAAGGTGAATCTCATCAATGACGATAAGACGAACAAGATTGGTGTAGCTGGTTTCTGATGCCTTGCGAGTAATGACATCGTACTTTTCGGGGGTGGTGACAATGATCTGGGTATCGGCAATTTGCTGCTTGTTGAGTTGGCGATCACCAGTAAGCTCAGCCACGCGAATGCCGTATGGCTCGAGGCGCTTTCCAAGATTTCCAACCTGTTCTTGGACAAGGGCCTTTAGGGGAGAGATGTAGATTATCTTAAAGTCGTCAAGCATGATCTCACCAGTTTCCGGGTTGCGATTTTTGCCAATCTCGCGGAGAATGGTGAGCATAGCGACGTTAGTCTTTCCGGAACCAGTGGGAGCACAGACGAGCAGATTGCCATCGTCGTGGAAAGCTGTCGGGTAGCACTTGGTCTGAATTCGATTCAGCTCCTTGGAGCTTCCGAAGCCGACACGCGCCCAGTCGGGAAGGTCTGTCGTAGGGATGTTTTTCTCACCAGGCAGCTTCTTGGCTTGAGGCGGGGGGACGTGAATCTCTTCATAGCCCTTGAAAGTTCGCTTGGTTGAGCCTTGGGGCAGCTTGACGTTGGGGTTAGTCATGAGGTGGTTACCCTGGTGGAAGACAAGATTCTCAAGGTTGATCAGTCGCTTGGGCTGTAGACCACCGACCAAGCCATTTTCACCAACTTGCTTCTGCTCCTGCGCTTCTGGCGCTGAAGGAACATCGACATCCATCAAGTCCAACTTGATCTTCTCGGGTCGGTGGGCGAGATCGTCGGTGGTCTTTCCGCGAATTTCATCCAAAACGGCACGGTGTCCAGCCTCGACCATCTGGCTCTCGACAAGGTTTCTTGCGTCTGCGTCTTCAGCAACCTGTCTCCAACGAGTAACCCAGACGACCTTGGTACGGTTAGAGACCAATTTTGCGACGAGATCAGGGTGGTCGTAGTCGAAGAGCTCCATCAAGTCGTTTTCAACATCCCGCAGGGGTTTCTCTGTACCGTCCTCCGCCTGGCCACCGAGAACGTCGAGAGCCTCCTTGGTCTTCTCTTGTTGAATATGGGCGTCGGGGTATACGGCACCAATCTGACGTTGGAGCCAGTACGCGTCGATCTCGCGGGCAGACACGGTCAATCCAGATTTATCCTTGGCCTTGTCGGCCCGGTCCAGACCTCCATCGAGAACCATTTCATCGGCCTCTTCAAGTTCCTCGGCGGAGCCCTCGCCTTTGGGTTGGTCCAGTTCGTCCAGTTCGTCCTCATCGGAGTCTTCATCCCGGATCTCGTCGACGGTGCCCATGCGGTCCTCGTCCTCGTCCTCCTCGTCGAAAACAACAGCCACACCTTGGCGCTCATCGAGCTCGCCTTCACCCTCGTCTAAACCGCCGTCCATATCCTCGTCTTCGTCTTCAGCATCGTAGTCGGTGATTTTCTTGCCTAGGTTGACAAGCTCGTTGAACTCCTTTGGATTCATCGAAGTACCCAACAAATCATCAATCTCCTTCTTTTTATCGAAATCCTTCATATCCTCGTCCTTGAGCAGCTCTAGCACAGCGTCGGCTGCACTGCGAACGACTTCGTGGGGTACATCGCCAAGGTTGGTACCAGTTATCGTAAGGATGAGGTCGTAAGTAGCTCGTGTGGCGGGTGTTCGGGGGCGATATTTGAGGCCCTCGATCAAAGCATCGGCTGCTGAAAGGATACCCTGGCCTCGTTGTTGCGCAGGCTGGCCGCGCTGGCGTTTCCTCTGTTCCCGCAGAAGCACGTCCTCGCCTTCGTGAATAGCACCTCGCTCGAGATCTGCTGCGGTCTTCTTCTTCGACTTCGGAACATCGTCGCGCGCGACTCGCGCACCCATTTCGCGAATGCCAATGCGGCCCGCGAGAGACTCTGGGTCACCGGTGGGCTCGTCATTGACGCGACTGATGAACCGACGGTCCGCCTGGAGAACCAGGTTGGACATCGCCGAGTACTTATATTGAGAGATATTTTGGTCCGCCATGTTGGGCGTGAGGTGGGAAAAGCTTTCCCAAGCAACAGATCAAAAGAGTGATAAAAAGGAAAAATGAGTGAGTCGCGACTCTGATCGGCCTCGTTGCGCCGCACTCAGATGTCGACCGCGTCGCACGTTGGGGGTATATCAGCGATTGAAGGGTGTTCAGGAGGTCTCACAAACCTGGCTCATCCTTCTCTGGCAAGTGAAAGGACTTGTATGGGGGAGAAATGGAGCCAGGGTTGATGAGAGGATTTGCAGATTTGCAGGGAGAGTTGAGCTCGGGAAGATTTCGGTGGCGAAGGCGGAAGGAGGGGAGCTTTTGTGGTTCTGCCGCTTCTCTCCCCGTTGACGTAGAAAGGCGTTGACGTTGCAACGATGCGTGTCAATGCTCGGGGCTTTGCTCAGTTGGCTCCTTGTTTACGATCATCGGTTGACCGAGTCCCAGTCATCGCATCTTTTCAATGCCATGTTCATCGAGCAATTTGCCACCATGCGCGTCGCAGCTCGTTGCGCCCTCGCGTACCCGCGACGCTCCCGCCAGTTGAACAGTACAGAGGCGCCAAAACGAAGGCGACTGTCAAATTGAACGACCTCCCACAGGGTGTTGTCAAATTGGAAACCTACGATGACGGAATGGATGATGCCCCTCGGTATCCTACCGTGGTGCAAGGGCATCGCAATAACATGCAGAAGTTTAAGAACTGTGTTATCCTAACAAGAGTTGGAGGCTTTTACGAGGTATGGCATGGAATTTTAGGAATATAACAGATACTCTCTAATACAATCATATTAGCTTTATTTCGAACAAGCCGAAGAACTTGCGCCACTGCTTAGCTTGAAGCTCGCGTCCAAGAAAACCAGCGCCGGACCCGTTCCGATGGCCGGCTTCCCTTTCTTCCAGCTCGATCGCTTCCTCAAGATACTCGTTCAAGACCTCAATAAATATGTGGCTATCAGCGAGGAGTTTGCTATTGAGGCAGAGGACAAGCTAAAATCTGGAGGCTTGATGTGGGACCGGAAGGTGGCTAGAATCATCACGCCAGGGACCTTGATTGATGAAAAGTTCATCGATCCCTCTGAGAACAACTTTTTGCTGGCAATATACTTGGATGTTACTGCATTAGCAGCGCAATCAAAGGACCAAGTCGATTCTCAATCGTCGCATCACATATTGTCCTCTGTACCTCAGGCTGTAGGCTTGTCGTGGATGGACTTGTCTACGGGCGACTTCTATACACAGCTCACAACATTACAGATGTTACCATCGGCCATCGCTAGAATTGGAGCTCGCGAAATCCTCGTTGATCAGAATGTTCAAGATTTGATCGGCCAGGAACTCCAGCTACTGGTTGGACATGAGCACCGTCTTGTGACATTCTTCCGATTTCCCGAAAAGTTCGCACCGATGTCTGAATGGGACTCCATGCTCGAAGCCCCCATTCCGGAAGATGCCCATGCCACATTCACTCCAGAGGAAATAGCCGCTGGGTACAGCCTACTTGAGTACACTCGAGTACAGCTGCAGAGGACAGACCTCAAACTCTCGCCTCCGCGCCGGCGGCATTTAGACGAATCCATGAGCATCGATCGAAACAGTCTAAGAGGTCTTGAGATTCTTGAGACTGCACGGGATGGGTTTGGTAAAGGAAGCCTGCTTCATGCTGTCCGCAGAACCAGCACAAAAAGCGGTGCTCGCCTTTTACGGGATCGACTGAGTAAGCCTTTCAAAGATTGGACCAAACTTTCACTTTCGCTAATCTCAAGTACATAGCCTCTCCGTCTACATCCATCCAAGTAATCAACGACCGATTGGACCTTGTCTCGGTGTTTATTGACAACCCCGATCTCCGCGATGGCGTAATTCAGTTGCTCAAACGCAGCTACGATGCTCAGCGCTTGGTACAAAAGTTTGCTCTTGGCAAAGGAGATGCCGACGACTTGATTTGCCTTTCTCGAGCCGTTGAAGCCTCCAAGGGGGTTAGACAAGTCCTCTCCGACCATGCGAGACAACTGCGTAAGTCCGATGCGAAACAAAGCCTAGCGTCAATGATCTCTCGTCTTCATCTCGACGGTCCGATTGCTATAGCGGACCGCATCTTGGCTGCCATCGACGAGGATTGTCTCCTTCAGCAGCAACATATCGAAGAAAATACGGCTGCTGAAGCGGCTCGCCTTGCCCAAGAAGTTGCTTTGAACGAAGGCACCCCCAGCGAGCTGGAGGCACTGCCAAAGAAAGTTCGTGCCAAACCCAGCGGGCGCACCGCCACCGTGGATACGGACTTCGGGCCTGTTGAGACATGGATTATGCGCCGCGATGCCAGCAAGACACTGAAAACCCTCCATGAGCAACTGGACGGATTCTTCGATGAGAAGAGTACACTAACCCAGCGCCTCCGTGAGTCCGTGTGTTCCACCAATCTCACACTCAAATGGACGCCCGGACTAGGCCACATTTGCCACGTCAAAGGCGCCAAAATCTCTCAGCAGTCCCTTGAAGATCTAGGCGTCACGCGAAATGTGTCGTCCACCAAATCCACCCGCTCCTTCTACCTACCGGCCTGGACCGAGCTCGGCAACCGCATGGATAATGTGAAAGTGCGAATTCGACAAGAAGAACAAGCTATCTTCGAGCGCCTCCGCCGCGAAGTTATTCTCAACTTAGTCAAGATCCGCCGCAACGCCGCGGTCATGGACGAACTGGACGTGGCCTGCTCATTCGCCACCCTAGCTCAAGAACAGCAAATGGTCCGACCCATTCTCAACGAAGGAACCACACACAAAATTGCCGGCGGGCGCCACCCAACCGTGAAACTGGGCCTCGAAGAGCAAGGCCGGACGTTCGTCAGCAACGATTGCTTCCTCGGCGAGCGCGAGCGCATCTGGCTCATCACAGGCCCTAACATGGCCGGTAAAAGCACCTTTCTGCGGCAAAATGCACTGATTACGATCCTCGCACAAGTCGGCTCCTATGTGCCTGCTGCCTACGCCGAGATCGGGGTCGTTGACCAGATCTTCAGTCGTATCGGGGCTGCAGACGACCTATTCCGCGACCAATCGACTTTCATGGTCGAGATGCTGGAGACTGCAACGATCTTGAAGCAGGCCAGTCCGCGATCATTTGTGATAATGGATGAGGTCGGGCGAGGTACGACGCCAGAAGATGGGACGGCGGTAAGCTTTGCATGTCTTCATCATCTCCACTACCGAAATCGCAGCCGCGTGCTGTTCGCCACGCACTTCCATGCGCTGGCGGATATGACGAAGTCATTTGAGTGTTTGGAGAGGTATTGTACTGATGTCAAGGAAAGCCCCGGTGGAGGCTTCTCGTTTGTGCATCGTTTACGAAAGGGCGTGAATCGGGAGTCGCATGCGCTCAAGGTGGCAAAGCTGGCTGGGTTACCCAGGGAGACTCTTGAGCTTGCGTCTCGTATCCAAGGGCAGTTGAGAGAAGAAATAGGCTCCTCAGACGATGCCAGGTTAATCAACGAGACTTGCGATGACAATCGACCTCTCTCGCATACTGCCTAGACCCTTGCACCGCCGCTCTGAAGCTGAATTTGAGTTTCGATCTGTACAAAGCATATCTCGATGTCCTGTTTATAATAACCTTGTATTATATTTATGACCCGATTTCATTCAGAACTACGTGTCTTATGTAGCGCCACCACTTCCCCAAGTCACATTGCCCTTGACCACCTGACACTTATTCCCACCATCCCCAATGGCTGGATTCTGCATCGCGTTAGTGCTTATGGACCCGGCACCGGGCCGACGATATAAGGCCGATAAGGCGGAGAGCTTGGGCCACATTATGGGGGAAAGCTTTGTTATTATTGTTTGGGAACCTTTGGGCTTGGATTTGGATTTGAGTTTGAGTTGGGGTCATCCCGTGGTTGTCAATGGGTCAATAGTTGCTTATCGTAGCGACGAACTATCAGTCATTCCGATGACTGTCGACTTCTCGAATTTCACTATTAAATTTAGTGACTCCTAATGACTCAACCTGGCAACTAACTATAACACCGCAGGATGTGTCGGTCAACTTGAAAATATCTATATGCAGCATCCTGGATATATCTAACTGCAAGCAATGACGTACCAGAAGTAGACCCTTTTCCTCTGCTCACATGCAAATTATGAAACGCCGTGGATAAAGGGCTGGTCCAAGCGCCCACCGTTCCACACTTTACGGCTTAGAAACTACATCGACTTGTATAGTGGTCGCGGTTTATTGTTATTCTTCCCCATGTGAATTACTCTGTTGTTGGCAGATACTGGCAAGTAAATACATTAGGTTCATCTACGACTAGCTCACGAAACTGGCCCGAATAGCTGGAAAGAGTATACCAGAAGTAATAGTGTGCGTCGATGTCTTCATGGCTCGGCCATTTCCCCTCATTCCAAGGAGCAAACACCTCATCATCCATAATTGGCTACCAACCCCCACGTTGCGGTCCGTAGATGAGACGCGGGACATCGAGATTCCGGAGAAAGGGAGAGGTGGATCTGCAATACACAAGCAGCTATGGAGCAAGGAATAACATCAAGACGAGTCTGATTCGACAAGTCGGCTCCGAGGACATGGATGATAGGTACAGCAACGCAGTAGGCGACGAGAAGTCCGCACTGCAGTTCGCACAAAACAAGTCAGGCAACCAACTCATTCACAGTGTTTTGGAGCACGATGCGGCTCTGTTTTGGGCACGAATTTGCCAGAGTTGCGAGCATCGGCGAGTCCGCGCTGTTTAGATTGATGGTTGACGGTTAGGGCTCGAAGGATGAGCCGTGCATTGACTGGCGATTGGCTACTAGCTCTCCCGTATTGCCGTCAGTTGTCCAAGCGGGTTTCATTTCGGATCAAAGTCTGTATTCATTGGCTAGAATCCCGGATCTTTGCAGTTTACAGTACTGAAGTATGCCCAACATCCAGTCATGCTCGTCATCTGGTTGTTGTCGTGGTTGTATTCGTCTCGCGGTTGGCGCTTGACCGCGATGTCAACGGGAGGCTCTGAATGGACCATTTCTTATAAAATCAGGTTGCTATTTCCCGTTCAGACTGGCCATTTTCTGTGTCAACATAAGATAGGATTTTTCTCTGGGCACGTCCAGTATACAGAAATCTATTCGGACTTTGAACATTGAAGTTTCTATTTGCAAACGGGACCCTTCTTTATACATCGCCATTGTCCGACCTCTATATCTCTTTACACTGATACAGTCCTGTCTACCATCATGGCTGATCCAGTAACACCCACAAAGCCGAAGGAGACAGGCACAGACACAACGTCTCCAGCCACAGGTTCTGGTGGCACAGCTTCGTACGTTTCCAAATGATATAACATCAACCTATGGCTCAATTATGAGATATCCCATACTAGAGATATCTGACTTGCTCCTTTTCTGTCGACAGAAATGGTTCTGGATCCGGAAGCTCAAGCCAAGATCAGGAACTCCGGGGGGTGGGCGGCTGGGTAAGCAGGACCTCCTTTCCCCTGTCTCCATACGCCGAGGATGCTCTATATTAACGGGCGAAGATTGGGGATAAGTAAACCCTCCCCCGCGTCACGCCATACCTAGCCCAGCGAGGAGGCGAAGGAATCATACGGTAAGAGGAGAGATCCCTTTCTAGATTTGACCCGGGCATCAAGAAATGATTCAAATCCGGCCAATCGGGGTGTGATCATTTATTAACAAAACGGTTAGGTTTAACCCGGAATTACCCGATGTGGTTATATTGGCCACTGCACGACCAAGCCGATGACGTTGATGATATTATGGCGATATTGATGGATACTTGCAAGATGGGAAGGAATTTTTCTTGAAATTGCAGGGATGCAATGTTCCCGCGACGGAACATACGGCGACAGCCACAACACACAGACAGAAAGGATTTATCATTGGTTTTTGTTCATATTGGGCTTTGCTTCAGACATTTATGATTCGAGGAATGGGCTGTTAGTGGGGACAATGCAGGGAGCGGAGGCTTCCCCTCTTCTTCTCTCCACCGGGACACGGAATGAGATGCAACTGGATATGAGACTGGTGCTGGCGCTAGTCCTGGGAAAGGGTCATATTGAGGGGTTGTGCACAGATGACTAGCATTATTACTATTATTATTATTATTTTGTATTTGGCTACGGCCGGGGCTAAGCATATACTTGTACCAGCCAAGAATGAATCATTTGTTTTGTTAGCTTCTACTCTTTCCCACTATTGATTGAATCGTGATCCACAATTCATGACTCGCACGCAGCTATCGTGTACTCTTTGGAATGGATTTCTGAATCCACGTCTTTCTTGCATTATACGTATACACCGCTACGGCACCGAAGACCGCCGTTGGCTGTACATTAATACAAATTGTAGTATCGCCGTGTTGCATTCGCAACGCACTAGTGCCCAAGAACGGGATCTAGGAAGCCACTAGTCTGCAATCCTGGTCATTGTCGGATTTCGACATTCCGCGGAAGCAAGTTGAGTCAGTATTCATAAGCATAATGAATGCCTTCAATTGAACTCGGACGGGCTCAGTCTGCTGGTAGGGCTGAGGGTGGATACCGGCTGGCTGTGAGAGTGGAGTCGACCATTAGGCCGGAAGTACCTGCAAGAGGTGATGCATGCTTGCCTGATACCTAATACCCGGTTATCGGAATCAGTTTCCAGGTCCTGGATCCTGTTCAGCATTTATCCTCAGTGACTGGGGGGTACGTTGTTCACAAGCACTTCGTTGAGGTTAAATGAAACATCTTACGAACGTTCAAGATTTGTCGTTTCTGTGTTCTTATTGGTCCTAGGTAAGAGAGTTAGAAGCTTGGGCCGCTATTCCCGATGATTAGGTATCAACAAGGGACAGATACAGTGGCAGTTCGAAGGTCTGAATAATGTGAAGACCAGAGAAGTGGTTCAACCCAGATTTCTTTCGGAACGTCATTTTAGTCATTTTTAAACCGCCTTTCTGATTAGTTCAGGTATCTTTTCCCCACTATCTCTAGATGGCTTGAAACGCAAGGGGGTCCATAAACCAGGGTGTTGTCATTGTTGTGTTGCCTTCCAGTGTCGATGGGTGTTTCCAACGATCGCTCAGTGCAACTTTGAAGTACGCGGATGCAAGCATGAGGGTGCCTGAATGTACATTGAATGCAGCATCCCCTCCAAAGTACTGGGTCCATGGGGCTGAGCTGCTCACATGGGGATGATCACTCGTGTCTCTGGTTGAACCGACACCAGAAGGTACTTTTATACTGAACTTGCTCTTTACCCGTTGACCGTTCGCTATGTTGCTACGTTTGCTAATCCCAGAGCTTGACTCACGTCTCAAAACGAGGTAAGAAGGCTTAATATGCCTGCTCAGTAAACGAAAGGGGGAAAAGTTATGAGGTTAGCCAAGGAAGACGAAGAAGACGAAGAAGAAGAAGAAGAAGAAGAAGAAGAAGAAGAAGAAGAAGAAGAAGAAGAAGAAGAAGAAGAAGAAGAAGAAGAAGAAGAAGAAGAAGAAGAAGAAGAAGGATAATCACTTTCCGAAATGAGTTGCTGATTGAACCAGTCACGTAAGATCAGATATAAATTAGGCTCGGAGGCCGAATATGAGAGCTATGGGGACGAAGAGAAAAGCCATGAGCTAAGCAATGCGAGAAGTGGCAGATTGTCAAGGTAGCAAGAGTCATCTACCGGTGGTTCATGACCTTGCTAAACCTTTGCAGTGAGATGAGTATTGAACGCTGTAAGCGAGAGATGGATGGCAAAAACAATGGGGTTGCTAGTCAATCTGGGTATGCATCTCCCTCTGAAGGCGCAATTGTAATAGCATGACCGTCAGTATCCAGGGCTGTCATCAGAACCAACCTTCAAATTCCAAGTTCAGCGAGCTTAAGACGTGAAATGGATCTCAAGGAAAAGTCCATCTTCGACATGCAGGCCGTGATGTTATTCCCAAGGACCTAGGTTCGATTAATGCTGGGCCGACATCTCATGTCTTGATCAGGGTTGAAGTGATCCGGCTTGAAGTTTGCCCGTGATCTTTCCCCACAGTAGATACCGTGGAGCTTCTCTTTCCACACGGAAAGTGTCTTGAACACTTCAGGAGGACCATAGACACGGCCTGACCCCTCCTTGTTGCCATAAATTAGAAGCAAGCTTTCTTTGTTGAAGATCATGATGAGCCCGAGATATCCGTGCCCTTCGCTACGCTGCGACCCACCCATCCGCTTCCGCGTATGGGTGCGCCACCTTTTCATGCCCACCACCTTTTCATGCCCAATTTTCGAATACACCATGCGATTAATCAACCAAAACTAGCTAAAAACACGCAATTAACCCATATAGAAGAGCTCTCCGTTATCCTTCGCTTCCTTCGCACTATCCTTTGCACTCTGAATAGTCTCATCCGATAGTTGTGAAGGCTTGAAGCCGTACGCCTTCTCCGCTGCCTTATCAATCCTCCGCTTCTCTGCAGCGTTTTCCTTCTCCTTTCTCTTTTTAATTGACCGATTCGCATCACGAGCCCTTAGTATACCATCCTGGCTAAGCGGTTTAACCTGCCGCTTAGTATATACTCGACGTTGGGGGTCTTGCGCAGCCCGAACGCGCCGAAGTGAATCCTGCGTCATAGCAAGCTCCTCCAGCTTATCTAGCTGGTGTTTGAAATTTTTGGCTAAATTTCGCTGAGCCTTCGCTGAATTGACCTGAAGATCTCTTAATATCTTCGCGTGATTCCTCTCCAGCGCTTCGACAGTAGTGGGAGGGCTATTTTCCACGCTAGAAGATAGAAATTCTGGAGATAGTGTGCGAATATACGACCGAAGCTCCGGTGCATATAGTTCAGGAGGATCTTGCTGATTCGCTAGATTATCCACAATCTGACTACCATTGACTGGGTAAATACCACGCTCTTTGAAAGATTGACGAATAATTCGCGGATTAAAGGCCTTTTCGCGAATTGGCCCGATAATCCGCAGGAAATCTGATTTCCCATACGGTCGACCACCCCAGAACGATAGCTCATTATTCGTAAGGCGAAACTGCTGTTTATAATTCAAAAAGGGCTTCCCATCAAGCGGTTGACAGAGGTGTGTAGAATGCGGTAGAAATGCGAATGGTACGATCGCATGCTGCTCGTATTTCTCCAGAAATTCGAGGGTAAGATGCGCGCCGTGCCCGTCGAATATAAGATATCGCTTCTCGCCTGATCGTAAGCGATCACCAGCAGTAGCAGTAATAAAGTAGCCTAGCTAAGCTAGTGCTAATTCATCAGAAATCCAGCCGTTTGGTGATATTGCAGTGCCTGTGTTAGGCGGCAGGGCTTCGCTACTATTGTACCAGGTTTCCATAAAGTTAGATCCGCTACTTTTGAAGATAAAGAGCGGATCCATTAGCCAGCCGTCAGCAGCGATACACTCAACTGCAGTGATAGTCTCGCCTCGCTTAGTTTCAGCTAGATTAGGGTAAGATAAGCGAGAGCCGATAACTTTCCTTGATCGCCCTTGGCTAGGCTGGAAGCCGCATTCATCGAAGTTGTATACTAGCCGTGGGGGTATATTATGGAGGAGAGTTGCTAGCTTATAGTACCAATGCGCAAGGAAGCCTGCATCTTCGGCTTGGATTCGCTTTAATTCCTTCGTCTTCTGCTTCACTGGGGCTAGCTTTAGATGCGCTGGAAGACGTGCTATAAAGCGATACGCCCACATCTTGCTAACCTGCCTCTCCGGCTCGCCCCCTCGTGCGATCGCACGATTCGCCCACGCTTCTATAATCGCTGCGGTAGGGGGAAGGTTCCAATCGCGCATTTTAGCTATCCAATTGATTAAGGCTTTCTCCTGGAATGCACGAAGGGCGTTTCTCTGCGAATCCTGCGGTGTAGGAGGCGATTTGGCCTTTCTGACGCGCTTCGAAAGGGTATCGCGAGACACGTCGAATTCACGCGCAATTTTGGAGAAATTTGGTTTTTTTTCGCGCATAGCGGCTGCGAAGGCCTTTGCCATACGTTCTTCGTTGAAATTAGCAGATTTAGGCATATTGGGTGGTTGAAGTAGCTGAATGTGTGGTGTATTCGAAAATTGGGCATGAAAAGGTGGTGGGCATGAAAAGGTGGCGCACCCATACGCGGAAGCGGATGGGTGGGTCGCAGCGTAGCGAAGGGCACGGATACGTCGCATCACAATATGCCCCACAAATGTATGGGCCATGCTGCAGTCGATGTAGGTGATTCTGAATTAATCCGGTCAATTGGCCCAGCCAGTCGACCTCAAGGCCGTATTTCAGGAGCTTTTGCTCTTCGATCTTCACAATTCTCTCTAGATGTAAAAAAAAAGATCCTGTGCTAGAAAGTCTGTAATATTGTGCAACGTTTTGGGTGGGATGGGTGACTTCTTACCCCGAATAAGCAAGCCCGGACCCTCATGGATCTCGAAAGCAGTGAGGCCATGCTCCAAGGTAAGCTTTGCTGTGGATTTGAACAGGTCCTTGATCTGGAATACCTGCACAGTCGTGGCCCATTCCTAGGTCCGTAGCCCGAGATTTCCGTCGAAATACCATCTTTTGTAGGTAGAAAGCCAGGTTCATGATAGGTTTTGGGATATAAGTGCACTCAAGGTAGTCAGCTGTGGCGGCAATTTCGTAGAAATTATCAAGAGTGATCCAATAAGGGGCGCTGTCGACTAGACCAAGGGCGAGGATCAAAAGAACCTGAATTGCCCAGGGATTAAGTCCATGTAGGGTCAGTTTCTTGAGTCCACCTTCCTTCGATGCTGTCAGCCAACGATCACTCCGCCGCTTCAAAGTATCTCGACTCCATGGCCAGGCGGTCGGAGGAGACTTGAAACGACGTATATTGTAGGTCACCCTTAGGGAGGCGGGTTCGGGAAGCCAAATCATCTTGATGAGGCTGGTGGTCCCTGTTGGTGATTTGGTTGAGAGTATCGGAGACGACGATCAGTAAGTCACCGTCCCGAGCAATGATCAAGGGATCTATGTGAGCCATGGTGTCGTCTTGGTTGACAGGAGAGTAATAGAAGAGGCAAAGAGAGAACGGAGGAAGAGAGAGTGGAGACAGAGAGTAGACGAAGAGAAAGGAAGAAGAGAGAGGCTGGCAGAAGAGAGATTGATAGAGGACAGATTGGCGGAGGAGGTATTAGCAGAGGAGAGAAGGGCAGAGGAGAGAAGGGCAGAGGAGACCAGTATAGAGTAGATAAGGAAGTAGAGTGTCACTGACAGAATAGCCAGTAGCAATGAAGGCCACAGTGGCTACGAAGGGGAAATTGTAAGTTGATTCAGAAAAGGTAGATCAACCTCTCGTGAACTTCAAATACATCTCAGCCTTCGTGGATGCCACTCACTGCTTAATGAAATTTGATAAAGTTGCGCCAAAGCTTCTTAATGTGAAGCAGTAGCAGGAAACTTGGATGATATTGAAGCTATGAGGAATCTAAGTTTGGATGAGCCCTGGGGCTCCTAAAGTAGTGTGGGGCCGAGGCTCCACCCTAATCTACGAAGAAAGCTATCCCTCATTATGGACTCGTATATCAAGATGTCAATAGAATTCTATAGACGGATTTATATCACGTGCACCGCTCAAATTTCTGGGACTTGAAAGATCAGAAACCGATTTGATAAATATATGAGAGAAACAAAAACCAGGCCAATGATTAGCCATAAGTCAGAGATCTGGTTGTCATAATTGACAGATATTTCGCTGAGTTGAGAGATTAGTCTCGGGTACATTATAGTGCAAGGATTTCTTACTATTAATGCACAGAGTACTATCAACGTTTGTTCGGTGGCTATGCTGAGCATCAATTTAGGGGCATAGAAATGATGAAGGAATCTGGGATGGCATTTCAAATCATTGCCCCGCTCTGGGTCTCGGCCTTGAATTCTCTTCTAACGGGTTAAGAAATGGGTTCTGAGATACGGATATGTTAAAGCCCAGTGAACTGATGGCCGATGGTTTTAAAACATCTTGGTTGAGGCTTTGCGTGACGACATTGGTGTTCTACACTAGAAAACAAAGCAGAAGAGGAAGCCGTGTTGAATCTGTCTGAAGGGTAATTCCGTCCTTCTTGCCGACGGGCAGATGCTATTAAGTGACTCAAAGAGGAGTCCACTATAAATTTGAATAAATCAGAATGATGGATTGGTATACAAGCGACTTTTGTACGCAAGTTTGAGGATATCACGGCAGTCAAGAAAGTATGCTGCCATTGCAATCCGAAAGAGATTTTTGGAGGTTACATAATGAGGGCCTTCATCCTCCATGCCATGCATGCTCAACAAGATGGTTTGCACCACCCAGGGATTGAATCCGGGTAACACCAGCCTCACAAGCCAAGATTTCGTGTAGTTCATCTTTCATCGACCGCTAAGCACGGCCGCGAAGTATTTGGAAGTCCATGAGAGACTGTTTGCGAAGACTAAGAATGACTGAGTAACTTGGTCATCCTCACGGGGGCGGCATTTCTCGTTGGCGATCGAAAGGATAGGCACGGGAACGACGTGTAAAAAGATCCATCCAAGGGATCATGAGCAGTGTCTTTTGGTCAACCATATCGGGAATCTTGGATCCACATGTATGTAAGATGTTCAATATGGTTTCCATAACCACGGAATCACACCCTGGAATGTTCAAGTGTAAGGCTCCTGTGAGCAGCTAGTACCCTGCCCTCCGGCCATCTCATTCCCAGTCGTGTGCGAAAGTAGGGTGAAGACATTGTAAGATGCTTGGAGGAGACTTGGAATTTTCGCGACTGGCTGGGTGATAAACCTAAAGGTACAGTGGTTGAGCCACTCCCGACGATGAGAATCAAGTCACCTTCAGGGTCGATGGGTATGATCTCTCCGGTGGTGGTTGGATCTATGATTTCAGGGTACTGGTAAGTGATCAGAGGGCGAGTTCGGAACTTGTGAGGAACGCGAGTGAGAACCGATGAGCTTAGCGGCTGTCAGTTGCGATGACTGTGGATAACCCGGAGAAAGTCAGGAGGAGGAGGAGCTGCCTGGTTCCAGAAGTTTGCCGAATTTGCCTATGGCGGCAGACAAACAATTGGATGATGGGTCTTACTGAGGCGCTCAGGTGCTGAGCCTGCCCTGGAAGACTCTGTCCGGTAGCGTGTCGAACTAAGAAGTCTAATTGGCCATCCCAGATGAGTATATCATATGAATCCTTATATTCGTGCCAGTTCTCGCGAAGATTCCATCACTGTGTGAGCATTGACCAGACCAGCATCTCAGTAATTACCTGAATTCGCTAGGTTTATCGACTTTGAGTGAGTCCAGTACCTTGATAATTCCAGGTTCTTTTCTAAGCGCATGTAATCGCAAAGGACTGTAATCCGGTCACCATGAGGCACAGCGTATTATCGACAAAGCTCTTCATCAAATAGCCAAGCAGTGCGATATGATATCAAGATGGCAGATCAATTTGATTGGCCATCAGTCCTGGAAAAGAGGTCAACACAAAGGCAAATACGACACCCTCAACTTGGAAAAAGAACGATAATTGTATCAAGTCCTAGAGATATATAATTGACGATATCGATTTGCAGAGACAGCACGATGCCTTACAGAAAGCAATTTTATCCTAGTGGGGACCACACCAGTCGCCACAATATATGAGTTACTGCTTCTGATATAACATCCATCCTCTCTCTTTGGGTTGGTAAGTAATTCAGTGCAAAGCCTAGGTAAGGTTTATATCACCATTCAGAAGCCTTAAGAACCATGCAAGGGTGTAAAAGAGCAAAGGCTTTGAGGGAAACTCCCGGTAGCCCAATGAGTAAGTGCTTATCGCAAGCTACACCCATACTGAGCATGTTGATATGTTCACGAATTTTTCCACTCATTCGCAGCGTAGATACCGAACCCGGAGAAAGGGTGAAGTAGTTACACGTGGCTTGATGTACACAAAGTAGCTGTTTCATCAAAATCAAGGTAGATAGACGACCATGAGCAAGAAGCTCTCCAATTACCATTCAGAGATTGCGTCAGTCATTTAACACTACCAACATACGACTTGGAAGATCGTAAACTTCTTAAAATATAGTCTCGGGATCCCACAACCGAATCCGCTTGTGGGGACATTCCCGACCGCGAAAATCCCGCGTGGAGACTAGTCCATACCCCAGCTCCCGGAGGCAACATTAGTCGCACAATCTCTCAAGCGTTATTCAATCATTATACTGTTCCATTTCCAGTATATTTCACAAGCATGACATGCGAAAAGTGCCCGTCCGACAAGCCGGCCCCTGAGCCCGCCCCGGATCACAACCAGCCCCTTGTTCGACGCGTTCTCCAGATGTGCACGAGATTCTTGCCTGAGGGATCTGCGCTGCTTTCCTCATCATGCTGTTGGCTGCCGGTATGGATTAAAATATCCCCTATTGTGAGTGCGTATATGCTGATCATCTAGACGGTCCTCGATTTTCTCTTTGCAGGGTCGGTTACCGCTGCTGGCGTGGAGTACCTTCGGAATGCGCTCTTGGCAACCTCCATCGTGGGACTTGTGTGGGGAGTGCGTCGTGAAGGATTCTCTCGACGGATGGTGTGGCGTATCGTGATCTGTTTCGGATTGTTGGCATGGGCGCAGTATAATCGGCGGACGCAGGTGGTGCGTCCTGGATCGCATAGTTGTCATTAATCGAGGACGTGAATAGAGCTATGGTTCATGCTGCACTTTTTGCTAGTAATCTCTAGGTCTCGCTTTCCTCTCTTATAAAACTTTCTCTTCATGAAGAAACTTCCTCTTTTCGTATATCCTACATCATTCCGCACTACACACACACCAACACCAGAGCACAACACAATCTTCGAAATGGCAGGACGGATCTGTCAGTCCCATCCGGTGAAGCTGGATCGGGTATGTGCATGACAAGCCCCATGTCAACATATTCAGGGTCAGAATATAGCCAGAGTAGCTGATGTTGAAATTCTCCTATGTATGATCCTGGAAAAGAATTACTCGATCGTCATACTCCCAGAAATGAGACTGAAATCGAACGTCGCTGTACAGTACACTTAGAAATATTGATGTATTTGCCGTATTCTTCTGATTTGTAACTATCACTAAGAGCCCTGAATGGCGTCACAAATGGAGAGAGGTAGAAAGCGAACCTCCAAACAAACCATGGGCTCATTTGCCGACGAAATTGAGGTCAAGATAGATGTGTCCGTCCATGCCCGTTTCAAATGTGACTTGTCATTGCGGGTTCCTCCGGCTCATCTCGGGATGAGGTTAGATGGCATGAAAATGGGGTTGTTGAGGAGAGAGTGGATAAAGGGGAGGTGTTAGTATATTTCCAAATCTGGAGCTCTCCATAACCTTCGTCTGATAGTCACTTACCTTGAACTCTAGGCCCCATTCCGGGACATGTGAGATGCCGTTTAGCTTTTCTTCCATCTGCGCGATATGCTCAAGAAGCTGGTCGCCCAGAAGACTCTCATCGGCACATGGAGAACGGCGGGGTGTACGCGGGGATGGTCTCCAAGAACGGGTAACCTTGCTGGCAGTGTTGAGAGTACGGCTGTTGTGGTTGGGGTTTTCCCATTCCTTCGCAGCCTGGCAGAACGAAAATGGGCTGCATGCCGAGGTAGTTACGGCAGGCTCCTCCCCAGAGAGAGCTTCAGTAGACGGAGTCTTGAACTGGCCCGAATATTTCATCAAAGCCCCAGCCTTTTTGGCGTTGCACTTAAAGGTGCAGTGGATTTGTTGGGCCCCGAGATAGGCAATTTGTAGATCGAGAAGATCGAAGCATTGCTTCAGATATGCGTTTCTTTTGCCAAAGATCACTTCCAGAATCCACTTTGGAATAGGCGACGGACCTAGATGAGCAGAGGCGAGACACTTTTGCTGGGTCAACTGTGTGAGGTGTGGAAAGAGGGATTTCCAGCGGAAGATGTACGTGATGTAAATTAATTCCCATGACCAATCGGTGAGCTCTGTAGGGAACAACCGGACAAGCTGCTGGCAGCACCAGAGGCTCCATGTCTGGAGTGCCTCGCGGCAGAGGAAATAATCCGTGGCTAGTGCCACTTTCCATAGTCTCCCGCAAGATACCGGGTGAGGAATTTGCCACTGGCTTCCGTGAATGGCGTTGAGCAGAATTTCCATTGTCTTAGAATCGTGTTCGGTGGTGGATAGATACAACTCGACCGCACCGTTGACGGTGACCGCACGTCCCTCGCGCCAGTTTGTGCTAAACTGCGCTCTGAAGTAGGCAGAAGCAAGGGCAACATGCTTCGAGGACAGGAGGAACTTGGTATACTTTGGACTTTCATCGTAATCGACGGTCTCGTCACATTCGTCACGAGTAAACAGGAGGACGTCGCCATCGGGGTTGATGACGATCACGTCGTCGGTGGACTGAGTATCGCTCATTTTGTCGTCTTCTGTTCCTTGGATGTAAGAGTGGTATCAGTGAGCGGTGATCTTATGAGGTTGTGAGAAGTGATTTTAGGACTGACTGTTCGATGCAGTTGATTTGGGACGAGGTTCTTAGCTGAGCGATCCGCGAGGAGGAGCGAGGAGGAGCGAGGGAGTTGATGTTGGTTGGAGGAAGAAAGGAGGAAGGAGAGGAGAGAGGAGAAATGAAGAAGGGGAAATTGCTGCAGAGAGACTGGAAATCATGTGGAGTTCAACTGCCGCTAGAAGTTGTTTGATCGCTCCGGAGTTTGCGCCGGAGGTCTACGTTCGCCATTAATCGATGTCTAGATGGTTCTCGCTTTCCTCGATCATCTTCCTACCAAGTAGCAAGGCAAGCCTTAGGTGATCTGGAAATGGTGTAGAGCTACCTCTTACCTCCGAGACAAACACACGTAGTGTTGAGGACCATCGCAAGCTTCTGTTTCTGTCATCTTTTCCAGGGGCGTCATTTCTAGATATTGTATCTGAGAGTACTAGACTTGACCAACTCACAACAGAATATGAGTAGTCAATAGTTGTGGATGGGGAATAAATACTCACTGGTCCGCTGACGCCCCCTAAACTTTTGATTCATGGTAATATAGTATGAAACAATTGAGCCGAAACCCGGAAATAGCGTCCTATTGGGATCCAGCTCTTAATCATGGCACTCCGATGAGGATATCATCATAGTGAGAGAGCGGTCGACATAGCATGAAAGTCGATATAGTATAAAGGTCAGTTATTTATCACGCTGGCTCTTACGAGAAGTGGCCAACCTTTGTGTCCTCCTCTCCAGATGTTTTCGGGTGTTTCGCAGTAACGGTGCCATGAGTTGTCTGGGATAGTCAGGATAGTTAGTGAGCGGTATGATGTGTTGAGTGTTAAGGGTGTGCGTACACTATCTGTCAACAGTTAAATGGTATGTACCGTACATCGCTTGATGAGATTACATTCTATTCGATTTCAACTCATAGTAGGCCTTTACTAAGCTGAGAATTAGTTATTCATTGTTGTAATCTAACAAAAATGGCTGTAATCTAACAAAAAATGTGTCGCGAAGCCAGCTATCTCTTTAGCTTTCCTCAGGCATGTTCAGCCCGGGAAGGAGACAGTAGAACTTCTAGATATGCTCTCCAGTCAAGGGAGGTATGAAGAGGCAGAAGCGATGCATCGACGGCCGCTAGAAGGCAGTGAGAAGCTGCTCGGCCGCGAGCATCCTGATACGTTCACCAGTGTTAATTAATTTGGCTCAGTCCTTGACAGACAAGGGAAATCTGCACAGGCGCAAGTGATGTATTGATAGGCTCTAGAAACACGACATAAGATGTTTGTACGTGAGCAATTTTACACTGCGATCAGTCTTGACGTTCTGTAGATTTTGTCGATCAATACAGGAACATGACGAGCCTTCTTAACTCTGGATTGTACCTATAGCATGTACTGTAGAAACAGCATCTATATCGATCTGCTGTAAATACTTCGTGAACCTCGTTTGTGACTGGTTATGCTCATAGGTCGATCCACCGGACTCATGTGCCATTGTCAGTTAGCAGGCCATCTCCCACGGTTAGGTGTGGCTGTTCGCTTAGCGGCGCTAGTATCTTTCATACGGCACGTTGCATATCTGTTTTTTTCCTGTGTATTGGCCTTATCAGTACTCCGTACTGTGATTTCATGTACCTTTCTAGTGCCAAGACTTTCACCAAAATTGCTATGCTCCAAGGCAATATGATTACGATAAGTTCGGAAATCACTTTTGAGCTAAAGGTAGACGAAAGGATGCTACAGTGTCTTTTCTACCCATCTCAGGTGATTTGGTTGATGATCTTGGCGTGATAGTAGTCAACAGCGGACTTTCTAGCACTGCGTCTCGGTGTAATTCCCCACGCCAACATTTGTAATCCGTGTTTGAATAGAGATATCAATAAGCATTTTATGATTGATGTTTGTGCAGCCTCGGGCAATATTCGAGATGTGTATTAGGGATGACGGGGCTCAAATGTGCAGGTACCTGGTGGGCGTTCCACCACACAGGGCATTTCATGTCACCGGGATGGGGGTTATATGACATCGAGGCCTCGTCGTTTAGAAAATTTTTACCGTGCAGTAAAGCAATGTGTGGCTTTCGATTGCCCAGGCAACGGCCCAAGCGACCTACTGGTGTACTATACTCTGCCCGCATCTATCATTATAGAACTACAGTCAGAAGACCTGGGTAGTTACCAAACCATGGTATATATTTTCAGTTGTAACATCCAGCAGATGCCACCGGTGAAATTATAGACATAAGATCCTAGAGGTGGGCCCCGAGGTAATTGAGTTAATGCGTAACTAAGGATATTGAGAAGTATTCAAACTACAGCAGATTAAGATTACACTCACGAGACCCTGCTAATTTAGAAACCATGCATTTTTAATACTGGTTTGAGATCATGTGACCCAGGTAGAAATATGGTGTTTTGGGGTGTCCAGCTCGGCCGGGAAGTACATTAGTAAGATTTGTTTCGTAATCTCCTCCATCTTCTTATCATCATGTGGCGGCGTCGGGTCTTATTGGGCTAGGCTACCCGCCGGCTCCTCAGGACAATCGTGACGATCCCTATCAATCCCAGACCTGCCAGACCAGTCTAAAGTCGGTATCTGATGCATACCGAAGGCAACAAGTCACAAGCTAAGCATGCGATGGCTAGAAATATTTATACTGTATCTTCTCGCACGATAGGGAAAGGAAAAGCAGCTCAATAGTTCAAGGTGGGCAAGATCGACCATCGATAATTATGACTCATTTGAATACGAGTAGCTATCAGCAACCGTTTACTCCGTACATAACTCTCTCTTCTCGCCGCCGCCTTCTGCGCATGAAGTTGAATCCCCTCAATGATTTGCAATACAGTAACATAATGGAACCGAAAAAGATTATCCCAGCATCTGCTTCACCAGAAGCCCAACATCACTTCATGACCTCTTATCCTTGGACTAGCCCGCTATTCGCCGACTCATCCCTACTCCCTATCCAATCAACTCATCAACATCCTTGGCCTGGGATGACCTCCCGCTTTATGGCAGATACCCTCCGCTCGACAGATTCAATTCGTCACCTCCAGTCCTTTTTCAAGCACAACTCTAACATTACTCCGGCAAATACGCACGAACTAGACCCTCTAACGGGAGAAGTCTGGACTCTTTACTCCCTAGGGCGTGCTATTGAAGGACATGAACGTATTTCCCATGGCGGATTTGTCGCTACACTACTTGATCAGCAAACTGGGTCAGCCGTGATTTTTAATCCTGGGTTTGAGAGCCCTAAAACTGCAAAAGTTACGGTGCAATATCTTCGTCCGCTAGGAACTCCGTCAGCGGTGCTTTGCAGAGGCTGGGTTGAGAGGGTCGATGGGAGGAAGATTTGGGCAAAAGCTGTCATTCAGGGAGAAGATGGGGAACCAATTGCTAAGGGGGAAGCGCTGTATATTCATTCTCATTCTAGGGCAACTTTGTAACATTTTTTCTTTCTTTAGGATTTTTGCATTGTCCTTAAGTTGCATATGTTAGTGATAGAACGCTCACTACACTTCGCCACCTTTACCTTTCGTAATTTCGACAATCATCTTACGTTGCCAGGAATCGATGTTTCTTGCCATTTTGTAGGTGCTGTGGGTGTCTGTAAATGCTAGCTGGGACAGCGCGTGTAGACAACACCCATGGTTAGGTGGGATGGTTATTTTTTAGATATATAGCAGTACTTTTTACTCTTGTTTCATACGCCTTGCGTTATTTCCATACAATCATGGAACAGGTTTTCAAAAACCAAAGTAGCCATATTATCGGGATTAGCGTCTCATATGATTAGGGTTTGAAAGAGCGTCTCTCCGTTTCCCCGCGTGGAAGGCAATTACGGCCGGCACTGTATCATTCGATCGCTACAAGCATGGACTTCAGGGCTCGATCCACGCAGAATTCCATTCTCCTGAAAGCCCAGGGACAATTTCTCAAAATAGAGTGACCAGAAACTCCGACTGTCCCCTTATCGTTCCGGCGTGATCAAGACCTTGTCCCCGACACACTGCTCCGATGATTGGCTTCCAAGAATATGACGCATCGTACGGTCATTTCTGGAGTCCCTTCTAAACCGTATAAGCACATTGTGCCCGGCCCACAGGACGTACCAGAGCGAACTAATCACATGTTACTGTAACAAATTGCTGCCCTGATTCTTCCTCAATGTGATTGGTTCAGAACTAGTGTACAAAACTTCATTCACCCCGTATCGGAGGGTGGCGTGGGTAGCATGTCGATCCGTAGCGTGCGGTAGTTGAAGTATCTACACCACAGTGGCGGATCCCAGTCGCAGGCCTGGCGAGATCTCGGAGTAGTGGATACAACGCATGAACAGGTACTCTGACTCAGCATACTGGTGCAATGCCCTTCAATCTTGCTGTGCAGCACTGTATGATGGGAGTCCCGCGAGAAATCTCAGGACCATGATTGGTTGGAACTACATTTAGATCCACAAAACCGCATCAAACACTGGTGACAAGAATTCGTGATTCAGCCTGGTACGACGCCGGCTACGTCATAATTCCTACTTTTATCCTGGGTGGCCCTCCTGCGGTTGCCGCAATTTGAGACTTTACATCTCAGTCTAGGTATGTTCATTTGAAGAGATCTTTTGATTCTGATTACATTGTTAAAGCCCGTATATAAGCTGACAGATAGACTCACAATAGATGTTATCAGAGTTATCAGAGTTATCGAGCTTCACACGACGCAATAACCGCTACAGCCACCAAAGTGGCTCATGTGCTATCCTTTCTAGGCAAAAGCCAGCATGAACACCACTTGCTCAATCAACTGTCGCCGGTGCCTAGAGGGTTACAGTCAAACAATGCTCGCATATACTCAGTCTCAGATTTCAATACTGGTTGGTCTAGATGAGTACTCCAGAATATTCAGTGACGCAGACCATGTTTCCTCCGGTGTTGTGCCACACCAACAAGTCCCTGACCCTCCGAATATATCTGTGATGGAAGAAGCCAGGAACCTCATTGTTAATGATGCAGGTGTTCACCGGTCTTGAGCTATATAGCTTTTGTTCTGCGGACCCCATACGATTCTTGATAAATCAGTGCACCTTGTCAAATTAAAATCTGTTCTTCCATGATCAGTATCCTTTATTGATGCGCTAACTTTGTGCTATAATACCCCATTACTATGAGGCCCTATTGACCCTTCCATATGCTGTTTCTTGTTGAGAGAATGGCGATCTATTGAATACTTTTATCGCTCAATAATTCCCACAATTGCCTGTGATATTCCAGGCTAGCCGGGTAGTTAACTACTGTAGTTAGTTAACTATGTGGGCATACATAATAATGACTAGTACATGCGGGTTTACTATATCCCTTCTCCGGGAACCACTGCTGCTTCTGTTCCGTCAAGATCAAGGGGGTCATGTGACCTAATCCGGCTAGGGCGGAGAGGGAAAAGCGGTCAAATTTATGATAGGTTTTATGCACTGGAGAATGACCGCTACGCACCGCCGTACGGCGGTCGCGGCGCTAGGAATCTCCACTGCTGAGGCTTGCCAGAGTGAGTAGCTTTCTAATGTCCAGAATGCAATCGGCCACGATTCTTGATTGCGAGATGACTTACTGTGTTTAGGATAGTGGTTTCCGGGTCAGGGTGTTGATTAGGCATGCGTCATTCACGAACCAGGGTGAGTCCTCGGCCGCGTCTCGTCACGCGGGCTGTCGCAAATCAAGTCTTAATCCGCAGAGCTTCGGGGTACTTCCTAAGCTGATGATCATATAATGATTTTCACAAACTGTGGCAGTGTATGGGTCGTTACGAGGGAGTGGCTTTCTTGTCAGCGAGAGCACCGAGCTCGCTCGCGATCAATCTCTCACATCTCATGCCGTCATATTCTCATCAAATAGCCATGTCCATTTTTCCGACCTGAAGCCAGCATCGTAGTAAGAATCTGGGAGACACGGAGCACCTTCAATTTTGATGAGGCATTGGAACAGTTGAATAGGTCGCACACACATGTCACGAGTGGGCATGCCTAGTGATAGGTCAATGAATCGGAAATGAGGCGAGGCATCTGGTAGCGAACACATTAGACAGATCGCGATACATGGTGTGGAAACTGCTTGTGGGAGACGCAGCGTCGTGGAGGTGGAGACCGTTGTACGCTTTTCAAGGCGGTTGCGAAAGGAGTAGGAGACTGGCGCCAATTGAAGACACGACACAGTCGGCCGGAGAGACCTTGGTAGGTAACGCGTAGGAGGGAGACTTCTCCCTGTGGGGCGTGGCACATGATGGCAGGGACGGACAAGTCGAGAGGACCCGACGAGACTGTCTATGTGGCCTGAGAGGAGAGACACGCGTGTCAGTGTGCAAATAAGCAGAGGCAGCTACCTCATCCGCACTGAAGACCTGAAGTCTACCAGGGAAGGTGGTGTCGTCCTAGTGGGGCAGGTCCGACCTGTCGTTACTATCTCACTCGCACTAAGAACCTGCGGCTGGGCGATGGATGTGCCATTCAGAATTTGAGCTTGATCTCCACCGCGGAGGGCTTAACGCCGTTAAAGGAAGCCGTTTCCGAAGGACACTCGCACAAATGTTCTATATTTGACGAGACTGGTGTCCTTCCCAGGTGGCTCAGGATCTATCACGTTGAGAGTATATGTTTGGCCCTTATCGAGATATGTCACAGGACGTCTCTCAGACTGCGAAAGTTCATAGAAATCCATCATTTAAGTTTCATCACTGATCAAAGTCGTGATCAAAAGGCCAAACGGAGTCCCAATATTCCATTTCATCCCTAGAGTCAGAATGAAAATTTCGTAAAGATACACCTGCATCTTCGCATCGAAGCTTCAAGTTCTCTACTTTGTGAGCGATCTCAGTTTCGTTCAACCCGCAGTGTCTAATGCAAATGGTCCCAAGTTTCGGACAGACATTTGAATCCAGCAGGAGCTCACACTCTTCGAGCAACCACACTAGCAATTCCATATCGTGATAGAATAGGGATAGTAGTTCCAACGAAGGTGGAAGTATATCTACTAGACTTTGCGTCGGCCTTCCTTCCTCCTGTTCCACAATGCCGGTGCAGGGGGCATGTAGAGTCTTTAAGTTCGTAAAATCTGCAAATGACCCTAGGAAGAAATTCTCATTCTCTTCGGGATCGATACCATACTCGTCTTCACTGATCGAAACTGCCTGCAATGTCGTCTTGTGCAGCAAAAGGGCCTCATAAAGCCTGCGGTGGTTGGATGGCTCGTATGCTACCGTGGCCCCGCCGTGAGAGTAACGGAATGTTTTCAACGCCTTGCAGGATCTTATCCAAGTCTGAAGTCCGTCATTTGCACAAGACATTCTCAAATCAATATCGGTGACGTTTGAGCAACCAATCTCTACGGGAAGACCCCATGGATTGCGTTGATTCTCTTCCTCGGTCCACTCCCACCCGTCATAGAGCATGTGGCCGCCTAGCTTTCGCATAGCAGGGAAATTGAAAAATGGTAACATCAGTTCAGTCTCTGACCAGCCCTCCGTATCCCGGGGCGCTGCCCAGGCCTCTTCGAGATGTGGAAAGACTGGGGTCTCTGCTTTGGCAGCATCTATCAACATGCCATAAACATAGTCCGCTTGAATACTCCAGATAAAGCTGATTTTGCGCAAATTGTTCAGCCTAGGGATCATCAAGGCTAGCCAGGCATCCGTGATGCCACATTCGAGGTCCTTGATCCATGTCACTTGTCGCTTACTGTCACTGCTTGCTTCTCGGACTAGCCTCTCCATGATATCACGATCAAAATCAATATCGCTAGGATAACCATGATTGTCACAGGTTGTCTTAGTCTGCCAGGAGCACAAGTCCAGCACCTGAACTACGCTCGCGAGATCGGGGTTCCGAACTATCGTATATAAAAACTGGGACACCTGTCTAATTTCTGGTACCGGTACCCCGGGACGATAGGCGCACAGTTTGACTTCGACGAAGATGGTCCGGTGCAGTGCGGTGTAAAGTCGTCGGCATGAGCTTGCCAGATGCAGGCGATTATGTTGATTTTCCAACTGCGCGGAAATGAGGCAGAGTGTTTCAGTTGGAAGTTGAAGAAGCATGGTGGGGGATGTGAAAGATGAAAATCAACTGAATGTTAATTCAAGGGGAAAAGGACTGGATACAGTACGTTGCGAAACCGGTGCAACCGCCCCTACTCTTCGCGAGACTTTCTAGACTCATCGCCAACAAGCACTAGAACGTATTAGGAATAGCCCCGGAATATAAATTTTCCTGTACCAGTCTCGAGACTATCCGTCCGTGCCCTTCGCTACGCTGCAACCCACCCATACGCTCCCGCATATGAGTGCGCCACGCCCCCTTCATAGCCACTCGACCTTCATAGATTTTTGAATAAACCATTCAACCATGAAACAATCGAAAAACCATTTCTTCCCCATAAAGCAGAGGGCCTGGTTGCATTGGAAGTAGTCTGTCACCAGCGCCACTTTGGTCAACAATGCCAGATCTACTTGCAGTGGAATCTGATCATTGCGCCGTGTAGAATGTTCAGGGCAATGCGAACACCCTCAGGCTCGAAGCCATCGATTCTGATCTTGACATTTCCTTTCTGAGAAAGCTCCTGGTCTTCAGGCCAATTCTGACCCAGTCTTGCCTTGAAGTAGTCCGAGGACTGCGTGAGCAAGTTGGACGAAACCTTGAATCGAGTCCCCTCTCGTGTATGGCTGGGAAGGAGCGTCGTGAATGAGTCTGATGGATCATCCTTTTCTTTCACGGAGACAATAATCACGTCCCCCTTGGGATCGATGATCTCAACTTTTGGGCCAGCCATGGTGCCAGTACGTTCGATGAAGTGGGATGGAAGCTCTGATTTCACTTGAGATTTGTGAGGAGACGGTTTGCGAGACGTTGATGAACTTTCTGGACTCCGGATCAGTTCGAGAATGAAGAGGAGATTTCCGAGTCGTGCGTAGTTATTAGGCTGTTTGTAGAAGGTTGAGGGTGAAGAATCTGAGAGTCGTTTGTGACTTTGATCGATTGTAGAGTGCATGGAGAGACGGGTTATGAAGAAGAAGAGTATGATAGCACGGAAAGATCCAAAAGAAACAGCGTTCACTAGGATCTTTTTGTTTGCCGAAGTTGCAGAGACAGCACGAGCAAGCGTCGTCAAATTAGATCTTGAAGACGATACTCGACTGGGTGACGGAGTGTCCGGAGGTGGGATGTGTCAGAATGGATGAGTGAAGAGATTGTCAGAGAAAAGAGAAGAGTATAGAAAAAGAAATTCGAGCTGAATAAAATCAAGGAACTTGAGCTAGAACTATTGTGTCGATCGTGGGTAGATATGGCGCGCGTGGTATCGTGGTGGAGATGGGCATAATGCGTGCTTCTCGGGTCACATTAACAAGATTATAATTATTTGTGTATATATTATAGGGGCATGCCGGATTAAATTATCCACTTTAAGCTAACAGTCTGGGTTTAACGTGTCCATGATTCAGCGAGCTTTTTCAACGACCATCTCTTATTTCACTTAGTAATGAGAACCCTGAAATGGGTCCAGGTGTCTTGTACCAGAACAACACTTAAGGTATCAGAAGACTGTCCTCACAAAAACTGTGATCCGTGATTCCATAACCTTTGCTACCATGTATATTTCCTGCTTCATAGTTGGCGAACCGTAGCACAGGCTGTATACTGAAGCCAGCTGGGGGCCCTTATATTTCCTGTCCTTTCTAAGATTTTCGTTGCTAGCAAATTTTTGATGATTATTAAGGAGTTCTCGAATTCTCATGCTACGCAGCAGGATCTCTCCCCTCGGCGATTAGTCTTGATAAAATGCCAAGCCATATTGATTTCCATAACTATTGATACAATTACCATCCTAGCAATTCGGCAATATACTATTCTGAACGAATTATTCAACTGCTGAATACATGTATGCCTCACCAATTATCCTTCCGACGCATCATTAGCCCGTTGGTATCCAAGTCGGTGTTCAGCCTTTTGGATGCCATCGGTGACTGCCATACGCTCTTCGACCGGTGATTGAAAAAGCCTGGCCCAATCAAGCTCAGTTGCCCTCAGACTTGTTAAGCTGAACAACCCGTTGGGTAGCAGTCTCTGTCTTGTGGAATCGCCAGGGCTTGATCTTCCGCTCGAACAGCTCATCGAGCTCAGCACCAGATCGTCTGAAAATTGAAAGGTCAGCTTCACTATTTCAAAGATAGGTTTATAATTTGCTCATGGTCTCACCCGGTAGTCTCCGGAATCAGGAGCCACATGCCGGCAACGAAGGGAAGACCAAGGCCGGCGTAGAACCATCCTGTTTTCAAGTTCCAGTTCCATTTGTTGCTGTTAGTCATGTATGGAACGAGCACATTCATCACAACGCCAGCAACGCAGGTAACGGCTGCTGCGAAGCCAGCAGTATACGGCCTGAGACGCTGAGACGAAACCTCTCCAATGTATCCCCAGCCAGTCGCGCCATTGGCAGCCAAACCAGTGTCTGATAATTGAGTCAGTAGATGCGCCATCAGCGAGGAGGGGGTACTCACTCCACAGGCAAGCGAATAGGATAAAAACATAGGTTGACGCGTTAACCCGAGGACAAACTCCAACAATACCGATGGCAACGCATGATACCCAGCAAAGTGTCGTTCCCGAGCAAGCGAGTAATCTTCTGCCAACACGGTCGGCAACAAGGATTATGACAATGACTGTCGCAATTTGAATCGAGTTGGTGATAACTTTGATCTTAAAGGGATCCGCGAGTCCAGCCTGTTGGAAGAAGTATGTCCCAAATGTTCCGAAGAGACTGAGACCAATCAACTGCTGAGTGAGATTGGTCCAGCAAGAGATAACAGTACGAAGGCCGTTAGTTCCTTGGAAAATGGCATACCACTTTTCGCGTCGCTGCTCAGCTGCAACTTCACGTTCGTGCTCAACAGCCATAACCAGAACTTGGAATTGGCGCTCCAGGTCATAATTGGGCACTCCGCGGTTGAGCCTGAGAAGGTGCTTCTTTGCTTGATCATACTTCCCGGCATTGACGCACCAGGCTGGAGATTCCGGAACAAAAACGTAGATCAGAATCATGAGGCCGATCTGTGCCCACTGGGTATAGATTGGTGTTAAATAGTTTGTCGGATCATCTTTGGACAGATGCTGAAGAGCGACTTGAGCAAAGAAGGAACCTAGCGTCCACCAGAAGCTGTAGCACATCAACAAGCCACCGCGGATGCGAGTAGGCGCGACCTCGGAGATATATGTTGGGACAGTCGATTGCAGGCATCCGACTCCTATTCCCGCGAGGAGCTTAGCTACCAGCCAACCTGGCCACGATCTCGCAAGGCACTCGGCAATCACGCTTGCCACCAGGATGACCCAATAGGTGTACATGGCAATCTTTCTTCCATACCGACTGGAAAGGAATGGCAAAGTAGTCATCCCGATGATCTGACCACAGGACATGATCGAACTCCAGCCACTGAGGATGGGCGATTCAAGTGCAGGCTTTCCATTTTTCCCGACACTGGTGGCAAAGCGGGCGACAAATCCGGTATTGGCAATAATGCTGGCATTGATTCTAGGGAACAAAATACAGTCAGAGAAAGGCGGGCGAAACTCGTTCTTTGGAACTTCACATACCCGATTTGGTAACCATCGGTCGCCGCACTGAAGGCCATCGCAAAGCACACAAGGGTGCAAAGCTTGAAAGTTTTGATAGTCTCTAGAGCGCCTAGGTGTTCATACCCAGTGATCACTTGGCCCTTTGTCGCCGCGACGAAGGTCGGATCAGACTTCTCGAGTCCATCCTCCGGGGCGTTCTCAATCTCTCTTGCAGACGGGTTCGACTCAGTTACAAGCCTCTTTGGGGACTCCATTTCGAAGGACGAATATCACATGAAATAGAACAATCTTGAAGTATACAAAAGGGAAGAGCTTGATGAGCGTATTATAAATTTAAAGCTTGCCGGCTTCTGAAGCGTCAAGTCGGCTGTCGCATGACCCAACAAAGAGCAACAGCCGCACATGAGACTCGGCCCTCATTATACCGAGAGAAGCTCAGTGAAGACAAATACGCGAGTCTTTCTGTCAATAGTTGATGCTCACCATATTTGTCCATGGTAGATGTGGGTACTCTGGGGTTCGGTAGTGCCAGAACAATTACCAACCCCGCCGTCATTTCGCTCCACCGAGATCCCCGCAACTTCCCCAGAAGCTAATTTCCTTGGCGAAGTCGAGCAATTGGCTGATAAGTACAATAACCGACGCTGGTTCTGCCTATGTGCCTAGCATCAAGAGGCGTCAAACCGGGGCCAACTGTGGGGCTGTCAGGTTGTCGAATCGCTGTCATTTTGTACTCGATTGCCGGATTGATACCCGATTCATTTGCCGATGGTTTCTCTAAACACGAATCACATGGAGAGGAGATCATAGTTGATTGAAGAGGACCTAGAGCCAGAGCTGCTGGTTAGTACACCCGTCAGGACCCTTCCTTCGTAAACTATACCTAAGTAGGGAAGGTTCGCGGTGTGGTAGTTTGTGGCCCCGCCAGGCTAAGCTATATTGGGGCTAGTCTCATAAGCATAGGACGACCGTGATCTAGTGTTTTCTCAGGTTCAGGCAAATGAAGTTCTTTCTGACTTTCCTGACATCCCCACGGTGTAGTGTCTTGTCAAAGCTTTCTAGATTTTGGCCTTCTATCCGTTATTTTACAACCTATTTTAGTGTACTTGGTGGAAATCATATGCAAGCGATCATAGTCACGGTTTAGAAATATTGAATATTGAGATGCACGCAATTGACAAAAGCTCGAGGCTACCATTTATGTTTCGAAGAATTCTCCAACTATTCAACTATTCTAATATTGCCCTCTGCGGCGTGCTTTGAACGATTTCTCCAAGTATGATGCGGACTTTTTAGGAGTTCGCCTCAGAGTCTCGTAATTCACATGTGTGATACCGTAGCGCGGACCATACCCAGCAGACCATTCTAAGAACCAATTAGTTGGGGAAAAATAAAGTACTATGAGTAATGAGGTGTAGTACGTACCGAAATTGTCCATGAGACTCCACGCGCAATACCCTTGAACCACGACACCATCTTCATGAATGGCCCGGGAAATTGCATCGAGATAGAGTCCGAAATACCGAATCCGAAAAGTATCGTTGACTGCTTCATTCAGTGTCATTTGACTTTCACCAGGGCAGGGACAGCCATTCTCGGTGATGATGATTGGCAAGTGGTATCGATCCCAGACCCAGTTCATAAGCTTTCGGAACCCATCAGGCGCGACACGAAGCCAGGCCATGCCCGACACGGGTCCAAGGGACTTTCCTTCGCTGTTGGTTGCTAGCTCCTCCACGTTCCCCGTGCAATCATCCTCGGTTGGTGGGCCCGGAAGGGCACGGGCGAATTTAGTGGAGTAGTGATTCATCCCGTAATAGGCATTGGATGGCGCAGTCTTGCGGAGAAGGGTCATCTCCTCGGTGGTGAACTCAGGTAGTCGAGACCCCATTTGAGCCCGCATTTGGGCGGGGTAATTCTTTCCCAAGAAGATGGGGTCCCCAAACCAGCCAATATAGAATTCCAGTCTGCGTTGGGCCGCAGCTTTGTGCTCCTCGCTAGCTGCGTCCCATGGCTCATAGAAGTGACCATTCAGCACGATGGAGATAACCCCATTTTGAGAAGGTTGAAACTCTGTCGCGTACATATCCACAACGGCCGCGTGGGACAGAATGATAGTATGTCCGACACGCCATGGCTCTATTCGTGAATCATGTCCAGCGGCGGCGCTGTGACCGGGAGCAAGGACACCGCTGTGATGACCAAAAATTGAGATAATGTACGGCTCGTTGAACGTACACCATTTCTTGACGCGATCACCAAACCGAGAGAAACACAACCTGGCAAAGCTCTCAAAGTCTGCCTTAAACTCGGCTGTGTTCAAGAATGCTCCATAGCGGTCATAGAGCTCTTGTGGCACATCCCAATGGTATAAGGTAACGATAGGCTCGATATTGCGGGCCAAAAGACCATCGATCAGTCTTCCGTAGAATGCAATGCCATTTTCGTTGATAGGGTCATTTCGTCCACCCAGTGGGATAACACGAGACCAGGCAATGGAGAAACGGTAGACGTCGACATCGTACGAGGCCATCAAGTCCAAATCTTCAAGCATGCGAGTATAGTGATCACAGGCCACATCACCATTCTCATCATTGGTTCGTGATGGCTCAAGATGACTAAAGGTATCCCAAATAGATTTTCCTTTGCCATCTTGAGCAGCACCACCCTCGATCTGGTAAGCAGCAGTAGCTGTTCCCCAGAAGAAATCAGCAGGAAGAGGCAATTCTTCCACATGGCGAGGCTCGACCGCCCATTCTTCCTGGTCAGCACGAAGAACATTGTCCCCGGCCTGGAACATGTTGACGTTCATGATGAGAAGCTTGACCTGAGGAGTCCAAGTCACGGCGTGGCGTTTTTGTAGCTGCGATTTCAGCCAAAAGCTCTCCGGGTAAAAAGACAAACTAATGAAGGCAGGAAGGTCGGCTATTGAGCGGAACATACGGCATATGATGCGCTAATTCAATATTGATCTCGGGGCAATCCATGCCTGCAATTGCCAATTTTCGCGCATAGCTTTGCCGGCTCGGTGCCTCATCCTACCGAAGCTAATGCCTTCACAGCCGCGGCATTATGTGCAGTCTCGTAAGCCACAAACCTACAACTCCTCAAAACGCTATGACCCAAAGCGACCATAGACACTATACCTTCGACGAACAGAAACGACTGAACTTTTCGCACACTACTATGACCTCAGTCGAATCCATCGGTCCCAATATGGATAAGCAGAATTGGCACTGTGATCGAATTACCGCGCCATGGGCCCCGAACACGCCTGGTCCAGATACCGAATGGCTTTTCCGCAAGGAGTTTGAGGTGAAGCCTTTCGTTCAAGCCAAACTCGCTATCACTGCTCAAGGTGTATACGAGGCGGAGATCAATGGCCACCGTGTGGGCGACCATTTCATGGCCCCAGGATGGACATCTTATGATAGAAGACTCCAATACCAGACTTTTGACGTTACGGTTATGCTGCTGAACGGTCGCAACTGTATTGGTGTTCGCGTCGCTGAAGGCTGGTTTTGCGGACGTATTGGCTTTGAAGGTGGCCACCGAAATATTTGGGGACCTCATCCAGCATTGATGGCCCAGCTCGAAATTTATTACGCCGACGACACCGTTCAAATCATACCAACCGACGGCACCTGGGCTGTTCAAAGAGGCCCTATTCAATTGGCAGAAATATATAATGGGGAAAAATACGATGCAACTCTCGAGGTCCCATATTGGTCGACCATTGTGCCCGAAGGAGCTGCCGATTTTGCTTACACTGGACAGCCTGCTCTATGCATGCCACCCCTACCTGATGCACTCAAATTGACACCGGGGTTTGGTGAGCCTGTGAGGCGGATTGAGATTATTCAACCAGTTCAATACCTTGTTTCTCCAACTGGAAAATCTATTCTTGATTTTGGTCAAAACTTGGTGGGATATGTCAGGCTGAAGAATATCAAGGGTCTTCGCGGTCGCAAAATTATTCTTTCCCACGCGGAGGTTCTTGAAAAGCAGGAGCTTTGCGTCAGACCTCTTCGTCAATGTGACGCTGTTGATCAATATATCCTTAAGGGAGACCAGAGCGGCGAGATGTACGAGCCTCGTTTTACCTTCCACGGATTTCGTTATGCTCAAGTCGATGGGTGGACTAGCGACTCCGAATTGATCGACTCGGTCGAGGCAGTTATGTGCCATTCAGATATAAAAGATGTCGGCTCATTCGCATGTTCGGATAAATTGATCAATCAACTATACCAGAACATTCGCTGGGGAATGAAGGGCAATTTCCTTTCGGTGCCAACTGACTGTCCTCAGCGCGATGAGCGTCTTGGTTGGTCCGGAGACCTGGCACTGTTTGCTCCAACGGCAGTACTGTTGTTTGACTGCTATGACTTTCTTAAGAATTGGCTTGTCGATGTGTGGTATGATCAGCAGACACTTGACGGTGTCCCTGCCATGGTCACACCCAATGCAACACTCCCAGACCCTGTCTGGTGTCGTCGGAAGCCTTGTGCAATCTGGCATGATGTCACTATCCTTGCACCGTGGGCGCTGTATGAGGAGACTGGGAAGTTGGAAATTCTAGAACAGCAATATGAGAGCATGACGACCTGGATGAAGAAACTGCCTAGGAATAAGGAAGTTTGCACTCACCTTTGGGATACCAGTATTTTCCAGCTTGGGGTAAGAGATTCTCGACTTCAAGTTCCTCTCCTTTTATGATTGCTGGTATTGATAATAAGCTCTAGGACTGGCTCGATCCAGATGCTCCACCCAACGCACCCTGGAAAGGCAAGACAGACGCACAGCTGGTAGCCAACGCGTTCTTAATCCACAGTCTAGAACTCATGGCTCGAATCACAGATCTCCTTCACAAGAACGAAGAGAAACTCGAATTCGAGAGAGAGTTCGAAGCTGCCAAGAAGCAGTTCCAGGAGGAATACGTGACCTCGAACGGCCGCCTTGTATCCGACAGCCAGGCAGCTTATGCCATCGCGGTATGCTTCGGTCTGCTTACACCCGCACAACAAGAACGAGCCGGAAACCGCCTTGTCTATCTAGTACGAAAGAACAACTTTCGAATTGGGACCGGTTTCGCTGGAACCCCGTTCTTGTGTGAAGCGCTTGCCTTAACAGGTCATATTCAAGTGGCTTATGCGATGCTCCTCGAAAAGGGCTGTCCTTCATGGTTGTATCCGGTCACCATGGGCGCTACTACCGTCTGGGAGCGGTGGGATAGTATGCTGCCCGATGGTTCAATCAATCCTGGTGAAATGACTTCCTTCAATCATTATGCGCTTGGGTCAATCGCGAAGTTCTTGTATGAGAGATTAGCAGGTTTGCAAAGACTCAAGCCTGGGTGGAAGAAATGTCGCATTGCCCCTTGCATTGGTGCAGAACTCTCGGAGGCCTCTGCTTCACATGAAAGTCCTCTGGGTCGCGTGTCTTGTTCATGGAAGACTACTGAGTCCGGTGAGAAGCAAAGCCATCTAGAGGTCAAAGTTAGAGTTCCACCGGGTGTGACCTGTGAGATTATCCTGCCAGAGGGATCGGGGGAGTTGCAGAAGACTGTTGGCCAAGGAGAATGGACATTTGAGACTGTCTTTATGCGCGATTACGAGTGGCCTGTGAAGGCTTTGCCTCCTAAGACTTGATCCGAGGAGAAAATTTAGCTTTGCAAGTTTTTAGTCTGTTTTCAATTTATCGCTTTAGCTCAATTACAATCAAGGCCTTTGCACCTTTTTCAAGGACCCTGCCTGTGCGATATAATCTGTTCCTGGACGCCCTTTTAATCTTCCTTTAAACCCTGTGTCTCAAGATTCTTTAGTTGGTCAAGGAGGCGTAAAGAGCGAGCGATTTTGAATAACAAAGTGGCCAGGGTAACAGCAAAGCTATCTCTTGAGAGTTTCGTGCCTCATCCTGTTAGCGTACAGGCATCTGGTGTATATTTTGATTGACCATGCTGTATGACTTCGATAGGGGAATACTTGAGCGCGCACTTTTAGCCGTTTGCAAATTGAATCATCTGTAACGAAATTTATAGTGAAAGAATTGAAACGTCATTGACGGTAAAGCTAATCTAGCTGTTCATCGAGCAGTATCCCAAAGTCTCCGACCATTCCTAACGTGTAGACACATGCAGCCTTATTGTCCAAAGCGATGTTCTTAAATAAAGTCTCGAGTCTCCTCGGGCAGACGCTAAAATCATCACGCACCATTGAGTGGCTGATAATAGGTCACGCCATTCACAGTCGTAGTCAGAGTTCCATTGGCCTCAAAAATATTGTCCATCGCATCAATTGTCAAATGGAATCCATCAGGCCCAGTCTTCTTGACAGCGTTCACAGCGCCGGTCTGTGCTATATCGGAGACCCAGTCCAACTGACTGAGCCAAGGATTCGAGGCAGTCAAGGTCAGAGTAACAGATTCATAGCCATTGATAAAGTGCTGTGCATCATCAGAGTAATTGGTGTAGTTGACGGATACAGTCTTGAAGCTGCCGAAGAGCGGGTCCCTAGTCAGGCTGGCTTTTGCGAGGCCGCTAGCCTTGCCGTAGAGAGTGTAGTTTCCCGCAGGTAAAGAATAAGACGTAGGAAGAGTTGAGTTAGGTGGGAACGAAGTCGCCCAGGGAATATAATCAGGTGCAGTAAAAATAGGGGCGGGGGTCGTGGGTTTGCGACTGGAAAGTCGTGCTAACATCAATCGGTAGGTTCGACCTCCTTGGGCAGTCGAGACTGGGCAGGGCAGTGGGTTGACACCCCCACAGGCAGGTGAGGTTACCAAGGTCTGCCAATAGACAATACGGGTTCCATCGGGAGAAAAGGCCGGGTCTGCTCTGCCATTCCAGTTCGGGTCGTTGACGCTGCCATTGCTTCCATCACCAGCATAGTTGACCTGTTGACCAAAGTAGTCACCCCGATCACCATAGCGATCGATCAAAATTGGTTGGAAGAAGCGGCGTGCACCGTTATTGCGAGTCGATGAAGCAGCGGTGACGGTGACTAGGTCAATCAATGGAGGAATATACCGCTCTCCGGCCATCCACATCTGTCGATTGGAGCCTCGAGTATCCATGGTGACAAACCACTGATTGTCATGAGAGAAAGCGATGGGATCCGCATATTCTGGGTGGCTGGTGAGACGGCGAACGGCACCGGTGATGATATGCACTGCAAAAAGATCAATGTTGTTTGCTTCGCGTGTTGATCCAATGTACAGAATTTCGTCCCCAGAACCACTGAATCCGCGAAGCTCACCAACGGTAATGGCCTCGTCATGTATCTTCAATTCCGTGCCCTGGGCCATGATAGGCGCGGTGCCGTTTGGATGAACAAGGAGGTTGACATTAACAAGATCGTATCTTGGAACAAGAAGGGTCCCATCAGTTGGATTCTGACGGAACTGCAGTTGGCCATAATAAGCGAACTGGCCACCAGTTGTAAATGAGCTCCAACCCATATGAATACCGTCAGGGTGGAGACGCATTTCCCGTGGACTACCCGACTTGTTGGTGCCTGTTGGCCAGTAAATTGGATAAATATGTGTCTTATTTGGCGTGCACTCGTCGCTGGCCAGGGGAATACCACTGCAGTCCAGAATATTGTGTCCCCAGAGAGCCTGTCGGGAATTTCGAGCCACATGAGGATAGTCTCGCTGTGGGTCGAGGCCGCGAGCTCTCTGTGAGAGAACACCACAGCTCAGGCATTTCCATGGGTCGCCATTGGGAAACTTTGTACCGTCCGCTTTGACAAGGATGATATGTTCTCCGACATATATGCTGGCCGGATCTGGTGCCGCTGGGGCACCAACAAACTCGACATTGACGACCACATGTTTCCCATCGGGTGCGAAGTCGCCTGCCTGGAAGGACTCTGATATCTGTCCAATGCAGCCGGTCCGGTGGGGGTTTATGGAGGCCGTGCACGCGCCCGTGCTGTTGCTTGGTGCAACCGGAGGTAGAGGAAGTTCAACAACGTCAATCGGCTCTGGTTGAGGAGTTGCTGGTATAGTTGACGCCATGGCAAGCGCAAGCGTGCCTGCGATGGCAGAGAAAGTCCAACGCATGTTGGACATGAAAAGAAAAATTGAAAAAACTCTTGATCTTTAAGACTTGGTTGAAAATGATCCATCCTGTGGTGGGAGAATGTAGCTGGCTTATAACCAAACGTGCCGATCCTCCTGGGATGTAACAATACACTATGGCATGTTATACGAACACGAGTCGAATCTGCGTATAGTTCCAAGGTTTGCAGGTCGGCAAAATGTGGGGAAAGGGACTTATCCCGATTCGTCTCAGAACGCGGAGAATGAAGACATTGCCGCCTAAGAGTCAGAATTGTCAGAAAAACACGGTAAAAGAGGCTTTTGCCTGAGTTCCGAAGTCAAATGCGCTCGGTGCCAGTTATACCGAGTCATCAGGTCGGCTTTTGATCATCGAAAACCAAGAACAACTCGTTGTTCTGTGGTGGAATTGGGGTTGGCTAGGATCCGCACGCTGATGCCCCACTGTTTCGAAAACTATACCGAAGGAGGTAAGAAGAACGAGGATCTGCCTGTCACACATCGGCCTTCTCATTGACAACGGCTAAAGGCCAGGCAATTCCCGATCGTGTAGAATCATCCAAATGTGCCGCGGCAACAATGACCAAGAATTTGCCCCAGCCTTCCATCCACCACGCACTGGTCAGAATATGGAGAACAGCCCCATAGTGAGCGAGTGTAACCAACGACCTTGGCTCGAGTTGCTGCATAAGATCCAAATACTCTGGATCTATTATAGCAGGCCAAGCGAGAACGGTAGCTTCATTGTTGCTAGTGATGGAAGAATCACATAGATCCAGAAGGTGCTGATTGGAGCGATCTAACACTGCCCGCAGGCTACTCGGAGGATGAGAGGAGCGGTGATCACCTGCTTGCTGATTGATGAGCGATTCAAGTCGAGAACGCACTCCATAGACATGGCTTGAGCGCATAGCTCGTCGCTCACATGTAGCAAATTTTAGTAGAGGCCGCATATCACCCCGCTCGATCCACTCTCGTGCCTTTTCCACAATTGAAGCTGTCCCACGGACTAATTTGAAAACTTCCATAACTTCGCCCATATGCATCGAGGAAGGTTCGGTTTTGAGGCCTTGGGAGGCGAATGAGAAGCCGGAAATGAGAAATGAACAGGCAAACAGACTCTGGCAGTTTTGAGGGGTCACATCACTGAGAAGTGGTACAAAGAGTGATAATGCTTGGCTGTAGTGTCGCATTGCGATATCTGTATATGTCTGTCGGCGAGGTCCGGAGCATTGCTGGGAAAGATGGAGTGCTGAGAGCCCCAGTATACCATGCATGACAAACGGGTGGCTCAATCCCTCCTTGGGGACTTGACTTCGGAGAACTTCACTTAAAGCCTCATTCTCGGTCAGCGACACGGCCGTCGCTGTATGCCAATGATGGAGAAGTTCAAGTTCGACTAGTGGAAGTCCGGTGTGAATCTCGTCTCTTGGTAGTTGATTGTTCTCGCCAAAACTGCCATGACGAGGATGACTTTGCTGGTAGCTATCGAAAGTACATGGAAGTCCCTTTTTGTGGCAGGATCCACAAATAGGCCGAAATTCGTCGCATTTGATTCGACGCTGCTTGCACAGGGAACAGCCGTGATGAGATTTTTTATGCGAGCGTCGCAATGGCATGGTTACAGGGGTAGACTTGGGGAAGCTGGGCTGAGAAGCGCGTTAGTATGTCATTTATCTTCCAAGCTGGGGTCTAACCTCAGGTAACTACCTCGGGCTGGGCCGTGGAAAACCAATGAGTCAGCAAAACTTGCCCGCTCAGGTTCTCCGTAGGCCCCTAGGCCTCGATTTCCAATTGAGATATTATTCCTTTACAACAAGTCGGCTTTACAAATGATGGGGGAAAAAGCACAGTACAGAGAGACTCGGCGGGAAGCTCCATGGTAGCGACAGTGGGAGGGCGATATGAAGGATAAAGCGCAAGCAGCACGGCAGCACGCAAGAAGTCAGGGAACATGAAGAGGAGTAATGATAGACTTTGTAGAGTGTCAAGATTGGGTATTGATGCTATGAAACATGAAATTGCTAGATCGAGCAAATCAATTCGTCACTGCGACGAAGAACTGTTACCTGCCAGAGAAACCTGGAATGGTAGAGGAGCATTGTTGCGTATTCTGCACAAAGCCCTCATCACAGACCTCATGGTCATTCAGGTCAAGCCGTGAATTCCTCCTAGGTGTCATTTAGAGGGCGAGGTCGACTCATGGGGCTGTACCAAAGACAGCTGAGTTCGTCAGGCCATGACTATCGGGTAGCAGTTGAAGGTGGCAAAATATTTCCGCTTCCTCGTGCCAACCATCCAGCTGAGCTAGGATCATCGGCCGGTCTGCAGAATGCAGACGCTTTGGGATGATGCAAGAAGCGGTTGGGGCTGATCTGCTTCAATGCAGAAGTAAACCGCCCAGCCCATGGTTCCCACATTAGCGGGATATTGGAAATACCAATAGGGATGAAATAGAGAAGTCCATGGCTCTTCAGCTCGCATCTTCTCCTTGTGGTTCTAATCTAGCTTTTTTCGCTCTTCGCTTCATCTCCCGCTTTGATAGAGGCTTCTCAGGTTCCACGGCGGCCTCGGAGCCGAGAGAGGCTTTTCTCTTCAAGGTATCAGTATTAACTTCCGACTCTGCGGAAGTGGCTGCTTTCTTTTGGCCCTTCTGCTTCGAGGTCGTCTTCTCGGACGTTACTTTCTCTCCGCCATGGACGATATCGACGATCCCGCGCCAGCTCGTACGCTTAAGCTTGGCCAAGGCTGTGACCTTTCGGGCTTCTTCACAAATTGCCTCCTTGCCGCGCTCTTGTGATAATCCCCAGACACAGGTCAAGTTGATCACATCCCATGGAGCCCGCAAGCTCAGTGCGCGCCTGGCCTCGCTTGATACGATGATGCCTCGTCCTCCCCTGGTAGCTCTGATCAATGACATTGCATTGCCGATCAAATTCCGGCGCGCATCCAGCCCACTGCCTGTGACTCCCGGGCCATAGCAGATCTCCAAACGAATACCACGTGATATAGCAGCCGACAGCATTTTGAATTTAAAGTGGAATGGAAGTCGCACAGAAAGATCGAGTGATATCACGTCACACTCCAGATTGGTGCAAGCATTGAGAAGAGTTTTCTCATTTGTCGGGCGAAGAGCAACGATGTCATAGGCTTGTGACAAGGTGTTGAGCCGCTGGTTTTGCGCGGGATCGGAGAGAGTAAGGTTGAGACGGGTGAGCAACTGGAGGGACTTGGGCGCATTCGATGGGAGAGGCGGTGGAGTGAGGCTTGGAGGAAGCTTGCCTGTGATTGTTTGGGACAAGGCGACAGTGGTGTAACCCACTGCGGTCAGGTCAGTACCTCATGTGGTCCGCAAGCTTTAAATATGTTTGGAGCGGGTGCCAAGGTCAGGGCAGTATGACTTACGTTCAGCCAGGAAGTTTAGGGTATGGGGTGCCTCGGGATCATCTGGACTGTAGGGGACATTCAAATCGTAAAACATGGTGCCGTTTAAAAAGGGGCCAGGGGACACACTGGGGCGGTTCCTGCGTCCGTTGAGAAATCAAGAAACTTGAGAAACACCGCGGGTCACGACCTATCCGAAAGAGGCAACTAGAAAATCCTACGGAACAACATATCCCCGAGCCACTCGCAGTCTAGCCGTGTTGGGCCTGCTCTCCACAAGCAAGTCCCGTGACAAGGCGGAACAGATCTCGCTCGCATCATATTATCACCCCTCCAAAACCCCATTGCATCAGGACGATCGATAGCACAGCTGAGTTCGAGCTGGCGACTTGCTGGGCCTGCTGCTGCTGTTGTCTTCTTCCTGTGTCAACGACCCTCGACGCCCCCATCTCCCGTTACTAGGCTACACCCCCGCGTAACCCCGCCGCATCTGATTTCTATTGTGGGCGGATTCGGAAGCCGTCTGCAATCACCATGGCGCGCGTCTACGCCGATGTCAACGAGCACATGCCACGATCCTACTGGGACTATGACAGTGTGAACATTTCCTGGGGTGTCCTTGAGAACTACGAGATCGTTCGCAAGATTGGTACGTAACGTTCTGATTGGAGGTCATCCGACCCGGGATGGTGGTGTTATCACCTGCCATTCTGTCTGGGGTGTGGGGACAAGCTCCAGCCTGACCGTTTGCTGACACTATTCCTTTTCAGGTCGAGGCAAGTACTCTGAGGTGTTCGAAGGCATCAACGTCGTCAACTACCAGAAATGCGTTATCAAGGTCCTCAAGCCCGTGAAGAAGAAGAAGATCAAGCGAGAGATCAAGATTCTCCAGAATCTTGCTGGCGGCCCCAACGTCGTAGCTCTGCTCGACGTTGTTAGGGACAACCAGAGCAAGACTCCCAGCTTGGTCTTTGAGGCAGTCAACAACACTGATTTCCGGACCTTGTACCCTCGCTTCACGGACTATGATGTCCGCTTCTACGTTTATGAGCTCCTTAAGGCGTTGGACTTCTGTCACAGCAAGGGTATCATGCACCGAGATGTGAAGCCCCACAATGTCATGATCGATCATGAGAAGCGCAAGGTAGGTAAATTTTAATCCCCACCAATGATAAAGATTCTAACATGCTATAGCTGCGACTGATCGACTGGGGTCTTGCCGAGTTCTACCACAAGGGCACTGAATACAACGTCCGAGTCGCTTCTCGGTACTTCAAGGGCCCCGAGCTGCTTGTCGATTTTCAGGAGTACGACTACTCCCTCGATATGTGGTCACTGGGTGCCATGTTTGCTTCCATGATTTTCCGCAAGGAGCCCTTCTTCCATGGCAACAGCAACTCTGACCAACTGGTCAAGATTGCCAAGGTTCTGGGAACAGAAGAGCTGTTTGAATACCTGGACAAGTACGACATTGAGCTCGACCCGCAGTACGACGATATCCTCTCGCGCTTCCCTCGCAAGCCATGGCACTCGTTTGTCACGGCCGAGAACCAGCGCTTTGTCAGCGATGAAGCTATTGACTTCCTTGATAAGCTGCTTCGTTATGACCATGCCGTATGCTATTCCTGTTTCCATCAACATCGGACGAAATACTAAACAAACATTTCATAGGAACGCCTGACTGCTCAAGAGGCCATGGCTCACGCCTACTTTGATCCCGTCCGCGCCGATTCTCTGAACAACGCGGCTGCACAGTCCTGATCCGCGTCGGCCACGAACAACCTCGACCCTTTTTTTTATCTTCCTTGCAGTTCCTACCAGCACTTCTCCCACCCCCTTCTCCCCTACCATCCTATCTACAGAATTATCGCCCGGTATCACAAGCCACCTTTCGTGTCTGAGTTGGACATTTGCCGTTTTCAGCGGCTTGCGGTCAAGGAAAGAACAAAGAGAATCTCGATGCCACCTCTTCCCAATGTTTTCTCCGGGCTTTCCTCTCGGCGGAAGAGGGGCGATGAATGATCGAATTCCGAACGGAGACGACGTTGATGACAAGACATGACATCTAATCTTCTTGGGCTGCCCAGCCCTGTATCGCCTCGGTTCTACGGGCGTCTTAGTGAGCGCAATCAAATCAGTTGTCCCCTTAAAGTGGGAGGAACATCCTTTCCCTACGCTTCCGCTTCCTTAATTGTACAGCGTCGGTTTCTTCCGTCCTCGCCAATTCTTTCCCCTTTGCCACTCCATCATCCCTTGCTCTGGTGTTATGGATTTTCTTTCCCCTTCCCTGTTTTCATCTGGTTTTGCCTTTCGCCGTTTCTGCTTTCCTTGGTTCTTACTTGCGGCTATTTCTAGCTTAACATGCACATTCAATGGAGTGATGGTATTGGGGAGGTACTGATGATTGGCGACCATACTATGAGGGGTTTCCGAAGACACAATGCATTGCCAGTTCACTTTTCATGACTTTCTTTCCGGTATTTACATTGATGTGCAGATCTGCTGCTGTTGTAGATGTCTCGTTAGTCCTCGCCGACTATCACCTTATCGTTCGCTGATCGGATCGCCCGTTGGCACCAGCGCCATCACGTGAGTCCAATTTCGATAGCTTGTAGCAGCAACTGGAGACCGAACAAAACATAAGAAAAGGGCAAAATCAACAACTATAAACCCGTTTACCAATTTCAAGGGGGTGCATGATTCTAGAGAAAGCCACACTTGCATCTGCCAACCCCAGCGTCGCGTGGTCCCCACCGATCCTCACTTGGGCCCCGCTCGCTCATTCGTCGTGGGAAATTTAATCTGCCCGCATTCGCACAACCACCCCTCCTTGTCGCATCTCCATCCCCTCAAGATACTTATCAGGCGATTCGTGGCGCGATCGGCGCCTTGGAGATTCCCTCCGAAATATCGATCATTCTCCAGGATGGCTCAAAACTCTGCCTCCCAAAACCCCAGTCAGTCCTCTCCCTCCAATGATTCATGACTCATGCTAGAGTCCGCAAGCTCACCAAGAACCTACGATACAGCTGGGGAGCCCACTGCCCCTTTGACCCAGAACCCCCCTCCCGTTGACGAGCAGACGCGCAACCAGATCGCCGAAGCTGCTGCTGCGAACGATGGCTCCGCTGTCCCGAAGGTGAAGTCCGAGAAGGAGTGTATGTACAACCCGCGAAATCGTCGATCCTGAATTGCCCAAGGAAACATGGACTCTTGCTCGAGATGAACTTATGCTGATGTATTTTGGCTACTATACAGTGGAGCGCGAGCGCAAGAAGGCCGAAAAGGCAAAGAAGTTTGCAGAGAAGCAGGCCAAGGCCAAGACTGCTAAGCCCGCTGCTCCCAAGGCCGAGAAGAAGGTGCAGAAGGTTGAGAAGGAGAAGACCGCCGACGCCTATGATCCCAAGGTCATCGAGGAAGGCCGCCTCGAATGGTGGGAGGAGCGCGATCTCTTCAAGCCCGAATGGGGCCCTGATGGCAAGGTCAAGCCTGAGGGCTCCTTCGTCATTCCCATCCCTCCTCCCAACGTTACCGGTTCCCTTCACATGGGTCACGCCCTGACCAACGCCCTGCAAGACACCATGATCCGTTGGCAACGAATGAAGGGCAAGACCACTCTGTGGCTTCCCGGTATGGACCACGCTGGTATCTCCACCCAGAGTGTTGTCGAGAAGATGCTGTGGAAGAAGGAGAAGAAGACTCGTCACGACCTTGGACGGGAGGCCATGACCAAGCTCATTTGGGACTGGAAGGACGAATACCACAAGAACATCAAGAACGCTCTCCGCAGAGTCGGTGGTTCCTTCGACTGGTCGCGTGAAGCTTTCACCATGGACCCCAACTTGTCCGCTGCCGTGACCGAGACCTTTGTTCGTCTGCACGAGGAGGGCATCATCTACCGTGCCAACCGCCTGGTTAACTGGTGTGTTGCTTTGAACACTTCCCTGTCTAACCTTGAGGTCGACAACAAGGAGATCGAAGGCCGCACTCTCCTGGACGTTCCTGGCTACGACCGCAAGGTCGAGTTCGGTGTTCTCACCCACTTCTGCTACGAGATCGACGGTTCTACGGAGCGCATTGAGATCGCTACTACTCGTCCCGAGACCATGGTCGGTGACAGTGGTATTGCCGTCCACCCCAACGACCCTCGCTACAAGCACCTGATCGGCAAGAACGCCCGCCACCCCTTCGTTGACCGTCTGCTCCCCATTGTCGCCGATGAGGGTGTTGAGCCCGAGTTCGGTACTGGTGCCGTGAAGATCACCCCCGCTCACGACTTCAACGATTTCAACCGTGGTAAGCAGCACAACTTGGAGTTCATCTCCGTCCTTAACGACGATGGTACCTTCAACAAGAACGGCGGTCCCTTCGCTGGCATGAAGCGTTTCGATGCCCGTTACAAGGTTATTGATATGCTCAAGGAGAAGGGCTTGTACGTCAAGTGGGAGCACAACCCCATGAAGGTGCCCCGCTGCTCCAAGTCTAACGACGTTATCGAGCCCATCCTTAAGCCTCAATGGTGGATGAAGATGGAGTCTCTAGCTGGTCCCGCTATCGAGGCTGTTGAGAAGGGTGACATCATCATCCGTCCTGAGTCTGCAGAGAAGAACTACTTCCGCTGGATGCACAACCTGAACGACTGGTGTCTGTCTCGTCAGCTCTGGTGGGGTCACCAGGCTCCCGCCTACTTCGTTAACATTGAGGGCGAGGAAAACGACGACGCTGATGGCAACTTCTGGGTCACTGGCCGCACCGAGGAGGATGCCCGCGCGAAGGCCGAGGCCAAGTTCCCCGGCAAGAAGTTCACCCTCGACCGCGATCCCGATGTCCTCGACACGTGGTTCTCTTCTGGTCTTTGGCCCTTCTCGACTCTGGGCTGGCCCCGTAAGACTCACGACTTTGAGAACCTCTACCCCACTTCTGTGCTTGAGACTGGTTGGGATATTCTGTTCTTCTGGGTCGCTCGTATGATCATGCTCGGTATCAAGATGACCGGTCAGATTCCCTTCCGGGAGGTGTACTGCCACTCTCTCATTCGTGACTCGGAGGGTCGCAAGATGTCCAAGTCTCTTGGTAACGTTATTGACCCTCTGGATGTTATGGAGGGTATCCAGCTGCAGACTCTGCACGACAAGCTGCTGGTCGGTAACCTTGCTGACAAGGAGGTCGCCACTGCCACCAAGTACCAGAAGAAGGCCTTCCCCAAGGGTATTCCCGAGTGTGGTGCTGACGCTCTTCGCTTCGCCCTCGTCTCCTACACCACTGGTGGTATGTATTTATCCTGCCCTGATTTACTTTCATCTACTAATCTCGTGTTTCACAGGTGGTGACATCGCTTTCGATGTTCAGGTCATCCACGGTTACCGTCGTTTCTGTAACAAGATCTACCAGGCTACCAAGTTCGTTCTTGGCAAGCTCGGTGACGACTTCAAGCCCCTGGCCACCGTTTCCAAGACTGGCAATGAGTCTCTGTCTGAGCGCTGGATTCTGCACAAGTTCAACGCTGCTGCCAAGGAGATCAACGAGGCTCTGGAGGCCCGTGAGTTCTCCGTCACCGCCAACGTCTCTTACCAGTACTGGTACTCCCAGCTCTGCGACGTCTTCATCGAGAACTCCAAGTACTTGCTGGCTGAGGATGCTTCTCCTGAGACCCAGGAGTCCGCCAAGCAGACCCTTTACACCGCTCTCGAGGGTGCTCTGTGCCTCATTCACCCCATCATGCCCTTCGTGACTGAGCACTTGTGGCAGCGTCTGCCCCGCCGCCCCGAGGACAAGACCTTCTCGATCATGCGTGCCAAGTTCCCCGAGTACCGTGCCGAGTTCGACGACCCAGCCGCTGAGAAGGCTTACGAGCTCATCCTGAACTCCTCCAAGGCCATCCGTTCCATTCTGGCCCAGTACGATGTCAAGACTAAGGGTGACATCATCATCCAGACCTACGACGCTACCAGCGAGAAGACCGTCTCTGAGCAGCTCTCCACCATCCACTCCCTGGGTGGCAAAACTCTGGGTGAGCTATCCCACCTGGGCCCAGACAACAAGACTCCTGCCGGCTGCGTTGTTGCCGCGGTCGGTGCCGAGGCTGCCGTCTACCTGCGTGTGTCCAAGGAGGTTGCGCTTGAGCAGGAGGAGAAGGCCAAGGCCAGCCTTGAGCGGGCTCGTGAGACCGTGCGCCGGTCCCAGGGTGTCATGAGCGCTCCTAACTGGAAGGAGAAGGTCAAGGCTGAGGTCCAGGAGGCCGAGGAGAAGCGTCTCCGCGATGCCGAGAGCGAGGCTGCTCGCTTGGAGGAGCAGATCAAGGAGTTTGAGAAACTGCGTTTGGAGTAAATGCAGAAGCTACTGCCGTTTGGTCTGTAGATAAAATTATATGAATTGAACAACCTCTTTGTTTTTGTTAAACTGGACGCTTTCTCACACGGTTTGATGACATATTGGTTGTAGTGTCAGGTTCCATCGTTGTCCATCTATTGTCTGTGTGCCACGGAGCGCAATGTGAGACAATGCCGAACTATTTCCGGGTAGCAACTTCATCCACCAAGGTACTAGCTGGTGGTTGGGTAGTAGAAGGCAAGCTGCAGCCCCAGTGAGGTCCCACAGCCATAGAAGTGTATCGAAATATACACAACTAAGTATATCGTAAGTTTGCATTCGAAGCAGGTATAAATATCTTCATCCTGGGTCCTTACTACCATCGGATCGTCCCATTCTCATCCATTATCCTTTGCAAGATGTCCTCGCCAATCAACCTTCGTGACCCCGGACGTCCAATACGGGTTGGTGTGGTTTTCATGAATAGGTAAGTCTCTTGAATACTTACCCCGACTCCCTGCCAAACGCTCGGAACCAGCGTAACGGAACATGTCGATATTGCTCCCGCCGGATTCTTCTCTTGTATCAGTCGCAAATTTCTCAACCGCGCACCCCCAAACCTCGTCTCCGATGAACTAAAATCACAGGCCTTGGAATTTGAACATCATTGGGTCACCGAGGATGGCAAAATTCGCGCCCACTTAACAGGAAATCTTCAAGTGATGCCCACATCAGGTCTGCCCTCTCTGCACACCTTAATGCATATCTCTAACGAGACTCATAATTGGCTTAACCAGAACTCTTTCACCAACTGCCCACCACTCGACATCATAGTCATCGAAGCTAACGCAGTAGGCTACCAAACTAGTCAGGCAGAGAAACAATTTCTCTGCAAGGCCTACTCCGAATGTGCCGCACTCCTGTGTGTCTGTGCAGGATTCATGCCTGTACTAGCCGCTGGAATCTTAGAGGGCAAGACCGTAACTGGGCCTATCCCGATGCTCCCTATGATGCGGCGGACGGCCCCTGGGACGAACTGGATTAAGAGGCGGTGGGCTCAAGACGGGAAGATATGGACTACGGGGTCTTTATTGAATGGGATGGATATGGTGGCTGCGTTTGGAAGACAGACTTGGGGTGGCAAAGATAAAAATACCTTGGTTGATAATATGATTCAGGTTGGGTATTGGCCTGAGAGGGATGTTAATTATGCGGATGTAGGTCGTCCGACTTCGAGGCTTTAGGTTGGTGTCATTCCATGAGTTGAGTGGTCGCTGGTTGCGAAAGTACCAGAGGATGTGAGGACATGGGGTCTGAATTGGTACAGACTATGTTGTTTCATTTATCAAGGTAGAATGCAGCGTGTAATTTCCTCGACTGTTCTAAAATTGCTGGGTCCTTGACGCAAATATATTTTGGTTGAGACTTCCTGTACATGCTATACCTGCCCACCCAAATCCCTTCACCTGACCCAAGAATTTCCGAAAGTGTCTATTGAAATGTCTTTCTAGACAGTTCAAACGCTAAATTTCTACTTATAATGAAGGTAAGGGAGTGAACTCAGTCAACGTGAAGAGATGTTATGCATGTCTTTCCTAGCACCTCCATATGCCCGTCGCGGCTAAACCTTCCCTCCGCGGTTTTAGATCGCTTCGACCTGCTATCCGCCCCCAGAAGTCACCATGAAATATAGACATCTCTTCAGCCTTGTCAGTGTTGATCGATAGATTCAATCTCATCTTGTTGCCATACCCTTGTGAAATATAAAGCTTCGAATTATGGAGGATGAGTGGCGTTATATGTGTCCGCGTCCTAGACGAAGAAAGGCGTGTAACCCTTGCAAAGAGCGCAAAATCCGATGTCTTCGTGATGAGAAGCTCCAGGACAATGAGATATGCCGAAGGTATGACAGACACAGAGCAGTTATAGCTGAAGTGGAGAATTTGAGCCTCAAGAGAAGTGCTGTCAACGCTTTCGAGTTCTATATTGACATACAAACTAGATGCGCGAAGCTGGGAATTTCCTGTAATCTCGGGACAGACGCTCGGCCTTCTACTCGGTAGTCCTCTAAAAAAATTCTATCTAATTTTACAATGGCTAATTTGAACTTGTCAAAGTCGCACCGGAAATACTTCCGATCGTTCCAATATGGAGAGCGAAAGATCTCTTACTGGCAAAGATGTTGTTTCCAAGCTGTTTCAAAACGAGCCCGCACCCAAGGATTACTTAGGTGAACTTTACGACCTTCATCGCCAGGCCTTTCAGACGTCAAGCCACAAGGAGTTGCAGATACCCCCTTCCGACTCCTCCTCTAGCAAATCGAATACGGTAATAGAAGATGCAGACATGCTCCTCAATGTGTTCAGAAACCGTCAGCATTATTTCCCATTCGTTTCCATATCTGAAAATGCCTCGGCATCCTCCATGGCGGTGGATCATCCTTTCTTACTTATGGCAATACTGAATGTGTGCTCGTCACGAGTCCCTTCTTTACATCAAAAGACCGACGAAAGGTTTCGCCAAGTTCTGAGCCAAAGAATTGTTTTTCACGATGAGAAGAGCCTTGACTATCTTCAGGGTCTATTGGTATATATTGCTTGGTATTTCAACCTATGCCAGCCACAAAGAGAGAAGTATAAGGACCAACATTTGACTTTTCATGAGCAGGTACCCCTTTCACTTCAAACCCTTGAGCAATCAAGTCTCACAATTCTTGCAAATTGCACTGAACATGTGTACTGAGCTTAAACTTAGTCCGAGTCATCCTGACAAGGAATCTCGGGACGCGTGTCTAGGCTGCTATAATCTCTCATCGATGTGAGTAATCTGACGATTCATCAGCCCTGTCAATTCAATACAATTCTAAATCAACTGCTTAGATTCTGCACTGGTTTAGAGCGACCGCGCTCGGGTACTGCTGCTTGTCCCCTTGGCGGAACCTTCGATGAAACAATAATTTCAGATGAGCAGAATGACATCCAAAAACAACACACAGAACTGCAAATACTCTCCCGCCGAATGGTCCACTATGAAGCAAAACTTGACTGTTGGCCTATCAGTTCTGAGAACAATAGAGCGACACAGGGAGATATAAAAGCTTTTGATTCGGAACTGAAGCAGCTTATCTCTTCCAAGTCAATACACCAGAAAGACAACTGTATGTTGAGTTATCTCCGATTGGTGACTGCGGATTTCTAATACCCTTGCAGCGCCAATCCATCTTTCATACTTGTTCCTGAGAGCAAAAGTGCTGTTCTTGCCCCTGAAAGCATGGGGTATCGACTCGTGCAAAACACGGGACACACATCTACTGGCTCCTCCTATTTCGGATCTGATCGAAGCTGCTATTTCATGCTTCCAAGGAATCTGTAATCTCCTGGAAGCTTTTCTGGCGTTACCAGTTGACCAATACACATGTTTCACAACAAAGGAGTGGTTTCAATTAATCCTGACCACGAGTATGGCATCACGGACATGCTTCTTTTGTCCTGCCAATGCAGGCTTGGAATGGGAAAAATTTCGAGCCGAATCACGCGCTAAGATCGCCACCTACCTCAAGAGCTTATCTCAAATGATGGATAGCATTTCCACTTCCAATAGTGGAGGTCACCCGGACATTTTCGCAATGTTCAAATCGGTACTAGATCTTCTAGTCCCGAAATATGCTCCACATGAGACTGGTACTCGATGTTCGTCGCCCTCACAGGATACAGGAAGCGTGCTATCCGCTACCGAGCAGGACAATATGGATGCAGAACTACCCTGTACGGGATCTAGTAGCTGTCCGATCTTGAATGGTAGTATCAAAGGCACGGATTTCTGGCGAGCTTCGGAAGCAGCCCGGTGTTTTGATGGAAGCACAGATTCGTGTGATTTAGGGGATGGTCTATTCAACGGCTCTCAGGACTGGCTGAATGTGTTTTCACAGTGGGTAGTTGACTTGAACGATGCAGATGATTATGCATGATCAAACAAACGAACATTGACTCTTGATTTGGCCCTCAAGGATCTTCGTGCATTTCAATCCACATGGCTAATTTCCATAAAAAAGGAGAAAAAAATATAGATCATAGTAGTTACGATATGTTGCTGCCTGAAATATCAGGCACTATTCAGGCTCCCATTCTCGAAGCTCCGGCCGGGTGGGTCCTTATCGATAATAGTGCCAAGCCCTCACCCCAAAACTTTTCTGCTTTTTTTACTCCGATCATCCTCAAGACACAAAAAATCACTGCCACCATGTTGCGCGAAGTGTACGTACCTGAAGATTGACTATGCTATATGATTTGACTGACTCGTCATTTTTAGCAAGGCAAAGAACCCGCGCACTGCGCGCATCCTCAAGGCGCGCGAGCCCCAACTCATCGAACCCCCAAAGAAGACTCTACTGCTGCACGGCACAAAATGCCCCCAGTCCCTCGACACCGTCTTGAAGACTTTCCACTCCCTCACAAAGCCCAATTCCGTCCTGTTCCACAAGAAGAATGAGAACCTTCACCCCTTCGAGAACACCGAGAGCATGGAGTTCTTGGCAAACAAGAATGAGTGTGGTCTGGTAGTCTTCGGAAGCAGCAACAAGAAGCGCCCCAATTGCGTTACTCTCGCCCGAATTTTCAACTCACAAACTCTTGATATCTGCGAATTGATTCTTCTCCCTCCCGCTGATAAGAACGCCATCCCACCCATTAACGAGCTCAACATGCCCGTTGGACTCGGCATGCGGCCAATGATGCTCTTCTCTGGTAGCCCCTGGGAGGACCCGACATCCTCTTCGCACGTTATGCTGAAGAGTTTCTTCCTCGATATGTTCAAGGGTGAGGAAACCAACCAGATCGACGTTGAGGGTCTCCAGTACATTTTGATGGTCGGCGCTGAGGAGCCCCGCGACAATCTTTCTCCTGTCATCCACCTGCGGTGGTACAAGGTTATTACCAAGCGCAGCGGCCACAAGCTGCCTCGCGTTGAGTTGGAGGAGGTTGGTCCCAAGTTCGACTTCAAGATCGGCCGCCAGCGCCCCGCTACCCCCGAGGCCATGAAGGAGGCCATGAAGCAGGGCAAGCGTCCCAACGAGGAGATGCGCAACAAGAAGAACATCACCCTGGACTCTATGGGTGACAAGATCGGTCGTGTCCACTTGGGCAAGCAGGATCTGGGCGGTCTTCAGACCCGTAAGATGAAGGGTCTCAAGCGTCGGGCGGGTATTGACTCGGACGACGAGGATGAGGACTTGGAGATGATGGATGTGGATGAGATTTTAGAGGACGAAGGCCACAAGCGGGCTCGTACGGACTAGAACTGATTCTTGCATTGTTGCGTATTTACACTATCTCAAGGCGTTTGGTCCGGCTGGGGTTTGTGCTTCTTGACGCCTGTGTATCTGCAGGTTTCCTGTACCGACATGGAAAAGTATTATAGTGAAGCGATGCTTCTTTACAAATGATTTTCAATTTGCATTGTCTTCATAGATGTAGCTATATTTCTCATTTAGGCTATTTCCAGTCAGTCTGCGTATCATACTTGCACCTCGAAAGTTTAATCTTCCTGCGAAACTTCGATTTGACCTGTGAATGAAGCCTCCAAGTTGGTATCAGACTAGTCTCCAGACAATGTTCAGAGAAGCGGTATTCTTCGGGTACACTCCTTCACAAAATACAAGGTTGAACCATCATTCACATATACGACAAGTCCTTATTACTGGGACAATAGGATGCACCACGATGAAATTATCACTGTAGACCACGTGACCATGACGTCGGCCGTCGGCATCGTCTCACATGCCGAGGCCCTTTTCGCATTTGAGGATCCGAGTCAAAGTGCCGCCCTCCCCTCCCCCATATTCTTATCTTTTCTTTACTTCTTCTCTTCCCAACCCTATGAACATCTCCGACCTACCGACTCGTCACTGTGGTGCACTCCCTCAGTAGTCCCCTCCGTCCGAGTCCGACCTCCAAACGAGGTCTCGCGCGCCGTTATGGATGCGCTCATTGTGAGCAATTCCTCCGAGAAGCACATGCAAAGAGCTGCAGCAACTGACATGATACCTGCCAACTACAGTCCCGCCTGGACGCCCTCGTTCTGAACCCCGATCTCGCACCCTTCTTGTCGCTGTTGAAAGGTGCGCGCAATGGCGTCGTTTACGGGTCGAAAGTGCGATTTCCGCATGCGCTGGTGTATGTTAAGCCTCGAATACTTTTAGAGCGGAATGATACCGGGATAGCTTGAGTACTGACTATTGTGATTTTGCGAATAGTATGATCTTTCTCTTCCGATCTGGAACGTACGTGGACTTCCTCGTCCCCTTTCTCTTCGGAGTTCTCCGAGAACTAACTTATTCCGGCCTTATAGATTCCGAGAAAAGGTCAAGCTCGTCTTCAAAGCGACACGCCAGCATGCTCGAAACCTAGCCACATTTGCAATCATATACAAGGCTTCCATGATTATTCTACGGAACATTTCCCCCGCAGGATCCGGGAAGGAAGGCCGTTATGACAGCTTCTTTGCGGGTTTGTTGGGTGGATACGCGGTCTTTGGCCGGCAGCGGGGAAGCATTAGCCAGCAGGTATGCCGATATCCCCACACCGAGGCCAAACGTACCTCGGGATGTTTATGTCGCAACACTAAACCCCCCAATCCAGATTGTCATTTATGTCTTCGCCCGCGTTATGCTCTCCCTCGCCAAATTGTCCGTCGAACCTAACATGCACCCGCTCTCCTCCCTCATCACCCCCGAATCCCGCGCCCAGATCACCAACAATGCCTGGCCTGCCTTTGCCAGTCTGAGCTGGGCATTCGTCATGTATCTTTTCCGATGGTACCCGGAGACCCTGGCGTCCAGTTTGCGGAGTAGCATGGTCTACATGTGCGTCACCCTCATTATCCCCTCCCCACTCCGCCAGATCTGGCCCTGTTTCTACCCGGATCATTTCAACTAATCAATTCTCTGGGGGATAGTTATGCGGACTCGGATCACTGGGATTCGTTCCGGACCTTGTTCATACACAATAAATGAGATTCTTGCAAAGCATGATGATCACAGTGATTAAGTACACGTACCCCGTTTTTCTTTCCAGCTGGTTTGGGATGTCGCACGGCGTATATACTGGAGTCTTTGTTTTCTTGTTTAGGTCAATCGCTGATACCGCGTTATTTCTTGGAAGATGTAGTCTTGGGATGCATTTTTTTATAAAGGCCTACTGATCGTTATCATTACCCTGTATTATGAGACACGGACCAATTTGCCCTCTTTTTATGCTTTCTATGAGGATTCATTTACATACGCCAGCTAGTGATATAAGATTTTATGCAAAGACCATATTTCTTGATGCTAAAAATGAGGGACTCCTCACTCTCCTGTAGATAATCTCCTCGTCTGGCAGTACTAGTGACTTGCATCATTTCGAGCTCCTCCAAAATTGTACTCGTGCATCCGGCATTCTTATTCCGCGTTTTTCCTTGGGGGCCAGAATTTCTTCTTACCGAGCTAGAATTTCTTCCCGCTGACCAAGGTGTCGCTTCAGCAATTGGGATTCCATCGGCATTTGTTCCAACCGGGTTTTTTGTTCTTGTGAGGACTTGTTGGTACAACCTCGCTTCATCTCTAATCCCTGAAGAAATCCTTTCGATCGGGCTTCTCCAAAGGCCATTTCGTGATTGATGGATTCAATGGTACGAATCACGATATCAAGGAGATTCATGACGTGTCGGTTGGTGTGATAAAGCTGCACACCTTCGCCTGGCAGCCGTAAAATGACAAAATAGACCTGACCCATCTTTGCATGGGGGCTGCCATAGGCGGAGGGGAACTCATGTTTTTGCGGTCTCGCCGGTGCGAGCGTTGTATCTAACGCTGTTGTTGTGAGTAGGGGCTTGATGGACGAGGTAGTGGAAGCTGAGGGAATGGTGCCGGGCAGGAGCAGGATGTTAGCGATGATGAATTTCACGTACTTAGAGAAGCTTTCGAAGCTTTTATGCTATGTCTCTGACTCCTCAGGCTGTGATTCGTGCTCCAATGTATGTTGTTGTTATCCATTGTGAGGCGGGAAGTAATCTGCCTCTACCCCACAGCATTCACACCCCCGCGGCGGGAGTGGGAGCAGGAAGGAAAGGGTTAGGGAACAGCTTTGAGATTAGAGTATTATTGGAAAAAGGCGGGTCTTCATAGGCGTTGTTTGGAATGGAATCTATATTGGAGGCCATGATTTCAAGCGATTGAAGCGATTGAGGAAGCTATGAGGAGTTTAAGATGGCGCGAATCGAAAGTAATGAATGAAAGTGATGTGGAACGGTGAAGGAGAGGATCGAGAGAGAGATTGAGGGAAGAGGACAGAAGAGCGTTCGTCAATTTCCGGCTCATCGGAAGACTTGTCGTCGGGGTCTCGAGGTTTCCACAGCGTCCCACTTAGTCATGACCTTCGGGGCTTCCATTTGACATGACCTGGTAGAATACTAAAAGGGACAAGCTATAAGCATGCAAGCTGGGTACCGGCCGCAATATATGAGCATCTGTGTGTCTTCCACGGTCGTGGATAGAGGGAAGAGTGACACTGTCTGGAGTGACTAGTCTGGTGAGGAAGGAAGGTGGATGTCTACAGTTGCCCGCCATTATATGTGGCAAGCGAATAGGAAACATTATCTCTAAAAGGGAATTTTCCGGCGTAAGGGTACTTTCCCCGGATACTTTGTGTGGTTGATGTTTACGTGCTTCGAAGCAAACAAAATACTATTCTACGTACTTGTCGCCTGGCTGAGCAAAAACAGAGGCACGGATACCCCCGGCAATCTTCTAGATCACATGAGATTGGACAAAAAGATGTTCATTTTATGGTGGCCATTTCATAGCTTTGATGAGAATCCCGAATTTTTAGGAACATGATAATGTGCATCCCATAACAAAGTGGAGGGATTCAATGGTGGAGGTATCCGTGAGATCACCACACGAGTCGTCATGACTGAACAGCAAAGTAGGATTCAAGAGCTTATCATCTTGCAAGTCTACCCGTCTTATCCCACATAGAAATCACTTCTTGGGCAATTTCCACACCCCAAAGAAAGTATGTCCACCACCCCTCCGCATCTTCTCTTCATGCTTCAAACCCTCCTCCAGATGCTCCTTCTCCAAAACTATCACATCACACAAGTCAATATCAAACTCAACCACACCCCAAAACATAACACAACACGACACGAAGAAATAAACTCACGAAAGCTACACTGCCCCTTCTGACATCGCGACTTCTCCCAAACACAATTCGCGCAAGCCCCCTCAAACATATCAGGAATAACAACACAGCCCACGAATTGGCCTTTGCCTTGTTCGCACTGCTCACACTGCGGTGTGACCTTGACACCAACGGCTTGGGCGAGCATGGCGTTGCGCTTGCGGGGTCGTGAATCGAGGAAACTCTTGAGGTTCAGAGCTTCTTTGATGATTATGATGCGTTTGTTGACGGGTTCACGGACCGGAGTGAGATGCATCATGTCGTGCCATGGAGGGAGGCTGATAGTAGTCCATTGGGCTTCGCGGAGATAATGGACTCGTTTTCCTGGGGGAGGGTCTTCAGGTTCAACTTGTGGGGTTGGACTTTCCTGGAGGAGGGCGTCGATTTCGGAGAGGACGTTTGCGGGGAGACCTAGGTCGTCGGTTGGGTTGGATGGAGGAGGGATTTTGCTCTTGAGTTGAGACTCGGGTGGTGCGGTAGAGTCCATTGCGTGTAGATGTTGAGGTTTGTGAAGGAACTGGTAGCTATTGATCGTAAACACGAAAAAGCGAGGGGAAAGGCGTTAGGGAGGAGTACGACGAGAAAATGTTTGATTTAAACAAAACAAGAGATACAATACTGGACGACGGGAAAAGCTAAGATGCAAACATCAAACATCATACTGAACAGAGTCTGCTCACTCGCTCAGGGGTTGTCATATCAACTCTAATAGTACAAGAAGCATAAATAATACACAGGTTCCTTGCCGCAGCAAGACAGAACCTCAGAAATGGAAATAAAAACAAAGTAGTAGACTTTCGTCTACTGGGTATTACCACCTTCAAGTTCGACCAGAATCTTCAAATCGCCATCCATCCAGTCCACAGTATCTGCAGACAAGAGTGCGAAAGCCCAGTCCTTCTCACTTTGAATCGTGATGAGGCCATCCGGCACCAAGGCCTTGACCTTCCAGCTGGCTGCGGCAGCTGAGTCTCGGATTTGCTGATCAATGCTATCCGAGCCTTGGAGGAGGGGAAGACCGGGGATTTGGCCATGATAGCGACGGAGAACCGATTCCTTGATCGTGTCGACATTGGGGCATTGACCTGCTTGGAGGTCGAGTCGAGGGAGTATGCGCTTGCCGTGCTGAAGCACGTTGATGCGGAGGTAGATTTGAGTATGGGTACTTGGATGGGAAGAAGGCATGTTTGCAGCCATGTGGGATTTCGCATCATGGATAGGGACAAATGGCTGCTGTGAATGGAACTGTTGATCGGCTCCCGCTTGTCCTTGAGGACCCGGATGAGCACCATGCCTGGCAGCAATGTTCTCGCGGATAATCCGCGAGACGTCGCGGGTGATACTGCTAGCGCTATTGGGGATTTAGCAAATGATTTTCTCGCGGGGGGAAGTGAGTTCCAAAACTTACAATTCGTCACGCGCAGGAGGGTTGCGTGAACCTCCAATACGCCATGGTAGATTTGTCGTAGCGTCAGCGTGGACGATACGGTTGACATTTGCGTCCTCGCAGCCAGTCGGACAGTCATAATCTCCGTTGTGGACCACATGATAATGGCTATCCACAGCCGCAACCAATCCACGCCAATCGGGCTGCTGAAGACCAGAGAGAGACCAGAGATTATCCAGTTCATAGTCCTGGTTGTACATATCATATGATTTAGACATGTCGTTCCAGTCCACTGTGTATCCGTCCAGTAGCAGGTCAACCAACCCGATATCCATAATCTGTCCAGATTCGATCGGCGCCTGAGTGACCTGTCCTGGAGGTGGCGGCGGGGGCGGTGCCATTGATTGACTTTGATTGTGCATCTGCTGGAGCTGCTGCTCTGGAGAATATCGAGGGCCATTGAGATCCTGGAAGCCTTCATCGGTTTTGCGGCGCCGGCGCTCTTCTGGGCCCCCTCCCTTCCGTGATTCAATCGCATATTGGCGTTGTCGTTCGTTGGTAACCATTCGTCTCAAAAGAGGGATGACCAAAGAAATGATCTTTTGCTGGTCGCGGGGCCAAATGTAAGTCCTTGGCCCCATACCCTCATTCACGACATTTTCTCCGAAGAAACGCTCGCCATTTCCCTCGTCGTCGAGGAATTGTCGAACGCAGTTCCAAAGTCGGAGCTTGACCATTTCCGTATCCCCCTTCCCGCGCTGACCAACACAGTCACGTCGTTCAGGATAATCATCATCCAGCATAAAACCTTTGGCTGCAGCTTGGAGATGCAAGAAGTTTTCGGGTGACAGTTCAAGCGACGCAAATAGTTTCGACATTGGAGGACGAGTGTATTTTTTGTTGCTCGAGGGTTGGCGGAACAGTGCCGCAGCGGAATGGACACCAACTGCGCGCGCTTCAGAAAGCGACTGCGGCGGGACGGGACGAATATCAATGTTATCACCAGCATAGGCATGCTGGCCTGGTTGAGACTGTTGAGAAAGTGGATGCTGTGCTCCGGAGAGACCAGATCCAGCTAGCGCAGGGTCTAGGTTTTCATCGTTTCTCTTTCGTTTCTTCGAAACAGTGCGGGATAGTCCAGATCCTTGGGAATGGTCGTTCTGTACCCGCAGGTGTCGGCCGCCTCCCATTCCCGCGCCAAAGTTCGTATCCCCGAATCCATCGTCGCCAAGATGCATGTCTGCACTGTACCCATCAAGTTGATGATGGCCTGCTACTCCGGCAGCAGTTGCAACAGCGGCAGCCCATTGAGGAGAGACATCTTGACCTGCAGCTGCGGTCGCTGCCTCCACCAAACCAGCGAGCTGGTTGTCGCTAGGAGTGTAACCGCTATTCGGATCAAGATGGACGTTGGTATTCGTTTGGGAGGTGATGTCTGCGGCGGAGGAGGGAGGGTGGTGACTGTTTGTATTTGAGGACGACATAGTTGTAGGTGGGGTGTGAAGTATGGGATGGGTGAATTCTTGAGAAGACGGAAATTGGCAACAGAAAATTTGCGACGGTGAAGCGCCTCAGTTTCCCGGCAAGCAGGAAAGATAATTTGCGTAAATTAAAGCTGGTGGAATAGTCTGGTGTGGTCTGAACGACAAGATTCGGCGATAGATCAACAACCAAGAGCTCCGTGATGACTGGACGATGGCTGTAGATGATCGTGAACGCGTCGGAGTGGCGAGCTGGAGGGGAAATTCCCAGGGGAAACCTCACAGCAATGCGCCCCGCGAGGGGTAGCAGAAGCGTCGAATATCTGAGGAGATCGAAGCTATTGACGAAAGCTCTTGAGCTTCCGACTGATAAGAGCGCAACGCGACGGGGCGATTGATGATGATGTTTGCGTAGTTTGAAGGAAGGACAGACAGTGCAAACCTTGCAGTTTGGTCACGTGAGTGTCCACTCTCCGATACTACCGCAGCATTCCGCACTATCAACAACAAGTGCTCCGTACAAGAGAACATCTCTATTCTATAGGAACTTGAATTCTCTGAATGGTCACCTTGAATCAGTTCCAGTATGCCAGTATTTGAGATAATTGTTCCAAATAAGACGAAGCCACAGCCTATGAAAGACATGGTCTATTATTTCAATCAAATTTGCTAAGGAAGCCTCCCAAAACCAGCAGTTATAATGTACAAGAAGGTAAAACTAACAATATACACCGATGAATGCCATTACTCGGTCTTCATCCGAAAACGATTTGATCAGAGTAGATCGCTATCGGTTCGGATAGATCAAAGGTAGATTCCAAAACATGAAGCACAGATGTCATCAGCAACGCCAGTAAATCGGGAATATAGAAGAGAGATTGCAACTCCAACAAAATACTCTCAAAACTCGGCCTGCGTTGAAAAGAGAGCCGTTGAAGGATTTGTTCCAATGCCTAGAAGCCATCGCCCTCTTTCCAAGGACGACCAGCTTCTAGGGCGCGGTATTTGGGGTTCTTGCCACGCTCAATCGCAGCCTGAAGAGTGTCGGCGACCTTCGTTTCCATTCCAATGACCTCTTTTTCTATCTCAGATTGCTGACCAAGAGGCGGGAGATCCAGGTCCATAGTTTCATCCAATTCTCCCGCAGCCTGTGCCATCCGGAGATCCTCCGCCCAGTAGATCAAATCATCTAGTCGCTGCTGCAAATCTTTCCTTTCAGAATCCATATCACGCCATTCTTGGTACTTTTCAGGGCTGCCGAAGCAGAACCCGTACCCATCACAGAGACAGATACTCTCTTCCACACAGACAACGGGTTTGCCCGTGAAGACGTATTGCCATAGGTATTCCCAGATACGACCCGCGATGTAATCACTTAGATCTGTCTGCAGCAGCCAGTCGCGGTAGAAAATGAACCGAGCACGTGGGATCGTGCGAATGCGATCCCGGGATAGGGCAAACTGAGCGCAGCATGGCTGGGAGAGAACCGATGGTACGGGCTGGTCTGGGAATAGTTCTCCCCAGGCACGAGCCAGCATCACCTCCTCCTGCTTGGTTTCGTCTTCTTCCACGGCACCAGGGTGCATCCATGCGGGACATCCGGGGCCGAACGCGCAACGCGTGTTCATATACCCTTCTCGAATGACCCGCTCCATGCTCAATCGTCGGAGAATCTCCGCTGCGTCGCCACCAAACAGCTCCTCGTTATGCCAGGCATTCTGATGCGAGTGCATAAACACCGCTACGTCGGGGAGATTGTCATAGAAGTCGATAATGAACGATAAATATATCATCACTTCGTGGCCCTTGTTCTTCGGTGGGTGTAGGGGCGCTTTCGGGTCATCCGCAACATAGATGGCAGTGCCCCAGTCCGGTAATTCCGTCGCGATCCAGCTCGTATCTTCCTTCTTGGTCCTAGGCACAACCAACATCTTTGTGTACGTCGAGCCAGGAGGTTTGGGGATACCAGGGACGAAATTGGGCTGAGGGGCGTACAGGCTTTTACTGCCATGACTGGTAAAGTTGAATGCGCCTGTCCAGTTATGGCCATGGGCTGAATAATCCGTGCCATAGTAGTCCCCTAGACCCACGGCCTGCGGATAGCTACTCCATGGTCGTGATAGCTTACGGGCTGTGAAGAAAAGGATGCAGGAGAAGCTGAAGCCGATGAAGAGGACCGCGCGCCGTGAGAGAATCATGGAAAGAGGTAGGTAGGACAAGGACAATTATACGCGGCGAATTTGTCTGTTGCACAAGATAGGAGTTAGCCTCAATCTTCGTCAAGTCGCAGTGTCTGTATCACTGCGCGTCTCACAAGATGGCAATGCGATCAAACTTCTTCCAACGTACTCAAAACTCAGAAAAACACATTGCACCTGAACCAAGTAGATCGATTGGTCTCAGAAGGGAAATCGAGGTATAGCTAGAAAGCAAGTTGTCGCAATTGCAGTCGACGATACTAAACCACAGCGAATTGAGGAGAAAAAGAAGTTTGTCCCCCCTCAAAGGTCTAGATTGGGGCATGTCCGTACCTAATAATTGACGTGCCAGTAACTCAAAAGGCCCATCGCGGGGCGGCGTGAGCGAATGAAGGGCTGAAACACGGTCGAAAGTGGAGCTGTAAGTGGTCCTCGGATTGCGCACCGCGAAAAGATGACGACAACAACGGGACAAGAATTGTGGCTTAACGCATCGGCTGAAGATCCCGCAAAAGGGAGCGACCAGGGATAAAAACCTTACAGATCGGAGGCACGACGGAGGACCAGGAATGCAGCAGGATGAAGGGTATTTGTGTGCGGAGTACAGACGGAGGCCGTCCTGCACCTGTAAAAGGTGAAACTGACTGGCCACTGCAGATCTTTGAAGCCGCAAATGAAATTTAGACCTGTAGCAATGAGAAGGCGCAGATCGCCCCTGAACATCCGACTAGAATTGAACTCTATCTCCAAGACTCTCCTCACTGAGAAGAATTTGGCGATCGAGTACATGACCGACAATCTATGTGTAGTGTGGTCCCATTGTATACAATAACTATTGCAAAAACGTAACAAATAATTCATTTGGGTAAATAACGTTGTTCGATAGTCTCGGTCCTATCAAGCCTTAGTCTCTCCGAGATGGATATATATCGCACTGATACCCATCCGTACCACACATTCATATAATCAGAAACATATTATTTTCATTGGAAATCTCATATCTCTCTATTGCCACCTACATGCAACGATGTAATTGAAAACACATGCAAAAATCCATTCTCTTTAGGTTTGGGGGTGCAAATGAGCCTAAACGTAATGGTGATTAGGTGATGTCTATAGCGAGGAAGGAATTGTTTCTTCGATACTCTAAATCAATCATCCGCATTGAAATCTGAAGAACAAATCCATTCAAAACAAAGAATAAAATTGATCAACCGAAATATCATTCAAACGGGGTGCCTACTATGAAGCAGCAAGCGTACTCAACTTCCATCATGATATAGTTTTCGTGACTTTTGAGGAGAAAAGTCAGAAATCCAGTAGCAAACCTACACTGACTATGTAACGACCACTGCTTTACTATCAATCGTAACAGAAATCGACTCAAAAAATGACCAGTCTCTTGTAGTTGCTTGCAGTCTCTCGAGTGGCAAGAGTGGCGCCTATCAGAAACCTGACATTGGTTATCTCACGTGACAACGCGAAAACTTGCGGCGCCGAGTGTCCCCAGAAGGGAAATTTCCTGGATCCGCATCTTTTGTCTTCTCCCTTCTCCAGAATGCGCTGTCATGATGCAGAGCCCCAAGATTCACGGTCGGCCCGCTGAGGACTCTGCTCCTCTCAAGACATCTTATGCCACCACCAAGAAGTCCCACGACCCGTGGGTTCACTTGCTAGCTGGCGCGTAAGTCTTTTTTTCTCTCTTATGGTTGTCCCCGGATAATCGCCATCAGCCATCGGTGGATCTACACTAACACAAGCACGGCCATACAGGACTGGTGGTTTCGCAACTGCTATCGCTACATCTCCCCTCGATGTTCTGAGAACACGTCTTCAATCCGATTTCTATCAACGTCCTTCCCCTACCTCCGCGACCTCCGCGGCCGCTTCCGCCATCTCCAAACATACAAGCCACAAGACAACTCGAATCATTAGCAATATCTACCAAGCAGAAGGATGGCGAGCGTTCTTCCGCGGTCTCGGCCCTAGTCTTGCTGGTGTGGTCCCGGCGACCGCCATCAAGTTCTACGTCTACGGAAACTGCAAGCGGATCGGTGCCCAACTGCTAGGTACCGGCGAAGATTCAACCCTCGTGCACGCGCAGGCCGCCATCTGCGCGGGAATCGCGACAGCTACAGCAACAAACCCGATCTGGCTGGTCAAGACACGATTGCAATTAGATAAGGCCCAAACAACCACCGGAACCCGCCGGTACAAGAACAGTCTGGACTGTGTCCGCCAGGTGCTTCGTCAGGAAGGCATCAGCGGATTGTACAAGGGACTCAGCGCGAGTTATTTGGGTTCTTTAGAGACTGCGCTTCACTTGGTCCTTTATGAACGGATAAAGACTATTTTGCATACTTCGCTCGGATCGCCGGATGGCAAGGATACAGCCACTCAGAAGGAAATTACGAGCTGGCTCAGCACAACTGGTGCGGCTGGATCCGCCAAGTTTGCTGCGGCTCTTATCGCATATCCCCATGAGGTACGGAGTCGTCCGTCGAGAGACCAGTATTGACACTTGTACTGACTGATTATTCTGCAGGTCATCCGAACACGACTCCGTCAAGCGCCAATGGAGAACGGCGTCCCCAAATACACCGGCTTGGCACAGTGCTTCCGACTTATCGCCAAGGAAGAGGGAATGGCTGGTCTCTACGGAGGTCTGATGCCGCACATGGTTCGCTCGATTCCCTCAGCCATTATCACCCTGGGTGTCTACGAGTTCGTTCTGCGATTCATCGGCACATCAGCATAAACAAAACAACACCACACTACACCACACAACAATAAGTGCATTCGCACACTGTACAATATCATCTCGACCCGGCCTCCTGTATCCAGTCTTTGCTGGACAAGGCGCTGCCGTGGCCTAATTGCATGTATTCTTACCTGGGCGTTGGGGGACTGGAACTTTTTGGGGCTGTGCATAGAATCTCCTTTCAAGGAATGTACCATATATCACTACACATCGGTTGTCATTACCATCAATCTAAGATAGATTGGATATCTGGAGTTGGTTTTTTTTTTTTTTTGCTTAGCTATCCAACAGGATTGGATTGGTATTCGGTGTCGAGCTAGATTTTAGAAGAAACAAAAAGAAATGTTTCTGGCTATTTGGCATAAAATCCCGAAATCATTGATTGTTATATTGAAAGTATAATTTGCACGCCAGTACAAAGGTAGTTCGTGCGAGTCGTCGCTCTAAAGGAACAAGTAACAGGGCCTTGGAAGACACGCACATAGATCGAAGTGAAAAGAACTTAAAACCCGGGTATGAAATTTTGCTCAAGAACGCCATGCAACGCTGATTTAAAGTAAAGAGGGTGGAGATATGGCCACAAGTGAGATGCCGAGGGCTCAGTTTAATAAGAAGAAAAAGTACATTAGGGTGGATCAAGATGCTTCTTCGTCGGCAGCCTCTTCCACAGTGGCGGCCCGACTCTTGCCCTTGGATGGGGATTCAGCAAGTGCAGGATCAACCTCAGCATCTTCTTTGCTGGTCTGGTCGCTGCTGCCCCAGGCAGGAGGGATCACAGAGGGACCGGCCTCTGGGACTTGCTCGGGTTGTACGTCTGTCCACTCCTGGGAGGGGGAGTCTGCTCTATGCTCAGTCGACGAGGGAGCGCTAGGCACGGACCAGTTTGGGATGGCGTTGCCTGTGTCGGCCGGTGCGGAAATTGGTGCACTGGTCTCGGCGGTGGCAGTCTCTTGAGCCGGGGCTTCATCACCTTGACTGGTGACTGCGCCATCTAATGAAGTGGATTGCAGCGGGACAGGTACGGTGGGGGTTGGGGTGACACCCTGTGCTACGCTTCTGGTACCTGGCTCCGCGGAATGAAGTGGAAGAAGGGTCCAACCGGGTGGAAGGGTAAGTCCTTCAGGAAGACGGGAGTCTCCAGCAGGTAGAGGTGTGGCGCCTGGGTTAGAGAAAAACTGGCGACGCGATGTAATGGTTGAGGTGCCGGTTGGCAGACTTGTCGTGGGTGTCGGAGACGTCGCTGTTTGGGCTTGAGGATTGGCTTGCAATCGAAGCCGATCCAGCTCCATCTGAAGTTGGGTCACATGGCGCAACTGCTCTGCTGCAGCGCGTAGAGAGCTAATTTCTTGCGCAATTTGCTGCTCTATTTGCTGCAATTGGGCGCGAATGTTTGCGGACCCGGAGCCGGAGCCCGTGGCGTTTGGCACATGTTGGATGGGAGTTGGAGCTGCCGGACGGTGACCGAACCCAAGCCCAAAGCCGATTTGTCGCGCACCAGCTGGGTTCGCATTGGCGGGGGGTTGCAATGGGGCATTGCCTTGGTGAATCTGCTGGTGAAGATTGTGGAATAGCTCACCACGAACGGCGCCAAAGCCAATTCGGAATGGACCAAATTGATATACTCGAGCTCTGGGCTGCTCTCCTTGAGCACCAGGCTGGCCAGGCATTTGATTCCCACCAACGCCATTGGGTTGAGCGGCGCCTCCAACATTTCCGGGTTGATTGTTGATATTGGCAGCGGCTCCTTGAAGGCGTTGAGGTGCAACCACAGGGCGTCGACAAGTCGGGCAATTCTGTTGTCTTTCAAGCCAGCTTCGCAGGCATGCGAAGTGAAGGATATGCCCACAAGGGAGCTTCTTCGGACGCAGGCGGTCAGGAACACGCTGTGCGGCCGCTGCTGGCCGTGGAGCAGCCTCTCCTTCGGCAGCAGCAGCGGGTTGAGTTGAAGTCATTTCCTCTCGACAGATAATGCAGACATCTTCGCGTGCAACCTCCTCGGCAGTGGCATCAGGGTATCGTTCATTCATGTCTCGGGTCGCGTTCCGATACCGGAGGAAGTCCATAATACGACGGGCGAAAGATCGCATGGTAACAACAACATCGCGTAGGATGTGAATTGGCAAACCAAAGAAGCGCAGGAGAATGGCAAAGAAAACCAAGTAAACGGCGAGCTTAAGGAAGTCTGTAAGCAGGTCAAGGTAGAAGACCCACCGACCCTTCTCCTCCCACCCTGGAACATCAATCTCTAACTCGTTGACGTCGTTCTCATCGGGCAGATCGGTTGGAGGGGAGCTTGCCCCTGCGCGGGCGTGTTCCCGGATAGCTTCGACACGAGCGGCTCGAATCTCGGCCCGGCGTTCCTCCATCTTCACCTTGACTTGCTTGTGGGTGATATAGATCTCCGTCAAGGCGATGCTGTATCGAAGGGTGGTCGAAGTTGATAGAATGGTCAAGATTGCGAATTCAAAGCCGAACATGATCATCATATCTGCTCGCGCCTCCTCAATGACGACGTTGACACAGTAACGGAGCATCAACGCATTGAAGAGGACTGACAACACCAGCGAAAGTGCCAATCGGATATGGAAGAGTCGTGGATTTGCCGGGGGTTGCTGTTCGAGGTATTCCACACGTCCTTCGCCAATCCATCCCCAGACTTTCCCAACCAGAAGCAGGACGAACATGACCAGAAACCAACCGCCGAGCTCGCCCCGGAAGATGGTCATGGCGAGACATGTCTCCGTTACTGCAAACCATGCCCGCTCATAGAGTTGTTCTGTTTCAATAGGCCGAAGAGGTCCGTATAGGAGTCGCTGCAGCCAGAAAAGGATGAAACCGGTTGCAAGGAGACATAGATTCGTTAGGATCTGTACAGTAGCAAGGCACACGGGTCAGTATAATTCGAGCAGGGCTATGATATCCCATAGCCATGGGGAGGATGAAAGAATGGTTTCAAATCATACCATAAGATTCGCACTACTCTGCGATAGATATACACAAGCTGAGTAAAAGTTCGCTCTCTGGTGTAGCGCTTTCAAGAACACACCGGTGGCCAAGGCCACGGAGGCCTAACAGGAGTCAGCGGGGGACACAAGGATAGAGATTCGATTAGAGTTCGGAGAGTTCACTTACCCCAGAGTACGCGGCCAGTCTCATAGCGATTGAACTGAGACTTGCGAGTTGATGGTCATGAGAGGAGGAAGGGGGGAAATCAACCTCTCATGGGTGTTCGGGAGACGTGGAGTATACCTCAATCTGGACAGCTTTCCAGAATAACGCCCGCCTCCGCATATTACGTCAGCCCCAACTATCCTGGGCGCACGTGCCTTCTTGCCTCAGGCCTGTCTTCATGACGGAACAACAAGAAGCCCGTATGACTAAATGTTGCCTATGGCACATTTTTGGTCTAGCGGTATTATGCCCCAACTTCAATGAGAGAAGCGAATCAGGTGCTTTGATAAATCGCTTTTGACTGATCTTTTTATTTTGCTTTAAAGCCTTGTGTAATCTGGCCCATTGTTCAAATCATGATTGCTAACATGGGTCTAATTTGATGGGGTTTCAAATGTATGAAACTCTATACGAAGTATAGGTATCCTGGAGGGTTCCTCGCAATTGGGAATAACGCGTGAAAGCTGAATTCTGTATGAAAGAAGGGTCATAGAGTTAGGTACATGTCTATGCTAAGTGAGGATTTCAAGACATGATAATCCTTAAATCTTGTTCAAAGGCAACACCTCCCTTGTCGTGACTGATTTGACCAGCAAATTTGACCAAGTTTTCTCTCACCCCATGAACACCGCCATCCGTCTTAGTGACGCAATTATTCTTTTGGACTACAGATATGGAGAAATTGGAGCGCTTCATTGCTCTGATGAGGGTCAGCAGATAGTCAACTTCTTTTGTTCCCCGTTATTACCACTCGCACTCTTGACGATCTTGGGAATTCCTTTCAAATTCGCGGGACTCGATTTTGAGTCGTTTGTTTGAGCCATTTAACATGTGTTCAACGAGTTTCGGGAAAGACCATCATTGACTTGTCATAGATTTTGCCTGGTGTCAGTTTCCCTATATCGCGGTGTGAACGCGAAGGCCTTGAACGAGAAACTTTAGAGATGGTTGAGAGTCTCGCTCCAAGCCTAGAAGTATTCATTTCAATGGAATCATTAAGTTTGGGCCAAATCAAGCGTTGGTACAGAAATCACCCAAATATGACAGTTCAAGAATTTCCACTGGGAAGGGACAGCCTCGAAAGTTGCGTTCAAGCCCAGCGTTGGACCTTCCTCAATTTGGGGAGCGTCAAGCTAAGACTGACTGGATGTGTCACTTACCTATCCAAGCATCGAATTCCGCGTTCAGAAGGAAGCTGTTTATTCTAAGGGTCAATAATAGAATTCCAATGGGCTTGGGCTTTATGATAGAGGTGGGGGATCTATTTACCCGTCTGTAGCTTGCTATAGGCTCTACGGATTTCAGAACCCGAAGTGTGGGGAGATCGGTTATTAGAGCGATCGCCGTGACTTCGGGGCTTCCGAAGATACTGTAGATAGATCTCCCTCTATTTCTAGCCAAAATGAATAAGATCTTCTGAGACATTTTCCTGGATGTTCCCAAAGACAGTACTAGACAGAAATCCCACCATTTTCCAATAAACTCACTCTCGAGAATAATCTAATCTTCGACAATCACGATGGCTGAATTACAGACGATCCGCTGGGGTATTATTGGTAAGTCTTCAACGAGATAGATGCTAAACATAATACTCATAAAATTGGGGCAACGGGAATGATCTCGTCCTGGTTCGTAGAGGACCTCGTCCTATAATGGGACGGAATGAAAGTGAAACACATCATCCAAGCCATCGGATCCTCCAGTCTCCAAAAAGGCCAAGATTTCTCCGCAAAGTACTGTCCCAAACAGAATTCCCGGATATACGATAGCTACGGTAAGGTTTACCTCGACGACGACGTGGATATCGTCTACATTGGTACGCCGCACGGATATCACTATCGCGACTGCATGGAAGCTATTGCCGCAGGCAAGAACGTCGACGTAGCTGAAGCGATGTGGCTGCGTCATCGACCGCTATACATTGAGTTGAAGCGACTATTGCACGAGGAGAAGGTGATCGGCGATGTATTCCGGGCAAAATGTGATTTCGCATCAGACATTGGTCTTGCGGATTTACCTGCTACATCTCGCTATCGTGATCTCAGCCTGGGTGCAGGATCGCTACTTGACATTGGTGTTTATTCTCTGACATGGATCATGGCTGCATTGAACGATCACCCAGCTGGTCAGGGAGAGAAACCGCTGATTCTGGCTACGCAAACCCACGAGGAGGGTATTGAAGTGACCACCAGTGCTATTCTACAATATCCTTCGACAAGTCGACAAGGTATCGTGACTACTACCAATAAAGATTCTGCCCCCCCTTGGGGACGGTTTTGCCGTGATACACGGTACCGAGGGGTTTATTGAGATTGAAGGACAGGCGCCTTCAATCCCGGAGTCTTTTACTGTATCCCAAGCAGAAAGGGGGAAGTGCAGAAAGATGTTTCTTTAAGAGAGAGGTATGACACGGTCAGAGGCATGAACATGGACTCGTTGGAGGTGGATTTGTATATGAGGCTCAGAACACGGCTTTGGATGTTCTTGGGGGTCGGAAGGAGAGTCGTATCATGCCTTGGGCTGAGACGGTATACATTATGGAGATCATGGATGAGATTCGACGACAGGGCAAGACTATGTACCCGGGAGAGTGACGAGGTTGCATAAATTTCATCAGTGCTGGTGGTTCATTTCATTGTAATCCTCATTCTATGGTCAACTTCTATACTGAATTTTCAAACGATGTCTGTATGTTGGGCCGCAGATGACTGAACAATATTGATTCGTTCCATGGCTTCTCCACGCATATGGTTCATCAAGACTCCCTCTCATTCGGGTGCCTCGTCTCATTTCTCTGAATCTTACTTTTGCTTCGCAAGACCTGTCAATGATTCAATGAATCTCGCTGCAGGCGGGATAGGCCATGCAAGATCGTCGGTAGGGTCTTCGTGCACCTCACCCGTGGTTACTAGATCCACGAGTACAACAGCAACGTAGCCGCCAATAGCAGTGAGTATATGCCACCTGTATTTTGATCAATAATCTGTCTTTTGTATACACAACATATGGAACATACCATCCGTGAAGTTCAGTCAAGAATGCCAAAGGCAGACCGACCGCATGTCTCGTTTTGATAAGGGTCCCACATGCCCAATCATCAATGAGCCACACGAAGTAGCCCAAGCCAAAGCAGACTGATACTATTAGCGTGTGCCTCACATTTTGGAAGGGCATATCATACATATACCGAAGAATGAGATGTTGCGAAGCTTTTTCCTCAGGAAAGGATCGGGAACTTGCTGTGTAATGATCTTTGACGTCCGCGTCGCGATCATATAAACCGCAAGTCCAAAGCTAACCGCGTGAAGCAAGAACTCGTTCATAACCATGTGAACGACCATCACGATGGTGAACAGTACGGATAGAACAATTCCCACGATTTTGGTTCGCTCTGGGCTAGCCTTGAAAGTCAAGATTCGGTAAAGCAGTGGTGTTGTGAGAAGATGCATCGACAGCTCGTCCGCTAAAAATCAGTTCTGTCAGTCGGCTGTTTGTGAGCACTTGGGTAGCTAGTTGAAACATACACATCTGAGTGTGATATTTGAGGGTCATATGGTAACCAGCCGAGCAGACGCCCACACCGATCAGCCCCAAATACGAGATCGAGCGGAACCCCATTTGCTTTTTCTTTTGGAGTTGTCGAAGTCCATATATTCCGAAGAGAACTAGAAAAAAACCGGTTATTAATCGCGACCTTGTCACATCCCTAGATCCAATCCCGCCTGACTCACTGAAGATAAGGCTGCTGAAAGTGTTGATGAACTCGGCAACAAATCGAGTAACCACATAGTCCTGTTTGACAAGTGAGTATCAACTGCTCAATCAATCATGTAGGAACTTCTCCGAGAGCGTTGTTCACCTCTTCACAAAAGCTAGATTGGACACGTAAGTGGCTTGTTTGTCGGGAGGGGCTTGGAAGATCATAACAAACTTTAGATAAGACGTTGCAGGGCCCCAGAAGGGGACCACGGGGATGGTGGCCATGTGGCAGGGATGGTTGTCCAGTAAATTTGCTTTGATTTGCAGGATCAGGATAGTCGTGGTTATGTGTTCTGCGAGCCTGAATCTTTTAAATGGGAGCCTTCGGAACGCGCGGCGAAGAGTTCAGTGGGGCGAGGGGATTTCGGGATCTGATCTTTACCCGAACGGGTAATTCCAATCTGTACTACAATATTCTCACAATAGTTTTGATTCTTGTTTGATTTGGATAATGTCTTTGTTCGGAGAAGAATTGATCTATGGAAGATGCTTGGCTAACGAACATTTTATCAATGAGCAAAATTCCCCACAAATTGCAAGCCGTTCCTCCATCATGATCGCATCGACTCCACTTTCCGCTCCATTAATCCCAGTTCTGCTCACTGAGACATGCTGACACCATCGTCATCCATACCCCCATCTTCACTTATCACTCTTCTCCGACAGCGAAACCTGATACATGAGAGTTGCGATAGTATCGGTGAGGCCTCTGATCTTAGCATGCTGCGATGCGATGTAGCCGCTCAAAGCATTGATTCTGTCCTTCTGGCCCTCGATAATCGCCTGCATCGAGGTAACGGTCGTGTTGAGAGACTCCACGGTAGATCGAAGGAGATAGTTGTTTGCAACCAAGTCCTCCGTACTCACAACTTCCTCCTTGTCGTTGCAGATAATCTTGACCAGCTCCGGGTGTCCTTCGACTCGACTAGTCACTGCAGCGGGGAATCCGTTACCCGTGGCAGGTCCCTGGGTGATCAGTTTCGAGTTCGAGACTGGCGACTTGAGGATATTTTTGGCGGCTTGGGCGATAGGGACGTTTTGGAATGGAGCAGGCTCGGAGGAGATGGGTTGGGTGCTCTGGCTGGCGATGGCAGTTGCCGAATCCGAGGAAGAAGACTGTGTCGCGTGTTCAATATGCTCGGAGTGGGCTGGGGGAGAAGAAGCTGTGCTACTTGTATTTGCCCTCATGTGAGCCCCGAGGTCCCAGTGAACATGATACCGATCATGCTGTGTAGTCGCCGAAGCCGAAGCCGAACCGGAAGCAGAACGGGAACTCGAAGCAACAGTAGGCGGCGCATCGTGAGCCTTTTCCACGTTGCTTGTGGTCACTGTATCCGGTGAGCTGCCCTTACGATACACAATAGCCGGTCCTTCGTCAACGGTAGTTTCAATCTTGTAGGTCTTGGACTTGTCCGCGCCGGTAGCTTTTTCGTATCGGGTATGACCCTGGAGCCGGGAGTGAACTCGGGAAGATGCGAAGGGAATCACAACATCACGCATAAACTTGAGAACCGTAAGACCGGGGCTAAGACCCATCATCTCGAAGCCGCGCCAATATTCCCAGACCACCTTGACCTCCCAGCGCTGAAAGCTTGTCTCATTGTTTTCGAAGCGTTCGATGATCTTTTCTGTATGCTTGGTGACCTCGACCCATGTCATGGTATCCAGGTTGGGCTCCGCAGACTCAGCTGTGGAGGCGTTGGTGTCCGACATTTTCAGTTGGTGGTGCAATTGAAGGTGATGAAAAGTGGACTCGGACTTGAGAGACCTTGGAAGTGAGTTGATCAGGATGGGAGGGTGGTGAGAGAGGGTTTTTCCCAGAGAGGGATGCAAAGTAAGGTTATGTGGAAGAGGAGATCACCAAGGCGTGGGGAGATGAAGGTAGTAGAAGTTTGGGAGATCAGATCGGGGTGTGAATTCCAGAGCGCTCGAGCTATCGCAGAAACTGCGAGCTAGATAGCAAGGCAACGTAGAAACAAAATCTTGACTCTCTCTGCCGAATGAACTTCCTCAAGAATCAGTCTGGCGAGTCCAAGAAATTATATTCACAAGCAACTACTTCAAAGCATAATATCCACCGTAGTGTCTTTAGCCCATGAGAATTGTTGAAGGCCCGGTTGAAGACTTGAGGCCATTCTATGAGATCCTTGATTCGGAAACTGTCTTCTCTGTGCATAGCAAGAAGGGACCTCCAACTTTCGCTTCAAAAGTTTCAAGATCTGGTCTCATCCTCTACACCGCGGTCAGCGACGAACCCAGGTACTTGGCGAAGCCAGATCTACTCTTATCTTAATCTGGCCATAATATTGACTGCATATGTCTGGAAGAAGGAATCTTGAATGATATTTCTGTGCATCGAATTGCCCCAGGATCGGTCATGAGAAAAAGAGATCAGTAGAATTTCCTCTCAAAATTTCATGATAGTGGTTTTCGACAAACTATGTACCTGGACTAAACCCATATTTTCCTCACGTTCTTGTATATGTCCACCCATCTTTACCGCGGTTAGCTTAAAATAGCCTCGCTGTATTCCCTGTTCCTCCTGAAAATGACCAAGATACCTTGAATGCTTTGTTCATCGTTTTTCCTTTCCCCATATCTCAAAAATATTGATCTAGGGAATACGGCAACTCATTATCCCCGACTGGCGTCATTGTTGAATATCATTAAGCTTTCTTCTATAGAACCTAGAGCAAATTGCAGATCAAGGCTGATTGGTCCTGATCAACAAGGCTAATCGCGTGGGGCTGAGTTCTGGACCAGCGGTAAGCAAATCGAGTGACACGTCACAGAAGGCGCTAAGGTGCACTAAACGTCGTATCTCTTTGGACCCCAAATCCCACACCTCAGTAGGATTGTTTAGAGGTTAGCTTGTAATTCGGAGAGGCGATTCGTGTGGAACCTCGGGCTTCATCATCGATCGCGATCATAAAACAATTGCACCTGGGCTGTTCAGATCTCTACCTGCTTTTTTGAGGCATGAAACTGGCTAATCATTTGACCCTGGGTTAATCTCATGTCGCCCGTGCACTGCCCGTTGAATTCAGCCTCACCCCGCAACTCCCATACATAAATACTCCCCGAGTCAAGGACCTCCGCGACACATTCTAAGCTTCGCGACACATTCTAAGCCACCTAGACTATAGTAATCCCGGTGCCAAAATGATCAAACCCAGTAGTCGCCCATGCTACCACAGGTCGACATTATTGCAATGGAGACAAGGTAGGCAACGCAACTTCTTCCATGATCCAGCCCATACTAATGGTTTAGGCGATGAATGGCGAGAGCAGACTATCAATCCCATGCATTTGATGGCCAGGGACGGCCGTCTGGCACTTGATGTTATAGATAAAGATACCCAGGTTTATATTATGTACGTTCGTCGATGCGCCCGGGTCAATTGGTTGTAAAAAATGCTAACCTCCAAAAGACTAGCGAGTGCCAATGAGATTCGGGACTGCCATGATTGCAAAGTAGCATTGACTGAGACTTTTCTCATGCCCTCAATCTGGTGGACCAATCATCTGAAAAGGTCAAATGGGTTCTTTGGCTGTGAAGCGACTCGAGATAGAGGAAGAATAACCAGTCTAAGTATGTGTCCTAATCCGAGTGATACAATCACAACTCTAACACAACTTGGTAGACACATGGTCCTTCTTCCAGTCAAAAGTGATAAAGTCTACCGACGACTACAGCTGGTCCAAGTTCAACATTTTCACAAGATGGACATCTGGCAAAAACCAAACGGGCATTCTCATCTTCGACAACAAATCACACCCATTCACAGATATCATCCCCGATGAACATCTCCTCACCGACCCATTCTGGGTCTACCTATATATCCTCGAATCCGTCTCCGAATTCGAAGATCGCGCAGTCTGGTCAATTCGCAACCTAATCCGACCAATCGAAAAAGGACAGAAACAAATCCTTACGAAAAATGAAAGGCCAAAGCCAAATTACCGTGAATTACACGACATCGCCCGCCACTCTATCCACGTCACTGAAACCCTCGACGTAGCCCTACAAACAATCGAGCGTATCCTCGAAAACCACCGCGCAAACATGAGTCCCACTAATTCAAGCACCGGCTCAAGTCCCGGCCTCTCAACTCCCTTCCCCCCCTTCCGCCAAGACCGCAACGTCTTACAAGAAATCCAATCCAGCCTCTCCTTTTCACAAAGCTACCTCTCCAGTCTCCGCCACCGATCCATCGCCAATGAAAAACGACTACAGAATGAGATCCAACTTACGTTCCAGACGGTTGCACGACATGACGCGTTAGTCTTGATGGATGATAGTGCGGCATTGAAGACACTTGCTTTTGTCACTTTTACCTTTTTGCCGCCGACGTTTATCTGTGCGATGTTTAGTATGTCGTTTTTCAATTATGATCAGAATCTTGGGTGGAGGGTTTCGGGGAAGTTTTGGATTTATTGGGTTTTGACGGTGCCGACGACGATTCTTTCGGCCGCGTTGTGGTTTTATTGGCAGAGGAATCCGCCTTCGAGGAAGTTTGGGGATCGGATTGATACTTTTTCGAGGGGCTTGGATGGGTATAGGGAGAGTGCGTGATGTGTTGGTATTGTGGAAGTGGGAATGTATTTTGGGCACTGTTAAGGCTGTGTACATCCACCTCACGATATAATACAGTTTTGAATTTATTCAAAACGGAAATAACTTTCATTGGAATGAATATACGATATACTAATCTAGGCTTATCTTCAATTCAATTGTTCCAATTCTTCAGACAAACCGTGGAACCCGCCAAGCCGATCGCCATTTATCTGATCGAATCACGTGCCGCCCCGCCATCGGCGACGTAACCAGCTGAGACAATCGGTCGATCCGGGCAGCCCTGGGGTAATCCCCCCATCTCCATCTTTCTCTTTTCCAATTCCCCCTCAATCACCAGAGCAATGCCCTTGCTATGGCAATGGCCTCCTCACCCGCATTATTCACGGCCTCTCGAGCCCAAACACTGACATACCTACTAGCGGTTTGTCCCTTCTCCATCGCCTTCCTCGTGTTCATCAATTCCTCCGTCTCGTTCGTCGTCACGGATCTGATCGGGTTGCACGATGGTGAGGGCGATGCGGTTGGCACGTTAGGTTTTGCAGATGAGCTGCTTGCTCTCGCTGCTTGTCCGCTTTGGGGGGTTCTTTCTGATCGGATTGGTGTTCGCTATGTAAGTGCAGCGCTTCATGATCATCCCTTCGCTCGCGATGTCGTGGTTGCTGATATGATAAAGGTGTGCACTATTGGCTATGCGGTCATTGCTGTTGCGTTGGTTCTTTTCGTGCAGGCCACGAATGTGTATCCGCAGCTGCTTCTGGGGAGGTTGTTGTTTAGTGTTGGTGGCTCGGCGGTGTCGACGATGGTCACCGCCGTTCTGCCTACCGTCACGGGTAAGGCGTTGCGGGATCAGGCTTATCGGGTGTCGGTCTCGTCCGAGTTGACGATAACCCCGGCACGGTTGAATGGTCACCGCAGTGATGACACGAGTTCTCACGCATCACCATCTGCTCGATTATCCGGGTTTGTTGGCTTGTTTGCCGGCTGTGGTGCGCTTGTGTCACTCGGTGTTTTTTTACCCCTTCCGGCTCGATTTGAGAAACTCGGTCTTTCGCCCACGCAAGCTATCCAACGGAGTTATTACCTGGTTGCCGCGGTTGCGATGGTGATCAGCTTGATCAGCTTCATCGGTCTGAGGAATCTGCCCGAGGAGGAAGGGAAAGGGTGGCGGGCGTTGTGCAATCGACACACGGGTGACCTCGATGAGGAGGACGAGCATTTCAACGGACCAGAAAGACTGCCGTACTGGAAACAACTGACCACGGCAATACTCCTAGGATTCCGGAATCGCAGCATTGGTCTCGGATACGTGGGAGGATTCGTTGCCCGCGCATCCTCAGTGGGAATCTCATTATTCATTCCTCTGGCTGTGAACCACTATTACCGAGTGTCTGGACTCTGCGACGGAGATCACGACCCAATGTCTAATTCCGGGCTTGGGGATATCAAAAAGGCGTGCCCGCGCGCTTACATACTGGCCTCTATCTTGACTGGTGTATCCCAACTGATCGCCCTCATTGCTGCACCGGCATTCGGATATCTCACCGACAAGTCTCGGCGGTACAACGTGCCTCTCCTCGTGGCAGCCTTGGTCGGCGTGGTGGGTTATCTCGCATTCGGGCTACTACCAAACCCGCAATACAAAGGACCCGATGGCAATGCCGGCGTTTTCATCGTGATGGCCTTACTAGGAATTAGTCAGATTGGCGCCATCGTGTGCAGTCTAGCCGTGCTCAGCAATGGAATCCTCGAGGTCGGCGTTGACGACAACACACTTCGTAAAATCTACGCCGAGCAAAATGTCGATCACGAGGGGGCCAATCATCCCGGTGGAGAAGGCGAGAACCAGCCGCTTCTGGCCCGCTCCGTCAACCATCGGCTGCAGCACCTGTCACACTTGAAGGGGTCCATTGCCGGGGTGTACTCGCTGTACGGCGGGGCGGGGATATTGATTCTCACGAAAGTGGGTGGATTGCTCTTTGATGTGTTGTCCTCGGGGACTCCGTTCTATATAATGGCTGTGTTTAATGGGATTTTACTTGTGACGGGACTTGGGTGTGGGATATTGAATCATGTTGGGCGATCTAAGGGAGTGTGAAAGTTGGGTTTAGAATGGATGCTATTTTTATGACTATCATTGTTGTTGACAGTATCATGAGAGAGGGTATTTTGCATCTGTAACTGTAGTGCTGCACCAAGCTGTACTCTGTAGCGGCGTTTCACTGTGGCCGCGCTAGTTCTCTGGGCTCCGCCTCGTGCAGGGTCAAAATGGTCGAGGGGAACATTTAGGTGCAGCCGCGGGCCGGCGCTAGTTTAGTCGAGCACAGCTGCAGAGTAGTGCATACAGTAGTGAGGGAGGATTGCATGTTGGGAAAAGGTAACCTGGGGCCGGCGCGTAAGTAATGCGACTCTATTTACGGAGTACAGACTATCAATAATGGAATATTGTATTCTGATTTCTACGAGAGTATACTTTGTAGGGCACTTTAAAGTTCCACCTGATTTAAGCTGAGGTAATCCCAAGCGATGAACTGTGAACACCTAAGGCATCCAGGCATAAATGAACCCCAAACTCATCGGTGGCTTTTTTTCCCTTTCTCCACCCTCATTTAAATTGAATCTTCGCTAGGACCCAGAAGCCCCCCCTCCAACTTCTTCAAGGGTGGAAAAATAATAATCACAGGGCCGGGCCAGGGAGCAGGGACCAAGTTCTGGACTCGAGATCATGATCAGGAGGGGGGTCTTTTACGAAAAAGACCATCAAGACCACCGGTTTTTTTCCTTTCGCAAACCACTCATCACCCACAGTTTATGACGACCGTCATCACAACCTTCCCTATCGGGCATGGCAGCTGGGCAAATAATCGGCCCAACCCTTGGAAAATTAGATTTTCATGGATTTCCACCGGACTCTAATCCGAGATTGTTCTAGCGTTCTCTGGATGGAGGATACTGGCGTGGCCCCCTTTTTTTCCCACTTGACTTGGTCAGTGACACTAAACTTCGTGAACTTGGGGGGGTGAATAATACTCAATACATAAATACATACAGTATGTACTGAATGAACCCCTGGGGATCCAGTTTGGCCCTGTTCCTGGCCCCGTTTTTTTGAGTTTTGGTACCTGAACCGTTCCCTTTTTCCCTTTGCCTTTTCGTTAGCCGCTCGCCTTCACCCAAATGAGTAAATTACTTCCAATCCCACGATGCCTTGCAATGCGCCTCCGGCTCCTCTTGGCAATTACCAGCCTATCAATGTTCCAGTAGCTTCCCGGGTAACGCTCGCCAAGGTCGCTTTCGTATGTAGCCCAGAACCCTACAGTCTGCTCATTTGTGTTGGTACCTGAGTCCACCCTAATTCCCAGTATGGGCGTATCGCGCTACCCCCCTCTGTCTGTCATGATTGATGATTCCCCCCCCTCTTTCGGGTCCTTGCGCCCCCAGACTAACAAACTAGCAGACTTTTGGCAGGACTAGGGGACTAAGGGACTGGACGAGGGGCCTGGGGGCGGCAACTTCATCTCATCCTTCCTCTCTCTCCCTCTCTCTCTCTTCCTTTCTTCCCTTTTCCACACTCCCCCAGTCTCTACTTACGCGCGCGACGCTTCTGGCCCCCGTCCTTCCCTTCGCTTCTCAGTCTCTCGTTAACGATCTTTTAAAGATCCAGTCACTCTTTTTCGGCCAGTCGTTGATCCTGCTTTAAAGTACTCTTTTCGTCGCCAATTACACTCTTTACACTCCTTGGACCCTGAATCCCGTCTCATCTCAAATCCAAACACAACAAAGTCATCATGCGTTTCCACACTGTCGCTCTCCTCACTGGCGCTACTGCTGCCGCGGCCGGTCAAACCGCTACTCTGCTTCTGCCTGGTTTCCAGGGTCGCACCCTCGAGGCTGGTATCATCAGCAAGGTATGTATCATTGTGCGCGTCGCAATAGAGTCCTCCATATTCGAACACTTGCGCGAGGCATTCAAGACATATCGCTAATCCATCTCTGATATAGGCCGGCGATGCCACCACCTACCTGGTCACCTGCCCTACCAGTGTCGCCTCTGCTGACTGCGGTATCCCCGGCAAGGGCATGACCGCCATCGCTGCCCCCAGCTCTGCTGAGCTGTACCAGGCCTACGCCGACGGCAGGTAAGTAATGAACTTCCACCAACGCCCCCCGGGTATCGCATCGCATCGCATCGCGCATACTAACTCTTTTCCAGCACCGCCACCGTCTCCTGCGCCATCGCCGGCACAACCTACGCCTCCTGCTCCGCTGCCCAAGGCACCGTCACCGTCCAGCACACCCTGGACTCCAAGAACATCAACTGGATGCCCGTGACCGTCACCGGCGACTGCTCCACCAGCACTCCCACTCCCACCCCAACCCCGACTATCACCACCACCGCCGTGGTCCAGACCTCCACTTCGACCTCCAGCCCGATCTCGAGCCCCGTCAAGTCTTCTTCGCGCCCGGCTTCGTCCACCCCCTTGCCAGCAGCACTCCTCTGGCTCCTAGCCAGACTGGTGCTGCTAGCACCTCCGCCCCGGCTGTCACTTACCCTGCTGCGCCTAACGCTGCCGGCTCTCTGGTCGGTAACAGCTGGACTCTGGGTGGTGCTGTCCTCGCTCTGGCTTACGCTCTTGTCTAAGGGAGTGAGAGAGAAGAAACGAAAAGCGATTCTCGGGATTAGGGACGGGATTATTTTTGTCCTATCCTGTTTTTCTTCGACCTTTTTTTCGCAGATGCGTTGATTAGATGTTGATTTGGATGCTCTGCGTTTGCATCTACATCTATATCTGCGCATTCCTACCTTTCTCACTCGGGGGGTTTGTGTGGTAATGTTTCCTTTTCTTTGGATGTCTATCATGTACTTCACCTTACACTGTACACATCTATCCCTATTACTTAATGATTTTTGATACCTTTTTTTTCCCTTTTTCTCTTATCCACGACAGCATGATCCAGCGCACCGGCTCCTGTACTTTTTTTTCCTCTTTTTCTTACATACCTTGATTTGATTTTATTCTTATATGCTCATACTCTGGCTGTTCCTGTGTGTACTCTTAGTGTGGATAGGTAAATCTAACCTCTGACCATATCTTAACCCCAATTCTACCCTTGTATTTCTACCTCCCGATCTCTCCACAGCCACATCCTTGGCCCCATGCCCATGTCCCATCTTTACAGGCTGCTTGAAGGAACCAAAATTTTTCTCGTGCGAAGATTAGATCAAGTTACATGAATTGTGGTATCTTGGGTAGCAAATTTATTGTCAACAATTCAGGCTATGAAATACATTTCAATGGCTAATCAGAGCAATGGAATCAAGGAGAAAAATGATAGGAACTGATGAGGAATGTGATTCCAAAGAGAAGTTAACTTGGGAAACAGGATACATGAGATGAGTGTTCTCGGGGCTGTTGAAATTGCCCTGAGCTTACAGGATACCGAGGCACTCAGGCGTTGCAATCCTGAGTGGCAGGATCTCAACGAAACTGGGGAAAGGTCTCATACAATTGTGCGCGCTAGTGATCATGGCAATGCCCGAATGTGCTTGATGGTACATGGATCAGCGTTTTGGGTAGACATGTTTTTGAAACGTTGTTCGACTTGGGATTCATTCTGTCTCTCTTGACCTCATGCCACTTGAATGCCGGCGCTCTAGGCTCATAGATGTATCATAATCTATGCCCTCGAAAAGATCCACAAGCCGGTTGAGCTTTTCAACGACCTTAGTTCCTTTAGTGAAGAGATACCGCAGTTTCCCGGTCCCATCTCCCTTGTCTGTATCTGCAAGAATTATGAGCCGGCTTGCAGGATCTGTTGGTAGGGCGTTGGGAGCATAGCGTAAGTTGGTTGGTGTGTCGACCAAGATGGGTCGGAGGAAGGCCATTTTACCATCAACGAAATAATCGAACTTCCCAGATCTGCTTTGCTTGACAAGATGATTGAAACAATGTGCTTTGAGGCCGAGGTTGAAGCTATAATCAGCATACGAAGCTGAATAGCTGCCCCAATTACTCTGCACTATTTTGCATTGTTTGCCATTGGCGAGGAAGTCGAGCGCATTCTTTCGAGAGTTATTCTGGGTCGTGTAATAGCTTTTCGTTCGACCAAGAAATAGCTGGTCCCGAGCGGCGCAGCATTTCTCGAAATATTTCCACCAGATTGCTTGCATCTGTGGGTCGGGATGGACTCGAAGAGACTGGTAAGAATTTTTGACATTAATTGCCCATTGGCGCCGAGTTTCGTTTGCACCATGAAGCGCTGCAGAAAATTCCTCTTTCGTCATCTTCATATCAGCCTGGAGAATCTGACTAGATCCCCTTGAAATATATCCTTGCCATAGAGGGAGAGCCACATTTAAGCCCCGATCGGCCCAACGTACTGGGAAACCTTCAGGGAGCCAGAACTCAAGGTCCGAAGACTTTAGGGTCTGTAGAATACAGGCCCCAAACATCTCGAGAAGATTCAGGGAGAGCTGCTCAGAGCTATCTCGCGGATAATGGCCCACTGTACCAAGTGTCACGAAAATAGACTCGAAGTCGTCCTGTCCTTCAAGTTCCTCCCACACCTTGTAATGCAATGAGGGGTATTTGCGTCGTTTCTCGGGGTCGTTGTGTTGGTATTGAATCCGCTCCGAAAGAACAACCGCTTGACCAACATACAGGTAGAACATGTTCGGAATCCGCAGAATATGGAGATAGACTCCGGAGCGATCATCACTGTCAGGGTTACCCCCAATTCCGATCAAGCTAGGATAGGTTAGCTTTCTTTCGTCAGATAGGGCTAGAATAGAGACACCTACTCATCCAATGTGATAGAGCCTTTCTCGAAAACCTCCCTCGCTGCCGGAGTCAACTGATCACAGAGACCATCCTCGATCCGTGCAGAATACCTAATTAAATCTCCATAACGCTTCTTCTGGGTCTCTTTCAGTTGAATTCCTGAGATGATGGAATCTGCAATTAGCCTGAGGGGTGGCTTGGGTAGGATGGGGTCCCCGATTAGAGCGTCCTGGTGGGAAACCTGACGGGGGAAGCTGTTATCTGCCAAGAACGAGGAGAAACGACCACCAGGGAGCTTGCGAATTTCCTCCAAAACTGCCTTTGCATATTTTTCCGTTTCAGTATTAAATTCAACTGAATCATCAGGCTCGGTCTCTTCCTCGACGTTCATTCTCTCTCCCTCGCTGTCCCATCTGTGTCTCTCGCCAATCATTCTCTCTTTTGTCAACCTTTGCCACCATGGGTGTTTGCAGTCACAGAAACCTGGTACGATTCTAATGGGCTCATCCGGAGAGTAAGGGTAGCAGTAGAGTATCCATCCACAGTCCGGACACTCTATTCAGAAGTCAGTACATTTTTTAAGCTAGCACCAGTGGGTCACGAACCGAAGCGTCCTGTTAGCCGTGTGGCCATGATCTTTTTGGAGACCATCTTGGAGGTTCTTGCTGGGAAGTCAGCTCCTTGAGGAGTGGAGGGGGAGGGAGAAGACTGCAAGTGAGAGTGTGAGTGGGAGTGCGAAAATTGGAATCAAGAGCGTGTGAAGGTTGAAAGATTGATGATTTGAGTTAGCTCGAAGACCGACCACCCATAAATAGAATACCATCTACTCGCTTTCCTAATGTTTGTGACAGAGTGGCTGATTTTCTCCTTCCTCTTTATACTCCAGGACCCGCGTTTGCTCCTTGAGCCTATTGCGGCCCTCGATGCTCTGTTTGTCTCGTGCCTTCCTAGATAGTCGAAATCGATGTGCTTTTCCACTTCTATTTCCTTACGTAGTGGCACAGAGTACGCCAACAGTTTGATTGCTCACAAAGACTTCAGTCTTACTTACCAAAAGCAGGAAGGAAGGAGACATAGAATAGTAAGTAATTTATCACAATGAGGCGCCAATCGGGAATAATAGGAAGAAAAGAGCGGTGGAGTGACTGAACGAGCCCTTCTACTTTAAAAAATGTGTTTTTCACGAGTCATCGTTAAGCCACCACTACAATATAGTACAGGTACAAAGCCAGATAATCTAGTAGTACCTTAGTACGAACTGTGTAAGCGGATAAAATTGATCCATAAATTCAGACTACTAGTCGATAAGAGGCCCAACTTATTTTATTATAACGATTGTCACAGTTTGCTCTATACTACTTAACTTCATGAAGAACACTGCACTAGAGCGAAGAGTCCACTTTGGACAATAGAAATAGAAGAGAAAGCTAGTCAGCCTCTACGGAGTCATATGGATAACTATACGTGTAAAGAAGATCAGCCTAGAAGGGCCTCCGCTATTTTTGAACTGGTTCTTTGCATTAAATGTAGTGGTTTGATACATGTAAGCACTCTCTCTCTCTCTCTCTCTCTCTCTCTCTCTCTCCCCCCCCACCGGGCTTATGGGTTTTTTCTATCTTTAGTACACAATAAGATAAGAAAACAAAACTGACTGAGATCCCCTCCTGATGGTAGATTCATTGTTTTTCCAGGCCCTAAGCCTTGTTCTGTCGACCTATAAGAGACCTCTTCTTCCCCCTTTATGTCCTGCTTCGTTAGAGATCTATAGATTGATTGGCTGAGTAAATATTTCCTAGTAGCATAGGTTCGTCGTGCTACTGTACTTTATGTCTTATAACACTAGTTTATGTCTCTTCGAGGACAGCTAGGAGTATATAGCTTGGCATAGTAATAAAATATCAGAGTCTGGTGAGGATTAAGCACCGTTTTTCTGACCACCTTCAGTCTTGATGGCCTAACATAGTTAGAAGACATAGACTAGGTTAGTAGCAGCTTAGAAATTAAATTCGTTTTGTTTAATCTACACATACTATTAGTCTTGGTGGCTTTAAAAGATTGTTTACAAGAGGCACGTAAATATTTTCAAAGGGAAGAGCTTTTGTAAGAGTAGTAGGAAATAATGGCGGGGTGAGGTAAATAAAGCACATGCAGTTTCTTTGTTTTCCTAGGCCCTACAACTACCCTTCTTCAGCCTAAAGATACCTCCCTCCTATTTTCCTTTTTTTCTCCTTTATCTTTCTCTAGACTAATCATTTGACTTTGGTCGTAACATCCACAGAGTCGGGATGCGGTAAAAAAAGGCAAATTTGGTAAGTCATATATGGATTGCTCTATAGAGTCCGTACGATTAAATCTTCATTATTCTTGCTATTATCACAGGCTACAATGTCTATAGGCTCTATCGTAGGCCATAAATGGTGGGTCGCGTGATTAGTCGGTTTTTTTGCCTTCCATAGAACTTGGGAACTCGGACAATAGAGAAAGGGAAAGGATAAGACGAAAGAGGGAAACATTAGATGAGCACGAGAAAGATATCCTGTTTTACTACTTTTTAATCTTTTATTACTTCATTTTAGACATCTTTAGTCTATCTATAGAGAGTTCTACTAAGAGAGTAGTTTTAAAATAAATAAAAAAACTAAAATTTAGCCCGGGGGCGGATTTGAACCACCGAATCTTCGCATTTTTTTCATGGATCTCTCCATTAGTGTATGGTGTGTAATACCGATACAAGTGCGACGCCTTAGCCACTTGGCCACACGGGCTTGTGTGTTGTAAAGTTGTGTTATTGAAAATACATACTGTGATTAATAGTTAGAGTATTCAGTAAATTAGTAACATAAGAAAGCACGGTCGGGGCATCCAGCTCACACGTACCCAAACCTCTAGATTGTATAACATTTTTTAATGCAGAAAAACTTTTAAGCACCTTATTTTACCACTTCTCAAGATTATTACTAAGTATCGAATTTCACAACATGTCGGTGTCTTTACTCTCGCTATCGCTATTTAAGGATTCCGATTCTGACGTATTTATTACTACGTAATCTACTACTAGTACTACGTTAGAGATTAATTAAATTCTCTATGATCTTCCGTCTGTGAGTGATCGTTTTAAGGTGGGTGGTGAGCGAAGAAGAAGAAGGTAGTGGTGTTGTTTGTGTGTTAAAGATATATCTCTTATTTCTTTGTTGACACTTTTGACTTATACCCCCAAAGAAACCATATTTTTCTTTCAAAATATATAATTTACTATAAAAAAGACTATTTCTTTTATTTTACTATAAATAATTAATAGGAAGAGTCTTTAAGAGTGTTATATAATATATTATATAGAGTTGTATAGAGTGATAGTATATTTTAGTGGGGTATAGATCGCTGGAACCCGCTAACTATAGTTCCTCTTGGTCTTAGTTCTGGATAGTGATTGAATATAGGATAATGTCTCTGTGTTTTCTTTCGTTAACAAGCCTGCGTGGCCAAGTAGTAAGGCGCTCCACTCGTATTGTAATTACCAAATTACAAGTCATGGAGAGACCGTCGGTGCAACTCCGGCCGTGGGCAGTTCTTTTTTCTTTCTCTTTTCCTTTTCTTTCTTTCTTTCTTTTTTTTTAAAAATTTGTCTTACTTATCTATCTACCTAACGTCTCAAGCTGTGATTTATAAGATAAATTTGAAGGCCTATCAGGGTTTACAATTTAAAAAAAGCATACATATTCTAATATAGAAGTATATTTTTACAGTACCTAGAGGCTAGAATCCACGTAGGACTAAAAAGCGTCGCAACTTGTAGTTTATTTGGTTGAACAATCATATATCCCGATGTATTAAGTAGGAATAATAAGAATGATATAGAGTAGGGGAAATCCTGACAGATTAATGGCTATGGCTCTGATATAGAGGATCGGCTGTCTAGTTATCAACTTTCTCTCGTGTAGTCTGGCTACATATCGGTCTCGTGTGTTTCATCTAATCATCGAAGAATGATCTGTTTATTTGTTTGTTTGCTTTATTAATTTGCTTGTCTTGCTCTAGCGATACGCTTCACATACGTCCTCGCAGTCTTCATCCGTTTTGTTTAGATTCCATTTGTCTCATTATCCTTATTTCTATGATTTACAGTACATTTCGTCTTTGTGTGATCGATCTATTCGGCCTCAAACATTGCTCTGAGAGATGGTAGTGTGCCTTGCTCCCATTGCTATCGAGGTGGCGTTGTTTATCACTCTGATCTCTCTACTACGACGGTCTTTCTCATTCGTACCTCGATCTGTCATGATCTACTCAATCTGCCACCAGTGCTTACCCTACTCAGTATTAAATATGAAATATAATGTAGTAACAGTATCAGATATTAAATAAAGTTTGTTTTGGGACTATGGACTTCATTATAGCAGGCAAGATCGATAACGTGAAGATCTTATTAACCGTAGAGAATTCAGTGGACTAAGGTCACCCTATTATGGAAATATTACGTATGAAGTAGATAGCTGTAGTTAGCATTTGTTATATTTTACTTTGACCCTGCTCAGCGGGAAAGAAATCCGTCAAGCTAACCACGCATCCACTAATTACAATGCACATAGAATTTCTAAAACTCCTGATAAATCGCTAGGCAACGATGATCAATAACGTGATCAGGGACCAAAAGTTATCAAATCAAAACACGAAGACCAAGTCTGACCAGGATCTAATTCACAATCTCGAAAACCCATCTATGCATTCTCCTCATTATAATCCGAGAATCGATCCCGCAAGGTAACCATAAGCGTAGGTTTATCCCACAGGAAATATACCTTCTGATTTACCCAATCAGCGCTCTCGGGGCACAGGTTGAGATCGAAATTATAAAGTAATTTGCAGAGAATAAGCCGGATCTCGCAGTAAGCCAATCTAGCGTAATCAATCAGATGAAAACAATGAATGTGCGGGGGATCTCTTGGTGATTGACTTACGTCTTTCCGAGACAACCTCTCGGTCCCAGGCTGAAGGGCTGCAGGACGTCTTTTTTGTCCCCGTCAAAACGGGGGTTGTTCCCTAGCCACCGTTCCGGGATGAAATTGTTTGGAAGGGCAAAGTTGGAGGTGGAGCGGTACGAGGCATAGTGGTGACAACTGACGACAGTCTAGTAAAGTGTTAACAGGGCCGTAGAAGAATACTTGATGAAGTGTACGCACCCCCTCCGGTACGAAGTGGCCATCAACGGATGCTCCACCCGCCGGGATGATGCGCGCGAGACTGGTCACGAAAGGTGGATACATGCGTAGCGACTCTTCAATGACAGCAGCCAGATACGGTAGTGCAGCAGAGCTGCGGAATGTAATGTCCTCGGCTGAATGGAATACAGATCGAATTTCGCTGACCACGTGGCTCATAGCGCGAGGGTTCGTACAGAGATAGAAAATACACCCGCATAAAAGTGTTGCGCTGGTTTCGCTCCCTGCAACGATCAAACTAACATATTGGTCAGCTTACCTGCGGAAACGTCGTAGTTTGACAGAAAGGACATACATAAACGCATTAGAATGAATCTCCGCACGAGTCATCATCCTCGGCCCATCATGATCCTGCTCTTTCGATTCACTCAGTCCATTCTGCAAAATCGCAGACATAAAGTCCGACCGGGTTGTCTTCGTCTCCAACCGACGATCAACCCGACGAGCAGCAAGATCAAAATGCTCCACAGCCTTTTGCTTAACACCTTTTGGGATAAGTGCAGAAAGCAAGCTATGAAAGACGGGGAACTGCCGCGCCATACCATCATACGCCAACGCTTTAATAGACTTGAATATCAAATCAATCCACGGGTGTAATTGACTATCCTTCAGACACCCGAAGGATTCACCGAACATCAAGTCACCGGCGATATCAAACGTAGTATAGTTCATCCAATTCTTAATATCAAGAACCGAAGACCCTTTTTGAATCTCCGCCCGCACCTTAGAAATCATCGTATCAACATACCCCGTGATAAGAGGTTCTTGTTCCCTGAGTGCTCGATCCGAGAATGCAGGCGCGAGTAACTTGCGCTGACGAGCATGCGAGGCATTATCTATCTCACCAATGAGATGATTGACGCCATTCGCCGGGGCCAAATAACGCGACGGATCTTTCTGGAAACAACCTCCCGGTCGAGCTCCATAGATATCCCGAAAGGCCCGGGGTGTATTAAACACAAGTTCATTTGGACCGACGCGGATCACGGGCCCGTATCTCTCATGTAAAGTCGTGGCGTCTAGATGGGCGTATCCCCGGAACACGGACCACTGATTGGGCACGCGTGAGATGGCCCAGAGCCTTGGGCCTGGGAAACAAGCGAGGGGTGAGAAGAAAAGCTGGTAGACGATACTATATGCAAAGACAAGTAAGACCTGGGGGTGTGTTTCACAACGGTTAGCGCTGTCTCTGTGGCATATAGAGATATAGTATAACATAAGCAGTAGCATAAGGATTCGACTATAAATTTTGGGAGTGATGTGGTTGGGCAGAAGTGAAATAATAGCTATAGGGACCTGTAGCTGTCATAGATCAGAGAGTATTGATACAACTTACTAGAAATCCTGCAGAGAGGCTCCAAAATAGGATATCAGAGGACAAGCTAGGTGATAGCATGCTAAGATGCAATTTCGATGCGGAGGGAATACACCCTAGAGCCCTGCAAATGGCCTCTATCATGGTATTTTACACTTTTGGTGGTTGTCGGTGATCGACCTATAGTAGGAGTAGTGTCGAGATACACCCCGGTCTGGCTGGTCGTTTAGAGATGAGAACTCTAGGACAGTCAAAAGTGCAATCGAAAGGTCGTACTAGAGCGAAGTAAACCAGTCGAGTTGAAGATGGAATCGGATGGTGACAGGATGAGAAGATAATAAAGCTCAGCTCCGCCTAAAGGATCTCATCTCAGCACCAAGACTGTTGGATGCAGACTAAATGCTGATGGCGTTCATGTAGTGGCAGTAGTGCGGAAGGAAGCGGTAGTATGAGTGGAACAAGTGGTACAGCCTCATCGTCATGTTGGTTTTTCCCTTGTTTGCTCTCATCTCGTGTTGGTTTTTTCCCTTCTTTGGCTTCAACCATGTCGTTGTCTTGGACTGCGATAGTAAATTGTGCATTTCTCACCGAATGTCTCGTATTTGTCTTCGGTGTCGTTTCTCTTCCAGTTCGATTGCCGAACCAACTAATCAATCCGATAATCAAGGTCCAGCTTCAAACTGCGGCTTCCGACCGTACACAATGTGTAGATTGCAATAAGTGTGAACCTGGGAGTTCTTCAAATCTTTTCTAACCCCAGCCAGGAACACCTGGGTATCATTGTTGGACCAACCCAGCACTCTCGTGAACAGCGCCAGAGAGTAAGACTCGACCGCCATCAAAAGCGAGCACAAATTATACCGACCAATTTGTTTCTGGATAGGATTCCCGGACCAAGCACTGGAAGGAACCTACTCGCCAGAAAAGAAACGGAAAGATTCCAAGCGCCCAGGTTAGCCCCCACTGTTCGAAAAAGGCAAAAGTACAATCATACCAAGACACTAAACGAGTCATACATCAAACTAAAAAGACCAGGGTCATTTTCATACCTTGTACACCTCATCCCGAACATCTTCAAACCCAGCCTCTACCAGACGTTGCCGGTGTCCCTCAGCGATATTCATCGGTCTTTGAAATGCCTCACTAGCCTCATGCAATCGATCAAGATACTCGCATAATGTCGGTGCCAGACGCATGGTATCATCATCCGATTTGAGCGTGACTTCAAACTCCTGCAACTCGATCCACCCACCGGGCTTGAGATGCTCATGCGCCTGTCGCAGCAGCCGGGGCCAATCGGCGATCGCACCGCCTAAATCCCGTGCATGGATAAAATCAAATGGCCGGCTGGCACTAAAAAGCCACGGTTCCTCAGCGTCATCGACTAGGAAGCGCAGGTTGGGTGGGACCCAGGATGGTTGGATGGGACTGAGATCTGTACCGATGACTTCGGCGCTGGGATAGCTATCTGCAAAGTCGATGGCCCAGATGCCCGTGCCCGTGCCAATGTCTAACACTCGTTGGATAGAATTGTCCAGCGGGGCTCGGAAGAGTGCACCATTGAGGACTAGATTGCGGACGTGATGCAGTAGATCTTGTCGGTCTTGCTCTTGTTCGTCGTTGGGGAGGACGTAGAGACCCTCACGATAAGAGTGGTATCGTCGACCATTTTCATAGGCGTAGTCTTCTACATCTGATAGCAAGGAAGCTGTATAGCTGGATGTGTCGGAGTGATAGTAATCGTCGTTGTCGAATATAGATCCTTCTACGTCGTTGGTCGAATCTTCCGTGGAGGACATGTCCACATCAGGCGGCTGAAACGAGGCTGAACCGGGATCTGGATCCGGTGGACTCCACGAAGATGGATTTGAAAAATCCTCCGGTTGCATTATGACAGTTTCACTCTGATTTTCAAATGCTGAAGCAGACGTCGTTCGTGATAAAGGCCTGACATCTTCGGATGTGAACGTCACCGCCCGGAAAGTTGAATTTTCATCGTTTGCGGGACGCAGTGGAGACAGTCTGGGTCTCTCTTCAGGGACATCCTCGTCAGCCGCTTCTGAGATGGGACTCAATTGCGGTGATATCGCTAGTTTGTGATTTATCCGATCGTTCCCGGATCTGCGATAGCCTTAGCGTTAAGGCTGCGTGGCGGGGATAAGAATGCTTGGATAGTGCGATCCACATTAGAAGGTTCTGTGGCCTCGGTAGATATCTCCATCCCATCAACGCACGGAGGGAGTCTCTCAATCTCTACTTATGAACTGATCTTTCATCTTCGGGCCCCAGTATGGGCTGGAGGGATAATGGCGATGGGGAAGATGGTAATTCCTGTGACTGGCCGTTCATCACGATCTGGGACTCGGAATTTGACGCCAGAAGGGATCTAACTGATTACACTGCATCGGATTTATGATTATCACGATTTACATATCCAGTGAAGTCGACAATGCGGCCGTTAGAACGACAAGGGCCTGGCAAAGCCATATCTGTGCCGACGCCAGTCCTGCAATCGTCAACACGAGGCTTTTCAGAAGCCATCGCGGGATAACAACCGCAGAAACCGAAGAAACCGGGATTCATGAGGACTGTGATGGTTTCAGGCGTCTTGAGATAACGTCCCGTTTGTCGAACCCGTTAATAACGAAGGAGACCAGTGTAATAAGACGCAGCTAGTCAGCGCGACCGTCTGAGACAGGGACGGTAGGACCAGCACCGGAACTGTATCTGCAGAAAGACCGTAGATGGTGTGAATTAGGATCGTCTCAGATTTATCTGCTTCAGATTATGAAGTTGTAGTGTTGGGGTTGCTGGCGTTGCCCATGTAGAACAAAAAGGTTGGGAAATCACCCCGAATTATATCACAGACTGCATTGTGGCATAGTCGAGTGGATGAGAATGCTCGTGTCCTCCAAGACATGCAGTTTTTATGCCGATAGCCTTTAGCCAGCGTCCGATTTGTCTTCTTTGGTGTCACTTGTCATGGCGGTTTACAAATTGGATTGTACTAGTCGGACTTGCGGAGAAGGTGAACAAAGAAAATTGCATCCTGGTCCGGCTTAGACGCAAACTTCTCGGGAGAACCTTCCTCTCGGCTTACTCTCGTGACTATGACTAGCAGATCTACATTTAAAACAAAAGCGCAGAATGATTCTCGTCTAGCCATGTTATTCCTGCATCAAGGGCTGTAGTTGGCCCCACTTCTAACTAGGGTCTTGTCGTGTCGCGGTGGGTATTATCTCATGCATCATTCACGTCTTGGAAAAAACAGCGCCTTCACTTTGGCCCTGCCCCAAATTAACTGCGCAATCCACCCCGGGTAAACCGCTCCGCCATGCCCATTCCTCGCATATTGGGTACTTGATTTTGACGGGACCGCCGCTCGCTTTCAGGACCTCGCACCTCCAGCCCGGCATGAAGCACGCCGGCACGCAGGATACGCATATGTGCCTCCTGGTTAAAAGAGCGCAGGCTCTCCAGAGTCTTATCCTGAACATCTGTCCTCAGATCGGTCTGGTTCGAAACTAGAACTCCTTTCTCCAAGTCGATACGGGCATCCAGCACGCCCTTCTTCACCAACTGGATGAGTTCTTGGACAAATGGTGATGAAACACTGGTGGGCTGTGCCTCGCCGCCGATTACCTCGGGCGCAAAGATGGTTGCCATCGAAGTCAGAGTGACACGGCTGAAAGGCACAAGATATTGTTTGATCGCCTTAGTGCGGATCAGCGTGTAGAGCTCAGCAACGTGGCGCTGAAGGTGAAGATCAAGAAGGTAATCGGTGCGATAAGCTTCCAGAATGTCCAGACAAGGGCGGAACTTGGAATTGCAGAAGAATGCAATCGCACGTCGAATGTGGGGTTCAAGCTCGAGGAAGTTGCGGAAAGCGCTGTTCTCTAGAACGCGACGCTGTAGATCTCCGCGGTCCATAGATGCCATAGCACATAAACCGCCATATACCGCGACGTCATTGGGAGTGATGATCTCGTTGAAAGTGTCGGCCAGGCTGACATCAGTCGACAGGAAGTTGTTGGCAGCTTCCAGGTATGAACCCGAATGCAGCTGGGCAAGACCCATAGCAGCGGCCATCTTGGGCTGGTTCTTAAGCTGGTCCTCGGGTTTCGACTGGGCGTTGCGCAGGCGGTGCACATTCGCCTGGACGGCAAGCCAATCTCCACGCTCGACGGAGACGTTAATCAGCTTGAACAGCATGGAAGCGATATGGTTCGGTGTTGTGCAATAGTCTCGCATGCGGGTGTATGCTTTCGAAGCGCCGAGCAGATCGCCAGTCTCGTAATAGTGGTTTCCAATATCCTCGTTGCCCATCTAGTAAAGAAATTTAGAGCCAACCAGCGCATATTGAATCGGTAGATACGTACCCGAATGCTCTCTTTAATCAGATTGTTCTTGTACCCCCGAAGCTCCTGCTCTAATCGCTCGGATTGAGCTTGGACCTGCCGTTGTACATTATGAACCCACGCTCCGTCGAGAGAAGCATCCTTCTCCTTCGGTGCTACTTCCGACAGCGCACGCACTGCCTTTTCGTATTGTGAAACATCCTTCCCAGACTTGGCCTCGGCCACTGCGAGTTTCAGCGCTTCGGTTGAGAGGGCTGTGGAGGAGGTTCCAATGAGGTAGAGACGATCGAATCGGGTCCGGCCTTGAGGAGTCACAAGTTAGAACTAGTCCAGTAGAGTGGGAAATTGCAGCGCCAACTTACCGACATAGTTCGCAATGTAAGATTCCAGATCGAATTTGGGAGGGTCTGCCAGATTCCACACGTCAGTTACGAGTCTCCAGCTATCGGCGGGTATGTTGCCTGCCCCGCAGGAGGATCGACGTACCATGGACTTTGATTCGTGGAATATTCTCCTGAGTTTCACTCACACCCGGGAGGCCTTGTGAAGAGGCTCCCAGAGACGCTGACGGGAATGGACCAGCGTATGAGGTCTGTGTAGAAGAGGGGAAGGCATCTGGTAGTGTGTCCATCTTGCCTGCACTGCCGGGGAAAGCAGCACTGGCTCAGACACAGACGGCGAGGGAAGAGTAGCGAGAGAAATAAGCTATTGATCGAGTGCGCAATTCAAATTTTCAAAATTCGAAGGCAAATCGGGATCTGGGTGAAGACGAGGTGTTGTAAGAGTGGGAGACAGGTTGATCATCATTGTGATGGCTCGTTGACCTGGTGAGCTGATAGGCAGTATCCGACCGCCCCAGTCACCGCTATTTCAGCCTCATCGATGCGGCTTCCAGGCTTGCGGGACTGTCATAAACAACTGAATCGAGGTATTTTGTTTTATTATCCGGTGAATAAACATAAAGTCTTCCGTATTAGCCAGTCTATTACGTGGAACTATAATGGTATTACTTCCGAAATGTATTGAATGAGATGCCCAATGAGAACTGCTAAGGAAAGTAGAACGTAACTATGTGTAAATATATTGCTCATAGCATGCCCATTTTATATCCCTGTCATTGAACATGAAGTTCAAATACCTATCCCTAGGAGTCTGTTTCTATGATCCCGAGGTCATACTCCTACAGTTAATTTCAATTTAGCTAACAAAAGAAGAGGAATCATTACCAGAGGAGGAAACGCTGAACACGGCACTGCATACTACTGACCATCTATCAGTGTACAGGGAAGGGAGATAGTGTATTGCCACATTATCGAATGGAAGCTCGATTCTAGAATCTAGATCATCTATGAATTTATAATTTACTTCAAAGATATTTCTAACACATACGACCATAGGGTGTGGAGAACAGGGCTTCCCGTCCGCTCAGCCGTACTTAAGCCCATTATAGTACGCAGTCAATTCTCAACGCGCCCTGCGCTCTAAAATGGCGCCGGATTTGGTCTTAGGGTGAGTGTGGGTGATATGGATGAGAAGTTTGGAGACTGGGGTTGACAGCGCCCACGGCACTGCTGGCACAGGAAGCGAAGAGAGAGAGAGAGGGAGACTGAGTCAAATTGGTCTATCTAGAGCATGAAGACGAAGACGACTAGGAAAAAGGAAGAAGAAGAAGAAGCAGAAGGGAACAGAACAGGGTCTATAAGGCCCTGAAGCACAAAGGAAAGGAACAAGGCCTGGTCCTGACAGGAAAACCCCGGCCTGCTTCATGCAGGGCCAAAGAAGACGACAAACCCTGCAAACCCTCGAGGTCAAAGGGATCGAGTCATCACATCCCCCACAGGGCCTAGGCCGAAGTCACCAAAACCTTCTTGTGACTGAAGCAGTTTGAACACAATCTTCTTGGTGATAGAATCAAGTAAACAGGCTTAGGAAATACCATCTTTTGACAGGAAACAATAGTAAGAAATTATGCAGGAGAGCATTAAAAATGAACAATTTGTAAACATGAAATGTGTGAAAGATTGCAATTTGGTCAAATATGATAATCACCAAGGAAATCAATTCGTCAAGTCTGGGGGTTTCGTCATGCACAGCAATTTATCACGATCGTCTTCAAAAACACTATGCGGCTTTGCTTTCGTCAAGATATCCGCTGCATTCTTTTTGCTGGGAATGTTGATTAATGCAACGAGATTCTTTTTCACCAAATCGCGCACTAAGTGATATCGAGTATTGATCCATGACACTTTAGTGCTCAACTTGCCGTTGGTGACAATTCTTATCGCATTGTCGGAGTCACAATGGAGCAGGAGTGGATTCGTTTCAGGGTCATCTTCATTCCATAGCGGGGAGAGTGTCAAATCGGCAGCCAATTTAGCCAATGCAATACCCTCTTTGACAGCAGTGCTCATTGCACAGTATTCAGCCATTGTAGAGGATGTTGCAACGATATCCTGTCTATAGGAGGACCATGAAACCGGTGCGCCTGCAAAGAACCAAATGTAGGCCTCGGTGGATTTACCACGTTCAGCATCAGCGTATGACGAATCAACAAAACCTTCTAGTCCCCGGGTTGGGTCTCTTCCAAATGGTATTCCAAGGTCAATTGTGCCTGAGAGATAGCGGAGGAGGTCTTTGTATGCATTGGCATCTTCCTTTCGTGGAGATTTATTGCGCCTTTGCAATTTTGACACAGGAGCTGCAATATCTGGTCGCATTTTGATTGACAACCATCCGACCTTGCCCATTTTCCTCGCATAGTCGAGCTTGTCAATGTTGTCAACCACATCGTCGTCAGTTGTTCTCCAAGAGGGATCCATTGGAATTGAAGCAGGGGAAGCATTAGCAAAACCTTCGTCAGAAATCAATGTTGAAAGGTAAATCTGTTGGTTCATGAAGATAATGCCTTTCTTTTGGTCATAGAAAATGTCACATCCCAAAAATCTTTTGAATGGTAGGATCTTCAGCTTACGCTTCAAAGCCATTGCATCGCGAATTCGCTTAATTTCACTGTCAAGGCCAGTAGAGAGTACATCATCAACGTAGATTAACACGAACGTGTTTTTCTCATAATTCGTGTAGATGCACGGTTCAGTCGGCAATAGTGTCAAGCCAATATCTTTCAAATCCTCATCGAACACGTTATGCCACAGGTGGCCTGCTTGTCGTAAGCCATACAGTGCCTGCTGTAGCAATGCAACATATTCAACACCATCAGGGCTTTGGTATTCGTGGCCAGTAGGTTGTTTCATGAAAATCACTCGGTTATCCAATGCAGCATTGAGATATGCGCCCACAATATCCCATTAGTCAATAGTCCACTTCCTGGTAGCTGCTAATGTGAGAAACAATTTAGCAGCAGCATCAGAAACGACTAGGGCAAATCTCTCATCTGGTTGAAAGTCAATTCCTGGTGCTTAGCGGTTACCACATACAACCCATCTAGCACGAAATTCCAAAACGTAGCCATCGCTGTCAGATTTTAAATCATAGACCCATTTCCCTGGCAAAATTGACGTGCCCTTTGGAGGATGAGGAACAAGGACCATTGTATTTGAAGCAGCAATTTTATCCAATTGGACTTTTTCGGCTTGTAGCCAATAGTCTGCAAAATCGGATTTCATTGCTTCCATGTAGGTGTTAGGGATCTTCACCATTCCCGTGCGAAAGCGCTCTGCTGCACAACAAGCAATCCCATCACCTACTGTTACTTCTTCAATTGCAATTGATAAAGGATCCAATGCCATTGGACCTTTCGCAGGATATTTAACCATACCGGGGCCAAGGTCGGCTGGTTTTCTTTCTCTGGCAGAACGTCTAGGTTGAGTTTGTTGTGTTAGCTGTGTTGGTTGTGTTGAAACAATTGCAATTGGGTCAACAGAAGATGTTTCTCGAATTAAACGACCAATTGGTGATTGAACAGAGTGTGGAATTGGGGATTCAATTGGTAATGAGGAACTTCTTGGAAATCCACCTGGGGCAATTGGTGTGGGTAATGATGGTTGTTGAAAATTTTCAATGCTTGGAATTGGTAAGTCGGGATCTTGCTCACGCACAACTTCACTAAACAATCTTTTTGCTGGCGTATTTGGCGGCAATCCACGAACTGTGTGAGGTCGAAGTTGTTCAATTGGGGGTAATGAAGCTAATGGAATAGCTGGACGAGTTTGTTGAATTGGTAAAAATGAAATATTTGAAACATTCTGATTTTCTAAAAATGAAGATTCACGAGAAGATGATTGAATTGGTGGAGATAGAGCAATTTGGGTTTCTGAAGTAGGTAGAGATGGTTGAAAATGCTGAATCCTTGCCTTTGGCAATGCAATTGGTCTCGTAGTAGTCTGAAGTGGTAGGGTAATTGCTCTTTGATGCATTGGTGCATTTGGTTGTAGCACCTCAATTGGCATTGGTGTCATACTTGGTTCAACATATTCATGAGCAACAGGACTCGAATGATGCGATTGCAATTGCGATTGAGGTTGAGTTGAAGGTTGAATTGAGGCTTGAGGGGATCTTTGTTCATGTTCAATTGGAATCTCATCTTTCTTTCTCGAAATTGTCAAAGGGTGGCGTTCGCGAGGTTCATGAGGTTTTTGCTGGTCAATTGGAATTGGATCTTCCAACCTTGGTAAATGGCGAATTGGCAATGGTTCTTCCCAAAATGCAACATCACGACGGAGAACCACCTGTCTTTTCGAAGGATCGTAGATTCTGTAGATATGGCCATTGTTGCCCTCGTATCCAACTAAATAGCCAATCCATGCGCGTGGTTCCATCTTTTTACCTTGCACCCTCTGTTCTTTGGGGATATGAACATAGGCTTTGGAAAACCAGACACGCAGGAAACCTAAGTCAATTGGGCCAGCTTCACGAAGTTGCAAACCGTTGTTCCACTTTTCTATTGGAGATTCAATTTCACCTGGTCGGCGAATTCGATTCAACACGTAGGTTGTCGCCATTGCTGCTTCTGGCCAAAGGTAGGCGGGCGCATTGGGTGCGGAAATCATAAGGGTCCTTGCTCCTTGCATCACAATGTGCCCAGAGGATTCGGCAACACCATTCTGTTCGTGAGTAGCCGGGGGAGAGATTGTAAACGCAGTACCTTTCTGCTTGATCCATGCAATGAATCTCAAAAAGCTCAGATCGCCATCAGTCCGTATTTCAAATGGCCAACAGCCCACAATGTTAAAGATTTGGGTTGCCCAATCAATCAAGACGTCGGAGGAACTGCCCTTCGTCTTAATTGGTATTGCCCATCTTCGTCGAGTTGCATCATCGCAAATAATCAGGGCATGATCAATTCCTCCAATCCCCGTTGGCTTACAAGGCTGAAGATCAATATGAAGAAATTCAAATGGTTTAGTTGCACGCTTCTGAGGTGTGTGTGAAATGATCTTCTTTGACTTAGCCAATCGGCAGGGTTCGCAATTGAATTCATGGTCGCCTTGCACTTCATCACCAATTCGATGATGATTGATTTTGGCCGTGGGTTGACCAACATGACCCAAACGAAAATGTGCTAGCTCTGGCGAAATTGTCGCAAGTGAAAAGGCTTGAGAAACACACTTTGGCGCAATTAATTCAGTTGACAATGATGGTCGAATTGAAATTGTGTGTAAAAATGGCACACCACGTTGACGAAATGCATATGCCTTGATAATGGATTCATCCCAAGGGTCTACCATCACATTCTTCCAATCTTTCCAAGCCAATGCGTTGTCGTAGTAGGCCCTGGTTGTCGAAAGCAAGTTGAATGGTCCTTCTGGCACATACTCACATTGTACGTTCAAATCAACAATTCGATCAGGGAGGACCAAATTGATTCTTGCAATTGCCTGTCCCTTAGCAACCAAAGTTCTGCCTTCTGAGGTTTAGCAAGTGTAACCCTCATTTGGTTTGTAAGGTTCAAAGTGGATAATTGCATCACCATCAACACAAATTGAGCGTGAGGCACCTGAGTCAACTATCCATTCGCCAGTAGAACGAGTAATTGTGGCCAAGGATGAGGGAAAGGGGAATCTTTGGTCAACTTCAAGGGTATTCAGTGCACAGGAGTCTATTCTACCCGCATCAAAATCATTCTCATCCCCCACAGGGATTGCTTCATTGAACCATTCGTCAGTTTCAACCATTGCTGTTGCAAAATGGTATTCAGGGCCATTTCCAAATAGTTCGACTGTCAAGCTTGAGTAGCCATAGGGGTAGTAATATGAAATTGTCTGGGCAGTTAAATCTGTTTGCAAAGAAGAAGAGGAAGAATCCTGTTGAACTGGTGGTGCATGTCCAATGACTGGTTGAGGGGATCTGTCAACAATTGACGACTGAGGATCAATCTTGTTTGAAGAAGAAATTGGTGCTTGGTTCAATTTTAAAGAAGAAGAAGGATTGGGCATATTGTGGTCTGGGATAGGTGGAACTGTTGGTGGAGTAGTGCCATCCTTTCGGATTCGGTTATCATAGTTCCAACCTTGGGGTTTTTGGCCATCCAAATTGTTTCTATTCCTCCATGGGAAATTGATCCAAAGGCCTCTTGTAGGTTTCCATGTAGGTGGACGCTTTTCATACACCAAGTGCATACAATCCTTTGCTGGGTGGCCATGCTTACCACAAAACGAACAGCAACCTTGGGGGGTAACTTGGTTTAGGCCTTCAATCCAGTCCTTAACCCATTTGCTGGCAGCTCCAACACCACCAGGAGGTTTATTCTTCAAAGGCCAAAATTCTGAATTGGAACCACCTGGATTGGAATTTGGATTGGCCCTTGACGCAAGTGCAACTGACTGGATAGATTGAAACGTTTCCAATTCGGTTGTGAGGTCTGTGCAAAGCTTGTAGAACTCACTGATGTTGAAGTCTGTCGCTTTCGCATATTTTTCATCGAAAGAAGAGTGCTTCGAAGCAACCATTGTTGGATTGTCATCACGAATTTCATGTAACAGAACTTGACGCAGGAGAATTGGATTGATTTCAACTCTCTTTGAGATTTTGGTGACGGTATCTCTAAAGGAATTGACGTAGTCAACGGCTGAAGTGTACTGGGATCTGCGAAGAGACCACCAAGTCACACAATCCTTGTTCATTGCATTGTAGCCGGTGACGTTCAACACATTTTTGAGGTTTTCAATGTATTCGTCAGCGAATTCAATCCGAAAATTGCGAGATGTTACCATTCGGTTGATATCCTTTGCAACGGATTGATACATCCAAATTTGCACATCTCGTGAGATCTTCACCCAGCGGTCAGCAAGTGGGGAGTCTCTTGGAGGTCGAGGAATTGAAGAGTCAATAAAACGCCAAAGGCCCTTTTGACGAAGAACGCGATAGACATCATCAAGCCAAGTGTCAAAGTCGTTGACATTTTCCAAATCATCAAGAGGATTGAGTTGATATTCATCAGGGGCATCAGTTGCCTGGTTTAGATTACCTTGCGAAGCTGCATTGGTAGAAACGTAGTCACTGTAGTCGACTTGTGCCGCTACAGACTTAGCGAACACAGGATCCTGGCGTTGTGCCATGGTAACAGGTTGATTAAATCAGAAGAAGAATCAAAAAGGGCTGCATAACCTGACAGCGCCCACGGCACTGCTGGCACAGGAAGCGAAGAGAGAGAGAGAGGGAGACTGAGTCAAATTGGTCTATCTAGAGCATGAAGACGAAGACGACTAGGAAAAAGGAAGAAGAAGAAGAAGCAGAAGGGAACAGAACAGGGTCTATAAGGCCCTGAAGCACAAAGGAAAGGAACAAGGCCTGGTCCTGACAGGAAAACCCCGGCCTGCTTCATGCAGGGCCAAAGAAGACGACAAACCCTGCAAACCCTCGAGGTCAAAGGGATCGAGTCATCAGGGGTGATAGAGGTGAGAGCGGGTGAGAATGGAGAAAGGATTCTCACCACATATTGTTGAATATCCCGGTCACTGAGATAGTCACGGGAGCGCGTGCATATATATATGTCTACCTGGCTATCAGCCTCTTTGTACCTAGATAAGACAATCAACTCCCCATCTACCATGCAATCATTGAAGCGTCACTTATAACTCAACACGCCGTGTCTATTGCGCACTCACCCTATCTCACCCTGGTCGCGCGACCTTAAAGCAGCACTCACCCACTTCTCACCCGGGCGGCAGCCACCGACTACTGCCTGCACATAAGCCCCGCACCATTACTAATCCTAGCAAATAAGGTAGCTTAGCTTAGTGGGGAACCGGATGATCGCCGCTTTATGGTCGTGCGATAAGGGTGAGTAGGGTAAGCGCACAATCAATGGGGTGAGATGCGGAGTGAAAGCAGGTGAGACTCACCCTGTCGCGCGACCACCGTTAATTTTGCTGTCAGATCTTGGGCTCTAGAGAGATAGGCCAGCTATTGCTGTATTATAGCACAGTAGCACGACTCGTAAATGTAGGCGTTGGATCTATATCCTTTAGACTTGACGAGCCCTTCTTCTAGACTTTTGTTGTTGCGCAGGAGCTACGAAAAATATTTAAAGACTTAGACTAAGAAGGCTCCTGATGCAATACATTAGGACCGTTTGTTGAATGCCAGTCCTGATATACCTGCTGCGGTCGGATCACATAGGCGCGGTAGTCCTGTACAATCTTCCACCCTGTGGAGTCGTTTAAGCTTCTAGTTTTGACAAGAAAATACGCTGGCCTGATATTGAAGAGCTTGTATTTGATACCTGATATGTCCTCTTGCTGTCATACTCATTGGATGTATTGTTTAGAACTACGCCAGAGTGGATAATAAACTGATCCACTAGGGGCCCGTAGTCTCCCCAGTTGCAACAGGTGAACTGTTACAGGAAATCAAAACACGACCTTCCAAGCCTCACCATCATCATCTGTAAAGAAATAACAATCTCCAATAGCCTCGACGTCATCATCACGATATCGGCCTCCGTAATAACAACGTCCAATTCTCCTTTTCCGCGCTTATTAACGTTAATTAAATATTGCATTCCCTTGTTTCCAGAGTGCCACTCTTGTGAAAGATCTCCCCAATGTGGTACGCGAAGACAAAATCCCCAGCCGAGCCAAAGTTCTGGTTGTAGTGCGTGGCCCTGGAGTAGTTCAAATGATCACCCACCTCGACTGGCACATATGCCCCAAACGCATTAGTGCCTCCTTGGATGCTGGAACTAAAGGCCAGCAACTCCCTGTGCGTTCCCTCACCACCCCGTGCAATCTTGACACAAGTAACCATAAACAGATTCGGACCGTATCCAAGGATCTCAGCTGAACGGACGCAACACTCTTCTCAATGTACGCTGGTGTCGGCTCGATAGAGTACGTGTCCATCGTGGGGACTTTGTAGGCGCCGCGCACAGTATTGTCCCAGTGGGCGCTTGCGGAGGTACAAGAGGATGTCCCTGCAGAACTTGAAGCATTTGTGCAGCTAGCCCGTCTCTCTCTTTTTCAAGAGGCATAAACAAAGTACTAAGTCCCGGAGCTAATGGCCTAGTAGAATCCCGAGAGGCAAGTGTTTGAGACTTCTGAGCATGGTGATTAAAGTCCTGCTAACAGCTGGCCAGTTTCTGCAATCACAGATTAAAAAGCCTATGACCGGCCCCGAAGAACTTGATCGGCTGCCACCTTCGTCAAGCATTTATCATGCACTGCTTGATCCTGAATTCGTTCATCCTATGGGCAGTCCTTCAGCCCATAGTATTCTAGAAGAAACTCAAACCCAAGTGTTTGCAGGCAAGTCTTCTGGCTTGACTCTTATGCATGGACGTTCCTTATCCTTCGGACACCCGAGGTGTATCGAAAGCTCAAGAAGGAGGTGTCGACCGCATGGCTACAACTGGACCAACCTCCGAAATTGGCTGACCTGGAAAAATTACTATATCTTGTGAGTGAACAGAAAGTGACTTATTAGAAGCTTCAGTGACTTACAGATCAGAATGCGGTTATCAAGGAATCACTTTGTGCCGGTGGTGGCACTACTTCTCCGCTTAGCCGCGTGGTACCCCAAGGCGGTGCCACTATTTGGGGATGCTTTGTTCCCGGCGGGGTATGTGTACAAATTAATGGCTTTATGGACTTTTGAAGAGGACCCAACTAATACTTACTTTGACTTAGACTGTGGTTGGTTTCAGCAGCCACTTTGTTCACCATGCGGTCGATGCCTTTGAGCAAGCCGACAAGTTCATACCTGAGCGATGGCTCAACGGTGACAGTGCAGGAAACGAGAAATTCTTTGTACCATTTGGCCGAGGGCTGCGACGGTGCATTGGCGAAAATTATATCATACCGTTATTCTCAGATGTGTTGTCTAGGCTTTTCGGATGACCTGCTGAATTCTCATCGAACAGCTTCGCCTGGGTGATTTTGAGAACCTGTGTGGCACATGTATTTCGCAAGTTTGATCTAGAAATTGACCCGTCGAGGTTTGTTTCCTTCAACCCAACTCTTAAATGTCTTCTAACAATTATGGTGGCTGATTTGTCTATTTACATCTAGTCCGCTCGAACTTAACTAGAAAGACCGATTTGTCCCAGTGTATACAAAGCCTGTGTTCAAAGTCTGCTTGACACCAGTTACCTCATGAAAGCCTAAGTCTTCGGCATTATCCTCTGTGATTGCCCACCAAGTTGATGAATAGTTCACGAAAGTCCAGAAGATAACATGGTAGAAGCGACACCAATTATTTAGCAACAATCTAGGGCATGTATGATCTGAAATTCGTTGACACCTTCAAGAATAGATAAATGGAATTGAAGTCGTATATAAATGAAAATGTTGTGACAAGAATCTTCGGTTTCGTTCGGCTATAAGGGAATTGCATTCAAACTCTTCGGATGTTCGTTGAGGTCTCTAGAGACTATACATCTTCAATAGTTCGAGGGAGGCAAAAAACACTCGGTCTTAAGATTTCACGTATGGATTAAGGGGTTGAATGTGCTGTCATGCAGATCAATTGAGCCGAATTAAGACTTGCTTGCGTGATTTCCATACATTTACCTAACACTGTTTCGGTGATAGTTTTCAACTTGTTCTATCTCACGCTCGAGTCAAAGGGCCAAGTAAGGGCGTGGTGCCTTGGTGGGGCTTGACGAATATGAAATTTATATAGTTGCAGTGACATACTTGAATTCCATAAATAGCCTAGAATATTCCGTTCAGTTGTTCCAGAGAGCCAGGCCAGGCATGTCAAGGAAGATCTACATGCCTTCAAGTCCCTCTCGTGCTTTGTCCCTCCTGATCGACGACATAGACCTAGGACAAGAGGCTAGTAGCACTACCCGGGGGACAATGGATTCCTTCAAATTGAAGTCTGGAGTCACATGATTCAACCAGCGGTCTGATCTGTTCAACAGTCCGTTCTTTACTAGAAAATATGGAAAACATGGAAACGTCGTAGGCCCGGAGCAGTCTCTCCACATATGGTGATGTGGTGTGAGGATCCGGGAGAACGATGTCCAAAACGAGCAGGTGAGTATTGGCCCTGAAAGCTGGCATCAGATTCTTGACGATTTTCCGTGCATCGTCATCCGTCCAGTCGTGCAAAATCTGCCGCAATAAGTAGGCATCGCCCCTGGTCTGCTCGGGCGTGAAAAAATCATGTGGTAGAAACTCAATCCGTTTTGCCCAGGCATCATTTGGGAGAGAGGACCTCCCTCTCTGTACAACATTGGGGAGATCCTGTACGATGATCTTTATGTTCGGGAACATTTTTGCAATTGCAAAACCGCCGTGGCCTAGAGAGCCACCGACCTATTTTGCAAGATCCCCGGAGTCAGCACAGAACATCGCTTTGGACAGGATGTCAAAATAAATATGTAAAATGGAGTAGAAATTGGTACACAGACATCGACCAATGTTTGAAAGGGGCTCCAATCGATGGCGATTGATAGATGTTTGAGAGAGTGCGATGGAGATGCTAACAAAGCAGTCATACTAGCGTGAAACCTGGCCTTCTGATCAGGGTCCTCGTCCATTATCTCCCATATTGTGCGTCTAGACCTCTTTGTTATAGTCCCGACCATGTAAAGCTAGAGCTGCTGGTCCTTGCAGGCTATTTCCCCTGTCGAATCAAGTTTGATAGAGTCAAAGAATTACGAGCATGCCCGAAGATCGACGTCGCACATGAAATGTGTCATATCGGCAATATCTGAATCACGATGGATTACGGCGGACATGGCACTATGGCGCATGTTTCCTGCTTCATCCAGCAACATCGGCAAGCCGAACAAGGCGTTGCAGCAATTCTGGCGAGATCTGAGCACTGGCCGCTAACTGAGTGTATGAAATAGATCCATTTAGAGGTACCTGCTGCGGGATCCCCATCTGAACCAAGGCTTGCATAGTCCCAAGCTCAACTCCCTGTGTCTGGATTAGCCATATCGTGGTTTGAAGACGGCTGGATATCGGATTGGCAATCAGAAGAACTTACAGTTCCCGCAAAAGTCGTTAGGCGCTCTTGTGGTCCTCTAGCAAGTCTGAGTATATTCATTGCTGCGGTTATCAGATCTTCTCGAGCGCTGAGCCCCTCCAAACTCAGAAACGAAAGATCATAGGGAGAATTATCTGGAGTAAAGTCGTAATTACTATACCCAGCCTCATCCAGCTCGGTAGCGAAGATATTGGTGGCCTGGGTGAGTTCCTCCAAGGTTTTCCGCAGTGTCGACATCTTCATTTGACAGCGTAGGGACCACTGGAGCGACAGATGGTAGGTGAAGAAGTGGTCTACGTGCATATGGCCCCCTTTTATTGGCATGAAATCCAGCCATATGAAGTGAAATGTACAACAATACCCTTGACAAGGTTTCAGGTTGATGAATCTCATCAAAACACCAGTCCTGATTCGAGGTGTTCATACCCAAAGGGGCACATAGACCCACTATCTCGCTGTGCAACATTAAGAATTTGAGGAAAGCAAGGATTCAAAAGAATATGTTTTTGAATTAATATAAACGATTCTGGTCTATATTTCTGGAAATGCGGCTATGTTATTTGTTTTACCAGAAGCAGTCACCGGAGGCTCAGCCGCATGCTGAATATCATGAACATCTGTAAGGACACAGGAGGTTGTCTTAAGCGAGTGATCAGTCAGTAGCTTTGGCGATAAGGCCATGTACTTGACTTAACAAAACTATTTCTGATCATTGCCTGATCAAGCCCGGATGTATACTCTGAAACGACAGATGCAAACCAGTATCAGTACTGGACATCAAATGATATTAGTCAAGAGCTAGATTTACGGTGACGGACTGATTAATAGGCACCAGTGAAGTATGTAGGTATACTGTGGGTTACGTCGGCAACGTCACTGCCCGGTGGAGTGATAATTGCAAAATAAGCCGCGTACTTGGGTGAAGGGGGCTCGTAAGCTCGCCCTTGCGTTTGTGCAGAATGTGTAAATCAGGGGGGCGCACAATATTTCATTTTACTGACATATTCGGGGTTGTAGCATCCTTGGATCGCGCCGAAATTGGCCCACCTTAGTTATTCACGCGCAATGACGTTCTCCAGTCTCAGGAATTGAATGAAATTTATATCGTTCCCTAGAGTATCTTTACTCCTTCAAAGTATCCCCATACTGTCAGACACGGTCAATACATTAGAGACAATGTCTTTTCTCGGGCTGGCCCTCCTAGTGGCTACGAGCTGTCTCATTATCAGATCTATTTACCGCCTGTATCTTCACCCTCTTCGAAGAATCCCAGGCCCTAGACTCGCCGCTATCACCCATTTATATGAGTTTTACTACGATGTCCTCTGCCGGGGGAGATTTATTTGGGAAATTGAGAGACTACACAAGCAATACGGTGGGCCTTCTTTTTTACTACTTACATCCTTCATCCTGCGTGAATTCTAATGGAAATGCGAAGGCCCTATCATACGGATCAATCCACGAGAGGTCCACGTTATTGATCCCTCATTCTATGACGAGATCTACGCTCGAAATTGCCGACCACGGGACAAGGACGCTAAGTTTGTCCCTACATTCGGCCTGCCCTTCTCCCTGCTGAGTACAATTGGACACAGACAGCATCGTTTCCGTCGTTCAATTCTGTCTAGCTTCTTTTCAAAGCGTTCTGTGATGGATATCGGGTTTCTTATTGAGGAGAAAACCCGAAAACTCATGCAACGTTTGGAAGAGTTTTATGAGAATCAGCAGGTTGTACAACTAGACTCTGCCTTTGTTGCGCTGACTTCCGATATTATCACGTCATACTGCTACGGTGAATCCGGTGATTTCCTTGATGATTCGAGTTTTCGTAGCGATATTCGTGATTCGGTTATCGATGCAACCTCCATTTGCCACTTTGTTCGATTCTTTCCATTTGTGATTTCTATGATTACGGCAGTCCCAACTAGTGTCATGAGGATTATCATGCCAGGAAAGGCAGGGTTGCTTGACTTTCAGCAGTCTATCGCCGAAAAGGCCTCGCAAACACTGAAGGGAAGCAGATCATCTATTGCTGGGCACGAAACCATATACGACAAATTGGTTCAGCCCAGTATCCCGGCTGAGGAGCGAAGTATCCAACGCATCCAGGATGAGAGCTCGCTTGTTCTCGCCGCAGGTACAGAAACCACCAGCCGCATTATTACGATTGCCATGTTCTATCTCAGCACAAACAAACCAATGCTAGACACTTTGCGAGCGGAACTCAAGCGAGTCCTTCCAACACCCACGAGCTCGACTACCTGGGTTCAGCTGGAGAAACTTCCATACCTGGTATGCCCATTCGTATGTCATTCATTCTGCCTCAAGATATCTAAGAAACTATTACAGACTGGTGTTATTCGTGAATCCTTACGCTTAGGGCATGGCATTACTTGTCGTCTTCCCCGTGTAGCTCCGGACGAAGTTTTGAAGTACGGGGCCTTCGAGATTCAATCCGGAGTAAGATGATCACGTAAAAGGCACCTGGTGGTAATAAAAGCTCACCGATTCTCAGACACCTATGAGCACCTCTACTGTGCTTCTTCATCGCAACGCGGATATCTTCCCAGATCCTGACAAGTTTGACCCTAACAGGTGGATCAATAAAGGCGAGATAGACAATACCCTCGCGCGGTATATCGTGTCCTTTACTAGAGGAAGTCGTATATGCTTAGGATTAAAGTAAGTAAATGTGTCATTCCATTAGCAAGGTGCTGATTTTTCTAGCCTCGCATATAGCGAGCTATATACGGTCATTGCATACATTGCCCGGCGATTCAGCTTCGAAATGTACAATACCACTCTCGAAGATGTGACTGTCACCCGGGACATGATGGTTGGCTATACTTCAAGGGGGGATCTGCAAGTCTATGCCAAAGTGACAAATTTGATCCAGGAGTAAACACCTCGCATTGTAGTGGTTTTTAACTGAATCGCTTTGGAACTTCGGCCGGGCCGCCTGCGGCAGATTTGTATGTGCTAATATTTCATTCAAATCGAAGATTATTACAATCTGTTACATCATAGACATCGAGGGACTAGAAAGCCATAGCTATACGACTTTTCCTATTGCTCACAGAAAGCCTTTTTTGTCGTGACCCTGAATTCGAGCTTTTCCTGCATCATTCCCTCTCTAGTGAGACAAGCCGGTATATCAGGTATGTCCTGATGACCCAACAAACTAGTTTTAGATGATTTGTTGGCTTATTAAATTGCGAGAGTTACCATTATCTTGTCACAGTCTATCTCTACCGCAAGTCTTTTACAATGAATTCTCTTCCCCGAATATTGTCACTTATTCAATCAACAGCATGTTGAACCTGTAAATACGCCGCTAAATTTTCACTTATCCATCAAGCAAATCGCTTCAGGAATCATTCGCATGATCGCAGTTATCTTGAATAATATAGTTCGGGGATATGCACCACCAAGAGGTCCTTATCACAATCAATAGGTTCGAGAAACCGGAGTCAGGCTAAACCACGAAGCGGGAGGCAAAAATTTGTGGCCCAACGTTTCACAACGTCTGGACACGTCGGATCATCCCCTGCACCCTTGCGGGCTCGCACCCTTGCGGGCTCGCACCCACGGTGCATACAGTAATAAGCTTGGCAGTTGAAATAACACTAGACCGCTATTCGTGCATTAATTAATCAGTCGCTCTGTGCTCCATAGGTAGGTTTCTGCTTGAGAAGCTCACAGTATGATGGTTCACTACTGGAATGATAATAAACACCATGAGATTTATGTTGGCAACCCTTGACCTGGTACAGATGTCTGCGCCAAGTTCCACTTTTGTTGTGTACCGATATGCGTAAATTCGTATGCATTTTTGCCACCTTGGACCGCTACGATCCGAGTCCCGTGGACCCTTGCGCCTAGAGTTATCCACTCCTCTGATTCCTGGTATTTTGGTTCTCCAGATCGATATCGATTCAACCTTCATCTCTCGTTTTCTAGTCCTTTGATTATTGACTAACTCTGATTGGCCCATTCACATATCTTTATTCAAATCCACACAGGCCTTACATGTTGACAGAGTCTGTAAGGGGTGACGGTATTCATGTAGAGGAGCGGGGTTTCATAGAGTCTCAAGAATATTCACAGTAATTATGAGTCAAGTGTAGGTCGCTCCAAAATGAACCATGGAATCAGAAAATGCAGTATATATAGAGTCCCAGACCCTCGGGCATTCTTGCGCCAGATGCACGTGTTGAAGAATTTCTTGTCTTTCCTACGCAGCAACAACAACTACCTACCTACTTTCATCGAATTTGCCAATAATTCACTTTATTCTCTTATAGTCACCCCTTCCGTTCTTTTTCAGCCAAGTCGAATCTGCACCCAAAACGCAAAACTTGTTATGGATTCCATTGGCAAAACATACATTGTTACTGGAGGTTGGAGGTAGCTCCGGCATCGGGCTGGCTGTTGTCGAGAGCTTACTCAACCGGAACGCTTCAGATTATCGATATATCGACAGCCGTTCCAAAAAGCCTGATATCAGCTCAGCAGAAGGGACTTGTGCACCTCCATACAGGATTTGATGTCAGCTCACGGGAACAAATCTCCACCGCTTTCGAGGCCATTTCCCTGCAATCTCCGGATATTCACGGACTGGTCAACAGTGCTGGCATCGCACCCGAGACACTAGACAATCTCGGTCTCCCCGAGGAGGATGATATCTTCAAAAGAATCATGGATGTCAACTTGTACGGGACCTGGAATGCTGGAACCGCCTACCTCAAGCACCTCTGCACACGTTATCCTGAAATCATCCAAGATGAGAAAAATCGAGAGGGCCTCGGGAGCATCGTGAACCTGACCTCAGAGTCGGTCATCAGAGCGGATCCAGACATGGCTTCATGCAATACCAGCAAGCATGCTGTGGTTGGTCTGACCAAGTCTTGGGCGAAAGATTTTGTCAGACGCGGAGTACGTGTCAACTGTGTCGCCCCAGGGCTGACGGATACTCCGATGGTTCGAAATGAGAACTTGGACCAAGCGATGGTTGAGGAATTAATCAACAGTGTGCCTATGAAACGTGCAGCTCGACCAGAGGAGGTTGCAGAGCTTATCGTTTTTCTACTGAGTGAGAGACCCTTCTACATGACGGGCCAGGTGATTCCTATCGAGGGAGGTATTACAATCTAGTCCCGCATGCTTTCCCTTTCGAGAAAGCTTCGTATTTAAATGGAGATTGATAGCTTAATCAAATTGGGTTAACGGAATATTCGGTCCGCTGCCTTATTCAGACCTTCCACCCACACATGCACGCACACACAGAGCTTCTTCAAAAAGCCACCATGGCACTACAACTGTTTGCTTGGTTTAATCTCCATAATCTGAGTAACAAAGTACACTCTGCTTCTTTAAAAAATGTCAAGTATTGGAATAAAAGGTGGGGTCAGAAAAGCTGGGAGCAGTCTCAGCTTCTTATGGCGAATGGAATTTCCAGGACTGTGGACTACACTTTCATAGTAATATAGTGAAATAGACATTCTGGATACCGACAGTCTATCACAACCATACGACCGCGAAAATGTCCTTAGAAGGGAACAGGCAGCTAGCGATAGAAAAGCAGGATCGGTATCTAATGCTTACGAGAACGAAATCGACGCTGATTGTTCTACATATGAAACAAGCTTGAAAGCTCACACTAAGCAATAATTGAGGTAAATACTCTTGAGATAAGGAAGCCAACAGGAGCGCTCAGGGCGATCTTTGAGAGTATGTGCATTCCTATCTTTCGGATCTAAATATTTCTCACGGACAACCTCACATTCTCCACCCCTAACCGCACGGCCTCATTTCATATTGACGGGCAAGAATATCCTAGTCCCCAGAACCCTTCAAAAGTCTCATTAGGAGTATATCATAAGTGAATTTGAACGGTGAACGATTACAATTTCCCTAAACATGTGTTATGAGTGAGGCATCACATATGACTACTTCGATCCTAACACGGTGGCTGCTACACTATCGATCGCTGCAGGATTGGCCACCGTCGAAATATCCCCAATTGATCCGACATCGTCAGCGAGGATCTTGCGAAGGATACGCCTTGTGATCTTCCCAGAGCGTGTTTTGGGAATATCCTGAACAAGATAAACCGTCCGGGGAACGGCAAGGGAGCCAATGCTCTTGAGCACTTGTTGTTTGAGATCCTTTCGCACATCCCGGTCGGGAGGTTGGCTCTTAAGGACCGCAAAGGCGACGAGAGCTTCTCCCGTGAGAGAATCACCCACACCGACAACAGCAACCTCCGCCGTAAATTCACACTCAAGCAAAGCGGCTTCAATTTCGGCCGTCGACAGACGATGGCCGGAAACGTTTACGACATCGTCGACTCGGCCCTTTATCCAAAAATATCCATCCTCATCTTGACGTGCGCCGTCCCCAGTAAACTTTGTAAAAAAAGAGTAAATCACTGCGATATCAAAGTGGGAGTGGGATACGTACGTAATAGCCGGGATAAACATTAAGGTAGGTGTCCATGAATCGCTGGTGATCGTTCCATGCTGTGCGAGCCATGCTGGGCCACGGCTGCCGGAAAGCGAGTATCCCTTCCGGACACGCTGTTTCTACCTCTTTTCCCGTAATGGGGTCTAAGATGACCGGGTCCAATCCCAAGCAAGGCAGTGTACAGCTACCCGGTTTTGTAGGAGTGATTCTTGCTAGAGGAGCGAGAACAAACGAGCCGGTTTCGGTCTGGAAATAGGTGTCCAACAGATCTGCCTTCTCCTTACCTACTATACGATGATACCAGTCCCAGACGTCAGGGGCAATAGGCTCCCCAATAGACCCCAAAACCCGTAAAGATGTCATGGCCTGATGAATCTCCGCATCGCTGAACCGTCTCAAAAGTCTAATAACGGTTGGGGCGGCGTAGAAGTGGGTAACTGAGTGAAGGTCACAGATGTCCCAGAGTCGTGAGACAGTTGGATGGAGCGGACTCCCTTCAAAGATCACAGTAGTGCAGCCTAGCAGGAGTGGCGCATATAGGGCATACACCAACCCCGTGATCCACCCTATATCAGAGGGGGTAAAAAAGACGTCACTAGGGTGCATGTCGAACACATGATGGCCTGTTGCCGCGGCGCCCGTCAGGAATCCCGCAGTAGAGTGCACAAGTCCTTTGGGTTTTCCCGTCGATCCGGACGTATACAAAATGAACAAAGGATCTTCCGAGGCCATTGACTCTGGCGCAATGTCCTTCAGTGGCGCTGTATTGTCAATGACCTCGTGCCACCAGACATCTCGCCCGGGGTTCCAGGAGACAGAATCTTGGCCGTGCTGGTAGACAAGAACGGTACGCACATCAGGGCAGCTCCCTAGGGCTTCGTCGACTGTCTGCTTCATGGGAATGTCTCTTCCCCCTCGTCTGCTCTTATCTGCTGTCACTACCAGAAATGCCCCAGCGTCGCGTATTCGGTCTCCTAAGGCCTGCGCCGAGAACCCATCAAATACCAGCGAGTGAATAGCTCCCAAGTGGTTGATTGCGAGGACTGTCACAAAGGCTTCGGGAATCATTGGCATGTAAACACATACTCGGTCACCCTTTCTAACACCGAGGTTACGAAGAGCCGCTGCCGCCTGGAATATCTGTTTCGAAAGTTCACCATATGAGATTGAATGGCCACAGTCAGGCTCATCGCCTTCGTAGATGATGGCAATGCGAGAAGGGTCCTGCTCAGCGTGACGATGCACGCAATTATACGCTGCATTGAGACGGCCGTTAGCAAACCACTGAAGGTTTCCTTCGGCGAGTTTGCCTTGTCGAATGCTCGTGAAGTCCTTCTCGTACGTCAGAAACTGTCGGGTTGTTTGTGCCCAGAAGAAGTCGACATCGCTTATTGACTCTTGATATCGCTGCTTGTAGTCGGCAAAGTCTTGCAGGCGAAAGCGAGTACTGTGTTCGCTATTTCTATAGAAGGCGTGTCATAAGTATCAGTGTGCAGAATGACTTGTCAAAAAGAAGGGGTGAACTCACCCATCTTTACCAATGCTACCCATGGTTTTCAATTGTCTAAAGCGCAGACTTATTTGATTGGATATCGACTAGTTTCCTCTTAAACACAAGCTAAAATGCCCTTTCCCTCATTTATACATACCACGACTCTTTGCCATCTCATTCTTGCCGTGACACCGTACTGGAAATGTTGTTTTCTGCGTCACAGTAAAATTACTTGTTGACCCACCTCATGCAAGCTGCATTCGTGGTGATACATTTAAACATTGATTGAATTCTCGCATTCTTCAACTATGGTGACACAATGCAGGGTAGAAAATGGGCAGACAAGGAGTAAACAAGCCTAAGACTCATCTCCCAATTCCGTGTCTAACTCTTGTCATCATCTCGGATTCCGTATACCGCTCACCGGATCAGCTATGCGGAAGGTTACACAAGGAAGCTTTGACAATTGCCTTGCAGCAGCTTGGCTGTATCAGTCACCGAAATGACGTCGGCTCCGGGGCGGTCGTTATGTACATATCAGACCCTCACTGGCGCATTATACATGCATACTACATCAATGCGAAGCCTGGATTCATGCAGTAGGAATGTATGCACCCTATGTCTTTCTCGTAATCCAGAGACAGGCGAGGCTTCGCGGGTCTTGTCCTGACCGTCGTAGCCGTGAAGTAAGGAGATGGTCATTTCCCAAGTCTTCACTATAGACATTTAGGGTGGGTCGTTTGCCTTGCTCACGTACCATGGCATGATGCATAGCGAGGTAAGGGTGGCTTATGCACTAAATGTTCCCTGTTCCTTCCCTGATAATGGGTGGGTAAAATGATCTCATTCATTGGAGGAGTTTGAGCTTAGAATATTGAAGAGAGGGAGGACGCACAGCGGCCTTGTCAGATTGACAGATTTGTTCGCAGCATCGCAAAAAACACCCTGCTATGGCCATTAGCATCTTAAGAACGATATGGGCAAAGGAACTAGACGTCCAACTAGAATATGTTGAAGATGACGACAACTTTTTCGAAGTTGGAGGCACCTCAATCAGCGCAGTGCAGCTTGCAGCGGCCGCTCAAACAGCGGGCATTGATCTCACAGTTACAGACATCTATCAACATCCGCAATGGGCAGAGCTAGTAGCCGTCATAGATGGCAGATCCTGCTGCTCCCCCATTGAAACCTGCACCTGATGTCTTGCCGTTTGAGCTCGTGAGTCCTCAGAAAGTGGAGCGGATTCGCGAAAAGATAGCCAAGCGCCTACGTGTACCGGCCGCAGATATTGAGGATATTTATCCATGTTCGCCACTCCAAGAGGCACTCATGATGCTCTCAATGAAGGAAAAAGGAAGCTATCTTTCACAATTTGTTTTTCGGTTGCCCTCCACCGTGGACATCCCACGTCTCCGAAGAGCATGGAACAAGATTGTGGAAGCAAGCGACGTCCTACGCTCTCGGTTAGTTTATTTGGCAGAGGGCTGCTTCCAAGTTGTCGTCAAAAGTGCCATCAGTTGGCAGACAGCGAACGAGTTGGAGACTTATCTGGCCTCCGACAAGGGTTCTTTGATGCTGCTGGGACATCCCTTGGTTCGATTGGCAGTCATCCACCCCCATGCCGAGCATCAGGCCTTTTTAGTCTGGACTATACATCATTCAATTCATGACAGATGGTCAATCAACCTTGTATTGAATGAAGTAAACAAATTGTCCCAAATGGACCTCCAGAAATTCCCTGACACCTTTCCTTCGCCACCTCCAAAGTTTGCTGGGTTCATCAAACATCTCCTGACGGACGACCAGACTCAAATGGAACAGTTCTGGACATCTCGACTTGCGAAAATCCGACCCCGGCAGTTTCCACCTCTGCCCTCGCCATTTTATCAGCCTCGTACCAAGGATATTCTGAAGCGTTCAGCCCCTATCGCCCGTCGGGATCACTCTAAAACCACCATGTCCACTGTCATTCAGGCCGCGTGGGGATTGACTATCGGTAGACACACTGGATGCAACGATGTCGTTTTTGGCATGACTTTGATAGGACGCGATACCCCGGTATCTGGTATTACGCACATGTTGGGGCCAACAATCGCAACTGTCCCTATACCCATGGTGTTGAACCGGGATCAGAAGGTTGCAACTTTCCTGAAACAAACTCAGCAAGAACTGGCAGAGATCATTCCATTTGAACATATCGGCTTGCAAAGAATCTTTGAACTTGATGAATCCACACGCACAGCTTGTAACTTTCAGAGCCTGCTTGTGATACAGCCATATATGGCGAGCTCCGCCCCTGATGGTTGGAAGCAGGTTGACATATCAAATCGCGATGTGTACCCACATGGGTTGGTCGTAGAGTGTCTATTGAGTGAGAACCAGAGCCAGCTGAAGATACAGCTCTACTTCGATCCAGGCCTTCTCACACAAGAAGAGGTTCAAACGATAGTTGACGACTTTGAAAGGGCTATCTCAGTGCTGGGCAATATAGGGCATGAAGGGCATGTTATTCGAGATTTGGGCCTGATTTAGTCATCTACTTCGAAAGAGTAATTTGATTGTAACAAGGCTTCGATTTCTTCTTCCTCTTGGAATGTTCTGGGCTGGTATTATGTCTCAATATTTTTAAATCACCGGCTTTTTCGTCAGTATAGCCTAGCTGAGCCACTATTAAGCTAAGTACTGATTAATCAGAAACCAAACTGCGAGGCCAAGACGTCATTATTGTTCATGCCAGTCAAAAGAGAATAAAGAGCAATATATTGCCTTTGCCCAATGACGTATTTCTGCTCCTGGATGACAGGGACTCTATCGGGCTAGCTTGCGATGACAACTAATAATTCATTTCATACCTTTTTTGTAAAACTTCATACAATGCACCAATTTTGACCAAGTTACCGCTTTTTCGGTGGGACAAGTCTTACGGTCTGAGACTATGAAGGGCACTCAGCGGAATTCATATCTGTGAGCATGCACAAAGAAGACGGTACAATGACATTTGTGACAGATAGGTTGGAGGCTTTGCACGTAATGCATGCAACAGGACCACAGCTAACTCGCAAAGTCCTTCCATTCCTCGAGCATTTTCCCGTGTTTGGCACACAGCGGTTGTAAACCGGTACGCATCGTTGCCGACAGGAATTCTCGCCGGAATGATTTTACTTCCTCCAGTTCCTGCATGTGAAATAATATCCACAATGATATTTGCACCGCTCTTCAAATCGCCCATATGCGTCTGATCTGACTCTATGACACTGCTTTGTATCTGAAGTAGAGCTGTGCCTCCATATTGAGACATAGGATTCGTCGGTCCTTTCATATTTTTGAAAAAGTTCGATCGAAAGGGGCCGGGCTCAATAGCAGCAACTATTATTACAAAGTCTGCGACCTCTTCGCGAAGAGACTCAGCAAATATTGACAAAGCTGCTTTGGAAGCAGCGTAGGGACCCAGACTTGTTAGCCCGACCAAGCAGCCATAGACGACATGACGAAGATGCGACCCGAACAGTGCTTGCGCATAAAAGGAAGAACCGCTCGAGTCAACTGCAGAGGCCCAAAGAGATCTGTTAGAATTAGACCCAGAGTCTCAGAATGCCTGTATTTCAAGGTAAGAGAGGACAGACGATTTCATGCTTGCTTTTATGGCAATTCTCACCGAACCTCTTCAGTTCCTCCTATTTGACACATCCCGGCATTGTTCAAGAGAACATCAATCCGACCATACAATTCTAACGCTTGCTGAACAACTCGTTGGAGCTGTGACATCGAGGGCTAAGGTTTCTGCTCTTGATTTTATCAAGATTTCTTGCCGTGACGATCACCTTGTCTCCTTGGCTGAGAACCTCATGGACGAAAGCATCCCCAAAACCAGACGAACATTCAGTGATTGACCAGACTAAGAAGACCATTTCGTATGGATTGCAAATTAACCTCAGTTAAATTGGAGAATTGAAAGCAGTGAAGTCGCCATGTGTGGTCTAGCTCTGATTATGCAATAAGTCACGTTCTGGGTAAATTGCTGTTACAGTTGACGACGCGATTGTCGCAGCCTATCAAGCTTACTAATAATCAAAAATATCTCTCCTTGCCACCTCCATTCCATACCATTACCAACTCAGCCATGTAACTCATCACATTCCGAGCTTGCAAAGTCTTTATAGTGGCCTCCCCATATCACACAGCTCATTATCTTCACTGTCATGAACAGGCTGCGGCCAAAAGGCAAATTAATATCCTTTCGTGCAAATGCACACCGCCAGGAAATCAATATTTTTCGATAAATACCTGGACAATCAAGGATGGAGACTCAGACTTCAATCATGAGCCATATGTTCCTTGGATTATACTATTGATGTGGAAAGCGCGATTTTGGTGTGCCAAGGAAAAAATCTGCTCGACCATAACCGCCCCTTGCTTGCGTTGCCGTCTCCGTCTCGAGAGTGACCCGCGAAACTGAACCGGCAGCCCTACTATTATTTTGGTTTGCTTTAGCGGTGAGCCGATTTGTAAGGTGGCCTAAAGCTGGTATGCTTCATTTGTATATTATTCGAGACGCTATTGCCTTTCTCGTGAATCTATCTCAAAACCTGAGATCCGTCTAACATGATGCCCTCAGTAACTGCATGAGAGGAGATGGTAATGCGTGAGATTGACTTATTCGACTCTGCTTATCTGAGCGAACACTATGATCTACTTCTGGAGAGCTATTTTGAGAACAAAGTCCGTGATGTGCCAATATATTGGAATCTCTACAAAGCCGTGGATCGGGCGTCGACACTTCAATCCACTAAAGGTCTCTTGGTTCTCGATCTCGGCACTGGTACTGGGCGAATACTCAAAGCCCTAGCCTAGGAAGCAGCGCGAGACAAGGTGAGCCTGTCATCATCCACATTTCTCGGGCTGGACATCTCGCAGCACCTGCTTGATAGAGCAGCCAAGACAGCCAAGATCCGCGACATGAATATCCGATGGCTTCAAGGCTCAGCTTCCGAGCTTCAAACAATCCCCGAACTCGCTACCAAGGAGGTTGATCTCATAATCCTTTCCGCTGGAAGTTTCAGTCACTTATATGAGCCGGGTCAGCCGGAGGAGTTCCTCAATCAAGTGGCTCTGGTCCTGAAGCCGGAGACCGGGCGGGCGTGTATCCCACTCGCAAACTCCTTCATTCCTAAAGGTGGTCGTGAAGCCCAGTTGCCTGATATTGATGCGCCACAGCAGCTGGTCAGTAAGGAATTCCCGAATGTTGTTTATCAGACTAGTATCGTCGGTGGCAAGACGGTTGGGAGCACCTATCATGAGAGACGTGACATGTTTGTGACCAGGAAGCTGGAGGACGGCAACGAACCGGTCATTGAGAGGAATTGTGTTTCAACACCAGTGAGATTGTGGTGTGTGAATGAATTTATGGAAATGGCCTGCAATGCTGGCTTCAATGTTGTTCAGCATTTGCAAGGGCAAGAAGAGACGTACTTTACAACTTCTTGGCAAGGCTTAAACATGGACGGCTCTCTCTGGGACGGCTCTCTCTGCATGATAATGAGACGGCTTTTCAATATCTTATCAAAGAAAATCAGGTAGCATTATTAGGCAGATGATAAAGAGACATTCTGGTAATATAATTATGATAATCAAGATATTTGAAAAGGATTTTCTCTTGGAGATAGAAGGGGCGATCTCAAATCACCGTAGCCTGGATCTCACATTGAGCTAGAAACTCCTCACTGAAAGGATAATCCACGTATCCCCTTTTCGAGCCTGGGGTGTAGAATGTGTCGTGGTGATATTGTTGCAACGACAATCCTGCTTTGATTCGAAAAGGAAGATCCGGAGTCGAAATGAAAAAACGGCCAAAAGTAGGCGCAATCTGGTAACCGGGATAGTCCACATCAACAGCTCGTTGAGCAGAGGAAGCAGTGTAGCCACCCGACAAAGGAATTGGGCGGGATGAGCCCCATGATTTAATGAAAACAGAACTATCTTCTACCGGGTCTTTGCCTTCGGAAGAAGCATCTGTCTCCCATCTGGGGTTACCCAGACTTAAGTAGGCAATATCCAAGCCTCTGAGTTGACTGATCAAGTGCTGAAACTGAGGAATCAGCTTGCTTGTCGTCATCCTCATCCCAAATTCTTCTGCTCAAGGACTGAGCTTGACACCAACCCGATCGGCGCCACCACAACTTTGGTGACCTCCAATGGAAATCGGGATCAGTTCTCGATACTTCCACCCCAATCAATTTTTCGTTTGTTGCAAACATCCTGGATGAATTAATCAATAATAAACCCGTGTGCTCCGTGTATTTCTACTCCGTCGAATCCAGCTACCATCGCATTCCGAGCGGCTTTAGCAAAGTCTGCGATGTAATCGTTAATCTCTTGCCCGGTCAGCGCTCGTGGAATTCGGATAGGGCAGCATCGTCACTCGTGATGAGTACAGGTACTGGGCTGCTGGATACATAATCAAGGCCGGCGTCATCCAAAACTTCTGCGTCGGCAGCTCGCCCGTTTGCCCAGAGTTGGAGAAAAATGAATGACCCCTTCGAATGAACCTGGTCTGTGATTTCCTTCCATGCTTGGATCTGCTCGTCACTCCAGATGCCCGGGGTATTATTAAATCTAACAGCTTTCGCGCTAATTGCGGTTGCTTCAGCAATGATCAAGGTCGCTGGGACAGACGCGCGTTGGCCATAGTATTATTTGACGAACGGTAGCTGCACAAAACGTTCATCTGCCCGTAATCGGGTCAGAGGAGCCATAACAATTCGGTGTTGGAGCTCACAATGACCAATACACAGCGACTAGAAAAGGCGGCTAAGAGGTGGTTCCATGGCCAAGAGGTAGTTGACTAGTTCACACCTTATGCAAATCTGCTGTTCAATTGGTACGTATTGGTAATTTCTGGGTTTGATAAGATGAGGACCATGCTCGCTTGATATAGCATTCTTCCAACTTATTTACAAACAACGTTTTCAGGCCAATGAACTCTTGCTAGAATGAGCAGTGTCTTAATTACCTTGGCTTCCGCAAGAGTGATGAGTCCCAAATATGCATTGCATCATTAGCTGCAAACATGGGACGAAATTTAAGAAGCAAGGGTGCGCTTGACATACATGGAACTGCTGGAGGTGTATCTGATTGGTACTTGGGGAGACATAGGAGATTGCAGATCTGCCTTCTCATGCAAGGCGATTGGTGCATGCTCAGTACTCAGAGATTTGTCAGGAGCATTCGCTTGAAAGCTACTTTTAGTGCACTATACATGCAATAAGCCGGTATTATTTCAAACCAAGAAAATATATGACAAAGAGCCTTACACCTGCAGTACTGAGGCTAAGGAATTCTGTCAACTTTCTGCGAACAGTGCTTTCATTGACAGTGGACACCACCGTCTTCTGATACCTCGCTTGTCCCGCTCCAATCGTTGTTCCACCGCTCCTAAATTGATGAGCAGTCTTTGTGCTTGTTTTGTATTCACCAAGGAGAGTAAGTATGTGAGGTGGATTTGGTGGCCATATGAATGTGGGTTACAATTCGATCATCTTGCCACCCTATAGCCTATGATCCTGACCTACCAATCCCTGCATTAAGGTCTGAAGTTACCGATTCTAGGCCCAGTTATGAAGAGTACACATTGTCTAAACAACCTGTTCGTTTACTAGTTGCCTATGCTGGTTGACCATGACATGAAATACTTGTCTAGGCCAGATAGGCCTAAATAAAGAAATGTCAGTATATTCATCTGTCAAAGATCTATGGCAGGGATCCATAGTCCATATTCCACCAATATCTGCAAAGATTGCATTAGCGGGTAAAAGGTCGTGCTTGACAATAGACATTCTCCACTGGCGCTCAGAATCATGTATGACAACATTCCTCAAACGAAGATGCTACTATACCTGCCGAGTCTGCCATGTAATCAACTGACAGGGCCATCCAATAGCACCTCAAGTATTTGCCAGGCACCCCCACTCTGTAGCATTGCAATCATTATCATATCTTCGAATTCAGCTTCAGCCTGGCTGAAATTGCTGAGACGGCAAGGGGGCCACAGCCTGCAGTGCTACCAGAAGAACCGTGCCGGATTCCCACTAGACTACCGGAACATTATTGGTATCAGATCTTCGCTCCGACGTTCTTCTTTCTCTCGGACTGAGATAAGAGAAGCAAAGGACAGCTTGATTACATTCATGAGGTTGCCAAATCGTGATATTTCAAGTCTTTTGTGATTTGTGTGCTTCATCAGTGGTTGGTACCCCCGCAACCACGTTCATAACCCCAAGCCAGTTGCTGATTGATTTTGCGCAATGAAATACAGAAGCACCGGGACCGACGACTGGGCTGTTTTAAGCACCAAGATCACACGCAACTATAAGCCATTACTCCTTTATCCACGCAAGAATGGGCCCCTTTGGAGCAGTTGCAGACGACAACTCCTGGGGTGACCTCGTCAAGCTAGGTGCCCTTTTCGGGGAGCTCAACGCTTGCCTGGCAAATCAGGAGCTCATTCGTCGTCCCAGCCCAGAGCAAGTAGTGCGGCTTATGGAGTTGGCCTCTCCCACTAGTATGGGCACAGGAAGACCAGTGGGAGAAGTGATCCGCGATGCTGCAGAGATCTTGTCTTTCCGGATCGCCGTAGGTCATCACAGATTCTACTCGTGTGTTCCATCACCAGCCTCTCCTATATCATGGTTGGGTGACACTCTTACAACAGCATTCAACCCTTTTGGCGGGAGTCTAGAAGCTGGGTCTGGAGTTTGCACAATTGAAGTTGCGTTGATCAAATGGATCGCAGACCGATTCGGCTTTCCCACATTTTCTTCAGGTGGTCACTTTGTTTCCGGGGCTTCGATGGCAAACTTGACTGCCCTGACTGTTGCCCGTGATCAATTACTGGATTTTGAGGATCAAACCAATGGTGATGATAGACCATCCAACGGAGTGGCTTACCTTTCCAGTCATGCCCATTTTTGTATCCGGAAAGCTCTTCGGATCATTGGTCTATCGAATCGGCAAATCCGCGTGATCAATTCTGATGCCAACTTTCGGATGGATATCGGGCATTTGCAGCGGAGCATCTCGGATGACCTAGCGCAAGGCCGACACCCATTCCTTATTATCGCCACTTGTGGAACAACCAACACTGGAAGCATCGACCCGCTAGAAGAGATTGCGCAAATAGCCCGCTCAAGAGGCATGTGGATGCATGTGGATGCGGCCTATGGTGGATCTGTTGCATTTTCCAAATCTCATCGAGCCAAGATCAAGGGAATCGGCTTGGCAGACAGTATAGCTTGGGACGCGCACAAATGGCTTTTTCAAACACATGGCTGTGGGGCGGTTCTCTTCCGGGAGAAATCACATCCCTTGAAGAGTTTTGCTTCTTCTGCACAGTATGTTCGCGATGTCGAGCATATGGCCACGGAAGAAGACCAGAATACAATGCTCGACCCGTGGAACTACGGAATGGAATTGACTCGACCGGCGCGGCATATGAAGCTATGGTTTACACTTCAGGTTCTAGGTACAGATGCGATAGACAGGATGATAAGTTCGGGATTCCACCTCGCAAAACATTTGGAAACTTCACTTCGTCAATTAGACGGTTGGGAAATAACTTCTCCAGGATCCTTGGCCATCTTGACTTTTCGTTATGCTCCGCAAACCAGGGATCATATCACCAAAGCCGAGACTATGCCCGGCACCTTTGATCTCCTGAACGAGCTCATCTCGAAGGAACTTACCGCCCGTAATGTGGCGGTGATCTTTACCACCCGTGTACTAGATAGGGTGTGCCTCCGGATGTGCATGATCAACCCCAATCAGACTACTGCCGACGTTGACATTGTGGTAAACACGCTGGATGTTGTTTCACGCGAATGCCATGAAGCTCTCTGCAAGGACTGAGACTTGAAACTAGACTATCTTGCCAGTTTTCTGTCTGTCAATGTGCTCAAGATAGGATATTTCATAGGCCACGAGTGGTTAAGCGGGACTGGAAATTTTGTTTATTTTTTTTTCCAGAATTGGAGATGTTATATATGTAAATTAATCAGCATGTTGACCATGAGAGTATCTGAGGCTGAGGGGTGTTTAGATTGTGTACTATAACCACCGAACGTGAGGGCCTTTCATTGAAAACCAGCTTGCTGCAGCTCCGTCAGACTCAAAGTGTAGTTTGTATTCGATAATGACGGCGTCCATTTCTAGTACAGTAGCCGAGACATTCGTTCCGGAAGACTTGATAACAGTTTAGGGAAGAAGAAATATTGCGTGTTTTGCTAATACACCGACTGTCTACAGAATCAATAAAGAACCGGAAGAAGCAGATCACATTACGCTTCAGATGTTCGCAGACTATCCACCTCAAATAACCAACTTCTGCCCTGTGGACTACTCCTTACTCCTTGCTCAAAGGGCCAGATTCCAGTGGATACATTTACAAGACTTTACATAAAATGATCATGCCGCTCGATAGCTAGATTCGTCATCCCTTCTTTTGCCGGTTAGGAATGGTGTTCTACATATGTCTGTCTCCTATACGCGTGTTGTGTTTCCCTGGTTGCCCCCGGCTGAAAAAAAATACAAAGGCCTCCTTACTTGAAACGAAGGCGCTTCCAGCTATGATAGCGATTCCACAGTCGGATACTTTATATTACGGCACCTATGCACCGGTGGCTTCTTACTACACTAATTATTTCAATTCGTTGCAGCTTCTTCAATCTAACCATGACCGTGGATCAGATCGTCTCATTTTCTGGGTGCAATCGACTAGCACATGATGACCATGCCAAGCTGACTCGGTGGAACTCTGTTGTTCCCCCGACCGTCAAACAGTGCGCACATTCTTTATTCCAACAACGCTCCATCCTCCAGCCAAATGATACCTCTATTGATGCTTGGGATGGGAGACTCTCATACGGTGCACTGGACGCTCTGTCCGACGATCTTGCCGACAACCTCAGCGCACGCTACAATTTAGCAGGCCAATTTATCCCTATTTGCATGTTCAAATCCAAATGGGTTCTTGTGGCTATGCTAGGGGCACTCAAGGCTGGTGCTGCCTTTGTGCTCTTAGACCCGAGTCATCCCTCGGATCGGCTCCGTCAAATATGTCGAGATGTTACTGCGCCGCTCATTATGGTCTCGACACTAAGTCAATTCATGATCTCTACATTGGGGATCAAGGCTGTGATTGTTGATGAAGAGCTTGGCTCCTTATCCACGGATGTTCGTTCGAAGGATGAGTTGCACAGCCCCACTGTTTTTGATCCCAGCAGCGCCATGTTTGTTGTTTTTACCTCTGGCTCGACAGGCAAGCCCAAGGGCGCAATAATTTCACATGAATCCTTCTCTACCAGCGCGATGTCGGCCCTCGAACCTATGCGGATGCAGCAGCAATCGCGAGTCTTGCAGTTCGCCTCCTTTGCTTTTGATGCGAGTGTTCTCGAGCACATGTTCACCGTTATTGCAGGTGGCTGCGTATGCATACCCTCTGAAAATGCAAGGCAGAATCAGCTTTCAAAGAGCGTCAATGATCTCAGAGTCAATTGGGCATGTCTTACACCATCGGTGGCTCGGCTTATCACGCCAGATACTGTCCCTGGCCTCCGGCACCTAATTCTGTGCGGTGAAGCAATAACCTCATCCGATATTGATAGATGGCCCGCACACGTCCAAATGATTGGCATCTATGGCCCGGCCGAGTGCAGTATTCTCGCTACGATTCAAACCGATTTGAGATCTGCCGAGCTGCCGACCGACCTTGGTTATGCTCCCGCAGCAACTTGCTGGGTTGTCGATCCGGAAGACATTAACCAGCTGGTTCCAATAGGTGACGAAGGGGAACTCATCATTGAAGGCGCAATTGTGGGCTCTGGCTACATTCAAAATCAAGAACAATCTGCTGCTGCATTCATCAATGCGCCAACTTGGCTCAGAGACTTTCGATGCGACACCACTGAGGGACGTCCCCATCGCCTGTACAAAACAGGCGACCTTGTGCGCCAAGAACAAAACGGTTCGCTGGAATTTTTGAGTCGGAAGGACACACAAGTCAAGATCAACGGACAAAGGGTTGAGCTGGGTGAGATAGAACACCAAATCCGTTGCATTCTACCGCAAGGGACACAAGAAGCTATCGCAGAAGTGTTCAAGTTCCACGAGAGTGTTATATTGGTCGCCTTTCTTCAACGGACAGAGCTCAAAGGGGCTGAGAAAACAGACCGCTTGTTCCTGGACTCAACACAGAACCATATCGATCAAGCCCAAGCCCTACATTCCCAGTTAGAACTGGTCTTGCCAAGTTTTATGGTACCTCGATATTTCTTACCTATCTCTTATGTTCCAAAGACGCATACGGACAAGATCAACAGACGTCTTCTTCAAGAACAAGCAAAAATGATCACACCGCAGCATTTGAGAAGCTATTGCATCATCCAGTCGAAGTCTACCAGCGAGTCGGCGGAAGATGAACGGCCATTGACTGCTCAAGAACGCAAATTACGTGAGATATGGGGCCAGTTACTTCGGATACCTTTGATTGACATCAAGCGCGACGACAGTTGGATTGGCTTGGGGGGAATTCTATTCTCACCATGAAAATGATCTCCTTGGCGGAAGATGAGGATATCTTCCTTTCGGTTCAAGACGTTTACCGACTCCAAACACTGGAAGCAATATCGGCGACAGTGACTGCAGACAATCAGTTACATGCTGCGACAATCATTCATCCCTTTGCGCTGGTGGATCAGGGTCCAAATTCGCGCACAAGGGGCTTGATTCGAGATATTTCTCGGCAGTATCAGTCTGTGTGCTCATCTTTCACGATTGAAGATATATACCCCTGTTACCCTACGCAAGCTTATTGGATATCTGAGTCAGTATCTCAAGCGGGCAATTACACAGTTGAGATTAGTGCCACTCTTTCGCCGGATACAGACGAGAAACGATTGGCCGAAGCATGGCACCTGGTAGCGGCAGGAAATCCTAGTCTTCGCACGCAGATTGTCGAGGTTTCTGGTGATTTCTTTCAAGTAGTGATGAAGGAAGCCTCTACCCTGCATGTACTTGAAGCCTCACGCTTTGAAGTCTCCCACGGTGACAACATTTGGGGACTGGTCAAGCCACTTGTGTGGGCAGAGAAGATTGGGGTCTCGCTTCGGATCTGGATCCATCATGCCATTTTTGACGGTTTCACCTTGTCTTTGCTGATGCAGCAGCTTACAAAGGCCTACCAAGAGGGCCAGGCTGCGGTGACTCAGCGAGCATATAGCAACTTTGTTAAATGGGCCGTTTCGATATCCCCTGAGGTAGAATCGTTCTGGACGCAAACCTTCCGTGGCTTTCACGGCCAGATTTACCCGGCTCTCCCATCCGAGACATACAGACCGTTGCCAACTGGTCACATTGATGGTGGCATTATCCGGTGCTATAACGATTCTCAACTTGCCACCAAAATTCGCCTGTCGCTGACTTTGACGTTGGCTCGGATGATGAACGACTTTGATGTTGTTTTCAGCGAGATCGTTTGGCGGCGTGAAGCGCCCATTGTGGGTATTGCAGAGACAATGGGTCCCACGACTGCTCGGGTGCCTGTCCGCGTGGCTCTCGCCCCTCTGATGAGTCTTCGAGACACACTTGAGCGGCTCCAGAGCCAAATCTTGCAAAGCACACCTTTTCAATGTGCCGAGATGTGTCAAATTGCCACATTCAGCTCGAGCACGGCCTCTGGGTGCCGGGCGCAAACTACATTGATGATCCAACCCACCTACGACGAGGCGATCTCTCCGCCGTTCAAGCAATGGACCTACCAATTCCACGAAAGCGTTATGCGGGCTCCCTGGGCTTTGACGGTTATCTGCGAGGTGTCTTCAGATCTCGTGCAAATTTCCGCCAAGTATGATCCGAATATTCTGGAGCCACAGCAGGCTCTGCGGCTAATGACGACTTTTGAAGAAATATTTGACTTGATTCAACAGCAACCGGGCTTAAGAGTAAATGAGGTCACGAACCCTTCAGATATACTTTAAAAGTTGCATAAATGGATCGAGATATTGATCCTACTTGCCAGAGCTTAGGTCTATGGAGGGACTTGGGTGATCCTGCCGAGATCACTATACCAGCCATGCCCTAACCCATATTTTATAGAACTGCATTTTCATATCCTTTTCATGCGGAGACAGATATTTTGAGAAATTCAATTAATCTATGCGAAAAACGAATTATTGGGTCGCTGGTCTACTGTGCTTGTAAGTAGAAAGTGTGTATTTACGGATTATTTTGAGTTTTCTATTACTTGATAGAAAACAAAAGACTATGATACTAGGCCTTTATATGACAATATTCAGAGCGTGTTGCGTTCATCATGCAGAACAGACAAGTTCTTGTTTCCGTAACTCGCTTCAAACGGTGTTCGGGTTTGTATGTAAATTCAATGCAATCACTTCCGGGACTCACAGGGATCTCACAAGACCCTCTGTTATACGACCAACAATCAGTAACCTGTCTCATCAGCCTGTGTAGGAAGAGTATTGCACTATACCAGCAATATTGATCAAGACTGGGCCATGCTCTGCTACGCGGCAGCTTCCAGCTCCGGGAATGAATTATCGAAGTGTTGATAGGCTGGGGACTCTGGCGAAAAACCAAAAGTGTGGCAGGTAAAATGGTTCCAAATCAATTCTAATGAATGCCGACTGCAAGTTACGATTGAATAGTGGACCAGAATACAAAAGGAAAGCCAATAGCGGTTGCGGTAAACAGTGCTCCGCGAATCGGAGTCGCCACCCTAGACGAAACTTCCATACAGGACCATGTTCCTCTATGAATTCTGTTGTCGCGTGCCAATTTAACCCGATCCCGTGAGAGTTACATTCTAGATATCGAGCTCACTCTGGGCTCTCACACGTTATACTCGCTCCAGAATCTCTGTTGGTGGTTTCTACCATTTGCTTTCTCTCTTGAACGGCTAAAATCCGAAGTAATGGCTCCGCGACTGGACAAGTCAATTCAGAGTCTGCCAAAAGAGCTCCTTATACAAGTTTACAGATGGCTAGATGAGCCATCTTACACTGCTTTATCGCAGACAGGGCGATTTTTCAGATCTGCACTAGTCCTCGTCATGCCCACAACACCCGAGGAAAAGTTGACTTATCTTGATGCTATGGAGACCAGGTCTAGGTACGTCATAACGCCTATCAATGTTATTGATTTTTGTTAACAACTTGTGTTCGATACAAAAATTACTGCTATTGCAGCTGTTGTTTCAGACTGCGGTTTCGAGGTGCATTCGCAGCCAAATAAATCGAAGGGGAACGTGCCAAGGGGAATGTTTCAAGACATAGTCGGGTTTGCTTAGAGTGTGGATTAAGAACAGGTCTCTATCTATCGGGCAAGGTCATATCACTCCAAAGGAAGACTTGCTTCGTATGCGGCCTCTGCAGGAAAACTTACGCACGTGGATTTTACTGCACGTCGTGTTGGAGCTGCTCTCTGTGTTGAAGCCCGAAGTAACGCCCTATTCCCGCAATGTGGCAGCTCACTGGATTATTGTCAGAGCCGGAAACTCTGTTCACTGTGCTCCAAGCCCTACCAAGAACTGAAACATGAGGTCGGTGAAAGTCTGGACTCGGTGAACTTTTAATTTAAATGCGACTGTTCGAAAGTCAAGTGGAACAAAAGTATGTGAAGATGCTACTCATAGCGCATAATAGGGCGGCAAACTATAGCGGTCGAGCGACGGAATGTGGTATAACATAATGCTCTACTCGCAAAGATTTTCTCAATGAATATGACGTAACTTCTTCAAACAGTATAGAACATTCGAGACTTCCAATGAGAACATTTCAGGCAACAAGATCGCTCTGTGGAAGAAGGTCACTTTGTTTATAATGAGACTTACTGAAACGCAACGAAAGTCAAGAGGAAGAAAAAGGGTCTGATTTGAAAATGTGTGTGTGTGTGTGTGTGTGAGAAGGAAACGAATGGGTCCCTCAGTGATCCGTTTGTATTCGAAATGGACCGAAAATAATGCTTCACCTTGATAGCTCCCCACAAAGCTCGCTATTTTGTCACGGCTGCAGCCGCTTCTTTCAATTTCTCCGCCATCATGGCTTGTTGCGCTTCGTTGAGCCCCTTCACTACGGGCCGCGAGTTTAGCTTGGCTAACCAGACAGACAAATTGGGAAACTCGCTCTCATCATAGCCGTCTTCCGACAGGACGTTCCTGGCAGTGTTCTGCCATGACACAAAAGCCAGATCAGCATATGATAATCTCCCACCGACAAGCCAATCTCTCTTTGCCAGAATCCGATCGAGAACTCCAGAGACTCGACGAACTTCCGTGATGTACCGATCGATAGCGCTCTGCACACGCTCTGGGTGATAGCGCTTGAACCAGACGGCCTGACCAAAGTAGGGCCCTTGCCCGGACATTTGAAAGTGAAGGAACTGGCGAGCATGGTGCGCCTCAGGGCTTCCATGCGGGAAACTCAGTTTCTGATCTTTGTCGTAGGTTTCGATCAGGTATTCGATAATGGCGCCGGATTCCCAGAGGGTAATTCCTGTGTTGGGATCCTCGATAGTCGGTAGACGGCCATTGGGGTTGATAGCTTGATACCCTACTTTCTTAAGGTCGCAGAATTGAGTCGGAACTTCTTGAATGGGAAGCCCCAGTTCCTGCAGAATGATGGAAACCTTCAACGGATTTGGGCCAAATGAGCCACCATAGATTTTGATTGGCTTTAATAGATGAGCCATGATACAGGAGTTGGAATAAGAAAATGAACAAAGTAATGCAGAGTGAGAATGGACATTTCGACCAAGATTGGTGTGGCAGGCTGTCCCTTTTGAACCATCGCCTTGAAACGAAGATTGACGGTATTTGTAATCTTTCGTACACTTACTTCATCAATCCGGTCAACACGTTCCGGACTGTGGAGCAAATAATAAGCACGGAGGAAGCACGGTAGCCTTCATATTTGAGTCCAAAAAGGATTGGTTGCCTATGCAAGGTGGCTGGCTGCCAATGGCAAGCACACACCCACGTCCTCTGCAGTTAAACTACAGCCATGTCTATGCACAACATTAGCGTGGCCAATTAGAACGTCTGTCGGAAGAGCAAAGGTCCCGGAGGACTGTCTACCGTAGATCCATTTCGGCTCTATTTTCGCCATCGAATTAGAATCATTGGGAATTTGACAAATCCTCTCGGCATTTGGGGTGTCATGAGCCGCAGCACTGGGAAATCCTGCCGATTGTGTGGACAATATCGGCCATTCAGTCTACTCCGACCCAGTTATTGATGTAGACAAATTTTGTATAATATCTCGAAATTCGAGGCCAGTTCTGTCGCACATCGGCCCGGCTAACCTTATCCTATAAATTTAATAATTCGTACGAATAAATTCGAAGGATTTTACTGAGAATCAAAGTTTTGAAAAATAACTTTTCGAAAATAAATCCATCTTAGATACTAGAGCCTGCATTGCTGTATGCATCGGCAAGATCCTCCATCTTGTGGGCTTGCAGGAAGTCTTTGAAGGTGACCGGCGTGATTTGTGGGTATTTGGAGTTGTCCAATTCTTTCTTGAGGTAGGTCTGGCCGTTAGTGCAGTAGTATTGGTAGAATCTCAAACCAATCAGCATTAGCGTTGATTCGATAACATTGAACTTAGGACTTGGACACTCACAAAGCAATATAGGCGAACATGTTTGAAGGGTCCTTATGGAAGATTGCCTGCATCTTCTTGTAGAGATCATCGAGCGATCCGAGGCGGTGGAGCTCTGGCCGTGTGCCATAAACTTTGGCGAAGTCTTCAGCGATGTCACGAATTGTACGACGATCACCCAGGACTGTTTGACATGTGTATGTTTAGTGATTTGAGTTGCTGTGAAAGAGTAGGTTGACATGATCTCACAGTGTTGCATGCCCACAGCATTTCGATCCTGCGCCACCGCCGCCACAAACTCCGCGGCAGTGTCGTATGTAGTTGACTCCCACATCTCGTCCCCGTTGCCGTAATAGTTAAGTCTGCAGGACTTTTCGTCCCAAACCCCGAAGTAGCCACTCCAGAAAGTCTCCATGAAGACACCAATCAGAACATGTACACCCTTGACGGTCTTTTTTGTATTCAAATGCGCCTTCACATGCTTCATAGGATCCTTGGCCGGATGCTGGCCAAGTTCCAATTTCGTGAAGTCCAGACAATAGTCGCTTGCGATGTAGCGACTAACGCCCTCCAATTCGCAGGCATCCACGAGAAGCTTTTGGCCATTGGTCATGAGTTCATTATCACCCAGGTAACAACAGATCACCACATCGCATCCGCGAGCGAATTGGCGTAAACTGACTAGGTCGGTCGCATTGCCTTCAAAGACAGTCACCCGAGAGGAGTCTCGGAACTGCTTAGGGAGCTTGGATTCATTACGGCAGAAACCTCGGATGTGAACATCGGGAGACTTGCACAGGTTGTTTGCGATAAGACGGGCAAACTTTCCCGTGATACCTGCGATACCGACCGTGATAGGCATTTCTTCGAGGGCCAGTGAGTTCGATTGTCACGACGGCCCGGCTATGATCAGTTCGGAGTCAATGAGATGGTGGCCAGTTGGACCTTGGAAACAGGCAATAAATACTACGGATCTACCAACAAGGGACGACAGGATGACAAAGCTCGGATGCGTCATGACTAGTTAGTTAACTTAAGTTAGTTAGTTACTCCGTAGTTATTAACTAACTACCTAGTTAACTTACCTTATTTCCGTCCCGCCATCGATACGACAGCGTTATGACCAATCGTTGCTCAGGTACAGACTACTCCGGACCCACACATGCAGCAAGTCCACATTAAGCATGGCCCTGACGTTTTGATTAGCCTGCGAAAGCAAGTTACTCATGCAGGTAACTGGACTAGTTACCGGAAGGGAAGTGCTCGAAACGAGGATTGGCTGCGCCTTGTTTCTGGCAGTAGGTCGAACAGGATTCCATGAGGATCTAGCACGCCGGTCGGGCCGACGGAATAGTGTATCCCGATCCTACGAGCTTCTGCCGTTTGATTATCACGGCGAAGCAATTGGTTAGACCGAACTGACAAATCGTTGATTGAGTTTGAACCCATTCGAGTAACTTACCTCGGTAGCGGGTGGTGGACAAGACCTGAACTTGCTCATATAAAGAGGAAACAATTATTTATATCGACCGAGCGCTAGCTCTGGCCAGAACGAGAAATAGCATCACTTAAGACGTTTATTTGTCAACTTGATTCGACCCATTATCCGCCGAAGATATATTCGACCGAAATTTTCCTTATACCATCGCATGCAGAATGTCGAAGCTTTTCAACCCGCTTCGGATCGGTAGCAAAATGCTCAACCAAAGGATTGCTATGGCACCTATGACTCGACTTCGTGCCGACCAGTCGCATCTTCCCCTGCCCTCCGTGAAAGAATACTACGAGCAGCGTTCTAGTGTTCCCGGGTCCCTCATTGTCACCGAAGCCACCATAATCAGTCCTCGACATGGAGGTTATGCCAACGTTCCTGGCATCTATAATGATCAGCAAGTCGCTGCATGGAGAGCAGTTACAGATGCTGTCCACGAGAAGGGGTCCCATATATACCTTCAGCTCTGGGCCCTGGGGCGAGCCGCAAATCCTGGGCTTTTGAGTCAGGCGGGGTACCCTCTACTCTCGGCGAGTGACGTTCCAATGAAGAGCGCGTTCAGCGATGAAATCCACCAACCCCGCCCAATGACAGAGACAGAGATCCAGGACGCGATCACGGATTTCCGGATCGCAGCCAAGAATGCTATGATGGCTGGATTTGACGGCGTCGAGATTCATGGAGCCAATGGATATCTTGTCGATCAGTTCCTTCAAGATGTTTCCAACCAGCGAACAGACAAGTGGGGTGGAGATATCGCGAACCGATCTAGATTCGCCGTTGAAGTCACGAGAGCCGTTGTTGCCGAAATTGGTAACCAGCGCACTGCTATCCGGTTGAGTCCGTGGAGCAGATACCAAGGCATGCGCATGGCAGATCCCATTCCGCAATTCTCTAACTTGGTCAGTCAATTGGCTCAATTTAAGTTGGCCTATTTACACGCTTGCGAGTCAGATTCGAAAGACGTGAATGATGGAGACTTGAACTGGCTCTTGGAGGCATATGGCAATAGTAGTCCTGTTTTAGTGGCTGGCAACTACAACGGAGACACAGCCCAGACAGCGGTTGATACGACTTACGCCAATCATGATGTAGTCGTTGCTTTTGGTCGCCCATACATTGGAAACCCCGACCTACCCTTCAAGGTGAAGCAGGGTCTGCCCTTCGCAGGATTTGATCCGACAACTATGTATGGACAGGGAACTGGTGGCTACATTGATTATCCGTTCAGCAATGAGTTTGCATCTATCTCGGTGAAGGCTTAATCTGAGCAATGGGAAGATCATCGTATACAATAGACATTTCGTTCACTTCTTTGATTTGCAATTACTTCGCATGGCCTGTTGATAGGAACTTTCCTAAAAATCAAGAACGGGTCTACAGCTCTATGAGTGGCTTGATATTGATGAACGTCAACAGTCCGACAGTCAGGGTCCTTGATAGTCTCCAGATGAGCGAATTCGTAAAGGTTTTGTTTGACTGATTTGCCTGACCCCAGTAGCAGTAGCAGTGGCTAAATAGTCAGTCCTCATCGCCCAGGAATCTCGCGCATCTACACATCTCCGTGTGTCTCTCTTCCCTCTTACAGGGTGGTCATATGTAAGTTAGATCTCTAGTTCGGCTTGGGCAATTGCCACAGAATGGTCCAGACAGGCGTTCCCCGAGCGCCTATCAGAGGCGAATGCCGAGAAGTCCTGAACATAGGGCTTTCTCATGTAGACCACTATATTCAATTTTAACCATAGCGTGCTGCTCACCTTGCGTATGCAGTGGGGTTGATTTCAAATCAATCTGTCGCATAGTTAACTAACTATATCTCATCGAGGAGGCCGTTTGCTCTACCTACAAGCGTTCATCGAAGATCATTAAAAGTCACTCGGTCCCGAAGATTACTACAACTGCCACCAACGACCCTTCGTTAGAGTGTGGGTGCATACTGGAGGTAGTATTTCGTCGGCGGTGACAATTCAGTCCTTGGCGCTGCCTTTGCCGTTTCTGACCTATTACCCCGAGTTCAGGTTGTCGCCAAGACCAATTCCGAGAGCAATGTCAACGACGCCTGAAGTACAGTAATCTCACACGTGTACGCATTATTAATGACGAGCTACGGATGCCATATTTTAGTATCTAGTGAGTTACTTGCAGGTAACCAACTGACTACCAAACTTCCAAAGTTTTGGAAGCTTAGGCATATGTACGTCTCGGCCATAGTTAACTAGGCACGGGCTTCCAGAAATGGGAAATTGGTGGGTGCGCCCCCGGAACGAGTCTGCTAGATTAGACATGCGTGAAAGTCTACCGGCCCGCTGGAACCCGGGTTCCAGCTCAGCGGGTGTCAAGGAGAATATGGCGATATTAATAATAAGGGAGTATGATTAGGTAAGTTTCCCAAAGTCACCTTCAAAAATGAGCCGTGGCGCCGAGATCGTACGTCATTTCATCGACACCTGACAAGAGGCACTCTCACACGCACCAACCTGACTACCGCAGTTTGGATATCACAAAGTCAAGGACAGTGTCCCCAGTGTTCCCTAAGGCCATGGACGCCCGCGAGCTGCAACGTTGGGGTCGGAACTCCCACATTCCAGCGGTACGCAACTTCTGCCCGGCGCCTGAACCTGTACCGTGAAAAGGAACTAACAGTCCAGGAAAGTGCGTGGAATGTCGGGAGCGCAAAGCCAAGGTATCCCTAGACCCTTGCTGTCCCACCCACGAGAGAGATCGCTAAACCAAAATAGTGCTCGAAAACGCAACCTTGTGCGCCGTGCGTCCGCAACAACCGTAAATGTATCTACACATCGAAAGTGTCCCGAACACCGCTCACGCGCAAGTATGGTCCTCTCCCGTAGTCTCTTGTGTATTGAATGACCTGAAGCGAGACTGATATACGGCGTGAAGGCACCTTACTGCTGTTGAAACTCGACTCCATGCTCTGGAATATGCGCTCGAGAGGTTATTTCCAGGCGGTTCAATGCAAGACATGACACGCGACCTGCTACTGATGGATTCGTCCTTCGAGCAAACTGCCACCGAAGTCCCCACCGAAGTTAGCAAATATCAAGGATTATCCACAGATAAGTCCCCAGGAGCAGGGTCCTTTGCCGATAGTTTCCTTCCTTCCAATCATTCTTCGGCCCCCAGCGCCGAGGACCTCTTATCGATGGATATAGACGATTTCAGCCGATCATCAGCAGAAGTCTACACGCCACCAGCAACCATCCACGAAGAGTCCATGTTTATTGATGCATACTTCACACACTACCACACTGTCTACCCCCTCTTACACGAGGAGACCTTTCGAAGTGTGCGAGTCAGCCAACAATTTCCCACACATTGGCCTGTCTTGGTCAATGCAGTCCTTGCTCTTGGGTCTTGGTTGACTCCCGGTACGTCTCTTGGCGTGGAGAAAGCTTATTTCGCCAGAGCCGAAGAGCTGTTGGGAAAAACTCCGATAGGCACCAACGAAATTCGAAGTCTCACCTTGGTGCAAGGTCTAGTTCTTCTGAGCTCACTGGCACAACATCAAGGGCAGCCTGAGAAAAGCATACAATACACCAACTCTGCAGTTCAGATGTCTGTCAGTCTCAATTTGCACATGGAACCTCAAGATGCTCAAAGTACAGAGCTGGACAAAGAGATTCGTCGGCGGATCTGGTGGAGTGTGTACTGCGCAGAAAGCTGTTCTGCGAAAATCTACGGACGTCCGCTTCTATTGCCAGAAGACGCGTTGATAACCACTCGACCAGTCTCGAATATTAGGGAGAATGTATACGCCCATTTAATTTCTCTGTCCCTCTTATTCTGGATGCGAAAGGAGATGCTAATATCAATTTTCTGACAAGGACCTCACCTCGTCAAGCACATATTTTCCTCAACAGTCGGACCAAATAACCATATACATGGGGTTGATCCAACAATCGAGCTATCATCGCCTGGCTAATCGGATATATCGTCACCTCCTGTCCTACCCTGATTTTGGATCTAAGGAGGTTCAAGAAGTGGAGGAGATGATAGATAAATGGCACAAAACTTCATCGGTTTGCCTGCACAACGTGAATCCATCCTCATCTCCGGAATGGTACGTAACTGCACGTCGACGACAGATCATGTGTGATCGAAGCCTTCGCCTCCTCATTCATCGACCGTTGCTGCTACGATGGCTCAGAATACGCGCAATCGATGGAGGGCCTTGCCTGTCCAACGACCCAGCTGAAGTACAATGTCGGGCCAAAGGACTGAAGATTGCCCGTGCGACTATTGAGATGATCTCAACGTCTTTTGTTCGAGGTCAATATTCTAAATTGACTGTCGCATTCACTCTGTAAGCCTAGGTCTGGCGGTATAATTTATCATGACTTATTTGTCTAATTGAACCACTCCAGGTACTCGCTATTCCATGCACTCATCGTTCCCCTGATTCACATCATGGTCGATCCATCTACGCCAAGCTCCATTTCATGCATGGAAGATGTCAATAAAGCTAATAGCGCACTACAAAATCTTCGCTCGGAGCTCGATCCTCTCTCGCAGAGCTTTTTCGTGGCTATCAAACAGCTTGTTAATGTATCCGAACGGGCGCTCAAGGGATATCAGGATATTTCCGCTCCATCCGAGACAAGACAGACCTTGAAGCCAAATGATGTTCGACCTTCAGCAAATAATATTTTTGGTAATGAAGAGCTGAAAATACTCAAAGATCAGGAAGCGAGGGTGGCGCAGCAGTTTGACTTTTCGCAATGGCTGGATCTATGATTAAGTCATCGACATGCGCATAAATCTAGTAAATTCTATGAATCTCGGTTCACTTTCAACAGAGTAAGCAATGTGCTTAGGGGCATAGATATATTTTAAGCTTAGCCAGTCGTTTGAGCACAAGACATGACACTGCATTCAATGGTAAATGTCATTTTTTCCAAGTTTTCGAGTTGATCTTCCGAGTAGCGAACAATGATAAGGGCATCGAGGCGCGTAAGGGGGTTCTAAGAGATCTTCAGTTGAAGGAGGAGGCTTCGTGTACCGACATATCTTCTTGAAAAGTCACTATGGCAAAAGACCTGTCAACTCTTAGAATCGCGAGGTGTTCTATTGGAAAAACAGAATGGGGTAAACTGGCTTGTATCGAGATGGGGTCTTAGCATATTGCAAGATAGTGCCTCTCGAGCGCATTCGCATTCATTAAGAATCAATATCGTTGAATTCCAGAAGTCTATATATATGAATACAAGCAAGGCTAATAGTCTCTGTATAGTACATGAGTTGCTGACAAACGGAACCAGAATAAAGAGCAGACGCAAATACATCAATGAATCAAATCGACGATTTCTCTAGCCGACAGAATGCATTGCGACGGGGTAAACGGTTATCAGAGCCATAAAGCTCAATGCAGCCATTCTGGAAGATCAGTGGGCCCTTTGAATAGACCTCTCCTCTGTCAGTCTTATGGTAGACTTCATCTACCAATTCACGGATGTAGCTGTCCAGATTGGGCTGATCCTGCCACTTCCATTCCAGTTCCCCGCCATATTCCTTCGGTAGATCGTCAGCGGCAATGTGCGAGAGCAAAAAGGATTTAGACTCTGCGGGCGAAAGTACAAAAATCTTTGACCTAGTTTCAGGGTCAAACCACTGACTTATTGCTTCCCACACGGACTTGAAGAAGGCAGGCGCTCCCACGACCTGTTCAAGAAGATGAGAAAAAGAGTCAGTACAATAGAGCAGGAACAAGACACGTAGCTTTGGGGGATTGAATACGTACAAACACCCTTCCTAGGGTTTCCGGATAGTGCGCAGTAGCAATTCTGCTCGCCTCCTGGAGATATTTGCGAATATTCCAGAACTGAAAAACGCTCACGCCGCTGATATCGACAATATGCGTAGATGCGGAGACAGGTTGCTTGGAATTGGGTCGAGGCAGCTCGGAAACGAGCGGGAACACAAACTGCAGCAGGTTCTCATACAAGGCGTGAAGGTGGAGTATATATGTTGGCACTTGAGTATGAGCGTGCGAGTCTGGTAACGGTGCTTTCTCGAGGTACTTCAAATACACATCAAGGCTCTTCTTGGATAGCCTCCGAACTTGGAAAACATAGATGGGCCTCCCCACCTTGTCTCGCCGCCCTATCCATTGGGGATACTTTGAGTTGTCAGCGAATTAGCTGATAATTCAAACCCCTTGGTATATTAGACGCGCATACCATCTTCCGTGTCTCCTCATAAGCGGTCACATCAATGTCTTTGTAGAATCCTCGAATGTCATGTGCTTGTCGCCACGTTTGAAAGTGGTGGTATTGATCGAATGAAGCAGCCACATTAAAGCGCTGCGCTCGCAGGAAACGTCTAGTGTTGATGGAAAAAATTGGTTATCAGTGGACCAGTCTTGTCAGAAAAACGACCCGCATTCCCATCCGCTTACAATATGGTGGTGTCATCACTATTTTCGGCTCTAGTGAACGTGTTGAATCCATTCTGGCGACACAAGCCTTTGAACTCGGAGATTGGATCCTTTGACTCTGCGTTTGGAGCTGAAGTCGGGGTCATGATCGGAGCCATGGCGATGGGAGTAGTCGCAATTGGGTATCAATCTTCCCACTCGATGAGGCAAGGAAAGGTTATATTCAATCGATTCACTCGCAGGAGAGTCTGAGCATCTCGTCCCATACAAAGTTGATATCCAGGTATGCTCTCAGCATGCGAAGGTCCCTTTTAAATATCTAATCGTGGCCTGAATCTACCTAGACTGGACTCTTTGTCAGCATGAAGCGTTCGGATGCCTTCCGTCCGTCGTGAGAAGCGAGTATTTTGGCAAGCCGGGAAACCAGGGATCCATATCATCAGCTGCAATAGATCTATTCAAGATGTCCCGCTTCAAGGATCCTTGAGCCAGGGAAACTTGCCTGCGGCTTATCAAGCCAGGGAATCATGAATTCAATAAGACACGCACCGAGCTGGGCGACGGGGTACCGTCCTCCGCATGTTTAATTGCGAAATGATTTCATCCATTCCCCCTCTCGTCCCAACGAGGGACGAGAGTCTGCGAGCGATTTGTCAGTAGCCCTTCCACGATCTTCAGCGTGTCCCCGGGGTTGCTCTGGCCGATTGCCTTCCTACATCTGGAAAGCCCTGGAAGGACCAACGAAACGCGGGGAATCCAAGTGGGTCCCCTCCACCCCGGAACACACTCTCCCAGCATGGTGGTTGGTTAGCGTTCCGGAGAAAGGAACACGACCAATTGCAGAGCGTCTACCACTCGGACGATCATGAAGTCAATCGCGGTCCACTCTAGTTCCAACTCTTATGCCCGTGGGGGGTGGGGTGGGATTTGCGGTGGTGGCGAGGGTGACTCCAGATTCTTACCTAGTGGAGGAGGTCGGGGTAGTCGAGTCCTGGGTGGACATAACTCCGACGCGGATTTGAAATTTGGAAGAGCCGAGCGAGTATCTGAGTACCTCACTGATCGCCGTCAAGCGGTATTGCGTCCTCTCCGGCGTATTCAGAGACCGATCTGCCAAAGGTCAGTCGATCGTCGATCCCTTTTACTCATCATCATCACCACTGCACCAAAGCGCAACTATTGCTGGTCATCCCGGACGAAAGCTGAACCCCCGTTTCCACCATGAGTCAGTCTTTCTCACATCCAGATGCGCCCAGGGGCTTCAAGCGGAAGCGAACAGCACATGCATGCGAAGAATGTCGCTCACGCAAATCTCGCTGCGACGGAGGTCGGCCAGTGTGTGACAAGTGCAATGAGATGGGCTTTCTATGCCATTACAACCCGCCAAAGAAGTCGTTTGAGCCCTCCGTGCCGACCAAGAAGACCCCGTCAGATTCGGCCACTGCGTCGGTCGCGGCTCGCCTTGATCGCATGCAACAGCTATTGGAGACCCTCATCTCCAAGACCGACGCGGGCGGCTCTCCTTACCTTCCCAAGTCACCACCAGAGACTCTTTTGATGCACTTGACACCGTCAACGGATCCAGTTGATGGCATGGCTTGCATAACCTTTAAGGATGAGACTGACGCGGGCCATTTTGGTGTGTACCAAATATCCCTTCAGCAGAAGTGTAAGAGCGCCTTTTCTTCGCAAATTTGTGCTAATAAAATCTCCTCCCCAGGCCCGACCTCTAATTCGATGTTCCTGGAACATATCGTTGATGCAGTGAATTGCTTTCCTCGAGCGCATACCTTGCAACCTTCCCTGAGGAGAGGGTTCCCGATCTCACCATCGGAGTGGCCATCGCCAGGACCTGCGGCGAAAAAGCCGGCCATACCGTCGATTGCACCTTTCAGCACAAGCGGATCTTCGGAGCCGTTGTCTTATGAAGCCACAATGGGTCTGCTGCAGCGATACTTTCAAAACACAGGTGACATGTTCCCATACTTATCTAAAGCCTCAGTTCTGGCTTATCTCGGGCACAGTGATCAGGTGATGTTAGAGAAACTAAGGCCCGCACCTCGTTGCCTGGTGTACACATGCTTGGCATTTGCCAGCATTCATGGAGGGTCTGAGAATAATCGAGCAGGTGCCATGCAAAATGCTCAACGGAATTTTGAAGCAGCGCGAGCCACGTTGCCAGAGCTCATGTCGCAAACTCCGGACATAGAGACTGGTGAGTGCTTTAGGTATTGCCACATATTAGCAGGACGCGTTATCTGATATCTCCATGACAGTCCAGGCTCTCATTCTGTTTCTACAGTACTCACAAGGGACACAAAGGTCTTCTGAGACATGGGGATTGATGGCAGCAATTGTTCAACGAGCTTTCCAGATTGGACTGTATCGCTCTACTCCTTCAACTGGCATGACCCCTTCAGAAGTGGAGACTCGTACTCAGACATGGCACATGGTGTTTATGATGGATAAGTGAGTGGCCTGAATTATCTTGGACCCCCAAGGTTTGTCTAACTTGACATCATTTAGGATGTGCAGTATGACGTTTGGCCGACCACCCCTTGTCCCAAACAACTACATGGATGGCTCATTGCCCCCAAATGGAACCTTCGAATTGGAAAACAACATACCAGAGCAGTCACGGCATATATCAAGGAATCTGGCTGGCCCTGACCTATTTTTTCAGACCTGGTATGTACTCCATCACAGACGAAGCTTGACACGAATATTCTCCAGGAACCTGTCGCTTACGGCTCCAGTAAACTCAATCTCATCCTGGGAGATATCATTGACACAGTCTACGGAAGCAACATTGAGGCTTTGTTACCAGCTAGTCTGTTAGACTTGCAACAACACGTCATTCGCATAGAGGGACGCCTATCTGAATGGAAAACCCAATTACCTAGACTCTGTCAATTTTTGAACTCTTCCGACATGGAGAACATCCAGCTTCCTGAATGTAGCATTCGTGATCGACGGACCTTTGTTATACTGAGTCTTCGTTACCTGAACATTCGCTCGCTCCTGCACAGAGCCACAATATTTCGATTTCTGGACAGCAAACCCACACATCAAGAATCCCGCGAGTCCCTCAAATCACACATTTCGGTGAACACCTGCATCGAGGCTGCTGTTTTGTCCATCAAGATTATATCTCAGTCGGTGCAAAGACGAGATATACTACCAATATGGTGGTTTTCTGCATACTACAGTGAGTTATATATGGGCTAGAACAATTCCAAGTCCATCTGCTAACCGATCTGCTCTCCAGCGCTCACAGCGTCGCTGACGATATTTGCCGCAATTTCTCTCCTCCTGAAAGAGCCAAGTCATCTTCAACGCTATACAGTCCATGACCTACTATCGATGCTTCAAGTGGCCCTCGACTCACTCGACAATCTCCAACAGGACAGCCTAGTCGTGGATCGATGCCAGCAAGCCCTTCACCTTGTTATTCACATGTGTTGGGCTGTGATTGGTCAGCCTTTGCCCACGGAGTCTTTGACTAGAGATTTGAAGCAGCAAATGCTACCCGCCCGTGAACAAGATGGTAGGAATTTGGGTTTCAGTGATTCTTTCTCTGACCACGACTCCGCTACCTGTGCTACTTTGACCTCTTCAGATCCGTGGGGACTTGAGCAAATTGATATTGATGGTATCTGTCTCCGCGATCTGGTGGGTAATTTACAAGCCCTTACTGGACAATTCTGAAGCAAGCAAAGGGACGTACGATTGCTTGTAACAGTGGATGAATAGTCAATGAAAACGAAATTGACGCACTGTTTGCATTTTGTCGCTGTTGAACCTGGCTGCACTCCCTTCCCTTGATACTGGCTCAATTTTATCAATGTGGAATTAAGATAATCGTGCTGGCATATTGGCATGCCTAATGTTTCTAGAGGGCCATACGGCGTCATAAGCCTCCACAGAGCTTTTCAGACAAAAGAAATCTATAATGCTGATTCCATGAAGGAACTACATCCAAATGATTTTATTTACGATTTGTGAAATCAATTTCTTCCCAAATGGTGCCAGTCAGACAGAATCAATGCTCTAATCAATTCGAAATTTCATTCAAATGATTTCAATTTATATGTGTAAAACAGCATGCTAGACTTATCAAGACCAAGTACATTGAGAACACAGGACTCCTCGGCGAATTAGGACTCAATTATGGGGAAGACAAGGTAAGATTCAAAGTTGTTACCCGAGTAGACAAAGTGTCTTCCCTTGTTGACAGTGCGTTCATGGAACTGGACAACATCTGGGGTCTTGTGACGGAAGCTGTCGTTACCCTGGATCCGCAACTGAAGGGTTTCACCAGGATGGAAGAGAGTCGACGTGGGCAGGATTTCAATGTCGACAGGGACAATCTCGCGGGGTCTCAGGAGGAGTCGCCGGGCGTGGGTGTGGTACGGCCGATCGATGGTAGTTTTCTTCAAATCAAGCTCACGGTGACTCACACGAAGCCACCCGAGACCGAGAGGGCCATCATCAATCATGGAGAATGCCACAAATGGCGTGATGTTTCCATCTTTGTCGAGCTTGTCAAGCTGAACGAAAAGGTCCATGTCTTCTCCCTCATCCGTGGCAACCTAGAGGCGGAGACGCATGTTGCCTGTAAGTTCGGTCTCCTTCGAGAATCGGTGCTGGAAGCGAAGGCAATCATCGGTCACTGTCGAGTTATAAGCGACCTCGGAGATGGCGGAAGGGTTTTGGTCGACCAGTGTGCCCTCATTGAGGTCGAGATACTTTCGGGTGTATTGGGTGCGGGCCAGCGGCCATTCCTGCTCTGGTCGGAATTCGGCCTTCCAAGCACGATCACGAATTTCCAGACGAACCCGGGGCCAAAGGTCAACCTCGCTCTTCTGGCCCTTCAAAAACTTAGTGAAGAACGCTTCCTGGCGCTTCACGCTCTCAGGCTCAAAGAAGTACCGCCATTTCTTTTGACCATGCACTTCAAGCCACTTATCCTTAGAGCTGATACCGACGAATCCATTCAAGGTACCGCGTGTGTGCATACCATGATCACCCCAGTCAGCAACGACGTATGCGGGAGCCGTGATCTTGGCGAGATCTGAAACACATTTCGACCTGTGATAGTCGTCCAGGAGGGGGTGCGCCTTGTTATTCTCAATCAAGTCCTCCACGAGATTAACTCCCGCGCGGCAAGACCACTGGGTGAAATGCAGGAATTTGGTCTCGGGAATGCCACCGTGGTGAGTGTAGTCACGGTAGAAGTCGGTGAAGCCTTCCCAGGGCACAAAGGCAGCCAGGTGGGGAGGGTTCTGGGCCGCGATGCCCCATTGCACGATGGAGAGATAGGAAACGCCAATCATGCCCACTTTGCCGTTCGACCAAGGCAATGTGCCCGCCCATTCAATAACATCGTGACCGTCCCGGCTCTCTTGCTGACTGAAGATCTCCAGGTCACCCTCGGATCCCCAGGAGCCCCGACTGTCGCCGTTGATCACCGCATAGCCCTTCTTGGTCCACACCACGGGGTCGACGCTTTCCCACACGGTATACTTAGAGATCCAGCCCTTCGGAACGTCAGCGCCAGGGAAGATGTCGAAGGTCTTGGGGCCGTGCTTTCCGTATGGGCTGAAAGTGAAGATAATGGGGAGCTTGTCGGTGACGCCTTCGGGACGGAAGACATCCACGTACACCTTGACGCCGTCGCGCATGGTAACGGGGACATCCCAGGTAATGTTCATGCCATCGGCCGTCTCTTCCTTGTTTGGGATCAGTGGAGGACGGGAGGTTTCCTTGAGGGGAATACCTTTCTTCCAGTAGAAAGGCTTCACGCCACAAGGGTTTTTGCCGGTGACTTCCATTTGGTCTGTGGGTTGGGAAGAATATAGTGTAAGTGCCGATCGGGTCGTTTTGTTGGTGCGATGAGAGCGGTTGGTATGAAATTACAGACTGGCAAATGTAGCGGCGGTCCTTGTTATATACCCTGTCCGTCGCCGCAGTCTCACTCAATGAACCCACCATGTTCATCGAGATTGCCAGGGGCATTTACTCACGGCTTCTCGGCATGGCGTATGGGAATTTGCTCCGGGCAATCTGGATCCGAAAGAGCCAGTTGCAAGGCTATTGTCGGACGCGGCAAATATCGCTTGCCTCGGGGTAAAGATACACCGTGATATTCATTGCATTGCGTTGCATACCGGCGGAAGATTGTAGTCCGTATACTATCCACGGTCCGGTAACCCGCAAAATAGGTTGCGAACTATGGGGTAGTTCGCCACCATATTCGGCCCGGGGCGGGATTGCAACCTGACTTGAGGCCGCGGGGGTATTTCGGATGTTCAACGGCACCGTGCCCAAGGCCGAAGCTTGACCTCAATCATTGTGGAGGATGGAGAATGGAGATTCCCCGGAGATGGTCATCCGGTCTGCCTGGCTGCCGTGGGGAAAGACTGGCAAAGAGATCCTCACGTCGCCACTGGCGTATGAAGCGAAGCCGGGTTAAATACCTTGGGCCTTTTCGCGTCAAGATACAGGAATTCCTGATGAACCAGCAACAGCTCTCGTTCAATATTTCAGAAATTATCCCATTCGTCCAGCATCTTTGGATTTGTATCTACGCTTTCACATCTATCATGGCAAGTCACTCGGTCATTGCCATCTCACCCCCGAATACGGGTAGCTTCCACGTCCCGCTCAGCCCTGCTGCGCTAGCCACCGTCAATCAATTCCTTCAAGAGAATCACGACCGGTATCATCCGTTCTTTAATGATCGAGGATTTCACAATCATATCACTCATTATCTGCTCGCGTCACTCTCTCTGGGGGCTACCGCCGCCCAGATCACGCGCAGTTTTGAACAGGAAAAAGCTATTCAGCGCCCTCAACTGCCCCTAAATCTGGAGAACAGCAAACGTCTCGCGGATCCCGAGTTGTTCAAGGATTGCATGGGGAAGGAAGAGTTCTACCGGGATTATCTCATCTTTTTCCAGAATGAGATCAAGGAAAAGGGGATAGGTGGGGTGTTGAACGAATACCTATTCTGCAGAAAGGAGAATGCCGAACTATTGTTCACTCGGCTTTTCGCAAGTACGTGAAACCCTGCAACATCCACGATCACGCATTAACTGTCGCATCAGGCTTCCTGCATCCCTTGATTCATCTTGGCTACGGGATTGAGTTTCAGCAGCCTGCTATCATTGCCGAAGCACTAGCACAGACAGCCGTTCATCAGAACGAGGTTTCTGTTGTGATGCTTGGAGCAGAGCATGCTGCCTCGTCCTTGGACGGTCCGTCGCCTCCACTTCTTGATCTCCTCGCACAAGCGCGCGTGGATGACTCGATCCGCAACGCATCCTGCTGGGGTGATGGTAGCTGGATCGAAGACGTACCTCTTACCCAGGCTCCCAAGAGACTTTGGGATATTGCGGCCCAATGGAGAGTCCAACCTAATGAGCTACATGGGAAGACAGCCGAGATGATCAATGTAAACGGCTTCATGTGCGGAGCGGCTCAAATGCCACCCAAGGAGTACAAGCTCGACTTTTTCTTGATTCATAACCTGAATTGCTCAATCTTCTTCCCCTCCATTCTCAAGCAGAACTGGATGAGCACGGAGAACAAAGTTCGCTTATTGGAATGGAAGGGTCGCTTCGACGTGATCTCCTATGCGGCGCGTGGATGTCCAACTCTGGTTGAGTCCGAAATCCTCAACTATCAGCCCAAGCGGCCGCAGCATGGCTGGGCCAATCTGTTCCAGAGAGTCAATGATCTGGATGATGACTCTCACGTCACGAAGTTTCTACGTGGAATGGCACATGGAGAGCAGTTCTGCGAGCCATACGACTTTGGCAAGGAAAGGTTTCCGTTGACCCGTAGCATGTGGCTTCGCATTGCTCACATGGCTATTGATACAACAGAGAAAGAGCCGATTGCTAAGAATCGTTGGGTCAGAGGTGCTGGTTTTCCTTCTCAGTGGGATCACTTCCATGACAGACTACCATAATGCTTGAAATCCTTTTGTTTCATTACATACAGGGAGCTTCATTTGTATCGACTGTCGAATAGTTTTTGATTGATCTATAGTCATATGGAGAATGTCTGTTTGTTTCTATCAGAAAGTATTGGCTAAGCAATGGGTCTACGGCGTATACGCTCGGTAAACAAGTAAACTCGTGATTAATGGCGGTTACCGGGTTAGTATGATTCCCCTCTACATATTACATGTAGACATAATGGAAATGAAGTATTCTTATGAAGTTATTCTACTTCCGAAACTCGGACTTTTGTTGAGCCACTGAATGAGGTTTCTGTGCTCCCATTTCCACTTCTACTCGTGCAATCACAGGCATTCAGGGTGAGGAACTTCGAAATAACATTCCAGTTGGTGTCCTTTTCTAAAACCATCTTTTTTCGATTTTACGACTAGGGACAAGCGACACAAGATGGTCAATTACTAATGTGATATGAGTAAAGTTGGACAATAATTTTTCTCATGGAGACATCGAATGCTTTCGTGACTAGCTCTGAAATAATCAATCAATCAAAGCCACGTTTTCGGCATGATTTACAGTTGGCTTGTCAGCCAGTTGTTGGTCCGTCGGTGGAATTTGGGGTTCCGATACAGCCGCGAGACCGGACATTAATGGATTCGGATCCTGTTTTCACACCCCTCAGTCCCATAATTTTGGATTGGAGCATCCAAGTCAAGCGACTTACCAGAATCAATTTGTTTGTTCGGAGAGCAAGTTTTCCGCTTTCCTTGACAAATTGCATGAGAGCAACGGATTCCCCAGTCACGGTCTTGTTGTTGGAAAAGATAATCTCGTACGTCGTGATGACTATCAAGTCCATCATGTCGGGTCCGTGGCTATATACCTTCTTCGGGATGTGTAAAAGTCCTGGGAATGAAGCCCAAAATCTAAGGATGTGTTGGCGAATTTCTACAGATGGGGTTCAGTTTCCAGGCAGTGCCTCGAGGTCGGTATATCCACCGTCGAGTATTAAACGCGAATACACGACACGCATACCTTCATGGCCTTTGAAAATCTTTCCAAAAGCCTGGAATTCTCCTTCTGTATGATAGAGCTGGCTCCATCTCACAGCTGCTTCGGCTGAATAACCATCGAGAAGTTGAAAGAAATTCTCGACAGCCAACTTGACATGCATCGGGGTATTTGCAGGCCAGCTTGTTGCTGCAGATTTCAAGAAAATAGGGGTCGACATCACTGAAGCAGACAAATGGAAGTTTGGAATGGAGTCTTTTCCTACACTATCAGCGATCTGGCTTGGGTTTAAATATCCCACTGGCAATACTCGCACCACCGAATTAATCGCAGAAGCCTTGCCTGTTCAAAAGCCCCCGAACTCCTGTTGGCCTACGATACCCCATGTTCTCCGACTATACCCCCACCTTTCAAAATTGTCAACCCAATCAGGATGTCTGGGCGGGCGCAATTCTCGTATCTCCGATCTGGTACCTCCGCTGTCTGCAATTAATTTCCTGGGGCTAAACCTATCCGCGGGTATTTCGGAATCTATGGATTCAACCAGCCAGTGGTTCCCGTTGAGGCGTTCGTTATGTTATTACGTGTTTTCTGGATGGGACGTGATCTGCTTACTAACATGGGCGGTAACGGGATTGTCATGTATCTTAGCTAGTCTCGGGATTCTTTCCTCAATAACAATCCGACCGAGTTTCATCCGATCATATATTCGAGTTGTTATCCTGATACTAGCAACTGGTTTCTTTCGTATTTGATCATTGTCATTATTCTGACCGTTTCTTACGGCCCACCTCGACGGGGAACCGACCCCTTCACCGTCAAGGGGACCCCGCCGACTCCAGAATCCTATGTTGTTTGGGCCTGAACAATCAATATGTTGCGCATGCAAATAATAGTGGAACAAGATTTGTTGCGGGGAAGCGTTTTGCATGATACTCCCACGGAACTCTTCAGCGTTTAGTCTCTCGTGGAACGCTCTCTTGGCCGAATTGGTAATAACGGAAGGCCCTTGTTCCATCAGCAGCCAGTAGACATGCGCGTAGCCTCACAAAGAAGGTCATGCCATTTTCAATTCCAAATAATACTTAGTGTCACTCAAAGCTTTTGTCAGCGGACCATGGAGCCCATGAACTACGCCTTGAGTCCTCGAACAGTTCGGACGAGGACTCGTGCGTTGTTCAATATAATTGTTCTTGAATTTCATGGCGTAAGAGACTCCATGGACAGTCAATATGTTGTCAGAACATATCAATCTTTACCATACTCTGCATATGTTGCGTTGAAAGAGGTATGTTGAGGTGCATACTTGGTGAAATTGTGCAGAGGGTTGCCTTTCTGGACAAGGTGTGACTACAGACCGCGGTAAATCTGTTCCTACTTCGTCCATATGAGCTATCTATAATTCGTCCCTCCATCCTAGCCTAAAAGGAGTGAATACTCGTTTGTAATATGGGGGTTCACATACCATGGTCGGGTGACCCACTCGATCAAAAAGACGACATGGTTTATAGAAAAGGGAATTTGAGAATTACCCTTCCATTTGTTCTTCCGTTGCATTCGGGTAGTATGTAAACTGCAAGTCGCTAAGTGTCAGAACAAGAAAATAAAAGGTTGTTTGGACTCAGTCTCACAATGTTTGTAGGCAATTTCTCTTCACTGTACTCGCCCCAAAATAGAAATGCAAGTTTGTGAGGTGAAGAGTTTGAGTTGAAGCAGACAGGAGACGTAGTATGGCTTTGAGAGATATTGAACGACCTGTGGCGGTCAGTCAGAATGGCGTCCTTAAATATTTAGGAAAGATCTCACACCCCCATTTGACCAATGCGACGGCGGAAGTTATTTGTTTCATAGCATCGGGCACTCCACAATATCATTATCAACCAGCAGGCCAACGTACCGTGATACCCGCCCCAGCTGCGCACCCAAACTTCAGCCCATAGCGGCGTTGAAATCAGCCTCGCCGTTCATTTTGCCAATCCTGGTTTTCAATTCAACGGAATCTGCAAGTGCCGAGAAAGCACTGTTTCAGCCTGATCAAGGTGAACCAATAATGCTGCATGAGCCCAGGAGAGTGAGGATCAGTGCAGTGGTCGCGCGACGCAGGATGATTCCCACCCACTCTCACCCGGATTCTCATCCTGTCTATTGCGCACTCACCCTATCTCGCCCCGGTCGCGCGACTTAAAACCGGCGCTCACCCTAAACTCACCCGGGCGACACCCACCCGACTATTGACCGCACATAAGCCTATTATAGTACGCGGCCAATTTTCGAAGCGCCCTAAGCTCTAAAACGGCGCAAAACTTGATCTTAGGGTGATTGTGGGTGATATGGGCGAGAAATTTGGAGACTGCGGTGATAGATGGGAACGGGGTGAGAATAGGGTGAGAATAGGGTGAGAGCGGGTGAGAGCGGGTGAGAGCGGGTGAGAGCGGGTGAGGAGGGTGAGGATTTTCACTCAGATTACCCAGTCTCCCATTTTCACTTAAGACTGAGACATAAGTATAAGCACAAAGGGAACGAACAGGCCTGGACCTGGCAGGGAATCCACGGCCTGCCTCATGCAGGGCCAAAGAAGACGACAAACTCTGCAAACCCTCGAGGTCAAAGGGATCGAGTCATCAGAAGAGATACGAGGATACAGTGTTAAATTAAGCATTGTAAGCTATGCTATGGATAGGTATAGTTCGTGTCACTCAATTTAGTAGATGGATACTTTCTCGTAACGAAGCAACCAGGGCTAGTTTTTCCAATAATGAACCTGATCCCACCCATAGCTCCTGAAATCTTTAGCTGAGGACTACACTGCAATGAAAAGTTTGCCCTCTCAGACGTCTGTTTGTCAGAATTTCATTAGCTTCAGTACTAGATGGGAGCGAGAGACTTATCGATCTCTCTGAGGTATGTTAAGGACGATTTTATGAACGTAATACCAATCTGCAAATACCGCTACATTTAGGTAGCGATTTCTTTCTAGTTCCATAGAAAGATACCCCAGCTAGGTTCCATAACCAAGCCGGAGCTTGCTATTGCTCTCTCCCCTGTATAGCGCCGGGCAAGCACCAAATAAGTAGATGGTATACTGGACCATAGTTAAGTAAACACTAGCGAATTAATGTATACTCAGTCCTCATGGCGCTTAATATGAGATCTCACGACCGGAGAGGCTCAAGATCGTAAGTCCTTTCCCCGGATATAGAGCTAGGGCTCCAAACTCCTCATAGTGATGGTCTATCTGAGAAAAAAAAATGGTCACTAGTTCAATTCAATTTTAATTAGTGAAGTACCCTAGATTCGGCGACAGGAGAGCTCCTCGACTCTGGTGATTCTTATAGGAACGAGCCCCTCGTTTCTGTATCCTCTTTAGTCATAATCATTAATTCGCCCTTGCAAAAAGGATTACCAGACCAAACGGTTGTGACATCCACGGTGATTTTAGTTTCCATTTTCTTTAATAGAAAAGAAGCCACTAGGACGCAGACAGGAAGGGGGAAAGGGACGGAAAGTAGCTGAGTAGCCACTTCAGCGCTTCTCGGGTATCCAGGGCGATTGGGTCAAAAATAGAGGGGCTCAAGAGGCTTAAGGGGCTTAAAGGGCCTAAAGGGGCTGAAGACCAAAGCGGCAAGACCAGACATCCAAACGAATGACAAAAAACGGGTGGGCACCGACATACAACAGTCAGGATTCGCATGTGGTCACATATCATTCACCTAACGTAGTCCCCGGCCATTTCGTACAGGAGGTCGAGCTATACACCCCACAAACTACAGTAGATGAGATTCTTTGAATTATGATATTCTGAACCATAAGCATCATCCGTAGTCAGAACTAGATTACCCTCGAAGGATTTAAAAGGGTTCTTAGATGCTCATAGAACGGCTTATAATGATCTAATGTCCACGATGTGTACCACCTTCTTCGATCAAAGGATAGAAAAATCTGTCTTTCTTGTAAAAATACGGACCCTCGGGGACTATTCCAGTATATCTGGATTAGAATTATAATTCTGGAGAGAGCGAGCGAGCAGTCTTCGGGTCAATTTCCGCTTATCGTATAACCATTACCGAATTCTTCCTGTATCCGTGGATCTAGCTCCCTTACAAATAAACTCGGCTACTCTCGTCTAAGAAAAGACAGGGATCAGTCCTCAGAAAGTCGAGGTAGATCGGGTTACCAAAAGAGAAGAACCCTCCGGATCGTTAGATATGACGAGAAAGTTCTCTGGTGCAAAGCCCTTATCAGGCGATATGTTGACTCTGCCTCCGAAGAATATGTACACTATATAGGCCTTGCGGTTATAATGGCAAATGATTAGGAGTACAATCCTCCGATAAATAATTCGTTCCTCGCTGCGTTGTTCATTTTGGCAGTGGCCCCGTCGTGTTGGATTTTCTCGATTGCGGCTAGTATTTTCTTGATGATGATTAATTCTTCAAGCCGCCAGAGGATTTGGAATGCTATATCAATGTACCTCTAGTTGAGTGGATTGTGTAAATTGTTTATCCGCAGCCCAGGGATGAATTAGAAGCTCGAGTTCACCATATAGATTGTAGCACCTACTCTAATGCAAGATGGACCAGGGTGGGACCTTGGAAGAATGGGGTTGCTATACTGATGTGCCATCATGTGTTTGGTGACAGTAATTTATACTGCGTACAAGCGGCGGGTGTCATGCTACTAGATGAGTTCATGACCTTTTAAGGGATAGATATTCAACAACTGAGCTAGATTAGGTTCAACTGCGGTCATTAATTCAGACAAAAACGTACCACAGCATATAGAACATATTGGTGAACATATTGGTGAACATATTGGGTATTATTACAGTTCAGCCCGCTTGTTTTTATCATCCAAGACAGCCTGGCCCCAGACACTGAATTTCTGAATGCTTCCAGATTCCGACTACCTGTGGCATGGATGAATGCGAGGTTAGTGTCGCGTGACGTCGCTTTCAATTCAGTCAGGATAGAGATCGAGAAGGGAAAATCCAAAGGCAATAAAGGTTTTAGATTGATTTCGAGCGGCCCAATACCTCTCAGTGAAACCTTCTCTGACTATCTTGGGTGGTAAGGGCTCAACAGTTCATCCAATATCCCCGAGTTTCTCACCGCCATTGAATCTTTCTCATGTATTTAAGGCAAAAGGCATGGCCGTAGGCGTCGCCATGCGAGCTCTTCAATCACCTCGACCCGATGCCGCCGCAGGCCAGCTTCTCGAGCAGCTTCTGTAGCAGCGTTGATATAACCTCAAGTGCAGATGGTTGGATTTGACCTCATCAGCCAAGCATGTAATAAGTGTGCCAAAAGGAATTAATCCCTCTTCGGAGCCTCCTGCTCCTGGCGAGTCAAATTCTCCGACCATAACTTCGCAACCCAGCACGACACCAGAATGTCCACCGTTGGCTTGACTAGCCCACTTGCAAATGTGATTGTCCACGCTGTGCTAGTCGCCAGAAGTGACCCGTTCTTATCATTCCAACTACACTGATCGTCCGGATTTGGAGATTCCCAGTTGGCTTCAATCGTACGGAAGAGCATACTCCTGGTACCTTGTGGATCCTCATGATAGACTTGCCAGTTTCCAGCCCAATTTCGGCGGATGGTGAGATCTCCTTCTAAAGGACTATCGGGATTTGCACGCAGCTTGAGCCCAGGACAGTCAAGGTCCTTGCGCTCAATGTCGTAAAGCACGTTTTCTCGTGAAAAGTTCTCTGGTGGGAAGGGGTATTCAGCCATTCCCAGGCGTCTTTCGGCCCTTCGGATACCGAGGGAGTCAGTCACAGCGGACAGGCGGTGGGAAATTTGATATGGCCGACAATTCGGCATGCTTTCTGTGCCTCCTGAGGCGTAAATAGATTGACCATATTGATATCCTTCATCGAGTGGCTGGTCGAAGATGAAAGTCACTTTTTTCTCCACTGAACTGTCCTTAGCGGGTGCGACCGTTGAGGATAGTTCCAATGAATGCGTCATTGCATTGTTCGATCTGTGTAAGTCGTTGTTACGCTTTGCGCCATTTGCAACCAATAGCGCTGCAATCACGTCATGATTACAGCTGAGAGCCATGTCGAGGGGTGTCTTGGTCTGGTCGGAGACAGCGTTCACGTCTGCCCCGGCTTGAATCAGCAGCTGAACACATTCAACATGACCGTTATGCGCCGCCCAGTGCAAGGGAGCCCAATCGTAGAATGTTTTGATGGATGGATTGGCCCCGCTTCTTAAAAGGTATTCGACTATCTTGGTATCACCACCTGCAGCAGCAGTATAAAGTTCACTTTCACCACCAGTCCCTGTGGTGTTAGGATTTGCTCCGAGGGCGAGAAGCAGGTCCAGGATCTCCCTTTTGGAATGGCGTATGTTTGCGCGCCATGGAGTCTTTCCGCTGTCATTTTTTTCGTCAACTTCTGCGCCAGATGATATAAGGGCTCTGATCATCGATTCGCTCTCGCATCTAGTCGCGCGATGTAACGCCGTTTGCCCAGTGTGATCCTTCGCGTTAACATCCACACCTGATTGTGTCAACGCCTCTACCGCCGCCAGATGGGTTAGCTCGACGCTGAGGAAAAATGCAGTCTCTATAATATTCTCATCTCGGTTGCAGGTGCTTTCCCGGACTCGATCAGCTGCAATTCTAATCTCTGGGCTGTTAGAATCGGCTGCGATGAGCAGTACCACGTTTGGGTCCGTACTAGTCGAATTCGAAGCTTGTTCGACGATCAACTTTCGGACACCAGCCCAGTTTCTCTCCGCGGCAAGCAAAAGTATACCCCTGCCGTGCGCGGTCCGTAGATCCACTTGGGCGCCGCTTTTGATCAGAAGCTCGACCGCCTTCTCAAAGCCTTTTTCCATCGCCACCGCCAGAGGTGTTTTCCCGGACTCATCCACAGCGTCAATATCGAGTGTGTCATTCAGCAATCTTGCCGCAACATTTGTTAGGCCCATAGAGACAGCAACATGCAGAGCTGTGACTTCTAGCGACCGCGGAGACCTCGCTTTGTCTTTCGATATTTCTACGAAGTCTGTACTTGACATGTTGGCGGTACCCTTCACCACTTTGAGGCTGGCCTGCGAGGTGCTTATCCCGGAGTGCGATGAATCCTCGATGGCATCAGCTTTTCCGGGGCTATTTGCCGCTTCTGCCGTGGAGTAAGCCCCGTACTTGATCAGATCCAGCCCATCCAGCAAGGCAAGAAGTGGCTTTCTCTTATTTGGTTCCGATAAGAGTAGATACAACTCCTCGAGTACTGCTGGTTTGAGTGACACTTCGGGGCTCTCGCGAGCATGTCCGCCCATGTACTGAGCAGCATAACACGCCAGTGGGTAATCACTCGCTATCGTCCAGAGTGTTGCCTCGCGAAGAGTTGGTAGTGAAAGGTACATTGCACAGCTCATAGTAATGAGTTCGTGGAAGTCGGGGAAATACTGTTGGCGGCGCTGATCGAAGTATTTTTTTGTGGTGAAGTGAACCAAGTTGACCTTTTTTGTGTTGATATCGACAGTGACAAGGCCAGCACAGATTTTGATAATGTGTTGTGCTTCAACTATATCATCTTCATCGAAGTCCACCCCACGCTCTATAGCTAAGGCATGCTGGAGCTCCATGAGTGACAGGGGACGGAATGCATAGGTCAACCAGCCAAGGGCCTTATGAGCAGTTGTCTTGTGGTACGAAGGCTGCGAGTCAATTCGTTTCACTGCTTTGTCGTATGTTTCATCGAGATCATCAGGTAGAGATTTGAGAATTTCTCGGACATTGTTGACAGTGAGTGCAGTTTTCAAGGCATCGACATGGAGCCGAGCAAGCAGAAACCTGATAACATATTGTCAATCCGGGTCAAATTCCTGAAAGTATGTAGACATGCGTGCCTACATTTTCTCTGCAGTCTTTACCACTGCAGTCTTGATTTCTTGGCGCAATGACGGACGTCGAGTCACAAATTTTAGTAGTCCCCGATGATCTGCCTCTATCTCTTGGTCGATGTATACTTCGATGTCTTGCCTGTTTGCTCTTATCTCAATACGTTTGAAGTTGTCCAATGCTTCGTCTGTGTTCTCAGGAAGTCGAGAGGTCACGATTAAATGGCAATCAAGGCGTTGAAGTGCTTCTACCAACTGCCAGCGGAACTGATCACGACATTCGTCAATGGCATCGACGACGATAAATACCTGGTGGTAGAGCTGTATCGCATCCTTCATTTCCCGCAGTAGAACCTTCGGCGCCATCATGTCTCCAGCAGTCGGAGCCCTTGATGCCTCAAATTCCCTTTGAAGGGAGTTCGGTAGCTGGACGCCATCAGGTGCTAGTAGCTGTTGCAGAAGGCTGCCGATGACGTTTGCAAATGTCTGGTCCGGCTGGTCGTATTTCAGGTACATGAATGCGATACCGACATTGGACTTCTGTCTGGCCAGCTTAGGAAGCTCTTCGATAATGATTGATCTGATGGCTATTAGATGCTGCTCAATTTCAAGACAGGATGGAACTTGGGAGCTTTACGCAATAGCAGTCTTCCCGGCACCAGCTAGAAAATGTTTAGATAGAATTAATGTGAGCCAGTTGACTGGGCTAGACTCACGAATTCCGTAGCACCATAGTAATCTCACTTCCCCAGAGAACCAATCAATCAACTCTGGTAAGTCAAGAAACCATTTGCCCGATCCCTCTGGTATTTGTGACGATGTAGTAAGATGATCTTGTTCAGGCTGCAAAGTACTCAACCAATTCAAGACGGATTTCTTCAGTTGCTTCATCTCCGCTGTGCACAGTCAATGATCTTTCTCGTTTGTTTCAAAGCTTTCGCCGGACGATGCTCGTACCGCTTTGCGCCCTTTTGTCGAGATGCCCCAGCAGCTCCCTAGCCCACATATCGAGTTAATAAAAAGCCTCAATGTCTTATAGAGACTACTACTGAATATAACCATATACGAACCTCTGCTGTGTTAACAAGATAGTGTTTGCATGTTGCTCTATCCTCGAAATGCGCTCAAGAATAGCGTAGACTTCCTTTTTTGTCGAAAACCATTTGGCCTTAGTGCGTAGCTCGCAATATTGACTCCCCACTGTCAAACTTTCGGTACTTGGATCAAACCCGAGTGTAGCGGCAAGATCATCACAGGCATCTTGAAATTGTTGAACCAGAGCGGCTTGGTGGGCAATGGCGTCTGGGTTCAAAGACTCCGTTCGGATCCCCGCCCGAACGTTTTCTAAAAGAACAAGAAGAGATGCGGCTTCTTTCGCTAGGAGCGCCCTTTCGGCCGACGCATGTCTGGCGTTCCTGAGGTAGCCGATGATCCCAGTGGTCACCCGAGCGGCAACATCTGCGGCTGAAAGTATGCTAACAGTGAGGCTGAAAGGATCCATGCTGTTCGATGGTAACAGAAGCGTGGGTTTTCTAGTGTGAAAACCAGGAGCTGGCTGGGATTTTAAGAGGGCTGATTTTCCATTTGCGGGGTTATTGTTAGGGTTATTGTTAAGAAAAACCCGAGGGATTATCACCCAATACCTCTATGCTTGGCCTATCTAGGGTCAGCAGCCTCCCCAACAGGGTTATCGAGCCTCGGAGCGGCCGAGCCGCCAAAAGGATCGAGGCTGACTGCATCATTTCATTCCACAAGCCTTGGTACTCACCAATCATAACCGAGGGAGCCAGCCACCCTTGTTCATTAAGGGGCGAGAAAGTCTCTTGTTACGGCCCGTGCCTTGTGGATAAGAGTTAATAACGTTTGAAATGAGTCGCCCTTTCCCTTTCCTCTCTCCTCCTCTCCTTTAGCTCTTAGCTTTCTCAACTCTCATGAATCTTATCTGTCTCCTGCTTCGTTTTATGTCCTCTCGTATATGGCCGTTCTTTCCAAAAAGGTTATCCGCCCTCACGCGCCAGCGAGGAACCTCGTTGTATATGAGCTGGAGATGGAAACAGTGGAACCGTCTTCAGGATAATGCCATAATATAGCCCCAAAGAGAACTTGTCTCGGTCTCTCAGCAAGAATTCAACATAGTCGACTAATAAACATAGCATCATGCCTGGCATGTCTTTGTCTAGCGAACAAAACATAGCTTCTGACCGAAGTAGTGGAGGAATTAATAATTATTCCCGAAAATTCCCCCCTAGTCTAGCCCCCGTGAATTTCCAAACTCTTTCTATTGGACCTTTGCTTGGTCTCTTTATCTTTATCGTATTGAATTATTAGTGCAATGTTCTGAAATTCAGGCTCGGCTAGAGTGGTTCGCTTCTATTGGATTCGACTGTTATCGAGAGTGTATCGAACTCGTTTCCCGATGTACTTGCCCTCAATAACAGTGAAGTCTATTTCCCGAGGCAAGGAAATACATTGGCTATCACAACAAGCGCGCACTAACTACGCACTTTAGCCTAAGGCGGCATTGAAGTCAGCCTCGCCGTTCATTTAGCCAATCCTGGGTTAGGATTCAATAGATCTGTAAGTGCTAAGAGAGCACAGTTTTAGCCTATGAAGGTGAAACAATAAAGCTGTATCTAAGCCTAGGTAAGAGAGGGTCCGTGCGGTGGTCGTGCGACGCAGGGTGCTTCTCACCCGCTCTCACCCAGATTCTCAACCTCCTATCTATTACGCACTCGCCCTCTCACACCCTAGTCGCACGACGTTGAAGCGGCGCTCACCCACTTCTCACCGGGGCGGCAGCCACCCGACTATTGACTGCACATAAGCCGATTATAGTACGCAGTCAATCCTTAATGCGCCCTGAGCCCTAAAATGGCGTCGGATTTGATCTTAGTGTGAGTATGGGTGATATGGGTGATAAGAGGTGAGAACAGAGTGAAAATGGGTGAGAATATGGCGAGGATTCTTACCCCAATCACCTAGGTCACCTACTTTCCCTTTTCCCTTTAACTCTGGGCCATAAATATAAGCCTAGGGCGTATATACGATCTGCTGTTGTTTTCCCCTTAATACTTAGCTATTCGAAGAAGATGCTCCCGAAAGAGGTCTAAAAGAATCTCGATGAAAGAATTATACGTGCCGCGTTACGTGGCTTCACCCGTGAATATTAGAATAAACGGGAACTGGAGCATGACAGAATAGCATGGGTAAAGAATAAAAGGAATCCAAAATAATTAAGGGGGCACACCAATATGTTTAGGGAGAGCCTTCATCATGCCTCCCCTAATATAAATCCGCAAAAGCAGGTGTCTTGTTCATATAGGCACTCCATGTCGTGAGAGGCTCATCAACAATCTGCAAGCGTGGTCAGCGCACTTCTCACAATTAATGACAAATTTTGCTTGAGAAGACGAAAACCTACATCAACACTCGAGTCAAGTGCCTCGCCACCGTAGTACCCGAACTCTGGCATTAGACGCATATTCTCCAGCAGTTCCTCTTGGGCAACTTCAGGCATTCCAGCTGCCGCGAGAATGCCTTTGAATACCGCATGTGGCAGCTCCGAGAAAACCGCAACCTTCCCAGCGTTGGGGTACTCATCCTTGAAAGTGGCCAAAATTTCGAGAGGCGTATAGTACTTCGTGGCAGCGTAGATCCGCTTGCCCAGGGTCTCGTCTCTCTTTAGAAGAATCCCCTTGACAAATTTGCCCGTATCATACTCTGACGCAAATAGCGGAATCGGACTATCGCCAGGAATTGGAAGCGCAAGTTTCCATGTACCTTCCGGCGTTTTCCGCAAATTGCCTCCGGGGATATTTGACATGTAGAAGCCTGGAAGCATGAACGTGGCAGGAATTCCTTCACTGCGGATGTATTCTTCAACCTTCGCTTTGCTGTCGAAGTGATGGACTTGGGAGAGGATACCACCGGAGACTGAGTGAAGGATTTCCCAAAGCGTTAAAGGTAATGTCCGGCAGAAGATATGGTATGCGAAAATAAGGAAGGCAGATGATACGTACGTTTCGTGACATTTAGTAGGCTGCTCCACACCAAGTGCTGAATACCCTCTTTCTAGTTGCCCATTGTTAAATTACCGATGAATTACTCTAAAAGGAAATGGAAGAAAAAAGTATCAATGGTTAAAACCTCTTACCTTGCAAGCATCAGCAATGTTTTTCCCTTGAGCAAATTCGAGCTCGGCGCTGTGGTGGTCCCAATAATTGGTGACAGCATATACTCCATAAGCACCCTTCAGTGCCTTTTGAATGGATTCCCCATCACTCAAATCGGCCTTTTTGTTCAAATATCGTGATTAGTTTGTCTCTAAACTGAACATTCTCCTAAAGGAGACATACCGCAACAATTTCGGCGCCCTTCAAGGCCAAGGCTTTGGCACTAGCCTTCGTAACGTCGCGCGTAATTGCTCGAACGTGAAATTTGCCAGCTGCACTGTCCGACAAAAGACTGCTGACGACAGAGCCACCTTGCTTTCCAGTTGCCCCAAAAACGACGATTATTTGCTTGGACATATTCACGGACTTCAAAAATGGGTTATTACTATGATCCATAAGAATTAAAAATTGGGACAGCGAAGAATAATAAGCATGATCAGAGGAAGTGTAGCATATATATGGGCTCTGGCCATCCTGTCCGTGGTCATGGTTACCTATAAAGGTACACCATGACAAATTGTATGGTAGGGTTCAGAGCAGGAATTTTGGTGAGAGGATGAGCCGCGTGGAGCAATGGGAGCAATGACAAATACTTAAAAGTCAATTCAAAGTCAAATACATTAATTCCTCCCATTGATGATTGGCTTATCTTCCGTTGTTAATATTTCTTGTTCTCATTCGGTCTCGTTCCGTGTCCCCTTCGTTCCTTCTCGTTTCCAGTTCCCCTCATTCTTCCCATTCTGGGATCTCACTGCATATATCACTGCATATAGGTTGTTGGTTACTAGGCCAAGTGCGAAGATAAAACTAGGTGGATTGATTCGCCATAATGTAAGAACCCTGTAGCAATTGCTCTGTGAGATTACTCGATATCGAGATGGATGAATATCCAGGGTCTCATTCCAGCCGCATCTCAGTTTCGATTTGTTTTGCGAATGATCTTGCTCCCTTGTAGATCTAAATGTATAAGCAACCGTGAGAATATAAAAACGATTGAAAAGCCTACCGATACAGGTGTTCAGAGTGGTCAGTTTCTTTGACGCATGCTCTATCCTCCATATATTTGCCGACGAGCCGCGTATTGAACAGGCATGACAGCTACCTCACAGTTTTGGGCCCAAGAGAGCTTTGGAAAGGTGGCTCCGCACCATGCTTCCATCAGAGCCTTGTGGGAAGGCAAATGGAGAGCTCCAGTACGTGTTGTTCCGACGAGATTGGTAGATGACTTCTGTTGATGAAAGCCTGGCTTAGTGTGCTATGGGAATATACCCCTTTCCTGACGGCGACATCAGGGATTTTGACAAGGTTTTTAAGACCCTTATTGAGGTACGTACGCATGTTGTCGAAAAATGGATTTACACACTATCAGCATGTTAACTTTGCGTGGTTTAGATGAATATGACAGAGCCATATGACCCAGATACCTACGCTTCGGCTTTTTTTCCTGTCGCTGAGGAGCTTGAAACTGCGGCAGCCAAAGCCGATGCCAATAAAGAAACGGCATTGGCTTCTAACCTCTACTTGTTCGATGAGTCTATGTGTCAATATCATTTGCATCGAGCTAACGGTATGCCAGACGTGCCGCCCCTCTATATCGAATATCCCGCTTCCCTATCAGTTGATCCCCCAAAACCTTCGAGGCTTGGGAGCGAGGCAAAGCGGCGTATTCCAAGGGCGGGAAATACCTTACGCCACCAAACTTGGAAGTTTTTATTCCTCATTCCTACGCTTCTGCGCCCGACGGGGACGGAAACACTATCCAAGCTTATGTGCGAATTCCAGAGCATGCATCGAAATCATCACCTGTCCCTGTGGTGCCCTTTGTTTGTGGACTTGATGCCTATCGTACGGATTTTACAAGCCGAATCGATGAACATATTCGTCGAGGATTTGCCTGTGTGAGTGTTGAGATCCCGGGAACTGGGGACTCGCCTGCTTCAAAAGAGGACCCTCTCAGTCCTGACAGTCAGTGGTCAAGTGTTTTGGACTGGATCGAGTCGCAGGAGGTATTTGACTCGAAGAAGATCTGTGCTCGGTCCATGAGCACTGGAGGGTACTACGGCATGCGTATGGCCCATACTCACGCGGATCGCTTGTTGGCGGTCGTTAGTCAAGGCGGGGGGTGCCATCGAATGTTTGACAAAGAGTGGATCAAGGCCCAGGATAGGATGGAGTACCCATATGCGTAAGTGGTTTAGTATATCAGTGTTGCGAGACTTCATTTCTAATCGAAAATAGTCTCGCGGAAGCTCTGGCGTACAAGTTCGGATACGACTCAGTCGAGGCATATAGTGAAAATGCTCAATCGCGATTCTCGCTTCTACAGTGCGGTATTTTTGACAATCCATGCTGTCGATTGTTGTTAATCAGTGTAAGTGGTCCAATCGCAATGCGGTCTGAGAGGTCCAAGTTTCTAACCCATTGATGTAAAGGGCACGAAAGATGAGATTTTTCCTATCGAAGACTCGATGATTCCATTCCAGCACGGGAGAGTCAAAGATGTCAGGTAAAAATAATCCCATGCGGAATCTCCTGATCTACTATGACTAACGTTGGCACCTAGTTTCATCCAAGGCGCATATCATATCGGTAATCCAGGTGCTGAAAGTTATGTGTACGACTGGTTTGACCAGTTTAAGTAGTCGCAATATCAAGCTCGCCGCCCTCTTTCCGTTAAACATCATTTTAGGCAACTGAACCGAGCAGGATCTGTCGCAGTGGCAGGATTGGTGGATACCTGGAGAAAGGAGATCCTGTAACTACAAGTTATCCGCTTTGAATAGTTATGTTTATGCCCACATAAAATGCCAGATAGGGGCTGTAGAGCAATTCATATTCATTGTGATTTCTATTGATGACTCGATCCCTTTGACCTCGAGGGTTTGCAGGTTTGTCGTCTTCTTTGGCCCTGCATGAAGCAGGCCGGTGATTTCCTGCCAGGTCCAGGCCCGTTCCTTTTCCTTTGTGCTTCAGGGCCTTATAGACCCTGTTCTGTTCCCTTCTGCTTCTTCTTCCTTTCCTAGTCGTCTTTGTCTTCCTGTTCTAGATAGACCAATTGATTCAGTCTCCCTTCTCTCTCTTCGCTTCCTGTGCCAGCCGTGCCGTGGGCACTGTCATCTATTGGTGCACCTACATGGCTTACTCATCTATGTTCCGACATTGATGCAACATCTGCCTTCGTGAAACTGGTGACGCGCGTTGCGTCCTGAAACGATGATAACGTAGGGACGTAGAACGGCGGACAGGCAAGGCAAAGGAAAAATTGACATTGTTTTGCCTAGCTAACAGTCGGTCATAAAGATGAGTAATGACCAATAGAAACGCAGATAGTATAACTAATAGCCAAAACACCTCTAACTTAGAAATAGAAAACCGAAAGCCAGGAATTGGCTAACCAGCCGTCGTATCACAATTATACAAGTGCATCGGCGTATTGTTTTACGTTGTCTTCGAGAAGGCCTTTCTAGATATAGTGTTGCAGCCGGCGGCGAGGGCTCGTTTTCGTCAGTAGTTCCTGGCTATATACTTTGTGTGGATTAAGGAGTTATCAAGAACAACTTCCTTAGGGGAATAATAAAACGTAGCGGTGAAGAACGGAGACGGTAATTGATTCGAATGAGAAGTAGATTTTGATATAAAAATTCACAGAAGGCGCTAGCGAACGTCGAAAGTTTAAGATTCTAAGGGCTTTTGCAAGACAATATATAAACAAGGATCACCTCTGTAGTGCTCGCGAAGTAGGTAGTAGTAGAGCGGGAGGGCTACCACGAACGGATACAACCGAACACAAGAAGAAAGGAACGTAACCTAGGATCCAACTAAGCATTAACAAGAGAGAGGCTCAGCGGGTATATGTTTCTCGCTATGTTCTCGCTGTGTCAACGTTGGCGTCGCGCAGCCGTAGGGTTTGTAAACCCTTCCACTCCATTCCTCCATTTTAAAGCAAGCCTTAGAACAAGTCGCGGCTTAGTAGCTAAGTGGTAATACTTTTGAAGTGCTAGATTCCTACTTTCTATAACAATCCACTCGACAGATGATCCAGGAGCAGCTTCACAGGATATTCAAAAGTGGGCCCGTTCAGCCAAGCGTTATTCCTAAACAATTTTCAAATTAGCCTCTGTATCCCTCAATCAATCAATCAATCAACACTCTATTAACCTGTTGCAGCCTAACTAGTGGCGTAATGGCTATGCAGGCGCTTCCTCCGGCGGAAGCAAGAGTGATCCGAACGCCAGACCCGCGCATAAAACAGTAAATACATAGGAAAACGGCGTCATGCCATAGAAAATCAGCCCAAAAACAGCCCAAAAACAGTACCGAAACGCCCTCCAAGCCCTCAGTCCTACGATATATCCCTCAATTCGCCCTCAAAATGGCCTGCTGTTTCCCCTGTATCTCCATCCTCAGGTATCTCTCCTGCTTCGTTATCGATTGGTGGCGTTCGTTGTTGATGTTGGATGTATTCTTCCACGACCTCTCGGTTAGCCGTGGGTTTGGCGTTCCTCCTACCCAGCGTCTTCACCCCCTCTGTATCCCTCTGCTCCCTCATAAATGAGAGAAAAGTCCCGATTCAGAAGGTAAAAAATCCTCCGTGAATTCATATCTTCTGTGAGGATTCATATATATAAGGTATATAGGATGTATGTGTTTAGTTACTGCCTATTGCGTCGGTCATATACTAGATATATCAACTACTTAAGTTACGCCGGACAAGATATTGAGGCGCTCCGTAGTTAGGAGTCCTGGGCAGGGAAATACAAATTCTTCGATATACAGTCAGCGTTTATTAGATAACTAACTAGAGTAATATTTGGAACATTGTACCTGCCCTACCTATCTCTCTACCAGTGAGCGGAAGTATTATGTTCCGGGTACTAATAAACGGCCACTATAGACGTTATATACATTCAAATATATTTGGAACATAGTACTTCCCTTCCCGCCCCTACCGCTTTTCTCTACCGTATAGTCTCTTTGCGGGTTATTATAACGCCTGCGTTTGCAATCAAGAGGTGTAACCGGCTGTTCTGAGCCAGAAACGCTGAAGCATAACTCCGAACGCTCTTAAGAGAGCCCCAGTTAAGCTAAAGAAGGTAGACATTTAGAGATATTACAAGTTCCCCAATAGCCTTCTTTAACTTTTCGAGATTTCGTGCTGTTAGATATAGTTTCGCCCCGGTCATCGACAACGCTTTGGCAGTCTCGACTCTGATACCCGAAGAGCAACCTGTGATCAGGATCACCTTGTCTATCCATTTTCCAATGAGACCTTCATCTCGGACAATCTGCTCAGCCGTCGGGCGCTTATCCCCGGGGCCACTTGGATTAGCATAAGCTGCAGCGTATCGAGATGTTATAATGGCAGCTTAGGTGAAGTAAAAGTATGGGGAAGTAGGTTCTGACACAGCGTAGAAGACTTTGTGTTTTTGCCGAGAACAGATGAGTGTTGACTGACCTGCTTATATATTTAGAGAGAAGAACGAAGGGATGCTTTGAACAGAGCGAGGGCTTTCGTGGTACTCGAGGCGAGCAGCAGGGTGAATTCTCGCGAATCAGGAAATATTGCCTCACCGTAAGTGGAGTAGAATTGAACTCACCACATTTAGAATAAATAAAGACGGGTCATATTACCACTATTTAAGGTTGCGCTAATGCAGCTGGGTGACAGCTCTATATCTTTATCCATGGTTCTCATAGTCTAGAATGGCCTCTTCCGCCTTTTCGTCAGCCGCACACCTTGATCTATTCCCTAGCCCCCAAATGCGCGATAATTTGATTGTCCTTGAACCATTCGTGGATGAATACGGGCTCTGTGAAGGCCTATGAAACTCGATGGAAGGAACTGCGGGAATATTAGTCTGGAAAGACCCTTAGGATCCGAACGGCTGGGAGGTAACACGCTCTTTTATGTCTGCCTAGGGCTTAGCGGTCCACAACTGTTAGGATCTGTTTCGATCTACGAACTATTAGCGTCTGAAACGGGGAGACAAGCTTTTATTTTACGTTCCATAGGCGATTCGTGGCTAAGCTGACCGTTGCATGATTCAATAGTTGCCGTGTTTTTTCGAGTTCCTAGGCTCCTCCCGTGTGGATATAGAGTCACAATAGACGGATAATACATGCTACATTTGATAGGAGGCTTACAGACTCCAAAAAAGGACCTTGTGCTTTTGTCTTTTGATTTTCTTTCCCTCCTCTTCATGCTTGACAATAATTTTGGTTCTGTGGCCCTTATCTGTTCTACAGAGGAAAAAAATACTATCGCTTATTTCATACTTTAAGTCCGTCTCCTCGGATCTCTTGATTGGTCTTCGAATCCCTCTTTAATTAGATAATAAAGCCCAATGGAATACACTAGCGTATCCTTTCGAATATACAGTCCAATTGCTCGATCAGTAGCAGTTTGTTCGAACCTAGGCCTTTTTTAAACAAAAATGTCATTTTGTGCGCCTTTGGCGAGCAAATTATTATTAGCAAATTAGTTCTCATTGTAAGGTTGTAGTAGATGAAGACATACCATTTTCCCAACCCCACGCCGTGTTGTACATCGGTGTCTTGCCATCGGGGACTTGAACGTTATTCCCAGTTTGCTCTATGATTTCAAGTTACTTCTGGGCATACTGTCTGGGAGAATGACTGACTCACGGTTGAAGGCAATCATTTGCTTAGCACCCTTAACACACTTACTGGTATCATCCGCACAATAAGCAGCAACTTGAGCGGCGGCGACATGTTTAGAGGAGGTAGACCCAGTGACATTACATTTATAACCTGCCATGTACCTGGTTCTCTTGTTAGTTAACGGACTAGAACTAGTTTATGGACACTTACATATTGGGCTGACCACAACCGTTCGGGACCTATCTGGTGTCAGTTAAGTAAAACCTAGCTGAATATTCATACACTTACCCAGAGCCAAGCACAGGTGCATCCACCAGGAGGACAAGCTGGAAGATCCTCGGGCACTTCATAGGTAGCAACCCGTTTCCACGGGGTGCTTTAGACATATATTAGGAACCCAGGCATCTATAGTGTAAAAAGCTTCAGAAAAGAACTCACTGCTCCAAAACTGTAAACACAGCCAAGTTCTCCATTGTTACCGCAGCCAGGTCAGACTGATAGCTGATAGCAAACGCAGTGCCAGCGGCCATGGATTGGTTGTTGGTATGCATTGCTCCATCGTCCTGAATGCAGTCGGCGGGGCTTCCAGGACCAGCCCAGTCTTCGGGGTGCTCTTTCCCGTCCGGCCATTCAGAGGTATACTTTCCATCGTATGAAAGCGTAGTCTGCGCGCGGTTGTGTGCAAGTTCCACCGTGAACGTTCCTCCGGCTGGAAGTTGCAGGATGTCGCCATGCGCTGGAGGTGCTGCGTCACAGCCGCGATCATGTTGGAACCACCATTTTTCATGGGTGAGATTGTATAGGGGACCCACGGCTGTGTTTGTATTCGCGTTGTCTGTGGAAAGGTCGGGACCTCCTAGGCAGTACATGCCTTTTACCCAAGCGACTGTGTGTCCTTGAGCAACAGCAATCAATGCTAGGAATGCAACGGGGTGCAACATGATGAATAAGGCAGAAATTCTTGAGAGAAAAGAAAAGCAGGAGCGAAGAGCGTGGTTATGTTGGAAGGAAATGAGACTGAGAGCAAGTAGGGAACTCAGCTAAGGAAGTACAGGTATTTATACAGAAAACATGAGAATACGACTATGGGTGCATCATAATAACTCTGGATGAGAGCTTGGCCATGTTATCCGGGGTACACTTGCCCTGGTTCTTGAGTATTCATTAATGTTGTTTCAGGTTCTCTACTAAGCGGCAATTGCAGTTACATCCATACAATATAGAGAAAAATGCTTTCCGAATATGAAACAGACTAACTAGTATAGGAGATTGGTCTCTCGGGTTCCAAGAGGAATAACTTTCGCTGGAAGCAATCTTTCAAATTGGTTTCGGCCAGCTAAGGTATTTCGGCATGTAGACAAGACTGTCAAGATATTGATTACGAAAGACTGATCGCAGTGTGAATAGTCAAGGCCTGCTTCAAGAGTAATGCCGACCGGGGTGGAGGCTCGCCCTTCACTGAAGCTCCCCTGTGTTTCATGATACTGTACTGGATTTACAGTCGTATTTTAAGAGTACAGTGGCACCGCAAAAGTCTGTGACCACCCTGATTCACCGCTATGTTCTGCCACGATTCTGCCGCACCAAAATTCTCCATATGGACCCTAATTATACAGCGGAAACGGGAAGAGTGCGAAGGTATAACCGATTTCGAAAACTACTGTATAGTTACGAGACAAAGCATCGTATTTTAATGAGAGTAAGTCATGGTACTGAAACCGATACAGGAATATTGATATTCCGTCAATAATATGGACTAGTGTCTCTTGGCGGTGGGGCGAGAGTAGCACTCGAAGAGTAAATGAGGTTGCACCGGTTTCGGGACGTACTGTATGTAAATAATATGAAATGGAATCTGTGAAAGAGAAGCTCTTATAGTAGTAGTAGTTGATAGAATGTAGTTGCTATAGTGGTAGTAATGCAGTTGCTACGGTAATGTATGGTAATAATTCTTGGCAAAATTGATTATGTGATGGGGGTATGAACATAATTGCGGTGCCAGTAAGTTAGTAAAAGCTGCAGTGTCCCTAGTGATTCCCTGCCGCTATTAAAACGTGTGGTGTCTGTATTGATTCCCACTACGAAGAGGTAAATTACACTATTAATGACAGATTGGCCGGAATTGGATGAGAGTGGGGAGTGCGTAAACTATGGCCAATCAAAAGGTGCTGATGAGGGACGCAAGTGTAAATAAGCTTTTCTCCTGCGTCTACTCCGTAGGCTCTGTCAGATCCTGGATTCCACTGACAAACACACTCCATCTTTTGGAACGCCAAAGGTTGTGCACCTAGTGGCTTTCGGGAGAGAAGTCACGTTCAGAGCTAGAGGCGAGTCATCACAAGTGTGGCTTGTGAAGTCCAAGGTTGTCGATCGGGGATGAGTCTTCGCTTGCACGGGGTGGCAAGAACCTCAGGACGAAGTTTCACGCAGCACCACGTGTAGCTGAGTTGCCTAAAAAAGTCTGCTACCACCAATATGTCAGTGCTTCAGTATTTTGATACTCTAGAGCACCGAGCAGTCTTGTTAATTGTGCCACGCGTGCGCAACCGTTGAACGGAAAGAGCTTGACTTAACAATACTAGGGATGTTATGATGCCGACATCCAAAGAAAGTGACGTTCAAAGTGGTGTGCATCCTGTCTTATTCTCTGGAGTGCACCCCTCGAACCATATGGAATATACTCCAAATCTTGCCCAGGAGAACTTTTTCCTCAGCAACACGGCGTCCACTCCGTCCTTTTTGCACGCAGAGCAAATTAGCCCCAACAGTGCGACGCTCAGTGGAACTGATGCCGCTGTCCTCACCGCAAACCTTGAGACAGCATTACCTGGACTGCGACCGCTCAACTTGCTAGCGTCGGCAGCCACCTAGGCAGAGCAGGAATTGGCCTTCCTTCGCGGGTATCGCTTGTATCCCAAGGCTATTGCCTGGTCGTTCATCTTGTCTTCCACCCTAATAATAGAAGGATTTGATACCCTTCTTATTTTCAATTCTTCGTATTCCCTGTATTCAAACAAAGATAGGGAACACCAACAACAGAGTTCGGCTATCAAATTTCCTTATGTAGCAATTTGCCTTGTCAACTGCAGCAGAGGCTGGCGAGATAGTCGGGCTAGTTGTAAATAGCTATTTCGCTGATCGAATCGGCTATCGCTAGACAATAGTCTCTGCGTTGATATTTCTAATGTTCAGTATTTTGTTGGCATTTTTTGCGACGAGTATCCGAATGTTGTTGGCAGCACAAATTTTGTATGGGATTCTATAGGGCATTTTTCAAACATTGTCAACTATATACGCAGCGGAAGTGATGCCTATCACTCTACGCGCCTATCTCCTTAGTAATATAAATCTGTGTTAGATTATTAGCCAATTTTTGGCTACAGGATACTAAGAAAGTCCGTCGACAGTACGTCCTAATAGTCGTATCAGATCCCCTTTGCAATTCAATAGGCTATTGGACTTCCTATTCTAGTCACAGTCGTATTCGCCCCGGAATCTCTATAGTAGTTGGTCCGCCACAGGAGATAACACGAGGCCGAAAGATCTTTGACGAGGTTGACCAAGAAGGGAAAAAATCCATATTAACCAAACAGTGGCTATAATAGAGTATACAAACGAGATTAAAAAGTACCTGAAAGAAGATAACGGAGGTATGTTATATCTAGACGCCTTCCAAGGAGTGATCGACGACGAACCGAGATCGTCTGTATAGTTTAGATCGCACAACAGGCGTACGGTACCAGCTTGATAGGCTAGGGGACAACGTTTTACGAGCAGGCTAGTTTTAGTGTTGACAACGCTCTCAATCTTTCCCTAGGAGTCTACGGACTAGATATAGTTGGCGCTGTAATCTCCTAGTCGGTCTTGTTACGTATCGAACGTCGTAGACTATCTTTACGGCCTTTCAGCCCTGCTAACTATTCTACTAGCTGGTGGTATTGTTAGCGCTCTTCCAACATTCCATAACCAGCTCTAGACTCTCGGGTCTTTGCTTCTGATTTTGACATTTGTATACGATATAACGATCGGACCCGTTTGTTATGTTCTAGTCGCGGAAATCCCATCGACTCGGCTTCGTACCAAAACGGTGGTCCTAGCTTGAATTGCCTATAATTTAGCTAGGATTCTCATCAATTGGATAACACCACATATGCTAAGCCCCACAGCGTGGAATTGGAAAGTAAAGTCCTGCTTCTTCTTCGCTGGAACCACGGCTCTTTGCCTTGTCTAGACCTACTAGAGACTGCCAGAGACCTTCGGCCTAAGTTATCTCGAGATTGACATTCTATTCGAACGGAATGCAAAAACGAGCAAGTTCCGCGAGCTTCGCATGAACCTTGAAAGCTCAGGATATTTTAGTATACGGAATTTTCCTAGGGAGACGGACGTTTGGCAGAGGTATTAGATCAATTATTTAAATAAAAATCGAGGCCTGAGAGTGGCGACCCCGGTAGCGATGCAGGAATTACACTCCTATGCCAATTTTCCGGCGATCAAAGTCAATACTGTGGCACCAAATAATTATGAAGAGCTACTTTTGCGCTGGATAAAGCTAGGGCGAAACGAGGTTCAAGCGCTCTTTAACCCTGGGTCTCATATATGGGCTTCAGTTACTAGTATCTAATTGCTTTGGGGATCTTTGAATGTCAATAATTTATAAGGGCTACAAATGGCTCGGGGATTTTCAAGCTCCCATTTAATGACTGCTACCTTCCCGTGTATTTGCTCTTCCTGTTCCTTTCTTTACATTGATTTCTAACTCCCATTCCGGTGATATGAAATGCCCTGTGTGACGAAACGCGTACCTGGTACTTACATATTTGAGCGCCGTCACTCCAACCCAACATATCGGACTTTAGCTGAGAGCAGCAAAAACAATAATCATTTGGTTTATTATTGAATACTTTCTTTCAAATAAAGATCATGCACTGTTAAAACGGTGGATTACAGACAACCCTTACTACTGGAAAACCCGCTGTTTCCTACAGTGACGCCAGGATCACCTACACGAGCATCTGAAGGAATAGAAAAGATAACGCCGCATTATCTCGACTACTATTTAGCTGTATTGATCTTTTACATCATCCGAATTGAGTAGTTACCACGGGGGCCTTGCAATCGGCAGTCTTCATTATTAGAGGATGGCATAGATGATGTAGGGCCTGGGGTGTCCTGCCCACTGCGTTCTTTCTGATCAGAGTTGGGGCTTTGTTCTAGAAATTTCCCACCTGAAGAAGCTAGCCTGAGAATCCAATGCACTCAGACCGTCTCTGTACTATCTTGGGGAGAAACCCAACATGACAAAGAACATATTCGCCGCATTTTTCTGGTTAACAGGTGGCAGTTGAAGCAATCCGAGCTGTGGTGACGAACCAGTTGGCGAAGGTAGGGGAGAGAGGCACATATAATGATGAAATTTGCTTCGATGTTACTACCCAACGTGTTTTGTCATTAGACACTTTTATAGGACTATTATTAGAACAAATTTGCGTGATCACTCACATGAAGACACTGGCAAGAGCCAGCTTGTACGAGAAATCCGGTGTTGTTACTAAAGGCCATAAGGTCGCTAAGCGCAGAATGCTGGTGATGATGGTTCTTGACCACGATAAATATTAGCGTTGTCAAGATTGATGAAAGATGTCCCGCAAAGAGTCATCTGACTCATTACAAAGGAGCGGAGGAAAAATACTCACAGACATCCAATGCAGAACATAGCTACCACGCCAAATTTTTGAAGGAAGCGCATATGAAGGCCCCATACAACTCGGATTGGTATCAGTATCAAAGTCACGTCACTCAGAGTATTAGTGACTGCAGTTGCAAGATATACGCCAGGCCTATTAATGCATGAACCGACCCCTTCTGGTATCGAAATATCCCAGCCTTTCTGGACTGGATTGCAAGCGAAGATGAGGGCCAGGGTCAGTGCTAGACTGTATCCCGAGATGAAAAAGGCGATAATGTAGATGCTGTAAACCCATCCTTGTGATGATGTGCTGAGGAGTCTGTAATACAGCATAAGTAAAGAAAGCTTGGCGAACGCGAGGCAGGGAACGTAGATAACTGCTGCTGCTAGGACGACCTTTCCGTTCCATGGTCATCGCAGACATCAATTAGCACATCAGCTTTCTTTACGACATATTTTCGTAGAATTGATACCTTGAGAAGCGTATCTACGGTCTGTGGAGACAATTCATCAATATGTCGTCCAATGCCCCCGAAAGCGTAGCCGTCTTTTAATGAAGTTCAGTTTAGCCATGGACGCTTACCAAAGTCAACTCCGTGACACTTACACAGGATAGTGGCTTGGGTGCCGATTGATAGAGACTTGTATCATGTCAACTTTTAGTCCAAATGTTGAATAGGTGCGGGTGCTGTTCCTACCCAAGCAAAGATGATACATACTAATTAGACGTCAACATGGCCTGATTACCTGAAGAATATGTCATTGAGGCCGGATATACGTACCATCATCCCACCAGAACTTCCTCATTATTAAACTCTTAGTATATAAGCGCATGGCCAGACAGCAGGTGCTCAACATTAGTCCGACGGCAACCAAGACCTGATTGGCTACTTGCAAAAACGGATTTGATCCATTGGCGCTGACAAGCTCCATATTCATCAAAAAAATCATTAACGTGGGCTAGTACCATGCCTTTAGCCTGAAAAGGTTGATACAGCATGAGATATCAAGCTGCGCACTTGGCGTAATAATCATGGCTCTAGTGGCGCTATCATATCAATCGTTGAGTCATTCATTTAACTAAGTAAGTTACTGCTCGGTTAGTTAATTAGTCCGCTCCTTTGAGTGAACTTTAACTAAGTGTGACGGCTGACGTAGCAGCGCACATGACCAGTTAACGAATAGTTAAAGCTAGTTAACTAAGTTACAAGATGGGGGATTAGGTAAGTGGGTCCGTCATTGTCACATGACCACTGAACTAGTAGTTGGCGATATTTTGCACAGTGAAGTGTTAACTATTATCGGATTATTATGATACCGGGCCTAATCAATATCATATAGATATTAAGTGGATAGCGAATATTAATGATATTTTGGGAAGAGAATATTCAGGTAGGTGAACTGACACCTTAACCCGCCTGAAGAGCACCCGGATAGAGCGGCGGGTCACCTAGCACCAAACGATGGGCCCTAGGTGAACACGGCCCTACTTTTTGCTATTGTATGTTATTGCATTTTTTATATCCATATCGACAATGGGAGAATAGTTATGGTTAACAAAAGAAGTAGCAGTTGAAATGGTCGTATCGTTGTACGTAGATCCTTGTGCCCGAGCCCTTCTAAGTATATCGAAGGTTGCCATTATACTCCGCGGCTCTTTATCTCCTTTATTTTCCTTTACACAAAGCCCGAACGATTAATTGTCAATATTGTTTAGTCCAAAACATACAACAGAAGATGATGGTAAGACTACAGTAGATCACATGACGTTAAGCTCCCTACACGATATTATTCCTGCCTGAGGCACCGTAATTTCCTCCCTCGGCCTCTCCCGAGCCTCGGAACGCTGAGTAGTAATCACGAAATAATCGGGGTCGGTCAAATCCCCGGATTCTAGATTCTCGTCTCGCTGCTCCAAACCCGCGGACGCGTTGATCTCGCAATTTCCCGATGAATAATTTCTTGATACTCTAATCTCGGCTCTCAGGTCCTCAACCGACACTCGGTTCATCTAGTCGCAATCTACAAGTTCCTTATAAAGCCCGGCATAGCTCCCCCGCAGTATCTCCGCATCCAACTACGAATTCACAACCAACGAAAGAAAACACTATCTCACCAAAATGGCATCAACCAAATCCGTAGCCCTCGTCATTGGCGCTTCCCGTGGTATAGGTCGCCAAATAGCCATTGATCTGGCTAGCGATGGCTACGCAGGTACCTCCACCACTCTTTCTTCCCCTCATCACTATACCACGATCTAAACTAACAACCCTCTTTCCATACAGTAATGCTAGCAGCAAAATCCGCCTCCCCCACTGACACAACCTCTCCCTTCCCACCAGACCCCAACTCCAAAGCCTCAACAATAACAACCGTCGCCCACGAAATCCACCTAGCCGGGCACACAGCTGCAACAGTTGTCGTCGACGTCCGCAACCCAGACCAAATCCAAAACGCCGTCGACGAAACGCTCCGCGTTTTCGGGCGCCTGGACGTGCTTGTGTATAACTCGGGGGCGATATGGTGGTCTTCTGTTGAGAATACGCCGTTGAAGAGGTTCAAGCTTATGCAGCAGGTTAATCCTGAGGGTCTTTATGCGAGTGTTCAGGCTGTTTTGCCTGTTTTTGGGAAGGAGGGGAAGTGGAAGGGCAGGATTGTGGTTGTTTGTCCGCCGATTTATTCGAGGTTTTTTAGGGGGAAGACGGGGTATGCTATGGGTATGTATTGAGGATTCGCCTGGATTTTTGGCTGTGCCTTGAGAGGGTGATTAGTCGCTTATATTGGTGTTTTGTGTGTGTAGGGAAGGTTGGTATGAGTGTGCTGGTCAAGGGTCTTGCGATGGATTTCATTCGTCAAGAACGGAGTGAAATGGCTATTACTGGGATTTGGCCTGCCTCGGTACGTACAATTATCTCCTTCCCGCATGCATACATCCGATTCCACCTCATCTCATCTCATCTAACCTCCATCTATTATCTAGTCCATCGAATCCGCCGCAACAGAATTCAACAAATCGGAAGATAAATCCTACAAAAGGGACCTCCGGAAACCGGTACGTCAATCAATCTAAATTCCAATTCCAATTTCACTTTCCTAATCTATCCTGCAGAAAATCTTCTCCGACGCAATCCTAGCCATGCTCCGCGCCCCAGCTACCACTGTAAACGGCCTCCTCGATACCGATGAGGACTTTCTCCGCGAAAAATGCGGTGTCACCGATTTCTCCCAGTACGCTGTGATTCCTGGCTCGACGCCTCGGCGGATTATGCCGGCGAAATTTCCGGTGTTGGAGGTTGCGGAGCAGGATGATGAGGGGCAGAGAATGGATAGTACGAAGATTCGGGCTAGTAAGATGTAATTGGGTGAGAAGGAGAAGTGGGGTGTGTGGTTGTATTTTATATCTGACATGCTAGGCGATATTTTGGAGACTGTGGGCATGATGAGGCTTGCCAGAGGGTCTGAGAAATGATGTCCCAGTACAAGCCAAGTGGGTTGGACCGGAAATGTAAATATCACTTGTTAGATTGCAGTAGATATCGATCCCATTAATGCAAGCTTAACTCGTACGAAAACGCTCAATGCCGATGCAAATGAAAATAAAAAGAAAAAGAAAAAGAAAAAAGAAAAAAGAAAAAAGAAAAAAAAGGGACACAATATCCACGAGTCCAGCCGAAAAAAAACACCATGACCAGGATTAAATCGAACTCGAAATCAGAATCATTAGAAAAAAGCCCTCCCTGCCTCTAACAACCACCAAGGCTGCTAGCAAAGCAAGGCAAGACAGTGTAGTCAATTATCAACACCAGTCCCCATGCCATATGCCATCACCATACCGGCTTACAGCAACACCGCAAAGCCAGCAACAACACCACCAACCAACACACACAGCCCATAAACCTGGCTCATCTCAACAGAGACACCACGGGGAGCCGCACCAGTAGCCCCACCGGTCTGAATGACATTGCTGGCGGCGGTGCTAGTAGCAGCCACGGACGAGGAAGCGGTAGAGGTGACGTTGACACGGGGCGGGTTTTGAGCGCCGCAGGGGTTGGCAGTGCGGCATCTGGATTGACAGGCGGAATCGCTGCAGGCGTTGACGCATTGGTTATTGGCTTCGGTGCAGATGAAGTACGGCAGGGTCTGGGAGTACTCTGAGGCGTTGGGGGAGATGCCGTTGCTGCAGACACAGCTGTATGTGAGGGTTTCCTGGAGGAGGGGGTGTTTAGTATGTTGAACGGATGGGATGGGCTGGAGAGAGGGAGGGGGTATGACTTACAGCAGTGCAGTTGTTGCTCTCTGGGACGCCGGAGGCGATTTGGAGGCAGAGTAGGGGACAGGCGGATTTTTGGGCACTGCACCAGTATTCTTTTGATGGATGTTAGAACTTGAGCTCTATATTGAGACAGACTGGGGAGGTGTTGCCATGAAGCAGGGTAGGTTGACTTACGACGCGTCTTGATATCGACCGAGTTGGGGTCAATGGATGAGGTAGACTGGCTGTTCACCAGAGCAGCCGTCGAGGCCAGGACCAGCAGCAGATTAGACAGCATGGTTGATCGGTGGTGAGGGTGGTGTGGTGGTTTTTGAAACGGGGATACTGGGTTGAGACTAGATAAGAAAAAACAGAAATCGATGTCAGTCCAGGCAATGACAGATGACAGAGCAACAACGGAGGCAAGTTATTTGCATGTAGATCGGGTTGTTACACGCATGAGAGGTAAAAATAGACAGATCGGGCAGTGGAGGGAATGAAGGGAGGGAGAGAAGAGGCCAAAGTCCGAGGATGTGGACAGGGACGGGGCCTTCCAGTGTCTGGGTCAAACTTACAGTGATCGCTGGAATTCCTGGACCTGCTTCGAGAACGAAGGCAAGAATGGAGGAGATTAGGTGGAGGCAAGGATGAGGGACAGAGGAGAGGGCCAAAGGCGAGGCAGATCCAATGCAAGCGGGTCTTGTAGCGACAGACGGAACGAGTGACAGGTAAGAAAGTGGAAGCAGGAAAGATGAGAAGGCAGGAGGAGAGCACAGAAGAGAGAAGAAGAAGAGAAATAAAACACGCAAGGAGACTACAAGTGGAGCAGAAAAGATCCCGGACGATCACGAGGACATCAGTAGTCTCTCTAACTCCGGAGTGTACTAAATATACTACTACTAAAGACTAGCTTCGGCTGTCTCCTTTCAAGTTCCAGAGTTTCCCTAATTCTTCTTCCTTTTTTTTCTTGAGTCCCATCAGGGTCCTATCAGGGTCTGGCAAGCCGACCAGAAATGTACTAGACCTACGGTGCTGGGACTAGCGGTGGCCCGGGCAGATTCACTAGCGCAATCAATTGTGGAGTGTAGTACCGCGGTTGCATGATTTGTTAAGAGTCAGTCAAACGGTAATTGAGCCCATTGATGGAGATTCTGGGCACCGACTGCTCTCTGCATAACTGTTGTACCCGATAGACAATGTCCATTGCACATAACAAACCCCACGTCGATCGCATCTTTGTCAAACACCTTTTCTGGGGAGCTTCTCAAGCTCCCAAGCTCTAGACCCAAGGCGGTGGACATGTCATGTCGATCCGGGGATATCGGCTATGATTATCAGAATTGACTTTTTCGGTTCTCCCCCTTTTCAAAGAGTTTCCTCAAGTCTCCTACAATCATCCACATTGACGCCGTTTGAAGACATGCAAGTGCAGTCATCATGCCCATCATTGACTCACCGACCAGTCCCCGCTGCAACGAGGCGAAAACAGGTCCGGCGTGCTACTGTAGTGTCCGCCACAGTGTCCTAAAAGACACACTTGATAAGGGATGTCTCACTTCTAGTAGCTGCGCCGATCAAGGGCGCTAAACTGGGTTGGGACTAGTCAGATTGTTGGGGCTTGGAGCTGGTGGCAGTTGGCGGAGGGCAATTGTTTGGGAATTATTCTCCTTGGAGTGTAGGATAGAGATATAGGAGAGGGGAAGTCGGTGTGATTATATTGCAGTTAGGAAAGCAAGTGTATGCAGTTGGTGGAGTTATATTAATGTAATCAACCTGGATTGGAACAGTAGGTGCAATGTGAATTGCATGATGAAGGGGTATGCTGGTCCCATTCCACGGACAGTCAGACCATCCAATCAGGGGCTGGCCCACAACAGTCCTCGGCACTTTGCACTCAACATGGAAATACAGTACATAACAGTAATACTGGATACTGTATGCTATAAGACAGCTTGAGAAGGCTCTCTCAGGTCAGAAATTCGAATCCCTTTATCAGCATTGCCCATGGAGTCATGATCCATCTTGACATTTAGTTCAAAAAATGAGAAATTTTCATATACAATGATAATACTAGGATTCAATTAAAACATGAAACACCTAATCAGCAAATAGAGAACAGTCCCAACTGGTATACTAGGTTTGAGGATGAGCCGGTTAATCTACCAGCTCGCTTTCAAGGTACAACCTGAGGTATCCTCAAAGGCACCACTCTATATGACTGAGATGACTGCCGTGCCTATTGTAGCTTGACTCATGTGCTGGCTGTTGCCTAGAGCTCATCGCTGTGCTCAACAAGCTCGGACCAATCCAGCTCTTGCATCAGGGGTGTCAAGCCTATCGATTCAAGGTACTATTTACTGTGCCACATGCGCATGTGCTCGTACGTATAAAATCTAAGCCACAACATCAAGGCTATGCAAATTTGAGCCTCATTACGTCGTTACATCATTCTATCGCTCGACTTGACTGATTTCTTAAAACTTTCAGGTTTATCAATTGTGGCTGGGGTCGAACACAGTATGTGGAGAAGCGCCCGACTACAGTTCAGCTGTTCTAAGCCAATCAAACAGTTTTTTGATGAATTGTTGGTCGCCAACCGAAAAACAACACATCACTTTCATCTACGGGAATAAGTTGTTTGTTAGATTTTGAAAGTGATCGATGATTATGTATATAAGGGTATATCTGCTCCTGTCCTTGAAATGCAATGAATCGATATACATTCATTGATTGAGCCATTTCCTCATCCGTCTACCTCTTCAACTCCAGTGTCGCCAGGCAGCTAAGCAGTCATCCCACTGAACCATTTTTGATTCGAAAAGTCAGCTATTCAAATTTTTGATCTGTCATTGAGCCTCTTATCCATTAAAGACTAATATTCGTGATAATTTCATACCGACATCATCATGGAAAGTCTTACTGATGCGATGGGTAGCACTCGCTTGAGTGACGAACCTGAAGAGCCCGAGCAGCTTCTATTCAACCCTTCACCAAATAGTGGGATCGATGAAACAATCCTGAATAACATTCCACGTTATCTGTTTCGTCTTGCGACGCCAAACTCCGCTGGAATAACGAATGAGAGATGGGTCTGTTCGGAGTCGGTCCGCCAGAATACACCTTCTTCCATGGAAGATGTTTTCTTCAACATGGACAACGAGAAACAAATCAAGGTGGCCCGAATTCTAGATTCACATCTCTGGTGGCGGCAAGCGCGCAACCCGGATGATAACTTTGTTTCCTGGACTAGCTCGCTGCTTTTCGTCCTCCAGTATATATACTACCGACATTACAAGGACGGAACAAGTCTTGCAGAAATCAAACTATACGTCGTCGATACGATGAAATTCCCCCGTGGAACATTCATGCTTGATTTAAATTTGATCGATATTTTCCGTGACTATAACGATGGTCTAGAAAACCTCTGGTCTCTGCGCAATCGGCCCAACCTTTACTTTGGGGAATATCTCTCGCAGGGGTCACTGATGATCGAAAATAAATGTCAAGCGATCACTGCTGAGGTGATTTTTAAGCAGGATCGACTGCGTCGTATACAGCCTCACTTTGCAGAACTCCATCATGGAAAGAGGGAAGATAAGCCGGAATGGGTGAGAGAAGTCAATCGACTCCGTAACACCATTTGGCCACCTCCTGGCTCGCCGCTGATCTCTCCGACGGAGCTGGGCGATCGTTTACAGGCTGTCCAAGAAATTTTGCAACATGTTTCAGCGGACTGGAAATGCCCCGTCGCCATTTACTTTGCCGCACTTATCGGCCCAGAAGGCTTCATCAGAGGACAAGATACGGCAAATGACAAGGTCGTTGGCACAGATCCCCGATCAGTGTATCTTCCTCGTGAGTTATTCAAGCGTTTCTGCCCATAACTGACCAAAATCACTAATCACAATCATGTAAATTAGACTTCGAACTACCAGACAAAATCGGACCGAGGGATTTCGAAGTGTTCGCACTAGATACAACTCCCGAGCTGAAGCAGGTAAAAAAGCTTGTTTTGGAGACATATCGTTATACGGTCTTCCAAAACCTACTAGGTCGGTTCATCAAAATTGAACTCCCCATTCCCCGTACCCTTGCTGATCTCAGGGCCGTTTTTTTAACTCGAAGATACCGAAGCAAGCAATCCTAATTTGCACGTTGAAAGCGACTCGATAGGGAATCAACCTGCTTCCGCGGCAGCTGATTCAAAGAGAAGGCAGCTGGCTGAGAGGATTGAACGTGACCCGTCGAAGGTTTGCCTAGCCGTTGTACGGATGCTCTCTCAAGAGGCAGCGTTGGCTACTTCCTCGGAAGATCTTTTCTAAGTGGCGCGACCTCACCTACTTTATGCTCACTCATTAGTTATGTGTTGGCTCGTCCTTGGACTCAGATGTGGATCATTCATTGATTTTGCGAGATGGCTCTTCTTGTATTTACAAGGCTGAGGTTAACGAATGAATTACGCATGGTATACAAAATTGCAAGCAATCACCAATATACTCTTGTTGACTTGGCTCTCAAGCTCACTGTAGATGCGGTCTGACCGAACACTGAAATTGAAGTCTTACCTACTTATGGCAGCTAGACCTATTTCTATACAGTCATACCAGCGTGATGAAAAAATTTCTCCGTCTCCCCTGGAATGGAATATAATTTCGAGAATAAAATCAATTAGAGTACGGAGTTTGAGATAAATGACGGGCGGCTGTAGCATAAATTAAGGGTGAGTTACCCGCTGTATTAGTTACGACCATTACAATACCATACTAACAATACATCGTGAACACCTCCGGGCTTACCTAACCTCACTCCACACCCCAAAAGCTCCCCCCCCATTCTCCATCCCATCCGCCTTTGACTTTCAACACGAGCTAAAAGACGAACCACCCCATCCGATCGATTCCTAACAAGCCCGCTTGGACTCGGAAGCCTGGTTTCCAAGGTCAGTGCCCTTCCTCAACTCCATTCTCTGCCCAGAACCACCCAGTATATCAGCATCAAACTGCGCATCTCGCTCCGTTTCACCTGCCCCAACTAAACCCCCCTCCCGGATCCCCGATTCCCACCCCCTCCTTCTATAATTGTCTCTCCCCGCATGGACCGGACCCAACGCTCCGATCCGCATGAGACATACATGCATCGCACCACATGCATGGTCATGCACATGCCCTGCCAGCCGCGGGGCTCAATAGACTGCTCCGCTGATAACCTGATACCACCTTGACCGCTGAAGCTGACGCTGACGCTGACATCGCCTTCTACTACTACTAGCTCCCTGCGAAGCACAGGACACAGGCTAGTCTCACCCACTATCTGATGGATGGAGCCTGCGACTGAGGAGGTCGCACCGGCTTCGGCATCGGCATCTTTGCCACAGCCACAATCCCAGTCGCAGCTCTCCTCCCCGCACGAGAATGGGAAAACCCCCGTCGTCGCCGATAAGAACGTGTCCCTCGATAACAATGACAATGAAAATGCGCCCGACCACGATAATCGAAACGGCACTCCCAATCCCGATTCCACAACCCTAGAAAGCGCCGCATCAAGCACAAAATCCCGTCCCGTCTCCAGCGTCGTCCCACCCTTCTGGCAACGCCATGAACGGTCGGTGTCGAGGGCATCGCTGAGCTCGCTGGCGCAGAGCAGGATTATTCGGTTGGAGGATCATACGGCGGATCCGGATTCGGAGACGAGTCGGGGATTGTGGGCGAGGAGTGTTGCTATTGATGATCATGTTGTTGTACAAGGGAAGAGTGGGGTGGGGTCTTATGTTGTTTGGAATTGTGTGATTCAGACGCTTGATGTAAGTTGAAGATTGAGGGTTCATGGGAGATTGTATGGGGCTAGGGATTGGCTTGGTTTGTGGTTGGGATTGTGCTGATTTGTTCTATAGGGAGGTCCGATTGTTGTTCGAATGAGGTATGCTCGTGTCTTCATTCTTTGTGCTTCGAGTCAACTATTAGTTGACGGGTGGAATTCATGCTAAAGCATGATGCGATCTAGATACTCCGAATTCGACGATCTACGCCAAAGACTCGAATCCGCATTTCCACACGCTAGAAATGCCCTTCCAGCTTTGCCCCCGAAAAGTGTACTCTGTATGTCTCCTCCTCTCCCCTCATGTCCGTCCCCTCTCATCCAGACTAACACGCATCCAAGTTAAATTCCGCCCCAAATTTCTCGAATCCCGACGCATCGGTCTAGAATATTTCCTCAAGTACGCCCTCCCCCTTTCCAAAGAGAAAAACAGTACCGCGATGATCCGACTAACCCCTAACGCTGTCATTCTAGTTGTGTCCTCCTAAACCCCGAATTCTCCAGCTCACCCATCGTCAAGGACTTTCTCTTTGGTCGTTTGTCATGAACATTTTCTTATCGCTTCACGTATATATGCCATGTTTTTGGGGATGTACTTTTTGTAGGAATACTCAATACTCGATAATCGATACTTAATCAGTTTCCCGATTGTGACAGGGCACAAGTCAAGTCCAGTCCCGTTGCGCATGGAGTTATGCGGACTCGCACGCGGTTTCAGTTTTCGTATCCTTATAGGCATTGGCATTTCTGGCCTGATTGAATTCAAATTGGATTCTTTTTTCTTATACAACTGGATTGATGAATATTCGCACGTGGACCAGTCCAATCCTATCCAATCCGACCAATAAGAGTTTATGAAACGTGAAAAGTCTTATTAAAAGCAGGTTTGATGTTGATCACACTAAGAAAAAAAGAAGAAAATCAAAACCCAGATGGGCAAGGTAGGGAGTGAAACCACACTCAACACTCGACAAAGAACACAAAGAAATCAAGAGAGAATGACAACTGCACCCAAAAATGACCGGCAGCGAAAAAATAGGTAAGACAGCAAAAGCAGACACCAAATGTAACCAGGAACCCATCCCATCCCAAACCATCCATGTCCAATGACCCAAACCAAAACCAAACCAAGTGAGAAAAGAGAAAAACGCCTTTGCTATGATACAAGTATCTTCCATCTGTGCATATGATACAGAAACGGGGAGGTCATAAGCATATTATTGGCCATCGGCATGGGCCAGTATAAGTTGTAGCCAGAAGACCTCCCGTCAAAACGAAAAAGAAAACAAAAGAAGGGAAGTCCGTGGAGACCACGGAGAAATAAAGAATCAAGTAATGAAAGCAATGTGCATCATTGTGCAGCAACCGGACCATCCACTGAATCTGATGGCCCTTCGGGTACCTGTGACTGTGATTGAGACTGTGACTCGATCTCAGCGCCAGTCTTATCACCCTTGCCACCCCTCCGCCTAGACACCCAAGACCTGAGATCTGCCCACAAAATCTTCCGCAAACTAATATTCGCCATATGAATCATGCCCAAAAACTGTCTGGGCCCCGGCATACCCCCGGAGAAAACAAGATAAAGTCCACAATCCTGATCCCCATCCGGCCGAAACTTGTCATGATAAGCCTTCTTGCCATGGATGGGTAATCTCCGGAATGTATGACCATACAATTCCCTCGTCAGACTTGCCAATGGGCCCACCATACCGGTGATATCGTCTCGCGCGAGTGCATGAACGGGCTCAAAGCCGAAGCCTAGATATGATACGCCCGCGCGATTCAGCAAGGCCATTGCTGAGACGATGAGTAGATCGCTGATTCCCTTTGCCGCGCCGGGGGCTACGATGCATGGATCAACGTGGTATCCGCCCTCGCCCAGCCGGCGGAGTGCAGCGAAACCGTTGATTGTCCCATCTGGTCCTCGGCTGTATACGAATGTCATCAGCGCGGGTAGCGCGAAGGGATCGTACACGGTGATAAAGGCTTGCGGACCGCCGGAGGTATTCCGCTCCGCGCGCCATGCGTCATAGATCCCGACCAGCTCAGACTGGAGCTGGGCATCTGTGCCATGCACAGCGGGCGCATACACGCCCAGACTAATTCCGCCCTTGGTGCGATTGAGGAGTTGGCGATTCTGCACGGCGATACGTTTCCCGCTACGCTCGAGGAGGACTTCGTTTGTTTGTGGGTTGAGGACGCGCTCTGTTCCGAAGCGAATGGTTGTCCAGCCCTTTGGTTGGGCGAAGTCGCGGACAAATGATGCGCTGGCGCCCATGAAGGCTAGACCCAAGTGGTGTCGGCGGCGGTAGATGGCGAATTCGGCGAGGAGGGAGGGGATCATGTGTGGTTCGCAGAGGGGGTCACCGCCAACGATGGCGACGTGGTTGCGTATCTTGAAGGAAAGGGCGCCGGTGCGGCTTTGATTGACGAAGAATCGATAGCTGTGGTCGAGGATGCCCATGTGTGCGACGCGGCCGTATTGAGCAGTTAGTCGTTGGATGGCGGTCATCGTGGAAAAGTCGTCCAGGCAGAAGACGGCACCTGTATCAGTGCTATTGCTGCTAGTCTGGCCGCGGGATGGAGGGCTGGAGCGAAGAGACTCCATGCTGGGGCGGTGGTGGCTGGATACAGTGGGTGCAACAGTTGATGCGGTTGAGGTGGCGATCTCGTGCGACTCGCAGCCATCCAGGCTTGTCGTAGGTGTGCTGGTGCTGTCCACTCCCGTTAACGTGCGACTGCTACTGCTGCGAGAGCTGGCACATGAGGAAGCTGTGAGCTCTGTGGTAAAATTGCTGCGAAGGTGATCCACGACGGATGCACAGGAGATATCCAACCGGTCATGCATTTTGGTCGACGCGGCAGTGACGGTGTACATCTGATCGACCAATGCATCGCCGAGCTCATCAAGAAGCAGTGATTTCTTTTGTTTTGTGCCGACGATATCGACAGCGTTCTTTCGACCTCGTCGGCCACGCTTCTTCTTCTCCGCCGCGGAGGCGATATTGATCGTGGGTTGCATAGTCGGTTCCATCATGCTGAGGACACTGGTGACCATAATGGGCGGAATAGCCTCATTCGGGGACAGAATTGCAGCTGTCATGATGAGATGTTATGAGATGAAAGTTGAGAAATTCAGTCGAGGGGAAATGGGCGAGTCTGCACGCAACTCTAGGGAGGGAAGGAAGCGGTCCCAGCAGAGCAGATCGCCGCCAGTGGGAAGTCAAACAAATGAAAAGAGGAAGATAGTTGGACAGGTATCAAGCCATACGAGAAATTTAAAAACGAGGAGAGAGGAAAAATAAAATGAGAAAAGAAGGAGAGAAATACGAGGAATTAAAAAAGGAAATCTTGGAGGAAGCAAGAGCCCGAGAACGTGACGCGAAAGGCAATTCGAAGGACTCCCAAATTAAAAAAAAATAAAATAAAAGAAAATAATGAGAAAAGCCCGGAATCATTTAACTACTTTCGCATGGGCATTGCAAAGCATTGACTGCGACACACTCTTGCCTTCCTACAGGTTCATCTATGAAATCAATGTCCCCCCCCCCCCCCCAACCAGAATAAGCTCACCCGAGGTTCCTCGTTAGAAGTCATCAAAACCCGATCCTATTTGTTGTGCCAAACTTTCCGTGCCAGGCGTACCAGCTGAGTCTAATGTCTAAAATTCCTGCTCAAACTATGGAACCAGTTACCAATCACCCGTTAGGCAGAGGCATTTTTTATTCAGCAAAGCTGTTGGTTACAACTTATGGGTCCCTTTTCATGATCCGGACCTTGGCCCCTTCCGTTGGCCGTAGACGAGCCCGCCAATCCTGGCAGACTAACAGCTGTTACGGGGATCTACGGGGTCCAAGGCTGTGGTGGGGCTGGGAAGCATGGGTTAGAGAAAAAAGGGTCCAGAGAGTTTGTTAGACTCAGTCAGCCATCGGCCTTAGGGTCAAGAGTCTACTCATTAGAGTCTACTGTAATTCTATGGTCGCGTGTGGTTGTGGACGCCACCAAGTCTGGAGAAAAAAGGGTCGAGATGCCCGATAGACCATAGAGAGTGAGTCTCTCCTCTGTACTTATCAGTACGATCCGGGATTGTCACTCGGGGCCAAAAGAAACGACCAAATCATAAGAATGCTGGTGCCTGACGGAAACTGGTATAAAATGACGACAGATCAGCCTGTCACCCTGTCGGACGACTGTCACGTGAAATTAAGATTCAGACAAGCCTCATTAGCGTCTCTTGGCACCGGGTCAGGGTCTTCGGTCCCAGACATTCCAGTCTGCTGCCCTTCTGTCAGGGTATAGGACTAACGAAAGTGTATTGGTATACTTGTATTGAGCCGTGAATAGCTTATATTACACTCTGATTCCCACCGTGGACTTTTCAGATTTATTCTTCCACTTCTAGTGTCCACCCTAGTGACAAACCACCCTCCTATCAAAACTCAACCCGGTCGGCTCGCAACGCTACCTCTATCCAGGACAAATCGCATTTCCGCCCCACTTGGCCAGGTCTACAGGGTGTCTGGATCATGAAATCCAACTAATTCCATCGCCCTAATCGCCCCCAGCTTACCAACACCAGAACAGTAGTAGTAGTTCACTAGAAGCGAAACCATAAATGGCTGCCTGGCGGGATTTTCTCGGCCCGCCCATTCGCACTCCGCGGGTTCCGATTCTTCTCCGATTGAATTCGATGGGGCGGAACGCCACTAGAACAGAACGGGGAACTAAACACGGGATACAGGAACACGGGGACTGAAGCTCGGCTAACCAGTTCATCTGGACAAGAGTATACGGGTTTGATACTCGTGATGAGCCTAACTATACGAACATTTCCAATCTCATATTTCATGTAGTCAGTCGATTTTCCAAGTCCGGCGGTGGCGCAGAGACTGCTAAGAATATCTTATATTTCCATCGAGTCACGCATGGCATAGCCTGATAGAATACGAACTAACGAAAGAGGAAATACTGCGCAATACCCGAGCGTGTGAGATCGGGTTCTCGAAATGGGCAATTCGATGCTTGGCTGCGCCCAGAATCGCGATTATAGACCAATTTGGTAAGTAGGCGTCCAGATTGTGGCTGTTATTTTTGGTTCTTGGCGGAAATCCGGATGTCGGATGGCTTTCTTGAGGTCTCTCGGGAGGAAATCTTGAGGTTCCGAGGCGTGGAATGGTATCCTCTTGCTGATGCATCCATTTATGCCAAGATCGCCGTGCTTCGGCTTAGTCCATGAAGAAAGAGGATTGGTAACTCCAACTACCGGACAAATTAATTAAGAAGCATCCTGGTGGACGGTTATCTGTTTTTAATTAATTAATTAGAACTCTAGATAACCCTATTAACTTGAGAAGATCGCGATCTAGAAATAAGCTCACACAAACCACCACCACCACTCTCTATACTTTAATCCTATCAATCGTTCAAGTGGGTAACAAGCCATGAAATCCCAGAGAATCTCAGCCAACGCACAGCAATGGCTTCGGAGGATGGCTGGTGGCTGCCTGCTCGGGTAGAGCCGAGTATCCCAGCTAGTAAATGATAGTTGCCTAGATCTTACTGTACATACTATGTGGGGAGGCCTTTACTAGTCTCTGTGCTAAATCAGCCCTACAATTTTATGGCATCCACTCACCAGGTGAGTGCAGTTTCCGCCCTATCGCACGCAAAGTCGTCGAAGGATACTATACTCAAGTAGGGCTACTCGGCTGTCGGAACTCGGGCGTGGGAAAGCATGGGGAACCCTGCGCGAGGAAGCATACGACGGGTATGATTTGTTGGCTGTTCGGGTCCTGGTTGTCGACATTGTTGAAGTTTAAACATTCTTCTCTATGATCTTGAAGCTGCTAGTAGTTAGAGAGGCCTCTACTTACACAGCAGAGCTTCGAGGGGAACTTAGTGAGGCTTAACTGATCCATCTATAGATGATTGGATTCCAGTCATATTGATGGAAGATATTTTGAGAATTTACGGTGAGCTTGTACTATATAATACAACGAATATCAAATGGAATGAGGAAGGATGGATTTTATTGGAATGATAAAGATGTCTGTTTGTGTTGTTTGATGAAATTTCGTATTGTTCATTTGTTTCCGTTCTTGGAGATAGATTGGAGAGATGAGAAGCAGGAGTAGCGAAAGTATTGTGGATGTCGTGATGTTGTTGAAGTCGATGTGCGATATGGGCCGAAGGCGGAAGGGTTGACAGAGTTCCATTTTGAATGTGCCCTGACACGCAAACTGGAACTGGCCAGCTACGTGACGCCTGTTCAAAAGAAGCTCAGTCTGACCCGGAGGGTGAAGGGGGCCAGTTGAGTGTCCAGAAAAGGGATCGATCGAAGGCGCACGGTATTCGGGATGGATTTGTAGCGGAGAAACGGAGGAAGGGAAGCAAGGCAGTGATTGAAGGCCGAGACGTCGAGCATGGGAAGGTAGACTGGGGTTTCCATCGAATTTGTCCTGACACGCAAACTGGATATTACCAGTTACGTGACGCCTGTTCGAAGAGGAGCCAAGTGACGCCCGCTGTCGATTTCGTTGTTGAGTTGTGCGGATACGTGAACGGACGGACGTTTGAGATCGTGGATTGGAGACCAATGTGTCGAGAGAGGAAGAGGATGATTGACCAAGGTCCCCTTCGGATTTATCCTGACATGCAACTGGTTGCCCAGCTACATGACGCCTGTCCGAAAGACAAAGCCAACATCGTATGTGGTTGTTGCGTGGTAGAAGGATGGTGGAGAGACAGTGATTGGAGGCCAATGTGTCAAGTATACTGAAGTGGCTGTGGTAGAAAGACCTAAGAAACGTAGTATCAAAACTTGATCAGTGATGGGTGGAGTTATGGATGGAGTGATAGTTGGATGGATAGAACATACCTTGAGATAGAAAGGTCAAGATATGAAGGTATGTTATAATGTGGACGTGCCATGTTGTTGACGTGTCAAGGTCAGGTCAAGTGTAGATGGACAAGACATGTTAAGATGGAAGGATCATGTCAAGAGGGAGGTCCAAATAAAGTTGAGTGGCAGCCAGGTGGGCCGGGCCGGAGAGGAGAGCATACCAAGACCTGGGGAAGATGAGGAAGATGGAGAAGATGGGGAGGATTGGAGAGAGGAAAAGAAGAAGAAGTTGGGGGAAGGGAGGAAGCCTTTATACTCCTAGGGGACGGGGGAGGAAGCCCTAGTTTCCAAGATTTCCTAAACGGGTAAATTTGCTGGTCGAGGGGGCTGCGTGCCTTCCTGAATAGGACATTCTGTATGTATTTTGCCTCTGAGGACGCACAAAACCCACAAACAAAATTGCTCCCGCGAGCGCGTGCCTTCCTAATCGGGAATATCAAAACCGCGGATGGCCGAATTCGTGGGATGGGGCATGGGGGAGGGATGTTGTACGGGGAGGTATACCGTGAATGAAACGTGATATACGGCTGCTGATCGTGGATGTGGGGGATCAGAATGTAGAGGGCTTATAGTAGAGACCTGCTACAAGTAGATACGTTGATAATGGGCTCTATTATCCGTTCACTAAAAGAGTAAGTCGTCGCTGACTGCGATACCACTCCAGGCACTATAATATCGAGAGTATGGCATCATCGAGAGAGAACAGCAGCATCGAGGGCACAGCACTATACCAGGGTGCGAGCTAGGTGGAGAGACCGTGATAGTCACGGTGAGCATACTAAGATCACGTCGTGTGTATCATCGCAGCCCGGAGGGTCTTGCTGAATAGGCCAGTATCGCATCCAGGACCATCGGCTACAGGTACACCGGCTACCTCTACGCAAGAACAGGGACGAGACCTACGGCGACACGGCCACGACGAGAGTGACGTCTAGCGACGACACGAGAAGACTGCCACAGCAAGCTCCTTAAAGCTTACGGACAGAAGGTGACTACTCAGAAACTCACATCACGGGGTTCTACCAGGGCAAGGCTCTACAGCGTGATGGTCGAGTTCTTTGGCAGCAGACTTGACCATGAAACGCGTGGGGCGGAGCTGATATATCCTACGAGTCTTTGTGAGCACAGAGGTGCTGACACTCATAGCTCTGACGAGGGACTGGCTCGCAAGTTGCTACCATGGCACTACCGGACTACGAAATGAATAGAGAGACTGGGACTACCACGATGAACAGACAGAAGGTGTGCCATCACACAACGCGGAGAGTCTTGCTAACCATGTGTGTATCGCATCAAGGACCATCGGATTCACTCTACGCAAAAACAGGAGCAAGCCAGTCCTACGAGGCCACGGCCACGATGAAAGCGACGTCCAGTGATGGCACGAGAAAACGCGACAGCGAGCTCGCACACACGGAAACCCTCTAGAAAAGAGCCCCTTACAGCTTACGGACATAAAGTGACTGCTTAGGCACTCAAAGCAAGAGGATCTGGCAGGGTGGAGCTCTACGGCTTCGCGGTCGAGTTCTCTGGCGGCGAACTGGGAACTGGGCTTCTCTATTCTATGAGGCTTTGTGGGCACATGAAAGGCGAAAGACTACCAAGGTGAGTAGTTTGGCTCGTGAAATTTACTGGATTCTGACACATATTGGCTCTCCGGCCAGAGACTCTCCAGGATATTGCGAAAGTGGGGCGGGCTCATTGAAAGCGTGACACTACCAGACTACAGGATGAATAAAGAGACTGGGCTGGCCACAACACTCAGACCGAGATCACAGTATGTGGGGCGTCACAGCATGGAGGGTTCTGCTAGCCAAGCGTGTTTTACGTACAGGATCATCGGCTTCAGGTACACGAACCCCAAACTGTCACGGATATGACGAGTGCAAGATCTACCCATCACGCGAGAAGAGCTCCATGACAAGTCTACCATTGAGGGCACCAAAGCCACGGCCAAAAACAACTCGCAAACGCGATATGGGTGCTTGCTCAGTCACGGCAAGACGATCGGACCGAGCAGCGCTTCGCGGCGCGGGGCCTAAGCTCTTTGGCAGCGGACTTGAGTACCGCATGACAATGCTGTCATCCAACCAATTGTCTTTGTGAGTGTGAGACTACCCACATATTTTTTCCCTCGCATACAGACTCTGCGAGATACCCTCAGTCGGGGAGCAGACTTCTCATGGTCCTCACAGAGATGCTGCCCACAACAAGGTAGAGTGTGACAACCCTCTCTTCTTGAACACTGATGTTGAAGGATCTGACCAATCATCGCCAACAGGTTCCTGTCATGATTACTCCCAACGCAGCCAATGAGACCAAGAACGAAGATAATCCCTCGACATACAGCTCACGCCATCTACGCTAGGTACTTCGGCATGGTGGAGACATAAAGAAGCTCGGGTTAAACGGTACGACAGGCATCCCATCTACGCACGGTACCGTTGGAATGGATCATGGAAGGCCATCTACAGTCTGCACGTTGAGTGGAGGAACACTAGCCGGGGTCGATTCAAATACCCGCTTGGGCGATGATGGTTTTAACTCCGGGCCGGATTAAACTCGGGATACTCGTGGTAATATTCCATGCCGATCAGAATCAAGCACGAGGTCGGTGTTGTTGACACTGATGGATGGCTTTGACAGGTTACCTAACGGTGGCTTAAGCCTTTGTTCCTCCTACGTCGTTTTACTCCGGGCTTTTCGCCGACAGGAACCTGTGCAGGGTCAGCCACAACAATCAGCGAGATCCGATAAGTATACTTCGTTGCAGAACCTATCAACGATGCACTTTTGACCAGCACCTGCAGCAGTGGGAGGCATGTGCTCAACACAAGCAGTGATTGGCGCTTTTGCCCAGGCGCCAAGCCCGTCATGGCGGAGCTTCGCCGACCTGAAGATGGACTGTGATTGGTTGATGCACTCAAAAAAGGAGGCTGACCCACTGACTGCCAGGTACACAAAAATGTTAAGCTCCGCCTCCCCCCAGTATTCTTCCCACGGATCTCGATAAACGACAGAAATAAACAAAAACGGACCCCAATCGAAGATTCGATGCAGAATCTTGTTGACCTACAGGCAATGTTACTCTCGTGCCGAATCCCGGCTGGAGCAGAAGCAAAAACTAACCCGCTAGCGCCCCTCCCCGCTGACCGAGTGCCTGGTTTATTATGGAGGCCGTTGCATCGCTGACCCTATGGCATTCCTTAGCGTCAACATGTGCATGCAGTGATCGTCGCTCATTTGCCAATTGCTTTAGATTAGCTCGCATTATCCGGCTCTTCATGGAAGTTTTTCTCCACGTGGGTCGCGGTATGCTATTCCTGCCCCTCTCCAGAAGCTGCACAGGCACGAGCACGAGCACGACAACATTGACACGAACTTATAAAATGCTGCGACCATCGCGTCTTGGGAAATGATTCTCTCCCTCTCGTTCACCAGCCAAATTTCCTTCTTCCTTCGAGGTCAGACTCAGCTGTTCAATCATGAAGGCCAACACTCTCCTTCCCCTTCTGGGTCTCTCCGGCAGCGCCGTCGGCGCCGTCGTCAACCGCCACTCCAACGGTCCCTTCGGCTACGCCTCCGGTTCCAAGGAGTCCATTGCCAACCTGAAGGACAAGGTTGAGAATGTTGTCTGGATTCTGATGGAGAACCGTGGTTTCGACAACATCCTGGGTGGTGTGCACAAGAAGGGTCTTGACAACGTTGTCAACAACGGACCTTTCTGCAATCCTCTGAACGTCGCTGACCCCAAGGGCGAGAAGACGTGCAGTCAGTTCAAGGACTTTGACTCTGTTATCCACGACCCGGATCACTCCGTCACTGGTGTCAACTTCGAGCTGTACGGTCAGTGGAGCCCTAACAACGACGCTATTGCCAATGGCACTCTCAAGGCCAACCTCGATGGCTTCGTTGAGCGCCAGATTGAGCGTTACAACATCTCCGCCAAGCTCGCCACTGAGGAGGTTATGGGTTACTACTCCGAGGATGAGATTCCTACTATGGTCGACCTCGTGAACGAATTCACCACCTTCAACTACTGGCACTCGTGTGTCCCCGGTGTAAGTACTCTTTCTTACCTCGTCCTAAATCCTCTCACTAACCATTAATCAGCCCACCAACCCCAACCGTCTCTGTGCCATTGCCGGTACCCCCGACGGCCACGGCAAGAACGACAATGACTTCGATGTCTCTGCCATCACCATCCCCAGCATCTTCCAGGTTGCTTCCGAGAAGGGCATCTCCTGGAAGAACTACGACGGCACCAACGGCGCCTTCCTCTCCGACGCTCTCTTCTTCAACTGGACCGTCGCCAACGCCAAGTCCAACGTCGTTCCCTTCGAGAACTTCTACCAGGACGCCTACCTCGGCACCCTCCCCAAGCTCTCCTACCTCAACCCGTCCTGCTGCGGTCTGGACACCAACTCCATGCACCCCTCCGGCAACGTCTCCACCGGCCAGGTCCTGCTCAAGCAGATCTACGATGCCGTCCGCACCGGTCCCCAGTGGGACAAGACCCTGCTGCTGATCACCTTCGACGAGACCGGTGGATTCTACGACCACGTTGCTCCCCCTTGGCCGTCCGCCCCGACAACAAGACCTACACCGAGAAGGCCAAGGATGGCAGCTCCTACACTCTGAACTTCGACCGTCTCGGTGGCCGTATGCCCACTTGGCTCGTTTCTCCCTACGCCCCTGCCGGTTACGTCGAGAACTTCGGTGTTGACCCCGCCACCGGCAAGTCGGCTTCTTACTCTGCTACCTCCGTCCTTAAGACTCTGGGTTACCTGTGGGACCTGAAGGACTTCACTCCTCGTGTTTCTCACTCCCCTGCCTTTGACCACCTGATTGGTCCTAAGGTTCGCAAGGCTCCTCAGACCCTGGCTAACCCCCACCCCTTCCCTGAGGCTGTTTAAGTGAATTGCTTTGATGCATAGGATCACTTCCTTTTTCTTTTTGTTCAACTTTTTTCTTTTCTTTTCTGTGAACGAGCGGGTTGATTCCGTACTGAGAATGTAAATTTGGATATACTTACTATGATATGAACCTTTATTTTGGGAGGGTACTTTGAATGAAAAAGTTCGTTGCTGAATTCATATTTCACTACGTACGAAATTCTCTCGGGGATCGGAAATAGAAAAGGGCTAGACATGATGAGATTAGCGAGATTGGTCAAGGATGTCTTGAAGATGGACCAGGGATGTGAGGAAATGGGTGTTCCCCGACAACCTTCTAACACTGTGGTCTACCGCCATGCCCTCAAAAGATCTGGGTGAAGGAGGTCTCAGTACGCTACCTTTTTAACGGCCCCAAGACCAAGCCCACTACCGCCATTACCGGCGGGGACACCAGCTGCTGCCTTATCGACCCTTGCAGTGAATGTTGTTGGAAAAGTCTTGAAAAAAAGAGCCTTTTGAAGGAAGGGTAAGAAGACTCGGTGGTGCGAAGGTTGTGCGGAAATGGGAGGTGGGACGTGAGATAAGGGGGTAAGAGCATGATTCGAAGAGGAAAGATGACAGAGCTGAGGGTTAATTGGATCGAACAGAACGTGAGATTGCTGAGGGCCCTGGATATGTTAGAAAGACGTTTTAGAAAGACGCGTTAAAACGACATGCTAGGAAGACATGTAGAAAGACCTTCTTAAAAGCGTGTAGAGAAAAATTAGGAATAGTCGCATTTTATGGCCTTTGGTGAAGTTATCCTGAATATGGATATTTGAATATGGATATTTGAGAAGCTTCCACACAGATTCCAGCTTCAATTTGACCATACTCAACTGTTACTCGAATGAAATGAAATTGACCCAGTTTTCTTGCATTGAACAATTGATTCCACTAGTGGCTGCTCTCGAAAATCCGCTCCAAGAGTCACTGCGGCGTTGTTATTTGGTGTAATCTCGCATGAAGCCTCGAAAGTCTTGCTCTGTGTTCACTTGGAAGTTTGTAGATATCCTTGACCCGTTGCTCGTGTGGGAGGAACCAGACCTTAATAGTCATCACCCGGATAGGTGGGATCAAACAGCCCACGAGCAAACATTCCCACTAATTCGAAATAAGCAAACTGTCGAGACCTTCCCGAGTCGAACCCTCGATTCCCAGGTCACCGTACAAACTCACCCCGATGGTCAGACGATGCTCCATCGAGTCCCCAAGATGCCCGCCGCGGTCCTCCCAATTTTCACCACTCACCATATATCACACTCTACACAGCCACCAAAACTTTTTAAAGCCTCAAAAATAGCACAAGAGAAGTGGCCTAGCTCTGCTGAATATAATGATATAAAAAATATATCAAAAAGCCTCTCCAAAAAGGTCGACCGCAGAAGTCAGCAGATGCCTCGAAAAAAAAGAGAACCACCACTCACCCACTGAAACCTCTGCGCTCAACACAAGCTTCATAGCACTCAGAGTCCGACAGCCGGCCACAACTTCCGAGGAATCATGACCTGAGGACCCCAGAGTCCATACAGACCGCTAGGTTCCCGGCGAGTGGCAGTTAATATTTTGGGTTTGAAACCGATCATAACCCCTGTTTGCTAATGCATTCCGCCCCTTTTTCCCCTCCTCCTCGCTGTCTTTTACTATTGTACAGATTTTTGCTTGCTCTCCGTGATGAGATACTTCACGTAGTGACCTTCGTTTGGGATAATTTCTCTATTGTGAAGCCTGGACGGGCAACACGACCCTCGGGGTTCCAGATGTGTATGGTGTTCGGTCTTTTCTTGGAACCTAGATTGTGATGAATGAATACATAATGTTGCAACATCAGGTACATATCTCAATATCACCTTCAGACAAAGTATACAGCACTGTTACGCTCTTCATGAGACGAGATCATGCCACGACCTCCAAGCTGGCGATTTTGGATCCCGATCTTCCTTGCACTACATCCTACAGAAGTTGCAAATACAACAGAAATCAGAATATATTCAACGTGAAGATTTAAGAACGAAACGTCAAAACACGCGGACTCAACCGCATTCATAAATGGCAATAGAAGTCAAGAATTATTCACAAAATACCCCCAGCTAATGTTTATCCCAGCATAGCGCAAGGATGAAAACATCGCTGTGGGGTATCGCAGAAAAGAAGAGAAAATTTCGTGACACAGAAATCTAATTGAGATCTCCAAGGCAAAAATACACAGAAATTGATCGTTGATCAAGTTAGAATCATGATCAGATCAAAACCCGATCAACGCCCGACCTCCATCTTACAGGAAGAGAAGAGACAGCACCGCGGTGGCAGCCATCCAGAGACCCGACGACGCGCCAACCGAGACAGCGGCATTGAAGGCGGGGGACTGGCTGGGCGAGGAGGCGGTAGCAGTAGTTGGAACTGAGCTGGGCTGCATACTGCTCTTCATAGTCGACGAGGCACCAACAGTGGCAACGGAGGTGCTGACAAGGGGGGTGCTGGTCACACCGGCGGGACGGCTGCTGCTGGGGATAGCAGAGACAGAGCTGCCAGGAACGACCGAGCTAGAACCGTGGGGAACAACGACACTGGTGGCGGAACCAGCCGGGACGGTCTCGCTGGTAGCGACGGAAGATGGCGCAATGGGGCTGGTCATGGTCATTGTCGAGACAGTGCTGTAGGTTGACACGAAGGTGCTGGAACCCGAGGTCATAGTCTCGGTCACGGGGCAGATGGTGGTCGTCTCGAAGGTGGTGACGGTGGTAGCTGACTCGGCGGGGGTCAGGGTGATAACCACGGAGCTGGTGGAGCTGGTGGAGCGGGTGGGAGTCACGGTCATGGTGGAGATGGAGCTGTATGTCGAGACGTAGGTGCTAGTGCCCGAGGTCATGGTGGCAGTGACAGGGCAGATAGTCGTGGTGGTGTAAACCTCCTCGGTGACGGTGGAACCCTGAGCAGATGCAGAGGCAGAGGCAGTGGAGCGGGTAGGAGTCACGGTCATAGTAGAGATAGTGCTGTAAGTCGAGGTGATCACGCTGGTGCCGGAGGTATGAGTCTCGGTGACAGGGCAGATAGTCGTGGTGGTGTAGATCTCCTCGGTGGTGGTGGAACCCTGGGCAGGGGCAGTGGACTTGCTGGTCTGGGAGGCATTGCTCGAGCTGGGGGTAGTCTTCACAGAGGTGCTGCTGGCGGTGGCAGACTCAGACTCGGTTTCGGTGACTGGGCAGACGGTGGTGGTCACCGGGATGGTCGAGGTCACAACGGTGGTCGACTCGGCTGGGCAGTTGGTGACAGTGGTAGCACACTGGGTGATGGTCACTTCGGAGGTGGTGTAGATGGTCGAAGTGGTCATCTTCTGAGTGCTGGTCACGGAGTGAGGCACGCTGGTCGAGCTAGGGACGGCAGTCGAGGTTGGAACACGGGTCGAGCTAGCAATACCAGTGGAGCTGGGGACACCAGACGAGCTAGCAACACTGCTTGAGCTGGCAACAACGCTGGAGCTAGCAACACCGCTGGAGCTAGGAACACCGCTGGAGCTAGGAACACTGCTGGAGCTAGGAACACCGCTGGAGCTAGGAACACCGCTGGAGCTAGGAACCAAGGAGCTGCTAGCGGAAATAGTCGAGGTGATAGTAGGAACCGACACCGAGACAGTCGAATACGGGACCGAGCTGGAGAGAGTCTCCGAGCACGACGAGCTGGAAGAAGGCACCGAGACAGAAATTGAAGTGGACGATGCCAAGGGAATCGACGAGCTGGGCAGACCAGTGCTGCTAGGCACAGAACCCGAAGATGAGGACGAGTGACGAGGCACATGGGGAACGGCACTGCCCACGGCCAGGATGGAGGCCAGGGTGATCGAGGTAGAGAACTTCATTTTTTGAGGTGTTGCTGGTGATATGGAGGATGTAAATTGCAGAGACTGAATGAAGGTGGTCACGTCTAGGTGATGTTTGTCAAATGCTGGATAGCGGTGAGATTGAGAAAAGAGTGTGTATCTTTGATATCAAAACGAATGATAAGAAATGGGCCAGTAGGCCAGAAACGAAGGACGAGGCAGCAACAGATGGATGTAGGAACCTACTCCCAAGAAAGTGGGCAGAGCAGACTTCTAAAAGGGACCGCAGCCTTGGGGGGTTCGCTAGGCTGTGAGCATTGACTTGTTGACTTGAACCATCTCCACTTTCTGGCTAAGAGTGGGGATTCGCTAAGTTTGTAGTAGTGACATCAACAGGGTTGAAGTATCGCGGATGGCTAATCTCATTACTTTAGTATTATTTTCTCGATTGTCTACAACTATCAAGAGTGATACCAACCTTAATGATCGTGATTATTCTAAACCATTTCATGAATACGTTGAACGTTCTTGCAATGCACAGTCATTTTTCTTCTAGAGGATCTGGATAGGCATGGAGGATAAGGAGTCCACCGCAAAGCCTGGAATAGGCAATGACAAGCAGGCACCAACAGGGATGAACAGGGACCAGGAAGCAATCGAAAACAATGAACCAGTCATGGCTTGACTATGACAGAATCGAGTCTCCACACGGATCCATCCTCTCCATTTTCGACGGAGTAAGTAGTTTTAATTAGGATATTCTGTACCTGCAGGGTTCGGGATTGACGGACGGAATCAGGGCTCGACCCACCAAAGGAAAATTCTACCATATGGTGGTTCTTAGGAGCCACTATGATGGTCAAATCAGGTTATTTGACTGAGTTATCAAGCAGATATCATTCACAACATCTACAGACCTCTCTATTATCATCGTTGACTATATTTTGTCAGCGTAAGCGAGTTGTCCATGTTGTAATTTGTGACATTTTGAGTTCAACTTACAAGCATCTTAAGGTTTATGCGCAAGGCTTTTCCCACGTGTCATTGGTGCTTTTCTTGACGACGGAGTCCATCGAGCTCGATTCGGTGCAAATTAATTAAGATCGACAGTACACTGCCGGTTCTCCCGCTTCCCCTCAGATCTGACGGATTTCAATCAATTCTCCTCAGAAATATAACCATACGTACGTTATTGAGGGCAAAAAGATAAACCCCAATTGACAGAGAACTACAATATTCGCGAGCCCTTGATATTTCATTAACTTGAATAGAACCACTATCGGTGACTATGGGTGTCTGCCTGCACTATGACGACATTGCTTGCATCCTTTAGAACCCACCCACCCATCGAGGCGAGGCTGTAGAAGATTCCTTCTTACACACATCCGCTATTCCGCGGCTAGCATCCATGCCTGTTCGGATATTTTCCATCTCAGGCAAGTCCTAACTGTGCCCTGCCGATCACTATCCCAGCCGACCGTGGTCAAGGCTCAAGAGTCAAGACATCCAGACGGAAAGGAAATTTGGCACCAAAACGCCACCCGACGATCCTTGGCGAATGTGGCTGGCTTCCACAGGAACCACCCCACCAAACCACGTTGTGTCGTTGCTGGAACTAAATATAAATTTCCGTCCATAAAGGGAATTTTCACTATGATAGAGTAGCACAAGGTATTATTAAAATCAACTACTGTAGATTGTTTCAGAACAAAAGGTTAATTTCATGGGTTCGAATCGTCAGTGTCATGGATCTGTGTTCGAGGTTTGATACTCATCGGAGTACTCCGATGAAAGCTCCAAAATATATATCCACCGTCTCCACGGCTTCCAGGAGCGATTTCTTGATTCCTTCGAATCTACTATGACCACGTCGGACTCATCACTGAGATAACACCACAACGTTGGGTAATGGTAAATGCTACGCCGATAACAGCTACTATTCTTGACTTGACGCTGTTTTAAGCGTCGTCTTTACCTTAATCTCAGTTATGGACTTAGCACGTACTAGTGACTTTCTGCCCACCCATAGATTGTACCTTCGGTATGGTATTGCCAGCCATACAAGAGGTACATACTCTCCAAAAATACTTTTCAAAAATACTTCGGAAATGTTACCAAATTATTACTTTCTCGGACTCTACGCATTTCAGTGCCTATATTTTGACTATATCTTTATTAATAATATAAGATTTATACAATAATTGAGTCGATTGAAGTCCTTTCACCTCAAGTCTCTGATGATTGCCAGTATACACCAAAATCAACCTATCTCTACTCGTTCAGTAGACATTAGTTCGCTTAGTCGTTTGTCGGTCCCTATCGACCCTCCGTGACCGCTTGACAACTGCGAAAGGGAAGTCACCGTCTCCGTCTGTGACATTCGTGTATGATGAGCGCCTTCATACCCAATATTAGGTAGCGGATCAAGGTCATCTCGAGGTTGATCTATCACAGACACATCCTGATCGCCCGTATGACGTCTTTTCCGCCGGTATAGGATGAACGCGCCGATAGTTGCGCCTATCAATATAACACCTAATGGAACTCCAAGGCCAATTCCAACCTTACTTGCTCGTGACAAGCCACCGCTAGTCTGAGAAGTCGTCTCTGTTGTAGAGGGTGATGTTGTTCCCGTGCCAGTCGGAGGAGGGAGAGACGTGGTCGCTGATTGAGTAGGGCTTGAAGTCGTGGATGAGGATTGGTTGACGAAATTGTACGAGACCGGTGACGGATCACTTGTGTATCGTTTTGAAACCCCAAATGTAACACTCGTAATGTTGTTCCCGTATGACTCGCCCTCTGCAGTGAATGGCTGGAGCTTGAAGTTGCAGCCAGACTCTTGGTAGTCTTGGCGAGTCGCGATCCACACGTAACTATTGTTATTGCTTATGTTCTCTAAAAAAACGGGAGTCAGAATGCCCCTAGGAGCTTTTAATACTGATGCAAGACTATCTCACCTTCTAATGCGCGGTCATCGCCACCGCAGCTCTCATAAAGCGAGACCAGAGGGGCGACAACATCCCAGGTTACGTTCACCAAGTCCGCTACTATAAAACGGAACACGGCCTCTGTTGGAAATGTAAAATTGCCTGCCATGTTCCAGCTAGTGGCATGGAAAGAAAATGGCGGGTGACCGTTGATCGTGGGGGGATATGAAGGCAAGGCGACCTCGATGGAAGTCGTTGAGAAAGTGAGGTTAAAAAAGAGGGGGAAAGTTAGTTCATGAACGGATAAGGCGGCTAACTAACAACCCCTGCTATGTGTGATATGTAATGGGATCATTCTCCTCGCTTGCATTAGACTAAGGAGTTTATGGGGTAGCTCCTGTGGTCCCTGTCTAGTGCGGGATGCTAATGCACTACTAGCTCCCCATCGTGATCCCAAATATTCTACACTCATCTGCATCGGAAGGGCAAAAAGATCCCGATATTGAAGCCGATAAAGATAAAGAACCTAAAATGAAGCAGCTAACAGGGCGCGTTGCTCGTCCTTCGTAGAGGGGTTGTCGGCGATAGAGGTATAATATATGCCGCCAAGATTTGGGGTCCGGGTACCCCAGAGGCAGGAAGCGCTAGTTGGTTAGTTATCTGCCGCTAAGACTAGCCACATATTGGAGCTCATCCTGTTCACCAATCAGTTAGGGTAGGCGGCGTCCACCGCCACCTTGCCGGCGCCGTAATGAGGCTTGCTGTATCCGCAAATTTATTTCACAGTTTGTGTACTCTCATCGATATATACTGAGTCCACCCATGCCTGCACCGTCAGATGAACTTCAGAATGCTGAATATGGATCATTCACTGGGCTCGAGAGCTCTCACGACGTGACTGAGCCTCTTGACCATGCCGAGAGCAATCATACGGACCACCAACGAGGAGGAGAGTGTGCAACAGGGCTTGCGGGGGGTGGCCATGTATTTATTCAACGGCGACAAAAATGCGACAAAAATGAAGGCCTAATGGGAAAGTGCGGGATCAGCTGTCATGAGTCATAATGACCGGGTAGGGGGTCAGTACAATATAATGGAGGTTTCAGGCCTGTCAACAGAGGGAGTGACATCCTGCACTGGCATCCAAAGCATGCAAGAATCAGATATTAATAAGACAAATGGAAGCAAAATACAATAGAGATATCAAAGTAAAAACCGATGCCATTAGCATCGGATCAAGCTTTCTTTATTCCAAAACAGAAAAAAAAGAGATTGAGAAGCCAGCAATGGAAGTGACGGGCTAAAAGCATCCAAAACGCCAGGCAAGGTTGAATACTCAAGTTGAACATGTCCGATATAGGTCCCCGAATGAGCCACTTACTATGGCGTGAGGTGGCACCCCGCTGAGTTCAATCGTATCCCCATCCAGCGAAATGGGGGAGCTGCTGTCATAGTAGATGGAAAAGCCAGCGCTAATCATGTATGACGCAGTATTGTTGAATAAATCTGACCTCTAGAATTATTCCGTCTTTTTCTTGTATACAAATGATATACATCACAGTCTTCTAATTTACTCCGGCAGGAATGATATTCCATTGGGATTTAATCTTGTCAAGACGTTCTCCTCTTTCGTTCAAAGAATAATCTAGCTGCAGCATAGCCCTCGGATAGAGAATTCTTCGTCGAGGGGCAGAATATTCGTTCCAAAACATCTGGAAGCGCCATTATACTGACGGCGCGACGAATGTCCACCAAGAGTTTACGGTAGCGCTAATGCCTCAAAGCCATCGGTATGTGGAGTACATGAATCAACAACTTATAAAGGCGTAAATATTTCAAAGCAATCGGAATGTGGAGTACGATATTCAACAACATAGCCTGGCAATTGTTAAGCTTGCGTCAGAAGCAGGACATTTATCCTGACCCCGACTAGATAGGCTACTATGCCAACCAAAAGAGGAACAATCAAGCCATACCTAAAAGGAGGGGCTTTTTTGTGAACTAGAATGACTGATTTATCCAATGAGTTCTCTCAGGAGTTGGCTTGTTCCAGGAGGTAATCCTTCCCCTCGCAATGGGCATCTGTGCTTACTAGCCTTTGAATAATACATGCGATACACCCATTAACTTTGTTCCTAAGGGACCCACAATATATTAATCCAGAAACCGCATGATCCACTAGGGCGACAGCTCTCCATCAGCAACGCCATGCTGGCGACGCGAAGGAGGAAGCGAGCTACCCTGCCCGCTCTCCTGATCTATCTCTAACATCTCGCCCCCAATTCTACTATACTAAAGATTTTACAGATCATCGCCAACAAAAATTGACGCCGCCGAAGAATTGCCAAGCAAAGCTATCACGATATCTTCTAAACCCGCGATCTTTCAGGTATTCCAATCCCAAAACTTGGTGATGTTATTGTTTCGGCATCAGCATCTCATCCGCTCATCAAGCTGTTAGTTTCAAGGGGCTTGCCCCTTAGAAAAAGATAAGCGAGCCTTCCATGGATGTTCTACAGGGTCTTCATCTCATAGTGTAGAGCTGTGGACATTTCTTTCTCCCATGCCTTCCTCCGTTGGCTCAGAATTAAAATACGTTGACCGAAATTGTCAATTACATTGTCCATTATTTGTCTCACTAATGCATGATAAGCAATGTATCTTATGTTCAATGGCTCTACTTTCATCCCCTCTCAAAGTTCCCAGGGGAACTAATCCGGCTTTATTAAGCTCAGCGGCGCCAACAGATCTTTGACCAGAGCATTAGTCGGAGTCACGTATTACCAAGCAGATATACAACAAGTGATAGAGCAACATATCTCACATCTATGAACTGAAGTAATTTTCATATCCTTCGTGGTGCATTATCTCTATTTGGATGCGTTATTATCCGGCTATTCGTCATCGGCACTAAGTAAAGTTCACCATGTTTGCTTATCCCAGATATGTCTATAATATGGAAAATCAATTTTGGCCCTGATGCAGCTACGTCAACCAGTACCTAAGCCCATGCGCACTCTTCTGAAACTCAAAACAGCTGAAAATAGCGCGGAGAAGTAGAATGAACCTAGCCTCCTATCACAATGTTTCCACGCCAAGAAATTCAAATATATGACGTGTACGCATAAACAGGGAGACTGATATTAAATTGATTGAAAAATATCCTTTCGGCTTCATTGCAAGAGTCGGCTCCACTTGGAAGTTCTTCTTTCGCCAATGTAAGTAGGCCCTAATCTAGGTGTAGCAACATCGAGTATCAACGATGGACCGACAAACTTCATATTACGTGCCTGTTTTCGGATAAAACCCCCAAAAGACCCGACGATTCAGCCGTGAGGTCCATTGTCAGGCTAGGATCACCAGCCAAAGTCAAGCCATAGCCAAATCGGAGGCATAGCATCAACGAAGGAAGAATGCTGGTAGTAATCATGATGCCGTGATGGATTGAGTTGTTTGTCACTTGCAAATTTGTTTCGATGTGGTTGAAAGAAAATGATGCAGCTGACAGTGCTCTTGAGGCCGGCTGGGATATCCCTGTTGTTTCAACTCTGCAGCAAGCTTTGGAGGCAACCGTTGAGCACTCCGGGAGCTCTGAGAGAACCTCCATTGATAACGAGACCTTGACCGCCACTGCCAATGACACGTCGGTTATCATCGTCACAGCTGGCGGAGATTTCAATCTCACGGATGATATCATTGTGAAACACGGGTTTTCGACCAACCTCTGGGAGGCTAGCTTTTGGGGTATGAACACCGCAGTGAACATTCAGAACACATCTGTCTCGTACATCACCGATATCAATGTCACAACCCACAACGGCGCCGGCAACATCTACGCCTATGGATCTGAAACAGTCGTGCACGTCGATGGAGCGTGGCTTCATAGCTCTGGTGCAGCTGCGCATGGACTCATGCATCTGGTAACGGAACGATTATTGCGACCGGTGTGCGTCATTATTCTGGGGGAAGCTGCTGCTCGTCCTTCGCTGGTGATATACACCGTCCGCAACCCCCTCATGATATGACCAGCCTTTCCCATATGCCCAATTCCAATCCCATTATGATGATACAGCATGATTTGTAGCCTGCAGCTACCCTCTGCCCACCGCAATCATGGCAGGGAGATACAGGCTCCGGTCATGTGACCCCATTGGAACATCCACCACGATGACTTCTTTGTCTTCTTCTCTTCCTTCTTCCCAGCCCTACAAGTAAAACTCGGGTTTCTTCACCACTCCTTCTGCAAGAAAACTCAACATTGTGCCCTTTGCTCTATAACTTGCCTTCCCGCTAGCATATATGAACACAAGCTGAACATATTTATATCTCAGTCATCATCTTCTCCGCCCTATTTTGGGTTAGCGCAGGATGAATTCGAAATGAGACGCCATTCCACCCAGTACATGGGCCTGCTATCAGAGAGGCTTTCGGATAAACCTGTGTACGCAAAGTTCAAACTTTCTAACGAAGATATGAAACCTCCCTGATGGAATGTTCGCCAAAGCGTCCTCATGATATTTCACCAGCCTCTGACAGCACTCGCTCCGAAAGTTGACCGAAGATGTTCCCCAACCAGAAAACGTCTTTTATACGAGTGGGTTCTGCCTTTGCACCACCAGCTCAAGCTGCCAATCATGATTACCACCTTTAAAGAGACATCTCGCCAATAGCCTCCCGGGACAGAGACTGCAACGGAGCTCTAGAGCATGGATCAGAAGATTTGCGCATATTTCTTAATGCGATCACGGTGTCTGAGTTGAGAAATGGTACTTTCCGGTGCCTGTCAGGGCCGAGCAAGATGTGACCGCGTATTCTGCTGTCATCGCTACTTGCCGCACCAGGACTCCGGTTCTTTGAATCGACACCGTCTGGGGTACGCTGACCAGAACTCTGGTATAAAGTGATTTCACTTTACTCGACTCTTGAATGCGGCGCTTATATAATTTCTCTTGCCTGGCTTTGGCTTGTCATTCCTTCGTCCCTTCAGACAGCCCAACTACCCGGCTCTGCCGGCCTTCCTGTGGTGGTCTTCACATTATCTGATGCATTCACCGCGCGGCACGCACTGGTCACCCTCTCGGATCTAAGCGACCGGATCTTTGTCAAGGAATTTTCTATTCCTCGTCAGTTTTATTGACCCTGTCCCTCAAGAGAGACTTAGACTGATGGTTAGCAGACTATGCGTTGCCGCATTGGGGCACGGATGGACGAGATATAGACGTTCTTCGGATCGTGGTCAGACAGGACGTTGTTCCTCAGCTGTCAATCATTTATGATTTACTGACGCAAGAGATTCGACAGCTATGTGAGCAGTGATCGGTAGGCAGGAAAGAAGTTGGTATCCAGAGATCTACGTGCCGACCACGAGAAGAAGATATACCCTTTAAGTATCTTCCAACTGTCAACATGCTAAGATCTTGTGGCACGCGTGACCACTATCGGCCATTAGCCTGTCCACGGGTGACAAACAATGCTTATTATCAGCATTTCATCCAAATAGTTAATCCACACCTCGTACAAGAAAAAAATAATCCGTATAGTGGCCTAGGAACAGAAATTGCTTGGAGTCTTAACATCACCACGCGCTTTAAGTTGTGCCGAAACCGAAGTTGTGCCGTTTTTATAAATATTCGAAATTGCTGATTAACCGCCTTGACCGAGTGATCCCTATTTCCCGATGTACCCAAATGAAGTTAATCTCAAGCATCCATAATCTGCTGGGGATATAATATCCGGGTCTGGAACCCCAGATAATATGACATAAGCGAATCAAGGGCCTGGCTGAACTTAATCGTGCGGGGGTAACGCTTAGGCCGGCAGTAAGAGAGAGTTCCACGAGTTCCCTCCAAAACCCTCTTCTCTTCATACATGACGAGCAAACAATAAGCCCAGAAACCACTTTAATGCATGGACCCCAAATCGCGTGATGCCCCGGAAAGCGCACACCAAATCTCGGTACGGGTGTGATCACTGTCGACGTCGACGCGTCAAATGTGACGAGCAGGGACCACCATGCATCAAGTGCATTACCCGACAATTGGAGGGCTGCACGTATTCCAGGGTTCTACCTGCATATCTGCTCAACACCCGTCGACCAAGTCATGATTCTATTAAAACAAGTCCCGTCAGCCTTGGACCCTTTGTTGGACCGAACGGTATCGGTCCGCCACCGAAATCCCCGCTGGAGACGCTGGGTGTGGACGAACTGGAGCTAATGCATCAGTTTGCGACGGAGACGTATCAAAGTCTTTGTGTCAGTGAATCGGAGAGAGTGACATGGCAGAAAGTTGTGCCTCGACTGGCGTTGAAGCATCGGTATTTGATGCATGGCATTTTGTCATTGGCTTCGCTGCATATTGCCACGACGTTGGAAGCGCCTCAAGCACGGGTCTATATCGATATGGGGCTTGAGTATCACAGCATGAGTCTTGAGCCGTTCCGGGTTGCAATTGACAATCTGACACCGCAGAATTGCGACGCGGTCTTTGCAGAATCAGTCGTTACCACGGCAATTAGTCTGTCATTGCCACAATTAACTGCCACCCACGGGAATGAAGGGGGAATGATCGAACATATGGTGACGGTCTTCGAACTTCTCCAAGGCGTCAAGAAGATATTGACGATCGGTCGATCATGGATCCGCCTGGAACTCTTCTCAAAAGGCGAATTTTGGAAAGACAGCTCTGCCGAACTCGACGACGATACCCAATCTGCACTGAATCAACTATCCTTCCTGAATAACCAGACCCGTTCAGGCGGTGACGACATCCAGCACGGTATTAATCGAGATGTCATTAATTATCTCAGACACTGTTTCATGAAATCCTCTTTCTCCTCGGATCCCGCTCCGGTCCTTGCATGGCTTGGTTCTGTGGATAAAGGTTTTGTAAATGGCATTCGGAGGAGGTCGCCATTTCAACTTCTGATACTCGCATATTGGGGTATTCTTCTAGCCGAACTCGATGGAAATCGTTGGTGGGCTCGCAATGCGGGGAAGGCGCTAGTCTCTGAGATTCTGGAGTCATTGGATGCTGAAGATCTTTTGTGGGAGGGTTGTCTTGAATGGGTTCGTCGGAAGTTGGGTTCGCACGATGCCCAAGGAAATGGGGCCAATGGGATCGAAAAATCAAGCTATACTTGACTCATGGGGATATTGATTACCAGATACAGCAACTTTCATGAAGTCACTAACTTGGCCACTTGTAGACAACTTGACCTTTGGGTGCCCAGGTCGTTTCGTTTGTCCAATTTTGATACGCTTTTGTCCTCTTCCAGGACCCGCTGGGGGTTATTATAATAGATCGCCAAAAACATGAATCTACTTTACTCAGTCGGGTTTCATACAACCCTTCCTGCCCTTAATTTTACTACTTGAGGCGCCACTGGGATTTGCTTTCAAACTCAGACATGTTGCATTATTTGTACATACAGATATGCGCGCGCCGATAGAAGCCACAGACCAATCCAAATATCACCGCATTGAACCCAGGAAAAACCAAAGGTCGATCGAATTTCTTCTATGCAAAAACAGGAGGATTCAAGCCAGAAGGAAGGCGAAGGAGATCCCACCCCCCGAATTTGTGATCGTCCACTGTGTCGGTGGGGTATGAACCCTCCCTGGGAGTAGATGAATGGCAGCCGGGTATCACCAGTCTATCTTGTCGACAACCGTCTGCATCTCCTCAATGGCGTCTTCAAATGCAAAGACGGCGACTAGTGTCTTATGGAAGGATGGGATGAGTTCAGCAGCAGGGTGGTCCTTGTTATTATTCTTCACGATTTCTTCAATAATGTGATCCAGATTAATACCTCTCTCACCACAGAGAGCTCGAATGGAATGGACCGCTTGGTAGCTGGCCCGTTCAGCAATCTTCCGAACTTCGTGGCAGGGGTCCGTAATAGTCTCGTCGAATTCTTCCCAGTCCTTGATCAGGGTCTTCCAGTTCGGGACGAGGTGGTTCCGTGCGCGTCGAGACATGACAAATCTGTCTCCTTCGTTTCCTCGGAGGGCGATCCAGGCATACGCGTCGTGGAGTTGACCTTTCCGGGGGCCGTGTAGATGAAACACCTGTCCCAGGTCCAGCATTGCTATCTGGTCATTCTCCTCTCCAATACGGGTGATCAAGTCAATGGTAGCCAGGGTCAAATGAATGTCGGGTCCTTCGAGAGATGGGATCGGCTGGTCGTACTCGTTCACGTAGCCAACGATGGGAATGTTTTCAACGACGTGATCGAGCGAGATGTCATTTGCAAGCCAGTAGCCAGAAGGTAGTCGATTTTTGTAGCGATTTGAGTAGTAATCCTGATCTGGGTAGCCGAGTTTCAGGCAGTGTTCAAACTGTACCTCGAAGGGTATCAATTCAGGATCGGAGTTAGAGGTGGCAGGTTCTTCCTCGGTTTTGCTGGGGCCTATAGGAGATTTTGGTGAATTTGCGGTCACAAACGGTTTGGGAGAACATGCTTCAGTTCGCAAGAGGCTCGGGATAATGGTAGGGCTCATGCTAGCGAATGTGCTGGGACTGGAGCTTGGGCTGTTCATCGGTGTGATCTCCGGGGTAGCCATCGGGCTAGCCCTGGGACTGGTCTTTGGGCTGTTATGTGAGGTTTTTCCCGGTGTATCGTTTGGGACTTCTATCTTCATGGTTAATGGGCGGCTTCGGGGGAGGAGGGCGAGTAGAGGAGTTCCAAAGCATTCTGATGTTGATTTTGAGAGGGAGAGCGTCACAGGAGTTGGGAAAGACAGAGAAAAGAACACAAGAAGAGCCGCGGACTGTTTGTGTCCAAAAAGGGAAACAAATCTGGAACAAACTGGACAAGTTTGTCATCGGCTGTGATTGCCCAAATAAAATGTTGGATTCGTACACCATGCAGCTAGTCTTTCTCACATACCCATTCACACTGCTGGAAACCACCATCTTCTTGAAATTTGCATTTTGGGGTCTCTTCAAGAATACCCATACGTGCATCTAGGTTTGATTTGATTTGACATGGCATCAGAGCTCGAGCCTATTGATATCATGGACAGTGATGATTCAACCTCCATCAAAGAGGAGTCGGACTTGGACTCCACTGAACGTCCCTCAGGAAACCCAATGAATCAGGGCTCCCCCCTCTTGAGTCATTCACTGAAAATACCAAAACTGCTGCTACCTCGAAGACCCATATTCCTATGATACCTAGCAGCAAGAGGGGTCCCAAGCTTCGTCCAGGGGTGTGGCTCTCTGCGGGAATTTCCCGTAAATATTTGGTGCACGATATTCCTATTGCTGGAGTCATCAATGAGCACGGAATCCCTCGACCTTCACTGAGGGGGCCAGATATATGGCCCGCCGAGGATACCATCGCAGAGATTACTCGAATGGCCGAGGCTAATGACTTGTCGGCGATACAAGAAGCCAAATCTCTCTTCCACCTCTCTGGCTTCCAGAAAAATCAGCTGCGTGATGCATACATCTGGATTGCACTACGACAACATGAGGATGGCAGTTTTGTCATGTCCAAGTCTGCCAGAGACCGCCTCGTTCCTGACTGGCGCGAGCTTCTAGACTCCAAGCACAATGCTCCGCCTCCTACTACACTTGACTTGCGTCAGAGCGGAACTGCGATGGCTTCTTCTCATGATCTGCCGATGAACCTCAACGAGATTTTCGATCGCCTTGATAACCAGGATGCTATTATCAAATCTCTCTCACGCCAAGTCGAGAGTAAATACACTGCCATCGGGCAGCTTACCCAGTGCATTCATGCCCAAGTGGCTAGCAATCAACATGTTGTTGCTGGTCTTCGTCAAGCTGAGCGTGCCATGGAGGGCCCGTTGGGGGGCTGCCGACAGCAGTAGTCGAAGTAGGATCCTGGGGGTATGGCTGAGTGTCCTCGCTTCGAATCACTGTATGGGTTATCCACGAAGCATAGATATTTGAGTCGGTAATCGGTGTGCAACGAGGAGTATGTCAAGATACATGTTGCCTTTGTAATGACAAGTCCAGGTTTAACTCTACCCATATCTATCATCGTCTACATCCTGCCTTGATATCTCCAAGTTCGAGCTTTTTAGTAGCATTGAAATTGTTCTTGTTACCTAGTACTCAGGGCACTGAACCGGAATATATGATGTGACCATAGTAGATGGGGGCTGAGCGGGCTCCACTCATCATCAGACCTTTGCAAGCCCTCCCGTCGAGGACAATATCCACCTATCACAGTCTCAAACTGTATCATATTTATCATCTTCTGGGATATACACAGTCTACCACAGTCTCTGGCTTGTGATTGGCCAATTCGCGCGGAGAACGGCTTGATAAGCGCTGTCCTAGTTCCCGATCGTGATCTCCTCACAACGGTTGTCCACCTCAGCGCTGGGTCTCCCAAGCGAAAGATCCTAAACTCGAGAGAAGTCAACTAAACAAAAATGGTTTCCTATCGCCCGGCAAGGCTGGAGGATCTAGCCCAAATCCGCACCATCAACACACATTATATTCTCAATACTTCGCTCACATTCGTGCGAACCCCACCACCCTTTGAGTCATACATCGCCAAACTAAACGATCTTAACACTCGAGGCCTTCCATATATTGTCGCATTGGATGATGAACAGCGTGCAGACGATGGTCACGCTCTTGTCCTCGGATACGCGTCCCTTTCTCCATTCCGCCCACAAATGGTTTCATACGCTCCAACTGTTGAGCTCACTCTATTCATTCACCCGGATTATCAATCGCGTGCGATAGGATCTGCCCTCCTTGCGCAGTTTCTTGGGAGTGTTGAAACTGGCCAAGTCTGGCATACCTGTGAGGGAATGGGTGGCCAAATCGAGTTGAGTGACCAGAACGATGAAAACGCGTCCGCTAGCGCTACTCAAGTCCGAAACGTGATTGCTGTGATGGCTGTGGATCCTGAGGGCAAGGGTCAGGGTGAAGCTTTGAGGACATGGTATTTGAAACGAGGGTTTGAGGAATGTGGTCGAATGAGGAAGGTTGGGTTCAAGAGAGGACACTGGTGAGAACCCGAAATAGAAAAAAATTGATTAACCGGGTTTGACATGAAGCTGATGATATACACTAGGATCGACACTGTTTGGCTACAATATTCTATGCCAGAGTAGATTGAAAGCAATTTTCGTGCAAGAGACATCGAGGTATCAGTGCCATATATCTAGAGACTCCGCATGCGATCTTGCTTCGTCGGCATCTGTTACCTTTCTTTGGTGGCATGTATACTTGACAAGGACGAATCATCGTGATCGTGGCACAATTTCTACTAAAGCCCTTCATGTGTTGAGGATGCCCATCTATATAGTATATATCTGTGGCATGTGTTAAGTTAAGTCCTTCTAAGGCGCCTGGTCCTAATCCACGCTTGCAACATGCGTCTCTTCACAGGCAGTTTGTATACCCCACCTATTCAGTTCAATGAAAACGGCCTACCTCGGCGATCAAAGGTATTTCCCGCATTGATTGGTTTATCAGAGCGTCAGAATGATCACTTGGATAATGGGCGATGACCTTCTCATGTTTGTATTTAGTATCAGAATTTGAGGTAGTGTTTGATGCATTCCGAACTAAAGAAGGAACAATGAAACGGCTCGGATCACGTGACTTGCTTTGGCAACTCCAACGTCACTTCGACATTCTATTCAAACAAATTTCCTCATCAAACTTGCGCGAAGCATCTCCTCGCACTACCCAAGAACATCTGCATCGCAATACGAGGTCTGTGCGGGGTAACTGGAGTCACCATGGCACAAGCTCCCCAGGGTCAACCCGACGCCTTGAACGAAGGCCGACGTATCTACCTAGGTCTGGCCATCTTTATCGGTCGCGCCTTTTCGCCTCTAAATGACTCCTAGGGAATCTACCTTACCAGGCGAGCCCCTACGACATCGAGAACCTTCTTGCCGCCAATGGCTTCGATAAAACAGAAAGTATCCACATCTCGGTTGATCCCGTGAGCGCGAGGAACCCCGGCTACTGCTTCGTCGACTTCCCCGACAAGGCGACAGCCGACCGTGTTCTTACCTCCTTGAATGCCCAGTTCAACGGACGGTCCGTCAAGGTCGGGCCATGCGAGCCCAAGAAACAGCAGAACCGCCGCTTCGGCCGCGAGAACGAGTACGCCTTCAATCGATGGGGTGACTGGAACTCGCAGACCCACAATAGCGAGACTACCGCCAGTCGAGGGAATGGCCGAGGCATTAAGCAGGGTCCAACCGGGGCCCTGCATCATTTCGAAGATATGGTAAATAAGAAAGGCTGGAGACTCTTTGTCGGCGGGCTGGACAAGATGATCAATCAAGCGCAACATAATAGTGAAATCGCTGACTTATTCGCTGCCTTCAAACCGTGCGCGGAATTCTCCCATACTCACACTCCAATTTCAGCGCTAATCCACATCTGTGTACTAGTGTCGCCATTGGCAAACGCATCACCCCAGACGAGTATACGAGATCGTTCCCGGGCAAGCACCACTACTGCTTCATTGATTTTGAAACGAAGGAGGACATGGACGCTGCGATTAAGACACTCAATGGCAGTGTTTATATGGGGAGCCAGCTGAAGGTTCGCCCAGCAAAGGAGATGCCGAAGGCACTAAAGGATCGTCGTATGGGGCTGGGAAGTAATCGCCCTGATGAGGATGAAGGCAAAATCCCTTATTCGGACTATGTAGCGGGGTCGAGTCGAGCCCTGGAATCCAGTAACTGGCGCAGGAAGGGTACCTAGTGACTCTATCACGGCACTATGTCGATGGTATTCTATGTCACTGCGACTTTTCTAATCCTACTCAGATAGCAATTCTTGAACCGAAACCTACAGAATATTTTTATTTCTAGGAAATTAGCTCAACGTCCCCGCAGAATGATCCGACCACGCGGACCTTCTCTAATTAGTCGAAATAAATTGCGGCTATAACGAGGTCAGCACTAGATCCTAGGAGGAAACACTGAGAATGAACAAAGAAAATATCCATGGCGAGATTATGAGCCACCTTGGGTCTTCGGCGCCCTGTCTATGCAGTCATCATCGCCTAAAGGAGATGACTCGACCAAATTTTAGACTGTCGCACATTCACACTCCGTGCGAGGGCATCAGTTTTCTACTGTTACACAACCGCCGTTAAACGATCAATTCCCGAAACTTCTCTTGTCATACATCATGTAGGAACAGTATTTTCCCTCTTACGTTCCTGACTGTGATGAAGCCGGAACTAACAAACAGGTAGCAATTAAAGAGGATGAGCCACACAAAATATAGAGGAAAAAATCCGGGGCTTGTCATATTCAGCTGCGGGGGAAAGTGAACAGGGGGCCAAAGCGAAAGCTAATTCATGGAATTACCCGTACTATCAGAAGAATCGCGTGATTGACCCGCAATTCAGGGTCTACTGTCTTGTCAAGAGTATTCGGGTCCTCGTCATTCTACACCGTAATGAGGGAATCGTCTATAACGAAAGCTAATAATACACATACTGGGGCCATGGCCATCCTGTCAGGCAGCTCATGGAAACCAGTCCTCTAACAACCAAAGCGAAGACTGTTGGTCTGTTGGCTTGCTGACAAATGGACGCTAGAGAGAAACGAAGTACATTACTGCAGGCATAGCCCTCTTGGGGTCCGAATGTACGCTTATAATCATACAGTGTATTTTTTTTATCAAGGTTGTGTAAGAACAACGGGCGCAGTGCCTGCCGTTCAAGCACACAAATATAGCACAAACTACTATGCTACTTCTTGGCGACATAGCAGTCCAGTTGGGGGCAATTATTCCAGACAAGGTAAGACTCAAGTTTCAGAACCAGAGAAGGCAGCTTCCAAAGTGGATTGTGGAAGCCCACTCGACCGACAAGATTTGCTTAGCTTAAGGGGCCCGGCTGGATCACTAGTTAGCTAATCTCAGGTAAATTTTGGACACGATGTGAAACAAAAGGTGCTCGCAAGGAAGACTTCATAAAGAAATAAATATGCAATAAGACTTTGGGGTTCAGTTACATCGCCATCTAATACCTGGCATCCAGGTAGTACATCGTTTAACTTTGTTCCTGGGGCCAACTAAAGCGTGAATTGAAGGTCTTGGTTGCTTAACCTGCCAAGTTCCCACCTGCTTCTCTCCACCCGATCGCAGGGATGATTTTTCTATTTTTCTATTTCGCCGCATGGCAGTTAAGCCTTGCGAGCCAAGATTCCTGTTGGTACAAACGTCACAGCACAGATCAGGGATCTCTATCTTAAGAACTACGGTACAATACTTCTATTAATGATTCGCAAACTTCGACAAGCTTCGCTCCAGATGCCAAGCTGGGGGCAGCTTAACGTATCAAGCGGATCCAAACTTTGACCGAGGGCCGTCGGAAAAGAGCGACTGCGCCTTCCGAAAGTCTTCTGTAGTACATATGACTATGGTAGCACTCAGAAGTGACTGGCGCAAAAACCACCAGCCATTTCAGCCTATCGTAGCGGCGACTGGACGGAGAACGGAGTGTTAAACGGAGGGAAACCCGAGACCAACAACCAATTAGGTAGGCGGTACAAAGGTTTCCGCCCCAGCGGCTGCTAAAAAAAATACCAGTCGCTTTTTCCCATTGAGCCGCAGGCCGCCCCTTTTCAGTAGCTGATCGTGTGTCCATTTCGCAATTTGGGGGCGGTCCGTATTCTTGTCCACATCTTTGAGTGAAAAGCTGTGAGCTATCGATAGTCCACCACTACCAAGAAGAATACCAAGGATAATTATCCACCCCTAAAAGCCCACCTTCCCGGCCCGGACAGGACACGATTCAAGTCAATCGAAAATGGCGGAAGGACAGATCTCCGAGCGGGTTAAAGAGGGACCCAATGGGGTTCTATAAGATCTTATAGCGGCCTATAGGGTCTCATCGAGGAGGCCTTTGCGAGCTATTTGCGGGCTATGTACGGAGTAGTTATATAATGGTGACCACACAGTCCGGCCCCGAGGCGAATAAGCTCACGTCACCCCTTGGACCCTTTTTTTGGACCCTGCATTACAATGGGTTATGATGGCAGGAAACGTGTGAAGGTTGAATATGATGCGGGCTCTGACCTGTAGGATTGAAGGGGGTGGATGGCCTAACCGTCGGATTCGTCCAACCGTTCCAACAGTACAACACTTATCGCCACGTTGGAGACTTGGAGTCGTGCAGGAAACAAGTGAGACTAGCTGTGGGGAAACCAGACACTCGCACGGAGTCTTCGGGCCACTGACAGTATCCGAAGAGGTCTCACACGAAGAGTTTCCTATTCCGCACCATCCAATGAACTCCTCAGGGACACCCGCTGAACCAATGAAATGCCTCAAAACCCATGACACAACAAGGTTAGGTAAGAGGAACAAGGCTTTTCGAGTTGCTGGTCGGTCCCCTTAGTGTGCCCCGCCCACAGCCTCGTTTGGGCAAAAGACCGCATGACCCTGAACTTTTTGAAAGGACTAAGATGCACTCACTGGATGAAACCCTGGACTGGGGCTTGCAGGTCCACAGCCAAATTCCCACGCCGCTTGGCCAACTGTAGCAAATTGGGGCCTTTTTTCTTTACGGAGTAGAGGCTTTTGGGCTGATGGAGACGACTGGTCCTGTGCCCATTCTTTTCCCCATGTTCTATTTTATTTATTATTAGGTCCGCCGCTCGCTCGAGCCGGACTCTCCGAGGGAGATTTTCATTTCTGCTTTTCGTGTTTCTCTTGTTGGATGATTTTCGCTCGTTTAGCAGCTGCAGCTGTATAGCACATACTCACACACATACATACCCACGAAGGAGCCACTTGTATGGCATCGCCCATGTCGACCTGCTAATATACATCCTCGCCAACATGTTGCGTCAATCCAATTCGCGTTGGGCAGAAGCCGGCGACTCCGCCGCGATGCTAGGGGGCTCTGCAGCTCGACCAATGGCCTATTTCAACTACTTTTGCTGCGCTCTGCCAGCTCGTGCTTGTACAGCGGCCTTTACTTGGGAATCCTCGAAGAAGTTTTGGTTTAGCTACCTGACTGTCTCAACGATTTGCGCCAAAATTCTCCATATCTACGCTCATGCCGACTCCATCAAAGCTAAACACTTGTTCCTTTGGGGCCCTACATTCTTTGTTCAAGACGCAATTTTCCTTTTGATAGTATTTGCGCTCACTCGCAACTTCCAGCGAGCATGGCTGCGCTATACGGCTTCGACGACGGTCATTATGGGGACGTAAGTATTGTGTACTTCAATATTAGGATGATTAGAGCTTTGCTGACACGGAATCTTTCTATAGATTGATCCTCTCCACGATGGCCGCGGCTAATACCTCATTTTATTTCACCACCGGCGCTGAAATTCACTGGCGACAAGCAGGCGGCTTCAACCGCGATCCCGCTTCGATCAACACCCTGCTCACCGGATTGACTGGCCTTGTCATTGTCGACGTTCTATATATTGTGGCAGCCGGCTTGACAACACCATGGATCTATAACGGCGTGGAATCGATGATTTCGATTTGGATCTCAATGATAAAATCCATTTTCAAGCCTGTCGCACCGTACGCAAAGGCTGGTGTCAACAAGGCTCTTAGCCGCTGGAGCAAGGGCCGGGAGGTCTTTGAAAGAATGAAGATCTACGAACCCGTTCCGTTGAGCGACTATGATGAGGAGGAAGACAAGGCCACGCCTAGCGGTGCGCCACTGCTCGATCACCCACCCCAGACTCTTGAGAACCGACGCTGGAATCTCCATTGGGCAAAGAGCGGCGACTGGAAGCGCGATATTGACTGGAAGCTCTGGTTGAAGCGCGCTCTCGTGGTCTTCCCTACGGCATACATTTTCTTCGTGCGCCTGCTTCGCCCATCAAATTCGTCCTACGGTTTCCTCTCTCAGACAGTCATCATCAGTCCATTTGCGGGTGTCGACTCGGAAAGCAAGCTCGCCCATATGTTCAAGGACCGCACCTTGGATGGTAAGACCACTGCTCTTACTGCGGTTCCAGAGTTCGACTGGCTGCCAAAGGGCAAGTTCCCCGGTTTCCGCGACTGGGAGGATAGATCTCGGTACTCTCACTATAACTCAACTGAGGATCCTCTGCACATTTCCAACCTGGGTCTCGATATTTTGGCACCTATCAAAACCGCTCTCGATAGCGGCGATGTCAAGATTAAGCATATCTTCCTCTTCAAGATGGAGAGCACTCGCTACGACGTTTTCCCCCTCCGAAATAACACTTATCTGTGGAACCGACTTCAGAAGTCCTACAAGGATAACAAGGTCCCCAAGGACGTACAGGATCGCCTTGTTAACCTCACTCGCACCGCCGAACGTATCACCGGATCGCACTCAGGATTCCACCGAAACGAAACTATCAAGCCGTACGGAGGTATCAACCTGCACAATTCTTATACCGGAGGAACCTTCACTCTGAAGAGTATCGAGGCAACCACCTGTGGCGTCGAGCCTCTGGTCGTTGATTTCAACCACGAGTACGAGCATCACATCTACCAACCTTGCATGCCTCACATTCTCGATATGTTGAGTGCGACAACAAACAACAGCAAGAGCGATGACTTTACCGACTGGCCCTGGCGCCCTGCATTCATGCAGTCTATCACTGATACCTACGATCATCAGGACCGCCTTACTCCCGCTATTGGCTTCAAGCCCGAGAACATCGTGACTGTTGAGTCTATCGACGAGGAGCGTGCTAACGACACTTCTTGGACTGCCGAGAAGTTCAACTTCTGGGGATATCCGGACTCTTCGCTTGCTGTCTACTTCCGCGAGGCGATTGAAAAGGCTGAGCGCGATCATGAGCGTCTTTTCCTGACCCACCTTACCGGCATCACCCATCATCCCTGGGACACGCCGAATGGAACGTACGAGGAGCTTATTGGAACTCAAACGAATGCGTTTGGTGGCAAAAGTGACGGTCTGAACCGCTATCTTAACACTATTGGTGTTAATGATCGCTGGTATGAGGAGTTTTTGGATATTCTGGAGGAGACTGGCGTTGCCAATGAGACTCTCATCGTTATGACAGGTGACCAGTAAGTTCCTTTTCCATCGCAAGAGATGAAATCATGCTAACCTTTGATTTAGCGGTCTGTCGCTCCCTGAGGATGGCAACGTTACTCCCTACGATAACCCCCTGGAGACAAACTTTCACGTTCCTCTGATTTTCGTGAGTTTTCATCATCAGTCATGCATAGTATACTGTACTGACCGTTATACCCACAGGCCAACCCTCGTCTCCCCGTTATCCAACTCAACGCCTCCGTTTCTTCTGTCCAAATTCTACCCACAATCCTTGATCTCCTCAAAAACTCCGGTTCCCTCGATAAATACAGCACCCGTGCCGTCGGCGATCTCCTACCCATGTACGAGGGCCAGTCCATCCTTCGCCCCATCATCACCCACAACGACAAGACATCCTACTACCAATTCACCGTCATGAACACCGGCGGCTCAATGGTCGCCATGCGCTCCGCCGACGCTCCCTACCGTCTCATCGTCCCTCTCGTCCCCGAGGTCGAATTCCGCTTCACCGACCTCAGCAAGGACCACCAAGAAGAAAAGCCCATCAAAGCATTCGATTTCAAGCCTCTCATGAAGGCCGTTACTGAGGACCATGGCGAAGAGGCCGCCCAGTGGGTGCACGATGCCGCTCGCGCTGCTCAGTGGTGGGTTACCGATAACTGGAACCGCTATGAGTATAACCCGCGGGTACCTCAGAAACCTCATCAGTCGTGGCCAAGCTCTCATAAGGGTCCTTGAATAACATAGGGACCTAGAAGAACATGTTTCCCAACGACACAACGCAAACTCGCCACTCGGCATCATCTTTTTTTTTCAATCTATATATACCAACTTTTGTATGATTACGGACTCTCGGGATTATTCCGACGACTCTGACAAGCATGGCGCACGGCACATATTTCGGTTTTCGGTTTTTTTTTTTTTTCGTTTTGTGTATATATTCACACCTACTGACTGGGATTGCATATTTGGAGGGAACTCAAATAGTTATTAATGATCATATCTTGAAATCATGAACAGCTATTTCCATAAATCCGCTCTTGAGATCGAAGCGACCGCTCATTGCTTGCAGATCCTAGATCCTTCCACCGCTAATCGAATACTTAAGATGTACGCCAAGTTAAATAGCCCGGGATCACCACCCTATTCACAGCTCCGATCTCGCGATCGCAGACAACCCAAAAAAGCAAGAATAGAAAAGTCGACTCTTGATTCGACAGCGTCCAGGAAGTCCTTCAAGACTCTCAATGAATCACCTGCATCAAAATCTGACACTGCTGCATGCATCTCCCAAAGTAGTCTCCGCCTACACCAAATCAGGCTGCCGTATCCGACGGTCCGCCCCTGGTACGGAGGGCGGCCTGGCTGGCTGATCATGGAGATCATCGTTCATGCATCTACTCTCCTCATGCCCCGCCAATTTTCCTCCCCCCCTCCTCTGCTCTTCAGCTTGGGCTTGAGTTTTTTTCTTTTCTTTGATTCCCATTGCCAAAGATGGAGGTTTCACGGCGGGCACCGTGGCTTTATAATTTTCGCTCTTCGGAGACTTTCATTGTGATTGTGGTGTCTATTGCTATTTTTACTGTAAGTATTACGATTTACGAAGTGTTACGGTCGCTGACTCTTCTCAAAAGGATGTCTTTATCTATGGAATGGTATGTGATTCAAAGCCCCCGGAAAAAACATTGCAAATGTTTACTCACTATCACAGATTGTGCCAATTGTTCCAATTGCATTGGTCAAACGTGCTGGGGCTCGAGAGGAAGAAGGTATCATCTTTCACTTGTGCGATACACATCCCGATCGGCCACTAATAGCTTCACAGCTCAATCCTGGGTCTCGATATTGTTGGCTGTCTACGGTGCCACCCTCCTCGTGGGATCGCGTGGGTTTTCCTGCAAGCACGTCCCACGTTGTGTAACAAGCTGACCCCTCACAGCATTATTCGGATATTTTGCGGACCACTGTCGTCTACGAAGACTTCCATTTATCGTTGGCCTGATTGCATTGGGGGCTTCAACGGGTCTCTTCGTCATTGCTCGATCTTTACCTGTGCTCATCATTGCGAGAGGGCTTCAGGGCTTCTCCGGTGCCGCGGTGTGGGTTGTCGGCCTCGCTATTATCGCTGACAATGTACCCCCAGATCGGGTTGCGGAGGCCATGGGCCATACCTCAATTGCGTTGACATGGGGTGCTCTCCTAGGACCAACTATTGGAGGCGTGATGTATGAGAAGCTGGGCTTTTATGGGACCTTTGCTATTCCTGGTGGATTGATTATCGTGGATGTGGTGCTGCGATTTGCGATGATCGAGGAATCAGGTAAGGGGACCTGCAAGTCATAATCTGTTCTACTGCAGCTTGGGCTCTGACATATTACCCCAGCAGTGATCCAACCTGTCAAGGCAGGAATGGAATCGGCAGTTGATGGTCCTCTGTACGGCACCTTTGGCCGTCAAGAGGATGAGTATTCGGGATATTTCTCATCTGGTGAAGAGACGGCCAGCGAGCAAAGTCATCTTATCAGAGCTTCGAATCCTTGTTTTGAGCTCCCTCGCTTAACCTATGAAAAACAAGCTACGGTGTTGGACCTCCTCCGGACCCCGCGTCTGCCCCTTGCGTTGATTGCGACAGTTGTGATGGCCATTATATTCGCGGCTTTGGAAACGGTACGTTGTCGTCATTGGAACAGCGATCAGTTACCCCAAGACACCGAGAATACTAACAGGAGATATCTACAAACCATAGACCCTACCATTATTCGTCATGGACACGTTCAAATGGTCATCCAGCGGCGCCGGCTTAATCTTCGCAACCACCGCCATCCCAAGCTTCGCAGGAGTCTACGTCGGCAAATTGATTAGTCGCTTTGGCGCCCGTATCCCAGGAACTATCGCATTCGTAATCGCAACCATCTCATGGATCGCGATGCGATTTGTGAACAGCAACACAGCCACCGATGTCACTCTTCTGGTCGCCCTTTTTGCTTCTTCAGGGAGTGTCGATTGTGTTTGTGGAAATCACCGCTATGACAGAGGTCTCGCAAGTAGTCGGAGACTACGAGATTGAGTTCCCCGGGGCCTTTGGTGATAAGAGTCCCGTTGCTCAGGCTTATGCTTTGTTCAATATGGCTTTTGCGGGAGGGCAGCTTCTAGGACCGATTTTGGCGGGGGGAATTCGGGTTTGGGCTGGTTGGAATACTATGACGCTCATTATAGGACTGGTTTGTGGTTTGACGGCAATACCCATGGGATTATTCAGTGGTGCGCCTTTGAGGGATGGGGATTATACTTGGGAAGACGAAGTATAAAGTCAACTGGATTTTGTGTGCTTTGTTTAATTTACTAGATGCTGCAGGCTTCTGTGCAAAAAAGATATCAAGTAGACGCGAGTATTGGAGTCTCAAAAATCGTGTGAAGGGTTAAGAAATGCTGGAGCTGGATTTGTGCCTGGAAATTCAGGCATCGGCTGTTTGGCGCGACCTTATGGCAGGAACGACAAGAGCCGCATCATTGTTTTCATCTTCATCCGCTTTCAAACGTTCGACTTTGCTACCAATTAGCGCTAGGCTCTCCAGAACCCTCCTGAATCACTTCAATCATGGCCCACAATGATATTTACTGTGGCTTGTGCGGCGCCGCTCTCTCTATACCTTTGTTTAGTGCAACTGATGCCCCAGATGAGAGTGGGCCAGGTAATGGCCGACCCAGGATCGAGGATATGGCATGGTTGGAAGACGTCCGCATGCTTCATCAAACCAACCATGAAACCACGAATTTCGAAAGGTCTGTTCGCGTTCGAAATGATAAGTTTGTTGAATTTTTAACTCACATTTGCTCGTAGTGCGAATCTATCGTCCATTGTCACCCGTCGGGATGACGACGGGTGGTGGGATCGGACGGGATATGTTCCAGCTCTTGATGATTTTGAAAATACAACCCCAGATGCCTTCAAGGTTTTTGACCCGTATGTATGACTTGATTCAACCTGAAGACGACGATTCTCATCACAAAAACAGATATATGGAGGGGAGATATCATATCATTCCACTGCACGATGCTTGCAACAAGGTCTTGGCAAAATTCTTGAACTACTCCGTGGGCACTACACCAAAAGATTACCTCAGAGTTCTTTTTGAGGCTTTACGAAGTTTCCACGACACATCGTCTGACTTCTACGCTGGAAAAATCAAGTATGGCAAGATCTCAAAACAACATGGCCAGTTCTGGTATCCAACTCTCACCACTAAAGCATTCGTCTACGATCCGTTCTTCACATCTCCAGTACTGAAGACATATTATGACAACTTGCCCGAGATTGGAAAGGACGGAGACGAAAGAGAGGATTCCGCAGTCTGCTACATGAAAACAACCTCTAAACCAGACCCATTCCGCAAGCTTCCGCCAGAGCTCCTCATGATGATCCTCATGCATCTTCCCGCGCAATCAATACGTCAACTCAAGCTTGCCAGCATCGCAATAGTACAACTTCAATTGCCAGATAGCTTTTGGAAACAGAAACTCAAGCGTGACATGCCTTGGCTTTGGGACTTCCCAGGCCAAGGTACGGAACAAACGCGGAAGGACTTGGATTGGTTGCAGATTTACAAGGACATTTACATCGGAAGCAAAGGCAATGGGAAGAGCCCGTTCTTCAATCTTACCAATCGGAATAGGATATGGAGGATCTCCGAGCAAATCGCACCTCGCTTTGTGAAGTGCCAGGATGAATGGAAAATTGCTCAAGAGAGGGAAAGGGAAAAACTACCCGCTTTGACAAGCGAAAAGGAACGGAGACTCTGGCCGCGCCTGGACTGGCTCTGAGAGTCACAACTTCTTTCAATATGAAGCATAACGTTGATATGCTGGAGCTGTGGTATATTGATAGGTTTACATTTTTCCTAATGCCATCCTTACGTTCCTACAGGCTTTGAACTTCAGACCCCAACCCCCAACAAGCTCCTTAGCTCGCCGCATTCAGCACGACGGAGTTATAACTAGACAGATACAAGAACGATCAGTATTCTAAGAGCCATTTAGAATCGGCGCGGGCAAGAGGGACAAATAATGTATAAATCGGAAAAGTCAACAATATCAGAATAGCCCACATTGTTTTCCTCTTCGCCCCCAAGGTCCTGATATTTCGCATACTGGGTACGCCAATATCTAGCCAGGAGCCCCGTGCGTGTGCCCTGCCTAAATCCTCTCTTGTTGGCGCAGCCAGGAACTGCGCGGAGTAATTGCTACTACCGAGGATGACAGTCCCCAATGCGTTGATAAGCAGGTGAAGACCAGTCGACCAGTTCTTGGTTTTCGAGCATCGACCCTCCTAGAGTACAACAGTCACGAAGTCACTTTCGTGCTTTTGGGAATAGCCGTGAGCAAATGCGACTGCAGCCAGTATGACATTTATCGCCAAGGCAATACAGGCTGCCGTCGCGCAGAGCTGTATCTCTCGAATGACTTGACCCTCTGGAGCATCGAAGTCGGCCGCTTGGAGTCGTCGTCCTGTCTGGCCGGAGTTCCTACCATCCTCGGCATTTCGGTGCAAAGGCATCGCACGTCAGAACACCTGGAGACAACTGGATGAAATTCATCAATTTATCAGTCGTCACTTTCTTGACACGATGGTCTTCGCCCCCAATCCTGGTCTTGGCAATCTTGCATCGCCACCTCGTAGGCCAGAGAGTCGATCATCGCAGCAAATTTGGGGGCTGAGAGCCAGTGGATATGTCTGGGAGGGAAAGAATAGCTCCTCTGCCTTGTTGACGCTGTTACTTGGTGGTTTTGGCTGAAAATTAGCCTTCTTCGCGGTACTTTCGTCACCCTCATGTGCACTTTCGGAATCGGCCGAAGGGGAAGATGATTGGCGCCCTCTGGATCAACATCGGGCAAAGCTATACATTTAGTTCCCCTCTGGCCTCGAGAATCGTCGTGCCGGAATGAGTGTAGTTGGCGCGTCTGATGAATGCGCATGTAGTCGCTTGGTTGACTTGCCGAGGGGTGAACAGGGCGAGTAGACCAACTATGAGTTGAACTTGCAAACTGCACCTTATCCATAATTAACTCTCTGGAGATAAAAGATTGGCCAAGAGTGATTGCGGTCGAGTTGGGGTATGAACGGGTTTGACGTATCGAATGCAACATGATAACCTGATAAGCGACAGCGCGTGCGGGGTGTGCGTGGAGAGGGGTAACTTTGTACAACCTTCAAGATAAAAGCCTCCTATTTTGAGAATTGACTCACGCTCAAACTACAACATACCTCGTTGACCATACAGAAGACGAGTATCCTTCTCTGAATCTTTATCTAAATGGCCGATATTGAGTATCTGAAGGGCCTCGAGGCTGTGCGTGAGCGAGCTCACCTGGTGCTTGGAGCGGCTGAGAGGGACGAACTATCCCACTTCGATTATGACTCTTCGAAGATGTCTGAAGTGGCGGAATTTGTTGCTGGTGTTATCACGGTATGTCTGTGAGCTTGACTCGTGTGCGATATCTGCCACTGACGAATAGAATCCAGCGAGACTTCGGCCCTGATCGATTCGACCAGATTCCCCCGCACGGACGGTGGCAACACTTTGATGTTGGCGGCGTTGCTCGTGTCGACGGCTTAATCAAACACTGGAAGCTCAAGGGACTGAACAGACTCGAGACTACACGTCGACTGATCGATCTTTTCTTTGTCGCGGTTCTACTCGATGCTGGAGCTGGAGATGTCTGGAAGTTTGCTGAGCCCAACACTGATCAGGCTTATGGCAGAAGTGAAGGTATAGCCGTTGCATCTCTATACATGTTCAAGGCTGGTGCCTTCTCAAGCAATGGGGGGAAAGATGTTGAAACGGTTGATGGTCAGTCTCTTTTATTTGACTTGTAATTGTGTTAAGGAGTATACTCACATTGCCACTAAAAGGTCGCGCTTTACTGGCACTAGATGTCACCGGCTTCGAGCAGCATTTCCAAATCACCGACAAGAACCCCCTTGTTGGAGCTGGGTCTCGCGTCAACTTGTTGAAGAGCGTGGGATCTTCCCTTCTGAGCCTTCCAAAGTTCTTCGGAGAAAGCGGTCGACCAGGGAATCTTGTTGGTACGTGTAAACGCCGCATCACCCCGTTCACTACGTTAACACCTCGACTGTAGACTATCTGGTTCAGCAAGCGGGCGATTCTAAAGAGCTAGACTTCAACACTCTTTGGGCTATCCTGCAAGAAACACTCCTGCCAGCCTGGCCCAGAAACCGTACCAGGATTGCAGACAAGCCAATCGGCGACGCCTGGCCTCTTGAAATACTCTCAAAACTCAACGCTGGAAAGGACAGTGGAAATGAAAATCGTACCCTACACATTGCGCCATTCCACAAGTTGACGCAATGGCTTGCCTATTCACTCACGGTTCCTTTCATGCGAGTGCTTGATATGCAGTGGAAGAATTTGGACAAAGGGACCGGGCTTCCGGAATATCGCAACGGAGGCTTATTCGTCGATCTGGGTGTCCTGAAGCTCAAAGAGGAAGCTTTGAAGGCTGGCCTAGCTGCATCGCAAAAGGAACTTCCCAGCTATGAGGCCACGAGCGATGTTATAGTCGAATGGCGCGCAATGACTGTGGCTCTTCTTGATAAGCTGCATGAACTTATCGGTGCGCATTTCGCTAGCCAGGGTGTCAAGTTGAGTATGCCGCAGATGCTGGAGGCTGGTTCTTGGAAAGCAGGACGAGAGTTGGCGGCAAAGTTCCGTCCCGCGACTAAGTCGAGCCCCATCCTGATAGAAGGCGATGGCACTCTATTCTAGAGCTAACTGCGTCATAATCAAGCTTCAGAGACACATATATGGCAACAAAAATAAATGATACTGTTTTCTCTATTGTTTTAAGATCTATCTCCGCTTCAGCCATATCTAACGTCCTTGACTTTCTCCCCAAACCAGTCATCTGTAGTACGCGATTCCTCCGGCGCGGCAAAGTTGATAATGGTACTCTTCGTCGTTGTGTACGCATGATATGCGTCAATTCCATTCTCACTGCCAACGCCACTCGCAGCTTTGGTACCTCCCCAGGGACTACTGGGATCATTGCGATGATGGGTGTTTACCCACACAATTCCAGCCTCAATCTGCTCAGACACTCTGAATGCCCGGGAGAGATCCTTCGTCCAGATACTAGCTCCCAGTCCGAATTCAGTGTCGTTCGCCAGTTTGATAGCCTTCTCCTCGGTGTCAAAGCCAACAACGACAATCACTGGGCCGAATGCTTCTTCTCGCCAGATCGATGATTTGATGATGCTTTCATTGTCTTTTCTAGACACGAGAATTGTAGGTTCGTAGAAGTATCCTTTTGAAAGATTGGATCCATCAAAAGCACTCGTTCCTGTCATTCGTTTGGCCCCAGAGAAATCTATAGCCGTTTCGTTGGTGATAGACTCGTTCACAAGCCTCTCAACATTTTGAAGCTGCTTTGCGGATACAAGAGGCCCCATCATAGAATCGGGATTTTGAGGGCTCCCTATTCTCCTCGTAATTGCCTTGACCTTGTCCACTAGGTTCTGCAGAAGTCGATCCTTAATTTTTGAGTCCACGATAATCCTCGTGCTGGCGATGCATGTCTGTCCGCTCGCAATAAAGCTTCCAAACGCAATACCATTCACAGCAACGTCAATATCCGCATCTGCAAATACGACCAAGGGTGCTTTGCCTCCAAGTTCTGCGGTATATTTGGCCAAATTGCCGCCTACAATTGACCCGATCGCTCTTCCCGCCACTGTTCCGCCCGTAATGTCGACCATCCTGATCAGGGGGTGAGAAACGAGGGCCTTTCCTGTCGTCGCGCCATACCCTGGTAAGACACTGAACACGCCGGCCGGAACACCAGCCTGGGCAAGAATCTTTCCCAGCAATAGAGATGTCAGGGGTGTTAACTCGCTTGGTTTGAGGATGACGCTATTTCCCGCTGCAAGAGCAGGAGCAACTTTCTTCACCGCAATGAGAAGAGGGTGGTTGAAAGGAGTGATTTGCACCACAACTCCAAGTGGTACTCTATCGATGAAATTGTGTAATCTTCCAGTCGTGGGTAGAACTGATCGCTCTTCGACTCGAAGTAAGGATGCATAGTACTTGAACCATTTCACCAGAGAGGGGACCTGGGCCTGCATTTCCTTGATCACTCTTCCTGTCTGCCTCGATTCGAGGGGTATGAGCTCCGGAAGGGCATCTGATAACAGGGATGCGCTTTTTTCGAGAACATCGGCGCGGTGGTGACGACTTGCTCGAGACCAAATGCCAGATTTGAATGCAACGTGGGCGGCAGCGACCGTGGATTCGACGTCTTCGTCTGACGCGGCATGGCAACTTTTCGAGATTAGATTATAGATGGCAAGTTCGAAGAAGCTACTCTTACTGTGCAAATATTTCGCCTGTCGCTGGGTCTTCGACGGGGATTCTGTGCAATATTAGACTTGCTGATAATAATGTCGCGCTTAGAACACTTACAGGTCAGCTCCTCCGGCCTTCTCCTCGCCAGCTACCCAGAGAAGATAAGTATCTGGCATTAGAGAATCAAGAAGAATCTGCGTGAGCGGGTGTCCTAGTGACTTAGGTGAAGGAGTATTGGGAATGAGGGGAGTTTACATGGACAGCTCCTCACGCCTGCGCTGTCATCCTTATCTCGCGGCGGGAAAGCGGGGTTACAGACTGCGACACCTATCTATAGCCCGATAAGATGAGGGGTACCTGCCTAGTAAGAATGGAGGTTATGTTGCATCAAAAAATTTGTCCTAGATTACAAGAATTGCAAAACCAGTTTCGCCTAATTTGCATTTGCTAAATCTTTCAGGGGCCCCCTGCCAAGGCGGAAATGGGTAGATCTTAGTGAACCCCCGTACGCCACGATCATTTTGTCTATTAATATAGCCCTGGGTGGTGTATTGATGCCCGATGCTATCTCATTATAGTATTGGGCTGACATGCAACACGTAATAAAAATCCCCTTTGCGACAGTTCCCCAAACTATCTCTCCCCCGTAATAGAACCGCGAATAGCTAGCACTCTTCAAGCAGCTCTTCTCTCATTGATTGCTTGCAGATATTAGTCCTCACGTCAATCGAGGTTAGATGGATGGAACAAATCCAGATCCGAAGCTTTCACAAAAATCCTTATATTAAAGAGTGGTAGGCAAGTCGAAGAACCCTCGGAATTCATTGATATACCTAGCGAGGAGACAGAGTCGTCTGACCTTAAAAGAGTTGACTCTGTCAACGTCAACGAAGACAAACTGAAGAGAGCCTTTTCCGATAAAATTTCCGAACTTGTTGCCAATGAGAAAGGAGGCCACCATGTCTCATCGTCATTAATGATCGAGTGGGCCGATAGAGTCGATGTTCTAGTGTCGAGGAATGCTGGACTGAAGAAAAATGCGTCGAATGTCAAAATGCTAGGGATCATAGCGTTGAGCCTGCGGAGAATCTCTACGCTTGATCGCCGAGGTCAGCGCTAAGTTCCGTCTCAGAAAATGATGATTCTGACAAAGAATTGTAGACGCTCACTTATTGATATCATGCAGAAATTGTGGACATATTGATACAGTCTTATAAGTCTCGGGTAAATGTCTACCTTACCCAGGCTAGGGAAGCTTTCAAAGGAAACTAGCCTGAGCGTCCCGGGCGATTTGACTCCGGATTTTCATGATCACCTGTCATCTCTTCTCTCGAATTTCGAAAGCTTCCGAGTCCAAATAAACGATGCATCGCGCTTATCCACGCAGGACGGTCTCGAGGAATCAGTTCTCAGCGCTTATGATATCTGCCACAATTACAACGAGCAAGATTTCGAAATTGTTTCGGACAAAGCTTCTAATGCAAAGAAGCTCAGCAATGCTCTTGGCTTTTTAGGCAGGCTAAATACGTGCTTCAAAACTTTGATCAGGGCTGCAGAAAGACTTCCAGGATTTCGGGTCCTCCAGATCATCCCGGTGACAGTTCTACCTGCTGGTAGACGCAAGTCAAAAGCGAGCCCAAAGCATCGCTGGTCACTCACGAAGACTTTCTCTGCACTAGGCCTCAACCTGAATGACCAAACAGTGCAATCCCTTTTCAAAGCTGGGAGAAAGGAGGGCCCCTGGACAACAGGAAGATTGCTCCGAAGATTCGACAAGCCAGAGTTCCAGGTACATGCAGAAGTACAAGTGTTGTTAGCTGCTGCACGGCATGGTTGCACAAGGGCCTCTACTTTCAAATATGTGGGCTGCAGTAAGCGAAGTTGTTTCTTTGCTACAGTTTCGTTGGGAAATATGGGCATTTTGATTCGAGAGGGTGTCATGGTAAGCTCTGGGATCTTTGGACTGTACCCGAAATTTCGTGGCTTACCAACGAGAGCCGCTTGCGGCTTGTCAAGATTCTCGAAGATATCGAGAAAGACATGAAGGATTCTTTCCTTGATAGTCGTAACGATAAACATCAGCATGCTCAAGAATCCATTATTGGAGGCTCCTCCATGGCAACCGTAATACATCATTTTGACAATCCCTACATCAAGTCGCTCGCCTCGCGGCATCTTGAAGCTCAATGCGGAAACATATTACCTGAGACTAGGAAGACCGTCAATTCTGAAAGCTTAAGATGAGCCGCATTTAGACTACGTTATAGAATCTGCTAACAGGAGCCTAGTCAAGGTTCGCCAAGCGACGGTGAATTTGATACTACTAATGTCATATTTCCAGTATGTCAAAAACAGAATACTGATCCAGCAGCGATGACGGGATCCATACTAGAACGACAGGAGTGCGATTCTTGCAGTAAAGAGACTCTTCGGCGTTGAGCGCACTGTAATCGAGATTGGTTTTGCAGTCAGAAGGGTTAAGACCAGATGCCTTTAGCTCATCTTGCCAAGTGCTCTGCTCGCTCGATAACGACTGCCGACATACTCTTTGACGATGTAACAAAGGATCAATTTCCAAGAGACGAAGAAACCCGTGAGGCGTTTGGGTTCAACCGATGTTTCCATTGGAAGGAAGAGTCTCGTCTCCCGGGCCTCTATCGTGGCTTTCTTCTGTTCCTCCATGACCGTGAGATAAGTCCGGTTGAACTGAACAAATGGCAAAAAACGGCACCCTTACGAGGGAGATCGAGAGGTTCTATGCCATACCCGGAAATAGCCGAGGGGGATACTTCCCGTGGTTTCTTCGAAACCAGCATATACTCGAAAACTCAACCCCAGTGCGTGCATCAGCTTCAAGGCCCAGAAAATCTCATCCTGCGAGCGTTCGATGCTGCAAGGCCTTACCTAGAGCCAGAAGATCGCGATAAAGATCTATAAGAGCTTCAGCCTATAGAAAAGCGTTATTGTTTCATTTTCTACGCTTTGGCTGTGGATAGCTCGATCCCGAACCCGAATTCGGTTGAGTTAGATTTGTGGTACGATTTTGGGTTTGCTTTATGCACCGATGAATACCACGAGAAGAACCTAGGAGCTCTCTACAGCAAGCTTGTCGGTGGTGAAAGCCTTTTCAGAGACTACGATACAAGTCTCGGGATTGCTTCTAATTGCGATGCTACCTTGCCTACGTGCTCCTTTGATGAATTCTGGCGAGCATGGCGGGATGGCACTATGGCAGATCTATTCGACAAGTACAGTGTTGACGGTGGTTTAGACGGAGACACCGGATCTGGACTGGGGCGCAATATTGGATTCCATCATTTGAGAGAGTTCCTGGCTTTCCCTTTCGAAAAGCATGAACTGCGCCCTTCCTTGTGGAGGCTTAAGCACCTCCTAGCCTTGGATGACAACACACCTTTAACAGGCTTTCCCGAGATTGTAGAAGCTTCACATGAGTATGGTTTCACGCCGCAGATTGACGCACAAACAAGGATCAATTTACGCCAATCCTATAGAGAGTTGCTTGATACAGTCGATCCGCTTGAGGTCCATAGGGCTATGGAGCGCGGAGAACTGCTGGGATGTTCGGAGAGCCAGTTGATCTTTGTCGGCGAAAGAGCGCGAGATGTGTTACAGAAGATGAACTTAACAAGACTGAAGAAAAATGGGGGCATCAGCCATAAGCTAGCATAGTTTAAACACCCGTTACCTCTTTCTACTGTTCAATGTTGTCTAAGTTGCTATGATTAATACTTAAATGTAAAACGGCGCTCGGTTCTTAAGCTAGACTTCAATGAGCAGACTAGAAACAAGACAGGAGTGTAAATTAGTGAAGCTGATTTTACTCTTCTGTGGAGTGCCAGCTAGAGCAAAAATCGCGCTTATCAGCTTCCAGGCTGGCAGGAGAGACGAAGGTGGCCGGCTGAAAATAACGACCATATTTTGTTCTGAACAAGGTCAGTTTTTGTTCCAATTTGCACTTAGAATAAATGTTTCTAAAAGTCATGTCCATCATTGATCAGGATCTTTCGAGAGTTTCGCAGAAAATTATTCAGAATGATATGTTGTGAAAGCTTCGAGAGAAGAGAAAACATATCAAGACCAGCTACATTGTACACACGTGATAAACACGCAACTATCGACTATGAATCGCTCAGTGCCTCAGGTCTGAGAGCAGGCCAAGGCAAACTGGGTGCCTCAGGAATCCTTTTCGAAGGTCGCAGCATACTGGATACCACAACCTTCAAGATAATAACCAGTCAACACTCGAGGGCCAAATCCAGTTCCAACGTATCCCTTGTACGTCCTCCCGTACGTATCCTTGTCCACGCCCGAGGTTTGATATGACATTACAGGTGCGTCCCAACCACCAGAGCTCACTCTCTGCCAGACAACATCGAAGATAGGATCTCCATTCACAGAGTACGCATTCATAGAGATTGCCTTATATCCATCGGACGCCGAGCCGGTATCAAAGCTAGTTTTTCCAAGGGAATAGAACCAATCACCATGCCAGTCAGTAGCCGTGCGTTTTCCCCACGTCGCGGCGAAGCGGACTTGATTTCCCACGACATAGCGGGTCAGGATGGTAATCCGGAGCTGACCCAGTGAAGACACTTTGGCCTTGAGCTGGGCTTCTGTCATGTCCCGTTGTTGTTCCCAAGTGCCGACCGATGCTTTCTCCCAGATCGTTGCGAACCGCGGCTCGCCATTTGGGAGGTTGTACGCGTTGAGAACGACCGGGTGGTAGTTTTGACCTTTCAGCTGGGTGGAAAGGGTGTCATATTGAGAACCAGTGAGGCCATGTCGAGCAGTCCAGGGTACAGATGTACTCGTCTTTTTCCATACCCCCGAGAAGAGGGTTTGGTTGTGCTCATCGGAGTAGGCACTAATGTAAGTGAGACGGTATCCGTGTTGGAGGAGCTCGTCAAACTGTTGTTGGTATGCAGTGCTATTTAGCCCTAATTCGTAGTGATAAGATGCAGATACATTTGCAGTGAAGGCTTGGGTTGCCAAAAGAATGACTGATGCTAAGAGCTTGACGAGCATGCTGTCTCGTTAAAGCAATTGCTTCTTCTTGAAGGAATGAATGGAAGAAAAGAAGGTTCTAAACAAGGAGCAGTCAAAAGAGTGTAAAGATGATTTTTTTCCTCTTCGACAAAGGAATGGATAGTCTCTGCAAAGACTCAAGAATTTGAAAGTAAATTGAACAAGCCATCATAAAATGGCATCTTACATTATAAAGACACCGAGCCATCAATGCCCACGGCGGGATCGTCGGTCGGCGGAGCTCGTATTATAGCGTAGGAAATATTTCTTGGCAATATCGACGCAGTAGACTAGCACGAATTTGGGGACAAATTGCGAGAAGAATAAGATGGGCGATTGACAATCACGAACTCGGGCGGAGACAGGTGTTGAAGCTAACCAATGATATCAACATATCTTCTACAAAGAGGTATCCCTGTTCGCTAAGTCTAGATTGAGCCTGTCTCACACATCTTCATGCCATGAGCCCCTGATCAATACGGTTCAAAATACTATTACTATCCATTCCGAGGGTACCTCGATTTACCTCGAACGGGTTAGCAGTATGAAAAGCCAATTTAGGAGTATTCCGCCCCGAATAGGGTTGTGCAAGACGCGCGTTATCTCAATCACCATTCGACATACGTCCCTTTCTCATGGGAGCAAATGAGTCCGCCCCTAGGCATAGAAGATATCAATTATTGCTGATGGAGACTCGGATCTCATTCTAGTGTTATGTCCCGGTCAGCAAATCTCGAGAAATTTCCAATGGTTTGTTATCATACCTGTCGCCATTATATATAACCTCGCTGAACGCTCTCCTAAATCATTCCAAACCTAAGTATGTTGTCCTCTATACGACGAAATATGTAAACACTAATATTTAAGAAGGAACTAAAGATAAATTTTGAGATACCTAGAAAGTCATAGTTTATTGGGAAGTACTTTGATCAGGCCACAGAACATTCCCTGGGAGAGCCCATAAAAGCGACCGCGACTCAAAATGGAAATCAAGTCCCGCTCGACAGGGAAGACATGGCATTTAGAGATAACATACGCAACCTAAGAGAACAAAGAACTTATTTCAAGCGTCTCTATACTTCCACTGTGCAAGTGTGCATACATTATGTCCCTGGCGGTGGAAGTTGGGGTACCCCGCAGTGGAGAGCCTCCGCCCTGGGCCCATTACGTCAATTTCATCAATTCAAGATCGCACCTGGACCTGAAAGCATTTCTCCCTTCTACAACATCTCCAATCTGCCATCTATGACACTCCGAACCGTCCATCTCATCGCGTCCCGTAATGCCGAAGCTCAACGGGCGCATTTTGCGATCTTTGTTCCTGCCGAGGGGGCACCAGAGCAAGGAACCTTAATCGAAGCCGTTGGCGCACCGATGGCTGGCTATATGCTGGAATTCAAACGAAATTATTCACCTTCCAATGATTCGATCGAGAATTACAAGATTATTCCAATCGGAGAAGTTGACTCTGCCAATATTGTCGACGACGATTCGGGTGTGAAGAGTGCCGATGTTGATCCAAGGGGTGATATTGAAGTTGTCGCTTCTCAAATTCCGACCCCCGGAATCAGTGAGAACTTTTTGGCTCCGATCAACGATGTCAGTATCGGTGTGTTTTGATATGATGATATGCTAATTGGCGGGACGAGGTGTAGACAACCAACAAGCGAGACCAGGAGTGGACGATGGAGTATACCCGTCAACTCGTGAGTAAACGCCTCATCGGACCCGAGGCGATTCAGATCGTGCATTCGAAGCGGGACCCACCAACTCATGGCCTGGGCTTCCAGCCTAGCTTGCGACGTTCGGGGTGATATCGGCTATGGGAAATTGTACAAGTCTGGCTGCCGCGATAGCGAGAGACGATTACACCGCCGATTAGGTCTTGCGCAATTTTGTCTGCAACTACCCATGGATAATCCGTGTCATTGGTCGATCTTATGGCGTTTTTAGGCAGGCCAATGGCCGTTGCCTACATCTACTTTTGCGATGTTGTCTGACTGCTTGCCTGTTACGAAGGATCTTCCCGCGTTGCTCTCGATGTTTCTTAGGTCACGTTGTTAGACATGGAGGATACGATAAAAATCACAGGGCGTAGGAATGGATCACTCAGGGGTGTAGGGTATGACTGTCTGTGAATAATGTAAGTCATTCTCAACTTTGGGACATGGTAAGGTGGCGTGGTCCGTCCAAGTATCAACTAGGACGAAAATCAAGAACAAGATACTCCCTATTTCAACTCTTGTGACACAGAAGGTTGTCAGCAGCAAGCGTAACAAATCAAGGATATTCTAGGGTTATAAACAAGACTCATATTTCAACGTGATGTTTGGTAGGTATTCCTCGCGTCTAGCAGTAAAGACGATTTCTCATGGTTAGATAGATGGATTGTTGATAGAAAGACCAGTCTCTCGAATGTGGCATCCGTCGTTATGGAAGGAACAATCTCCACACTTCTGTATATAAAATTCCTGAATAAAAGTAGCCCCAGTTAAATCCAGAAAGGACCCAGTGGACTCCATGCACGGCCCAAGAAAACTTGATTTGCACGCCGTTGGCCCTAGTGTTGAACTCTGATTTGACAGCTGTCGGGGAATTTTCAGCGGGTCAGCCCACGCGGCGAGGAAGCTAACGGTCGCGGATCGGACGTCATTCACATCCAAAATTAGAGTAACACCGACCATAAAATAACAATCATATAAACCCCCTTTGCAAAAGTTAATGCGATGTAAGTAACCAGGCAGCTGAGTGTAAGGTGGTTTGCAAGCTGAAACACCAAATAACCCCGCGCTGCCTTGAATTCGCCTCTATGATATCAGTAATCGCCCGCCATGAAGTGTGTGGCTGACGGCTCCACTATAATAGATTAAAAATGATGAATCGCTCCGATCGATCATGATCTCATCCGGTCGAGACTCCGGTGGCTTGAGGGTGCTCGACCCTCATCTTCAACCACTCGTATCGCTGCCGACAGGGGGGTCCCCTGGTCCATGCGGTTTGATTGACATGCTTTGGTCTGCTAACAAGGAATTGACATAGCAAGGGTTGGATTCTCGCTTACTATAACTTGTTTACGGACTCCCGCTGACTGTCAGCGCAGAGTTAGCGTTAGCGAGATTGGAGTACCGTGGGAAGACAATGCTATTGTTCTACTGAACCATTAATCCAAATGTGTCTAGAAGGTGCCATCGGGAAAGCAAATTGATAATAAAACTTGCTGTAGAATAGTTTTGCGATTGTGTACAGTGTATAGTCGCACCGTCAGACAGCGGCTATCTGCAAATAGTAACAGCTGATGTAATGATGATCGGTCAATCTTAGCGCTGGCGTGATACTGGCTAATCCTAAGCTGCATAATCGACGTCGAGGCTTGCAATGAGTCAGACATGATCATGGTCATGAGCCACACAAGATAGGCACGTTGACAGGGGGTGACAGGCGTGGAACAGTGCGTGGGAGGCAAATCAAGGCGGATATTGGAGTCCAAGACTTCTGCCATATACCCAGACAGCACTCTGATTCGCTGGTGGTTGCTTTATCCAAATGGCATACTCCATGGCTCGCAATGTGCCAATAACGGGTCAGCCACAGTTATGATGATATCTCCGCCTGTCACTTTTTGATACAGCAAGTATTGTTTAGTACACGTGGATGCATTCTCCAGTCCAGCCTCAGTAGGATGATATTCAGGAAATAGACCTCATCGTCCTCACTACATGGTGTGAGCAACATCGACATTCAACGGCCATATACATTTTAAATGCACTGTAAAAGCCAAGATCAAGCCTAGTCAAATAGACATCCACATTCTATGCCCCAGAAAAAAGATGTTACACTCAAGACCACTCCGCGTCATGATATACTCCATACCACCACGTTGTGCTCCACATACCCCCATCCCGCCACACCCCCGATCCAGCCACAATCTCTCACTAAAAGCTCCCTATTTGTGGTACGCCCTTGTCAGACACAAGGATCGACCAACTCTAGACGCAATTCCATTGACCAGCTCCGCTGTCAGCCCCACAATTATGATGCCAGCGATGATTGTACCGCCCTATAGCTATGTGGCTCATTCCCTCCCCGCCGTCTCTTACCTATAGTGCTACTACTTCCTGCACCGTGCACTCTGCAGAAGCCTCTGGGTCGGTTCAACTGCTTGGCTAACCGGGATTGGAACAAGCCTAGATGCTAGCGATGATATCAATGGCCCATGACGTAGTACGCTCGAGGATGGTGGTACCTGATTGTGAGGGTGCGTGTATAGATTGCTTGAGGGTTTGGAGAGCTCGATGATATCAGAATTCTTGATTTCTTGTTATAAGTCAGTCTTCTGCTCGGGATAGCTTAAATCTTTCTTCTTCTCCTTCTCTAAGAATATCCATTATTTTGCATTAGTCGCAAACCTTACCTATCTCTCGACTTTTGCTTTGTACTATATCCATTTCTACCTACTGCCGAAATACTTCACGAAGCTATACGACGCTACTATTTCAGAGACACCAGCGGTTATTTCTCTCTTGATCTTTTTTACGACTTGATTATACTGTACGTATTCCATCGCTTCATAGAAGCTTGAAAAGTGCTGACCATATATAACCAACACAAGTTTTAACGACTGTTCCGAAAGTCGATCATACGAAATGTCTGCCGTTGGAAAAGCACCCAAGGTCGGATCAAAGACCGGTTCTCCCGCCAAGCTGCGCAAGGCCTCCGGTTCCAGCGCTGTCTCGAAGCCCAGCAACCCAGAAACCCCAGCAAAGTCCGTCAAGAAGACACCAGCCAAGAAGCTTACCCCGAAGGCCCCCGAGCCTATCCAAGACGACGTCGACGATGTTTCGGTCCCTGAGACCCCTTCACCAAAGTCCAAGAAGAGGATGCCTTCCTCCGAACAGCGCCGCCCTAGGTCTCCACCCGATGATGCCGTCTCCCAGGCTTCAGGATCCGCGGCTCCCCTGGGTAAAGGCGCTTCTGGTTTGAGCAAGAAGGCCAAGGACACTGCTGGACAGGCAAAGGATACTGCCTCTAAGGGTGCTGAGACCGTCACCAACAACGTCCCGCTCGATCTATCTGCTTTGAAGGGTCTTTCCATTGCAGATGGTGGTGAGGTCTTGGGGAAGGACGGTACCCCTCTCGGCAAGGTCGTTGAGGGTGACCCCGAGGACCTGGTCGGTCAGACCGTCGGAGACGATGGCGAGATCGTCGACGAGGATGGTGACCTGATTGGCCGCGTGGACATTCTCCACGATGTTGCTGACCAGGCCAAGGATATCCCTGACGATGCCGAGTCCAAGCTTGACGAAGCAAAGAATGTAGTCACCGATCTGGCCCAACTCGAAGGTCTTCCCGTCTCTGATGGCGGCGTGATCAAGAACTCTTCTGGTCAGGTCGTTGGCAAGATTGTCGAAGGTGACCCCGAGGACCTTATTGGATACACCCTCAACGACGATGGCGAGGTTGTTGATGATGAGGGCGATGCTATTGGTCGCGTTGAGCTGCTTCCTGTCGAAGAGCAGGAGAAGAACATCGAGGACGCCGCTGGAGACGTCACCGAGCAGGTTAAAGGGGCTCATGAGGAAGTTGATGATGACTTTGAAGATGCCGAAGATGGCCTGCCTACCGATAAAGTCAAGGATGCTGCTGATAATGCCGCCGATGAGGCTGGAGATGCTGTCGATGACGCTGAAGATGCGGTGGATGAAGCCGGTGATGCTGCTCCTGATGTCGACGAGGCCAAGGCCACCGCTGAAGACACTGTTGACGACGCTAAAGATACTGCCGAAGATGCAGTCGACGAAGCGGAAGAGGGCGCTGGTGATGTCGCTGATCAGGCTGAAGATGCGGTTGACGAAGCTGGTGATGCCGCACCTGATGTCGACGAAGCCAAGGCCACCGCTGACGACGCTGTGGACGACGCCAAAGACACTGCCGAAGACGCCGTCGATGACGCAGAAGACGCCGCTGAAGATGCTGCCGAGGAGGCCGAGCTGCCCATTCCAGACCTTGACACCCTTGAAGGCCTCACTTGCAACAAGCGCGGCTATGTGATCGACCAGGCCACCGGTAAGCCCATTGGTGAGCTCATTGAAGGTGACCCCAAGAAGATCTCCCGACTGAAGGCTACCCTCGACGACAAGGGTCAGTTCTGGGACAACCGCGGCAACGTTATTGGCAAGGTCAAGGCTCTCCCCGTTGAAGACGAGAACGATGAGGAGGGACCCTTCGCTGGTCTTGAGGGTCTCGTTGTCGGCCAGGATGGCTGGATCGAGGACGAGAACCAGACCCGTGTTGGCAAGCTTGTTGAAGGCGACGCCAAGAAGCTACTTGGTCGCGGTGTCGATGAGGATGGTGAAATTCTCGATCGCCATGGCAGCGTGATCGGCCGTGCTGAACGCTACGATGAACCTGAGCCCGAAGAAGAGGCTGCTCCTGATGTCTCTGTCCTTGACGGCATGCACTGTAACAAGGCTGGTTACGTGATCGGCTCTGAAGGCTTCCCCATCGCCCGCCTCGTCGAGGGTAACCCCAAGGAGCTCGCCGGCAAGAAGATCGAGGATGGTCAGATCTATGACGGCAAGAAGGTTGTTGGTCGTGTCGAGCTTATCCCCGAAGACGAGCTTGAGAGCAAGTCCGAAGGTCCCTTCGCAGGCATGGAGAGCCTAGTCGTGACCAAGGATGGCTTCGTCGAAGATGACGACGGTGCTATTGTGGGTAAGTTGATCGAGGGTGACGCTAAGAAGCTCCGTGGTCGCTGTGTCGATGAGGATGGCGAGATTACCGACAAGTACGGCAATGTGAAGGGTCGTGCTGAGCCCTACGAGCCTCCAGAGGAGGAGGCCCCTCAGGAAGTCGATCTCTCTATCCTCGAGGGCAAGGTTGTCAACAAGAGCGGCAAGGTCGTTGACCCTGCCACCGGCGCTGTCTTCGGTCGCGTTGTCGAGGGTGACAAGCGTCTTGCCGGTCGCAAAGTTGACGGCAAGGGCCAGATCTGGGGCGACGACGGCAAGATCATCGGTCGTGCCGAGCTCATCCCCGGCGCAGAGCAGGAGAAGGCCGAAGGTCCGTTCTACGGCTTCGACAATGCTGAGGTTGGCAAGGACGGTGTCGTCGTCTCCGGTGACCGCATCATCGGACGTGTCATTGAAGGCAATGCTAAGCGTCTTCTGGGTCGCAAGGTCGATGAGGATGGTGATATTTCTGACAAGAACGGCAACACCATCGGAAAAGCCGAGCGCTGGGAGCCAGAAGAGAAGAAGCGAGACATCAACCCCATGTCTGGTCGCAAGGTCAACAAGGAGGGTGAGGTACACGATGCCGATGGCAACCTGATTGGCAAGTTGACCTCTGGCAACCTGGCCACTTTGGTCGGCAAGACCATCGACGATAACGGTTTCGTGGTCGACAACGATGGCAACAAGCTCGGCGAATGCACTCTCTTGGAGAACATTCCCGAAGAGGAAGTCGAGGAAGGCCCTACTGCTGAAGAGCAGGAGACTCAGGCCAAGGCTGAGCAGGATCGCCAGTTGGCCGAGAAGATGTGTCACATCTTGCGCCAGACGCTTGATCAAGTCAAGCCCGTCTGCAAGCAAATCACCGACGTAAGTTTCCTTCCCAAGAGCACGAGACCTAAGGATGTTTGCATGACTAACAAGTCTCTATACAGCGCCTTGAGCAGGCCGACCGCACTCCCAAGGACGAGCTCGATGAAGAGAAGTTGGTCAAGGATGTCAAGCCCCTGATCGAAGAGGGCGGCCGCATCCTCCAGGAGTGCAATGGCTCCATTCGTGCTCTCGATCCCGATGGTCGCATCGCTGCCACCGCGAAGGCCCGTGCTTCCACACGCGATGCCACCCCCGAGGAATACCAGCTGGCCGAGATGATCAAGGAGCTGACTGAGACCGTGGTGAAGACGATTGATAACGGCAAGAAGCGCATTTCCGACATGCCTCACGCCAAGAAGAAGCTGAACCCACTCTGGGCTCTGCTCTCCGAGCCGCTGTTCCAGATCATCGCTGCTGTTGGTCTTTTGTTGAACGGTGTTCTCAGCCTGGTTGGCCGTCTGCTTGATGGACTTGGCCTCGGTGGTCTCTTGAACGGCATTCTTGGTGGTCTTGGACTCGACAAGTTGATTAACAACCTCGGTCTGGGAGGCTTGACTGATGCTTTGGGCCTTGGTGGCAAGAAATAAGTTGTTTCATTATTCGTGGATTGTTTGAATCTGTGTTTGGTCAGCGCTGTTTGTGTTCCTTTTTCTGTCCTTTGGAAAACGATTCCTTGGTGTATTGTTTATAAGTCTTGCTTCTGATCTGGATTTCACTGTTACTGTTGGTTTCTCCTGGTTGAGATACTTATTAATCAAATTGATCGGATTTTTCAACTGAATAATTGTCAGCGTGAACAGCTTCCCTCTTAACAGCCAAGATGGATACTGACCTCCAATGCTACAAGTCTATTGTGTATGCACAATCCACACTCCACACTCCTCTTTCAGACATAGTCATCACCAACAATCGTCAGGCTTATTTATTTGATCTCCTTCTTCATAAAGATCGTCTTCATATCCCAAGGCTTTCCATTGCGATCAACCACATCATAAAAGTTCTGCACAGTCTTGAAGGGCGTATATCCCCTGCGGAGGTACCACTCCTCAGTAGTAAACTAAACAAATGTGTCAGAGTGAAGAAACTGGCATCGCGACAGCTGAATTTTGTAAATCTTACCTTGGGAACGCTTCCATAAGTTGCGAGAGCGAATTCTTCCCTCATCTGGTCCTCCCCGGGAATCACATCCAGCATAAGCATTGTCGCACACAATGGCTCTCTAACAGCCATTGATTCCACCTCGTCCATCGCCGCCCGCCCGATACCTTTGCTTTGGAATTTTCCGGAAACAAAGAAGGTTTTGATCCAAAATAGACCAGGAGCTGAGCTAGCAACCCCCACTCTCTCTACTCCTGGATTGCGTGAATCCAAAGAGATATGTCCGATGGGAACAAAGTCTTTCTGGGTGGCTTCTCGAGACACTCCGTTGATTGATTGCGCTGTATCGCGGAGTGTTTCATTTTCCTAGAATACCCATTTAGTCTATCGCTGGAAGAACTCCAGGATCAGGACAACTTACCTTTGATTCCAGATTCCCATCCTTCACCTGCTCTCGTGCTACCTGGTCATCGGAAGGCAAGACCTTCGGGCGACACCGTTAGCGCTGAATCGAATCTATCGGGGTATTCACAATAGGAACACTCACAATCCAATAGATGCACTTATACCCTTCAGTCTGGTACTGTTTCCATGCGCCTTCGATCTTGTCCTGGTCCCAACCGCACTCGTCTCGCTGCTTGATAAGCCACTGTCGATGAGTCGAGGACTGCGGGTCCCAAGGAATCAGTGTGACTTTTTTGTCTGCAGCCGTGACCGTCATGGCAGCGAGGAAAGCCGCAGCCCAGAGCTGATGATGTTGAACGCTCGATCTTGGTTGAGTAGAGTAGAGAAAAAGGGGCGAGGCTGCGGGCGCCACTAAATAACCTAGTCGTATTTCTACAGTCTTAGGTCCACACTCTTGTACCGCTTGAGTTGGACGGAGATATGAATCTCTTGGGAAAGTTATCACCATACATCAATGTGTGTTCTGATTGGACGCCCTTTCCAACACAACTCTTACCCAAATTTCAACTTTAAATTCCTCAAGTCTAATATAAGACAGTAGACTTGAACGAATAACCCCACGACCGGCAGAATATTATGTCATCATCGGAATGATCTGTAGGCCCGAGGTCAATCTCCGTGCTGATGTGATGATAGATTTCACAAGTAGCTAAAAATAGGACCGTATCTAAACCTAAGTTGTAAGGGTTTGGATCAGAGCAGCAGGAGAGCACGTTTTGTATCTGGATTCCGTACTTGATTTGCATCAGATAATGCCTTCATAATCATGCCATTGGAAGGGAGATGTTATTTTTCGTTCCCTCCTTTAAATCCCGTTGAATGCAACCTCGCAACATACGATGATACCAGTTCGCCCGTGGATGACGAAATGCTCAAGATAGTGAGGTGGAGCTCATTTAGGCTTGTATCTAGAGGCTGGCCGGCTTTGCTCTCTCTAGATACAGTATCCCTGTCGATCATGTGTCAAATTGATAGTATAAGTGTCTTTGCAAGCCATATACATAGCCATAGATATAATCTCCTCAAAAATCAACCTAAATAATTTATCCCCTTCCATGAATTGAACCCTCAACCTTGTCTTCCCCTATATACTTCGCCTTTGTTACTGCATCGCTATCCCCGGACACCGAAGAACATCACCATCGCACCCTAGTACCGCACCTGATATACACCACCACCTTTTTCATCCTTTGATACCGTCAAAAAGACTATGAAATAATTAATTTACTATAACAAAATGGTCTAAAGTCAATCTCGCGATTAGAAGTATAATGTTACAAAAAATCTGGAAAAAAAATGTGCCCGGCCGTCCGTGGAACTTGAAGCGTCAACACTGGCCCAGTACTTTCTTCTCCAGTTTGCCCACTCCTCCAGGGCACACCTATGATTCACCAATATATGGTGGACACCAACTAGGCCATCGGAGGGGGGGAGTGGTTGTTTGACCTGAAATCGGGCCATAACCTTTGTCCGCCATAATTGACTTGCCTCTGTTATACAAGCCAACCCGCTGGGGACTTGCTAGGAATAGTACTACTATCTTCAGTAGAGTTCCATAAGTTTGGAACGCCGACAAATATTCAGAATCCTCGTAGCGCTCACTAATTAAACGGTATCTGTGCTATCGAGAACAATGATTCGAAAGATGTTTAGAAAAGCCTTTCAAGAAAGAGTGATTGAAGCGTGTCTAGTTGGTTTGTTTAGCTGTTTTCTAGACTCGGGCTTTTGAACTACTACAATGATATCTTAGTTAGAAGATGGTAATATCATTACAATGAAAAAAAGTTTGTCTTAAAAGCTTGCGCCAGTAGGTGGTAGAACAATAGGTTCATATGCTGTTCGAATCAACATAGACCGTCATTCCAAATCAAAAGCTGGCTCTGCCGAAGGCCGACAATGACCCGAGTAACATTACGATGGTCTAATTGGAGGTGGCCAAAACAAATTAAGCGTAAGCTCATAAGGCCGAGGGGAATCAATCAATGAGAGACACAATCCAATTAATTGTCTAACTAGCAACAGTGCCCCATAGAAACAACCCCATAAACGCCTTCCCATGCTAATATATGACCCCCTTATGCAGATCCAAGGTGCAATGAACAAATAAGCAAAATAAGAAATGTATCAATCCAATGCCGCCAGTTGTGTCTCTTGGAGCAATCTCAAGACCCGCTCATAGGTCCACATCGTCACGGCGCTGGCCGGCGCAGCCTTGAGCAAGCTAACAGTCAACCCGCGATACAATCCCCGCACTCCCTGCGTGCGCAAGATCAAATTGATAGACTGCACGACTCCGGTGTATTCAGGAATGTTGCGGTGCACGTATCGAGTCCGCGTTGGGCCTTGCACTTGCAAACGCTTCCGCACCAAGTCCAAGGGAAACACACCAGTCTTCGCGATGACACTGGCCAAAACACCAGACGCGGCATCACCAGTCCCGAACGGTAAAGAATCCCACTGGGCCATCGTAGGACGGAACCCTTCGTATGCGGTGAAAAACAATCCCATATATGGTACAATCTGGGCGACGGCCGCTGAGCATCCCCGGAAGAACCCGGCGGCTCCCTCTTGTCGCGCAATCTCTAGCACTGACGATCCCAGCGATCGATAAATCCGTTCTGGTCCCTGGGCAGCAAAGCGTGTGCGAAGTAGGTCGAGCGGGTATGTTGTCGCCGTCGCGATTCCTCCGGCTACGGCACCGGAGACGAAGGATTCGGCGGATTGCGGGAGTCGGTAGGGACCCAATTGCTCCAGTGCTTGGGTCGTAGCTCGGTATGCGGTGAATTGAAGGGCTCCGTAGCAGACATACATCATCTCTGCGGGTATGTTGCCTTTCCATAGACCCTATCACCAGAAAATCGTTAGCTGGTTCCGCCTCCGCAATATGATCGCTGGGTCCGGTGGAGAGTCTCGAAGCCATCGCGACCAAAAAAAACAGACGTACCGTGATTCCCTCTTGCTTCACAATATCCCGCATCGTTGATAGTGTTCCCTTGTATACGGGCCCAACCACCGTCCGGTGCGAGACCGGGTCCGACAGGGAGTGAATCTGCAGCTGCAGGCGGATCTTGACGACATCGAGCGGCGCAATGCAAAAGCGAGAGATCAGCCCTGCGGCTCCGCCGGCCAGTACCACTTGTCGCTTGGTACCTTCATCTTTGAGATGCGCGCCCCCGGCTGACATGACTGTGTAAACGGGGGCTTTGTTAGGAACAGGAATCCATGCTGGGTCCTCGATTACCGGTTTGTTATTTTTTTTATATTTACCCGGCCGGGGGCGACTCCAGGAATGGGGGTATCCGCGGTGATTTACGTAAGTCCGGATTGTGATGCCTTGACACCCGATAACTAAGGCAACTATATACCGATTTACGTCACTCGTCAGGCACCTCGTCCGGAGTAGTCACCTGACCGTACCTCGGCATCCAAGCTCGTACTGCTGTATCGGCGGGTAACGTGCAGTCACCGCGGTTATAATAGCCCGAACTGGCGAGCTGCCCCGTTACTAGCGCAGTCCGGGGTTAAAGGACATCACATGTTGTCCGCGTCCCCTCCTCTCCTGCCCTTCGTTTCTTTCTCTTCGATTTACTCGATTGTCCCAATTGCTTTCCTCAAACGTCTCCAATGCGTCCCGCCTCTCTCGCTGCGGCTCGACGCGTCTCGCGGGGCCTCGCTGGCCCTGCACGGCGCAGTTTCGTCACTTCGGTCCGACGGAGCCAAGTCGAGGAGGATGCGATGGCCCGGCTAACAAGCAATGCAGTCTTGTTCAATGCGATCAAATCTGGTCGCCTGATTGAACAGGATGGAAAGGCTGTCTCAGTCATGCGATTCAAACGTCCCGCCTCGAACGGTCAGCCGGACTCGATCGTTCAAATGGAAGTCACGAAACCCGCGGAGGCTTACCTTCACACGGAGAATCTGGTCTTGTGGTCCGCCGAGCATGGTCGAACCACTCTGCCTTTATACTACCTGCGTGATCTTTGCAAATGTCCTAAATGCGTGGACCCTCACTCGAAGCAACGGTCTTTCCGTACGAGTGATATTCCCAAGGACGTCCATCCCCGAGTCGTGCGATGGGATGGAACACACCTCGAGGTGGAATGGGCTAATGATATTTCCGGTTACGGACGGGACCATACATCTCGCTGGAATATTAAATACCTCAGAAAACCTATCCTGGATCCTCACGAACAAACCTCTCCGAATATGAAGCCTCTTCGGTGGACAAGTAATCTAATGAACCGGTTACAACATTGGGTATCGTATGAGGATTACATGAAGGACGACGCAAAGTTCGCCGCAGCTATGCGCAACCTATCTCGTCTTGGTCTGATCTTCGTGAAGGATATTCCCGATTCCCGCGAAATAGTCGCCAAGATCGCGACTCGGATGGGCCCGCTGCGCAATACCTTCTATGGCGAGACGTGGGACGTGAAGACTGTGCCAGAAGCTAAGAACGTCGCATACACAAACCAATTTTTGGGTTTCCACATGGATCTCATGTACATGAACGAGCCCCCGGGTTACCAGCTCCTCCACTGCTTGGAGAACTCATGCGACGGAGGCGAGTCGCTCTTCGCCGATACATTCCGTGCTGCCAACATCATGAAGAATGAGTTCCCCACTGAGTACAAGGCGCTCTCTCGTCGCCATCTCGGCTACGAGTACAATCATGACGAACACAAGTATCACAACACCCGGCCTGTGTTCCAGCTCGATCCCAAAACAAAGGAGCTTCGTTACGTCAACTACTCGCCACCATTCCAGTCTGCTCTACCTGAACACGAGGGCAAAAAGGGTTCTGGTAGTCAAAGCTACCCAGATCTCAAGCGGGCATTGAGCCATTTGATCAAGATCATGGAGGGTCAGCATTCAGTTTTCCAGTTGAAATTGAACCCCGGCGAGTGCGTGATCTTTAACAACCGTCGCATTGTTCACGCTCGCAATAAGTTCAATACCAGCTCTGGCTCGCGTTGGTTGGCTGGTGCGTATGTGGATGAAGATGCGCTGTTGTCTCGCTACGCTGTGTGTGGTGAGAAGGAGCATACTTCTTGGAAGGCTGCTGATCCTTTCGTGGGTCTCGAGGGACTCCGCAGAGATATCGCGGAGACTTCGGCACACGAGGCAAAATTGGCACTTGCGGAGGCTCGTTTGCGGGGTGGAGAGAAGGGTGTTGAGGAGGCTGGGCCTCTTGGGGAAGTTGGTTCTGCTTTGCAGGGACAAGACACGGAGCCTGAACCCATTAAGCAGAGCAAAGTCTCTGAGCTGGGAAACCCCAACTTGTAAGCGTGATGAGCGCTGAAGCATGAATCCGCTCGGCAAGACTTGGTATAAGTTTGTGTGCATTTGTGCATATTAGCCTATTTTGTGCGAAGACAGCGTTGTGTTTGACCAGCAACATTGCGGTCTAGAGTACCTTTCTCCTGTTACTAGTGATAGCCACTGCACATATTTACGACATGAGCTGCATGATACATTATGGGTAGAAGTTCCAGGGTTTGAATGCATAAATTTTAAAGTAGAGAAATACATATGCTTGAAATCGAAAGGCTTTTCTCATATCAAGCACAAACGTGTATCATCATAGAATTGTTCTTTTTTTCAATATTCGGCCCCCGAGGGTAGGTCATGGGGGTATCATGCTGGGACCGACCATTTAAGACTGCTTGTTGACCGAGAACTGGTCCAGGAAGCTGGGGTCGTTTTCGATCTCGTCACGGACCTATAATATACAATTAGAATCACGGTCAATTTCAATTGGAAGAAACCCAGATAAAAGGCAGAAACGTACGATATCCAGTCCACCAACCAACTCGCCGCTAACCCACAACTGGGGGAAAGTGGGCCAATCGGCATACTCCTTCAGACCCTGACGCACATCCTCATCGGCCAAAATATTGAAGAAGCCATACTTAACGCTTCGCTCACGCAGAATTCCAACAAGCTGCCGGCTGAAGCCACACTGCGGTGAGCTGGGTGTACCCTTCATAAACAGCATAACGGGTGCGGCCTTAACAAGCTGTTCCAGACGGGCCCACAAAGCCTCCTTCGACTGCTCGGGAGTCAGAGCTGGGGTAGCCGAAACGTCAATCGCATTGGCAGCAGGCTCGGGCGCATTAGACGCAGCAGCAGGTGCCTGCGTCGCAACCTCAGGGCCATTCTCGCGGGGTGTAGCAGAGAGGGCAGCGGGGATGCTAGTCTTCGCGCCGTCCGCGGGCGCAGCGCCACCCGCGTGACGCTCAATAGCAGTGCGGACCTTGACAGCGTCGCTTCCGCTAATATCCTCCAGCCTCTGACCACCGCGCATCAGCACAACGAAGGGGACTGCTGTGACGTCGAGCTCCTCGGAGATATCGGGCAGCTCCTCCGCATTGATGCTGACAAACGAGATAACCGGCGGGGAGGCGGCGGGGTATTGGCCGGCGATGGCCTCGAGGACGGCGCGCATCTGCGTGCATGGTGCGGCCCATGGCGTGTGGAAGTAGAGAACTAGTAGCGCGGATGGGGACAGCGAGTTCAGGTGCGACGTGAAGTCGGTCTCCGAGGCGACTTCGATGAGGGCCGACATGATTATGCGGGTAGAGGGGTTTCCCGAAGTCGGAGGGGCGGGTGGGTGTGAGGAAAGAAAGGCAGATCGTGGGGAGAGACTTGGAGGATATGTTGTGGCAGATATAGCCTGGATATAATAGAACTTTCTTTGGCCGCCGGGGTCAATGGAGGCTGTGAGGGTTGTGTAAGTGTACAGAAGGGAGTTGAAGATCGATGGCGTGACGAGGGCGAATTTTCCGGCGATCGTCTCTTATCAGATCGTTCGGCGCTTACGCGTAATTTACAGGGTTTAAGGCGGTAACACGTAGATAGTAAATTACTTACCTTAGCGCCGATAGCTGCCCAACACCTGATAATGGTATGTATGTAGATTGTATAGAAAATGTTATACAGTCGCTAGAAAATTGCAGGGTTCTGTTCGTTGTTCTGCATATACAATGACGTGGTCTGACGGCGATGAGAGGTAAGAACATGTATTTAGAAGCTTAAGACTTGAAGTTTTACTAAATCCACCAGAAGTATAGCATACATATGTCCCCAATGGAGAAATTTGAACAAGCTCTCTAATAATGCAGAATATATATTGATGACGGGTTAGAGGGAGAAAGAGATATCTCCAAGGAGAATATTCCTTAGCCTCTTCCAAGCATATATAGGCTTGCAGACTATCGAGATCACCCTTCGGGACAGGAGTCAAGATTCCCAAGCGATACATAACATCGGAATGGGGAAAGAATCAGACAAGCACCAATAATTTAAAATGAAATGTTACTTCACTGTTTGGTATCATGATTTCCCGATCTTTATTTTCCTTGTGCTAATATTCAATGTTTTGGGCAAGTGGTGAATCCTCATGTACACAATTATTCGTTATTATCAAGATATTTCTCAATCGGATGCAATTCTACTACTGTACATATTCACTCAGATGGCGGAGCAGATGGATCCGGCCGATCTGCCACTTGTTGGATCAATCCCAAGGCGGTACCGAAAGCGGTGCCCAGGTCGGTGCTCAAAGCGGTCTGCTCTCTGTCACTCTCCTTGGTTCCCTGAGGCCCACTTTCTTATCGACACGTGATAATCTGCTTGATTTCTCTGCTGCTCTGTTGCGTTGCGATACTTCCTCCCAACCGCAGCAGCGCAAGATGGGGCGCCACAATAAGCGAAAGCGTGAGGATGAGGATTCCGATCCGGTCGCTGATACTAATGGAAATGGGTTCGGTGTTGCAGATACCCTGTCTCGCTTGAGTCGTCCCTCACTCCCACCCTCTGATCAGACTTCCCAAAACACATCTCAGAGCCCCAAGGATGGACAGCAGCCGAGTTCCAAGAGAAAGCGTGTGGACGGAGAAAAGACCAAATACCCAGACCTCACATATGTGGAGGGCACACTTCAGTCTTCGATCAGAATTTCTGACTTGCAGGGCCTACTGCTCTATTGCTTCGCGGACGGGATCGCGCCACAGTGGATCTCAATCAAGCACTCGGGACACATGCGAAAAGTCGTCGTTCTGATGGTCCCTGGAATTGAGATCGGCATGTTTGACGGCACACTACCATTGGGGCCTCAAGAAGCCAAGGAAGCCGACACCGAGAAGGAGGCCAAGCAACCCGAAGCGACAGACGGAACGGCCGAGGACGAAAAGGCCTCCGACTTCGAGCGATGGAAGCAGGGTCTCCCTCCTGCCGTCCGTTCCTCCACCTTCAATCCTCGACCCCTCAATCCAGAGACCCTGCCTGAGCCCCTCCGTCCACTGGGCGACATGTTCCCGCACGTCTGGCCCGTGAAGGCCCCCGGCGATACCAAGTACAATAAGGTGCATTCACCTCTTCAGGCCATTCTATTGTCATCGCTTCCAAAGTCAAAGGAGAGCGGCGGCGGAAAGGGTGCGCGTCCAGCTAGAGTCGATAAGGGCTTTACGCCGAAGCGGACACCGATTACAACATTCCTAAGCACTGCCGAGGACCTGCGCGAGAACGAGTACACTTTACATCCCGCATTCTTCACTTCAGATGAGGAGAAAGCGTCTCAATTGGCAATTCGTCGTCAAGCGGAGCAGTCTACTGAACATGGCTGGGTGGATACTGATGTGCCCACTTTGGAGGCTGGCGACGTGCCTGACACCGAGGTTGAGCAGGGCAGCATGACCGCAGGCCGGACCGTTCTGTCTCTCGACTGTGAGATGTGTCTGACCGAAGGTGGTCTGTCGGAACTCACTCGGATCAGTATGGTCGGATGGGATGGAGAGGTAGTCCTCGATGAGCTGGTCAAGCCTGCTAAACCGATTATCGACTACCTGACTCGCTACTCTGGCATCACGGAGGAGATGCTGGCTCCGGTCACCACCACACTGGCCGACATTCAAAAACGCCTTCTGACTATCTTGACTCCTCACACTATCCTTGTGGGACACTCCCTCAACTCCGATCTCACAGCGCTCAAAATCACACACCCATTCATCGTCGACACCGCCCACATCTACCCCCACCCTCGTGGTCCGCCATTGAAGTGCAGTCTCAAGTGGCTCACTCAGAAGTATTTGAACAAGGAGATTCAAAAGGGAACCACTGGCCATGACTCTGTCGAAGATGCGCGGGCCGTTCTTGAACTCGTCAAATTGAAGTGTGAAAAGGGCGAGCTCTGGGGTACCAGCGACGCCTCGAACGAGAGCATCTTCCGCCGTCTCGGTCGATCCACCAAGAATGGGAAGACCACCGCCCCCGGTGAGGGACGGACGGGTGCCGTCGTGGACTGGGGAAATCCCGAGCGCGGATTCGGTTCGCAGGCTACCGTTTCAATTGGCTGTCGCGATGACGATGACGTGGTCAAGGGAATTGAAGCTGTTGTCAAGGGTGACGAATCCAACACAGCAATTCCAGGCGGCGGTGTCGATTTCACCTGGGCACGTCTCCGCAACCTCGAAATGACCCGAGGATGGTGTACCCGCATGCCTGACGCGAACAACGGCAATGAGTCCACTGCGGTCACCTCTCTTCCCGAAGAAACCACGCCGACAACCGGTACCTCTACATCTACCACGTACAACAAGAGCCTCGCTGAGACTGTCAGCCGCACTGTCTCAGATATCTCTCGTATCTACGAGTCCCTGCCGCCCTGCACGCTCTTCGTTGTGTACTCTGGAACCGGCGACCCACGCGAGGTCAGCCGGCTGCAGGCTATGCATCGCAAGTACCGTGAGGAATTCAACAAGCGTGTACCATGGGATGATTTGAGTGTGAAGTGGACGGATACTGAAGAGCAGGCACTGAAGAACGCCTGTCAGCGAGCCCGCGAGGGATGCGGCTTCATGGTTGTCAAATAAACTTTTGAAGCATTAAGGCCACTATGGCTGGCTACTAGAAATGCATAAAATACATATCATTTCTTTTGAAATCCACAGGTCTCAACTCCGTAGTAACAGAAGTAAGCCACCTTCAAGTCTGCCTCACTACTCGCTGAACGGCAAATCGAAGCAAGGCCCATTATTCGTTCGACTAGTAGAAGTCTCCGCCGTGGGTCGCGACATCTCCCTTCGAATGATATCCATCACCTCCCCTTCATCTTTTATCGTAGCCACAGTTCCACGCCTCCCTCTACCTCCCTCCTCACGATCACTTTCACTCACTCTACTCTCTTGATCCTCGAGAGTAGTCTCCGCCCTCTCCAACCGCTGACCCTCCCGCTCCGCAATCGCCGGCGCAATCCGTTCCTGCAGATCCTTCTGATCTTTCTCCTGCTTGATCACAGCGTAATGTGCGCGTCTATAGACACCGATCGAGCTTAGCACGAGACCAATTATCTCATACGCAAACAGAACGGGTAGCGCGTAGTTAAGTTGCGGATTACACCCGCCAGACCAGATATCAATAAGCACGTTGAAAATGCTGTGTGCAGGCAAGGCATAGCCCCATTTGTAAAAGGCCGGTGATAGCTCGAATGGGAGCAAGATGGATGTGACGTTCAACATCATCCACGAGATCAAACACATCGGCACGAACGGCGGGGAAACCCAGACTGTAAACGCGTCCAGAACGAGGAAATTCAAATGCGCGAAGAGCCATAACGCCATCCACGTAAGCATGAATTGTCCCCCATGCACGTTCCAACCATTTCGAAAGGCCCATATCGCACCTGTAGTACACAGTGATCCGATGAGCGTGTACACACCCGAGATAATTTGTCGCACGATAGCGATCCGGTGCGGAGTCACGGATGCGTAGAGGTTGAAATTTAGATAGAGACCGTTCACGTAACCCAAGTAAAAGAATTCTTGGATCATGATCAGGATGATGACGAGCGTGTTGTAGATTAGGCGGGATCCTTGCGATGTTGGCTGGAGGTTTATCGAGGATAATGTCCAGGGGTTTGCGTAGATGGCGAGCGCGGCGTCGTCTGAGCTGTTTAGTGCTTGGATGGTTTGTTTGCCGTTGCTTTTCATGTATACGACTCGTGCGGCTTCGGAGAGGGTGGTTAGTTTGTCGTAGATGGCGGAGTCGACGGTTGTTGGGTAGCGAGCTTCGTTCCAGACCATGGTGAGCACGTCGCTGCCGTTGTATGAGGAAGCGGCGGTTCCACCGGCGAGAGCAGCGGTTAGGTCGTTTGATGAGTTGGTGGTTATGTATAACGCGCCCCAGAATTTGATGTTACATACTGCTGAATCGATGGTGTCGGGGTTGGGATATGCTAGAGCTGGACGCTCGTCCAGAGTTGGGAAACCCGGTCCCTTTAGCTCGGCATAAGCATTGCGAACCGCGGTTCCGATGACGCTTCCATCGTAGTCGACGAAGAGGATATTGATATTGTGGGTGTGGGTGGTTTGTTGGAACAATGAACCAAAGATGTAGCAGAATAGTCCCAGGAACAAGAATTGAAGTATAAGCAGATTGATCCCCGCCGCCTTGATCACGGCCAGCCGGCGCGACCTGACGGCAGGGTCATGGATGCTTGGCCGGGGCAATCTTGCCTTGGAATAGAAGCCCATGTGTGATGTCGGTCAATGGTGTTGTGTATGTAATGTCTCGGGTATCGGAGGGACGCGCGATATATAAAGGGTACTTTTAACAATGATTAACAATGACTAATAAATGTGTCAAGAAAATAATCCCTTATCTAAGCCCGCTCGTGTTATAAGAGAGAAGATGTCGAGGCTAAACGCGAGCTAATCTTGGTAAGCCAATCCCTAAGACGGGAGTAAGCAAGCCACCAGTGATAGTCTCAGATATCCACCTATCACCCGCCAGGCCGCCAGAGAGACTGAGGCAGGGATATCCCGGTGACAGAGGGTCTGTGTAGAAGGAAGAACAAGAGATCCCGAAGCGGTGTCTGAATGAAGTGTGGGGGAGAATCTTGAGTGGCATCAGATCTGATCATCTGTACATTCGATGAAGGTTTTGAGTTGTGACTGGCGTCCAGACTTGTCCGCATCGGGAAAGTGTGGCACGGGATCTGGGATCGGTGGGCAAATCATGGCATTTGGAGGCTTGAAGATGAAATAAACGATTTTCTCGGCTAGATCGGCATTCTTTCTTTTTCACGAGGTCAGTGAAGCGATCCAGGGTGTGAAATCTAATGGTTATATGATCTAAACAGTTCATTCACGGTGTCGTGGAGCCCGAACGTCGCGATTTAAACCTCTTCCGCTCGCGTTCGGACCGTTAAGAGCGGGAAAAAACAAACGCCGAGCCCGACTTAATTATGCCTCCGAAGTACGAGAGCTTTGTGAGTCGGTGATTGATGTTCATGGGGTAATTTTGCCCCCAAAAATTCATTATTAGAAAATTCTCTAGCAGAGTCCATGTCGAGCGAGTATAACATGATAATAAGCACACTAACTTAAGCCTTCTCCTGTGGCATGTTTCCTAGAACCTCCTAAAACGATTGATGTTTCTACTTACCATTATAATGTTCTCCGGATTGTTATGGCAAAGCCTCCATTGAACGGAAATCAACATATCGTGATCTTATTAGATGTTTGATGACTAGATAGCCGAGCTCAAAGAGGTAATATTAAGTTAATATGACTCCCTTCGTATCCCGGCTTGAGTATATCCGACGTTTGTAGGATCATTCCTTTCCATATCAATATTATCTTTCACATAACCTACTATTCTCATCAATTCTGAAATCCTTCCCTTTCTCTAATCTCTCTATTCCCATCCTCCTGATTCTACCATAATCCTATCATTAGAATCTCTCCAGACTGTGGGGCAGGCCCACTGCCAATCGGATGGTAAAACGCCATCCCCCAACCGGAGAATCGGAGAACTAGCCCCCACACGCATGTCAAGGACAGGGCGTACGGGAGGCAGTTTAAGAATCTCCAACTAAAAACTCAAATCAAAAATTCTCATCCTTCTCCTTCTACGCCGTTCACACCCTGCAGCCTGCCTATCATGAGTGGCGCTCCTCCCTCCAGTAGTTCCACGACAATGGACACCTTCGAAGTCTCTTCTAGAGATAGTGTGGCTGACCACCACGAAATCAATTTGCCGCCCGTGGATCGCGGGAGAAGAGCGTGGCTGTTCTTGGCGGCTTGTTTCGTTATTGAGGCTTTGATTTGGGGTATGTTTGACATATTGAGAAGTCAGTTGGTGACTTGGTCGTTTATGCTGACTTCTGTCCAATTAGGTTTCACTTTTTCGTTTGGTATCTTCCAGGATTATTATAGCACTCATGAGCCGTTCAAGAGCTCTGGTGATACCGCTGTGGTTGGCACTTGCGCAATGGTTAGTTCTTGATATCAGGTTTTATCCGTGACACTTTTACTAAATTATTACAGGGTATTTCCTATATGTTGCTTCCGTTCGCTTTCGTTCTACTACAAGCCGTTCCTCGCCTGAAGCTATGGGCGGCGCCCATCGGTTTTGTCATCATGTGTCTAGCGCTCTCGCTGAGCTCCTTTGCAACCACCACCGCTCACTTGATTGTCTCGCAAGGTGTCGCTTATGGCATTGGAGCTAGTCTGGCCTATGCCCCCACGATTATTTTCATGGACGATTGGTTCGTGCAGAGGAAGGGACTCGCTTTCGGTATTATGTGGGTAAGTTAAACACTCCACGAATCCAAATGTTTATATACACTTCTCTAATTGCTCTACTAGGCCGGCACTGGATTATCCGGCGTTATTCTCCCCATCGTCCTTCAATGGATGCTCAACGCATTCGGACCACAGACCACACTACGTGCTTGGTCAGTCGTGCTAATCCTCCTGGGCGGCCCACTACTCTACTTCCTTCGTCCTCGTCTCCCTATTTCCCGGACCTCACGATCCCGACCCTTCGACTTCAAGTTCCTCTGGGACACTACTTTCCTCATCTACGAGACGGGCAATATCCTAGAGGCGATGGGCTACTTCCTCCCTACTATTTATCTCCCTTCTTACGCCCGCAGCTTGGGCGCTAGTAACATCGAGTCCTCGCTAACAGTCATGCTCTTCAACCTCGCTTCTGTCTTCGGATGCGTCATCATGGGCTCGTTGGTCGATCGTTACCACGCTACTACCTGCATCCTCGCTTCGACCGTTGGGAGCACCATTGCAGTCTTTTTGATCTGGGGTTTTGCTGATTCTCTAGCCCCGCTGTATATCTTCTGCATCTTTTATGGTCTTTTTGCTGGGTCTTTTACCTCGACTTGGCCCGCCGTTGTCAATGAGGTTAAGAAGAATAGCGCATACACTGAGTCCAGTATTGTGTTTGGTTTTTTGTCTACCGGTCGGGGTATCGGGAATATCGTCAGTGGCCCGTTGAGTGAGGCTTTGCTTAAGCGTTCTGCTTGGAAGGGTGTTGCGGCTAAGGCGTATGGCTCGGGCTTTGGACCTCTTATTGTTTTTACGGGGGTTTCTGCGCTTTTGGGAGGGTTTGGTATTGCTGCCAGGTCTTCGAAGCTGTTGCGGTCGGAGTAAAAGGTTGATTGTGAGGACTAGCTACCCTTGACTTTCAATGGGTAGATATGCATTGGAAGAGAATCTATCAACGAACTAGGCTTATATGATTCTTTGGCCTGAAAGTATGTGCAACGAGGACATGGAATACTCACTAGCTTCAGCGTGAGTAGGACCCTAATTTAAAATGATCTCGCATGGATTGTCCGGTGATCTCGTCATGACATTGTCATCGTCCTTGGACGTCTCCTTAGCATGGTTAACATGTCAATAATTATGTTTAAGAATATTTCCCGGTCATGGTCGTTACTTGAAGGTAGTGTCCTCGCGCCCGATCCAAATCGGGTAGTCCGGTCGTATTGACAATTCTATGGACAAACGCCTCCCACCAGGGTATTTATGCACAGAACAGGTCAGCTCAAACGCGAGCAAAATGACCACTCTCAAAGAAATCTCTATCGTACATCGCCCTTTCACTTCTTAACGGGATCCGTCTGTTTCCATCCATTCCTCCTGTTCCATAGCCCTCCGAGTCATGGCGTCCCGCGCCGCGATCTTGGCCTTTCGTTTCTCTTCTTCCGTAACCCTTGCCTCCTCAACAGCTTTTGTCCCATTTTTACTGGAGCCTTTCGCCGGGGCGGACGAGGTTTCGCCATTCTGCTGGACATCGCCATTGTCGTTGTCATTGCCCTCCGCGCCATTCATTAACAACGACGGATCTTGAGCTGAGGCGTTGGATTCCTCTGCTTCAACCTGTATCCGCGCCGAGGCCGACCCGAAAGACTGAGAACGTGTGCTGCGGCGAAGGCGACGGCGCTTAGCAGTCTGTGGATCTGGACTTGCGGGCGCTATCGGGATTTGCATTGAAGAGTTTTGCGAGGTTGCAGCAACCGTGCCTTCTGGCTCCGGACCGGTAGTGTTGGATACTCGCGGCCGGCCGGGGGGCCGACCGGGGCGTGGTTTGCCAGAACTCAATTCAGGCTCCTTGTTGTGCTGCGTAAGTCGCGGTCGTTTGGCCACGGTTTGCTCTCGGTTGACCTCGGGTGGAGTACTGGTTGGGGTGCTGTCGTTCTGTCGACTAGCCTCTATGCGAAGCTGGGCTGGCCCCGAGGGCAGCTGCCGTGCAGATTGTTTAGGCGGCACACGAACATTGTATGTTGGCAAATTATCCAGTGACAAGTCATCTATCATATCCTCCTCGTCAAACGAGTCCGCGATCGCAGGTGCCTGACCATTCGGGAATGCGTCGGGCCAAGTACGCTTTTTCCCAGCTTGAAGGAGACCAGGGCTCTGCACATCAGCTAGTCTACCATTCATCTGGGATGGGTAGTCCGCGCTGGTCGGCTTGCGCTCCTCCATGAAGCGATTCTTCAATTTCAATGCCTCGATTTCCAGCTTCAGTTTTTCAATTTCATCCGACTTGGACTTCAACTCCTTCAAGACTGTGGCAATCATATCAAAACCAGGTCCACCCATGGATCCATGATCGCCTATGCTCCGGTTTGCTCCGTTCAACTCGATACGAAGCGATGTGAATGAATGCTTCAAGTCGGCCATAGTGTCTTGCAAGTGGTTGACCGAGTTGGAAATCTGATCGATACTTCGGCCTTGATGTTGCATTTGACGATGCATCGATGGATCCAGTGAGAATCGATCATTTGCGCCTGTCGGAACCAAAGCATTATCCTGATCGGAACGTCGGGGTGGTTCTGGAGGGGGAGGGGGAGCAGTTTATCGAGGGCTCCATCTTTGAATAGGGGGTCGGCGGTTCGCATCGTCACAATGTCTCTGAATGACACCTTTGAAATCTTCCAGAGAATGTTGGCACTACAGCGCGGAGTAAGTATCAGTCGCAGAAAAGAGACTCTCAACGGAAACGAAGTCAAGTCACATACCCATTATCCAGTCCACACAGGACCGCCAGTTTCTGCTGACACAATTTGCAGGTAACATCTTGGGCAATGCGGCCTCGGAGAAGACTCATTTCCGATGTCTGCGGAATGTGCTTCTGCTCCGAGGAGATCGAGATACGATGCAGGTCGACACTCAACCATGCCGTCGCAACGGCATAGATGTTAGACAGCTTACCCCATTCGTTCTCCAGCACGGCCAGCGAGCTGGAGCACCGCAGGCACTGACAGAGTACTGCAGTCCGCGTGAGGTGACTCAAATCCATTTTCGCGATGCGACTAGCCAGAAAAGAGGGCGCTGGTGTCGAGAGGAATGTGTGGATTCCCAGCCCGCGTATCCTGATATCGCATGTGCCTGAGTCAGCGGTTCAAGACCCCTGGTCACGCTATTCCTATTTTGGTTATCGATAAGGGGTGTACCTTCGCAGTGACCTCATGGTCGTGAAGCGAATTCAGGCATATTCTGTATATAGGGTTGCACAGGAAGCCAAGGCTGGCTAATTTCCCACTCATGTTGCCAATAATAGGTATGGGGGATATATATCTTGTTTCAAACTTTCGGTGTCAAGAACGTATCATGGCCTGCTCCGACGATATCCCCGTGGCCTTGTCACGTGATGACCGTACTCCCCGCACTCTTGCGCCGACCCCTCGGAGAGTCGGAGTTGCCGCCGATAAAGCTCCATGACTCGCCCACTGCATGCCCTTTGTCGGCCATTTAGGGCTTCCAGATCTCTCCCCATCTTCCCAACAATATCTCCAGTCCGAAAGTTCTCCCTCACAAACTTTACCATGGAGTCGTCGGCCAACGCCTTGGCTGTTAATGGCCAGACTAGTTGGCATGGGGCTGGTGCTGCCGAATTTGACCTGCGAAGTACGGCTTTCCCCAATGTTAAGCAATGCACCATGCTGAACATATTTCATTTTAGGTGACACCATGACGAAGCCAACCCCGGCTATGCTCAACGCAATTTGCCAGACGACTCTCCTCGACGATGTATTCAACGAGGACCCAACAACCAATGCTCTACAAAGTTATGTTGCCGAGCGGACCAAGCACGAGGCTGCTCTATTAGTGCTGTCAGGAACGATGGGTAACCAGGTCGCTATTCGCTCGCATTTGACTCAGCCTCCCTACGCGGTGCTGTGCGACCACCGATCTCACATCATTTGCTATGAGGCCGGAGGTGTCAGTGCATGGACGGGGGCGACCGTGCAGACCGTTGTCCCTAAGAACGGCATTCACTTGACCCTGGAGGATATTCAAAAGCATGCCGTACTGGACGATGACATCCACCACTGTCCGACCAAGTTGATCAGTCTGGAGAACACCCTCAATGGCTTGATTATGCCCCTCGATGAGGCGCGGCGCATCGTGGAGTGGGCCCATGCCAACGATATCAAGGTGCATCTGGATGGCGCTCGGCTATGGGAGGCAGTTGTCTCTGGAGCTGGAAGTCTTGTCGAATACGCCAGTCTATTTGACAGTGTGAGTCTGTGCTTCTCCAAGGGACTGGGTGCCCCTATTGGCAGCATTATCGTTGGATCGCAGGCCTTAATCAAGAAAGCCCGTTGGTTCCGCAAGTCTATCGGTGGTGGCGCTCGCCAGACTGGAGTCTTTGCTGCCGCTGCCCGGATCGCCCTCGATGAAACCTTCGGTACAGATGACCACGGCAAGACCGGCAAGCTTCCTGCAACGCATGCTAAGGCCAAGCAAGTTGCAGAATTTTGGACCAGTCGCGGAGGCAAGCTGCAGTATCCCGTGCACACCAATATGATTTGGCTGGATTTGGAGGCGTCCGGGGTGGGACCTAACGATCTCACATCTATTGGCCAGGAGCAAGGGTTACAATTGCTTGGAAACCGGGTGGTGGTTCATTACCGTAAGTGACTGTGATTGCGAATTTCCCTTGTGCAGCGATGACTCAATCCGTTTTCTGACCTATCAACAGAGGTTTCGGACGATGCAATTGCGCGGCTGAATCAGGTATTCGACATTGCTCTGAAGGGCGACTATCAGCGGAGCGAGGACACAACAAAAGCATATGGAAGTAGCAAGTAAATAAATACACATATATAATGCTGCAGTAAATAGTTAAACCATACCTCGTATCAAATGTACGACCCCAGTGTGACGCAAATAAGATTTCCGATCAATTCCACGGTAGGGTGAGACGCGGACCAGCTTAATCACCAATCAGCCAATCAGAGCTTCCGGTGGTAGCTGAGTCAGCCCAGGAACCGCTGCTTGGTTGCCTCAGGCGCGTGAGATCGTGCGGCTCGATCCTCGTCTTTCTTTCTTCGTTCCTCGGAGGACGACCTGTCAGTCTCCGCCCCGACTTCCACCCCTTTCAGTCTGTCCACGGTGACAATCTCTTCAATCCTCAGAGCTTGTGGATGGTGAAAGAGGGTGCTTGTCAATTTGTGTGAGTCAAGTCTGTCGAGGCGACTCCAAGACAAACTGCTTGAATCAGCTTGTACCAGAATAATGTGCTGACCTTATTCCTTAACCGTCCACAGAGATACCTCTTTTCATTGTTTCAGACCACTAGAGATACTGAAATTCCCTGAGCAAGCTGCCATTAATGGTTCGAATCATAGCATAAATCCGGATCCATCAGCGTGGTGGGCGATTGCCCTGCACAAGCCCCAACGTATACCTCCCTCGAGCCCTTCTTCAACCCCTTCTTCCTTCAGTCAGATCATCCCGGGAACATCAGATTTGCCTCCTGTCACAAAGTTCTGACATCTGCAACCTGTCAGCAGCAGGGTGTCAACGGGCGCTGCGTGTGGAGCTGACACGGCACTCCGCCTGTCAAGGGAATACACCACATTCCAAGACCGCTGTGATATCACCCACCTACCCGAACCTCATCATCTCACTGTATTCAAAACCTGGCAGTTATCATACCCTGTGCTGCCCAGTGTGTCTGTTACCCAAACCTCTGAATTTCCTTTCTGTCGTGGCAGTTCACCCGGGTGATCGCTCTAGTGACTAGCCTTTTGTCCCCTTTGCACCCGCCTAAAAGGTATATATACCCTTGTCCCCGCGGACCTTGGACCATTTCATTTTTTACTCACTGGCCCCTTCCTAGGCCTGCAATCTGTGTATTCATGCCCTTGTTATTCAAAAATCCGTTTTCAATCAGCTCATATACCCCACACCCACATCGGTCATCAGTAGTCTTTCTCCAGTTGTTTGCTTTTCCCTCTTCTTAGCGCATCGCATTTCGCATCTGCATCATATCCCAACTTCACGATGGAGGCCACCCAAGAATCTACTCAGCCATGTGCGGACCCTCGCCGGATGGGGCTCAACAACTCTGGGCTCCATGATCAGGATCTGGCCGACATCATCTGTATCCTGCATCCGAACTCTCATGCCGCGCACGATGCGGTTGCTGCCACTGCAAGCCTAGGCAATCAACATATTTTACAACAAGATGTCTTGGACTTCGAAACGTCTGAGACTGCTGCTCTCGATGTTGCCTTGAGGCTGTCATCGCAAGTATGCGACCTCGGGGTGGGCTTCTGCTTTGGTCGCAACCGCGCCCGTTGTGATGTCCTTCTGGCTGTCGACGATGAAGCGAAACGGGTTTCTAATACTCATTTCCGGATCTACCTGACTGGCGACGGCATCATCATGTTGCAAGACACCTCTACCAACGGCACCATAGTAGACAACTGCCGCCTCAGGAAGAATCAAAAGGAGAATAGTCGGATGCTCACCAACGGTTCAGTCATCCAAGTGGTGACTGGAAACCAAGGATCCGATGAGGTGCGGTTTGTCGTACGAATCCCATCTCGCGAAGGCTTCGCCGTTCAATACACCCAGAATGTCCTTCGTTACTTCGAACGTGTACAGCAGGTGGCAGGAGCCATGCAGCTTAGGAATCGAAATGGCCCAACTCCGCCTGTGCTATCATGGTCGGTCGCAAACACCTACGGTATGCATTGGACGGGCGGCTCGGAGTACAATGTGACAGGGCAGATTGGCAAAGGCGCCTTCGCCACGGTCTACAAGCTAGCTACCAAGCAGCATGGAGCGATATATGCTGCGAAAGAACTGGACAAGCGGCGCTTCATGAAGAATGGTATTCTGGATCAAAAGGTCGACAATGAGATGAAGATTATGCGTGACTTGAAACATGTGAGCTATCTCTCACTTGAGCGACTCTGTTTTTCATTACTGACTTTCATCTGATTCAGCCCAACATCGTTCAATATATCGACCACCATGAACATGATCGATGGATTTACATTATCATGGAGTACGTTCCCGGGGGCGAGCTATCCACATATCTCTCCAGCCACGGCAAGATCGCAGAGGACATGGTGCGGACAATCGCTCGCCAACTCTTACGGGCACTTCACTACCTTCACAAAAAACGCATCACCCACCGCGACATCAAACCGGACAACATCTTGATCGCTTCCCTAGATCCGCTGCGCATTAAACTGTCGGACTTTGGACTATCAAAAGTCACCCAGGAGGAGACATTTCTCAAGACATTCTGCGGTACCCTACTGTACTGTGCGCCCGAAGTCTACCCCGACTATGAAACATACCGACGGGGTGAGCTGAGAAAGAGACGTCGCGTTGGGGATCCGTAAGTATTGTGTATCGTATTGTCATTAGCATGTTTGCTAACGACGTGACAGCCCTCCCAAGACGTCGCCTTACAGCCAGTCAGTTGACATGTGGTCACTGGGTGCTGTGCTGTACCATATTCTCTCTGGAGTTCCTCCGTACTCCGGACGGGCAGAGGAACGCGGTGTTGCCATGCTGCGAAGCATCATGGAATCAGAGGCAGATTTCGATATCTTGCGACGTGAGGGTGTATCGGAATCTGGCGTTGAGTTCGTTGCTCAGCTTCTCAATCGAGATCCTTTCATGCGACCAACGGAAAAGCAATGTTTCCAGCATCCATGGATTGCCGAAGTCCCGGACGTGGATGAATATGAAGACGATGACATCTTGGTAGACGCACGCGACGCTCTCTCGGTCATAGGAGAGGCCGAGGAAGAGCTCGATGCGTCCCAATTGTCGATTCATGAGGACGCTGCATACACACTTGCGACAGGTGCAGAGGAGTCTAGCAGCAACGAAGCCCTTGCCAAAAGGCCACGCATCGAATACATCCCTGCGGGCATTCGATACCCATCTCTTCCCAAAATTGAGAGTTTCCAGGATGGCCAAATGGTTGCCGAGACCCACGCAAGAAGGCTCTTTGGCGAAGTCACCTCTTCAGCTCTACGCAGCTCCTATGCCCTTGGCACTGGGTCGTATGACGACGGTGACTATTATGCCGAGGGCTACGATGCCGAGGGCTTTGCTTCTTCTGGTGAGTCGGTGAGCGACAAACGCAGTGTCTATTCGATCATATCTCTCCCAGAACACCCCTTTGGCAGCACGGCCCCCAGCCTGATGGGCGCAGAGAACCTCGTTAGACGACTGAACATGAACTCCTCGCTCCCTCTATTCCCTGCACAGACCGGCCTGGTTAACCACATTTCGACCCGACAGACCAGCCCTGGACAAATCATAGTACCCACGGAGTTTGTAAAAGCAGGGAGCACCCCACGTGAGGTGATTGCGCCTACATCCAGTGCCAATGAGACGACACCCAAGGCGCCCAAGCTCTCACGCCGTATCGACTTGGAGTTGCCAGAAACCGCCAGCGAGCGTTCCGACAGCAGTGCGCCAGTCAGTCGCCCGCAATCCACCCATCCCCCAGAATTGCCTGGGGGGCGGACTACGATGTAGACTTTGCGACCACCTTGGATGCCCAAACTGGCCAGGCCATCTTGGAGCAACTACGTTCAGCCGAGGAGGAGCCGTCGGATCCTATCGTCCACCAACAGCCTGACGCGCCTGGAATTCCTACCGCTATGCCGGTTACCGAGTTTACCAAGCCGCCCAAACTTCTGGGAAGATTAAAGAGCATCCCCGGATCAATTTTTGAACTGAATCTCCGCCTAGACGGCCGGATGACCTCGTGGGGCCGTGGACCCGACGCAACAATTCGTTATCCCGACAACTTGGACGTGCGTATTCCCGCCTACGCAATCGAAATCACCTTTTGGGCCCCGGGACTTGAACGTCGGATCGCTGAAGGCCAAGATTGGACGCAAGTCCCTGGCGTGATGGCCGTGCTTTCCACAAAAACACGCAAATGCATCTGGGTCAACGGCACGGAGCTACGCAAGGGTGGGCCAGAGGGTCTGCAGTTCGGCAAGCTCTACACGGGTGATATCATCACCATCTACAAGCATAAAGACAACGGGGAGTTTTTGCAACTCCGATGCGAGTTCTACCATGGCGAGAGCGCACAGCCCCGGCCCGAATATGAGGCTGGGTTCGTGGTGCGCCAAGCGCTCGTAGGCAAGTCGGACAGTACTAACCGGTTGTCTGTCCGGCCGAGCCGCATGAAGGAAGCCGAGTGAGGACGATAGTTAATAGATGTTTCTGGATCGGAATCGGAATCGGAATCGGAATCGGGATTGTAATTCGAGATCGGGGATCGGAGATCGGGGTTGGGCTGGGTTTCCTGCATATTTGCATCTGTTTTCTGCTTCTGATTTGGCGTCATTTGCCTTGTCTCTCCGCTCTGGAAATAGATTGACAGCAGGAATTGCATCATGAATTGCATATTGCATCGTGGGGTGTGAGTCTGAGGTAGTACAATCTGTTCAGCCATGTGGAGAGCTCTACAATGGGCTTTGTCCGGATGCGGTGATAAGTAGGTAGGTACGTCGTAGAAGTGGGTTGATGTAGATCGGTTTGCGAAGTATACAGATCGGAGACGAGGTGTACAGTCGATCTCCCGAGGTGCTCTATGACCTTGGTAGGTGGTGTGAGTTAATTGACCAACAAGTAGACTAGCAAAGCGAATCAAAATGAATTATATCCTTGTACAGATGTATCATCCCATACATGGTTTCGCTGGCAAGTAACCGGTGGTCCATCATTCGCCTAGAAGGTTACCGACTTTCTGCTTGCGGCATCACCACCACGACCTTCCCAAACCTTCAATCTGCGACGGGATAACCCCCCTTCGTGGGTCTGTGCTCGGCCAGATAAGCCGATGAATGGATCCATCCGCAATTTCACTTTCATCTTAATGCGTCGCGGGTCTACGCAGGGCTCATTTAATCTCGCTTCGCCGGCTCAAACCCCTTCCCTCCCACGTTTCGGTCGTGGTCGCCTTACACCGGCCGTTTACCTACCCAATATCTTCTACGTCGCGCATCCTACCGATTGAACAACCTTCCAACGCAACTATACTGCAAGTACCTCGACAGGGCATCGCTCATCTCACCCCTGCCCGCCGATCGCCACCCCATGTCCCTGTCGCGATCACCCTCTCCCCACCCGGGCGGAGGGTGGTCCAGCCCGGGGTTAACCCCCGGCAGCGGCGCCTCGACTCCGGGCGGCCATTCACAAGCAACACTGGCCCCGAACGGCATCTCATGGGCCGCGGCGAAGGCCAAGAGCGACGAGGTGCGCAAGTATCCTTCCTTCTCGACGCGGAATAGCGGGTTTTTCTCGCGGCAGAAGCGCAAGATCTCGGCGCGGTTGCCGAGCTTTCGTGGTCAGGCGTCTAGGCAGGGATATGTCGATAAGGATGTTTATGGGCGTGGGCAGTTGCATGCTGGTGGTCCCGGTGGATGTGGGCCTTTGGCCACGTTGAAGATGGTATTCAGACGGGGGAGGACGAGGGTGGTGTTTGGGTTGTTCTTGCTGTGGATTGGATATCTGTTTTTGTGGTCGAGTAAGTGGTTGATGTAGACATGACTGGCGCAGGGTGAAACGTGGAAGACTAACGAGGGATATGTTACAGCAATCGTTCAGTTATATCGACGGTCACCGCTAGGTGGAGGTCCCAAATTCGTGATTATCCTGGGATCAAACGTGGAAGGCGGCGTTATGGAATGGAAAGGTGCGCGCGAATGGGCCATCGAGCGCAATAGCATCTGGAATAAACAACAATACGTCAAGCGCTGGGGTTATCAACTCGAAATTGCCAACATGTTGGCCCAAAAGCGATATTCGCACGAATGGCGCGAGAGCTGGGAGAAAGGCGACGTGATTCGAGAAGTCATGCGCAAGTATCCCCACGCGGAATGGTTCTGGTGGTTGGACCTCAACACCTGGATCATGGAATACGGCACTTCTCTACAGAGCCATCTCTTCAATGACCTCGACTCGCATGTCTACCGCGACATCAACGAGTACAACCCCCTCAACATGACACATCCTCTTCCAGAGTTCTTCCTCGATGACCTCGGTCGTGCCCTCGAAGGCGACGGCAACCCGGACTCCCTTTCCTTACTTCTCAGTCAAGATTGTTCTGGCTTCAATCTAGGCTCATTCTTCCTGCGTCGATCTATCTGGACAGAACGCTTGATCGATGCATGGTGGGATCCCGTCATGTACGAACAAATGCACATGCAGTGGGAACACAAGGAGCAGGATGCTTTGGAATATATCTATCAAAGTCAAGCCTGGGTCCGCAGTGGAGTGGGTTTCTTGCCCCAGCGCAAGATCAATGCCTTCCCGCCTGGTGCTTGTGGCGATGGGAATGATCCCGCCGTGCATTATCAAGAGGAAGATCATGACTTTGTGGTCAATATGGCCGGGTGCAACTTTGGTCGAGACTGTTGGGCTGAAATTTACAATTACCGGGCTATTAGCAGTAAGCATAATCGGTCGAAGTGGGAGTGGATTTCTGATCGACTTGGTTCTGCTCGTGAGTGGGCGTTTGGGAAGAAAGACTAATGGAGTGGTCGTCTGCTGTGGATGGCTGAGCCCTTTGCTGCTTTTTACCCTGCTTTGGATGTTGAATTTGTTTCTTGTCTTATTATGCCTTCATGTTTCTACGGACCCGACACATTCTTAGACGACCCTATGTTGTATCATACGGACTCAAAACTGGCATGGCGTCCTGTATGGTTGTTTGTACATTGGATTGGGAATTTGGGAATCGCATTCATTGGGGGGTTTTCGGTGTTTGAGACTGGAGTTGCATATTTTATGGATGCCAATATTACTCTTGAGTTTCGAGACTATCCAAACACTCCTCTTATTCTTCAAATCCTTGTCTCTCTGAAGTATTCCCTCTACTCCGAAAGCATCCAATCTAAATAATCACGTGACAGCCAATCCATTCCGGCACACATGGTCCCTCTCGCACCCCCAACTTCCCCCCTCCACCGCCCACCTCCCACAACCAATCATAACCACCTCAATCACAACCACCAAACCACATTCAATCCGACCTCCTACACCCGGCACCTTCAAATCGGAACCCTCACCGGCTTCAATCGCGCACTTTCACTCTCTCCCCGGCCGCGACCACACCCGTCAAGCCCTCCATCCAACTCATACTCTCTATCCTCGAAGGATCTTTCCACAATGCCCACCCCAGAGTCCGCCGCATTCCTCGCCAAAAAGCCCACCGTGGCACCGACCTACGAGGGCGTCGACTTCGAAGACAATGTCGCCGTGCACAATGCCCGTGACGCGATTATCCGTGAGCAGTGGGTGCGCAGTATGATGGCTCGTCTGGTTGGTGAGGAATTGGGCAAGTGCTATGCTCGTGAGGGTGTTAATCATCTTGAGAAGTGTGGTGTGCTGCGAGGTGAGAATTGTCCCCGGGTTGGAGTGGAGATTGAATTTGGGAGGAAGGGAAAGCTTGGAGTCTGGGGATTGATTGGCTCGGGCGATTGGGCCGGCTAGATTGGTGTTTGGGGGAATAATGGAAGATTGAATGAATGATGTGCTGACGATTGATACCTGCAGAGAAATACTTCGAGTTGCTCAAGGAGCGCAAGGTTAAGGGTTATCTCTTCCAGGAGAAGAACTACTTTGGCGAGGCCAACAAGTCTTCTTAAACGGTTATCGTCATTCCGTGGGAGAGAGGATGGACGAATTGGGGATTCAATTCAATGTTGGGGGCGGATTGATACCGGGTGACCTTTTGTAGAGTCTGGATCGCTGCAGAGTGTCTGTCTGCCAGAGTTGGAAGCATGAGTCTGTGAATTGGAGTCCAGTGGCTATTTGCGCTCCGGATATCGTCGTTCTCAATGCTGTACGCTAGGGTTGTGGCCATTTTGCGGGGATCTTGAGGTCTCCTGGCTCGGCTTTGCCTGGGAAAAGATGAAGCGTTGGAGAAAGTGGTTTTTCTCTCTGTTGTATTGTACATATAAGATATCATTGCCTGGTCAATTTCATTTTCGTTAAGAATATCTGCTCTTCTTATCAATCTTATCAAGGATAATAATGAAAGTCGCAAGCACAGAGGGGACGGTTAAGCATGCGGTCAATGTCTGAGCTTGTTTCTTACATCTACTTGGCTTGAGTCTAACTATGTATTGCAGTGATGCTGTTCATATTTCTCGCCGTCCTCGGGTATCACATCAATAGTACACATTCGAAGCTGTCTGACTCCGATCAGGGAATGCACCAGGTGCTACCGGACCACCAACGGGGACAGCTTCCTCCTCGCTATCATCCGGGTCACTCCCAAAGCGCATATTCACACTCTCATCCGGTGGAGCCCGCATCCGAACCAATTGATCCTCATCCAGGTAGGCCGGCTGATACGGCGCAGGCGGCGTGTGAATATCTCGACCAGATGGGAGATTAGCCAGCAATGGCGCCGACGCAGGAATTACTTGCGTATTGATCTGTTTCACATCAGTATCAAGGCATGTCAGACTGATCTCGGAAATCAAGACTTACAGTATCATTCATCTTCACCCAATTTGTCTCCAACATGGTAATCACTCGACCCTCCTCGTCACGACCTGCATCATCGCCTGCGTCAAGGACACCTTTATCACCTCGACCTCCACCGGCATCTTTACCAATTTTCTTCTCCTCCCTCCTTTCAGCCCATTCCCGCTTCAATCGCGAGAAACCGCCTTTACTAGATGTCCCACTACCTTCATCTTGACCAGACGAAGACGATCCCGCGGTTCCACGTAAACCCAACGCCGTCCGCGCAGCCCTCAACCACGCAATACCCTCACCAGCCTTCCCAGCCAACTCAGCATCAATACCAAAGAATCGACACGCCCGAGCACGAGCCACTCGTCCAAGAACACCCGCATATCGAGTAACCTCCTCATCCACACGTCCTGTCCTCCCAGCCCCGGATCCAACAGCACTCAACCCCGCCGCAGCTTGCTCAGCATACTCCGCAGCGCGAACGCACAATCTCGCAAATAACAAGGCGCGAACTTTCGGAATCTCAGGTGCCCGCACCATCCACTCGCGATCATTTGGGTTGCGCGCCTGAATACACGCAGTCACGTAAGCATCGTCCTTAAGGACAGCTAGCAACGTAGCTTCAGACAGCGCAAGCGCCGACAAGGCCGATTGCGTACTCGCATCGATATCAGGAACCGTCGCCGTCGTTGCAGCCGAGAATGCAGGCGACGAGGCGAGTAGTGCATGAACCGAGCTAGCCTGAAGCAAATTCCGCGTCGCGTTTTGTACAGCAGCTGTACGTTGTTCCTGGGATTGTGTCGTTGGTGCGTAAAGCGATTCCAGTACTCCCGCACGCGCAAGTCGACTGAGCACGTATCCCAGCGTCGTCAACGTAAACGCAATTTCAAAATCAATGCCCTGACCAGAGACACGACCGCCACGCGGCCGGATAGATTTCGCACCCGGCCCGGTCGTCGACGCGTGTATATTAATCCCACTACCAGCGGACAGCGTAGGTTTCCACGCAGTCTCGATCTCAGCGCGAAGCGATACTTCAATCCTCTCTCCAGCGCCTATCCCACTGGCATAAATTGAGGGGTCATTCTGGATATATTGGGCCGAGAGACCGTGAGAGATTGCGAATAGGTAGGGTATGTATTCGTTTAGAGCGGATAGGACAGTTGGAAGGTGGGCGTCTTGTCGTGGGCCGCGGGGTAGCCGTTTGTGAGCTTTTAGGGCGAGGCGGAGGGCGTGGCGGGCTGTTGAAGCGGATTGGGGGAGGGAGGGGTGGGTGGGGGAGTAGATGTATGTTTGAAAGGAGAGGGGGAGGTGGTTGGGAGGGTGAATGCGTATACCATGATGGTGGAAACTTGGGAATTGGTGAGGCGCGGGGTGTTGGAGAAAGTTGGGGATTGGGGATGGGCGGGAGGTTGTCTCTGATGTCACTGATGGCCAAGACAGGTGGACTTGGCGATGGGAATGGGCATAGCCACGGGATGATATTCATTTAACTCTGTTGGATAGAAAAATTGGGTATACATTGTATTGGTGGTATGTATTCAATCACGCGATTTGGCAAAAAAAAAAAAATAAGGAATACCAGTTTCAATGCTCCTGTCTAAGTAATCCAAAAGTGTTCTATGTACTATATTGTTGAAGGGTATTTATGTCCACGTGCAAGCTACGCTCAAATCTTCCACAAATGTGAGAATATCACAGCATGTCCGAACCACGGCTGTACAGCCGCTTTCCCTGCCACTGCAGGTACACAGTAGGGAAGAAGCTGCAGCCCATGATCAGGGCAACAACAATACCAGAGCTCTTAGCGATACCAACACTCTCAAACATAGAGGTGAACCTAAATCAGTAATTAGCCAGAATTCTCCCCAATTCATCTCGCAATCTCGACTTACCAGAAAGGTCCAATGAATCCCCAAGTTGATCGCACAAAGTTAATAAAAACACCCACACTACCCGCATCCTGGGGATACGTATCGACAGCATAAGTCGTCATAACAGTAGTGACGACTTGGTTGCCAAACGCAGCAATACCAGTTCCCACAACAGGCTTAACATTCCACTGGCCCGGGGTAGCTTGCTCCGTGCACACGAGGAAGACAATCATACCAGCAATGCTTAGCAGGAATCCGATATAGCTCAGCCACAGCCGGTATTCGGGGGCGGGCTTGTGCCCGATCTTCCTAGCACGAGCGTTCATCCACATATCAGACATGAAGCCACCGAGCTGTTCGCCGAGGAGAGAGCCGACAATCAGGCCCAGGAATTGGAGACCGAGTTGTTGGGCGTTGAGCTCGAATTTGCTTTGCAGGAGTTGAGGGACCTCGACGGAGTTCAGGACGGAGGAGAAGAGGAAGACCATCGAGTAGGCGATCGTAGCGAGGAGGACGGGGATGTTTGTGAATAGAGTCAAGGGGTGAACGAATTCGGATGCCTTGATTGGGGTAGGGTCGATGCGGCGCAGGGACATGTATTCGCGCTTGAAGGCGGAAGATTCAGACTCGACGTCGGCGCCAATGTAGCGAGTCTCGGGACCGAAGAAGAGGTAAAGAATGGCCTGGATACCGTTGGTCTGTGAAAAAAAGTCAGTAAATATTTTTATAATAGACAAGATGAGTGCAGAGGGCCAAACTCACAATTGCCAGAACCCAGTAAATCCAACGATAATCAACACGCTGAGCCACGAATCCAAAAATGAACGGACCAATTGGCACACCAAGAGTAACCATAATAGTCCACATTCCCATATACTTCGCACGCTCATGGCGGAAGAAAGTCTCCGTAACAACACCACTTCCAATAGCCATAGCCGGTGAAATGAAGAAAGCCACCAACGCACGGCAAGCCGCCATGGAGGCGTAGTCGGGGCTCTTCGCACAGCCAATGTTACAGACACAGCTCAGGATAAGAGACAAGAGGAAAATCGGGCGTCGTCCAAATCTGTGGGAGAGGGGCTTCCATAGTAAAGGGGCACCTCCAAGAATGGCGATTTGCAATGAGGTCAGATAGCTAACGCGCTGGATGGAGACACCCAGATCAAGCGAGATATCCTCGTAGGCGCAGATGATAGCTGCGGCGGTAAATGTGCCCATGCAGGCGTGGAAGGCAACCAGGGCTAGGTTGGTGGTTTTCTAGAAATGGTGAATCGAGTCAGTAAACGTCCTTGCATACCGGTGTCTTTGTATTGCTTACCTTCCACAGTGCCCAGTTGTATGGATCAGCCGGGTCCATGCTAGGAATAGGATCAAGATCCAGTGTTCCATGCCGTTCAATCAAGTACGCCTTGTGCGAGTCGGACAGAAACCTGGTCGGATCGACATTAACGGCAATATCTTTCTCCTCGACATAGTCTGACGAAGACTTTGCGGGCGTTCCGCCGGGAATATCATGCTCAGTCGACGACATTTTGACAAATATCAGAAACCGTGATCAAAGGATGAGAGTCAAAACTGATCCAGGAAGAGCGAGGAGAGTCCAAGATAAGGACATCAGGGGTTCTCCCCCCAAACCCCGCGTGTGCCAGGCTCGGGGACCGGTGGTCTCCGGGGTATGGGCACTATGGGGCCGGGATTGACTCAACCAGTGGGACATACTGGGGAAAGACGTGAATTCGTGGAGATACTAGGGCTCAAGAAGGTCATCCATCGGACTTTTCGGCCACACAAGGGCGCGCAGTGGAGAAATGTTATATTTGCTGTAGCTACGATAGGTCCATCAAGGCGTATGCCTTGTCGAATCTGTGCATCACGATGGGGGGTGGCGGTTCTTCCGGTAGTTATAGTACGGGGTTTTGCCGGGACAGGAGTAGTTGTTGGGGACTCGGAGACCGTTTGATAGGTAGGGGAGCCGAGTCCAGACTAGATTGGTGATGATAAGTGATGACAAGAGGGCCGAAGATGACCCGATCCACCCAGGTTCCACCGGATACCTCGCTTGGTCTGGCCAACTGCCGATGCAAAGTTCCGAGCTTTTGACTGGAGGAGTCGGGCTGGGCGTGTCCTGGGAACACGGCCGAATCGCCGGCCAAGTCGGGTGGCGCGGGAAGGCTTAGAGTTTCGTCGAGGCTTGATATACAACAGAGTTGAAGAGATTTGTGATGAAGATTCTCTTTGGAATCATTTTGATCCGTTGGATCTTGACGAAACTGGAGGGTTTAGTTGTCTTCGTCGCATTGGAAAGAAAACTCCCCAGACTGTTGTCCACTTTGGGGGCGGGGGATTCCGGGGTTGACTCCACTGGGAACCACTTCAGCCACGCATTTCGGGGTTTTGCCGAGCTGAGATTGGGTCCTTTTTGACTAGTTTTGACATCTAGCGAAAATAGTATTGGCGTTGAGATCGTGTGATTTGCAGAAATTGTTGGTTCTTAGGTTATTTTCCAGAGTTAGTCTGGGGTAGATCTACTCTATCGTGTCCTGGGTTGATAGAAAGCGCTTGCAATTGCCCTATGCAGGTATACCTGATACTTCCTACCAGTAGGGACCAACCAGAAAAAAGGTGTAGTGTGGAAATGGCAATACCCGACATATTACCCAGTACATAGTCCTCTTGAACCAATGACACAATAATTATAATAGTTAATGATAGATCAAGATCTCTCGATGAGATTTACAGAAGCAATAGGTCACGTGATATATATTCCCAAGTTCCAACCAGTTTCTCAGAAGTTCCATACAAAAAAAATGGAAAAAAATGTTTCCGCTGTGAAGCGAACGAATGTGGTTCCAAAGATTTTTGCAAGGGTTTGCAGGGACAGAACGCAGCAACGCTCGTCTAGTGCATACTCCGACAGTACCGAGCACGAGACCGCTAGGCCATGCACCCGGTACGGAAGATTATTCCTCCGATTTAGATTATAACCTCACCGCCTTCCTGGTATGTTGCCTCAGTATACCCCGTCAATAAATCAGTCATTCTTGAGCTATGAAGATGCCATTTTCAGGACTAATCCATCTTTGCTTACCATCATTGCCGAGGCTTATTGATAGATAATTGCAGGGCTCTATCTGATACCATCAAGGTACGTTTTAGTTGAAATGTTGGCTCATACTGTTTGATCTTGATCATCACCGTGGTTTTCTCTTGATACATCATCAAAATTTTCTCAAATCTCTTTGATCAGGCCGGTGGAAACAATTGAATTGTACATCAAGCTAGTCTCGTGATATTTGACTTTCAAAGTCTCAAGATTAGGCCGGGCGATTATGCTTCTGGTTGCTGAACAATTGTGAGCATCCCAGAAGTAGGTCAATTACCACCAGTAGGGGAGGAAACCCTCGCTATCTAGCTGTGGTGGAGCAGAAAGCTGCATTGACACATGGTCGGAAGGGCTTTGGTGGTATGCGATGCCAAATGACTCGGTCATCCTTGATCTGCTGCTTTTGCTGGCCATGTAGAAGCGCCCGAGGTTTCACCAAGGGTTATTGAATTGGGAAGATCGGGGCAGACTCTGACAGGACCTTCTCTGCATGATATCAGGAATGACACTTTGACCAAGAAATATCCCAAAGGATTGCCCAGGACGCAGATACAAAAAATGTCTCGGGCGTTGATTTCAGGCCGAAGGGTAATGTTGAGGGTATACGGTTGGTGCAGGCTCCGCCTTTCACACTTCCATGCGATCTTCTTCCGATAGGTGACTTGGGGCGCTACTAACACCCGAAGTATCACTCGCACCGGGACTCACAGGAGCCCGAGATCGTATTTGCGTGCCCCATTCTCGGATACTCGGTGCACCACCTTCAAGAATAACTGGGTGCTCATCCGCGCTCTTGCCCAAGACTGTCCCCGCGTATCGAGATTCTTCACCAGTCTTACTGTGCTTCTTCTTCAACGCTGTCAGGAAGTCTTCTTTCTCAATCGCGTCCGAATCCACCATATCTCCTTCACTCGGGACAAAGCCTGCAATGCGCCGAATCTCACGGTGGACAGGTCCCGTGATCCATCCAAGCAGTGACTCGAGGCCACGCAGATCTTCTTCTCCAGCCCATTCCTCCTCCCATTCTCTTAATTGCGGTCGTAGTGCGCCGGCATCTTGGAGAGCTTGGTAGACGTCTTCGAGGACTGGAGATGGATCTTCGGGATGCGCGTTGGCGGCGTGCGCAGCTGTTGCGGAGGCCAGGATCATGAGATATCGTCCCGTTAATTCAGAGAGTGACTCTAGGACTGATGGGCGCGTAGAATGGAATCCTTGAGCGCGGAGAATTTGGATGATTGGAGGTCGTAGGAGGGCATTATGGAGGTTGTGGCCTGACATTGCGGCCAATGTAGCTGGCCGTGTGTGAGGTGTGCAGAGTGAGGTAGTAGCGATCGAAAGTAAGCGAAGGGTTGCTCAAGAGAGTTGAAATATCGAGACGAAGATGCGAGGTCAAGGTGAGAGGAGAGATTCGTACACAAAGCACGAGACTAGAGTAAATAGGTGACTCGTCTGTTGGCTGTTGACGGATGAATGGTGGAAGCTCTGCAGCAGTTGATCATCTTGTGTAATCCAAATACAGTTAGCCGGTCTACCGCCTTCTGTTCCGCCTCTTATACTTACCACGTCCAATGTTGACATACTCAAGAATGAACTAAATCAGGCCTGGCTCTCCAAAGGATTAGTTGCTAACCAGAAGGATTAGCCCAGAATTTTGTGGCATATCTTTTTCTACCGTCATTTGCAGGCTATGCCATATTGTACCAATCTAAATACCTCGCTGAGCCCCCATCGAAGACAATATTCTGCCGGACCTATACCGTATTTCAACACCCAGCTGCGCAGTGGCCGTCCGCTGGCCGCAGAAGTCCTCAAGCCAAGCGCGTCCTGGTCCTGGCAGCCTTAACCACCTCCTTCCCATCAACACCCGACAGACACCTCACCTTGCCACCCTTATCTCGCGCCGAATACACTACACTCGCAATCGCCAACCACTGGTCGATCCGCTCGCGTCATGTCTGAGCCCAAGGGCCCGACCCTGAAGCTCAAATTCGGCAAGAAGCCCGCACCGCCGCCAGCGGTGCCTGCGCCTGTTGAAACTGCACCAGCTGCACCACCAAAGCTTACCCTGAAAATCGGTCGCAAACTACAGCCACCACCCGAGCCATCCGAAGAGAAACCAAAGAAGAAGAAGGCATCATCGAAGAAACGGCCAGCCGAGAATGCAGCGCCGCCTGAACCCGCAGTCGCCCAGCCAGGTCCGAAGCGGCTCAAGTTGAACGCCTCCAAGCTCAAGTCGATCCGCATCAAAAACAAGGGCCATGTTCCCAACCGGCCTGTCGGTGTCGGGTACGACTCGGAGGCATCAGATACGGAGATGGATCCATCCATCGAGGAACAGTTTATCTTACGAATGCTACCAGGTGAGGACTGCGATTACCTGCGGCAGGCTATTGAGGAGCGGAAATTCGACAAGTCCGAATTCTCGTTCAAACCGCTTAATCGCGAGGGAAGACGCGCCATTTTCAAGGTTCGGAACAAGCAGTATGCGGCATGCTTGGTTGATTTGCCCTGCATTATCGAAGGCATGAAGAGTTGGGATCGTCGGGGTTGGTATAAATCTGCGGACATTTGCCAAATGCTCTTGGTACTGGGTACCGTCACAAGCGACCAAGAAGCGCTCGATTATCCTATTCCACCAGAGCTGGAGTCTGCCGACGCCAAGACGTTACAATACCCCCATGGTCTAGCGCCACCTTTGCGATATGTCCGAAAGCGACGTTTCCGTGATCGCGTCAGCACGCGCACCATCGAACAAGTTGAGAAAGCCGTCGAGGATTTGGTTGCACAGGATGAACAGTCCCTTTTCCCTCCTAGGTTTGACCTGGTGGACGGTGCAGCCCTGAACCGTGCCGAAGGATTCGTGCAGGAGGATTACGATGAAGAATACGATGAAGAGCAGGATGCTGAGGGTGAGGTGGATGAGATGATGGATGACTTTGAGGATGACCTGGCTGCCGAGATGGAAGCCGCGCTGGCTGCTGGAGATGACGACGCAGCAGCAGCTGTTACAGAGGCAGTGCAAGCGGCAACCGCATCTACACCAGCCGCGCCGACAGAAGGTGGAGGTGATTCTTCAGGTGAAGAGGAAGTCTCCGACGAGGACGACGATATCCCAGAAGATGATCTCGATGAAGAACAGCTGGAGCAGCAGCGCCAGCTCCAGCAGCATCGGGAGGAGATTGCCGAACTTGAAACTCTCATTCAAACTGAAACTGCACAGTGGCAGAAGGTGCAAAATCAAATTCTACGCAACAAGATGGGTCGCCGCATTCAAGAGCTTAAGAAAGATCTGGAGCTTAAGAAGGTGTCTATTGGCATGCCCGGCGAGAACGATGAATGATCGGTCACCGAGCGGGGACGGGATGGGTTGGAGTCAATTCGCATTTACAGGAAGCATCACAGTTGGCGCTGGCGCATAATATTTTTCTCTCATGATACTCCTCAGTTGAAACCACATGAAATTTTTTATTCGATCCTTCCATCCATGATGTTCGCTGGAGAAAGCCGGTTGTAGACCCTGACGTCATCCGGCCATCAGGCAAAGCATATCAGAGCTTCCTGCTCCGAGAACTATATACGATGGTCGGTGTCAATGATAATGTTAGCGTGGTACTTCCACCCCTACTTCATGACTAATATTCTGCCACCCTTTTATTACGACTTCACGTAATTAAACCACTATAATACAATATATTACCGCCTAGTAAGGTGTATGACCCCCCTGCGCGTCGATAACAGCCTGGCAGCGCTTCTGCATCAGATCAATCTGCTGGTCTAAAAAGCTTGTAGGAATCGCATCCCAAGCAGCTCGCACAGCCTCGCGTAGCTGATCATAAGATAGCTTACGATCATAGTCTTTCAAATATCGATCACCGATCCAATCTTTTATCCAATCCCAAACCTTCTCAATTGGATTAAGATCTGGCGAATACGGTGGCCAGTCGATAGGGTATATCCCACGATCGTGAAGCTCCTCAATAGTTAAGAGATTTCGATGAGATGGTGCGCCGTCTTGCATTACAATTAGATGTTGATCTAAATGATTGCGAGCCAGCGAAACCATACCGTCGATAAGAGGCACAATTCGCTCTGTATATCGAGCAGCAGTAATAGTGCCCCATTCCTTCTCCCAAAATAGACAAGGGCCTTTCTTATTATTATAGAATGAGCCCCAAAACATCCAGCCAGGTGCACGAGAAATTCGCTCTCGTATACAAGTATCATCAAATTCCTCACCAGCCCGACGCGTAACATAGATCCGTCGATGATAGACCGATGTAACCCAGGTCTCATCAGTCCATAATATCTTTTCCCACTGCTCACGCGTCTAATTAACGTGCTCTAGCGCCCAGATTAGACGCAGTGCTCGTGTACGGTCGGACAAAGGAGGCTTTCGAAGGGCCTTACATCGATGATATCCACGTCTAGCTAAGGCCCTTCGTAAGGTGACAGAACTAATAGGGAGTTGTAGTTCTTCTATAACCCTAGAGTACGGCATCCGTCGTGTCTCTTTCGAAGATGAGATAAACTCGATTATCTCATCAAGCTGTTCTTCTGATAGCTTTCGACCTCGGCCAGGGGCCTTACGTGGTGTAGGCCTCTCATCAGTGCAAGCCTTTTGGACCTGACGCTGGGTAATGCCCAGTTTTGATGCAATTTGGCTATAGGTAAGCCCCTGAGCGCGCAGTGTACGCGCTGCGATGCGCTGATCACGACTAGCTTTATGGCTAGGGGGTATGAGGGGCCTGGGGGGCCTGGGGGGTATGATCGGATCTTTCGTGATTAGTCTCCATGGTAGGTAGGTAGGTAGGAAGGTAGGTGGCTAGGTGGCTAGGTGGAAGGGTTTGAAACATATGGTATTGCCCTAATCCCTATTCGGAAGGCGGTTGGAGAGGGTATTAGTCATGAAGAAGGGGTGAAAGTACCACGCTAACATTATCATTGACACCGACCATCGTACTTCCAACTTCTTCCGAGTAACTCATAATCTTCCATACAGATATTACTTGCACACATATCTCGGGTCCTCCATTCACCATCAACCTTAACCATCAAAATGAAAACTCGCAGCCAAACCGCTCAACCCGCCCAACCTCCCAAGGAAGCTACCTACACCCAATCTTCCAACCCAATCTCCCAAACACCATCCGAGCAATGCACCCCAGCCCCTCCAACACGCCAATACGGCGACCCAACAACCTCAATCACCCGAGGCCCCAGCTCCAAGCCCTCCAACGACGACGCCCGCGCCCACCTAGAAGCACAACACCACCAAGAACGAGAACATATGCAAAAACGTCCCGACACCGACCTAGAATACGGAGTCGAGCAGCAACCCGCTGAGGGATACATTGCTGACATAGTCTCACGAAAAGGTATGGGGATGCAGCGGGCGCAGGCTGGTGCTCACGCTGGACCTGTTGGTAGTGCTGCTGGGCCTGGACATCCGGGGTTCGGGGAAGAGAGAGATTTGGCGGCGAATATGGATCAGAAGAGGGCTGAGCATGATCGTCTTCTTGGAGAGAAGATTGGGAGAAGTCCTGAGGGGGGGTATGGTGATGTTGCGGAGAGAGAGGCTGTTAGGGAGCGTAAGTTGAAGAGGAATGAGGAGGGTGGAGGGGAAGCTTAAGGAGGAGTCGGGGACACCTGTTGTTGGTTGATCGGATCGAAATTGATGCTTTTTACTTTTATGTGCCTTGGAAGTTGTATCTATTCATGAATAGTTGTATTTGTTCATGATTCATGAACAGAGTCTAAAATTCAGTAAATGAGATGCTGAGTGGAGCGAATGAAGCCTCCTAGCCTAAAACTTTGATCATTACCTCCCTCGCCCTCCTTAGCCCAACACAATGCTTTCAGAACTAAGCCTCATCGCCATACTTCTCAAAAAATTCCTTGAGGATAGCATTGACTTCGTCCCTTGCTTCTAGTTGCAGCCAATGGCCAGGCGTACTAACGCATTTGAACAGCGAGGGACCCAGAATCCCCATTGACTCGGCAGCATCATCAGGAAAAACACCCGTCATTTGGCTTGAAAAGAGCATAACGGTCGGACAGGAGATCCAGGGGCATAGTTTCGTTTCTATCTCATCCTCATTGTTCAGGTTATTCACCAGCACGCGATACCAGTTCAGTGGCGGGCCATGATGCCCTTGCATGATTCTCTGGTGAACAACTCTTTCCTCGTCTGTGATGTACGACGCCATTGGGGCTCGGCGGTCATCTAAAAGCCACGAATCCATAGCCCCTTCAGGGCCGAGATGATCATTCCAAAGTGATGCATCTCTAGGATAGAAGAGCGTAAAAAAGGACTCGCTCTACACGTCGTATAAGCAATGAATCGAGTCCGGTACATAAAAAAAATGTATCAGGATAACTTACATACTGATCCAATATATCCCCCGCACAATCACTAACGAAAAACTTCAAATACCCAAACCTCTCCTTCCCATGAACCTTCTTCGTCATAGCATTCACAGCATCAAGATCAAAGTGCTCCCCTGGTTTCGAGTACGGCACCTCTAGGAATGTGCATGACAAAAGCCTCTCCGGAAAATAGTTCGCGAGTCGAGAAAGAAGAATAGTTCCTGTATCGTGAGATACAGCATGTATCTTTATCAGTCTCTCATGATCCAAGATCTCAATTATCTCTGCGGCCATGTTCTTGGCTTTGTATTCCTCGGCTGAAGTTGGCTTGCTGGTCCCGCCGTAACCGAGGAGATCTGGTACTAGGATGCCGTAGCCGTGGAGTGGGAAGAAGGAGATTTGGTGGCGCCAGTCATAGCTTGATGATGGGAATCCGTGGAGGAATAGGATTGTTGCTTTGGTTGGGTTTGTTGGGGGAATGTGGACGTAGTTGTATGTATGGCTTGTTGAGAGAATGAGGGTTTTGGTGTGTTCGGGGAATGCAATAAGAGCCATAGTTATGAAATGAGAAGGAACCTTGGAAGTGATGTTGTAGTTGCTAGATATTAGTGAGTAATGGTTGTCGTTCAAGTATATAAAGTCGCGACAAGGATAAGCGGAGACTTTCTCGGAGACTTTGTGAGGTAGTATACTCTCCCTTCTAACCTCTCTGGTTTGTTGCTGCATGCTTCCTTGCATATGCTATTTATGTCATCCAAATTTTTTGGTATCATCACTGGCTCTTTGTGGATCCATGAAAGCTAAGTTTTGGATTCGCCGCGAGTCTTTGGTCTGTGATGTACATCCAAGCAGTCGTAGGTCCTATCACACTGGTTCTCAGGGTGGTCCCTTGTATTATTTCTCGGTCTAGCTATTTTGGAAAGGCCCCTTTATATAGCTGCTCTGGTTATTTTACGATCTATTATCTACACATTTTCTGCTCAACGTGTGGCCTTCGCGATAGTCTGCCCGTCCATGGGGATACATCCTAAGTGCCTTTTCTTAATCAACTGTTCTTGGCACTCGCTATAGAGAAGCTATAGAGGTGTTTGGTAAAAGGTTTAATATCAATCTAAAAGGATTTTAGTACTACGAAACCTGTTTCATTCATCATTTCATGGAATACAGCAGAGCCCCGGGTTAGTAACACCTAATCTATCCAGGCAGCTCTACACGACACCGAAAATATATATCCCTTTCCCGTCATTTCCTAACCTTATTGTCTCCCCAAAATTACTATATACCAGAAACTGTACCAGTATATGTGGCTCTAGATGTCTGTCGTTAGTATCTCCGTTTGTCAAAATTTGAACTTGGAGGTGTGTGAAAGGAGCGGGTGCTTTGTTGCAGCCTGCCGTCGTGTTACAGGCCAGGTCTAGTATGTCCCGGAGCTATCATTACTAACCTGTCGACCACGAAGTTAGACGGTTATACAAGTTCACAAGTAGGTGTATGCAAGCTTAGTAGTATATAATACTTTTATCTAATACATTGGTAGAAAACATAATTCAACCAGCTTAAATTCATACTTATGCGAGATGTGCTAGATTATGTCATCATTTTCGGGAGTGGCCCCGGACCGAATGGCATGTGATGTCTGCCGAGGTCTGATTACAATTCAACCCAGCGTGATAAAACGGCCAGAGTCTATAAAGCAACGTTTCAGCAAGAGATAGAGTTAAGAAATCTACAGCTTGACAGAACCATGGCCACTCTCTTCTCCGTTCCGATCACCTCGACAGGTGGCACCATCGTGTGCACCAAACAGGGCAAAGAGGAGGAAAACATCTATGTCCTGACTTTCACATCCCCGAAAGATAACCGACTGACTCCGACGTTCATCGATGCTTTCATTTTGGCACTGGACATCATTGAGCACCGCTACCCTAAGGGCGTCGTGGTGACGACTAGCGGTATTCCCAAGTTCTACAGCAATGGTCTTGACTTGGATCTGGCAACCAGCACAGAGGGATTCTTGGACAAGTGGCTGTGGCGTTTGTTCCGGCGATTCCTAACGTACGTATTCCAAGACTCATAATGCATGACCGAACACGGGCGAGAATAGCCGCTAACCTCGTATTTCAGATACCCCATGCCCACGGTGTGCCTTCTGAATGGCCACGCCTTTGCCGGTGGCTTTATGCTGGCTATGTATCACGATTATCGTATTCAGAACCCTGATAAGGGCTTCTTGTGTGTCAATGAGCTTGAATTTGGTGTTCCTCTCCAAACGCCCATGATGTCTATTTTCACTGAGAAGCTGACCCCGACCACATTCCGGAGTGTGGTCCTCGAGGCGCACCGGTTTGGCGGGCATGCCTCGCTGAAGGCGGGAATTGTTGATGCGGTTGGTGGCTTGGATGAGGCTGTTGGACTAATTCGTGATCGCAAGTTGCTTAACAAGGCAGCTACTGGAATTTACGGCACTATGAAGGAGGAAATGTACTCTCGTGTTCTTAACGGACTGGACGATCATGCTGGAAATCTGGCATGGCGGGACAAGGTGGAAGACCGGAATGAGGAGCTGCGGGCAGAGGGTCTCAAGGAGGTTGAAAAGTGGGAGAAATCATACAAGGCAAAGTTGTGAGATTTCCACCATCTCTATAGAAGATCATTGGTCCCCAAATGGTGCCTGCAGACTGAATCTATCGGTTCCTGGGTCTGGATACGACAATGGGTCGCATGGAGGCAGGCAAACTTCAGAGACCTAACGGCCGGAGAATTCCTGTGTACTACAATTTGTATATACTTGATATACTAATATGATATGAAATATCAGAAGCCGAAAGTGTATTATCTAGCTGAATGGCCTTGACGAAAGTTCATGTCTTCGTCACAACGCGTCTCATAGCATCCCACCAAGAACCGCTTGAAGAAGAGCAAACAACTCTTCTCCCAGCAGTGCCACAGTCTCAGCACTGAGGGAAGACAGTAACACATTTTTTGTGCTGCAGCCGCTTTCAACTGCTTTCCCTTTCAAACGATCTGATATCCACTCCAAGGCACTCGCCGAACCAGAAATCGCTTCAGTCTCATGAGTTCCCACAAGGTCTCGGTGGTATTCAATACGAGCGCCTGCGCCACAATACTTCTTAACAAGGTCATCCGTATCTTCCACGGGGCTGATCTCATCCCCAGTTGATTTATAAACAAACATGGGCGCGGTTGGAGTACCGTGCAGCCCCATCTGGCCTGACCACTTGTGGATTGACCGAGGTACGTCTTCATTGAAGGATGCCTCCCCGTTCTTGAAGTAGGTGAAAAAATCTTGGCCGCTACCCTGAGAGGTGGCCTGTGACAGACAGCCGCTGGCAATCGAATAGAACTGGGCCGACTTTGATGGAACCAAGCTTTCACTCAACCAGTTGGTAAGATTTGGGAATGCTTTTGATTGCCCATATGTCGCCGAGAAAGCAAGACCAGCGTGGGATCCGGTGTTGATGGTCTGGAGCACTGAAGTGGTGTTAGGTGTTGTTCCTCCAACCGCCACACCAGCATAATTCAGTTCCGGTGCATATGATGATTGGAGCTCAGCGGCCCATATAGATGCAAGTGCACCCCCAGAGTACCCCCAAAGCGCATAACGGGGATTGCGTGATAATCCAACAGATGGACCTTCGTCAAGAACAACTCGAGTCGAATCCAGAACTGCATGACCAGACTGAAGGCCAACCGTGAACTCGGCGTTCAGCCCTTCATAATCTGTGGTGAATACCCACCAACCGAGATTGAGGGCTGCCGCAATCTAGTACTTTGTTAGCTTCTGCTCGAAGCGAGCGGCGACTTGTAAACTCACAAACGGTACGTCTTGTGAAACATTCAACCCGGACGCGAAAGATCCTAGATTCTCATGATCCGCCCGCAGAGTATAAGAAGGACTGCAATCGACATTGGCACTGTCATAGAATGCCTGGTATCCGACTAGTTTGGATGGATCCGAGTTGTACGGCTCGATCAGCGTCACTGCCGAAGCAACTGCGTCGCCAAGGCTGTCTGTTGTCCGAAAAAGATACTGATAAACAGCCTTTACAGAGACATTCAAAGGTAGCGCTAGAAATGATTCCAGTTCAGGTGGAACTGATCGAGAGCGGATCATCTCCCCAGCAACATAGTCACTGATATTGCTGGGCTGCTCATACCAGGGATCCTGAGATGGCGGTGTGATTGAAGCAGCGAATGCAGCACAAATTAGAAGAAAGACAGAGAAAATTGACAACATAGTCGCCGACATCTTGTCGCTTGACCTGAAATTTCAGTCAAGTAACGTTAAAAGAGAAGACCTCAACTCGAACTCGAACTCGATCGAGTTCTTCGAGTTCATGTTCACTTCTCGACCATCTGTTTAACATGCCTATTATTAATAGTTCAGCTCGCCATTCCAAGGATATACCCCGCTCATAAACATCGCGATGTGACTAGTTCATGCATGCATGCATAAGTGAGCATGTCGATCTTGCTGTACGAACTATCCAGCTGACTGATCAGGCGCTGACCAGTTGGCCGCTTTCGGATGCATCCAATCCCGTGAACGGCAACGGATTACTAGATTTGGATATTTGTTGCCGAAACATTCACCCAAATCCTTGATTTCGAACATAAATTGATTGGAAATCTTTCTGAACACAGTTTATGCTCAATTTATGTATTAATATTGTACAATGAATAAATCACCTATGGGAAAGACATTGTAGGTACTGCATACATTCCTCGATTCCGACGCTTGGGCCAGCTGCTGGCCAACCAACGAGGCGCCGGAGGCCCTGCGACTTCCATATTCCCTACCTAGTGGTGTCATATCCAATCTCGATGCAATCCTAGAGACCTTCAACAAAAACATCAAAGACTGAGTCAAAATACCCGGGTAGCGCAGTGTCCGTGTCAAGCCGACGACATACAGTCAAGGTCACGTGACTTTGACAGACACAGGCGGTGCGTGAAAGTTAGATGTACTAGTTATTGCTTTTCAACATCAGATGTCCTTAATTTAGTATCCAGCATGTTAGTAATTGGATCTGGCTAGATGTCTCCCTTTATTGTGGGTGTTTTGAATGCAGAATAATTAGAATCCTATTCAAAGTGAATTCGTCCTAGTCTTTAGTGTGATTTGGTATAGATCTCGGTGCCTTGTGCGAGCTGAGTAGAACCATAGGGGCGGGATTTACTATAAGTTACTATTTCTGTAGTCTGAAAAACTCATGTGCAAAATTTTATATCATATGTAGAATAAGCCTTATTCATAAACTTGATCTTTACGGGATGCTAGGCTAGGAAGCCGATGACACGAGGCTCCCGCACGGCTGAGATCCAAGATTGAAAAGAATCAGTAGTCAATTACCGATAGGCGTTTTTGTTGTCTTGATAAATTCTCCAATATCATTGTCCTCAAATATTAGTTGTTTGTTTAAAACATGGCGCACTGTTTTGACCAATCAATAGCGTGGATAACTATTCTAGTAGTGAAGAAATTTCGGCTATTTCCACAACGTTATATGATCATTATTTTGATGAGGAGATGTTATTAAACTATAAGCTCGAGATTATTTTCTACTTTTCTCAAGGGAGAATCTTATGACGCCAAATTTGTTGATGTAATTGTGACTAGTACACTTTACTGCTGTTCTACAGTATATTCCTATGCCCAAAATACTGTTCTCTCCTCTGTCGCAGCACCTGCATTCTTATCCGTTCGGCCTAGAGCAGAGTATTCCTCTTTGAACTCCAAAAATGGCATTCTGTCGACTCTGTGGTACGAAAATCGATCATAAATTGTGGACAGGGAAATCATGGATTACACCCTGGCGGGCCGAGTGGCGAGCAGGTGAGTACCTCCTGCCTAGACAACACGCCTGATCTGACCCATGATTAATGGATAAAAACAGTCTATTCATTCGCACGCGGGGGAAAGGTCTATTTATCTGGAGTTGGGAATTCGGCGGAAACAGAAAACTGGCTTCATTCCCCTAACACTCATAACACATTGAACGATAATCTGCCCTTTCCAAGAAAACATTTGCTAAGGTTAAAGTTGTTGCCATTCGAAAGGTGTACTAACTTGCGAGGACTTTTTGTCTTCCATGAAAGGTGTTGGATAGCCATCCTGCGATCCATAAACGTCGAAGAGCTTGATCTCGAGAAAATCTTGGAGGCGGTTTCGGATGTCCCTTTCCAACATCTTAGACAACTCTACTATTCTAAGTGTTGTATGTTCATCTTTATTAGAAATTTATGTTGAGATTGATACTGACAAATTTTGCGTTTAGATCGTCGCCACGAGGATGCCCCTGACCCACTCAAGGAGCCGATATTTAGAAGTTTGGAACAGCCTACAAGTATGAGCTTGCAAACCCCCAAAATTGAAATCTCTCCTTGGAGCAACCCGAGTGATATCTTCAGATGTCTTCCACTCGAGCTTCTTGAGCAAGTATCGATCCATCTGCCCACAGTGGACTTCCTGTGTCTACGTCAAGCTTCGCGAGCTGCGTCCCCGGTATTTCACAGTCAACGGTTCTGGAAGACTAGGTTTTATCATGGTGGGGAGCGTGACTTTTTGAGTCACCTTTTAAAAGGTTCGACCAGTATCGGCAAGCCCCTATGTAGGGATTGGCGACAAGCATATCACAAGACCAAGAGGAGCAGACTCAACAAAAGTGAGATACATCGATGCAGGATGCGTCTGTGGGACCGGCTCGAATGGCTCAAGGATAGATATATGGCCAGCAGGGCTAGCGATCTGGGGCAGAAGTCAGCGAAAGTACGACGGCTTATAGACACATTGTCTTGGGCAGACACGAGGGGGCTAAACCCCTTTAAAAAGGGCTCTCGCAAGCACTATGCACCGACGGAAAATCACATAAAGCAGACATTTTTCCCGAAGGAATCAATAAATCGGATCGGCATTTCCATGTTTGAGGAATACGGTCAGCGTTTGATTGATCGTGAAACCTTTATCGCCGGGATCGAGTTTATCTCCAAGGAGCGGGATCAACCAAACAAGATATTCGGTTATCGCATACCAGGAAAGCAGGTCTATATTGATTTCGAGTCTTGGAAGGATGTTCGAGGATTTGAATTTGTTAGATCGGAAGGGAGCTACATTCATGCCATACGGATTTGTCATGTCCAAAAGTCGCACTGGGTAGGTTCACCCAAAGCAAACAATCCAGTTACAGAAAGATTGATTTCAGACCGGGAAATACTTGGCCTTCAGGGCCAATTCGATGTAAGCCGCGTTCAATTGTCCTACTGCTACATGGACATTGCTGATACATTTTCATTAGCACTGTAAAATGGTCAACTTGGCAATCGGGACAACCCCCTCCGGCGAGAAGATGGAAGATCATTGCTGACGCGCAACACTGGCTGTCTTTGCTAATACCTGCTCAACCTTTTCATCGCTATAAATTTTCTATAGCTCACCAGATAATTAAATAGTCCCTATCAATTGACTGAATTTCGAATAGTAAGACTATTCCCTTAGCAAAAAGTAGCGAGGGCTGAAGTTCGCAGCCATGCATGTCCCTCCACGCCATTCACCACGCGGCCGTGTAACCTCACACAGGGTGACAAAGCGCGCTTCGTAGACTGTGTAAATGCAGCTCGTTCATGATTGAACTGAGTCGTGTAGCTAACAAAAAGCAATATAAGGATTCAGGCGAAATACATCCCCTGTATCAGAATTTCGGTCTATAAGGAGACGGCTTTGACTGGTTATTACACCGATCACCTCCGAGTTACATCGAACATGTTCGCCGAATTTCTAAGCCGAAATCAGGATATATACATGCTTTGCAAAGAGAGGCCAGAGCCATCGGTGAAGTATAAGAAGGGCGTGGTTTCCACGATACTTGTTCTCAACTCATCAGCATCCATCTTCATAAGTCAATTTAATATCACATTCGGTAATTATATTGATCTTCCCTCGATTTTCGCTCAACTAATGACTTCGATAGCTTGAACCCTTGACCAAAATGCGTTTGCACTTCCTCTTCGCCGTTCTCAGCTTGGGAGGTGCTGCTATTGCGGCTCCTGTAGCCAATGAAGCCGGTTTGTGAGCCCTTATATCTCTAGTCTCCCCATACATCCCTGTCTCTAATTGGAACTACATGATAGGCGCTGATAGCAAGGATGGTGGTATCGGTCTGGGTGGTGGCGGCGGATTCGGAGGAGGACTCGGTGCTGGAGCTGGAGGAGGATTCGGTGCTGGAGCTGGAGGAGGCTTTGGAATAGGAGAGGGAGAAGGTGGAGGAGAGGGTGGTGGTGCTGGCGGAGGCCTGGGTGGTGGAGGAGGAGATGAAGGAAAGGGAGGAGATGAAGGAAAGGGAGGAGATGAAGGAAAAGGAGGTGATGAAGGAAAAGGAGGTGATGAAAGAAAAGGAGGCTTCGGAGGAGGCTTCGGAGGGGGTGGCGGTCATGCTGGCTGGCGCAAGTAGATAGATCTATATAGATCTATCGAGAGTGTTGCTACTGGCACGCTATTAATTGGTATTACTGATGGGACATGTCTGTTTACATTCAAAGGTCGCGTATGTAAGAAGTTGAATGACAGATGGAATACATCGGGCTATCTGGACGGTTAACAGACTCTAAGAAGGAGGGCTGACACAAGATATACGGTCCAAACCATGTGTGCCTCAAGCAATACTCATCTATAAGGCCAGTATCCAGATCTAGATATCCAAATGAAAAATCAAAACTTTGATTCTTGTTGCCAAGATTTCTCTAGTAGGTGCATTTCGTATTGTAAAGTACATCACGTCGTAAGGTAGGTATAAGGTCATAACCAAAAAGCGCTTCGGAACATAATCATGGCTTTTTGGTCTTGCTTGGCCGGGCCAGCCGTGCGGGTGTGTCCAACTGATCAACAAGCGGACGATAAGGCGAAGCCAACAGGTATTCCGGAGCCGGTTCTCTCCTGGGTTCGCCGAGCGTAGGTCTTCGCAGCTGCTCCTCATGCATGCGATCCAGCGAGTCGCCCATGATTTGGTACTTGGCCCAATTTATCGGCGGCATTCGCACCACATTCTGTGGCGTTGGTATACGGCCAAACTTTGATGTGGATGCGCCGTCCGTTTTTGATTTCTTATCGCCTTCCATCTGGTCTTCTTCCGTGTCCATGACATCGTCTTCCGAGAACTGGATCACCGTCCCGCGATCCTCGGTGCGCAAACGCCCAGCTGCCAGATCGTGCGCAAAGCCCTCCGGATCCGCCGCTGCGGCCTCTTTCAAACGGTCTAAACTGCGAATATCGCGCAGAGTCTGCTGCTTCTGCATTTGCAGGATAGATATCGCAGACCGTAGGGCGATAGCATCTGGATTCTCGCTCTCAGAGATAGGCACTGGTGGGGGTTCTGGTTTGAAGACAGGCGGGGCTGCTGGGGGCGGGGGTGGTCGGTAACCCAGGAGAGGTTCTGGGAGATCATGCGATGTGGGTGAAGGTGATAAAGGGGGAGGAACTATCGTGGCGTTGGTAGAGGCGACTAAGTCGAGATGCGCGAACACTGGGGTCACCGGGGAATAAGGTGGGCGGGGTGGGGTGCCTGGCCGATCATTTTGGATCGAGGCCTCAGTTGCATCTGGCGCAGACTGCATGGTACGATAGGAAAGAGAGAATAGGTGCGCTTGGCACGAATAAAGGCGATCAAAGGTGGTCCAGCGCGCAGTCAAAGGCGAGGTGCGGAATGCAGGATTGGAATCGAAGGCTGGAGGCGTTCCAGCGATCCAGACTGGGTCCGCGGGAAGTGACGACACCGGTTGGTGAGGCTGAGTGGGAAAACAGCCCGCAGTGAGGACACCACAAATCGTGAAACTCGATAGAGACGATCGATTGGTCAATCAAGAAATGAGTTTTTGATCAAGGGAATCCCTCCAGTAAGGCTATGACTGTCAGTAATGACAGGCTGAGACACCATGAGAATCGGCCAGTCTGGTCTTGCGGCTCCGCGAGCCCTATGACTGGGTCAGGTACAGCATCCAGGCCCGTGATGGGACATCAGATGCACACCAAATCAAGTGGAGGTGACTATCGGCTTTCACTGGTAAAGGAGAGGGCCTTTGTCTCAGCAAGACACAGTCAAGCGAATTCCAAGTTGTTCGTTTGTTGTTGATCAATTGAGAATCACATCCCCAAGTCCAGTGACTGACCGCCTAAATGACTGTTCACCGCCTTTGTAACAAATATTGGCGGTCAGATGGATGTAGAGTATCTTGCCGGCATTATAACAGATCGAATGATTCCGCACCGCCTCCGAAAATTTTAGGATCAGACTACCATCGGCTGAGCTTCTTTTCTCTCATACAGCCTGCAAAATGAAGCGCACAACGGACCAGAGGCCTTCAATTGATGGCAATGGCCTACCAGAGTCCAAAAAGCGCGCCCTCTCCAGTGAGGAGGCAGGTGCGCGCTTCAGTGACGGCTTGTTTGACCCCACAAAGCAAAAGAACTACACCGACGCATACACAAAGTCGTCCCCGTACGGTCCATTTTACACCCAACCGCCTGTCAATTACTTTGGGCTAATATATTCTAACTTCAAGGTACCTGCACGGTGTTATCTGCCCCTTAATCGAACCCTCCCTGCTGCGATCAGTCCGCGATGAGGTGCAAGAGCATCTGTCCTTCACCGAGAAGGAGACCGATATCTACAAGATCTTTCAATCGGGTGACCTGGCAAACTTGGACGGCCTGGATGATTCCTCTCTGTCCAAGCTGCCCTCCCTGCTTAAGCTTCGCGACGCTATGTACTCAGCCCGTTTCCGGGAGTACCTCTCCTCCATCACCGGCTCTGGAAAGCTGAGCGGCAAGAAGACCGACATGGCTATCAATATTTACACTGAGGGATGCCATCTTCTGTGCCATGACGATGTGATTGGTAGTCGTCGTGTGAGCTACATTCTCTACTTGACCGACCCCGATACCCCGTGGCAGGAGCAGTGGGGTGGTGCTCTTCGCCTATACCCGACCACAACGAAGAAGGATGCCAAGGGCGAGGATGTCAAGATCCCCAGCCCGGACTTTAGCCTTTCTATCCCGCCGGCCTTCAACCAGCTGAGCTTCTTCACCGTTCAGCCTGGTGAGAGCTTCCACGATGTCGAGGAGGTCTACCACCATCGCGAAGGCGAGGACAAGTCGAAGAAGCGGGTGCGCATGGCCATCAGTGGATGGTTCCACATTCCCCAAGAAGGAGAAGATGGGTACGAGGAAGGATTGGAGGAGAAACTGGCCGAACGCAGCAGTCTTGCCCAGCTCCAGGGTCGTGGTGACATCTACGACCTGCCCCGGCCGAACCCCGTGTCTTGGGAAGCACCCGAGGTGTCTGGAAAGGGCAAGGGCAAGATGGAGGAGCAGTATGAGGGCAATGAGTTCACCGAGAATGATCTCGAGTTCTTGGTGCAGTATCTGGCACCGTCATACCTGACCCCGGACATTGCTGAGGAGATGTCCGAAGCCTTCGAGAACGAGTCCTCGCTCAGTCTGGAGCGCTTCTTGAACGAGAAGTTTGCTTCACGTGTGAGCGCTTACATCGAGGACCAGGAGCGACAGACCCTGCCCACCTCTTCTGAGGAAATCCAGGCTACGACCGAGTGGACTGTGGCCTGCCCTCCTCATAAGCACCGCTATCTGTACCAGGAGCCTGTCGAGAATGACATCAGCAACCCGATCAAGGAACTTCTGAACGTTCTCTTCCCCTCACAGGCCTTCCGCAAATGGCTTGCCCTGATCACCGGCGTGGACCACCTCAAGAGTCACAACTTCCTTGCCCGTCGCTTCCGCCGTGGTGCGGACTATACTTTGGCGAGTGGTTATGATGGTGAGGAGCCACGCCTGGAGTTCACGCTCGGCCTCACTCCCACAACAGGGTGGGAGAAGGAGCCAGAGGAAGAGGAAGACGAGGAGGACGATGACGAGGATGAGAACGCCGCCTCTACGAAGCCTCCCAAGGCCAAGAAGGAACCTACCGCCGAGACCGCCGAGCACCCCTCAGTTGGTGGCTACGAGATCTACATGGCCGGCGACGAGGACGAAGAAGACGAGGAGGATGAGGAAAACGCAGATCAAGTCCTCCGCCCCAAGAAGGCCAAGGCCGATCCCGCCATTTACCGCTCCGCAGGCGCAGACGAGGACGACGGCATTCTGTTCAGTACTCAGGCTGGCTGGAACCGTCTCAGCATTGTCCTGCGTGATAGCGGCACGCTGAAGTTTGTCAAGTACGTCAGTGCTAATGCTAACGGTGACCGGTGGGATATTACTGGTGATATTGGTGTGGAGTTTGACGATGAGGATGAAGATGATGATATGGGTGACGAGGATGAGGGGGAAGATGAGGAGTAGATCCTTGTTTGAAAGGACAATTTATTTTCATTTGATCAAGGACAATTCAAAAGCTGTAGATATACCTATGTGATGCCATATATGACCTGCCAATCTTTGCACAGTTCTTGTCCTCATAGAGACCAATGATGATTCAAAGGTCATCTGTCCATCTAGGTTGCTTCAACTTCCACTCCTCCCAAAATCTTTCCAAGTATCCTTTGGAATGAGTCATTTTCTTCCGGATCCAGCCATTCATTCGGGAATTTGAAGTCCTTGTAAACAACTGCTCCAGCCAGTTACATAGCCCAAATCCCTCGCTCTCAACCCTCAACAGAGGAGGCAATATTATGTGTTCAAGATTACCTGAGACCTTCCACAAACTCCAAACTCTGCACCATGAGGGCATGCTTCAGACGTTCAAACATCTGGCACGCCGCTCTGGTAAAAACATTTCTATATCCGACAGCGTCCCAGCCTGGTTTCTCGAAACGTATCTCTGGCGTGCGACAGTTCTCTCCTTCCGATTAGACTCCTTGATGCGGTCAGATTGCGCCGTAGGAGAGCAGGACGGAACCGAGTGCCAATGTAGCGGGCGACTTTGACGGATTAAATTCTAGAGTCCCCGAGCAGGAAGGACGATTTGATTGGCGTATTATATATTTGCAGGATTTAGGCTGGAGAGGTGTGAGGCGCTCAGTCCAAAACAGTAGACGACATGGCTCGATTTAGCCGATTAGGTACCCAGATTCTCAGCGATGGAGGTAGGCAGCTTTGCGGCCTTCCGTTGTTCTTTGGAAACATACAATAGCAAACCTCGGCACTGGGCGTATTCCATCCTGCCATCCGCAGGGATATGAATAGGAAACAGGGTGGATATCTCAATCTAGATATTGCAAAGAAAAAGAAGAAATCATTTAAACAGAACACACATCTTCGTACCTCATGAAAACCTGACCCTTTTTCTCTAAGGAAGTGGAAGAGAATGCCTCTTCTAACGAGCTCTGTCTCTTTTGCGGAGACCGGGGATTCAGCATCGAAGATTATACGAACTCGGGGATCCGAGAGCCCATGAATATCGTGGCCAAAGTATCTGGCCATTTTGTAAAAGCAGTCAATGAAAACTCCTAGATGAGAGGTACCGTCATATCCCTAGAAGCCAGAGCGCAGACGGGCACACTCGTTTTACTCTTGGGCAATGCTCGTTGGAAAGTCCGAGCACACCGTGACGAATGGCTCGAATGGCAGCATGGTATAGCCATGCTCTTCTGGGAATATGAGCGAACCCCCCTGTGGGTTTTGATCTATAATTCGCTTGATGGAATAATAGATGAGGCACAGCGAGGTCAGTGATATCCCAAGCTCGCATCCATCCGCGAGAATGCCAACCACAAGGGGGCTTTCGACTTGTCGCAGTAGCCGGGAAATTGCAGAGGACTGCCATGACTTGAGACCCGTGGTCTCTGGGTTTGAATCTCCTCCATGCTTGTTCAGCCCATGATGTAGTCATCCATTTTCCACATCAACCAAGCAATGGTCGATGGTTTCCATGATCGTAGCTTTGTCGTTCGGCGGCGCTGAATGCCAACGGCAAGGTAGGAGGTCACTCTCAATTGTAGGTTGCAGCAACAGAAGATGTCTTCTCAGCGCCACTAGTCGGAGCCCAGTTATCACCCGCGAGTATCTGAGAGCCATACTCATGTTCTTTGGCGGTTTGTTTTCCGGAGAGAGCACCCATCTCAGTTCCCTCCTCTGCATGATGATAGTAAAGCTGTGACAGTCAAGAGTGGTACCCATGGAGCATTGTCAACCATTCTGGCTCGCCATTTTTCTGAACTTTGTGTCAATGCGAATTCAATTACCGCGCCTCGTTTAACGTCTGGCGTCACTGCGCATCGATGAGGTACGAGACAACTTAATATCCATCATCACATTCAGATCACCCATCACGTTCTCGCCAGTTGACAAAACCTCCATGAGTTTGTTCTTGTCCGAAGCCGCCGGCAGGGAGGTCAGATCGTCCGGCTCATAGATCAGACACCGTAGGGCGAAGCACTCACCGTTGCACTTCCTTTGCAGGATCTGGGGCAGTCTTTGACCATCTCCTTAGGGTCCAGTGACATAGCTGTCGACGATGGCCCGCCAATTTCATCGTCACTGCTCAAAGCGTGCTGACGACTGTCGCTTAACAACTCCGAAAATTGTCAAGGGTTTACAAGGTCTCTTCTCCTTGAACAGCTCCAGTTCTATAGACCGAGGTACACATCGTGCAGAATCGCGTCGGAACCTATTTGAAGGAATAAGAGTCAGCAGTCTTTTTCTGCGAAGCAAGGGAAAGTAGTTCTTATCACTTCTTCGCGAGGAAGAAAGGGAGAGATCCGCTTGGGAAAACTCTTGTCAAAGAAAGACAAATCTGGGACTTACCGTTTGACCAAGCACCAGCCTTATATGCCTCCTTGATCTTGAATCTCACTTTTGTCGATAGGCACCAGGACGAAGATCGCATGCACAGCATCGTATTCCTCCATGGTGACTCGTTCTCCTTCGACCACAGACTTCATTGAAGAAGCCACAGACACCTCCGTGAACAGCGGGTTCCCGCAAGGTACGTATATCTTCGGCTGCTCATGTACCGGTGTAGAAATTCCCCCACTCAGGTAACGGGAACTTGTGCCGGTCGAGATTGGTACCTGGGTGTGAAAGCCTCCGCTGAACCGTATCTCGACTCAGTATACGTCGGTGGAGGGTGTAGGTCTTCGTGGATGGACCACGACCACGTCTACGACGAGCTCCGCGGGATTTGCCGGAGCTTGGAGGTGTCGGAGCTGACTTCTTAGTCTTCTGCGGTGTCTGTGGAGGCAAAAATAGTTGACATGAGGAGGTAGAGGGGGTCAGTGGTTTGGTGTAATTTAGAAATAAATGATAGATGAGTGAGAAGATCGCATAACATGGCCAGAGGCGAGAAGTGTGCCGGAAGCTAGAGATTTTCGGAGGTGTGTGGCATCTGAGAAGAAAGAAAGGGAGAGGAACACAGAAGGAGTGTATATGAGTGGCGACGGGTGTATAAGTGATCTGTAAGAGAAGGAAGAGGAAAAAAGGAAAGGCCTCAATATTTAAGGTAGGATCGCAGATGGCAGAAGCCTGGCGCTTAAGGCCATAGCAAACGTATTTGTCTGGAAAATTCCTGTTATCTAGACACCCTCAATTCTACTTTCCATTAGAGCTTTCAAAGTATCAATACAAGTCTCACTCGATCGCATAATCTAAGAGTATATTACTACCATGTTTCTCAGCGGAAAGAGCCGCATCAGGCTATAGAGACTGGACGATGGTCGAAGATCGCTCTCCTCTATAGCATCGCTGTTCAAAATATCATGGCTCATATTTGACATTGAGTATGCAGGAATAGCGTAGGTATGGAGGTTGAAATTCTTGTGATTATTTGTTTGATTTCTATATGCTGTAGATCTTGCTAACGCGGCCGCATGTCTTGTAATATCTTATCTTCTGGGATCCAGCCAGTCAAGTAGCGTCTACCACCACCATTTTCCACTCACACTCAAAGGTTAGTAGAATGGGCGATATCCTTTGCTTGTGCCAGATTCTCTTGCACAGCGTCAAGCTTCGCCTGGAATCGTTGATAGCAATCAGGGCCAAGAGGAAGTCGCAGCAGATTCTCCTTTCCTGCGCCAATCCCAGTGCCCGTCACAACGTCCAGAACCCTCTGAGCAGCCTTGGTCGGGTCGCCAGTTTGTTTCCCGTCGTGCGTCCTAAACACTTTGAGTGTAGACTCGAGGGGAGTTCCAATATAATCCTCATTCAGTCCAGCGGCAGGTTCGACGAAGGCTGACAGGAACTTGGTTCGGAATTGACCAGGTTCAACGATAATCACTCGAATGCCAAATGGTGCCAATTCTCGTGAGAGGCTTTCAGACATACCTATATTATCATCAGTATGAGTTATCGTATTGACGGAGTTCCAATGCACATCTACTCACCCTCAAGAGCAAACTTTGACCCCGCATACATCGCGCACGAAGGCAATCCATCCATTCCAGCGATACTGCTTACATTGACAATCGTTCCCGATCGCTGCGCTCGCATAAAAGGCAAAACACCCTTCAAAACTCGAACAGGACCATAAACATTCGTGCTGAACTGGTTCTCGATCTCTGCCTCGCTCATGTCCTCAATACTGCCGAGCAGCGAGTACCCCGCATTGTTGACGACCACGTCGATCGCGCCACCGGATTGCTGAATGGCATCTTGCACCTTCTTGGGAGTTTCTACGTTCGTCACGTCCAGCTCCAGCCATGTGCCTCCCAATGCTTCGATCTGGGGGTTCTCTTTGGCTGCTTTTGCGGGATTACGGGCTGTTGCGATGACTTTGTTTCCGGCGTGAAGGGCTACCTCGGCGATGGCAGTGCCCAGGCCTGATGAGGCGCCGGTGACGAGCCATGTTTTGGGGGCCATATTGAGGTGTGATGGAACGGAGAGAAATTGTTGGTGGGGAGGGCTGGATTGTATGGTGGGGAGCTGAAATTCTGATAGGAAAGACTGGTTTTGAGGATGATTGGAGGTCGAAAGAAATCCGGAGATACGGCATTGCATTTAAATGCGCCAGCAGTCTCTGGTGCGGATCACGGAACGAAAGCGCGGAAATAGCGAGGGTTGGACTACAACTACGGCAGCCAATAGTAGCCAGGCCACCTTTGGCAATTGCCTTTAAGACCGCCTTAATTCCGTCTGTTTTTGAATGTTCCTGGTTCCGACTCTCCCTCTTTTTCTATCTCTCTCTCCATCTCTGTGTATATCGCTCACTGTAATAACCCGAAAGAACAAGCTATGAGCTTTCGAGATCGGGTTTGTTACGTAGGCAGTGTAATGTGGCTCAGTTGATTAAAGCGCCACTTGCCAAAGGTGGACACTATCGGCTACTGTAGTGGGACTCAAGCCGGGCCGTAGGGCGAGGCTGTTCTTTCGTGAGTCTACGACCTCACGATCTTGTATTTCTAATCAGACAAAAGCCCTAGTCGGTATTAAGGCGGACTTATCGGGCTTCTTTTCTGTTGAAGAAAAGTGGAACTTTAACGAGTCATGTATTTAGTCGATTCTTTCTGAGCTTTCGGGGCTGAAGGTTTCTCTGATAGTTGTCTCGCGATGAACTGTGTCGCTATACTTCTAAGTAGCGAATGGTCGAGGACGAACATGAAAATCTCATCTCATTAAGATAACCAAACTAAATGGAGAAAATATAAGGGTATAAGCTTATTCGAATTACGTCACATGTTATACAAGAGCCTACTGTGCCTATGTATGTGGTGATAATTCTATGTGGTGTAGCTGAATTTATCAACCCCCAACGAATTATTGACTTCTTTGAGGATTTCAAGAATAGCGCCAGACTCTTTCGAGCAAATTTACTACCTTCTAGATTTCATAGTTTCAGGCAAGATAATAAAGCGAGCCCTATCTCTCGTACACAAATTTCGTAGGCAGTGATAGCGTTGAGATAGGTAAGTCCAGGGTGTTCCCAACTTCCACTGTCAGGTCAGTGCCAGCCAGAAAGATGAGCTTTTTAGCCGAGGGCTGAAGAACTTTCTATCAGCTAGAAAAATAAGCGAGTAGCTAGCTGTTTTGTTATGAACATGCATAGTGCTCTGGGAGCTACATGATCGCCATTATCCCATTGCTATGAAAAGCGGGGAAGAGTAAAAAATGCCGAGGTACGGCATATAGGAAATGAGTTACGGATTGACCAGATTACGAAGGAATCAGAAGTTTGAATAGATCCTACAGTGTGTCTTTTAGAGCCTGAAGCAGATAAGAAGATGTATTATTCTATGTTAGGTAAATTGTACTGTAGTGCGGAAAGAGGGAGAAGGTATGTGACGTGAGTAGGATTCTGCACTTCGGAGATAGGCCCGATCAGTGAATTGTTTAAGTGGGACGCCCCACCTCGATATCGGATTATGTTCTATACCGTTGAAAACGCATCAAAACATTGGTTCTTATTACTTGAAAGCATCTTTTTTGAAAAGCCACATATTGTTACTGACAGCTGAAGATTTGAATAGCTTCAAGCCAGCTCGACTCGGGCGCCACCGGCCGTACTTCCAACATGGGAGCCCAGAGGATTGAACCTCGGCTCGCGGGAAGGGGAGGCTGATCACTCTTTATATCGAGGTCACCAGCTTAGGAATAGAGCTTGAATAGAGAAGGGATTGTCCTTCCAGTTCTAGAAGAAGCCTTTAGTCTTAACCCGACGAGCAGCAGCCATGACAACCTCCACGTTCGACATCGATGACAAGTTCAAGTACTTGAACGGCTTCAACGGCTACCACCAGTATGCGGATTCTCTTCTAATACCATATCCAGGCGACTAATCAAGTACAGGTCTGAAGCCGCAGAGGGTGCTATCCCATCGGTTATCAATATCCCTCAAAAAGCCAAGTACGGGCTCTACACAGAACGCATCTCCGGAAGCTCTTTCACCGCGCCGAGGAAGGACTCAAAGCAGACATGGCTGTACCGACTTCTTCCATCGACATGCCATGAAGAGTTCAGTCTTCTCGGGAATCACCCATTCAATGTCAACAATGTCCTGAACTCAAAGTACCAGTACTCACCCAATCGATCTACCTGGGTCCCCGTACAGATCGCCAAAGAAGCAGACTTCCTCATCGGTCTTCAATTGATAGGAGGCGCTGGTAATCCAACCATGAAAGAAGGCCTGGCATACTATGCCTTCACAGCTGGAAAGTTAATGCCTCCCAACCAGGCATTCTATAGTGCAGATGGAGACTTTCTCCTAGGTACGCTCCTCGACCCTCTCATCGGCAACGCCCTCTCACAAGCATCATAGCTCCGCAAAAGGGTACTCTCGACATACACACGGAAATGGGCTATCTGCGAGTTCGATCTAATGAGATTTGCGTCGTTCCCCGAGGAATACGTTTCCAAGTTTCACTCCCAGCAGGTCCCGTTCGAGGCATTGCGCTCGAACTCTTCGAGGGCCATTTCGAGTTACCTGAGCTTGGGCCGATTGGTTCTACTGGGCTGGCTAATATTCGTGATTTTGAGATTCCTACTGCCAGCTTCGACAATTCGGATGTAGATACAGAGATCATCGCTAAATTCGCTGGCCAGTTGCACCGGGCTATGCATCGGGGTAGTATCTTCAATGTTGCTGGGTGGTCGGGTACATATTACCCCTTCAAGTATGATCTGGGTATGTTGACATCTGCTTCTGTCTTTTCTTTCTCGGTAACTAAGAGATGGAATCTAGGAAAATTCAACACTATCGGTTCAGTCTCATACGATCACACAGTAAGATCTCGCTGCTCATGAGAGTAAACCAAAACAAACTTTGCTAACTCGCCTAGGATCCCTCAATCTTCACAGTTCTCACTGCCCCCTCATCCGTTCCAGGTGAAGCCGTCGTTGACGTCGCCGTCTTCGGTCCTCGCTGGCTCGTCATGGAGAAAAGCTATCGTCCGCCATACTTCCATCGAAACACCATGTCGGAGTTTGCTTTCGTCATTAAAGGGGGATTTGACGTTACCCCGTTGCCTCCACAGTTGGAGGGTTTGTTCTTGTTGAGCAATACTATGTGTGCCCACGGAGCAGACCCGGAGAGCTGGAAACAAGCGACTGAAAAGGAGCTGGTGCCGGAGAAGATTCCTCCTGGCAATTTGGGAATGATGTTTGAGAGCAAGTGAGTTAATTCTTTGCGTTTGTTGTATTATTTGATTACCATTACTGACTGGTTTCACCCATAGGTATATCATTGGCTTGACTGAAACAGCGAACAAGAAGTTCGTGAAGTTGCCCGGGAACAGTGCAGAGTTTGAAAAGGCGCACATCTAAGTTATCTCGAACTAGGACATGTTTTTTGGAGTATTCGATTGGCAAATTGATAACAGATCGCAATTTAAAATCCCTTCATTTTGATTCTTTAGCTAAGCATCTATCGTTGACGCAAAATATGCCATCTAGTCTCAGGGCCTCACGCGCGTGAACGAAGTCCTCATCCATGAATATCTCAGTTGAGTGACTAGGTAGAGATACTAACAATCCCAAAAGTTAGAAAGATATATTTAAATCAAAGTCTTTATTTATTGCGATAACTCATATGAGGTTTTTCTGGTTTTCTCTCTACAGCCGTAAGAAAACGTCAATGCAGTCATGCTTCCACCCCAAGTAGGAGCCGACTTGCGCTGGCCTCGACAACCTTCACATAGATGCCCGACCAAATTTGTTTCTGAAAACTGCCAATTTCCCCTTCAAAGCAAACAAGACCCGTGTCGCCGAGCATTAAACAACAATTATTCCAAATTCTCAAATAAAATCGAAGATCAGACCTTCCAAATATTCACACTGTACTGTCGTCACTCATCAATCGTCAGGTCTCCACGATCTATCGCCCAATGTCGCTGCACCCCTGACATGAAACCAGCCCCAAATCACCCCGCTCCACCGCAGCGCTTAACCAACGGCCCTAACCCCTTCGCCAAGTTCGTCTCCATAATAAGTACCGGGCAAGCTCATCTAATTTACAAAGTACCTACATGCTACTACCGTCGCCGCGGGCGGCAATTGAAACCAGTGAAACAAGGGCAGCAGCAGCCTCACCCGTGGGTAACGGCCGGGTACGCACTAAGTGCTCCACATGGCTGGGATGGGAGACGAGAGAATCGTAATAAATTCGGTAAAATGCTATGACTATTTGTGGATATTCAGGTATTGAATCGTCAGGCTGAGCGGAGGATAGGCTGTAACTCTGATGACGGACCAGAGATGAAGTATCGTCTGTTCAATGTAGGAAATGAAGGTCTGGTAGGTAATTTACTGTGGACGCTTAACTTTACATATAAAACTGTAACCAAGACATGGTCTGGACCGGTCATCGCACAAGAAAAGGTGACAATTAAAACCAGTTCCAATATCAAGTCCAAATCCAATTCCAAAGCTAGACTATATCCCAGATTAACAATGTCTCTCTCTCTGCATCTCTCTGCCGGCCCCGGCCGAGTCCGTTTCATTTCCGGACCCTCCATCTGCAGCACGACCACTGCAGGGACCTTTGCACGCGACGAAGCCAGGGGCGGAAGGGAAGGGAGGGCAGGGCAATTCAACCTAACGCCTCGCCTCACGCTCTACCCAGCGAGGCAGAACAGTGGAGCTTAAAGGTCCACGGCAAATGCAACCATAGCACCCAGCAAAAACCCAGTTGCATACTGCGGTACTACTGTAAGTTCCTCCCTGGATCCGAATCCCTACGGCTGAAAGAATGGAAAAGGAAAAGCAAGAGAAAGAAAGGAATCGAACGCTCAAGGCAGAGCAAAGCCCCGGCGCCGCATGGAAATGATCGGCCAATCCCATCCACGGATGCGATGCAACTCCCCCAGTTTTGGGGGCGAGGGCCGGGTGATCGACGGACTAGGTGGACCGTGGACGTGGAGGCTTTATCCGGGAACCTCATGGCCAAATCATGGCTCGATGAGGGCGTGGAAGGGAAGGGGGTGTGGGGAGGGGAGATGGAAGCAGTGTACATACTACTGGTTAGTAGCTAGTACAGTAGTAGTTGTGAAATCATAGTTTCCATGTTTTTTGTGTATTTTATTTTTTCTTCTTTCGGTCGGCAGTCATGCTGTGATTCACGCGGGAACGGGGGCGTGTCCAGATTGTGGGAACTGTATTCGGCATGGGGATTCATGGATGGGGTCGTGGTTAATCCGCATGCTGAGACTATTGAGTGGGCCAGCAAGGAGGATGTATTTTGATAATGGGATGATTAAAAGTACTTCTGTGCGTCACGCTTATATGGAGTGGATCAAGGAATGAAGACAGGAGGGTGCTGTTTGCTCTAAGGGATCTTTGGCGCTATTTGCATAACCAACTCTATCCAAGTGCCTTTTACAGCATAGTTAGATCGAATAATTAGGTCATATTAGGTCATCGAGGAATTGAACATGTGGATCATGAGCATGGACAGTACTGTGCTCAAAAAAAGAAAAATAAAAGTGGACCGTGAGAAGCCATGCCATCCCTTCCAGGCTGAGGAAACATGGCAAACTTCCCTAACGCTCCATCAAGACGACACAGAGTCGCAACGAGAATTCCTATCGAATCACTAGCCAAAGTGACAAACATTAAGCTCAAAATAACTACAGTGCTGTGATCCGTCAGCGGCAAATAGGGTGGATACCCCAGGAATGGAAGACTGCTACCGTCTCCATGAAAGAATGGCCAAGTACGTACGCGTGTTCGGGTTGAGTGGCGATTCCCAAGCCAGAGACATTCTGCAAGGCTACAGCGCCATGTGGCAATGCTCAGCCGGGATATGATAGGCGTTGAGATGGCTGACTTGTGGACGCTAGTAGGAGCGATCTGTATACTGGTGGAGAGACTAGTTAGAGAGGAGGTTGAGATTCAGCCGAAGCTGAAACGAAACACGATGTGGCGGTGCCCCCGCGACAACGTCGACTATCCGGTACTGATCTCTCGTATGTCTCGTACTTGTTTGTTACATATGCATGTATTCTTGCTGCCTACCCGTTGCAGCGTAACGTAATTATCTGTCCAACTACGGAGTAATGCCCATGTAGTGCTGTTTTTAGAGTCGACATGCACCACCCCTTGGTACCGGTGGAGTTTGTTGGGATGGGGATGGATCGACTCGACTCGACTTCCGTAGGGGCAAACCGAACCGAAGCCCCCAGGCAACAAGGTGACAAGAGCCGAGATCAAATTGACACATCCACTTCGGTAGCTAGCCACGATAGAGTAGTAAAGTTTGCTTTGACAAAAACAGGTCGAGGATAGCGAGCAAGGCTGGTTCGGAGGAGTTCGTTGACCCGTGGCTTGGGGGGTGGCTGCCGCCCGGGGTCCAGCCGAACCTGAACCATTGAACTATCGAAAGGATAACTACCGTATTATTATTGTATATACTAGGCTAGTCGAACCAGCAATTCCACCCGGTAAACGATTCACTGTCGACATGTCTAACTAGGGCTATCGCCTTTTTCTTCCGAGTTTAGCGCATCGGTTGCTCGGGCAGCAAACCCTATGTATGTATGCACAGTCAGATCCTCAAGATGGCCCCGATCAGATCATTGACCCCGGGCTACACTTCGGAGAGAGCTCTGGAAAGCTACGGGAATAAGCTCTCCTACCGCGCCAAGAGAGTTTCGAGTCGTACAAACGACTAGAAGACTCCGAGATTAGGCAGGAACAGTAATCAGTCTCTGAAACTACAGCTAGCTACTGTAACAAGATAGCCGCGCGCGGACCGAGCGCACAGAAACCGCCATACTATCCTGCGCCTAGCCTTGGTCAACTGGTCAACGAAGCATCGAATCGAGGAACAAACCAGTGCTAACTGGCCCGCAGCGCGGGTGGATGCATGTTCCGGTCCAGTCCGGATCGCGATCGAAGACCGTTCAAGCTCCAAGCTTTACGCTCCAGCGCGTGAGCTTGACTGGATCTAGGAGTACAGTAGTTGGGTGGGGGAGGAATAACAAACTAACGAGTTGGCTATCTACAGTACCGCACGGAGTACGGAGTATATACGGTCTGTACGGAGTACTGTACTTTCTAACCACCCCACGCGGACCGGGCGTGGTGTCACCCTTGGCGACCGGCGATTTTAGTTGTGAAAGGGTGGTCGCAGCCAGTGTCCGTGTCCGGGGTTGCACAAACGGATTGGAAGACGGGGGTACAGTCGGAGTGGGTAAGATGAGCCATACTCGGCGGTTATGGGCTAGGAGGTTAATAGTGGCTGGCCACAGGTAGAGTCGTTGTTTGGTCAGGGTTGGTCGGGGTTGGTCGGGGAGAAGGAGGATGGAAGATGAGGAAGGGGCCGAGTATACATGTCAGAAACCTGCAGGCACGCTGTTCGAGACTGGTTGTGTTGAGTACTGGTCAAGTAACTGATTCATAGCTGCGATTATTAAATACACCCATAGAGTCAAGTTAGTTCACACTTGCAAGTTCATCATGCTTTATAGTGTATAGTGACATTTATTCAAGAGGAGAGATAGTAGGTCAAACTAGGCACCACAATTGAGACTGATACCCTGCAGAGTCGTCTTTAGTGGGAAAGCGATCATTTGCCATGTGTGGGACGGAGAGTACATTTGCTGTGAAGAAGCGTGGCTGTGGGTTGGAGAGGTTGTACAGGGGGGAGTAATGTACTCCGTACAAATCCTAGACCTGGTTGACCTTGTCTAGCCCAGGCCTTGAATGTAGATGCATGTACTCGATACTCGGCCCGGCCAGACCTGCAGCCGTGCAGTCGAGGTACTAGGAACCATCCCTGCCGACCGACATACAGTGGAAAAGGCGGGTTTACGCCGATGAACAAGCCAATACAGTATGCAATAATGGATTTCCTGGAGTATGTATCAGCAGTACCCAGTACATAGAAACCAGCTTCAGCTTCGCTCTGTCTCCTCTCTTCGAGGCGAAGATCACTAATGCAGTCAGGGTATGCAACTAGTAATCCCTGTCGACCCGGTCGGTCTGCCATGTGTCCAACGTCGATGGTGATTAGCGTGTTGCCTGCAGCCGCTATTCTTCTTTCATTCTTCTCCTCTCCTCCCCGGTCGCAATGTGCAAAATGGAGTTTGACAGCGCCTCCCCCCCTCCTCTTCGACTGGTACCCTGGGTAACCTAAACCCACGCCCGTGATGGGTCAAGTGGAGCGGAAGTGCTTTTAGTTGAGTTATGTACATACAGTATTTCAAAATCAGTAACTGAGTTAATAATTACTACCCTCTCCTCTCCTTCTTTAGGTCTTCGTCATACACAACATCGCTCGTCACTACTTTACATACTATGATGAGTTTCTGAGGAAAGGGCTGCAAGGAGACCACCCCTTGAGGGCGATCTTTTCGCCACGTGAAGGGGGGAAATGATGGAAGAGAGGAGAAGCCACACACCCTCTTTTTTGAGGCGATGGTATCATGATGGGGGGAGAACAAACCATTGTAGAGTACTCGGTAGATGCTGGTAGACCCATAAACTCACTCACTCTCCACCTTGAGCTTAATTATGAGTCAAATACATCTGGGCAGCATACATACATACATACATACATACATACATACATACATAGATAGTAGTTAATGGGTATGACTGTCCTCCACATATTGAATAATAGTATACCCATCAATTGATCATTGTAGTTGCACATATTTTGTGATAGAGGACAGACCATGGCTCGCGGGTTGCACCATGGTCACCCACGTTGTAGTAACATGACGTGAAGACTTTTGGTCATGATGTAATCAGAAGACGAGACCGTACTATTGTGATGAGACTTGAGGAGACTTGAGGGTTATGATTATGCAAATAATGCTAATCATTGCAGATCATCTCAGAGCTCAGCGAAGGGAGTGTATCCTAAGTGAAGGCGAAAGGGCAGACAGATAGTAGTACATAGTACAGTACTATAGTGGGAGTAGTGACGGGCAACTGCGAGAAAGCAACGTGCGCTTCTCCTTGCATTACCCAGGGATTCGGAAGGGTACCCCCTCTCTCTCCAAATGCCGGCATTTGACAAAATGATTCAACCGCCACGGGGGGAATCGGAGAATGTACCCGTGCCAGTTTGCAAGAAGTCGTGGTGGGAAATGGAATTTATGTATAAACCGCAGACAGTTTATTATCTATGGCTACTCCGTACAGTATATACACTGATTATGAAATAAGTCAAATCTTTCAAAGCCCTTAGCGTCCTTCAAAAACCCCCTTGAAACTGTATTTTACTTGGTTTAGGCTTTTTGCCAGAGGGGGGGCTTGGGCTTCTTCTGGCAGATCTTTATGGTTTTATGGTTTCGCTGCCATGCGAGGATGGGAGACCGCGCGGATCCACTTCCCGCCGAGTTGTGATCCATCCTGTTCCCGTCGGGCTGGTAGCGATGGTGGAAAATGAGTAGCGCGAGCTAGTCTATACCAGAAATTGGGAGGGGGTTATGTATTTAGCCCAGATTTACAGATAGTGAAATAGAGAGAGACGAGGATAATAGTCGGGTTTTGATTTTCCTGCTTTTCTGCAGAGTCGGGATCGGACAGAACGGAGTACGGCGAGGGTGTGATTATAGTTTGATCTCCACCGGGCACCGTTCTTCGGGTGACCACGCCCGGGGCGCGCGGAAATTGGGTGGTTCGTTTTGGAACCTGGATGTGTCGAATTGTGAAGGAAGGGGGAGGCAAGTGGGAGAGTAGGAATCATAATGATTTCAGTGATTTTGATCAGAGCCTAATAGACAACAGTTAGTTATAGTTAACTTAAAGGGAAAACCTCTGACTAAATATGATCGGGGCGATCATCCATGTTCATCACGATCACGATCATGATCCATAATTCTAGATCTTGATTAAACCAACAAATTATGAAAAGAGACGAGTAGCATAAAGTCATTAATCGTACTTAGTACAGTATGGAAAATAAGAATAAAATAGAAATAATAATAAGCTTCGAGTACTGAAAATCCTAGGGAATAAAAATCCTAAATAATTTTGCAGATGTAACTCTGAGAGAATTCAACCTCCCTTGCGTTGCCCCAGAAAGGGTCAGCCTCGTGGCACACAGGTGGAGGGGGTGTTGCGCGCAGTAGCGCACATCCAAGGCTTGGCACATGCACAATCGTATCGTTAGGGTATTGGTATTGTTAGAAATGGGCTGGGTATTGTACGTAACTGCAGTACTGCTGGACTAACTACAGTAGTACTGTACTCCGTTGCGATGAACAACCTTATTAATATTCACCAAGCTCTGATGCATATACCCGAAGGAGCTTGTAGTAATATCGATCATTTCATATCTTGGTCATATTCCCCAGTTAACTCCTAGAGGACACAATTTTTTTGTCGGGCCTTCCTGGTTGACGCGGACGGGACCCTCGGAGACCGGAGGTTGCGAGAGGGACGGTCGATCCTGTCCGCAGACGCGGCAGACAAAGCCAAGGATGGGATCTGTCCAGTAGGCACCGGGCAAAGAAGCAAATACAGTTACAAAAAAGAAAAATGAGGACCGGGGGGAAATGGGCCATAACCTGACGAGAATGAGGGTGACTAAAACTGGCTAGCAAGATCAGATCATACATGTATAATCCAGTCTTCAGTCTCACATAGTTTAGTAGCTAGGCAGCTAGTCTGGCTCACAAGAGTAACTACAGTATCTGGCTGGTTAGCTGGTTAGCACCTTAATTCTGGTGGATTCTTCTTCTGACCGGGGGCCAAAAAGAAGCCTTAATTCGAGCCTTGGGTAGCCTAAGATGGCCAATAGCCCCTCTTCAGGTACTTATAGCTTATACATATCAAGCATGGACAGCCAGTTCAGAATAATGATCAAACTTTCTGACACTACTCTCATCGAACTTCTCTGCCTCTCAATTGTTGGCCCACTTTTTCTGCTCTGTCTACTGATCACTTTCTTATACGAGATCCTCTCTGATCCTCTGATCCTTCCTCTTCCACTCTATCCACCCAACCGTTGCAGTTTCCGCCTGGGTCAGTTCACCCGGACGTGTTGCCCTAAAGAGTGGTCCTCCCATCCTCTGTGCCACGTTCCGAAGTGCACTACCCACTGGGAAGCTTGATGCTCCCTTGTGGGTGGGTTTAGCCTCGTTTCAGCCGGGTCCTGTATTATTCACGTGGGTATTTCCAGTACCGGTATTGATCTTTGATACATGACTTTTCTTTCCCCGGCCTAAGAGTCAATAATTCCAAAAAGAACAGCGAAGAAAAAATCAAAAAAGAAAAAAAATAAGTAGAGAGAAAAAGAAAAAAAGAAAGCTGGGACTCGAACCTGCCAAAATCTCGGACTCTGATCGGTGCAATACATTTTAGCGTGAGATCGTCTTCTTTCCTCCTCTTTCCCGGTCTGTCCATTTTCTCCCCCTCTCAAGGCAAAGCGAAGTCTGTTTCTTGTGTCTCCCCCCCCAATTCAATCCCAATCACGGGCCAACCCATTAACCACACCCGATCACCACTACCACTACTTACTACCACCACCACGCCAACTCTGTTTCTCTCTCTTACTCTCCAGCCTTTTCTCGATCGGCCCTTCTTGAGCTTCCGGCCCCTCTCCAAAAAGTCATTCTGCAGAATCTCCTTCCCACTTCCCCCCCCTCTCCACTTTTGCTTTCGACCCCATTCCCTACTACGGTTTCCTCCTGCGCTTTCTCGGTTCTGCAGAGTCCAGAGGAATTGGCACCCGTTCTACTGGGTCCCTGACAGCGGTCTTCGAAACCCTCATTATTCTCTGCACGGTCGTTACCACTCGCATTGAACTACGCCTGCGATCTGTACCCAATTGGACCCGCTTACACCTCGATTGGAGAATATGCGATAGCCTGGACCCCGTCTATATTCCTCGACTCACTTTTGGACATCAAACCTCTCCCACCCGCCTCTGTTCCCTCGGATATACCTTCGTTAAGAATTTCCTCCCGTTGAACACGTTGGAGCTCCTATATACACTTCACCATGGACTCTGTCGCCCATCGGCCATGGGAGCCTGTCTCCTCGGGCCCTCAAACACCCGCCGCCTCGAATCAAAAGTTACCCTCGATTTCAACGTTAACCGCGAGTATGGGCAACGTCAACCCGTCCGAGAAATCCCCCGGCAACTCCTCCTTAAACACGATTGAACGAGACTCGGGGAATTGGTCAATGCCGCAAAGCACAAGTAGGACTCCCCCTGGGGTGGATTGGGCGCGGCATGCTGACCCTTCAGGATCCTCAACCTACTCAACCACGACCAATGGGACCGGCAACAACTATCCCTCCCTCACGTTCCTGACCTCGACCTCCCAACCCTCACCGAACCGCGGCCATCCCGCGCCAGACCGGTCGCCGTACCCGCATGATCAATCGACGACGCCTTCCTCGGCCGGCGCGCAACAACCCTCGCCCAGCTTCAACACCTCCCTACCGAACCCGGCGCTCCCTTCGATTAACCAGAACTATGATGCACCTTCGCAACGAGGCAGTGTGGTCGAGGTACCAGAGTCGCGGCGGAGTAGCGTGGATAGCCGTGTGAACCAAGGCATCAGCTCGTTGCAAATCAACCCGGCCTCGCCGTACCACAGCACAAACGCGTCGCAGTCCTCGATCGTTTCAAATCTACAACGGGAACGAGGAATCTCAAATGATATGAACTCATACCGGGGGCCGCGGTACTCGGCGGGCAGCCAGCCTTTGTCTCCCTTGGGGCCTCGACCGGGCGAGCACCGATCGTTTGCGGCCGGGAGGACGGCGCCTGCGATCTCGTCTAACCCTCGATCGGAGATTTACAACGCCGAGGCACCCACGGCGGGTATGGCCTATGCTTTCCCAGATCCCGACGTGGCTCGATCGAGCTCCATCTCATCCACTGAGAAGTCCAACCCGCCGTTCTCCCGGAAAGGGAGTACGGCAGAGTCTCTCAGTAGCATGTACTCCGAGCGCATGCCGCGAGGACAACACGGTAAGTCGATATATCTCGCGATGAAGCGACCGGGGTCTATCGAAGCATGGTTCCTAACTTGACTCAGAACTACCCCCGAATGTACACCACCACTCCTTGCAACACAAACAGGTTCGCGATCTAATTGGGGAATCCGAGTCGGGCTCCGGCAACACCCCGTATAGTCGAACACCCGAGCTGCGCGTCACACACAAACTTGCCGAGCGCAAACGTCGCAGTGAAATGAAGGATTGCTTCGAGTCTCTTCGCAACCGCCTCCCCCAAACCCAGAACAACAAGTCCAGCAAGTGGGAGACACTCAGCCGGGCCATTGAATATATCACCTCGCTCGAGAAAAACCTCGCCCAGGCGCGCCATGAGAATTCCTTGATGCGCGCCGAGATAGAGGAAATGCGCGCTCAGTTCTCCCAACAACAGGGCCACGGCCCATCGCGACCAGCCTCGATATTCGAACACCACCCGATGGCGACAACCCCGACGAACGGACAGCCGCCAGGCCCGGCGTTTGGAGGGTTCGGGAATGGGCCTATGGCCCAGGATCAACCACGGACGCTACCGCCGCTCATGAATGGATCCTCGGCTCCGATGCAGGGCATTCAGTATACTGATGAGCGGCGGTAGAGTTGAATGGGACTGGGGAGTAAATGCGGGGTTGCATTTAATCCTCAACCTACCGATTTACCATGGGCTCCATGGATGAGAAATGACTAGTCATGCTGCGAGACGCACCTCAACCACGACTCCTTTTATCACATTTGCCATTCAAGATATCCTCATTTTTAGACATGGAACCTGGACAGGAGTCCTCGAGGACACCCCAGGTTTCCTTTTCGTTGGCCTTTGCCTGGCCTGTCTCTTTTTTCTCTTCTCCATTGTCTCTTGGGTGTGGCCTTTTCCTTTCCAGTCCGAACTGAACTTTGATTCGGACGTCGACTTCTGCTCTGCTTTTTTATTTTCTTTGTGTATTGATCGATCATACCCGCAATCACTCCATTGCTTTTCCTATCTCCACCTCAAACCCATTTTCCTTTCTTGAATGTTTTCTTTTTTCTTCTTTTTTCTTGACTGTTCTGCTCTGCTCTGTTTGGCGGTTCTGATATTATACCGCTCTAGCATCATCGGTATACATGCATGTGTTGGACATGATCAGGGAGGCGGGGGGTTGGTCGGTTGTTTTGGTTGGTCACTGGGAATCGGGTTATAGGCATCTGGGAACGAAGGTGTGTTTTGTGTTAGTCTTGTTCTTTTTCTCTTTTTTTTTTGTTGTTCCTCTCCCCTGTCTCTTGTCTGTCCAACTCGATCGTGAGTGTGTACCAAATATCCAAAATCGTGCCATGGCACGCCATTTGATATCCTTCAAACTCGAAAACTCCCTCCTCCCTTGAACTTCCAAAGATGCCAGCCAGCATCCTAGTAGATACATTTTAATCTCCGATTTCCCACTGTAGATCCAAACACTAATCTAATTATACCCTACTAAGTTCAACTTCTTCAGGCTAAAAAAAGCCCCGAGAGAAGTACATACAGTAGTCTTGTAGTTCTATTTTCAGTTCCGCCGTGCTGATTGGTCCTTCTAAGCGCCCATCCAACCACCAGCGCGTGCCGCCCGGTCCAAGACTGACTTGGACCACACCCCAATTACCTCGTCTCACGCCCGGATCTTCAAGGAGCCAATTAGGGCGCTAGAAGGGCAGACTACTGCAGGAGGTGTGTCTGGGATTTGTGCAGAAATGGAGCTTGGAGTGGGTTTGATTGGGTGGGTGACGGGATGATGTGCAGGTTTTGGGGAGGTGAAGGATGTACTAGGAGTAACTAGGAATAACGAACTAGGGAATTGTTTGGGCTTTGAGCTCGTCCAGTGGCGTGGGGGAAGATCCATTTGATTGTTTGAAATGAAAAGGCCATGGGCTAGATCTTATTCTTGGGGCTGGGTTTTTATTTTTATTTTTATTTGGACTTTGACTTTGTTTCTTTTGATGTGTCTGGTCGCGCACTCTTTATTTTCGAGCTTGACTTTGACTCGTTTGTACTTTTCTCATCTACTTTTCTTCGTTGTGTTTTGAGCTCGAGGACGCGCACGCTGCACTGGTACGATTAGGGTACGGTCTTTCCTTGGGTAGTGATTGTTGCTTTGTTTGGACTTGACATTTGGATGGCTATCGTCTTTGTTTGATCTTGTCATTCATTGCAATTCACCCCCGGAGTCCGTTTCATGATTGCATTGTTTCGGGTGTTGCCTGCGTATTAATAGAAGGTGCTGGATCTGGTCTTTGTTATCTTGTCTCTGCCTGGAGACAGACGTGTTGCGCATTTCTGCACCATCTTGCATCTGCAAACATCTATTCTGCCATCTCTCTTTTTGCTGCATTTGTTGAACTCATACAAGGTATGTTACGGGATCGCACGCGAGAACTGACATTCCCCTGTGCATAATTCGACTCTAACACCTTTCCTTTCAGCTTTGCATACGGTCCTTCGATCATCGCATACTTCACCACCAAAATGCCTTCTCGACGACATCAACAGCCCCAGTTGCAGGTTCCCGTCCTCCCAACATTCCCCCTCTCATCACCCATCAGCGAGGAAATCTCGAGTCCGTCGTGTTCATCTGCAGAGGATAGGGATTTGGAGCGCAACAGACCATTTGACTTCCTAGTCAAAGCGACGAAACACAAGATCGAATTGAAATCGGGAAAAGATGGGAATGGGAATGGGAATGGGAACCGCTCGCCTAACTTGTCTCAGCGAGACCATCACAAAAGACACAGTATTCGGGGTATCACGAAGAAACGGAAGAATGTCGCCAAACCCGTGGGATTGAATCTGGTTACGGATTTTTCACTCGCGGCGCCGCCGAAGAAACAGGTCGATAATGGAGGACCCGCGCCATTCGTTGATTTGAATGATCTCAAGCTGTTGTCAAAGGACCGGGCGAAGGAACGGTCTGGACAGACGAAGGGCTTGACGAGTACGAATGATGATGAGATCTTCGAGATCACGAACTTTACGAATATCCCGAATATCTCCAGAAAGAGAGCTTCGTTTCACCAGCTTCCCGAGGAGACTAGCCGGATACAAAGCGAAACTGGAAACCCGTTTCTGGACCCGAAGGTTGTTGAGAATCCCTTCAGCGATAGATTCGATCATGGCTTGTCCCCTTCCGATCGACATGTCATGATCGGTCTATCAGTGCCTCGTAACGAGTCCTTGCATCATACGAGGGAAATTGATAGCGCGGGGACACCACTCACCCCTTCGATTATTGTTACTCCCGCTCGTGAGGATGCGCCTTGGTCGACGTCAAGTCCGGAGGGTCTACGCCCTCGTGCAACATCCAGTATCTATTCTCAACCCACGCCTCGCCTTTGGCAGAATGGCCCTGATATCCCTCCGGTACCGGCCATACCGGCCGAGCACTCGAGAAAAGCGGCCGAGTCGGATTTTCTGGGCGCCCATTTCGCGGCTATGACTCGTAAACACAGGTCCATGTCTGCGGAGACTATCATTGAGGACGACATTCCGGACCGGACGCATGTGCATGAACCTCTGGAGGATAACGACCAAGCTCCCCTGACCAGACTCAGTGTTAACACCCAGGCCCTCAGACCTGAATCCCAGGGTTGGTGGACGTATTTGCTTTCTCCGCTGCTCGGAAAAAAGTCACCTCTCAGTCCATCGTTTCCTCGGAGTACTGCTCCCATTACGTCAAGTACAAAGGAACCACGCAAGCTCGAATGGTGGGAGAAAGAAGTCTCTTGTTTTTCTCCAGAAACACCAGAGTCGGCCGTGAAGAGCTCATGGCAAGAAGATAAGAAGAGTCTCGAGCAGTCTCGTTCTCTTGGAGGCAATGAGGAGCCGGACTCCTCTTCAGCCAAACGGCAGACCACTACGTCGATGATATTCGGTGGACGAGCTATCCAGGGCGAAGCGGCGGAGTACTATCAGGCTTGTGCACATGAACTATTCAGCAAAACGGAAACGCCCTATTTCGAATGTCATAATCATATCTGCTCGATTACGCCGGCGGCTGTTGTTGCGGCGATTTATGCTGCGCAATTCAAGGCTGATGAAGGGGAGACTCGAGATCGGGGTTTGATATTTGCTGAAGCTCAGGCACATGAGACGAGTCGCAGTTTGCCTCAACACTCTGGTGGGAATAAGGGTCTTTTGATTGATATTGACTCGCCTACGGAAGATGGGTCAAAGGGTCTCGGGGATTCAAAAGAGATTGATTCACCTGCGTCGACTGCTTCCTCGGATTCTTGGTCCTCGAGTATCACCGACGAGGATGAGGTTGACCATGGGAAAGCCCTGCCTGGACCACCACAGGGTGTGACTAGAGGAGTCGTCCCTGATGTCCCATCTGAGCAACCTATCCACCCTCCCCCTGCTGCGGTGCCAGTTCATGAGCCCGTCCCAGCACCCACAGCTTTCATGCCTGAACCACCTCCACCCGGTCCAATTCCAGTAGCTCCTGCAGTTATGCCCGAGCCCCCATCACTGGTACAACCGCCACCTCCCCAGATCATCAACACAATTTCACCGCCGGTAAATAACATTCACTACATGCCTCAACCTGTCGCAATGCCTCCGGAATCTGCTCCGGTAGAAAGGGCAGCTCCTCAGTATGCTCCTATGTTTCCTCCCGTGAACGAGCCCCCGCCTCCAGTCCCAATGCCTCGAGAGCAGTCTCGAGGGTTGAGCGAGTGGCCATTCGTGCCTCCTGCAGCGCATACCCCAATGCATGAGGAGTCAACCAGGGCTGCCCCAGTCCCTGTTCCTGTAGGAGGACTACCAAAGTCCGAGTTGCAGCAGGAAAATCATGTACCACCACCGATTCCAAACCACAATGAGCCAATATCACCTGCATTTCAACGTGCTGCTGCAGGGGGCCCGGGTGCCATTCCAATGAGCTCGATGAACGAAGTACAAGCTCCGGCTCCGGCATACACTCAAAATCCTCGGGATGAAGCAGCTCTACCCCCACGCTATGCCCTTCATCCCGCCCCCGGGGCCGCCATCATGAACTCCACCGGCGATGCAGGGCCGGGAGAAGCTCGACGTCAGCGACTAGAACGGGAAGACGCAATTGGCAGAAAGATTGGCGGGTTCTGGCGCGGGCGAGCCTGCTTCCCCAAGAAAGGTTGCTTTGGGCGTCCAGGACGCGAAGGTCGAACGAAACGCCGCTGGTACTTTTGTATCTGCATGTTCTTCCTGATCATTGTGGTTCTAGCCATCGTACTAGCACTCACATTGACCAGAAAGGGCGACACAACCCAAGTGCAGTCAAATTGGCTCAATCTAACGGGTTACCCACCCATGCCAACGGGTATCTCCACTGTCGCCGGTGCAGAGCCTCAGGTCCAAAAATCCACCTGTATCAAGCCCTCATCACTATGGAGCTGTGCTCTTCCCAAGGGCCAACAATCCGATAACCAGCCCTACGCCGCGAACGAACCTAACTTCCGACTCGAAATCCGTTTCCGCAATGGAACATACAATCACAGCACAGTTCCGCTCTCAAGCAAAACCCGTCGAGATGCGAATTCCTGGGATCCATCACCGTCACCACCCAGCCTCGCAGACCAAACTTTCCTAGGAAATACAACAGATGGGAACTCCCTCCCCTACGCCGGCGAGGAAACACCCTTCTACATGACCCTCCTCTCTCCACTAAAAATCACATCCACATCAAACACCAACTCCCTCTCCCGCCGCTCCGCAACAAACGACACAACAACCTTCCCAAACCTAACAGCCGTCATCCCAGCTCCAGCCGAGAACTCAGACGGCACAGCCGCAGCCGCAACTCTATACCCACTCCCAGAATCCCAACCCGTCCGCCTATACAACCGCGGCCAAGACAACGAACACTACGGATTTTACACATACTTCGACAAATCAATCTTTCTCGCCTCCCGCGCTCCCTTAAACGGCTCCGCAACCGATTTATCCCCCCTAGACACGAACGGTGGCTCAACCGAATCCGACGCCGTCGTCCGCTGCACATGGTCCCAGTCCCGCTTCCTAGTACAAATCTGGACTCAACCGTCTAAAATGGGCTACAATCTACTCAAAAACGGTTCGAATAGCTCAACCACAGCTACATCTACGAGTGCCGCGGCAACGCCTACCTTATCGTCAACATCATCCTCCTCGGCAAGTGATTTCACTCGGCCCGGCTCATTCCCGTATCCGATTAGTATCACGGTTGATCGGCACGGTGGGGCGGAGAAGAAAAAATTGCTGTACTGTTATGGTATTGAGAGTGATCAGCATTATAATATTACGGATCGGAAGTTGCAGCTTGAGGATCGGGGGTTTGGGGGGACGCTTGTTAATCCTGCGTCGGGCATTTTTGATGATTTGGATGGGGATTCGAGTTCGGGGTCGAGTTCGAATTCGACAACTGGGTATGGGGGTGTTGATGGGGGTAGTGGGGGGTGTGAGTGTCTTTGGTCGAATTGGGTTAAGAAGTCTTGATCTTGAGGTTTTGGGCTTCGTGGTGGAGTGGAGTGGCTATCATTGCGGTGGTCAATTTTGTTTTTGGACTTTGCTTTTGCATTTAGATTTGCTTTTCATTGCTGGTGTTATTTTTGTATTGCATCGAGGAGTTTGGATGGTTGGTAATAATGACTTTCTTTTGTTTGTTTTGATAGAGAAAATCGATTTTTTGCATCTTACTTGATTTTTTTCTTGTACGCTGCGCATATTAAGCGACCTTCAAATGATATGCGAAACTGAGTAGGGTCTTCAAGTGAACCAGGTAACAAGGCAATCAGTCGTAAAACTCAGCCATCTTGAACCCATAAGTTTATGTTGGCTTCGCAGGTTTTAAATTTCGTTAAAGTATGGCGGAAAAAGCGGAGAAGTAGGATTGCCATAGGCTGTCTGTCATTGTAAGAGTGATCTACAATTCCTTTCTGTCTGAGGGCGGTTCCCCCATCACACCCTCGACATGATTAAACGCAAGGCTACATGGGGCCAAATAGTGGAGGCAAAATTCCAGTGAAATCGTTGTCGGGCATTGTGGAGTATATTTTTCAGCTCTGTCCTGATTTTTTCTTGATCTTCTATTACTTAGCTCAGGTCTAATTCACTCGATTCCCGTGTCGACGATACAAAATGGCCCGCTATCTACCGTTTCTCCATCATGATGCAGCTTTTACGGCTCCCAAGTCCGAGCGTTCATGCCGATCACAACTGTGGACACCAATCCCCAGAATTTGATTCGCTTGAGGATCAAATACCGAGTTGGGGGCCTAACTCTGCAGCTAGCATCTCATCCTGTCATTCTGATTTGTGGGGCAGAAGTCTAGCATGCGAACTGCAGTAGGAACATGTATATCGCCGAATTCTCTTTCTTGTGAAAGTGACACTATCTCTCCTCTGGCATAGTGTCTCCTCTGGCATAGTGGGTCCATGCCGTTGATTTTGAAAGGGACACTTCCTATTCGGCCAGATAGTGTCAGTGCTAGTGAGCCTTGTTGTCAATATGTGGACTTTTTTTCTCGTGGATGACGACTGGCAGCCTTGTTCTGCAAAGGTCCTAGATGGCAAAATATTGCCGTTATTTAGTTGACCCCCTCTTCCCTACTCGGGACTCCCTGTTGATGGGACAGTTTATTTCCTGTTTGTAATTCATCCAAACCCATTTTGCTTCAGTAACAGCCGAATATGGCTGGCTTCCGTCCCGAGGAGGAGCTTCTCCCTCATATTGTGGACCATTATGCGAAATTCAAGCCAGACCAGCTATATGCCGAGTATCCCAGGTCTCCTACAAGTTATGACGAGGGCTTCCGACCCATTACCTACCGAGCCTTTGCAAATGCCATCAACGGAAATGCCTGGTGGTTAACTAAAACGCTTGGCCGAGGCAACGGCGAGCCCTTGGCCTATATTGGTCCCAATGACCTGCGATATCCGGCTTTGGTCCTGGGTGCTGTGAAAGCAGGGTACTGTATGTTCCTCCCCTCTCCTCGCAACAGCATTGCCGCCCATAAACATCTACTCGAAACTATCAATTGCACGAAAATTCTCACTCCTACTCCACGTCCACCATTTGTCACTGCAATTCTGGAAGCAGTGCCATTGTCAGCGTACGACATTCCTAGTCTTGGCGACTTGCTTGCCACGGAGTACCCGCATTTCGAGTATACCAAATCATACCCTGAAGGCTTGGATGACAAGCTAGCAATTATTCATACTTCCGGCTCTACTGGAATCCCCAAACCGATTACGTGGAGGCTATCCACGGCTTGTGTACACATTCGAATGTGCCAGATTGACGCGCCCGAAGGGTTCGAAAACCAACATAAGTGGTCAATTGGAAAGAGGCAATTCATGCCTTTGCCTCCTTTCCATGCTGCGGGTCTAGCAAGTTTGACTTTCATCAATATTCCAGCAGATGTAATATGTATTATTCCTACCGCCGCGGGACTTCCCACAGCTTCTGCCTTGGTTGAGGCATTGAAACAGACACCGATGGACATGGCGGCTCTCGTACCGTCAATTGTACAAGAACTAGCACAAGAGCCAGACCTTCTGGATTTTTGCGCCCAGAACCTGGAATACTGCTTTTACATGGGCGGCGATCTACCTCAGGCAATTGGTGATACAGTTGCAGCCAAGATCAAGCTCTCCAATCACTACGGATCTTCCGAAGTAGGCCTCCTCACTCCAATTTACGATCTCAATAATCGAGATCGCTTAAAGGATTGGAGATATATTCAATTTCATCCAGATCTGGGTTCTGAGTTCCGCCAGGCTACTGATACTGAGTATGAGCTTGTTCTGGACTGGTCACCGGAAAGTGAGAAATACCAGATGCCATTCAATATCTTTCCAGGGCTGAAGGAATTCCACACGCATGACCTGTTCGTCCGCCATCCAGATCCTAATAAATCTAACCTGTGGCGTTGGAGCTCTCGCTCAGATGATGTGATTGTTTTTCTCAATGGCGAAAAGACGAATCCCGTCTCCATGGAGCAACATATCACGGCTTCCAACCCCGGTGTCACCGGAGTTTTAGTCGCTGGCGCACAGCGGTTTCAGGCTTCATTGATTGTCGAATACGGCAACAAGGAGCTGCTAGACCCGAGTGAAAGAGCCGCTACCATTGAAACCCTCTGGTCGAGTATTGAAGAGGCAAATCAGGCATGCCCTGCTCATGCCAGAATTGCTCGAACTCATATCCTTTTCACCACTCCTGAAAAGCCATTCCCTCGTGCCGGAAAAGGTACCATACAGCGAGCCGCTGCCTTGGCTCTATATTCTTCAGAGATAGAAACGCTTTATTCACACGCAGACCAGCTAGGGACACATACTGATGACGAGCCAGTTGGACCTGGAAGGGTTAGCGAGATCGAGCAAATCTCCGAATTCATTCTACGAACTCTGTCCTCCATCACCAGCTGGACTCCTGAGCAGATCAAGACTTCGGATAATTTCTTTCATCTGGGACTGGACTCTTTGCAGACTATCACAGCCACACGATCCTTCAAGCGTGGCTTTGATCTGCCATCATTCAGCCCGAATCTCATCTATCTTCACCCATCGCTTTCGAGTCTGGCACAGGCAACGATGAAGCTCATGCAAGATGATCAAATTTCCGAGAACGTGGTCAAGGAGGCACAACTACAAGAACGAGATCAAATCCTCACCGAGTTCATCGCAAAAATTGATGGCCCTCACATAAATGCAACATGCACAAACCCTCCGACTTCACATACCGTCTTGCTCACCGGGTCAACGGGGACACTGGGTACATACATCCTAGATACACTTCTAAAAGATGCATCAGTCGCACATATTCACTGCCTCAATCGCAAGGCAGACAGCCTAAATGTACAGCGCCAGAAAAGCGGCGTTTATCATCTGGACTCCACCCTAGACTCTTCCCGAGTCACACTCTGGCATGCAGATCTATCTCAAAACGATCTCGGATTGGAACAAGAGTCACTCAAGCTCCTTCAGGAGTCAACTACCGCCATCATCCACAACGCTTGGAATGTGAACTTCAATCTCTCACTCCCATCATTCAAACCCGATCTACTGGGCGTGGTCAACCTGATCAATTTCACGGCATCTGCATCAAAGACACCTACTCTTTTCTTTCTCTCCTCTATCAGCTCCGTCATGGGCCATGAGACCGATTCACGTCTGACACCAGAGAGTATCATTTCCACCAACACGCCAGGTCCGAATGGATACGCCAACAGCAAATACGTCGCTGAGAAACTTTTAGACCACGCAGCTCAAATACTTGGGATTCGGACATCCTTGGCCCGAGTTGGCCAGGTAGCGGGTGCAGTACGCACACCTGGTCTCTGGAACAAAGCCGAGTATTTCCCCAGTCTGGTGAAGAGCTCGTTGCACCTTGGCGCGGTACCGGCTAGTGTCGGTGCGACACTTGGTAGAATTGACTGGGTACCTATTGATCTACTTGCTGAGGTTTTAACTGGTTTGGCCTTGCGCGAGTCTCAACCAGGTTGCATTAACGTCTATCACCCATTGAACCTGCACCCAACGACATGGGACAAGATCATTGCCGTTGTCGCCGATGAACTTTCCCAGGTTACAGGGGAACCCTTGGATTTGATCGATTTGTCGAAGTGGGTGCAGCGAGTACGGCAGGATATCGAGACTGCTGGTGGAACTCGGAGAGTGGTTGGCGAGTCGGACCTGCAGGTACTCTTGGAGAAAAACCCTGCCGCCAAGCTACTTGAATTCTTCGAAGGGTTACTATCTGTGCAGTCTGACAATGTCTTGGACACACAAGAGACGGCTAGTGTCAGTGAAAAGTTGAGGTCGATCGAGGGTATCAAGGAGGAATGGATTCGCAAGTGGATCAGGGAGTGGATTTAGACTTGATCTGTTCTTAAAATGCTATCCCGGGCATTTTCTTATATAAAGGAGTCTCTTGGATTTTCGGCCTATTATTGGAGTATTGTAACGCGTTTCTACTTCTTCGGCTCAAATGAAGAAAGTGAAAATTCAGACATTGCCCATCCCACAACTCATCAGTTGTCTTTTAGTGAAAACTAGAAATTGAGGCTCTGCTCACAAATGCTTTTTTTCAAGGATAGCTTATCATCCAATGAGATTAGGCAGTGAGAGGGTACCAGGTTGCTCTCCTGGATCAAATAATCTTACGAACTTAGTCTTCTAGAATTAGTTTATTCCGGTGATTTGGATAGGAATCAATACAAGGCGCTGAAAGCTAGTATCGCAAACGCGAAAATTGGCTTCTTCTTCTTGGCATTCGTTCGGAGATTTCGACTGACCCACCACAATTTTCATGTACGATATCCTCTAACGGAAAACTTCAATGAAGTGTTATACAAAGAAAGGAGTTGAGTCACAAAAGCCACGGAGCCGATATCCATTCATCAGCAAGTTCTGCACCTCCAGCTTTAGCAATTGCCTCTTCAGGGTTACTCAACAAGCCTAGGCAATGTTGCATCCATTTCACGCAAAAGAATTATTCTTCAACTTTAAGCCTGTTCCTATGACGCGTGCTCATGCGGACTTGTGGCTTAGAAAGCAGATAAGCGACCTTCAAGACCTGCTAAAAGGCAACTCGTCACGCCACTAGCTATTAATAGAGCATTATGCGTTCATGACACTGGACATGCCCCGGGGTTGCATTCGCCACCGAGATAAGGTTTGAATCTAGATATCATGACAAGGTTACTATCGGCTTGGCCGTTCCTAGCGGCCGAAACGGTCTGAGCAGTGTGACTCTACGGCACATATTCTAGGATAACACAGCTGGAAGACGTCAGGAATTCGTCTAACATAGGCTTTTGAATTAAATTCATATTAGTTCGGTATATTCACCCAAACGCCAATATCAGTACAAAAGAGCGCAGTCTAAAACCACCCAAAAACGCCTTTCCTCTTCACCCTGGAAGTCCCACTGCTTCTCGGTTTCCATGTTCATCTCCAAAATAACCACATCAGTGACATAGATGGACAGCAGCCATTAATATCGAATCAAACGCAGTCTCAAAGTTAAAACGTAGAAAAATAAAAGACAAGACACCAAGGGTGAAGGGACCGAAACACCGGCACAAAAGATAAGAAAGAAAAGATATTAAATATTAACCACCCGCTTAAGCGAGGAAGATGAGAGCACCGTAGGCGACGCTGCCAATACCAGCGCCAACCATGCCGAGCTGAGGAACAGAGACCTTGACACCGGGGTTGGAGGGGACGAAGCCGGTAGAGCTGGGGGAGGCAGGGGTGTTGCTAGCACCAGAGCCAGAGCCAGAGCCCGAGCCACCAGTGCCAGTGCCAGAGCCCGAGCCCGAGCCTGAGCCAGTGCCAGAGCCAGAGCCAGAGCCAGAGCCTGAACCGGAACCGCCAGCGCCTCCAGCGCCGCCGCCGGAGGTGCCGTTGCCGCCACCAGAGGTACCGTTGCCGCCGCCGGGGGTGCCGGTCACGATGGGGTGAGTGCCAGTGCTAACAGCAGTGCCGACCACGGAGGCACTCTTCTGGTGAATTGGGGGCTCGGATTGCTTGGCAGCCTGGACGCCAGCAGCAATGGCCAGGAGGGTGAGGACAGGAGTGGAGAAGTGCATTGTGACTTTTGAGTGGATGGAGCTGAAGCGATTGGCTCAAGAAGGAAGACAGGCTTCTTGTCTAACGAATGACGAAGCTGTGACAGAGTATCAGGATGATATATTCTTCGCGGAGATAGTGGCACAGGGGAAGAACTTACCTATGGAGGAGGGTATTATCCTGATGGGAGCTTTGAAGGGAAAGGTAGTACCATGAATTCGGGAGACGAGGAAGCCATTCTTATAGATCAGAAGGGTGTCCAAATCCGGCCTGTCAGGTAAGTGTGGTAAGTGATGATGCCATGTAACAAGAGGAGGAAAATTTTCTCACATGTTCCTCTCAATACTCTCCTGTGCCTCTCTCTCCCCTCGACAGAGCCCCGGTAGCACAGCTGCGAGACGAGATTTGCACATCGAGGGCTTCCGCATCCGGGGGTGACTTCGATGTCACTCTGGGTCTCCGGCCGAATCAGCTCCACCTTGCGTCTCTGATAGGAGGCTGGTCGGGCCAACTTCATTACTTAATAACCAGCTTGATTGGGAGCAAAGGTGGAGAGGAGAGTCCATCATCGCCGGAGAGGGTAAGTATATGTCACGTGATTTGTCGTCCCAAATAGGAAGTCGATGACATCAAAAGCGGACGACCCTAAATCGGCGTCACGGCGCCAATGGGGAATTCCTCGGTGATTAGTAGGGCCACATGGATAATGACATTGTCCGGGGTGCAGATTTGATGAGAGACTGCTTTCAGGTGTGGCCATCGTTTGGGGTGTTTTGGAAGCCACATCTCGAGGAATGTACAATGTGTCACTGAAGTGATGCACCGGTCGAGTCACAGGCGGTTTGGACGCATCAATTCCCACAGTAGAGATTAAAATTACAATCACTCAGGTCAAACTCACCGATGGTGCTTGCCAGTGGGAGTTGTTTAATCTAGGAACATGGAAGCATCGACGATCGGCGTAAAGACGGGCGAAAGCATTAGTATCGCGGAGGCTTGATCGAACACACAGTATCGCCGAGTAAACTGTGTATTGACAAGACTTTTGGTTTAGGTTCGAGTCGAGCAAAATGAACTGTATCGAGCAGCTCTCTCTCGTTTGTCAGAACGATGAACAATTCGTCCATGTATGCCCCGAGGGCCACTCCCGATCGCTGAGGTGTTCCAGAAAGCTGTCAATCATTGCCTCCCACTGCATCCGGGGGAAAAGCATCCATAGATAGCTTCAGTTTTTGTGCAAAGTGTCACCGTGTCTGATAGTTGCGACATTGACCGTCCATCTGGCAGGAATGCGAAAGGTGTTGACCCCGGATTGAAGATCTTCGATGAGATGGACATTTCCGTCCAACTTTGTCAGTGAAGAAAGTCGAGCCACATTCCATCCCATCTGTCAGAATGCATCTTTGAGTTTGAGATGTCAATTTGCACATCCAGTGCAATAGGAACCGAGGCCATGTTTTGTTTGTTTAGTCCTGTTTCTTTCCGTCACGTCATAGCGGGAGAAGGGCGCAAACGCTGTTTCCTTGCCAGAGTTGCCTATTCCAGCGTCAGTGTTCTTTTTCGGTCAGTATATTCATCAATCACTGTAGCTAGCAGATTCAAATCGTAAATGAGCGTAAATTGGTGATTGAAGCTGACGACTGCACCGACTATGAGGCTGACGAAGCCAAAAAGCACAAAAGCCTTGGCGGATCGGGGGTTGACCCGCCGCCGATCTCCCTTTTGCTTCGGCAGTCAACTAACAAACGCCTTCAAGCATTAAGCTTCAATGTCTTCACGCCGCGGCTGACGCGCTCGCCAGCCATGCCACACCCGCGCAGTCCCTCCCTCCTCTCCCCGGCCAACTACGACAACGATGCGGCCTCTCTGCGATCGCCGTCGGAGCAGGACTCGGACTCCGATGACGACGAATTCCTCCGTCATCCCCGCAGCACTCTAGAACTTTCCCAGCACGATCGAAGTGTCCTCGAAGATGAAGACGAGTTGGAAAAGCTGTTGACGAGAACCGGTCCTGCCCTTGGATTGCGCAGGATCTTCAGCCCGAATGGGAGCAGCGTGCGCATTGGAAAGAGGGAACGGCGACGAGCGCGAAGAGAAGCCCGGCTATCACGCCGGGAACGAGTGAGCGAGGAAGGAGAGCTGATGTATGAAATGGAAGAAGGACTTGGGGATGATGATACCTCGTCATTGATGAGTGGATCTTCGATGGATTTGGATGGAAAAGAAGACTATCTTTATGAACCGGTACATCTTCGTGGCACTCTCCCTTGGACCTGTTATTTGGGACTCACTGACACCTGTCTTTCTTCTTTTTCAGCCCTCCAAGCCGTCATGGCGCAGAATCGTATTCGTTTCCGCCATCATCGCCATCCTGTTTCTTATCCTGTTCCTCGGCGCATACAAAGCCTCCAGTACTTTCCGAGCTGTCCACCCACATGTCCAGCCTCTTCTTTCCAACGGCACCTCGCTATTCGCGCCCACCACTATATTGATCTCACTCGACGGATTCCGAGCTGACTTCCTCGACCGAGGTCTGACACCAGCCCTCAACTCGCTGATTGCGAATGGCGTCTCCCCGCAATACATGACACCCAGCTTTCCCAGCGTGACATTTCCGAACCATTTCACACTGGTAACAGGCTTATACCCTGAGAGCCATGGAGTGGTCGGCAACACTTTCTGGGATCCCGATCTCGATGAGGCGTTCTTCTACACCCATCCTGCTGCCAGCATGCAGCCCAAGTGGTGGAATGCAGAGCCCTTGTGGGAAACGGCGGAAAAACAAGGAATCAAGGCTGGCATCCATATGTGGCCCGGGTCCGAGGCTCATATTGGTATTGTCGAGCCAAGCTATGTGGATAAATACAATGGCTCGGAGGCTCTGCCCCGCAAGATCAATCGGGTGCTTGAGCTCCTTGATCTTCCAGGTCCAGAGGACGAGTCTGATTTGATGCCGCTACGCCCTCAGTTCATTGCGGCCTACGTTCCGGACGTCGATAAGGATGGACACACCTATGGGCCAAACAGCACTGAGATACGAGAGACCATTTCCAGGGCTGATGACCTTGTGGCCGGGATTGTCGCTGGTCTTGAAAGTCGCAATCTCACAAATTTGGTCAACATCGTGGTCGTGTCAGACCATGGCATGGCTTCTACATCAACTGAGCGTCTCGTTCAATTGGACGATGAGATAGACCTAAGGCTTGTTGAGCGCATTGATGGATGGCCGTCTCGTGGCCTGCGGCCAAAGCAGCCCGAGAATATGGAGATATTGGAGGAACAAGTGGCAAGGCTCGGGAAAAAGTATGCAGACGCCGTGGAAGTCTATACCCGAGAGACCATGCCTGAGCGCTATCACTTCTCGAACAATGATCGCATCGCTCCTCTGTGGGTGATCCCGCGAACCGGCTGGGCGATTGTTGAGAGGCCTGAATTCGATGTCAAGAAGGCATTGGAGACGGGAGAGGTCTATCATCCCAAGGGTATCCATGGATACGACCATGAGCATCCACTGATGCGAGCAATCTTCATCGCGCGTGGCCCAGCTTTCCCGCATGAACCTAACAGCCGCCTTGAAGCCTTCCGTAAGTGATGGTACCCAGAGATTGCAAGTAACCCGATTGACTCATCTTTCTAGAAAACATCGAAGTATACAATATCCTCTGTGACTCATTAGGTATCGACCCACTGCCAAACAACGGCACGCTGCGTCTACCTTTGAATCCAGTTGGTCTTCATTCCGACGAGCACGCACCGCCGCAAGTGCGACCGTCCGATCCTCCAGAGCCGTCATCCGCCACGATCACAGTTGGGCCCTCGGAATCAACTACCGCTGCAACGGAGGCATCCTCTACAACAGTGACGCCATCCGCGACAAGCCCCGCCGGCAATGATGACGAGAGTACTAGCTGGTGGGGGGCAATAACGGGTAAACTTGAGGAATTCAAGGAGTGGGCCGGAGAACTCTTCTCTGCTGAAAAGGACAACCATCCCCAACTGTGATAGAGCCTGGCTGGAGTATATCTGGGTCTTGCATTTACTTTTCTATTTTCGCCTATGTCGGTGCCATTTTGATAGATACCCATGTTCAAGCAAATACATACCTTCGTAATTCTCATTTGCATTATTTAGGTAGAGTCAATTATGTCCTGGGTGTTTACTTGTCGTAGCTGAAGGAGGCTCCAGGATTCAAAGGTAATTATAGAGGTCATCGCTGTCGGGTATGTAGCACTTTGGGCAGGGATGGAGGGATCTGCCAGAGTCACGAGTTGTAAATTGGCGGTTCCGACATCAACAGCACCAAGTGGTCGAGCAGTAACTCGGTCAATATCTTCCTTGGTCTAGTGGTCATGATTTCCGCTTGTCATTAACACCGATAAGCGCGGGAGACCGGGGTTCGATTCCCCGAGGGAGAGTTTCTTTTTTGCTTTTTATTTTACTTACTGCCACTATGTACTAGGTCTCAAATGACTAAGAAACCTCCTTCTAATTTTAGGAATGGTTCTTTTGATCCCTTCCATAAAGCCGTTGACTTGAATTTGAGGTTAGTCATATCAAATGGTGATGAGAAGCCACAGCCTTAAGCATATAGAGTTTGTATGTAACGCGCTAGCATACCAAGGGAAGCAGGCTTCAACAAATATCATTCGCTGTGTAGATCACCGGGGTCGACCTGAATAATCCACTAAATCACACCTGACCATACAAACAACACCTTCTAGTCTACGTCTTTCGTCATTCCAGCTTCCCACTGCTTCCTCATGCATTACTTGAGTCAGACAGTTAGGCAGCACTGTGAAAGGCTGCAGCATGCCAGCTGCGGGCGCCCGATGCGGTAGTTGCTAACGCGGGGTCCCAGCTTGGATTATGTGGCCGTGGCTGAGGCTCCAAGACTATTTAAACGTCTCTAGATACTTAACTTTCTTATTTCTTCAACTCATCATCCTGTCCACCTGGCGCCGGGCATGGCGTTCAACCAGTCAGCCCCCTCGTCAACGAGGATGGCCCTCTCACAATCCGACACAGCCTTCTTGGAGGCTTTGGTTCCGGGGTACACTTTTATATCCCGGATTTTCCTTTCATATCTTCACATTGACCTTGCCGCTTATCTACAATATTTCGTTGCACTGGCCCTTTTCGGTGTCTCCATGCGATATCTTTCTGAGTATCTCACGCAATTCTTTGAAACATACCTTGTCTGCACGGCAGAGATGCGCCTCGACGATGAGCTCTTCAACTACTTGATGTACTGGTGGTCCCGACGACCAAACACGAAGCGTACAAATCATTTCTTGGCCGGTGTCCGAACAAATGGCTATTGGGGCGATGACGACGACGATTCCGACAACGCCGATTCGGATGATGAAGACGAAGAATGGAGTGTTGTCGATGGCTCTACGAATGCAGAGTCGTTCGATGACTACTGGACGAAGGTCATCAACCGCGACAAGTACAAGAAGCTGCGCTTTACACCTGCGCAGGGCCGCCACTATTTCTGGTACCAGGGACGACTATTGATGTTGGAGCGACGGTATGAGCAGTCCGGAGCTCGCTGGGTGCTCAACAACGAGAAGCTGTATCTGTCATGCTTGGGTCGGGACCCTTCCATCCTTCATAAGCTTCTTTCCGATGCTCAACACAAATTTGTCGAGCGCGATGGGAGCCGAACGATTATCTACCGTGGACAACGAGGCTCCTCGGGTTCTACATTCGATTGGTGCCGGTGTATGTCTCGACCGCCTCGCCCTCTGGACACTGTTATTTTGGATAATACTCAGAAACAACTATTCTTGGCCGATATCGAAGACTACCTCGAGAAAGGAACGGCCGAATGGTACGCGGAGCATGGTATCCCTTACCGACGTGGGTATCTACTTTCTGGACCTCCCGGCACTGGCAAGTCTAGTCTTTGTTTTGCCGTCGCAGGCAAGCTTGGACTGAAGATTTATCTCCTCAACCTGAGTTCTCGAGCCTTGGATGAGGACAACCTCTACGCGCTGTTCTCTGAGCTTCCTCGACGATGCATCCTTCTCGTTGAGGATGTTGATACCTCCGAGATCACCCATAGCCGAGGACAGTCGATTTTCCCTCGGTCTGGTCCAAGCCAAGCGGACAACTCACCTTCGAACACAGACAACAATTCCTCTCCGGATGAACCTGGCAAGATCAGCCCAGACGGGAAGACTGAGAAAACTGGAATCACTCTTTCGAGCTTACTGAATGTGCTTGACGGCGTGGCTGCCAGCGAAGGTCGTATCCTCGTCATGACAACCAACCACCCCGAGAAGCTCGATGACGCACTTCTGCGCGCCGGCCGTGTTGATATGCAGATCGAGTTCCGCCTCGCAATCTCTGAAGACATTGAGAACCTCTACAAGTCAATCTACTCAGTCTCCAAAGAAGCACGCGTTCGCCAATCACCTCGCCGGGTGAAGCAATTGCAGAACGGTAGCGAAGAGGATGGAGAGTCAGATGATCACAAGCCCAATGGTGTCCACTCACGTCGACACGAGCTGCAGTCTCGCATCGAGAATCTTGCGAAGGAGTTTGCTTCTCTTGTCCCCAGTGGAGAGTTTTCCCCGGCTGAGATTCAGGGATATCTCCTCAAGCATAAGGATCACCCCGAGAGAGCCATTAGAGATGTCGCAGAATGGGTGAAGGAGGAGAGGGAGAAGAAACGTGCGAAGAAAGCAGCTGAGATCAAGGCTAAGGAGTCTCAAGGGAAGAAGCAATCTTAAGATAATCATGAATAGAGACATATTAATGACAATTGAATGCCTAATATCATACTCTCTACTTGATCTGTCTCTGTACTACTGGCTTTGAGAGAAGCTAATCTGTAACGGGCTGGGGGCCTGTTGATTACTCGAACGTGCAAAATGATACCGTAGTTGATATTCGTGAATAGTGATCAAAAAAACCAAACGACAAGATCAATGTTTCTTTCTCAACGAGCGTAAGGGGGTATATAACACAAAACAAACAATCAAAAGCAATATCAAAAGCTCCAACCAAGCTCGAACCTCGTCTCAAAAACAAACCATCTTCAAAACTTATACAATCGAGGCCGTCGTCCCACTAAGACGAAGATCCGCCACATACATGCAACGCTGCTTCAACGAGCTATCACACCAACCATGGAACAACATCCGATCTCCACATCCACAAACCGTCGCACCACCAGGCGAAATAAGACCACCATAATCCCCACCCTTCACCAACTCAACATTCGACTTATGATAAGGTCCCGTAATACTAGTCGCAGTCGCATAGCGAACATCATACTTGGGGTCCGTAAAACAGTGTGTCGAGTAGAACAAGAAGTAAGTCCCATCATGCAGGACCAAACTCGGCGCTTCCACAAGAGGACCATCGCCATCATTGGTGTTTCGGTCAAGGATCTGTACCGCATCTCCGATTGGCGTGAAACCATCTGCTTGAACTTTTTGCAGCAAGATTGGCGTGGAGACTAGAGGGGCGACGCCGTTGTTGCAGTCTCCTCCGTGGCCGACGCTGTTGCCGTCGACTTTGAAAACGACGTATCTGCTGCCGTCTTTGTCCAGGAATCCGGCTGCGTCGATGGAGCCTCCTTGGTCCAGTCTGCAGGATAGTGGGGTCTGGTTGGGGACGTATGGGCCTGTGGGCTTGTCTGCAACGGCTGTTCCGACACAGTGGTGCGGAGCATCGCTCTTTGATTCTCCTGAATAGTACATCACGTATTTTCCGTCCGCCTGTATTGAGGGTTAGTCCTGTTTAATCGTCGGTGGATTAGTAAAGATATGGGGGTGACTTGCTCGCATCACTACATCAGGTGCCCAGTGGTCTTTTTCTGTCTCCCAACCTGCCAGGGTTGGAAGAGCTTCGATATCGAGAAGAGTCCACTTGTTGAAGTCATCTGAAACCGCAACTTGAACCCGTTTGCCGTTGCCGTTTGTCCCAAAGGCATACCACTTCCCATCGGCGGCCTTCATGAAACTTGGGTCCGGGAAATCAGTGTGCAAACCCATCCAAGCACCCTTAGCTCGCTTTGGTAGAAGTGGTGAGCCAAGGACTACTTGGACCAAGGCTAGGAAGAGGACCACCCATCCGGCGGGCGAAGAAAATAGTGAAGACCCCATCTTATCTGCTTATCCAGAGGCAACGTGGAATAAAATTTGGCTTTGATTCTAAACTAACACCTTATCCTACAGGGGCAGACGGCCAGTCTTATAATTATTTCCCACCGCTATTACCGAAAATGCCATCGTGGGTACCTATCCACCTTCCAAGCCAATATCGCCCCTCAACTTGGCAGGATTGGTCTAAGAGGGAGGATAGGTGTTTGACTCCGGACCCTACACGGCACGAAAAAGGCACGAGCAGCCGCACGCCTGACATAGAAGATCCATCAGGTGCATTCGGGATGCGGGAGGGACTGATGTCCACGATCCACTCATGCTCAAGCTACTCGGGGGGCTGAGGTCAGGCTGGAGCCCAATAGTCGGGTTGGATAGTATTCCGTCAGCAGGGAGAAGCAAGGCAGGTTCCGAGGGCGCATGGCATCGGTCAAGACTAGTGTGAGTTGAATGCGTGGAGAAAAGCCCAATCGGTGGGTCAGATCCAAATAGACACCCCCGAGATATGGCGCGGTGGACTTCCGAAGCAGGCGCTGCATCATGAGATAGTTGTGAGGTCAGTAGGGGAGGAGGGAGTTGCGGAATCACGTCGGTGGAGACCATTTCACATTTTGTTTCTTCGTTGGGGCTTAGTTGTCCCAAGTAGCTAATTTAGGAGAGATTGTAAGGCTAGGGAATCCTTTCGGGCCAATACTAAAGACTTCTACGAAACCCTGGTACAGACTATACAGTTGACTAGTCTACTCTGGAAGTGTTGGCGGTTGTGTTGGCATCACAAAATAGAGAATCTTTTAGGCAGGATGATCCTCCCCGGAGGAATCAAAGTTAATCTGGGTGTGGGGGGTGTGGAATATGTCGATGCAGTGTGCTGATTGATCCTTTTGCCAAGGGCTCGGCCCAAGATGATTAAGGCACATGGGATAGGATGACTCGGGGGCGCTATAAGGCGCCGATCGTGGCGGTCAAAGCCTTTAGAGCTTATAGGAGCGTGTCTTGGATAAGAGGGGAAAAAGGAAAGTGTCTTGAACACATCAGAAGTAGTATCAAGCTAGCTGGGCACCATGCAAGGGCGAAAAGTAGACCGCCCTTGGTTCTGGACCATGAAGGAGGTTGTACATGAGCTACCGATACAGCACAGCATATTCCTCGGGACGAAAAAGACCTCCGAGTAAAATTAAAGATAAGGGTCCAAAGTTGGGGGCGAATCGGTCTCTGAGCGACGATAATAATAACCATCATTGTTCTTAGCTTCAGGCGCCCTGGAGAAGGTAAGCCCCAGCCACCCGCAGGGACTATTTCGGGGACCATCGCGAGGACGCTACCACCGTAGCACAGGGCGCGTGGTTATTCCGACTGTCCGAAATGTGCTGGCACAAATGCCAGCAAGAACTATGGACTCGAGGATGCCCCCGATAGAGAATAGACCAAAAAGACATGGCCAGCTGGCGGACAGGGTTGCACAAACTGCCAAGAGTCGACTACTAGGCTGGGGATCTGATTCGCTGGGTATACCTCGCTATACTAAATATCTCCTGGGTGCCAACTGAATTTCAATAATATGGCTGGATATACTTCCATAGACCGAGTCTTGTGCCATGGATTCATCCCGGGACAGGCCATGGTTGCCAATATTGTTTCCCCACATATTCCCGCTTTGGACTTTGGAGAAAACAAAGGGAAGTCGTGTGCCGCGTACTATGTAGTCGAACAGGGTGCTATAAGATGGCTTTTCGAACTAACTAGCGTGTAGCCTTTATTTGTCATTTGTCGTTCAATCTCTGATAGTTTGCTCTTTCTCTTTGAGAGACGACCGTAAAATGTTATAGGCATGCGAATGACTCACGCGGGCGATCTTCAATAACTAAAGCACGTTGTGATCGGTACGATCAACATCGGCAATACTCTATTCGTAAGTACCGGAGATCCCGATTGGAACTCATCACGTTTAGACAACACGGATTGTCCTCGCCGTGCATTTACCCCGCATGCTGACTTTGCAGGCCCAGCAATTGACGGTGGCCAGTGCCGACCAGTCGGTGAGGATATGCCGTGTGCAGCCATGATACCATGATGTCACAGCGAGTCTATTGATTATTGACTGGTCAAGGATCGGCAACTCGCATGACAGGGAAGGTGGGTAGTGACAACATGGTAGGGCCCATTAACTACCGACGATATCGTAAAGGGAAGTGTGAAGATGGCAAAACCTGTCATTTGACTCGGTTTTGAATTTGGAAGTCTAGGTAAGGGTGGGAACAGAAGTAAAAGACTCGGTTTTTTGCGGGATGGTGTAGAGGAAACGTGAGGGTGAGGTGACTGACGTTTGTTCTAGTAATTTGAGGGTTTCCTAGCATTTTCAAGTGTCTCGATTTGGAAGGTCGAAGTAGTGCAGTCTTACTGAGTCATGTACCTTCTAGACAAGCCATTCGATCCGGGATGTATAAGATGACTTTGAATATGCACCGGGAACTTGATGAGTGCAGCATGGATTCATCCGATAAGAATTTCCCCTGGTATATCTACAGATCAGTCGATCTTGATACTCGCCCATGCAAATCTAACAGGTGGTGGTTTGAAGATATGACGCCGATTAGTACGAAATCTCCAGTGATTACGCGTCCCCGAGGCTTAACTCAACGCCTAAATTCTTGCTTTAATTTGACTACATTTCCACTAGATCTTAGATTCATTTCATAAGGCACAAAGTAGAGATAATAATCATTAGAAAGTCCTTTTATCCGATGAGCTAGGAACGTGACTACCTTTATTGGAACATTTACGAGATTACCACCGCCCTCATTATCGGAGGCTCAATGGAAAGGTCTTTGTATTGTACAACAGAAAAAAGAAAATCATAATCACGAAAGTCCGAGATGGCCACTGTGTATAAGCAAATCAATGAGCACCGTCGCATCTATGTTCCCAACGATATCGAACTATGTACATGGGGAGGAGAAGCGCCACAGCCAGTTGATATATTCAAGGGGTATCTCAACAACAGGTCATAAAGATAGTAAAAAAAAGAAAGAAAGAAATAGATAGGGTTGGGTTGGATGTTTGAAAGATTGAATGAAAAGAAGAAGAAAAAAGAGAAGCCAGGCAAAATGGTAAAGACTCCGGGGGCCCGTTATATCGTCAAAGACATGAAGGAGATAGCCAAGCCAAGCCAGGTGAGAAAGATAATGGCAAAGAGCAATGATATGTTAGGTTACCGCTCGTCACCGCTAGCTACTGCACTGCCGCCGTTGCTACTGAAGTAACTCTCGTCAATCTTCAGGATCCATTCCACTTTTTGCGCCTCGGTGCGTGTGGCGAAAAGGAAGGTGTTCTGCGTCCCGTAGACGGCGAAGATATTAGGCCGGCCCTTGGCAGAGAGCGAGCGATCAGCACCAGCACCGGACCCGTCGAGAAGTCGGGCAAAGTCAGGCGCGTGGTCGACACGCGAGTTACGTAGATTTATAGCGTTGATTTCGTCCCCGTCGGCGGAGTAGATGTGAAGATACGGCCGGCGAAGCTCCACGAACCGTCGAACCCAGATGCTGTTGGTGTCATCGGGGGTGAGCACGTAGCCCGACTTCAAGGCTGATGGGTTCTTCGGGAGGGTTTGGATGGTGGCTACGAAACGCGGCTTGAGTGACATTTTGTCGGCTGCATCCGTGCCGTTCGACTTGCGCTGGGCGGCGATTGCTGCGCCGTCGGCGGGAGGTTCGGTGTTGCTCCGGACTAGGATGACATCGGTTGGGTCCTTCTTAGTTGACCAGAGCTCGAGGTACTTGCGGAGTAGTTTGGATTTCCGCTCGTTGAGGTCCTGGTTACGCATCGGTGTTGATCGTCCACTGCGGGCAGGAGAGGCCACCAAGCTGCCTGCGCTGAGAGCCCCGCGGGCAGCATGTAGCTCGGCCAAGCGGTATCGACGCTTACGAGCAGAAATATAGTCCCGAACCAGCGAGACCTTGCGAGGTGCCCATGTTGTCAACAACTCCTCGCCCTTGACATAGTCGTTTTGGGTGTTCATGCGCCAAAGATCGGCGGCACGCTTAGCAGAGATTGGACGGATGACCAGCGAATACATTTGCGTAGTTGAGTGTACAACTCGCGTAGAGCTCCAGAGCTGCTTGAACATCGACTGCTGACGAACGTAGGTACGCCCCAAGATTTGTAGGGTCTGGTCGACCTCGAACACGACAGGGGTCTGAAGACGGGACGAGACGAGGTCCCAGCGAACAGTGACCTGGACTCGATACTTATCTGCCGTCACTCGGTCAAGAAGCAGAGAGCCGTGCAAACTTGAATCCCACTGGCCCACAATAGTGACATTTGATGTGCCGTCGGCATTGTCCTTGACCATCGGTTCTTGGAGGAACTTGAGAGGAACATCCGGGGTTTGAAGATCCTGGTGAGGAATTTTGCCCCATGGGTCGAGAAGGCGTAGGGAGCCAACACGGGCATTGGCAATATCGTCCCACGGAAGACTTTCAGTGGAGCTGTAGGTCATGTTGATCGAAACGCGACGCTGCAAGCCCTGGTGGAGTTGATACGTGCCGGCATCAAGGGGGCTGTTCTGAACAACCTCCACGGGAAGGTATTCGCCGGACTCCGCCATCTCAAGAATCTGAACTCGGGCAAAGACATCATGTCGCTCCTCTGAGTAGAATTCAGACTCTGCAATCCGAGGAGCAGTGCGCTTTTTGGGTGTGATCTCTGCCGAGTCCCGCATATCGTCCCAGCTAAGCAGCTTGTCGAGGTGAACCGATGTGACACGAGCGTAGACACAAACCTTGAGCGCAGCGGATCGAGGACTTGACAATGGGAGGCTCATACTATGCACACTCTCAAAGCGGACAGGGCTCTCCTCGAATCCACTTATCATTTGCGTAGTAGTCGCACCACCTTCTTCAGAAATTCCGGGAACGAAGAGCTGCGCGTGGACATCAGACCCTTCCCATTCAGCAAATCCGACCATGTCCCGCATAACGACGTTGAACTTCAGAGTCGACGAAGGAGCCTGTGCAGAAGATGGCTCGAGGGAAAGCCGAATTATGCCGATGACACTCTGGGTATAAGGCGAAGTGATCTCGATGGAAAAGTCTTGCACTCGGGTCTCGAAAACAGCAGTCAAGGGGATGTCAGCATCACCAATGAGGGAATACTGCGGCGAGCAAGGCTCCGAGAATGGGTTATCCAGTTTGAAATGCTGGATGTAGTCCGGTCGGTCGATGTACTGGTGAAGTTGTCGCATCGACTGTACGCGGCGCTGGAGCTTCTCAATCGACCACAAGTGAATTACACACTGCTTATAGTCAATCACCCGAACGCCAACGCAGGGCTTCTTGGTCTCTTCCAGCACGATGTCTTCGTCACCAGAGATCCCATTCAGCACTAGATCATATGAAGAAGCCATGCTGTGGCCATGATCGACAACAGCGAATTGGAAAACCACATTCTTGTCCATGATCTGGCTCATGACCTGTGCCTCCTTCAGGAGGGAGGCATGTTGCAGAATCTTCTCGGCCATGCGAACGTAATTGCGCTGCGACCAATGGGTGAATACGGTTCGTGCGATTGCAAGCTCGCGCTCGTTCAGCTTGGCAAAACCATTCTCGTAGATTTGCGGTATTGGTTTGCCGATATCACGCATTTGCGTTTCAAAGGTTTCCTTTTGCACCCTTAATTGTTCTTCAAACTCCTCCTTGGCAGACCGTAAGGCATCTTCCATGCGCTGCTTCTCGGTTTGAAGTTCACCCACGTCTTGATTGGAGGAGGTCTCTGCGAGTCTCAATTTGTCCTGGAATTCCTCCCGTTGCCGATCGAGCTGACGTTGCATGTCCTTTTGGACTGATTTGAGAGATACACCATTTGACCCATCATCGTCGGTTTGCCGCGGTGTGCCAGGCATGGTAATAGCCGTATCGAGGGAGAAATTGTCGATAGTTCCATTGGACATGTACTTGTCACGCACTGGGAAAGAACTCATCGAGTCTGAGTCTTCTTCATTTTCAGGAAGTCCGCGACGCACTGCTCGCGCTTTTTGCACGTCCTCGAATAGAGCATCTAGCTCGTCGTCGGGTAAATGGGAGATGTGATCTGGGCCCAACATCGCACTGACAGCTTCTCGACGAGCAAGAAACCAATCGGATTCTCTCCCGCGTTGTGAAGGCATGGGTGAATCCGCCCTACTGGAATCACCATCTATTTCGGAACCCACCTTGCTAGGCGAGCGGTCATGAGTCTTGTGCGGTGCCGGTGAGCCGAGTTGGCTTGTCGTCACGGAATGTCGCAATAAGCTTTGTTCTACTCGTTCGGCACGAGCCTCCTGCGGGTGATTGAAACGGAAAATGTGGAAATCGCCTAGGATAATTCGGAATCCACTCTTGAGTCGCGTGGGCTTGTCGATTCGTAGACCATTGACCATCACGGCAGCACCTTCTGTCGGAACAATAGTCACGATATTGTCGACGTTCTCAAAGGTACAGTGTTTAGTAAGAATTTTTGAGCCATTCAGTCGAATCTCCACGCTGTTTCCCTGGTCCATATGACCCACGGTCGTAGTACCCGGTTTGATATTGTAGACCAGACATTCGGCGAGCAATGGGTCGTCGCTCAGGTTGACCAAATGAGGCATCTTCTTCGGCGTGCTCAATCCAATGAAACCTTTCTCGATGTTGATACCGAGTTCCTCGAGAGCCTGCTCACGCTCTTTGTGAATCTCCTCTGTCTTTTGTAGTTTCTCCTCCCATGTCTGATTGAGATCTTTGTAGAGCTTCTCACTCTGGTTGAGCTGTTCCACAATCTCGGCTTTGCTGACTTTGGTGACGGTACCATCGGCTTGCTGAATAGAGACCATCTGCTTCTCCAATGGTGTGTCGGGAGGGTAATGTTCTTCTTGCGAAATTGCGCCAGGAGCCCCGGGAACTCCTCCGGGAACACCACCTCCAAGTTTGGACCGCAACTGCGCCAACTCCTCCTTCAGTTCGCGGATCATGCGAGCATTCGGATCCTCATTCACAACTGCGTGGTTCTTGATTCGTTTGGCGGAGTCGGCATAACGTAGCGTACTCAGGGTCTCGTCAAAGTTGATGTCCGCAGGCGAAATGGCTGCAATCATAGAAGTCATTGAGTTACCTCCCAAGGAGTCCTTCAGCAACCAGGTGAGTACTGAGTCACGATATGGAACCATTGATGCCTTCTTGAGCTTGCCTGACGACACATCGGCTAATGCAGCAATGACACGACCGAGAGTGGACAGAGACCTGTTAATCTCAGCACCTTCCTTCAAACGGGCACCCGTAGCTCCAGTCGAGTTTGCTCTCTCGGAACCAGCCAAATCGACCAAACTGATCTTCGACACCTTCTCCGTATCCATCGAGGTCTCCGCGTCGTGACGTTTTTGCGTGAGGGTCAAAGTAAACACAGCGTGGGATCGACTGGAGGTTTCGTTCATGTTCGTTGCCGCCACCGTTCGAGCTTTGTTTCCCTCGTCCATCAAATGATCAATTTCGTCGAACGAGCGAACGACAAGCTTCGCCAAGTCTTCAACATATGGACCAGTGGACGGATGCTCGCGAACTTTCAGATTGCCCTTATTCGAAGGGTTGAGCAAGTCGCGAACGCGTTCATTGTAAATTTCCAGGTATGACACCTCAACCGTGACGTTCAAGCTCTTGTCTTGCTGGATGTCGGTGATCCGCGTGAACATAGACTGACAAATGCGTGGAATAACACCATACTCCTGGCCATAACCCATCATCGAGTACGATTTTCCGGAACCGGTCTGACCATAGGCGAAAATACAGTTGTTATATCCACTGAAGGCATTGTCGAGGAGCGGCGTGCCCAGGTCGTCGAAGAGGTTGTCCTGGCCGGCATAATTCGCGTCATTCTTGTCGAATGACCAGTACGATCGATCGAAAGCGAACACCTTCGGTCCGTCGCCACCACCCTTGCCAGCGCCTTTTCGCGATTTGTCCTCCGCGCCAGGCGGTGCGGTGAGCACCGTCTGGTTGCCTTTCATCTGCACGATACATTTTGCGCCTCGGTCGAGTTCTAGAAGCGTTATCAAAGAAGGGGTATCAAGTCAGCCACGAGTCCTCAAGGGGGACGAGAGGGGCAGTGGATTTGTCGTCTCCTTCACTTCCTCCGTGCAACCTTCCACTCACCTCTGCTGTTGAAGGGTCGCACTCGGACCACCACCTTAATATTGCCTCCGCCGCCTGGAGCCATCTTGTCTTTCTACCCCATATACCGGGGGTCGTCACGGAATCGACAGCTCGCTGGAAAGTAGGATCGGATCGTGGAGGGGTTTGACACAAGCGGTGACGGGTCAACGCCGGTGCGCAAACTCCGCGAGGAGCGCGACTTGTGGGCGATGTCGCAAGGGTGTGAGGTATGAGATTGCTGGATCTCGTCTGCCTACGGTTCGTCTGGAGCGGTGTCTGGGGTGTATCGGGAACCGTAGATGTCAACAAAGACGTCATGAATCGAATATTCAGCGCGTGTGTAGGTTGTGGGGTGGGTCAGCTGGATCCCTTGAAGATGGCGGTCAGAGTCGACTAGGACTCTTGAGTCAAATTCCGCAGCGCTGCTGGAGGAAGACTCAAACCTCCAAGAGTCGAATGCGATTGTCGACATCTTTCATGCGGAAAAGCCACCTGCCCCGAGGCCGCGGGACCCCCTTGCTGAGTCAGTCAACTTTTGGGGCGCAACATTTTGGCTCTATGCACACCAACACTTAAAACAACATTGATCTTCAGGATTAAGGACCAGATTCATTCCATCACATCAATCTGAGTTGTTGTCATATATATACCAAACGTGCAGTTCTGTGCCGCGGAGTGCATACTGCATATCGTAGAACAGGGAGGTTATCAACACGACACTGGTATAAGTAATGATGTGTATTCGCCGTCGGACACACTTTCATCCTTTTTATCCTCGTGGAAACGACCAACAGTTCTTCATTGACGCAGATCGAATGACTTTATTTTGATGAATATACCAAAGCATCTATCTGATCAGAAGCATTTCTCTTCAGAGCATTGTCCACCAACAACTGGCTCTCTTTCCTATGGCCCTTGGGGACCTGCTACATCCATATGAAATAAAGTACATGACTCATCGAACAAGGGGGCACTTTGGGATCATATGCGGCTTGTTATAAAGCCAACAACCATGGAGTATCTGATGCCTCATTGGGCCCTCACGTCCTCGATGGTGGGGCATCTCTTACGTGGAGATCTTGATGGTCCGCTTTGCTCAGAACCAACCTTAACATCCAAATCAACTACTATCCATATGGTGCCTCCTGTAGGAGAATATGGACAAAATTCTCTTACAATCGCGTATCTTGAATGCATCTACAAATCTAGAAATAGAGGTGATGATTATGTATGTATAGAGTGACGACGGCCGAATCTACGGGAGTAGGTCAAGCTCCCACGTGGGGTAAGGGTGAGATCGAACCTATCAGACATAAATCTTTCATACATCGATCACTATGGCTTATTTTAGAACTATTTTAGCTATTTGTACCATTTGTGTGTCTACTGTGTATATCTTCATTACCTGGTGATGAAACACAAGCGTTTGGAGAATTGAACTCGGGTTTTGCAGAAAATTTGCCCAGATTCTTGGTACTGTTTCGAAGTATATATTCTTTGCGTCTCACATAACTTGATAGTAGTCAACCTAATGGATTTTAAGAGGAAGATTCATTCCAGTCGTGATCTCTCGAATATACTTAAGAATAATTTGTCCTCTAACAATTCTTGAAATTCTGCCTTTGGACATGACGCTATCAACTAAACAAGACAAATCGTGAACAAAGATGGGCGCGGGCATTCGAGTATGTAGTAGTGTGCGCGATCTCTTCTTACAGTAAAAACATAACTACAGCCTACTTTTGATATCACCTGTGTTTACCCTTGAAGTTTGCCTTAGATCACACCCTACAAATGCTCTAAGAATGGGAGTCGATGAGATATGACCGCTCGTCATTTCAATTCTCGACGCCATAAACATCACCCAAGCCCTGCCACGGAGAATTAGTCAGGCTTACCAGTGTCCACATCCAAGCCACATTTACAGTCATATTACCAGATAGGAAAGCGAGAGCGTAACCGTCTCGATCTCTGCATCCACACAACACAGCCCTACAAATGGCGCGAATGGCGCTTCGCACATATGTACCTCTACACTGTACACCGTATACATACTCTATACTATAGTCGATACCAACACGACACTCTTGCGTCATATCGAGCCCTGCCAACACAGCAGCTATCCCATAATGGAAATTGGAATCTCAGGCCATCGACCGGGGTGATGACAGGCGTCTCGCGGGCCAGATTGGAATGGCGCGCGGATCGGCCGCCTCACTGTTTGGCGTTGGCGTCACGCCCTGTCACAATCACGGTCACAGTCAGGGGTTGAGAATAGATCAGTCAGCGTGGCGGACGTTTGGAGTTGGTGGTTTTTTCCCAGATCAGTGAGACGAGTGTACTTCGTATGTCCTTCGTATGTCCTTCGTATAGGAAACGAGATTATGGGTGGTAGGCGGGAGATGGAACCTGGGGTGGAGGGTGCCCCGAATAGGAGAGATGGCCGAGGGGGGGCTGGGGAGGATGGATGATCATAATAATACTCATCATACGGAGTACTTACTACAAGGTACATTGCCGCCCGATATTGCCTTCCATATCCGAAAACACGGAGTGGCTATTTGCAACCCTAATCACATGATACACTAAACCTAATATGGATTTTGCGTAAATTACAAGTTTTGAATATACATAGCAACTATACCGGATTTTGTACCTATCTGTATGGATACAAGTCTCTGAAAGCCTGGACGAATAGAAGGATCTACACAAAACGCAGCAAATTAAGCGACTGTCAGCAACCTGCTAGCTTCCCCTCCCTCAAGAACAGATTGATTAAAAAGCATTGTACCTACACCCAAGAAATATCTTCTCGTGGAAAGCGGCCTGACCCAGCTTAGCTTGTCGGCCTTCCCTTCTCTCCCATATCAGATACCCTTACAAGAAAAGGGGTGCCCAATATCAAGGCGGACAAATCGACGTCACGGAAAAGAAGGCATTGAATCGGTGGATCCATGTTACTTAGGTATAAGAGCTTGATAGTTGGCACCAAGATGATGGTATAGCGCTATGTCTTATATAGTTAAAGGCGGACTTTAATAGAGACAATTTCGCCCAGTTTCAGATGGCGGAGCACCCTTTCCTTTTCGTTAGTATATCAGAATAAAATAAACCTAAATAACAGTGATCACTCACACCCTATAGTTTATACCTCTATTAGCACTAGATCGTAGAAGGAACATCAATCTAAGCGGGGACAGAATTGAAGATTATCACTCACACGGCAGATTTCGTCTTCTAAAATCTTAAGAGTACCGTGCAGATCTCTCAAAACAGGGATTCTATAAAATATATCATCCTGAACCTATTTATTTGATATTAGCCATAGTTAACTAACTAAGTTAAGTTACTGGTATACTGTTAGTCATAACTGCTACGTATGCAAAGGCACACAATAAATTGCTTCAGAGAAGACTTGGCACGTAATGACCAATGATGTTAGCAATGAGATGTTAACTATCAATGATTAAATAGTCAATTCAATTGATAACTAAATACGGACTAGTCGGTTTATAGTCTAAGCTGTCTTATTGTAAATGTGGGGGGTTATGTGGGTCCTAAACTAGTAACTAGCACTTTAAATATAGGACCCCTATGTTAGGATCAGCGCTTTATATGACTAGTGTTTGAAATAGCGTCTCTCTGTTCCCGACACAGAAGCTATATAATAACTACTATCGTTTATTTGAGGGAATTGTAGCTTTCAGGAGAGTTGTCTCGGTGCTATATTATGCAGATGTTTAAGGTAAAACGCGAGAATATATTGCTCCTGTAAAAAGACAGCTCCCCGAGTCTAAGAGCCCCATCTATTTAACTGTCCATCGCTAGGCCCGCCACAAGCTTCGACCACCGCGATACTCAACACTCCCACTCGATGGCATCCCATTACAAATGGTGTCAGCGACCATATGATCGTGGTTGTTACGGGTCCCATTAAAACCTTCAAAAACTTCATTTGTGAAGAAAGGAAGGAAAGGGTGCCCTGCGCCTTAATCTTGTTCAACACAAATAAGAAATAAGGTGTAGTAATTACTCGATGCCAAGCCCTTTCCGAAACCACCCAAATCTCTCCCGAGCGAGGGGTTTGGTGAACCCATCAGCAATTTGTTCTGTAGTCGGGATATACTTGAGCTTCACTGTTCCGTTGTCCTGGACCTCTCCCTGCCACTTGCGTTGGATTTCCATATGTTTTGTGCGGGAGTGGAATTGTGGGTTTGAGGATAGAGCAATGGCTCCTTGGTTGTCCCCGCAGATAATCGTGGCGTTTGTTCCTTGGTTCATATTTAATTCGTTGAGAAGCCTTCTTAGCCAGACAGAGAGCCTACAGGCCCCTCTAAGTCAAAGGATGTGATAATTAAGGCGGCTAGGCAATTCAATGCCGATCCAACACCGAGCAGCACCCGGGGACAATCCTCTTGCCCTATTCCCATGCACGGCATCCTCTCACCAACTCCTTAGAGCTGCATCCGTCAATGCTGCAGCCTCCTATACGGTAGTCCTTCACCGACTCTTCGGTGACCAGCCAGGGACTCAGGTCCCCGACTAATATTCCTTAGTGATGATAGGGGTCTATAGCATAGACCCCGTAACACAGATATGCCGATTTCAAAAAGAAGCAAACAATTAACGCAAACCTATACCATATTTCGCCTTTTACGTATTCCATTTTCATAGCAGCCGGAGGTCGACCCACGCACTAATACCTACCTAACATATAACTATATAAGGCACAGCGTACCTTACACTAAAGACCTATTTCCCTCCCATAACTTCAAAGCTTTACTATCTTCTTCTTAGTATATACCAAAGATGCATCTTTCTGCGTATCTATCCTTCGCACTTTGTTCAACAACGCTCGCAGTAGTGTTCAAGACGCCCTTAGATGTCACATCTGGTGAAACCTTCACTTTGACATGGACAGTTGAGGATGGGGACCCAAGTTTTATAAACGTGGCAATCCAGAACGATGAGAACCACACATATGATGTGCCTGCAGTGCATGTCCGCACTGCTGACGAAGAAACATCAGTGTATGTGCGGCCTTTCAGACCGGGGTAAGTATTGACGCTGGCGTTTGCGAATGATGATTTCGACAGAGGCACTAATTTCGATATTTTGTAGACCTGGGTACTACATAACGGCGTTGGATTTTGAAGACCCTGTGGTTGTTGTTGGGAAGTCAGACACCTTTGATATCAACTAAGGATTCAAGCTTGCTGTCACTCTGACGACTCATATACTGCGTATGAGATATATGTTTTGATTGATGCCTAGTGCGTCGAGCATCAATAAGATTTATCAACAACCATCTTCCGTCTTCTATCATCTCAGTTCTTCCCTTCGTCCTTCCATATGCTTAATTATTTCGTTTAAATGCTACTACGATAGCCGATAGCCGTTTCTTCGTAACCGAGCCTAACACTTTGTACGAAAATCGATTGACCTTCTGATGGTGCAAGCCTTGAGTTCCAGGCCGATAAGAGGTTAGGTAAGTAATATAGACCCCAATATTAGAAGCACTAAAGAGCGGTGCTTGATTATTCAAGCAACTAGTACTCCGGCCACCTCCCACAGTCCTGGAGAAGCTGTTCGGTAAATGGTTCGAAGAACGGGCCTTCAGTTGAACCTTTGAAAATACGCGACAGAATAATACCGTCCTGAGCATATTCAGGCAGTTATCTAGAAGCGTTGGCCGCAATGAAATTTCGACACTTAGACCGGTGTCACACCGAGTGGTGACCAGCCAGTTCGCCTCTATCCAATCCTTATATCACATCCAGACTCATCGACAAACACAAGATGATATAACCGAAATTCAGATAGCTTATTTTGGTAGAAATCTCGTAGATTTGGATTCTGTTCTTTGGCTTTCTGTTGGGCTTTCTTTTTTGTCCAGCCAGCGCGCGAAAGAGCACGTTTGATGGTAGATAACGATGGTAAAATGTTAAATTCATCCCATAGGAAGATAGCCATCTCTTCGACGTATAGCCAGGCTTTTCAGCGAGGTGGTCGTAGAGGGCGTTAAGCATGATAGGAGCGATACTTGGTTGTCGGCCAACCGAGACTGGGGGAGATCTGGCACTACCAAATAACGGCAAGTTTCTTGCGTATGTTAGTGATGGAGCGCTCACTATACTGTGCCACCTTTGCCATTTGCGATGTAGTGAGTCTGTTCTTGCTGCGTATCATGTGGACAATCATCTTACACTGCCAGGAGTCAATGTTTCTTGCCATCTTGAAGTGGGTTAGGTGTTTGCAAATGCTAGACTGGGAGGAGTGTGAGCGGACGATACCATGGTGGGGCTATTTTTGGGACGCAGCTATTGGACATGTAACGATACGTGAGCATACATTTAGCACTGTTACCATACAAACCTGGAACAAAATATTAATTACGAACCTATCCATATAAGGTTTAGCGTTCCATGTGATTAGGGCGTGAATCTGTGTTTCCAATATAGAATGCAATAACGGTCGCCACTGTATTTCGCATTCTTCTATGATATTCTGCCTGTTCCATAAAGATGTTTTCTATAGCTAAATTGAATAAGTTTAACACCCTTAACTCTTCTCTTATAAAGTTATCTTCCCCATTCGTGGATCTTTTGCTAGATCGCACGATATCTGCCATAATCGTGGATTCTGTTGAATCGCACGATCTCGACCGTGCACGAGCGCTTCGTGCACACACAAGGATTTATGCCGACCACCTAAATCCGACACCTTATAGATTGCTTCTAGAGAGAAAAAGCCACTACTATGAGGAAAATTTGTGTTAAATTATAGTACGGGAAACAATTTGTGAGAAGATACTACAAGTCAGAACCTGTCGATCAGGTAGGAGAAAGGAAACAAGTCAGATTATTCCAATACTATTTCTTGAGGAGTGTCAACTCAATTATATATAGCCTCATCGTTCAGAATAGGAAGGAGGTATATCCTTGTAGAGAGAGGGGATTAGGGGAAAAACACGAGGCTTATACAACCTTCATCAAAGGTCTTCCTTGCACTGTAGGATACCTAGGACATCGCCAAAACCTATGCAGTAAAGAAACTGCGGGATAGAGGAGGAAGTTAGCAGATTGCTAACGGTCGCTGAGTTTACTTGGTTGGCATGAAGCCCTCTGGTCGTCCAGGCTCCAGGGCCTGTATCTATACGAATAGGTACAAAATCAGGTATCGTTGCTGTGTATATTCAAAACCGGTAATTTACGCAAAATCCACATTAGGTTTAGCGTATCATGTGATTAGGGGTCCAAATAGCAACTCTGAGATTCCAGGTATGGAAGGCAATATCGGGCGGCACCGTAGCGGAGAGAGAATAAACATGGAGGGTAATCAAAGAAATTATTTGTTGGCTGACGAGGGTCGAGGGAGATGGCGGATGGGAAATACGTTATCCGTTGTACCCATTCACTTCTATGTGAGCACATATTATCTGAGAGAGATTATTTACTTATTATGTGCGTAGTTTCTGCCCAATGCACCACGAAAGTGAGGAAGCAAGGCAGCCTGCGTAAACCTGTCCGAGATACAGTTTCCACGTCAGGTATACTTTTTGATAGCGGTGAGATACACCTTATCACCAAAGTACAGCGCCTCGACCAAAGTTACCAACGTCAACACTTTTTCTCGTATTCTTCACCGCCGAGTCCCAAGTGTGGGTTGCACATGACCCTGCGCTTCGGGATGCCCGGATTCCCTGACTCCCGTGATTTCATGACAATACACAATTGTGATGATACCGTATCGCATGGATATCTTACGGCTGAACGTGATGACTCCTGTCCTCGGGACAGCCAGCCAGAATCCGCGGAAGGCTGAACTGGCCCCCACCCGAGTCCCACATTTAGCGCCGTACAGCCACTGAGGAGACGGGTTGGGCAGCGACGAGTTCGTGTTGGCCGGGATCAAAGTGATGTAAATATGCGTAATTATGGTAATTATTTGTAATCTGATGTAATCCAATGTAATTAGAGCGAAACTCTTATTGAAGAATGTAATGTATCCAACTCACTCCCCCACTCACCCAAACAGCCCACGCTGATACGTCGTTCTCCGATGAGCCGGACCAGCCAGAAATTGGCCATCCAGCCAGTACAAAATGCCCCGTCCCGCCCGCCCCCTTTTCGCCTTTCTCCTCTGCCTCTTCTCGTTGGTTGCCCGCCCTCTCCAGCCTGTTCGCCCTCCAACCATCGCACAGCGCTGGCCACCCTTACTTCCGCCGTTGGTTTAATCTGATTTCTGCCCATACCATTCGTCCGATCTCTCTCTGGAACTGGTCTGTTCTGGGACAATTGGAGGAAGTCCAATCAGTGTTTCTCTTCTTTGATCTCATTCGACCTTGTTGACTGTTTCCCCACGGTCGGCACTGAGTGTACGACAGAAGGACAGTCTACGACTGGGTCGAGTACGATAGCTAAGCTACAGTACTCTATTCGCCTGGAGTTCCTATCATCAGGGATCTCTTGAGATATCTATTCCCATAGGTAGGTTTTTCTATCAATGATCGTTTATTCTATTGCCCTGCCTGTTACCTCTCGCACTTGTGCTTGTTACTTTTGTCCTTGACCTTTCTTCTTTTATCTTTGATTCCATCTTGCATATCTCGAGTCTATCAAAGAATGGCACTGGGTCCGAGCTTCCCAAGTCAAGGAAAGAACTCGTCTTCACCCATATATACTGTGACTCTCTCTCCATGTTATCATGGCCCTGCTGTCCCCGTGACTTCCTCGTGCGGCTCTTTCAACCCTACCAGCAAAAAGAGAGAGACCAGCATTCCTCATTCCTGCCGTGTAAACATACCCTTTTCCCCATCTCAACTGAGCCAATTCTTCGCGTTCATTTGTCCAATCTTTCCTCTTTCCCTCCACCCCCAGTCTTCAGTGTTTCGCGGAACTGCCCGGGCCCTTGACATCAGCGGCCCCAGTCGCGCACAGAACTCAGCACCACCGCCTTCTCGTTGGCACGTTTCCTTCGATCTCCCCCCTCTTTCCCCCCCCATCCATCTTCTGCCACCGTCAAATCATCGTCTGGCTGGGATCCCTTGATCACTTGGGATTGGAAGTCCAACGGAGAATATCCACGTCTTTGGCCTTGTGGCTCTCTCCCTTTTCCCCTCTCTTCCCCCCCAATTAAGGTAATTGCTTCCAAGCTTTACTGCCCCCTCCAATCCCACGTTGCGCGCCGCGCTGTTAGTGGCCCGTGGCAAAACATAACACACGCGCCCTCCACTGACCATTGCCCATTGCCCGTCTCCCATTGCACTCATTACCCTATTACACTCCAATCCCTCCTGGTCGCATGCAAAGCGCCTGCGTGTTTCATGGTCGGTCCAGTTTGATCGTTATTGGCTCTCCCTTCTCTGCTATGCGCGCTCCCTCTGCTTTTTACCTGCTTAGTCTTGTGTTCTTACCCGACCTCGTCGCTTGCTGCACGCGTCGGTCCCTGGCATCGTTGACATCATCTTTCGAGTGCGCGCAATTCTAACATATGTCTTTGTAGAGTCGCGACAACTGATTCGCTAGACGCGATCAGCCTCGCCTCACTATCTGTCCTGCCTCTGCAGAAGCCGATCGCTTCAGGTATGTTCACGACCTGCAGCAGCCTCTGGCCCAATTCCCGTGCCAACGCATACATCGCCTCCCCTCTCTGTCATCTCTCTCTCTTTCACTGCCCTGGTCGCCCGGCCTAATCCGGTCAATCCAACACTCCCACCCCGCCTCAGTAAACATGGCTATGTTGGGATCATCGTCGCTTGCTTATTCACCCCCTCCTCTCGGGCCTAGGGACAGCGCATTATCTTGCTTTTATCCAGAATGTGACATACTAATCCTCCAATAGATCTCGTTCGTGGAGCTCTTTGACGGCTGTCCTGACCGAGGCGCGTCAACCCTTTCACAATCCGCTAGCCCGGCCCACATTGTGTCGCGTCCCCGGATTTTGTGTTGAACGTGACGAAGCCAAGAGGTAAGAAAGAAAAATAAAACCTCAAAATTCCCAAAGAGGACCCTAGTCCTCCGGTCATTGACGTTGCCTGCCCCTCCGTGCCTGAACTCGGTTTCCCCGGCGCGGCCTCAGCGGGGTGGCATCAACAAGGCGACTGGTTCTGACAACGCATCAAGCACTTTAGTCGAGGGGTACCCCCTATTCTACTGCATCACAGCCCAACCACGTTACACCCGTGGGTATCGACCGATTTGCACAAAAGAGTCAAACCCTCCGTTCGAGACGCGTTGCTGCTCGAGAACTAGCCTTGATCCTTTTGGTCCAAACATTCCGCCTATCGTCAATTCCCCCTCTCTGCAGTGCCTGCACTTTAAGGTATGTCATGTCACTTACCCTATGAAATCTGCCTAATCTACTCATCCCCACCCTGCGGATCCAGTGACCGTATCCTGCTGCGCTCTTGCTGACGTGATGCCCCAAGGCTGCAGACTATCGACTAGCCGTCGTCGAATCACAGTGTGATTACGCCAACTTCTGGAGGTGACTAACTCCCGTCCCGCACGCGCTTGGAGTGATATCGACCCAGCACGTCTGCCAAACAAATCGAGTAGACTCACCTTGGTTTCCTCTCACTTGCTATCGCGCCCCATATCCACCACGGCGCCTATCCTCCTAATTTGGTCCCTTGATAGGTGATTCGGATTGGTAGATCATCGCCCGAACCGATCTCTCGTGCCTGTCATCCCAGCCCCCAAACCCCGGTACGACACGCGCGCGTCGCCTGTGTGACGGAACCTTCTCTGAACCTTCCCCCGAAGTTTCGCAAGACCCTCGTCAACATGGAGTACCCTCCACAGTACCAACAGCCTCATGGCCAACATCCCCATGCTCCTTCACATATGCCCGGTCCATACCAAGCTGGACCGCCACAACCTGGTGCACCCGTGGGATCGATGGCCTCACCCACGAATGCCCAGCCTCCCATGCAATCACAACATCCTTCCCATCAGACATCACCCATCGTCCCGTCGCAGCAGCATTACCAGCAAGCGCAGGGCGGCCCTGGTGTTCACCAACAGATGAATTTCCCTCAAGGCTATGGCGTCTCTCCCGCCATGCCTCAGCCATACGGTATCTCGCCCACGCAGGCTGCCGCGATGGCCACTGCTGCCGCTTCCGGACAATTCTATCCTCTTCAGCAACACGATGGTATGGCTGGTCAGATGGCTCCCGGGACACGAGGCTCGCCGCGGATGGCCGGTGTACCTATGAAGGCGGATCGGAATCCTCGCTCCCCGCCCCAGATGCCCGGTCAGATGCCTCCGATGGGCTCGCAGGTTCAAATGGCGAACCAGCAGATGCCCCCTGGTCGACGAATGAGCCACATCGGTAGCCCCAATGTACCGAGTGCCCAGCCCGTGATGAATCACGTTGGCCGACCCTCCGTCGCGCAGCCCATGCCCGGCGCGCCCCAAGCTGCTATCCAGCAGAACCAGCCGTCGCCGGAGATGGTGCCTGGCGGTAACCAGGAAGAGTCGCCGCTCTATGTCAACGCCAAGCAGTTCCACCGTATCCTGAAGCGCCGCGTCGCGCGCCAGAAGCTCGAGGAACAGCTCAGGCTTACGTCTAAGGGACGCAAGCCGTATCTGCACGAGTCGCGACACAATCACGCTATGCGCCGCCCTCGTGGCCCCGGCGGCCGTTTCTTGACAGCCGACGAGGTCGCCGCGATGGATAAGAAGGCGGCCGAGGGTGATGGTGATGCTGCGGCTGATCTCGGCAAGGAGAACGGCTCGGCAGGACAGAAGCGAAAGTCCAGCGAGGGCAATGATGACGGTGGCAGCGCGAAGAAGACCAAGACGAGCGCTAGTGCCGATGCCAGTGAGCAAGATTCGGCTGAGCCGTCGGATGAGGATGGTTGAATGATACAACTGTTTCCTCGTCCTGGTCGTTGACCGTGTTATCCAGGTCAATCCGAGCTATATCTCAAGCTTCAACTCGAGCTTGAATATGCTTGGCGGTTGACCTGGTGACGATGTTGACTATTTTTCTTTTGTTTCTTTCCTATGTCATTCTTGGATTTTCTTTTGTTGAGACTAACGGCTTATGGATGGACGTTTTGGAACCCCTTTTATTTCTTCTAGCGAGCGATGTGTACGGATGCCTCCCTTTTTACCCATATCACGCCACTTTTGTTCTACCCTTGATGTGCTTGTTCGGCTTTTCTTGATCTGGCCCCTCGCACCCCCCCTGATCCTGCCCACTAACTTGACCTATGATCCTGATCACCGTTGATAGCTTTTTGTACCGGGAGACGAGATGATTTTGTTTAGGTTGTCACCTTTGGGCAGATTGCCTCTGTCGGAGTCGGCGACTGCGTTTCTACAATCATGACCATACTCGTCTTCGGACATCATGATGGGCGGGCTATGCCCTCGAAGAAAGTCAAGGATCTGAGGCTTTTGAACCAATTGAAAGAAAGCCAATGTCTCCCAAGCCCTTGAGCCAACTGTGGGATTGTGGGAATGCGAATGCGATTTACTTAGGCCCAGGCCAGTGAAATGTCAACCGTGACGATCTTCTTCTCTTCCTGCCCCTTTTACTTTACAATCTCCCTTCTACGGCAACACTTGCAATCGCCTTGTGTATATCGACCGACAGTACAGCACTACACTATCTACCAGGTCTTCTGTCAATGTTTCGTTTCTACTAGCCGTCCTTCTCCGTGCTATCGGTGTCTTTGCGTTGCGCGTTGCGCGTGTTGCGTTTTGTATTTTGAACTTCGGTTGGGACATTAGAGAGGTTCTCCTTCACTGGAAAAACAGGTTAAATACTTTATCGTCTGCTGATTTTGAATATTTACTTGATGGGATTTGGGTTGGATTGGATTGAAAAGACTGGATATTCTTTTCTTTTCTATCCTTCCTTTTTTGTAATTGCCGCGATGCAATGTGATGTGATGCGAATGCGAATGTGATGGATTGTTGGATTGTTACATGATATGCGCTGGATTTGGAATGGGATTGGTGGATTCAATTTGTTTTTTGCCTATACCATCGGATCGGAATGAAGATATTGTCTTTTTTGAATAGAGATGTTTTGTTACTGAGATGGAATTGAATTGTAGTTTTGTCTTTTTGAGTCGCATGAAACACACATGGGGTATTTGATATCAAAGAAGCTAGCTAAATCGTTTCACAAACAGATTCTATGTCCAAGTCATCGTCCTCGGACCGGCCAGAAGAGACATCCAACATTTACTACACAAGCTTCCCACACAGGAGAAAAAAGAAGGAAAGAAAGAAAGAAACAATTAACACCAACCATGCAACCCCACTCCTCTCCTCCTCCCTTCCCCCAGAATAAACCATCAGGGCCAAACTCCCCCGCTAAACAGCCTCCCAATCCATCGCATCAACCATAAACTCCCAACCCTCCTCCCTCCCAATCTCGACATCCTCCCCAACCCGTCTACACAACTTAACATGTTCCCTCGCCCGAACGAACCCTTCTTCCAACCCACCGAAAATCCCACTCAAAATCCCCTCAAGATCATAACTCTCCAACGGCCGCACAACATCCCGATCACCCACGGGGTCCCTCAACACCTCGTCCCGCGTCATATCAGCCGTCTTCCACCGATTCCGTAACTCCTTCGCTTGCCGGAGTTGTTCGTAGACGAGGCCCGAGCCGAGGACGGGTGTTAAAGGGCTGGACTCTTCTTCGAGGGCGGAGAGGACGTTTGCGTGGTAGCGGTGGAGGCTTGCGCCGACGCCGGCGTTGTTTGTGTAGGAGGGGCGGCCGCGTGTGGAGGAGGAGACGGTTATGTTGAAGACGGCGAGGAGATGCACGATTGCGCGCTCGAGGAGGGCGTAGTATTCGAAGAAGTCGATTTTGAACATTATTTGGGCTTCGGAGGTGGTGGAGAGGGAGGAGGGGTCTGGGGGGATTGTTGCGAGGCGGTAGGCTTCGGCTAGAAAAGGGAGTTTCCAGCGGAGGCGGGAGATGATTTTCATGAAGCGGGCGAGTTCTTCGGCTGGGGGGAGGAGGCCGTTGTTGTTGTTGTTGGATTGTAATTGCGATTGTGAGTATGTTGGTCCTGATCGTGATGGGGAGGCATTTGGTGTGGGGACGCTGTGGGTGCGTGGGTTGGTGTGTCGGGATGGTTGGTAGTTGCTGCCGTTGCTGTTGTTGGTGCCATATTGGTTGTAGGAGTTGTAGGAGGTGCTGTTGCCCGGGGCCCAGCGGGAGTTGAGGAGGGACATGGATCGATTGATGGCTTGTGGTGGTTGCGTGTAATGGTGGAGGTAGTGGTGGGTGTGGATTGGGTTGGTTGCGCACGGGCCTTTTGGAGATTTGGAGATGCCCGTTGATTGATACGATAACTTAATCTGGATCTTGAGGGTGCAGATCTGAGATGTGATAGGGGTGGTGACGTGTTGAAAGTGAAGTCTGGGGTGATGGGAGTTTGAAGGTGGAAGGAGGTTGCGTGTTTGGAAGATTGATGAGATGAGGTTTTGTAGTGGGCTGTGTTTTTGGTGTGTTGGAGCCTTCTGGTCTATGGTGTTTTGCCGAGGTGAGTGGAAGAGATAAGATTGTACCTTGAGGATGGGTCTGCATTTCTCAATGTTTGTTTTCATACTTTAAATGCGAGGATAGACTTGAATGATACAGAATTTTTGAAATAGAACTGGAAATTTTGCCCATGTGAGGCAGATATTGGATTGTATAATCTGCGTGCGGGTAAATCTTGAGCTGACTAGATAGGCTATTCTTGTTCACAAGGTAGCGTACACGGGCTAATGGAAGAACCTAACGTTGAATTAATAGTATATATTTGAAGAGAATTATAGGAAAGCGATAAGCCAGTATCATGGAACCTGCCAATCTATGATGGAACCTACCATTTACAGTCTTCAAGGCAAGTCTGTGCTTTGTTTTGCGGGGAATCTAGTATCTAGTGTCTAGTACTGCACGAAGAGTTGGACAATGGACTACCTATGAAAATTTGCTCGAGAGATGCATCATGATTCCAGCAAAGGCATAGAGTGTGGACTAGCTCATTCCAATTTTAATCCAAGTGTTCGCCTGCATGACTATACTGAAGCATGGGTAACACATTGGTTACAAACGGACCGTGTAGTAACTAGACCACGATTTGCCAGTTGAATCTCGAATCGATCCTCAAGCTTCGAAATGAATTGCTTGAAATAGAGCCATCGACCCTCTAGGCCTATATTCTTTGTGGATGCCTCGCATTCACAATGTTTTCTTTCACTGTAGTATGAGGGTCTCCGTTTGAAGGCACTCTAAGCGCTGGCGCAGTTCGACCTATCGACCAGATCATGCCGGCAGCCAGCCAGCCAAACCAGCCAAGGCCAAGCACATCCACACTAAACAAAGCTGAGCCTATCGTGCCGGCCAAACTCAACGTTCCAGCCCCCGGCCATATTCGTCCATTGTCTCTGATATCTTGTTGATTGGGGCCTGAGGCATCTGGGCGTTTGTTGACTGAGACACTTCTTCTTTCAACCCAGCCCCGACTTCCTGACTTTCCCAACTCCCTCTTTCTTCCTTTCCTTTCTCTCACCATCACCAAAATCTTCAACTTTCCTGTTTCTTCCCAATTATCTTTGTTGTTTCTGTGCCTGTTTCGGGTTCGGGATCCTCATCTGGTCTAGCCAGTTCGGCGGTCAGCCCGTCATCAGGTGATCCAAGGTGGCCCGTGCCCGTTGACCAGGAACTACGCTAGCCTCTTCAGGATTAGCGCTTCTCCAGCTCTCTCCAACCTTCTGGTCACTCCAACTGATCTCACTGCCTCTCTCCTCCACCCTGCGCTGAAGCTGTCGTTGTTGGCTTCGATTCCAATCGCCATCTTATTCTGGGCTTCTTTTGTAGGTGGCCTACCTCCCTTTCTCTATCGTTTCTTCATCTACCTCTGCCATTTGCTGTGTTCGAACGGCTCTCTTGTCCCTTGTGATCGTTCCCGTTCCTCCGTTCTGCCGCTATCTCAGCTCTCCCTCCATCCACGTCCCTCAAATTTGAAAATTCCTCATACCTTTGTTGCCCAATTCACCTTCTTTAATGTCTTTAATGGCCAAAACCTGTCTGATGGTGCTACATGCGCCATCGCCAGGCCTGCGGAACCCATCGTGACCCTCTTGCTTGGTTCGGCACTCTTCCACTAGCGGACTCTCTTCATCTCTCTTTACTCCACCCCTCCGCTGTGACCATGTGGCGACGGTGCGGTTTCGAATTCGCTGGCCGCGGGCTTCATAGTCCCTCCTTTCATTCCATTCTCAATTCCTGATTACCTTGTCTATAATCTTGTCTTCCCCTCACCTCCCCGGCAATCGTCCACGTGCCGCTCTTCCGCTCTGTCTTCTAAGTTTCGTGGTCTGATATTGACGATTCCGAATATTAGCTTTGCACGCCCCTCTCCGACAACTGATTGAGACCGCTCGCGCTTTCCGTTGACGTTTGCCCTACCGCGCCGGAGTTCCGTACAGAACGCTGTCCGCGGCAGGAGCCGTGACTCAAACACAGTCGCAGTCACACTGAAATAAGACAAGATGGATTCGTATGAAGGTTATGATGCGTCTCCCGGAAAGAACCGCGATATGGATTCCTTCGGAGGTAGAGGTGCGCCAGCGGAGTACCGCCGCCGGTCGCCAGGTATGTTGCTACATCATGGGGTGCCGCCGGTGGAAGGAGAGCAGTTTCGGATATTGACCAACAATCTTAGCTTCTCAAGATCGCCGTGGCCGTGGCCGTGGCCGTTCCCGCTCTCCCATGATTGACCGCTACGAGCCCTCTGAGCGCCGCCCCCGCGAAGATTTCTACAACAACTCCCGTGAACATGCTGCTCGTGATCGCGAAGATCGCCGACGCCCTCCTTCCCCCAATGTCGTGAATATTGACCGTTACATCCCGGGTCAAGACTCCGGCAAGCGACCGCTCCCAACGAATCCCCTCCCTGACCCACTCAGCCTGGACTTCCAAGTCGGTTTTACCTGGTTCGCCGAATGGTGGAGAGCCGAACAAGCCATTAGCGAGGAGAAGGATCGCGCCAAGAATGGCGGTCGACGCCCGTCTCGTCTCAAGGGCGAGCGCGAAGCCCTTGAGGACCGGGACAAAGAACGGGCGCAAATTCAAGCTGCGTACGATTCATACAAGGTCGACTTGCAGATCAAGTTGGCAAGAGCATTTGTCCAGCAACATCGTGAAGAAGAATGGTTCAAAGAGCGGTACAATCCGGAGGTTCGCGACCCGATCCGTGACCGTCTGCTGAACTTCCGAAAGGGAGCTTATGAGCAGTGGGAGCGGGATCTCAATGGTGGTCTGTTTGATGATTTCACTCTCGAGGGTATCTACAAGAGCGAAAGCGACGGTGCTGGTGGTGTGATTGAAAAGGAGGAAGGCGAGGCCACTGCCGTCGGTGAAACTTTGGGAGTCCTAGATTTACTCCCCGTGCGCGGAGGCGAGCTCCGCGATGAGGCTCTGTCTCAACCTGCCTTGCTCATCAAGACTCTTGCGCCGAACGTTAGCCGCGACAAGATCGAGGAGTTTTGCAAGGAACATCTTGGAGAGAATGATGGCGGTTTCAAGTGGCTCAGCCTTAGCGATCCAAACCCGTCCAAGAAGTTCCACCGTATGGGCTGGATCATGCTACATCCCGGTGGCGACACGACGAGCTACGTGGATCGGGGAGATGGTCGCGATGAAGAGATGGACCATGACAATGGCCTGGGTGAAACCGTGACTGTCAACGCTGCCCAAAAGGCGTTGGATGCCGTCAATGACAAGACAATTCATGATCCAGTCCACGGCGATTTCACCTTGCATGTTGGCGTTCACGCTCCTCCAGCCCAGCTCCGCAAGAAGGCTCTATGGGATTTGTTCTCCGCCCCTGAACGCATTGACCGTGATCTTGAGCTGGCCCGACGACTGGTCGCTCGGATGGACGGCGAGATGGGAGACGTAGATGGATTCAGCAAGATTGAGGAGCGTGTCGAGGACCTTCGTGGTAAGGGCTGGCTCCAGCCCCCCGTCACTGGACCCGTCAGTGTCAAAAAGCACAAGAACGGCTTCGGTAAAGACGGCGCCGACGACGGTGAGATGGAGGAGGGCGAGGAGCGAGAGATCTCTTTGGACGACGATGTCGACGATGAAGAGATTTTGGCGAAGAAGAAGAAGTTGGACTTGATGGTCGAGTATCTGCGCCGTGTCCACAACTTCTGCTTCTTCTGCGTCTTCGAAAGCGACTCTGTTCACGAGCTTGGTCGCAAATGCCCAGGCGGTCACCTTCGTCGTCCCCGTACCGGCCTCTCCACTCAAGCCAAGGAGGTCGCTCGTGCCAGTGCCCTGGGACAACCCTTCCCTGTTAGGAAGAAGGAGCCGAGCGAGGATGGTGAAGAGCGAGCTTCGCCTGTGCAGGAGAGGCGTCCTCAGCGTGTTCCCAAGTCAGAACAACAGCTACAGCGCGCGTTTAACTGGGTCAAGACATTCGAGGAGAAGGTTTTGCAAATCCTGGAGCCCGAAAATGCCGACCTGCGCAAGCTTGGCGGCAAGCCTGTGGAGGAGGCTCTGGACGAGGAGCTTGCCAAGTATGTCAAGCAGGAGACCGACGACCGGTACCGATGCAAGGTGCCTGAGTGCACAAAGCTGTTCAAGGCGGAGAATTTCTGGCGGAAACACGTTGAGAAGCGTCACGCCGAGTGGCTTGACAAGATCCAGCGCAATGTAAGTGTGGCATCTCCAAAATTGTCAACAAAGCAGATACTAACTCCATCGCAGCTGTCTCTCGTGAATGCCTATGTTTTGGATCCTTCACGCATCGCCCCATCCCGATCCGATGCCAACAGCAATGGGCACTTCCCTCTTGCGTCCGGTCATGGCCAGGGCGGTACTCCCCGTGGGTTCAGCCTGCAGAATGTGCCCTACCTTGGAAACCCAGGGGCTCTTCCCAGCGGATTTTCCCCAGGAGGCATGCCCGGCATCGTTGGTGCAGGTGGCCCCTGGGGTGGCAATGGTATTGCTACTGGGGATGGCGCAAGCCTGCACCAGCCAGGCGTCATGCGGCGCGGCGGGCACCGTCAACACAACCACCGGTCTGGTCCTTACGACCGTCGCCGCCCTCCTCACGGCACTGGACGCCTCAGCCCTGTCCGCATGCCTGGCATGTATGGCCTTGGTGGTCGTCTTCCTCCTGCCAACTTCTCTGTGCCTGCTGGCCACCCAGCCGCCAACATGGTTCCTCCAAACCCTTTCCCTGACTCCATGGGCGGCGGCGGTGGTCCACAGGGTATTCCTCCGCGCGAAGCAGTGCAGGGCCGTAGCCTGAAGAGCTACGAGGACCTGGACGCTGTAGGCGGATCCGGCAGCGGTGAGCTGAACTATTAACTTCACTCACTCCGTCAAGCCTTCCCTTCCATTTACAGACGTCTATCTACACTTTATTCTCTGTCTTCATTTTCCTTTTTCTGACATCATCTACCCTCACTTCTTTTCCTTTTTCTCTACCTACAAACCTCGCTGGCGTTGGCGCAAATGGACGGATGGGAATTGAATCTGCCCGGTGCGTGCTCATTTGTTTCTCATTTGGTGTTACACCATACATGTTTTCGAGAATATCGCTGTGAAACATCTCTCACATCTGTCATGTCTGTGTCTGGCTCTCATTGCACTCTTTTTTTTTCTCAGTCGATTGTTCGAGTCTTCTATCTTTCTCAAATTTTTATCTGTACAATATCCTTTATCGGTCATAACTTGTGTGACAAATGAAAGATTGAACTGTATGGTGTTCCAGTGAAATTTGTAGGATATTCGTAAGTGATCTTAAAAGGTTTTCTTTCTGGAAAGAGGATCTTCGGCACTATGGAGAAGGCTTCGTTCTCACTGACCCTGGTTGACCATCTTGACTAGACTTGTGAACTGACAGTGCGCCTTCCGCCATCATACTTTGCAGTCACTAGCAATCTTAAATTCATGGTCTCATATCAGGGTATCTCTATCTATCATGTCTATCCCAAACATACCAAATTTCCATAAGACACATTATCATTATATCAAACACAGTCTCACTCCCTTTGGGAAAGCCCTCAACAAGCACAGCCAAACTCATCCCCCATAATCAAGGCATCTGAATAACAATCTCCTCCCAAGAATCCACCCACCGCAACCCCATCCCCCTCACCCGCCGCTCACTCGCTAGATACAACATGAGATAGATATGCATGGCGACTTCACCCCATGCGTAAACTTTTAGTTGCACTGGAATATGGATTTCGCCTGCTATGCTTGCTTCTGTATGGGTGTGAGTATGAGTGTCGGGTAGATGAGGTTGAGGTTGAAGTTGGGGTTGAGCTTCTACACGATCAACAATACACCACACACCCCATCCTGCACGGGCTTCTTTGGCGATGAAGTCTGATAGAAAGGTCCAGAAGTGTGTGAATTGTGTTTCGGTCCATGTTTGGGTTAGATCAGAGACAGGACTGGCACCAGCACTAGAACAGTCTTTTGTGGAGGGTTTCTCTTGTTCATGTATTGATGTTGGTGCTGATTTTGACTCCGCCGCTTTCGGGACGATATCGATACGCATAGCCCAGTATCCGCGCTCGAGCTTATCTAGTTCCCGGGCTTGATGTGTTGGTTTATACGTGCGGGCGGGTTTGAGGCGCTGCGTGAGCATGGATAGGGTTGGGGTGATGTGTGTTGTGAATGTTGATGTGGAGATGGGTGGTGGTGGGGGTTTGAGGGAGAGGGGGAGAGTAGATAGGATGGCGATGGTGTTATGTTGATGTTGATGTTGATGCTTCTCCTGTGCATGAGGGAGAGTCTCTGTTACCGAGACTACCGGGTCCGAGTCTGCGGAAACAGGATTTGGATTTTGGGGGTGGGTAGGGAAAGGGGAAATATTAGGATGTTGATGTGTAGGTGCATGTGAATGCGGATATGCTCCCTGCACCTCAGGAGCAGGTAGACTTCCACATTCGTCGCTTGAACTTGAAAGTGCTTTTTCGACGTGATGTGCTGAGTCCAAGGGCAGGGTGACAGTGACAGTACCTTCTAATGCTGCAACCATGCCGATAGTCTCGCCCTGACCCTGGCCCTGACCCATCTGGGGCCGGGGCCGGGGAGAACAAGGCTCGACCCGTCGCCGTTTAGGTGAGCGGCTTGGTTGATCATGATCATCGTCCTCGTGCAGCTGTGCCGCAGACCTCGTTGCTGACTGGCATGATTCCTGGGCGTATCCAGACACAGACACAGACACAGACACAGACAACTCTGGCTGCGAGTCTGGTATCATGCTTATTAGACTCCCCAACGAGTCGGGCGCAATCTGAGGCTGAGCGTTGATGGCTGCTATTTGACACTCAGATTCACGGAGTGCTGGGACCGGTGGATTGGGTTCGCTTTGATTTGTCCCTGGACTAGGACTGGGTGGGATCGACTGGTGATCCGCGCGCCGTGGACATGGATTTGAATTTGGATTTGGATTTGCGATTGTGGTGGCAGTGGCAGTGGCAGCGGTAGTGGCAGTGCCATTGCCATGACCAGACAGATTTGATTCAGGACAGCCCTCCTCTGCGCGAGGCGATGGCCGATTGTCCAACGAGACCTTTCTCCGCTGGTCCTGATCCAGGACCTCCAAATCCGGATCACAGCGACTATCACTGCTAGTCTGGCAAGCCCCATTTACCTGATCAGCTATTGCCTGATCAGGTATTGCCGGACTGGCATTTTCCACAACCAGGCTCGAAATCGAGACCGAGGATGGCGCGGAAATGAGCTCGGGCTCGGGCACCTGCAGCAGCAAAGAGGAGTCTGAGTCTGCGGGCTCTGCGGGCTCTGCATTCTCTGCAGTCTCCGGGGCATCCGCATCCGCAGGTGGTGGGGGATGTCGGCTCGCTGGGACTAGTGAGAATCCATCACGATGATAATGCCGATCATCTGAGATCAGCAACGGACGCGAGACAGGCACAGGCTCAAAGGCGCTGGATATGGCGGCGACTTGAGCACGGTATCGAGCATCATCGCGGGCGGAACTGGGGGCGGAGACATGAACTAGGATCTCCATGGGATTGGGGCGAGAACCCGATTTAGCCTGGAGAGTGGGATTATTGCAGGATTTAGACGAGACCTTGGACGTGGTGTCGGGTGGGAGTTATTTTCCTGGGATTCTGGATGGTCATAGGTGTGCCTGGATACGCAAATTGATCATTGGAGAGGCGTATTGGGAGGATGGTGGATGGTGGGGTGGTGAGTTGGGTCCAGCCCGGTTCAAGTATTTGTCACGAAGAAGCGAATGGCCGTGCCCCCCCCCCCCCCCATGCAGCGACTATTGGAGGAGGATTGGATGATAAGATGATTGGTGATGGGAAGGTAGAGGAGGGGGGTGCTATTGGGGTTATTGGGAGACTTGCAGATTTAACATTTTGGGATTGGAGATTGGAGATCATTTTGTTCTAGAGTCATGAAGTGGTTGGTCGTTGGTAGTACTTTGTATAGTATAGTAGGAACTATACGGAGTAATCCGTACTATATAGGGGACTACTAAGCAAGATATTATTTGATTATACGACCTATACGTTATCACCTAGCTATAAGCCTACTCCCTAGACTCGCATATCCAACCCCGGGAGTCTATTATTGTTTATTCATCGTTGTAATCCATCATTATATCTTTTCATATAGCTTATAAGGCTGGGCCAAAGAGGAGCCACGCCGTTGAGTGGAGCCAGAGCTAATTATTATTATTTGGTTCTCTAACTTGGCTTGAGAAATGCTCACTTTTGGTACGGAATTGGTCGTATTCCCTGATTATTATATTGGTGTTAGTTATAACTAGTGTATAAACTGTGGTCGTGTGAACAGTTTAAGAGAATACAAGAGAAGTCACCATCCTGATCGATCGAGGAATTTTGGTACTTTTGGTCTTTTTCCCTCTGTACCACAACAGAGTACACCATAACTAGTGATCAACCTATTTGATCCCTTCGTCCTTCATCCACTCTCCAACTGGAATCTTGACTTTTCTCTTCCTATTCCCTCCTCCTTTTCAATCCTCGACTTTAGTATTTTACTCCTCACTCGCCTCGCCAAGCCTTTTTAACCAGCAGTTCCTTCATTGCGATCCATCACATCCACTTTTTGCCCGCTTCCCGCTTCCCCCCCCCAACGGTGTCCGCTCGGACTTTCTCTCATCCCTTCGACTCCCTCTCGGCCACCGTTGAAACCTTGGAATCCTTTCTTCATTCTTGTCCTGGTCTGGCACATCGGTCACTGACAGTCCTTCACGATGGCGTCTGGCGGGGTTTACCCTTTAGACACGCAGCAGTTGTCTGGTGAGTCCCCCAAACTCTCTCTCCTCTCAGCTCCCGTTCTCCGATCGATCTCGACCACAACCCGCCCCGAGGCTCCATCTTTGCGACCGTGCTTTCGATGAGATCGGGTCCGATCTGGTGGCGGGTGTTTCCATCGATGGTCGCCTCCCCTGGCTTCCCTTCCCCAGAAACATTCCAACTCTATTTGCAATTCGCATCCCTCGCCCATCATGGCTTCGACTTCGCCTGCTAACTTCTCCGCGCCGGGGCTGCCCGTATTGACGGGGAACCTGGTGCCATTAACCACAGCTTCAGCGCAACCCGAAACTCCAACTAGAGGTACCTTTGGCACTGAGTTCTTCAAGATCTTCGCAGGTCCCAAGAAGGTGACTCGAGGTAGGTGAATCGTCAAACCTGCGACAATCGATCTCGAATCTAATCTCCGTGTTTTATCTATAGATGGTGCAGCTCCCAAACGCCGCGGCCCCAAGCCCGACAGCAAGCCCGCTCTCACTCGACGACAGGAACTGAATCGCCAAGCGCAGAGGTATGGATATGCATTGCACGACCGCGGTGACTGGCATTGATTGACTGGATTTGTCGCAGGACTCACCGCGAGCGAAAGGAACAATACATGCGAGCGTTGGAGACCGAGGTGTCACGGTTGCGGGAGGCTTACACCACTGAAATCTCCGATGCGAACGTCGCTCTCCAACAACACAAGGAGATGCTCCATACAGTGCGAAATGAGAATGAAATCTTGAAGGAAATCTTGGCTACTCACGGCATTAATTATGCACCGGAGTTGGAGCAGCGGATGGCGGAGCGTGGCCCGCTGGCTGGATTCCAGTCGAGCCCCGTCGCACCTAGCAGCACCGGATCGAATACCGCCGCCTTCACCAACGCAACGAGCAACCAGAATGTCACACCAGCGACCTCGATTTCAACGGGCTTGAGTCCGCAGGTGACCGGTGGCGTAGACCATCCCGACATTTCTCCGATGGGCTTCGTGCCTCAGCAACAAGTATACCACGCAAGTCCGAGCGAAAACATGGCCATGGACCGGTCTGCGTGTCAGGTCGTTGATACCCCCGTGCCAGCACTGCGCGGTGTCTTTGAGAGTGATCCACAGCTTCAGATTGACTTTATCTTAACGTAAGCCATGTCTCGGATTGTTCAAGTTTCTTGTGACCTCAAAGAACCTTTCTAACCGTTATGCTCTCCACTTGCAGACTCGAAGGTCCCTGCCGCGAACATACCGACTACCTCTGCCGTCGATCAATCACAGAAGCCGATGACGAGGACATGCCCTTCTCCGGCCACGCCCTGATGGCCACCTGCCCACCACCCAGCTACATCGCCAACACTACCCCCGAACAGGCATACCCACATAAGACCTACGATCTACCTCTCGCCAATCTCGGCACTCTGCTCAACCTGAGTCGCCAGCTTGTCACCGACGGTCAGATCACGCCAATCATGGCACTACAGTGCCTGAAGAACCATGAGCTGTATCCCTCTCTCAGCCGCGATGATATCAAGGTGATCATCGAGACGCTAAACACCAAGGTCCGCTGTTACGGCTTCGGTGCCGTCGTCGAAGATTTTGAGCTCATTGATTGTTTGAGTAGTGTGCTCGGCACGACAGTGGATTTGAGCGTGTCCCGAGTCCGGGGCGACTCTATGTACTCTTGATATGCCTAAGTGGTGAGCATGCAAGCGTGCGACCTGAGGGCGGGCAAAGTGTCTCCGTCCTTGAGGATAAACGATTATGAATCTGACGTCTGGAACTTGTTCTTTTGCGTTCTCTTGCCGAGTGAAATCAGGGGATAATTTGGGAAACTTTCTCTTGATTCACTGGCTTTCGGTGTTTTTGTGGCTTTAAATGGCCCATCCCTTATTCCTTCCTCTTCCGCACAATAACCTCTTTGTTTTCCCTACCTTTTTCTTTCTATTCAGATCATCATGCCACTTCTATCTGGCTGGGCTCTGACCTTGATGTTTGTGCTAAATTCCGAGGGACTTTTCTTTTCATATTGTTATGGAGATGTATATACTGAAAATGGCCCAGGCTGAGCGTGGGCCCGGGGAGTTTGAACCGTTTGTTTTTGACTGTTTCTACTTTGCTTTGACTTCTTTTTTTTCTATTCCATTGCCTGTTTTCTGGTCTAGTTGATTTGAATGAAACCAATCAGCCTTGCCTTGACAGGTTACTCTTCTACAAGAGGTTCTATTACCATACAATATCAATACCATCCATATCAAAAACCATACATTCAATCTCCACCTCTCCTATCCTCCCCAATCTCATCCCATCCCCTTCCTCTATGCTCTATCAACCCTAACAGCAAAACACCCCGGTCCCGCATAATAAACCAACAAAAACCCCACCCCGTCCTCCCCCAACATCTCCCCCGCCTTCTTCCCAAGTTCCTCTCCCTCCACAACCGCAAAGCCCACCATCATATTCTTCTCATCAAACGCCCGCACAGCTAACAGTCGTCGCCGCTGCTGCTCGGGAACACGCCCATCACACTGGAACGGGATACAATCCTGGAGATCGGCGTGGACGTAGATAGGGCCGGGGACTGTGTAGGGGGATTGTGGAGATGGGAAGGGGTTGTATTGCAACAGGAGCATTGTTTGGCCGGGAAGGCCGTCGTGGAGACAGCGTCGGCAGGGTGAGGAGTGGGTGGTTGTTACGGGTTTGAGGATGGTTGTTGGCGAGGGTGTGAGGGAGGAGGAGGGGGGGGGGGTTGGGAGGGGGGTGAATCTTAGCATTGTCGTGATAATTGTGGTAGGTGGTTGGATTTTGAGTCTGGGGGTGGATGTTAGGATTGGATATATGGTTGTGAGCGCTGAGATGTGGATTTGAGATAGAGACATACATTTAATAGGTGAAGATAATCTGTGATGAATGAGTAGGACTTTCAAGTGAGTGATTCTATAAGGGTATTCAGGATGGCTATTTATTGCTGTTGTATGCTTTTGATATGGCCAATCACCGGACGGGGAGGCATAAAGTGGCGTGTTATCTGTGATTTTGAATTATCCAGTAACATGAATAGAATAATAAGTTTAGTACGTAATTGAATTAGCCTATAGTCGGCTTACTTGGAGACTAGGGTACTATAGCTATGATAATAAGGATGTGAATGACTTCTAAGTCAGTGTATACTATGGAGCTAGGGCCAAGCCCAGGAATCGTGGATGGAAGTTTTTACTGGTGATCTACTAACTTTACCTTGATGTAGAAGACTGAAGAAAATAAAATGAAGCCTCATTTTCACTGAACATTGTATAATTTTCTATTTTCGATTGATATACCACCAATAATTCATCCAAAGTGATTAATCCATGTCGCGTCTGCCGATAAGCGCCACACGCGACACCAGTATTGTTACCTCCCTCCTTATCTTCATCTCCAAGAAAAGCCAACCAAAACCTCAAACACATGCCTCAAAATGCCTCGAAAACACCCCAAACCACCCAATCACCCCATAAAATCCGCCGACAGACTCGCCCTCGCCATAACAGGTCTCAAAACGGGCAAATACACCACCATCCACGACGCAGCCACGCAAAATGCCGTACCGGAATCCACTCTGCGCGCGCGTGTCAAATCCGCGGGTTTTCCTAGACGCGCAAACACCAGAAACACGCGTCGCAGAGTTAAGGAATTTCGCTTAACGAGGACAGAGGAAAATACCCTCTCCAATTGGATTGTTCAGGTCCATGAGGGTGGGAATCCTATCTACCCCCGACTCATCCAAGATATGGCCGATACATTACTCGAGAAACGTGGCGGGACACATGGCTTCCGTGTAACCCGCGAATGGGTATCCGGGTATATACAATTCCATCCTGAATTTGCTGCTCTTATTGAGCAACACAACGAATACCTCGAGAAGGAACTTGGGATGCGGCCTTTCAGACTGGGACCTGATCCCGACAATCCGAAGGATGTGCTTGAGTATGCCGTGGATGGTCTTCATAATACGGCTCAGTTTGCTAAACAGATGAATGAGTTTGAAAAGACAATGCAGAAGGATTTGAGAGAGCGGATGGTCACTAAGGGGCCGGATCATGTCCGTACGATTGCTGCTGCTCTTGAGGAATGGAGGCAAGAGGTTGCGAAGGTTTTGGAGAGCGGGGTTGAGCAATGTTCGGAGTTGGGTGAGTTACTTTTGAATTATGAGCTTGATACGTCTGCGTTTGTGAATGGGTATCGGGAGCTGTTGTGTATCAATCGTGATACGGAGGAGGTGCAGGAGGAAATGCGTGTGGAATTTGGTGGGAAGGTGGCCGTGGAGGAGGAGAGTTAACTGTGTTGTACATCAATCTCGTGGATGGGTCGGGTCATCCTAACTCTTACATGTAATGTAGCATCTTGGCCGTTCATAATTTGGAATTTCGGATCAAAAGAAGGTCAATTACGGAAGAAAAATGGTCCAGGTGATAAATTCGTAATGAGGTTCATGCCATTTCTTATCAAACTTTTGCAACGTATGCACATTCAAGAAAAATAGGTGGTCAAACGTAAGAATCTCTAGTCAAGCAACAGAAAACACATCATCCATAAGGGGCATATATCTACTCCTCATCCTCCTCATCGTTCTCCTCCTCCTTCTCATCAATCTCGGCATCCTCATCCTCATCGAAAGTAGAGGCGGGAACGCTGTACAGACGCAGGACATTGCGGTTGGGGTCCTTGATCAGAACGTACTTCTTGACAGCATCAACCGGCTCATCAGCATCCAGAGAGCGGATACGGTCGACAACGGTGCGGACAATACCCCAACCGTTGCTGAGGTTCAGGTTCATCTGAGTAGCGAACTCCTTGGGCTTGTAGCCAGCAACGCCAAGAACGACGTGGCCAGCGGCGGAGCGGGGGTTGGCACGAGACACGAAGCCGAGCTTCATGCCATCGGCCTTGGCCAGGATGGCCTGGGTGGTCCAGCGGGCGAGCTTGGAAGAGTTGTTCTTCATCTCGGTGGCGAGGACGGCACCACGCTGGGAGGCGAGCTTGCTGCGCCAGTCGAGGGCGTTGCCAGAGCCGGGGGCCTTGCTGTCGAACTCGTTCAGGGCCTTGACGACCAGCTGCTGGTCGGCACCGCCGGTGGGGTTCTTCATCACAGCGTCGACCTCGGTACGGACGATCAGTTGGATGGGCTCCTCGTCGCGCTCGAGACCAATGTCGAAGCGGCGGTACTTGTAGCCCTTGGAGGCAAGGGGCTCGGTCTCCTCGGCCTCGTTGTAGAAGGGGTTGGGGTGAGTGAAGGAAACCTTGGCCTGGTCGGACTCGGTCACGGTCTGGAGGGCGAAGTTGTGGTTGATGAAGGTGGCCTCCATGGCCAGAGCGCTGGGAGTGTTGATCTGCTCCTGCTTGCCCGAGGCCTCGGAAACCTCAAGAGGGGCATCGTAGGCGTTCTCGTTAACGGTAACCAGGTCAATAGAGGCACCGGCGCGCTTGTCGAGGTAAATCTTGCCGCCCTGGTGGACGATAATAATGTCCCAAGAGTACACACTACGAGTAGCACACATGAGCATAGAGAGAATGTCGGAGGTAGCGAAAACGGTGGCCTCGTTCTTCTCGGCGAGCTCATGAATGACGGGATCCTGAGAGGTAGTGACGTTGTAGGCGGCACGCTCGAGGCTCTGGAGCTTGCGCTCGGCACCCTTGACGGGGACCTTGTCGTAGGAGCGGTCGTAGTAGTGCAGGAAACCGTAAGACTCGAGGTCCTCACCCTCCGGGGTGTCCAAGTTCAGCTTGGACAGGCGGTTGAAGTCAACCTCCTCAATCATGTGCCATTCAGGGCGAATGTTGACTGAGGGCTCACGAGTGCGCTGAGGCTTGTCATAGTCCTTCCAGCCGAAGCGACGACCACCGCGGCCACGGTTACCACGCTGATCATAGAAGCGATCCTGGCCACGGCCACCGCCAGCACGCTGGAAGCCACCACGAGCACCACCGCGCTGGAGCTGACCACCACGCTGGCCACCACGGCCACGGAAAACGGTGCCACCGCCACGGCCGAAGGTACGCTTGGTGGAGGTGCGAGTGTTGTCGACGACGGAGAAAGAGGACTCGTCTTCAGCAGTCTGGATAGCGAACAAACTAGAGGAGCCGGCGCCATACACCTGCTGATCTGTAGAAGGGAAGAAATTTGTTAGTGATAGATCTTCAAATAATGTCGATCATCCGGTGGGATGGCAAGCAACACAAAGAAAAAATGTGTTGCAAAGTTGATCGCTTACCTCTGAAGTTCCGGTTGTACTGCTGGCGACCCTGACCAGCACGGTCCTTGGACTCGGCAGTCCAGTCAGCCATACGGCCCAACTTGTCGCCCTTGGAGAAAGGAGCATAGGGAACACCCTCGAGCATGTTGTCGCCCGAGGTGGCGGGACCCCAGACATCCTCAGCCGGCAGAGCGGCGACGAGGTCCACGATAGAAATCGGAGCCATTGTCAAAATTTGTATGCACCGACGACACTAAGGACAAACGGTGGGTTGTGGATAATGAGCGTGGGGTGAAGATTATCGGCGGGAAGTTTTTGTGTCGCGAGAATGTGGCTGGTGCCGCCCGCTGAGCCTGAGCGGTGAGCACCGCCACATCACGTGGTGTGGCACTAGCCCGCAACAAAGGGGAAGTATACGAAGTATACCTTGAAATGTAGTTTGCTTCTGCGAATTGTCCTTTGAAGCGAGTCTCTATTATGTTGTCTGAATCAAAAAAGAGATATATAATTCTATAACAAATCTGGTTCCAAATATCTTTGATACTTTGTCATCGATGTATTCTAGTGCACATCCACTGGATCCTTAACCAGAGAACTCAATTTTGAGTCTTGCAAGGGAATTTGAAGATTCTGAAAGACTTAAAAAAGCCCAGATGAATGTTTGCTATGATATGTCTTAACTTGAACACCGATTGCAAAATGACTCCATATTTCAAAGTTCACTGAGGTATAAGGGGGGTGATCTTGCTTTGCCACCGATTTCAACTCTTTTACAGTATGTGTACTGGGGCTACATTCTCTGCAGTTCTTTTCACGTAAAGTGATCGATATCTTATCAATATTCATGATACTGACGACAGTAATCAGCATCTGCAACAGCAGTTCCAAGAGCCTCGCTTAGAGATTGGTGCCTGAGATCTCAACTAGCGCTACGATCGAGATGAACCATTGATATTGGTTCCAAGGAAATCACCATTGTTCGGATTAACGACATGCAATCAACGCTTCTATGCTTATCTCGCCTGTTCGGATGAATGGCAGGGCTGACTTCCGGTACACTACCTTACCGCAGCATCCGCTGATTATCCATGACAAATTGGATGCATAAACGTACATAGCCGGGGAACTGCACAGATCTGCTGATTTCCCCCATTATTAAATTCGTTCTTCTCCACGATTCGACAGGTCTTTCAGGCCAACCGGGTCATTGATGTTCTTTACAGTGGGTCATTATTCTTGGCAGTTGCGAGTCGATCTCACTGGACAATGCGCCCCCGAAATAGGGCTCCACTGATAAGAACTATACCCCTTCCCGGCCACCAAGAACAGGAACACCACGGTGATCGACCGCCAGACTATTGGATCTTGACACACATGACTTGGATATGGGCTGACTCTGAGGAGATCAGCAAGATCGAGCTTGGGCCATCGATGATCGACAGCCAAGAAGACTTCGCTTAGGGCATCGTGTGCAGGCTCACCGAACTATAGCCTTGGAACCTCGGTCAATCATCTCAGTACCTAGCCCTGATGGATCAATTAGCTGGTTTTACCAAGTGGGCGATGCCTGTACCTGCATAATCTATGCCATATCTCCATCCACTGATCTCGAGTGGCGGCCTTCCGAGTGGTTCAGTAGATGCTATCTAAAGTTTACTTCGCCGATCATTTATTGTTTATTGGCGGATTCTTGGAGACATTCCATTCTAGCAATTACAGCTCATACTCGAATAGTTCGATCTCGAAGATGAGCTGATAAGAGTTGTCCTCTGTATTTGCGAGCCAAGAATCATCCTTGGACAGTGACCGGCCTTGCCTTTAGAAAAAGGTATATAAAGAGCAAGAGGATCTCACAAAGCAAATCACCAACTCAGTATCCATTCATTCTCATCCTCTACAAAGATTTTAGCTTCTACCCTGTTTATATCTTCTCGCTTTTACATATTCTACCAACATGCGTTTCTCCCTGATCACCGTTCTCTCGCTCGCCGGTGCCGGCATGGTGTCCGCTCGTCCGTCCGAGGGCTCTATGCTTGCCAAGCGCGATTCCCCTGATACCAAGGTTCAGGAAGCCAACGCTGCTCTGGCTGGTAAGAAGTTCGAGAATGAGTCTGAGGTCTCGGAATGTATCGCACCCCTGCTGTGCTGCAGTTCCCTCACTACTCCTCTGGATCACATCGTGGACCCTATCCTGAAGGAGCTCGGTGTTGATGCCGCCAAGATTGTCGGATCCATTGGTCTTCTGTGTAAGTGGTTTTCTGGTTTGCACTAAATTTTCGTAAATATGCTGATGGTTTTACTTAGGCGACCCATATGTCCCTGGTACTTGTGACTCGGCTCCCCAGTGCTGTACTGAAGCCAACCTGCTGGTGAGTTTATCGCCTAGAAATCGATAGTATGGAGTCAACTACTAACATGATGCTCCAGGGCGGCACTGTTGCTCTTGGTTGCTCTGCTCTCAAGGAGTAGATCTAATCCGTCTGGGCTGCTCGACTACTGAACTGTGTATGCGGGGGTGGAAGGCGATACTATCTTTCTGCAGATGATGTACATTCATTTCAAGAACAATTTAATTTCTAGTCATCCATTACTTCTAGTCAAAGTGATAATGATAATTTCAGGAGCACGAGAAAACTTGCGCTGATCTTGCTGGTGAACCTCGCTAGGAAGGGATAGAGATATCGTCAATTACTATAGACTATCCCAGGGAAGGCCGATTAAAACGAAGCCTATATGTAAGCCTGGACTGACGAAAGAGGCGTGCTGGGCGCTTAGCTTAGTAATTAGCCCTCGAGCACTGGATTTTTGAAGATTGGAACGATGCAAATTTCTCTGAGAAGACCTCGGTGATTCTTCTACACAGCTGTAGTGATTATCGTGTGTAGAAAGCTAGGTATGAAGCTTTCCTATGCTCCTATATCCGTGAACTTTCGAAAGATGCATCTGAATTTATGTTTTAGGGCTGTTTTTCGTACGATGAAAAAGGAACTTGCCACTGTTATTGCCCTAAATCTGCGGCGTAGAAGCGGGAAGTAGAGCAAGAGATTAAAGCTCTTGATTAAGAGATTGAACTTATCCTACGCGAGAAATGTGGGGTTCAATCCAGGGTACGGCGTAATAATCTACATTGATAGCCTACTAGTAAAATTTCTAAATGCATTCAACGCCAATAAAGTACAGCTTTGGTGTCCCTATCCGCCTGATCTTCGTTTGAGCCTGCATGGCCTTGGATGAAGCGAAGGACTACAAGACAAGAAGCACCTAAATCTAGGCAAGAAGCAATTACTGTGTGGGATTAAACCTGGCAAGATCTCCCGCAGGAGAAGATTCAAGCTTGGATCGAGCGTATCCTGACGCATGATAAGATGATAAATGAATTTCCAGTCTGCCGAATTTACACTAGCCTCAGCTGACGTCTTTCCCAGCCTAATTCATCAAACGCGAGATTTGGGTCGACCGATTTTCTCCTGGAAGGACTGTGTGCAACGATTACCAGGCCGACTCTTATATAAGAATCATCTCCGTCTGATGCTTTCAGAATAAGGCATATGCATGGCCCGGCACTGTCACCATTCGTAGCCCAGTCGTCAATCCTTATCACGGCACAGATATGATGATCAACCTCTCGATTGAACTTCTTAGATTCTGCCTCTTGGAGCTCCGCCGGCCTAGGTCTGCAGCAGAGGCATTCAAACATCAGCGATTGATCAAGAATTGGTCTAAGTGTGAATGATCCGTCGTCAGCCTCGAGTGCACTTGTTAGCCTCTTGAACCCAATACAGGCCGCATCAAGGACAATGTGAGATCCAGGTAAAACATTTCCGTAGGGGTCCGAAGGGTCAGCATGGAGAATATGGTGCGAAACAATTTCAGGTTGATACTTTCGAACCCATGCTGAATCTGAAGCAAGGCTCTCACGAACATCATCTATCCCCACTGGGCCATCTACACTGGCCCAACTCCACGTAGGAGCGACATATTCAGAGGTGGATGTCAACGGTGAGAACATTCGGCCCCAAGCAAGCCCAGATGCGACATGTTTGCTCCAAATTCCGGCTAGGTAGTCTCCCATGCTGCAGTCGCTGATGGCCAGTGCGGCCTTGCCGACAACGAGAAGCTTGTCGGAAAGATTCTCAAAGCTTCCCCAAGAGAGTGCATTCACACTATCAGTCCAAGCTTCAAGCCGTGCAATAGAGTCGTCTTTGCCAGCATAGGGAGTTTCACTCATATCAGTCAAGGCCGACAGAAGTGCACTCTCCACGAATTGCTGGAAAAGCTTCTTATCATAGCCGTTCATCCTTGGACCGGAGTGTTGTTTCTCAATTATTTTTGCTGCCTCAAATTGACAGCCAGATGCACACTCCCAGACTAATTGTCGATCTGTGAAATGAACGATACGCGGTGCAAGTATTCTCTCAATCACGTTCCAGCCCTGCCTGGAAAGCGGCGATTCCTCGATGTTTGTCATCCAGCGTAGCACACGGGGCCTGAGATATCTGTCTTTGGCAATTCCCAATGCTGGAGATTGAACGATATTTCTGTCATGGAATAGTCCAACATTAGGCTCAGATTTTACAGAAGCTGTAAGCATCAGACTTGCTCTGCCGTATATACCAAGGAAGAAGGCCGGCATCGCAGAAAATTCACATGTCGTCAGACAAAGCTGTCTTATCCAAAGATACCGATAGCCCAGTCTGCGAGTGATGTCAATGGCGTCGGCTATGACCGTTGGATAGAGTGAAATATCCAATTTGGCTGGCAAGCTGGCTTTGGATAGCTTTTCGGTGCTGGAGCTCGCCGAGTCCGTGGAGTGATGATGACTCAAAATCATGTACGCGCCCTTTTGTCCGCCAGAAGCAATAATACGTGGAGCGACCATGGGATCAGCAGCGACCTCTATGATCCTCTCCGGCAATGGGACCGACTCAAACTGGTGACAATTTTCATGTTCTGCGCATTGCGACATCCATGAAGATATCTTGGCCACGCATGTGTCATCTCGCGAGTTTCTTGCAATATCATGGAGTGAGTCAAATTTATCGGTCAGTGGTCCTGGAAACGTCAATGATCAAAACTCATAGGTTGAGGTGGAACTGTCTCTTCATACCTTCGTAGTCACTCGCAACGCACATGTCAAGACACAAATCGTCCGAAGACATGGTCATACCGATGACCCCCGGCTCTCTAGCATCTAGACGCATGTTGCAAAATACTATGTTCTGCCCGCTCAATTTGTCTAGCTTGTCCTTGTACCGATCGGATGTTTGTAAAACCGAGCAGAAGAACCTGCAAGACTCGCAACCATTGTCGGCTTTAGTGACAAGATCTTCATATTTACCCAGGACGACACCAAACGGGCCATTTTTGTCTAGATCCCACGCGTAACAGTCTTCGCACAAAGGCATGATCACTAGTAGAGAAGATTGGTAGATCTTGTGAAGAATATGTCCTTGGAGGAAGCGCAATGAGGGGCATGAAATTGATTCTAGGTTTTTGGCAGCCGATAGGACGGTTTATAGAATACATAGGAGAAAGGAAACGTGGCTGCTTTCACCAGGGATGACTAGGATAAGCCACGAAATAAAAATGACCAACCAACTCCCTGAATTTAGCAATAGAATGAAGTCTCTGACATATGACTCAACTTGATGGGACAACTAACTAACTGACTGACTAGTTAACGAACTAACTATGATCAGAATAGAGGCGGTTAGACCCTCCCAGCAATCCGTACTGTAACCACCGGCAATAATGTCTCACACTGGCACAGGATCTAATTCTCCGTGTGGGTTTTGTTAAACTAAAACACGTGGTATTGCCCTTTGAGAAAAGCGCCGAATGACTATGAGCGTTATAGCGAGAGGCAGCGAAATGAAACGTCTGGGATTGTCATGGACTGATGACAACTTTGGTTGTGGACCATTCTGCTTTTTCGCGAAGTGCCGACCCAGAGTACTAACTTTAGTACCTAGCTACAGTACGGAGTACATATTAAGGAGTCGGGGCTACAACGAGGCTAGCGCGCAGGCTAGTGGGCGCCACATGCAAACCCTTTGTTCTCAATGGTTCGCTTCCACGCGAGACCCCTAGAGCGAGGGTCTAAACATCCTCTAGCTGAGCTTTGGCTTAAATGCCAATCCGACCTTGGCTTTGAATAGCGTCCCTTGGCAGCCCCCATTAAAAAGTACAAAATCCCCATTTCCGAGCCCCCAGCCGCTATTTTTCCCCAGAAATCGTGCTTTGCCTTGCTTCTCTTTTAAAATCCCATGATCATGTCAATTCGAAGCTTTCTGATCCTCGCCGGTGTCGTGACCGTTGCTGCCGACCAGCACTTAGCTGACTCCCCGTTCTTAAATCAATTTTTTGTCGACTCTGGATATGTGACAATCTCTACAGCTGGCAGTGTAAGTGGGGACTTTGAAGCTCCAGGATAAGGGTGATATGTATTAATTGAACTGCCTAGGATGCCACCCACACTACTTATATTGCCAAATGTGACAACAGCGGTGCCAATGTTTGTACGTTGCCTACTGCTGGTGCCACTATTGTCACCGGCCCATCTTATGTTGGGGCCTCATACACCGATCTATCGGAGACCCTGTGAGTAGAAACTGCTTTGGGAGATGAACGTGTAGAACTGTAATGTGTCACTAACATTGTCTAAGCTTCTCATCCGTTGGGTGTGGATATATCAACGCTGGGTCCTCGGCCCTTTGCACTGTGTATCAGTCAGGCCAAAGTGGAACTTCTGTGGTCACATTATCGCAGACGGAAACACTGCCCGCATGGGCCGTAGCATTGGGGTTCAATGCGCCGACTGGCACCAGCACCAGTTCAAAGCAAACTACCGAAGCCGTTGCCGGAAGCGCCGCTACCGTAACCACTGGTGCAGCCACTACTGTTGAATCAGGTGCATCTTCTACCAAGAGTTCGACTACTAGCGGGAGCAGTAGTAAAACTGGTTCTGCTGCAAGTGAAACCAAGGCTGGTGGCGCAGCCAAGCTGGCTGAGCTTGGAAATGTGTTTGTCGCTGTTGGAGCAGCTATCATGGGTGGGCTAGCTCTGGTCATATAGAAGGAAAGATCATAAAGAATGGTTAAAGTATATGAGTAATGTATACTTTGCTAGTTATTTCCGAAATTTTCGGTTTGCCCTTGGTTATGAGGAGCCGTCTCATGCGATGGAAAGGAAGATCGGTAATCATCTCGCTCTTTGGAGACATTGGTAGACAGATTACACCAAATTAAGTAAACGAGGACTTGATTGGGCTGAGACCTCTCGTACTTTTTGTATCTGTCAGCCAACGAACGCGAAAAGCCGAGACTGCTTGGAAACTGACTGGTTTAGCATAGCACGGCGGCCTAATGTGTTCAGTCGAATGGGTTACTACACTTTTTAAGTTGTTATGTACAACAGACCCTGGTGGCAGCTTTGATATCTTCACGGCCTCCTTCAAGCTGAGACTCAGAAAATGGAAAGATTATGAGCAAATTGAAGAAGAGAGCTGATCCGATTCAGTTAAGACTAAGCAAGAGATCAAGTGGCAGATAGATCCTCAATTCAGAGCTTGCATCCGCTCGTAGTCATCTGTCGCATTTATCTCGGCTTTCCCAGGAGATATCTGATAGTATCTTTTTTGTTTGTTCCAGGCCGCTAACTGGAGTGGAGTCATCCGATCATAATTTTCAGGGCAAGGCGCCATTTCGGCACTTGTATCAAGTAGTCTCTGAATGATGGTCGTATATCCCCCACATGCAGCCCAACATAATGCCGTGGAGTCGATTTTGCCAATTTTGAGCGTGTCAAAAAAGAAGAAACTCATCCACTTTCTCCCTCATGTCCAGTGATAGCTACCCATGTGGACGGACTCCAGTCAGGGCCGGTGAAATCATGCTGCCGACCGACAGTCTTGTCAACTAACTCGAAGACAGATGGAATCCCCCCCCCCCCCCCCACCCGAGTGCAATTTATAGAAGAATGGCTTTAAGCCATAAGCCTTCCTTTCCATTTTCTTTCATGACTCTGATGATATCATCCAGCTTTCTTGGGAAGGTAATTTCAGAGACCGCGTAATCCACATGCAGAACCAGAAGTAGAACTTTCCGCCGGTTTCGAACAAGTAGGGCCTGCGTCATAAAACATGAGCGGACGGCCTTTTCCTACGCTCAATTTTGTATATAGCCGTTGTCCTTCGCTATCATCTGCCTCCCAGTCATCCTCGGACGTCAGGTCCCAGGGATTTGAGCCCCCATCCAGGTGGCGGGTCAGTCTAAGATCTACATCAGCAGCGCTTATTACAAAGCTTTATCAGCGATAGACTCACCACGGTGGCCATCACTTGATTTGATAATAGAGTAGAGTCACGGGGGTGTGGAGTAAGTTGTAGTGAGGCCGAAGGAAATTGTGGTTTCGGAATCGGTAGGGCTGAGGGTAGAATAGCGTCATAGACAGCTATGTTTCCCACCTTCCCAATTCTAACCCCCGCTTGTTTACCATCCCCACTGGAACTACTACAGTAGAACAAGACAGTCTATGTTAATTAGAGAAGCTCTTCCTCGAGAATATAATGTGGTAAGTCCTGCCATAGCTACCAATAGAAACACGAGGCCGCTTCGTAGACCAGAGGGGTTGGAGGCATCCATAAATTTGCATGGCGTTAAGGCCTTTTACGATCGTGCAGATGTTTGGAAAATAAATTGTGGTAATTCCCGAGGTGTACTCAAGGATTGTGGGCTGTCTACCTATACGAGCTGAAACCTGCTCATGAAGAGCCTAGGCAGCAGTTTTTGATAGTGACGATAGATGAGGAAGAGCTCAGCCCCGCTCGACCCGAGTACTCGGGTCTTGCTTCTTTTGACCATCAGCCCCAAATTCCTTCGAGGAAAGGTCCATGTCTCTTGCGCGCCGCACATAGTTCTTTAATTTTTTTTTTCTAAGATCCCCCGCGTCAGATCTGGTTCATATCTCTTTTGCTCCCATTGATTCACGCTTTGCGACCGGAACTAACTTGCTCTCATTCCACTTGAGCTCGGAGGTCATTATCATGGAGCAAGTCCAGCTTCAAGATTCCAAGCCCGAGACCGGAACTACTACTATTGGCGACGGTAACACGATAACTCACTGCAACCTGCGTAACTGTGCCGTCACCAGCTCTTCAGTGAGGCACAGCGATTTCTCCGACTGTGTTCTCTCGCACGTGCGCTCAGCAAAGCGATCAACAGGAACCAAGACGCATTTCCACCAGGTATCCTACGCTAGTCGCAGCACCTTCTCCAACAGCGTGGTTCGTGACCGATCTGCTGTGCATCGGAGCGATGTGAAAACGTCTACTGTGAAAGATGCGAGCAATTTGAGGCGCAGCACAATTATTGGGTCAAATGTCTGTCACACTTCCGTATCGAGAACAACTTTGGACGACTGCGATACCGAGGAGTGCTTCCTTGAACGTTGCACTTTCAAGGGGATGATCCTGAAGAATGGATACTGGAAAAGAAATAAACTTATCAAGAAGGTAGGGGGCAAGGAGCCAATTTGTATCAAGAAGGACGGATCCGGGCCTGTGGTGAGAAATGTTCTAAAATCTGATTTATGATATATGCATGGCTACTGATAAGTTCCAGAATTATGCGGCCGCCACATGTTCAACTACCGTCCCCATGATCCCTGAATTGAGCTCAAAGACCGAGATGCCTCCTTCAGGACATGATCTCCATCACCTGGACTCCGATGTCACCCTTGAAAGTGAAGAGTCCGATGTTTCTCAAGACCTGCCTCCGCCATACAAAGTCTGATTTGGCATGCGACCGAGAGATTCAAGAACAAATCAAGCAGTGGTGGTTGGAATCTTCCATTCCCTGTATGAGTTACGACTTTGCTATGATATCATGTTTATGTTACCAATTATTCAACAGCTTCATTCACATCACTAGAAATTCCAAGGTAGCGCGTATGTATTTATGTTCTGTATTCAAGATCGAAAGCAGGCTTGGTATCAAAACGAGAAATTACGAGATCGGCTTTGCTTAAATGACCCACCCATTCCAAACTAAGTAGTGACCCATGATTCCTAATTACCAGTGGTACCTGCGACGACGTACTGTTTCTCGGTCTTCAGTTGACTGAGAGTACTGTCGCTAAGGTTCAAGGTATCCTTAACGATCTGCTTGGGAGTAGATGCAATCCACTGGCCAAGAGCCATATCTAGATTTAAAGTCAGTGAGAATTCTTTGAAGTGAACTGGAAGCTATGACCAGAAACGACCTACCTGTAAATTGAGGCGCTTGTAGTACTTCAAGGAACATCAACTCTTCGTCACCAGTATTCTCAATATAGTGACTGTTCGACTTGGGGAAGTACCCAACATCACCAGCACGATAGTCAAATGTTGTCGCAGCATTTGGAGCAGTAAACAGCGTTGCGCGACCCTGACCCTTGATGAAAAAGGTCCACTCATCGCTGGTCGGATGCCAGTGAATCTCGCGCATGCCACCTGGATTAACCGTGACAACAGCAGCAGAGAAGTTGCTAGCGGCGGGGAAAGTGAGCGGATCCACGATCTTGACGGACCCACCAGCAACTTCATGAGCAGGTTGTTCCGAGAAATGGTAGGAATAGCTTTCTGAGCGAGGGACAAGACCAGCTGATGTAGTGACATTTTGCTCTTCGATATCTTTGGGGGCGGGAGTTCCCTTGAAAATGTAGAGTTCATCGTCCGGGATATCGTCAAATGCTGAGACGGAGACTCCGAGGTTCTTTGCCAAAACCTCTTTCTGTTTGGATAATGAGCTGGAGTTCATCTCTGATTTGCTGGACATTTCACTGACCGGACTATGAAGAAAGACCTCTGTGGCAAGGAAAGTATTGTCCTCGCTGAAATCACCTTGGTCAAAGACCAGAAGAAATTCGACACCATCGTCTAGTGCTTGGATAGAATGAGGAATACCACTATTACGCGACGTTAGATATGAGATAGATTAATAAAAGATACTGAAGACTTACGGAGGGAAGAACCAGACATCACCCGCTTGTAGATCGTCAATGAAAGTCTCTCCATTCTCGTTGATAGCCTAGTTATCTGTTAGTTCTATTTTTGCCCAACCTCATCCTCGAAAGTTTCATACCTGAATTCGGCACGAGCCGTTGAGAATCAATGACCACTCAGAGGCAACATGCCAGTGCAGCTCACGATAAGCTGCAGGCTCAAGTCGCATATCAACACCTGCCATTTCAGTGGCATCGGGCATTACGACAGTGTTTTCTTGGCGAGCCCATCCAGCATTATCAATTCCCAGCCTAGGTGAATAGTTAGGAGGCCGCACATATTAATTGATTGATATTATTACCTGTTATGACTTAGTCCTGTATCTCTGATTAGCAAAGGCTTCTCACGTCATCAAATCTATGAGCTTACCCATAGGCCACTGTGCGTTAATCGTCGCCCCGTGATCAGTACCTGGTGGTGCTAGCTTATCTCTATTGATGCGATCATAGTAATAGTTTCCTACAAGGTATCTGTCAGAAAATACATCTTGCGTGGTGACCCTTTAATAAACTTACGGGGACCAGGATCGTCCGAGCCAGTGGTTCCTCGGATAGGCTGAGGGTTCTCAACGTTCTCAAAATCCAGATAAGAGCCAATCTTCGGGTCCTCTTTCTGCCCCGGAAGAAGAGTGTACTTGATGTCAGGCTTTGATCCACTTGCTACTTGCTCAGTGGCAGAGTATCCAACAAGTGCTTCGGAGCCTCGCAAGCCAGGGTTGCTGCCAGAGCTGGTATCCCTACGGGCAGGGGCAGCATTAACAAGAGAAAGAAGGGCAGGGAGTAAGTATACAGCCCTGGAAAGAACCCGAGGCTTCATTGTGATTGGCTTGTCTATTAATTCAGGGTAGCAGCAGATGATATGACTTAGTCTTGTTGTTGAAGAGCTGCACGGAAATCCCAGCGATCGAGCAACCACCACCTTTTTATAGATATCTCTGCAGTGAACCTTTGCCACCAAGAGTCTACAACCCGTCTACTGTTAAAAAACACGTACTAAATCCTTCCCCTCACCATACATGGGACTAAGATGCTGCTACAGTGGGGATGGGCCTAACTTCCCCTCACCGTGGGCCCATGATGAGTAGGGCTGGAAGATTTCAATTCTTTTCCGCTCCTATTACTCGCCAGAAGCATCACAGGGAGGCCTCGAGCGAGAGGGGTGAGATGATTCTTGCGGAGAGCGCGATGAATCGGGCATAGAAGGATTCTACTGTGCATGATTTCCCCACTGGCGGACTTCTGCGATCGAAGAATAGCACACCAACTGCTGTGCAACGGTCGAGTCGATGAATAGTTACATAAAAAATGCAGGCACCGGTCGAAATTCAGGAACCCTGCTGCCTGGATAGCTTTACCAAACCAGGATGCAATTCGTGGATACCCACTCCCTTGGAAGCAAGGAATCGGGGTCCCTATCGGCTATCTGGGTTCCAAAACGGCCCGCGTTTGTCAAAGCCGAGACTTAAGGCAACCCGCACAATCGCATTCAATACTGAACTTGATTTCGGGCTAGATTTTATTTTGACAAATAAAGTGGGAAGTAAAAAGGGATGTGAGGGGTGTCTCAATATCAAGATTACCGATGCTCCACCTGGGACCATGGAAAGTGTCTACATGGATATTGCTATGCACCTGGACAGGCCATCGCCTCCAAGCGAGGTAACAGTAGTGGCGGAATGCCGGAGTGGTCGCACGGGATACTTAGGCATGACCTCCTGTGATCGACAAATATATTCTCCAAGGGCGAAGACCTGTCCGAAGCGATGTCGGTAGACATAGAAGAATAGCGCCCGAAAACAAAAGATCAAGGTCCGAGCCAAGCTCAAAGCCAAGAAGCCCCACTTGCAGCCAGGCAAGAAACAAGCAATTCAAGAAGCACTTAAGCAAACCTCGGGTATCACGGGTGTGATGGTGGAACTTCAGCGATGTACTAATCACTCTAGCATGACGAATCGAGATTGTCTCCACCCGGACTATTCGCCTTATGCACCCTTCTCCGCGCGAGGGGTGAACTCGGACTTAAGCCAGTCGGCCCTACAGCAGAGCTTCCTACACAACGACCGCTCGAGACTAAACCAAATGAAATACTTTACCCGTCTGAAGGATGTTTTGAGAATCTCCGTTGGAGAAACAGGTTGAGGGGATTAAGTTCAATGAATGAGAAGGCACAATTCCACCACTTACTGTTACACCAGCTGCAGCTCACTGCCTGGTCGGGATGAAGCTAGCATGGTTGTCTAAATTGACAATGCAGCTAGTTGTCGAGGCGAGAGCGGAGCAACTAAAATAGAACGTGGTATGCACGTTAAATATAGAAACCTAAAGGCCAGCCGAAAATCCCGCGACCCCGCGCAGTATCAGATCAATCATAATGCAGGAAGCAGTTATCGACCGGTTGAAATGAGGCAGGGAAAAGAAGCAAATTTGAACTCTATGCGATAGAATGTTATCTTGCATAAATTGCGACAGATATTCTTCACGAGACTGGCGGTTCTATTCCAGGACCATGAGGCCTCATAATTGGGAACCTTGCGAGTTGTTAGCGTCAATTAGGACCCACCGCCCGAATTAGGCAAGCACTTCGACTGTCAAGGTACGAAGGTACGAAACATGGCACTTCAAGCCTGTTTGAAGAAATATAGCCTCAATTGGGTCATCGTCTAGCCGAAGTGCGTAAAGCATCGTTTCGTAACAGCAAACAACGGACACATTCCGCGGGCGACGGATTTCGGCAGGGTGTGTACTATGCAGAGAGTGATTGCGTGCCTGAAAATGACTTTATTGGAACACACGAAAGCGAGATCGAGAGCGAGAAGGCTTCTGTGATATGGCAAATGTTTCTCTGTGGAGCGATGGCTTCAGCACATCCCGGTGGTTGATGTAGGCGAAGCTCTACCCCGTATCTTATCTAGACTTTGATCTATGAATACGAGAGCGAGTTTGACTATAGTCTGATTTTAATAATGGCCAATGTCTGAGCCAGTTTCATAGAGTACTGCAATCTCCAGAGCTTGAATTCGTAAGAGACACAAAATCAAGTATAAGTAACACTTCAACTTCAATTTGAATTTTAATGGCTGCACAGGTCTGTGTCAGCCAGAAGGTATCTTTAGCAGCAACTAGAATTTTATGACCTTTACTGTTCTAAAGAGACCGCATGATTGAAAGAATAGATCATTTGCGTCGATTTTGATCGGTCGCTAGCTTAAATATCTTTGTCTGGTGTCTAGGTAGTAGGTATACCGGTGAACAGTATTATTGAATTCCATATTAGAAATAGGTTCACGTTTTCAATCCCTAATCACATTGTACGCTAAACCTTATATGGCGCTTCCGTAATGGATAATTGTTCTAGGCTTGTATGGTACAAACAAGGATCAAAGTATACTTATACTGTACAATAAAATAATGCGCTGCGTATGGTACAGTAATGACGTGCACAATGAAAGGAAAGCCCAATGAAAGGAAAGCCCCTGGAATGCATAGAAAGTCCTCTAGGAGGGCATACAAGTCAAACCAGAGCGGCTAGGGGTGGGCCCCGAAGCCCAACAAGGCTGACTTCAAATCCACTTCCAAGGCACGTCCCGTCCCGCCCCGACCATCTATTTACCTCCACAGCGACAACTAAAATATGGCCGCTATTCCACAGCTACCTGACTATTATGGAATTCTCCAGGTTTCTTGGGATGCAGATACAGAAGCCATCAAGTCAAGTTGGAAGCGTTTAGCCCTGGCTAGACACCCTGATAAAAATCCGGCAAAGAACGCGGTCGCCGACTTCCAGCTCGTGAGTCACATCTTCCTCGACCTTGTACTAGCTAATTTTTGATTAGCTTCATGAAGCATATTCCATCCTTATTGATCCAAGTACTCGCCAAGCCTACGATGCCAAATATCGAGCCTTTACGTCGACAGATGCCCCATATTCGAGCAGCCAGTCGAGCAGGAAAACACCAGATAAAAATGGGGAACACAAATCAATGCAGGAATTACAATCAATGCTAGAACGGTGCGACAATGATCGTCGGGGCCACGAGCTCCGCCTCAATGAGGCACACGCGAACTTGATGAGACTCCACACTGAACTAGCCAGACTGAAAAATGAGGTTCGTTCGTTGGAGCAAGAGAAAGCATCTGGGCAGACTATTTGGAGCTACTTGTCGTCCTTTCTACCTGGAGGGGAGTCCAGAATCACTCAGCAGAGACAAGAGCGGGATCGCTTGTATCGTGAGAAACTTGCAATTCAGCGAATAAAGGAGACTGAGAGAAATCGGCGACTTGCAGATATTCAAGCTTACGATACACTTATTGAATCATACCGTCGACAAGCAATTTCGATAGAGAGGGAAATGTGGCTGAAAAAAGCGAAAGATATGAAGGCTTACCAAGAGCTGGCAAGGAGAATGGCAGATCATATGAAGAGAGAAAACCGGACGCAGGCTCAATACCGGACACAGGACTTCTTTAAACCAATGACTTGCAATCATAGAGGTTGGTGGGTCCGCGTCGAGGGTCGTTTCAGATGTGAATGTTGCATAAAGGAAACTCGGCGCTTCGCTTTCCAGTGCCCTGGGTGCGAGAAGATAGCGTGCGCATCCTGCAGGGAAGTTCTTAAACGCAAAGCTCTTTAGTCTTTATACGGTTTAAATACGAAACAACATTCTATCCTGGGAGTGCTCGGAGAAAATGGAGAGAACGCTGAACAAGATATTCTTCTTGTTGCGGAGTGTAGCGGAGCTTTCATCTGACTGGTTTGTATACAGGGTGCGATAACCTGGGAGGCTGGGGTTTTTTTGAATCTGTAATAATACATAACTACCTAGTCTTATAGCTTACTCATTATTTTTCACGTTTTGCGTTATTTCTAACACAATATGAAACATATAGTGACTACGCTGTATCATTAAATGTGGAAATATATATATTAGGTTAGTGTATAGTGTTATAGGATTTGAAAGAGCATCTCTATGTTTCCCGATATACTACTACTACTATAGAAGGTAATATCGGTTGCTACTGTGTTAGGTAACCCCTATAATGGTGATACAATGCCTTAGGCTACTGGGTGGTTCTTCTAACGAATCAGGGCTGGAAAGTCATCAAAGGAAACTGCGAAAGCCCGCAGAGGACCCTATTATTCAGCAATCCGTTAGCGGTGGGTTCCCAAATTGATTGGCTAGAAGGGCAAATCGATGCTACAATCACAAACGCGACCACATTAACACTCATCCCAAAAGAAACTCATAAGCAGTCGCCCATTTGCGGGGTAAGTTATCGAAATATTTGAATACCTTCAAAGTACTAATAATACTTTTCCATCTTGTCCTCGACTCCTCTTATCATCACAGCCCTCCCCAGCATGTCAAAGACGGCCCACCACGATCGCCCAGTGCGGGGTTGCCAAGACCCCAGCCCAGCGCATCCGGACGCTATTAGACCCATTCGATGGACCCAGACAAGTAACTCTACAAGTGGGGAACTCGTCGAATCATGAGATCATCTCGTGACTCTGTGACGACGCTCTGAGTAAATCTTCCCTTGTGATAGGTCGTCTGAGAGGCTGCCTAGTCCAGCGGGGGGCGGATTCTGCACCGGTTTCTTTGGGGAATAGGGGGGTTAATTTGTGTAGGCTCGACACTCTGGACTAACTAGATGGGTATTGGAGTTGGCAGTGGCGTTGCTACATGTGAGGCTATCTGGGACGAGGGCTGGGTTATTTCGTGCAGATTCGAGCGCACAGTGAGGAAAATCGCCTTCGAGGGGCTTGTACATGTTATGTGTGGAGGGAGGGTTTGAGGGAGTTGGTGCTCGCGTGTTGTGGTTTATTCTTTCTCGTAGTGGTTGATGATTACGACCCCTCTCGTGCATAGATTATGCGATGAGATTGCCTGGATTGTCGCTCGACATAACCCCTAGGAGGGTCTTTCGCTCAGTCTTTCGATCGCTTATCTGGCCCACGTAGCACTATTGGGTCATGATGGCTCCCTAACTGTTCAAGGGGCTTTATCGCGAGACGAGTGGCTGCACAACTACGCGTTTCTTATCGCTTTTTCTACTTTCTGTCGTTCTACTTGGACCACTCTTCAAAATCACTGCCGTATTCTACGAGGAAACATGTAATCTTAATTGATAATAGTAACATTCGTAATTGAGGTAAAAGTAGCCCCAAAACTCCGAGTCAGTCATGCCAATCTATGGCGACATATGAAAGGATCGAACATCTTGATAGATAAAAGAAAGGCCCTGCCTAAGCATTCCTCCTCCGCGTCATTCCATAACCAGTACGGGGGTCGAGATGAAGGTTGCGTGTCGAAAAATCAATGATAAAAGGTGGGGGATATGTGATGGTGGGTAATAATGTAGGTGATACTGATGACAGTGTCGATGACGACCGAGTCTCAAGAGAAAGGAAATCTCGAGCAGATATCTACCTGACATGTTTGAGGTATCTCATGGTCAGGTAGACAGCAGCCAGACTAGTGTAGACACCACCGCCAGCGGTGAGCCAGACAGGACGGTGGACGTTCAACGAGGTGCGGAGCAACTGGCCCTCCTTCTTAGGCTTGGCCTCTGTAAGAAGTTAGATAGATGATACTTTTGATGGAAAGATGATGATGAAAGGGATGGATTTGATGAAAGACGTACCCTGCTGGAAGAGCCTCTGGCGAAGGTTGTTCAAGCCCTGACGGGAACGGGCAGGGAGCTGCTGGAGCTGTGCGATGATAGGGCCAACTGGTGCTGACATGTTGATGATATTGAGATGGATTTGATGGAAATTCTGGATTTCAGGATGTGTTTGATGATACAAGAAGTGTAGAGAGGAGAGTTGTCGATGGGAAAGAGAAGCGCCCCCTTTGACCCCCAGCCCTTATATACCAGAAATCAGATGACATCTGAATGCGGGGTTTACCAATAGCGGGGGGTGACATTTGAGACATCCGGGGCATCCCTGCGCGGTGGCAATGCCAGCAGAGTTTCAGCTTGGATCATGGTGGCTTGCACGCCCAGAATGCTAACATCATGACTTACAATGGTCGGTCGACTGGCTAGAAGTGACGATGTATTCTTACGAGTATCTTCTACAGCTTTCCAAATTCCTAGAGCGTTATAGAAGCTAGAAATGCAAGAGTTGATTCATCGCAGTAGGTATGGGCTGATGGGCGGGCGAGAGACGATCAGGGATGAGGAGGGCGACCAGGATGACCCCCTCAGCATGCCTGGTGCAACTCTGCCTGGGATGATTGGCTCTCACGACCGAGCAGTTGTCTCGACTACGCAACACTGCCCAGATATCGAGTCCATTAGAGTCTATGATGACACAACGATGAGCACCAGGCGCGTAGCGAAAGGGAAATTCTCTCCATGGCTATAGGTGGTTCCCCTGACACCATCCCGTTGGCATGGACAAGCATAAATTTTGGGTTCGCCAGGGGTTGGACCTAGACTGGTATATGTTGAGCCCCAAGGGCACCTCCATACTACATGCATGAGAATATGAAGATATCGTAGTCGCTATGCTGGTTTTCCTAAAGGATTCGAGGTGGGTGCGTTGGGCAGGAGAGTGGAGTCGCCCGTTCGGGGCCCACTGTGGAAATCCGGGGATGCGATCGTGTGTGGGGTTAGTGTACCCACTGGCTAAGTGTCTAATGACCCTAGTTGAAGCTCAGTAGAGACTTATCTACGATAACTTAAGAGGATTAGAAATGAACGCAGATACCGTGAATTTCAAATAACATTTAATCAGTTGGCCAATCTCTACACAGTGAACCAGCCGCCTTGTCTCACGCCCAACCTCGGCCTGAGGGTCGGAATGGCAGCAAGAAGAAGGCGGTCAGTATCCCGTGGAGATTAACTCCAGCTGCTCATAATTCTGGCACACAATGTTGTGGCTTAGCATCTTGCAAATTACCACTCGCGAGTCCAGCAGTCCTCCATACACCCCCGAAACATGATTCGGGGCCTGAAGTGGTCCAGGCAAGGACCTCCCTCACCCACGGGTGAGTCTCGTTGGGGCAAAACGTCCACACGTTGATTTCCCCGTCAACGCTCCCGTGAGTGAGGGTGTCCTGGTCCACCACGTTCAGCACACCCTCCAGCCCGCTCCATTTGGGTACCCAGATAGTCTCCAGATCCTTGATGCCGGTGAAATCCCGGGCTCTTGCTTCTTTCCATTTGGCCCAGACATGTCTAGTCTTGCCGTCACTGATCCACTTTTGCACCCTGCTCCGACACAGCTGGAACTTCTCCGGGGTGCGGGTCCACCTTTTGAAGAACGCGATAGTAGGCCCGCTCTGTGGGACACCGTGGGCCACGCAGAGCCGTCGAAATTTGAAAATGCTTTCCTCATCAAACGGGTCCACCAGTTATATGTGAATGTCAGCCAGACGGCCAACTCTTCCGCTCTTTTTGCGTCTATAGGGATGGTCATCAGGACGATTAAGGGATCGTACCATCCACTTGCAGGCGCTTCGGTCATTTCTTGACCAGTTCCACGGTCCGTGTAGCTGGGATTGCAGATGCATGTGCGGACGGTTGCTCTTTCGTAGATCTCAAGCAGTTTAGCAGAAAGATGATAGTCTGCATAAACGTGCACAGAAGGCTGCACGTGCGCCTGGTACATCAGGACGGTGTCTCTCTTGTGTTGTAGCCACGAGCCCCATTTCGGTCTCGGCTTGTCCTTAGACTTTACCGGCGTGCGTACGTCTCGTAGCGATCTGACGAGCCTCCCAGTTCACATAGGCAATCACCGGAGGCAAATCGTTTTGTCTGGACGTCCACTGGCCGTCGCAGTGCATCGGCTGTGCCAGCCAGTCAGGGTGATTCGCCTCGATGACTAGTTGGGGGATTGTCATTTCAGATCTCAATTCGTAATTCAGCTGGAAGTCGACTAAAGAGGTGGAATTTTTGGGTTGGTGGTCTGTTGGGGTGCTGACGATTCATGATGAATGCTTGATCTAGTGATGAGAAGAACGTGAAGTAAGAATGAGGACGTAAGACTATAAGCGACAATGGAGAGGTGAAGTGAGGATGAGGATACGCACCTGTTGAGGATGAAGGGGAAGTTTGGAAATGATGACTAGAGGAAGAGAGATGTGTGTTGTTTAAATAGAGAAGAAGTGGCTCGACCATTAAAATTATAAAGAATCTACGAATCTTCAACAAGCTGAGCATAGGTAGAAGAAGTGACCATTATGTATTTTAAAAGTAGAGAGGGAGAGAAAGAAGGAACAAGCAGGAAAGGAAAGGACACAGGTTTATGTAGGTCGCAAGAACAAGAACGGGAAACTGCATTGAAGCGAGCGGAAGGAACCAGCGAAAGACCTACAAGCCAACAGAGACGGAAAAATCCGCAGATGAAGAGAAATCCATCAATATGGTACAAAGAATCACTTTCTAGATTGATAATACCGAGTTACCATTTCGGGACAGTGCCACGGCTGGTCTTGGATGTGGCAAGAAGCTGCACCCTCGGTGCCATTCAACGAGCCTCGTATAAGCGGCAGTCTAGACAACATAATGAGTCTCTAGCTAGCTTTAGATTCCTACACAGCATGGAGGAGGTGGAAAATATTGTACACTGTTGATTGATTATATACACTTGGCTATGTGCACCTGGCCTCCGACGCCCCGAGCAGACTCTGGTTTATGCCCCGCGGAACACGGCAGATGCCTCGCACATCGTCGGGTATGGTATTCCAGATGACCTGGCGAACTTCCTTTCCAACCTGCTCAATAGCATCCATGGCCCAGAGAACATCAAGATGCTCATACTCCTCAATGATCTTCGAGTGTACGACTCGAACATAAGGCTCGAACCCCCCTTCGAAGCGTTGGAGAAGTCGACGACCATCCACCAGTGCATCAGAGCCACCAACCCACAGCGCAAAGGGAGGTACTTGGGGACCAAACCATGCTCTGTCGCCGGGAGCAGATAAGCAAGGACCTCCCGGGTCATCTCCATGCTCTCGACCGACCTCGTCTCGAACATGTTGGTCTGCACTTGACTCAGAAGCAGACTGATCTTCTGTGGCGAGAATGCACTTGTGCTTGGCAAACCCGTCGGTTCCTAACCACCACCGCATAATCTCGGCACTGACATATACAGGAGCGAATTGAAACATGCGGTCTCGCAAGTCTCGCTCCCAGCGGGAATCGGACCAGTCGAAGAGGTATGAAAATACACAGTATGCAAGCATGCCGTATAGTCTGGGAGGAAAGGTGCGGTGGACAGTCATCATGAACGGGATGAAAGCGTGAATCCCGAAGAAGACGCGAAACGCTTTGGCAGAGAGCATGCCCATGAAGCGGAAATAGGGTCTGCTGACGAGGGCTCCAGCGTAGGCAGCGGGTGCGAGGGCACAGAATACGGAGAGACGCTCTCCAAGCTCGGGTCGATGCTCCTTCGCCAGCGCCACGAACGTCTCCGTAGTTCCTTGTGAGTGGCATACGAGACCCAGCTTCCCAAAGCCGGTCTCATATAGCACACGAGATGTAAGTGCCACCAGGTCGAGTGTACCGAGATGCCGAATATCCCAGGACCACATGCGTGGATCAGATGGAGACAGAGTGGCGTGCTCGGGCGTCATTCCACATCGGTTGTTTCCCAGCCAAACGTCGTACCCAGACTTGCAAAGATAGAATGCAAGGCTATCGTCATCATTGGTGCAGTAAGCGCCTGCGCTCTGCAACAGCCCGTGAATCAAAAGAACGGGGTACCGGCGTTTTGCACTGGAGCTGGAAGGAGGCCAGCTCTTCGTGCTATTAAAGACCGCAGGTCCACGCTCACGCCGTTGCTCGGCTGGGAGTGCTGCATATTCTTGAGGGTTGTAAACATGCCAGAGTGTGATGATGAATCCATCCTCAGTCTGGACTCGAAATGTCTCAACATCCAATCCGACCCGTCGCGCATAGTATGCAACATCGCAGACAACCGGATCCTTGCCTCCTTCCAGCGGTGGGCATTCATCTGGCCCTTGCTCCTCATCCACGTGTTTCTTCTGTTGCCGAATATGCCATTTCCGGTCTGACTCGGCCCGTGCCAACTTGCGCTTTTTTTCCTCGGCTTCGAAAACTCTCCCCGAAGCAGGCTTCCGACCTTGTAGACTTGCGCTTGCATTGGCAAGTACCATCCCAGCGGTACGGGACAATGCGCTGACAAAGATCGCAGTCAAAAAGCCTAGCGAGAGAACAAAGGAGACCGCTCGAATCGCGTAGTACTTTATGCTGGAGGCGATAGTCGGAGGGCCGTATGCAGGCAACGGCGGAAACAAGAGGTGGTTATGCGTCTTGACGGGGAGTTTCTCTGAGCATGCATTGCCGTATTTCTCGGCTGCATACAGATTGGCCCTTGCTGCATTGCCGCTCGTTGCACCTCGTATAGTGTCTGCGTGGTCATTGGAAAGCGAAGTGGCTCGATCGGAGGGGTTATCAGGGAATGTTGATAGGACCAGTCGAGGTTCAGGCTCGGTCGTCTTCGCTGGAACCGACGTGGTGGTTGTTCCCGGGGGAATATTGACCTCCATGGTCGCGAGATCAGGTAAACGGAAACGAAAGACTAGAGAACATCATGCGGCCCAAAATGAAAGACGAGAAGAGGTGTAGAGTTGGCAAGTTGGCTGCGCTCGTCCTTCGAGGACCGAGCAACTCCCCGCATATGGCCGAGGCTCCTGTCTAGTTCAGGCACAGTCACGTGATTCACAACAGCCAATCAACATGCGTGAACATGAAGAATATTGTGGCCTCAGGCAGATTTAGCCCAAATACCCAGGCAAAACCGGTTGTGAAGAATCCGGGGATGAGGTCATACCATGTTCAATCTATGGAGTTACAGTAGTTGTTTTCTGGAGATAAGGAAAAGCAACTCGCAAACACTGTCGGAATCTCCAACGTTATGCCTCAACCAATGACTAGATCCCGCTTGAACAGGTCATCCAACATAAGCTCCATGCTGAGGATATACTAATACTTTACTGGTTTAGTCCATGGAGATGTTGCAACGAGGTCTATGCTTAGCTATTCGGGTATTGGGTCATCACAATTATAAACTCATAAAGGATGCTCTGTAGTCTGAGTGTGAACTCCCCCAACTACCGAAAATTAGCCGACGGGTAATTACTTCGCAGCACGTTACAATCGAAACCACCTGCGAGAATGATAAGGTATGATCCAGTACTTTGTTTGCCAGCTTGCCGTGCAGATACTACTTAAATCACTGAAGCTTACATATGGCAGTATTCTAGTAAAATGTGGGAGAGTTCGAATCAAGCCCCTCATAGTCCTACTAGTATCTTTGTCACGATGCTCGAGAAATTCTAGCTTCACTCTCCATAAGGAAGATATGGAGAAGTTCTGAGCTGACCAGTCACGGATTTATCATTACGATGTTGCAGACTTATATAGTAGAGAGACGATAAAGGCGCTCCCAGAGCTGATGTTACATTTTCAAGGGAGCAGCATAGATGGCAGAGATCTGCAGAACCCCGCAAAGAACTCGCTCTACGTTGCAGCCGTTGAATGATGAACGTATCAATGAGCGGATGATTAACTATACTCCCTCGAACCCCCTCAAATTTGATAGATGCTACCTAGAAGTTACATAGATGGGCCAGAAGGCCGGTGTCGAGAGGATAAATTGTCTCGCATTCTCATATTCGCCAGGATGCGAATTTCAAGAGAAGCTGGAATATCAAAATCAGAGTAATTATTTGGCAAATCACACTATGAAGCTTGTCTTAGGTCTACTGCTCGGATCATGCTCTTTAGCTCATGGCTTGACATCAGACTCCCAAACCATCAAGCGGGATGATCCAGGCGTCTCTAGCCCCAGTTATCGCATATCTCCCATTGACGGTTCCAAGATTGCACTGCCGACAAAGGAACAACTAGCATGGCAGGATAAAGAGATTGGTGTTATTATCCACTTCGAAATCGCCACCTACCTCAGCGTCGACGGCTGCAATAACATTCCAAACCTTCTGCCCAATCAATCACTCTTTGATCCCGTATCATTGAATACAGACCAATGGGTGGAGACTATCAACTCCCTAGGGGCGAAATACGCCACTCTAGTTGCAAAGCACAATTGTGGATTCACGACATGGCCGAGTGAAGTAACCTTCCTAACTCGTGATAACGAGACGATTCACTACAATTATACGATTGCTCAGTCTCCCGTTCATGGAAAGGATGTCGTCACGAGCTTTGTTGAGTCGGCCCAGAAAGGCAATATTGGTCATGGATTTTATTACAGTCTGATGTGGAACAATTTCTTGAATGTGCAAAGTGGTGGAGTGATCACTAGCTCTTGGACTCCTGGTCAAGTTAATATCACCAACTCGACATATAATCAGGTCGTGCTGGATCAGTTAACGGAGTTATGGACACAGCATGGAAACCTAACTGAGGTCAGAATGCCCTAGGGATAGGCTTCCTTGATGAGTTTAAGCTGATTGAAATATGTAGATTTGGTTTGATGGTGGATATACCGAGACACAACAGGTGAAGATCCAAAGTCTGTTGGAGACTCAACAGCCTGGAGCAGTCGTCTTCAACGGATGCCAAACAAATGGGACGTGCATTTCAGCGAACCCTGGTAAGTCATCATGAATATCTGGAATTTGGAAGTCGTCAGCAGTCGTACTGATGATTATAGTACGCTGGATCGGTACAGAGGCTGGAGCGGCCCCGGAAGAAACCTGGTCAAGGTAGGCCTATTGATCATGTTCACCGTCGGCTAGAGCTCTCTAATTCTCCCTTCAAGTGGTTTGAGTAACGACGGGGGAGATCCCCAGAGTCCCTATTTCTGCCCGGCCGAATGCGACACCACATTGCAAACTGGCGACCGTTGGTTCTACGGAGTCAATCAAACTCTACGTTCACTCGAAGAAATGAAAGACGTGTACCACAAGACTGTCGGTCGCAATTGTGTTTTGGAATTGGATCTTGCACCTGATCGCAGTGGCCTCGTTCCATCTAATCAAGCCGCCCGATACAAAGAATTAGGCGATTTTATCAAAACCTGCTATGGAAATCCTATCGCTCATAAGGTGTCTCGGAATGAGAAGGGCATCTATTCTTTGACTTTTGGGAAACCCACTTCCATTGATCGCATCGTGCTAATGGAGGACCAGACGAATGGCCAGGTGATTCGATCTTACGAGGTCTATGCGAAGATTGCGGACTCTCGTTCCTCCAACGGTGGGCATGTGCCATATACCTTCATTTCCAATGGGACCAGCGTGGGCCACAAAAAGATTGATCTGTTCAACAAGGCAATCTCTGTTACTGGCGTCCTGGTTAACTCTACTTATGTGGATATACCCAAGTGGCGGTCGGTCTCTGTCCATCTATGTGACTAGTCAATATGATGAGAGCGATATATATTCGCTGGAGGCTCCACCAGTGGATGGTTGGAAATTCAAACAAGCCCGATATGCTGCCACATATTGAAACGAATTCCAGGAGTCAACAGGTGCCATCCCAGACATTGTAATAGGCTTTTGGAAGCATATTCACACAATCAGATGATATTCAATACGATGATATTCCTCTTTTTGTAATCCAACGCATTGGTTTTCCCTCATGTAGCCAAAAGTTGACGCTCTCTTCATCAAATAAGACGCTTTGGCCGAGTGGTCTAAGGCGCGTGACTAGAATCTTGTCCTGTTCAAGGACAACAGCTAATCACGTCCGTTCGCGGGCGTCGGTTCAAATCCGACAGGCGTCGTTTGTTTTTGTTCTCAAAAGACAATATTTTTGGTCACGCTATGGTATCGTTGTGTGCCGCTAGAAGGGCTAGAAACGGGTTGTGGAGTAGGCAAAAGGCACGTTGGCGGGGATTTGGTCGGCCAATGTTGAACAAAACCCCGACCTGTCTACATTCGGGGATGATATTTCCTGAGATTTTGAGGTTATTATTATTCATCTTTGAACTCAATTTTTAGCAATAATAACTCGGACTCGGCAACGTCTAATCTGGCGGCGCGAAAATTCAAACTGTCCCGTGGCGATGTGTGGTGGAAGGTCCAATTTACTCTTTTGCAGTAAGAAACTAACCGTACAGAAAGGTCTCTTTGCTTGTCAAAAAGACCAATAACTCAGTTTAGGAAAAGAGAATCTGTTTACCACGCAGCTTGGGCTTTTGAAAACACATTCCTATTACTGTCAATAATGAGACAACGTTCCACCCATAAGATGCAAACGGCCGGATGGATGATCACATGACTATACAGATGCCTCAGGCACTAATAAAGCCACGGCGTAAAAAACTTCACGATGTGGCCAACCGCATCCCTGGTTGGGATCATGCAATGCGTAGGTTAAAGTCGGCAGATCGCCTTAGATCGCCTCACGGTTTACCGAGGTTTTCCACGGAAAAGCGCGGCTCGGAAGGAGGCCAAGTAAAAATTAAACTGGCCTTAGTCAGGGAAAAAAATCTTAGCTTCGAGTGGCGTGGATCAGGGCTGAGAACAGGGCTGAAGCCGATTGGCTTGGCTATGAAGAAACTCCAGAGCCGCGCTAACAGACAGGAACAGCATGTATAGCTTCATTTTAAAGTACATGTATTATGTACAAACTTGTCAACAACTTACAAAGTCAAGATAACAAGCATAGATAATCAATGAAAACACATGAAGTTCATCTGAGTTACTGAGGATCATGACTAACAAGATCTCGTATACCCAATGGATTTGACTCTAGTGGAGAACAAGCCTCGCAATCACGGCTGCAACGGTGGGGCTCAGGGCAAGAGGTGAGCTGTTTCGGGAAGGCGCCGAGCAATCGATTTGTCTATCGAATCCTGCAGGAACCGAAATTTCTCGGCTTTGTGTCAATTCCATTTTAATAGTCCGCTGCTCCTCGCTCTGTCGCGACTCATTCGCGTTGTTCTACCCCGTCCTCCAACCGCTTCGTATACATCCTTCCTCCCGGTCGTTCGGTATACCGCCGCTCACGTCGCTCCGATGTCCCCGAGTAAGAACAATGCCGACAAGGTGATTCCATCTGAGGATGGATTCGCCGATATGAGTGATCGGGAGCAGCAGATCTATGAGGGTGGCATCCAGAAGTTCAATCGTCTTGGATGGAAGCGCCTGACTATCGTTTTGATTGTCGAGGCCGTTGCTCTTGGAACCCTCTCGATCCCGGCCACCTTTGCGAAGCTTGGTATGGTGGCGGGTGTGATCTGCTGTGTTGGTATTGGTCTCATCGCGGTGTACACTAGCTACATCATCGGTCAGGTCAAGGTCAAGTTCCCGCATATTTCGGACTATCCCGAGGCTGGAAGGCAGATGTTTGGTCGATGGGGATATGAGATTCTCTATGTTATGTTGGCCCTCGAACTTCTTCTGTCGGCTGGATCCCACTGTTTGACCGGAACTATCGCTTTCGCCAACATCACCGAGAGCAATATCTGCTCTGTGGTTTTCGGTGTTGTCTCCGCTATCATTCTGTTCATCTTTGCCGTGCCACCTAGCTTCTCGGAGATGGCTATCCTCGGATATATTGACTTCGTCTCGATCGTCATCGCTGTTGGAATTACTATCATTGGAACCGGTGTGGAGGCTAGCAACTCCACTGGATTGGCAGCCGTGAACTGGTCGGCCTGGCCCAAGGAGGGTCTTACTTTCTCGGAGGCCTTCATTGCGCTCTCCAACATTATCTTCGCCTACAGTTTCGCCCTCTGCCAGTTCTCTTTCATGGACGAGATGCACACTCCTACCGACTTCCCCAAGTCTGTTTGGGCTCTCGGTCTGGCTGAGATTTTCATCTACACTATCACCGGTGCCCTCGTGTATGCCTTTGTTGGCCAGGATGTCCAGAGCCCTGCTCTTCTGTCTGCCGGTCACCTCCTCAGCCGAGTGGCTTTCGGTATCGCCCTACCTGTCATTTTCATCAGTGGCTCGATCAACACCGTTGTTCTCGGTCGCTTGATCCACGGCCGTATCTTCAAGAGCTCCAACATCCGCTTCGTCAACACCAAGATGGGCTGGGTGACCTGGTTGGCCCTGATCGTTGTCCTGACGATCCTCGAGTTCGTGGTTGCCGAGGTCATCCCCTTCTTCGATGACCTGCTGTCGATTATCTCCTCGCTCTTCGTCTCCGGCTTCACCTTCTACTTCCCGGCCATCATGTGGTTCATGTTCATTCGTGAGGGTAGAATCTTTGACAAGAAGAACATGTTCCTGACTGTGGTCAACACCATCATTCTTGCCATTGGTCTGATTGTGCTGGTTGGAGGAACCTACTCCAGCATTGTTGATATTGTAAGTTTCTCAAACATAAAATCATTATTTTATCACGATCAAATTCTAACGGTTTCCTACAGATTAAGTCTTACGACAACGGTACCGTTGGAGGTGTGTTCTCGTGCAAGTCCACCTAGTTCTCCACGCGGCGTATGGAGTGTGTATAAAAACATAGATTTGCTGTTTTTGCCTGTAACATAGACTTTGCATAGCTTATTCCCAATGCATGCAGCTTTTGCATTATATGATCAAAGTCCCAGCCCTACTATTGTAAAGCATTTCTTAGAACACTTTCTTTTAAAGTAAGTGGTGGTGGCCTCGCGTCCTAGTATTGAGACACCATCACTAACATACCAGACTCTCCCGATAAGATGACCTTGCTCCAAGCTACGAGCTTTTATAAGACTGATAGCCCGACTCTTAATCGAGCATTAGAAAGGGCACCCTTTCTCTATGTACTGCCGTCCTCGGGAACAACTAAGCCCATTCTGTACGCCATGACGTTATCCAAACTCTCATATAACGCAACGATCGCGCAAGTCTTTCCCAGCACAAATTAGAATGCTCTCTTTTTTGGGTATATCTCAAGCTTTAACTGAGATCGCATTCTTTAGTCAATTTCCAACTCCGTGAAAGAGCTTCACTCCGGGGCCTAGAATCTATATTGCTTGACCCATGGAAGAAAAATTTCTCGACAAAAAGCCAGTGTCAACGAGCTTCTACAAACAAACGACGATGCTATTGAGAGCTTGCTAATTGAATGGGGGATTTGCCTACCGGGTACCGCCAAGTCTCTAATCCTCAGTTTTTGCGCTTGAGGTTCGGGTAGAATAGTTGGAATTCTCATATGTAAATTTTTCTATGTTATGAGTATTGAAACATTATAGACCATGCCGAGCAACTATGCAACCTCAACTCATACAAAAACAAATTCTGTCCACGACAAGATGATCCCAATAACAAAACAAAAATACAAAACCAATCCATCATCTATCATTCATAACCCATCATCAAAATCTAAGCATCCATCTTACCAGAGATACTCTCCATATGAGTAGCCTGCTCCCCACTCCTCTTCTCATTAGCCTCAGTCTCAAGCTGCGCCAAATTATTTCCCCCCTTAACACCGCCCGCCACATCCCTTACATCCGTATAATGCACGGAAGGCTCCCAACCAACGGACTGCCAAGCCCGGGGAACCTTAGCATAAAGCTCATCAACCTGCTCCAAAGAAAGCCCCTTAGTCTCATAAATGCACGTATACACGAAAAGCGCACAGATAAAGCAGAATCCGCCCCAGATAAAGAACACCTTAGACTGGAGGTTCGCATTACCAGGGCCGCTGTTGACCATGTAAGGCGTGGCGTAGGCGATGGCCCAGTTCAGGAGCCAGTTTGTCGCGGTCGTGATGGAGAGACACTTTGCGCGGGCCTTGAGCGGGAAGAGCTCGCCTGTTACGACCCAGGCGACGGGGCCCCAGGAGGAGGCGAAGAAGAAGATGTAGATGCAGACGAAGGCGATGAGGACTTTGTTGGCGACGGTGGAGGAGACGGCTGTGCCGACGATGGCGACGATTAGTTGGGAGATGCACATGCCGACGGCGCCGAACATGAGGAGGGGGCGGCGACCCCATTTTTCGACCATGTAGAGGCCGGGGAAGGTGGAGACGACGTTGATGATGTTGGTGATGAGGGTGATGACGAAGGAGTTTTGGATGCCGGAGTTTTGGAAGAAGGTGGTGCCGTAGTAGACTGGAAAGGAGATTGTTAGTAATGTACGAGGGGAGGGGATGGTTTGTAGTAGGGGAAAGTAGGGAATAAACATACAGATGAAGTTGACACCAGCGAGCTGCTGCAGAGCTTGAATTCCGCAACCAGTCGCCAGACGCTTGCCGATGGAGCCGCGCAGGATCTCGAGGTAAGTAGCCTTGCCGAGACGGAGCTCGAACTCGTGGTTGGCCTGGATCTCGGAGAGCTCCTCAATGATAGCAGGGTGGTTGACATCGACGCGGCGGAGACGGGCAAGTGCCTTGGTAGCATCCTCGTAACGGTCCTTCTTGATGAGGAAACGGGGAGTCTCGGGCAGAATGATCATTCCAGCGACCAGAATAATGGCCCAGGCGAATTGGACAGCGACGGGAATACGGTAGCAACCGGTATCCGTGCGGTCCTTGGTGGAATTGTTGACAATAGCAGCCAACAGCAGACCGATGGTGATGGCCAGCTGGTAAGCACCAACAATGGTACCACGGATCCACTTAGGAGCGGTCTCGGACTGGTACAGGGGGACTAGAGGAAATGTTAGATATGATGGCTCGCGATGTTTCGGGGTATCATTTGACGTACTAGTAGCGGAGAGAAGACCGACACCCAGTCCAGCGAAGAATCGACCAGCCACGAACAGTGGGATGGAAGTAGAGGCAGTCTGCAGGATAACACCAAAGCAGAAGACAAAAGTGTCGAGGATCATGCCGATGCGACGACCAAAGTAATCCGCAATAGGGGCAGCACCGAGGGCACCGAAGAAGGTACCGGCAGAGAGAAGGGAGACGATCATAGAGGACTGGGAAGAGGTAACATCGGGGAGACCGTCCTTGGGATTAACGTATCCAGTCGAGAACATCTCACGCCATTTCTTCATGGCCAAGATACCGCTGATAGTACCGGTGTCATATCTATAGAAGGGAAATAGTCAATAGCAATTCAACTTGAGAAAGGCAGGGAGAGAGAACAGAACTCACCCGAAGAGAACACCACCAAAGGCAACAAAAAGACCAATAATAATGGCCGGTGCAGCTGAGCCGACGGCATCGTCGGGCTTCTTCAATGCGAAGCCCATAGCGAAAGAATTGAGTGAAACGAGTTATGGGAATAGGAGTAAGATATCAGGTCGCAGAAAGGAGGTGATAGTATTGAGGGGGGTGCTGCACAGCAGAAACACCCAAATAATAAATAGAAAGACAAGAAGCGAGAAACGAATCAACGAATATCGCCAATGGAGAAAACAATTGAGAAAAAGGAAACCCAAGAAATCCAAGTCAAATCCAACAGGAGAACCACGAGGGTTTAATACTCGAGCCTCCAAACCCAGAAAAATCAATAAATCCAAACTCAAACCAGCCATGATCAGCAACGCGCCCCCCGGGGGCCCCAAAGTGACCGAAACCAGGAAACCAACTCCAAAGCGTCTTTCTCCGGACCCCAGCAAAACAAAAAAGCGAAATGCACTCCGACTCCGAGATTCTTCCCTGCACGGGGGGTGTTAGTTAGGGTTGGGGTGTGGAGTTGCAGTCTGTAAACAAAACCAGCCAATGCACCGATTGTTAAAAGTGGGGGAGTTCTCCAGGAGAAAGCGGGTGGACCGAGATGAATTATTATTGGCTAGAACTACGGCTTAACCGTGGCCGAAAAAGATTCTCGAAGGGGCGCTCCTGCTGGGATCGGCGCCACCAGGACCCGGACTAGACAGGGGGAACTGCGTTCAGGATGGGCAGAGTAGACTATGGTGTGCCGGGTGTGTCTGGTGACTGTTGAATATTCCTAGAGAGGCTAGGCAATAAATAATTGAGGATACTATTCTAGAAGAATATTCATAGGCCATGTCTCATATCTCACGAGGGCAACCGAAAACGGGGTTCGACGGTTGCGGGTGGCTACAGTACGGGGGAGTGGGAGTAAGGGAAAAGAGATATCGACATCCCTTGTTTACATTTACAGTATTATTGTACATTGATTATTCTGATACAAACATAACCATGGTGCCTCTAATTATTGACCATGACCACAATCAAGATGAGTGAAAATACCAAGGAAATATTAGTATCAAGCAAGAAACAAGGATAGCCACCAACGCGGATCGTGGCGTCGTTAGGTTCTGGGCGCAAACCACTTACGTTATGTTATGCCAGTCAGGTACAGAGAGTCAGAGACAAAGTTTGCATTTCATACGTCAGCTCAAGTAGTGAAAGCAGATAGTTAACCAAACCAAAAACTAAACCGTGAAAATTGGATGTCATCAATCCATATCTATTGGCCAAACCCCAATTCTCCAGATTTTAAAAAAAATTTCCCTCCACATCCCCAGAACGTATCCCCAACTCCCCCAGAACCTAGAAGGTCTAGTGTAGTTACATGGGACAACAGGACGGCACACTAGAAACAAGAACATCGTTTTGATCGACCACCAATGTCGTCAGCATCCCAGCAAAAAGCCAATCTTACGCCCCAATACCGAAAGTCTGGTCCGGGTCGACGCCCCATCCGACCGTAGCTTGAGGATGGGATTCGACAGACTTCGAGACTCAAGTGTAAGATTAGACCCGCTTGACATCGAGGGATGCCATGCGACTCTCACCGGTGCCAGATTTAGTATGTTGATAGTGTAAAATGGGGAGACATGTGGCGATAGGCCCTGAAACGAGGAAAAGTTTGTTGGACTCGTGGTTGTATCCACATAGAAGAGGGCATAGAGTGCATACTGTACATACGGGAAGGCAAGGCAGGGCAGGGCACATACATACTGTACAGTATGTACAATAATTTATTTGCTGTCCGTCTGCACTACGACTGCGAGGCTATCCAACAACCTTACCACACAATCCTACCCAAACAAGCATGGGATACCCTGAAAAGAAGTCTCTCGGGCTGATCTCGGGGTACCATCCGCAGATCGTACAGCACATACGGTGTGTATAGTGCTCGAAAATCCTATCCTCCAGGCTCCCTCCCCGGTCACAATCCGTCCCGTGTAACGATCGGCCCGTGTCTAGCCTGACAGGTAACAGAATCCCTGGCTGAAGCCTAAACACCCACCCTAGTGCGGGATTTTTCCCGGGCCGCGGATTGGTTGGATGACCCGATGGCACTCCGAGAAATGCCCGTTTTAGTCGGCGAATCATGGATAGTGGGGGCTACATACAGCCCGTACTGTAGTTGGAACTGGTGTGAGTGTCTAGGTTTCGGGGTTCGATCCAGGGACTAGACTTGTTAGAGTAGTACTAGGCGGGGAGTTTGGGGCCGAAAGCGTGGGCTCCGGGGACTGGACTGAACTCGGGGACGGGGAGAGGAAATACGGGATATGTGGGGATTCGGTCGGGGTCGGGATGGGAGGAGAGACCATTGGTTGTGTTATTGATTTGAATTTGCTATTGTTGTGGAGGACGTCATTAAGAGACCCAGACGAGAAGAAGAGAAGAGAATAGAATAGAAACCCATGAAAAAACCACGATATCGAACAAGGTCTATTATTGTCTATACATGATACGCTCTGACTAAACACACGCGACTCGTTCCCCAGGCTACCAGCGCCAGATCAGAACAAAGTACACCCCCAGCACAGCCAGCGCAACAGACCGAACAGACCGCGCAAAACTCCTCCCAACAAGCGCAGTCTTCGCTCGCAGACCCTTCGCAGGCACAGCCGGCCGATACAATCCCTTATCTTTCGTGCTCACAGCATCATCATCATCATCATCTAGACCCCGATAAGCCTTGCCGTTGGAGTAGCGGGGGGAAGGTGAAATGCCGGCGCGCCCGATTAGGCCACCGGAGGGGAACGTGGAGCTGGACGTACTAGACTGGTATTGGTGATTGGGGTGGAAGCTGCGTCGCTCGGCGAGGGGGAGAACGGAGCCGTTGGCGGGGGCGGGGAAATCGGGGGAAATGAGTGTAGTGTAGAGGGCCTGAGCGAGGAGTATGGCTATGCTAATGCCCAGGATGCAGAGGTAGTGGATAAAGATACCCAGTTGATCGGGGAGGAGGCAGAGGTGGTTTTGGATGGTGGGTGAGGAGCCTTTTTGGGTGGACTCGCCCGTGATTGGGTCGATGGGGTTCCAGAGACTGGTGAGTACGAAGCCTGGGTGTCGGACGCCCATGGCCCAGGATATGCTCTTCACGGTGATTTCGTTGGGGGAGCCGTTGAATTCGCGGTGCGTGACTTCGCAGTAGTCGTGGTCGTCGCCGGAGTAGACTTGGACCACGTTGGGCCCGGCCTTGGATACCACTTCCGTGGAGATGGTCTGGGTCAGCACGTTCTGGTATTGATAACCACCGCCCAGCCGGAGTGAATTAGGCTCGTCTTCTTCGAGGCCCGGTGCTGATGGCGGAAGACGCTCACGCATTGGACCGCAGGGAGTCGCTGCCTTGCGGTAGAGAGGAACGTGCGTAAGGAGAATGGTAGGAAACCCTGCTGACTTGGGCTGTGGAAGTCGTTCGACAGAATCATCTCCTGCTTCCACGATATAGTGTTTAAAGAGCATATCTTCCGACTGGTCCTGTAGCACCCGGAGCTCCTCCGTCTCCGCGGTTGCTTTGCGGACAGCCAGTTGGTCCAAGAATTCATCTGCATCTTTCCAGATGGGCCGAGGAAGGTCATCTTCATTGCCTTCACTTTTAGGGGAGCTCCCCGTCAGAGGATCAGGTTGGTCCATCGCACTCAGCGAGACGGTGTCGACAGAAACGAAAGTGTGATTCCCAATCACATCAACCCGGTTACCATTGCCAAAGTGACTTTGGAACCGCCGGCGCACGGGTTCTTGGATTCCATTGCCGAATCCCAGATCATGGTTTCCAGGCAAACTGGCAATAATCCTGCGTCCACGACTATCAACGGGAGAGAGGAATACTGCTTGAGCCAGGGTTCAATGAATATCCTCATGAACCGACCATATTCCGTCTTCCAGAATGAATCCTTAATCTTCTTATATCGTGCCTCGGGGCTGGTGGTCGTGCTGGTAGCCCATTCTCGCCCGCCATCAAACAGATCCCCTAGAAACAAGACGGAGTCAGGCTCTAGGTTATCTTGTATAAGCGAGAACGATCGACGCATATATTGATCGGTGTATTTGACCGTAAGTGTCGACAGAGGCCACGGGCGGCCGGGGTAAGTATGAGGATCGACAAGCTGGGGGTCGGCAATGAAAGCGATATGATGCGGCGTGGCACCTTGAGGCTAGATATAAATGGTTAGCTCGAGGCAAACCAACAATGCGCACGTAATGTGGCTTCATGCAGCAGCGATAACATACCCATTTCTCCCAGCTCTCCCAAACACATCGATCAATAGCCTCTTGAAAGACCGTCCGCTCTCCATACCAAATCGTAAACAACCACATAAGAACAACAGCATTGGCGACCGTAAACAAGCGCCGAAAACCCAACACCGCCATCCCGCGGACATCACGCCTCCCCCTCGTCCTCCCAAAACTCGCAGCCCCCTCCGCAAACCATTGCTTCGCCGTAGCCGGCAATCCCTCCAATGCCTGTCGAACGACACCTGATGCTTGTCCAGAAACTGAATTCAACGAAGGGAGGGATGAAGCGCCCGCGCTGCGTGCGTAGGCGTAGCTCATGTTGGCGACCGCTAAGCGTACCTGTATTTGCGATGGGTGTGTACTGTAGCTTGGCTACCCCGTAGAGACGGGGTTGGATAAAGAATCAACGTAAGGAAAGTCGCTGCATGCTCCGAAATGCACAAAATGGGACAAAGGAGTGGATAGTGTGAGAAGGTATGTTCAGAACCGCGACTTTATTTTATCGCATGGTGTGTCGCACATTGAAATCAAGGGGTGTTTGCTGTCGTTCTGGCCGGACCCGTCTGGGGATCGTCGGAGTCAGTTGGTCACGTGCTGGGGCTAAGGTTATGATTAGCGTGGTCTTAGACATCTTCGGCTTACATGCAAATGCCTATTTTGGGATGGGACAATTGACTTGAGTCTTGACCCTGGTTTTGATACTATTTGAAGTCGAGCTTTTTGTATAACCATGAAGAAGCCAAATCTCCTCACCATACACGAAGCAAAAATTGTTCCCAACACCATATGCAGTTTGTGTGAGACCGTTGGCTTTGTACAACAATTACAGCTGGAAATCCAATCCACCGGATCGAGCATCTTCCATTAATGGTAGGTAAAAATACATGCGGAGGGTGGTAGAGATATAAATAATGATCTCGACGCCGGTGGTAGCCCAAATCCAATGCCACACCACCAATGATGCCAAGGAGACAATTCACCTGCGAGGCCAGCCTCTTCTAATAATAACTAGTCCAAAAAATCCATGTCGAGGCGAGCGGGAGTGACCGCGAGGAGGTATTAGGGAAGTAAAGAATGGGGAAGACGGGCGTGGAGGTATTCATATAGTATGAAGGATCACGAGAAGTACGAAAGGGTTGTAGGGTAGTGAAGTGGTGCGACCGCAACAATTACGCAGGGTCTGTGACAGGTAAATGAGCGTATAGGGGAATCAAAATCAAGTGGACTTTTTGGGACAGCACTGGCCAACGCGTGCGCAGTTATCATCGCATTCGAGGAGGCAGGCGTGAGAGTCACCCTCGCGGACGCTGGTCGCGCGGCTGGAGTGGTTAGGGTCCTCAGTGCCGGCGCGGGACGACGATGCCTGGGCCTGGTTCTGGTTATCCTCGGTATCGCTGTCAGGGGAAAACTCGGGCTGAATGGTAGAAGAGTGAATGCCATAAGCGTGCAGGCAGCGGCGCACCTGGCGGGCCAGGCGCATGTACCGCTCTGAGCCCTCACCCTTGATCTCGGTGTCGACCTGAATATGGATTGAAGCGACGAGTTTGGTATCATTCAGTTGCCAGACGTGCAGGTGGTGGGTTCCGATAACACCAGGGAGACGCTCAATATCCTCCTTAATGTGGTCGACACTCATGCCCTGGGGCGCCGCCTGAAGAAGGATGCGGGACGCAGCCTTGCACAGCGGGATGGCCGAGGCCAGGATGATGACCGTGATGACCAGGGAGATACCGGGATCGACGTAGAACCGCCACTCGTAGTCGGTCAACCAAATAATCAATGCAGAAGCAATGACACCAATGTTGCCAAGGGCATCACCCATGACGTGTAGGAAGACACCCCGCATATTGAGATCGTGACCGTGGCCATGGCCGCCCTTCTGGCCCTTCGGCTTGGGCTGAGCATGGTTGTGACTCTTGTGAACATCTTCTTCCGTGGGGTGATCTGGGACCGTAAAGGGAACTCCGTTCTCATCGGTGTAATTGGAAGCACGGTCACGATTGCGCAAAAGTCCTGATCGCTCGGTGGGCACCTCACCTTCGCGGCTATCGGAGTCAGACGACTGCTCAGTGTCGAATCCGCCACGGCTGGCAGCTATAATATCCTGTCGGAGAGTAGCCGGGTGCACGTAGATGTCCTCGACGTTCGCCAGAGAAGTGCTGTATCGGCGAGAGCCGCGGCTCTGTGAGTCGGTCACTCGGCGCTTGCGAGAAGTGGATGAGGGCTCAGTAGCAGAATTGAGGAGTCCGTTCGACCCGGTCTCAAGACCGGAAGCTCCATGGCTACCCTTAGCTAATGTAGCGTTCACGTCTCCTTGATCGGTGGCCAGGTAAGTTGCGCCTTCGTTCTCGTGGGTCTGGCCGTGGCCTTGCTCCACGTCCTCCTCGTCATGCTCAGCGCCATGACCATGATCATGACCATGTCCACCATGCGAGTGGTCGTGGAAAAGGGCCAAGCCAAGGATGTTAGATAGAAGCCCAAGACAACCGACGATGCAAACCAGCTTGGGGTTCTGGACTTCCTGGGGCTCCACCAATCGCTGGACGGCTTCTAGGAAAATCGAGAGACACAAAGCCACCAAAAAGACGCCGTTGACGAGGGCACCGAGAGTTTCCGCTCGTTGCCACTGTGTTGGAAAGGATTTGATGTCAGACCGGTTTGCGCGCGGGGCACTCAGGTACCTTGTGGACCACTTACGCCATATGTGTACATCTCGGAGTTTGTTTCGCGATTAGCGACCTTGACGGCCCAGAGCCCGACGCAAAGCGACAGGACATCATTGAGCTAGGATATGGGTCAGATGGGAGACTGAAAAAAGACCATGCTGATTCGACGCGGGTCATACCATATGAAAGGAATCGGCGACGAGGGCAAGGGAGTGGACGGCGTAACCTAATAAGCAAAGATAGTCAGAAGCTAGGCACAATGGCGGGAGCGGCTTGATGCGAATCTGAGGCAGAGAATACTCACCTGTAATTAGCTCTAGTAGGAAGAATGCGGAGTCAATCACCAACAGGATGATGATCCTGTTGGTCTTGGAGAGTCCCATGGCGGCAGTACGTTCGCGATGCGCTGAGTGGCGCTGGACTGCGCGACAGGGATGGACTAGGGTCAAAGTCAAGGAGCAGAGCTCGTATACCAGAGTACGAGGGTGAGAACAAGTCGGGGAAATGAAGGAGCAGTATCCGACCTGGCGAGGGAGGGTATTAAGAGGGGAAAATTTGCGAAGCGATAAGGCGGGCAGGTGGAGGGCGGAGGGCGGAGACTTGCAGGTGATCCGGACCGCAGCTTTTGATGCTGACGCAGGTGGAGAGGTGGAGCTTAAAAAGCACATCACCGCAACGGTTGAACGGGCCGGGAGAGGTGTCCGATCGGGTCCGAAGTGGCGTTATCATCACGTTGTTTATGGTTATAGTATATAGAAGACACATTCTACAATGCCTATCAAAATATCCGTCAAGAAAGAACCGAGAATCCTAGTCTCCCGGATCTTCCGAGGTTGTTAGCTTTGTATGCAAAACACAGCACATTGCATGAAGCATCTGCATCGGCATTCTGGCCCCCACCGGAATGGTCCAGCCTCGTCAAAACAGCCTAACTCAATCAAAACTAAACGCAGCAAACTCTGGCTCTTTTCTGGACCCTCAATCGCGGCCCTTTAGGCTCCAATTTTCCTAGACTTTCTCTTAGTCTCTCTTTTGCCTTTTACCCACTCGAAACTTTCTCAGAACCTTTCGCTCCAACTGATAGCATGTCATACCTTGTGTATCGCATTGTATTCGCATCCCGACTGGTCTCACAACGCTCTGGTCCCCAATGAAACATTACAGCACAGAATATTGGCAGAGCATATTGTTTGTCACCATCGGCACTCGCCGTGCAGACTCGCAAAATGCCCCTCCTCGTCTCGCGTCAAGGATCTCGGCTCCAAACAAGGAACCTAAAGCCCCTCCCGAACCCGCTACTAGCGGCTACTATCGAATCCACATCGACCGCAACTGATTTTTAGGGCTCGAACAGTGGCTGTGAAGACAAATCGCCAAGTGACAGTTCAAGCGCCGTCGTACACTACGCTCACTAGCGCGAGAGTGCAAAAACGCTAGAAAGGGTCCAGTTGGGATGGAATTCGAACGAGGAATGGGATTGGTCTTCAAGTCCCTCGCTCTTGATGCCCCACGTTCGGGAGTGACCGTTTGCCGAGCATAAAATTGCTCCTGTGGAGGTCTTTTCCGGCATTTCTCCTAGTTGAGGCTGAGCTGTCAAGCAATTTGAACAATCCTGAACAATCCGTAATGCTGACTTGTTGAGCTAATGGGTGAAACCGAGACAGATCCACCTTGTAGCATCGCTAGGGTGGAGCTTTGCTTATTTACATTGCAGGTGATGGGAGCGGCTGACAGCTCTATGAGCCCCTAAGACGCCTGCTAGCTCTATTTCTTTATGCTATAGACGATTCAGCCTGAATGCAATTGCCGAGAAGACTGCCAAAGCGTCTATACAGGACCCCATCGAGTAACGCGTTTGGTTACGACCTGTGTCTATTGGATGATCATCTCGTGGCTATGCTGATTGTGGGGGTCATGGTTTTATTGCCTCAACTAATTGCTGCAATGACTACTTCGACTATAAGTTTAGTGCATGCAGAGATTTACTTTGGTGGCTGACTGTGCATCGGGCTCTAATGCATCAGGAATCGATTGGGGCACATGCTGCTTACAACGAGGGCGACAATTGGAAAATTCAAGAAGCTTGATAGAACGTGGTCAAAAGCTTGTACCAAATCGCTGCCAATCTCACTATTTGCTAAGGATTCTTTCCAGTGTATCTCTATGAACAAATCGTCTTATGGGTTCTCGAATCTTGCAATCCAGCTTTTCACACAGTGATCTTCTTACGAAGGGCTAGAATGCGATCAGTGGCCTCTGAGAAAGACTCCTGCGACAAGGAGCCATCCTGCAATGCTGAGACCAGCGCGGTAACAACAGCCTCTCCTTGCGTGACATTCCGTGCAGACGCAAGAATTATATCCATACCGGCCTGGCTAGCCAGGACACCGCGCGCGGCATCATCGCCAAAGGCATGAAGAGCCCCAGCCTCGATTGCGTCTGTAATAGTGACACCCTGGAAACCAAGTCGCCCGCGCAGCTCATCCTGAATCCAGGCTTTGCTTAGTCCTGACGGGTACTTGGCGTCCAAGGCCGGGTACAGTGCCCAAGAGTTCATTACCATGTCAACACCAGCGGGAATAGCCTTCGTGTACGGGATTTCGTCGACGGCGCGAATCTCATCCAGTGTCAGGTCGATGGTGACGGGCACCTCATCCGTGTTCTCAGTTTTGCCAGCCGCTCCAAGACCAGGGAAGTGTTTAGCTGTTGCGATGATCCCGGCTGCTTGCTGGGCGCTAATGAACGCTGGTCCACATGTTGCGACCAGCGCAGAGGTATTCCCATAGGAACGGCCATAATTATCCAAAAAGTCGCCTGCCTCGCGATACACCCCCAGGACTGGCGCAAGATTGGTATTCACCTGGTAGTTCCGGAGAGCACTCGCAGCGTCCTTGCCAGATTGTGTCGCACTCGCTCGCGGGTTGCTCGACTGGCCAACTTGTTTGGCGCTTTGGACTGGTCCACCGGGTAGTCGTCGGACTATTCCGCCCTCTTGGTCGGTCATAATCAATAGAGGGCTTCCCACATACGTGGAGCTCTGTTTATAGGCATCTTGGAAGTCGCTGATGATTGTGCTGATGTTGTCGGCGACGTTTTCTCCGAAGAGGATGATACCACCCACTTTGCCTTGTTTGATCAAGTCGAATAGATGTGTTGGTGGGTTGAGGCCTGGATAAGAGAAAACAACGTGGTGTCCAACTTGTGCAGATATATCATCTGATCTTCCAGCCTGAGTTGACGTGGCTAGAGAGAAGCAGAGAGTAAGAAGATGTGAGGCTGTAGTCCACCGCATATTGAGGGCTTTCACTGCACAAGAGTGGAAATTCGAGCATCTGCCACCTAGCTATAAGGCGAGACTCGCGTTTTATCAACATTTTCGAACCTCGTATTAATTGCCGGAGTAGAGTTGCCTTTTTCATTGTCCGAGGTTTATGCAGGAACATCGGCAGGATTGTGTTACATTGATCGGCGTTCGTCAAGCCTATTCTGGGCGAGGGGTCTTTGTTGACATACGAGGTTACCTTGCCATCGCTCACCCCGCGTCTCAACTAGAGTATTATTTCCATATCTTGCACAATTGAATCTTGATTTTGGCTATTGATAAGGTGCCCAGCGTTACGCTACTAGTGCATTCTTAGCTTCGAATTCGGGGTGTGGATCTCTTACTCTATCTAGTCTACTGTTTTGGAGTACATAGGGGGTCAAGATTTATCATTGTAAGAGAGAAATGGAGGAGAGAAAGATTACTGACACTGCGGATATTATGCTTCGGGTATCGACCTGAAGCTCGGTCCATCAGAATTAGGCGAGAGATATGTTTCTCGGGAGTGCACACCCCCTCAGAGTAGCCCATGGATCATACTAAGCATTCATCGAAACCAGTCAACATGACAACATAGGAATGAGATAATAACCACTTAATTAATCCGAAAAAAATGTTCACGAGTGTCGTAAGATTTGCCTGTATTCAGTCCCCAACATCGCTTCCGGGCACGATGTTGGCGTTCATCGGGGAGTGGACCCGTACCCCGATCGGCATCTAGCAGGAACGCCGACGCCGACGTTCCCCGGCGTCGCTAGGTCGAATTTCTCCCAGATCTGTTCACAACCTGACGGCCAATCGCTTTGAATCATCATTTATCGAGAAAAAGGAGGACAGGAAGGACTATGAGGGGTCTTGCAGCCGGTAGGGTGCGATTGGCTTATGAACTGCATCGCTCAAGTAAACATGACCCCTCAACGCGTCTAGCTAAACATGCTCCGATCCTATTTCTTCATGGCTTTCTTGGATCAAAACGAGAGAATCGACAGATGAGCAGGTAATATGACCCTCCACCCTCAATCACGCGTTTTGATGCTTATCTGCTCCGATTCAGGAATCTTGCCAAGGAATTGGCGCGTGATGTTTACGCTTTGGTATTAGCAAAATCAAGGAGTCTGAGAATTTGCATGATAAGTCAATCTAACACTAATCTAGGATCTTCGAAATCATGGTGACTCCGGTCACCACCCGAAGCATGATTACATGGAGATGGCATTGGATGTTGAGTCATTCATTGGCCAACATGGGCTCGTGCGACCGACGCTGATTGGCCACTCAATGTAGGTTTCCAGGTCGTGGATTGTTATATTGGATCTAAGTGCTGATAACTTGGTACAGGGGTGCAAAAACGGCTTTAACTCTAGCACTCCATTCACCGAAATTGGTATATAATGTGGTAGCTGTCGATAATTGTCCCATCAATTTGCCTATTGGGCCGGATTTCCTCACCTATCTTGAAGGCATGGCAAAGGTTGAGCAACACACAGTCCGGACACATGCCGAAGCTGACGAGATAATCCGTCAATTCGAATTGGTAAGACCTAGACTGATAATTGCTGGTAATACCTATTTACTGACCGTGCGATATAGGATCCACCAGTCCGACTCTGGTTGTTGAGCAATTTTGTCAAGGAGAACGGTTCGCCTTACTTGAGACTACGCGTACCGTTGGATATCTTGAAAAAGGCCATGGGACCACTGGGGGATTTCCCATATAACAGTGGGAATGTCACGTTTCAGGGACCGACCCTTTTCCTTCGAGCTCTACAAAGTAACTACATCCCGCAAAGCTCCTTCCCCCTGATCTCCCACTTTTTCCCGCAATCGGAGATTGTGGATATGGACTGTGGGCATTGGATTGTGCAGGATAGGCCTAAGCAGTTTCAGGAAGGTATGTTATCAGAGATCACTGTGTCATGTTTGCAAAATTGCTCATGTGTGATTTGTTTCATTAGAGGTGGTGAGATTCTTGCAGAAGTATTGAGAGAAAGTTACCGACTTGGATTGCCGATAAACTTGATTTGATGTCGACAGGACTTACTCTCCGTGGTTGATGCTATCTCCAGACCCTTTCGGCTTTTATACGCATGAAATGGATTCTATGCAAAGAAAATCTCTCGACAGGAACAGGTGGGTTTCAAGGTTCCAGAGCCAATATCGACGATCCTCGATCGTACGATCCATGGTGAGAGGCGGAAATTTGATTTCCATAGCTCGATTGAACCAATCGGACTCTCTTAATATTCCATCGGTATCATCGGCATACCTCAAATCCCAAATGTGCCTTAAGAGTTGTTGCGATTTCTGGACTTCTTCTTGATAAGAGCGCGCGAGTTTGCCGAGAAAGCTCTCGAGTTGTCGAGTATTCTGAATATACATTCTGGTTTTCGTTGTAGAGTGGGATTTTGATTTTTGCTTTGCCGTTCCAAACGCGTTGCTGAAGCGGGTGGCCCGTCGACTACCCTTTTTGGTTGAGACGGCGGAGAGAGAAGAGTACAAAGAGGACTTCTCAGAGTATATAAATGTGGATCACATGAAGTTCGCAGAGAGGTAGTACGAGCTCACTCGTTACTACTATCTATCAACGTAGTGTCACTGATGGGTGGATCTTCAGGAAATGCGGGGCCTCTTATGTATTCAAAACAAAGGAAAACGAATCAGGACGTCGATGATCCACTGGCTGATATCCACGCTTCCTCCTATCTTCTCTAATAAAATTAATCTAGATGATTAGTTTTCATAGATCGTGAGCTTTGAACATACATTGGAAGAGACTAGTAACTGATAAGGAGTTGTTGGGGCATTGCAGCTTGTGATGACTTGCTAAGATAGAACCGACATCAATGGGTGTCAAACACAGGATTGAATCAATGAAAGTAAACACCAGAACTTAATACGAAGGTACTGTCACTCGAGCTCTTCTTGCATGACGGTTTTGACTCATTTTATCACAATAAAGAAGGGCATCAGAATGACATTGTTGGCATTTCTGGATTTTTGTTAGGGATTACAAGAGAGGTGTGTAGATATTCAGGCAGTCTGTAATTTGATTGGTCGAAAAGACAATCCTTAGATCGTGCTGGGGATTTTCTAGAACAAATCTAGAGAAGTAAAGATGAAAATACCATATCAGGAACCTTTCACGCTAAGCCTTTTGTGCCACTGATTCCAATGAACGCTCCTTTATCGAGAGACAGACTCAGCCCAGCTTCCCAAGATACAGACGCTTACCGCGTGCTCGTAACCGCCGAAGAAACTTCCCCGGGTTATTGTCGAGATCAAAAACCTCCGGATTCATCGGGTTCCGCGGACCCACAACCTTCACGGCCCCACTACTGACAACTTCCGTATCGGGAAGTTCAAAGGCGAAAATCTTGGCCACGACTTTAAATCGGCGGCCACGTTCAATTTTGATGGTAGCTTGGCAACAATTAAGTAAAATTTTTTATCGAAAGCAGTTCATGCCACTGATCTGGAGTATTAGCAAGCATCTTCGATTTCTATTCCCCTATTCAGGAAGTTGAGAGTAGATGGCCATAGTTGCTTAAAAATCAATGTCGCCGTGGACAGAATGACTTGGCTGTATAAGAGAGAAATGTGGTACCTTGTTGAGGACATAGTGAAGCTTGACTCTGATATATTGACATCACCAAATGCACTCAACCTTTAATGGAGACTCTACAACTCACGGGTCCCCCATCATGACGACACACGAAGAACAAACAGACATATCCAATATGCCCGATCTAGAGAAACTCGGGAAAGAGCGCCCAAAGACCTTTTCAGGACGAGGTCCTGAGCTAGCATTCTGTTTCTCGATTGTGATGTCCCAGATTCTAGCAGTGAGTAGAGAACCAGCACCCGATACGTCGAACTATCTAATCTAACACATCTATCTCTTCAATAGGAATTCTACATAACAGGGTCCAACGTTCTTCTTCCAACCCTCGTAAAAGAACTCGGCATTCCAGCAGGCACAACGATATGGCCCACCACTGCTCTCTCCCTCGCCGTCACATCAACACTCCTAATATTCGGTCGTCTGACTGACATGTACGGCGGCTATGTCGTCTACAACGCCGGAGCGATCTGGCTGACAATCTCATCGATTCTCTGCGGCGTCTCTCAAACATGGTTGATGTTGATTATTTGCCGAGCTTTGCAAGGCTTAGCTCTTGGAGCCCTACTGCCCTCTGGGATGATGATTCTGGGAAGTACATACCGACCGGGTCCAAGGAAGAATCTAGTTTTCAGCATTTATGGCGCTTGTGCTGCCTTGGGTTTCTTCGCTGGGTTCTTCGTCTCGGGAATTTGTGGCCAGTATTTGAGTTGGAGATGGTACTTCTTTATCGGCGCTATTCTATCGGCTATTACGGCGGTCTCGTCAATTTTCTCCGTTCAGCGCGATTACTCAGAGAAGCGGGAGCTTGGGATACGGATGGATTGGGTTGGGTTTGGCCTGTCGATCTCGGGTGCAACCCTGTTTGTTTTCGCTATTGCGGAAAGCTCATATGCTCCGCAAGGATGGAGGACACCGTATATTCCGGTACTCTTTACTATTGGTGCTATCTTGCTTGGCGTTATGGCTTACTTGGAAGGGTGGGTTATTGAGAATCCTTTGCTGCCGGGTGATATATTCCGGGTTAAGTTCATGACGCCATTGGTGCTGGCATTACTATGTCTCTACGGAAGTCTTGGAATATTTCTCCTCTACGGAGTTCTATAGTAAGTGTTTGTTCTACAGTTGACATTAAAAATACTAATTCTATGCAGCATGTCGGATTTCATGGGTGCTACGCCCCTTCAAATTGTCGCGTGGACAGTGCCGATGGCCGTTGGTGGTCTCATCCTCTCCGTTACTGGAGGTTTTATTCTCCACAAAGTATCCGGAACAGTGCTACTCATCATCTCATGCCTTGGATACGTCGGATCGGGACTATTATTTGCTGTCATTCCACTCGGTGGCAACTACTGGGCTTATGTCTTCCCCGCAATGATTTGTGGCACCATCGCCATCGATATCAGCTTCAATCTTGCGAATATATTCATCACAACAAGCATGCCAAGGGCCAAGCAGGGCCTGGCTGGTGCTATGATCTATTGTACCATGCACATGGGCATTGCTGTCATGCTGGGATTCGCAGATATTGTTGAGACTCAAACGAAGCATCTTGGTAAACGAGAGAGCTATAAGGCGGTATTTTGGTTTCAGACGGGGCTGTGTATCCTTGGGCTTCTGATTGTTCTGGGTTTTGTTAGAATTCGCCACGCCAAAAGCGAATTGACAGTGGATGAAAAGGATGAGGCAGGACATGTGACTGCAGGGCAGAGTGAAAAGGTTTAATCATGAACATATTATTTAGACGGGTAGAGTATGTTAAGAGCAAATTACATGAGAGCATCCGCTCATTTTATTTGCTAGCTAAGGCGCATTGCAACTAGGGAATTAAGTACGTGTATCGGGAGTGCTAGGATAGATGTCTTCTCCATAGGTCGAGTTGAGAGAAACCGATCCCACAATATCTCCCGACTCCAATCGAATCCAAGTGTCAATCTCCATATCCTTGAGCTTAGACTCCGTCACCAGAACCTGTCTGGATCCTCGAATCCAGCTGCCGTATCCACCATATCCAGTGTGCTGTCCGAAGCAAAGATTGATACCATTTCCTTTCACTGACATACCGGGGATCAGGGTATCCCATTTGTAGCACCATGTGTCTCCATGATCATGACCAGAGAACACTCCAATGACACCAGGCGTATCGACCAACGCTTTCATGAACGCCACATCCTGACCACCGTACACGTAGGAGCTGTCATTGCTTCCGTCCGCACACCAGCCCTCGCCTTGCTGTGCTAGGACATAATCGTCATTGATACCTGGCTCCTTGTGGGCATTGACTCCAAGCTGAGTCTGGATAGCCTGGGATGCATTGGTGGGGATGTGAACGAAGACGAGAGAGGGGATATGCTTGCAGTATTTCTTGACCAAGTCCGCATTAGTGGCTTTAAACCAATCCACAACACTCACGTCAACCCAATTCGGTTGCGCGACCTGATTTCCGGCAGAATCGAGTTCTTGATAATAGTAACCGCCGCGACTGTCGAAAAACCACAGCAGCATTGCAGGTGCCCCGTTAGTATCGGCATTCTTGGAGCCATACACAGGGAGATAGTAATTTGTCACGCCAGCCTCACGGCCAGAAACCATCTGCTGGGTTCGTGAGTTTGGCCACTGGTGTTCTCTCGCCAGCATAGCCGAGCGCGAAAGATTGTATTGGCTGTCGTGGTTGCCGTAGGTAGATGCCCATGTCAAGCCGCGGTCAACCAGGGGTCCGACAATCTTGTCGATGTAGACGGTGCTGTTTTCCAAAAAGGCATTTTCACCGGTAATCAGGTCGCCGTTCAACACGACAAGATCAGGCGACTCGGCGTTCAGCACCTCGTTGATCACGGTAACAGTGTTGACATCCTGCTGCGGTCCCCACGAGTCCCATGCATCTACTTGTGTGATTAACATTCTAGTCTTCCAGGACAGTATGGGTGACTTACTCTCTCCAAGGTGAAGATCTTCCAGAATAGAGATTTGAAATTTTCCATTCTTAGAGAACTTGAGAGGGGCAAACCGTTTCCCAACCGCGCTCTGGAGAGACGGTACAGCGAAAAGAGCGATGGCAGTTAATGATTTCCACATGGTGGATGGTGCTAAAGAAGCCAAGACTCGTACCTGATCTCTGGAACCGGAAGGAGCGAGATCTCCTTAAATACCATTGTTTACACACAAACCTCCTTCCTATCTCGAGTAACTATATCCCGTGTTTACCGACCGGAGCTCGCGGCCTCAAAAGGTATACAAACTTCGGCACCAGCCGAGGACTCCATATCGGATAAAAGAGCGCGTCTGGATCTACACGTGTTCGGAATGTTGACATTCTATGGGCCAGGGGCTTGCAGGGGGGAAAGACAATAGTGGGGTAAAATCATAGACACGATCGTATGAATGCCATTTTTATTGGACACGCTAATTTAGCTCGTAAGACCACCACATGTTGCCGATATCAAGGTTTCTACTGTCGCTTAATTAGAATAATGGTCGAGGGGTGAGCTCGAAGTGGAGTCGGCAAATGTACCGTCGGTGCTTGTTGAGCGATTGAAGACATGTTAAATTATCAGTTCCCACATGGCGTGGGGTATGGCTGTCGGTGGGCTTATTGTGGGTCTGTCCGAGGAATAGCCGACAAGTAGGTATGGAGGGGAACAGGAAATGACTACTTTGGCAAAGGATAATTTGTGTTGGGAGATATTGTGGATCAAATTAATTTATGTGGAAGTATTCTACGTCTTGAAAGTCCCCCCTTGTCCATTGTCCGGACCTATCCACAGAGCGACTTGATATCCGCGGGCACGTAGACCTTCAGGATAGCGATCAAATCCGAAAGATGGATCCAATCCAGGGTGCCGTGAATACTCTGCACCGGCTGGCCACTGTAAAGAACACGGGCGTAGTAGCCAGCACTTCCCTTACCGTGGGTTTTCCTAGAGCACGTTAGAATATGTCTATTAGAAGCCTGCGCGTAGAGTTAATAAACTTACCAAACTTCGAAAGCAACGTTGGATGCCATGGCCGGCCAACGCAGAACGTTGATACCCAGAGCTCCAAGGATAGGACCAATGTCACCATCGTGAACGAAGGTATGGCTGTAGTCAAGAGTAGAGGACCCATCCAGCACGGCCTGCAGGTGAGCAACGATCTCACCGATGAAAAGACCCTCCACGACTTGAATGTACTTGGTGACGTACGGGTTGGCGCGCCAGTAGTAGTTCCATTCCCAGTCACCGGCACGGAAAGCTTCCTCTGCCATTTCCATAGTCACACATGCGGAGGAGTTGGACACGCTGCAAGGCAACTCATAGCCGTTGCACAAGCGGGCCTGGAAGTTGTCACAAAAGTGGTCGAAGGTGTTCTGCCACGAGCTAGATGTGGCACCAAGCATAGAGCCAAGCTTAGAGCGCAGGTCGCTGGTCACAGAAAGATGCTCCTTCCACTCGGCGGTGGACTGCAAGGCACTCAGTGTGGAACTGATGGCGCTGCACGAATAACCCTCGTTGACAGTGTCGACCGAGGAGACCATCTGGTGCAGAGGCAGGGCGCCCTCGTAGTCGGGCCAAACTCCGCGAAGGACGGCACCAGCAGAGCCCTGGGTCAGTGCGGATTCACTGGAACGGAACCACACACGATCGTTGGGCTTCTTGGGAATAAGGCCGAGCTTCTTGCCATAGACCTTGTAGAGATCCTTGCCGTGCTGGTATCCATCCTGAACACCGCCGATGGTGATCTGGGGATACTGGCAAGTACCGTTCACAACAGGGAGGAATGGGTTGGTAGGATCCTGGTAAGTTTGAGCGTACATCGGCATAGGCTGAATGCCACTGTTGCTGTTTGCACCAGCATAAAGGTAAGGCCGAACATTATCACACTCGTAAGCTTGATTCTAGAAGGATGTTAGTCGATGTTGATTTTCTCACCGTCAGGAAAAGACTCACTTCGCCACCAGGGAGAAGGTTGTAAGGAGAGCGACGTTGATGGCGCTGAAGGTACTCAAGGTAAACAAGGTCGGCCTTCACGGACCCATTAGCGATGGGTCCTGGCATCTTGTACTCCTGAGACCGCGGGTGCGGCATGGAGCAGTAGTCGTAAGTGCCATACGGATTTCCTCCGGTCGGACCATTGGTGGGAGCCTTGTAAATACCACCATAAGTTCCGATGGAAGCATTGGAGATGTATGAGGTATCATTGAGGTTTGGCGGATAGAAGGTATCCAGGGGCGACAGGCCGAGAACCGGACCAGCAGCCCCGAGGACGAGACCAACAGCGAGGCTGCGCATGATGAGCTGATGATCTAGAGAGTTGGAAGAGAAAACAACTCAACGGGTGCTGGACAGCCATGTCAATCAAGCGCGCGTGTCTCAATTTATCAATCGCGTTGACATCAGAGCTCGGCAGTACGGTCGCACTAGAGATCGACTACGAGGGGCTCCACCTCTCTCAGTGACCAGTCGCGCGATCTGCTTCACCACACGTGGGAATAAGCACTATCCGACGCGAAATGAACCCCACGCTAAGAGATTACAGAGATCATGAGATGTCGTCTGTTGTTCCCGATCGGGTCAAAGGCTAGAATGTGGTGAGAACCAAGTGAGTTCGTGCCCGGAGGTTTCCCGACGATGGGGCCCACCTGTACTTGCCTAAGGGGCGTCTAAACATGATGGCTGCATAAATTATTGAGTGCAGCCAAGAATCGCTTTTCTCCCTTCCTACCCAGTACCACTTCCCACGGTTCAAACAAGAAGACTGACTCACATTTGAACATGCGTGGCATCACTCTGTCTGTGGCTGTCCTGGCCACCTTATGGGCCTCTGTTGCCCAGTCCACTTCGCTGGGTCATTTCGCCCTGCAGAAGGTCCTCGATGATGCCTCTCCTATCTTTGGCTCTTATTCCAAGCAAACCAACAGCAAAACAACATGGATGAAAGGGTATTCCGATGATACCCTTCTGGTCCACATGAACATTCCTGGCACTCACGATAGTGCGACGTGGAACTACACCCAAGCCACGCAAGATGCCAACCGCGGTATCACCGACCTCAACCAGGTCACACCGCCAGTACCTGAAGCACTCCGCTGCCAAGAACTCCCCCTGATTGATATGCTGAACATGGGAATTCGTGCATTTGATCTTCGCTATGCATTCGATGCCACAAACAGCACAATCATCTTCTATCATTCTCAGGGGTTGCTCTCGGAGACTGCGACTCTGGACGATGTGCTGTTTGGCTTCTACCGCTGGCTTGATGATCACCCATCAGAGACTCTGTTCTTGTCCATGCAATACGAAGGCTCAACTGCCAAGCATGCATCCAACAATGCAGCACTTCAGCTGAAGCTCCACGATGCTTTGACCTCTCCCGCCGCTCGAGAATACTTTGTCCAGACAAAGGATCAGCTGGGAACACTTGGACAAGCCCGTGGAAAAATTACTCTACTGCGTCGCTTTGATCTGGATCAGTTGCCTTCCTCATACACAAGCTCCCTGCCGGGCCTTCATTTCTCGCCCAGCCTGTGGACAGACAACAGCCCAGACATTGTTTTGACCTACAACACACAGGAGAATTTGACGGCTTACATTGAAGATTACTATGAGCCTCTTACACCGACCGGCTCGAACGCCACAGAAAACATTCAGTGGAAGTACAATGCTACCACCAAGAACATCATCAAGGCTACCACCGAGTATCCTGACAGCCTGTTCTGGACATGGGCCTCTAGTACGAACCTCGACAATGTGCCTCCAGAGTGGCCTCGGGTCATGGCTCTTGGGAACGGCACATTGACCCCCGCCGGTGGAGTGAATCAGCTTCTCGTTCCTTTCCTGAAGCAGCAGAAGGGCAAGCGTGTCGGAATTGTGATGTTTGACTTTTTCGATCAGCCGTCCAAGCTCATCGACACCTTCCTGAGCCTGTAGATAATCTAAAACACCAGAGACTGCTGAATAGTTAGGAACATGGTACATAAAGTCAATTAATACTCTCCATGTTTCCTTTATTGCGAACCCAAGACCGTAGAGTACGCCAAGCCAGCTCGGTAGCAATCACACGGACTTCAATGCCTTGAGTAAACTATGCGCATTCCCAAATATACTCAGATTCCCTTTTTCCTACAAACTACGACCAAGTCATGAGGTTCGTGTCGATTATCTTCCCATTAGCTGATGCCTGAGGCGACCATAATAGGCTCCGCGGCTGATCGGCATGGCTGAGCCTAGTGGCGTTGATATGAACCTCGGCCTAAATTTTTGGCAGTGTGCCTAAGTGTTCCGTTAGAGGCCTTCCGCGGTAAGTTGATGCTGATTTAAACTTCTTCGGTTTCGTCATTGGGCGCAAGCCGGAGGATCGGAATGTTGAAACCCGAATAGATTAAAAACTAAGCAGCTTTGAGCAAATGCACTCCGGTAAGATAGGTATTCGAGTCGAGCCCTTCAGACATCATCCAAGAAGACTGTGCTTAGTTTGCTCCATCAAAGTATTTTGACTTGGCAGGGACCCATTTGGCCCACGAAGCATAGTGCGCCACTGTTTAATGGGGTAAAATTCCATAGAAAGCTTACATTGGGAGTTATGCTTCATACAGGGTCCAGAGCCAGGGCGGATGACTTGTAAACCTAATACTCAGATCAAAAGCCTCTAGATCCTCTAGATCCTTTTTGTCATCATGCTTAGTTTTTTAACATTCGTCTTACTTGTGCGAAGAGCGGTGATCGTACTCGATAAGGCTGTTGATGTCGTGGACCCACAGAGCGGAATGATCGGGAAGCCGGACCCTTCTGACATCATTGACTGAATAGCTCGGAGTGATCATTTTTCAATTCAAACCAGCCGAGGAACTTTTATCATAATGCACGCGAGCTTCCGTGGGAGATCTGTTCCGAGACTAAAGATATTATAATCTTGGATGTTCTTTTTCAAATTCTCACACACCCTGATCTACTCCTTAAACGAACCACTCGCCCTGCGCCGATCTCCCGATAGACATGGCCCCAGTAGCGCCCGCTACTGGAGGGGCAGCCTCCGAACGATATGACGGAATCCGATCGGAGGACTGGCAAACGGAGGTCAATGATCCCTATTCTCATGATAGTGGTGATCGAATGCAGTTCAGTGGCGACGGATTAGACACCGGTGTTCGAGTGTTAGGTGCGTAAATTTAGATTCATTTGCGATCAAGCTTCACTACTGACCACATGAATTACCTCTAATAGGCGATGGGCGCTTGGATATCCGAATCAATGAACACAAGCCCAGTATCGCAGGGCTGCTTCACCTTCAACGCACCCCTATACCATCCGAGCTCGAAGACGCTGAAGAAACAGACGGCGCCGCCAGGGTACAAGCGGAGGATGGCAAATATTTCCCGCTAAACCTCAACATCGTCATCCAAGTGATTGGTTCGCGGGGAGACATACAGCCATTCGTCGCTCTAGGAAAAGAACTAAAAGCACATGGGCATCGGGTCCGACTCGCCACGCATCTTGCGTTTCGAGAATTCATTCTCGATGCCGACCTGGAGTTCTTCAATATTGGTGGCGATCCAGCGGAGCTGATGGCTTTCATGGTGAAGAATCCCGGGCTACTTCCGAGTATGAACACGATCCGGAGCGGTGCGATTCAAAAGCGCCGCAGGGAGATGAAGGAAATGGTCGATGGGTGTTGGAGATCCTGCTTTGAGATGGGCGATGGCACACACCTGCATCAAATCAAGGAAGACCCATGGAGCGATGTGGTGGATTATCGTCGGCGTCCGTTCGTTGCGGATGTGATCATTGCTAACCCACCTAGTCTGGCACATATCCACTGCGCTCAGAGACTGGGGATACCTCTTCACATTATTTTCACGTAAGCCAACTCTTGGTCCTGTCAACAAAGTTCAGCACGGACTAACAACAAATTAGTATGCCATGGTCACCCACGCAATCATTCCCGCATCCCCTTGCTGTTCTTCATCAACAAGATTCTTGCAAGCCAACGGTCGCAAACTTTGTCTCCTATGCCATCGTGGACATGATGATTTGGGAAGGTCTTGGCGACATTGTCAATAAATATCGCCGCAATGTCCTCTCCCTGGATTCGTTGGACGGAATCACCGCTCCGAGCTTGATCCACAAGCTACAAATCCCCTGCTCATACCTCTGGTACGTCCTATGAAATCCATCATTAACAACTCCAAATAGTGAATCCTGCTGATTTCTCAATCAGGTCCCCAGCTGTTCTTCCGAAACCACAAGACTGGGGTGACCATATCGACGTTTGTGGTTTCAGCTTCCTCCCCTCTAAGCCGGACTATACTCCCCCCGATGAAATCGCACGATTCCTAGAAGCTGGATCAACGCCTATATACGTTGGCTTTGGTTCAATTGTAGTCGATGATCAGATAAGACTAACAAAGGTTGTCTTCGAGGCAATCCAGAAATCCGGACAGCGTGCCATTGTTTCGAAGGGCTGGGGCAACCTTGGTGTCGACGAAGTGGATGTCCCTGAAAACATTCTTATTATTGGAAGTTGCCCCCACGACTGGCTATTCCGACAGGTATCATGTGTGATCCATCATGGTGGAGCTGGTACAACTGCCGCAGGATTGGCACTTGGATGTCCAACAATCATCGTTCCATTCTTTGGCGATCAGCAATTCTGGGGAGATATCGTTGCGAGGGCTGGCGCTGGACCGTCGCCCATTCCCCACAAACGGTTGACTGCGGATGGCTTGAGTGATGCGATCGAATTTGCCTTGAGAGATTCGACACTGCAAAAAGCGCGGGAAATTGCAAAGAAAATGGAAAACGAGTCGGGCGTGCGAGATGGTGTACGCAGCTTTCATCGCCAGCTTGATCTTCGGACACTGCGATGTGCGATATGCCCGTCACGGCCTGCGGTGTGGCACTTGAAACACACAAATCTCGGATTCAGTGCCTTTGCAGCAGCAGTGTTGGTAGAGACGGGGAAGCTCAAACCGGAGGATCTCGTCTTGTGGGTGCCATTCTGTTCCAATTCACGATAAGCGACTAACTTTTGCGTAGGAACCGGCCAAAGGAATATGATACCCATCGTGATCCAGTCGGGCCATTGAGTGCCAGCGCCCAAGTTCTTTTTGGAGCTATTGCAAACTTTGTGACTGGTATTGCAGAAGTCCCTACTGATATGGTTGGCGATATCGTTGCTGCAGGACGTGCCATAGGCCACTCTCGTGAACACCTAGACATCCAGCACAAATGGCGACATCGGAAATGTAAAGGTGCAAACTCGAATTCTCAGAGTGATGGCTCCATAGAAACCGAAGAGAGCGCTCACCAAGATGAGAGGGCTCAAAGTTCTCGACCAAATAACCTAAGTGACCCCGACGAATCTCTTCCAGACGAAGATAGTGAAGATGAAGAAATGATCAACGACAGCAGCGAGTCACGCTCCACGGATATAGTCCCAGATCAAAGTATGGACAGGAGACGCAGTCTTCAACTTGAGAAATCCCAAACCATGAGCTCGCAATTCGCTCCCTCAAAGCCGCACACTGTCCTCTCCGAGGCAGCCAATTTGGGCGGCAAGATGTCGAAGAAATTTGTCAATCTTCTCATTTGGCTACCAACAGACCTCACGCTCAGTCTTTCCAAAGGGTTTCACAATGCCCCTAAATTATACCATGACCCGATGGTGAAGTCGACGCCCACAGTGCATGATGTTCGCAGCGGATTAAGGGCCGCTGGAAAGGTATTTGCTTTCTCCCTGTTCCCCAATCGCAAAACCTTGAGCTTTTACTTACGTTGTGCTTTGCATTTGACAGGAATTTTACGACGGCTTTTACTATGGCGTGACAGGACTAGTAACCCAGCCTCGATACGGATACAAGAAAAAAGGCACCAAGGGAATGATCAAGGGAGTAGGGAAAGGACTGGGTGGAGTCTTCTTCAAGCCACCTGCAGGTATGACAAAAATAGCCACCGAACTTGAAAAATACATGTAATCTGACTGTATCTCACAGGTCTCTGGGGATTGGCAGGCTACCCCTTGAGCGGCTTACGTCGAAAGCTTCTCGATTCTCTGGGTAAATCCAGCGAAGGGCAAATCATTCTCTCCCGGATTGCCCAAGGACATGAAGAAATGTGTGCGTCTTCGGCTGATGAGAGGAGTGAAGTAGTAAGGAAGTGGATGATAATTGAAGAGTCACTGAAGCAGACCAAGAGGACGAGCAGACGGTGTCATTCGCGGCCTCAGCATCATGCACCACATATACCTCAACTTGTAACGCCAGCCTAATGTACATACCCCTTTCAATTTTGCCTAATTTATTTCGATAAGACCAGGGATACGGGGATGAAACGGCCTAAATGCAAGGGTTCCGCTCGTAGAGTTGACCACATTAGGGGATTCGGCCCCAGTCCTAGTGATCCTTTTGATTTTCTGTCGCTCATGGCATCGACGCCATAGCCGACAGCCTCATGGGTCTCTACCGTAGTTAAGGTGAAATCTTGGCAAAGCTTGTCTGGTATTGAAGTTTATCGCAGGACTTACACCCCAATTTCCGAAACTTTATTCAAGGGAAGATTTTGAGACTAATTCCGAGACTAAATTCGCGACCCTGCAGCGCTAAATGAGGAGGTCACAGAGCGGTGATAGATCACAAAACGGCCCCGTGGCGTGCATTAGTCGCTGCCACCGACACTGTTGTTTCTCCGCGAAATCGCTCCGCAGGACCCTGGAGCTGACACGAATACCTTTTATGCCTTAACTCTTTGGGGAAGGTGGTAGAACTGGATGTGGATACGAGACATGGATATCCAGATCGGACGTGATCTCGATCAGTGAGTGTGATAGAGTACTTTTGACACGCAGAGGGCTCACGTGATTAAGTTGTTAGAAGTCAATCATTTCTTTGTTCTACTTTTCGACTTTTCTGCTTTTCTCACCTTCGCACGCTGAAGCTCTTCTTGTTCTTTGAATTATGTGATGTGATACTCTCTTCACCTTATATTACTAGCTTGATAAATACATTGCGTTCCTCTGCTTCGATTCGTGCCTATTTTCCGATCCGCCGGCCTAGCTCCTCCTACGCTACTCAGCTACGGACCTTGCTCATCCCAAACACTCATCAAATGAGTCTAGTCCAGGAGAATGACAGGAAATCACGCCGAACGTGGAGTTCGCTCTGTTACTTGAACCCACATATCAGAGATCGCGAAAAGACCAAGAACATTTCGCGTCTCCCAGGGGCGCGTTGGGTTGATAATTGACAGGTCAAAGTTGCGCAAGAGCTATGTCAGATCGCCAACTCGTTAGCTTATTGCCCGAAAGTGAGAAATTCCTTTTCAGCAACATGCGAAATAACTTCACTAACCTCGAAAACAGTCTTTCCGATCTCGATTTGAGCCACCGGCTTGCCCAAACACTGGAACTTTCCGTGACCGAATGTGAGCTCGTTGGTTCGAACCATCTCAGCCAACTTGGCGGGGTCAGACTCGAGCCAGCGCTCAGGCCGGAAAGCCTTTGCGTCCTTGCCATATGTCTTCTCACTAAGGTGCATGCCATATGCCGAATATCCGATACATACACCTCCCGGAAGGAACACGCTCTCGCCGTCGATGAGGACGGTATCACCACCGGGCGGAACATCACGCGAGAAGATGTTCGCAACGGGCGGCCAGACTCGCAGAGCCTCGCGAATCACAGCCTGAAGATAATCAAGTTGTTTGGCCTGGGTGGCAGCGATGAAGCCTTTGCCTGGTCCCGGCGCAAGTCCATCTCGTACGGCATCATCGACCTCGCGCTGCAATTTGACGTACACGCGGGGATTCGTCATGATATGCAGAAGGATACAACGAATGGCGCCAGCGGTGGTATCAGAACCCGCAATGATTTGCTCCAGCGCCTCCGTGCGCAGCTCATCTCCTGCCAGGCCGTGGCGCATGAATGAGGCTAGCATATCCGATCGTTTATCAGTCGAGCTTGCAGCGCGCTCGTCTACGAGGCGGAAGCACGCGGCCATCATTTTGCCGAAACCGTTGTTGTCCTTGGGTGAGGGTGCAATGAACCTGCCGATGAAGGGTGCTTGAGCGAGCCAGCTGAAACCCAGAGCGAGGGCGTTGTGACCGATAGTCAGCCCCTCCTCGCTCGATTGGAGGTAGTTGTCCACATCTTGATCGCTTTCTAGCATACCGAATGCTTTGCCGAGGCCCACGCTGCTAATGACATCAAGCGTGAAATACTGCACCTTTGTCGCTAGGTCCATAGGTATGATCTCACGGTCGGACGAGACATATTTTGACCGGATGAGATGCAAAAAGTCCTCGAGTCGCTCATTCACGGATTCCTCCAGGTGGAGGTTCTCCCTTCCGGAGTACTATGCCATATCCACTGGTCAGCAGCCTTGAAGGGGGAGAACAAGTGGTGAAAGAGTTTGTCAAGGAAGATAAGGAGGCTATCATACCCCTGGAGCCATTTGCTTTCTGCGCTGCTCATGCTTTACATTGTCCGTCTGGCTGAAGACATTGTCTCTTCGGTACTCAATCCGCGTGGCTTTGTAATACCAGTCGGATCGCTTATAGCCGGGCTTGTTGTTTACATGCATCCAAACTTCCGGAGAAGACGTGATCAGCACCCGAGGTGCGACACGGGCGATGGGACCTGTCTCACGATGAGGCTGTTAGCTGTGGGCGGAGAGAAAATCATCCGAATAAAGATGCCAGCACGATAAGTGCCTCGAAGTGGTCCGCACCATATTTCTGGTTGACCTCCGCGTACCACTCGTGGCAGTTACCGCGCAGCATCGCTATGCTATGGGGCCAGTTCGAAATCCCGGTCCACGTGGGGCCCCGGAACTGGCGCAATCTCGTATACGTGGTGATTGTCCTGAGCACATAGAGGACCAAAAGGCCACACAGGGCCATCACAGCCGGCCCCGACATGGTGTCTATTGCCATGGCGAAACCCGACATGAACAGGTAGTTGACGAGAGTGAATGAAGCTTAAATTTCGTCAACCCCCTCACCCTTGTCTTACGTGGATACTTTGGGACTGGCCGGAGTGGTTCGGGGGCCTGTCATCTGCCGTTGGCTACATACGCCAAGATACGCTAACTCTCATTGGGATCCTCACTACGTTGCCCACGTTCCCGTCAGAAAGCTGACGAGAGATAGCGCTGTTATCGCTTGCCTTATTATTGTTCCCGTTCGTGACTATGAAAAGCGGTGTGGGTGGGTCACTGATCGGAAAACTATTCCCTCGAATCCGCATTGGCAGGTCTCAGACAACCAAAAAGCAACTATAAATTCTCGATACGGCGTGCATATGACTGAGTGTACTCAGGGTGACACTGAGTATTTGAATAACTACGTGGGATCTGCCAGAGAGATCTTCATCTACGTCAAAAACAAGCAACCGCTTCAACGAAATATTTGCAAGAACGTAGCAATACTCAAATGAATTGAAGTCAAATGCCTCTTTATTGATAGGCCGAGAAATATGGGACATTTCTAACGCTCTGCTAAAATACTTAATGGTCACATACATGAATTCCTCGAGGCACCTTCTATGAATGTCGAATGTTGATCACTCTTAGTCTTGCCCGACGACTCTGCCGGCAACAAAAGCAACCGCCTAGGGTCGAAAACCTCCTTGCCACATGGCGCGATAGTGTCGAACAAGGAAGCCTGCAAGAACAGGCTTCCGGGGGCTTTGGGGGTTTCAGTAAAAGCGGGGCTGAGCAGCGCATGTCAGTTTCTCGATACCCTCAGTGTCGGAGAGATAATTGGATCCGCTTACCTTCCACATTTGGTGCAGAAATATCGCTGTTGAGATAGGCTATTAATACCAATTGGACTGCACAGTTTTCATTTGATGACATCTGTCAAGACCTACCTGGATAGCATACCCTGCGGCGGTATTAGCATCATCGTAGATACCTAACGTGTTGTCTCAATCTTCAACGGTGATTTCATCCTCAGCAATGAAATAGTTCACAGAGGATGCTGGAGTAGGTCAGCCCAAGAATGTTGAAAAGAAAACCTTCAGTAATAGAATTAGTCTTACCACCACAAGCCCGTTTACAATTGTCGATTTATTCGCAATTATTGTCAGTAAACTTTGATGACAAATTATTGTTTCTGGAGCTGATCCGTATCAGTGACAAACAACCGAACTGGCGGGTTGTTCTTGAAGCGTGATTCGAACGCTATTGCAGTTGCAGTGTCCGACGTATGCCATTTTTCTTCTGAGTGGCTTGAGTGGATTTAATTCGGTCTTCCGTTGAAAGATAATCTCGAAGAATATGCCTTGGATGTCGGATTAAAATACATACGAAGAGATCTTGCCAAAAAGAGGAGGCTACAGCAACCTGGTCCTTTTCTCCACTTGGACTTCTGAATGGTCCCCAGATAGTAAAAAAAAGAATCCTCTATTCCGAGGTGTTATTATGATATATAGGAGCTAACCGCTAGAGGAACATCTCTAGAGACATTGTTCAAACTTGAAAGATCGAGTTGACGCTCTACCGCATTGTACTGTACTGCTGGAGATCCCCACCGGCAGCGCCATGGTTGCCCTGGCCCTTGTTTGTCTCCTTTCTTTTTTTTTTTTTTGCCAGCGCTCTATAAGATAGCTTCTATAGCTCTGCAAGATCATACTTTTTCTCTTTCTCCAGACTCCCCAGACTGCTTCTTTTTTGCTTCTTGCTACCCGGTGCTTCGCCTATATACATGGGTGTCCCTAACACCCGCATATATTGATTCATATAATCGACAACCCTTTGAATCATCTTTCACGATATAGCCGAGTGGAACCCTCCCTCGATGGGCAGGACGGGGTCGAAGTAAAAGTCGAACTCGAAGTCGAACACGCAGTCATCCTTTCCTGAGCTGATTTCGACCGGTTTGGCGGGAAGGACCCGCGACTTGCGGTCTACCTTACGGACTCTTGAATCTCCATACATGGAGAGCTTCGGAGAGCTTCCCGGAAGCATTGCACACCCCCGAGGTCTAAACTGGTATTCTCTCCCTGCTTCGTGTTATATACCCCTATCTTTTTCCCTCCCACTAAGCTGACTAGTTCAACGACTCCCTCAAGTCACATCAGATTAGCCCGACGTTTATATTATGTGAATGTTCAGCGTGCTATCATGGATTCCTCACATACGCCTATAACAACCCCCGAGAGAGCGTCCATGCAGGCTTGGGTTGAGGAAGCCAGCAAGTCGGTGAGTGTCTACGCCTAAGGCTAGATGCTAGGCGAAAATCTATGTCTAACGTCTGCCGTGAGAAATTTCTAGACACACAACCAGAAAGCGCCTGAGCTTTTCTTTAATGAGGTTCGAACATAAAACTCTCAAGAGCATTTCAGTTGATAGGGAGCTTTATCTGCACGGGAAGTACTCGCACTCAACAATCAATGCCCGCGGTACACCAACTAGGGGATGAGCAACTCCATGCTGGACCTTGAGTTGAACATAATGACGATGGTGGTGGTATTCAGGAAGGGGTATACACAGCGGAGACCGTGCACCTTGATGCCGCTCCTGAAGTTGACCCAGGTGCTGCTATTCCAGATGCTCACTCTCCGTTGATCCGCAACTTTCGCGAGGCACTACATAATGAACATTTAGAGATCTGCCAGCGATGCTGCGAGAGATCGCCTGGCCGAAAGCTCACGTAAAGTCAAGATTCCTAGAGCTTCACGAAGCTTACGACTGTCTTTGGAAACACGCCCAGGCATCCTGCCTGAACAAATGCCAATATGTCAAGTCGAATCGCTCACCAGTACCGAGTATCATCAATCTGAGTGCGGAAATATCTAGTTGGCAAGAGTGATGCTCAATTTGGAACCAGGTTGTTGATCTATATAGGTACTGGGGTCTGGTAAGCTGGCGGGCTAGAAGGAAAATATCCTCTCTTTGCCTTGCCTGAGGCTGTACGTGAAATCCGCCTCTGATGTTTTATATGGCTTTTTCACAATTCCACATCCCCGCAAGAAGTCAGTTCGGCAACACAGGAGCTCAAAAATCTGAAGATGCTCGTCCAGTAAAAGGACATACGTGCAGCTCTTGGACATGACTGCTTCCCTTTGTTGTTCGGCACGTCAACCATAATGTACTCGATGCGAGAAAAACTAAGGGAGTTCACAGGAGTACCATCAACCCTCTATTTCCCTTGTACGGGTTGTGAGGGTGGTTAATATGGTCGATACTAAGCTGTGGACATTGTCTTGATGTACGGAGAGGATGATGGCACTTCGTTTACCAAAACGAAAATGAGAATCACAAGCAATATATGGAGCCACTTGATTGTGTTTGAATGGCTGGGACTTTTGCTTCATGGTTCAAGGAAACTATGTCCTTGAATAACTACCTCTCGCTTTTTTTTCTACATCTGTCTCTTGCTATCAAGTACGAATGTCCTATGACTGGCTAGAGTTAGTGATACTGTTCATCAATATAAGATACGCTCGCATGATAGAGAGTGGATTACGGGTTCGGTGAAGGCGTGGATGGCAGGATATCATCCAGTTTTCGCCAAGCAAGGGCTATCACATCAAAACAACGAAATGAGATACTGCAGCCGTCAGCTTTGTTCAAGATTGAGAGATAATGATGCAAACTTCAAATGTACATCGCCTCAAGTCTATGAATTGCTGATGTAAAATGAATGAAAGGATGTTTCCACCACATAAAATGCGATTTTTTTGTAGACAATATAATGGGCATCATTGGGCTTGGTTGCGCTGCTTCATGAGAACCCCCAAAGGGACATCATCCTCATCGTAGAAATCAGCGTCCTCGTCAACACCAAAATCTCGCAAGCGTTCACCCTCCGCATTTCGCCAAGACTCCTCGCCCTCATCCGATTCATCACCATATACAGGCCTTGGTCCGCGCTCGTCATCTTCATTCCGGTCATCTTGCTGCTTATAGCGCTCGTGAAATCGCTTGCGTCTTTGAATCTCAGAAAATGGTCTTGTGCGCTTGAAGTCTTCTGCTTGGCGATGATGGAATGCCTCGATCTCCTCCCGCGCAGAGGAGTAGGTCTTCAGTAACTCTGAATCATGGCCTGGTAAGGGACCGGCCGGTAGAGGAATGCGATCGGGGTCTGGTGGAGGCCACGATACACCCGGATCTAGATGATCAGGCATTGGTTTGACTTCCACGACTGGCTGATTGGCGGATTGTTTACATACCTTCAAAGTCGTTGATTTCAAATTCCCACCCACTCTTCCGATCTGGCGTGGCCGCCAATGGCCAGAACCAGCTAATTATCTGGAATGGCATTAGCTAGCAACCTCTGTCGGAAATATGGAGTGACTTACATTAGCATTGCCGCCCATGCCATTTTTGATATTTGACCAGATCCCAATATCGTAGGGGAACTCTTGCTTTGCGATTCGAATTTTCTTCCCACCAGGTCCTTCTAGATAGCCGCCCAGAACACGGGCGCGTCGAAGCAGAGTTTCATGCCTTTCAATTTCCCAAGATTCTATGGTCGTTGTGTTGAAGAGAAGAGACCAAAGGCTTCGCACGAGAAGAATGAACAGAGCAAAGACTGTCATGCTGTTCACGACGAACAGGAGAAATAGATGAATAAGCTGTCCGACGGATGGCCCGAGGTACTGAGACACAATCAGTAGTTGAACGGCGACCTCTCATCGGTTGGATTAACTTACACTTGGGAGATCCCTACTCTTCCAAACAATAGCTCCACGCTCCCAAAGAAGGGTCTCGAGGTAACCCATTCCAACCACCGCATAGAAGAGGAAGCGAATGAAGTGGGGAAAAGTGAAATGCGAGACACAGTTGGAAGTCCATGGACAATGATGATCCATCTTCGGAATGCATCTAAATAAAATTAGCCTTGGTTCGTCGATCCCATATTGCAGTACAAACGAACCTCTTGCATGTCTTACAGTGATGAGCGCGAGGGGGTTTATAAGCCTCGCATCTACGGCACCACCGTTGCCGACCTATGGTGATGTCTTTGTCGGCATGACCAGAGGTACTCGACTTCATATCTGCAGGAAGATGCCCTGGGTCTACAAAACATGCGCGGAAGTAGCAGATCCAAATGCATAAAGCAAATATGTTGGTCTTCCACACTTCATCTTTGCGTAGGGGCGCGGACTCGAAATGGAGAAAGAAGTACTGGGAGGTATAAGCCAGAAAGCTGATCAAGAAGCTGACGGAAGGAATTGCCAGCTGAGATATTTTGAAGTCATCGCTCAGCATTTCGAATTTCACGACCTTGCAGCCACGAGACAGGCGTGGAGAAGATTGTCAATGGTCGTGGACGTGTTATTTCTTGGCACGGGGCCTGGATGGGATGACTAATCCCAGGGCATGGGGGACCGATGGAGCTCCAATTGGGACCTGTGAGTCTTGAGGTCGTCGGCCACTCACCTCCGCATTGAGGATCTGAACAACAATTCAGTTGCGAACCGGGAAGTCGCTGACAAGAATATATACTGAGCCAGTGAACTTGTTCGATCGGGGCAATGAGTGGCTAGTCGCGCCTTCTCAAAATGCCGATCGAGGCTCTCCCGCAGGCCACTGTCCGAGCAATTGGCTCCACTTCCGTCATCTCAGATCCCTGCTCAGTCGTCAAGGAGCTTCTGGACAACGCTCTGGATGCGTCTGCATCCTCGATTTCAGTTGAAATATCGCAGAATACCATCGATGTGATTCAGGTCAAAGACAATGGACATGGCATTGCTGTTGAGGATCACCCTTGCGTTTGTAAGCACACTTTTACCAGCAAGATTTCGACCATTAACGATCTGAGAAATGTCGGCGGAACTTCTTTGGGATTTCGTGGTGAAGCGCTGGCCAGTGTTGTTGAGATGTCGGGCGGCGTCAATGTCATCACACGCGTCGCCTCGGATATCGTCGCGTCAAGTCTTGAGTATGGGAGAGACGGAGAACTTTCCCGGTAGGTTCCCACGCTTGACTCTCCAGATTCGCTTCTTTCTGACCGATTGGGTTAGGTCTCAAAAGACTTCTCATCCAATTGGGACTATGGTTCGCATTCAAAACTTTCTGAAGTACATCCCTGTGCGAAGGCAAGCTGCACTCAAGGGAGCTACGAAATGCCTCACGAAAATCAAAAGCCTCATCCAAACTTACGCTCTGGCCCAGCCCACCAAGAGATTCTCATTCAAAGTCCTCAAAGCCAAGAACGAAAACAACAATTGGTCATTTGCACCAGGTGCCGATTCAGCACTTGTTGATGCAGCTGTCAAGGTTGTTGGGCGTGATGTTGCTTCCTGCTGTACGACTAAACAATCCACGCCCAGAGTCAACTCGATTACTGATGGCAGTCTTGACCAAACAAATTATCAAGTTACGGCTTTTCTCCCAAGAGTCGATGCAGGTAATTCTACCCGACCCGGTCGTAGATGAGACGTTCATGGGCTGATGATCGCAGATTTCACAAAGGTCAACAAAAAGGGCCAATTTCTCAGTATCGACGGCAGACCCCTTTCCACATCTAGGGGTGTTGGTCACGACATGGCGAAGTTGTTCAAATCTTACATTCGTGCCGCTGCCTCGAAAATTGAAGCACCCAAATCAGTCAGCGATCCATTTCTTTGTCTCCAGCTTAAGTGTCCCCTGGGAAGTTACGACGTTAATATTGAGCCGGGCAAAGATGATGTACTCTTTGAGGAACGAGAACTGGTGTTTGACCTCATTGAGAGCCTCTTGGCTGACCATTACGGGGCTCTGCCAGACGCGGCGAGAAAGAGTCCGGCCAAAAAGACATCATCATCTACGAACGCCCACGAAAACAATGCCGGATTCGACCTGCTTATGGCTAAAAGACCGAATCAAAGCTCTGGAGTGTCACCCGAGGAAAATCCTCACACTGTAGACATCCCCATCCTCACCAATCTTGACTCGCGGAGATCGTCAGGCCCGCCTAGTGTGCCATCTCCAGAACAAACGCCCAGTAAAGGAGGTCCAAGTAGGGGGCTTAACAACAACCCAGTTGTTGAGGGTGATTGTCCTCGTCAAATCAATCCATGGTCCATCTCACGGATCAACGCTTCATTCCAGGCTCCAAGTCGTGGAGTTGCCCCGTTCCCGGCGCTCCAGGCCAGCCCAGCAGCCACCCCACAAGAATCCAGACAAAGAAATGCACCGCGGAGACCAATATCAATTTCGCCACTTCAAATTTCAGAAACCTCTAGTCCGGTTCTTTCTAGACTGACCCCTGTTTCTCCACTGAGTCGCCGTCCACACCATCAAACGCCTCACGAATCCCCGCTCCAATCGACTTCGTCGATTAGTGCCTCCAGAAGAGCAGCGCGAGAACGAGACAAGGAGCGTTATGGGAACGGTGCCCTTGATACTTGGTTCCAACGAACTACTCAGCAATCAATTGCTCCGAGCTCCCCAGAGGTTCTGGCCGAGCCTGGGACCGTTCCATCACTCTCCGAGCTTGCGGAACAGCGATTCAATCCACCACAAGATGTCCCCACAATTACTTTATCCCGGGACAACAACAGCCGATTACTCTCACCTCTTCCACTCAGGGGGCAACCCCCCGACCCCTCTCCCCAACCGATGGATGGAGTCATCTCGCCTGACAATGAGCACCAGGGAAGATCTATGGACAGTGGTCGCGGGTTCCCAGTTCTCGAGAATTGGGCCGCCAGTATCCACGAAGGTTTCACCCCCGAGAGCTCCTTCGAATTGGAGAAGGCGCTAGATTTTGAACGACGAAAGCGAGAGGCCAACCAAAGACATCGGACTCGATCGGGGCAGTCGAGTGTCAGGGCAACAGCACCGACATCGAATTCTCCCCACCGAAATCGGTATCTTGCCGCCAAAGCTGCATTGGCTGCCGACAGCATCGGCATTGACCCACCTTCTGCGACAACCCTAGCCAATGGCGATCCACGAGCGTATCTCATATCTCTTCAGACCAACTCGCTGTCAAAGGATGTCTCTGAGGATCCAGGGATTTCTCGGCGAACGCGAACCAGCAGGCTGCCTCTTGAACAAATCCCAGAGGGCCTTGACCTTCACAATATTTGCCTGCCCGTGAAGGCCGGTTCTTCTGAGGTTCAAAAGCTATTCAATATTATAGCTCATTGCGATAGCTATACTCGACGTGGCGATAAGCCTGAGCCGTCGCTGTTGACTGATGTGACTGCCTTTGTCCCGTCATGGAATGAGAGACTAAGCATGATCGTCAGCAGACGTTACAAGATGCAGGACACTTCACAGCCGCTAGATTTACGCATCGATATCAGTACTGCCATTGCAGATTTCGAGAAGCAGTTCCGAGCAACTGAGAGCCAGTTCGCTTAAACGAATATTTGTAAACCAGGGTAAGGCTGGGCTTATCTACTGTATAACACACATTGTATACTATTTTGTATTTTATTGGCGTTTTTGACCGGGATGAAAGCGACATTTCCATTCTCTCATACATTGAGCTTTATGACCATAATGCACCTATTACAGGGCTGAAACAGAAACGTACTAAAATATCTTTCTCAAGTCCATTAAACGTTCACATCATTAAAATTGAGCACTTAATAACCCAGCATGCTGACTCGCAGTTCATTACTTTTCGCCATTCTCCCATTCCATTCATACACTTAGACTCCACTGCGAATATACAATTCATCTTCAGGAATCGTCTCGCCCCTGATCTGTGTCTTCTCCTCTTCACTAATACTTGCCTCCGAGATCTCTGAGCCATGACGAGCCCGCGAGATATTCTTGTTGGTATCAAAAGACTCCTGGAAATACGACTGTCGACCCGTGATGACGTTGTCAATAGACAGGGATGGAACACTGGATGCTGTGGACGGACTGCGGTAGTGCCCTGGTCTAGTGGCCTGTGTTACATCGGGTTCGGGCGTTGATGGGGAAACTGGGGACCGCATTGGAGTCGAGGCTGGAGACGTAGCGGGTGTGTCGGAGACGACGTTGAAGGGTGTGGCGAGTTCGATGGGTGAGGAGTCTGTAAAGGGTTAAAAATTTATTCAACGCGTCTTCTTCTCTGGGGGCACACAGGGCTGTGGCATACCATGCATTTCATAGACTGTTCCTCCTCCTGATTCCACGGTTCGTGGCGAAACCGACGTGAGCACGGAATCTTGCACGGAGGACTCGTTGGCCCTGGACTCCAAGCCCGTTGATGTCGACTGTGGTCCAGGGATTGGAGAGGTTGGACCGCTGCCGTACATTAACTGACTCACTTCGGTGCTATCGGCCTCCCTTGCACCGCCTGTCTTGCCAAAGGTTGGTGGAACGCTCTCAGGACGTTGACGGCGTTGACGACGACGCCAGAACCACCACCCGAAGATGAGGAGGCCGATTACGAAAAGACCAACAAGAACACCGATCACTGCGGCAGCCCACTTGGGTAGACCACTGCTCTTGTGATCTGTTGTATCGGCGGTGCTTGTACTTGTACTATTGGAGCTGTTATAGGGCCAGTAGGTCTTGATCGTCTTGGTGTATTTCGTGGCAAAGATGGCGGCTAGTGAGGAATTGGTCCATGATGAGGGGGCGGTAGTTGTTGCGCCTCCGGAGGAGCTATAGAAAGTTTTAGCGAGAATGAACTGTAACCTGTGAGCTGGGTAGTAGTCACCGTCCACCGATCTTCGCCGTCACAATGTCTGGCACTTTATACTCGCTCCACTTCTTTGGATCGTAGTTATCCACAAATGTCAGATTGTTTAAATTGAAGTTGACAATGACGCCTCCTTCCAGACAGTCGGTTGAGCCAACACGAACGCCTCCAAGCGACAGCATCTGGTCTGGATATACTTTGATGCAGCGGTGTCCGCTGCGACCGTGTGTGGTTGCGCCGGTGTGGGCCTTGATCCACGTGAAGGAAGGCAGAGACAGAATGTAAACATCATCCGAGGGATTGTTGTCCAACTCAATGCCGTTGTACCCTCCATAGATGTAGATGTTATGCGAAGAGCCATCCGATGCGCTAGCCAAGACAGAGCAGAACTGTGTCAATTGAGGTGGCGTATCGCCTGTTGTGTTCTGCAGATACCACTTCTGACTCTTGATATCGTAGACGGAGACTGTCTCCATAAAGGTCGGGCTGACTTTCTTGGTCTCTGCAGTTTGTCTAGAATTCAGCCCAGTGTTTGGCCAGAACTGAACCGGGTTTATGACTCCTCCAATAGCCACCAAGACCCCGGAATCTGACACAGGCACCCAGACCAGCTCTGCATTTGAACGTCCTTGGATTTCAGGGGGGAGTGTAGCATTTGTCCAACTGGCGTCGCCCATCGTGGACATATCAACAGTGATCAGCGTGTCGGCTGTGACGTTGGAGTTGTACTGATCGTATGTGATCGGGCCCCAATCTTTTGCGCGCATACCACTGAAGTAGAAACCCAAGTTCTCGCTTGGTGCTGAGACACCGGCGCCGTTGGTGATAAACCGAGTGAGATTGGTAGGGAGGTTCTCTCTGTGCCAACCGGGCCCCCAATTATTGCGGTAGGCGCCATATTGGTAGCCTTCATATCCCAGAACCTCATTAGCAGGCGATGTATCACTGCTTTTGGTCAAGCGAGACAATCCTCTGTGATCATTAATTACGATCAGTAAATTTCATTCATGTTCGAGAAATGCGACAAACCCGTAGAGGTAAAACTCGTTCTGATTTGAGAACATCACACCATCCCTGTGATTGGGGGCCAGATTATTGGCAGTACCACCGGCGATTGTTTCATTATGAATGACACTCATGAAATCGGAAGTAGTGTTGAACGGCGTCGAGAGGTTGAGAGAATAGATGTAGCCCCCAAAATTGCCTGTTCGTGGTCAGTCTGGCCAAACTTGTCGGTCGCATCGCTCTTTCTCTTCAATCTTACCATCATCAACATGATTGACACAGCCATCTTCAAATCCCCTGCGATTGTCAGTCTACGACAGAGACTATGAAAGAAAAAGAGGAGGGCGAGTCATACTGCTGCAACCAAAGGCCGCCGCCGTCAAGGTAAATTGTGTCTTGGAGGATATTGGCTATCTCACGGTCAATTCCGCGGCACTCAAGGTAATTTGCTTCCTATGCGCATTCAATATGAGGACAACAACGATGCTCACCTCGCAAACTTTGCCAGTTGCACATAGTAAGGTTGATCTGCTTTAGCCATGATGAACACACAGCCGCTGCGCTATCCACGGTGAGCACCAACAGCGTCAACGGGGGCACGAAAGGAAACCTCATTTTGCAAGCGCTGGAGTCACAGCCGCATCGCCAGCAATCTCTGGTCTGTCGGTTTTGTTACGATGACCAAATACTCCACGGGACAGGGCGGACTGCAACAAGACGAGGGACTTTGCATGTTGCATGTCGCGGTCGCATTTATCCCGCTTTATCAAACTAGTCGGACGCCAGTCTGACCCCCTCCAGCCTTACCCTTGTCGGCCACTAGTCAGCTGCAGGTCGATGGAAGACGGGCAAGAAGGGGCAGCCAGGCTGCGCCTCGAGATGCGGCTTTGTTCACGTCTTCTTTTGAGGCCCTCCACTTCTTTGTTGTCCACTGTAAGGGAGTCTCCACATCGAGTCCCCGTGCGATACGCACGTAACGAACCGGCCAACGAGAATTGAGACCCTCGCTGCAGCCGGGCCTGACCCTAACCATGAACGGCCCAGCCCCCGGACCAAGACTGTCCAAGACTGTCGATCAGTGGTGGAGAGAGGAACACATCCAATATCTGTCGGGTCCGGCTGATTTCGCTGACAGCGTTTCTTTCATCATCATCGAGGTTTATTGGCTTGCATCCACTAGCGGCGGCCAGCCCGCCTCGTGTCCCAGGGCTTGCATGGAAGCTCAGGTTCTGGGCTGACCGACTCCGCACGATGATGGTGTAATCATTTCCAGCCGCATCGATTGTTTACAAGGCTCGCAGGGTAGCCATGCACTCTTTGAAGAAAAGAAACGAAACTAGCGGGGCCGTGCTGCTGGGTAGCATTTCTTCTTCGCCGGCTATCCCGTCTTCGTGCCTTCCTTTAGTGCTCCCTTCTACTCCGCAGATGGTCTCAAGACAGTCCTCGAAAGCTCGCCAGATAAGTCAATGATGAGGTTCTTGCCTGCTTGTCTGTCGTTGTGGGCGACTAGTGCAATTGCGCTATCAACATACAAGGCCGATGGCTCAATTCCAATACTGACCCCCACGATCCCTGCGACGATTCCGAGCGATGTGGAAGCGCCAGCAGTGACTCCTCGGGCCCTCGGCGTGTCCGCTGAAGCCCTTGGGTATGGGATCACAACCACGGTCACGATTACTGTTGGAATTACAATTGACATTGGGGAGACCGTAACATGCACCGAGACGGTTACTCAGAAGCAAACGGTCACCAGAACTATCACTGGCGAGAGAACCACAGTCACTCGGACACTCACGAATGTTTCGACGGCAACAATAACAGTTACAACTGGTGGCACGACCGTGACAAGCGTTTCCACATCCACGATTACCCAGCCAGGGTCAACAATTACCCAGCCGGGCTCGACCGTCACAGCACCTGGATCGACAATTACTCTACCTGGGTCGACTGTTACTGAGCCAGGCGCGACAGTCACTTTGCCTGGCTCTACGATTACTGAACCTGGTTCCACGATCACTGAGCCCGGATCGACTGTTACTCTGCCTGGATCGACTGTCACTGAACCTGCCTCGACGATTACTCAACCAGGATCTACAGTTACTCTACCTGGCTCGACAATTACTGAACCTGGCTCCACGATTACTGTCCCTGGATCTACGGTTACCTTGCCTGGATCGACTGTCACCGGGCCTGGCTCAACAATCACTGACCCTGGGTCGACAGTTACCCTACCCGGAGTCACTGTTACTGAGCCTGGCTCGACGATTACCGAACCTGGGTCAACGATTACTGAGCCTGGATCTACGGTTACCCTGCCCGGATCCACAGTTGAAACCACAATTGGTGGCTCGACTGTGACTCTCCCAGGCTCCACGATCACTATCTCAGGATCGACCATCACACTTCCAGGTACTACAATCTCTGGCTCTGTGATTACCATTCCAGCATCGACCATCACAATCCCGGCCTCGACAGTAACGACTACAATAACCCAGCCTGCAAGTACCATCACGCTACCCGGCGGGACCACCACTTTGCCAGGATCAACAATAACCTCCACGATCACATACCCGGCGAGCACAGTCACCATTATTGGATCTACAACAATCATCGACACAGTCACTGTCCCAGGTAAGTTCTCGCGTTCTCTATCTACATCTTCAACTTGACTAACAGAACTAGGCCCAACCGAGACAGTGCCTACGACAATTACCGAGACCATTCCTGGGCCAGGAACAACTCAAACACAGATATCCAGCAGGACGGTTACCAGAACTGTTTCACTATCTGTATGCTCAACCCTTGTTGCCAACCCGACGTACACGCCCGCAAGTGCGCTTCCAGAGGACTATACCTGGGGCTGCCCACCTGGTTATCTCTGTAAGCCTCCTCATACAGGTGACCGCGCTGGCTGTAATATTGAAGCTGGTCTCCCCGCAACTGGATATGTCTGTGCACCTTCAGAGTGTGTGATTACTCCTCCCTTGATCTTCAACCACTCGATTGAGGGTGGCCAGCAGTACAACTTTAGCAGAGACTACTACAATCTCGATCCACAGGAGTTCGGTCTGAATTATAGCATCTTCCAATATACTGAAGAGTATGTGGTGGCAAGCAGCAAGCGAAGCATGTTCGCCCCCCTCGGAGACATTTTCCTCAGCCAAAAAGAAAAGAGGGACTTGGACAACATCCCTCCTCTCTGCTACAATCCCTGCAACGATGCTGCTCTGGAGGTTCAAGCTCTTGGCAAGGTACCAGAGCTTTGCCAGAGTGACTCTGCCTTCGAAATAGAATTGGGCAATTGCGAGTCGTGCATCAGTCGTTGGGCCTCGACACCGTCGGATGTGTATTCACAAACTCTGTTGCCCTCATTCTCCCAGTGGCTCAATTACTGTGATGATGTGACAACGACTGCTGTCAGTACGACGACGACTGCTGCCACTACCACAGCACAATCAACACCAGCTAGCACTACTGCTCAGAGTACGGCTACTAGCACTGCGGCAGGCTCAACCAGTGACTCTACGGCGACCGCGCCGACGCCCACCGCCACAGGAGGAAGTACTCAGACGACTTCATTGGGCAGTACCCAAACTGGTGATTCGAGTGGATCCACGACCGGAAATTCAAGCACTGGTGACTCAGGCTCTGCTGGATCAACTTCCGGTGCTTCGGATGCGGGTGGCTCGACTATTGCTGGGTCTGGTGTAAGTGGCTCGATTACCGGAGCTAGCACCCTAGCAACCGTCACAGGATCAAACTCGGCTGGAGCAAGTGGAACATCTGGAGACAACAACACAGATTCATCCTCGGGCTCAGCGGGCACGGACTACGGTGCGACAGGCGTCGATGCTACACGCGTTGGAGCTACCGGTGGAAACACCTCTGGCAAAGCGCCCACTCCAACGAGCTCGCGTGGTGTCGGTGGCTCATCTGGCACATCTGGAAGCCATTCTGGCACCGCGAGTGGATCTGCATCTTCTCCAGCGTTCAATGCGGCTCCATCCGCGATGAAGGTTCCTCGTACGGGCTTATTGGGTCTCTTGTTGGCGATTCTCGCGTCTCTCCTTTAAATGATTAATGGTTACGATAAGTTCTACTTCCGGTCTATAGACCGATGATAATAATTACAACGATTCGCGGCTTCAATCATAGTCAAATCCACGTTTAGCTGTCGACTCATACCTAATATGTACATTTTGCTTTTCATCGATGGGCCACCGCCGGAGATATTTCATGTATGAAGAGGGAGCTTTCAGTTTTGCGGCCTTTAGCGTAGATCCAACAGGATTTGTGTTAGGATTTGCCCTTCATCATTCTGATTGATTAGGCAGTATTATTCAAATTGTGGGCAAACAAAAAGGAATAGTACGTTCGGGTAGCTCCAGTGGACAACCTCGGTCTTGCGCAAACATCACCTCCTTCTCTGCTATTTTAAAGCCCAATTATACGAGTCTTATGAAGTTGAGCCTCATTACAGCTTGGAGCTCATATAATTAAAGTTGGCCAATCAAACCCACAGAAAAAGACTCAATAACACGTCGGAATCTCAGTCCAGTTACATAAGTCTGACATCAACAATGCGCAATACGCATCTTTATAAGTCCTCTCGGCAATTCGCTGCCCTTTTGATTGAGAACCCTAGTAACCATTGTTTATCGACATCGAAAGCAACAGACCGTCCAAGATCATCAATATGGCGGGAGCTCCATCCTATTCGATGATGATCGATCCCAGGCCCCATTCAAGGGCCCCGCCTCCTCCAAGTCCCGGCTTCAAAATGACCACCGGAGACGTTGGAATCCTAAAATCGACTCTTCTCCCCTCATTCGGGCTCTACTCCGGTTTATCGATTACAGCCTATGCTGCTGCGCAAGCGACCGACCGTCTCGAAATCAAAGATTGGCTCTGGCCATCAGCGCAAGTCCTCAATGCCTGGTTGACTGCTATAGGACGGCCAATGTACGAAACCGGAATTACATTCCCCGATGCTTGGAGGGGTCTTACTTGGTCTGAAAAGCTGCTTCTAAGTGGCGTTACTATCTGGGGGACCCGGTTGTTTGCTCGCATCGTGAGTCGGTCTTTGGCTCGTGGGAAGGACGATCCGCGATATGAGGCGCAGAAGAAAGAACCCGGGTTCTGGAAAACAGCTCTGTTCAAGATCTTCCTCCCTGAGGCTGCGTTCTTGAGTTTTATCTCCTTGCCTATCACTGTGCCGTACTCCATGGGTGATACTACCCTCTCGGTGAGCACGAACACACTTAGCACTGTCCGCGCGTTGGCTGTGGGACTATTCAGCTCTGGCTTTGCGCTCGAGGTGATGGCAGATACTCAGCTCGAACTCCATCGCAAGGAGCGAGAAGACCTGTGCCGACATGGTGTCTGGAGCCTTGTCCGACACCCTAAGTATGTCTCCTTCTGTTCTGCACTCCTCGTTTATTGTCTATACTAATCCCTCTCCAGCTACTTGGGAGATACGCTCGTCCATTTATCTTTCCTCTTCATGAACATCACAGATTCTTTCAATCCGATTGTTCTACTTGGTCCGCTTGCCAACTACGTATTCCTTCGCTTGGTCGGCGGTGACAAGGTGACCGAGGAGAGCCAGGAGAAGCGCTACCGAGAACAGAATCCCCACAAGTACGAGCAGCTGCGTAGCTGGCGAGGAGAGAAGAATAGTTTCTGGCCTTCATTGAGAGACTTAACCAACCCTTGGGCTTTGGCAGTTGTGGGATGTGGTTTGATTGGTGTTGTAGCCGAAGAAGTTGTGCGGAGCAGTCTCACCATGCGGTAAATGTGTGAGAGCTTAAATAGATGGATATTATCTTCCTGAGTCTTAAATAAAAAAAAAATCATCATCTATCTATAGCACTGACTACCCGCACGTTATGATCCTTCAGTTATCACTCGGCGGCTGCTTACTCTAGTCGAATGCAAAATTGTGTATGGATTGTGGGATGAAGCCCTTCCATTGTTTAACTCATCTTTCGGCCACACGGGATACTCGGAATAAACTACGTAGACTACCATGCACTCTTCTAAGGAATATAGTTTCACAATCAAAGACAAGAAAAAGTCGACCCCCTCGGATGACCTCAATGCGAAAGAGACATATGTGGGTCCTAAACAGTTCAAGAACTACGGCAAAATTGACGGTGATAAGCAGCTCAAATATGCGTCTGAGTTTTGTGCGAAGCTTAAAGGGAAGAAGCTTAACGCTGGCGAAAAGACGATTGATAAGCAATACTTTGATGATAAAGAACGTGTCTGGTATTCATATCAAGTGGGCTGGCAGACTGGTTCTGATTGCGCCAGCCCTAAAGAACTCGACGCTGAATATCCCCTCGGCAAGGATCACAAGAACAATTGCGAGTCCCTAATGCGGTTCGCGTACTAGCTATGTGATAATGGTGGCCTTGGTGGATTCTACAAGGCTTTGGTTCGGACTGAAGAGACGGGCATTGTTTGTACACCTCGCCTCTGAGTCCTGACGAAAACCTCATTCTAGTTCGATGTTTGCTTAAAGAATGTATTTGTTGCTTTTTTCGCTCATTCTAAACTTCAAGATCCCTCACGAACGATCAGAAGCTTCTAGTAGGAAGCATTCACGTCTACCGAAAAGAGACAGGCGCACAGTGAGCCTGGAAAATAAGTCGCATCGTACGTATATAGCGAGAGCTACTCGGATTCGAGAGTCAGGACAGATATTTATTTAGACTCCAGACTCATCCAGGTTTTGGTCACTCTTTAGCTGTTAATTAGTATAGTTATGTTGAAATTTCTCTGTCATCCTACGTCAGGTGATCATTATTCTTGCTTTCTGCGTTCGGTCGCACTTTCACCTTCCCTCGAAGCACATCAGATATCAACGCGACTTGCCAGCCCCGACCAGAATGAATGCCTATGCATACACGAAGGTCAGGCGTCACGATGTGTACTCCTTGCTATCGTGAAATGAATTGCTGACTCGCTTTGAACAGGGATTGCTGGAAGATAAGACCTCTGCGATTGGCCTTTTACCCACACAATCACATGGAGGGTAACAATCCTTGACAGGCCTGTTTCATAGCTTCTGCTCATCGCATGAAGAGGCGCTCAGGAGCTCTTTGCCGTCCACACGGTCGGGACTCAGCCCGCCACAACGCCGTTTTGTGATCCCGAGAGGGTGTAGAGCCATGTTGCAAGCCAATCACAGAGCGCGAGGGGCACGCTTGTAAACAAACAATATGGGAATGCCGGCGCTGTAATCCGAACACACACAATAATCTTGTCACGTTTTTCACACTTCAAAAGAGAGGTGAGCAGGATCCGTGGGGCGAGTTCCACTATGGAGCCCCCTTTACTGATTGTGCACAGATCGCAGGGTTCGGATCTACGCGAGATAGTCTGGTTGATTGCCATGTGTGATTGAGGGGAGTCGAAAATCGATTCCGATATTCCTATCTCTACTGTATTATTGTGAGTCCCGGTATGCACTGGCCCCAATTTACGAGACTGAGGAAGGGAAAGCGACGCATCTACCATTCGAATTACCACACCATGTGGGTGAAATCGGCACTTCGCACGGCCTAGCGGGAATCGATTGCTCTCGAAGTACAGAAGTGGAGCTGTTATCCCGTGCAAAGAGCTCCACTCGAACATGTTCACCCACTCGATTCCGGGCCATCTGCAGAGTGCCAATCTCAATCTTTCGGTTGGACCCATGGTCGCTGGCCTGTCATGCACCATCCAGTGGCACATCCCGGCCATTCACTGGCTGTTCAAGAATCTAGTCACACCTGATGGCCCCATCTTTCACCCTACTGTCCCTCGAGAAGGGCCCAACACGGAGAGTTTTCCTGTCTCTGGCGAACGCAACTGGAGAGCTCGTACCCATTGATCGACACTCTCTCCGTGCTTGGATCGCGATCGAGACCTATGATTCCCCAAACTTCCCAAGCCGACCCCACCGTTCTTGACTGCTTCGCGAGAGCGCTCCGTGCAGATCCCAGCCGGACTGGACGCCACGCCAGGCTAAAGCTGTGTCCAGCTCCATTCAGGGTCATCGCCATCATTGGAGGCTTGCCCACCAATTCAAACTTCAGCCCGCGTGCGCGGGTCACTGACTCAACATCCGCTAGCTGATGGTGCTGGCCTGTCATGATTTGAAATTGGGGGGTCCTCTGTATCCGCCTGGCTGCCAAACCCTGCAGGTTTCATGCACCGAGTGTTGCCGTTTCAAGTAGTGAATCACGCACATCAGGACTCAAGCTGTGCTGAAAGGACATTCTTAGCTTTTCTTCAGGTCTCGGTGGCGGTTTAAAATATGCACTAGGGTCGGTGGCATCTGCACCTGTCACGCCGGGTACGAAGCTAGGACCAGAAAACAAAGCAAAACAGCCGAATAGTGTAACCGATTGTTGATCGCTCAGCGCCGCCAGCTAGGTACAAATGTAGACTCACGCCCCCTTTCTTTGGGTTGACGCGTTTTCGACCGTGACCTTTCGTCTGTTTCAACCTCTAATCCTCGACTCTGGGGACAACCATGTCGGAGGGAACTAGAAGTCAAAGCTTGTTGCGCCGAGTCATCGAAGCCGCTCTCTTCCGTGAAGACAGGACACCCCCACCCATGGCCGCACACGCTGCCGCCGCCGCTCAGCGCACCAACAGCGGGCTGTATAGTTTTCCTGGCAATGGCCCGCCCGACTTGGAGCAGGGAAAGCAATTTGGGAATTTGACCAGCAACCCCGAACATCTAATTCCACCAAACGACAAGCTTCTTATCTTTCGCGCCTTGACCGGCATCGACAGCGTTCCAGCTCTCACGCAAGGCGGACATCTTCTTCGAACCGCCCCCAATGTCGGCATCTACACGCGTGTTGTGACCAACGAGGGCAAAGCTCGCCGGGCCTTCACAATTTTCAATTACCTTATCAACATTTGTTTGGGCATTCAAATCGTTGTGGCTGCGGCATTAACAGCCCTTGGCGCTGCCAGTGGTCCCCATACAGCCATCACTGCCTTCGGCGCCATCAACACTATAATGGCCGGTATCCTGACCTACTTGCGTGGCTCGGGTCTGCCAGATCGCCTGAAGAGCTACCAGAACAAGTGGAAAAATATTCGAGAATATATTGAGCAACGCGAACGCGAGTTCTGTTTGGTGGGCTGCGATCTAGACGTGCAAGAAGAAGTCTTTATTGTGGAGAGCATGTACCAAAACGTGAAGTCGGAGATGGAAACCACCAAGAGCAGTGGTGATGGCAGACAGCAGCAACCCGATGATCCTAGAATCCGTCGCTCGCTTCTACCGACCTCCAATCACCTCAGCGGTCATCGGAATACGGCAACGCCTGCTCATCGGTCGGATGCACAGGCAATGGAAACACATCCTAGAGAAGGCGATGTCAGCCCTATCACAGTTCCCGAGCCAGCACTTGAGAAGCACTGATTCACGCTTACCGCAAAAGGGGAGGTGGATTATATTTCTCACGAGATTGACACAAAAATGAAACGCTTCGAAGGTTAGGGGCTGCCTCGAACCAACTATCTATCGCCGACTTTCGCGAGGGCTGACAGCAACATTGCGATCCAATCTGGCAGCAAAGTCGTGCGATTATAGCGCCCCAAAATAATATATACTTTTCTCTAATGCTCGGGAAATGGGCCATTTGATCGATGTTCGAACGCCTAATGTCACTACCATGCCACGTTGCCTTGGGGACGCACATACACTCATACCCCAGGCGTCCATCAATGGCGGTTCATCTATCAGAAGGTCGCCATTGATTATTTTCATGTTATTTAATGCCTAGATTTCCTATCAATGATTCCAAACTTATACCACATTCATTATTCTCATGCGTCATTTTCCGGCAGCTTCATGTCGAGCTGTATCTCAAAATGGGTCGCAAATTTACTCATTCAGGCAAAGTGCCAAAAACAGGGCAAACACGGCCGTTTAGTGATAAATTGATGACAAGCTGGTCATGAGTATAGACAATTTTCCTAACCCGGGAGAAGCCAACAAACCAGCTTAGCACCGGAAAAGTCTGCCAGCGACCCCGCTCCCGCCTCCAACAAATCCACCACGCAACACAAGAGGCGTGTCTAAGCCGACCAGCCCAAACCCAAAGATACACCTCGAACGCCATCCTAAACGTGGCCGACGGGGAGGCGCCCCTCCGAAATCAATTCATAATATGCCAATCATGGAGTCCGATATACAATTCGCCCAACCTACCGACGCGCCAAAGCTCGCCGAGGTGTTCTTCGCCGCCTTCTCTGACCGTTTCAACAGAACCATGTTCCCGGATAACCCGGATGTGCGCGCCTGGTTCGAGAAGAACATTCTCTGCGGCGAGGGCATACCGGATGACCAAATTATGCTCATGGTGACGGACTCCTCGAACCCTGACGTGGTGGCGGCGTTTGCGAAATGGGTTCGCCCCTCATCTGTGTCATGTGCGGATCACGATCGGCAGGCTGAGGCTCCAGTCGAGTGGCCCGAGAGCAGTGATGGCGATCTATGCGATCGGTTCTTTGGAACGATGGATGGGCATCATAAGGAGATTATGAAGGGGAGGCCTCATTATTGTATGTTTTTCTTTTTTACTTATCTTCTCATGTCTGCTTTTTTCCAATTATGGTGAAACATTGATGGTGAAAAGAAGTCTTCCCCTTGGAACCCCATGCACCAAGAACCAGTTTCCATGACTGACGTATGACAGATCTCGACCTACTAGGAGTTCATCCATCCTACCAAGGGCGCGGCCTGGCCTCTAAGCTGCTGCGATGGGGTCTCGCCCGTGCCGATGAAGAAGGCGTTGAAGTCTATCTCTCTAGCTCCCCAGCCGGCAGGCCGCTATATGAGAGAAATGGATTCCAAGTTTTGGATGGGCGGTTCTCGCCTTACCCTGGCTATGAACAAGTAAATATGATTCGTCCTGTTCAGAGTCAATGAGTGGATAGACATCATGTGTCTTCTTACTTTCTTATGGATCTATTCAATGTTGATTGAACTAAAAAGACCGCCAGCGGTGTTTGGATAGGCTTGGTCTAGTACATAATTTCACATATATTACATCTACGGAGGCTGATATTATTTCACAAGGCGCAATGAGGACAAACCATCATTCCATCGTCATTCGTAATCATAACCCCGCAAAGAAGATCACTTTGACTTTGCTCCAGACACCAAGCTTCCGGAAGCTCATGCTCCCGCCCGTAGCTCTGAGCTGTTCGATGAACGCCAACGTTAAAAGTTCAACAATCTGCATCAGAAGAAAAATCCGAAATATCATTTTCTTCAAAGATAATTGGCAGGCAAATCGCCTAAAAGTTCCATATTCCTTGATGGGTGGCAAGAACCCATCTTACTGATTATCAAAACAAGAAAGCGGAACCATGGGAAGCCACCACCAGTGAAGCTTTCATCCACGGCTCGTGTGCGGCCTTGGTCAGGTTTTATACAGCATAGCTGCTTTCTCACTTGTCAATGGTTGTTCAAGATCTTGATTCAAACGAACCATTCAATTTGAACTTGAGGTTGGTTGCCAATCATTATCACTCATCTCCAGGCCACAAGGATAATTTCCTGCTTTGATCTACTACAAGTGTCATAATTGAAGTCAAAAGAAACGACTGTCAGGTTTGCAGCCACAATTAGTGGCTATGGCTTACACATGATTGTCGTCAATGCCGTCAACGAGTATCGAGGATGTGAGATCTTCTGGGCCCAATAGAACATTCATGCGGGGTATATAAGGTAGGCAATAGAATGCCCTGCTACGAATTTTGACATACATTGGTTGTCATATAATCAAGTTACTTCATTATTCTATCATGTCGAACTTCATGCACAAGGTCAAAGAAGCCGTTACTGACCACCACGAGAAAGACGACGTGCCCACCAACGAACCTGCCGGTAAGATGACCTATTTCTTGTCATCACAAGATATCTGAGACAGTGCTATGATGCTGATGATCGTCTGTATAGGAACCCACCACACGTACAGATCCACCAACCCCTACAACAAGGACCCTGTTGCGGCCCAGCAGAACCCATCCATGATGAATGCCGAATCTGGAGCAGGAACTGGCCGAGGCTCTGGCAACCATGGTGCTGCTAGAGGACCTGATACATACGACACAACCACTACAGGGGCTAATACAATCAATGCTGGCCCTCACAACTCCAAGGTAGCCAACAAGTTGGATCCCAGTGTTGATAGTGATCTTGGTAAGTTCAATGAAACCTTCTTTTGTAACAAAATTATCGTTGCAACATGCTAATTCAGGGCATCTTCAAGATCACCGCGCCCAGCACCCTGGAACAAGGGGTGCAACGGGAACCCAAAATGTCGGCGCTGCGCCCCAGACTACGAACACCGGTAACATGGCCCCTGGCAGAGAGAATATGGCTCCCAGCGAGCAGCCCCGCGCCTTCGGCACAGATACTCATACATCCAACGAGGACAAGTACAACAAGGCCACTCAAGAGCATAAAGCCCACAAGCAGCCCGGCGTTCCCGGTTCCGGCAATCAGATGTCCAGTGAGGATAGCTACAGCAGCTCCACGCAGGAAAACAAGGCCCACTCTACCACTAGTCACACTACGCCTTGTCAGATGAAACCTACGGCTGAGGAGCCGGGTCCTCAAGGCCGTGCTACCCAGCCAGAGTTTGGTGGCAGTGCCGCTGGAGGTAGTAGCTATGCCCAGCCACCTGTCCGGGAGCAAGCTGGCATGCAGAACACCAATAGGACGGGTAAAGTCGATCCACAAGCCCAGGGCATGGGTTATCAGCAGAGTGATATTGGCAACCAGAGGAGCGGATATTAAGTGTGTCTAAGATTGTGGGTTACTGTCGTTACTGTTTTAAGTATGTACGTAGCTTTAAATATGGATGGACCATGAGTTTTTTGTTTAGTATAGCTCAATTTGATACTCAGAACAAAATATTTACAAGTAATAACAATCTCTAAGGGGTAATCCCAGAGATTAATCTCGGGATAAGCTAAGCCTGTTCAATGGGAATGATGATGATCCGAAAAAACGCCTTGCTCCGCGCATGCCTTGCGGCACTCCTCCAAAATCCTCGCCTGCTTAGCGACATCCGCAAGACGACCAATAACTTCCTTATTTCCATCAACGAAAGTAAAGACTGCGTAGGGAATCTTCACATCTTCGCAGAACTCCTTGACAAGCTTCTGCGTCTTGCGCAAGTTGTGGCGAGGAATGCGAGGGTACAAGTGGTGAATCGCTTGGAATTGGAGTCCGCCGTGGAAAAAGTCCAGCCATTCCGGGCAGTCCACATCCATTGTTGTCCGGAGCATTTTTTGAGGGAATGATTCCTGGGGACCGAGATCCGCGGTGGACATAGCGTAGTGAGAGAGGGTAATCTGCACGTGGAGTGGAGCAGTGACCATATGCGAGATGAGAACGAAAGCGACCTTGTTAAATAGACCGGGAATGCTCAGATAGACGACGCCGTATCCAAACCAAATCCAGAAGAAGATCTGACCGGCGAGCTCGAACCATCGGTGCCACCAGCCTGCGCCGTGCTTAGGACCGAGGCCAAGGTAGATATGCTCCCAGCTCAGGTAATAGAGATTGAAGCGACCAAAGAGGAGGATCGGGTAGTACAAGTAGTGCTGGTACTTGACAGTGACCTTAGCTACCGCGTCATATTCCATGATACGATCGTAGTATGTGCTGCGCAGACTCTTGAAGAAGCGTTGCGACACGGCGAAAAAGGGCATCAACTCGATATCGGGATCGTGCTCTGGGGCATTGGTGACGATGTGGTGGACATTGTGGCTTCGCTTCCACCAGCCAAGGCTGAGGCCACCCAAAAAGTCCGCGATAATCATACCAATCACAGTGTCTGTCTGGAAATCGTGCGTAATACCCATGTGGCCAGCATCGTGGGCAGAGAAGACCAGCTGGTGCCAGAAGCACCCGAGAAAGAAGCCAGACAAACAGAACCAAGAATTCTTCAAAAAGTAAACGAACAGGCCGAAGAATAATGAGTATCGGCATATTTCAACTCCGTAGGAGTAATAGTTGCAGTTGTAAAGCCCGGCTGCGCGAATTCGCTCATTGAGCTCGCGGTATTTTTGTGTGATGTTCTCTTGATGCTCAGCATCGAGAGGAGGATACTTGGATTCGTCCAACTGAATCTCCTGTTGAGTTCGTGCGTCGATCACACAGGTCTGACGTTTGGCTTCGGTTGTTGATAGAGGAGTGGTGCTGATCGAGGAGGATATCGTGGATACGGATAACCTGCGTCTTAGGCCGAATTTGTCGTCTGCGGCTTCGAAGATTGGTGACGGTGGAGCTGAAGCTTCCTCACTTGAGGCCTCAGAGATCAACAAATCATACTCATCTGTTGCTTGCAAGGCCTCGCAGTATGGGCGGAAAGTGCCACCTTGAATAGGTGGGAGGAAGTTGGTCCATCTTCCTTCGATTCGACCGATCTGGAATTTGTTCATGCGCTGGCGCGCTTCCTGTGAATGCAGTCTTTGGGTCGTCAGTTAGTATATACGATTTCGATTTGAAACAAGGAGTATCATGGAGACATACGCGTTGACCTCATCTGTGGCATCTTTGCCAACCATGTGCTTGATGGCCATGCCACCGCCAGGGTGAAACTTGATCCAAGCATCGAGTCTGAGTACTTTGTTGTCCACAATGATAATCAACTTATTCTCGGCAATCATGCCTTCGATCTCAGCCCTTGACAGGACATTGTCCCGTCCTTTGACTGAAGTAGACATGTTGATGGAAGTTGACAAAAGGGAAATTCCGCTTCGTCAAATTGTCAACTATATGAGCAGAAATACTCGGTAATAAACCATTAAAAAGAAAAGGATAGTTAAATTTAGGATAACTTTTCCATTCAATCACTAAAACGGTAAAACCATACGTTATGAGCTTGGTAGCACTGTGGCGCACATCTCCCTCTTCCCTTTTGACCAAGGGGCGAAAGGGGCAGTGCCGTCTCCAAAAAGCGATATGCGCCATGCGTGGCGAGGGCCGTGGGAAAGGGGAGTTAAGGTGGATACGGTACTGATTGTGCGTACGGCTTGTGGAGATACGAATACGCCAGAAGTGGTAGAGAACGTCGTACCAGCGGTCAAAGACTCAGATAAAAGCAAAGTGGACACCATTTCGCCGCGTGGAGTGTGACTTACCAGGGGCGAGGATGAATATGGGGTCGCTAGTGGACCAGCAACGTACGCGTATCCAAAGCCCTACGACGAAAATGACTCGCCGAGCCAAAACAAGCTTAAACTTTGACGGCACCCCCTGTCGCAGATTGACCCCTGTTGCAAATTAAAAGGCCAGATCGCTAAAACTAGCCTCTTCCCCGTTACCCAGTTACATGAGAGTTAGCTGGTCCCACACTTTTAGACGCGGGAGGTTGTACCTGAGGGGTATCTGAGAATTCATTCATATGGAACATTCGCGTAGTATCGGCTATTGCCGTTCGACGTTCTACTAGAGTATCGCCACACTATCTGGTTATCTTGGCAATCCCAGTCCACCAGAACTATCTATTACAGAGAAGAAAGTTTTGCAAAACGGCCGAGGTTGATGTCTCAAGAATAAACTAGAAATACTTAGCGTCTTTTAAGGCCCACGTTCGCGGAGGATTCGTGTGTGAGACAGTCTGTTATCGTAGATTCGTCGTAGCCTATGCGCTTGGACAACCCTAAGGGGACAAAGCTTTTCCACGTGGTTACATCAAATTTTCACAGGCAATGCCATTCAGGAGACAGGGTTTCTCTATGATGTTGCCTGATCCTTACTGGTTATTTGTATCATGATAATTGATGGCGAGATACAGTCTCCGTACAAAGGAGGGCATTGACCGCGGGGAGAACCGACCGTATACCGTATTTGTGGATTGCAACCACTTCAACCAGTTCCTGATCCGGTTAGTCGCCCACTCAAGAGTTAGTTACCTAATTGTCGCCCCCACATCGGGAGGCGAGTGGCTACGCAACCCTACGTACCCACGTACGTATTTTTATCCTGGCCGAGATTGGAGGCAAATTCTTTTTGCGTCTGTACATTACTGATGAAAGAAAAGGCCTATTTTGTATTCTGATCGGACAGCTGATTGCAAAGACGAGTGTTTACATCTAACGAAACCATGCACGTAGAGGTTTGTTACGCGGGCCGCTGTTGAGACAACGGTTTTCAATAACGATGGATTCAAAGGAATCAAATTTGGCTTTTTCTTTTACCCCTCTTGATGCTTGGCATTTAGGCGCAATGAATATCTCCCCTTTCGTAGCCGTTCAGTTCTCGCATCGACTTGCCCAGGCAGCAACCATTGCTCGGTATTTCATCGGCAAGACCATTGCGCCTGCAAAGCCATCACACCAATCTGATTGAATCCCCAAAGCCATAGCCCACCCTTTCAGCTCTCGCTTCCATTCTCACTGTGCTTTCAGATGTGTTAGCATTCAACGCGACGGTTAAATACTTTAAAAAGGCCTCCTCCATCGTACCGGTATTTGACCCTCGGGTTGGGATGATGAACCTAGTACAATCGAAATGAAAGTACCATCCTCTTTATTGAGCGCAGCGTCCTGGTGCCTAGAAACTGTAAAAAGAAAAAGGGATGAGCCGCCCTGTAGAAACAGCAAGCCCCAGCACTTATACGCTGCACTTACATCGAATTACATTCTCTCTGGGCTGGAAAGCAGCCACAGCTGGATTCGGAACGGTACTCGCTGCAACTAAAGGAAGCAAACCCTCGCATTGGCCTTGTGGGAGGAGTTTCTTATTACTTTGCCCACTGAATTACAGGCAATAAATCACCTATATTCTTGAAGCATAGGCATGAACTTTATATTGTAACTGTGATGAGAGCAAGTCCCAATAGTTATTTCCGGGAGATGATGGCTGGGATACTACTGCACTGCTGAGTTACATACTAGCAATATTCAATTTATTTCTTCCACAGAAATAATTCGCGCAAATAGTGCCTGCGCCAGCGATGCCTGTTGCCTAGTTGAACGTGCGGCGTCTTGGTTTAGCTCCGTACCTTGAACATCACGGCGCTATGTATTAATTTCCTCCTATGGCTTAAAGCAAGATTAGGCAAGACCAATAAAACTTACTGCAGGGCTTATATAGGTACCTGGATTTCCATGGTGCGGAGCATCTCTATCTAAAGGTGAAGTCTGAAGCCGCCAGATGGTGCTGCTGATGGGCTCTTCTTCCCCCTTGTTATGCTACTTATTGCTTGCAATACCAAGCCTCTTAATCAACATATTGCTGTTTGCTGTCTTTCAAGATGAGATTGTTATCTATCATTTGATAAACCAATTTGATGTGTCCCCGATTCACTCCTGTCGCAGAATCGTGTAATCTAGTGTTGGCGCCTTGCAGCCTTAATCTCTTAATCGTTTATCTGCGCATGCCTAATAGTGTCCTTCTTCCATTATTCTCTCTCTGACTCCCTGCTATATGTCTTATAACACATCCGTTATGTTCTTCATGATCCCGACAAATTTTCCAATCGCTATTTAGTAGACCATGTCCACTCAAAAATCATGTGTGCACCCATGTGGTGTTCGTCTCGCCTAGAAAGGGGCTCAAGATAAGGATACGATAAGGCTGTAGATGTAATAAGCTCATGGACTGAAAGGGAATAGTCTCTTCTTGCATCCAATGAGGTCTTGAGCTATCAAAGATCCAATCCCATGCATGAGATGCATCGCGGAACTAATGGTGGTGGGATGAAATCCCCACAGCCGCTTACAAATGTCACAGCAGTCTGCCCGGGTTCACTAGCGGGGTCAAAAGGTGAATCAGCAGGAATCAGAACACTTAAGGACTTGCCATTTTCTATATGATAGAGCTTGACTTGAATCCGATCTTATTTTTTACATCACATCGAAGCTTCCCTCAAATGCTTTTATCACACTTCGAGCGCGTCGGTACTCCTCTAACAACTCACCTTTATCCGCTATAATTCTCTGACGTCAGAGGCCTATCCCTCATTTTTGGCCGCTGTCTAATACGATGACTAAAATCTTTATGTACTTCCAACAACCCATCATGAACCAGTCGGACATTTTGCTAATCAGTCCATAGTACCGGGGCAACTGGCTACATTGGCGGTGACGCCCTTGCAACTCTACATGCCGCGCATCCTGAGTTTTCGTATGTCGCGTTAATTCGCAGCAACGAGAAGGCCGAGCAGGTCAAGGCTCGCTTCCCTAATGTCCGCGTGGTTCTCGGTGATCTTGACAACTCAGCTTTACTGCAGCGGGAGAGTGCAGCAGCAGACATCGTCCTCCGTGGGTATCCTAATAACTCAATAAAGGCCTCTTTGAAATCCAGCTAACACTCGATCCTAGACACTGCAGATGCATCTGATCATGTGGGGGCTGCAAAGGCAATCGCCGCGGGTCTGGTTGCTGGGCATACCAAAGAAAAGCCGGGTTACTGGTTACACACAGGTGGAACTGGAATTTTAACCTTCGAAGATAGTGACAAGGGGACGTTTGGGAACAAAAGGGATAAGGTTTACGATGACTGGGAAGGAGTGGAGGAGCTTCTAAATCTACCCGATCATGCTTTCCATCGCAATGTGGACAAGCTCGTCTTGGACGCTGCCGCAAAGCATGCAGATGTGCTTAAGGTTGCTTTAATTTGCCCTCCAACTATCTATGGTGAGTGCCGCCCCAAATGCCCTCCATCAAATTTTGAACCCTTCTCACTGTTTGAGTAGGACGTGGACGAGGCCCATGCTCGCAACGCGGTCGTCAAGTCTACGAACTTGCGAAAGTGACACTGCAGCTGCAGAAGGGTCCAATCATAGGTGCTGGACAGGCGATCTGGAACAACGTCCACATCCACGATTTAAGTGATTTCTATGCATTGCTCGTACATGCTGCGGTCGCAGGCCAAAACGACGATGGGATCTGGGGTCCAAAGGCATACTACCTCACCGAGAATGGGGAGCATCGCTGGGGCGATCTGGCTCAGTCCACAGCGGAGGCTGCCGCAAAGCTAGGTCTCATTCCAGAAGCAAAGGCGGAACCTATTGACTTGGAAAGTGCCAAGCAATATGCGGGCTTTGAGTCGCTAAGCTGGGGATTGAATTCTCGTGGGCGGGCACTTCGAGCACGTAAGCTTCTCGGATGGAAACCTTCATATCCGAGTCTACTAGAGGAACTACCCCAGATTGTTCAGAGCGAGTGGCAGCGACTGCAGGAGTAAGGCCTTTTGAAGACTTCGCTCTGCTTGAAGCCGGGTGATGGCGTCTGTCAACCAAGAATCAACAGGATCAAGAATCTGACGATTTCCACGTTATTTTTCTCAATCAATGCCTTGGAGATTTTCCGGCCCCCATGGCGAGCTTGGTTCACCAACAGCACCTGTATTGACGATTATCTTCAATGTGGCCCCATGCTCTCAACTATGCCTCTCGCTGGCTCATATATTTTGGTCTAGATCACCAAATCAGTCAGTGTTGCTTTACAGGCCATTTGGTAATTGCAAGCAAGGTGTCTTCCCTTGAGACACATTAAATGTTTCAATTTGGTGTATTCATGCCAAAAGGCTTTTCATATAAACAGCGGTGAGCCTGAAGCAAAAGGCCAACGTGTGTTGTGGTAAAGGATGATGGCTTACTAATCTGGATTAATCCCATATCTTACACAGTCATTAGATAGTAATATCATCATCTTTCTGCCTCCCAGCTTATTCCGTAACACACTGGTAGCAAGCCCCTGGTTAGCCAGAGGTCCTTCTGGCTGGGTTTACCGATCGTGCTATTGGAATTCCTGACATTTCTCGAGCGCCTGGGCCTCCAGCGTCGAGGGATACTGGGCAACTGATCATACTCCCATACTTCGTCTCATCTACACCCTCTGATTCGCCCACCACCGCCCCGTGCTCCACCATTCGGCGCATCATACGCGCTGCGTTGGATCAACTGTCCTCGTCAACCGCCTTCACGCTGTCGGCGGTGCTTCCATCGCTGTTCCATCGCCAGCGCCCGCGCCTTGTCGGCTGTCGAAGCTATCGCGAGTATTGCCACGTGACCACGTCACGCCCTCGCTCCTTCCGCGCCAGTGTCTTTCATCTCCCTCTGTTCGTCCAGTAACGTCTGATGTCGCTCTCTGCGAAGCAGCTTCAGCGCTGTATCCTCTTGGGATATCAGCTCGCTACCTTCTTCGAGTTCGAGGACCAGCATAAGGAACTCGAGACCCCTGAGCTTCAGCGTCAGCTTCAGCGTCTTACGGCAGACTACGACATCCCTAAGCTCCCAAAAGAGAACCCTTTCCCTTCTGACTGGCTCTTGCGTCCGGAGCTTGTTAAGGCTATCAAGGAGTTTCGAAAGCTGTTCGACAAGATCCCTGCGTCAGCCGACTCAGCGGAATCTTCCCAGCTGCCAGACCCGACTCCTCAGCCGCCTCCAATTCGGCCTCGTCAGACGCAGGCTCAGTCTCATTCAAGCCCGGTCACCCCGACACCTTTCATCTCTCGACCTCCATCGCCACACTCTACATCTGAAGAATTAACCGACCTGAGTCTCGAATTTGGCCGAAGTGGAAGTCCTGACCGATCTCCTCATTTCGAGTTCTCTCCCCAGACCCTTCAGGATCCCCCACCACCCCCACGGGACCCAATGGAGAACACACGCCCTTTCGCCATGTCGGAGGCCCAGATCGCTGCTATTGTGACTGACGCAGTGACGCGTGCCCTCGCCCGCAATGCCGACGAGGTTCGTACTATTGTCGACGACGTCGTCACTACTCGTCGTGACGAACTTCGCGGTCCTGCAGGTCGTGATGGCCACGACGCTCCCCAAGGCAACAGTCATTGGAAGTCGGATGATGTCGGCTACTTCACCCCCGACTCCTCGTCTGACGTGCACGTCCGTACCACGAAGGGTACGACTTATTACCTGAATGTTTACGCCTTCATCAATCAGCTTAAGGCCCTGGTCCCCTTGAAGTCTGAGGAAGTCGTACGTGCCAACTTACCCTCGTGCCTCCGCGAAGCAGCTGCCCGTTGGTACAGTGCAGAGCTCTCCGATGAAGAGCGTCAGGATTTGAGTGTTCGCTCCCTCCAACTCGGCTGGTATGCCACCCTCGAACGCCGCTTCAAGCCTCGTCCGACAGAAGCGCTTACCAAGGTCATGTCTCCTTCCTCCGTCTACTCGTGGCGTGATGTACGCGCTGGACGCAGTGTCACCGAGTGGGCACAGAATATGTTACGTGATGCCCAGGCGGCTGACATGACTGGCACTACAACCCTTCTCCGTCTCGTCTGGACCCGCCTGGAGCCCGCCCTCCAGCGTGATATCCGTGAACCTACCGCGGCAACCACAATCTCCCAGTTCATGGCAGACCTCGATCAGCGCTATGGCCAGTGGTACGAGATGTCTAAGCGCGCGCGACCGCGTCAGACACAACCCCAGCCCGCGCGTTACCAAGGTCAGCAACAGCGAGGCCCTCAGTTCGGTGGTCCCCGTTACGGCAATGACACTCGTTACGGTGGCCCCGGTTTCAGAGCTCAACTCCCCTTCCGTCCCAATTACCCAGGAACTGACACTCCTCAGCTTACGTGGAATCCGAATCGTGACTCCCAGCAACAGCGACAACCGCAATGGGATGTCTCCGTGCCCCCCGCGAATACGCCACAGACACAGGGTCAGCGTCCGTCATACGCGCCCCAACAGCAAAATCGTCCATTCCAGGGACAGTATCATTCGCGTCCGCAACAACAGCAACAGCAGCAGTCGCCGCGTGACCAGTCTCGTACAAACCAAGCCGGTCAACTTCTTCTTGCTGATAAGCCATGGAACCAAGCTGGCTACTCCAACACGGGCTATGCGGCTCGTCAGCCACGCGATGGCACTCGTCCATGGGGTCGTCCACAGACCGCTGCCTATATGGCAGACCCACAGGAAGTTCCCCCTTCATCCGACGCGCCTGCTCCATCTGACCAGCCCGAGGCTAACATGGCTAACGTCGCTTTCTATGACGGCGAGCGCATTTATGACCCACAGGCAGATGCGTACTACGCGGATGACGATTACACCTCCTACGCCGAATATCCTCCAGAGGAAGATCCACAGGCATACTGGCAGGCGCCGCCTTTTCCTGACGACACCGGCGACCAGCCATGCTACAACGTGGTAGCTGATGAGGCTGAGCCAACTGTTACCTGCCTTCACTGTTTGACGAGCTTCGTGTCTAACAACAAGCTCCACGCCCACCTCAAGGATTGCGCCCCGAAGCGTACTGCTGCCGCTGTCGATGACGAGACGGTCGCGTACTACGTCTCCCCTCAGGCTACAGAGAGCCCAGATGCTCTCCCGCAGGACCTTCCGGTCATCACGTCTGACAAACCTCGCACTTCCCAGCCCGGTATGGCATATAAGACTTGGCGCTATGCATCGACCGTCGTCGGTCTCACCAACCAACAGAAGCTCCTGGTCGCTTGCCTCGACACCGGTTGCGTCATGACTATTATTGATGCGGATCTTGCGAAGTCACTGAACCTTCCGCTGCAGAAATGCACACCTGTTCCCGTCGCCGGCATCGGCTCCCGCCACCTCTCCTCCGCTTTTGTCACATTTGACGTCTACTTCAGGGGTGCGGACAACGCGGCTCGCATTCAGGTCGAAGCTCACCTGGTGGAAAACCTCAAGGCGAAGCTCCTCATCGGTATGGACATCATGGGTCATGAAGGTTTCCGTTTGGACTTCGACACCAAGACTGTCAGGATCCCGTCTTGCATGAACCTGTCAGTGCCCATTTCCACACATGCTAAGCCACACCATGCTGCGCAACGCGCGGTCTATGCGGCCGAACATACAGTCATTCCTCCTCGTTCAATCATCCGCGTTCCCACGCGTGTTCAGACGACGCTACCCGAGGACCGTGACTACGTGTTTGAAGGGCGCCATCACCAGGCTGCTTTCTATTCTCACCTGGTCGACGCCAACTTCGCTTGGGTCCAAGCTGTCAATGACACTGGTGAGCCAGTCACCGTTCATCGCCGCGACCGCATTGGCACTCTGTATGAAGCGGATATGCCCATGGCTTGTGCGGTCCAGCCTGAGGTCGCCGAACTCGGTCGCTCGCCCACGGAAGCAAGCCCCGCTCATGAGGGCCTGCGTCATACCCATGACGATGGTGTCCGACTCCCAAACGGTGTCACCTTGTACGCTGGCCTTGCTCCGGATCTGATTCAGCAGCTTACCGACGTTCTTATGGCGTATGACGTGTGGGGCGACCACCCCGGTGTCGTCGACATACCCGAGGACCAATGGATGACTATCCCCCTCGTCCCTGGCTGGGAGTCCAAGCTGCCTAAGTCGAAGATCTACCCCCTTGGCCCGAAGGACCGTGCTGTGGTCGATGAAGCCTTTCAGCCTTTGCATAATCAAGGCAAGATGAGCTACACGACGCAGCATACGGCCACTGGCTTTCCAGTTTTCGTCGTCTGGCGCACTGTCCATAAACCCGGCCGCGAGCCTGAGCGTAAAGGCCGCGCCGTTGTCGATCTCCGACCGCTGAACAAGGTCACTGAGCGCGACGTCTATCCGATCCCTACGATGGACGACATCATCCTCTTGACGCAAGGCAAGCGGTACATCACTGTGTTGGACGCCGCTAAGTTCTTTTACCAATGGCGCATCCGACGCGATCATCGCGGTCGTATCTGTGTCGTGTCACACAGGGGCCAGGAGATGTTTCATGTCGCTATCATGGGCTTCTGCAATAGCGTGCCTTACGTACAACGGCAAATGGACCTTCTTCTGAAGGAGTTCGTCGACTTCTGCCGAGCATATCTTGACGACCTTGTTGTCGCATCCGCTGCGTTTGATGAACACCTTCGCCACCTCTCTATGGTTCTTGAAGTGCTCGAGCGACATCACGTCTCGCTTGAGCCGTCAAAGGCCTACGTGGCTTTCCCCGAGGTGTCCCTGCTAGGCCAGGTTGTCGATGCCTTCGGTATGTCCACCCCCGAGGACAAGGTCAAGGCTATTGCGAACCTGCAATTTCCTGTCACCCTCCGTCAGCTGGAGACTTATCTCGGCATGACTGGCGCCTTACGTCAGTACGTCCCCTTCTATGCCCAGAAGTCTGAGCCCTTGCAAATCCGCAAGACAGAGCTTCTGCGCGGCAGTCCAGTCAAAGGCCGACCCCGTCAGGAGTGGTCATCCCGCACACGCTACACGCATCCGACGGAGCGCGAGCTCGCCGCCTTTGACGCTATCCAAGCAGTCTTCCAGGACCCGCAGTGGCTAGTGCATTGGGACCGCACTCGACGTCTCTACTTCGACATCGATTCTTCTCAGGAAGGCGGTCATGGCGCTATGGTCTTTCACGTCAAGCGCAGCTACAATCACACCAATTTTAAGGCAGTTCCTCCATCCACTGCTGTCGAACCAATCTTGTTCCTCAGTCGTCTCCTCACACCAGCTGAGAAGCATTACTGGTCGACTGAGTTGGAAGTGTCCTGCATCGTTTGGGTGGTGCGTAAGATCCGGCACATGATTGAAGCCGCCCCGGATGACCTTACACCCGTCGCTTACACTGACCACATCGCCACGATCAATTTGGCTACATCGTTGTCTTCCTCGTCCCCGGACCGCATGAACCTCCGTCTGGTCCGCGCATCCCAGTACTTACAACAGTACCGCCTTCTGGTCTACCACAAAGCTGGCAAGCTTAACTGTGTCGCCGATGCCTTGTCTCGGTTGGCAGCCGTGGACAAGGCTGAACCCCGCGAGGATGATGACCTGGACGCCCTCTATGTCACAACCGCGTCGGACCTGCATCTTCCCGGCGCGGCCGCTACGTGGGATGTCCCCGATGAGGCATACGCTTTCCTCACGTCCTGTGTCCAGCTTTCCGATGACTTCAAGTCTCGGGTTCGTGCGGCCTACGACAGTGACCCCAAATGGAGCCTCGTGCTCGCCGAGCTTGAGCGCATCGAACGCGACCCCGATCCAGTCAAACCGCGTCTGCCGTATGAGGTCGATGACGGCCTCCTGTACTCAAAGCAGGCCGACGGTGATTTCTGGCTCTGTATCCCCGACTCAATGAAGAATGACATCTTTGAGATCGCACACGGCGAAGGCCACCTTGGTTTCCACCGCGCCTGGCAGAAAATGAGGGGCTTCGTCGTACACAAGGGCGCGAAGAAGCTACGCGCATACATTGACCAGTGTGATGAATGCAGGAAGAATGCAGTGCCACGGCACAAGCCATACGGCTCGCTCCAACCGATACTTGCCCCGCCTATGCCCTTCCACACGTTGACTATCGACTTCGTCACCGGCCTGCCTCGGACAAAGAAGGGCTTTGACGCCGTCGCTATATACACATGCAAATCAACGAAGCGCCTGGGTTCGACGCCAGGTAAAAAAGACTGGACCGGCTTCCAGTGGGCCACAGCTGTCCTTCGCGACCTCCAGAAAGGTGACTGGGGAGTACCGGTTGTGTGGATCTCGGACCGTGACAAGAGGTTCGTCACCGGCTTTTGGAAAGGCCTCTTCACTGCACTACGTACGAAGCTTCTGTACACCGCGGCCTATCATCCGTCAGCCGACGGTCAGTCAGAACGTTCGAACCAGACTGCGGAGATCTGGTTGCGACACTGGCAGAACCTCCACCAGAACGTCGATTGGGATGAAGGGCTTGCCCCGATGCAGGCTTCACTTAATGCGTCCGTCAACGCTTCCACTGGTGACACCCCCCATCGACTGATGTTCGGTGTCCACCTCCGTATGCCGTGGAACCTGCTCCGTCACGCATTCGTCGGATCACCCCACGCGGCACGACAGGATGCAGATGAATGCGCCAAGTACGCTGCGATGGTTATGAAGAAGCAATACGATAATCGCCATAAACCCATCTTTTTCAAGAAGGACGATTTCGTGTACCTCAGGCTGCAGCAGGGTACGGATCCCGGGTACGTCTTACCCACTCGCGATATCACTAAGAAGCTCACCCAACGTCATATCAAATGTCGGGTGCTCGAGCGGGTCGGCCGTCTTGCGTATCGTCTTCAGCTTCCGCCACAGTTCGCAGGAGCTCATCCCGTTGTTTCTGTCGAGCACCTGGAGCGCGCTCCTGAGGATAGCGAGATGCCTCCCACACAGCCACCGTCTACGTTTGACCCACGCTTTCCCGAAGATACCGATCGTGCTGACGTCGACGCCGTCCTTGATATGCGCTCCCGCGGCCGCGGTCGCAATCGTCGGAAGCAATACTTGGTTCGCTGGTCGGGTGTCGGCAATGACCATCTCGAGTGGCTGGACGAAGGTAACCTCTTGGGTGCTGAAGAGAAAGTTTTCGAGTATCTCCGAGATGTCCTGCATCACGAGCAGGGCTCTAACAATTAGTCGCTACGTCCGACGCGGGCTTGTTTGTCTCTTTATCGTGTATTACATACCCTCCTTTGTTTGCCCGCCCATTGTTTGCCTATATCCTTTGTTTGCCTGTTTATTATTTGCCTGCACCTTTCGTTTGCCTATCCACTGTCTGCCTACACGCTATTGCCTAATTCGTGGGCCCCTACATTAGCTCTTGACCGCTATCTATTTAATGCTTCTCCCCTCCTCTTCTTCTTTTCCTCCGCATTGCATCTCTCCCTTTCACCCTGATACCATCATCTGCGATGTCAGACCAAGACCCTCCCCCGGACGATCTTTTCGTTCCTCCAGAGACCCCTGAGAAGGGCAAGGCCCCTGCTAAGACTCCGAGTACTCCGAAAAAGACTCGCGGAGGTCGTCGTCGTGGACATTCAGCTCGCAAGGAACCCACTACCCCTCGCACCGGCACCAGCTCTGCTCCCACTACCCCTGGTGCTACCGATACTGACCCCGAGGCCGCGGATGACGGAGACGCCCAAGACGGCTCCCTCGATGATGACAATGATAATGACGATGACCTCGGTGCATTTGCCGCACTGATGGCCCAGCCTCCCGAAGGTTGGACGAAGGAGACCAGGCCGAAGATTCCCACTCGCCCACCTCGGACGAATGTCACTCGTTTCGCCCCACGTACCAAGATCACTTTCGGCTTCGCCCTCGTCTTCTATTACGACGACTCAACCCGATACGCACTGCGTTGGCATAATGCCGGAATGACTCACCCTATCCCCGGACAGCGGAATGGCCAGAGCCCAGGTCCGTCAAAGGGTGGCAAGATCGATATGGAGGTGCTCAAGACGTGGATGGTCTTTCATTTTTCGATCAACGACTATTGGAATCACGAGCGTTTTGAAGCACGTCTGGCGCTGTCGAACGTCCGTCTTACAGACCAGGGCGTATTCTACGCTCTATGCACTATGACCCCTCAGCGCCGGGGCGCCCGGTTCCAGGCTGATTTCGATCAGCACGGTGATGTGCGTACGTCCCGGATCCCACTCGATCCGCCTATGATCATTTGGGCGAACGGTATTCCGTGGTTCACTGTTTACAAGGGTTTCTACGTTCTCTGTGGGTCGTGGAACACGGCAACATACCTCGTCGGCACTAAGTACCGCTCGAGTGTGACCGAATTCCACCTTGGAGGTGCCGTCGCTCCCCCCGATGCCGTCGCCGCAAGCCGTATGGATACACTCACCCAGTTGACCCTCCGTGCCTTCGACTCTAAGTTCTACCCGGACGCTGGACAGGATGGTCCCGTTGACCTAATCCACATCGGAACCCTTTCCCGAGGTCAAAACAAGATCGCCTGCCGTTTCGTTATGCGATCTGATCCCGCGTCATACACGCTAGTCTACACTTCGAAGCTGAAGAAAGGTCTTGGTAGTGCTTTCTTGTTTGACCTACCAAACTACCATGAGCGAATTTGTTCCCCTTCCGACGACTTTCCTGAAGGGTCCTTCGCCGATCCTGTCCCTGATACAATGCATACTATCCCACAGCATGCGTTCGCAGACTACCCCTTCACGTACGGCAAGGACTTCCCTTCTCAGGAAGCGGCCGCCGTTAAACCACAGGTCCTCGAACTGGTCGACTGGAACCGAATGTACGGTCTGATAGATGCCTGCGTGGCTGACAGCAAGGGCCGTGCCAGGAAGCGTGCCCGACGTGAGGCCCAGCGTGCGAAGACGCTGTCGGAAGTGGACAGCAGACCACCCTGGAGCCGCGTCCGAATTCCTACACCTTGTTCGCGCGACTACGGCAATACGGACCTCCGCTATCTGATTTCCAGAATCAGTCATGACACTTTCGAAGTTGCGGGTCCGGTCAAGGACCTCCTCTTTGCCGTCGAAGCCTTGTACCAGGTTCTGCCTCAGGACTCCTGGACCTGGAGTATCGCAACCCAGGACCACGCCGGTCTAATCACCACCCGGGCGCTTATGGACAACGGTGATCCCCAGACCATCAACATGCTTCGTAAGGGTATGTCTGACCACGACATTATGAGGGACGCGATGGCTTTCGCCGAAGGCATGTTGCTGCTCGAGCAGTGCCTGAAGACGCTAGAAGACTCCGATCTAAAGACTGCCGTCCAAGGGATCGTCAACCTGCTCCAGCCTCCACCACAGACTCCGCTCCATACCGTCACCTTCCCCCGTTCTTTGGTTAAGGTTCCACGTCCGACGTCGCCCCATGTCTGAAGCTTCCGTCGTCTCATTCCGGTCGGTCGATTTCGATCCCGCTTGGCAGCTCAACCTTCACACGGTTGGGTATCCCGGAATGTTGTTGAGGGTTTCATTGGACTATCGCTACCGGGGGCGGTAGCGACCTTTCGAGGGGGGCAACTGTGTTGTGGTAAAGGATGATGGCTTACTAATCTGGATTAATCCCATATCTTACACAGTCATTAGATAGTAATATCATCATCTTTCTGCCTCCCAGCTTATTCCGTAACAACGTGTAACCACTGAACCAGGCTTTGAGTTATCAAAGAGCTACTGTGCAGTAATGTCAATCCCCAAGACTATGGATCTAGTAATCTAGAAGTACAATCTTCATAGATTTTGGAACATGCCTTGAAGTATGCTTCGGAGTTACGAGATCGATCCAAGCTATGAGATGATGCCAAAGATCGTAGCGATCGGGACATATATTTGAGCGACTTTGCCCACTAGAATTTCCAACAGGGCCAAATAGGTATGTTCAACTGGTTCAAGCATGTCTCAATTTCGTAGAAGTGGTTCATTTGTCGCGTCCACAGAGAAGCAACATTGCAAGAGCACTTCCGGGTACCGGCTTTCGTATATCACAAACCCCGTTCTTTAGTTGAGTCATGACCGGAGAATAAAATCATCACATAACGAATGATACCACCGGGAATCGGGCCAACCAGCGGGGTAAAATAAGAAAATTCTTATCCTCCCGACTCGCCAAATAATAACCCGGTAAGCCTAATAACAATCGGGCCAGTAAATCATCAACACGACCGGCAAGCCCCTAATGACGCCCGGTCTCTACGGGATCAGGCAGGATTGCACCGAATTCCGGCTAAGTGGAGGAAGTCGGGGCGGAGTTTGCCCGATTCTTGGCATTTTCAGCTGCATCGAGATAGCTTCACAACAAGTGAGATCGCGAAATTCTGGGTTCGGGAAAGCCACAATTTTTCAGCTTATTGACAACGTGCTTGTGTGGCATACGCGACGGGGGAATACTTCACCCTGCTCCAAACGATGGAAGGTCTAGTTCGACCCGCAAGGCGGTTTTCACGACAGGGATCACTGCGTGATCTATATAGACCTTATGCATGCTGTCCAGGATCCTGTTTCATGGCTGTGCAAATATAATTCCTCTCGGACTAGAGCAGTCATATTCATATCCATCCTCGTTCCACTCTTCATCGCCTTCCTATCTCTTCCTTGTCATTGAACAACAATGGCTTCCGAAGATCCATTTGTGAACGGCTTAGAGAAGCCTGACCCGGCGAGTGCTATGAGCAATCCGGGGTCAATCGTTGCCAGAGATCAAGAAGATTCCGATCGTAAAGCTGAGAAATTTGCACTTGGTCGGCGAGGTCAACTGGTGTTTTTCACCTTGGCTGTCCTCACTCTAATGGCCGCTCTGGACGGAACTTCGCTTTCTGTTGCTTTACCAGTAAGTCTACCAAACTATTTTAATATTCTCATCAAGATGATCTTGGAAGCTAACTTATATCAAGACCATTGCCAAGGCCTTGAATGGCACAGCTATTGAAGCCTTTTGGAGTGGAACGTCATTCCTTCTGTCTTCAACAGGTCGGTAAACCTCCATCGAGCTGTTATAAATAGCCATCTAATGCGAAAGCAGTTTTCCAACCAAGCTTCGCATCCTTATCAAATATCTTCGGTCGTCGCCCAATGGTCCTGGTCGCCATTCTATTCTTCTGTGTCGGCGCCATTATCGCTGCGGTCGGCAACAACTTCACCTACATGTTGGTTGGGCGAACTATTCAAGGTATCGGAGGTGGTGGTATCATTGCCCTGAGTGAGATTATTGTCACGGATCTTATTCCATTGAGATATCGGGGTCAATACTTTGGTATCCTGAGTGCTATGTGGAGTCTTGGTTCTGTGACAGGGCCAATTCTTGGTGGGGGTTTCGCAGAAAATGTGACTTGGGTGAGTGTGAATCAAGACGTTCTAGGGACAGAGCTAATCCTCTATAGCGATGGATCTTCTACATCAACTTCCCCTTCATTGGGTTTGGTGTCGTTTTCGTGGTTCTTTTCTTGAGGCTCAGCATTCTCCCAAGCTCACTGGTCGAGAAACTCCGTCGCATTGACTACGTTGGAACCGTCTTGTTCGTTGGCAGCATGTCATCATTCTTAATTCCCCTTACCTGGGGCGGAGTATCGTACCCTTGGGATTCATGGCATACACTGGTACCATTGATTATCGGTGCAGCTGGATTATTCGTCTTCGCCTTCTACGAATATCGCTTTGCCGCCGATCCTATCATCCCTCCAAAGGTCTTCCGCAATCGTACCGCAACAGTGTCTTTCATTGGAAGCGTCTTGCAGGGATTGATACTGTGGTGCACACTGTACTATCTTCCACTTTACTATGAGGCTGTGAAGGAGTATAGCCCAATCATCTCTGGAATTGCCCTTTTCCCAGAGACCTTCACAGTTGCGCCAAGTGGCATGGCAGCAGGCATTCTCATCACCATTACAGGCCACTATCGTTGGGCAATCTGGCTTGGCTGGGTAGTATCTACCATCGGTCTGGGATTGATGTGCATTATAAAATCTTCGACCAGCATTCCAGGCTGGATCCTGCTTAATGTTGTTCCAGGCATCGGACTCGGCCTGCTCTTCCCTTCGCTGGGCTATGCGGTACAGGCATCAGCAACTTCGGAAAACTTGGCGATTGCGGTCGCCATGTTCAGCTTCTTCCGCGCTCTGGGTCAGGCAGTCGGTGTGGCTGTTGGTGGTGTTGTCTTCCAGAACCAGATGCGCAATAATTTGTTGAAATATCCTGCGCTTGCACCCATGGCCGATTCTTACAGTCAAGATGCCGCTGGGCTGGTTCAGATTATCAAGGGGATGGCAGACGGTGTGAACAAATCCGATCTCAAAGATGCGTACACGGATAGTTTACGCATTGTGTGGGCAGTTTGCTGTGCGATTTCGGGTGTTGCTCTTTTACTCAGTCTCCTGACCGAGTCTTATGATATTGACCAGACCTTGGAAACAAACCAGGGTCTCCGGGATCCGGATGAGAATAATGAACCTACCGAGAAGGATCTGGAGGCCTCTGCCGGCAACGCTGTCCAGAAGACAACACCTTGGGCCTATTGATCGGCTACGTTTTTTTATGATTGATGATGCAAGTATAAATTGTATAGCATATTTGATTCCTTAGCTCACAGCCTTAATAATTACATCTCCCATTCATGCGATTTTAACTCTTCAATTCCACATCCTCTGCAAAGTCCACACCCCGAATCAATGTCTTGATACCCTCACCTCTTCTCGTCATTTCCCAAGCATCAGTCTTTTTTCCAAAGGGAGTACCTTGGTAATAAGCGATCGCAAGTTGATCTTTCTCATCAGTGCCAACTCCAACGCCATTTTGTAGTCCCCTGGGCCATATCGGAAACACCCCTTGACGGTGATCTCGTTCATCGAGACTACCGTGATGGGAAAATTGACGTTCGGATTGCCAAGACCCGTCTGAACAAAGAGACCTCCAACTCTCAAAGCATGAGTTGCCATTTGGATACAAGGCTCAGCCCCGGTGGCTTCAATCGCAACATCAAAGCCAGGCACATCCGCTTCTGAAAGAGGAGAACTCTACTGCGTGGCGCGAAGACGTTCAGCATTCTTCTCCGCGGGAAAAGAGCTGTCCGGAATGATTCACACGTCCATCAGATACAACTGACTCCGCAAAGTCCAACTTCTTGCGACTGATATCCACTCAGGTAATCAAGATTGCACCGTACTCTCGAGCAACGGCCACAAAAAGCAATCCTATCGTTCCAGCACCAAAGACGACGACTTTATCACCGGGCTGGACTCCAACTTGTCGTACCGAGTGCACCGCAACAGCAAGTGGCTCAATTAACACAGCTTCATCGAGGCCAAATGGTTTCTCCATGTTGGTCGGGACCTTGTAGCAGCAGTCTGCGGGTATCTTGTAGTACTTTGACAGCGTTCCATGAGTGTATGGCGGGTTGGCAGCGAATTTCATCTGCGGACACAATTATACTGTCCCGCTTTGTAGCGACTGCAAAGACGACAGGCCGAACCGGGCTCAATAGCGATGGAATCACTTGGTTGCAGGCCTTTACCAGCCGGTCCCACTGGGCGGACGATGCCCGAGGCCTCATGGCCCATGACAAGGGGTCTGTCTTGGGAAATGAGATTTTTGACGCCGCCATGAAGCCAAAAGTGAACCTTTTCAGTTTTTGATGATGAGTTTACACGCTTAGACAGCGGATAGAGCGCCAGGGATTTACCTACGTCACTTCCACAGACCCCCGCGTAGGCGATGCAAATTATTACATCGTAAGGATCCTTGATCTGAGGCATAGGCCTGTCTTCAAAACGGGCATCTCAAGGGCCATATAGCAAGCAAGATGGGTTCTGCATGTTGATCTGTAGGAGTGGTAATGAAGGTCAGTCTTCTGGTTACGGATCAAGCTCTTATAGTTCCTAGTTGTCACTCAAATGACGGACGAGGAAATTCCGAGAGACCGGTCATCAAACATGACACATCTTTGTTCTAGGGCGAATCATGAATACGATCTGCTTGCCTCTGCATTCAGATGAGGGGACGGATATCGGCGACAAAAAGCCGAATGTGGTCAGATGGCCTGAGCTTAACTGGGCACTACAACAGTTGATAACCGTGGGCAGACAAATGAATTTCAACCTCCAGAAGTATACGCATGTCAATGTACATCAGGCCAGTCAAATATTCAATTGGAATCATGGTGATCGTCATCGCAAACTAGGTACTCGAAGAAAACAAAAACAACAATAGTCCGAGCACCAAATATTCAAAACGCCTGGTGAACCGAAACTTTCAAAGACGCAAGTCGTGCACAAGGAACACAAGGTCGTAACATCGTGAAAAGAAACTGTAAATAGCACAATTAAACCTCCAAGAGATCACTCACGGCCCATGACTCTCAGCCGCTCCTTGAGCATATCCATCTCCTTGTCATAATCCATCCCAGTCCTCTTCTCAAACTTCTCCCTGTCGCTGTCTTTCAACATGATCGAACGATAAGCGCCGTCGCCGTCAGGCGCACCGACTGTAACCCAGACAAACTTCGTTCCATGGCTTCCTGTGGATGACCGATCCTGTGTTCCCTGCCAGAACATCTCAGGAGGGATCGAATCATCTCCAGAGGCAGCGCGACTCGGAGAAGGGCGGCCGCCGAGTCGTCCATATTTGATCCATACCTTGAGAACATCTCTGATAAAGCTAATCTTTTGCAAGAACGAGTTGGCTTCAAGGATATCCTTGATACGGTCCTCGACAGAATTGATAGACTCCCCGTTGGCGATACTAAGGAAGGTAGCGGCTTCGTCTGAAGCAACAGCCCGAGTATCGAAGCCGGAGGAATGCATTTTGCCCTTTTGGGTAAAGAAGCGCGCCGCAGTGGGAGAGAGATGGTAGAAGTCAATCCACGGAGAAGAGCTGCGAGTGCGACCGGGTGCAAGAACAAGCTTGGTGTGATCGGGGAAGTTGAACTGGAAAGAGCCGTCGCCAAATCCCCAGATACCGACATTACCAAGTCGCTGGTAGAATTTGATAAACTGTCCACTGCTCTGAGCGGGTGTCTCGTCCATGATTCCCTCATCACCATGGCGACCGAGAGATCCGATCATGTATTTCCCGAACTGGTCGACCAGCTTGACCCGCTTGACCTTCTCGACATCTGACCGTTCAGACTCGGATCCAGAGTTGACACGAAGCTTCATCACTTTCGAGTTCTTAGCGTCAAAAAGGGATGGGTGAATCAAAGCACGCCGAATGCCACGGCACCCAAGCAGGCTATCATCACGGTTTTCGTAAAACTCCACCGGCGCCCCGGTGCGAGGGACAAGTTGGTCTGCCTCGGAATATGGGATGCCCTTTTCCTCGGGAGTATCAACACTACGCGCCTTGCGGCGGATGTGTCTCTCGCCATCCCGAACCACAACGCTGGTGGCAGGCTGGCCATTCTCTCCCTTGAATACGCATCCCACGCTGCCATCGTCCAAAACGTATCCGATACCGTATCGATTGGTGTAATCCACCCATTTGATCACATATGCATGGGGTTGCTTTCTGGAGCCGACCCGGCGCCGGGTGGGGCCTTGGGTTACCAGGTTTGCCAACATCAGACGCAAGTTGGTGTTCACGTCAGACAATGAAGTGCCTGGCAGATCCTGACACACGTCATCCGGATGAAAGATGGGACTCAGCCCCAGACTAGAGCGAGCTTTGTTCGACTTGCTATCAGTTCGAGAAAGGCCCTGCGATTGGGTTGTAGATTTGGTGTGCTGAGTGGAAGAGAAAGCTGACTCGGTTGGGCTAAGCTTGGGCCGTTCAGCTCGCTCAGCGCTAATCTTCAAGTCGGGACGCGACACGGATCGCAAAGAAGCCTGACGACTCATGATTCGTCGCTCCTCGACTACTGCAGACAACTTAGCATCACTCGTGGGGATCGGAGGCTGCGGCCCTTGGTTGGCAAGTTCCATCCTCCGCGACTGGGAACGTGTTTTGCCAATTGTAAGGCCAGAAGGCATGCTGGTAGACTTGGCCAGCTGAGGAGCCACAATCTCGCGCAGAGTGGGGGCGTTGGAAGCGGAAACCATTCTTCGAGTGCGAATTGGCCGCTCGGCGAGCCCGCCTGAAGGGACTTCAGCACTTGACAGAGGTGTAGGTTCGGATTCTTTAGGGTTTCGGTAGGAGTTGGTAATGGACTCTGCAAATTCAGATACAACCGGTGCCTTTCGCACGGAAGCCATTCCAGGGCGAGCTTGTTGGCGAAGTGTCGCAGCGTGGTTCTGTCCCTCCATCCTGCGTTGCTGAGCAGCTGCAAGCGCGGCATTTGTTCGAGTAGCTGCAACTGCATGAGTACGAACAGACACGCTTCGTCGAGATAACGTGCTGCTGTCCATTGCTGATTCTTCCGTCCGGATTGTCTTGCGAGAACTCTCCATCAGACACCAGTCGCCCTCGATTTCGTGAGGCCATCGATAAACGAAATCCATGGGCAACGGCACGACAGGCCGAAGACCTCTCGCATCCTCAGTCTCGCACTCTGAGTATGCCGATTTCGAGCAATTGCGACCGACAGACTTGCGAGCAGTTCCGTCGGGTTTTCTGCCAACACCACACAATGAGTAGAATGCGGCCTTGCAAGAGTGATACCGTTGACTTGGATCATCCACTTGGTAGACGTAGGCACGAAGTTTCTCGTCCGAGTCTAAGCCATAGCCCTTGACCATGGAGTCGCCCCGGGGTGATTGGTCCTTGAGCCAGATTGGCTTGTTGAATCGGCATGCTGGGTCCAGTTGCCGGGGAATACAACCATCGTACATGTTGAAAAATGGATGCTCAACAATGTCATCCGGGTCCGGTCGTTCCTCATCTACCAGATTCAAGCAAGCGCTGACGAGATCCTTGGCCTCGTCTGGTATAAAATTGGAATTTTCGGATTCTTTTGGCCATACGTAGGTCAGATTCCGAACCTTCTTGTAAATTTCTTCTTGTGTTTTCGATTGGAATGGTGGGTATCCGGTGAGCATTGCGAAACTGAGGAACAACAAGTTAGCCAGATTTGACTGAATAACAACGCACATCCACTTACCAGATAACACCCAATGACCATATGTCGACTTTTTGAGTATGGCCGCCCTTGCTCTTGTCAAGAACCTCGGGCGCAATGTAATTCGGTGTCCCACACAAAGTGTTCCGTCGCTTCGCATCCTTATCCGACAAAATCATTGCAGCAAGGCCAAAGTCTCCGATTTTGATGTTCATGTTGCGGTCGAGAAACAGGTTCCCCATCTTCAAGTCACGATGTGCCACGAAACGCTTGTGTAGGTACTTGACGCCTGCGCACAGCTGGATCATAAACCGCCTCACTTCTGGAAGACTAAGGCACCGTCGTTTTCGAACCATATCCATTACTGACCCGTTCGGACACAACTCAAGGACGACATATGTGCTCTGTTCGAAGGCGAAGGCGCGATAAAATTGGACGATGAAGGGGTGGCGCATTTTCGAATGGATTTGGAGTTCTGTTCGAAACTATGAACGGTCAGCATGGACCATCAAAACCATTCTGTGACGGTCGCTGTACCTTCTCTTCCATCTTTTTCTGTGGCATTTGTGACTTGACAACTTTCATGGCAAACACGCGACCATTGCGCGCCAATGTCCCCTCGTAACAAACTGCAAATCCACCCTTTCCCAAGAATCCACCTATGGAGTATCGTTCTGCATCCTCCTCGGGCTCTGTGACTACTGATGGGGGTGGATCTGCGTGGTTCTTGGAGGCTGAAGACGACTTTGGCGCCGTGGTGGTCGCGGGTTTGTCCCCCATTTTCCGATCCATTGGAGCCTTGGGCTTAATCATTTGGTTCGTGGTCCGAGGCGAAAGAGCTTCCATTATGGATGTTGCGACGCTGAGGTTTCTGCGTCGAAGTGATCAGGGCAGTCGCAACGGGTATCGTCGGTGAGGGAAAGGCCTCCAATAGCAATTTCAAACGGAAAGATCATAAAATTAAGCAGGATATCAGGTGGCGGTGCAAATTGTGGGTATCAAGGTGCTGCAAATTGGTATCCCTGCAATCATCCGGAGCGTTAGCACTTTGACTTGTATCGAATTCCGCCCAGTCGGCAACCCGACCCAGACTGTTCGGTCGGAAGAGGGAGATAATAGAAGGTTACCGGAATGCAAAGCGCTAAATAATCAAAAACTGTACAATGCTTCGAAAGTCAACGCGATTCAACTTGACCGGGGGTCGGGGGGTTGAAGTGGGGAGAAAAGACAAAGGCTAACTGAAGGACTCCGACCATAATAGATTTCCCGATTTGGAAATCGATAAACAGTGTTTCTCATCACGTGACTCCATAGCAACCTCGAATTTTCAGATCAAATGCTCGACTCTAACCTAATTACTCGGGATTCCAATAATTTATTTGAACCTATTGTTAAACAATTCGAGTTGATATTGTTTTTCTCTGGTTGGCTTAAGTTGTTCTATCTTCTTGATGTATCTGGCATAGTGTAGATCCTTAACGTCGCTCTCGAATATATTTTCGAACAGGCCCACCTCTATTGTACAGCTCTATGGGCCCCTTTGGTGTTTCAACCGAGTAACAACTCCTATTCGTGCAGTCTCTTGTCGAGGGACCAAGACATAAGATACCCCAAACACTTCATCCCACATCCTATCTATCATCCACGTCACCAATATACTCCCCGCAGATGATAGCCCTTCGGACTGTTATGTTTACATGGCTTCCCCCCGCCTCAGCATTCCCGGATTCGTAGTGGGGCTAGTCGAATGCTTGTTGGCAGGCTACTTTCGAAAATTTTGCTCGTGGCTGGTTTCGACAAACTTAAGGTACCTATATATGGACATATGGAGAATTTTATTCACTTGAGTTAACCTGATCTGAAGATGCCCGGATACAACCGAATGCTCTGCTAAAAGCCGGGCAAGGACGTTACCACAGCCGCAGGTAAGCTCATCAGCGCTCAATGGCAGAGCTGATTCATCTAAGGTTAATGGTCAATGCTAGATTTTCTGCTCAATACCTCTTTGCGTGGCCGTCTCCCTTCTAATGTCTAATTTGTTCTGTAGTCACTCACCTTAAACAACTGTTGTTTCCATCCATCCAATCCTGGAGGCGGCCATGGTGCTGACTCATCACGGACTATGCCGATTTTGCGCAGTGGGGACATGGAAGACCGTGGCTGATCAACGTCACGGGCAATTTATACCCGTGAGTCAAGATCAAGGCTGCGGGCCTTGCTCTGACTTGTCTTCCTCAAGCAACCATGTCGTTGACACTCAAGCTCTCCTCCCTTGCGATTCGCACTCTGTCCAAGCCCATTGCCGTAAGTGTACACACTCGACTCACCACGCCCCTGGGGCTAAGCTGACACGCCCGCAGAACCAAATTAAGGCACAGGCTCGCGAACATGAGCGCTTCCGCAACATTTGTGTCTCAATGGCACAGGCCCTCCACCGATTCGACATGCGCCTCCGTCTAGGATCCATTCGCGATAACACCGCAACCCGCAAACAAGCCGAGGCTGCGGCCGAAGCTAAGAAGCACATCCCCACCTCGCCAACGGTCAAAACAGAGGCTGCGACAAAGGCGGAGGACGAAGCTGTGTTGAAAGCCAAAGCAGCAGCGGAAGAAGCGGCTAAACCTCACCATTACCGGATTCGACCTCTGTCCGAATCGAAAGCTATCGAGTCTGGCGCAAACTTCATCAGCGAATCCTTCCTCTTTATGGTCGCAGGCGGGTTGATCTTATTCGAGTCATGGCGCTCTCGTCGCAAGGAGGGTACACGCAGAGAGGGTGTTGAGGATCGACTGGCTGAGCTTGAACAAACCAACAAGACTTCGCGGGAAGCCTTGATAGCCCTGGAGAAGGAACTGCTGGCTCTCAAAGCCAAGCATGGAGAGCTGCCTAAGGGGACACACCGCATCCTGCCCCGAGAAGTGTGGGAAGTTGTTCCTGAGGTCGAGGAGCCTGAAGTTGAAGAGACTTGGTGGACAAGTATCACATCCTACATTCCGAGCTTCGGCCAATGGTCTCAAAATTCGACTTTGTCTCCTGCAGAGCCAGCGCCCGAGACAAAAGAAACCAAGCCCGCAGCCGACAAACCCACCGTGCCAGTGCAAACAGTGAAACCGAATGGAAAATCCTAGGCTGACATGAAGGGATCACGATGGATCTTATCAATACTCGATCATACATATTGAGCGTTTTGGCGTCGCTGTTTGACACATTTATTTTCTTTGATTCATCTCTTCAACTTGGATACCCTCCTCTCTTCTTTCTCGTTTGGCGCTGTATAGATAGCTGCCTATGTTTAGGTATAAAGACTTTCAAATTCATCTTTTGAGAAAAAATATCAGCAATCATCCCACCCCCTGAAATGGAGCGGAGCCGACAACTCCCTGCGAGACCCCTACTTGGATGTATGTCTTTCCATAATTCCACACCCCCGAATCTAGGACCTTTTATTGATCTTAGATTCCTGCACATCTCTAGATCCTACGATCTTCCTGATAAGCGCTTGATGCTGTTCTGTTCCTTTTTCTCGTAAATAAGAGATACGAATGAAAGATGCGAACGTGCATATTGTCAGAGAGACTCAGAGAAGAGCAATAGTAATCATGGTTCTAGACGAAGCGATAATGCATTTGCCATATTCTAAGTAGATCATGGGCCATAGCTCGGCAAACGACTACAGTATTTGTCAAGTATAGTGTCGGCCTAGAACTACTCTACTACAAATGAGGGAAGAGGCCCAAGAATGATCGAGTGGCGCCTAACAAAACAAATCTACATACTGGATGTACCCAACGAGAGCCGTGCAAAGACATCGATTTGCTCCTCTACTTGGAGGCGCTTACGAACATGCCAGGCGTCAGTTTTCCGCTCCCTTCTGTATGCCTAATGACGTCGGTGCTTCTATTCTTGACCCGCACGAGCCACAGTCCCTGACGCCCGTGGCTAACAAATTCTCCTGTTAAAGTTTTTCAGTGATAGTTCATGGAGAGGCAAATTCCGGGCACTAGATAATAGTCCGTAGTCAATAATCCCATACTTCGGATATGTGCCGAGACTTCCGGCTCTCATATAATCGAGAGTTCGTCAGCCCCTGAGGCAGCAACCGAATAGAACCTCGAAACCATAGAAACTGCAGGGCCCAACCAGACCCTCAGCAGTGTGGCGCAGTTGTGCGGGTTGTTTGATTTGGTTTGTTCTGGTTGTACGTAAGTCCGCAGCCCGCACGCCGCCTCCATTCCGCTTCCCTTCGATCGTCCACTCTGGCCCTTTGTCGCCTCAACATCCCTCCTCTGTGAAATTCCTCTTTTCGAGTGACTCAGATCCCCTTGATCACATTTGATTGATTGCACAGAATTGTCGCCTAGGCGCGAGATCTCGGGAGCTTGTCACAAACATGGTGAGTGGTTCATCCCCTCCCCCCGGTGTCGCAAGACAAGGCTACCGGAATGATCTGGACTAACCCCGCGATGTTTCATGGTTTATAGGGTCAGTCACGACGCCCCGCAGGCGGCGAGAAGAAGAGTCGCTTCGGGCGCAACAAAGCAGTCGCCGATGTGGGTGACGGCCGGCAGACGGGCAAGTCGCAGGTCAAGAAGGCCACCTTTGAAAGTTCCAAGAAGAAGGAGATTGGTGTTTCGGACCTCACGCTACTGAGCAAGATCTCCAATGAAGCCATCAATGATAACTTGAAACTGCGTTTCGAGCATGACGAGATTTATGTAAGGGAGCCGCCGGCGCAGCCGACTGCGGGGCAGCTGCTCCGCGCGGGATCAGAATGAAGGCTAACGGGTGTCATACTAGACCTACATCGGACATGTGCTGGTCTCTGTCAACCCGTTCCGGGATTGTAAGTGTATTTCCGAGCTGTGGTTCTATCATCAGGTTGCTAACAGACGATGTCTTCTATAGTGGGCATCTACACTGATAAGGTGCTCGACTCCTACCGCGGCAAGAACCGACTCGAAGTCCCCCCTCATGTATTCGGAGTCGCCGAATCAGCATACTACAACATGAAGTCCTACAAAGATAACCAGTGTGTGATCATTTCTGGAGAATCAGGTGCCGGAAAGACAGAAGCTGCCAAGCGAATCATGCAGTACATTGCCAGTGTTTCCGGGGGTAGCGATTCGTCGATTCAGCAGACTAAGGACATGGTGCTGGCCACAAATCCTCTGCTGGAGTCATTCGGTAATGCCAAAACATTGCGCAACAACAACTCCTCACGATTCGGCAAGTATCTCGAGCTTGAGTTCAACGCCAACGGCGAGCCGGTGGGTGCCAACATTACAAACTACCTTTTGGAGAAGTCTCGAGTTGTCGGCCAGATTACAAATGAGCGAAACTTCCATATTTTTTACCAATTCACAAAGGGCGCGCCGCAAAAGTACCGCGACAGCTTCGGCATCCAACAACCTCAGACCTACCTCTACACGAGCCGTTCGAAGTGTTACGATGTTCCGGGAATTGACGATGTTGCGGAGTTCAAAGATACTCTGGATGCGATGAAAATGATTGGCATGAGTGAAGCGGAACAAGATAACGTCTTCCGTATGCTGGCCGCAATCCTCTGGATCGGTAACATCCAGTTCACAGAAGATGATTCAAGCAATGCGTCAATCACGGATCAGTCGGTTGTCGATTTCGTGGCCTATCTGTTGGAGGTTGATTCGTCGCAGGTCAACAAGGCTTTGACCCTACGTCTATTGGAGACCGCTCGTGGAGGCCGAAGAGGTTCGGTGTATGAGGTTCCGCTGAACACGGTTCAAGCTGTCGCAGTTCGGGATGCTCTAGCCAAGGCCATTTACTTCAATCTCTTCGACTGGATCGTGGAGCGCGTCAACCAGTCTCTGACTGCCCGAGGGTCCATCACCAACTCGATTGGTATTCTGGATATCTACGGCTTCGAGATTTTCGAGAAGAACTCTTTCGAGCAGCTTTGCATTAACTACGTCAATGAGAAGTTGCAACAAATCTTCATTCAGTTGACGCTAAAGGCAGAGCAGGATGAGTACGCCCGCGAGCAGATCAAGTGGACTCCCATCAAGTACTTTGACAACAAGGTTGTGTGCTCTTTGATCGAGGATAAGAAACCTCCCGGTGTCTTCGCTGCGTTGAACGATGCTTGCGCCACTGCGCACGCCGATTCTGGTGCCGCCGACAACACTTTTGTGGGCAGACTGAACTTCCTCGCTCAGAACCCGAACTTCGAGGGTCGCCAAGGCCAGTTCATCATTAAGCACTACGCTGGTGACGTGAGCTATGCCGTCGAGGGAATGACCGATAAGAACAAGGATCAGCTTTTGAAGGATCTGCTCAACTTGGCTGGCTCCAGCAGCAACCAATTCGTCCACACTCTCTTCCCCAACCAGGTCAACCAGGATGATAAGCGCAGACCGCCTACCGCTGGTGATAAGATCAAAGCCTCCGCCAATGACCTTGTTACCACTTTGATGAAGGCGCAGCCCTCGTATATCCGTACCATCAAACCCAACGACAACAAGGCTCCTAGGGAGTACAACGAGGGCAACGTGCTCCACCAGATCAAGTACCTTGGTTTGCAAGAGAACGTGCGCATTCGTCGTGCTGGTTTCGCCTACCGTCAGACCTTCGACAAGTTCGTCGAGCGATTCTATCTTCTATCACCCAAGACTTCTTACGCCGGTGACTACACGTGGACCGGTGATTCCGAGTCCGGTGCCAAGCAAATCCTGAGGGATACCAGTATTCCCGCCGAGGAGTACCAGATGGGTATCACCAAGGTCTTCGTCAAGACCCCCGAGACTCTCTTTGCACTCGAGGCTATGCGAGACCGGTACTGGCACAACATGGCCATTCGTATTCAGCGTGCTTGGCGCAACTATCTCCGTTATCGTATTGAGTGTGCCATTCGCATTCAACGGTTCTGGCGACGCATGACTGGCGGTCTCGAGCTTATCAAGGTGCGCGATCAGGGACATCAGATCCTGCAGGGCCGCAAGGAGCGCCGGAGAATGAGTTTGCTTGGCTCTCGTCGCTTCCTGGGTGACTACCTTGGTGTGGGTAACAAGGGTGGCCCTGGTGAGATGATTCGTAGCGGCGCCAATATCAACAGTAAGTTAGAATCCATGATTTTAGATGAACCGCACCTAACCTTTTACCACAGGCTCTGAAGACGTACTTTTCTCCTGCCGTGGTGAGCTTTTGGTCTCCAAGTTTGGTCGATCCAGCAAGCCTGTCCCTCGGATTCTTGTTTTGGTGAGTTTCTTTGCCCAGCGCTGTTGTATGAGATGGACTGACAGTTAGCCAGACCAACCGTCATGTGTACATTGTGGCCCAAAGTATCGTCAACAACCAGCTGGTCATTTCATCCGAGCGTACCGTTCCCCTTGGTGCCATCAAGACCGTCAGCACTTCGAACCTGAAGGACGACTGGTTCTCGTTGGTGATCGGTGCTCAAGAACCCGACCCTCTTCTTAACTGCGTGTTCAAGACTGAATTTTTCACCCATCTTTCCAATGCCCTGCGCGGCTCTTTGAACCTTAAGGTTGGCGAAAGGTAAGACGAGATCCCTCTCCATTGACTTGAATGGAATCTGACAACGATACAGCATTGAATATAACAAGAAGCCCGGGAAGCTGGCGTACGTCAAGTCTATCAAGGACCCGGCAGCCGGTGCCGTCGACAGCTACAAGAGCAGCACCATCCACACTAGTGCTGGTGAACCTCCCAGCTCCGTGTCTAAACCCACCCCTCGAGCTAAGCAGGTTGCTGCTCGGCCCGTCACCAAGGGTAAACTGCTCCGACCGGGCGGTCCTGGAGGCGGTCCCTCGAAGCTGTCTGCTGCAGCTCGGAAGCCTGCACCAGTTGCTCAGCCTCTGCCCCAGTCAACCCCCCAGCCTGCTGCTCAACCTCGAATCGTTCCTCAGCCTGTAGCGGCGGTTACCGCTGCCGTTGCCGCACACTCTCGCAATCAGTCGACTAGCTCTGTGAGAGCTCCTCCACCCCCGCCCCCAGCTGCACCTCCTGCCGCTGCCGCCGCCCCTAAGAAGCCCACTGCCAAGGTTTTGTACGACTTTAGCAGCGACCGCGCCAACGAATTGACCATCCGCGCCGGTGAGATTGTGCAGATTGTTTCCAAGGAAGGAAATGGTACGTTATTTTCCATTCCAAACTTAATCAAGAACATGAGACTGATATCATATAGGATGGTGGCTCTGCATGAACACGACAACCTCGACTCAAGGTTGGACCCCCGAAGCCTACCTCGAAGAGCAAGTCGCGCCCACACCCAAACCCGCGCCTCCTCCCCCCACCCCCCGCTGCACCTCGGGCCACCCCCAGCCCTATCCCCAACGGCGCTGGTGCCGTGGCCGCAGCCAAGTCCAAGCCCGCCCCGCCAGCACCACCTGCCAAGCGTCCCAACATGGCAGGCCGCAAGCCCGCACCTCCCCCTGCTCCCAGGGATAGCACCCACAGCATGAACTCGGGCGACTCCTCTGGCGCCAGTGGCCGTGGTACACCCAACAGCACTTCCAATGCCAGTCTGGCTGGTGGCCTGGCTGAGGCGCTTCGGGCTCGCCAGAGTGCTATGCAGGGGAAGCATGATGATGACGATGAGTGGTAGATATTTCTCGATCTGCATGTGCAAGATTGTTCGTTTTACGTTCTGTTGTGTGTGCTTCATGTACCTGGTCGGTGCGCAGGTGCTGGATCCGTCTCTTCGTTTCTGCGCTTAGCGTTGGACCTTTCTATGCTTTTTTTCTCCTTCTTCTGCTTCTTGTTACACACCCCTTGTTTCTATTCCACATTCCAATTCCTTTTTCTTTCGTCTTTCTATGACGTTGTTCCTGTGTGTCTTGCAAGAAACGTTGATATGAGATTCTCGACATTGTCCATCCATTCTGGTTTCTTGATGGATATGATTCCAGGTCATTACTGTTTTTCTGTTGGTGGTCATGGACTGGCTGGTCCTGACCGTTTGCCTCTTCTTTCTGTTCCCCTTTTCCAAAGCTCAAGATTTGTTTTGCGGTTCGAACAAGTAGAAAGTACGAGTTTTGCCCGAGTGGGAATATATAGTGTCTACACGAGAAGCCGTTTAATTGATACAAATTGATTCAAAATGGACACATCACATAACATTTATGAAATGCGCATCGTATGCTTCAGAGATCCCTGTCTTCGCAGTCCCAAATGCCAGATATTGCTTCTCTTGATGGATCAAAGTCCTGGTAGATAGACATCAATCCCATCTTCCAATCTACAGGAACTTGCTAGCCAGGCTCATCAATCCAGAAGCACCACCAGTACCACCAATACCACCACCCTGACTCTTCATGTACATCTTCAGCGCCATCTCCGCAGCACTGTTCACAGCAGACTGCTTATCACCGTTCTACCCAGAAACCACAACGTTAGCATGAACCCAATATCACCACCTCTCCTCATCCACCAAATCTCAATATAAACTCACCATACTAGCCCCAGCCCCCTCTTTCTCCTCCCACAACTTCCCCGCCTGCGCCATCGCCAACCCAATCAACTTATTCTTATCCATCCCCCCATCACTACTCCCGCCACTCGTAAACATCTTCAACGCCTGCATCGCCGCACCGGCACCCACAGTCGAAGAATCGTGGCTGCGGCCCTGCTCATCGCCGCCGTTGTTGTACATGGCATTATGAGCCTGCACGGCGTGCTGCTCGTCGACTTCGATGCGGGACGGGTCTTGGAATTGGCCCTTGCGGTCGTTTAGGAAGGACAAAGCGGAGTTGAAGAGGGAGCTGTCTGAGGAGGAGTGGGATTGCGCGTGTTGGGCTGCGCTGCTGAAGTCGTCGCCGCCGCTGTATTGGCCAGAGCCGGAGTAGCGGGTGTCGTTGTAGTCGCCGTGGCGGCGGTCATCACGGCCGTAGGACTCGTTGCGGGACTCGTTGTTGTAAGAGTCGTTGCGGCGTTCATCGCGGCCGTAGTTCTCATTCCGACCCTCGTCGCGGCGGTTGTACGAGGAGTTATTATCCTCGTTGTACGAGTTGTTATCGTTATAGTAATCACGGGAAGCCATTTTGAGTGTAGTTGCGTTTAGTTGTAGCTTCGTTGAGTTGGAATTTGAAAGGTGGATGGATGTAAAAGATGGAAGAGTTGGATAGGCAGCTATGGGAAACTGGGAATGAGGGGTATTTACGTACAGCAGGAGTACGTTGCTTGGTTGGGATCGGAGTGGCGGGGTGGGGTTGTTATGGTGGAGCCCGATCAAAGCTGAGCTGAAAATGAGAGGTAGATGGAATAGGGATAGTTAGATGGGCAGTGCATTGCTGGTTTGGTGGGTTGCCACGTAGACCTGCAGGTCAGGTTAGAGGTAAATATGCATGGAGATTAGTGGTTGAGGGATTGATTGATTGATTGGATGGTGGATGATGGATAAATGGGTTTTGATGGCAGACAGATGGAATGTTCTCTTGCGATTGACTTTGGCATGTGGAGATCTCATCCGCAGTAGGACCACGTTTTTCTCAGGGTTAAACTACTGTAGGATCGATCTAGATATCTGAGCTTATACTAAGGAGCATTCCACAAGGAAGGAGATATAGATTCCAAGTCAGTTGATTCGCGTCATTCTATATGTGACATGCATCAAACAGCCAACAACACCAAGAAAGAACGAAACGATGATAGCATGAGTCAAAGAAAGAAAGAAGTTGCGATGAAAAGGAAAAAAAAAAAAAAAAATTTGGCCCTGGGTATCAGATGCATCAAACACGCAAAAGAAACAAAATAAGAAAGAAGAAAACCACCAGGTCCAATCAAGAAACCTACAACATAAACATCTCATACTCCTCATCACCCAAATTCCTCAAAAACCTCAACTCCCTCTGCCTCCCACCAACACAACACCTCTCATCCGCATCCAACTCGCCCTCACTCAACCACTCATTCGGCAAATCCGCCAACCCAAACGCCTGCCCCCAATTCCGCCGTTCAAACTGCATAAACCCGCCGAAATGCGGATCCGTATTCGCAACCCAAATCGCCCCACCATCAGGCGCATAGTCTGCACCACCAATCTCGCCAAAGAAATCATGAACTTGGCGAGATTGGTACATCTGCGCGTCGATAATGGAGATGCGATCTGCGGGTTCGGCGCAGAGAAGAGTGCGGGGACCGCCGCCGACGGAGGAGAAACGAAGGGAGCGGTAGCCTGCGACGTCGGAGTCGATTGTTTCGAGAGCACGCCATGTTCTAGCGTCCCAGATGATGACTGTTTTGTCTTGGTTGCTTGTTGCGATGTGGCGCATGTCGGGGGACCAGGCGCAGGCGAAGCCGAAATCGCGGTGGCCACGGAGCGGGTGCACGGGGCGGCCGGTGTCGGCTTCGATGACCCATGCGTCTGGGGAGTCGCCGATGACGACGCGGAGACGGCTGTCGGGGGAGGTGGCGGTGCAGTTTATTGGGCGGGAGAGCTCTTGGTCGGAGAGGAAGATGTTTGTTTCGCAGTCTAGGACGCGGAGGTGGCGGTCATTCGAGGCGAAGACGCAGATGGGGGAATCGCCGGATCGGTTGCGGATGATGTCGACGTGGTTGGTGATGCCGTCGTTGAAATCGGGGGTGACTAGCCCCTTTGCGCCGGAGCCTTCGCCGCTGGTTCCGCGGAGTGCATATTCGCCGCAGAACCCGCCTGCGATTGTGAGACCGTATGCTGATTTCATACTGGAGATCTTGACGGGGCTGAGGAAACCTGATTCTGGGGCAGGACGAGTGAGATCAATAAGACAGCGGATATCGTCAAAATCGGGTGTCCACGAGTAGACTTTCGACCGGCTGGCAAAATGGACGGTGTTGTATCCGGGGACCGAGATCAAATTGCGTAGTTGAAAGTGCTCGACAGTCGCCTTATGTTCCGTGTGCATTGATTTTGCCTGGAAGAAGTTCTCGTCCTGCGGGAGCCTTTCGGCGAGCATGTTATGCGAGTAATCGAGGTTATGGTAGGAAGTGTACCATGCATCGCGGAGTGCTCGAGCATCAGACCGTTTCACCTTGAGTGTTTCTGCCCAAGGCATCTGCTGTAGATCGTAGAAACGACCGTTGAACCCGCATGGACGGTGGATCTCTAGTGGTTGTTTCCAGCCCATCATCTTGGACAGAGGACGGAGCTGTGGCGGGACTCGGTTCTCCGAATGGAAGCCATGTGGGATAATGTTAGATTCGACCATCCAGCGTTGGATAAACTCGTCGATGGTCAAATTTCGTTCATATGCTAGATCTGTCAGAGACATTACCGATGACGAACGGGGAATGGTACCATACTGGTTGTGTGGATGATGGAGGCAGGATGCCATTCAACATCCTCTTCTGGTATGTTGTCCACAGGGAGTGGACCTGCCGGAGGAAATTCAGGCGCCAGTGCAGGGACCTGTGGCGGATTGGGATTTGTCGGTTCGTAACTGATAGTTTGGTAAAAATCATCCAGATTCACATCGTGCATTGCAGTCTCGCGCGGCGAGTGCCCAGCGATATACTGGTGGTAGTATTCTTCCTCGTCGGGATAGAATTGGAGCAAGTCATCCAGGTCATCATCTGGAACGGTCGACGGCGATGGGTGTTCTTCCTCACAGACGGAGTCATAGTCCAAGACCATTTCCTTCCGAAGCTGGTCGTTCTGACCCGCAATTGTCGCGATATTCTGCCATGTCGCGGTTCGCTCGATCAAGTCCTGTACGGTGCTTTCCATGTCCATATCACTATCAGTTGTCTGCGAACCCGGTGATGGGTCCTCCGATGCCGATCGGAAGCTGTCCGCGATAGAGTGCGTCAAGTAAAGTCTTTCGGCCGAAGTATCCGACATATTTCCTTCGGCTTCCATGAGCCCTGCACCGGCTCGATGGAATGACGAGACACCGCCAGTAACAGCATTCACGACCTGATTCACGATGAAGGAACCGCTCTCATCGTTGACACCGTGGGGATATTGCGCGACGGCTGCCAAAGCTGCGACTCCGACATTGTGCAACCGCTGATCCTCTTGTGAGGCCATATCGACGGCTGTAGTCACAAAACCAGAAGTAGACGAGCCACGACGAACTTCCGTACTTAGAGCCGACACATCGTCGTCATCAAGAATAGCGGGCCTGCCGCTGGGGACGTCTGAGGGATCACTATTCATACGTGGAAGAGCCGGCACTCCAGCGGTATCACATGACCCATTGCAAGACGCAGGCGGCGAGAGATAGTCTGACTGGCGAGACAAATCTGATGAGGGCAGCGTAGTTCCAGCGTTGCCGTCACCACGCATTGCCCGTCATGGAGGGTCGAAAAAAGTGTCGTTGTCTCCCGGGTCCGGGGAGATACCGAAATGGTGGGGTGAATCCAGAAGCGAGAGCTAAGTGCCTGCAAGACAAAACCCGCACTTCGGAACAAGGCGACGGAAGTGATCTGTAGAACAGTCGTGCCAGGCACAATGCACAACACAGGCAGAGGATCAAATCCCGGAAAAGCAGAATCGATCGGGGTTGATTGGTAGCGGGGGTTACACAGAAATGGGGACCGTTGAAGCAGAGGCTGGCACCGTTTCTATGGTCGCAAGATCCTGGATTCGGAGGTTTCCTTATTGCACGTTCTCTCCCCTTTCTATGTCTTGACTTTCACGAGGGTTTATCACCTGGCAGCTGACTGATACGCACTGAAGTTTCCGCACAGCGTGGCTTACTGGGTCTCAGACGCCGACGAAAACGAAGGTAGTTGATGCGGGCGGAAGTAAAATGCCGAGGGAGGGCGACGGTTGGAGTCGGGGGGGGTAAGTATAAGATGGTCAGATCGCACGGGCTGCAAGGCCAACCAGGGATGGATGGACGGGATAGCGGGGAGTGCGAAGCGCGAGTAGTTAACACCCGGGGGGATGAAGAGCGACCGTAGGTAAATGCAATGGAAGCTAGGCCAGGAGTCTGTACGCCGTACGCCGTTCGATTGACAGGAGTAGTAACTTTCAACGCTACCGGGGCGAGCGACTTGAACGTGGCTTTCACGCCGTTAAGTCTTCAAATCGGACGTCCGGCTGCTGGAGAAGAGTTGGAGAACTGAGCGCAGGCCGTTTTTTGGGGCTAGCGCCTTGACAGGTCCAGGATGGCGGATGCGGGCGATGCGATTGGGAAAGGCACGTAACCCAGGAAAAGCAGGATAATAGGATTAGTTCAGCAGGCACCAACTGGAACTGTCCGAGCGTACTTTTGTCGCATGGACATGACAGACGGGTGGATGGGATGAGACGATGGGCAACGCGAAACGTGCAACGTGTGCAAGGGCAGGGCAAGGAAGATCCCGGTCAAGATATACTAGTATGTAGTGGAGAATAACACTCCTGGTCAAGTCAGAGCCCGGATGATCCCCGATTATTCTGGTGATGTGGTCCCAGACTCCCAAGATAGAAATCGAGGCTGATAAGCGGGATGTAAGATGACGAAACGAGAAGTGGAGTGGAGTTGGAGTTGGAGTTTGGTGGGGGGAAATGGGAAATGGGCGGGCGGTGGACAAGTAGTCAAGTAGACACGAATAAGGTTGGTGGAATGAGAAATGGGGGAGGCAGTGCAGGCAGCTGAAGAAGGAATTAAAGATCCAATAAAGGATGAACAAGAAGACTGAGTCAGGAGATGTTGTTGGAAGCACAATCCTGCCAGAAGAGCTGAGCTGAGCTGCAGCTTTTCCAACTGTGAGGTTCTCAAAAATGAGATGAACGTAAGTATTAGTCAGCAGAGCCACGTTCGTGTTTCTTGTGCCAAGAAAGAAACCTGAATATACGCAGTACTTCCAATCCGAAGTACTCCTCCTACATCAAAGACACGAAACCTACACAATTCATATACCATCCACCTACTTCCAAGAAACCCCCTCCATATCCATCTCCATCTCCCCCTTAAAAGTCAAACCACAATCCCTACAATGATCATCACCCTGCACCTCCATGTAAATAATCATGCAGGGAGCGACGCACTGCAGATCCATCCTGGCCAATGCCCGGATGACCTGCGCTTTGATCCATTGGGCGCTCTTTGGGCTGGGGGCCGGGGGGGGGGGATGATATCCAAGCCACAGCCCTTGACAAGCGGGGGCGGAGTTTATAGCCGGGTCAACATCAAGTAGGATCCGAAGAGCTTATAGCAGCCACAATTATCGCCGCTGTACCCTGTGGCGTGGCTCTGTACAGTACTAGACTCTTAGTGGTAGGACATAAGACACGTATGTGGCGAGTGCAGAAGAATTAAAGGGATTGAGGATCGTGTCATACTATCGAAGTATATTCTAGTCTTTGAAGGGAATGGGCAGATCAAGATAACTACGGAAAGTATCTCCAAGCGTATGAAAGTAATCTGAGTGATCATTATCCTAGTAATGGCCGAGTGTTCATTTACTGTAGTAATTTCCAATGTCTTTTATCCTCCAAGCCTACCAATTATGCTCTGATACTTGAGACAACCGAGAAGATCAGAATGGCATATAATTAAGGCATCAGGTCTCATACAAGTCCAAAAATGGAAAATGGCAGATCACGGATCATGGATGACTCGGCAAAATAGACAGGTCCGAAAAAAAGCAATATGGATTCACTTGGGCATGAACAGGCTGAAAATAGTAATATCAGATTGTACCCGATCTCCTTTTTGACACACGGGCCAACCGTCCCCGGAGTTAGTTGCTGTAGATCTGTAAATTAAGCCTGGATGTCTAAAAGAGGCAAGAGATCCAATGGCGTGGTGAATGACTAGGTATCAAGGATAAATGATAATGGCACAGTATGTAGGAAGGAAATGAACTACTTGTTAAGTTGGGTGTGCTCCTTCGAGTTTAGATTTGAATCAATAGTTCTACTCCTTCGCCTACGTTTGTTTTTACATAGAGTGAGTAGGATGTGGTTCAATCCAATTTGAAGTATGTTTGATTGAAGAGCAACTATATAGGCTTCAACTAGATAAGATATGTGATAGAACCGCTTATCTCAAATGACGTCCCCAACGAATATCTCTCATCCTACTTCTCAGGAACAGACTGAAACTGCACGCTCACCGAACTCGTAACCAGAATATCCGGCGGACTAAGATCCAACATCTCCGTCGGCTCCGGCCCACTACTCGCAGCAGCCCCCCCAACAAACCTGCCCCTTGGGATCTCGTCTGCCCAAACGCAGTCGGGGCACCAAACCCCCCAAAAAGCGATCTAGAGGGAACATGCTGCGTAGTCGCCGTCTGCCCCCCATCCATAATCTCAACCGGATAAACCTCCCTCCCCACAGCCCCCGCATAATCACCCGCCTTACCCACCGCATCAGCAATAGCCTCCTTCCGCATCTGCGAGCGCAAGTTTTTCTGCGTCTCCTCACTCAAACTCCAATCAATAGCGCTGATTTCCACATTCGAGTAGCTGACGAGTTGGCCGACGACTTCGCTCAACTTGGTTATATCGCGGAATATCACGCTCAACGACATCGAGGCTTGATACACCTTAGGTAGGGGTTTGTTGTCTTTGTCGCGGGGGGTGTAGTTTCTTGTGCGGAGGAAGGTTGAGGCGAATTTTGTTACGGCGGCGGAAGAGGTGGCGGTGCCAGTGGTGGTTTTTGGGGAGAGTGTTTTGAAGAGGTCGCTCAGTGAGTTGGAGCGGGTGAGGACATTTTTGGAGACGGTTTCTAGGTCGGGGCCTTCGGATTCTACCGTGAGGCGGAGGGTGCCTTGTTCGGCGAGGCGGGTGATGCTTGATTCGCCGTTAACATGGATCTTGAGAGGTTCCATTTTGTTGTGGGAATTTGGAATGTTGAGATGTTTTGGTAAACTTGACTTTGTTGATGGTTGTTAGGACACTTATGTAGTGCGGGGGAACGCTAGGCACCAAGCTCCCGCAGGACATCGTTCCGCCTGTGCCACGGTGGAGGCGGAGCAAGACGCTGGGCGGTCAAGCCACTTCTGGTGCCTGAATCTATCATCTTTGGCGTCAATTTCACAAGTACTCGGATTCAGTATATAAACTCTCGTCACTCGTATAGAGCTAGACATTGACACATTCAAATGAAGTATAACACCAAAATCATTCCCAAGTTCAATATTAGTCTGCAGATTAAGTACAAATCCAAAGCAAAGGACAGACAATATCGAAAACGCCATCCCGAGAATGTCAACCTCAAGTGCTTCATATGGTACGTACGATGGTATGGAAAATGGTATGTAAAAGGCAAAAATAAATCACAGTCAAAATAAAGTAACACGCAACAAGAAACCAAAAAAATAAACAAGGACGGTCGGGTCCTTCGAGAATGAGAGGCGTGAATGCTGGACCCGCTTCTAATAATCCGAGTACGCCTCGTAATTATTATTCGGATACCCGTTCATACCGCCAGAGGCATGCGTCTGCTGCGGCTGAGTCCAGCCATTATTCCGCATACGGCGCTCCTTCTCAAAGTCGCGCCAACGCTTCATGGTGATTTGCGTGCTGTCGAATTCACCTTCAGCCGCGCCGTGACCCTTATCCTTTTCACCGGCTGTCTTGCGGGTATCGCCCCAGGAGAAGTCGTCGAATTTCCAGAACGCGTACGTTGGCAGGACGAAATTCCAAATTGGCAGGGAAAGCAGGTAGATCAGCATCCAGAGGACGTAGACGAGACGGTGGGCGGTGACCACGATGAGAACACCGGGGAGACCGAGAATCAAGGCGAGCAGGACCAGGGGGATCACCTGGACAGGCTTGCGGACGATGGAGGAAATAACGACGTAGATGGTGAAGGCGATGGCGGCGGGGAGGACCAGAGTACCGATCAGCTCGATGAAGATGACGAATTGCATGCTGAAGCAGAATGTTCCGCAGAGGTCGCGCACGAGCACCAGTTCAAGAAGGTTATGCACGGTACTGTTAATCCAGCGACGACGCTGGGAGAGCAGGACCAGGAACTTGTCTGGGACGACTGTTTTGCAGACGGCCTGTGGGACGAAAATCTGCTTGCGCTTGGGGAAGGTCTTCAGCATCAGGGTGGTCAGGTATCGATCCTCACCAAGAAGAAGCAAGTTCTTCTTGTGCAGGGTGTCAACCACGTTTTCAGAGTAGTGCTCGACAATGTCCGGGTTGGCCAGGATAGGCACCCAGTAGTTCTGTCCACCCTTGGGAGCCTTGATACGGTACATCGAGAAACAACCGGGCAAACAGGTGACACCACCGAAGACGGACTCGAAAGACTTGGCTTGGTGGTGAGAAATGAAGTATCTAGGGGGAAGAATCGTTAGGATGTCATCAATAAACACCGCAGCAGGCAGAAAAAACATACTCGAAAACTTGAATCATCGTAACCCAGCTGTCAGTCTTGTTGGCAATCTTTGTTTCTCCGCAAAGACCCATGACCTCGGGATCCTTGACCATCGCGGAAATCATATGCGTCAAACTATCCGGGAACACCTTTGTATCGGCATCGACCATGAGAACAACTTCGTAGAAATCCGGCGGAATTCCCGTAACATTCCACATGCCATTGAACATCTCAAACTCGAGCTCAGTCATACGCTCGTCGAACATGACCTTTTGCAAGAACGACATCAGGATAATCTGACTGTCACGCTTACCACGGTTACCGGGCTTGGACTGGGTGGCTTCAGCGGGGGTACCGCACTTGACGATAACCATCATAGGCACGCGCTGCTGCTTCTCGGGAGGAATCATGGAGGTCTCGCCGTAGTCATAGAAACCGGAGTAAACCTTGGCCATGTTGTGACGCTTAGATCCAGTGGCAACGGCGACGTAGGAGAAGGGCTGGACTTCCTCTGGGGGAACAACGTGGTCCTTGACCATGCCAAGCACGATTTCCGGAGTCGAGAACTCTTCACCTTTACCCTTGATCATTCCGTCACAAATAACCAGGATGGTCTTGTGGCTGTTCGGGTAGTCGGTCATGGCAATCGAGTCAATAGTCGTCCGAATACCCTCCTCACCTTCAGAGTAACAAGTGACAATGCAAAGCGCGTGGGCCAATGGATAACCAAAAGGTTGCCAGTCAGGTGGAGGCTGCGGAACAACAGATTCGTGAATGAAGCCAGCGGGTCCAGGGCCCTCAGATTCAGAGATAACCGTCGAAAAGCCGGGTTCTTGCTGCCCGTTGCCGACGAGGCTGGTTCGACTTGCACCAGGGTTATGACGGGCATCGACGCTGAGAGTTCCACCACTGCTATTATGGCTGAGTTTGTACATGGGATTGCTGTTGGCGGAACCGGGCATGAGTCGAGAGGTCGAGTTCTGGCTGGCCATGGTGACATGTTGCCTGTTTTGCTTTCCGGTGCCGGTGCTGCCAACCACATAGGGGCTGGAGAAGCGAGACGTAGTAGGCAAGAAACTGGCGCGCTTGCTGACACGCTCAGGAACCGGGGGGTCTGCAACTCGAGGACCAGGTCGATAAATATCGTTAGACCAGTCTTCGATCTGCTGGTTGCGTGTACGGGCATCGGAAGCCATGCTGGTCTTCTGGGCGGCGAAGCGGGGAGCCAAGAACCATTGGAAGAGCAGGGCAAAGGCGAACTTGACGACGACGATGGACAGAATGAAGATCAAAGAGACGTAAAGCACGACCTTGGACGCAATACAACCGACGGTGTCCGTGTCAATGCTACCCACCTTGATGATCTGGGTGAGACACTTGCCAATCTTCTTCTGATCTCCACTTTGAAGATAGTAGGTGAGATCGACACCACGAACAGCAGAGTTCTGGCGCAGCTCATCAAATTCAGCCGGGTATTCCACCTGGTCAGTGTTGAACCACCGCAGAAGATCCAGATCGAGAACATTGCCAGAATACACGGCAAGGTTTCGGCTCTTGTTCTTCGTATCCTCCCAAGTGTAGTATACATCGCCAGACCCGTTCAGCTCGTAAAAGGCGTCCCGGGCGGACGCACTAGTATGGCAGCCCCAGCCATCGTAGTAGGAGGTCGTGAAATTGGGCTCGGAGGAGCCGTCCTGGTTGAACGCTGTGCAAGGGAAATACCAACCAAGGTCTCCCTTGGAATTAGTAGGGACACCACCGCCGTCCTTGGCGGTGATAAGTCCCTTGCAAGCACCGTTGACTTGTTGGAAGAAGAAGCTGCCATCCTGGCCACCGTACTTGTGTGGAAGATCATACAAGACGTTGGTGTCAGCCGGAATGCCCTCGGCCTCAGGGTGTTTCGATCTGGTCAAGTCGTAGGCCTTGCCATGGAAAATCATATATCCACTCCCTACCTCGTTGACCTTCAGACGAACAGGGGGTGTCCCGCAGACCACGGCCGTGAAACCGAAGGTCAGGAAACCCACAAAGGCGGCGATCATGAGAATCAAACTGATCAGGCCGATCTTCTCTCGCCAGGCAGTCCGCTGCTCCTTCTGCGGCATACCAAAGCATTTCAGCACAAAGTCAGGCACCAAGCAACTGACCAAGGCACAATACGTTGTCCACAAGTCTGGCGGCCGTGCTGCATACATTGCTTTCTGTCGTCTCCTTTCCTCTGCGGACGCGCCGCTCTTCGACCCCCGGTGAGAAGATCTCTTCTTCTTTTTCGATCGATGCCGACTCGGCGCGCGGTCCATGGGTTTATTCACATTCCCGTGCGCGCCATACAGCTGCTCCTTCGATTTCGAATCTATGCTCTTGGAGCTGTTTGTCTCGGCCTCGGGGTCGCGGTCGAGCAGGGGGTCATCGCCCGTGGAGGACGGGTGGACGGGCATACGGTGAGATCGCTGTCGGTAATGATAATTGGGGTGATCCCGGTCCATGTGGCGCCGTTCTGGCTTGATCAGGCTCTTCTTGCGCTTCACGTCGCCGCCGCGCTCCATTCTTTCCTCATCCGTCTCGGCGGCCCTGCGGTGACTTTGCGATCGGCGACGGTGGTGTCGGTGGGAGGACGGAGAAGTTGGGTTGTCGCTGTAATGACCAGGGTCGAGGTCTCGGTGTCGCCGACGGTGAGAGGGCTCGCGAAAGGCGCTGCGCTCCTCACGCCGGGGCGAGGCCTTGCCAGGCCTTTGCGGCAAAGACATTGTGGTCCTATCGGCGGGGTTTCAATCAGATAGGCTCCGAGACAACAGAGGAGATTCCGGTTGTGGTGGAAAGATGTCGCACTCACTCTTAGATCGCCGCGGTCATGCACAGCAGTGTTGTTCTGCAATGATTGTTTCTTTGGAGGTGGAAGTTTCGCCGTGCGACTAGCACATAATCGACTCGATGCGATCAGCGGAGAAAACGGGGCTGCCCGATCTGCGCAGGGCTCGTATACGGTCGCGCGTCCGTGAGAATTCCAGTTCTCAGTCAGGCACAGTCGCAGACGCGGTTCGAGAACGACCCGACGAACACTGCGGGCTCAAATTCAGTCTCGACTGGCGCAGACTGCAGGTTCCCAGGTGGTAGTGCTGGACAGCGGTCGGCCGGTGCAACGACACCCGGGGGTGGAGAATAAACAAAGTGGTCCACACACGATGGGTCGAGGAGCGAGTGACGGGAAGACCAGCAGGTCCAATGAATCAACTTTGAACGAGAGGATTGGCCACCGATAGCGAATGCAGAATGTACCTCTTTGACGGATGAGGATAGTACCTGTGAAGGCGAGTCGACGACTGAGGAGCAGAGAACCAGAAGTGAGACAAAGACGACCGGGTGATTCTGTGGGGGGGCGAGGAGACTCAGGGTCCCCGAGTCACGGGCCCAGAACTCTAGCTAAGGGACTTTTAGGGTACCCTTAACTAGTACAGTAAGAACTACTCGAAGGAGGTATTTTATTACTGCTACTAGTGGACTGTATTATTAGTTCTGTAGACGACACCTCAGTAGTGCTGGCTCATTCAGAATTTTAGGTAGTCTTTGGATAGGCCAACTCGATCTTGCATAGTAATTGTCAGGAAGCTCGAATTTATGTTTCTACTTGAATTGAGCAATGCCTTCTCTCCGTCTCGTATTTACCCCCTAATTCATAACCCACTCGATATTGTGGGCATCAAAATCAATAACCCCCCTAAGCAAGTCCCCTAAATTATTAACACTGCAACCACCCTCCAAATCTCCCAGTGTCGCTAGGGGCAATGGCCTGGTACACAGACGTCCCCATCCCACCAATCAGCTGGTAATTGGTGACTCGACCCGTGGAGCTCCGCCGAGTGCGCCGTGGGGAGCGAATCAGACTGCGCCAAACAGACGGCGCCAGTACCCTCGAGGCTAGGCCCGGCTCGGTTGGCCCCCTATGCTGAGGGGGAAGATCAAGCCGAGGGCGTATTTCGTGCACTTTGTCTCGCTGTGATCTTTTGGTGGTTACCCTGCCCGGAGTTTAACTGTGAAATTACTGCAGTATGGACTGGAGCTAAGTTGAAGACGTGACGGCGGCTAACTTGTTTGGGGACTCGACAAGCTCTGTTGGTCACGGGGCTGCTATTTTCGGTGTTAGGCAGGTCATAACTGAGTTAGTGAACTTGATAATGCCGCTCATAATTATCACTTTCGATATGCTTACCTCCTACTATGTGTCTTCTACTAGACATTAAGAATGGTGGAGAGAATATCGATCAAGAAAAAAGGGCTACAAAGATTAACTCATGATCAAATTCACTCTGGTAATAGTTGATGCTGGTCTTCCCTACCTTCCTGAGGCTGCACCTTGCGCTGTCCGAATAACTATTGAATGCATTGTGATAGCCAGCTGTTATTGCCAAAAGTACTCCGCATAAGGCTATGATCATGATTATGCATATCAAATGCACAACTCCCAACTCTCTGTTCCATCACTTCTATTAACCCCTGTCCCGCCGTGTTCCTTCTTTATTCCCTGCCCCGTATATAGAGTTGACAGCGCTCGCGGGCGCGGGATACGAGCCGCCATTCTGCTGAGCCTCGATGTCTCCTTCAGCCGCTTCTTCCCCGCAATAACCCATGAACAAGAGTGAGCCTGACAACAAATATCAATAGGAAAATCGCGTACCAAGTACTGCGTCGCCGATAACTCACCGTCAATTCTTGCTAGTGTACACACCTTGCAGGATGCCAAGTTGATCCTCGATGAAAATATCTCATTGGATTGACTCTACGGAGTAACCCTTCTCAATTAAAATCCTCGTTCCACGACCCAGTAAAATGGAGACATTCGAAACCGTTGAGGCTCTCACCCCCCTTGTCTTACGAGCAGATGAACCTCGTAGCCTTCGTGTTCAATATCGAGTAAAGTAGCGCGACGTATTCATGTCCACGGTGAACAGGGGCCGATTCGCCAGTCTTGGCCCCTGCGCTCGAGCACCATACAATGGAGATCGGCAAATAGATGGGCGATCACCACAGTGCTTGGCCCACCCTACAGAGGCTGACATGCTTGATATATATCTACACGAAGTATTACGTACTGAGAGTTTGACAGTGAATGGCGAGCATTGAACAGTCCAATCCCATATGTCGATATTCCCCAATGTTCAGCAACAGGCTTCCAGCTCAAATGGCAATACCTCTTCATATTTCCGGATGCTCTGGAACCCGGATCAATCGGTCGGTTTAGGATAATCCTGTGCTGATACATATATCCCTTGACGCGGCGCGGTGTAGCGCATGGAGACCACGTTCTTCAGCTCGGACTGGAATGCAGTGGATCTTTGCATCTGACACTGGTGATCGGGAGGGGCGTGGCGTTGGTATGCGTCAAGATGGTGCGAGGGACCTCAGGATGTTGTACCATTCTACAATTCCTTGTACCATTTGATAGGTTAGCAGATATACACTTTGGTCTTCTGGTCTTGCTAGTACTGGACAGGCCGGATACTATAGCCGGCAAAAGTGTCCTCATCCAGGGCTAGTAGATCATCATTACGTGTTCGCATCCAAGATATTCTCTTCTATTCACTCCTCAATTCTACGTACATACAATCAGTAAGGAGGCCGATGTACAGACGATGTACAGACGATGCAAGAGGCCCGTGGCTCGGGCCGTGCGAGAGAAAGGGTTCAAGGTACGGAGTACACACAACCAAAACTGCCCAACTGTCAGCCTCGTACAGAGAAACCAGACAAACTCAATTCCTCCCTTATGAAAAACCTGGAAGACTTGCAGACGCAGATGTGTTGATGCTTGCCAAGGAGATCTCGATGATCTCTGCTGACTTGACCGCCAGTGTCAGATTGTCTCATCGTAGCGGCTACGGTGTGAACGGTGGCGCCAGAGTTACCCTACCACCCGCCATACGGACGGGGTCACTCTCTACTACTACAGTACATCACAAAGTGGAATGCGCTAGGTTGGGCTCTATACTTCGGACAGAATCGCGTCATATCCAGCTCATGCGATTGTGGATAAATGGACATGTGACTTGGTTGCTGCCACGTACCGGACAGGCCAGTCTCCGCCGAAGCTGACGTGCCTGAACCGTGAGCCTGAGGTGCATTCAATTTCCTCGCTTCTAGTAGGTGAGTTCTTTCACGAGAGACCCCACCTATGTAGTTGCAGCTTTTCATCGTGGCGCGGGAGCTGAACCGAAAATCTCTTTTCTTCTCGCTAATCGGAGGCTGAATAGGAAAGAAAGCCAAAGAACGCGCGGGAATGCTTGGACATTCATGGGTAGAGCCAACCAGATCGCATAGTATCCGAGCCTTGAAAAGCCTCATTTGTTGCCGCCCCGCTCCGGAGCCGACATCTTAAGCCTCTTGAGATTTTTGTCGGCATCGGATTCTGCCTTGCTACAGCCTACCAATGGCCCAGTACTGATTGTCTAGCTGAACAAGGGTGAACTCCGCGTGTTTGTCGGTGGAGCCAGTGGATCACAGATCCGATCCTCGCTCTAGTGGTACAGTACACAGCAAAAGCCGTACAGCTGTCGGATGAGACAGCCCTCGGATGGCTAGGCGATGGCTCATTACTGGAGGAGGGGATACTCCATATTTTACAGTCTAATTGGCTCAATAGCTTGAAAGAGGGGAATAGTTTACTTGAGATCTACCGTTCAGCCCTTTTCCAGCCCGCGCTATACGAGCCTGAGGAAGCCTTGAAAAGCCCTGAAAAGCCTTGAATGGGACAACGTCAACTGGACTTTTATGGCGGGCAGGTATAGGGCCGGAAGAGGCGTGGTGTGGGCATAAGAATAGAAAAAGTGTAGTTTCTTGCAGTAGTTTTTACTGCCACAATTGGGCTGCAGTAGAGTCAGAGTATGGGGATCGAATTGACCTGATTCAGTGGTTCACAGAATTAATTCTACTAATTATAATAATAGTTCACCCCACTTTCTGCGCCGCATGACGACCGGATTTTTTTTCTTTCCTTTTTTTCGCGGCTTTTGTCTTGGATTTTGGATCAACGCGGCAATTTGTTAGTAGAGTAATTATTACTTTAAGGTGTCATAATTGATGAACTGATATCGCTTATTGACTTCTATTGCCAGTAGAAAACAAATCCTCCATGGTATTAACTACGAAACAACAATGCCAGTCCTTTTTTCTCGGTCCCATAGGACGGCAAAAGTTAAACCTTGTCAACCTCGTAAAGCTTTAATCGATCGGGGGAGTAAACTAGCGATGGCAGTAAGTGGAGGCGACCCTGGAGCCCTGGAGGGGGCGTGCTTTAACGCTGTTGGCTGGATGGACTGGATGGACATTGACTGGCAAGAATAATAATATGATCATATCCTAGGCAGCTCTTTAGCCTCCTCTCTCACCGTGATCAAAGGGTACCAAGTGTCCAAGTCCACTTAACTCGTGGCACTAATAATTGCACTAAGAGAACCCGAGTCGAGTGAGCAGCCCACTCCTCCAACTACTCCGACTCTCCGATTATTCTTCTCCCCCTCTCCTCGCTTCATCAAATTTGTCCCGCATCCTTACCTTCGTTTATTCCCTTTTCCATGCAATAGCTACTCCAGGTTGGTAAATCCGGTTTATCCTACGATCTGCCTCCTACTAAAATCTGTGCGGCAGCTCTGCTTCCTGGTTCACCTCCACTCTGACCTGAACGAATAAACGACCAAGGACTACTGGGGCTACCCGACCCCGACTAAACCAGGCTCCACGACTGATTCGAGCTTTCATTGGAACCCTGTTTCCTTCCCCAGAGTTTCAGAAAGGAGGGCAAAGACTGCCGCCGTCCAGGATATCTGAATCTCGACGCAAACCTACTCTTTTTCTTCTTCTCTTTCTCCTCATCGGTGGCTTTCATGTTGCAATAAGCCCACCACAGACCTGCCCCGTGCTCCCGGTGTCTTCGCCTCACTCGTTTAATTTGGATCGCCCGTCTCATTTCGCCTCCTGTCGCTACAAAGCGGGAAATTCAAGCATAACTCTCAACACGCTCGCTGTATAGCCTGCAATTCTATTCGCACCTCGATCGCAGCATATTTCCCCGGTCCATCATGGCCTCTCCCGTGGCTGCCGAGCACCCTCCCCTCCCCTCCCCTCCGTCAGCATACCTCCGATCAACGCCTCCCTTCCCCTCCCCGTCCCACGAGTCAACCCCCCGCACGATTCCCCAGACCCAAATTGCGCGGAAACAGCTGACCGTGGTCACCCCGGACTCCGACACCACACCGGTCATTCACGATTCGCCGCGCTCTCCGGTGAGAATCGATCATGGCGCCAATATCCCCCAGGCGTCCACCGCCCAGATCGAGCATTTCTCCAATGGGCCGGTGACACCGCAACTCGAGCTCCCCGAATTCGCGAAAATGTCCATCGAGGACGCTGCGCAACAACGACAGAATTGGAACCCGGCATTTCCACCGAGGCGGGACTCTGTGCAAGCTTTGCAGTATGCATCACAGCATCCATATGGCCATACCCCGGCTAGCAGTGGTTCGTGGTCGGTGGTCGAGAATCAGGTGAAGGAAGATGGTCAAGACCCGAAGCAAAGCGGCGTGCCAGGGGTTCTGAGCCCAAATAACTCCTCGCGCGGCAGCTTGGAAAGCGATGCACAGAATTCAGATGGCTATGAGCCTCTGACCTACCATCACCAGCAACAGCAGCAGAGTTCGTCCAATGTGCGGCAGTCTACATTGGGAACGAACTTGGGTCCCACCGGCTCCTCAGGTAATCTGGCTGTCCGGCGGACTCGAGTTTCACGGCCTCTGTCGAATTACTCTTCGACATCGGATGTGAATGTTGCGAACCACCGACGCAATCTCTCTGCATCGCCATATCTGCAGGGCCGTTCCTCATCACGCAATTCTACCGCATCTCCTGACAACCGCCCGCTCTCAGTCTTGGACCTTCTCAACACATCATACCCTCAACCTGGTCCTGCAGCTCCCCAATTCGATAATTCCCACCTCCAATCCTCCGTCGGAAATAATGCCTCCCTTCTTAGCCACAAGCAGACGTTCGAAATGTATCTCGCAAATGTCAAGAAAACCGACGAGCCTGCGGTGCAGTACGAATTCGCCGTATTCATGATCAATTCCATGCGCGAGATGCCCGCTGTCGACCTCGAAGACTCCACTTCCATCACCCGCCAGCGGCTCATGCGCGAGTCAAAATCCATCCTGCAGCGTCTCGCAGACCGCAGCTACCCCTTCGCACAGTACTATCTCGCCGACGGCTACGCTTCGGGACTTTTCAACAAGGGCAAAGAAGACTACGAGCGCGCCTTTCCCAATTTCCTTGCTGCCAGCAAACACGGCCACGTCGAGGCGTGCTACCGCACGGCACTCTGCTACGAGTTTGGCTGGGGTGTCCGCGTGGACGGAGGTCGTGCTGTTCAATTCTACCGACAAGCCGCGTCGAAGAATCATCCCGGTGCCATGCTCCGTATGGCCAAAGCCTGTCTGGCCGGTGATATGGGATTGGGTAAACGTTACCGTGACGGTATCACTTGGATGAAACGTGCGGCGGAATCGTCGGACTCGCAGTACAATTCCGCGCCGTATGAGTTGGGCGTGATGCACGAGACCGGATACGGTGACGATGTGTTCAAGGATGAGTCTTATGCGGCGCAACTGTTTACGAAATCCGCAGAATTGGGCCACGTCGAGGCTGCGTACCGTCTGGGAGATGCTTACGAGCATGGTAAACTTAATTGCCCGCGGGATCCCGCGCTCAGCATCCACTTTTACACCTCAGCTGCCCAGAGCGGAACTCACCCGCTTGCTATGATGGCGCTGTGTGCGTGGTATCTCGTAGGTGCGGAGCCTGTCCTGGAGAAGGACGAGAATGAGGCCTATGAATGGGCTACGCGGGCCGCTGCTCTTGGTAAGTCCAACTTGGTTGGGTATCATTGATTATATATCTTGTACTGATGTTTTGATTATAGGCCTGGCTAAGGCGCAATATGCCGTTGGTTACTTCACCGAAATGGGCATTGGCTGCCGTCGTGATCCCCTCGAGGCGAACGTCTGGTACGTCAAGGCCGCAGACCAGGGTGACGAGCGCGCAAAGCATCGTATCGCTGCCATCCGGGCTGCAGCCGACGGCGCAAACCCGGCGCATGCAGCTCGCTCTGGAGGAGGCTACGTAAAGGCGATGTGAAGGGCCAAGGTGAGCACTGCATGAATTTAGCAAGCGAATTCTCGAAACTGACATTGAATCAGCAGCAGATAAATCCAAACAAAAGCGCTTCGTTATTTTCTAAATTCGCAACATCCACCATCTCTATTCCGTCACGTCTCACGTAACATTTGTCTTGCCTTTCTGGACCCATTTTATCCCATCTGTCATGATTCCCCACCGTTACCATCCTTTGGTTTTTTCTACATATGCACGCCTCGCCTCGCATCGCCTTTCGAGTTTGTCATTCTCGTCTCAATCTGATCGCCATCCCTGCAGCTAATACATAATTCGATCTGCACCATTTCACGCTTGGAGGATTCTTTTGTCAATTTGATTCTTCTTGGACTGCCACCATTTCTTGGATGTGTTTTTCATGTATAGCGTCCTTTTATCTTCTCTTTTTCCTTTCTTGTTTTCGTCTTTGCATTGGATGCGCATTCTGCCATTTCTTTCTTCTACGATTATTTTTCATCATTCATTTTCTTTTCTATCTGCCCCTAGGGCTACGCACATGGTTACAAGTTCCTTGGTCTTATCATTCTGCTGTTATCTGCGCCGGGCGTCTCTTCTGCAGAACGTTTTCGATTTTTTCTGGTTTCGTTTCATGAATTGAATCTTATGAGATCAGTGATCTCTTTTTTCCTTGGATCTTGAGCTGTTAGTTTGGTAGAATGCTTCTTGACTATGATCTATGGTTGACTAAGTACCGTACAAAATCTGAGATCCGGTTGTGGTTTCATCTATTGCTCTTGGTCTCTACTAAGGACCTGGTAAGGCTAATGACTTTGACCTGCAAGGGACAATCATTTGGCGACGTTACTGGTAGGCCATGTAATTGCTGCAGATCAACGATTGAAAAGTACTTGGGGCAAGCTTACAATTGCTTTAGTAGTTATATTTCTCACTTCGTCAGTCTGTAATTTGTATGAGCATTGAGCCTTCGAGTGACTTCACCTTCTTCAAGACTCAATTCAAGTCCATGGCTCATTCATAGCTTCAAATTGCCCCACATGAGCTGATGCCTGCACTCTCCCACCAACGAAACCCAGCAGAGTAACAAATAGGTCTGTTTCGTTTGCATTTGGCTTGGGTTGAGTCCCCACTTGGCGGGTGTTGCCTGACAAGCGGCCAGGCAGCAGCCCCCTGAGGGCCTGATCTCTCAGGCGCACAACACCAGTCCCAGTCTCATACTCGACCCTTAAAAGCCCTCCCAGCCCAGCCCGGATTCTCGTCTTCTTTCTCTCAAATTCGTGTATCCTCGCTCTTCTTTTCTTCCTCCCATTGACTCAGTCCGGTCCGGGACTTTGGTGCATAGCGTTGGAGTTTCTTGTTTTCTCTCAACGCGCTACTCCAGTCCTCACCACACCTCGTATTCCCTCGGCACTTTCCCCTTTTTCCTGATCTCACTCTCTCAAACTCCTGATCGCTGGTCGTTTGACCTCAGCCACGATGGCGCCGAAACCAATGAAAAATATGGTCATTGCCATCAGTGGCACGTTTCCTGGCTACAAGCAGGGTAAGACAGTTGATCGCGGACCCTGGGGAAATTGACCCGAGTCCGACCCCACGCGGATGTGGAGATGAGGCTGACCCGTGTTTTGTTTTTCTCCTTACAGCCGATATCAAGGTTCTTGTGGAGGAACAAGGTGCCTTGTTTAGCTCTTCGGTTACTGATCAGTGTACCCATCTGATCACGACTCAGAAGGATGTGGAAAAGAAGGGTACCAAATGTGAGGAGTAGCCAGCCGATTCTCATGTTAGTCTTGTGGGGCATTTGATGTTGACAACATAACTACAGACCAAGCTGCTGTTAAATCGGCTACTTGCAAGATCGTGTCAATTTCCTGGCTGGAAGAAGTGGTTGCCTATGAGAAGAAGGTCGCTGAAAACGCCTATCTCCTGGATGCGGGCGAAGCCGCTGATGCAGCTGATGGTGATGATGCAGCGGCTGATACTAAGCAAAATGGGAAGAGGACTACTCGAAAGGCCGCTGCCAAGGCCGCTGACAAGACTGCCGATGATGCTGCCAGTCAAGATGCCAATGGAGATGACCAAAAGCCTGCCAAGAAGGCCGCCAAGTCCGATGCGAAGTCTGCAGGAGCGGCAAAGACCGCCAAGAAGCGAGCTATCAAGGATGAAGATAAAGATGAAGATGATGAAGCCGACGCCAAGCCTACCAAGAAGCAGAAAAACTCTCAAAAGGCTTCCTCCAAGACCATGAGTATCCCTGTGGATGAGAATTTCATCTACGAGAGACCCGACTTCCAGAGTAAGTGACCAAAGCTATGCCCTTGCAATCAATACTGTAAGACTAACACTACGCCAAAGACCCTCAGGTCTACATTGCCAAATCAGGCATGATTTGGGACGCCACTCTGAACCAGACCAACTCTACTGCCAACAACAACAAGTTTTACCGCATTCAGATCCTCACTACGGCGGATGCCAAGAACTTCGTGACTTGGACTCGCTGGGGACGTGTCGGTGAAAACGGCCAGTCTGCGTGCCTTGGCGATGGTACTCTGGAAGTGGCCCAGAAACATTTCGAAAAGAAGTTCAAAGACAAGAGTGGCCTTGCCTGGAAGAACCGTCTCGATACTCCCAGAAACGGAAAGTACACCTTCCTCGAGCGAAACTACGAAGAAGACGACGAAGAGGAAGAGAAGGAGAACGAGAAGAAGGCTGTTAAGAAAGAGCCTACCGAAGAGAGGCCCCCAGTCGAAAGCAAGCTGGAGAAGCCCATCCAGGACCTGATGTCGTTCATCTTCAACCAACAACACATGAACTCCGCTTTGGCATCTATGTCTTACGATGCCAAGAAGCTGCCACTAGGAAAACTGAGCGAGAGAACACTGAAGGCTGGTTTCTCCGTGCTTAAGGAGCTAGCGGAACTGCTAGTTGATTCGTCTCTCGCAACTACCCGGTACGGCACGAGCCTTGGACCTGCTCAGGAGAGCCTAAGCAATCGCTATTTCACCTTGATCCCGCACGTCTTCGGCCGTAACCGGCCCCCGATTTTGGTCAACGATGCCATGATCCGGAAGGAGGTTGAGCTTCTGGAAGCCTTGACGGACATGGATGTCGCCAACGAGATCCTGAAGGACTCGAAGCAGGCAGATGAAATCCACCAGCTGGATCGCCAGTTCCAGAGTCTGGGCATGGAGGAGATGACACGCCGTGAGTACAGCATCGCTTGATATCACAAACCCTCGAACTAACCATTTCAAAGTGGACCCCAAATCAACCGAGTTCAGCGAGTTGTCCGACTACCTAAACAACTCTCGCGGCGCTACCCACCATCTGGAGTACAAGGTAATCGATATCTTCCGCATCGAACGCAAAGGCGAAACAGACCGCTTCACAAACTCCCCCTTCGCAACCCTCTCAACCAGCAACCGCCGCCTCCTCTGGCACGGCTCCCGCAGCACAAACTTCGGCGGCATCCTCAGCCAAGGTCTCCGCATCGCACCCCCCGAAGCCCCCGTAAACGGCTACATGTTCGGCAAGGGCGTCTACCTCGCCGACACATCCAGCAAATCCGCCAACTACTGCTGCTCCTACAACAGCGCCAACCAGGGTCTGTTATTGCTGTGTGACGCCGAACTAGGTGATCCCATGTTCGAACTCGCTGATAGCGATTACTTGGCTGGTGAGAATGCGAAAGCGGAGGGGAAAATTGCGACACTGGGGAAGGGTATTTCCATTCCCGGTGGATGGAAGGATGCTGGTGTTGTTAATGAGAATCTGAAGGGCGTGCAGATTCCGGATGTGGGCGTGGGATCGGTGAAGAGGGAGGATGATGACCGCGTTTATTTGCAGTACAATGAGTACATCGTTTATGATGTTGCTCAAATTCGGCAGCGGTATTTGTTTTATGTTCACATGAAGTGAGCTGAGTGGGGGTTTCGGATTTCCTGCTGTCTTTATGGAGTTTGAGAGAACTGGTATTTGGGCTTGCACTGCGGTGGAGTTTGAGGGTTTCGTTGGGTTAGGAGATATCCTTAATTTCTATCTTGAATAAAATTCAAACAGGCCTTAGAGCATTCACTGGTATGCGTGTGGCCATCGAGTAGCCTCATAACATGGGAGAAGCTCAACTTCGTGGGTCCATGACACACGATCTACTAATGAGATAAATAAATGACAGTAAGTTAGATATTGATAAAACTACATATGATAAGATCAGATACTCCTGTGTCTCAGGCCCATCCACCTCTCCTAGAAATACATGTAAACCCGGGCATCACATTCACTCCACAACATCACGCGCACATCAACCTCACCCGTCCACGTCGATCCTCTCTCGTTGAAGATCGAAGAATCAAAGACGGTTCCGTCGGCATCTCACACAAGCCCGCAATCTGCAGTCGGGGCATTCGAGGATGTAGTATTCCATCACTCTATTGCAAACCTCACATTCAAATTGTCCTTTCATGGAAGGCCATCTGTCGGGATGATCGCAGACTCGGCCATCACGCATGCCCTCCGCCGCTTGCTGTACGGCTTGCTGGTTTGGTAGAGCATGTCGGCGAGCTGCGACTTGGTAGGCTCGATCGATGAGGCGATTCTCGTCCCAGGTTGCACATTCACAGGTCTTCCACTTTTTGGCGCAGATATAGCAGAAATCATATCCGCAGCGGCAACTAGGGAATCATCACTATGTTAGTATCACCGATTTAAAAGAATGATCTGGGTTAGAGGTTATACGTACGTGATATGGTTGCAACCAGTGTTAAGTTCAACAACGTGGCCGCATCGACATCGTTGCCACTTCTGCGCAGTAGCAACATCGAGAACAACATCTTCGGCTGTTCGGCATTTTCCCTTATGCGACGCCTGCTTGCAGATTGTGCAAGTTGTCTTCCCACACTTGCCACAGGTACCGATGTAGCCGCAGACTCGATCTGGGAGGATGTAGGCCGAGCAATTTTGATTCGAGCAGTAGGTCCTTGACGGATCTGCGAGTTCGATGCTCTTTTCCTCGTATTTTCGAGTCAGATCCGGGCCGATCAGGGCACTGATGATAGACAGAGGGAGAGTCTGTCTGCAGCATCGCGGGGGAAAGAATGACTCGTCGCGAATCGCGAGCTCGACGAGTTGGACGAGGCAAACAGTGCAGTAATTATGGAGACATGGTGCCTTGGTTATGTCGATGGACTCTTTGATGTCATTGCATGACACACAAGCGCATTCAGAGACGGGGACACCCTGCGGAGGCTTGGCCATCTTGGAGGATTCGGGAATTTCGGGCTTCATGCGCTTTTCCAAGTGTGCTTTGCTTGGCGCTTTGGCTTCGTGCTCTTGGGAAGACTTGAGTGGTTTGGCTTCACCAGAGGCCTCGGGACTCTTTGAGGGGGCTCGCTTTCGTGATGCGCTATAACTTGGGGATGGCAGACCTGCATTCATGTGGTAAATCTTTTCAGCACCGAAAGGCGTAGGGGCTGTATTTTCCGTTCTTCCGCCCATGCGAGCAATACGCATTGCCAACTGGCGATCGGCGTGTGCCCTCGCTTCCTCCTGTTGGAACAACGTAATGGTCGCTCCATCGTCCCGTACAGCGCGGTCGAGGCTACATGCCATCGCGAAATCCTTCTCTAGATCTTCCTGGTTAATGAGTTGGCGATCCCATTCCTCAAGAGCCACCTCGAGATCACTAGGGCCCAGCCTGGGCTGCTTCCCCTTTCTGGTAGCCATCGCCTCCTCAATGTCGAGATGCAGGAGCTGGCGGATGAGGGTGAGGATCCAACAACGCTTGATGAATCGGATCCAGATGAGTATGTGAAGATTACTGAGGAGGAGGAGGAATATGGTTTTTTCCGGTTGGGTTCAGACATTTTCGCAGGGTTTGAGCTGACGTTGGATGAAAGTTGAGATAAAATAAGGAGAGAGGAAACGAGTTGGGATGAACTTTGGGATGAAACACGGAAGGGAGAGATGACTGTGGATGTAAGAGAGATGAAATGAGGAGAGAAGAGATGGTTTTGGATGAAAGAGAGACGAGAAGGGGGAAAGTTGGGGGATGAGAAGTTGAAGTTGGATCGTGGAGGAGAGGAGTGCCTTTCTCTCACTTGCCCTCTTTTCATCACGGCCACTTACAGACAATCAGAGTCCAATCCCTGTGGCACCAGCAAACGGTCCCATTAAAGCAAAATGAGAATTCTCTTTGGCTTAAAGAGAAAACACTTCTGATGAAAGCGACATCGACGTCTTTGCCAACCTGAGCTGGCAAGTATTTTGAGGCATTACCTGCCATACCAGTCGGCAACTATGTCAATTGTCATATCGATATCAACAATAATCCTACAGTCAAGTCAGGGGAAGTAATCAGTGGCTCGAGACTAAATCTCAGAATGATCTGTACACAATCCTCATCTCCCAAAGCCATGTGACTTGTATACAAATCCAAGGACATATCTTGTCTCAATCCGGTTAGCGCAATTGACCCTGGACTGGCCAGTTGCATGAAACCACGTGCAACGGGCCAACGGCGCCGTCTGGCCACCGAGTTTCAGTCTTGACATTCAATTACCCCATAAAATCCCTCCCATAGCCCGAGATCATCGCCAAACCCCCCGCAACCCGTTCCAGTCGAAGCCGAGGACATTCCGATCGGGAACCCGAGATGCGATGAGCTAAGCCTAATTCGGTGATTAGCCGGGAGACTAACCACTTTTGTAAGTGCGTAGCCTATGCGCGCCTCTTTGGCAAGTGTTTCTCAGTGAATACCTCAACATGATTTACGATAACGAAGAAAAAAAATGGCACAGAAAAGACTGGGGAATATTACTTATAGGACTCGCCGGGCCTAGATCGGCTTTTTCATTTTCCAACTTTCCCATTATTTACGTTTTTGAACATTCTACCCCGATATATTCCGGCAATCAACCCACCTCTCACGAGACCAACGTACAAGATACTATCACCAAAATGGGCATCAAAAGCACAATGCCCTCCCAACCACACATCAGCGTCATCGGCTCTCTAAACATCGACTTCGTAACATCCACCCCCCGCTGCCCCGGCGCAGGCGAAACCCTCACAGCAACCTCCTTAACTGTCACAGCTGGTGGCAAAGGCGGAAACCAAGCAACAGCCTGCGGCCGGGCCTCCTTCACAGCCCCCGCAACCCAAGATGTAACCGTCAGCATGATCGGAGCCGTCGGCGCAAACGATGTCTATTACTCGACTCTCCTCAAGCCCGCGCTGGAAAAATCAGGCGTGAGCACGGCGAATATCGAGGAATCGGAGCAGGCACAGACGGGCTCGGCGACGATTATCGTTGAGGACGGTGCGGGAGGCGAGAATCGGATTCTTGTTGTTCCTGGTGCGAATCATATGGGGATGATGGCGGATGCTGGGGCACTTGTGGATGTTGTTGAGACGCAGGTGGTGAGGCCGGGGGTTGTTGTGTTGCAGGGTGAGATTCCGAGGGAGACGACGCTAGGGTTGTTGGAGTATTTTAATGGTGGTGTTTCTGGGGAGGAGCGGGTGCATGTTGTGTTTAATCCGGCACCTGTTTATCCTGAGGGGATTGAGTTGGATGCATTGAAGCATACTTCTGTGCTTATTATGAATGAGACGGAGGCTGTGCAGATGTCGAGGTCGATTGCTGGTTTGCCGGTCTCTGACTCGACTCAGCCGACTGAGCTGGATGATCTTCAGCCTGAGGAGCTCGCACCGCGGTTCCATGAGACTGCTGGTGTCCAGATTGTTTTGATTACGTTGGGCGCGAAGGGTGTTTATTACTCGACTCGCAGTGGCCGTTGTGGTGCTGTGCCAGGAGTGCGAGTTCCCAAGGTGGTTGATACCACGGCAGCGGGAGATACATTTGTTGGATACTTCTCGACAGCCTTGGCACGATTCCTCGCCAAGGGTGAACCTCTGGAGGCATTCGACAGCGAGATTGAAAGCGCCGTGAAGACCGCTAATGCTGCGGCTGCGAAATGCGTCGCCGCACGAGGCGCAATGCAGAGCATCCCATTTGCATATGATATTGAGTAGAAGAAAGGTGGAAGCACAGATTATTGAGAAACTTATTATACAGATAAAAGGAACTGGCGTCACGGAATATACATGATAGAAATGACATTACATATCCATCTCATCTGAATCCTCATCGAATCGTGCAATCTTCCACACAGATTGAAGCGCTTCTGTCTCGCGATCCAATTTGATTCCCGTAGTAGCCGTAATTTTCCGGAATATTCCCATCAATACGGCTTGTTGTGACTGGTGGGTCATATCCCGTGCAATCAGCAAGAGGCTCGCAACGAGAACAGGATCCCACTGCTCGGGCGACTCATTGCTGGCTGCAATTCCGGCGATGGATTGTGCGTGCCAGATATGCGACGTAAAGCATCGTGGCCCCGGTAATGATTTCAGAAGTCGAGGCTTGTGCCCCAAGAGTAGAAGCGAAGTGATGTGATATACAGCATTGGCGACCAGCGCCATTGGTGTTGTGTAGATCAAGATCGGCAATGCCGAGTCATGGTCTGGATCGATTTGATCTGCTTCGCCGCCGCGTATATCCACAATCTGTTGTGCGTCGACCGGGCGTTCGTTGTACCATTTCTGGCAGTCGCTCCAGAGAAAGGTCCATTGAGATAAGAAGTGAGACTGTTGCAGGGCAGGGAATGCAGCGAACTGTGAGGGAGAACCGGGTTGAGGAAGTGATGCGTCAGGGCCGCCATAGATGAGAGACAGACAGTGGCCGAGCAGAGATAGCGCATGCTTGTATACTTGGTTGATGGAGCGGGGTTGGAGGGGAGGGAGGGGTGTTTGGATCGGTGAGCCGTCACGGTTGATATACGAGCGGAAGGGAATGAGAGGCTGTTTGGCTGCGAGGATTGAAGATGCCAGGTCGAGTCTGAAATGAAGCCAGAATATTCCTTCGCCTAGCTCCTCTTCCAAGGCAGCTGGGTGCACCAAGAAACCAAGTGGTTCGGTATGTGGTGAAAGGAGATTTCTCCAATCTTGCAGCCCTGACTGTAGAAGATCTTGGAGGAGCAGGAGTGCGCGTCCAGCATGCCCAATGGATTCTGTTTCTAGGTCAAGACTGTCTTCTGCCTCTCCTCGAAAGCGGAGGCTGCTATCGAGGTCCTCCATATGCGAAGGAACTGCAATAAGTGGCCTTTGACTCGCAGACAAGGCGAGTATAGCTGCCTGCAAGGGCCTGTTCGTTCGAGAGAGCAGAAGTACTTGGATCCCTAGGGCGCAGTCGGGGTCTCCGACATCAATCCAAGGACCAATGTGGTAGCGAAAATGTCGCAGTAGGTCTGTTTCATGGTTGCTGCTCAGTAATGTCGTCGACCGAGATGATATCTGAGCAAGAAGTGAATGGTTAACCCCCTGGTTGAACGCCCCATGGGTTTGGCGAAGAGAAGTCGACGCGTGTTGGAATGATGATGGTCTTTGATGCAACTCGACTGGCGTGTTTGAGGTGAGAATGTCGTTCAAGTCCAGAGTAGTGCGAGTTTCGGGTGGATTGTGATATACAGTTGCATCTACGGGATTTGAAATCTCTGATTTCTCGAAGTCGCTGGCTTGTAGCTCCGACGCGCCTTCGCTGGGCTGTTGAGACTTCTCCTTTGCAGCTGTATGTACAGCCGGCGAGTCATCCACAAACTATATCCCCCAAATCAGCATTGCACTCATCGAAATCAACATCGTGCAAGACCATTGCACTCACCGTGATGGTGCCATACACCTGTCTCGCCCCACCACCAGCCTCCCCCGACCGAGGCGGCACAAACGCCAAATCAGCACCGTACTTACAAGTGAAGCCTTTCACCTCACAGTTGGCACATCGCGGCTTCTGCTCATCGCATTTTCGTCGTCTCTTCCGGCAGGTCAGACAGCCCGTCCTCACCCTCTGCTTGCCCGCCGGCGTGGGTTTCCGAGGCATTGTGTTGGACTATAGCGCGCATGACCCCAGACGGGGGAAGTGGAAGAAGCCAAACGGGCGATCTGTAGCCTCCATACCCCCCGAACAGTGCTCAGATCCTCTGCGGAGGGCGCCGTCAAAAACGTGCAAAGGCGAGTCCATCCAGCCGGGGAAGTGGGGCGGGCCGAAAAGGGCAGGCCGATTCGATCAGATGATGCGGTTGGCTCCGCTTCGGGTTGGTTTTTTTTTCTTTCCCGCATCATCGTGCTGCTGTGGTCGAGGTCGGACGCCACCCGAGGTCAAGCCTCGATCGACTGTCGATGCTTGATTCTCTGTATATTATACGAATAGGGCTGTTTGATGCGATGGAATTTGAATCTGCAGGAGCAGGTGGTGGATCTTGTTACACGTGCATACTTTCTTCAAACGACAGGTATTGTCATGTGACATGATGCAACTTAGGCAAAGTTCTATCAATTACGTTGTTGATACACTATTGTTGATACACTAGAGTTTGCATGAATTACTATCTGTATTCATCATAATACTACATTAAAACATGATTGAGTCATCATCTAAATCCATCACAAAACTAAGTATTTGTGAGCGCCATGCCAAGCATGACACTCTTTCACAAGGACTCGATGTAATCCGAGCCCTCTTTCTTCTCCGCATCACGTCCAGTAGCCGAGCCCAGTCTCTCAACAAAGGCAGTCAGTCCAACATCACGCTGGGCCTCCCGGAGAAGCTCAGCATCCTCCTGACCCTTCTTGCTGCCGAACACCTTGTCCATCTCCTCCAGGGAGGCATTCTTAGTCTCAGGCAGGAAGAACCACACCCAAAGAATGCCAACGAAAAGGAAAACGGCAAAGAAGATATAAGTTCCCCACTGCCAGGATTGCAGCATGGGAGGCACGAAGAAAGCAATGGCGAAGTTGTTGACCCAGTTGCTGGAAGCACCAATCGAGGCACCCTTGGCACGGATGGACAGAGGAAAGATCTCGGAAACGAGAGTCCACGAGCAAGGACCCCAGGTAGCTCCGAAGCCAGCAATGTACAGCCAGATGAGAGCTAGAAGGAAATGTTAGAGGTGTTTTTCAATCAAAATTCGGGAATGTCACATACCGACGGCGGTCCAACCGGCGGCGACGTGGCCGGGCCAGTCGTGCTGGAACTTGGCGACAATGACTCCGACAATAACCATGCTGCAGAACATGACGATGGATCCGACAATGAGCATAGGCTTGCGGCCAACCTTGTCAATGATCAACTATAGGAGGAACCGTTAGCAGTGTAATCGCAGAAGAGTCGTCTCGAGAGTCAACTTACCATGGCGGGGATGGTCGAAATGAGGAACACAACACCGGTGACACCAGTGGCCAGGAGAGCAATAGTACCACCAGTCAGACCAAGAGACTGGAAAACATTCGAGGCATAGTAGATGACTGCATCCGGGTTAGCGATTGAAACTGAATTCTCGAAACCCACAAAACTTACTAGCATCAATACCACTCCACTGCTGGAAGAACATGATCAACCAAGCAGTAGCGACACGCTTGAAGTTGTCCATAGAACGGACACAGTTGGCATACTGCGCAATCTGGTTCATGAAAACACTCTGGCGCTCACGCTCAGCCAGCTTAGGTGCCGACTTGGCAAAGGCACGCTCTTCAAAGACAGCCTCAGCCTTGATCTCCAAGTACTCGACCTGCACAAGCTCGTGTTCCAGGGGCAACTTGCGCAGCCAAGCAAGGGTAGTCTGAGCCTCCTCATCACGGCCCTGTTTGACCAGCCATCGGGGAGAGAAAGGCATGAACCAAATACCGCAAGCCAGGCAAGCAGCCGGGATACCCTGGATAATAGAAGGCAGACGCCAGGCGAGATCAGACTGGCCCGCACCAGTTCCACCGATGTAGTTGCTCCCGTAGCCGACCCAGAAAGAGATCATGATACCGAGGATAGTGGCGAGCTGGTAGAAGGAGACAAGCAGACCGCGCATCTCGGGAGCGGCAAGTTCGGCGTTGTAGAGGGGACCGACACCACTGAAAAGACCAACACCAAGACCGGTGAAGAATCGTCCAGCGTACAAGCAAGCGGGGTTACCAACCGTGGCACCGACGTAGAGATAGGATCCCAGAATCACCCAGCAACAGGCGATGAACATGGTGTACTTGCGGGAAATAATTTCGCCAAGAACACCGGCGGAAAGAGAACCGATGATACCTCCGACTTGGAGAATTGAGGTCAACCAACCGGTAGCGGTCGATGATGCCACAACGGTCGGGAAGTTCTCTGTGAAGCGTGTCATGACAAGACTTTGTCCGAGAACACCCTGTTGATAGCCATATTCGAAACCGCCAAGACTGGATTTAATGTTAGCATCCGAGAAAAGAAAATTGCCCGACGGAATCGTCCCGAGGACATAGTCGGCATAATGAGAGAAACGTACGAGGCGAAGAATGCGATAAAGAGAACCTTGGGATTATCAAAAATCGACTGCCACATCGACTTCTTTGCGATCTGAAGACGCGGAGTCTCCTCCACATCCACTGAAGTTCGGTCGGCCATTGTGCAAATAAAAGTTCGGCCCGAGAACAAGCAACTGCCTGAACAAAGAGACAAGACGAGATGGTTCTTCGCACAGAAGAAGTGATGAATTCTCAAGAATGATCTGATCGTCAATCAATCTGTTAGAACCCAGCGGGGCGACGATGCATGTTATATGTGTTTTTCCTGCACTCCACGCGCCCTGTAAGAAATAAGAAAAAAAAAACTTAAACACACTACCCCGGGCTCGGCCTCCCGAGAAAAATCGCGTGGCCCCGGAAAAAAAGAGGAAACGCGGAGGCAAACGAAGTGCGGAGGACTCCCGCTAATCCCCAAAGAACCCTGAACGGAGGCTATGATGCCTTCTTTGGGCGACTGTTAGCTAAGGGGTCGGGCTAAGTGGGGCCTGTGGTTAACGGAACGGGCGGCGTTTGGCTGAGAGGTGGTTGTATCCCCACGGACCCTGGCCGGCGAGTTCTGGGAATCAGCCAATGACGGTGATTCTGTACTAGTCTAATCCGTAGTGGTAAGACTAGCTCCTGCAAAATGGCAAATTGTCCCGTCGTCTGATGGTCTGCTTTGGGAAAGCAGAGGCACCGTCCCTCTCTTTCGGAAAGTCAATGCGGGGAGATCGTGGAGCGCTCGTGGAGTTTGCGGAGAACGATCGTGCGGATATTTGATGTCATGGAATTCAATTTTATGGAGAGAATCGGCAGCGGCCGATGTGACGATGGGCAGGCAACAGGTAAAGAGTAGGTATAAAGGTTTGGGTGAGAGAACGGAGGGGGAAGAAATTAATCGAGAGTGTTGTTGGGATTTTTTTTGAGACTTTCGTTGCTGATTTCGTCGAAATTTGACTACATTACGCTTAAAAAACAAACAAATCGGAAAATTCATCATCATGCATTGGCGCGTTTCTTTGCCAGTCCTTTCCCTCGCTGCTGGGGCGGTTGCAAAGCACTATGCCATCATGGACAATGACTGGTATACGGCCGGATTCGTGCCTTATCTGATCGCTCTTGACGGAGACATCGATGTTCTGGCCTTGGCCTCGGGTAAGCATTTGTACTCATCCAGTCTAAGCACTAGTCACACACGCTAACCAATTTCCCTAGACACTGCCAATAGTTGGCAGCCACAGGTCGCCTTGCACGCCGTCGCTACTTTGGAGGCCGGCAATTTGAGCTGCATTCCCGTCTATCCTGGCGCGACTTGGCCATTGATCAACACCCCCGAGCGTTTCCAGGCATGGGAGACTATTCACGGCAAACTGCCCTGGGAGGGTGCATTCGCACCTGAGAATCAGACTGCTGAAGCCGCAGGCAATGATCCTACTTCGGGAGACCCCAACCGTATTGTCAAGGAGGCCTTCAAGGAGGGATTCCCCAAGGGAAAGCCTAACAATTCGACCTCAGCTGCGAACTTCATGGTTGAGATGGTACACAAGTACCCGGGTCAGGTTTCTATTTACTCTGCTGGTGCCTTGACCAATATCGCATTGGCTGTGCGCATGGATCCCGAGTTTGCCTCGCTTGCTAAGCAGCTGGTGATTATGGGCGGATATGTGGATTTGAATATGCTCGAGGCTACTGGTAGCATTATGTTGGCCGATTATCAGTCCGATGTAAGCTTCGTTCTGATGGAAGATGGTTTTCAACCGCGCATGCTAATATCTGATTCCTTAGATCAACCTCATGATCGACCCTGAGGCTTCCAAGATCGCTTTGACTGCCGACTTCCCTAGCATCACTATTGCCGGCAATGTCGCCAACCAGGTTTTCCCTACTCAGAAGTTTGTCGATGAAGTCAAGACTGCCGATAATGCCTACGCTCAGCTTTTCGCTAAGTACTACGATCTCTCGTTCCCCTTCTGGGACGAGACAGCTGCGGCCCTGATGGTTGATCCCACGATCGCCACCAACCAGACATCAGGTAAGAAGTACTATGAGACAAGCCAGCGACATTGATCTAACAAATTTGCTTTACCAGTTTACCTTGACGTGGACACTAGCTACGGTAGCCCGAACTACGGTAACATTCACGTTTACCAGAAGGCTCTTGCACCTGGTGGCATTCGTGAAGTCAACTATGTCTTTGAGGTTGATGCTAAGAGACTGACGGAGCGGATCAAGCACTCCTTGATGCATCCCAAGACCTGTGCGGATCTTGCCTAAGGATTCCTTTGGGAACAGGGACCGCTGGAGTTTGTTTGTAATTAAGCGTTGCACATTGACTGTATAAATACTGTAAATTTTGCCTCCAGGCGAAAAACTTTGAATGGAACATGTATATTACAGGGCAACTAAGAAGACAGTCTCCTGTATTCAAGCCAAATTAGTCCTCGTGGATCAGGGAACTAAGCTTCAAAACATCCAGAATTAACAATTTATCGCTAGAAACATAATTTCTTTCCGTATCTCAAATCGCTGACAAAATTTCACCCGGCTCATAGCCCCACGCCCGCTCAAGATCCTTCAACCTCCACAGTGCACCCCAACCAGTCGTCTCCTCAACAATCTTAAACAGCTTTGCCACCTCAACATGCTCACTGTGATGACTGAGAAGTTTCCCCGCAATGTACAGCGGTTGGATAGCATTAATCAGATTTCCAGAATGAGGATTCGTTAAAGAGATCCCACAAACTCGGCGCGCGTGCCACACAGACGAGTAATGTGGCTTGGCCGGAGGCTTCTCGGCCTCAGGGGGTTTCATATCCAGCATCATGATGCAAGCAGCATGATAAAGTTGGTTCCCTGAGATAGCAGCCCAGTGAGCGAAGAGGATCTCTGGGAATATTTGACCGCCCCCGATACCCGTCGTTTTAATAGGTAGCATGGCCGGAGGTCTTTTTTCAAGCCAGAATTGTAGCTCTTCCCAAAGGCAGGCCCATTGTTCGGCGAAGGGGCGGGTATCTTCCACCATTTCACCGACTTCCATCTCGCCCAGTTCCACGTATCTAGTTTGGCGGCAGGATAGATCACATGTCTTTGCGCAGAGATACACGGCCCAGTTTGCGTGCATATCTGGAGAGGCACAGCCGTCTTGGTAGAACATATCTCGGATCATGAGTTCTCTCTCCCTGGGACTTATCGTCTTCGGTAGATCAGGGACCCATTTCTCCAATGGAAGGACTGTAGACTCGGTACCACCAGAAATTATGGCGCCGCAGAGTTCCATGCGCGCATAGGTCCAGAAGGTAGCGGAAAGATGACCTCCGGATAGCCCGTTCACGTTAAACGAGTCGAAGAGAGCCGCGCACCCTTCGACGTGTCTCCTCCAGTCGCGTGGACTAACGGACATCAGCTCCATGACCGCTAGGATACATACTGTGACCAGAACATCAGGATCTTTCGCCTGGAGTAAAGGTGCCAGCAGCCTAATCGATTCTTGATAAAGCTCCAAGCTATCATATGCCTTGTCGAGACAAGCCTTTCGCTCCGTCTGACGAGCGGAGAATGCAAGAATAGCGTAAAACAAAGCGGGCGATCGCTGCGCGAGGATCGGAATGTGCACACCAAAATGACGCGACTCGTCAAATTTATCGAGATAAGGCGCACATTCAGTAATCCAATTTTTGAGGTAGAAGATAAGTCGAATTTTAGGAATAGACACCCTTGTAAAATCTAGTGTTGGTCGCGATTTCGTGGGCCCCTCTGATTGTTCCGAAGAGACTGGTGCTGAAGGGACTGGTGAAGTGTATTCACCAGGATCAAGGCTGGCAACAGAAGAGAAAAGCACACAGCGAAGTTCCTCTTGCAACTCGAGGAATCGCGGGTTGGCGGCATATTCATCCGCACTGGAAAATGTCCCTGGGGAGAGAAAAGCTTCTTCTTCAAATAATGGCGCATTATTGAAGGATTCTGGCATCCTTGTGTCTGGTATAACTGTTGCGACAGGCTCTTCCATGATGCGAGGGAGATTGTGACCTGAGAATTCTGGAGTAGAATGTAGGATGGAAGAGAAAGAAAGAGGCGGACCAAACCCCGGCTGGAGTTAAAACACCCCGTGGGAGGCGAAACTTTAGTTATGGTTAGTCAGGGCCCACTTACTGCTGGGGCTCCGTGGGCGTAGATGGGTCCCGCCCGAAATGACCTAGACTTGGGTACGGATCATTCCCGGTGTAGATATTGGTTTCCTTGTAAATTAATGCTACATATTGATGTCTAGGAAGTACGTCAATAGTAAACCTAGAATATGCCCACAGAGGACTTCTAATCAGTAACCAGACTTAACATAAGCAAACACTCGTCCCCGACCTTGGCCGATTCTCGGATGCCGACCCTATCTAGCACGTTGTGTTTCGTTCTCCTGTATTAGTTTTTCTTGCTCTTCTAATACACTGTCCAATACCTGTCCTAGTGTCTGACCAGCACCGATCGTCTGATCTATAGATGCTCTAGTATCCAGCAAGACTTGGAGCAACTTATCTCGTACTCTTTTTGGAAAACCTGTTGGTAGGGGCTTAACCTCCGCATTTTCATATAGATTTCTAAGCATTTGACCCTTTATCACTTCGTGAAGGGGGGTTTTTCCCTTGTTATCGATTGTATTGGCATCTGCGCCCCTGCTAACGAGGTGCCGAATAGTATTACCCCAGTCCAGATTCTTCACTAGATAATGCAGTGTAGTGCAGCTATCGGCATCAATCCAGTTGATATTAATGGTCTCGAGAAGGAATTCTAGAAAGGCAGAGGGTATAGACTAGGGCTAGGAGTGACTGTATAGTATATAGAGGATACTGCGACTCTTGTTATCACACGAGTGTGTATTAGCCCTATTCGTGATAAAGGATTTCACTAAGGCGGCTAGTTGTTCTAGGCTACCGCTAAAAAATGTAAAAGGCCTTATAGTATCCCTAAGAGCTGTTGTATTTCGGCTATTGCGGGAATCTAATATATCTTTTGAAGGATTAGCAGCTAGAAGAGCTTAATAGCTTAAGGAATTGCTACGTAGCCGAAAAAGTATATACACCGCGAAATAGAAGGCTGTAGCACTGTGCTAGTCTCGCGTATTAACAGGGTCGGGCTTTAGGTCCAGCAGAAATTTAACGCTGTCCGTTATTCGTGTTACGATATACCTGACATGAGGTTATCCACAAATGCCGGTGCCTCAGGCTACCAGGATCTTGGTAAGCCGCCAAGCTTTCGGTGGAGGTTCACTGGGGCTTCGCTGCCAGTACGTGTACGGACTCCTGCAAGGAAGGCCCTTGTAGAGGTTACACAAGCCTCGTGTTTTCCTCCACTCTTATTCCCCTACCAAGGATACATCTCCTTCCTGTTTTGAGCGATATGACTGTATATAAATTGATCCATGTTGGAGAGTTTTACATTCCTCAAGAAACAGTCTTTGACCTTTCTGAACAATTGACTTGGTTCCTTTCTCCTACCTGATTGACAGGCCTCTATCCTGACTTATAAAGTCTCCTTACAATTCGAGAGATAATCTTATCTATATTGTCGCTTTCTTCGCGTCGATCTATAATACCGGTTAAGGCCTAGTAGAGCGGAAGTTGTCCTTTATTATCGGCTATAGATGTGAAGGGCTGAAGCAAGACTTAGATTCAATCTAACTAGGCCAACATGCTGTTTACAAAAAGCTTGGAGAAGAGACGGAGTGGATCAAGCGGAACAACAATAGAAGTAAGCAGACAGGGCGGTGGCAGAACGGAACGTGCGGGAAGGCTATGTGGCATGGCCACATAGTAAGAAGCGGGTCTAACCCGTGACAATAGACACTATATCCGAGAGCTTAACATCACTACGATGATCTGTAAGTGCCTGTATAGCTTCTATATTCCAGAAGAGGGCTACGATATGTAATAGGGCCACTTCTTCGCTATAATCAATCCTAGAGCACTAGCTAGACTATATCTGACGGCTGTGGACGTCCCCTCTGTTAACTATAAGATAAGAAACTATCTTATAGCTCGTATAGGGAATAGCTGCGCCGAGAACGGTGCGTTCCAGGACTAGTAATTTGTCTAGGGGCCCCTGTAGTTCCTAGTAACTATAACTCCTCTCTAAGGTATCCGACTCAGATACCGAGCAGCCTATACTAAATATCTAATAAATAAGATCCTCAATATAGTCACGACACTTACGCGCCTTCTGCCTAGCAACGGCACTTTGCCTAGCTTTATCTGATACTATAAGCCCCCTACTTCTCCTAGCGCCTCGGCCGCGCAGAACAAAGGCGTCCGATCACAGAAACTTCGGTTATGCAAAGTCCCTAGCGGTGGGTTATAGTCTGTCAACTATAGCACTAGATCCCGATCCGCGGCAGCGCAAGCCTCGTGAATAAGGTAGACAGAGAAGCGGTTGAGATAATTCTCTAGAGGCTCAGTTAGAGATGTATCCGAAAGGTAAATTTTGATCAGTGCACGCAGTGTATTATAGCTGCGATATCCCAAAGCAATACTAAAAGGATTGTAATAATCGACGTTGTAGGTTTGTAAGAAGACAGCACAGTGTGGGCGCTCATTGTACAAATAAAGAGCCGATATATCGTTGCACTGGATGATTGAATAGAGTAGCCCCTGATAGGGCCCTTCGTACACAGGTGATCTATCCGTATCGTGGAAAGCAGGCGGTGTATTTTCGAAATCAGGGTGACGCTGATGGAATTTGGTATAGGCCATCGTGGAAATGAGAGGAATGCAAGAGCTGGAAAGTGGTAGGGGTAGAAGGAAAAGAGGACAGACATGGCGAGCGGCTATGCTAGGCCGTCTAGAGGTGGGTCCCGAAGGTGTATCCCAAATCTTGCTTTAAATACTACTGACGTTGAAGTTTTCTGCACCACAATTACACACACTACTTTGGCCCTTGACTTAGAGTATGAGAGGTAGATTGTTACTTAAGTCACCTCTTGCACACCGTAGTACTCGTCCACCTGGTCTGACTATGTAAAGAAGCCAAGAGGGCAACGGTTTCAGGGTAAGAGATACAGGCCAATGCGTTGTACATGGGTGTGTTTGCCGGACAGGCCTACTACACTGGGAATTACAAAGTCGCAATCAAGATGAGGATAAGCAAGAGTAGCTATAAAAAGGCGAAGCAAAAAAAAACATACAACAGCCAGGATTCGCATGTGGTCACCCACCATGCTACTAACTGGCCGGCGTGTGGCTTAAGTACGGCTGAGCGGACGGGAAGCCCTGTTCTCCACACCCTATGGTCGTATGTGAGAGAATTAAAGAAATATAGATTTATGTAAATTTCAGGTTCGATCATAGAGATCACAGCCTAAGTCTTCGTTAAAGTTGAGAATGGTCACACTAGAGCTCGATGTGGCTATAAACTAATTTACCCACTGTTTCTGACCGCGCTGGGGTCTAATGTGGTCAGAAATTTTGTTTATATTATAGTATCAAGGCCTATAGGGAAAGGGACGTATATTAGAATTAGGTACGCCGCCAACGCGAAAGGAAGAATAGTCAAAAAAGTAAAACTTTGGCAAGGGTTGATATTCGTTCAGATTCGTGAGTTTCGCAATAGCACCGGTTGCAGTCAGCGATGTCAAGAGTATGTGAACCTTCATTTTGCTGTTGAATGATCAAGAAATTGAGAATGCCCGGCGTAAAATTGAAAAGTCAAGGAGACGATTATTGTGCCTTGATGAATCACAGTGTTCAATGACACAGCGCAGAAGAGGCTTTAAATAGCTTTGAATTCCTTGTAGCAACGTATAGTTCGTCGCTTGTCTCACGTTTGCTCACACCCTTACTCGGATAAGGGTGCTCGTGATTTGCTTGTGCTCAACATTGAGGAGCTTGCATTGGACCCCTACGAAACGGGATGAAGTGCTCCATAGATAGTACAGGGAGATCGACATTGCATCGAGAAAGCGGGTCAAAGCTAACAACGCATGAGCGGCAGCAGGGGTGATGCAAGACTACAGCTAGACATGCTGGATATGTCTATTCTCTAGACGCGTAAAGAACTACCAGAACCAAGGATTCAAATGGTTCCGAAGAGGATATTGTATGCACTCCTCCAAAATTGTGTGTTCACTTAAGATTTAGTCTTGAGATATGATTGGAAGTTAAGTTGAGTAACCCGGAAATAAGAAATCTTCATTGTTGTCAAATGCGTGGATGCTATTCACTCGGGGTTGGCTGAAGCTTTTATAGCCCGACAAGGTAATTGGGCCCAGTGAAGGGGTGGGCGTCACGTCATAGGTAGACCTACTAGGGCGGAAGCTGGTTGATATCCCATCCAGCTCTACCATCAAAGTCAATAAGGATACCGCTTTCAATGTCTTCGGTACATAATGAACATCTCTCACCCAATACATATGCTAATCCCCGGGCATGGAAATGTAGGCTCTACGTATAGTCCAACTTAGCCTCCGCTGCCGGTAGAACTCCAGAACAGTACACATATACCATGAGGAAAACTCTCGCCATAATTTTCAAGTAGAATATCCGGTGAAGGTTCTTATAAGATTGATTCGTGAGTTACCTCATCCAATCTTTCTATGACTGACGGGTATGAGATACATTATCGGGATCTTGAAGTCCTTTGATCGTCAAAAAATCGCAAAGCGGTGAGCTTCCACAAAGTCCTTTATTTATTAAGTTCTTGGTTTGGTTACAAGTCCAGGGCAATACAATGTCCCTTTCACAAGTGATCTAATTAGGTATATCACAGTTACGCATATTTATAGTTACTGGCTAAAGAACTATTCTGGTTGGATTACGAGTCAGTAAAGTATCTCAGATAATACATAATGGCAGTCGAACTATATAAATCCTCCGAGCCCAGTCATGTCCTCGGCCGCTGTCCTGACCTCTATCCAGCTCACGCTCCTGACACTCTTGAACCCTACCCTCCGATTCCGCCTGCTGTAAGTCAAAGCCTTAGTTTTTCTGAAACGCACATTGACAACTACACACTTCTCAGCTAGTCAAATTTGGCCTATCGACCAAAATGCTTTCCTACTACGTGATCATTCATCTCAGTTGGGAGGACAAGTTTCGGGATACTACTTCCTTGCGCGAGACGATCCTCTGCGCATTTGGACAAGACATTCGACCGATTGAGGTCGTGAACTTTGCCGAGCCCCTGAGCCCGGACAGTATGCCAATCAAAGTTGAGGTTTCCCAGCCTCTTAAATTGACGGAACAAAATAAAGTCATCCTCAGGAACCAGGCACATGATATTGCCCGAGACTGGCTATTCCGTTACACCTCACATGGTGAGATTTCTCCTGCTCTTAGCATGGTTCACTGGTCTCGTCGTTAACTAACCTTTTGCTCTCCCGACTATTCTGCCTTTCGCGCTTGGCGACGTCTTTGATTTCAATGCACCTTTTTTCTCTGCAACTCTTGATACTTTAGTAGCAACCATATTTCTCACCTGAAATTTACCGCTGTGCGTAATCATATGCAGTTGTAGCCAACGCATTTTTTTTTTGGATTTGTAGCTGATCACTTTCCAGTGGATTGCTAGCTTTGCTCTCACTTGAGACGAGGAATGTACAACGCGGAGCATTGCGAATAGATTGCAAGCTACGAGTACTATCGCAATACAAAGAAAATATAGTATCCTACTGTCCTCCTTTTGGACGAAGAAAAAAAGTTAATTCCAAGATGGTAGACATCAAATAAATCAAATAACCCACCGATTTTCTAATTTGAGTGAACAAAGAAAGCATATAGAAAAAAGACACATAGAGAGATAGAAAGATAGTCATGTTGCATGATTACAATGGAAGCATGCTACATTCTGGTATCTATAAAAGCATCATCGAGGATTCAAAGACTAATAACAAAGAAATAGTATACTTAGAAAGATTCAAGAACAATTCTTTCAACCACATTAGGCTTGGGGAAACAGTGGGAAAGGTAATTAACAACTACATCAAGCTCCAGTGCGACCACCCTCAACGCTTAGATCTCTAGTATCAAAATCGAAATGGCTATATGTCTATATGTCCTTGAGAACTGTCACATACGACCATAGGGTGTGGAGAACCGGGCTTCCCGTCCGCTCAGCCGTACTTAAGCCTCATTATAGTATGCGGCTAATTTTCAAAGCGCCTTAAGCCTTAAAATGGCGTTAAACTTTATCCTAGGGTGGGTATAGGTGATATGGGTAAGAAGTCTCGAGGCTGGGGTGAGACAGGGTGAGAATATGGTGAGACAGGGTGAGAATATGGTGAGAGAGGGTGAGAATAGGGTGAGAGCGGGTAAGAATCCCCACTCAGGATCACCCACAGGCCGTCTTTTACTGGAGACCACCATAGAAATATGAGACCTGGGTGACTGCCTGGCCTTCTGTTCTTATTTTCTGGGCGTTCAGCCATTTCAAAGATGATGCTCCCGAAAGACTTCTAAAGGCAACTCAAGGGAAAGAGCTATATGTGCTACGTCATCTGGCTTCACCCTAGAATATCAGAATTAACGGGAATAAGAAAGTAATACTACCCGAAAATTTTGAAGTCTTTTACCGAGGACTATATGATAAAAAAAAGAAAAAAATACCTAAGCAGAAGTCGGCATATCAGAACTTGATAAACTTCACGTCAAGATAGGGAAAATATATGTTGTCAGAATACCCATATAGTGGGTCCATCCCGCTTCCGTGCGATCTTTCCGTTTTGCCTACTGATTTCCACATGCATCTCCGTCCTGTTCTTAGTTATAAATACTACGTGTTTCCATAAATAGAATAAAAAGCTTAACAGATTTAAATTCAATTTGACGTCTTTGTTATGTATAAGATAAAGCGGCCTTCTTGTATCCAGTCACTGTTCACCTGAACTTTCTCTAGTCTGCTAGTACTCGAAGCTTTTATGCACACTACGCTTCTTGTGTGCACGTTTCCCCTTATGCCCCACGCTTAAGTCCATCAGAAACATCCTCTAGGCTACCTATGCTGAAGGGCACGATTAGATTCTTTAAGGTTCTCGTTAATAGTCTAGTATTAACTAGATAACATCTTTTCATTTTCATTTTATTACAGTCAATGTTTTAGGATTATTTGGCTTTATTTATAGTAAGCGAGACAAACACTGGGAGACTTTAGACGAGGACCCTATGGCCGAAGCCGTTATGGCTACTTCCACTCCGATACTAAATCGTATTATTGAGTACTAAGCGGGAACTAACCCTAGGCTCATAGCGGACCTACCCGCGGGATGCCCCGAGCCCAGTCTGCTCCTAGCATCGCCCGAGTCACGTACATGTTAATAGTATAGCAGTTTACACGCAGACGGCCCGGTATCTAGATCTTCTATACTATATAGTGAATCCCTCCGCGTTATAAGATATAAGTATATTATTCCGCCCCTAAGCATACGCATCGAAGTAGAATAAACTATAACCCTAATATAGAGAAAAAGGTAATATTTAAGGGCTAATCCGAGGCTTAATAGCTACGTTACTCGGTGTTAGCCCATAATGCGGAAATCTTTTCTAGGACACGCTAAGAAATAACGATATAGTGAAGCTCGTATTAGAAGAATGGAATTAAGGAAACCAAATAAAGTAAGATAACAAGATAGAAAGGCGGCCTTCATAGCCAATTCGGACTATACTCGAAAGCAAAGTGATGTGTTAGCTAAAGTAGGCCAACATCATATAAGACTAGTAGTTAAATATATCACCTAATACTTAAGAGCATGCTCAATTAACGAAATTCCGGCAAAGAGAGGTAAGTTCGGTACGGTAATTCTGCTATTCATAATTGAAGTCCATTAAGGAATTATCAGCGCTAGTGCCTTGGAAGTGGGGCCCAGAAAAGAGAAGTAGTCTATAGGGAGGAAGCCGTTTTCGCTACATACTGTACCCCTCATCGGGAGTTCTGATGTCCTGGAGATTTTTACGCGCATGAGTCTATACTCAACCTAGAGAGGAGTCTTTGCCCGTTCTACCTGCAATTAATCAAAACGAATCCCTGCGACACCTTAATGGTCCCTCCATCCCTCTGGGGCAGGAACTGCAAGCCAATTGAGAAGTGTCAAGGAAATGTGGAAAGAAGCAACTGAAGGAAAGACCCGAGTTGTATTCTTGGGTTACGGGTGGGCCATTGATTGGGAACACTATTACACTCAATAAAATTTTGGGTGCAGTACAGCCAATCCCCCTATGTTCGGGATAGGCTTCCATGTTTTACTTCAGGAGATTGTTTAAACCCTAAAGCTAAGACTATGGTTAATCCTTTCTAGGCTAGATGCAGCTAGCCTCATATCATGCCTGCATAAAACAAAAAATGTAAAATACCTAAGAAGGCAAAGATAGGTCGGCACCTATGACGAATATATTGGCATTTGTTGCGAATGTTCGTTACGAATATTCGCATTGGCAGAAACTTGGCATCACGAAAGCGAAAGCGAAAAAGCTTTTTCAGTGTCCGTCGAATGAGAGGCTATATGTCGGACTCTCATGTTATCTTCGTGGTGTGATTAAGCTAACACGTTAATTGGTGGCTAATGTCGGCACGGGGAATGGCTGGCTCTATTAGCGCAAAGGGAGACAAGATTTAATGTCCTCCAAAAGGGAGCTAGAAGCAAAATGGGCCAATCAGGTTCTACTACAGGATGAAGACAACAGCCCTCTTCCTAACGGAGTTTCGGTCAGCTTTCGAACCGAGAAAACTGAACCTAATTAGGAAGTCGCCTTCTCAGCTTGTATTTCGAAAATATGATGGTGAACATCTGAAATATAACAACTATATTAGGGCTCAATTTCCTGCTAAGTTAGATTCCTGATGGTGGTTAATGATTGATTGCTCGGGAGCGGCAGGCAAGATTTTGAGACCCCAGCCTAATTACATTGAGTGATGACATCATTGACCCAAGCGTACTTGAAGTCTCCAACTTGATAAATCTTCCGCCTCAAGATTACTTAAAATGTAGGATAAGATTTTCACTTTCAATTTCATTACAGCAACTTCAGATTAATGGATCCAGGTACTGCACTTACCATCGTGGCAAGCGTACTTTTGTCTTTTGCAACAGTTGTGGTAGCATTGCATCTAATCTTTCGATTTGGCGTGCTAAAAGTATGGGGATCTGACGACTACTGTGTCATTGGTGCTATTATCATCTCAATCGGGATGCTTATCACTATTAACTTGGGTAAGCTACACGACTTATCTTTCATTCGAAGCTAATATGTCTCAGGGGTGCATCTAGGTATTGGAAAAGAGAGGTCAGTTAGCGATATCAATACTGCAGTATTAGGTCGAGTGAGTTGTCTATTCAATTTTCGATGCCATGACTGACTGTTTTCAGACGCAGCTAGCCACCCAGATACTTTATATTACATCGAGTGGTCTGGTCAAAATTTCGATTCTTCTATTATATCGCCGCATCTTCATCACGTTAAGGAGGATCGCTGCAATATCAGCAGTAATTATCGGGCTCATCACCCTTGCGTTCATATTTTCTGCCATTTTTCAATGCAAGCCTGTCGGGAGCTACTGGCTCGGATCCACAGACAATCAGGGCTCTTGTATTTCATTACTCATTTTTTGGTGTGACGTTGCTGTCGTTTATCTTTTAACCAATATCTGGATATTTTGCTTGCCATTGAAGCCGATGTTTGGTAAGTTTTGAGACCATTTCATTCAGGGAAACTCAGCTCACTTCAAATTAGATCTGCATATGAAACTGAAACAGAAATTCATAGTTGCTGCTCTACTATGCTCCGCTGGGCTATGGTAAGCCCTACGTTATTTTCTCTTTCACACAATGTCTCACTTCCTTCAAGCACAGTAGTGACAGCAGCAATAAGGCTTGCCTACGTGGTACACCTTTACAAAGGAACTGATGATATATTGAACGTCGTGCCAGTATATCTATGCTCTGTGGTGGAGATCTCTGCTGCCTTGGTCGCTCTGAGTGCGCCGTCTCTGAGACTGCTTTATCAAAAATGTGCACCTTACCTTTCGTCGTTCATTGATGACCATAAGACCAAACCCCGTGAAAATGAAGAAGCTACATAAGCCACGTTACCTGTGGAAATATCTGGCAATCTAATTGTCCCTGTCGATCCTTCTTTGGCCGCCCTGCCCTCTATCCGAGGCGAGATATTTTCTTTCTGATTGCCGATGTGGCTTAGGTATAAGAGTTCTCGACAAACAACTAAGGTTGAAATAGGTTGATCTTTTACATCGAAACTGACAAGTCTGCCAAATATTTAGTAGTGGTGGCAATTCAGGTTGGAGATGGCATATGTCTTAGAACTGCAACTAAGGCGCTTTGTGAAATGAGCAATCCTTTTCCTAGCCCTATCAGCAATGACTGCACCTTTTGCATCTGCTTTGCGTTCCTAATGAAGCTTTCCCCTGTTGTGCGGACCGTGAAATCTTCCAAACAAGCCCATTTTCATAAGTGAAGGAATCGGCGACACATTAATGGATATGTATCTCGGAATTCCGCTCATTTGAGGTAGTCATGGTCACTTACACACGATGTTCTACAAAAGAGGAGAACAATGACTACATGGAAGATAAGATGACTATCGAACCCAAAGGATTTCGAGCGAATGATTTTCACTAGAGGCCTCATATAGAGATAGCGGGGAGGAGCAACACTACTCTTAGCGAACACCAGTTCGCTCATTCAAGGGTCTACATTCTTACCGACCGGCAATTCCATAAATGAATAGCCAATCTTCTGGATTTCTTCCTTGCAGATTTGCATGGTCGGACCGGTCACTCATCGGGACAATAACTCTGATCACTGGTCAAAAGACTTTATCGCGGGCGATACTGACGCTCTCTATCCGCCGCTAGCTCTAGCACAAATAGCCCACTGTCATACAATTCAGTTTCTTGATAAATAATCTGTCAAGCTTTAACCAACCTAATGGGGAACGAGCCCCTTCTTACGAGCTTTTGCCTTGACAAATATCCGCCGCCTTACAACCGTTAAGCTGACCTGTGAGTATATAAATGGCATTTAATATAAGATAAAAGCAACGAGGACGCCAATGCAAGTTGGTTGTTTCAATTCAAACTTGGATGTTATGAAAGTGAGCTATTTGTACTAGAGGTAGCGGTGGATAGAGAGCGTCAGTATCGCCAACAATAAACAAGACTTCGACGCAGGTTGTTTGTTTCGATTCAAGACGTCACACTTTGCTAAATCATGGAAAACCGTTGTACCGCGATTGCGTCTGTGTTCCTTATGCGGTACAATATTAGAATCGACGTCAAGTGCTCCAAAAGCTAAGCAACTTGCTCATGCCGGTGATAACGACATTTAAATCCAAGACAAAGATGTTCCACTGAGTGAGGTATGTCGAGGAAAAGCTATATAGATACTACGCGCCTGAGATAAGCCCACTACTACTTTATTAATTCATTGGTAGAAATGATCTTGGGGGCTAAGTCGACGTCGGTTATGTGATGAGGACACAATATACCTTAAGCTTTGTCAGCTCACTAGATCGAATCTAAAGTAATAGTGATGTAAGGAGCGGTACTGATACGAGGCTTACAGTGCATGTATGATTCCAGGGATATCACCCAACAAGGTGAGCAAGATGTTGACGTAAAAGTCTGCTCCACATCCTCTTCGTAACAGCACAGCAAGAGGCGGGAGAAAAACGGCTAATATACCAAGGCAGATGTCTCTAGTTGATAAAGGTCAGATAGAACGACATTTGATCATGCGTAAACTGTTCAAAAGTCAATATTCCTACTCACGACGCTGTGACAGGCATTTTCAACGTTCCTCAAGTCTTGCAATCTCTCTTAAGACTGGATACAGTTTCGGGATATGAGAGGTCTTTTGATGAGCAAAAGCTTTAGGTTGGAGTAGTCGCTCTGATTTTGGAACCATGGATTTTTACGAAGATGCTTAGTCAATGACGTAACTGCCAACTAACTATGCTGGTCATATTGTGTGGAGCCAAGAAATTTGCTCCCTGAGCTATATCTGAAAATAAGGTGAATTATTGTCGCGAAGCAAGATTGTCTGTGCGACCACATTCTACAGCCTTCGTCCACTTACCAGTAATTGCAGAGTCAAGGTAAGTACTAGGCAGAGCTTTTACAAGTACCGTGGCTAGGCTCGACTTAAGCAGGTTACAGGAAAGAAGTTATCGAACGCTGCCAGGGATGGGATGTTCTCAGAGCTACTCAGTGAGCTAAAGGGCGAGGGTCTGAGCATTAGACTTCCGCAGAGCCCACAAAGCCCTAAGCCCAACCCGGGCCCAACCCGGGCTCAACCCGCAAATGGGTTGGGTTTTGGGCCCGAGGGCCCGGCCTACCGGTGGGCTATAGGCCTAAGGTAGGAGCCCACTGCGGATTAATAGGGGCCCAAATAGGCCCTAAACAGTATAAACTTGCCGATTCTTGACATTTGTGTTACGATATACCCGATATGAGGTTATCCACAAATGCCGGTGCCTCAGGCCACCAGGACCCTGGTAAGCCGCCAAGCTTTCGGTGGAGGTTCGCTGGGGCTTCGCTACCAGTACGTGTGCGGACTCCTGCAAGGAAGGCCCTTGTAGAGGATACACAAGCCTCGTGTTTCACCCCGCTCCCACTCCCCTACCAAGGATACATCTCCTTCCTGTTTTGAGCGATATGACTATACATAAATTGATCCATGTTGAAGAGGTTTTACATTCCTCAAGAAACAGTTTTTGACCTTTCTGAACAATTGACTTAGTCCCTTTCTCTTACCTGATTGACAGGCCTCTATCCTGACTTATAGAGTATATCTTTACAATTTGTATAAGCAATGCAGAATTTCCTAGTAATTTTGAGTATTTAAATTACTGTCTAAGGCCGCTAATTGACTGATAAGATTAACTGATAAGATCGGTTGATTAGATATTAGGATATTAGGTAAGGTTAAATTAGCTATATACTAATCTAATAACGTTTATACAGTTCGTCATTAATATGCTTCCTCTTCCTTCCCAATGTCCGCACCTGAGACGGTGTAGTAGTGATAGTAGTATCGTTATCGTTAGTATCTATTAGATCACTAGAACCAGACTTATCACCCTACTCTTTAGTGTTACTAATTGTCGGATTTACGCCGTGTGCATAAACCCTGGGGGTGTGCTTAGAGGCGCACACAGGTCGATCGAATACCACGATTATGGAAGAGTGACGAAAGTGCAATAGAGCTGGGTCGGCAGCGAACAGGTTGAACAGTGGAAGGTCAACACAGTTTAATCAGAATTGCCTTGAGCTCTATTCGTGAGTGGAAAGGGTGTCAAACTTATGACATTGTCGTCAAACTTATTCAATTTAACTAGGGAAACAGGCAGTATTTATAACTTTGGGTACATGGCAGAATGTCACAGGAAAAGACTGATAAAAATCCGAAATAACAAGGGGGTATACGAGAGTGTTAGGAAACTCGTTCTTTCCATCCGATGCAATAGTTGATAATCAGGGTCGTATACCATGAAGCGGTGTATCGGGGATACAGAATTATGCATCCGATTGCATTAGCGCGCATACGCATGGATGCGCCGGCTTATTGTAGGGATATACACACACACACATGTTGACAAGACCTTCTAAAACAGCGGTCGTATAGCCTTCCTACACTATCAAAACTTATGCTTGATCAGATTATTAAGGGCTATACAAAAGCCCTACACTATACTGCGCTACTAGTGAAGGAGAACGCTGATCTACACACAGCGAATAAAAAGAAACGTCAAAAGCGCACTCGATCGACTAGACGGATTACACACGAAGGGGGCCTATCAATCGAAGAGGGCGTACAGCTAGCTCAGCAGCTAATTCAGCCAGTAGAAACTGATGAGGTAGTATCGCATGATCAGGTTAATCTGCCTAATCAGCCGATTCAACCGGCCAGGAGGGCTCCGCCTACCTGCAGTGGATATAGCCAAATTGGTCATAGGATTACTTCATGTAAAAATCGTATTATCTAGTTGAATTAATTTGTGTTGGTTGAGATACTCGATTTTGAAGTTTTGTAATGGAGGTGGGGTGGGTTGCCAGCTCGCTTGTGAATTACGTTAGGGACTTTATAGCAATTCAGACTTGTTGATATCCAATTGGTGGGCGGTATGATTTACTAAGCAGTATTTCCGACTAACTAGTTAGTTACTTCTGACAAATTCCACATTTTATTTCCATCACTGAGATCGTCATGCACCACTGTTTTCCCGCTTCCTCTACTAGGGATTCATTCCTTTCCTGGTTGAGCAACGAGTAATGAAGAGGAGGTTTTACGTTCCTCAAGAAACAGTCTTTGACTTCAGAAACAAAAACCTTGGCTCCTTTAATCTACCTGTTTGACAGGCCTCTACCCTGACTTGTAGAGTACATTTTTACGGTTTCTGGCCTCCTCCCGAGATGTCTGTCTTAGGGCCGTCCGGGGCACGCGCAAGTATACCGAAACGCACGTAACTAAGCTAATATTAGCGTCCGTGGAACGATTGGTTGACGGTATCTTAAATAACTGCGACCGTTATGAAAGCGATCTGGATTGGTATAGACTAGTATGCATATGGTCGAATAAGAACTACACTAATATACGGCGATGCCATAATGTCTAGAAAAAGTAGCCCGGGCGGTAGCGGAGTTCATTTCGCAAAGAATTGGATGGAATAGACTGATTGGGGCCTAACTGGGGTTCAAAAAGCGCTCAACTGTGCAGCATCCCTCGTGACCAGTTAGCGAGCGATAAGGCCTTCATGAGGCTACACGGCCTACCATATTTACTGACGGAAAACCAAGTGGGAAGAATCAACCAATGATGCTGCTCTTGGTGGAGGTTACACTTCTCAAGCTTGTATCCCGCATGCGTTGAATCAATGGTAATTCATGTATACCAATTTCAACATCTATGCCAAATTTCAATATACAAAGAGACGTTTGCGGCCTTTTACGATTATTGGTATGAATAGACTCACATCGCTCAGTGGCTGCGGTGTGAGATGAGCGACTAGAGTGTCGAACAGTGGACAAACCCATGGTTGGTTGTCCAATTGCCAAGCTGATTAGCAAATCTCATATCCTTGTCGCTGCGCAGCCGTACCCCGCACGGTAGGAAGTTAAAAAAAGCGACCATTGTTCGACAGAAAAAGACTCGGCCTAGAGTCCCCGTCAAGGCAGCAACCTGAATTATTGATCGTTATCCTAAGATCAGATTTTAGGAATCTGTTATTGATGGTTGCTCTAACGAAGCCACTATGCTAGCATGTTTATGTTTTGAATGTTCGTCACGCGCCTAATACTCAGGAGCTCCAGGGGGCCTGAGGGACTAGACGTCAAACCGCCAGTGACTCACCTACCTGTAATCTACCATCCATGGACTACTTAGGATTACTATTTTCTTAGCGTCCTGCGGTTGTTTTTCACCAAGACCCGCGGACCCAGGGTTCTTACGTCACTCACTACCAAAAACGTAACTACCCTTTCTTTGTAAGTAGTTCTAGGCCAGACTGCTATCTCTTGTCCGGCCCCTGATAATTGTCAAACCAAGGTAACGAGAAATGATCATTTCCAGATCTTATGAGTTTATGCTCGCGCTTATAAGGAATTGCCTTTACTTTCCTTCAAGGTTAAGTCAAGGAACAAGCTAGATTTACTGGCAAGCGAGAGCAACGACTAGTAAAGGGGCAATGGCAAAAAGCGCAAATCACCCGGAGGGTTGAGGCTTTGCAAATTCAAGCCGGCCACAGCAGTATCTTATGGGTCCATCCATTGGTAATTTCCATTTTCCCCACAACTACTCAATATTCCTGCCAAGACACAAGATCCACTAGGATAATCCAGCAAGCTACCCGCCACATTGTATTATAATAGTCACCGCTCACACGAACGCAGCCAGGACGTAATGCACTTTAATTGTAGAAAACAAGATCTACGCTGGATTCTGCTGGTATGGCATAAGCGGCGAAGTCACGATACCATGCGTACGGTCCTCTAAGACCTGCGCTGTGCCGTGGCTATTTTCGAACCGGAAGTAAATGATTCGATGATATCTCTCCCAGGGAAAGCTAATCCTAAAGTCATTGGCCGGCAATAATATGCGTTGCCTTTGTGATGCAATTAAAAGTCAAACTAGCAACATGATCTAGACGCTACGAGAGAGCGTGTGATAGCGACAATATAGTCGGTTCTAGATGGTCGATTTATGATAAGGCCGATCTTAATCCGCCACTTAATCTATATAAAGGCTGAGAATCCCTCTGGCTTTTTATGCGAAAGATAAGATATAGAGAAGACTCTATCAACAATTATCTATTCGAAATGCTTCTGAAGAACGTTCTTGCCACTTTTGCAATCGCAGGCCTAACTGCTGCTTCTCCTGTCGACGGAATTGAAGCAAGAGCAGTATCCGGTACTTGCGCGAAGAACGCAAATGCGTGGTGCTGTGCCACTGCATTTCCTTTCAGCATTTTCTTTATCCAGAAAGTTGGTTCGAATTGTGTCCGGCCCTGTAAGACCTCCCTAATCACCTTTAAGAAAGCAGCATACTAATCAGCATCTCCAGCCGGAAGTGGACCTAGTTATAGCTGTTCCAATAAACCAGGAAGACCTAATTTCCTTTGCTGTGACAACAATGAGCTTACAGTGAGCTAACTTATTCAGAACTTATCAAACAGGAAGGCACTAATGGAGAATAGGATGATAAAGGTGGTGTCGTTTGTGTTGTCTAAGGAAATATTTTCGGCCTATTGGTGTCTGAGCAAGATGCTCTACGGTCCTTACAACAGAATGATATTTACCTCTAGCAGAGGCATTCAAAACCAGCAAAAATATCGCTGTCTGGAAGGCTTATATGAGACCTGAGGAAAATTGCGCTCAGTATGAATAGTTGTGATAATAATGGCCTATTACCGACGCAATGATTTAAATAACAGATAGCTTTGCGCAAGAAAACCCTCCAAATTACTCTTAGGAAACAATATGAGCCGAATTGAAAGAGTAAACGAAATGCGGGAGAATCTACATTAGCAACGTAGGAAAAAGCCAGATCACATACAAGCAACTCTAATACGTTATTAGCCGCTATGTATTTGAGAATTCGCCATGTATCTAATACGTGGATTCGATATTTCATACTCCAAGTGCTGTACAATGGTACATCCCTTCTCCCACCAAGCAATTTGTTTGATAAACAGATTAGGGAAGCGAGAAACTTACCTGTGTCAGCTACTTTATTGATAACAACTCCCAGTATTCTATATAACAAGGATCAGGTTAAGTGGGACACGCTTGATGGTCTTCTCATTGTGTTGTGCCTACTTTGTGGCCTTCATGAAAGGAAAATGATGTACCCGGATACGGGAGCTTTGCTTTGTCGTCTTAAGTCTTGATTGGTCCATTTTACTCCGCTCCACATTGAGGTTCTCTGGCAGGAAAACAATCCTCGTGTTCTGCGTAGACGACTCTACCGAATCAGCGAAATTCCTAAAGTCGACTCTGGCTAACAGAACAATGTTAGGGTTCGTAGGAGCACATAAAGTATCATAACATCTGGGGTGCAACCCCCACTGATCCTATTAGCAACGTGATTACCAACAAGTCGCTGCCTTCATACGCGGTATACCCATTTGGGCTGGTTGCATCATAATAGACGGAGACCAAATTTAGTCAAAGTGAAAAGGGATCGGTTTGTGGTCTGGTAATCAATCGTGCTGTTTTCGGACAGCTCTGCGTCAGCCATCCTTTTAGAGTAGCTGCGACCGTGGTTCCCGGGAAGCCCTCCCCCAATGTGGTGACATCAATAATCCTGAAACTATCATCGGCTTCCGGGTATAGGATAATGGAATGTGGATGACTTTGCGCAGAACATAAATAATCTACAATGCTCACGTCCACTGTGTACTCTCTACGATAACATCACAGACCCCTGTAAGCTGTCTCCACCGTATATGGCTCTTGGTTCTCATGCGAATTGTTTCACTTCTAGTCTACCCACAGTGATAATGAAGTTGTCGACCTGGGCTCTCCATCTCACAACTCCAGGTGCCGCTAACGCCTGGCAGCTTAAGGCCGGGTCTCAAACCTCGACCGGTTCCACCACGCAGGCTGTCAATCCGTGTTCATCCCGAGTGGCGCGCAGATCAGCTGGCACGGATCCCGTGGAGCCAACACCGTTCAGTTATTTAACGTCCAGGGTAGCTGCAGCAGAGTGTTTCGGACTGTGATGGGTGTGGGGGATATAAATGCGTCCAGCAATATCTACGGCTTTGTGGTGAAAGTATGATTACTATCGGGACTATTATGAGAAGGTTAGGTAATTGTATTCAATTCCACAAGCTTTTTCCACCTTAATCAATATCTGAGCTGTGACATAGATTATATCGGGGATCTGCTGTTATGAAGAGGATCTTGATCGATAACTGCAAGTAGCTCTTGCAAGAGCACTGCTTTACCAGCCGAAATCACGTATTGACTCACTGGGGGTATATTAGAATTCGATGAGTAGCTCAATCTCTGAAATTTATCGTCGACAGTCCGATTGTAGTCTTCACTTCTTGCTCTGCAAGACTGTCACATCCCAGGTTATGGTATGACTACGACTATCATCTGCAAAATGGCGGTTGCTAAAGAATTGCCTACGACATCACCGCCCTCTTACGGAACTAATGCAACACGATATACTTGCTTTAACATGCAAAAAGTAGCGTCCGACTAGGTTTCAAGATTTCCTGCGCATAACTCCCGGCCCTTGCGTCCACATAGATTAGTCACCCGTGACCCAACGATTTGGCTGTATGTAGCAGATTTTGCAGTCTAAAGTGTGTTGAGGATTGGAGACGATTGAGGACAATTGAGCCTACTTGCTTGGGCAACATCCGCTCAGGCGCTATTTTATTTGAATTTGAGTAGTCTGAAGACTAGTCTGGATACAGAACAGCTTGCGAAGGTGCACGAGAAGATCGAGTCTGTGCACGGCCTTCTGGTGTGGGCGATGGTATGGTAACGAGTGTAGCTGTTCAGAACTATTGCCTTCGGTTCTAGCATAAGGATATCCTGTATATTCCGAACTAGGGGGAGATTGTGTTATGATATCACTGACATGAGGTTATTCACAAATGCTGGCGCCTCAGGCTACCAGGACCCTGGTAAGCCGCCAAGCTTTCGGTAGAGGTTCACTAGGGCTTCGCTGCTAGTACGTGTACGGACTCCTGCAAGGAAGACCCTTATAGAGGTTACATAAGCCTTGTGTTTTCCCTGCTCCTATTCCCCTACCAAGGATACATCTCCTTCCTGTTTTGAGCGATATAACTGTATATAAATAAGCAAACACTCGTCCCCCACCCTGACCGATTCTCGGATGCCGACCCCCTCTAATACGCCGTGTTTTCTTCTTCCGCTCTAGTCTTTCTTACTCTTCTAATACACTATCCAATATTTATCCTAGTGTCTAGCTAGTATCGTTCGTCTGATCTATAGATACTCCAGTATCCAGCAAGACTTGGATCAAGTTATCTCTTACTCTTTTAGGAAAACCCGTTAGCAGGGGCTTAACCTCTATATTTTTATATAGCATTCTAAGTATTTGACCCTTCATCACTTCGCGAAGGGGGTATTTCCCTTATTATTGATCGTATTGATATCCGCACCCCTGCTAACGAGGTGCCCAATAGCATCACCCTAGTCTAGATTCTTCACTAGATAATGTAGTGCATATATAGTATATAGACCCTGTATTAGTGGAGTCGTTCAAGAGCAATGAAGAGATATATAAAGTGATGAAGTTACTAGAGCAGGGGGTTGCAACGACTGTATAGGCAGCGATCGGCTAAGATTTGGAGACGAAAGGCGGAGAATATCTTGCTGAGTGCGGAAAAACCACATGGGATAACGATAATAATGAGATTGCCGGTGTAGGGTTCGCAGGCCATATTTATGACGCCGAGAAAGAGGCTCGACTCTGGAAAGACTCCCTGAAGATGGAGGGGCTGACGGATGATGAGTAGGGTGATGTGAGGCAGAGATGAGAGCAATGACAAGGTTCCAGTACTATATCACTTTTTACCGGACTGCTTTCTGTCGGTTACTGCTGCCAAGGCACAGAAGATGCCAGGCTACATCAGCGAGCATAGCAAGAATGAATCGCACATTTGATAACTTTTGATCGGCGCTATTCCATCTTCCACTGTCGAGTTATCGTGGGCCTTAACAAGTTTTCGTATGCACTGCCATTGAATTTTATCAATTTCCATAATGTCTCTCCCTTTACGTGTTATCGGGCCAGGTTCATTATTTCTATTCTTGGGATAAAGAGAGCGCAAAGCCAGTCACAGGCTCAACGTAGATACATAAGGACATAGTTCCTCTCATTAAACTCTTACGGGGTTTATGAAAGCCCTATCGTTGCCAGAGGAACAGCCAGAAGCTCTTGACCGTGTCCCACGCTTTCGAGTAATGCCCTGCTGGTTCGGCAGCACCTTAAGATTGGATTAGCCAGGATTAGCCAAACAGGATTCTGGGTCATCCTCCGCACTTCGGCGGTTTGCCAGATTCATCCAGCCGGGATCAATCAATCATTAGCGAAACACAGTGGAAATTGCAAACATAAATATATAGGCTGCAGTCGAATCGATAATAATCGTATAGGTTATAGTTCCTGCCACATTTCCACTTCCCCTCTAAGTTTGATCTATAAGTCTTTTTACTTTCGTAGCAACATCCGTTGCATCATACCTACTATATATTTTACAAGACTGATGTCAGATTGGCACGCCGCAGAAAAGAGATGTAAATGTCTACTGTGCCTCTTTACCCCCTATTTAACGCTGCGTGCGAGAGCGGTGGTGGCGAAAAGCTCCTCAACATCCCGAGTCGCATAGGTTCCTCCCCCTTTTCATCCTCTAGTGGTTGCTGATTTCCACCAACTCATCGCAACTATCCGCAGCCCATTCCTATTTAGCGAGAAAGCCTAGCGTAGCCTCCTAACTCTTTATCTCGTGCGGCTCGCCCTAGACAATAAGTCCCTTACGTCCGGCGGTTACTTCATCCGGATCACTTCCGGATACAAAGGTCAGCTACAGCTAGGCCTCGACATGGTCCGGTTCCGGTTCCTCAGGTCAGAACCTGGAGTCGGACCATCCGGGTCCCAGGTTCCAACTTGTAGAACTGGAACCGGACCAACAACCCTGCAGGCTCTTCCCAGTTCGCACCTGCAGGAACCTGGAGTGCATAATTTTGCCAAGAAATTTCCTATTTTGGCTGGATAAATTGCTGATTCATTCCTTTTTATTACTGTTATTTACACCTGTTCTGGTTTCGGCATCAACTGGTCTTCGACTGTACCTTGCTAGTACATGAAATTATATGAAATGATCTCGTATGTCAGTTATTTCGGCTAGAAATATGGCTTCACCTTTAGATTCAATCTTACTTTAGTCTTTGTGGGTAGGGAGATAGTATACTAAAGAGATCGTAGTGTAAGATAGTGGAAATATATATTTTGCCTTATGTAGCTCTGTAGAACCGCTTTAAATAATATAGACGCCTAGAATCTCAATTGAACAAGCTAAAAATATGCTTAAATGAACAGGATAGCTCTCAGAAGTAACATTAGCTTTTTAAATTTAAATCGGCCTGCTAATATAAATAATTTTTGTCGTCCAAAGTAGCTAATCTACTTGGCCGTAGTATCTGCTGAAGTCTTCGGTCGGCTGATTTCTGTAGAAATGCTATAACCCTAGGGGCTGCTAGGTTCTCCGGGGCTGCTAGGTTCTACCCAGTTCGACCCGGGAAGAACCTGAGAGAACCTGGCGGTGTAGGTTTTAATAGCTAATTATCACGCGCAGCGGCAGTAGACCTAGTCTATATTGAAATATCCACGCGTTCGTACAGCTAGCGACGACCGCGGTATGCTAACTTTTCTGATAAATCCTTTCCTAGTTATAGGGCTTTCTGTAAGTCTCTTCTGTCTATCTACTCTCCCTCACACCTCTGTTCTCTTATTTATAATGTTACAGAGTCAACTCTCTTAGTTCTCCGATTAGTATCCCTTATCTATCTTCGAGGATACACCTCAAGATAACCTACTTTTCCTTCTATCCGATAGCGTCTAATCCTTCCCCCCTAATGCGTTATACGGCGAGACTTTAGATTATACCACGGATATTGTTTTTTCTCACCCTCGATCAGTATCTCCGCCAGAGATCCTTAAGCGCGTTGGATCTCTAAGAAGGAAGAACTTTATATTGTGGACGGAGATAGTGAATAATAAATTTGTTGAATAGTGGTTGAAAACCGAGTTTGGTAGCTGTATCAACCGCAATCTGTTCGAGGATAAGCGTGGAGCACGAACAGCAGAATGCTGGAAGCATTTTCACTAAGTTGCTGCTATTTCTGATAGGGAACCGAGGGTTATATACAAAATATGCGATTATACCCTTTTATACCCCGCAGATAGTCACCGAGGAACGTCTTCTATGAATAAACACTACTAGGGGAGTGTTAATTATCGGAAAAAGACACCACAGTCAAAGGATATTCGAAGACTTATCCAAAATAGGGTAAGTTAACAAATATATCTACTTATCCGACTTATAATAATATTAGGTTTACACTAGACATATCTCGCACCCCAAAAGTCTGCCTTTACAAACGATGCCTGGATTAAGAGGATTCTTATCTTCCTCTCAAGCTTACAACTACCGTTCTAGCTTGTTGAACACCCCCAGTTTCGCGCTTTGGTTAAAACAATCTGTCTTGCCCTAAGTATACCCGAATTACCTACATCGATTACTATCCGTCGTCGGCTATATATAATCGTTAAAGAACGGCAACAGAGTCTCCTTTAAACGCTACCTGAGGATAGGAAGCTCTCTATTGTATTAGATTGTTGGACCTCACCTTTCCGCTAGGCCTTTATGGCAGTTACTAGGTATTTCATTAACTAAGACTAGAACTACCGCGAGATACTGCTTAGCTTTGAACCTGTTTATGGTTCGTATACTGGTATAAATCTTGGCGTAGTTCTCTTCCCACTATTGCAGAAGTATAGAGTTGAGGATAGGGTATTGACCATTACTACTAATAACGCGTCTAATAACTCAACGCTAGTAGAGAGCCTTAAGGGATCTATTCAGGGGCTTAAGCTACTAAGCAATATACCTGTTATCTATATGCTATATATTGCATACGTTATTCAGCTTAGTCTAAAAGAGCTTCTTGGCTAGATAGACGCTAATCCGAAGAATAAGCGGGAAGAGATGGATTTTACTAGTGGAACCGTATCCTCTCGCCGAGATAATTATGAGATTATCTACACGCTAAATAAGGTACGGTTACCTCTTACTTATCTTTCTAACCTTACTAATAGTCTTCTATCCACTAGATCCGAAAGCTTGCTGTCTATATCAACAAGAGTCTCTAGCGCCGAGAGTATTTCTTAGAGCTCCAGACCAAAGAGCTAAAGCTTATACCGATGTAAGATGTTAAAACCCGCTGGAATTCAACCTTTCTAATACTCCGGCGAGCGAAACGGCTACAGTCAACGTTCAATAAGTTCTGCCGGGTATATAACTAGGTAGATCTTCAACTAAACGAAGAGGAATAGCGCTAAGTCGACTATCTTCTTTCAATCACCTAACCGTTCTTCAGCTTTACTAATGAGGTCTTAAAGAGCAGGGATATCACTATCCACACCGTCTTTGGCATCTATAATACCCTCTTTGCTCACCTAGAGAAGTCAAAGGGACAGCTAGTGCGAAAGCAGGCTAAGTGGAAGACTGTGATGCTTAGAGCACTTGAATTTGCAAGGAAAAAGCTTTCGCAGTACTACATAGCGACAGACGATATTAGCGATAATCTCTATCCGATTGCTACTATTATAGCACCTCAGAATAAGATTAAATTCTTTCAGAAGCTAGAGTGGGAGCTAGAGTGGGCTCCTCGATACCGTAAGAGTCTCGAGAAGTACCTTATCCTATATAAGAAGCGTTATTTGCAGTCCTAACCTATACGTGGTAGTGTACCCTCCGTAGTATAGGTCTCTAACCTAGAGTTGATAGTATTAACTGCCTAATCTAGCTAGTCTTAGACGAGCGTTGATGATGAGCTTAGGCGTTACCTGGGTAGTAGTAAGTGGACGTTCTCTCTCGTACTTGTTATATACTAACCTTGCCGATAGGTACTCGTCTGATCAATCCGCGTGTGTTTTAGAAGGATAATTAGAATGAACTTCCTATTCTCGTAAGCCTCGCAAGAGATATCCTTTCTACTCCTGTATCTAGTGCTGGTGTTGAGCGGTTATTTAATTCTGCTCGTGATATCTGTCACTACCGCCGAGGATCTCTGAAGCCCAAAACTATCTAGGATCTTATGATAATAATGTGTACCACTCGCTTTGATATTGAATCGGAGAAGCTAGCCTTTATTGATAAGTATCTATCTATACAAGAGATTTATACTAGAAAGGAAGAGAATAAGGCTCAGAAAAAGAAGGAGGAGGTGTTCGATCTGATTAGTGATAATAAGGAGGAGGAGGAGGAGGAAGAGGACCACACTGATACAACATCTGAGCCGAATCAGGTAGCCGATGAGAGTGTCCTTAGTAAAAGACTAAGAATCGAACCAACAGCAACAGCTCTACCTAGTACCTAGGCGCCGCTTATTCAACAAGACGGGAATAGTGAAGACGAAGAAGATGGGATACCTCTTCCACAGAATAGCTGTACCCAAAGGCGTACATCTAGGCGGGTTCCGAAGCGTATACGAAGAGATGAAGATTTATATGAATATCAAAAGCTATAGAAAAGATAGAACCCTAATTACATGCTATTATATTGCGTTAAAATCTGCCTAATCTGCTTCAATTCTATTTCTTCTTTCCGTGTAGAGATGTAAGACGAATACTTGAAAATACGGACCAAAACTGCATAAAATATGCAGGTCACGGGGCTTCCCTAGTTTGCAGTGTTTGAGGAACCTGCAGGGTCTTCAAGAACCTGCAGGGTCGGTTCCAAGAGCCCAAGTGTAGAATCGCGGTTCTAAAAACCCAGAACCTGAACCGGGTCTTGGCGGTTCTGGAACCGGACCGGACCTGGAGAGTCGCGACTCCTGTCGAGGTCTAGCTACAGCCCTAGGAATTTTTACCATCTCGCCGTCACGCGTCTAGCGTCGAGTTCAATAGGTCACCGGTAAGGTCCTGCAGTAGCTCCCAGGGGTCGAAGCTGCCTTCGTATCGGATCAAGTTCTCGCGGACGCGGGGGAAGGGAATAACGTTGATCTAGGTAGAATAGTCGTGAGTTTGCTGGAAGGCGGTCAGGATAAGGGAGGAAGGGATATCTACGGCGGGAAATAGGGATCACTCGGCCACAAAAATGAATAAGCAGATTTTCTACCGGCAGAATATCGATTTCGGGCCTTCGGCAATTCTGATTTCCACACAAATCGTACACCCTCCCACATTACAACAGGTGAGTGCGATTACTGCTAGAAATCGTTCCAAAACGATTCAATTTAACTGGCCAATGAGAGGATATAGCGTGAGTATCTATCGATCGCAGTATATATCTCAATACCGTATCCTGATAGCTTTATGTAGCTATCTATATGCCAGACGTGATTTGGCCCAGGTGAACGATAGGCTTGGCGCTGCCGCTGTAGATCAAGCGTTCGGCGGCGAAGAGCATTAGGGCGCTCATCGCGGTAGATGGAGAAGACCCGATTACAAGGAAAAACATAGCCTTTTTGGCGGAGATAGGTATGCAGAAGGCCTCTCCCAAATCCTTCAATTTTCCCGTCATGAATCTCCTGCTGAACCACCTCCCTAATCTGCTGGGCTTGTAGAGCGCGGGCCTTAGGATCGTCAGTACGTAGACGAAGACCAAGCTGCTGTCGCAGTCGTTTCAGCGTGATAGGGGCGATTTTGAAACCCTCATGGTGGAGGATTAGCAGGATCTCTTTATCGGAGAGATTATCACACACAAGGAATCGAATGCGGTCGCAAAGGGCCTAGTTATCAGCGGCAGTGGTAGTAGGTAATCGGCGAAGCCCCTAATCCTGTAGGAGACGGGAAAGGGTACGGTAGGAGATATTGATCGAATAGCGCCGGGCGAGTTCCATGCGGATAGCCTTATTAGTTTCCTGCTGGTTAAAAAGGTCGACGATTTCATCCTTATAAGAGCTAATATCACTGTGCGAGCGCCCCATTTTTAGTATGTAAATCAAAAAGGAACGGATTGATATTGATGATTGATCGGATTCGGGTGGGTATGGTAGTATAGTGCACAGTGATCCATGAATATACTCACATTTTTATATTCCACCTACTCCACCTAGCCTTAGCAGGGCCTTAATTATCACATCATTGCGACCCAAGTAAAAGCCACTTTCGCATAAATAGCACTAGGAAATCAGGCTCCTAGAAAGGCCGCCGGTCTATCTGTGATGAGTCTGCAGCAATGCATCCTGGAGTATAATCGGTGTGATGTCAATGCATGAGGATAGCGACCCGGGTAGTCGGGCGGTAGGAGAAAGCGGTAAATGCACTTTATCAAAAAACATTTTTGTGGCCGAGTGATCCCTATTTCCCGCCGTAGATATCGGGCCTAAGTGGGTAGAGGGTCGTATCGGCACGGCAAGGCGAGGCAATAGTGCAGATAGTCGTGTCGGCGGGTACAGTGTTGAGGGTACGCATATTCGTGATCAAGGCGCGACAGACATTACAGCGAATGAGATAGAGGAGGTGGTCCGAGGAGAAGGGAAAAATAAAGGGTTGGAGGTGGGTGGTCGTGCATAGTGATTCACGGAGCACGACTGTACGTTTGGCTGTGGAGACCGATATACCCGCGTCCGTGTGATGCAGTCCATGGGAGAAGGCCGTGGTTGTTGCGCTCTCTGGTGTTGGCGAGATTGCTTGAGAGGGAATGTGGTCGGGCTCGTCGAGGCGCCAGCGCTTGACTCGGAATGGGCGCGACTCCTGAAGATTGCCCGCGTCTCCGCGCTTGAGCCGTAGTCCTGTAGCGGGTTTCTGAGTATGGAATGCGTTATCGGAACGAAGGGCAGACTCACGGCGTGCTCGTTGATTCTTCCGGTTCTGGACTTTCCGGCGCTGCTTGCTGGCCTCGGTCTGAGATTCTGCGTCACGATCGTCGACGGCCTGTCTCGCTTCGCTCTGGGACCAAGCGAGCCGAGTCCCGACATACTCCATCGTCCTGGTTCAACGAGAGCCTAGTTCCGTGTACTGTAGTATTTCGATATGGAACATGTAGAAATGAGAAATGCATATGAACTGTAATACTTTGCGGGTCCTAGTTCGGGGCTGAGAGATATCGCCCCGCCGCTTCAGGTGCGCTAAAGTAAAACCGTAGGCCTATCCTGAGCAAACTCTTAGGAGAACTACAACTACGGCGTCTGGAAACTCCCGGTGGGCCCCAATTACCAAATATGGGGGACGCTAGGCTGGAAACGGCAATAAAGTCATCGTGACCACATCATACTTGAGCTATGGTATCTCTGAACTATATGGACCCGCGCACAGAAACTTATATTCACCGTCGCCACTATCTGTTAGACTGTTTCCAACCCCGGCATCTTGACTCCACGTCTCTGACCTAGGTATGCTGTGTTGAAGATAGGCTACAGTGCACACTGGAAGGTTGACAAGAGTGTAAGGAGGATAAAATTGCTAAGGCGAAGAGGTCTAGATAGCTACGAGTGGGGCCGCTCCGCCCGCTTGGCGGCCACGTGACCCACAATCTATTTCCAACATGCTATACTACATTTCCAGGGATGGATTCGACTTGGAAGAGTCTTCCCTGTCGTATGCCTTGTGTTAAAGGCCCTCGCACCAATTCAATGAGATCATGATTCCTTCTAAACCGCAATCTTTGTTTTGAAAGTCTCGGATATAGAATATACCGGTCTTAATTTTTAATTTTTTTGTATGAAAACATGTATGAACACCCTCAACTGCTTTCGCAACTCCATTGAGCAAGGCCTTATTCCGAGATGGCTTGTCATCCCTTGCGGTGAGACTTCAGGGACAATGAGAATGTTAGTTAAGTCACACTCTGTGGCTGTCTTGGGTCAGGCCATCGCCATTGCCTGCGTATTTCTAATATATACATTCAGACTCCGAAACAACACCTAGCTCCTGGTACACATGTGGACCTGCGATGCCTTCTCCTTCGACCTCCTCTCGCACCGGGTGTCCTTCACCAGAGAATCACTTCTTTCATCCCACCAAATAGGGCAGATGATCCCAGCATCTGAGATTCACAATTATCTAGAGAAGGGCAATTTGTGCTTTCGCAAGGCGTTAGCTAACCAGGTCCGCTCCTTGAGTTACCCGATCTACTGACTAGTTATCATGCCTCGTGTAGGACATTCTGCGTTTGGAAAACGACAGCCTCCTGGGGAAGATGCTTCATGAGCAGAGCTGTATCCCAGTAGAGCCAAACCTCCTTGAAATTCAATCCGTCCACAGCGTCGGCGAAGTCAGCAGGGCCGATAATCGAGATCCAGCTGAGTGGGATGCTGACAGTCGGCTCTTCAGTGTCGTTTCCAGAAAGCCAGATATTGCGTGTCCATTGGGTCATGATGGTGGTGGTACCATCCTCATTCTTGACTTCCCAGAGGCTGTGGAAGTCGTGGCGCAGTCTTTCAAATTGCCCGAAAAGACGCTTCATCCACGCCCACATCTCATCTCCGCCATTGTACAGGGCGTTGTTCTGATTGTGGAAAATGACATCTTTGGAATAGAACCGCAAGCCAGATCCGTGGTTGAAGCCATAGGAATCAACCGTATCGACATATTTCTTAAAGAATTGTTGAGTCGGAGTCTGTGGACCGGTCGCGTCCCAGGTAGGAGCAGAAACACAGCTTACTAACTCAGGCATAATTGGAGAACAAAAGTTCACGAAAGGAGGTGCGGAATAGAACGAGAAGTCTCTTGTTTGATCTGGATTAATGTCTTAATGTTCGAAAGCATCTTATAGTTGGAAGTTACGCGGACGTCACTATCCGGAACGAATGACCTATTCGGCGATTCTTGATTATAATACTGCCGAGGCGCAAGTCGTTTCTATGTTTTCGTAATCCATACAATGTACTGCAAAGCCGAAATTTCAGTTCCCGGTGACCGTATCTGAGCCAGAATAGCCACTCTCGGGTTCCCGACCCGAGGTCACCAACGCCCTGATCAGTAATCGCTCGCCACGTCGAGAGTTCACCGACTTCGGGGGGGACAGTTCCATTGAACTGCACGCAAAATGTACATTAAAAGCCCTCAGAACAATCTTGTTGGGATTGATATTTGTCAGATTTCCCTTCTTCTATTCAATCAAATTTATTCAAACTCCAATTTTCTACAATATGGGTCTCGACTACAAAGTGTTCACCAGCAGACGTTCTGGCGTGAATCGGTCCACCCCAGCCGGTCACGATCATCTCAAGTGGGTGCCGACCACTTCGACATTGATATTCGGCCAAAATGATGCGGTGCTGGTCGATACGCAGTTAACCATGGCTGCTGCCAAAGAGTTGGTAGACTGGGTTGTAGCCACTGGGAAGAACCTCACGACGATCTATGTCTCCCATGCCCATGGCGATCATTTTTATGGCACCGATGCCGTCCTCGAAAGATTTCCAGAAGCAAAAGTTGTGGCTACGCCGGAGACTGTCTCTCGTATGGCTGAAGCCATCGATCCCGAAGGGATGGACTCCTTTTGGAGAAATCTTTTCCCTGGTCAGATCCCGGAAAAGCTCGTGATGGCCACCGCCCTGGAGCAAGACCACTTTATGTTGGAAAACGAGCGATTAGAAGTGATCAGACTGGGCCATACAGACACAGATGATACAACGGCTCTCTGGGTACCTGCAATTGGCTTGGTTGTTGCGGGCGACGCAGTCTACAACCACACCCACCCATTCCTCGGGGAGTCGAAATCCCCAGAGGCCAGATCAAAATGGGTAGCAGCGCTCGATAAGATTGCGAGCCTAAAACCGAGAATCGTCGTTGGCGGTCACAGTGACCCGTCCAAGGGATTCTCTCCCGATGCCGTCCAAGCGACCAAGGATTATTTGAATGACTTCGCGCGACTGGACGAACAAACATCCACTCCCGAGGAATTATACTCCCAAATGATGGAATTGCATCCCACTCGATTGAATGTTGGCTCACTATGGGGAGGTGCAACGCTCGTGAAAAAATGATTCTATGCGTGGTCTCCTTGTGGACTGAGTAACCAACGGGTTGAATTAGTGCACCATCATTCGGTATTAGCTTAGGATAATCAAGAGCACGTTCTTTGAAGTTTGTACCCATAATACACTTTGCTATTACCGACAAGTATATAGGTAGATATACGTCTCAGTGGCAGAGATCGATCTTACAGCCTTCCAATCAATTCAGGATCTAAAATCATGATCTAGACGCGAATTTTGCGCATCTCGAGCTGTTTAAAGTAAACAAAGCCCTCAATCATTAACATTTGTGTTGTAGCAGGTTTCTTGTGAAGCACGTCTCCACTGATAGATGGGTTAAGACAAGTCAAAAAGGATGGTACTCTGTAGTTGATGGTGTAGTTTCTAAATGTCCTTTGGGACGAGAAAAATTATACGCAACAAAAAAATCATCCACTTCAGTCCCATTCTCTTCTGTGCAAGAAACCTTTATGAAATTTCCGAATTGATTGCGGCTGTCACGTCTCACGAAGAACCAAGCCATTTCCCTAAGAACTCAATCTGTCCTTTAATATTCTGTTCAAACCAATCCCCGGTATAAATATCAAAATGGCCTGCGCCATCAAGATACAAAAGCTGCTTTGGCTCTCTTGCCTTTTCGTAGGTGGCCATCTGAGATGCCGTAGTAACAAGGATATCATTACCGGGTATGACCATAAGCAGAGGTGTCGGCGAAATACGATGCACCATACCCTGTCCTTCAAAGGTAAGCATATAGAGCTGGGTCTGAATGGTAACAGAGTTCTCCCAGCGACCACCACAATCGTACGAGCCGCGCACCTGCTCGTAAGCATGAGATCCGGGAAACATGGCAGTAGTGGCCCCTGACAGCGCTGCTTCCAAGTTTTCCGCAATAAGCGGGACCCTTTCTGGGTCTGATCCTGCAGTGATACGAGCACGCTCTTTCAGAATTCCCGGAATACGGTCTTTGAAGGCCAAGGATCGCGTTTCTCCGGAAACTGCAGGACATTGTACGATAGCAGCTTTGATCCGTTTGTCCACAGCAGCTGCGTACAAAACATTTCCTCCGGAGAAACTCGTGCCCCAGTACACTATGCGAGTATCATCCACACTAGGGAATGATGTTGCGAAGTTGAACGCATCGTAGTAGTCGGCTTGTTGAAGGGTCGGGTTTGACTCTTGCCGCGGTAGTCCATCACTGTCACCCCAGTTCCGGTTATCATAGAGGAGTACATTGTACCCGGCTTGCTGGAATCGATCCGCAAAGTTCGGGAGCCAATAATGGCGAACACCTCCCAGCTACTTGTTGCAAATGGATTTAAATTAGCAAATTTCACGGGGAAATCCAACATCTCAATATCTCACGGAATACGCACCCCGTGGGTCATGATCACACAGGGCGATTTCCTATTTTGGGGATAGAACCATCCCCGGAGCATAGTGCCATCGCAAGTTTTGAACTCAATTGTTTCACGAGAGAGGACCATTGTTGCAAGAGATTATTGTTCCAGGTGTAAGTCGAAATTGAAGATTGCCGAGTTGGCTATTGAGACCGACAAATAAATTAGCAGCTGCGATATTATAACATTGTCCTTTTTTTTTTTTTTTGGCCCTTTTGCAAACCTCGGTTTTTATAGTGGATAAATAATCCAAAAATCATCAAACCTTCTTGACCTTTTGATTACGTTCGCTTTAGCCGACCGAGGTTGCTTAAATCATCAGCCAAGCATACTTAAATTAAGCTTTCTGTTATGCCGAAGTGGCAACTGTATTGGCTACCTTCATTTTGATTGGTTTACATGTAATTACTAATATCCATTGACAAGCTGACTTAAACAAAATCAACTTGGATAACTATATTTATTATGATGAGTATAGACGCTGCAGTATCTTCCTAAGAATATGGCTATCCAATCAGTCAATGTAAGTTATGCATCACCACACGATAGAAAGAACTAAGAGCCGCTAAATTTCGCAGTAAGCGATACAGAAACACATCGTTACGCCCGTGTATTTACTATATACTCTTCCCTAGCCATACATAGTCCCATGTCCAAATAGTCAAATAAATTCAATAGCAATGTCTTTACATGTGTCATGGCAGTGGTCACCTAAATAGAAAGAAGTTCAATTTGAGATCACACGAAGGGAAAAGTTGGTTCGTAGTTCCCTTTCTTTAGTTTTTCAGATATGAATACCAGAAACAACAAAGTGGGATAGTGGTCAGTCACTGTTAATTTTTTACAGTACCTTCAGGTTACTCGAGATGCTACATATTGAAGTAAAGCAGCATGTATATGCAATCAAGTAATATACAATTCGGTTCTCTGGAACGGACCGCATGCGCCACCCATCACATAATGTCCTTCACTGCGAAACCTTGTCAAACAAAGCAATCCAACATTAAGCAAATGGAGCTCCTTCGCCTGGCTCATCTACCCCTAGAGCAAGTTTTCCCACAGTGGTTGCAGACTCAATCAACTGATGAGCTTCCTTCAGTCCAGCCAGATTCAACTTCAGACGTTTGTTGAGGTTTGGTACCAACTTTCCCTCGTCTATGTAACGGGCCAAGCTCCCAAAGATTCGCTGATAGTTCTCTAGATTTGTACGATGATAGGCTGATGAGCCTAGCCAGTCCCATGAGAAGGTCATCGACTTTGACATAAAATCGGTCCCATAGAGATCAAACTTGGCTTGCACAATTGAGCAAACTTTGGCGAAGGGTGCACAGATTTTTCCAAGGGCGTGGATATATTGCTCTGTCCTTGCGACCACGTAGACGTACCTGGAATGATAAGTGTCAGCATTTTTGAGATGCAAAGAATAAGCCAGGATGACAGGCTGGAACTTACCTGATCGGGACACCCAGGTTCAAGGCTTTGATCTGGGACTCGAGATCCGCCCTATGATTCACAACATGGGTGGCACCCATTTTTCTGCATGACTTCATAGTCTCGGGTCGGGATGCAGTTGCAATAACCACGGGAAGTTGCAAAACTTTCCTGGCGATTTGGATGGCAGCACTTCCAACTCCGCCCCCGCCATTGATCTAGAACAGTCAGATGTGTCTTTGAAATGCAATCGAGTAGCAATAGCTCCTATAACATTGGCTCAATGCATGAATGAAACTCACAATAACAATGCCAACGTTCTCGTTCTGCTTAACCTCCAGCCTGTCAACAAGTGACTGATATGCAGTACCGAAGGTCAGGCCCATACTAGCGGCTTCCACGAAGTCAAGCGACTTCGGCTTCTGGGCACAGAGACGTTCATCGACAAGGACGTACTCTGCAGCACTGCCTTGGCGTGTTGTGGAGCTCACGAAGAAGATATCATCGCCTGGCTTTAAATTTGTGCACCCAGGGCCGACCTCTAAAACGGTTCCGGCACCATCAAAGCCAATGATATGGAAACCCTTGGGCACAAACTTGTAGTAGTCTATTGAATAAGTATGAGAGTCTCCTAGCAAAAAGGAGTAGGCTTATTACCAGGGGCATCATCATAAGTCCCCTTGCGAACTTTCGTATCGATAGGATTCACAGAACATGCCTTGACTCTAGGTGATGTTAGGGTGGATATGGCAGTATGTTATCTGAGAAAACTTACTGAATAAGAATGTCCATTCCTGTAGGGCTCTCCGGTCGCAGAACGTCGCGGGACTCGAAGTTGTTGACTGCACCATACTTGGCGACTCCAATTGCTTTCATAGTTTTTGATTCCATGGTGACAATGGCTAAGCGTTTTCTCACAAGGGTCCTCCATAGGAATCTTAGTGGAATGCTTATTATATATTTCAAAAAAATACAGCACTCTATTATCTCAAACCGAGGTTTTGTCAAAAGCGATTAGATTATCCTACTTGAATTGATGATTATTCTTCTGACTTCGGAGCGGTAATCCCCGGACGCCCATCTCGGCACCTTGAAACATCGGGCCGCGGCTCTAATGCAATGAACCGTCCATCCTTCCAACGTTGTGTTCAAGTCCGGCCTCTTATCGGCTGGGAGCCTGCTCTCACTGACGCTTTTTCATGTAAGGGTCGTGGATAGATTAGGACCACGTTCCCGAAATTGAGAATAATGCTAACAGGAGAGCCTGGTCTATTATGCTCGGAAAGACCTCGGCCATCATATTTGCTAACCTAAGCCACACAGCAGTGTGCTTGGTACTGTTGAATATCGTGCGACCTTGTAGAACGACGGTGGAAGCATTCCTTCACTCTGAGTGACGTCAGAACTAATGTGGCAGTATATTATCTGAAGATTGATTTTGGACCTTCGAAGGGACTGGCTACGATGACGGCCGAAGCTTATTAAAATCGTGATGAGTAATCGGATTCAGGTTGCGAGCGAATGCTGGCTGACGAATGCCTCGTTACGCCACTGGGGCCAAAAAAGGCTTTGGGGTCCACTAGGTACCCTCGGTATCGCTGTTGACTCATCATGAATCTCCTAGTTTACTACCTACTCGCGCTTGTATCGACATCAGAAGGGATCCACGGTGGCTCTAACGAACTTCTAAATGCCTCTTGCTATAATAATGAAGAATCCAAAGTAAAATAAACCCCAGCTGGGCCCCATTTATCCCAAGATCTACCTTACACCGATAACTAGGGACATCTCATGCTGTTTGCGCGATGGCTTCGTTGATAGCAGAGTCATGGTTAACGGTGATGACTTTCTCGTCCCATACAACATCGAAACTTCATCTGTGCTACTAGCTAACTCTGTTTAGGTGGAAAATGCCATTGGCCAACGGCCTCAGCTGACCGGCGATGTATTTGCTATGCGGTATCAGTATAAGGCACTCGCGGATCGGGCAAATGCAACCCGAACCATTTCCCAGAATATTCACGTCGGTAAGGGCGATTTTCGAGCCTAGATAAAATGTGATTCCAATGACTGCGCATACAGAAGACATAAAGGTCAATTCCGAACTCACTGTGAGAACTTACACACCTACAGCTGGTCCAGCAGGATCCAACCCACTCCCTGTCGGATTATACTTCCACGGAGGCGGGTTTTGCTGTGGTGATTTAGAGTCCGAGGATACCTTCTGCAGGCTTCTTGCCGAACGTCTGCCTTGTATTGTCATCTCGGTGGGCTATAGGCTTGCGCCGGAGCACAAGGCCCCCGCTCAGCTGGATGATGCGCTCGAGGCTTGGAATTGGGTGAGTTGCACAACTTACTATCTCATTCTGACAGTTCGTGTTTGCTTACGTTTCAGGCATACAACAACGCGAGTACTTTGAACGGTGACCGTGGGAGATACTTCACTGTTGGTCAGAGTGCAGGGGGCAACCTCGCTCTGGCAGTGGCCCGCCGATTGATCGTGCTTGGCCGGAAAGATGAAGTCAAGGGGATCGCAGCCATTGCTCCGTTCGTCGTCCACCCGGATGGTGTTCCTTCGCGTTACAAGACCCTGTATCGTTCTTTTGATGAGCTCGGAGACGGTCCCGTCAACACGAAGCAAGCCATGACCCAATTCTACGGTTGGTGATGCCTATGCATTGATAAGCCGTCAGTTCGTTGACCAAAGTGATTACAGAAGCAACCCAGGCACCGCCCAGCGACCCAGACGTTTACGTTCTTAATGCGGAGGCGGATTTACGCCAATTCCCTCCGACCTACCTGGCAGTCTGTGGGATTGATCCACTACGAGACGACGGCCTTATCATCCACGACGCCTTGAAGACAGCTGGGTATATTTTGCTCCTGCTTTAGTGCCTTCTTATGGATGCTCATTCATTCTAACCTTGCCTATTGCAGAGTTTCTGTAAAACTGGATTATTACCAAGGTTTACCACATGTGTTCTGGGCTTTTGAGTGTCCTGCTCCAAGTGGCGATTTCGTGGCGGATGTCTTGGCTGGTGTTAGAACTTTCACGCATACTTGAGAGACCATTGCCACGCAAGACTAGGTATATGGCGCCCAAGGTACGCCAAGTGGAGGGCGGTATGTTTCTACTCAAGAGTAGTGTCTCTGAGCGGGATATATCAGGACAACGAGATAAAACGCGTGTTCCATCTTATTTTTATAGCAGTCAGTGCAAATATAGCAAATACATCCATGCTCTTGGGAAGATGGTGTCCCGGGAGGCGTACAAAAAGACGGTTATCGGGAGGTGGCAGCTTCGTAGCGGGCCTATCAGTCTTCGTATTACTGTTGGCTTGCTTTGCCGCGGCATTCTTAGCGGGGGGCGCGCTTCGGGTGACAGACGCATATGTGGACTGGGCAAGACCGGAGGGGGGACGAGAAGGGGAGGTGACCGGGGGAGGGGAGCAGGGACAAGGACAGGAGCAGGGGTGAGGGGAGCATTGGTCAAGGCACGCCGCTGATGTAGGCATTGAAGTGTTGTTGGGCTACATTAGCCAGGTCATTGCTAAGGGTAGCTAGCGCTCCTATCTGGCGAGGAGTGAGGCCAGTATTCTGGCGCCGGTGATTGTCAAGGAAGGCTGCTATAGGGCTAAAGATTTTCTGGCCTTCGAGAGCTCTGGCAGTGGCTGTAGTGGTTGTCTCCTGTAGTGCAGCCTGTAGAAGGCCAACAGGTTGGTTATCACGTCGTGCCATGATGTTGGCGCGTCGCGGCGCGTCATGTCGCGTGATAGGTGCCGGGCAGGAATCTGGCAGCGGGTGGATGGGGAGCGGTCCCTTGTCCTAGGCAAGATGCCTGGGAGAGCCTGGTCTGACGATTCGACAGAATTCCTGCCTTCTTGGGTGAGAAGGCGCCAGGGGATTCTCCTAGGGCAAGGAAATCCACCTCATGTTGGTGGCCCATGGGCACCATACATAGTACTTGGCTTAGGGCAACATTGAAGTCAGCCTCGCCGTTGGTTTGGCCAATTCTTGGTTGGGATTCGATAGTATATGAAGTGCCAAGAGACCACAGTCTCAGCCAGACCGAGGTAAACCAATAATGCTGTATCTGAGCCTAGGTGAGTGAGGTTCAGTGCGGTGGTTCGCGCCACGGAGGGTGGGAATCACCCGCTCTCACCTAGCTTCTCACCCGTCTGTTGCGCATTCACCCTTCTCACCCCCGGTCGCGCGACGCTAAAGCGGCGCTCACCCTCTTCTCACCCGGGCGGCACCCACCCGACTATATTTTCCCGCACATAAGCCACACGCCGGCTAGTTAGTTAGTAGTATGGTGGGTGACTATATGCGAATCCTGGCTGTTGTATGTTTTTGCATTTTAGTATGACTGTCCTTGCCGCTTTTCTCTTCAGCCCCTTCGGCCCCCTTCACCTGAACGCCCTGCTCACCCCTGAAGAGCTGACGACCCACCACGGCTAAACTTGCCCTCTCTCCCACCCCTCCATCCCCTTGCGTCCCACCCCCGGCAACTTGGGGTAAAACCTCAAACACCCTTTGCTAGTTCTCCCTAAAGTCGAAATCATTTTTGTTGCTAAGGCGCCCACCACGCCTCATCTTCGAAGAGCTCAGACTTATTCACCCATTCCTTCATTTTGTCATCATCAGCTGGATCGTAGTGAGTTCGGAGTAGCACCGAAACAGATGTGGTCCTATACATGCTTGCCGCCTTCATACGAAGCTCGTCGGATCTCTATGGCTTTAGAATCGTCTCAATCTCGTTTGCAGTTGGCTGTCGGGATGGCGAAACTTCGGACGCTCTTGATTGACCCATGATCCATTCGCCAGGGATTTCGGAGAAACGTGTAAACCAGCCGAAGTCTTTGGTTGGCCGGAGGTTCCGTTGACAAAGAGTTCTCTCTACGAGGCGTTAGCAACTTGATGGTCGTTTAAGGACAAAATGTTCGCACGATTAAATACTGCTCAACTGGTAGCCCGCCTGTTGAGGGACCACTGGAAACACGTGATCCACGTGATTCGCACCCCCTTAGGTAGCACGTTCGTATTCTTAGCTTAGACAAATCCCAAGAGTGTATTACTCTATCACGTTTCACCGCCTCCATGGTGGTTGTTCGGCTATCATAATAATGGGAGGAATGCGGCAATTAAGGTCGATATATAACCAAGGGGGGAAGCTGAGGCCGTGACTGGTGTATTGGAGGATTCAGGAGGTGATTGAGGCACCGCAAGCTTTTTTTGGAGCCTGGTAGAGCTTGGAGGGGATGAGTTTAAGGTTGTCGTTTGTTGGAAGCCGCTCTATTACTAATCGGGACTAGTACCTATAAATCACCCCACTTTGTAAAGCTTGGCACTGCGCGCAGATGTAGTATTGTGTGGTCATTCGTTGCTCTTTGCTTTCCCTTACGCCTCCTCCCACCCTAGTTAATCTCGTTGGTCAAGACTTTCCAGACTTCCAAGCTGCTCTGTTCTACCTTCGTCTACCTCTTGCTAGAGCTACCTCCTCGCAAGAATCATCATGGCACCTCCTTTAAGACCGAGTGACTTCGATGCTCGATTCCTCCGTCGCCTGGTAGGGACTAAGGTCACTACCATTTACGCCATCGACCCTCCACAAGAGCCATCGGCCGTTTCTCCCTCCGCGTCTGGCATCTCTGCCTCAGTGGCCTCCCTTCCTGCGGTTGCCCCTCCAGAGGTCTCCCCCCTCCGGCCTCGTTTACTCCGGCCTCGCATACTACGGCCTCACACGCTACTGCCCGTCCTACTACGGCATCATCCGCTACAGCACCTAGCCTTTCCTTCCCTGGCTCTCCGCCCCCGGGGATCTGCCGCTCGTGGATCATCGCGGAAAAGCTCTCTGAGAGAGCAGTCTACCTCACAAAGGAAGAATTCGAAATGGGCGTTGGGACTCCTATGACAGTTGGTAAATTCCTGTGCCACCTAGAGGAGGGTCCGGCGCATATAGCGTTCATGCGAATCTATTATCAGATTCCTATCACTGGGACTGAGGACGCTGATCTGGCTACACTAGTCCAGCAAATCCGTCCTCCTGAGGTGTGTGGTGAACGAGAAGCGTTTAGGCTATTGATGAGTCAAAAATGTAGCGCTGTTCCACGTTTCCTTGGTTACGACGAAAGTACGCAAGGGGAACATGATCTTGTTCCTGGTGGCTATATCAAGTATCTTGTATGGGAGAAGGTCCCTGGGGAGTCCCTTACAGAGGAATTCTTCTGGAGCTTAGATCTCCCTACACGTGATGATATCCGTGCTAAGTTTCGTGTTGCCTTTGAGTCAGTTTTCGCAAACCCAGGATGGGAGATGGAATGAATGCTAACACAATTAATAGAGAGATACTACGTTGCGGTGTAGTACCACAGATATCAAGGATCTCCAAAATCATCTATGATCAGTCTACGGGCAATGTGTACGTCAAGGGTTCCACAAATGCCGAGAAGATCTACTAACAAATTCAGTCGCATCTCGGGGTTTCGAGGGGGATGGCCAATCCATGATAAACTTCAATGGTCAGATACCCGGTATGTTGCGTACAGACTGGCTAAGCAACCAGAAGAGGAGTGGGACTGGCGTCGTCACCCGGAGAACTGGGAGTTATGAACTTTCAGTAATTCTGCAGTCAAATTGAGCTCTCGCTGCTTCTCTACCGGAACCTCCACCCCCATCCCTTCTCCGCTACCCTTTTACTCGTAGGTTCAAAAAACAGTTCTATAGAAAGACTATCGCAACATTTTAGACGGTAACTTCGCCGCATTGTCCCATGAACTATATGACAAACGGCTCTGTGGGCTTGCGTAACTCTTCCGATGCTGGCGTTCGGGCTGGGATAACAGGCAAATGGCTCACGTAGTCGATATACCAGTCCAGGAAGCTCATAAGCTTTCGTAGGCCATTCAGTCCCCGACCCCCTTGTCGGTAAACCCCGCAAACCCCGCAAACCCCGCACACCGTAGTCAACAGCACTAGCACTAGCATGCTGCCTACCGACACTTGAAACCTGAAGAGAAATAGGGCCTCAGTCAAAGGGTGATGCAAGTCGAAGCTTTCGTTTATTTTTCGGTGCCGTGTTTCCTACTTGGACACTACATCTCCCTTGGTGTAATTCAAGCTATTATTCTCGTCATTTACGAGGTGCCGACGAGAATCTAGGTATCTCTCGCCGATTGAGGTTTGCATCTTGGCTTTAAGGCGCGATTTGCCTTGTTCCCATGATGTCGCACTGGACCGAATAGTTCGTCCTTGTAGCAGCCCTGTAGCATCACCGGGCACTTTGACAGAAAAGGCTAATGCAGGTGTGTCATGCGAGGGCTGATATTTGACATCCTAGATCGCTGGAATTGATGTTATATGTTGTTCAGATACTGCCCACTAAGTAATGCGAAAAGGACGTCAAGATCGATCTAATCCTCTACTCCCCAAATGAGCCGTCCCACGTCATATCGTCCCATTCCACCTAATCTTGGAGCAGAAACTAATCCAATCGCTCTGTTCGGACGACATTCGGGTAAAGATAGGGCAATGACCGAGCAAAACTCCTTGCTTTATGCAGTGGAAGTTGAATGGAAGGTACATTAATTCACAAATTAAGAACCGACGGACGCTTTCTTATATCTCTAGATAGGAATTTGAAGATGGCCCTAAAGACATTTGTATTCGGATATCTTGAAGAACCTCTGATCAATGTTTCTGAGTAAACCATAGAGGTGTAGTGTTGTTCACTGGTCCCTGATTCAAAGCATTACATTCTACATAGAAGAAAACATTGCCTGACAGAGACAACGGGGAAATTTGTCTCGCCCCGGTTGTATGAAGTGGATGCCAGGATCACCGGAGAATACTCGATCCTCCACAAGCCTTGTCATCAACGAGCTGTCTGAGGAAGATCGTCTCTTTGTAGTTGCTGAGGAATCCATAGACACACCCCAGGTTCTGCATGTACATTATCGGTTGGGCGAGTATCTTCCTCAGGTCCCTGTCGAAGTCGATCTTATCGTCAATGGTATGATCGGGAACCCAGGGTACCTTGAGCTCCCCAACGTCTTTCAAATGGTGATTATTATCCTTCAAAATCACATCAGGTATGCCGCTGTAAGTGGACTGTACGCATCTGAAATCTGCGAAGCGTATGCTCTTTGATTGTGATTTGAAGATAGCGTTGAGAATGTCGCCGAAGTGTTTATGGAAGCGGCCTTGCACACCATGCTCGTCCCCAACCACAATGTTTCCGTGGGTGTAGGGGTCTCGTGTACGAAGTGTTAGGCCTAGGCACTCATTCCGCCAGGTGTGGCTCTCATGCATGGTCTGCACAGCACTCAAAAAGCCTGGCCATGGCTGAAGGTCACCAGTAAACTCGAGATCGTGTAAGGCGCTTGATGTTGTATGGTATTCGCCGGGTTCGAGCTTCGGCGCGGGAGACTCGACCAACTTCTTCGGGCCGATATGAAATGCGGAACGAGGCATTTCGAGAAATCGGGGCTTTGCGATGACGAAGACTATTAGAAACATCTTGAGTTAGCAGGCTACACTAACACTGATAGCAGAGAGTGCGTACGGAGTAACGGCTGAGCAGTGAGAGATTTGCTTGAAGGCTAACAGCAGGGCTATGTCAAATAGGGAGAGACTGTAGACGATGCGAAAAGTCGGAGTCAGACAGCTCGGATGTGTGTTGACTAGGTAAGAAGGAGCGCGTATCTCAACACGAGGACACGATAGACGTGTCTCTAACGAGACCAGGTTAGACGCGACTCTTTGACGGGACCATTGACAAACCGTTGGCAAAAATGATTTTCCAGATCTGGCAGATCATGACCCGCCAATCGACGCAGAACTTGCAACATGTTGTCCTGCAGCAACAACTATACAGTATTGACCTCACCCTAGTCGGAGTCTCCAAATGGACTTCAGGTTCTCCGCCAATTAGCTAATAAAGTCCATCTTGCGCTCATGTCAAGATGGAATCTCCATTACATCTGCCGGACGCGCAAGCGCTCTATACCGCGGAACGAAATATCGAATTTCTATTGGAATAATGTGTCACCATCGTTGAACACTTGTAATGTGTCTCAACAAAAGAGCAATGTACAAACTACGTAGAGATTTGAGGTACTAAATCTCAGGTTCCAGGATGGTTAGTACTCGACCTTATCAAATTCACGATACTGTTTTAACTACACAACGTGACACAGTCACATACTTGCGGACCGTCGCCTGACTTCAGAATTCGAATGGATTCAAAAGATCATACCACCAGTATATCATTTTGGCAGAAGGGTTGTTTTGAAGCACTGGCAAAGCAATCCTACCTAGGTATACCTTACGGCGTCACTTTTCTTGACGTCTCACCTCTTGTCAAGATATATTATACGCTAGTCTCTCCAGCTACCTACCAGCCAGCTTTACCTGGCTTTCTCTCATCCATTGAAACACATATTTATGACCTTTTTCTTATGCCAAACCTACGCCGACACGCATATTTCTGCTCTTATTCGCCCTCTTAGCGTACTAGCCTATGCTGTCTCTGTTGAGGTTTCAGCAGTCTTCAATGCCGCTGAGGCTTTGATGGATACCATGCCGTCCTCCCTGAGACACACTAGCCTTGTATGGTAGCGTGGACCTTCGGGAAGCGTGTATAGCGCACTTCCACTCAGGGGTTATCTTAGACCTAAACATCTCCAATATTATTTAATTGCAGGCTTGTGCCGTTCCCTTCATATCCTATCCTATTTTTACAGTCTCAGCTTGATTTCACAGCATTTCTGTCTAAGAGAGGGTAGGGACTCAGATGTATCAGCTATATATTAATAATATCACTACTACAAAAACACTATTCTAGTAATTGACCTAGATAGCTTCCAATATTCCAGAGAAATATGATGGGATCTGGTGGCTTGCATCAGCGTCAACCGACAATGCAATCAAGATCTGGGACTCGGCTACTCGCCACTATACGACGCACAAAGGGGTTACAGATAGGGTCGGTTCTATCGTCTGGTCGCATGATAGGATGCGGCTTGCATCAACATCAGTTCATGATCATACAGCTAAGATCTGGGATCCCGAGAATGGTCGCTGCATACTCACACTCAATCCAATGTTCCTTAGCCTGAATTTACCGAGTCGCCAAATTATTAGTTAAACAGCTTCACTCTTCATCCGAGAGGCCGCTATTGAAAGCGACCGACTGGTGGCGAACTTCGCCGCTGGCGCTGGGGTGGATGACTTTTGGGCCACGGTGGATCCTGACCAACATCACCTGGTTATATGCTACATCACCAAGGCGTCGAAGCAATTGCATGCCCGCTCGATATCATTCCGGCAGGTAGCAAAGTAGTGCCTCCAACCAACGTACAATCCCAGCATCACCAGTTGCTGGACGCCCTCTTCAACATCCGGGTCAACGATGGCCTAATTGAATGACTCAAAAGCAGCAGCAGCAACGGAAACTCTCGGTTCCTCCGCACTGCAGCCCCTCTGCCCAGCAGCTCAGTTGCAAATCTCCACGAGCGCATTCTCCACCATCACCCGCGTCATGCCACCCACAAACTTCTGCATCTCACGGCACCTAAGTTTGCCGACTGCTTAGTCGGTAAAGCAGACCTTATCCGGCTGCTCTTTGGCTCCGCAACAGGTCTGGACCTGCTACAAGTCTTCTATACTCAAGCGGGTATGCCCATCGCAGCCTCACGGCAACTAGCCGAGCTTTTCCGTCGCGTGCTTTTTGCAGCGCCAGAAACAAAATGAGCCCATCAAGTTTGATGAAGTAAGCGCAGGGTTCGGTAAAATGACGGGATTTATCTTGGAAGCGCTCGTGACCTCGGGAGTCCCTTTCCAGTACACCTCCACCGACGTGTCGGCTTCGTTCTTCAAAGCCACACGCCAGCGATCCTAAGGCTCCGGTCTCTCAGTTGACTTCGAAGTGCTGGATATTGAGATACCTGCAGGATCCCTTCCACACTTGCATGGTCAATTCCACACCATCTTGTCAACCAACTGTCTACACGCGACGCCGCCTCGGCAAAGAACGTGCGACGACTCCTTCGACCAGATGATGTGGACGGGATGTTTCTCGCGCTGATCGAGATTACTGAGCGGTTTTACTTGCTGGATCTGGTCTGTGGGTTGTTGGATGGGTTGTGGCGGTTTGTGGACGGGCGGCGGCATTGTCTGGCGAGTGAGGCTTTTTGGAAGGATAGTCTCATTGAGGCGGGATTTGATCAGGTCGCTTTTACCAAAGTGCGGGTTGCGGGAAGGAAACGGAACCCTCAAGTCATTGTTGCGTGGAATGGGGAGTAGTTGATGAGGGAGCATGGATGAGCTGTGCGCAACCTTCAGATCAACGACCATTCAAGGGCCCTCAAATTATATTCTTTCCAGGACTTCAGCAGGGTTATGCTTTCACCATATCCCTCTTCGAAAGTAGAAAGCAGCCTATCTGGCGTATTGATTCTCTGGTTGTCTACTGCTCTGGCTTTCCGGGAAGGTGTGTATGTGCCTATTTGGCCTGAATGATGTGCGCTTTTCCATAGAAAACTGCATACTAACTGGTCAAAGATTTCTTAGTGTACCCTCATAGTCGCTCTCTGTACGCAGTAGGACTGTCCGTCTGATTTCTGAGTTATCGAAGGCGCCCAGGTTTACCATATTATGGGTGTAAGCCAGCAGTGAGTCTTTTTCCGTTATGATTGCCTTCGACTTGAAGCAAGAGGGAAACGGCGGAGGGGTGGAAGTGAAGTGGAAGGGGTGTGGGAAAGGGTGAGGGCTACTGGGAGCAACTGCCTGAAATTAAGGACATGGTGTCTGCTCCCGCATCGCGAAATCTTTCCCTTGAGCAAAATGTATAAAGGCACATCTTGGGGCAGGGCTTCACCCCTCTGGGTGAAGAATATTCAGGTGGGTGAACTGTCGCCTGAAGCCGCCCGAACCAGCCTGAAGGCCGACTGCGTAAAGCGGCGAGCCGCCCACGACCGAACGATAGGCGCTAGGTGAGCATCGCCATAGTATGGCTGTTGTATGATTTTTTCTTCTTCTTCTCAGAGCCATTCTTATCTTTATTTAGCTAACGGCTGTATAATTCCCGGGGGTGGCCAAAGTAGTGTATTTGTGGTGCAGAGGACAGTCACGTCAATATATTCCCTGCGGTAAAAGTTGGGATACCCCTCGGGACCCCTGGGATAGTTACGTACCACCTTACCACTCAAGTACAGTAGCTAGGAACAAGCTACCTTGTGCATAGGGCGATATTGTAGTAAGTTACTCATAACGTACCCCTTTTGACCCTTGACATATCCGACTAGGCTGCATCAGCTGGATTTCGGAGGGATTTATCGAGATCAGGAAATGCGGGTGGTGGGCTTATGGCGGCAGAATATTATGTAATCAAGTCAATCTCGATTCAACCTCAGGGTGTTCAAACGGGTTGCAGCTCTCAAACACTTCCATGCGCAGTCAGTCACTGTATGTCAAGGCTGACTGACAGTTACACCGTATTGGATACCATACACATTTCAGATCACCCACTTCTCGCATGATTTTGTTCCCGGTTAACTTCTCGTCTGCTCCGCTTTCACCTTACTTTGTTGCCAACTTCCTTCTTTGATGATCTCTTGCTTGGGTCCATAATTTCCCTGAGCACCACCACAATGAGGCGTAGCTACGAGGTACTTGAATGATAAAACGGCACTACCTTTAAACTAACAAAGATACAGAATGCCTTGAGGCTCCTTGAGACAAGAAGGCGGAAAGCCCGACCGAAAACCCCCGCGGTACCCGCCCTGCCTCAAGATTCCACGACCACTTTGAAAGGCGTACCTAGTTTGGTCGGAATGAGGGAATGGCTGCAGGCACTGGGACACTCTGTAAGGATCCTTCATGATAAACCTGCCATACATCACCACTTACTAGATCTAGGAAAATGACGTCGACAACCTGAATATAATCCATGTTACTGGCACAAAAGGGAAGGGCAGTACCTGCGCTTTCACCAGATCCTTTCTTTATACACATGGCTTGAGAACAGGATTCCCAAAGCGAATCGGACTATACACTTCCCCTGATTTGCAATGCATCCGGGAGAGAATACAGATTAATGATCAACCAATCACGGAAGATCTCTTCACGCGGTATTTCTTCGAGGTCTGGGAAACTCTTGCGTACCCAGAAAGAGCTGCAGAAACCGAGGGCTCAAGACAACCACGTTATCTGCAGCTTCTGGCTTTGCTAGCATTTCATACCTTCATCAAAGAAAATGTCGACGCAGCGATATTCGAGACACACCATGGCGGAGAGTATGATGCCACCAACGTGATACGGAAGCCTGTTGTGACTGCGATAACATCTCTGGGGATGGACCATGTTGCACAACTCGGTCCTACTGTCAAGGACATCGCTTGGCATAAATCGGGTATTTTCAAACCCGGAGCACCTGCATTCTCTGTTATACAGGAGGCTGGACCTAGTGAAGTTCTACGGACACGTGCGACCGAAAGGAATACTGATTTGACATTCGTCTCTCCCTCGAACACCCTCCCTGTCAACAAGAAAGTGCTAAGTGCTCCAGTACAACGATTAAATTGCTCTTTGGCTATTCAGCTAGCTAGCAGATTCCTACAGCTCAAGGATCCCGAAAATGTACTCGATACCGATGACATATCGAAGGGCATCAACAATTTCTCGTGGGCTGGCAGATTTGAGGTGATAGACAAAGGCAGTTCACGATGGTTCTTGGACGGTGCGCATAACACGCTGAGCCTTGAGCAAGTAGCAGAGTGGTTCTCAGAGAACCTACATGCTGCAGATACGCCAAGGTAAGTTCATATAATTTTATGCTGTTCGTGGTCATTCCTCATTTGCTAACTCGTATGCAATCCAGATACCGTGTCCTTATATTTAGCCACTTTTCTGAAGAGCGCGATGGAATTGATCTAATGAAATGCCTAGCTCATGCACTATCTAAGCACGACGCGAAGCCTGATCATGTTATTTTCACTACGTACCACGAGAGAGAAGATGGGACTGTGAGAATAGGTAAGCAAATAGAGACAGCCCATCTCACTTTTTGGGGTATTGAACTAATTATCCACTTGGCAGACAAAACACTCAAAGTTCCAGAGACACCTTTCCCGGACCTTTGCACGACATATTCTTCGCTTTGGAAAGAAATTCATCCCCATGCTACAGTCTCAACTGAACCAACTATTGAGGGCGCCATCAGGCTTGCGGAGCGAATCAGTATAGAACAAGGTGGCATGCATGCTTTTGTTACAGGGAGCTTACATCTTGTTGGAGGGGCACTCAGTTTCTTGCGTCCCTAGATGTACGATTGAATTTCGATCAACTTTGCCTATCATGGCTATTCAGTATAGTTGCCACTGCCTTTCCAAATATCACAGCCCCAATGATTATTCTTCCACTGAAGCAAACTACAACAACAACGTCAGAAGCAAGAAGCCCATGAAGTGATAGTATCCCATTTGTCGAACCGTATTCATATTCCATGCTCCAACCGTCAACGGACCGTTAGATCCTGCGCGAATTGATGGAGCTTCGGGACGCAACTCTTGAAGCTTTCCCGGAGTAAAATAGACTGTAGCAATAGATAAATATATTCATGTTGATAACGGAGATTTTTAATGTTCGTGTAGTTATTTATTAAGCTAGTCGTTTAGAAATGTCTGGGTCCATTTTTTGGTTCTCGAAAGTGAATCGTTACCCGAGGTATTTGTGTGTCCCCATCGTGTCCCCATGTTCCCCACACTATCCGGTTGCCCCTGATCGATTAAGGACAGTCTCCCCACACAACCCAGCTCACTCTAGATCAGTCTCAACAAGAAATTTTCACATAAATACAATATTAGCCGATAATTTGTCTTGTAATTTTCCACCGGAATCTAAGATCGCTCCAGAATGTCATTCACCATCACCACCTCCCCCAATGACGATTTCGCGCTTATCGAAGACAACAACCCAGACAAAATTTACGCGCAGTTCGAACAATTGCGCAGTAAATGCCCAGTCGCACATACCTCACAAACCGGGGGCTTTTGGCTTCTGACACGATATGACGACGTAAAGCGTGCTGCCTCCGACACAGATACTTTTATTTCATCCGTGAAAGCAGTAATTCCAAGCGACCCACGAGGCATTCGCCGTCCACCGCTTAATACGGATCCACCAGCTCACACACCTTACCGCACAGCGCTTGATCGCACTCTTAAACCTGCGCGGTTGAAGCGACTTGGTCCGATCCTTGAGAAACACGCACAGCGAGAGCTTGACGCTCTACTGAATGCCAGTTATTTGGACGACCAAGACGGTGACAGTGAGACCCCAGCGGCTCAAATTGACATCTCTGCTCAATTTGGTGCGTCTTTTGCTGCCTGGGTCGAGGTGGCGTGGTTGAACCTTGAAGATGAGATTGCACCTGTTCTGGCGACCACGGCGGCCAAATGGGTGAATGCGTGGCGTCAGCAGAATGCCGCAGAGACAAGCGCACAATCTGCGCGGCTCTATGATCTAGCAAGGCAATTGTTTGCTGATCGAAAGAAGTCAAAGCGGGATCCAGAATCAGATCCAGCTTCCTCGCTATTACTCGAAGTTGGACCAGATGGACAGCCGTTGGATGACGAGCTTCTTATGTGAGTACTGATCATGACGTGTTACTTATCCTCTGCAGAATACGTGCTGATTGAGTCGCATGCAGTGGTGCTCTTCGCCAGTCACTCGTTGTCGGCATGGTGGCTCCTCCAATCCTGCTGGGCGATATGTGCGCTCATCTCTCCCGCGACCGAGATCTACAAGCCAAGCTTCGGGCTGATCTATCACTGATACCTGCTGCTGTGGAGGAATTCATTCGCCTATACGTGCCATATCGCGGATTCTGCCGCACTCCCAAACACGATATCGACCTTCATGGCCGTACGATACCGGCAGGGCAGCCGGTGACAATGACATATGCAGCTGCAAATCGTGATCCGGACGTTTTTGAGAATCCTAACACCTTTATCCTTAATCGGGAAAACATCAACTCACATCTTGGGTTTGGAAGAGGGAGACATCGTTGTGCGGGGATGCCTCTTGCTAGAATGTAAGATCTTCAGACCTTGTTAAATAGAGTGGGGAGGTACATCTATACTAACACCAGACAGGGCTCTGCAAATTGCGCTTCGGGTGATATTACAACACACGGAGGACTTTGAAGTCAACGGACCCCTTCAGTATGCGGGCATGCCGGAGATGGGAATCACAAGCTGCCCGTTGCGTGTAGTGCCAGCACGTTCTCAGTGATGGATGAGAAGGTTGTATATTCTTCGTAATCCGCTTATATTGCTGGACCCAGCCCCATGAATTCATACACAGCCAAAAAATTTTGACTTAATTCAACCTATATTTCAGTTCTTCGTACTCCGCTACTAGTAACCTTGTGCTATATGAGATTGCTTTGCGCCAGCAAAACAACGGTCTAGTCTTGTTCACTTTCAATATAGCTGGGACGCAGACGTATTTCTCTCGCAAATATGACTTCTTAAATAGCGCATTTCGACGCTTCCTTCTCAATCAGTATTTTTGCTGTAGGTCTAGCTATAGGTCTAGGGATACATAGAAAATTGTTCGTAGTGGAGATTCTTCGCAGAGAGTTCATTTCATACGCTCTATCCAAGCCCCAACAACCTCTTCCATCTCCTCAGCAACACTCCACTGCAATGAGAGAGACCTGAAAAAGCTTCGAATTGATGTCAACTCATACGAAAGATCGCGCAACGGTCCTCTAGCAGAAATCCCGTCATTCACGAACGACAGAGTCTCGTTAGGGATGGTATGCGGTCCTGAATTATCTACTTGTTCATCCATGGTAGCAGCCTTAACAACGGCCACCCAGTCTATTGTAGATGGCAGAACCACTTTCCCGGCTCCTGCCAAAGCAAAGGCACTGTAGGTGGTCGCTGCAGCAAAGACAGCACCGGGGACATTGATATCATAAGCCATCCCGAGCGGGAGGTGTGTAGCAAGCTCTTGGAGTTGCGAGGCATGCAGCAAGGCAATACGCGCATTCTTGCTTTGGGCCCAGCGGCGTGGATCTATACCCTGTTCATCGCGACTGTCGCCTCCAAATATGCGCTGTGGGATCCCATGAAGAGAACACATTCGGCGGGTACCTCTTGCGGTGCTGACAACCAGATCCAGACATATTGTGTGCCACTGCAGCATTGCGACCGCTTGGTCTGGCAGGGATAAATGTTGGTTTTGCATTATCTGTTCCCGCAGCCTCAGGACCGCATTCCCGATATCTTTTTTCGAAGGTACCCCTACTGGTGCCGGTTTCGTTCGAGTTGCGTCTGCAACCAGGGACCGGATACCTTCGAGAACAATCTTGTGTTGAAACAAAGAAACACTGGACTGCGGGCTCATGCTCATAGTCGTCCTGTTGTCTTTTGAAAAAAGCGTGTGGAACACGTCGCAAAAACGAGAATTATTTGACGGTAATAACCGGCAGTTGAGACTCGCCTGGATCCAGTCCTCGGCCGTGGCCGCATTAAATATCGACTCGTCGCTTGGCAGAGTGAGCGGGTTGGCCATGTGTCGAGCAAATGTCGGGTTACCACTGAACTGTGACACCACGCCATCCACGATGTAAAGCCCAAGCAAAGTGCGAAGTCTAGTCTCCTGAGCGATCCAACGATGCCAAGCCTGCAGGATTACTTCAGGATGCGCGTCTGGAGAGGGCAATGGAGGTTGCTCCAGTCCTTCGTACATGCCGCAGTGACTAGCCCAGAAGAGCGCTAACCCATGAAAGACTTGGCTGGTGGTTCTCAGAGTCCGACTTTTGGACAATGCAGCATATATTTGACTAAGCAGCATTGTTTGGACAAGGCAGACTCCATTGCATGAATCATATGGCCTTTTTTGCAGAATCATTGTGTGCCATGATGTTGCGACGGCAGTGTGAGCGAGCTGCCAGAGAGCATCGGCCTGCTTTTGTGAGTTTATCTTCCCTCTATTATTGACGACTGGCTCAACTCACCTTTAAATTTGCATCTGTTGTCCCTAAAAACAAGGCACCAAGTGCAATAGCATTCAGCAAAAGAGGCGGGGGACAATCTCGGAAAACAAATGTTCGTTGATGGATGACAGGAAACATAGGCACTATAAATCTGAAGAACATGTGCAGACTGCTGTCCAGAAACCGCGAAGTGAGTCCTACCAAGGCCGATGGAGCTGTCACGTTGGAGAACTAATTCAAAGTCAGCGGGCCGTTATGTTGTTTGACTTGGTGATGATATAGAATTACTGTCTCGTTGATGAGCCCGCTTAGGGACTGGATCGCTCGCTCCCCATCTTCTGCGATGCTACTGCGATTTGATGGTGCGATACCCCGCCCATCAGAAGTGACCTGCAAAGGAGTTGGAGGAATGCTGAGGGTCTGCGGCATGAGAGAGGCCGGTTGGTTCCAGATGCCAGGGTCAATTGCCAGGATATTCTGCAACAGGCCCTCGGAGTCAGGCCAGAGCAGCGAGGAACAATCTTCGAGTGACAGGGTATCCTGACTCTGGTTCACGAACGAAGCCTCACCTGGCTGTTGTTGCAAAGACATCGGTGAAATCGCAACATCTTCTGGGGTGTCTCCAGCTCCCATTCCTGGATGGAAATCACCCCGATGGACGCGCGCATGTCGATTTAGCACATCCTGGCGAGCGAAGCATCGACCACAAACTGGACATGTGAAGGGTTTGTCACCGCTATCTGGAAATTTTGTTAATCTGGAGTTCCCCACTTTCGCAATGTAGAACCTACGGATTCGTTCATGTCTCTATAGAGGCTTCTTAGCCGTGAGTCTCCAAGAAGTGAGGCATGTAGCTTACCTGGAGATGTTCTCGTTTTGTGTACCGTTTTCCGCAGACATTGCATTCCAAGTCGAGTTTCTTGCGCCGACGGGGAAGGGATGGAGGCATTTCGATATGAAGAAATACACAACTTAAAGGCTAGACACACATCGTGCATGTGCCCCCAGTCTCCGTGCTGAGATGAATCTGAAATGAGGTGTCCGGTTCCCCAGAAAGCGGTGGGGAAAAATTCGACCACTTCACAGGGCCTTTGCGGGGTAGCTGGCATGTTGTGGGGAACCACGGGGAACCACGCTTCACGCTTTTCAATTTGTCCCCAGGATTTCCCCCAACCTTTTCCCCACACTTCTGGCTAAAGAGATTCCAGATCAGCATAAATAGCAGAAATCCCCATTATGTTCATCTTTCCAGAGTCCCGGTTATCCAAATACATTCTCAGCTATGACGACTAGCTTGGCAGTGACTGACGACAAGACTTCCGTCGCGGAGGTTGAGATTGCAAAGCATGAACCCGCTCCTGTTCGCTCTACAGTAGCTCATTATGAGCCGGTTACCGAGGAAGAGAAGGCATTGGATAAAAGAGTCAACTTGAAGTTCGATCTCTGCGTTATTGTCTTTCTCTCTTTGGGCTTCATTGTGAGCTGTTACGCGCTTCCCCCCTGCACAGCAAGACTCGTTGGCTAACCCCGATCATAGCTTTTAGGCATTGACAAGACAAACGTCGGATTTGTCGCGACCAGCACATTTGTCAAAGATGCCCACCTGAAGCCTAACGATATTCCGAATTCTTTGTCCTTGGTAGATTTCCATTTTTCAACAGCACACTTCCGAGTTGGATACTGACATTTAATTAGTTCTCTGCCACATATGTTCCTCTCCAGCCTATATCAAGCATAATCGGTCGCCGAGTGGGAGCAAAATGGTGGATTACAGCTTTGATGACTGCCTTTGGAAGCATCTGTATCGCACACATGGCAGTTAGAAGCTCCTCGACCTTCTATGCTCTACGTTTAATTCTCGGAGTTGCGGAATCCGGTTTTACACCAACTGCTTATTATTATATGTCGACATTTTACCCGAAATTCTCGCTGGGATTCCGTATGGGTATGTTCTCGGGCATGTACGCAGTGGCGGGCGCATTTGCTGGCCTTCTCGCATACGGCCTCCTTCACCTGGAGACATCGTCCCTTCGAGGATGGCAGATGCTGTTCCTTGTGGAAGGTATCATAACGGTCGTTGTGGCTTTGGTTGCTGCTGTTATAATGCCGGCAGACATTTCTAAAGCTTGGTTCCTGACGGAAGTGGAGAGAGCGCACGCGTTGCGTCGAATGGAGAGGGATTCCCAGACGACCTCTGATTCCGGAATTAGGGATGGTGTTGACAGTGATGGTGACCTATATACCGCGAAGGATGACCAAAAGATCACTATGCGAGACATCAAGGACGTGTTCATGGATTGGAAGAAGTTGCTGATTATTGTGTTCAATATTCTCAGTGTGCTGGTGAGATTTGATCTTGTTCCCTTTTTATTTTATTGGTTACTGATATTTTTTCAAGCCTGTCACGGCCTTTACCACTTTCCTACCCCTTGTTGTTCAGGGCATGGGTTACAGCGGTATTCAAGCAACGCTTATGTCCGTTCCACCTTTTGTTGTGGGAACCGCTGGCTTGCTGGCTATCGTCTATTCATCAGACCATTTCAAGGAGCGCAGCCTTCATACTTGCTTTGGAATGGCACTTGGTCTGATTGGATGCCTGGTTATGGCGACTTCGTCAAATCCGCGACTGAGATATGGCTTTGCTCATGTTTGCCTTTCTGGAGTATTCGCCGGGGGCCCTCTGATCGCAGTATGGTTGGCAGGTAACACGCCACAGAAGGTACGAACTCAACCGGATCGTTGGAATTGTCCATCTACTGACACAATTAATTATAGGGACCGAGAGCGATAATTCTTGGCCTCAATGGCTGGTCTAACATTGCCGGTGTGATCGCTGGACAACTATTCAAGCACTCCTACGCGCCTTCGTATCGCTACCCCCTAATCGTCACAATGATCTTGATTGCTGTTGGCATTGTCGGATTCTGTAGCGTACGAGGACTCTATATGTTGGAAAACAGGCGTAGACGCAAGGAAATCGCTACTTGGGACCAAGCCCGATTTGCGATGGAAGAGTCAAGCACAACAAGAAGAGGCGATCAACGTCACACGTGGATCTATAGCTATTAGTCTGGCTCAATGCCAGTTAATATGGCATGCACTAGTATTTATGAGCATTTGGAGAATCTAAGTCGTTATAATGCACCGCTTGACACATACGACCATGGGGTGTGGAGAACAGCCCTCACAACTTCGGCCTCGGCAATGAATTCGGGACTTTTGCATCACATCTCAGAGCCAATCGACCATGCTGACAGATTATGCGAGTCGGGTATTCCAGCACTGAACCATCCACATAGATCCTCAATAGAGCCTAAGGAAGTTGGTATATCAATATCCGTGGTGATTGCACATGCATCCGCTGCCCAGGTTCCCTGCCCTTCGCCACTTGTAGGGCCTGGCACTTCACTGGGCTTATTCCCCTGACAGTCGCCCCCCGCCCTAGACTCAAGTCCAAGGATGTGGGAAGCAATCGTCTGGATCTCCCTCACATTTCTTGCTGTTCTTGGCCACACTTTGCCTAGTGCCTTGAGACAGCCGATGATCATTCGGATCTGGTCTCTTGCAATCATCAATTCTTTTCCACTGAGGCAAAATTTGCAAGCCGAAAGCAGCGATAACACACCCTTACTAATCATGCAGGTGACAAAGGGGCTGTGGTGGAATTTGCCAGTAGGTAACGCTATAAGCTGGACCTGTGCCTCCACCGCGCGTAGGACACGCACGGTGTGAACATTTATCAGGTCCGGCGTGGGCATATCAGGGCTTGGCTTCCGGGCGCAGCTCGAAATTTCTTCAACAGAGTAATGTTTCAGATCTGACAATGGTCGGTGCAAGCCAATGGTGGCTCTAAGGCACGATCAACATCGGGATACTCACTGCATGACGAAAGAATCCGGTTGGCTTACACATGAATGAGCAAGTGCGCTTGAAACATGAGCTCATCAATCTCTCCTGCCTTATCCATGACTTGTTTGCGATTATCCGGCAACAAAAGCAACCATCCATTCAGGATGGAGTCGGAAGCCTGTATCACGTTCGTTGAAACCTCATTCCCGGCGATATTTGGGACCGTGGATATTGCCGAGGCTATGCATCGTACAGCACCAATAAGGTAGGCAAAGGATGAAAATACGATATCATCGGAGGTGAATTCACGGCAGTCGAAATCTTGCAGGGTTTTGGGCTCGGGGATCTCCTGTGCCTGGATAAGCTATCTGAAACGTGTGGAGACTGGAGAAATATTGGAGTAGTCTTGGACAAGCAATTTTGACCATACTTACCCCTGATTCATATTCCGATTCGTCGCAAGGTAGGGTCATAGAAGTTTCGATTTTCAAGATTTCAAAATTCATAGTTCCCAAAGTCCCTGCATAATAGGCATCTACGGTGAACAACATCCACCATGTCCGCCTCCAAGTTTCCTGTAATACCGAATCGTTGTCACCATGCTTTGTCAGGAATTCATTTGCAGACATTCTCAAATCAATGGCGAGCCGCATTGCAGTTTCCATTTGCCACTTAGCTTCAGTCTTATGTTCGTACCAGAACAGAGGTATGGAGTATAAGAGTCGGCATTGGACCAGAATGGGATCAGTTGGTGGTACTTCCATGAAGCAGGATTCGGCATGATCTTTCAGCGGAATAGACCATTCTTGCGACCTCATAATATTCCCGACAAAGCGCATGATGGCGATAAGCGGTTTGACAGTAAGCTGTTTGGACGGATCTTGACAGATCCTCATTAAGGCCTTCCATGGTAAGAGGAAAGGGTGTAATCGGTGAAAGTTCCTGTAGTATGAATCGATCAAGGGATCATTTTCAATACTAACAAGCTCAGCGGAAGGGCCCGCGATAAATGCTTCCTCATCAACCACGACTCCATCGAGTAGGCTGTCAGTATGAGGATTCACTTCGGCTATTGGAGACATGAATCCCTGGAGCTGCTGGCTGTCCATCGGCCGCGGAGCACTCATGCTCTCCATCGGTGCAGTGCATTCAGCTGTCGCCCATCGTGTGTCCTGCTCTATCCGAGCCGCACGATTGAGCCCGCCTCTTCGCGACCGGGCATAGTTGCATTCCTGGCTGCCCTCAGCGCATCGGCTGCAAGTTGGTCGTTTGCCGTCGCATTTCCGGTGACGCGACCGGCAAGGTAAACAGGCTAGCGAGGATCGGGTCAGTCTGCCTATCCGTTGCGTTTTTATGGGATCCATGGGGTCGCGCGTTAAGAATATATCGAAAACTAGTGTGAGATCATGTGCGTCTTAATCTGACGGCTGACTGCCGTGTGCGTGGTGCTGTTGGAGGGGTGCGGTCGTGGTTGGAAGTCTTTTGAGCTGACAAACATCCTCGGATTTAGGTTCAATGGACTTGGCTCCGGCACCATTTGCCTAATTGGTTAGCACCCAGTGACCTCATTAAATATACCATAGATTTGCTCTCGAGAACTATCACTAGTTTTAACAAGTCTCTAGCGATTATTACTAGTAGTTATAGATGAATATTAAAAAACCCGAGCAGGTCCCTTCTTTACCAAGTTGGATGATTTATAGACTTTCCATAACCCGTACGTGAGTACGATAGATGGCGTAGGGAAATACGCTAACCTTATTAGGATCTAAAGGCCACAAAGATAAAATATAGATGGCCAATCAGGGCGGATTTGCTAGTACAAATAATCGTGGCTAGTTTTCCCTCCACTTAACGTAGGCCTGCCGTGGGTAATTTTAAATACCTTGCTAATTGAGTGAAAAACGCCTTTCAATCCCGCCGCGTGAAGTTCAATGATGTGGAATCGACTATCGGCTATGCCCACCTCATCCAGGTGGCCCCAACCTATGCCTGGAATTGAATTCATCAAGTCAAATAGAACTATTGAATTGATGTGTAATGATGGGTTTGACTTTGATTTGTTCAAGATCAATTATTGTGTAAGGAGATATTTACAGTGCCAAACCCTTTATTGCTCCAAGACACACTATTCTGTATTGAAAGAAAGAGAGCAGACTAATTCTTCTTCAGCTCATACAGTAACACCAGGAAGCCCGAGTTACAATAACTACTGATTCAACGATAAGTCAAAAACAATCTTCCCCTTTGAATGTCCTCCATCCAGCCTTTTGAACGCCTCTTCGAACTGTTCCAGTGGCCATACGCTATCCACCATTGGCCGACACCTGCCGTCGTCAATCAACTTCGTTATCTGCTCCAATTGCTTCCTATTCGGCTCCATCACGAAAAAGACGTCCTGGACCCCTTCACCCTGATAGTTCTCTGGGCAAACCTGCTTCGGCGGCTGGAATATACTTAAAATGACGCCACCATCTCGGACAGTCCACCAAGCGTCCTCGAGAGACTTCCGGCCGATACAATCGATCACGACATCCACCTTCTTTCCCGGTTGCTCTGCCCAGTCACGCAAATTTGTTGTTCGATAGTCCAGAACCTCATTTGCTCCCAAAGACTTCACAAGCTCCAGATTCTCAGGACCGCAGGTTCCTACAACATCGGCTCCGAGCAGGCTGGCCAGTTGTGTGACCCACATTCCGACGCCGCCAGACGCAGCCGTGACAAGCACTCTTTTTCTACTCCAAGCTTCGCGTGCAGCAGACACATTGGTCTCTTCCCCCTTGAAAATGCCGGCATGGATGAACAGGATTTGCCAGGCAGTCTCAGCCGATACCGGAACCGCAGCAGCCTCTACCCAGCTCAACTTCTTCGGTTTGTGCGCAAGTTCGTCGGTGACGCCAATGGTAAAGTCACGTGCATTAGCCGGGCGAAGGTAGTTGGTCCGAGCATACACCTCGTCGCCAGGTTGGAAGGGGGAGTCGGTAGGTGCAGAGACGATAGTGCCGCTGATATCGGGGCATGGCACTAACTCGCGAGGCTTTGGTGGAGGAAAGTTCTTGGGCCAAAGCAGCTCACCAGCGCACGGGGAGCAAGCTTGGACGCGAATCAGGTGTTCTCCTTGGGATAGGTTGGCAACTGGAAGTTGTCTCGTCATGAGAGAGAGATCTTTCGACTCGGAGTTTGGCTGAACGAGAGCGCGCATAGTTGACGGGAGTGGCATCCTGAGTTTTGAATAGCTGGGTTTGTAGAGCGGGATTTTCATTGATAGAGTTTGCTAGGGATACGGCTCCTTCGGGGTCTTTATATATATTGTCTACCTTTTCCTACGGTATGCGTGTTCATTACAATTGACAGGTTCTACCGAGGGCGTACTATTCTCGGCCGTTCCATTGCGGATAAGGAGGGCGCTCTGACATCACCACATTTCAGAATAGCCTACACAATAACCCCCGTCCGGAAGTTCCTTTACCACGACTCGCGGGTAGCCCCGGGCTTGACTTGATAACGGACGGCCCAGCTTTGGTACCTGCGGACGGGTTCTCTATGGGGCCACGGACAGCCTCAATCTTTTGGCGGGTAGCCCGCAGATATTTTGAAGCGGGTATCTGCTCCCCCTCTGAGGAGGTGTTTAAGGTTGTTAGGTCCACTCGCGCTGCGCGCACACCCCTGGACAACCTGGTGCGGATCAGACCCACAACGCGGTTATGAGAGGGATATTCATGCGGAATAACAATAATTCCGTATCCGATAGGCTATCAACCAAACGCGGCCAATCATGGGAAGCAGATCAATGTCGTTTCCCGCTAGAGACTGCTACATAGTAGTGTTCCCTGACGGCATGCGGTGGTTAGCTGGGTCATAGACCCCATGGGCAGGTGTTCAATGCCTTCAAATTTTGTGTGCTCTACACTTCCCTCCACCCTTTTATTGATGTTCAAACCAAACGCATTTACCTCTTATCATTGCTTTCTCGAATGATACTTGAACCAATTCTACATCGGAAATACGTTAAAATGGCTGCTGCAAACACAAACATGGTTCAGTTTGGGACACCTATCAATTTGAAGAGTGCGTGAGCACTAAAAAACCAGAAATCAAAGATGTCTGATTCCTGGAGACTGACTTCGAGCTTGAATTGTTTAAAAGCAGGCCAATACACAAAAACAGCAGTTGGGGGAGGGTATAGGACACCCGCTCATTACTTTCCGCTTGCACACGAGATCGCTATCGCAACGTTCTCAGAGCTCGGGGTTCTCATGTTTTCCTGATTGTCTCACGCGTGGTTTCAGCGCTCGCCTTGTATGCTCGGCTTTCGGACTTATATAAGCTCATACGGGCACGTTGAGCAAAGCGATTTACCGCAGTTAATGCAGGAATCGTAGAGGTCCGGGTTGAAAGGGCCGAATTTGCACCCACAACAGTACCATGACCTCACCATAGCCGATCCTAAGCCTTGACCTTCGGAAGCCATATCGTTGAATACTGAGAATTCATTCTCGTCGGACCCTGTTCGTGGCAAGGAAAAGAGAGCAAGCTCTTCCGAATGTTGACCCACGTGGCGTTGGAAAATGGTGGTGGAAAGAGACGCCTTCTTACAGATGGAGCAGTCATGTACACCATATGTGACTAGTGCAGAGCGATGAGCTTGCCAAATATGATTGTACCATTTTCGGCGACCTTCATAGAGCTTATACGGCGAACGGGGAAGATACAGACATACGGCATCAGATCCCGGAAGATGTAGCGTGCCCATGCTTTGTTATCTCTGACAGCGATGATGTGAACGCAATATGGACATTCGAAGGGTTTCTACTGGGCGCCGCTTCGGGGTATTGGTGGTATTTTTGGAGCCTCTATACCTGTCCCCTTGAGAAGGATACTACCGTATGAGGTTTCGGATCCGCCGGCATCAGATACTATGTCGTTGGATTGACCAGGAATAACATCTGTCGCAACCGTTTCCGAGAGAACCGTTGATTTGCCATCTCCCTCACAATTAATGCCATAGCTTAATTTCACATGGTGTCGTTCACGGTAATTCAAAATGGCCCTTTGACGTTCCATTGCAGAACTGATGCGATTGATAACTAGCTCATCCGCATCCGGATATTTGTCGGAAACATACTGCCTAGCCCAGAACTGGAAGGGCTCATCATCCAGCTTGACTGTTCCGACCAACCGGTCATGCTGCGCTGGTTTGCGGATGATCTATTGACATCTGATAGAGTTGGGTGATTGTCTCAAACAGGTCTTGGTGGATTTGTTGGATCTCTATTGTTGATGGCCATCTTCTAAAATATCTTCTAGACCTTCAAAAGCATTTTCCTGTGAGCTGTCATCTTCTTCCTCGTCTATGACTTCCGCGAGGTCCGTGAGCAGCTCCCGAACTCTCTCTAAAAGCCTCACTATCTGGCTCTTAATATGAGACGCATCCTTAAGGCGGTAATCGAGTGACGATAGACTAGTCTGGTGAGCACCGATGTTTGCTGCCCATACGTGAAGGCGGCCCAGTTCATCCTTCCAGTCTTGTAGAGCAATTTGATCGGTGTGTTCACAGAGTGTGGAAGAGATTAATGAGGTGAACTGGGTGAGACAGCTCTGCAGCAGTTCCGACAGCGTTGCCATTATGTGGCACGAGTATTGAAGCTAGGAGATGAGGTCAACACTGAGGGGCGAGATATTGCGCTGAGCGTAAGGCTGCCGTGTCCATGTTTAATTGGCCCCATATCTCAGTCCTTTTGGAGCTGTAAGCGCGGGGTTGCTGAGCAGCACAATCCGGCGGCTGAGATAAAAATTATCTTTCTCAAGCTAGCACTCAAAAAGTCTGAATGAGACATGGTCACCGGTATCGAGGTTGCTGGTATTGCCCTCGCATTCTTCCGCTGTTAGTAAACCAGATCGACGCCTACGTTCGAGGTATTGAGAAGATCAAGGTTCTAAGGCGCTACCGACGGGAGTTTAAAAGCTATTCAGATGGACTAAGTACACAGCATGCAGTCCTGTTGAATACACTGGAACAAGCCGTGGAGGGTGTTGTGGATGACGAGGAAATGATTTCCAAACTCATCCGTGATCCACAAGGTGCGGGATGGAAGGACGCAGACTTGCGAAACCAACTCCGCTTGAGGCTGGACCGAAATTACGACGTCTTTATCAACAATATGACTGGTCTCTCAGATTTGCTGCAACAGCTATCCCACAAGCTATGGATTGGTGCAACTGATTTGAAGGTAAGCGATTAATGTTTGCTAATGTGTTTGTATCGGTCTCCAGATTGATGGATGTATTCTTTCAATAGACACCTATCACCGAGGCTTGGGAAATATGGAAACTTCGGAAAATCATCAGCAAGGCAGTTTACGACGATCTTCTGACGAAGATTGATGCAACAAATACAATACTCAACACTCTGATTGACCAGTCAGTTCACCGGGACGAGGCCAAGAAAAAGCAGCAGCCCCGGAATTACCTCCTCAAGCGATATCAAAAGGCTCGCAAGCATGCCGAGGGGCTGTTCAAAACAATTATCGGAGGGAGCTCCTGGAGTTGCCAATGTAGGGAGCAACATTGCGTTCATCTGCAGCTGCAAACAAATCTCTTTGAAAATACCAACGAGTGCATAGGAGGTAACATCGATGCCAAGACCCAATTTCGAATAATCTTTCCTAACGATAATGAGACAGTCCCAAATTGCTCATGGACTAGGACAGAAGTGTTATTTGAGCCTTCGCAGGTTGAAGAAATTGTGACAATGTATACCAGTCTGTCTCGGCACGGCGATCCCAAGTCCCATAACTATGAGGCCGAAGATCCAGTTCGATATTCTCCTTGATGACGAAGCTCTGCCTGCAAAAATGAATCTAGAGGCTCTATCTATTCCGCCAATACAAGACATTTTCGCATCCCTCTATCGCCGGAACGCAGATCGGACGGCAGGAACCCATAGGTTCTATATCGGACAAGTTGGATTCCTCTGTCAGATATATGATGCATACCGTGAAGAGACTGCCAAAAAAGGTTCCTCAAATATCTCTCTAGGAGGTACTTTCACACACCAGTCGGCGAGACCGGCTTCACATTGCCACTGGTCTAGCATGTGGTGTGATCCAATTCTACGGGAATTGGCTCAAGTCCTGCTGGGATAGCTCTGACGTTTACTTGGCCGTTGATAGGGACGGCATTAATGTCATGGTCGATAATCTATATTTATCATGGCCTCTTTCCGCCACGGGCAAAAGCAAAGTGAACACCATGACAACGGCAATCATCCTGAGGGTGAAAATAATCGTTTATTACCACTAGGGCTTGCACTGGTGGAGCTGTCTCTTGGAAAGCCAGTACGCACCTTGCTGAATCCAGGGGATGATGAGGGCGAGGATATACTTGTAACCAAGGTCAGAACAGTGTCTCGTCTTGTCAGGATGGTTTACATGGAGAGCGGCACCAATTACGCCGAAGCACTCAATAACTGCTTGTCCTGGTCCGGCCCATGCCTCGAGAAAAATTTCGAGGAAAAGGTGTTCAAAAATATGGTTTCTCCGTTGCTGAAAGACTTGGTCAATTTTGAGGGCTTGGCATGATACAAGACACAAGCACGATTCTGTAATAAGGTTGATAGTTTCCCTGCCCAAGTGGTTCAAACCATCTGATATTATATTTCAGGAGGACCCAATAGTTCCCGCAGCGACAAATTATAGTCCGATAATCCACAAAGCTAACATGCAGGTATGGAGAGGCCCCAGGAAAGGGTTCTAGCCAATTGTGGCCCAGTCGTATTGAATGAAAGTCTACTTAAAGTTGTTCTAGTCTAAACTAAAACCTCAATTCTCGGTACCTTGGGCCAAATTTATCTTTTCTCAACCCGTTGAAGAAGTTGCGAGATTTCCTCTTGTCCCCTGAAACTTGCAATCTGTGCTGCCGTCCGTGTCTTGTTTCCCGACGTGGCAGAGACATCTGCGCCCGCGTCAAGCAACATCTGGACAATCTCATAATGTCCACCTTCCGCCGCCGCCGCGAGTGCTGTATACCCATTGTAATATGAGCCTTGTGCATTGGCATCAGCTCCCTTTTCAAGCAATCGCCGTACGATTCGGTCATGGCCGCCCAAAGCCGCGCCTTGTAAGGCTGTCAACCCCTTGTATCTGACAGCGGGCGCATTAACACAAGCTTCATAATCAAGCATAATCTCTACGATCTTGTCATGGCCTCCTGATGCTGCAGCTTGCAGAGCGGTGCGGCCGTTATTCTTAGCCGCAGGCGCATTGATTTCTGCGCCTTGCTCGAGCAGGCATTGTAGCAGCTCGATATGGCCGCCCTCCGCAGCAGCCTGTAGGGCAGTTCGACCCATATACTGATGGGGTGGACGATTCATATCCGCCGCCGCAGAGACCAGACGATGAACGATATCAATATGTCCTGCTCCTGAGGCCAGGACGACGGCTGTCATGCCACCATTGTTTCCTCCAGCAGCGTTGACATCCGCTCCTGCCGCTAGCAAGGCCTCAACGACGGCGAGGTGTCCATTACAGGATGCGGCCTGAAGCGCCGTTTTCCCATAGTACCCTCTAGCCGCCTCGTTTGGGTTGACTGTGGCCTGAGCAAGAAGATGCTTCACCTCACCCAGATCGCCTTTTGCGGCGGCGAGCTGGATAGGAGACCAGATGTTCTCATCGTCCACTTCGTCAAGCTGAAATTGATGAGGTGGTGAAGCTTGGTCTCCGTGCATTTTGAGAGGACTCGTTCCGTGCCACCTGGTTGTAGTCTTGTTTTGACTCGGGGGAAGCTGGCTTATCCGGTTGACACGACATGGACCCCGATCAAAAACAAGCTAGTCAGCTCATGCACGAATACCCCGCTCCGAGTACTGAAACATGATAGATAACTAAATATCACGAAGAAGTTAATGACGTTGCAAGAATTTTTGTAGAGAAACGGCTGAGCCGACACATAAACATGACGTATCTCTGCGTTATTTGTCTGTGTTGACTGAAAATCCTACCCTGCTGTCGACAAGCCGCAAACTAGCACAAGTTTTGCGACTATTCAATTCAGCCTCAGAATTGCGAATGGAAGAAAAAGCAATCAGGTTACCAAAGCTTTCTCTTTCAAACCTTAAAAATTGAAGGAAACGAGCATCTCTTGATGTGTATGTACCATTCAACCAAGTTAAATACAGGTGATCGTTCCGCACAGGACAAGCTTTTGCCTTCAGCCCGCCAACATATAGGTATCATCAAACCGCCGACCGTGGGAAAGAATGAGAATATGTGCAAACCCTTGCAAAAAGGTCCCGAGAGTGATGTCGTCCGAGTCAGTGCCTAGTGCACGCAGACCTGATTAAATCGAAGAGAATGCGTTAGTTCATAGTGCCAGACAAATGTCAATACCGAAAATAATGACTTACTCCGCTATCATTGCATGATAGACCGATGCAACAAGCCGTGGGCTGTCCAAGAGACGCAGTGGTATCGCATGTGGAATTTCCCTAAAAAGAATGGGTCGGGTAGTCAGATTCGCGGTCGCATGTTCCTTATCTTGGTGATGGTCATCAGGCTTACTCCACGGCAGACTTCAAGAGCACGAGGGAAGGCGTAGGCACTGCTGGCAAGCAGACCAAGGACGACGACGGAGAAACGCATTCTGGAAAAGGGATTGGAGTTGATTTGGATGTCGAGTGCGAAGTATCTGGGGATAGAACCAAACGAAAATTAGCAGTTGACCAAAGCACAAGAGTTGAGGGTAAACAAGGGATGCAGCGCGATCATCTAGCAGGGACAGGATGAAGCTATCGCTCAGTAGCAAAAGGTTGCGATGTTGCGATTAAGAAGGCGAGATGTTAAGAATCACAAGGAGCAACATACCAAGCTAATATTCGAAGTAATGACAGATTTCCCCGACCCGAGCAATATTCAAAGAATGTCAGGTAACTGGGGTGGAACGTCTTATAGCATTCCTAGCGATTCGCCGCCGCCCGACCGCCACGCACTCGTGGAGTAGGGGCCAGCCCAGCCATCCATCCTGATTCCTCCATGCAAGTGAAACATCACTGCCAAGAAAAGATCTACAGGGGGAAGCTGGGGGCCGATCGACCCACGTTGATTGGACAACTTGGTGGGCTGGGTAACGGAAGGTTCCTGGGCTGCTCTTTGCCTGTCTTAACGTACCGAGATTCCAGTCAATTGCTACCTCTATGACAGGCTAAATGGCTGCGGGGAGAGTTTCTGCAGCTTACCGTGAAGGAAAGTATCAACTGGGAAGGGGTTTTTAATCGAGTTGCTCTAGGCTCATGCACGTTTGATAGGGTGGCGGGTGCTACCCGAGACCTTGTTTATGGATCTCTTGTTCCCGAAATAGTTGACGGAGTCGGGTCTTGCGAACTACTTCTCTAAGCGACAAGCTGGGACGTCTTCAGAGCTCGTGGGTCATTACTCGATCCACTTTGAGTAAACCAAGTTTGGCGGTGTTGGACAAGAACGAGACAGCAGGATTTCCGATTCTTATCGGACAATCGGACAGCATCCATTTGTTGGGATAGGGCGGAAGGAGTCGTAAGCCACCACCAGCCCTTCACTCTCCCAGCAATGAGATCTCATGTCACCCTGCAAGGCGGATGCGGTGCACATCGGACTTTGTTATAGTGGGCTGGTGCATGAGAGCCAAGGGTCTTGGCGGAGGATGTACAACTTCGCTTGCCAAGTGAGGAAGTGATATACTTGTGGGGCAGAAGAAGGGGGGCAAGAGTGTTGATACATATGTATTCATGTGCAGCACTCGGGTTTCATAAGTTTCAAAGTATGGCCAAATGGATGTTCAGAATCATCTTACCAGTCACAAGTTGAATGATAGGTTTAAAACGATACCTATTCTATCAAGAAAGACAATTGAAATGACAGTTGGAATAACATTTAGGAAAGCATTAATGACCTTTCAAAAACCAAGAAATGGAAGCATATCTTTCAGTTGATTTCTCTGATCTCTAGACCTATACATTTGATCACTGTATGATAACAATGGGTTATCAATTAGATCGACTAGCTAACAATGCATGGTAGGAGCATTGCCTAAAGGAATATCCAGAGGCTTCCCCTTGCCCATCAAGCTCATGAAGTTCGCGCCCTGAAACCTGGCCTTCCCGTTTAAACCCATGTTGCCTACACAATTATGACCGCTCCAGCTCTAACTATCAGACCTTCGTATCTCTCAAATCCACGCTTCGTGATAGCGTGCAGTGTATTTCACCTTCTGCAGCTTCATCCCAGCATCCTTTGCCTCTTGCTGCAAAGTCGGAATGTCAAGCGCCGAGGCATCCCTGGAAGGGGGAGGCGCTTCGAGTCGGATCTCGCGTAAATGTTAGAGGTAGGTCCGCACTTTGCGCACCTTGATGATATCACGCACGCTCTGGGCGACAAGTTTGACTTCTTCCTGTTCCTTGGGTGCCATGATGTGTAGCACCTCGAGGCAATCTGGGAGCCTCTTGTACACTGGGATGGGGGCATTGACCACCCAGGTGGTAGGGTCATCCTCCTCCGCCCATTCGCCCGGGCAGTCTCCAACAAGATGCCTGGGGTTAATATGCAGTGATTTCAAGGCATGAAACTCGACAAGATTCACCGGTCCCACGAACCCTTCAATAGAATCGACTCCGGAAGTGTCAATATAGTCAGAATAGGATAGCCACAGACACTTTAACCCCTCGCGAATGGGCTCCGAAGCATGAATGAGCCCTGAAGCTGATAAACGGAGGGGAGGGCACTCAGCTGATTGCCTCGCTTAAGAAAGAGGGTTTGCAGGTGGGGGAACTGCCTTAGAATGAGCTCTAGATCATTGTTTCCGGCGCGGCAATTATTGAGCTGTAGATAAACGAGTGATGACTTTGTCTCGTCGTTTTTTTGGTGCTCTTGCTGCTGTAGGTCCCGTAGGCCAAGGTTGTCCCCACAGAAATGGGACTGAGTCGGAATTGTAAGAATTTCAGTCGCGAATGAGGAATATGGAATCAATTCATTGCAAAAAACAAGCGCAGGTGAGTGAGGGATCCGAGGATAGGCCTTGCGCCGGAGAGATCTTTTCTCCCAGCGAATCGGCGTAGCACTTCTAGCATCAGTCCTTTACAGGATTCCTCCATCGTGTACACGATCAAGGTGCTCAGTTTGGGCAGGCATGTAAGTAGAATTGCGATGTGGGCGTCGATATTGGAAGGATCGACCCGAATTGTATCCTGCCATCGCTGACGGAAGTTGCGACATTCTTCCTGATCCATCGTACCCTGAGGTATTTTCACAGTTTCAATGGTTCGAAGCAGAATTTCGAGGTCAGGCTCAACTTCCGGTGTAAACCAGTCTTCCCCCATGAGATCTGAGTATGGTGAGTACCCGTCAAGCCAAGCTTGATGGTCAAGGCAGAAAGTAGCCAGTGAGTTCATGTATGGTGCCAGAGACGGGCGGCGAAGAATGGACTGAGTCAGAATTTGGAGCTTAATTGCTTAGTGTCAGTACTAAAAATGACAGGAGGGATTTTCGGATAAGCTCACTCGAAGAGTATGCGGTGTCCATGGATAGACGACTTGTTTCCCACTGGGGTTGCATTTGAGCAGTCTTATATCCGAATACGGGACTGGCGTCATGATGTCGCGAAGCAGCTGGTTGCAGGCTGCCAGGGAAGCCAAGGTCCTGTTTTTCTCTTGAAGGCACTTCGCGATCAAGATAATGATCTCCACTGGCAGATGGAGCAGTGACATGATATCGCCTTGCGATGAGGGATGATGGGGGAAAGAGAGGATGGAAGGAAGGTCTGAAATCCCCAGAGGTGTAAAGAGGGCAGGAGGACCAAAAGAAAACAAAAGATCATGTGACTGGCTGCCAAAGTACAAAGGGCATCTACGAACAAGATGAAGTTGTGTTTGTTTTGTATTGGCGAGAGTCACTCTTACTCTGCGGCCTCTCCGCCTGGGACAGTGCGCAAATTTTCAAAATCATCTTTGCAGTCGCGAATTGAAAGATAGGCTAAGGAATGAGACCTCGGCTATTGAAAAAGAAAGTTTCAATGGCCTTCGAGAAGGCCTTGAGAAAGACCTTTTGAAAAACAGGAAGTGGAACCATATCTGTTGAGTGGTTTCTCAGGTCTCTAGACTCAGACTTTTTGAATTGTCACTGTATCTGGGGTTGGCGACTCCACAGGAGCCAGGGAAGCAAAAAGTGGGTCAAGTATGGGGGAATAGACAGATGACGAGATACAGCGATGTCGGATTTATCTATTGATAATAATGGAGGCAAGATAAGCGGAGATTTGGAGCGGAATGAAAGCCATCTACACTCCCCTTTCCCAAAGCTCTTTCACCCACTTCACGCGAAAGTCACCATGCGCGAATAATGGGTTTGCTATGACGGAGACAGACCCACGCGAGGAGTTTCCCTCGGAAAAACATAAGCCATTTTAGAAAGCGTTCCTGTTATACAACAAAGCTGAAACTTGCACATAGCATTTTCATATAGCACATCTCACACCAATCGGAATCTCGGGATCTTCAAGCCTCTTTGCGGCTACGCAAGGCATAAATCCTTCCGCGTTCGGCACTCTCCGACTCTGCTCGACCCGCGCGGCGGACGGGAAATTCCCAGACCCACCCAAGTTGCCCGACAGATTTTTCTTGGCCGGACTGGGGTAGCATCGAATTCTCACCTGTAAAGATTTCTTCTTTCATTTTCCTGTGTTATTGGTCAATGCTGGTCTTATCGTGTCAATTGATTCACTAGGGCTGAAATATCTTATCAATTTGGACGTTGGAGCCACGGCCGAGCCACATCACTATAGCTTGCCCATCATGAGTGACGAAGAGTCATACGTTGCCGACGGAAAGGGCATGATTGATGAGCCCCTCAAGAAGGATGGTGAGAAGGCTCTGTCTGCCAAGGATTTGGAGCCCTTTGGCAATGAAGAGACAGCGGAGGTCAAGTATCGGACTATGAAGTGGTGGTAAGTAACTATTTCATCGACATGCTTGAAATTTAGACATTTTCGAGGCTAACAAGGTATTAGGCACTGCGGCATGCGTGAGTATTCATCGTTAAATTATCCCTGATTATCTAATGATGGCTCCTGTCTCTAACAATTTGAACAGTCATGATTGCGGAGAATGTCTCCGTTGGAATCCTGTCGCTCCCTTCTGCGGTCGCAACTCTGGGCATGGTACCGTATGTATTGTATCCTTGAATTTGTATCGTTCCCCCTCACTGACCATATTCATCAGTGCTGCAATTATAATTCTTTTCATCTCTGCTCTTTCCTGGTATACTGGTTATGCCATTGGCCAATTCAAGCTCCGTCACCCCCACATCCACAGCATGGGAGACGCTGGCGAGCTCCTGATGGGTCGCATCGGTCGTGAGGTGCTTGGAATTGGCCAGCTTCTGCTGCTTATCTTCCTCATGGCTAGCAACATCTTGACCTTCAACATCTTGATGAACGTACTGACCGACCATGGTACCTGCACCCTTGTCTTTGGTGTGGTCGGCCTTGTGATTTGTTTCCTTGGAGCCTTGCCTCGTACTATGGAGAAGGTCTACTGGATGTCCGTCATCTGTGAGTGTACCCTACAAGAGCTGATGAGTAGCTCTGTTCCTCGAATTGAGTCTGCTCCTGACTAACTCTTTTCTAGCATTCTTGAGTGTTTTGGTCGCTACAATTATCACCATGATCACTGCTGGCGTGGAAGCTAAAGAGCACGTTGTGAACGAGGTCACTACGGAAGTTACTTTCCGCGAGGGCTTCCTGGCTGTCACCAACATCATTTTCGCTTATCGTACGTTCATCAAAATCATATCCGCTGCTTATCCTGAGAGTACAAAAGCTAACGCTAAGAACTGCAGTCGCCCACATTGCCTACTTCGGCTTCATGTCAGAGATGGAGGATGCGCGCACCTTCAACAAGTCGCTCGCGATGCTTCAGATTATTGACACCGTCCTGTATCTTGTCAGTGCCTTGATTATCTACCACTACATTGGACCCAACGTCTCGTCACCCGCCATCTCGTCTCTGAGTCCTGTTATGAGCAAGGTTGCTTGGGGCATTGCCATTCCTACTGTAAGTCTCTATAATCACTTCCATGTTCATTCTTTTGTTATTCCCACACCTGTGAGTTTGGTCTGACTCACGATCGCAGACTATTCTTTCTGGCGTCGTCCTTGGCCACGTTGCATGCAAATACATCTACGTCCGCATCTTCCGCGGTTCCGACAAGATGCACAACCGCAGTCTGCTCTCCATCGGATCCTGGGTCGCCATTTGCATTGGTGTCTGGATCATTTCCTGGGTCGTGGCGGAGTCCATCCCCGTGTTCAATGACCTGCTGAGTCTTATTGTAAGTTTGAGGAGTGGAACCAACCCTTTGCTTTTGAAACTTCAACTAATGCAAATTTTACCTACAGAGTGCTCTTTTTGGAAGTTGGTTCAGCTGTAAGTTTGAAAATACCTCTCATTCAAAACAGTCCCCGTGTCTGACATCCATCACAGTCGGCCTCCCTGCTGTCTTCTGGCTTCACATGAACCAGGGCCGATACTTCCAGAACTGGAAGAAGTCTATCTTGACGATTACGAATGTTCTTATTTTCATTATCTCTTGCGCCATTGTAAGTTTTACCCGATTACTGTCATTCTACAACCCATTGTCTTTTTCATCCTTCACGAAGCTAACGATCTGAAGTGTGGATTGGGTCTTTACGTGTCAGGTGTTGCCATCCACAGCGATTCGGGCTCCAACAGCTGGTCCTGTGCTAACAGCGCTTGATAAACGACTAAATGCATTGTATCTTGGAATATGAGGGACGGATGTTTTTAAGCAAATAAAGCTGGTCTGAAATTCTGTAACCGAAGCGCTACAGGTGGTAAGGTTAACAATATCTCTGGCACGCTGTATCAAGCTCTGGCTAATCAGAGTAATAGCGAATGGCTTGTGATTTAGTTATTCCCATGGTCTATTCTCAGTGCCAGTAGGTCTCGTCTGCAGGGGCTCTTGCTTCTCCAGAGGACGATGCTTCTCTGTGGACTTCTGGGAGTCTGAAGTTTCGTTGAAATTCGAGGGTAGCAGTGAGAGGCTGCTCGCTGCAAGAAGGTCTGCAACATTAGTGCTGCCGCTCGGCGCAAGCCCACCACAGTCTTCAAATTTTTTCAGAACCTTGTCGATTATCTCCGCCTGGCCACTCATATGTAGGAAATTTCCAATACAAGCGTGGATTTCGAGAAGTCTAGGATCAGGAAGTTCCCACCTTCCCATGTGAACTTTGAATCTCACAAGCCGATTCCGAGGTAAATCTCGTATTGCCACGGTAGCAGTGTCTGCGAATGTCTTAATTCGATATTGGTGAGGAAGTCTGGTCGCTTCAAAAACAACTCTGAGTTGACCGAACTCTGTGTGGAGTTGAGGGTCCATCATCATAACGTTTCTTTCCTGATTAAGATTCTCCGAGGTAAAGGACATACGCCGAAGGATTGGAAAGTAGCGCGTGAGGTTGACCCAAATCTTTGCATGTCTGTCCACTGCCTCGCCGCTCGTAGCCTCGAAGGACCCAAGTGCAAATGGGATAATGTGTGCCGCTTCAAGGTGGGTCGTCAATGCGTTTCGTGGGTGTTGGCTGTTGTAATTGTAGTGCCCCGTTGCAACGCATTTATTGCCATCTCGCTCTAAACAGTGGTCCCGGAGTTTTGATTGAGGGCTTCTGTTGATAGGCTCGATGTTTAGGCTCTTGAGGTTTTCGATCGAATCATCAACACCAGGACGCGGAGACGGAGTGATTTCAGTGGGTGTCTTGCCACCTCGTGCTTTTATAGGGATCAATAAGCCAGTCCTGATACTTTGGACCAGTTGCCGCATCGTCTCATCGTCTGCACATTCTGAAACGTCCTCCGCCAGGTTGTTTTTGCCATCAGGAGACAGGACCTTGAAGAAATCACGCAGAAATTCCTTGGTTTTGTCGGTGGGTTGAAGTGAGTTGTAGCTTTTCAGCTTTTGATCCAGCTTCTAGCTTAATTATGAGTATCAAGTAGACTGGAAGGCTCAGAAAGACTCACCGTCTTAGAGGATGGCACCGGCTGAGAGGATGATGACATTTTGCCGACTCCCCAGATTCGGGGCGAGCTTGGTGCCAGATTAGAGGTAGAGCAGTTCCAAGGAAAGCAAGGTGGCCGAATCAGTTGTAACAGCTAAGCAGAGGATTGATGATAATTAATGAGTCCGACAAGTTGAAGCCACATGAGGATGGTGATGGTGATGGTGAATGAGTGCGATTGGTTGAAGGAGAGTTAGGTGGGGGCGGGAAGCCAGTCCTTTGACTGGCAAGCCTAATCGGTAAGTCATGTGACAGCCTATTACTCGCTTTTCTGCCTACGGCCCTCGGTCTGCTGGTGGCTTCTGCCATATTCAGTCACGTGTCGTAGTCTCCAGTCACCGCAAACCTCAGAAAAGAAAACATATAGACCTATAAGCATCTACTTGTGGCTTTCTGCCTACCCATAACGCGTTACCGCGTTATGGATGGGCCATAATGTAATATGATTGTACCGCTAATATTCACGAGTAGATCATGGGAATCTCAACTCAAAAGTCTTCGAATGTGTTGGTTGCGCTATCTTGAAAGGATTGCTCTGATCTAGACGGAGATAGTCGATGGATTTGTATGTCCCCACTTAGTAACTAATTATTTCCTCCTCATTTACTGAACATTTGCTGACCAGTTCGAAACACTCAGGGTTGCAGGCCCACCAGTGAAGGGCTCAGTGCCAAATTGTAGATCTATTATTCCTGGAATCAGTAATCATTCAGGAACATGGAACAATTAAGGGGGAAAACAGCATACCAATCAAATACTGAGAGCTAGCAGGGAATCCCTGGTTCTGGGTCAAGTAGTTGAAGAAATGCTTGATATCCGTGGAGAAAGATTTGATTGGCGAGGATGCGACGAAGCTGTATGTTTTCTGTGACCCATTTGATCCATACCAAAGCGCCCAGGAGGTACCATCAATTGTAGCGGTAGCAATTTGAGAGCCGATAGGCTGGATATTACCATAACGACCAAGCCTAGGATATTTCGTCAACGTTTTTGGACTCTACAAATCAAGATTCATTGTTGGCCATACCAGATCATGAGCTCATAGTCTCCACTATACGTGACGTGGTTGATATTGGCCGCCGTAAACAGATCGTAGGCAACATCGGCATTGATATTGGTGTTGTCGTAGCTCCATTGTACAGAAGTCGGGATGCTGTTCACCTGACTGACGAGCTTCTTGGTGAAAGAAACACCTGAGTTGGCATAACTCTTCACTGAGCTAGATCCCCCTGACCAGGTCCATGTTGTAGACCAGGAGACACCAGAGCCCGAGATGGAGTTAACTTTGGTGCACTGGGAGCCAGAACCAGCGCTTTCACCCCAAAGATTGTTGTTGACTGAGTAAGCACCGCTTGTATAGGAACCGTATTGCGCGCAAAGTGTCGTTATCTGTGCATTAGCTACAGAAACAATCGCTGCAAAAGTGATGAATGATTTCATTTTGAGACGAAAGGAGTCTTCTTGATATAGAGTGTGAATGTTTTCTTATGAAGCTTGTGTTGGAGCATAGATTTCCACATCGTCCTTGAAGGGCCAATTTATATTCCTTCACTGAGGCTGATCTGATTGAGAAGGCATGGTATACATCTTTTCCAGCCACGGAGTAGTCTCCGGTACGATGCCACCGTAAGTCATTGTAAAAGTTGTATCGACCCCTGAAGCACTCGCTAGTGGAAACTCAAATAGTATGATGAATTCCCTTGTTAGAAACAAGGATCTGCAAGTGCATATCTAGAAATTTGCCGGTGCTAGTAACTTTACCTTATCTAGTTAGTGAGCATGGGGCTAACCTGTCCTTGCCTTGCCGTTCTCCACTTCTTGAAACACTCCCGGGCCACCCCCGCAGCTTTTGTGCGAACGATGCTACCCTAGAATCCGGACAACTGGCTTCCTGCACGGGAATGGCATGAATGGTGGCTTTGAAATAGGGTATTGACTTCCTTAGCCTAAATGGCCCGAGGCAACAAGACGCGATTTTACCACGATAAGGTGAAGTTCAAATAACTTCGTAACACGCAACATGACGTTTTAATGGTACTTCTCTATTCACCGTCCACATTTAGTCAGAACCATTGATTAATATCAGTCGTTCTAGGATGAATTAAGAAGCTTCAAGCGTTCTGAGTGGTTGGAAGGAGGGAAAGAACCGAGATGTGGATATCTTCCTGATGTTTAAGCACACGGTGATGATTTAAAAACATATGGAAACAACCGTAATGGTAAAAGACCGCAGGGTTATAATAAGATCAACAAATTTAAAGGTAAATTCGAATCTTATTCAAAACACTCAGGTACGCAGTTCGCGATTGTCCACTGGGCAGCTATTACCGAACTTAGCAGCTGGATGGGCTGATGTTGACCTTGAGATTTGGGCTACTGCTTGTCCAACCCTTTCCAGTGAGCGCATAATAGCTACTAACATCAATGTCGATTGCGTTGGTGGAACTACTGCCACATCTCTCATCGGCCGGAACATCGGTCTTGCAGTAATTATACGCAGACTCAGAGGGGCAGCTGTCGGATGAATTAGCAATGGAAAGAAGCAAAAGCTTCAGATCAAACTTACGCGTCAATGACATTCACTTTGATGCAGTTTCCAACTCCACCAACAGAGGCGCCTCCGTATCCGCCGGCGTTGCAAACCTGAAAGCACTTGCCGCAGGTGGTGGTTGGACACGCTGGACCAGTATATCCAGAGATGGGGTTTTGTCCGTTACTATTCATGTGTGAGTAATTACTTCCTGAATATGGTGGACACAGGGCTCATACCATTTAGAATAGTCAATTGACCCGCTGCATTTGTTGCCACTCCATATATTGGGTGAAAGATCACCGATGGCCACTCCATACGTGCCAGAGACACCGGTCTTCGGACCACATACAGTGCTAAATAGATCTTAGTCTCGTGGAACATGGGCAAGCATTGAAAACATACTTGCTCTGCGCGGCGTAGTTGTTGAAAGTAGCGACACCGCTGTAGGTTGATCTCTTCTCGAGTGATGCCGCTGAGGCAATAGTCGCAAGAGTTAGAATAATTTGGGACTTCATTTTCAATATTTCTCTTTGTGAACTGCTGTGTCAATGACTTGTTTTGGATTGTGGTTGGTAGTGGACATCATTTGCTATCTTCTGAGGCATCTTATATAGATTCCAAGTCTGATTGACCTTGATGAATGTGTCACGGCTTGATATAAATCCCCATATGGTGAATCTGAATCTGGGAAAAGCATTATATCGAGACCGTGCCCAATGTGGACCTATATAACGGAGCCAATTTCAAACCTCGACCAGGTCAAGAGGAGATGTCATGTATTAGGTTAGGTAGCTGGATTGCGATTACCTAAACATCATTGATTGTCAGTCTCGCCTTTAAGCTTAACTACATTCTATTCGGCATGTACAGATATTGGAAAACTGGGGAAATCCCCCAAATCTATCAAATTTGGATACTTCTCTGAAGAACCCAAAATAGCGCCGGACAGATGTCGGCATTTCTGTCGATCTTTACCACTCTCGCTACGGATCAGGCCGGGCGTTCTTCAGCACAATGTTACCCCGGAGTCTCGGGGTCCCAATGAGCCTGTTTTGCTTAGCAAGCTGTTTGATTACTAGGTACTCAGACTACCGGCATGAACGCGGGGAATTCCGTAACAGGAAAGGCCTACCCCGCAACCTAGTGTTGTGGAATTCTCCCCCACAAATTGCATTCCTAGCCTTCACTGACGTCTGAATTAATTCCATAAATATAACATGCCTCATCCATATGTAGATTCCATTTCCCATATTCAAGGCCCTCTGGGCAAACATTAGAATTGGACTAGGGTGCCAGAAAGGGGACTCGAAGGACATTCGGACATAGGGTTGCTGACGATTCGTAAGGTTTGTGGAGACCCGGCACTAACCCCAGTAGGATGCGGGGACTCAATATTGATTCAGCTCGGACAAATAACTAAGAACAGGCTAAAAAGATGAAAGATGACATAAGGTATATCTGATCATGCCTGAGACAGAACTAAGTAGCGCATGTGACAATAGCAGCAGTCCTATCATATATGGCCGTATAATCACAAGTCACTCTAAGCCATTGGTACCTAAAAACATGGAAGGCTGGGATTGAGAACCTAATAGCGAAGTAGCGATGAATCAATTGCGGCTGTTGGAGTCGGGCAATCTCCTCGGACGTTTCTGTTGCCATACTTGTATTCCTAATTTCCATTCAGAGCGCAGCTGGAAACAGCGTAATCATCATTGTAAAAGCCATGAAACCGTCCAGATATATATCCCACTATAGGTGGTGGTATGGTACGAAAAAGGAGAGAACTTCAATTATAGTATCAAACTGAATTACACAAAATGACCAGGGTAATCAAAGGCAGTTCAGACAAGAGACAGAACTAGAAGGCAGGGGAACGGTTCATGGAATGGGAGATAAAGTGAAGCTGAAATGAGCAATAGTTGCATCTTAAAAGAAAAGGCTAGTGATGAGAGTGGGCAAATGTTTGTAAAGGGTCATTTCCAAATGCTCTTTCATCACGGGTAACTTGACTCATCCGATGCTTTCACGTTCGCGTTTAGAGACACTGTGAGTAGTATGGGTTGGAGACCTGGCAGGTGTAAGGACTAGCACAAACAGTAGGGTCAGTCCACCCCTGACCTCCACACTGACCCCAGTGTTGAGCGACGCCAGTGCTTGTTGAACCACTGCTGGTTGTAGTAGTAGTAGTAGAGCCGACGGTTGTAGTGGTAGTAGACCCGGCACTTGTAGTGGTGCTGAGCGTGGTAGAACCACTGCCAGAGGTGATAAATGTAACCACCGAGTAGCCGGGAAGGGTAGCCGCAATACTGCCGCCGCTCAGGGTGATAGAAAGGCTGGAAGGTGACTTGACCGAGTTGTCCATGTAGTAGGCCTTGGCCGATGAAATCGAGCCGCCACCCAGGGAGACGCTCTGCGAGCTTGCGCCCGAGTTGATCATAACGGTAACAATGGAGCCATCTGTGTTTTTGAAAGAAGCTACCTGAGTGTTAGGAGGGGCACCAGAGGTAGCAATGCGGACAGCATCCGGCCTGATGTAGCGGGAGAACATGGCAAAGGCCCACAGAGAGCCCGAGGCAGTCACCTGTGTTGAAGAGCCAGACCCCGTGAGGGTGACAAGTCCAGCGGCATTGCTGTTTGATTGTGCACCTAATTATTTGGTTGTCAGGAACGATACACTCTTCAGTGAAGGGAAGCTTCTTCACTCACCAACCCAGTACAGGAATGCACTGAGATTACACTCAACGAGACCTTGGTAGATGAGTTTGGCCCAGGTGAGACCTTCATTGAATGCACCGCTTGAGTACCAAGTCGTGCTGAATGCATCATCCAAGTCCGCATATTCAGTCTCCCATACTCTCAGACTAGTGTTGATAGGGGAGGTACCCTTAGAGGTGTACCAGTGAGAGGTAATGCGAGACAAATATTGATCAGCGCCAGCTGAGATAAGCTGCTGTGTGAAAGTAACCTGGTCGTTCCAGCCCTCAGCATCGCAGCAAGTGATGCCAGTGGACAGACCAGCGCTCTGAATGGCTTGGTGAAGAATAGGGATGAAAGAGGCAGCCTCGGTACCATCAGACGACATTGAGTCATAGCTTGGCCTGTGATTTGCGTCAGCTCAGTTTCTGACGATACCAGAGTTGTTTAAGCGTCACTGCTTACGCAAATTCAGGCTCGTTCAAAAAGCCAATGAAGTCAACGGTGATACCCTGGCTCGCGTAGTCTTTGAGATATTGCACCAGGTAGTTTGCATAAGCCTGTCTCCAGTCGCCAGATGAACAAGTATGTCCAGTCACACCACACAGATATCCACCGTTGATCTACTCTTTGTTTAGCTTTTCCCACGGATTTTGGAAGGTAGCAATGTACGTAGTTATTGTTGGTCTTCATGTACCCAGGAGCACTCCACGCATCGGCGTAGATGTACTTGACGCCCATTGCCCGAGCCCTCTTAGACCAGAAGATCTAAAAAATCAACGAATATATTAGCAAGCCTAGAAAGTGAACGGAGACATTATCAGAACAGAATAGGGCTGTAGATGTCACGAACCTGGCTTGAGTCATCACCAATAGCCCTGTAGGTCGGAGCTGCAGATGGGGATCCAGGGCTTTTTGGCTCAATGCTACCATTTGGATCCGCTGCAATTCGGTTACGCAGGATTGTCATGCCAGCTCCCTCGGTAGTGCTGAACATATAGTTCAGCGCCTGGGTTTGTTGCGCTGCAGGTGCATTTTCGACTCCACCGCCGAAGCCAAAGGCTTCCGAGAAGCCGAATCCATCAATCACCTGGTAGGTCGTGCCTGCGTTGACAGTGACCTTGGTCTGAGCCGTGGCAAGTCCAAGCTGGAAGGTGACTCCAAGAGTTGTGAGAAGGGAGATATACATGATCGAAGAACGATTGTTTGATTTACAGATCGTAATTTTCTTAGGCTTGGCGAAGAAATAAGCATTCTTATAAATAGGAAGCATATGCCATAGCTACATATCTGTACATTCCAAATACGGGTAACCCATCTGCGTTCTGAGGTCGGTGATTGAAATCACCGAATCAAGGTTGTTAGCTTGGTGCTACTAAAAACCTATCTTACATCCTATACCTTCAAGTAACAACGTGAAACCGACCTAGCAAAGTATAAAATGCGAACCCGATTTGATATTGAAGGAATTTCGCAACCGTTGACAGGGGTGGCGCATTTAGCCGGTGACTCGGTGAAGGATAGTAGTCTGTGAAGAAACACATGCGAGATGCGCGAACCCAAGGAGCGAACCTAGATTTGAAGCTAAGAAGATAATAAAACCACGTATCCCTGAATACATTGTTCCTGGGGTAAACGTTATCTGGACCCTGTAATTAGGAGGCCGATGCCTGCGTACCGAACTCCGTGACAATTGCGGTTAACAGGTTGTGAACTTTTAGGTTCTACTGAGGTTGTAGTTCGAGACAAGCATTTCTCCTGTGGGGTAGGTAGGAGCTTATGAGCGTCAAGTAGATATCTAGTGGTAGCGCTTAGATTGCTTGCGTGAGACATCTTGGAACGATGGCTGAAGTAGAGCGCTATATACTGCTCTAGCCTCGCTTAAAAGACTGATCTAGCCCCTTTACAGTCAGTTTCGGCAAATCGACGGCATCGAACAGCCGACTGAAGCCCGATACTCCTTCACGGAGACGTGATCGTCGTGATGATCAGGTAGGGGCCTTGATTCATAGATTGATACAATATGGAAATCCAGTCATCCAGACAGGCATTAGGTAAAACTAGTTGTCTTACCAAAGATTCAAGAAGTAATAAGACAATTGATTGATGGCAGCCTATCGCACTCAAAGCAGAAAGTAGGTATATTCCAGCTGTCTTTGCATCGGTGTGGGATGCGTAGTGACATTCGGAGGTCCGGACCGGGATCAAAACGTGGCTTCGGCTAAGATTGGACCCTGCACTGTCTAGGTGTTGATGCGGGGTCTACGCGCCTCTCACTGAATTAGGGGTAACTAACAGGCCTGTTGAAATGAGGGTACGTAGACTGGCTGTACCTATTTTCTGCGAAGTATATTTCGCGAAATTGACAGACGTCAAGTTGTCTCAGGGTAAGCCATGACAAGCCGAGCCATATCTAGTCTTTGAAGTCAATGAGCGCTGGTTTTCATGATGAGATGAAATCATCATGACCTGACACCATTGCCGGACCTTTGGTCCTAATCTATCGGGTGGCAGCGGCGGACCTTGTGCACCTGAGGTCTGGCTTCTATTTGACATACATACATGGTGACTAGATTAAGCATCGGTCCGAACACATGTCAGGTTCCCAGGTCTTGAACGCAGGCCCCTCAGGTCGTGAACTTGAGATCTTCGGCATGAAGAAACCCCCACATTTGCCGATCCTGACCGAACGTGGCTTGCTGAATCCCGCTTCACTTCAGATGCGGCTGCTTCTCCCGTTGCCAAGTTCTTCATCCCCGTAAACTCCACAGCTAAACGCACTGAGAATAGTATGGGTTTCCAGCCGAACAGGTTGACCCTGCAGCGCATGCAGTCGGACCTGTCCAGCCACTTCCCCCGCATTGTCCCCATTGAGTCTGAGTAGCTCCAGTTGCAGTTGTGGGGACGGCTGTGATAGTAGTCGGTTGCGATGTGGTGCTGGTCGTGCTGACAGCCTTAGTCGTCGTAGTAGCTGGCGTTGTGGACGACGGAACTCCACTCTCCATATCAAAGGAGTTTACAACCACGCTCCCTCCAAGTGCCGAAGTGGCATAATTGAAGATGCCATACCGATAACCCATGAAGAAATTCCAGGTATTGTTCAGGACGTACGGGTTGCCAATGCCTGCAAAATTCAAGCCGTCGGTGCTATACGAAAAGCTTGCAGTCCGGCCGCTACCAGGCTGAATGTTGGCAGCGGCGCGCAACCAGATTTTCGAGGTCCCACTAGGAAGATTGACTCCAGATACTTCACTCCCGGTTGACAAAGTTGTCCAGCCGGAGCCCATCGACAGCCCCTGTACCATGCTCAGTCGGAAAGTACCGCTGTTGTTGATGACGGCTACGTAAGCGGAGGAGTCGCGGAGCATAGCCAGGCCGCTGCGGTCGCCTGAGTGCATGTTTCCAATGGTGAGCTCGATGGTAGCGTATGACTGTGGGCCGAGAATACGGTGCGTCAGAGTATTTCGAGCTGCATACAGGTCGTTCGTCACTGTGGCTGCGCGCAAGGTAAGGCCGTTGTTTACAGAGTATGAGGACGAGTCGGGGTTGTGATTCCATTCCCACTGGGGACCAAGGGAGGTTCCCTGGAAAGTATCGGTTCCAGTCGGACTGGCGAGTACTTGAGGCGTCATCGGGTAGGGGTAGGAAGTTCCCCAACCTCCGTTCACAGTGGTAACGACAGGGAATCCGTCCGACCCAAATGTAATCGGAGCCAAAACGGGGACACGACCTCCAGGGTAGCTGTCCACAAAGGCCATGTAGTACCAGTCGCCGTTGGGCGTGTCGACAATGCCTCCCTGGTGGGGAATACCACCCCCAGAAATCGGTGTCGCGATATTCTTTTCCAACAGCTTCTGAGTATATGGACCCCAGGGGCTGCTGGATTTGAGGACATACTCCGCGTTGGCAGGGAGAGTATTGAAGATGTAGTATTGCCCTTTGATTTTGTAGAAGCGCGATCCTTCGATTGCTCCTATGGTCGATGAGAACACTTGCTGTGTCTTCACCTGACTGAGGCCGTCTGAGGAGAGTTGAGCAACGCTGATTTGAGTGCCTCCGTAGGCTACGTACATGGTGTCGTCGTCATCTATGAGAAGGCCGCAGTCATAATAACATGTGTTGATGACGCTACTCTGTTTCCATGGTCCCGTAGCGGAAGGCGCAGTGAAGACATAACTCTTGCTGAACTCAACGCAACCCATCCAGTACCAGGTTCCGGTGCTTGCGCGATACCTCATCGTAGAGGCCCATATTCCCTTGACGTATGCCGAACCGCCTTGGAGGCTGTACTTGGATCCCCAATCGAGTGAGGGTACTGAATGGCCGATGTACTCCCAATTCACAAGGTCGGAAGATTGAAGAATGGGCGCACCGGGTGAGTAGTGCATAGTAGATGCGGAGTAATAGAATTTGTCTCCAACACGGAAGACATCTAAGTCAGCCAGGTCCTCCCAGAGGACGGGCTGGTTGAATGTGGCGCCATTGACAGCAACAGCCAGAAGGCCCAGGAGTGAAAAAGCTCTCATGGCGAAATGTGAGGCAAAAAAAAACTGGTATTCACTCAATCCAAGAGTCCCACGAATCCCTATCGATTAGCAGGTCAAATGGCTATTTCTACTTATAACGCGAAGTGGGCTTTGGATTATCTGCAGTTCTCCACGAGGAGAATAACTAGATGAAGATATGATGTGAGACATTCTGTGTCGATTCATTGGATAAATCGTCTTTTTGTTATTATGGAGTTTTCTGTTTAGCCTGACTTCTGACAGCAATCTGATTCGCACATATATCAAAGCCCGTCAACAAGGATTCATCGGGTATTGGGTATTGAGTGCTGGATGCTACTGTGGCTAGTTATTGTTACTGGCATCGTAACCCTCCTTATCCGATGAGCCGTTAACACCGTGACTGATTCGGATTTATCCCACGACCCTGGATCACCCCGCCGGAGTTGCTCTTGCAGTGGCATCACGGGGAGGACGGAAAGCGGGATAGCGTGCAGATATTGACCCCTGTGGCGAGAAAGTACTGCGTGAACTACGACGCGCATGTGTTCGCAATAAGAAGCAATGGTCAATAGAGGCAATATCCTACTTACAATGTCATCCTTTAAAGTTCAAGATCCCCACAATCCCCAGGGTCTCCAAGGGTGCTGAAGAACGTCCTCGGACGCCCCACATCCACAACCCTGCTCACCGGCAGCTCCAGAAGAAAGAGTTGCCGAGGACGTTTCAGCACGTCCCCCTGAAGTTCTACTTCAATGACATTTCTTCACACAAATTCCCCGGATTGGTAGCTAGTGCAAATCTATCCGAGATTTTAGGTTTGCTGGAGGTATCAGATCACGCCCAAAGGAGATGCTTCGAATAAGACTTGATCTTTGCGATTAGGCTAATTAGCCCCATTCTAGCTCTGCTCGGAGCTAGGTCCTTGTCAACTGTCAGACCTGTCAGGAAGTGCTCCGTCGGCATGTCTGCAGTATGTGAATGCCTATAAAAAGCGTGCAGGTACCAGCGATAGTCGTGGTGCAATAAGCTTCGACATCATCAGATCTATTGCTCCCCTTTATTTTATCTGTTTGCCAAAATGATGCGGCTTGCTAGCCTGTCGTTGGTCCTGCCGCTAGTGGCAGGCCAGGCAGCACTTTACGGTCAGTGTAAGTAATACCATCCTCAAACTCCAAGCCCCGCAGGATGAAGAGCTCTAACATTTGAATCCCTAAAGGCGGCGGAAGTGGGTGGGCTGGAGCTACGACCTGTGTCTCAGGAGCTTGCTGCACCTACTCCAATGCATGGTATTCTCAGTGTCTGCCATGCAGCTCAACCTTGACCACTACTACTAAGTCGTCGGCAACTTCGAGCTCAACAACTTCGACAGTTCAATCGACTTCATCGGCGACCTCCACGTCCAAGTGTAGTCTTCCCTCAACCTACAAGTGGACATCTAGCGGGCCTCTAGCAAACCCTGCGTCGGGCCTCGTCTCTCTTAAGGACTTCACTGCCGTGCCATACAACGGAAAGCACCTTGTGTACGCGTCCGATGTCAACAGCGCAGGCAACTACGGCTCGCTGGGCTTCAGTCTATTCTCGGATTGGAGCGCCATGTCCTCCGCCACCCAAACCACCATGAGCAGTGGTGCGGTTGCCCCGCAAGTCTTCTACTTTGCGCCCAAGAGCATCTGGGTCATGGCCTATGAATGGGGTCCCAGCCCGTTCATGTACAGGACATCCAGTGACCCGACAAACCCGAACGGATGGTCCTCTGCCCAGTCGCTCTTCAGCGGCTCCCTCGGCGGAGGATCCAGCCCTATCGACCAGGCCCTTATCGCCGACGACACAACAATGTATCTCTTCTTCGCGGGAGACAACGGCAACATCTACAGGTCTTCCATGCCCATCGGCAACTTCCCAGGAAACTTTGGCACATCATACACCACTATCCTGAGCGACTCACAATTCGCTCTCTTCGAGGCTGTCCAGGTTTATCGCGTGCAAGGACAGAACCAGTACCTGATGATCGTGGAGTGCATTGGCGCAAACGGCAGATACTTCCGCTCCTTCACTGCTACCAGTCTCGGTGGCTCGTGGACGCCGCAGACCTCAGGCGAGTCTGCTCCATTCGCGGGCAAGGCTAACAGTGGCGCTACTTGGACCAACGATATCAGCAGTGGTGATCTTATTCGCAGCAGCGCTGATCAAACGATGCCCGTTGATCCTTGCAACTTGCAGCTCCTTTACCAGGGACGGGACCCTAGCTCGACGGCCTCTTATAACCTCCTGCCATACCGTCCTGGTCTCTTGACTCTGGTTCGCTAGTATGATGATTCAACTTCAATTGAATCCTCTTTGAGCTTCAATAATCAATAGGACTTCAACTTATCGTTCTGATTGCATTTTCGTAAAGCTCCGTTTCATTCTTTATGCTAATCCTTTGATAGTCTGATTTCCAGGGATTCTACAATGTGAATGTATTTTCAGAATGATATTTATTCTTTCATCAGCTATCGTAAACGAGCTTCGAATGGTAGCAGAAAGCAATAATTAAGGCACTCTATTACCTAAAATCATCACACTGAACCTTAATTATTGCAATGATAAGGCTGAGAGACGGCATTAACAAGCTAAGCAGGAACTAAGATCGCGCTGAAGTGTTTACCCCGCATCGAGCGATAACGCCAACTTAGACACTCACAGCATCCATTGATTCTAGCCTTTACTAACCAACTTACTACCATATCACCAACACACAAGCCACCATATCAGAACTTCCAATCTCCCTACCTAAAACCACCATGAATCCAACACTCGCATTCCCACCAACCCCAACCATAAAAACATACCACCTCCCCTCCCCATCCGGCCAAATCTACATCCTCGACTCCAACCCCTCCACGCCATCAAAACCAACCCTCCTCCTCATCCACGGCAACAGCTCCTGCACCCAAATCTGGCACCCACTACTAACATGTACACCGCTCACACGAACACACCGCGTCATCGCACTTGATCTGCCCGGTCACGGGTGCTCGGATGATGCACCAACAAACCAAAAAGGGGATGTGTATACGATGCGCGGGTACGCAGAGTGTATCCTGGGTATACTTGGTGACCTGGGTGTGAGGAGGTTTTGTGTTTTGGGGTGGAGTTTGGGGGGGCATGTTGGTGTTGAGATGTTAGGTCTTCTCAAAAGGAATAATGATGCGAATGCGAACCTGAATCTGGAGATGGAGATGAAAGGCCTCATGCTCATCGGCACACCACCCAGCCTAGGCCCTACACAAGTCACAGCAGCATTCTCCAAAACGCCCCCATCACCCTCCATGGCCCTCGCATCCCAAGAACATCTCACCAACCTCGAAGCACAAAACTACGCCGTCGCCGTAACGGGACCTCCCTTCCAAGAATGGCAGGTCGAAGCCGTATCGAGAACAGACGGCCAATTCCGCAAAATCATGTTTTCGAGTTTCACATCCGGAATCGGTGTTGATCAGGTAGCTGTCGTTGAGAGTGAAAAAGATGTTTTGATTGCGGTGGTGAATGGATCGGAGGATCCGTTTGTTAATTTGGATTATTTGGATGGGTTGAGATGGGGGAGGCTTTGGGCGGGTGAATGTGTGAGGTTGGATGGGTTGGGACATGCGCCGTTTTGGGAGGATGTGGGGAGGTTTTATACTTATTTGCAGGGGTTTCTTGTGGAGTGTGAGGCTTAGATCCATAGACTAGATGTATAGAGAGTGGCAGGTGTGCCTATCTACTGGCATTGGGTTGGTAAGAATTGAACGTCGAGGGGGGTGTGCATGCCAACAAAATGTATCTATGTACTAGAGCGAGCTTGCTTCGAGGAGCATTGACTTGATCGAGTCGCGTTGACCACCAGAGAAACTAGGCCAAAGTCATGTACAAATCCTACATGAATGGATTACACAAGAGATTACCGTTCATGAAATGCATCAATGAATAAAGATATACAAACAAGGCAAGATCGAAAACAAAGAGATCAGGTGGATGTAACCGGGGTCAGTAGACAACATCAAATAAAAAAGGTATATCTACCACATAAACTTCCAAGATAATAGACAGGAGAAAACAAAAAAAAGCACTGGGAGGAATGCCCCACGGACAATGCCCTGACCAGCCACCGCGAGAACAAGCCCAGCCGATGAAAGGCCAACCCCATACTCGAAGAAGAATAGCTGAAACAAATTAAATAAACTCCTTAATCCTCCTGTACAAAGATTTTAACAAAAAGGGTGGCAGATCAACCCATCAACGTGGCGCATGGCTAGTTGCGCTTAGAAGACGGAGGCACAGCCCCAGTGCTGCTCAACGTTGTAAGCACCGGGGTTCTTCCAGTCATCGTTGGCGTAGGAGAAGAAGATGGACTTGGAGCCAAGAGCGGCAACAATGGACTTGATGGCAGTCTCCTGCTCGGCAACACCGGGAATGGCGGCACCGTTGGCGTCACCAGCGTTGGGCCAGCCAGTCTCCAAGTTGACAACATCCTTGTTGCAAATGCCCTCGAGGACCTTGAGCTCCTCCAGAGCGAACTCACCGGCCTTCTCGGCGGTGACGGCAGAGTTGAAGAAGGGGTGGATGTTGGCACCGACAATGTCGACGGGGCTGCAGAGGGTGGAGGCACCGTACTGCTCCCAGACGTTGATGGGCTCGGTGGTGGTGATGTGGCCAGTGTAGCCAGCGGCCTGGAAGGTGGACTTGCAGGAGCTGATGAAGCCGGCGAGCTGGGAAGCGGAGCAGTAGCCGGAGGAGACAGCCTCGTTACCGACAACGATCAGCTCAACCATGTCCCACTGGGCCCACTTGGCAATGGCATCAACCTGCTCCTGGGCGCCGGAGATACCGGTGGAGTCAATGTAGACACCCATGATGATGTTCATGCCGAGCTGTTTGCAGGCAGAGCCAATGTTCTCAAGACCGTTGCAGTCAGTGGAGTAAACACGGACCAGGTTGAAGCCCTTGTTCTTGATGACCTGGAGGTTGGAAAGGACCTCGGACTGGGACATGCAGGCACCGCTGGAGGTGTAGGGAGAGAAGGTCATACCGTACTGGCCGGCACCGGTGACACCAGAGCCGGAGCTGGCAGTGCTGGAAGTAGCAGCAGCAGCGGAGCTAGAGGAGGAAGAGGAGGTGGCAACGGGAGCAGGGACAGCGGTGGTGGTGGCAGCAACAGCAGGGGCGGTGTTGCTGGCCAGGCCGCTGGTGGCGTAGGGGCAGACGTAGGTGTAGTCAGTGCGGGTCACAGTGACAACGGTCTCGGTCTGAGTGTAGGTGCCGGGGGTGATGGTCTGGGGGGTGGGGTAGACAATCACGGTGCTGGTGGGAACGGTGGTGACGGTGCCGGGAACAACAGTGTAGGTACCAGCAGCGGGGCAGGTATAGGTGGTGGTCTCAATGACGCTGGTGACGGTGGTGCCGGTAGGCTTGACGGTGGCATAGGGGCAGGTGATGACAGTCTCAGTCTCAACAACAGTGGTAACACCGCCGATGGTGTGGGTACCGCTGGGAACCTCGGTGGTGGTAGCACCGCAGACGGTGGTGGTGTCGGTCACAGTCAGAGTGGTGGCCGGGATGGTATAGGTACCGGTGGAGGAGAAGCTAGTCACACCAGGAGTGGGCAGGAGGACCAGAGTGGTGGTGGGAACAGCGGAGGAAGAGACCGCGGCCACAGAGGGAGTGACGGTGACAGTCATGGTGCTGGTGCTGGTCGAGTGGATGGTGCTGGTCAGGGTGGTGGTGGACTCGATGGGGACCAGAGTCGGGGAGCCGTAGTAGGTGATGACCTTGGTGGTGCAGCCACAGGTCTCCTCAGAGCCAGGGACGAGAGAAGAAGAAGAAGCAGAGGCAGAGGCAGAGACCGAGGCGACAGAGGAAGAGGCATCGCGACGGTTGTGAATAGCCTCATGGCGGCGGTGCAGGTGGGCATCAGCCATGGCCGAGCCGACCAGGGCAGCGGCCGCGAAGATGGAACCCTTCATGGTGAAAGGAGGTTTCAAACGTTCACGTTAATTTAAAGAAGGAATGCCCGCTGAACGAGTGAAGCGGTGGTCAGTGGAGTTTGAAGACTGTGAGGAGGAAGGGAACGTGGGTTGGGGGAGAGAGAGAAGGTGAAAAAGGAGGGAAGGCGGGCACTTCAGGCCTTTTGTTGGAGCAGGGGACTCGTCACACTATGGGGGGAAGAGAGGAAAGGGAAACACGGAAGGGAAGTTAGGGGGGCAGAGGGACCCAGCCAAAGAAAAGGGGAGAGAGACGACTTGACTAGTACAGGATAGAAAGCTCCACCGATCGTGAATTTTCCCTCAAATTTCCTTTGCTGTAATCTGGGCTTGTTCGTAACTGGGACTATGGGGTCTAAAATGGAGTCGAGTCTAGATGTGTGTTCAGGCACACTGCATATCTGATTGGTTGACTCTCATAGACCCATTTACAGCCTGGCAATGGATTGGCCCGCACGGCTCGGGCAGGAGTGGAGTGGAAATGATCAATACCGTCATATACCGTGAGAATACGCTTCGAATACAGACCGGAGGAATCATCCGCAATTCGACCAAGTCCATCAACAAGTCACCTGGGCTAGACCACCTCAGGGACTAGTCATCTTGTCTGCTGGGCGCCTATGCAGGTACGCTGATGAGCTCAAGGTTCGGTCTGACTCTATAATTATGTACTTGGTACAAAGCTGGATATGAGTTCAATTACCACCGGCACTCTAGACAGATGATTCCAGTCTAAACATAGAGGCAATAATAATCTCCCAGTCCACGACTCAGCCTTCGCCCCAGTTGTGCAAGCAAAAATAGCCCTGTTTGTCTCACTGGGGCCAAGTCTGGGCTGGAAGTACACCGCCCCTTACAGAGAGTTGCCCCTGACAGACAGTCTGTACACTGTACAGAGTACAGAGGACCCTGCGCAGGACCTGCCAGCTGCATACAGCCGGACGGCATAAGGCGGACGAGCAATGAAGAGATGGATTTAACCATTGATAATCGATTATCCCAAGCATGGAGTACAATTTAAGGATCCAGAATCCAGAATGTTCGAAGTGTCCATATTTGCCATCTCATCGACCCCCATCCCCCAAATGTTCAGCGACCCTGAGTAATAATGTCAGCTGAAATTTGTCTCACAGAAACCCAAAAACCCGTAATTTGGTAATTTCCCATGCGCCATGTGGAGAGATCTCTAAGCCCGATGGGGCCAAGTGGCAGGTGCAGTGGAGACTGTCAAACATGATGATTGGTTGCCGGTGGACTTTAATTTCCGCCCTGCCGATCCTCATTCGTGGCGGACTCGATTTTGGTAACTTGGTACCACTCCCGTACCAACTTTACAGGTTGACACCAAGATTTAGGGGGCTCGGCACGTATTTTATTCATTTCTTTTTGTTGTTGGCCACCGTGAACTTCAAACTTTGGGACTTTGGACTTCCGAATGTAACGATGCCCTACGGAGCGGATAACTTTGCCTCTGGACATCCCTCACCAGTGGCGAACATGACATCGGTGGGAGCCTGAACACATTGGATCCGTGGGTGCAATTAAAAAGTGAGAGCAAAGAAAGACTCACAATACATCGCATTGCCAACAGAGCAGTCAACAGATGGAGTTGTACAAGGAAGATTACTCTCTCGGTTGCTGGCGGATATCCATTGTTGCCTTCGTCAGCCTGCAGCCTGGTCCTGGCCCTGGCCCGATGAACTAGAATGCGAGTACGACAACTGTATGCTTCGTGCTGGGGAATGACATACCATGTCGTTCACAAGCGTGCCCCGCGTGTCTCTCTCCGGAGAACCTTCTATACGCAGTCTAGCATCTCCTCTTGTAGAAAGACTGTCTTGGTCCTCTTGGTCCTTGAACAACCCGATCCAACCGCACGCTCCGCATCCGAGATCGCCCACGGCAAGAGTGGGACATGACTGGACTTAAGTAGTAGTGGCCCCCTCTTCAAGTCTTCATCGGCTGCTGATCTCAATGCGACGATGGTCTAGATCTTGCTTGGGTTCCATCGTTGATCGTTTTTTGGGTGAGAGAGTATTTATTTGACATCCAGATATCTGTTCAAGGCTTCATCCCCCGGGAATGAATGCCATGTTTCGGCGCTTGTGTTTATGGGGTAAACACAACTGCCGTCTGTGGCGCATAGCCGAGATGCTGGGCGACGAGTTGAAAACGGGGGCCTTTCAATGTTCATTGCCAGAATATCCCCATTCCCCTCGTCTCCCGAAAATAGCTTCCCTCTTGCCTACAATAAATGCCTGTGCACTCTGACCAATGCTTTCGTTAGCGTGGACTAGCCTCGGATCACTTACTCCCGATCACCTCCCATTCCTCTCCCCGAGTCCCCTATTCAATCTAATTATTGAACGGGATGGCTGTTTCCTGGAACCTTCCAACGAAGCCCGTTTTCATGAGTCTCGATTTCAGGGGAAAAGGGGAAAGGGGAGGGGGACTGCAGACTTGACTTACGTTTTATCCGCCATGCATTCCCTACCAAGACTCACTCACATCCATATCACACTACTATGGGTGTAGAAATGCTCGGCACTGGCCAAACTAAAAGTGACTTTCTAGGCATTGGCAACAATCCATTCATCCCCACAATATAATTGGTCTCGAACCTGGGAATCTGGAAGGGACGCTATGAAGCGCCAAGAAGGATAGTCGATCTGGGCGGTTCGGATAGCCCATGGTCGTTAGCACGAGGCTTGGCGGGAGTCTGCTTTTGAGGTTATTCAGGGGCTGAGGGACAAGTGACGAGTCAGGGGTTGGCAACTTGGCGCTTGCACGTTCTGTGTGGAGTACATACATTTTGTGAATGTTTTTTGATCATCGGCTAGACGTTTTGATTTACTGGCTGGCTCGTTGGCCAAGACATTCTCGTTAAAATTGTAGACAACAATTGATCGCGGGCCGCAGCAATTATGTACTACATAGACCAAGGGATCAAAGCTATCCAGTGTTTTCTAACATCCCACCAATAACGCCTTAGGGCTATGTATTGTTGAGGTGTTAGACTTGGGTTGAATATTCGCTAACTTATTACTTGTATGCATGAATCTTAAGGTACAAGCATGTTTGTTGTGGCAACGCTGCCGTTGCCCCCTCCAAGCGGTTGAAAGTGCGGAACCTCGGCACGAGTGTACCTAGACCACCACGAAGAACAACAGCAACTCAAGCTCAACTCTTAGATTCAGAATACATTGATGATTGTGCCTTGACTCATTCATGACTCCTTTGGCATTCTATAGATCCAAGTTTGTATTTCTAGACTTGTATCTGATTGGTAAGAATAGAATCGAGCGCCATGATGCGAGATATATATTTGGAGCCGGCAACACTAGTCAGGACAGTCGTCAACCTCCATCCGGTATGGTCCTATCTAACAATCCCTAAGCCAGAGGATCAAATTCAAAATTGAATTTCAACTTCATACCAAGAATTTCTCTTAAGATACTCACATAGGACCTGCTCGATGATTGTCAAGGGAGTCAGCGTAGATATTGTTCTCTGGTGACAGCCACCCAGATTATGCGAGACTGGCCATCTTGAGTTACCGCAAGCGATGATAAGTACAAATATAATTGAGATAATAATCCGGAAGCACGGGGAAATACGTATTGGATGCCCTGATAAAGGAGTTTGCGGTCAAAAAAAGTCGAAAAACCGATAGGAAAGACGAACATGAGTAAATAGTAGCTGACCTCCACGCTTGTCGAGCAACCAGCCCTCGAGATCAGAAGCATATACATCATTTCAGTTCATCGAAGTGGAATGGAACGATCCAAGAATGTTCCTGAAACATTATATCTGATTTCCTGTCTCACTGGACCCCCTTATTTTGCGCCAATGATGTCTTCTATCATTTGTGGCAAAGCTCCATATTCTGGTAGCAAGGCAGTATCATGGTCGGTCTCAGGAAGCACCTCGCTATCATATAGCAGGACGGTACTATCAGCGCCGCTCCCAAGCTCTTCCGAGGTAAACTTCTTAAAACACGTGTCGAAATAAGCAGCTCCTTTCCTCCCGATCAACAGATCTGACTCGGCCCAAAATACCTTGACAGCGAGACGTCGCTGCGACGGAGGCGTGGCGGGAGTACTAGAGTCCGATGATTGTTGCGTGCTGAGTGGCTTGCTGGCGAAATATTCTCTCAACTTTGCCTCCAGTTTCGCTGGATACTCTTCGTAGCTTTCACAGGCTTCCCAGGGTCCAGCCTCCTTTTTCTTCAGCAATAGTAGACACTCGTCGTTTGCACCGCTTGTGTCCTGGCTGAAAAGGGATTTCTTGATTACCTCGGACTGTGCCTTGGCCTCAGCGGCTGACACGCCGCGGAACTCACGGCATAAGTCATTTTTCGCGCTAGAGGCTGCGGATGGCCCAGAAAAAAGACCGCTTGAGAATTGAACGGTTGGCACGACGTTAGACGCTATGAAGCGAACAAGGCCGTCGAAACCGCCAATAACCTTGGAAGGCATATATGATGAGAGCGATAAGTAACTGATACCACTAAATTTGGGGCTCACCCACGGCGTCAGAAGGTAGAGCCTAGGATCGGTCGGAGATAAGATCTGCGGCATCAAGTAGACCGTGTTAAGCGCGTAGATAACGCCGCAGCTATGTGCGCCAATCGCGACGTGCCGAGCGCCGAGAATGCGCATCAGTGCGGGCACGGTTTCGAGCCAGACTGCCAGTCGTTGTGACGGAATTACGGGCGTTGATCCACCCATTCCAGGGCTATCGTGACAAAGAAGAAAAATGAAGCGTCAGCCAGGTACATGACTAGCACTGCTGAACTCACCTACCGATCCGCGACAACAAATCTCACACCCTTCTTCTCGCTGATATAGTCTGCCATCGTGGCCAAGTACCTTCCACCGTACAAGCCGCCGATGAACAATATCGTCGGCGCCGTGTCGCAATCCTCGCCGGCGACGGCGTAGGTCACGGTGAGTTCGCCATGGTCGTCGGTCGCTGGTAGTGTAAACCGGCGGTTGAACTTCTCCCGTGCGATGAAGTCTCTAGAACGGGTTTGTAATTGCTCTGTAGTGAATTCGGGATCTGCTGCAGGCGTGGGTTCAGGTGCTGCTACAGGCTGGTCTGGGATGGCAGCGGCCATGATCTCATCGACTGCGATGTTGTAGATCGGAAGGTGGGGGTGGTCGGCGGGGAAACAGCGTGGAGGAGCGTCAAAAGCGGCGACGTCGATACAGCATGCAATCTATTGGTGGCGTTCGGTGTTTATGAGAAGAAGTAATGCAGAGCTTGGGTCATCCTCGGGTGATAATGAAACTTGAGATACGAAAAAGAGTCTGAGCTAGCTATGTAGCTGGTGCCTGGGATTTTAGCGCTAACCTGATCCATAAGCCAACGGAACGCCTGAGCCATCCAAGTCACGTTACTGAAGTGCCGACAGAAGCGGCTTACGTCGGATCAAACCGACATTTTCCTTCAAATCATGTTCATTATGTAGAAACATTTTAAAGAAGTGTCTTCCTGAAATGGAAAGCCACGCAAAGGACAAATGGGGCAAAGACGGTGCGGGGTTGTGGAAAGCTTCAGCCCATTGTCAAAGATCGATGTATCTACTATGCCTTGCTGGGTCGATCTCGGATATAGATATCCCGCCATATTTAGGCTAAATCAGCGCTAAGAATCGAGCTGGTCTTACGTAGTTATCTAACCTGCGGACCTTAAAAGCATACAAGGTAATTAAGCAGTATGGAATTTGTACACACCCAACGAGAAGTACCACTGCCGACTAATGACTTCAATGAGCATAAGAATGACAGTCCATCAATACAGCAATCCCATTCTTCCAGGGTTCTACCCCGATCCGTCATGCATTTTAGTTGATGGTACCTTTTATATGGTGCACTCGAGCTTTCACTTCTTCCCCGGATTACCCATTCACAAGTCAAAAGATCTAATCAATTGGGAGCATATTGGTACATCCATCCTTGTCATACAGCAGAACGAAAAGTTAACAAGAGATCCAGGGAACGTCATCTGCCGACCGGAGCAAATCCGACTCTACTGGGCCACTACCAAGATCAACAACGCAGCAAAAAACGAGGTGTTCACCGGAGGCCTATATGCGCCTACTATTCGCTATAACGATGGCCGTTTCTATGTAGTGTGCACATCCTTAAAGGGCACAATCAACATGCCGCCTGATCTGGACTTTGCACCGGAGAATTTCATCATCACGGCCACTGATCTCGAGGATCCCACCTCATTCAGCGACCCCGTCTACTTCGACTTCCACGGGATTGATCCAAGTTTGTTCTTTGACGAGGATGGCCGAGTGTATCTACAAGGCAGCTGGATCCACGGGTACCGCAAGACTCCAGCAACGGTTATACGACAAGCGGAAATCGACCTGAGCACTGGTCAGTTGCTCTCTCCGGCATCGGATATTTGGTCTGGACACACCGGAAAGGTCCCCGAAGGCCCACATATCTACAAGAAAGACGGATACTATTATCTCTTAATTGCAGAAGGAGGGACCCACCGTGGGCACAAGATCACTATGAGCCGTTCAAAGAGCATCTGGGGACCGTTTGAGTCCTTTGAGGGTAATCCAGTTTTGACTGCGGATGCTACTCAGGCATGTATCCAATGTGCTGGACATGCTGAGCTTTTCCAGGATGCTCTTGGCTACTGGTGGGCTGTTATGCTCGCGCGACGAGAGTACGGCGCGAGCTTCCCGCTCGGCAGAGAGACTTACTTGACGCCCGTGGAGTGGCCGGAGGGTGAATTTCCTAATTTTGCACCTGTGAAGCTTGAGCAAGAGTTAAATCGGCCTGTGGCCGAAAAGGTGGTGCAAACCTCCTTCACACCTGTCTCGCTCGATTCCCCGTCGACCATTTATTTGAGATCTCCAGATCTGGATCATTACGCCCAGAGTGGGATTGCAGTTTTCCTCACTCCCACGAAATCTAAACTCGAAGCACCATCTGGAACCATGACCTTCGTGGGACAAAGACAGACATCTTTGAACTCGATCGCCCAAGCGATTCTCCCTGTGAATGATATTGTAACAGGGAATATTTACTATGGTCTGACTGTATACAAGGACCCTTTCAGATTTGTTGCGATGGAATACAGCAATCAGGATCGATGCCTGTGCGTGAAAGTGCAAGAGACGGGCAAGCCTATGATGACCCTTTCTTGTCTCGCTATTCGGGAGACATCCTCACTACAGCTGTCCATCGAGTCGTCTACTCAAAGCTATTCCTTCCAGTGCCTTCAGACGCACAAAAGTGGAAAGACGGAACATTTCAAGCTAGGTGAGGTCCCTAGCTCTGCTCTTAGTGGAGACGACTTTACAGGCACTGTCTACGCCATATATGCTTCAGGTGACGGTGCTCCTGTTAAGTTCGAGAATTTCCAGATTCGGAACTAGCGTCCAAAGGTAGAGGTCAGCTTCTGTGTGCCTGGGATGATTCCTATTTTTTGTTGGCTTAGTGAATTTCTTCTTATAAATTTTGGTTGGGTTTATGTTTGCTCTCGCCGTCTCATCGTCTCTCATCTTCTCTCCTTCTCCCTTCAAGTCATGTCTTTGCTGAGAGGCCTTGAGTTAGATGTACTGTGTCTGATATGGCTCAACTATTAGTTCACTGGAGATATTCCCGAAGCTTTTGCGTTCTTTAAATTCCGGAACTTTATATGCCTGATGAGACGCGCTGATTTCCCCCGTATGCATTTTTCAATTGACCAATCTATCAGCTAGGGAATGTAGTTCAAGCATCGTTACTACTGCTCTGAGTATTAGAAAAAGCATCCATTCAGAGCACAGATTAAGCACCATACTTGGCCTCATATAGCTCGCGTCTTAAATGGATCAAATGTGTTATTCCTTATCTCAACATTAAAATTCTAGGAATACTCCATAATCAACTGATCGAGGAGATACTCATTCTTGTCGACGCAGTTGCTGCACAGCATTCCATTAGCCCCCGATTATCTGCCTCAAACAATGTTCTCACTCCCCCTCATAGTCATTCCTCTACTGTTCAGCTCGCGTAACTCGTTCTCCACGTTCGGCTGCTTCATCTGCGTGCTTCACATCCAGAATTAGAGCACCACCTTGAACATGACTAGTACCGCCAAAGAGGGTGTCCATCTCTTCTAATGGTACTTTCTTTGTTTCTGGAATCATGAACCACACGAATACCGCGAGGAGGAAATTGCAGGTCATGAAAAAGAAGAATGATTTCCTGTCATCGTTAGCACGTATTTCAACCCCACGCACCTAATGCAACATGGTGATCATGAAACTTACAGCCCCTCGTTTCTGTAAAATATAGGGAAAAACTGCTGGAAGATGGTATTGGCAACGCCCTGCATCTGCGAGCTCATACCGACAGCTTGAGCCCGAACATTCATGGGGAAGACTTCCGCGGTGTAAATCCAGACAGTCGCTCCCCAGCTTGGTTTGTAGAAAAAGATGAAAAGGAACATGAGGAACACGATGGCAATACCAACGGGCTGTGTCTTTGCTCCTTGGGGGGTATTTGGTGTCTCAAGGCCAACCATGGCAGTAATAAACATGCAAGTACCCATGCCGAGGGCGCCAACAATGAGCAAAAACCTACGACCAAAGCGATCAACGGTCCAGGTGGCGTTAAGTGTGAAAAGAATGCCAAATGTGGCATTAAGAGCGTTGATGAGATTGATGGTATCCGTCGAAGTCCAGATTTTCTTGTAAATAGTGGACGAATAGGAATTCAGCGTGCCCTGGCCGCTGAGTTGCTGCCCAATGTTAAGAACGAAGACGAGAAGAAGACGCTTGCGGACGCTGGCATCCTTGAACAGAGTAAAGTACGCCTTTCTACCCTGGTCAAGCGTTTCCTTCTCATACTGGATAGCTTCGCGGATTGTCAGTAGCTCCTGATCAATCTCTTCGTCAGTCTCCCGAACTAGTTGCAGGACCTTTCGTGCGCCATCAGTATCTCCCTTGCGCTGGACAAGCCATCTGGGTGACTCGGGCATGAATGGTAGCTGGAGCAAGATTATGACGGGAAGTAGGAGTTGGAAGATTACCACAAGCTTCCAGTCCCATTCCCCAAGGCTTGCTCTGTGTTTGCCAGCTGCATAGTTCACCCAGTAGGCAACAAAAGAGCCAACGGAATAGAACATTTGCCAGAATGCCATAATGACACCTCGAATATATGAGGGCGTAACCTCGCCAATATAGACTGGCCCGGCAGCTAATTATTCGCACGTTAAATCATGATCAGAAAATACGATGATAGTTATTTGAGCATCATACCGATAGCGAGAGCCTGGCCAGCTCCGATAATGACCCGACCAGCCATAAAGGTCCCCATTCCATGGCGGGGAGCAAAGCACTGCATGAAAGTTGCAATAATCGTAAGGAAGCAACCAATCCCCATTCCCCATCTTCGGCCAAGCCAATCGGCCTAGTAGTTGCATCAGCGACTTAGACTTGGACGAACGAGATCAAGTACGCATCAATTCCTACCAGTGGACCTGCGAAGAACCATCCTGTGATGATACCACCCACGGTGTACACGGTATTCAAGAGTCCAAGCATATAGCTATTCTGTAATCCATGTCAGACAGAACCCATGAGATGGATATTCGGATTGATTACCGGATTGTCAAAATACTTAATCCAGTTGTTGGAATTTTGCACAGAGTTGAAGACAGATGCATCGTATCCCATCAACACCATGCACCCGGCTGCCACCAGGCAGATATACCTGCAACATTGTGAGAAAGGGAAAAAGACAACAAAGGCTCAATATCATACCAGTTGTAAACTGCAGTCTTGGAAACCATCTTTTGGTCCAGTTCTCACTTGAATTACGGTCAAGCCGCAGAAGAGCAATTGAGTTGTTGTTCAGTGTAGAAAGATTCCACGCACCTTATAACATTTTGAGGATCACATCTCAGTCTTTCTTTTTTTGATTAACTCACGACTCGCACAATCACGGAATAGCTGTTGTGTCTACAGGATTGGAGGACTTTCATTCTTAATTGCCACGAATTAACTGTAAGAGTGGCCAGGGCACGCCGCAATCAGCCTGGAAACCCCGGATATTGGAATCTTAGTTGAGGGTAAATCAGATCAGATCTCTTTGGATTTACCCAGGCGCTCTATTCCTGGCTGTGGCGCTAATAAACGCCATCAACAAATCCCTACAGGGGGGGAACTAAACCACTCTCCAGTCCCCCTTCTATTTCTCAAATCCAGGCTTTGGACTTTCTGATCGTGGATTCAATGTTGATAGACTTGTATGATTGTGGCAATCGACCAATTCGTCTGATTACGCTGTTTCCACAGTCGGTCTTCACAACAGAATTCCTACTGTCACTATCAAAATGATTTTCAGAGAGTAAGCTTTGGTAGTAAAATTGTTTTTTTTGTTTAATCGCAGCTATCAGGCTAATTAAGACCAGCATTTAACCCAAGCCATGCGGGGTAAGAGTCTTTAAACTTTACATGAATCATGTGCATTTGTGGCTTAATACTACTCTCGGCGAGTCGGCGTTAAGCCACGAGTATGCTGACTGATGGCTGTCATCACCGGCACTAATTTCAGACAATCGGACCGAGGTTTGGGATTCGGTTCTTGGCAAGACTAGATGGGGTGGCATCCAGTGACTCGGGTGTTGAGTGTCTGAGCCTTGACTAGCTAGAATTGCTGAATCATGTAATACCGGGGCAGCCGGGGTGTGCATGGCTACAAATATTGTCATGGATATTGTTGTTAGGCTACTTGTTAAATAGACCCTACGAAGCTGTCAGGTGGCCATGGAGAAATAATGCGAGAGAGGCCGTTTGATTCTATGGCGAAGCCTACTTGTTCGCATAATCCATGGAGGCAAGTTTCGAAAAAAGAAAATTGCCAAGTAGAAAAAGAAATCACAGGTACAGATGGTAATAATATTTCCCCTTACATTGAAGAATTGAGCTCTGCCATCTGTTTTCAGCCATTGAATTTCTCAGAATGAAAGCACAATCGATTATTCTGCGAACATCACAGTATAAGAGACCGACGTCCTAATCACATGATCTTAACGGGTGGTCAGGATCATGCCATATTGCAGGTTGAATCAATCCAAGCGGTTGGACCCTCTTCGCCATTTGGGGTCAAAAAGACCTTCTTCGGCGAATTATACGGCTCCCACCCGCTATCATCCAGTAGGACAGTATAGTTGTACCGAAGACGCCCAGTCAGATTGAATCCAGGCCCAATATCATTGTACTCGGCCATGAGAGTTTGATTGGTAATGGGAGCAGACCAAAGAACATATCCACTAGCGGCGATGGACGTATCCTCGTAGGTATTTGCGAAGATGCTCCTATGTGCGCTATTCCATGGCCGCCCCAGGGCACACTTGCCCAGATAAGTCGCTTCCACCGAGCTGTTTGCCGCTTTAATAGTCGAGTTGTGAATGTACGCCCCAAATTTGTTGGTGTAGGTTGTGTTAGTTCCCTTCCAAGCTGTGATACCACCACCACAGCCTCGTAGAACGAGATCACACTCTTCGAACCATGCTGTGCCGAACCCGTAGAGAAAGTCCGTCTGGCCAGCTATGACACTGGAGTAGAAGTATGCATTTCCGAGTTTTCCAATGAAGACTGTATCCTGATAACTGTAGAAGCCAGAGTAGTAGAATCCACCGTTGGCGCGACTAAAGCTCAAGGCGTGCGATGGGCCCGCAGACCGATCAGCATAGACATTTCGAAAGTCGATGTTGTACGTTCTGAAGTCTCGGCAGCCAAATGGGGTGTCTTCAGGAACAGGAAGGCCGGATGGGCCGTATCCTGTCAAGCTGGCATTGAGAGTAGGTGCCACAACCATGACGCTGGTGAAGACATTGTCGGTGTAGATTCCCTGAGAAGTAGCAGCAGCCCACAAGACATTGACTTGATTCTGCCTTGCATCTGTCGGATGATTTGTCTGCCCAAGAAGTGTCAAAGGGCCCGAACGGGTGATGTTCAGTTGTTCGGTGTAATTCCCAGCAAGAATGAGGATTGTTTGGCTAGAATCATCATCTGGAAGGGAGTCGATAGCACTCTGAATTGTAAGGAATTTGGCTTGCTTGTGCGACTGAGATACAAGAACAGTATCCTTAGGACATCCATGAAGTGGATTCCCTGGATTAGATGCTTGGCATGCTTGACGGTAGGCGTGAGGCTGAAGTTTGCCAAGCGTGTTACTCGAGTCACTCAGGGGCTGACCCCAGGATAGAGCGAAGAGCCACATGGCAGTCAAGAAATATTGAATAGAAAAATTCATGGCGACAAAATACCAGTCCTGAAGACTGCTTGGCACTGCTAATTTTCGAGTTGGCTATAATGTCTCTGCTGTCTCTCCGTGAAGCCAATAATAGTATATTCATAGGGCCGATGAAGCTACAATATTAATAAAACGGATATCGCGTGTTTTCTTTCAGGCTCAATTTCAATTATCCATCAGCCTATTCTCTTTTACCGGTCTATCCGCAGCCTATCCTGATATTCATTGTGGTTTTGTTGGAAGTTAAACAATTCCATATGTTCTTTGATGACACAAACCGCAAGATATAGTTCCAAACCAACGCCTACGGATAAACCTCGGCCATGATCCCACCAATAAGAAGTTGAGATGATCAGCCAAGAGAATCCTCCAACCACCCATGCACTCATGTTTATTATTACACCAGTTGGCTGCCTCGGACTCGGAGCCAGCCACATGTGGACTGTGACATGGCTGCTCTACAGTCGGTTCCGGATACACACTCCGGGATAATCAACTTCAATCTCGGATCCGTGTTCGGGTTCGGATTCGGGGTAAATACTTCCGTTATTTGGTCCTTACGTCAGGGTGAGAAATCGGTGAAATGGCTAGTACCGAACACGTCCAATAGAATCAGTCGATCGGCTGAAGGCTATGAGAGCAGTTGAGCTATCTTAGGGATCAGCATAATCTGAGCTACGGCTTGTTAGGACACCCTCTCAATTTGTCATCTTAACCAATCTCGCAACCCAAGTAGGATATTCTTTTGACTGTTCCCTAGTCAGGGTGCATAGTGTCGTTGAATTGATCCTAAATGGTGACCATTCATGTTTACTACTATGATACTGTGGAAACTCATGTCTCCCGGCATCGTACAGAGTGAGATCCGGCCGTCCTTGCGAAGATGAAGTACCTATTCATTCAGCTGAATCGACGAAGCATTGCAGCGCCTATAATTTGAATTGAATCAGCTAGATTCCCATCACCTACCTATTTCATGCAACTTTTGCTCTATTAAGCAGCAATCAAGTTTCAAGGAGAGGCATACCCCAGTGATTCCTAAGGTGAGTTTGTACTCGATGTGGAATTGATCTAGATTTCGTGCGGTATGTGTTGCCTCGGGCATTCTTTCTCATATCGTATGCATGGCAAAAGAAGTTCCTTGTATTCGTTCTACCTATAGCTGACCTGTTTCAATTTACCAACGATGAATAGCTAGGGCTGAAATGCTCCATCTCTCAGCAAGTGCGCCACGCCTAGAGTACTTTCGTGCCCAGTGCTCTAGATTCGGCTAGACAAAATCAAAGTTCCCCAGAGATCCCGTCAAGCACATGTAATATTCCTCAGGTTGGAGCCTTGCATGTTGACACAGTTGAAGACAGCCGCCTTACCGCTCGGGGGTGTCACGTTAATGTTCACAACCTCGATATTGTGACAGACCTGTTGTTTCTCAATTAAAATGAAGTCAATACCATTCAGGGCCATTCAACATACATCAGGGCTACTGCAAGTTAAGTCGCCAATCTTTGGGTCATACTTTTTCGAGGTGGTTCCTTGGAAATCTTTGAACAAAATGTCCTCAATGACCAATTTGGACTATTACGAGGTTAGCGATGCCAAAATTGTGAGACCACGCTACTTACCGGATACTGGTTGCAGGCATCTTGACTCTTGGCATAATAGCACTGTGAGACAGAAATAACATGGTCGTTGTTCACACTGTGCATGTTTTCATAGGTCACGTTGCGGACAAGGCCGAGTCCGCCACCACTCGTAGAGCCTGTGACGTTAGGAGGAACTCCGGGCCACACCTTGATTCTGGCAAAGTCTCCAGCATTTGTCATGGTGATGTTGTAGATGTAAAGATCTTCGACGAGGTCCGTTTCGCCTTGGTATTGTCCAAGGCTGCCGACGGAGATGCCGTGTGATCCGGTGCAGTCGAGGCCCTGAACAACCACTTGAGTAGAGTTGGGCTTGAATGAGACACAATCTGCTCAAGTCAGCATATTTGGGTCATTTCATAGCCGGGGAGTTTGTTCTACCATCTGTATTGACGATTACCGAGTTCTGAATGACTATGTTTGAGCTTCGATAGATATCCCAGCCGTCCGTGTTCTAGAATATTTAGCAATTTTGTTTCCCGTTGGACAAGTGAACGAGGTGATTAATTTACCTTTGCTGGGGCCCCAGTCAGCTGGCTACCAACAAGCATGGTCATATCGCTCACGAGGACGTCAGTTGAGTTCGAGATCAGGTTGAACCACCCAGGTGGGTTGAGCATCTTGAGTCCCGAAATAGTAGCGTGGTGAAGACCGTCTGTGCCTAGTAGACAAGGACGCATAACGCTCGAATTCTTGGCCATGGCACTCCACCAGAACTGCCCGGCTCCTTCAGCACGATAAATCAGTATTGGTTTACAAGATGACCAGAGAATGAGGAGCTTACCATCGATGACACCCTTTCCATCACCGTAGATGTTCACATTCTTACCCCCAAAGCGCCAAAACATGCTCGCGCTTTGATAAGTATACTGGAACGCCTGAGTGGGCCAAAGATCGATATCTTGCTTGAAGGTGATATTGCCCCAGATAGCAAAATCCACGTCGTCAAGGAATGTTAGATCCAGGGCTGTTGCAATCACGAAATCGCCAGATGGCAAGAAGACGGTGCCTCCACGGTTGCATTTGTGTGCTGCAGCGAGTATAGCTGGTCCAGCATCTGTTACATCTGGAGTGACCTTGCAAACCCTACCATGAGGTCTGTTCGAAGGGCCAGGTTTGAAGTTGCTCGGCTCCTTAGGGTGCGCAAAGACTTGAGGAGTCTTTGGAACAGCCTCAGCAGAGACAAGGACAGAAAGTCCAGCGACAAGAGCTGAGAGTTGCAAAGTCTTCATGTTGACTTAGAATATAGAGATGGAGATTGCGGATGAAATAAATGTGTAGTTGTAATTGTTCAAGTATTCGCGGCTTGTAACATTTATATATTAGCGAGGAATTAATTCTATTGTATATAGATTCAAAATTACTGTTAAACTACTGCTCAGTATAGAGTCCAGCCAATCTGAATGGTAGATGCATAACGTAGATCTTGATGCGGGGTATAGTCTGCCCTGAATACTAAAAAATACTTATTCGGAGATTCAGCCTGAATAGACAGGCCAATGAGACGATTTTACTGACACCGCTAGAGTGTCAAACTTCGCTTCTATATTGGCCGAGACAATAAGCTTGCGGGGTATGCTGACAGGAACAAAGCTTTCCAGGTTGGACATTTGCATAAAAATTTAGGTCTTCAAATACACATTCCTTTGGAATATTCGATATAGCCGCCGCAACTGAATGGTATTCAACCGGTCCTTAGGCTATGTCTCGTAGTTTATGACATGTTCAATATATATTGCGGTGAATTCAATGCCGCTTTGACTCGAAAGTACGTGCGTTGGAAGTATATACTTCGCGTCGGGTAGACTTGGCAAAACAATATTCCCACCAATCCGGCCCGATCGATGAGACTCATCCAATCAACAACCAGTAGATACAAGACTAGCATTGCTATAACAGGAACTGACTTCATGATACCCTCGGAATAATAATGGGTCTGATCCTCCTTGGGCCCCCTAATGGTGACCTTCACAGACCCTTAGATGCATAATTTCTCCGCGCCTTTCCTATACTGGCTGTACAAGATTAATGACTCGGGTTATTCAAAGACTGTTGTCCAGAGTGTGGCATGGTTGCTTATAACCCTAGGCCGTTGGAGATGGGTGATTGCACACAGAAGGAACAGTTCCAGTTCCCAATGGCAAGCAAGAATTGATAAATGAGACAGGATCGATTTGAATGAAATAACAGGGATCTTATCAATTCACTCAATAACTAAGCCACCGATTCACCTTTTTAGCAAAAGCCACACACCAATCATCCACATATATCGTATAGAAATGTGATGCACAAATTACCACCGCACCAAGCAAAACACCTGTCGTCCACCAAGCAACATGAAATGAAAAAGGATCAGCACCCAACGCCGCACCACTAGTCCCATACTCCTGCCCACTCAATATTGAATAAATCAAGTCCCGCAATGGATTCCTACACAATTCATAAATGGTCTCGTGAAGCAGATATAACGCGAACGAGATTTTGCCTAGATACTGGACAGGTCGCGTGTTAAGCGGTCGTTGCAAACAGGGCAACTCTCCGATGGCATAGACCAGCATGGCTGATCCGATTGTTTTCCAGCAAAAGTGGTATATGTTCCAATTATCCTTCCAGCGTGCTGGTTGGAGCACGGAGAGGAATTGGTATCCTGGTGGGAGGTGCCCGTCGTTGCCGAGGCAGAGAAGATAGTATCCAGCGATAAACGTGAGGATAGCACCAATGCGTGAGACAGTGATGCAGTCAGGTCTTTTTGACTTCATGTTACCACATCGACGCTTACCGCCCCACGAGCCTAGACGAAGAGGTGCGGTGAAGAATGAGTTGGGTCTGTCGTCGTCTTCAAATTCTGCCATCTCGAATTCGGCGTTGAAAGGTTCATCCGAGGGCAACGAGGCCGTAGTCGTAGTAGCTCTTTCAGCCAACCAGAGACCCCAGATAAAGCCGAAGATATCCCAGTTGCCATACCAGAGGAAGAATGATGCGATGATCGGAAGACTGTAGAACCTCGACTTTGCTCGCCAACCCGAGAGCCCGACAATAAGGAGGTAGACAACGTTCGACCCTCTAAACTCAACTGGCATAGTCCATAGCTGGCCATTCAGAGCCCCGCGATACTCAAAGGCAATGATGTTTATACTATCAGCCATGTAATTGAGTACCCACGTGATGTGTTTCCAGGGAGCCGTCCATGGTTTGGGCAGTGTATCGAGAAAGGCCTGATCAAACGGCCAGTGATACAGATCAAAAAAGTAGAAGATCTGAGCAAGACTAGCCGTGACCAGCACCGGCAGATAGATGCGAAAAACCCTTCGCACGACGGCAGACGAAGCTCGCGCCAAGAATTGGGGGCTATTTCGAGCTTTCAGGAGACTGATGGAGATCGCATACCCGGAGATAACCATGAACAAGGTTACCATTCCATGGGCAGAGAAGAGGATTCGAATCGGTGGTAGTTGGACGAAATGGCGGTTTCCTTCGGGCGGATCGGTCCAGAAAGACACAAAGGGGTGCCACACGTCGCTCATGAAGAAGTGATCCGCGGCTACGATAGCGGCTGCGATGCCGCGGAGGCCGTCGAGCCATTTGGTGCGTTCCATGGGGGAGGAGAGTGTTAGATCTCCTATTCTTTTCCGAATTACCCCCTCATTCACGTCGAAACTGTTATGACTCCATGAACCTGGGAGGTGTGAGTGTTGGGGCTCAGCTTTGATATCTGATGTGAGCCTGGAGAATAAAAGGGTCCACGCTAAGCCGCAAAACTGTTGTACCAATCACAACGTACTCTGTGAGACATACTACCATATCAGGTTTAGCGTACCATATTTGGCTTAGCGTGGGTCTAGAATAGATCTTTAGGTAGAAATGGCCCTAGTCACGATATTTCCTTGAGGCTCGTTGGGTAGAACTGACCAGAAATCCTTTTCGTAGATATTGAGATCGGGATGACTGATCTTGATATACGTAGAAAACTAGTCTTTTCTGAGTACTATACTCGGCTTCGCAAGTTCCCCCGACCGTGAGAGTTCACCCTCCTTGGTAGCTGGATTAACATGGCAAATCTCAAGTGCGTTCAACTTCAGTTTGAGAGGAACGCACATGTTCATATGCCTCCAATAATGCTGAGAGACCGAAAAGCATCCTCAGATACGAGCGCGAACTTTAATCACCTCCTGTGATAGAACTGAGACCCAAGCCAATCACCCTAACCTCGCAAAGGTGCTATTCTACCTCCTAGCCGATGTATCCTAGCGAATATTAAGGACGAAAAATTGCTGTGAAACAACAAGAGCATAATTGGATATATTGTTACTAAATACTCACTTCAAGCTTTCTGAAGCCGTTCCCATCTCCATATCTGGTCTCAAGCCCCATGCAGTAGTCTAAGAGGACCGTGTTAGTACCGAATCTTTGGTGGCAGGAACTACATGGAAGATAACAAATATCTTCGTAACTATGTTTGAGTCGAGTAATTAGAACTCGTCAATTCCAAAACACCAGACGTCTTTCCCTCTGAAATGCACGTATCCAGTGTTCTACAGCGTCAGCAAGGAGCCGTCGAAGGTACAGCAAACAGCTCCGCTCTTCCAGGACAGACATTCGCAATTATCCCAACCTTACCAAATCCAAACGATTCATAATCACATTCTAACAGGCTAAACAACAGCAAGAATCCTGTACCCATTTCTCCTAATTCCTCCTACGATCCAATCTCACATCACACCACGCCACAAAGTATTCCCGGGGGCCAAACACGGCCCGATCATGCCACCTGAGAAAATCCCACCACCACCAGCTGACCAACAACCAACAAATCAATTCACACCAAATACCAACCACGATAACGACTCACCAAAGAGACATCCAACAAGCCCCTGCGCCTCTCGGTTAGTTCCGAAACTAACCTACAGCCTCCATACAAAAAAAGCGGTGGACTATCGGGAATCCTACTCCCGCGTGGTTCGGCCGCGACCACACCACACCACTCGTGTCCATCGACGTCACGACTAAGAATTATTGTACACGATGGCACCGATAACCCCGGACCCAATTGTTCGGGCGTGAGATCATGTCACCTATCTACGAGTAATAAGCCTGATTTGCCGCTTTATGGCTGGTTCCGACTTTTTGGTAATAGGCAATTTATGGATTAGGAACGGTTAGTCGGGATAAGTGCGGGCGAGGAATTCAGTTGGTTTGGTTCGGCCGCTTAGATGAAGGTGGTACCATGTTCGAAGGAGGTCTTGCCATGTGCGATGAGCCTCTGATTGAGGTTGCGATTTGTATGCTACGTACCTATTCCATTCCGTGGGATTTTCGCGTGGTGGCAGCTATATAAAGAAAGTATCGTCGGACGTGGGTGATATTCTTCTGTTCATCAAAAGACATTTCATATCTACTCAAGTGTACTCTGGTACAAATCTTCTACAACATACATACCTACCTACCTATCAACCATCAGCAATGGGTTCTACATCAGAGACTTCCAAGACAGCCCGCCTACAGAACGATTTCGGGGCTGATTACTGGGTTCGCAATAAGGAGACGCATAGGGTGAGTATCCGCATCATTTTCATTATACTTCTGTGTTATATCAACTTTTTACTAATTATGTCTAAATTCAATAGCAAGCTACCGCTGGACGAGGTCTCTTCGCCGGTCTCCAAGATGTCAAGCACTACAACGTCGACCACGGCTGGGCGCGTCGTAAGTCCGGCGATGCTCAGACTGGATTATTTGGGTCCTTGTGGAATAGGTACGCATCATCTACTTTCTTTACGACTCTTTAGTGTCATCAATTTGTGAGACTTGTTGCTAAATTGATTTTGCCAGATTCGTTGGTGGATCGGCCTGAACCTTCGTTTGATTTGCCTCGAGCAAGGCGGACGCACTGGGAAAGGATCTTGATGTTATAATTTTGTGCTGAATCCATTTGGAGGACGGCATTATATTGCTGGTTATGATAGCTTGGGAGTTATGGTGCATTTCTAGATTTTTATACTGCAAATATTGATTGATTCGAACAAATCAATAAATCTGTTCATGGGAACTAAACGTGTCATTCCCTCAACCCTTGATCAGTGCAAGATGGCCTCCACCACAAGTAGCTCCTTAGACATAATGTGAATATCCTAGATCAATTAATCTATCTTAATGGATAAAAATGCTGGATGATATGTACAACAAACTCCAAACACCCAACCCAACCCAAAATATTTTGAACTAAAACCACGAAACCAAAGCTAGGTCATCACACACTAGCTTCTCCGAGGCTCTCATTCCCAAGAAGTAATCTTCATAGTTCCCTTCTCCTGCAAATTCTGATGCATCTTAAACGCCTGGAACAACAAATGCGGCTCATGACCCATGCCCTTCCTCAGACACTCAAACTCAGCCCGATCAAGATAATCCGTCAGAATAGGCTGATAATCCGGATGAGCGCACTGCTTGATAATAACGCGCGCACGCTCACGCGGCGACAAACCCCGCACATCCGCCAGACCCTGCTCAGTCACAACAACGTCCAGATCATGCTCGGTCTGGTCAATGTGAGTAGCGAACGGAACAATGCAGCTAACACCGGTAGGATCGACCTTGCTGGGCCGTGTGGACGGGGTATGCATGATGCTGTACTTGGAGTTGCGGAGGAAATCGGCCGAGCCGCCGAGGCCGTTGAGCATGCGCGAGCCCATGACGCAGGTGCTGTTGGCGTGGGCGTAGATGTCGACTTCGACGGGGGTGTTCATGCCGATGACGCCGAGGCGGCGAATGATTTCGGGGGAGTTGGAGACTTGTTGGGAGCGGAGGAGGAGTTTGCCCGCGTAGCGCTCCCAGTTGTCGTAGAACCGTTTGAAGCCGTCTGGTGAGAAACGGATGGAGGTCGCGGTGGCGAAGTCTAAGTTGCCGCTGTCGAAGAGGTCCAGGAAGGAATCTTGTAGGACTTCGGTCCAGACCTTTAGGTTGGTGAAGTCGGCGCCGCCCTTGCTGAGACCACCGACGACGGCGTTGGCGATGTTGCCGATGCCGGATTGGATGGGGAGGAGGTTCTTGGGGAGACGGCCGTGCTTGACCTCGTGCTTGAGGAACTCGATCAGGTTGGTGGCGATGGCCTGGGAGCCCTCGTCTTCGGGTGCGTTGGGCTGGGTCTGGTCGGGGTAGGTGGATTCGACGATGGCGACGACCTTCTCCGGGTCGACGGGGATGTAGGTAGTTCCAATACGGTCTTCGGGGGCCATAATCAAGTATGGCTTACGACCGGGAGGGAGATCAGAGCCCACGATATCGTGCAGGCCCTCGAACGAGGGACTCGACGTGTTGACCTCAATGATAACCTTGTCGGCCATCTGGACCAACTCAGGCGAAGCACCGACTGAGGCGCCGGGAATAATTCCGCCATTCTCAGTAATCGCAGAGGCCTCAATGACAGCCACATCGATCTTATTGTTAGGCTTGTTCAAGGTATAGTAGCCCTAAACCAATCAAAGAGAAAACGGTTAGCGCCGATCATATCCCAACTTTCCGCTCTCCGCGGCGGGAACCCCCGAACCCGCAGTACAACACATCCATCGAAGCATACTTACATAGACCAAATCCGAGGGAAACATGCTGAGATGCTTATCAAAGAACTTAATCTGTCCGTTATTGATACCCTTGGCGATTTCCTTTCCGACCTGGTGCGGGCTACGGCGCTCAATCATGTTCAGACGAGCCCAGCGATTCTCCGTCTCTGCACCGGACGAGGCACCCACGAAAAGGGTATATTTGAGTTGACCCTGTAGATTGTTCTTTTCGACATGGTCTGCGAGTGCGGTGGGGACCATCCTTAGGTAGTGGGAGAGCGGATTAGTGAATGCTCCAACTGGTGCAGTTCAACGCGAAGGGATTGCGACACGAGGAATGTAGAGCCCAATTGCGCAACAGGAAACGTACTTGGGATATCCCACACCTGTGAACCCGGACCAGCCGATGTACGAGCCATGGGGGAACAGATCAATGAGATCCTCTGCCTTGGCGAGCTTGTTAAGATACGAGGGCCGGCGGACACGGCTCTTGAGCAAGGCGGAAGCAGCCATGCTGTATGAGTGGATGTAAACCCAGAAATAAAGAAGCAAAAAAGAAGCGACTCCGGGGAGAGTGGAGAGTGTCAAACGTTTGTAGAAGGGGGGGAAAGAGTGGAAGAGAGAAAAAAATGGCCGGAGCTTGGGAGGGGGAAGGACACGAGATGTTAAATACGGTCGAATAACCAACCCCACGGGCAGCCCCAAAAAAAGGACTGAAAGGCAAAAAGGTCCACTGGAATTAGAGGAAAAGAATAATACCGGAAGAAGGGAAACTCTGGTCATCTAGCAGAATAATTGTGGTACTGGTACAGTATTCTGGGTAGATTCTCTTCCGCGGGCTTCCTGTGTTTCCTACAGTTACGATATTATTACCACGATGACTTGTACTAGCAAGATAAAATAGATGGATACATTCATAGCTATAATCTCGATCTAATGCTCCTCTTCCAGAACCCAATTGCCTCGTTTCCCACCCCTGACTATCACTACAATCAGAACTTCTTTTTCCTCAATCTCCACCCCACAGCCAGCCTAGTGCAACTTCAACTTCATCTTGACGTCAGCTCGGCATTTCTTCGGCCTCCTCCGGTATTTTCTCGGAATTCCCCGGGACATGCACCCCTCTACCACAAACCCATCCCAAATAGCCTACATGCCCCGAAAATCTCCCCCAAAAATAAACACCGCGAATCGCCAGCCGATCAATACAACCGTCTGATCCGAGCAAAGACTGTGCGTACAATGCAGGTGGTAAGTGCCTAACAGGCAAGATGTAACTAATCACCGAGTTTCGCCCACGCCTAGATCAAATCGTCGCAGGTGATCGCCGGGGAGGCTCCACTCGGCCCGCACTAACAACTTACAGTAGTGAACTTACTCCGTACTTCCACCGTCTCGGACTGTTTCGGTTACTGAGGCTCGGCCGCACGGAGCTATGGAGCTGAGATCTCTGCCTCTTGTTCTGGACGCCGAGGGTATCTCTGTTGTATCAGTGTGTGGAGTGCATATTATACGGGGGGTTGAGCTCGGTGACTATTATTGGAGGCCGATCGTTGAAGATTCTCCCTTAATCTGAGCATGCTAAATTCGATTTTTAAGATAGAAAAGATGTATGTGCTCTCGGTGATATGCCTGCACAAAGAATCCCGGTTACACTACAGAGTCGACTACTCTACTCTACCCTACATTACTACTTTACACCTAATCAAAACAAAAATCAACAATAATCAAGTCCAGGCAAATCTCCATCGGTTATACATAAAATATATAGAAATACAATACAATAAAGGAGGAGGAGGGTGGGGGTGGTTGCTAGGAGACTCTACAAGTGCAAGAAGAATTAAAGCGCAAGTCAGTGATCCATCCACTCAGTCTACCCAGCTCCTAGCCACGGGCATAATCAACCCCTGACTCCCTGATTGGCCATGCAGTGACAACCATCTTCTCCAGATGAAATTCATATCCTCTGTGAACTTAAGAGATAGAAAGGAGAGGAGGATGATCCTCGTCCAACTTCAAGAGCCGGATATTCTCCGGCATTCATCGGTGGACGTCGGAGCCATGGAGAGAAAGCACCACCATATAGCCAGACCAGACCTAACCAGGCCTAGTCAGGTGAAGGAATCCGAGGACACCAGTCAAAGAAAGTGTATAGAGAAGAGAAGAATCTGAACAAAAGCCCATTCAGTATACCAGGCCTATTGAAAGTAGAGTACCCAAGATGAACCAAAGAAAAGCCACAACTAAAATACAAAAAAAATAGTATCGAAGAATCAGAATCAGAATCCAAGAAAGAAGAGAATATCCGCATCAAACTCATTGCGCAATTTCCTCATGTGAATCAAAAAGAAAGAAGAAGAAAGAAAGAAGACGCCATTCCATTCTCTCCGGCAAAAATGCATGGTCCCTGCCTATCCCTACAATCATCAGAAAAGTACTATCAAATCCACACCACCCACCCACCCGCCCAGCCTCCAGAAGTCCATCTCCTTAGTGAAGTCACGGTACACGTAACTTACGCCTCTGTAGCAGCTGGAGGTTCGGCATCTGCCATGTCGGTATCAACCTGCTCGGTTGTCTGCTGAACGTCGCTCTGGGAATCAGCAGTGGCACTGGGTGCAGCAGGAGCCGCGACAGGCTCCGCCGTCTCAGCAGGAACAGAATCCTCCTTCTCAAGCGTCCCATTCAACCAAGACCGGAACCGCTGATTCGACTCATCAACCTTATCCTTACTCAGACCACGTGCCCAATTAGGATTATTGACAAACTTCTCCACAAAACGATCATGACGCTTCTCACGAGTAGAAGTCTTCTCCTTGTTCTGCTCCTCTTCTTTGGCCTTGATAGCCTCTGCGTCAGCATCCTTATCGAGGATTGGCACGGTGGAGCGCCAGAACCAATCGTGGCTGGGGGGCTGGTAGAGGATTGTGTAGTTATTGGCGCAGATGCGAATGATCAGGCCATCGTGGTGCTGGAGACGGCGGTAGAAGCGGTCGTATTCCTCGTCCTCGTCGAGTTTGTGGGGGAGGTTGCGCTTTAGGAAGGGCATGCGCATGTCGGAATATGAGACGCCTTCGGTGGGATCGCGCATGGAGTAGGCTGTGACGTAGTAGGACCAGCGGGCTTCGGGGTGAGATCTTCGCTGTCTAGGGTGGCGTCTTCGTTGGTCATGACCTGGACGGTGACGTGACGGTCGGATGGGAACTGCACGGGTATTTGATTAGTATATGGCTACCAGATGAAGACGAAAAGATACTCACGTAGGTAATACGGTACATATCGCCTTCCTTGATCAACCTCTCCACCTGCTTGCGGTATTGCATCTCTTGATGATGGGTGGTTTCTGTCTTTTCGCGTTCCTTGAAGAACAGGTTCGCGATATCCGAGCTGCGGTCCTTGATATCGGCAGTGAATATCATACCCACGAACTTGCCAATAGATGAGAAGATGCGCTCCAGGTTGTACAACAGATAACCACCTTGCATGTAGAATCGACGGAGAGTCTCTTCCAGGTGGAGCTGATCGATGTCCCCGCGGATAACCTCCTCGCACATCCGTACAATCTGCTTGTACAGGTTGGCCTTCGGGTCAACATCGTAGAAGAAATCACCGGGGAAGCGGTCAATCAAGCACAACTCGTGGGCAGGCTTGGGCAAAAGACCACGGCGGACCTGCTCGTGAGCCTCGGCTTCCTGCTCCTTGATGCGCAGCAGCCGAGAGTACAGAATCTCGAAAGTGCGCAGGAGGCACAAGAGGGTCAAATTGGAATACATGTGGTACTCAGTCTTCTTGTACTTCTCGTTCAGGGTGTACTCGCGCTCCAGATTGAAGTTACCCTGGCCAGGATGCTCCATCCACTTCAACTCGGCGACGTCAAAGTGGTCCTCGGGCTCGGAAACGGCTGTAGAGGTCGCCCGAACATCCGGAGTGGCGAGCTGGGTCGTGGCAGGCGCAGAAGCAGGCGCAGCATTGGGAGCAACACCATCTTCCTGAACCTGGGCATTGCTCTTCTCTGTCTTGCGCTCGAGAGTCTCACGCAAGAGATCCAGCTTCTGCGTGTTGACAGCCTTACGGCTGGCCATGGAAGTATCATCAGCACCATACTGATCCTCCAACTCCTCGGCAGGAGTAGCATTGAGCATCAACTCATCCATGTAATCAAGGAAAGCCTCACGGTCCAGTCCAAAGAAAACAGGAATAAAGTCTTTGACAAAGTTGATCAGACGAGACGGGTCCGCGCCAAAGGCGTTGCTACTCCGATCAAAGAAGAGGCAAAGTAGATGGGCAGTGTCCAGCAGAACATCCAGATCCTGGAACTTCATCTCCATCTGGTACTTGGGGGGCTTCAGTCCGCCCTTGCGCATGGTCTGGGTCTCCTCAAGCTTGGCCTGAAGATCTGCTTGTATGTTCTTAGCAATGAACAGCTTCTTATCGGTTGAACGAGTGGCTATTGCCTGGTGATCCAGACTGCGCCAGTAGGCGCGCTGCATCTGTTCACGCCAGACCTTGTCCCATTCGCGCTGACACGCCTTCCACTCCTCAAGCTTTTGCTTAAGGCGGTAGAGAACGATAGGCAGAACCTGGCATGGACGCTCAAACATGTCGCGGATAATCTTCTCACCACGCTGGCGGTCATAGACCTTCTTGATCACGCGCTGATAGATGGCCTCACTCTGACCACCCAGGCCGGGAGGCAACTTGAAGTTCGCCCGCTCGGCTTCAGACATGTGCAAGAACTGTTGGCAAATAGGCTCAATGAGCTGAATAGTGCGGGTGCAGGCCTCGATGTGGTGATCGTAGTCGTGACGATCCTCTTCAATGCGGTGCAGAGCATCTTCAAACTGGTTCTTTCGGTGGGCAACGAATCCGGAATCTTCCGAGGCCCAGGTGGGATGTGAAGCCCACTCATCGTTCAGGACATCATGGCAAAGCTGATCACGGCCACTGCACGGCTTCTGGCGCTCGCGCTTGGGCAGCAAACGATAGCTTGGTCCCAAGGACCGACAGTGTGCGAGGTTCACCACGCCAGCCTCAGTCTGGGGCTTGGGGTCGATGGTCTTGTCCTCAGGCTCTTCCACATTCATGAAGCGCTTGAACCAGCTCATGAGCTCAGCGTTAGAGCCGATGAAACCCTCTGCCCGCTTGACCAGAACAAACCGATCAATCAGGTCATTGGTGTACAGGTTGCACAACTTCAAGAAGTCACTGAAGATCTGCTTGTTCGCAATGAACTTCTTGACACGGTCAAAAAAGGCAATCTCCTCCTGGCTGGGTGTGGTCATCACACTTGGGGGAACCGGTTCGGGGAGAGCAGGGATCAAAGTTGGAGAGACGTTGGCCATGTCAGCGCCAGAAGGCTTGCCATGGTAGTGCTTGGGTCTCTGTGATTATTCGTCAGCGAACAGAACGCGGTGTGCGAAACAGAGATGGAGGTGAGAGAAGACAGGGAATGGAGCCAAGCCTGCCCGTCACATCTACACCATGAAGTAAAAGATGAACTAACTTTGTTTCCATTAGTGAAAGAGCCCGCAGGGGGACCTCCTCGAGCCTCGGGCATGCGAGCCGCGTCAACACCAGCAGGTCCGGACACGGACGAGAGACCAACACCAGGGCCACCACGACGCTTCTTACTCTCCTTCCCGGAGTCCTTAACGTTGAACTGACCGAGAGGGGGCATCTTCACGTCACGGCTGGGAGTAGAAGAGGGTAAGCCAACAGGCTCACCACGGAGGTTAGAGGTAGGGACGGCCTCTTCGGCCATTCTTGCCTGCGCCTGCTGCTTCGCGTGGGCAGCAGACTCAGGCAAGAATTGCTTGAAATCCTCCAAGAGGTCAGGAGCAGTGTTGAAAAGTTGAGTAACCTGAGCGTAGACGTCCTGGATGGGCTTTGACTCTCGCTGGTAGGTCTGCAAGATTTCAAGGAATTGTTTGTAGATCTCAGGCGCGGAGGAGAAACGGTTCTGGGAAGAAAAGTGTCAGAAGAGTTATGGGGTAAGTGGGGAGAAGTGAGGGAAACAGACCTTTATCTTGTTCACATAACTGATCGCATGGTTGAACTCGACAGGGCCCCGCTTGTTCAAATCCGCATGCCCACCCTGAAGCATCCCACCTACGCCGGCCAAACTACTCATTGTTTGATTCGATCCAGCTCCAGAAACTGGGAGCATCGACGGTCTTCCCAACCCAGATGCCGCCGAAGCTGCCCCCTGCAACTGGGCCACACCACGATGATCCTGAGGATGAGACAGCGCCGAAGCACCCTGAGCCTCCTGGGTTTGATATCCAAAGTGATGATCTTGAGGAGGGGCCTGCCCTTCCTGCTGGTACATGGCAGAAGGACCCATCATACGCGAGCCGGGAGAATATGAGCCAGGTGCACCTTGCTGATGACCTTGTGGCTGTTGCTGCGGAGTCTGCTGCCAGCCAGGGCGAGACTGTTCGTAATAATCAGCACGAGGGTGAGCGCCATGGCCCCCAGAAGGACCCAGATCATTAGCAGCATCAAGTGAGCGGCCCGCGCGGGGCATGCTCAGGGTGTTTGTCCCAGATGGGGTGGTTACGCGAATCGCATCTGGATTGTCTTCAGTACCGCATTCGATACGGTATCCTGGAGGCAAGAAGGTGTTGAAGCCTTGGATGAGGGCAGGATGACCGTTAAATAACGTCGAAACCCTCTGAATGACACCTGGAGTGTCGATGCTATTGACGCACTATTAGTACCCCTCAAGCTTCACACCCCAAAACAGGGGAAAGTCTGGAAAACTCACGCTTGACTCTTAAAGTCCTTCATTATATCCAAGAACCGATTGTACACATCGGGTTGGTCTACAAATCGCACCTTCACCTGATCCAAATAGCTGAGGGCATCCTGTTCCACCAACGGTACGTGAGCCCAAGGCATGTGCAGTGAGAACCCGATTGGGCCACTTACGTTGAGAATCGGCTGCTGACCCTGAGCCAGGGCCGCAACATTCCCGGGGATCTGCTGCCCCTGTCCATTATATCCCATCATGGGAGGACCTGCAGGGTGTTGCATATATGATCTCGGGGTACCATCGCCGTGCGGCATCTGAGGTCCACCGAAAAGAGCCGCCGGTCCACCGGGTTGTTGGACATTGGCCTGTGGGCCATTGGGCGGGTTGGTGCCGAGATTCGACAGAAGACCGTTCGGGCCGTGGATGGAATTGGGCACTTTCGAGGCGACCGGCTGGTGGAGGGGAATTGAGCCCGTGTGGCTCTGAACCGGGTGGTGCTCGCGTTGGCGTTCCATTTGCTGGCGCTCTATCTGTTCGCGCTCGCGGTGCGCCATCTCTTCCTGGCGCTGGCGCTCGAGGATCTCACGCTCTCGAGAGTCCCGCTCGCGCTCCCGGTTCAGAGACTGGGGGGAGGCATGTGACATGGCCTGGCCAATGCCGGGAAGAGAGTGACCGGTGCCATGAGCCGGGCCCGCGGGGTGCTGTCCGTACGCAGGCGGTTGGTGAGGAGCCCCGTGGCTCTGGCTCAATTCTGCTAGGCCGGGGAGGGAGTGACCGGCTTGGCCACCGGGGTGGTAGGGACCTGTAGAGAAGCGCAACAAGGTTAGTTCATGCATCTTACCCAGGGGACTCATTCGACTCCCGAGGTCGAAGACAGTCGCTATCGAAAGATTGTAGAGGGCATTTGCTAACCGGATGGAGGAGGGAGAACGGGCCCCGAGGGTTGCGACGCCGGGCCTTGCTGAGGGGGATTTTGACTATAAGCCAAAAGATCCAATATTAGCATCTGATAAAGCACCCTATCGGTCTGAAGTAAATCATTCCATACCCGAACGACCCCAAAGGCCGTGGCTGTTGGTTCATCTGATCCATGCCAGGGTGCGACGGAGGCCCACCGGCCGAGGGATGCCAGGAATCATTCCCAGAGTTCATGATGAGCTCATGAACTCGGATGCGCACGTAGAAGCAAGATCAGAAGGTATAAAGCGTATAAATCGATTTCGAAAAGGGGGTTGTGGGTGAACACAAAACGTCTGACGCAGGTGTCGAGCTCCAGCTGTTTCTTTGGGTTCTGGGTTCGCTATTCTCGCTCACTTGGGAGGTACCACTCTGAACACGCTGGGTCATAGCATGGCCAGCGCCTTCGGACTATATAGAAGAGGTATACTCGAGACACAGCCTTTGACAACTGCGATGACGACGACGAGATCTAAGGACAAGAGAGTGCGCGCGACCGATCGCGGGCTTCTCCAGTGGAGGCTTTCCTGACCGACTCCCGCTAATCCAATTACAGTTACGCGTGGATTGCTTCGGACCTACCTTTGTCCGGGCGAATCAGACGTTTTAATACAGTATTATTGGGATCTGCTCTCGGCAGAAGGGGGGCTGCCTGGTAATGGTCGGTATTGTCCGAACGATTGATTCTGTCCGCCTTCGTCATCGCCCGTTAGGACGGGCAGAAAAATCCCGCCAGAAATGGGCAAATTCGAGTGGGTGAGAGAGTGAGGGTATGGGATGGGTAGTGGGCAGTCGAAAGTTCATTGATCAAATAGGGGGTTGGGCTTGGGATGGAACATGGACTACTCGGACAGAAGACAGAAGACGGGATAAATAGAATATTAAGAGCTCATTCATCAGAGAATAAGGTATCTTGAAGAGACATGAATCACCACATCATCCGTAACCCCCTAACCCCCACAACACACCCACGAGTAAATGGGAAAGCCATCATGAAACAACGCCTCAAGCAGGCATAACATTCTCTATCATGAAGCGCCTCCGTACAGCGCCTGTGGAATACCTAATAAAAATTGCATACAAACCAGGAGACGAAAAAATGGCGATGGAGGAGAGGAGGAGGGCAGTCAAATGAGAGAAAAACATGGAGAGCTCGAGCGCAAGCAGGGGTTCTGGGGTCCTGCGGAGACTCGCGAAATGGATGGATCCTCTTTGAACAAGAAACAAGAGGAGACGGATAAGGTTGAATCATGGAAAGTCCTGGGATTATGGAATCTGGGCGTGCTGCTATGGCAATTATTTTTGCTTTCATTTTTGTGGGCTGCGTCCTGTTTTTTTCTTGGATTTCACTCTCCCGCCACGGTCAACAGTCCTTCCCACCAGCCACCCGATCCAATCGCCAAGATGTGCTTGTCCAGAAGGAACATGTATGTGGCGTTCCGATGTAATGAGCGGCTCTGTGCCACTTACAGAGCAGAAAAGACGAAGAGCTAGAATCAGATGAATCGAAATCAGCAAATAGCTCCATAAATCGTCACGAAGATGGGCCACAGCCCAGAGACAGCACTTACGTTGTTCGTGGCCGCAATTGCAATGCTATCCTCGAAGGGATGCCAGCTCATGTGCAAGATCTTCTTGTTGAAGTCGATCTGATCGGCATCGGTCTCCTTCTTCATCCGGCTACCAGGGCCAGCAGGGCTGCCGGACCTGGAACCGGCCTTCTTTCCACTGCCCTTATTCATCGGAGTCGGTACGCCAACCTTCTTGGCCTTGAAGGCCGACTTATCCGCCTGTAGCACAATCTCTGTCTCCTTTTGCTCTTCTGTCGGGTAGATCATGAAGTTGTTGTTATAGCTGCCGGTCATGACGTTCTCGGCGTCACCCGAGAAGACCACCTCGAACTTGTCGAAAATGCTGTCATTCTCATACGTATCGCAGAGGCGGGGTCGCAAATGTTCGTGAATGGGAATCGTCTTCACCGGCTGACGTTCCATGTTGACATCCCAAATCTTCACAGTCAGGTAGTCCCTCGACACAATGTACCGGCCGTCATGTGAGAATCGAACGTCAGAGATGGAGGAAATGATTTCGGAAAAGAATGAGCGCGACGAAGCATCCTCTTCTTGTTCAAACACTGTTTATGGGAAAACTTGTATGAGTACGGAACGGCAGTTGGACAAGGGATCCCAGAATTGGCAGGTTGTTTCAACTCACACTTGGCATGCTCATCGCAAAGAGCGCGCTGGCGCATATCCGCCAGCTTGATAGTTCCCTTGGAGCTGGCGTACATGAACCAGTTACAGCTGACCGGGTGGAACTCGGCAGCTGTGATGACCTCGGTAAGTTCCTCCATGTTGGCAGGCTTGATATCCACAATGTTGAAGCTCTGGTCCTGGATGTTGAGGTTCCACAAGTTGACTCGGAGATCATCACTGCTGATGAAGGTCTCGCCATCACTGTTCACGGAGATGCTATTGATATGATACGCGTGGGCGTTCGCATACGTTCTCCGTGGGACGGCGGCAACAACAGTGTCGTGGTGTGTCAGACGAGGCATCTTAAGAGCTCCAGCATCCTTGAAGGTTCCCCGAGGCGCCCGAGGAAGGCCACCACCACCCACGGCACCAGCTGGAGTCATCTCATTCGACAAGTTGTTCTCTGCCACCACTTTGAGAGATTTGTCGAATACCTTCCAAAGCTTTATAGTCTTGTCGTTTGTGGAGAGGAGGAAGTGGGATGCATTCTGTCGTCGACACCATTTTATCTTGTTGATCTTCTCTTCGATCTCTAAGGATTTGAGGTAATCGAATTCCGGCTCGTGGGATTGAAACTCGGTATGGAACTTATACTCGCAGGTTTTTTTCTGTAGTTGTGCCGATCATTTAGCATGGGAGCTTTGGCCACCGGAAGAATCGAGAGAGCTAAAGAGCTGAAGGGAGGGAGGAAAAGAGGAACATACCGTCTCATTCCGCTCAAACAAAACCACACGTCCACCCTTGTCTCCCGTAGCCAAATAATTACCGGTGTGGTCGAATTCAACGGTCGAGATGATATCAGCTGCGGGAAAACCTTGAGTCAATCTGGCCGTTCCTTCGGGTAAGGTGATGGAGCTCGTGGGGATGGACTACCTTCTGTGATATCTTCTACATCACCTTTATCGCCGAAGCATCTGAATAGATCCATATCAGTCAAAAGTTCGCCCGCTTAACGCGTCGCCCCGAGAAATTCCGGTGCATCACGGTCACAAAGCCACGGCATGGCAGCTCCATTTTCGGCGGCGACTCACTGTGTGAACTTCCAGGTGGGTGTGCCTGGATCTCTGTCTACCATCTTTTCGTTCTAGGGTCGCCCTGGGTCGCAAAGGATGCAGTCGGGGAGACGGAAAAGAAATCGGCTGAGGTAAATGACTTTTTGAGTCTCCAAAAGCTCTATCGGAGATGATGCAAAAGAACTTGGAATAAGGTCGATCCGGAGGATTGACGACAAGGCGGAACCGGTCGGACAGACGCAGAGCCGCGACACGAAGCTGGAAAATTCAACGGAGAGAAATGGCGAGAGTCGACAGTCGGTCACACTTGGTCGGTCGATGGGTTGCGAGGGGCTCGACACCGATGACGAGAGACCGCGAGGGAGGGGAGGAGGGGAGAGAAGGAAGCGGGGGAAAGGTAGGGCAGAGAAAACAGCCCGATAATTCTTTCGAAGCTAGGATGAACCGATGACCGTCCTGGCGTTGATGGCTAACGCAGATGGACCAGGATGGGGGGGAGGAAGGTTGAGTGGAGGAGGGGAGTGGTTGAAAAGAGGAGCAAACGACCCGACTTGTTATGAGTGGACCCGCAGCAGAAGAGCTTGAGAGGGGATCATAGGAAAGACCTGGATGGGCAGAAAGCCAAGTTAGGATGGAATGGACTTGATTTAGGAGAAGACTATGGAAGGAGCGAGAGTAGGGTGAGGATAGGAAGATAAAAAGAGAGAATTCTTACAGGTAGAAAGAAGTGTTGGTAGAGTGGTGGTGGTGGTGGTGGTGGTGGTGGTGATGAGTTGGGTTTTTGATTTTGGGTGGTGCTGAAGGACGGGAAAAGGTGAAGAGGTGAGGCGGTGGTGGATGTTTGGTGGGGGAGGGGGGCAGACAGTGACAGACTCAGCACTCTAGTTAACTAACTAGTTAGTAACTACTCTTAATACTAGACTACAGTACTTAACCAAATCAAAGTCACCTTTTTTTTTCCTTCCTTTTTTCTCTCGCTCTCTTTCCATTCACTTATTCCACCTTGGCGACCAAGTCGAAAACTTCTCTTGGATCAAAGATCTCGGCAAAATTCGAGAGTCTAGAGTCCCATTCGCCCAAGAAAATTGAATGTCGCAAACGTGGACCGCCAAATGCTGACATCAACACTGGCGGATCACTGTAACATGGCCCGAAGCAGACAACGACAAGAACGACGCCTTGGTTCCTGGATGTGAGTATTAATTTGACATCTAGTGGATTGATTTCGAGAGAATAAATCAATTGATATGATCTTAATTCATCTATATGCTGTGTAATTATATGTAATGGCTTGATATTCGCCCTGTACACTGTCCCCTCTTCCCTCTTCCCTGGACAGCTGCAGCTTGTACCATCGGATCTCCGCCTCTGTCGTCATCCTGTTGGGGCCTCAAGTAAATATCCACGAAAATCAAGCATTGGACCTATCATTCTACTTGTAGGGGCTCCGAAGTATGTAAGTGACCAGCCGAGGTCATGTATATTCGTCTCGAGTCGTTCTATGTCTTCCATAACAGAGTCTCTGCCAGCTCAGGGCTATCTAGGCCGACATATATATAACGTGTCATACTACACAGCCAACATTAACACTTTGGCTATAATACACCCAACTCATCCTTGTAATATTTAGATCAACAAATATCCCTGCATTCAAGAAAGAAGAACTTACCCTCATTATTTAGAACCCAATCCTCTTAGCATCAAGTTCATCCTATACTAACCAACCTCAGCCCTATCCACCCTTCACATGCTTCCCTTCCTACTTCGTCCGGCCCAGGGCTCCTCCCTTTACCCGACCGAACCCTTCCAACTCTCCCCTCAAGCCATGAACCCCAAACGTCCGTACAAAATCCCTACAATTAAACACCAACCCACCCTCAAACCCCCCTGAAGTCCCATCCACCCTCTCTCACACCCTTACCCTCTTACCCTCTCGCCCGATCGGGCACACCCACCACACCGCCAGAACGCAAGACCAGCCAGCCATGCCCGACGACCCGGAGAACATGCGGGGTACCCGCGACTCTGCCCGCCGCCACAATCCCGACCACGACGAGACCCCGGCCGCGATAACCGACGCAAACGCTCCGAGCAAACCCGCCTCAACGAGTGAGCATGGAGCGCCCTCGCTGGCGAGTCGCATCCAGAATTCCGCGGCGGGTCTAGCGAGGAGCGCGATGCAGGGCGCGGGTTCGTCCTCGGCCTCGGATGCGGCGAGAACGTTGGCTGGTGCGACGCAGGGGAAAGTCGCGGGCCCGTCGGCACTTGCGTCGGCCGGGTCGGGGAACCTTGCCAGCAGGGATATTGCTGCGCGAGGGTCAGGGGTTGGAGCTGGAGGTACATACTCGGGACCTGGGACGGGGGAGTCTTTTCGTAGCGAGATGACGAGTTCGACAGTCGGTGGATTTGAGATTCCGGCTTTGTCGGAGGAGGCGTTTCAGCGATTGGGCGTGTATACGGATGAGATGAGCGTACAGCTTGGAAGTGAACAAGGGAATGCGTACCGCGATTCGAGTCTGTCGGATCTACAAAGTGAAACAGGGAATTGGAAGGGCAAGCAGCGGGCGCATGACCCAAAGCAGCTGGATTATACCAGTGCCTGGGAGCGCGCAGATAACCCCGGGTCCCAGGTACACACGTACGAACCACAACCCAGCGACGGCGCGGCTGTGATCTCCCTGCTCACGGATACATCGTTCGACCCAGACTTCGGGGGCACAGAAGATCTAGATACCGATCTAGCCGCGGCACCACCACCATTGACAGCCGCCGAGATCAAAATGTTAGACTCGTTCCGACGACAGATCGGCGATTCATCGGATCCAAATACCCAACATCAAGCCCCGGGGCTATCAAGTCTCAGCTTGGTCCCGGATATAGACACTTTCCTCCAGCAGAACGATCCATCTGCGTTTACGCATAGCACGGATACAAGTGCGGCGGCGAATATGACCCTCCGCGACTCGGTTCTCGAATACCTCCCCGGTGCGGAAGATTGGGTTACCGTTCATGAGCGGTACCATGATGAAGTCTGGGGGTATCTTCGACCTGCGCTGGAAGCGGCTAAGGCGGAGATTGAAGAGAGGGGGCCGGAGACGCAGGAGGGAGATGAGAATGATGGCCCGGCTGTGAGGAGGTTGAAGATGATATTGAAGCATATGCGGGAGTGATGGTTGCATTGAATTGCATTTTTGCGTTGCATTATATACGGATTATAGAGGACATGTACAGATAGTTTGATTTGAACCCATTAAGCGTGTCTAGAATTAATCTCAATTATTTGACCCACGCTAGAGTAGCACACGCGCGAGTATTCTGTATCCTTTCTACCTGGTTGTGTACTTTTAAGGCTGGGTGTCTACAGCAATCGGTTTTTTATAATTCTACAAAGGGAGTGGACGTGTTGCGTGTTATCTATGGGGGACTCGCAGGTCAGACCATACCCAGCTACGCTTAAGGAGGTCACTTACCATAACCTCATAACCCTCTCACAGATATGTACCGCTACTTCTTAGGTAGAAAAGGGCTGGCTGTGTTTATGTACTCTTGTACATCTAAGATCATTCCAGAACCCCTGGGCGCTTAGAACCTGCATGCGCCACAATCACCTGACAGCGGGGATCTGGGTTCAGCTGGGGTTGCTCTCAAGGCTCATGACAATTTCATGTCTGTGATTACCTTAGCCTTTGACCTCAGCGGAGATGTTTCCTAATAAACACACTCAAAATGAACCCCGAAATCTCCTTCGGTGATTCAAACTCAGGCCTCCAAATAGGAATCAACAACGGCCCACTAAACACACAGCAGCTCCACCTTACGGGGGACATCAACATTCGTACGAGGTCACCTCGCATCTTATATACATACCATCCATCCATCCATACTTACTTATCATCTATATCCACCAGAAAACATCACAACAATCCGCCCCCTAGCCCACTCAGTCTACAAATCCCTCTTCAACGCACCCGACCTCTTCACCCAAGTCAGAGATGAACTCGGCCTCCTCGTCTCCGTGCTAATAGCGACAGAGGAACATGCACCCAAGTTCCGGCCCGATGACCCCCAATTATCCGAGTTGGAGGATGTGTTGAGTGGTTGTTACAGTGTACTTCAAGATCTTGTACGGTTGAAGGAGCATTTTGATAATGTTGGTGCTCAGACACAGGTTACTTGGGAACGGATGGGGTGGGGAGGGGAGGAGTTGGCGGAGATCAGGGGGAAGTTTTCGTTGCATATACAGGTTTTGAATTTTTTGAATACGAGGATGTTGAGGTGAGTATATATGACCCTCAACCGTTGACCTTTGGCTTGAGAAGGGGAATTTTTGCTAATACGCAACTAGGTCCTCTCATGAAAACGTCGAACGGATGTTAGAGGCGTTTATCGGGGAGATTCGCAGCGGGAAACGTGAATCGGCGGCCATGTCATGTGTATCAACTGCATCACTGACTGTGGATGAGAAAGAGGCGTGGAGAATGTTGAGGAAGGAGCTGCAGAGTATTGGCATTACTCCGGGTCTTTTCACGCAGCATCGGCGGTTGATTCTCAGCACACTTCAAAAATTCCTGACTCAAGGCCAAGTCGCAGATTTTTCCAGGGTGTTTGAAGCAGAGGAGACAGAAACTGCATCAGAAGCCGCTGTCATCAACACAGATAGCTCTGTTCAAACCGCATACAAGAAGCTCACTGCCAGTGACGAGGAATCCCCCACTGGACGTCAATTGGAAATTCCCGTGACAGCATCGGGGACTAAACAAAAGAAACGACTAAATATCATGACACGCTTGACATCACGAATGATGCGCTTGACTACTGGGAAATCAATTGATAAGGAAATCTCAAAACCGTTTACTGCTGGACTTCGATACCAGTTTCACGGGGTCTGCATGGTATGCCTAGAGGATATTGAGGTTCCTGATTCCTCCGGGCCAGCTTCCACAAACGAACATAACATCCTTGAGGACTTACCTAGTAACTTGATCCACTGGAAATTCATGGATACCCCTTGCGGACACACGTTCCACATTACTTGTTGGAAACGCCGCCTGGAATATCCCTCGCGATGCCCTATCTGCTATCAAACCATTTCCTTGGATAACAAGTCTTTGGATTCATCACCCTGCGACAACGAACTCAACACTCAAGAACAAACCCAACAAACTTCCGTGGATAAAATCTATACGAAGGATCCTAGCACTGGTCGACCTGTTGTCCTTTTCAATGTTGTGGGTCTTTTCGATTTCAATGTCGATGGCGATCACCTAGAAAGTGGGTATCCCTATCTGACGTACTCACAGGGAGAATTGTTTAGTGTCATAGCCGAAAAAGAGGAACTCTGGTTAGCTTTTCATCGGAATGACGCCGAATGTAAGATTGGATGGCTCTGGAAGGTGCAATTTTACCAATGAACATCCTTCTTGTGAGACTGTCTTTCAAATTTTACGTGGTAAAGTTCGAAAATTCAGATATACTATATTCAAGAAATAGCTTGTCTGTTTCAGTCCGCCCCTTGATATTAATGACTTTACTCCCTCAAAGCCTCTCACGGGGCCTTTGCAAGGCATTTATAGCCTCCATAACATCCATCATATCATCAGCTCTAGCTGCCGGACTTCCCCACCGCACATAGCCCTCCTGATCAACAGCCCAGTGGCCAGCTGATTGCCATCTACTCCCACTCTCAGTCGGCCTATTCCAAATCCCCTGTCCCCTCCCGAGCTTCCAGATATTCACCATCGCCGCGGCACTGAGAACATGACCCCACGGTACAACTCCTAACCCCCATTTCGCGTAAGTCTCACGCTCCGCATCAACGACTACCTTCACCGAGCCTGGACCTCCAACGGCATTCAGCCATTTCTCAGTTGACGGCTGGTCACTATGAGATATAGCAATAAAGTTGATATCAGGGTGGTGAGTAGCCGCAGTACGCATCGCAAGTAACGTTGCTTCAGCGACTGTCGCAGGGAATACCAAAGTCAGCTTCGCTTCAATTTTAATTGGTTTTCTTGCGCGACGCTAACATACCTGGACACCCGCAGTGTCGAAGAAAAGCAACGATGGTTGGCTTCCCATGGTCGGCGGGAATGACCAATTCTGGGTCCGAGGGGGCCTTATCGCCGGCTCTGGGGACAGTTGCTGGCTCGATGTATGATGGAGAGGACCATGACTTTAACTCTTTGGAGATATTCATTCTGATGGAGGTTGTATTTATTGTTTTGCTTTCATCGTTTCCCGTGATAACATGCGAACTTGCTGAATGATAGCGGGGTTTACTTGCCCTAAGCCCAAATAAGAGTGGCTTAGCTACGTCATTGCCTTGAGAAATGGAGGAGTTCTGGATACATGTAAGCGAATGGGCTAGCCACTTTTTTCTCATAGACAGTTTGCACAGATCTTTTGTAAATTGATCTTGGATCAGCCGAGAGGCTGGCTTTGACTCGCGATCTGCCTTGGACGATGTATACCGGCTAATGGTTCTAGAAGAAGGTGATCCTCGAACTTGATTTTCAAAATCGTCTTATCAGTAAACGATGGACAGTCAAGAACCCTTAGGATTGAAAAACGACGGTTCAAAAGCCAGCCAAAAAGATAATTTATAAAAAAGAGTGCTAAAGCATATGTATTCACGTATGTAGTCGGATGTCGAGGCCAGATGAACATGTTCTCCACTATATCCAAAAGGGGTATAGTGTGTCCTGAAGTTGTCGTAGGATTAGCCTCGGCCCTTTTTGAGTGATCTTAATACATAAATAAATTAATAGATTGAGGGCTCTTTCTTGAACAGCTCAGTCCAAGTCGATAGAGGGAATAAGTTATAGGCCATTTGGAAAATGTGCATGCTCGCTTTTCCCTGAAGAGGTACTGTGGCCAACATCGATGTCCTTATGCAGAGCTAATCTCGAAATTGACTAGTGAACCTAATTGCCGTTGCATTGACTGCTTGGATGAAAATAGTGTCTTGCGGATGGAAAAGGAGTAGGTAAACCACTTTCTATTAGCTTTTGATTCAATGTTGGAATTATTCTACACCACCAACCCAGGTAAAGGTGAATTTGGCGCCTGAAACGGCTAAACTTGACGCCATTTTAAGCATCCCGCCTTCCAGAATCTTAGTCATCGATCTCACCCCCGACAGGATCTAGCTCAGCCCACTATTTCCGTCAGCTCCCTGAGTAATCACGGATTATAAAAGGAATTCCCGGAAACCTTACATCTCTACCCTATCAAGTTGGGATAATGGGACCGAGGATTGGAAATTGGGACTTGGATGTCTTCTCGGGGGAGTTGAGCTGCTTTTCGAGCCACTGATGATAAGCGAGGAGCGCTAAGCCTCAATCTGGCAGATTATTGAACCCCTACTGTACCTCCTCAGCTCTACGAGTTTGTCTCCATCCATATTCCACTTCTCTGCAGGAACACTCCTGCAGATTTGCGGCTGGAATTACTTTCGGAAAATATCCTTGCTCCTCCTTTAACACCAGGGATGCAGTCACCGGCTGCGTGTGTCCCCTGCGCCCAGAAGAAGCGCAAATGCGATCGTCTCCTACCCGCGTGCTCGCGCTGTAGCAGGTGCGCTTACCCGCTTCAAGAATCTGACATCCTCTGACATCCACTTCCAGTGTCCGGACGAATGAACGATGTTGGTACAAAGATCCGTCCCAGCCTATTGGCCCTGTAGGGTGAGCTTCGTCCTCTTCTCCGCTGTTTCTGTGTCGACATGCCTGCCTTCAAGCTGGCACTCATCTGGCTTGAACATCAGCTAATGAGTTTGTCGTCGCGCGTGGTAGGCCAGTTGTAGCATGGCAGCAGCCCAAGGCCGAGATGGCCTGCAGAGAGTGTCGGAGTCAGAAACGAGCCTGCAATCGGGTGTTGCCCTCATGCACTCGCTGTGAATTGTAAGGCCGAGACCGCTTATCATTATCATTCATAGAATATGAACAGTCTTTGCTAATATGAGCATCACAGACAGTCTAAAATATGTGTCTACGACCCTGACCCGGCGCGCAAGCGTGCCTTGACCAAGTCGTCCCGTAAGTCTTCCAGTCCTCTAGTATTAATTTCGTGGCAAACTAAATTCTCATCCGATTTAGACCAGAATCTAAATAAAATATCGACCGGGATTTCCAGAGCCAGGGCGCATGTGCGAACCCTCTACGGGCCGGAAATCTGCATTAATTACCCCGTACAAGGCTCAAAGTACATCCCAGGCTTAATTCATCACTGTTGGACTTTCCCTCTCCCGGGTCCATCTCTTGGAATACTGACCTAATCACTCGTCTCTAGTTTGCTCAATTCTTGTAGTACCAGCCACGGCTGCTCTGCCGAACAGTCTTGCGGGACATGTCCAGTCAACCTGGATGCTTAGTGCTTTGGGCGACCCATGTCTCTTGCATGCGACTCTCTTCGCCGCATCGGCGCACATGGATGGTTTACTCGGCCTCGCTAATAACCCACGCACAATCTACCACCAGCTCCAAGCAGTCAGAATGCTTCGTGAGCGACTAACGCAACCGAATTTTCGGGTCAATTACGAAACAATAGGGGCCGTCTTGGGGTTAGGCTTCTTCGATGTATGCCCACACTCATTCCATGCATTATTTGTCTGGCTACATACTTAAAATTTTCCCACAGATAGTCATTGGAAACGTCGATGGCGTCCAGGCGCACAATAAGGGCCTCATCCAGATGGTGGCTGCGAAGCATGACCGAGGACCAGAGACCGAGGCGTTGATGGGCCTGGCCAACATGTGAGTAACCATGTATATTGCAATCTCGTTCGCAATTCACTGACCCTTAATAGGACGCACTTTACCCGCTCCATGGTCTCACACACCGATGCCCTCTTCCTCCCCTACTCGACGATATCACGCGGCAGCAGCCTCCCTCCCGTGCATCCTCTTGCAGGGATCTTCCCCTCGAGCCTTCTCAGCCGAGTCCTCGCGCGCGCTGCGGCCCGCACCGATAGCCTCACACCACCAGTTTTCACCCCAGACACCGTGCTCGACCTCATCAGCATCGCACATGTAGTGACCCACCAAGACGCGACAACACCTCTCCACGAATCCGTCTCCGACACGAGTGCAGCAGCAGAAGCAGCAGCGACGACACTAAATCTCGGCGCTGAGGCTCTACGACGCGCATCTTTCTTCCCTTCCCTCGAGGACCAAAGTCCAATGGCTCAAAACATGAATAAATGCGTTCAGATAGCCGCGAAAATCTGCCGTAATCTCCTCCTCCTACGCGCCGCAAGGACCGAACCAAGCACATCATCATCACCACCACCACCAACTTCAACAACAATGGTAAGTAGAAATACTCCGATAACACCAATAATAACATCATCAATACCCATATCCTCGGCCACCAAACTTCATCCCCTGCACGACGAAATGTCGCTCTTAAAAGCCACGCTACCGAAAATCGAGTTCATCCCGTGGTTACAGCACGCGCCGGAGGCATATGTCTGGGTATGCTTTACAGCCGCGGCCGCCTCGGCAGCACCTTATTACAGGGGCGAGGAGGGAAATGGTCAGGATGAGAATGACGACTGGACGTCGTTTATTATCACACCCATGCCGGTGATTACGGCGATGGACTCGGCGGAGCTTCGCCTATTGCGGGAGGGGTGGGCGTATTTGAGGTGGTTGCGGGGGAAGTATTAGGCGGGGGTTTAACTAGGCATGACAGATTGGCGTTTTTGTGAGGTGTCTTGGGTGTGCCTTACAATAATTAAGCACGGAGTTAAGAACTAGGGCATAATATTTATGTATTATTCAAGCTATCTCTAATCATTCTGATGATCATAGAGAAATAAGCCCTTCCTTCAGTCGAGTTTAAATACCATCATAGTGGGAGGAATCAGCAAGTAGGTGCCTAATTACATTATCTAACCTATCGGACCTTTGGTTCATACAGATATACTTCTGTTAAATCCGCTGCAGGCACCTATCGCTGTCTCACGTACTAGTGGCCGGGGTCTTACACCTTCCTATTTTGGTATGCAAAGAAACAATTTTACTTCACACGCCTCCTAAATGGTAAATGCGGAAGGAGGCGGCTGAAATTTGACGCTTTACATAGATTCTTCCTCCGTAATTAGAGCTCAAACCTCGTTAGCCTAGTACCCCGCACCGTATGAACTACCACTCGACAAAGTGCAGTGATGTTCCATCAGATTTTAACACACCCACGGAGTAGACTCACCGCTATCCCCGCCTACTATATACGGACAGAATATTATCTAATCCAGGACGTGTTCCAGAAGATTTATGGAACGTCACTGTTGATTCGTTAAACCTAACAGTAACCACAGTGACTTGCTTACCGCACCAAGGCCAAGTTGCTCAGCTGGACTAGAATAGTTGCCATGATATGAACAAACACCATATTGAGTAAATTGAGTTTTTCATTATTGACAGGTGATCTGTCGTTGTCCAGCTGAACTAGTATAGTTGCCATGAGCTCTAACCAAACACCACATGGAGTAAATTGATTCCTTCATCAATGACAGATAATCTGTCGACTACAGCTACTATTTAAACAAGTGATGTTCCCGAAACCTAGGGCTTATTCCTGACAGCTATCAACTCAGAATTATATCTTGCCTCTAGAAGTATATTCATATTACAATATGGGCGAGAAAGACTTTTGGTCCACCGAGGTTCGTTACCTTCCGATGTAACTTTTCTACAAGCTGACCAGTGTATAGACCTACGAAGCAGTTGCTTCCTTTGTGCCTCACTTTGCAGACACTCTAGTCCAGAGCATAGAGTTCAGCCCTACTGATCGGGTCCTGGATATTGGATGCGGTGATGGGAAATTCACCACCTCTTTTTCTCCCGTAGTGGGATATGTGATGGGAGTTGATTCTTCCCCGGCAATGATTGAAGCTGCAAAGAAACTGGACTACGGAGGAGCAGTCACGGACTTCAGAGTTGTCGATTGTCGGCTCCTGAATAAGGAGGTTGATATTGTCAATGGCAACTGGGATAAAGTGTACGTTCTTATCCTTCTCCGTTGAATACGTACTAATATATGTATAGAGCCTCTAATGCTGCCTTGCACTGGGTTCTGAGAGATCCAACCACCCGTGTCTCTACACTGGAGACAGTGTTCCGCTCCCTCAAACCAGGAGGCACATTTTTCTTCGAGATGTGTGGATTCGGCAATGCACCTGAAATGGTCACATCATACATCTTTGCACTTGTGAACCATGGGATTCCAATCGAAAAGGCGGAGGAAATGTGCCCCTGGTTCCATCCCTCCGATGACTACATGAAGGGTCTGCTAGAAGACATTGGCTTCCAGGTTCAGAAGATAGATCTGAAGCCGAAGCCTCTGAAGATGAATCCTGAAATTAATGGTGGGCTTGAAGGATTCATGGGGCTTCTTGGGGCTCCATGGTTGGATCTCCTAGACACGGAAGAGAAGAAGAAAAGTGCTTTGAAGCAAATGTGCCGCATGCTGCGACATGGTACCACGAAGGAAGATGGGAGTCAGTGGATTACTTATTATAGCTTGAGATGTGTGGCTGTTAAGCCTCTGTCTTAGTAGGTAGATTTGTAGTTAGATTCCGAGAACAAGAGAGTGAGCACAATCCATGATAGTTCAACACTTTACAAAACAGCAAACGCCGATCCATTGGCCTTGAGAAAACGGTAAAACTAGACTGAGAATCAACCTCTATCCGTCAAAATGCTAATCATATCCCCTCAGCCCTACCCGTCATCACGCCGATCGTCTTGGTTGAACATTCCCAGGGTGAACCGTCAACATGTGCGTCCGAAGTTTATCACCGCGCCCAAGGTCGAACGTTTTCTCGCAACAAGGGCACGCGGTCGCATCGGGTGAAAGATGAGTAGACTGGATATGTCGCCAAAGAGTTGCACTAATGGAGACGCTCTTTGTAGAGGTGCAGTCTTTCCAACCGCACAAAAAAGGCCCTGTCTTGCTCGTTCTGGATAAATATCAGAAAAAACTCAGTCAAAAAGATCATTTCCATTTGTTTTATTTAGCAACGTACACTCTTCTTGCCCCTTGGCTGCAATGGGGAATTGGCACCCCGTGCTCGGCCACGCGATCTGCGTGAGGTATATGACATGGTGGTAGGCCAGGGCGGCCATCATGATACGAGTTTATACTCGCTCGAGAGCTGGCAATGGCCTCATGCGCTGTCATTTGCGAACGTTGGAATGGCCCTGCGCTAGCACTCTGGTGTGTGCTGGCCGGACCGTTCTGGCTAAGGGGGAGGTGAAATGTGTTCTGGTGATGCCATTCTGGCGAAACGTCTTGAGTAAAGTTTGGCGTGAGCTGATCCTGATCCCAAGTTGTACTCGAAGGTGCTCCTTGCTGCGGAGGTGGGCCTTCAACTGGGATAAGTTATCCAGCCGGTACTTTGGTTTTGGAGGCTAAAATCAGGGGTTGTCGATGTTGGCGCCATGATCAACAAAAAAGAGTGAATTGAATTCAACGAAGCCGGAGAACGAAGGCAACACTGGAAGAAGGCTGGGAAATTTTGGAGTATATTTGGTAACCAAAAGCTATGTTGAATGACTGGAAAACTGTCTTTAGATAAAAAACTTCTTATACTATTAGAATATATTGGACATTTCAGCACATGAATGCTTACTCCAGATGCTGAAAACTAGCAAGCCCGATTATCTACGGGTCAGTCACCCTTGTAAGTTGACGCCTCAATCCAAAACTGATCCTAGTTTAGGCGGTAGGCTCTCCAAGGGGTGAGTGAATTGGCTCTTAGGCCCTGTATTATTGGTCAAAATGTCCAACAGCAGCCCACTCCGTCCGAGGAATTTGTGCGGAGTTACCCGCTCAAGTCATGAAGAATGCAGGACCTCCCGGATCCGGCGTTAGCGGTAAGCTTTAACGTTTTCTTTTGCTGCCGACAATTAGATTAAACTTTCGATGGGACTATACTTGGTGAGATCTGATATGTTCTAGATGAAAGGAATAGAACTTTTAACATTATCCGCTAAATGCCATTGCCCTTGGAGCAACAGTGTACTTCTGTGACAGCCTTAAGGTTGCATGGTTGTCATATTTGTAGATGACGAATTTCCTAGCCAAGTCCTAACTTCATTAATCATCACCCAAGAAAATCAAGTAGGCGATCTTTGATTAGTTTTCATGTCTAATAGGGTCTGCTAGGTCAAAAGGTTTTTGCAGAGAAAAGAAAAGAAGCGGAGCAGTCCGAAAGCGTTGAGAAAGATTAGGGTACTACGTAGTTATTGGCCGAAAACCAATGGTGTCGAACAAACAAGGAAATTGATCGCGTTATTATACTCCCCTAGCAATCCATCGTCGATATGTATCATCGCTTCCCTACGCTATCCACTACCGGTGATTGATAATCGCCCTCTAGGCTGTTAGGGTCCCTGCTGAATGATCATGCCCATGACGTCTGCGGCTCAAGTCCTTTCTTGGCGGCCACAAGCTAAATCTAGGCGGATTTGAGGGTTCGGTATTTGAGCCTTGCCGGAGAGAATCTCAGATACTAGGTAGGTATTAACCCATAAACTCATTCAATTTCATGTGATATCTAAGACTGCAGTGTTTTCTAGGTGATTCTTACTAACAGTCTCTGGATTATGAGACAACGATACGGTATTCAATTGAGGTATGAAAGAGTCTCTAGCCACCCAGCGGCCGATATTTATTGCAAAAAAGCAGTAGCGGGGCTTATCATTTGGTATAGTCGCGTATGGGAGATGCCCGAACGACGCGTCGGACGTACCCAGTCACGCGTCTGTGCCATATCTAATTCTAAGCAACGCGTCTCGGAGATATCCAAGCAAACGATTACCTTTAGAGAGTCAGTCATCTCGATAGCAATTTGTGTGGCAGTACAAAGGATAGGCGATAACGGGGAAGAATGCGGGGCACATCTTCTTTTCCCTGAAATAGAAAGAGAAGTAATGTCGTGTCTATCACATCTCCGCAAATGCATAGTATGTACAGTAGTCTTGTTATGGATTGTTTTTTTTGAGCTTCACTTCATCTATTTCCTTACCACTTCAACCTAGGCCTCTTGACCCAATCTCGCTTTCGATTTCCCAACCCATCGCTTCGGCTATGCTCAATGTAAAAATGCCATACATGGCCTTTCATAAACCCACTTCCCAATGCCCAGACATACTACCTACAATATCCGCCCCTAAAGGAGATCCCCTCTACAAAAATAAACATAATTCCCTTCTAATATCCATTCAGAATCGCGGCTATTTACACAGCAAATCTAATCCGCTACATTAGAATACACGTATTATTTCTTTTCATCGAACCCGAAATATCCCGTGAAGGAATTGGAGACCTCAACAGTTCAGGAATATATAGCCAGTAGCATTACAAGGCACCTGCATTTTTTAGCCAATGATCAGAGTTAGAAGTGTGAACGCCGTACTGCCTCGTCGTTGATTCTAGTCCAGCCTGGACCCTGGTTAGCACTCTTCGCTGTCGCTTGCCGGACCCACTCCCCTTCCTCATCGTGCGTAGTTTTGTGTCATGTGATGGTTGATGTGAGGTGTCAGATTGGACGCCCGACTTTTTGAGACAATGGCTTTACCAAGCTATTGCCGGGGATGCAAATCAATTACGACATACAGGAAGACGGCACTTTCTACTCGGTTGAATTGAATGACATGCATCTCGCTTTAATCAAGTCTAGTCTGCATTGTATAAATCTCGCAACAAAATTCCTGTCTAGAGAGCTCACACCGCAACAGAGTATAAGATGATTCATGAAAAACTTGGAGAAACTTCACGCTAACATTATAAGAATAGAATGAGAAAGGATGTTGAATCCTTTCTCCATCAACAACATGTATCAAGTACATGCCATAGGCAACCTTTGAGGTTATACCTTCGAGAATAGAAATGCAAAATGAGAGTGGGCAGCACACTCTATCTGTCCGAACGATCGTTATATCATCTCTATCATGGCCCTCAGCACGCCGATCATCTTGCTTGTACACGCTCTGGGTGAACTCTCACCACATGTTCGTGGAATTTATCACCACGCCCATCACGGAACATCTTTTCACACCAAGGGCACTTCCCTAGTGGTAAAAGATGGAAACCCTGGATATGTCGCCAAAGAGAGCTTTTGGTGGAGAAGCCGTCACGATCGGGGCAACCTATCCAACCGCATCCGAAGGGTCCTGGTATGCTCCTTCTGGAAGGTTGTCAGAAGAAGAAGCTAGCCAAGAAACCTCGACAACCGTGCTATACAGCGACATACCTTCTTCTTGTGCGTTGGCCTGATAGAGAGAATGATACTTCCCGGTCGGCCTCGCCATTCGCCGGAGCCACATGGCTTGCTGGTAGGCCAGAGGAGCTTTGATGAAGCAAGCCCGTAGTTGCTTGAGCCCTGGAAGACCTCTGATCGAAATTGTGTGGCACCGGCTCGTGTTGGGATGGACCTCCGTTGACGCCGTGGTATGACTGAAGCGAAACGTTTTGACCACGCGGGAAGTGCCATGCATTCTGGCTGGCACATTCCGATGCCTCTGGTATGTAAGGCCCATGAGAGTGGTTGGTAGATGTTGGGCTGTGATAAGCTCTACCAGGCTCCGCCCCATGCTGAGGTGGGCTTTGCTCATGAATAAAGTCACCGTCCATCCAGTCCATAGTCTGGAAATAGCGATCGAAGTCAGGGTCGATCCGTGTCGACGCCATGATCCGGATATAGAAGAGTTGATCAAGTGCAATGAAATTTAATGACGAGGGGCAGACACAACGAAGGCGGGAAAAGGGCTGGATTTATAAAACGCCAAACGCACTGTGTGCGAATTCTACCCTGCTCAAAAAGATGAAACCTAAGGCCTTGAAAAGTCTTCTGGGGCTCGACTGCCTATATCCCACCAAGAGAAAAGGGCAGTCTTAAGAAGGTAGGATAGATGCTTAAAGCCCATGACGTTTGGGGCTAGTCAAGGACCACCTATATTATTCAACTTAATTCTTCAATTTAATTATTCAATTTAATTCTTCAATTTAATTATTCGATTTAATTATTCAATTTAATTATTCAACTGTGTTTTTTATTGTTTTTATTAATCCTAGGTTCCAGTTCCTGTTCCCCGGGACCCGGGACGGGAGAGCCACTTGGTGCAGCTCAGCCCATGAGCTTATGATTTCAGTAGGCAATCGTACTCACTTTACCCCACATCCACTATGGAAAGAAAAGAGGGGAAAAAACGTTGCCACCGAGTGATGCCAATAAGGTCCACTATATTGAGATTCATAATCCCGACTACTTGTGGTAAATTAATAGTAACGAAAGAGATACTGTAGCAGCTTGCAACTTTGGGCCTGACATGAGATACTAATCGAGCTGAGATTTGTATCTTCCCGACGGACAATATGTATAAGCCATGGTATCTTAGATACAATAGAGTTATTATTTAATATTATTATATTGTGTTGATGCGATTATATTGCCAGGGAACGACATTTTGTAACCGGACTGACCACCCACTTTCTGGAATCGGACGCTGCAGCATCAAATCGACGGACCATCGCTTGCGACGCGGCCATCGAATGCTAAATGCGCAAGGCAGAATCCGGTTCCATAGAGCTTCTTAATCCACGCTGCACGACATCTACCGAATTTCCGGGATTTCAGATGATGTATTTATTTTATTTTATTTTGTTTTGATTTTTTGATTTTGGGGAGACATGCGAGGCAGACTGAGATTAAAAATCCAATATTCTTTGTTGGAGTGACGTTGGGTTCCACCGATTGCCCTCCCATCCCCAGCCGACACGACGAGTCACCTGGTACTTGGGGTGTTTGGTGGATCTACAGTAGGCTGATTACCCTTCACCCTACTATCGCTCAATTGGAGATGCCACGCAGGCAGCGATTGGCCCTCTACGAAAGGAAACGGCCAAGTCCGGAACATCAGAAGAAATCAGAGGTGCTACATAATCCTTGGCCAAAGACGGAGCGTTTGGAACAAGAAGTCTACAAGTGTTGACTCCCCTGGCGATCGACTTTCCATTTGTACCACATACCCTCACTAGACTCCCTAAACCCTATTGTCTTGGCAAAACACGTAGTTCGTAGATGTCCATCGGTTGTTGCAATGGTAATTATCCCCCGTCCAATCATATCGACTGAGTGACAGGCCCTTCGAAGCCTGCTACAGGAGGCGATGTACCTCCCTTTCGGCAGTTGCTGTTAAATTTACGGTGCGGACGATCCATGACATCCAGGCGGACCGGACCATTCTTGCGCTTTGCCGGAGAAAATACTGGCTACTACACTCTTACCTATAGATTCCATTTACAGATTACGACGGGCGACATGGCGACATCAAAGCGGAAATTAAATTACAGATAGCTGCATAAAATCCTGAGATCGACGACAAGGCATCTAAGAGACCTTCGGTAACGTAGCGGTGAACGAGTCAGTGCTGGGAGACTTTTGATTAATCAACCGTCAATCCCTGTGGGAACCGAGGATAGATCGAAGAAGACGGGGATATTATTATTTTCCTTCGAATGGAGAATGACACAGGCCCAGACCGTTCCTAGGTCTTTTGTTTAGGCCTTTTTCCTCGTTCCTTCCCCTTCTTTCCCTCATCGGGTCCCCAATTCTAGCGATCATCCGCCATCCGCGGAGGCCTGGTCCAGATGCCAACGAAATGAACCTACTTTCCAAAAGTACCCCAGAGTAATCAGCACTAGCCGATGGAGCCCGACCACGCGAGAAGTCGCGACGATGTCCAGTTCGGATGGATCCGTTTTTTTTTCTGTTCCCGCGGCTGGTTTTCCTTTTCTCGTCTCCGCTTTTACCCAAAGGGCTGCCCGGAGATTCGGTTCCTAGCTTCCATTAGTGGAGAGCTCGTCTGGGTCTTCTGGATTGATCCATAAAAGACCGATTTTGAAAAACCGAAAAGGAAAAAAAGAAAAAAAAAACATAGGGTACAACGCCCTTGAACCCAAATTTCTAGATTAACCCATTTAAACCCCTTGCAAAGAATAGTTCGTTACACCCAGGTATTACTGTATCTCGCCTGCTGGCGCAGACGGGTTGGACACCCTAACCGGGGGATGGCGACTCGTGCTGTGAGACATTGAACGTTGATTCGAGGAACTGGGTAATTGAGACAGAGAGAGCTTAGCCTGCGGCTAAGGCACAGATCTCGGTATGCTGACGGATTCCCAGATCTTGGTCCGGCTATCTATGGTTTCTCCACAATGTCTGGAAATCCCCGTACCTAGTCAATGCACCAATTAGTCTCCGACTTACTGCAACACAAGAATTGTAAAAGAGAAAATACTACTATTAGGCTCCAGTGGTCGAGGCCCGGAAGCTCGGGTAGCCATACTAAGTATTGGTCTATCATAAACTTAAAAGACAGGCGCATGGCCCCCACTTCTTTTGTCACCCTTCTCTTTCACCATTATCTGCGCCACCTTTCTACTTACTATTATATGTAGCCTTCGAGCCCCATGTACTTTCACCCCCTCCACGGCACAAATGCCTCATTATCCCCTCAATCCCATTACCTTGAATGATGCACGACCTCAAAAATGACGTACGTGGCTTTCCTCTCACCTTGCAGACCTCCCAGACATACAACTATAACATCCTCCCAGCCGGAAGACCCCTCTACGAAAACGATCATACTTCCCTCCTAACATCTATAATCGCAACTAACGACACGCAAAATCTAACCCGCTACGCTGAAATACACGCGCACGTCTCTTCGTTGAACCCGAACTACCATTTTACGATGTGGATCCTTTCTTCATAGCCGCCGAACGAACATGGCAGTATCGATGTACTCGCTCTCCTCGCCAGCATATATCAACCTGATCCCTGGCAAACGGAGAGTTTTCAGTCTCGACTGGAAAGAAAAAGATCGTTGTTGGATATTGCTTGTTTTCGTGCGAGGTTTAAGATGGTGGAGATTCTTATGAACTGTGAGCGTCTCCGTTAGGGAGGAATTTTGATGGAGAGGGATATATGGATGCGCTGCTATAAGCGTGATATCAGTGCTTGAGATGATGAAACACGGGAACGTGGACGATGCAACGTTCCTAATTCTGATATCGAAAACTTTATGTACAGTTTGTTAGACCGAGGCGCGTCGGTCCGTCCCGTCGATGACCATGATCCTGGTATAGATCAAGGATCTTCGTCACAGCCACGAGCGACTATCCTCGGAGCAGCGCTGCATTGCGAAGATATAAACTCGCTTCTCGCCTGCTTGCCGAAGGGGCGGATCTTCATGTCCGCCCGGTTCAGTCTAAGCCATTCGAAGGTTACATGCACGACGTCGCCGCGATGCATCCCGCTAGGATCATGGAATTTGGAGTTTATTCAAGCGATAGCTGAACATTATACCGAGGACGACTTCCACTGCACTGGGCTTTATACCATCTCGACGGATAAGCCAAGAGACAATCAGAGCAGGAAACGCTCTCCATCGGACTCAAACTCGTACAGTTCCTTGTCGACGCGAATCCAGAAGCCATCACCACATAGACACCCAACGGAGCAGCATTCAATTTCACCGTAACAGGAGCGTCCGCGGTCCGGGCATTCTATCTCTAATAAACCTCCTTCTAACCGCGAACCCATCTCCTAATACAATCAATGCCCGCGAGGAATCCGGGTCAACAGCCCTACCAACCGTACTCAATTCCCACGAAACCAGCACATTACCTCGGACAAATTACTTCGCACTACTAATCACCCTCCTCATCTCCCACGGCGCAGAAAAGTCCCTCCACGATAACCGGAATCAAATAAGACTACACGAGATAGCGTCAAGTCCATCATATACCGACGCCATCAATTCCGCCCTGCTAGAAACATTCACCCCAGATGTTAGATGTTGATGTCAATAAGCACGATGTAAAGAGGTGGACGGCATTTCATTTTAGGGCGAGGAATTTGCGACAGGTTGATGCTAGCTGGGTACTGCTGCTCCGGAGCGTGGATGTTGATACTGTTAATAAGAGGGGGATACGCCCTTGGATGAGGTTATAAGGGGAAAAAGGGGTTTAAGGAGGGAGGTTGATGATGGGGTGTATGAGTGGCCGACGGAGGAGGAGAGTGTGGCGCTTGAGGAGGTTGTTGTAATGTTCAGAGATGGGGGAGGTGGAGAGATGGGAGGAATGAATTGAATGTTAGAGGGAGAGGGAGATGGGATTACGCGAGCTTGTGCAGACTACAAATACGCCATGTATACATCACTCTAGAAATTGTATTTCAAGAAAGGTACAATGGTAGTACGATATGTTACAAGACCAGAACACTCCCCAGACAGATTGAGGGGACACCACATATATCATCAAACGAAAGCGAAAGCCAGAACAGGACAGGACAGGACAGGGGAGGGGGTATGTTATTTAGAAGGTCGTTATAAGAGCAGGAAGCAGCGGGCGAAAGATCATACTAGATCAGACGCTTACAGCTCTAGGCTGGGGGTCTGGCCCTTGACGCGGCCGATGACGGTTTGGGCAGCGTACTTGGGGATGACCTCGTCGTCGTGGAGCATGGCGAATTCTAGAAGGAAAAAGAGGTTAGCGTTATGTTTGATGAGTGAAAGTGGGGTTGGCGTGTTTGGACATACCCTCGGTAGCATCACGACCCATAAAGTTGAACAGAGCGTTGGCACCGCCGGGGTGCTCGTCCAACCAGTTGGTCACATCCAGGACGATACCCTTGACGACAATCCACAGGTCATCCTTCTTGTTGTGCTTGGCAATCTCCTCCATGGAGAACTCCTTCTCAGGAATCTTGAAGCTGGCCACGGGGTCGGTCTTGGCAGAGGTGTCCTCGCCGGCGGGGGTGGCAGCAGCCGCGGAGGCAGCACCGGGGGCAGCAGTGACGGAAGGCAGGCTACCGCCGGCAGCGGCACCGCCCCACTCAACGGAGATCTTTCCGGGGGTGGAGGGGTCAATGTGCAGGGAGATCTGGCCAAGACGCTTCTGGGCACCGGACGAGCCAGTGCTGAGGAGCTTCTGGAAGAGGTGCTGCGAGGCAGAGTCACCGGCGACACGGCCGTAGACGACACAGCCCAGCAGGGAGGAACCACCGAGACGGTTAGCGCCGTGGACACCACCGGCCAACTCACCGCAAGCGTACAGACCGTTGAAGGGCTGCTTGTCGCCGTTCAGGACCTCGGCGTGCTCGTTAATCTCGATACCACCCATGGTGAAGTGGAGGACGGGCTCCATGAGAGCGACGTGGAATTCGTCGTCGATGGAGAAGGGGAGGTTGTGGAAGAACTTCTTGTTCCAGGGGTCCTTCTTCTTGCCATCGGCAATGAGGTTATACTCGTCAAAGGTCTTCTTCAGAGCAGCGTCGCCACAGCCAATCTCGGCAGCGAGCTCCTTGCCAGTCATCTTCTTCATGAGACCACGGCCAGAGTAGTGGCGGGTGTGGAAGTCCAGGACCTTGGAGGCCTTGCTGTTCAGCACGAGACGGATGGGCCACTTGCCCTTCTCCTTCTCCTTCCACATCTGGCCGGACACGTAGTCACGGTGGCCCAGCTCGTCGGAGAAGCGCTGGCCGTCCGAGTTGAGCAGGAGACCACCCTCGCCACGGAGGGCCTCGGCAGCAAGGAACTTGAACTTGGCGTTGGGGTCCTTGGGGTCCACCAGACCGGTAGGGTGAACCTGAACCTTGTCCATGTCGATGCCGTTGGCACCAATCTCCATGAGCATCTTCTGACCGTCACCAGTGGCGTGGGTGCCGTTGGTGGAGGATAGACCGTAGGTGTCGGGACGGTGCTTCTTGAGGAGGGAGGTGTCGCTGAAGTCAGCAGCGTAACCACCGGTAGCCAGAACGACGACACCGTCGGCGGTCTTGGTCTCGCCGTTGAGAGTGTAGGTCACACCGGTCACGTTGTTACCGGACTTGTTGACAGCAGTGACGTGGGCCTTCTTGACGATCTGAACACGGGTGGGCTCGGCCTCGGCGAGCTCCCTCAAGGCGCTGCATGAGGGCGTAGGTGATGGCCATGCCGGGGAACTTGGCATCGTGGCCACGGTGTGTGCGGGGGAAGGAGTGACCGCCCAGACGGGAGACCAGGGTGAGATCGAGGTTGAAGACATCCTGCAGCCACTCAACGGCGGAGGCGGACTTGTAGGTGAGGACCTTGATCAGGTCGGGGCGGGCCTTGTCACGGGCCGACTTGAGGGTGTCCTCGTAGAAAGCCTTGACGCTGTCGCCAATGCCGAGGTCGGTCTGAGTGCGAGTGAGGGCTCCGTTGATGCCGGAGGTGGCCTTGGTTGAGTTGCCACCGAAGAAAGCTTAAAATGGGGGAGAGCACATGTTAGTAGCCGGAGGGTGACGAGAGGCGCGCGGATAGGAAAATGGTGTCTGCGACAAAAAGAAAGAGAATAGCCGCTGGAACATACCCTGCTTGTCAAGAACGAGGACATTGCCGCCGTTCAGGTAGACGGTGTGAGCGGCACTCAGGCCGGACACTACACCACGGAAATCAGTCAGTCGATGGTTCCTGGGGCAAGAGAGAATAATGCGGGGAATGGAGGCGACTTACATCCACCGCCGACCACAATGACTTGGGGAGCTGCCATATTGTGTGTTGGCTGATGTGAGTGGGGGGAGATAAAAGGGGGAGGTAGGGGGAGAGAGAAGAGTGAGAGAAGAAAAGAAGAATGTTTCTAAAAGGTATAACGGGGGGCTTGTGATTTTATGGAAAAGAAGAGAATCCGAGGAGAGAGACGGGTATGTCCTTTGGGAGGGGGATCCGGGGCAGCTCAGAAGCCGACGTTCTATCGGCCGAGGCACGCGTGGAGAAAGAAGTGGAGACACGGGGGAGGAGATCAGGCCAGGTTGGTAATGGAACAATTACGGCTGGTTCGGGGAGACACAAACTGGAGTAAGGGTAAGAGCTGATCGCTTTGAAACCTGGGGAAAGCAAGAGAAATGAAATGATGGAGAATAATTACGATAGGAGGGTTGCAATCACATGCATTTCTGGTCGATCGTAAGACCGTCTGATCTTCACATGCACTTCGCGTCATGGACATTCCAATGTAGATGACGAAGGAGAGGGACTGGGAAGGAACAAGTCATACGAGAGTTATACTCAGCAACAGTTTCTTATTGCAAAACCTATACAAAATACAAGAGTCTAGATCTGCTCAGTTTCCATCTCGGTAAACAACATCTTCACAATATTCCGATATCTTGATCTCTCCGCGACCCGCGGAAGTGTCGGTCGGGTATGCCCCGTGGGCCTCGGAAGTAAACAATGTCACACTTGTAAATGGCCGAGACTCGATCTGAGTAATGTAACATGCATGTTCATCAGGTATCAACACGTTGAGTGAATAGGGGGATACTATCTGAAGAGAATAACATCCTCTATATTAATATCTATAAAAGACATCAACCATGTATTGACTCCATCTCGAATCCACTCCTGTCAACTTTTAACTTGCACCCCCATCTTCACCTCCCAACCAGGCAGCATCAATTACCGACCGCTGACTGATTCTCCCCCGCTGATTGGTGGAACAAACTCTCTTTAGCTGACATAATCCGGGGATCGTTCCTACCCTTTTTGGTCTAAATGACATCACCCCTTCACCCCCATTCACCTCGGGTCAATAGCCGACGGAATTCATCTCTCGGTCGGTCGGTGAGCGAACTATGAGAACTACAAAATCAGCTGAATTCCCATCCTTTCCCATCCCGCAGCTGGCATTCTTAGCTAGAACGCATGCGATAAACTCGGACTCGGGTTACACGAATCCGGTCTGCATGTTGTTGGGACCGATCCGGCTCGGGGTAATGCGCCCCGAGGATAGTGAGGTTCACATCTCGCCCGAAAACGGACCGAAGCGGACCGAAGATGGGGGATAGTTGAGGATTGCAGGGAGATCGGGTAAATGAGGTACGAGATTCGTTGATGCGAATATCTCGGCGATGGATTGGGTCTCCGGTGGTATTCTTCTTCGGCACCGCCGGTGTGAGTGGCATGATCTTAGGACACGCGACTCGGATCATGGTGAACAGTGTCGGAATGGAAGATATGCGAAACAAAACATCTTCGGTGCACTAACACAATCTCAATGCGCATTTTATATGTCAATGAATTCATTCATGCATTATATGTTCAAATGCGATTATCTACTCCGAGAGCACCGAGAAACTCAGCATAACCACCATGCTATATACACCTGCAAATTATCACCACTGATCCAAACTAATCCATCCAAGTCACACTCTTCGTCACCAAAAACTCATTCAACCCCTCATCCGCATTGAATCGACCCCATCCACTATTCTTCACTCCCCCATGCGGTAGCACCGGCTCATCATGAATCGTCATACTATTAATATGCACAGCCCTAAAGAAAAACAAGTCAGCACATCAACAAACATTACTCGACCTGAAAAAAAGAAAACTTGAACTCACCCAGACTGAATCTTCCTCGCAAGGGCAAACCCCCTCCTCAAATCCTCCGTAAACACACTCGCCGACAACCCATACCCACTCCCATTCGCCATCCGCACCGCCTCCTCCTCACTCTCGAATTCCATAAATGCTGCCACAGACGCAAACGCTTCTTCCTGCCACACGGCCATATCCTCGGTGACTCCGCCCAGGATGGAGGGGGCCATGCGCACGCCTGCGTCGGCGGGGAGGGGATTATTTGTATCTGCCGAGCCGGAGATGAAATGTGCGCCGGCGGCGAGGGCGTTGGAGATAAGATTCTGCACTCGGGTTTTTGAAGCTGTGTTGACGAGGGTTGGAGGGAGGGTGGATGATGATGTCCACGTGGCGAGGGCCTGTTTTAGTGCTGTGGTGAATTCTGCGGCGATGGAGGAATGGACGAGGATGCGGTCTGTTGCCATGCAAATCTGGCCGGACTGAGACAAGGGGACGAAGCATATTAGATCCTGTCCTGTTTCCACCCACTGACAACCTGAATGAATGCCCAGGGGTGTACAAAACTCACATTCAAAAAAGCACCCGCCAACACGCCTTGCACCGCAACATCCAACTTCGCATCCGCGCATACAATCGAACTATTCTTCCCACCCAACTCCATGAGACAAGGCTTCAGATTCTGTCCACATGTTCGCGCAATCTTCCGGCCCACCGCCGTACTACCGGTGAAATTGATCTTGCGCACAGCCGGATGCTCGATCATGACGTTGACGACCTCGGGTGCATCTTCTGGTCGACAGTGTAAGATGTTCAGACAGCCCGCGGGTAGACCTGCGTCCTCGAAGGCACGGCCGATAGCCCAATAGCAGCGTGGAGTGAGTTCGGAGGATTTGAGGATCGTTGTGTTTCCTGCTGCGAGGGCGCAGGCGGCGGAGCGAATGCCGAAGACGTAAGGCGCGTTCCTGTAGGTTGTTAATATCATGACCATAGTTCTGCCCGTACCAGGCATATATGCTCCCCAGTATTCCCTGATAGGCTCTACACCTCTATACTGTTGCAGAAACATACCACGGAACAATCCCCAAAATAACCCCCATAGCCTCCTTATACACAATAGCACTCTGCCCCTCCGCCTCAACAATAGGCACACTCCCACAAATTCCCCCAATCCTCCCCGCAACATCCCTCAACATCCTAATCGCCAACGGAACCACAAACCCCGCCGACGCCCCCTCATCCGCGCCCATTTCCGTCCGCATATAGCCCGCATTCTCCTCCAACCGCTCCTCCAGCAGGTCGGCAGCTTTGAGGAGGATGTCGCGCCGCGCGGTGGGTTTGGTTGCCGACCAGCTTGGGAATGCGGTGGAGGCGGCTGAGACGGCGTCGAGGGCGTGGTGGGTGGTTGCGGAGGAGGAGAGCCAGCAGGGGGTGTTTGTGTAGGGGGGATGTTATGGGGAAGGTTGTTGGTGTGTGGATTTCTTGGCCATTTATTAGGAGGGGGATTGTTAGGAGGTTTGTGGTGGTGTCTGTCATTTTTGTGGTTATTGGTGTTGTTCGTGGATAAGGAAGGTTGTGTATAGTCGATTTAGATGGGATGAAGAGAGGGATGTAATTCTTGAGGAGAAGTTGAGGAAGTACTACTGTATCACTGATTTGGAGTCGAGATGGCTAGCCCCGCTATCCAGCTTACTCCGATACGAGTGGAACTAAACTACTCATGGATGAAGTCTTGGTTGTCCAGTCTGACTATATTGTATGGATTTGTATGAAGATCCCTTCCCTAAATCTTCAACCAACCACTGACTAAATCCATACCCACTGCCACGCCAGCAATCCACAAACTATTTGATTTTTGTCCACCGCAAGGTCCCCAGTGAATCCATGGAAATGATTTCCAATAGACAGTGTGCGATACTACACTAGAGAGTATATGCTGTCCTGACGACCGAGGTAGCTATCCCCGAATGTCACACCCCCGCTGTGGCTGAAAGGCCCCGCATGTCAGGGTCTGCACCAATTTAATTTTAGTGGGATGGACATGGTGGCGTCGGTGGAAGGCTGGTGCGGGTTATTGCTATCAACTGAACAATTATAATTGTAGTACAACAAGGGAGAATGAATTTTTGCATTGGGATATGATCAAGGTGATCAGTTATGAGGGAACAGCAAGATTTTTGGGGAGACTGGCAATAGTTTGCCCCACTGCCAACCTGTCCTCGAAATCTCGTTCTGTAGACTCGGGCTCCACAGTTTCGGTCTCGGGTACCTGGACGATGATGATCGATTTCTATCCAGGAGACTGTTTTTCCATGCTGTCTGTGCAATTCTATCAAGATTCAATTAGATTGATGAACCAAAAAAGCATACCAAGTTCCACATAATATACAGTGCTCAGACCTCTTTGAGCATTCTATTTTGGACCCTGCAGAAGCTTCCATGGATACAGCCGGGGTCTCGTGGCAATCATCCCCGATTCTTCTAAGTTCTCGGATAACTTGGCTATAGACTCAATAATCACCCTGTAAGTATATCATTCCGTGTGCTCGGGCAGATTCTGGCTCGGGACCACGGGCGAGTAAGCCACTATTGACTCGGGATCTACACTGTCACCCTGCGGATCGAGAATGGATATCGGAGTGGATAACCTGAATCGGTGAGTTGACGGAACGTGGTTTACAGCCATGAATGAGTTGCATAGAACATGTGGGTGGGTGAGCTATTGTTCCGCGCAGTCAAATAATTTAGGCGCATGAGTGTTGCATACATCCTGATCTATGTTTTACTCTGTATATGCTTCATAAATCACCAATCATGTACATGTACAGCTGACAGGAGAAGTGTAGCCTCAAATTTCAGAAATGGCATGACTCGCCCTAATTTTCAGCAACGTGCGACATCGCACAAGATTCACGACTCACCATATCAGATGGCGATCGGAGCCACATCTTTCCCGATCGGGTCTGCAGAATACTCCACCTACTATACCACGACTGCTGGAACCAGGAAAAGAACAGTCCCACCACCACTCCCCACTGGAAATACATGTGTCATTCGAAAATCACCACCGCGGCAGACTTCCCCTCTCAGTCAAGATGTGCAGCACTAAGTCCGGCGAACCATAAATCATCACTCTGTCTGACGGGGGTTCTCCACGACCAGCTAGCGATGTCATGTCATCCAGTGCGGTGCTAGCACACTATTCGCCTAGCTCAATCGGTCAACCAGGAATTGGGAACGATAGTGGCCTCCACTCTTGTGCAGGTCCCTACGCGAGGCGCACATCACATCCCGGGCTTGGATGGTGATTTGCTGCTGATGATCGACGTGCGTCTTTTGAGATGGGATTGGGTCGGGATGGATGGTACCGAAAAGTGTGAGGCTGTCTCTCCCTGGACTCGACTTGTACATATCTATGGTGGAGGACGCTCAGGGGAGATTTACTTCCCCAGGAGTTTCGTTCTTTTTTGTGTGGCTCACACCCTCCTGGTTGCTCTTTTTTTTATTGCGTCTTGTCTTTCATTTTATCTTTGAATTTAAGGACCATTGGTGGTTGCTATTATGGCTCCCAGTGCGCGAGGCTGGCAGATGATCGAGATCGTCACCGTTTTGGTGGCGCTGTGTTTTATCTCGGTCGTGCTGAGAGTAGTTGCCCGTTTGCAGAGGAGAGTTGGATTTGGCATTGATGACTATTTGAGTGTTGTATCGATGGTGTTGATGATTGCCATGCTTGTAGAACTGGGGTTGTGTGAGTTATTCATTACAGCCTGCCTATGAATCTTCATCCATGCTGACTGATGCTAGGGTGCTCCATCGGAGGCAACGGGGCCCACGTGAAAGATCTCAATGCTGATACTCTCATGAACTACTGGAAGGTATATATGACCAAACTACCAACATACAAAAACCACCATCTAACAATTCCATAGATCTTCCTCGCCAATCAATTCACGTACTTCCTCCTCTGCCCTGCCATCAAAATCTCCATCATCTGCTTCTACCGCCGCGTCTTCACAACCCCGCGCTTCCAAAATTTCACCTTCGCCCTAAATTGTCTAATCAGCGCCTGGGGAACAGCCATCTTCCTCGCCTGCGCAGGCCAATGCCGTCCCCTCCGCGCATACTGGGACCACAGCGTCGACGGCCAGTGCTTCGACGCAAACCTCTTCTTCATCGTTAATCAAGCCTTCAACATCCTAATGGACTTTGTCATTCTCGCCCTTCCAATCCCGATGATCTGGAATCTGCATCGTGCTTGGCAGGATAAACTCGCCTTGAACGGCGTTTTCGCACTGGGTACTTTCGTTTGCTTCGCTAGCATCTACCGAATCGTGGTACTCTTCTGGATTAGTCCGGCTGATCCGACTTATACCGTCTACCAAGCTACGCTCTGGACACATGTTGAGCCCTCTGTTGGCTTGATATGTTCCTGTCTTCCGATTATTCGGGGTCTTTTCCCGGCGTTCAAGTTAAGGAATCGATCTAATCGCAGTGATCGGCCTTATTATATTAATACTGATATGAGCAATTCCAACTTTTTGAGTAAGTCGAGTCCGCGCTCGCCGGATTTGGAGTATGTGAAGATGGAGGCGGGGTTGTATGGGGCGCAGATTGAGCGGACAGGGATGGGCAGGGGGAGGGGGATGCTGGGTGATGATTTGCATCCGTTGAATATTAAGGTTCAGACTGATATTGCGATTACGCCGGAGAGTGAATCGAATACGGCCGAGACTGTGCATGGACAGCATCACTGAGAATGGTGTTGTGATTGCCATGCTGATACGATGTGATGAAATGAGGGGCGAGCTAGGTTACTGCTGTATATAGAAGACAAAGTCGGAATTCTTCCGATTTATCCTATTAGGAGCTATACACTAATTCATGTTCAATCATGCTACCCATACAATGCATATATACACGCATATATACATCCATATACTAAGAGAACAATCAGTTATTACTCCTCAACAACTCCTACCTCCTCAAATCCACAAAAGATCATTCCCAAACTCGGGTCTTTCGAATCAATTTGAGTTCTATTGTACCACCTTCGCAAACTTCAAACTCCATCTATCGCTATATCAAGAGCATCATATCATCATTCATCTCCTTTCATCCCTGATATCTCTCCCATCTAAACAAAAGTATCCTCCAACTCAAACATAGGCGGCCCCAACGCCTTCGGCGGCCACCCAATCCTAACATCAACCCTAGTCTCAAACGTATATCTCCCCGAACCAACCCACCTCCCCCCTCCCTCCCCATCAGCATCACCCGGCAACACGACCCTCGCCCACGAATTCGGCGGAACAACAACCTCAAGCACAAACCTCCCCCCACCCCTCTCCTCAATCTTCCACCGACACTCCAACCTCCCATAAACAGTCTCATAAACCGCCTCCGCACTCCTAACCGTACCCCCCGGAACAGGATTCACAAGGACCCGTCTCCAACCAGGCTCCAACGGACTCACACCGGCTACACTCTTATGCAACCAGTTTATTATCGAGCCCAGCGCGTAGTGATTGAAACTAGTCATTTCGCCGGGATTCACGGCTCCGTCGGGACGCATGCTATCCCATCGTTCCCAGATTGTGGTTGCGCCCATGGTAAGCGGGTACATCCATGAAGGACAGGTTTTTTCTTGGAGCATGCGGTATGCTAGTTGATGGTAGCCGGCTTTTGTGAGGGCGTGTGTGATTATGGGTGTTCCGGCGAATCCGGTTGAGACTTGGAATTTGGCGCGACGGACGAGGCGGGATAGTCTTGCGCCTGCGTTGGATATTTGTGTGGGATTGTTGAGCAGATTGAAGACTAGGGCGAGACTGAGGGCTGTTTGGGTGTCGCCGACTAGGTAGCCCTCTGGGGAGATGTATTTTGTTTGGAAGCGGGCTTTTAGAGCGAGGTATTCTGTTTCGTAGCGTGTTGCGTCGGCTTTTTCGTTGAGGATGGTCGCGATGCTGGAGAGGGTGCGTGTTACGTGTACGAGGTAGGCGTCTGCGACGAGGGTCCCGTCTGTGCGTGCGTTACCGGGTTGGTCGGGTGGTGCGGTTGGATCGAGCCAGTCGCCTAGTTGGAAGAGGGTGTCGTCCCAGAGTCGGTCTGGGCCGCGCTGGACGCCGCGGTCGAGCCAGGCTGTCATGCTGGGGTATTGTTTGTGGAGGATATTGGTGTCCCCGTAGCTTTGGTATAGAGTCCAGGGGAGGAGGATCGTGACGTCGTCCCAGATAGCTTGTGGGAAGACGGGCCACAGGTCTTCGGAGATAACGTTTGGAATGACGAAGGGGGGATGGCATTTGGTGAGGCGAGTTGTTCCGCGGCCAGGTCTTTCAGCCAGTCGCCTAGCATGCCGGCGGTGTTGTAGAGGAAGCTGGCTGATGGAGCGAAGACTTGGATATCGCCTGTCCAGCCGAGACGCTCGTCGCGCTGGGGACAGTCTGTTGGGATGGAGAGGAAATTGCCACGCATACTCCAGGTGGCATTTTCGTGGAGTTTGTTGATCATTGGGTGTGAGCAGTTGAACCAGCCGGTGCGTTTGAGATCCGTGTGCATCACTTCGGCGGTTAGACTGTCCAGGGTAAGCGGGTTGGTATCATCCTCGGGACTCCATCCGTCGATCTGGACGTAGCGGAAGCCGTGGAATGTAAATCGTGGTGCCCAGTTACGGATTTCAGTGCCTGCGGAGGTGATGGTGTCTGTGCATTTAGCTACGCGGAGAGGGCGAATGCCGAGTTCTTGGTTTTCGAGGACTTCGGCGTGAATGAGGGTTACGATGTGGTTAGACGGTTTGATGAGTGATGGGATACGGATACGACCGACGAGGTTCTGGCCAAAGTCGATGATCGTCTTGCCTGTCGGTGTCATGATTATTTCAATCGGCTTGACGACCTCTGTGACTCGCACGGGCGGTGCATTGGGTGATACGAGCTCTGTTTGGGGGAATTCGGTCTCGCGAACTGCGTCCCAGGAGGATTCCTCGGGAAAGGAGGTGGTAGTCCAGCCTTCTTGTTCTTCTCGAGCATCGTATACCTCACCATCGTAGATTTCACTGGTGATCAAGGCTGAATCGTGACATTTCCATGTGGAATCAGTCACGATAGTCTCCTTTTCCAAACCGGAATCAATCTCCAACTGCGCAATCAGGGCCATCTCATCACCGTAGAGAAACCGGCGACCACCGTGGAAACCTAGTCTGGTGGCATACCATCCTTCGGCCACCTCTACCGCAATGGTATTCGGCCCGTTTGCATTGAGGAGCGACGCAACGTCGAATATCTCATAGTTCAATCGGTGCTTATAGCTCGTCCACCCGGGTGCCATGCAATGATCACCAACATGAACACCATTAATATAAGCTTGAAACACTCCAAGACTGGTAATATAGAGACGCGCTTGCTTCACAGCCGCTGCAGATAAGGCGAATGTCTTTCTAAACCGGAGTGGTCGCAATGGACCTTCCGTTTGCTTAACTGGGCTGGCAATTGCTTTTGCAATCCAGTCTTCCCGGTTTAACAAGCCACACTCCACGGTCGTCCATTCAGACCATTCTGTCGGCTCGGCACGCGATCCACCATAGGCGCGAACGCGAACTTGGGCGGCTTCACGAGACTGGAGGGGTTGGCTGGGCCATGGGATAAGCACGGATTCGGAGGATTGAATAAGGTGAGATTCTGGAGATTCGGAGTTGCGGATAATTTCAAGAGTGTATGCTTTTTGCTCCCAGTCGGGGATTGTTTCGATGGTGGCCGCGAATTTCCAGGAGATGCGGGGTTGAGCGACTCCGATGCCTCGTCCGGAGGCGTGTTGCTCAAAGGATATCGAGGTAATAGATGGTTGTGAGGACATGATGATTTCCGCTGGAGATGAAGGAGGGTTGCTAGAACAGCTCAATTCTCATGATTGAAGGAAGTGAACGACTAGAAAAAAGTTAACAAAAATCATCTTGGTGACTTGGTGGTTCTGGTCACGTTGCACATCTCGTTGGTTCGGGGCAATCGACCCCGATGAAAGATGCGGCACTCGGCCTCGCATGATGATTTTATCCCGAATTCCCCATTTCTACTGAATCATAAGGACACTGATGATCAAGAGACAACTTAATTAGGACGACTTCTCTTGACGGAGATCGGACCGACTTGCCGTCAAGCTCCACATTGAACATCTCCACAGTACACGAGGAACGTGGAAGATGTGGATACAATGGAGAAGTGAAGCTACGGTGTCGGTTAGGGTAGCCGAAAGCAGTCTACAGTCCTCGTATGATCCGATCAAATGTTGGTAGGTATGCCGGATATACTGCAACACTAAACTAACAGTCGTAGCCACCCGACCTCACAGAGCCAAGAGTGTCTCTCATATACTAAATGACGAGACTAATTGATCGCCAGGAACTGCAGAACTCTGAAGTCGGCTGGTAACTCTCGTCTCTACGCCACTCTCAACATGAACTTAGTATATCAATCTACCTCTTCATCAGTCTTCTCATATTCAAAACTCAAGATCAAAGGGTAAAAGTTGCCTAAATCGCTAGGGCTCTGTCCAGCTAACCCGTAATGCCTAGGGTTAAACACCACAGTCACCGCCGATACACCAAATTCAGCCACATTCCAAGGAATCGCCCTGCAAAGAGAGAGGGTTACCATTTCCTGATTGACGGCAGAACTTCGGCCGATTGCCCAAAGGGCGTGTCTGCAGTCTTTTAGTTCACTACTGTACTTGTGATATTGACCAATTAGAGTCACTACTCTAACGTTAGTTAGTTAGTTAGATGAGACTAAATCGATCCCGACCCCAGATTGCGCCCCAGGATTCAGTCAACCTGCATTGCGGAGAGTGCGATCGGCACTTACAAACTACAAAACTAATATCCCGAACACAGTCAGATCCTACTTATCATATCTATACATATCATTTATTTTTTAATCCTAATTCTCAAGACTCCTTCGCCTTTCGTGAGTCATCCCGAAACGAATCCCCAAAATCGGGCCGCAAAGGGCAACGGAGAAACGGAGAAATGGAGACAACGGCCGGCCGTAACGGCCAATAGCCAACCCGGAAATTGACGCGGCATCTGGTTGAGGTTTCACTCTCCTTTTTTTGGCTTTTCTTTGCCTTTCTAGACCTCCTCTTACCAGATTTTTGCCCCCGCCGAACTCGGTACGTTTAGCGGTTAGCGGTTAGTGTTCAGCTTTTTTCCGGGGGGATGCAGGCGAACTTTGTCAGTTTCTGGGGATCGTGCACCCACACCTCCGCATTTCCCTTTTCCTTCTGATTTTTTCAGTTATTCCAATCAAATCAGAGGATCCCCATCTTTTCCCCCCAATGCGCCCATATGGGCCTCGCATGGCACTGTCGAACCTGGTGATGTGATAGTCCTAGCCTATCCTGTTCTTCCGGGGTAGTAGATGCCATCTTGAGACGAGGCACACAGAGTGGGTAATACATAAAAGGCCCTTGTCTCCAGCTTCGACGATCTATTGCTTGACTGGATCGTGGCATTCAATTATTTTATATTGTCTCCCTTTCTCATATTGTACTCCCTTTGATCACTTCTTTTATATATCACACATTGTATCCTTTCCTTGTCCAGTCGCCTGCACAATGGAGAAACCTAGCACCGACTTCATCGAAGACACCGATAATCAACAACTCGGCCACATCGCCAACCAGGAAGACCATGAATTGACCAAATGGCAGAGTCTGAAGAAATATCCCTGGACCTTCTTCTGGTGCACCTACGCCGTCTGGTGTATCCTGCTAGTCAGTTTTGAGAATCAAGCTTCCGGTAACGTCACCGGTATCCCGGAGTTCCGGAAGGACTTTGGTCATTACTATGAGGGTGCCTGGGTGTTGGATGCGAAATGGCAGTCTGCGTTTGCTGGTGGTCCTGTCGCGTCGGCTGTTGTTGGTGCTCTGTGCTCGGGTCAGATTGCTGATGCTATTGGGCGCAAGTTGACTATCTTGATTGCTCTTGTCATCAGTGTTGGTGCTGTTACGTTGGAGTTTGTTTCGACGACGAACGAGATGTTCTTTGGTGGAAAATTTCTTAATGGGTTTGCTGTGGGAGCGCTGGCTTCTGTGCCTGTTACTTATGTCGGCGAGGTATGTATCCCTCTATTCATCCATTGACTCATTCAACCTTTGCAAGTTGCTCACATCTAATTTACTTCTATAGATCACCCCGCTCGCTCTCCGTGGTACCCTCACTTGCTTGACAGCCCTCGCCTATGTAATCGGCCCCCTCGTCGTAGCCCTCATCACCAACTCCACCGGAACCTACACAAACCGTTGGGCCTACCGCGCCGTCTTCTGCGCCCAGTACGGCTTCGCTGCCATCGCTCTCGCCGGCATCATGTTCATGCCCGAGTCCCCCTGGTGGCTCGTCTCCAAGGGCCGCGAGGACAAAGCCCGCGCCTCCCTCCGCAAGCTAGGCTACTCCGAAAACGAGACCACCAAGAAATTCGCCCTAATGAAGACCACTCTCGAGGAAGTCCGCCAGGAAACCGAGGGCGCTACCTATCTCGAGTGTTTCCGTCGGTCCAACCTGCGCCGTACTATTATCTCCATTCTCCCGCTGAGCATCCAGGCTTTATCGGGTGTTGTCTTCGCTGCTGGTTACTCTACATATTACATGCAGCTGGCTGGGTATAGTACCGAGATGAGTTTCCGCCTGCAGATCGTGCAGCAGATTGCCTCACTGGTCGGTAACGTCATGTCATACTTTGTCATTGACCGCGTCGGTCGTCGCAACCTTATGTTCTACGGCTTGGCCATCCTCACTGCGATCCTGATGTTGACGGGTGGTCTGGCCGTCGTCGGATCGCAGACTGGTAACCCCAATGCGGCGGGTGCTATCAAGGGAACCGTCGCTTTGATACTCATCTACTGCTGGTGGTATAACATGACCATCGGTGCAGCCGGATACACCATTCTGGCCGAGGTGTCTACTTCCAGGCTCCGTATCAAGACTATTGCCATCGGTCTTGCGCTGCAGAATGCGCTTTACACGATGTGGTCGTTTGTCCTGCCTTACCTGTTTAATCCCGATGAGGCCAATCTCGGTGCCAAGGTGTCTTTCATCTTTGGTGGTCTTTGTGTGATTTGTCTTGTTTATTTGTGGTTCTTCCAGCCTGAGACTACCGGTAGGACTTATGCTGAGCTGGATGAGATGTTTATAAAGGAGGTCCCCGCTAGGAAGTTCAAGACTTACAAGACTGATGCTGAGGCTTTTGGTGTTGCTGCGAAGGGCAATGGGGAGGCTTAGATGATTGATTGGATCCATGTGGTGCACATAATTGGGAGTGTTGGGGATGCCTGGAATGTATGTATTTATGTACAACCTAACTTTTTATATGGACCTTGCTGGTCTCGGTCTGTGATATCTCAGGCGGGACCCGAGGGGAATTTGCTGTTGATAAACACTCGTTTGGAAGACCAATCAAATACAAAGTAAAAGTACATTAATCATTCTCCCTTTGATGTACGTATACAGTCTCCCTTCCTTCCCCAAAAATAAAAGATCAAAATGAAGAAGACTCTTCATAACCACGCCACCTAGATAGATTTCCATGCCGCGAACTCCACCCCTCTGACATGGCAAGATCATGCCTAATGCCTATGCGTTCTTCGATGAGAGGTACCGTTAACGATCTGGCAACTCCCGCACCTCATTTGTTCCCTCCTGGAAACTACCACCACTTGTGATCTTCTCCCCACCATTATGCCGGCGTTTGTCTCTTTAGCTCCCTCCTAGCCTTTAATAGACCACCTCACCCTCCGGATCTTCTTCCCTTCTTCATTCCCTTTTCACCCAACACACCATTTTCCCCACGCCTCTTGCCCCCCTCTCACCTATATACGAGCGTTTATGACACTGCGACTTATATACCGATTCTACACAGAGTATACACCATTCTACCGAGAGAGTGCTGCACACCTGGGATCCGGAACCAAGACATATTTACCTTTCGCTCCTGTGGCTCAAGAGCAGAAAAGCACTCAAGCGGATCTCTCAGTCGGCCAGCCAGGCAGCGGAGTGGCAGCTCTCCGATGGCTTATCGCCTGTCGGCATGGCTGATGGACTCCAGTCAAAAGCGCTTTCAGGACATCCTCCCCCTCCTGTCCTCAAGGCGCTGGTCGAAGTATGCATGACCTGGGAGTCTATTTCCTAGACATTTCGCCATCCCGTTCAAGTCGACTCTGAGCTCTATGCGTTCACCTGGTTGCTGGATCCAATCTCGATGGAAGAAGTTCCCTTGTGCACAAGACCACCGTCAATAAAATGCCATTCAACCAGATTTTCCAGCCGGCCAGGCTTCGGAGTTGCAGATACCCTCCACTGGCTTATTACCTGTCGACTTGGTGCATGGTCTCCAGTCAAAAATGTATTCAGAACCCCTCCCCACCCTGATACCATCATTCATCAAGGTGTGCATGACTTGCGAGTCTCTTCCCTAGCCAATTTGCCATCCCTTCCAAGTCGACTCTGAGCCTTATACGTTCACCTGGTTGCTGAATCGAATTTTTGTCAGAAGTCTTTTGTGCACAAGACTACCGTCAACGCAAGGCGGTGCATTCGTGGTGGCCGAGCTTTCCAGAGTTGAGGAAGATGTGGACTTGCGCGAGCACTCCATGGGCAGCAATGATGCAGGTAGTTGGCAGACAGACGTTGCGGGCTTGTCAGTGATTGTTGGACTTGATCATCGTCCAAGCGGAGCAGCAGGCGTACATGAGATATGATACAGCACGCTCAAAGGCGATATATTGGTCTTCAACACTATCATGAGGCGACAGGTGTCCAAACCGGCGAAAGTGGGACGCATCGTGTGTGGCTGGCACGGCCAATGGAACCCGACTGCAGAGGAGCTTTGGCTCGTGCTGTATTTCTGACCCAGATCCCGGAGACCGACGCTTTGTTACCGTCGATCACTTCCTCCCTTTCTTCGGTGAATCGATTCGGGGAACCCGTCCATATTGGTATGCACGTCGGCGCGAGCGACGCCGTATGCTGTGGTGAAGCAAATCGGGTCAGCGCACAGAATGAGGTTATATCGTCACCAACCTGTCTCCTGGTTGCCGCCACAGAATCCGGATTTGGCTGGGACTATGGGGAGAGCAGTTCGAGACATGAGTCGCGAAATGTCAGCTCTCGCTGGATTCCTGTATGCGATGTACGTCAGGAAACATCAGGCCCTGCGAAACCAGGAGCAGGAGCATGCGACATGGATGGAAGATTATTACCAGAAAGCGTTCGGGTGAGGAGATACCAGATCAAGATTGGGGATTGTTCAACGCGGATCTGTTCGGCCGTAACAAGACAGAGTATCCAGTCATTCTACCAATTTATGTACTTCTACGGAATTTCGAAATATTTTCATCAGTGTGTAGATTAGGCATCAATTCGTATCATTTCGTCGTATCTGGTCTATCAATGTACCATCTGGCTAGTAGCAAAATCCTGGGTAAATGTCAGCATGGAAGTAATGTTTCACCGATAAAAGGTTGTCACTCACTGGGAACTGGTCGGCAATACTGGTCGCAACACGTTCAACATCTTCAGCGAGCTCCTGTACTCCTTGGTCCCATTGACGCAGGCTCGCTCCATTTGCACCAGATCCAGCCGCAAGCTCCGAATCAAAGGAGATGATTCCATCAATCTGGTCGATTCGACCACGAAGACGACCCTGCTCTACCATTCGCGCGGCGTAAGCCTCCGCCTTCTCGCCAGCGGAGAAATCGCTTGATGACTTGAGTCCCAGAATCTCACCAAGAGCATCGACATTGATGTTTTCATAGAGCTTGCTGGCAGCCACGAGGTTATGCTCGATGACCGCTTTGTCGAGAACGGTGGTGCCATCAGCGGTAACGGCTAGCTGGTGGGGGGCGAGCTTCTTGGAAAACGCAGCGACTTCGTCAGCATTGAGGAGGCGGTCCAGGAACATCTTCTCCAGGATTGAGAATTCTTCGACTGATGACGCACGGTCATCCTTGTACAGGCGAGAGAGCGATCGTGAACGCTGAGGGCCGGCGGGGGCCAAAACTGCACAGCGGATGGCGGCTGAAAGCGCGGCGAGTCGATCACCTTCATCGACGCCAGGGGCCAAGCTGACATTAAAGTATTCCTGCGCAGCATCTAGGAACCGCCGGCGGGCATCGAGAATCCGGGCCTGCGACAACTGGAAATACAACTTGGAATCGTGGTCTTCGAGCTTGCTGGGCAAGTTCTTGATGCGATTCAAGAATCCCTCCGCATTGGTGGTATCATCGTCCTCCAGGTAGTATCGCACGATGCGAATCCACAGTCGAGCCTTGGCCGCATCAGATACCAGTCGCTGGGAGCTGTCAATGTTGATGCCCGACAGCGCCCGCGCCGCAGCACTATATTCTTCCTGTGACTCATATGCTTCTGCGAGAATCTCGCGAATCTGTGAATCTTGTTCCTCCACCGATGTAGCGCGCGACTGAAGCAGTGTGACAGCGTGTTGTCCAGTCTTGATCTTGACTTCTGGGTCGAACTTTTGCAGGGCAGCGATGAAGGAATCGAGTAGCGGACGAGCTGATGCAATGCTGATTTCTTCGTTCAGAATGGAATCGAGGTAGTAGACGATATCTTGGGCGAGCTCATCGCCGGATGAGCGAGACACGATGTCATTGAGGAGGTTGTTGTATTGTTCGAGCTTGGTGGGTTGGTGGGAGAGGGCTTCGATAGATGCTAGAGCGGCAGCAAACTTTTGAGACGCCATAGTTGAGTATGGAGGGTTGTCTCTCTGAGGCGAGAGAAGATGTGGCCGCCTTTCAACGGAGCTTAGACCAGGTAGTGACGCTGGAGAGTTGGAGAATGCGGGTGGGTTGGAGATGGAGAGTGGATGGCCAGGCTTATCGATAAGCAAAGGCGGAGAAGAGAAGCCGTTTGGTATCATCAGGAGGTAATGGCCATAGCAGAGTGCAGCAATGAATTTGATGGAGGATTTGATCGGTATGACGTTTTGAAATACGCGTCTCAGAACTTGGGCTTCTTTGTTTCAAGTCAGGTTCGACTGTGTTGCGTAGATATATAGCTGACATTATCAGACGGTACGATCTAGATGTTTCACATGCAGCTACCAATATCAGGTGTAATAGTTTAGCTAGATGTCATGGGATTTTGATCCCTCGAACAGTACAGCTCAGCCCACTTGCTTCGTTACATTTTGTCTCCGCAATGACCAAATACCCATATTGGATGAAAGAAAGAGCATGAAGTCATCGGAGGCCCCCAGGAAGTTAGATCAACGTGATAAAGCGGCTCTTCCACTCACCGCCTGCCCAGTCCAGCTGCCCAGTTGATAGCTCTCTGCCCGCTTTGTGGCGCGACTTCGACTTCGCTCCTCTCACTCCAGCTCTTCTCATCCACTCTCCCTTCTCGTCGCATATCCCAACTCAGTCTCTCCGTGATCGCAAACTAGATTCATTCCTCATCAAATCTAAATCAACAACTGCACTCGCTTCCTCCAACCGCCACCATGGCTCAGGTCAAACCAGACCCGGATGCCATGTACATCAAGCCCGACCCGGATAGCAAGGAGGCAGTCCTTGCCGACCTAGAAGACGATGATATCTACGAAGATGCGGGAGATCTGGACTTTTCAGCATCAGCACAGAATGTATGGCTCTCACGACTGCCGCAGCAGCTCTGGGACCATTGGGCAACGATGGATGAGAATGCGGATGATGACGAGGAGATTGAGATCGGAACAATCAGGATAGAAGGTGAACCAGGGGATCTCAAGCGGGTATGTCGCAATTCACTTGCTTTCAGCTTTCAGGTGCTCACACTCTTTTGACGTGCACAGGTTAGCGTGCGACTCCACAAACGCGAAGGCAACGAGGACATTCCCAAAGACTACACCCTGCAAAAGCAGGCCATCTCCACAAATGCGGCACACATGACCCAAAATACCTTTGTTTTCACGGAAAAGGACATCCCCGGAGTTGAAAACCGCCTAGCGTCATTTGGAGAGAAGCGCTCAGCCTTGTATGAAGCTATGAAGCGTGACGCGCGGAGGAGGCAACAAGGCAAAAAATGGGAGCCCTACGTGCGGAAAACGGTTCCAAGTGCGTTATACCCATGATCTCGTGGTTGTGACAGCTTTGTTGACATTTTCCTAGAACAAACGGCCCTGGTCGGACAAGTCAGCGAGGAGTTCAACTTCTTGCCAGTCGAGAACGAAGAACTACGACGAATCTCTGAAAAAGCAGCCGTCGAAGCTATGAAACCGAAAGAAAAGGTCCAATACATCGACGATATTAGTCCCGACATCACAAATGCAGCCATTCTCCTTCCCTCGAACAAGGGCCACTTTGTGGTAAGTCTTGCGCTCTTTGCAGTCTGGTCGCATCTTCAACTGCTAATGACTTCCTCAGCAACAACTCAAGTCGACCAAGGCCAAGGCCCAAGAGAACAAGTCTATCCGTATGCCTCAGAACGAGCTGCTGGACAAGATCTTCGAGTGCTTCCGAGAATTCCGATACTGGCCATTTAAGACCCTCAAGGCCAAGCTGCAACAGCCCGAGTCATACCTCAAGGAAACCTTGGAGATGGTTGCTCACCTGGTCAAGTCTGGCGACTTTGCCATGACCTGGGAGCTAAAGCCTGAAGCTCAGCATGCCAACTATGCCTCCATGTCATATGACAACGTTAAGGACGAGAAGCCACCTGACATGGATGACTATGATGATGCTTCGGAGGAGGATCCTACGGGTATGGTAACGGATCATGATTAAAAAGAAGCTTTAGCGAAGCTCTCCACCACGTGGATTGGATTAGAAATCTACCCACCTTAATACTTTTGACATGAATGCACACTTGTGGTCATCGCAGCTTTCTTTAGGTTGCTAACAGGTTGGGTCGAGAAGTAAATGGCCCCGTAAACTATGTAAGAGAGAGCATGCTTGCTGTGATTCTGACAGGTAAATGATAAAGAAAAACCTGGTACTCGCAAGAGCCGGGATTGATTTTCAGTGGTATTTCCGGGATGATATGTCTTCCCATTTGAAAATCGCCATTCAACTGTAAGAGATGTCTTGCTAATCATAAAGATGAGCTTGATTGTTTATGTTTGGCTTTGCGATTGCAGATCATGTCACGTGATGTGATTGATATCTGCCCCACGTGATTGAATCCGCCACTAGCGGCTATGGGTGCGTCGTCATTTCGCAGCTTCCAACCTTCTCAGCAGCTCTTTCGTTTTCCACTGTTTTCCAACTCCCATAGATCCCCAGTCCGCTCGTAGACTGATTCTCATCTTTCCTTCTTCCTCGTCTACCACTACTAACCACCCAGTTCCTGACTTGATCAGCTCACCATGACAGAAAATGATGAACTGTTGGCCAGGATTGGCCAGCTCGCAGGTGAGCTGCCAGCGACCTCAGTTTCGTCTCAACAATATTGCTCACACATCACTTTCGCAGGCCAAATCAACAGGCACAGAACTCAGTCTACCCAGCCTTCATCTCACCAGTCGCAATATGTGTCTCGTCATGCCCCCTCTCACCCAGGATGGGCACCTTACTCTCGAGGCAGAGGAAGAGGTCGTCCTGCGGCACCTCATCGAAATCGCACCCTTGTTTTGAACAATGGAACACCTGTATCCGGTCATAGCAACGCCTCCTCACCTGGTCCATCCAGCGACAACGAAGGCGAGACGCGTCAACCGACAACTTCCAACGGCTGGGTCGCAAAACGCGATCGTCATATGCAGCTGATCAACTCTGCTGTTTACGACAAGGAGAAAAAAGCCCGTGCCAAGGCTATGGAGGAGACTCGGAAGTTCAAGGAGCAAAGACGTGCCGAACGCGAACAGACCAAGGTTCTTCGGTACGCGCAGGCTGCTGGTGCTCGTGCGACGGTGTCGACCACCGCGCAACCTGCGGCTGCTCATCAGATCCTTGTCAATGAAATTCCCTTCAAGATTACACACGGCGGCAGCAAGCTAGTTCGGGTATCAAGTATGAGAGCCTTGCACGATCCGTGTGTTCCTGGAACTTGCTTACCTGTTCTAGATGATCCCAACACGGCCAACACCACGCCAAAGCGAGTCAATGTGGCTGGTGTGACATTCGTCCGAAGCAAAAATGGCAACCTCCACCGTCTTGGAGCCGTGGCCTCGAAACAGTGCGTCTTTGACTCGGTAAACACTCGAGTCTGTGCTAACTCCTACCGAAGAAATCCGACCACCGTCAAGAAACGCGCCGAGCTATGCAAAAGATTCACCACGACCGGTATTTTACTTTCCAACGGACCGCACCCTGCTCCGCCAACCTCTCCACTTCAAGTGGACACTAACTTACACTTACCCTTTCTAGGTACATGCTACAAGGGCCCATCGTGCCCATTCGTCCACGATCCCAGCAAAGTAGCCATCTGCAAGGACTTCCTTCAGACAGGCCAATGCAGTGCCGGTATGAGCTGTGACCTCTCCCACGAACCCTCACCCCATCGCTCTCCCACCTGTATGCATTTCCTTAGAGGCCGGTGCTCCAACCCTGACTGCCGCTACTCGCACGTCCGTGTGACACCCGGCGCCCCAGTTTGCCGTGCCTTTGCAACCCTAGGATACTGCGAGAAAGGCGCCTCGTGTGAAGAGCGACATGTGCACGAGTGCCCGGACTACGCGAACACTGGTACCTGCCCTAAGAAGCGCTGCCAGCTGCCCCACGTCGACCGTGCTGGCCAGATCCGCAAGGCTGCTGCTGCCGCAGCGAAAGCCGAGGCGTCGGCTAACGAGGATGAGTCTGACCAGTCTAGCGAGGAGGAAGATTATGATGCGATCGACTCTGATGATGTTGACTCGGATGAGTTTGATGATGTATCTGTTCAGCTGCTTGAAGGGGTTGATAGCGGCGAGATGGCACAGCAACATGATTTTATCAGGTTCTGAGCAGCTTCAACACCGACTCGCCCATTACGGACGGATATCATCTCTTGGCGATTCGTAGTTGCCTGGATAGCGTTGTTTTGTCTTTTTTTCATGCATTGCCCCCTCCCCTCAGATGGTTTTCAGCAAAGCCTATGATACCCTGGAAGAACACAAGAGAAATTGAAAAAAAGAGAGAAACGATAGGAAAGAACAGCGAGAAAAAAAATGGAGTATTATTAGTACATATCTGTCGTGGAAAATCTCCGGAGTACATACTGTAACAATTGTGTTTGGAAACAAAGACCGCTGGCTTGAAGGTCTCAATTCATTTGCCGACTCTGCTGTCTATAGCAAGTCAACCTTGAAAAGATCTATTAGGACTCATTCTACTTACAATGGGGAGTGAGGTAGTGCCTGTCTACTGACAATGATAGCTTTGAATTAACTTGGGAAGCGTTGTTCTGGATATCTTTTACATTTGCTAAGATCCTGTCATACATCGGCCCGGGCCAAGGAAGGGCCTAAGAAATAAAAGGGGCGTCATCCAGGTTCTCTAAGGGTCATGCGAAGAGGGCTAGTGAAAATAGTGTAATTAGAGTCGTGATCTCAGGGTCGGAAGCTCGGCAATTACTCGATCAATTCCGACTTTTATTTGTGTTTTGGACTATCTCGCGGTTAAGCCAGGGCCGTGTTTGTGTAGGAAGTAGTAGTAACGAGTTCGTAGTCCTTATGAATATGTGTGGTGATATACCGAATTCCCGTGTCTGATTAGGTCTTCTTCGACCTGCGGACCCTCAATTTTCAAGGTTCTTTGGGCAAAGCTTAGCCCTATCGCTAGCCCTATCAGTATCGGCAGAGAAGGGAACAGGATCCACCGGCCCATTCCATTCTTAGCGAATGGAAACAGTCGGCGTATATATAATTAACCTGAGGCCCTCAAGTCCCTAGCAATCCCCGGGAGGGGGACAAAATGCGTGTCTTTGGTACACCATGTCTCACTGTAATCATCAGCCTTGCTTTGCCATTCCCTGCGGCCACTTACGAGGATCTGAATTACAACGCTTCCCTGCACTTTCGACCCGATTATTCGACCCGATAATGTAACATCGCTTCATGACCCGTACTACTGGGTTGGCTCTTACTACAATGGGACTGCCGAGTTGGGATTGATGCCTTTTACGGGCCTCGCCGTGGGGAATAGCTCTCAGTGTTCGTCACTCGCTAATACTACCATCACCGTGCAATATGACACTATTCTCGCCCTCACCGAGCCGAGCGCCTCCCTGAACCGTGGCAGCGACCTCGTGAATGCTTTTCTCCTTCTCTGGCACACTGGCTTTGACTTTTCCTCTATTACCAGTTATGGTTTGCAGCTCATCGATCTCGTATCCTTGCAATGGGATCTCTTCTCTTCTGAGTGAGTTCTCCCATTCCCCACAACACTGATCTCTGACCACAAAAAACTAACTATGAGGGTATCAGACCTCTGTATCGTGGGTATTTATATCCTGGAAACTTTTTCAACTGGAAACTCAAAGGCAGCAAGCCATACCGACTCTCGAGCACCATCACCACAGACTATGGTGGCCTCGGGGACATCATAGTCAACATGACGAACTGTACCAACACGGAACTTGTTCCGTGGTTAGTCTTTTTGAATTATGGGACCCTAGGGAATGGTACCTCTGTCGGAGATATCGGGTGGCCGAATATGACAGTCAACCTGAAGTTCGACCGCGCGACGGCAAACTATACTGTCCATGTTTACTTCGAGGCCTATCGACTTTTCGGCAAAGGTGAAGATAAATTCGGCGGTGCCCCTGCTCAAGGGCAATTCACTTTGCGATTCGCGGGTATATTAGATGCCTACCACTCGGATGTCTTGGACAACGACACGACCACACCGACCTGGCTGCGTACGGTTGGCTTCAATAACAATTCGCAAAACATCGGATTCACGGGGGCAGCGGGGAGGATGTGTTCCCTCGCGGATGCGGGCTCATGGGCTCTTGCCTTGGTGATAACGCAGGTTGTGTGGCTTATCCTCAGTTAACATTGAATTTTGTCTTGCTATACATTCGAGTACCCCGGAGCTGGATGGGAGCTAGCCAAGCAGATCATGACGGATGCGATTAGTGGCAATGGCCAGACCAAGCTGACAGACACCTACGGCGTGGATCTTGAGAGCCTGTACACCATCTCGTACACGTGCTAGAACACTACGGGCACCTACGGGGGTTCCTTCGCCGTGGACGTCATAACGGCCTCCTCAACACTGCCAACTTGCTTCTACAACCTGCCCGTCTTCACTGTCGAGACCTCGGACGAGCCTACCATCAACAACTTCCTGTCCTCGCCTTGTCTCGTGTACGAGCAGAACCAGACCGCTGAGATCGCTGAGCCGGGCGTCACCTGGTTGCCGAGTAATCTGGCGGATGTCTTTGTTCTGAATTTCTGTGAGCGTGGGCAGCTTTCGAAGGAATGGCTAGACTGCCCAGGAATGCAGCGCAGTCTAGCCTAGCTAGAGGGTAAATGGCTTATGGGAGGCACGCGGAGGGGAGGGTTGAGATTGCACTCTTCCATTGATGGATAGTGTATGTATGAAACCACTTGTATCTAGATCGTCAGAAAAAAATGTTTACCCCTGCTGTGTATGCCTTTTTCGATTCCCCCCTTTTCAATAAGTTGAGGCTATATCTGATAATGCAAATATGGTTGGCTGGTGGGGTATAGAGTAGCGACATGTGTGACCACAACCATCTGCTTAAGGTTGAGGGACATGTGGTTCGCGTTCGCTATTCATCCGCTCCTCCTGGCGTAAGACTTTGATCGTAAACTCGACAGTAATCTGCCCCGTCGGGAACCTCCAAGTACTGCTGTCCTGCCGTATCTTGCGGACTGCACTCACTAGGGCTCTTAGGACGAACAGAGCATGAACGATACTACTCGAGTCAGTACAGCCCCTGAAAAAGCCAGAGCTAACATACCCGAGCATAATCCCAAACGCAAACCCAACCCTCAGCAGAACATCCACAACCGCCGACCTACACTGCTCTATGCTATTTGCGCCCACACCAGACGGACAAGCAGGACGAAAACCCAACTCCTGAAACCCACGTGTCGCGAACGCGGCACACCACATACCAACCAAGGCGTCAACAACGAAGGCGAAGAGCGCATAGAGCCCGCTGGGTTCTTTACGATGGCGGGCGATGTTTAGTGCTAGGCTGATAGCGGAGAGGATGCTCTGTCTTTCTGTTAAACAGTACTCCTTTATGAGGGAAATGAATGGAATAGCGGCGGGAAGAGTACCAAGTTGAAGACAAAATTGGCACATTCGCCGGTTGCCCAGTCGAGCCCGGGCCCGTTAGGAGAGCATTTGATCCAGATGCTGGTGGTAATGGTAAAGAGGAAGCTAAAGAGAGAGGTTGCGATAGAGAGGATTGTTAGGCCTGTTCTACGCGAGAAGGAGGGTGGAGGATCCGGAGATGATGAAGTTAAGAGAGGAGTAATTTCCCCTGGAGGAGAAGTTTCCATTGTTATGGGCGAAATGGTATTTGAGGAGAGAAGAGTAGCGGATGTTGACGCGTGTTGTGGTTAAACTGGAGATTAGCGCTTATGGTGTCGGCTACGCCAAGCCATTGCGGCCACCTCTCTTTACTGCGAAACAGTCTGCTTTCCTCTGCAGGGACAAACCCTTCTTTATGTGTTTAGTGCAAAGGTCTCAGTTCCATCGCCTCGGGTGATCCCGCTGGCCCCCGAACTCCACGTGATCTTTCTACTTAAATCCCAAGGTGCGAGGTGCCACCAATCCCGCCGAAATAACTGACCGTCTGAGTTAACTTATATCTTATTGTGAGGATCGGTGCTTTTCTAGAAGACCTCACTACACACTCCTTTTATAGAGGTACGGCCAAGCAGTGCAAATGAGACAACCGGCTCCGTGAACTTCGCATCCCTCCAAAGTTTCACACTAGGGCCTGGCGAATAACTACGCGAGCAATCAGGAACCAATCAGGCACTTTGTTGACCTCGAGGGGAAAGAATCCTCCAGTATTTGGGGGCCGTCAACGGCTGATAGCAAATCAGAAGCACGATATTCTGACAGCGTGACAGGGTCTAGTGTATGCACTTATGTAAGACCACACAGCCCCTCCTTGTCACAAAATGAGGCTCCTCTTTTCGACAATGATTCTTCCTCCTCCAGATGAATCTATTCCTGCCAGTCAAACGTCATGGCATCCGGTAGCAGTCTTCTCATACGCCGGGACACTGGTACAATAGATATTCGACTTGAATACCGTGACCAATCTCAGGTAATTGGATTGATAGGCACCCTGGTCATCATTTCCACGGCCGTTGCGTTTGGGTTTGCCATTTTCTGGGTAAGTCGATTAGGACTAGAAACAAGAACTATTTAAGCTCATCGGTGATAGGTTGACTACACCTGTAACCATGTTATTGGGACTCTGGCTGCCGTCGAAGACTCGCACCCCGAGAACTATGTTCGCCTCGAAGGCGAAAATTCTAACGATTCCTGCGACCCAACTGATCTCAATTTCATTCCTCTGGTAGCCACTAAGCCCATCACTAGCGGGCTACGGTCAGGCATTAAGCACTTGCGCGCCCGTGGCGGCATCTGGTCGTGCTTCCGTGGATTTCGTATGTTCCTGGCCTTCACGAGTGGTGGTACGGTCGTGGGCTTTCTAGTTCCAGCTACTATCCGTATTCCGATCCACTTCTCTATCCGTTTATTTCTTGGGCAGTTTGTCGCTAGAATGCTCTTTGCCACCTGGCAGATGGCCTGGGTGCATCTTGTGATCGCCGATAAATCTCCTCGGAGATCCTACCGGCGGATGCTTGGCCTTCGGCATTGGTCTAGGATTGCCCCTGCGGCAGCTTTATACAATGTCCTTATGTGCGCGTCTTTCTCTATACCTTTAGCCGCTAGAAGCTTCGTCGGTTGGACCGTTACGAATGTATTTGCCGCTCGGGGATTTAAAGAGCTTCTCAATGCTCTGATCAGCATTCTTCCGGGTATCTTCTTCTTGTTGGTTTCTATTCACGCCAGGGCTATATACACCCGGGTGGCTGCTTCTATGCTGCCCGAGGAGGACGACCCTATTGTACCTTTCGACCGCCTTTTCGGTGGCAAGACAAACCTCAACATGGCTAGGGGAGGTGACAAGCTGGGTCTGAAAGATGCTTGGGTCACGTTTGAACGGTCTGCTCGCTCTCGCTTTTTTAGAACTATCCTCAAGGCTCTGGCTATTGAGGTTGCACTGGGCGTGGTCGGGACTATTCTAGTAATGGGCGAGGTGTTTTTCATGAACTCGATTAGATAGACCTCGTCTTCTCGCTAGTCTGTCCCACGCCACTAAAGAAAGGAAACCAAGAAACCGGAATTCACTGAGATCAGTTTATCTAGGAGAACAGATGAGGAGAAAAAAACGGAAATAAGCACGTCGAGGCCTGTATAGGCAATTGGAACGAATGACAAAGGCTGGTCCTGAAAACGTCTAATAGTGAATTTCAAATCATCCTCATTTGCAATGAAGGTTCAATTCCCATCGGTAGAATAATGAAGTGTTCCTCGGAATAGCTATGTATATTCTAAGATTCTCGCTAGAAGAGATAAGTCTTTGGGGAATTTATGCTGCACATTGCCCTCGTCGCTGATCGAAGAAAAATACCTTCCTGCATGTAGAACAGTCCTGATGGTGTCTGGTCACTCTGCAAAAAGCTCAGGACACTGTAATGTATTGTATCGTAGCAAGAGAACGAGCCGTCCAAGTTCAGCGGGGATTTGCCTTGGGCAAGTATTCGTTGGCCGTTCTGTTACTGTACCCGCCGGTTTGGCCGCCACTAACACAGAAGCCGTCCTCTCTGGATTTGAAGATCTACGCAAGCGAATTCTCTCAACACACGAGTGCATAGAGTCAGCCGCGGCGACTAGCGTCCGCTTCACCGTGGTTCCTCGATGTTTTCTTAAATTCTCTTTACTGACGAGCACCTTGAGGGAGTTGAGAACGCTAAAAACTCCCGTTTCATCCTGATATATATATTTTCCAAATCCGGGAGAATGGCCGGATCAGCCAGTTCACAGCTAATGACGGCAAACTAGTGCCGGACTTTGTCTTCGATCTGCCCTGCCCTGCCCTATCCATATCCTCAAACCTTGAGACTAACCCGAATTGAATACTGATCATCTTTAAAAAAATCAGATCGTTTAGCCAACGTTGCAACGTTTCTGATCGAAGGTGGTCTTGTGGGGGCTAAAACCTCCGATAAACCAAATCTCTTCTGCACTGATGATTTCGCCGTTGTCCCCAAATACGGTGGGAACGACCTCGCCTTGGACGGAAACGGAAAGGAGATGGTAATTAGCTACGACGAGGACGGAGACCCTGAGACAGGGTATACAGTTGCCGATGTCTACCCTCATATCCAAGCAATGGGAGACAACATCACGCCTTACTGGGTCTCTTTATTAAAGGGATACACCTTCGCCACGGGGCCATACGTGAAACTATGTGATAAAGAGAAGCGGCAGGGAATCACTAGCCGGGCTGACTCATACCCTAATACCGAGGCTGGTAGCCCAAAGAGGTTCACATATGCATCTTTCAACCGACATATGCTTCTTTGCCCAAGATCTTTCACTAATGAGGCCGGGAAAGGCCCTCACTCGCAGCCCACGGTGGCAGGATTGGTAACCAGTACCAGTTACCCCAGTAAGGGTGATGCGCGATCCATGGATCGTTTTGGTACGCTCAGCTGTACATTGTATCATGAGTTGTTCCACATTGTCGATTCTGCGGGAACTGATGCGGATAATGGCCGTAAGTAAACTGCGCTCTTTTTCTCATCTCCTTCCCCCAGCTGATCTTGCTACCCAGTTTACGATGCGATCAAGATTATGCTCGCAGGAAAGAACAAAGATGATAACCTGGTCAATGCTCCGGAGCCATATGTTCTCCTCGCTCTAGCGGCCTACATGTATGAGAATCCGCCTTCTGGTGCAACAGCGATGTGGTACTGGCCGATTGGTGGTTGGCAGCAACTGCAGAGCTGAGATCCAAGCAGTGACACTTATACAGGATGTATGGATAGGAAATACCATGAACTATAGTAGACGAGTAGTAGAACGAGCCAAGTACATAAAGCTATCTTTGCTACATAGTGCTACTAGCCCGTTCCGACACGGCCAAATAAGCGTACTCGCTGCTAACGATAAAAAGCAAGACCAGTCTAACAGCCCCTCACGTTAACCTATACTTCTACCACTGTCGCATCTTAGCAAGTTATAGGCCCGCCTACTAGACTCCGCAGCTGAGTAGCCAGGATATGACAAACCTGATACCAACATAAACAGACCAAATTCAATCATAGGAGGCGGAGCGCTATGACTACTTTAGGCCCTTGGGACATATTTACCGCGTAATAATCCGCCAGATAACATTGCATTTTGCATTTTCTTGATTCGGGGAAGTGAGAATAAGGAGAATTAAGACCTGTCCAATGAGCCTTCTGATGCTAACCTAGTGGTCTATAATTTTACCATTCAGGACTTTGTTCCCCTCCAACCAGATTTCCTTATTCATTGAGATGGCCTGTGATACGTCCAACCCTCGAACTGCGCATATAACCATGTGCCAACCTCTCGTTTCGCCCCTTGATCTCGCAGGAAATTTGTCGTCTCCTGATCTCTCAGTTGTTCGGCCAACGCAAGTGGACCCCCGATTACCCATGTCGGAAGCTCTTCGATCCAACCGCGGTACTCAACATTGATATCGGCGCCACGTGCGACCAGCAATTTGACTAAATTTGTATATCCGCGAAGGACTGCCCGGATTAACGGTGGTATCAGTATGTCATCTATAGCATCATGGCTATCGTCAAAGGCCTGTGTTGGCGTGGAATGGTCGCCCTGATCAAAATCCGGTAGTGTACCGTTATCCAGCAGGATATGAGCGATCCGCCCATCAGGGTAATCCATGCTGAGCGCAAGGGCTCGCGTTCTCTGCAATCGTGATGTTCGGCCAACAAGCATCTGAACCATCTCCTCGTGTTGCTGCAGGACGGCTTTCAGCAAGGGTATAGCCTCCTTATCCCCAGTCCAGTAACTCGGGTCCGCCTTGCCTCCCGCCAGCAGTAATTGGAGAAGTCGAGTATCTCCCTTATCTACTGCCCAAACCAGTGGTGTATATACCCCAGGAACTTGGCAACCTCGGAATACATAATTGAGGCCAACTCCAGTGGCCAGGAGGAGTGGAAGAATATCCCCGTGTCTTTCAACTATTGCACACTGAATAGCATCTTGTATCTGCGGTGTAGTTGGCCGGGTCGAATCAGGACCATAGTGGAGTAAAAGATCCACGACCTCCTTCGCACCTTGGAACGCTGCAATCTGGACCGCGACGTGCCTTCTATCTTGACGAGCGCCTCGGCTAAGCAGAGTCCGGACGAGGTTCGCATCGCCATGAAGCACGGCAAGACACAACAGGGTAAGGCCCTCTGGATTTCTCATATTGACGTTGCATCCTCTCCCAATCAAAAGTTCCACAATATCCAAATGTCCGTGTTGGGTAGCGAGATACAGTGGATGCGGCGGTGGGTATTTGTTGAAGTGGGACGGCGTGCTTAACCCATGATTTCCCCGCGGTCCGCCGGTAGAAAATTCTCCGGTGGAGGTTGAAGTGGGGGCTATTTCGGCGCCGTAGCTCAGGGCCTTCTGTAGAATTTCCATGGCTCCATGCTCCGCCGCCCACGCGATGGCCGCGCTCGGGGGACATCTGGCATCTGCATGATAGAGGATTGGGTCAAATATGGCATTGAACCGACGGCCTGCGCAGGCTAATGCACGGAGAGTCCGGAGCGATGTGACGTTCCTCCCAATTTCATGTAATATTTCCGTTGGTAGGCCCTCTGGGGAAGGAGACATCATCATCACTAGCGGAGGGAAACTTGTTGTTTGTAGTTTAGGTGGGCTGAGGGTTCTCGGCAACCCTTAAAAGGTTGAGACAAGGTTGCCAAGACACGAGGTAAGCTTAATTCAGTAACCTTGGCGGCTTCGGTTAACTTAATTAATCTATTTAGTCTATATCTGCAGCTAGTCGCTAGAGGTTACGCGTTCCTCCGGGTGAGCATACGTACTCCCCAGGCAGGGTGTAACAGTGCCCTTTTAGCTTTAGACTAACAACTGCATTCCGCGAGGTACATCCGTTGGACTCGGGTAAAGAGACTCGCTAGTGACATCCGAATCTTCTTGGCGTAATTAACCAACCAAATGGGGAAAGTATACTAGATTCAAGCCGACGGGGAATAAAGGCTCCGTTATGCTGTATCAATCCCCTTCCAGACACGAACGTACCGCCATTATGCCGCCTGTTATAATTATCCGTACAATATCTATTTTAGACTACTATCACAGCCCGATACAAATTCTTCCTTGCACAATTACGTTTTCCAACTTGATATGGGCGCTGCTGGCTGTCCTCTCTCTAGTCCATGGATACGTGGTTTCCCTTCCAGGCACTGCTGCCCCCGGAACGACGGATGACTGCAGTGAATGGATTGAGTACTCATCCAGTCTTACCTGCGCTCTAATTGAACAATACTTTGGCATGACAGAGGCTGAGTTCGAAGCATGGGTGAGCCAGCTAGCCCCCTTCCAATAACCACTCATTCTCGCACTGACATGCCAACAAGAATTCGATTGTTACTGAGCTTGGATCCGGCTGTACCCTAATCGAGGGACTGTATTACTGTGTCCAGGTCAACTTCACAACGATCACTGTTAGCTCAACAAATCCAATTTCAACTACCACAGCACTTGCAACATCCACAACATCATCCACCGTAGTAACCACCACAACCACCACAACCACTACAAGCACAACTACTACCAATGCCATCGCCACCCCCACCCCCTACGAAATCGGCATGGCAGATGACTGCGACGCTTTCCACCTGGTCATTGACCATTCTTTCATGAGTGGTACAACACGGACCTACTTACCCACTAACCGTACATACACATATTATAAGGAGGTAGTAGGTAGGATAGATATATCAAAAGGAGAACTTAAGTTTGTTTTTTTCTCGGCACCACTGACAAGGCCTTAACGCAGATCATTTATTAGGCTTGCAGCAGAAAGTTGCGGTCCTCTGTAATGTGCCCCTTGGCTAGTACGATAACCATCAACGAGTTCCCCATATTCAAAGCGTGCGATGTATTCTTTTAGAGGGAGAGAGGCAATACCTTCCAGAGTCTCAATACATACGGGTCCTCGACTTGAAGTGAGCAGCCCAATCTGCGCTAAGGTCTTGGCAGTGGGGCCAAGAAAGAGAGTCTCAGTGTGCACTGGTCAAGCGAATTTCGAGAAACCCTATACAGATGAGAGGCTGGACGAAAGCCTGAGGGAAGAATTTTATATAATAGAACATTAAAGCAAGATCTCAGTCCAGAGCTGAATTCCGCACCTGTCAAGGACCAAGAAGAAACAAGGCTATGATGTAGTACTCAAAAGCTTTATCTAATTCACTTGATTTATCAATGTCAATCATCTCCTGCAGTATCATCCATCACATCCATCAGCACGTCTGTATTGAAGTGTGAAACCTTTGCCTTCGTCTTCTCTGGGATATCTTGAACTGCTGCTTTTGCCTGCTGAGTTATCCTTTTGATGACATTCTGACGAATTTCTAGATTTCGGTCACTCATCCAGTGATTCAGCAAAAGGAAAATATGTAACTCGGCAGACAGAACACCATATGGGCCCCCATTGAAGAGGGATAGTATCGGATTATAATGCCAAGTGTGAATTATCACCCTCTTCACGGACGCCATAATGTCGGAATATGACGGGCCCTGCTCTTTATACGTGATCCCTAGGATCTGTAACATCTGTGGGGGACTTAGACTGATGGAGGCGAATGGAGAATCATCTTCGCATGGCGGAAAGAAATACTTCATCTTCGCTAGAAGAGGAACGTGGAGGAAGGCAGGAAACTCCAGAACCTCTAAACATGGGAACGCACCCACGATCTGTCGAAACATATGCGCATTGTAATACCAAAGACAAAGGCATTCTTTAATGTAGAAGTTCTCCAGAGATACCAGACCGGCTTGCACCCACTCATTAGTAACCTGGGAAGGGTCGACCTTGCCATTCGGGAACCTTGCGCAACTGTCACCAACTTTCATGCCTAAAGCCCAGCATTCCTCGGCAAATGTATCCAGAATCTCATTCGAATATGGCCCGTATCCAAGATGGGAGGTTTTATTTCTCATAACATCCATCAACTCGTCGTCCCGCCAGACGACGGCGTAGACATACTCGAACGAGATGGCGGATTCCGCAATGTTTTGTTGGAGAGAGTAGAGGTCCTTAAGCAAGTGCGGGTGGCAGAATTTCACCATACAATCCCGAAGCATCGGGAATGTCTCCATATCCTTATCAAGCAGAAGGCGACGAAGTCGGAGTACTACTCCTTCTCTTGTTTCTTTGCCGCGGAATACCAGGTGATGCAGCGCTCTTGTCCAGGAGCCGCAGACTCCACGGAGATTCTTGGTTCGCCAGACCATATCTCTGAGACGCATCGTGCGTATAGAATATCTTATTGAGACCTCCCTCGTGTTGTACACTTCATCTAGTAGGACTTGGTGGAATATTGGCTGGAGAATATCTGATGGGAATGACAAAAGGAGTTCTGGTGAACGTGAGGTTGGTTGGGATAGATAGCCATCGCTAGACATCCTGAGGGTATTTTCGAGGTCGAAGAGATACCTGGAGAGCAAAAAGAAGGAAGAATATTGGTGAGGTTTGGGGGTAATGGAGCGTGTTCATCGGCGCCTAGCCTGTCCTGAGAGATCAAAGCAATACGATCGCGAGGAGAAGAGGAAATATACGGAGTAGTTAGTTAGCCCCACACCCCCTACTTAATATTCTGCCGGTCACAAAACTTCCGCCAACGATCTATCATTACAGTAAATACAACCAATAATGCTCCAGTCAGCCCTAGTAGGGCGTAGAGAACATGGAGGTGCGTAAGAAGGGAGCAAATGAAGCAATATTGCATTATGCGAACCTTTGTATAGTCTTATACTAACGCATTTTTCGTAGGCGGTAAAGCATACTCTAGGCGGTCAGTGAAGCGGGGACCGGGGCGGTATGTCCCTTATAAGGAGGCGGTAAAGGAAGGTACTTTTGGGTGGTCAGAAACTTTTGCGGTGCCACTGTAAGTTTGGTATATCATGTGATGAGGGTTTGAAAGAGCATCTCTGTTTTTCCAACATGGGAGGCAATACCGGTCCTGATTGTATCGAAATGGCTTTCTGCCAAGACCAAAGAACGGAACAGAATAAAATAATTATTTCTCAATGTATGGGGAGGATTATCCGCTAATATTCATCTACAGTCGTTACCGCATTTAATCTCTCTACAGCCAACCGGGTCCTATTGTGATCTGGGCCTAGGGTCTTCTCGTAGCCTGCTAGTGCTCGCTGGTACATCTCCTATGCCTCCCTCAGGTTCCCCTGATCAGAGTAGAGATTCCCAAGGTTATTGACTGTATTGAGAGTCGACGTATGATCAGCACCGAGCGCTTTCTCACAACCTGCCAGTGCTCGCTAGTACATCTCCTCTGCTTCCTTCAGCTTCCCTTGATTTCTGTAGAGATTCCCAAGATTATTGACTGTCCGAAGAGTGGATGCATGATCAAGACCAAGGGCTTTCTCCTTGCCTGCTGGAGCGCGCTAGTACATCTTCTCTGCCTCCCTCAGATTCCCCTGATCAGCATAGAGGTCTCCTAAACCATGGAACGCTCCCCACACCGCAATATTATGGCCTAGAGTTTCTTGCTAGCAAGAAAAAGATCGCCCTAGTTTAAAAAGCTGCTTTTCTATAGGAGTCTAATTAATATCGGTTCCATCAAACCTCAGAGTAAGGCCTTTCTGCCGAGTGGCGGATACGACAACAGAAGTGTTATCCGATTCAGGTTTTCGATGTGGATACTTTCGTACGAGTAGCTCCTTTAGCTTCGGTTGCAAAAACAACCTCCAGTGAAGTCGAGGGGCTAGAACCAGGTCTTGTTCTGTATCTTTCGCCACTGTCCTGTTATTAAGAGTGACCTTCCACTCGATCAAGTAGTGGATACAAGTTGGTGGATCCTCGTCATATGTTCGACCTCCCTCCCAATTACCGAACTGGAGTAATGGAAACTATTCTTTTCTGAAGCAGTTTGTTAAGGAGAGGCATAATCGACAGGGGAGATGGGATCGACGTTAATGGTGCCTATGTCGGACGGGGAGGCGGGCGACTAACGGAGGTTGCCGGGTGTTGTTCCATAGCCAGGTGTTGGTGCATATATCAACTTTGATATCATAGCTGAGAAATGACAACCGTATTCTTCCTACAAACCCCTAGGCTGTGCCCGTTAGTAGGCCGCTGAAAATTACACTCGTTCAAGCGCTAGGCTGCCCCCTTGCTAGGTGACAAGTGTTTCCCTGCCCCCTGCGGACTAGTGTGTCCATCACCTTTCGCTGCTTTTGAGCCTCCCGTAAATTGTATATTGTGGAATGTTGAAGACATGGATGCTTGCTGTCAACGAAAAATTCTCTCTTCATCTGCCCAAGTCCCCATCATGCTGATCTGAATCATTCATCCTCAATACCTTGCAAATAGCGCTTTACGTTAAAGGGGTGAGGAAGTGTGACAAATGCTACGAAACGGACTAGACCTCGGCAAGTCCCATATTAATTCCAAATTTTCAGCTTTGTCCTATAGAACAAATTCCTATAGCCTCACGAATAACACGACGAATGCATATTCCGCTCCAGAATTTGACCACTACTGCCTAAATGGCTTTGATTCACAAGAGACATCCGTAAGAGTTAATGGCTGTCGTAGTCAACAGGATCGCCATGCGTTGGCGCGCTTCCCCCAGATAAATTCAATATGTAGACACTGCTCGTTGGCAGTGATGCAGGCATATCCCATCTAGGCACAATGCGTCCGTCTGGCCGCAACTTCGAGTACTCACCTTGGGCTTGTAAAATGATTGGAAGATGTATGGCTACTATAGTCCACAGAAATGGTACGGTTCGAGGGGCGAAAGCATAAGTCTGTGTCGTGTAATATGCCTATCAGGTTACAATCGAAAAGAACAGAGGGCTCGTCTTCCGATTCAAGGTATATACACTCCCTAGATCAGAGAGTCAGTTATACTACCGGCTTTGTAGTAAGTTTCATACTTGCAAATTAACTGAGGCAAGTTTCCAAATCACTCCTTGAACCTCGCTCAGTATACGAGCAGACGAGCATTTCTAACCTTCCAGGACACGGATTTATAATGCGGGTAGAGTTCCCGATCACAATCACGGTACCTTGGTACCTAAATCAAAATTAAATCCAGTCGCACCACCTAACGAACTTACGATGTGATTAAACCGCAGCATTCCCGTCCGGCCGCCCGATGAATTCCGCGGTAGCGCGACTGGATGGAAAAAACATAAGTTAGGTGCTCACTATTCTTGTCTTGTCTTGTCTAGTTCGGTAATTCCTCCGACAAGACTCAAGTGACCGACTGGATGATGTCCGGGCCAACCGTTCGCATTTACTCGCGCAGTATGCTCCGGTCAGCGGTTTTCTGGTGATCATGATCGTGTGTTGTTACTCTTATTACTTTTGATCCGAATCCTTCTGTTTAAGCGAAGCTGTATGTACAGTATACCTACTTATGCGTATGTACACACATCACTATTTTAGACGGGTTATATGGCGAGATGGATAAATTTGAGTTTTGTATATCGGGGGATTGCGCGAGCGAGATCGGAAGGTGGGCATGCATTTGACCGAGCCACCCGCGGTACCTACAGTATTGCTGACATGAAGGTTAGGTTTTTTGTGTTTCTGGAACTGCAGGATGCAGAGGAGATCGCTGGGTGGGAGGATGGGATGGGGTAGTCCCGATGCCTTTTTTCGTTTGCCTTGTTTTTGCTTTTGCGGTGCCGCAGTGGAGTATGGCCGTTTGGGAGGGTTCGGTCAGGATGTTGGAGTTTGGGAGAACGGGGCATTGGGGCGGAATGGGTTTGCAGAGGTTGATGTATGTTGGAGATTTGGAATTATCTGATGTTCTGATCTGAGTTTGTTGTTGTATCTCTGGAGTATTGGGATAGGTCGCTCTCGCGACGGATATCCGTAAGTCGGTACAGTGGCTTCCGAGGGCCTTGTGCTTCAGTGTTCCTCTGTGAGTGTAAGCACTCTTGAACTCGAGACAAAGCGAATTTTTTCGAGCTTTGGAAGATTACTGCACATGTTCGGGTTCTTGGTGGCATGACTCGCCATATCAGATCAACGCCTGGACAAGGTCAAGAGAATGGATATCAAGTGAAAGAATGAACATAGAAGAATTCAAGACCAGCACAATGAGCAAAGGCATTAGAAACTGGAGCCCTAACTTTGAACCCTCTCTTTAATTTCCCCTACAAAAACAACCATCGAGGCAGATGCCCAAGAACCCCCAACCAAAGCTCGAAATGAGTCACATCTTCACAAATCCAGAACACCTACAATTATCAATCACGAACTGACCTCAAAATAGCGGTCTACAACTAAACAACTCGATCATCATCCCTTCATCCTCCCATAGGGCCCATCACCGCACATCCTCATCAAACACAGCTTCCAAAGTGGGATCCCAAATCTCGAATAGGAACGCCATCCGGCAGTGTACCCAGTCCAAACAACCACCCACCAGCCTTGTAAGTCTACCGTACCCTACCCTACCTTCTCGGCCAGGCATGCCTCGAAGCCTAACTACACAACCCACTAACTACCACTAACATGACCAGACCAGGCCACAGCCAGTCCAGTAAGTCTAAGCCTCAGCTCCCGAGCTTTCTACAATCTGCCTGACTCCCTCCCTCGGACGTGCCGAGCCTACAGTAGAGTCTAGAGCCTAGAAGCAGAGATCAGATCAGATCAGATCACTAGGTCAAGTTAGGTTAGGTTAGGCAGGGACGAAGTCTTCCCCCTCTCAGTGAACAGGCTAAAGTGAGGCTGTGGGATGCACGTTTCAGAGCGTCGGGCCTCCTCAGTTTTGCGGAGTATTTACTTTCTGGGCTGGCTGGCTTGGTTACTGGTTGGTACTGTAGGTGCGGGAAATGGGTCAGCCTGTCATGGGAGAATGGGATGTCAGATGTAGTGGGATGGTTTTGGGGTAGGGCCGGGTTTTCAGGTGGGGGTTTTAGTGGGCTGGTTGGATGGACCTGGCAGAATGGATACTGGACTTCGTGGGGTCCCTACATACATACTGTACTGTAGATCGGGGGGCTTCTTGGATGTGAGTGATTCTATAACAGTCGACGATGAATATTTTCTAGTTGCTGAATACTGATGCTATTCCCCCTACGGTAGATTATCGTGAAGGGCGTTATAGATTGTATAGAAAAAAGAACTCAGGTATTGCAGTAAACCCATGTCCGTCAGCCCAAACCAGAATAACAAGAAAAGAAAAACGGAAAACGAGATCAGAAAACGGAAAATCAAGATCCAAGATCAAAGATCCAGGCCCGTAACGAACTGGCCAGTCACTGATTTTACTCTCCTCCATCAGCCGACATCACTGACAGCCCCGTTCATGTCAGGACAGAACAGAAGAAAAAGAGGGAGAGACCAGTAGTATGCGAGAATCACCTCTTCACTAGTCATTCTCTCATCAGACCAACGCCCAAGTTACAAAAGTACCATGAACCCAAATGTCATTTTCATTTTCATGCTGCGTGTATGTATACTCGGTGTTACTTCTTATATGTACAGTACTGTAGGTACAATGTACGAGGCACACAGGCGGTACTCTACCACGCGCATGACATTCTCCCCCAAGGCACAAGGGACAAGGCACGGGAAGATGCACAATACTGTACAGTCCAAACCTACTGTGGTATGAACCTACAGTAATAATTATCCTGCGAGTGGTCAGGTCAGGGTCAGCCCCTCCCCTCCCCGAAACTGGTCTCGGTCTCGATCTCAATTGGATCATCCGGGCGCTTTCACCGCCATCTGCGCGGGTTGGTCTGGGCGATTCGCGATTCGCGAGTCGTCACTGGTAACTAACGGGGGCGCCGGGTCTAGTGGGGGGTGGACCTATCAGGTCGTTGGAGAGGGAGGTGGTTTCATCTCATCTCATCCTGTGTGGTTAGGTGGGTGGGTGGTGAGTGGTGTGGTTGGTGGTTGGTTGGGGGTTTCTATGTATAGAGCGCGAGCGTGAACGGACGTGGGGATTGGGATTATTGTATGTACAGGAATACGGGACAGGTTATGGAGGTGTGTCCGAGGATTATGTTGGTTGATAAGGAGGGTAGAAACAGGAACAGGAAATGAAAATAGGTAGTATTGTGCGCTTGGGGCGGAGAGTTGGTTTGGGTTTAGTTTTGGGTTTGATTTTTTGGGGGTGTAGTCCTGTATGGAAGGATGATCACTGTAAGTACTTGGTTGATTTTTCTTCGGTGTGCTTGTGTACATATTATTTGGGCAGTTGAGATAGTTTCATTATGAGATTTGGGACGGGGATTAGTACGGTGTAGTTTGATTATTACCGAGGAGGGGTTCCTCGATAAACGAGCACGAGGTAGACTAGAGGACTCTCGATCGGGTTCCGCATCACGATGGCATCATCGGTCGATCTGGGAGTATTCTAGCGGGTGGTTATTCTTTCCCGGGGGGACGCTCGTCACCAGAGCCGTCAGCCTGGAATAGGCGAGTCAGGCTGGGTCTTGAGGCCGTGATGGCGGGCTTGGAAGGGATTCCGCGGCTGGACCTGGACCTGGTTATACTGGGAGTACTGTAATCCTCAGGGCGTCATCCGGAGGGGACAAGTGATCAATGCAGAACATCCGTGCATCGCAGGCTGCCGGGGGAGATAATCACACAGTGTACAGAATAGTGTGCAGTGTATAGTGCTGAGTACAGAGTACTCTGCAAGGCGGAAGTTGGAACCATGGGAAGAGGGGGTGGATCACCCGCGGGCCGGACCCGTTTGGATCCATCGGAACCAGTTGAACAGTGTATCAGTGTATAGAATCTTAGAAGAGTAGGACGAGGGGTCTATCAATGACCCGAATGACAGAATGACAGAATGACAGGAAAGCACAGACATTCTTGTCTTGTCTCAGTGGGCCACTCAGAAGATCAATCGATAGGCTCTCGTTTATCGATAAGCCGAGGGGTTGTGATAGTGTGGTAATTAGGTAATCCAGAGTTACTGCCAAACCGGAGGAGGTATTGTAGTTCAATATTTGGGTCACAATAGATTCAAACTATTTGCAACACTCCGATCTATATACTCCATCCTATAAGATGCTCTATCACGTTGGGCTCCCATAAGAAAAGCTCACCTTTCCCTGCCGTATTCAGACACCACAAATTCTCATCCAAACAAACCGTGAAAAAGAAAAATCCCCCAAAATCCCCAAAATGCACGTCTGCCCAAGAGGGGCAGAGCAGCCAATCGTAGCCATTTCGTCTGCCCGGGGGGCTGCCCTCCATTTCCCGCGCAGACCGCTGGATGTACCGAAGACTTGGATGGACTGGGAAGAAGTACATCCAATACTAGAATTACCACCAGCAAGAGTCAGCCAAAGCAGGTACCTGTGACTAAACCACACGGCGAGATTCAGCACGGGCATGCGCCTGCTACAATTAGCCTGCGTCTCCCCCCCCCGACTCGGAACTGACTGAATGACTTGACTCTATTGCTATTGCTATTGACATTAGTCTACTACTGTACAATTTCGGCTTGTACAGTTCCCCATTTCTATACACTCCGATCCGCCCCTCTCCTCCGCCTCTTCTCGGTCGGCACATCGTGATCCTCTTTAGATCCTCTTCCCTCATCCATATTATCTGCTTCACCTTTATCCGTTTTACTTTCTCCCTTCGTCTTCTTCTCCTCATCTTTTTGATATCCTTTTTTTCTCCATCCCATCTATATTCTCCTCCCGCCCCGCCTCTCATATTCTTTTCAACTCCCACCACCAAAACCCACTTCCATCTTCTACTACACACCGCCTCTTCGCCATGGCACGATACGCCCAGTTCGATTTCTACCAACAATCCCCCTCAACGCTAGACGTGCCTCCATCCGAAGAAGATGAAATGAGTGTCCTCGACGATAAAATTCTCGACTCAACTTCCCCCGGCCTCTCCGACCCCCGCCGCCCCTCCTACGACACAGATCCAACCGCCTTCTCACATCGCAACTCCGTCTGGTCCAACTACTCCCATGCCAGTTCCGACCAGTCGCAGTCCCGACCATCCCATCTCCCCCACTCCGTCCTCGACTCAACAAGCGGGCAGTTCATGGCCGTTGACGGACCGCAGCCCTACGCGCCGCCCCAGGCATCATGGGCGCTCTCCCGCACCGCCTCCGGCTCTTGCACCCCCACCGCATACGACCAGTATCCCTCCGAGGCAGAGCAAACCGCTACCTCGGGGCCGTTCTCTGGTGGTGCGGTCGGGCCGGTTGGTGCGATCCCCATGGGTGCGGTTTCGTATCGCGGCGCGGTGAACTTTGCCGCGCCGCCTGGAACGGGCGGGGTGGCCATGTCCCCGCAGTCAAGTCAGGGTTGGATGCCGGCGCCTATGGATTTATCGGATGCCGCCGCGGTCAAGAGTAATTGTTATCGGAATGGGTCGCCGTTGACACTGCGGAGGGATGGTATTCGGAAGAAGAATGCTCGGTTTGAGATTCCGGCGGAGCGCACGTTGAGTAATATCGACCAGTTGATTAGCCAGTCGACCAATGAGGAGGAGGTGAAGGAGTTGAAGCAGCAGAAGCGATTGTTGAGGAATCGACAGGCAGCGTAAGTTAATACGGGGGAAGGAGAGCGACATCTTTGTCAATCTTGATGCTGGTATCCATACTGATCACCACGAATCACAGTCTCGACTCGCGCCAACGCAAAAAACTGCATACGGAAAAACTCGAAGAGGAGAAAAAACACTATACCCATACCATCAGTCAACTCGAGGATATAGTCTCCAGTCTGCAGAAGCGGGAAGCCGAGTTGATGCGCGAGAAGAACGAGTGGATCGCCCAGCAACAGCAGATCACCACCTATCTGGAGAGCATGCACATGGAGAAAGACGAGATGATCCGTTCGCACACGCTGGAGACGGCCGAACTGCGCAAGAAAAACAACATCCTGCTCGAGACGGTCGAGAAGCTCGAGCGTGGTGGCAAACCCACCATGGCCGATCAAGCCCAAGCCCACGCCCACATCCAGACTGCCGACTTTACCGGCTTTGAAAATCTGTCTATGGATACCGGGCCTTGGGATGAGTTTGGCATGGCTAATGGTCTTCCCATGGATACTGTCTCTGCTTCTCACGTCCACACGCAGTCGCAGGCACAGGCACACCCGCAATCCCAGCCTCTTCAAGTCACCGAGCGTGCGGCCGACAAGCCCGCCTCCGACTACCCCTTCAGCTGGAACGCCTTCTACATGTGTCTCCTCTTCGGTGCCTTCATCGCCTCCAACGCCAACACCAGCCTTGCTGGCCGCTCCCTCCCCCAACTCTCGGAAGAGTACCGCGCCGAGTCTGCCAACGTCCTCAAAGCCGTCCTCGCTTCTTCCCCACCAGATCTCACCCACCCCTCCGCCATCGCTGTCTCCGCATCCGCGCCTCAACCCTCCATCACTATGGACATGACCCAGATGGGCGCCTCGCACGCTCGCTCCTCCACGTTGGACGAGTTACACGATACGCTCGTCCTACCTAGTGAGGAACAAGAGCGTGCCCAGGTGTTCTCGCTCAACGTGGATCAGTATAATTCCTTAACTACATTCGAGGACGACGGCGCTCCGTTCAAGGCGCAGCCCTCAAACCTGCAAGCTGCGCTGGCGGCGATGAGGAGTAATGCCGCGCAGCATCGCGTGCATGGTGGCGAGGACGTGTACTCGCGCAGCTTGATGTGGGAGCGTGTGCCGGAGAAGGTGATTCGTGATTTCCGGCGTATGGTGCAGGAGTTTGGTGGTAGTCCTGTCAAGGAGGAGATGATGACCTTTTAGAGTTGAGGGGTCCGGTCTTGCCTGGTCTTTTGAAAGCCTGGGCGTATCAGTGTTTTGACTGTGGCTATCACTTGAGATCTCTCCCGACACTCGAAGGGTTACTCGTCTACTTATTGACGTCTCCGCTCTGATCCCCCACTCCCCGCTCTTGACACTTCGTCTGGCCATGCCCGACTTTTCAACGACAGGAACCACCAGCAATGGTCTGGTTCTCAGATACGCTGGGCAATCCCCAATAGAACCAGCGTGATGGCGAACCTACCAACCCCACTTTTCTTTCTTTTGTCCCTCATTTCTTCATGATTTGTTTTTCAACACAACCCCTTTTTCTGTGTTTAGCGACTAGCGATGTGCTTTTGCCCTGCTTCGATTCTTTCTACTTTATCTGGTTTATCATTGTCGAGTTCTTTGGTTTTGATTTTGTTCTGCGTTTTCCAGCGTTGTTTTTAGCGTGGTAGGGAGCGGCTTATTGGTTTTTTTTTTATCTTTTTTGGTCTTGTTGGGTTTGCGTTCATATCATGGAAACTGGAAACTGGAAACCGGTTGGGCGGTGGCATTGGATACTGGAAACGAAATGTGAACTTGAGACATGAGAGCATCGACTTTGAATTTTGGGCTGGTCTTATTTACTGCGAAATCTGGTTGAGATTTCGGGATTTTGGAAATTTATGTTGTGTTGTGTGTACAGACAGATTTTGCCTGTTTGGTGATGGTGATGATGTGGACATGGTTCATGTGTTACGAAATTATGAAGATTCACTGTTTTGATTCTACCATGCTGTGTTCTTGATCCTTTTGCTTTTCTTCTGCACTATACTTACTTTTCTGGTTGGTTTTTTGACTGTCATCTTGATGTGGGTGGATGGCTGACATCTTATTTTCTCCGGATGGATATTTGTGACTGATTTACTTTGTCATTCTCTTCTTTCTTCACCTTGTCCTCGGATCTATCGCTTCTCGCCTTGATATCAGCCAAGCCCATCGGTCATCAACCGGCTTGGCGCTGGATGTGGATGTGGCGTGGACTCCGCTTCCAAGGTTGATCGATGATCCTCCTTCAGGACTTGGTGGAATTCTTTTTGTTTTCTTCCTTTTGTTTGTCACTTCTACGAAGCGAAGCATCTTTGTTTACTACACTGCGATATGGAATTGGCGGCGACGCCCGAACGAAACGAATTTTATGAAGATATGATACGAATCTGCAATTACTATGATACTATGATATGATGTGATACTTGGTCGAGATTCTTGTCTTTGTACGCGAGATGATGAAGATTTGATCTATGTATGTTTGCTATGAACGACTATGATTATGACTGTGACTGTGAATACACTGGTGATATCCTACCTCCATTCCGATGGAGGAGCATACTTGATCCATGACATGACATGACGATATTATAATTACTTTCCCTTGGCCGATATCGTCTATTTCTATTCTCTATTGTCCGGGACATCATTGGATGGATCCATAGGTAGCCGCAGTTCGCGCCATCTCGGCCTTTTAACCGTTATGATACTAGGTCTGTCTGGTGTGGGTGGCTATACATGAACGAATAAAGTCCACGGTAAATACTGAAATCCTGTAATCGGCTCTCTCGGACGGGCTCGTGCTTTTGCGTTATAAATGCGGATCTACTTCAACTGACTGTGGTGGTGGTAGTTGACTCGTCGATATCATCCTCCCATCCAGAGACACCGACAGATATGTATAACCCAACCAACCAACCACAATCCATATTGACCACCTTGAGCAAATTTTTCTTTCTCTTCGGCGTTACCAAGGTTCCCTCCCTGCTATACCACCTAACAAATCAGGATGAACCTCCACTAAAACTCAAATCTCCCGTGGTAGGGCATTCTCCACGTGTAGTCTTGGCCGGGGGACCTTGGTGGTAAGTCATCTTGATGGTCACACCCAATGATCTCGCCGAGAAATAGGTCCACTGTCAAGCCTCCAAGAAAAGCTAAGAATTATTTCCAAGCCTTTCAAGCTTTCTGACCAAGATTTTTGGACTGATGTAGTGTCTTGAGAGGTAGTATCGCTGTTTTTGTTAGAAAGTGGTTTGTCTGGATGAGGCCTGGTGGGGAGGTTGGATATTTACTTCGATATTAACATTTACGTAGAAAAGCAGAATCTGCGAGCGAGTGATTTATTTTTTCAATCTGTTCTATTACTGATGGAACCATTACAAGTACAAAGGCAGGGTTTCGTGAGACTAGACCATGCGATTGGGGCCAAAAATCGTTCGGTTGGAAGCGAACCTCCCAAGGTCCTCAGGGCGACGGCAGTCCCGAACCAATCTCGCCCATACAGCAGGTTTATAAATTAGATGTGGAAATCCTTTCCCTGATGGCATTTCTTTCTCAGCTCGTGCTCATTTCTTCCATAGCCTTTCATAGCCTTTCATTTCAGTTCTCGGCTTTAGCCTATTGCTGGCTGTCAGCCTCTCTATACCCTCTATCAAATTAGGGCTTGATCACATCCCGGACAAGGATACAGTTACTACCGTCCACAACAACCACTATGTCCGACTTCGACCCTCACAATGTCGACCTCGACACCATAGACCCCGTCCAAATCACCTGCTACCTCAACAGCGGAGGCAACGAATACGATGGCCGCCTCGGCGCCCGCATCTCCGCCATCTTCGTCATCCTAGTCGTCTCCTCGGCGGCAACATTCTTCCCGGTGCTCGCCAAAAGGGCCCCCCGTCTCCGCATCCCACTCTACGTCTACCTCTTCGCCAAATACTTCGGTGCGGGAGTCATCGTCGCAACAGCATTCATTCACCTGCTCGATCCCGCTTACGATGAAATCGGCCCGGCCTCCTGCGTAGGCATGACAGGCCACTGGGCCGATTACTCCTGGTGTCCCGCCATAGTCCTCACATCCCTAATGATGGTCTTCCTACTTGATTTCGGTGCGGAGCGCTACGTCGAGAAGAAATACGGTCTATGCCGTGATGACCCCGAACCGATCATGGCGTCTGGAGTGGAAGTTAACCAGCTCGGTCTGCGGCGATCAAACTCCAACTCTCATTCACAGTCTACTTCCGCACTTGATGCAAAGGATAAACACGCTAAAGAAGTCGAATCCCAATCTATGGATGAGGGCGCAATGGAACGTTCATTCCGCCAACAAATTGCCGCCTTCCTCATCCTCGAATTCGGCGTTATCTTCCACTCGGTAATCATCGGACTGAACCTCGGTGTAGCCGGCGACGAATTCGCAACTCTATACCCAGTCCTAGTCTTCCACCAATCCTTCGAGGGACTCGGTATCGGTGCACGGATGAGTTCTATTCCCTTCCGGAAGGGCTCCTGGTTACCCTGGGCGTTGTGCACGGCGTACGGGTTGACGACGCCGATCTCCATCGCGATTGGACTGGGTGTGCGGACGACGTATAACCCCGGCTCGTTTACGGCGAATGTGGTTTCGGGTGTGCTGGATGCTATTTCGGCGGGGATTTTGATTTATACCGGTCTTGTGGAGTTGTTGGCGAGGGATTTCTTGTTTGATCCGCATCGGACGAGGGATGATAAGAGGCTTGCTTTTATGGTTTGTTCTTTGTTGTTGGGGGCGGGGATTATGGCGCTGCTGGGCAAGTGGGCGTAGACCTACTGGCTCAGGCTGGTTGGTCTTTTTTTCAAAAGAAATCTTTTTCTTTCAACCAGAAGAGGGGTGAAAGGGGGTTGAGTTGAGTTGAGTGGTGATGAGATGCTGGAGCTGGAGCATCTGTTGTCTTGTTTGACTATGCTACGATACTTGATACCCGATACTCGATACCTTTGCATTAGATAGACTAGGATAGGACTGCTTTGCTTTTGGATTTAGTTTGGATATCGATGTGCTATTTTCACTTTAGGGGGTGTATAGCGAGGGACATAATACTGGTGGATTGAGTGGTACTCGTCCGGTCGTTACAGTGATTAAAATTATGGATTATTGTCATTTCCTTTCTATCTGGAGCTTCTTCCTTCATGCAACAGAGCTTTATGTCAATCTCGATTATATCGACGATTAGGCAGTCTGTATTGGTATCGATGCCTCTGCCTGTGCAACGACCGCCACAACGAGCACCTCAGAAGCTCGGACTCCAACCAACACTATTGCCGGCTGTCAGGACTCTTGAAAGTTATCCTTCATACCGATTTTCTCAAATGGTTTGCCCAAGTTTCTGTATGGACAAATTACTACTAGACATTTCTAGTAATCGAAAGTTCGTTTATACGCTTTGCGGATAATTTCAGTCATTCTTTCATAGAAGAACAAATAGCCTCCCAAAACCAAACCCAAATAAATTTAAGAAAAAGCCCCCCCCGATCACTCCTACCTCTTCGATCCCCTCTCATAAGCAGGTGGCGGCTCATCCTGTCCCAGCGACGGCATGCTCTCCGACGAATCACCACCATTCTCTTTCGACCGGCGAATACGCCTCATCACGAAGAATGCCAAAAATGCCAAAAGCACCACGGCAGCCGGGACACCAAGTCCAATTCCGATCTTGGTCTTCTTGCTCATTGAGTGGTCGCGGGGTAGAATTAGAGAGTCTGTCACGATGGGCACAATGGATGACTCGGACGCTTTGAACCGGATTTGAATGCCGGTTGCTGTGATGGCTCCTACTGTCGTTACGACGGAGAGTGTAGGATCCGTGTACGTGATTGTTTGTGCGCTGTTGTATGTTTTTCCGCAGTAGTCTTGGCCGTTACAATCGAAGCCACTGTAGATTATTTTAGATTGGTGGTTTACAGAGGACTTGTAGGATAGATGGCGATTGACTTACCTTGGGCAGCAGATAACAGTCGTCTCATCCCGTTGCGTGGTCGTTGGTAGTGTGCACGTTTTGTATCCCACTGGACATACCCCGGGACTAAAGTACATATTGTAACGCCATCCTTCCGGACAGCATTCATCGCCGTATGGACCCCCGCATCCCTGGATTAGATCTGGTCTTCCGTACACTGCTGTTGTGCGTGGTATGGAGCAGGATGGGGGTGGTGTGAACGTGGTTGTGAGCGGTCCGGCATTCTTTTTGGTTGTATCGATGCGATTGACGTAGGTCGTATCGTAGTAGTATCCAAAGGTTCCGGTAAAGATGCTTGATAGCGCGATTGTGCGTAGAAGCGTGTGTATCGGCGTTGGGCTTTTCATACTGACCGGTGGATATAATCAGGAGTTCATAGATGGTGGTTCTCTCTAGACAGAAGATTTCTTGAATTTAACCAGCCTCTTATTTATAAAAAGTAGCTCTTAAATACTTATACCATAACAGCCACCCGTCCTCGCGCGACGATCATCATAACGCCAAGTTCCGCCTTGCCCACATCTCGTATTCAGACCTACTTGTGTCCCTTCGGCTACATGGAGATCTTATCCTATAGGCCCGGGCTCAAAATCTGGGCACCAATGCCCGGTAGTCATTGCCCTGCTGCGGACAACAGTGGAGACGGTATCAAACTTGAAGAGGCGCTATTCTACGATGCGTGGGTGTTCGCGCTAACCTGTGTGATGGAGACCTGCATCTGCATGACTCGGGCGTTGCCTTGATTTCAGGGTAATCGAGAGATAGTTTACTTGTGGGGCTGTGCCTGTGCTATTTGTAACTTGCTCGAATGTGAGACTTCCATGAGGAAATGGGGTTCGATGTTATTGGTTAGTTTATCTCAAGGGATCGCGCGGAATTGGATGGGCGGAAGATGCCGGCGAGGCTGAAAGGGGTGAGGAGGTTGATGCATTCTGGAATACTTCGCCACGATGGTCAATATCTTTCTGGATAATTATACAGCTTCTACGAATTTGTTTTGTTGTACGATGCGTGGTATGAGCTATTCTAGTTCATGACAGAATAGAGAGAGTATTGAGCCTCGCGGCTAGGATTTACAGCTGTCCTTCCATTTTCTCAAGAGAAACTTTCAATTTAGCTGGACATGCTAATGGTTAAATTGAAATATCAATGGAGCTTTCCAGTCTTCATGATCCTATCCCATGTTTGAAATGAGCGACTGAGCAAGGGGACAAGTGCAGCTAAAAATCAATCCAAGGAACATTCGTTGACGCAAATCCTGCTGAATCTTCAAGGTGTTAATGACTCCTCAAATTCAGTAGTGATATGAGTACTTACAGGGTCCATCATTTCTCTCCGTTCCCCTTCAATCTGCCTGTTTCTTCGCTTCATTAGGCTTGCGAAAACGGCACGATCAACACCATAGAGCCCGGGTCTCGGGTTCATAGAAGGAGGGGGCAGGAGGTCGTTGCTCGCAATGACGCTTGCAGGTGCCATAGGACCAATTTTTGCACCCCGGGTAAAGCTTGCTGTAGGATTGTAGGGCATGATCACCGAAAGGGATTCAGGATCCGAAGACATAGCAAAGAGTTGCAGCAAGTAGTCTTGCCGCCATGGACCGCCCAATAGATGTAAGGATTGTCGGAGATGGTCTTCTTGTCTTGATATTCCTTGTTTTCATATTCACAATCGAGAACCTCTGGGTTTGGCGATGAGCTTGAGTGATAGACAAACATTTAAATTGTTGGAGGTTTGAAATTGGGGGGAAACGTTGAAGATAGGTTTGTGTCTTGCTTGAGAGTGGGAGAGTTGAGGTATAGGTGTTACCCCGGGATATTTGATGTTTTATAACCGAGAGGAATGCAAATCCGGACCTTTCCGGAGTTTCATTGGTCAAATGGGATATTCCAGAATGTCTATCAAACGTAAGGGATACAGCACTATCTCTTTCGCGGTTCATTCCTTCAATAACTGCTCACTGCTCTCTGAGTACTATTTAGCTCAATGATCAGACATCTTCAGCATGCTCACTCTTCCCAGTCCGCTCATCCTCCATCACCTTCTTAACAGCCACCAAATCCGTAACCCTAGCCTGCTCCCCATCAAACACAACTGCAATCTCTTCCAACGAGTACCCCTTCGTCTCAGGATAATACAAGTAAACAGTCACCAGAATAACCATCAATATCGCCAAAAAGACAATATAATACTTCCAGGCAATAGCCTCAAGAGCAATAGGATTAATCAACTGATTGAAAATCAGCGCCACGTAATTCGCCATCATCGTGATAGAAAGCCCCTTTGCGCGCATGGAGAATGTCCACATTTCAGTCGGATAAGCAACCATAAGAGGCGTAAAAGCGATGTCGTATCCGGCGAAGTAGATGAATAGGAATGGGATGACAGCTGTGCCGATGGCTGCGGTGCCGGTTGTGCTGAAACTGGCGGATAGTGCGGTGATGAAAATGTAGCTTATTAGCATGATTATTGTGGATGTGAGGAAGAGTCTACGGCGACCTGCGCGGTCGACTAGACAGGCGCCGGCTATGCTCATGATTAGGTTCCAGAGTTGGAGGAAACCGTTGATGAGGGTCTGTTCTGTGACGGAGGTGATGCCGATTGTTTTGAGGATCATGGTGAGATAGTAAGATACCACGCCGCTGGGAGATGTAATTTTGTCAATAATACGTTCAGTTCAGATTGATTGCACGACTCGAACTCACCATCCATTCCATTGCGCGAAGAATCCCAGGGAGACACTTAGGAACAATCGGTATCGATTGCCCTTGGTTCTCACACAGTCTACCCAGCGGGACTCTTTCTGCACACTCTGCTCCAGAGTAATTGATTCGGTAATCTCCTCCATCTGTAAAGCGACAAGCTCCGAATTCTGATCTCCACCAGCATGATAGCGAACCAAGATCTCCCTCGCCTCCTCCGCTCTCTTCTGACCAACCAACCAACGCGGCGACTCAGGAATCAACAGCGTACCCGGCAATGCCAGAAGCGGAAGTGCAATTTGCATCAGTGACGGGATCCGCCAAGCCCAATCCCCATCAATATTCCTCGTTCCGAACGAAATCCACGCTGATAGCAATGAACCCCCGTAGAACTGGCACATATACGCCGACGTCACGAACGAGCGATGCGATGGATACGCAATCTCCGTAACTAGAATGACAGAAGCTTGGAACCAAGTCCCAGCAACCCCGATGAAGAATCGCGATGCGATGAACCAGTTCAGGTTTGGTGCGCCGGCTTGTAGGCCCACGCCTAGCACTAGCCAGATGTACCCGATGAGAATGGTGCGCTTGCGGCCGAACCGGTTAGCTGACCAGGCGCCGATGGGTTGGAAAACCATGCTGCCGATGCATTGAAGGGCGTTGATAAAGCCGAGCCAGGCACCTGTTGGCTGTTCCATGAAGAGTTGCCATTGGGTGAGAGATTGGAGGCCGTTCATGAGAGATATGTCGTAGCCGCCAGTGGATGAGAAGAGAAGCATACTGCAGATGTATGCATTGAGAATTAAGAGGTGGGATGTCTGCCACCATGGCTTTGGGTTCACGGGGAGAACCTAGAAGGGTGGTTAGCGTTGAAAAAGCCTCCGTAGCAGGACGGTTTGTGTCTATACCGAGGCGAGATCTCGCACAGCAATAGAAGTAGAAGCCTTTTCTGACATCGTGATGATCACTTAACACCGTGAATGGCCGAGGACGGATAGATGTTGCTCGATTTGCACTCAACTTGTATGAGGTGGTCCAGGGGCCATATAAGCTTTTTCACGGCCCACCGTGCTGCGATAACCTATCTCCCCCCAGAATTCGTATATCTCCCGCAAACAACTCCCGGGATGTTTCACTTTGCGGGACAGGACATTGAGGTTCCAATACTCCAGGTTCCGGGGTATGCTAACGGATCTACGCGGAGAAATCGCGGGGATTTGAGTGTGGGGAGATGGAGTTCAGCCGTGGTAACGGCATGTCCAATGCCGTCGTGTTATATGGACCCATTCATCTTAGAGTTCTAGAATTAGTCTAGCTCTTACCGGAAAGGGCGGTTGCTCTCGGGATCAAAGATGCAGCTTGTCTTCAATCGGTTAGACATACAAATTGGCCTGGATGTTTCCTGGGAATGGAGGAGATGCTGCTGATCGGTAAGGGGTGACAAATGCAGTTCCGAACGTGTTGAGCCGAAGATTAGCCGATCTGGTGAGATGCAAGCCAATGGATGGCAGGACCGAAGATCTGAAACGAGGCTGAATGCGGGGAACATTCAAAGATACTCTCGGTTGAGGAAGCGAGGATTTCGGAGGTTTATCCAGGTTCCGAATGATTATAAGTTTGTATGACCTCGGCATCCGTTTCAGGGAGGAGAGGTAGATAGACACTGGAGTATTCCATTCATGTTCGTGTATTCATAGACCGATCGAAAGACAACATTAATCAAATACACTCGTAGACATCACGCAATTATATGCAATATGTAAGAAATTCGTGAACCGAATCGTAGTCAGAAAATCATAAAAGACCCATGCAGTATAACTCCTAGGACGAGGGGCTCTCAGCCCAGGTATGCCAAACAACCCCGTCATTTGGGATTGTACTTTTCTTTCCAGATCCTGCGGAAGCGGAAGTCAGCAAGGTACAGTTCCGAGGATTTAGTTGAGACACGAGTAGAAGCAACGTACCAAGAGTTCCCAACAGTCGGACTTCCGTTCTCCTCGGCAAGTCGATAGTATTTAGCGGCCTTGAACTATATTCCGACAAATATTAGCAATGCTCTAAGCTTCGTTCATCTCGTCAATGTCCAGTCATACCTTATCCTTCTTTCCACCGAATCCTTCGAGATAACACCACGCAACCTGGTCCATGGCATCGGTATCACCCAGGTTCGCTGCAGTCTCGTAATATTGCCTCGCGGCGGCGGGGTCTTTCTTGACGCCCCAGCCCATGCGGAAGCAATTTGCTAGCTCAAAAATGGCGAGGACCAGCTCGCCTTTGGCACTGCCGCCCTTTTTCATGCCTGCACGGAGGGCCTCGGACTCTACAGCAGCCGAGTTTGTTGCCGCAGCCGAGAGATATGTTACTGCGCGTGCCTCGTCTTTTGTGCAGCCCCAGCCGTGTCTAGGCAAAGTTAGTATTTATAGATATAGGTATTATGTGTAAGACACCCTCATACCTCAAAGCTAGGCCGTAGAGAACCTGGCTAAGCGGATTATTATGGCCATTAGGGTCGGCTAGTTGGCTGAACATCAGAGTCGATCGTTCCAGATCTATACTCTGTTTGATTAGCAACAAGTCCACAATAATGCCCCGGCCTTCTCAAAACGACAATTTGTACTAACCTCCTTCTTCATGCAAGCGAATAGCCTCTTGGATATTGATCTGTCCACCAACTGTCAGCAACCCTGCGACACCCTCAAGCAATCCTCCCTCCACAGTGCCAACTTACATCATCCTGCTGATCCCCAAGTCGACTATGACTTGAACTTCTCGATCTCCCCTGCCCACCACCAGGCAACGACAGATCCCCCGTGGACGGCGGCGGCGACTGCCCAAAGTGCGGATTCCGCTGCACCAACACCGTCGCCCTTTTCTCCCATTGCGCCTCCCGCTCTTGCTTATCCACCCCCTGCTCGTCCTCAATCTGCGGCAGACCCTCAGGAATATTCGCAGACGACTCTTGCGAGTTACTCCGGCTGCGGCGGTGGAGGAGATTCGACAGGCGACGCTCGCCGCGGGGGCGGGGCGGAGATGGGCTGGAAAGGGAGCGAGAGGAATTGGAGCGTTGGAAGAAGAAGCTCCGGCGGGAATTGGAGGAGCCGAGACGAGGGGATTCGGGGGTTTCGCTTGTGTTGCGCGTGTGCTCGTCGTGTGGGTGTGCTGGAGGGGTGATTACTTCTTGGCCGAAGGTGTCGGATCGTAGGAAGGTGATTTCGGGTGGTGGCGGGGATAATGGGGGATTCTGGGGAGAGCTTTTTGATGTGGAGGACTTCTCGGTGAGGTCTTCGCGTTTGTGGAGGATGTCTCGTAGTGAGGGCATCTTGAATTCTTGGTGGTGGTTCTGTCGATCTGCCGGGGTGTGATCTGCGATACTGCGATATGCGATGCGGGCGTGATGCGGAGGGCGTGGAGATGCAGTTAAGAGTGGATCGATTTGGCAGAGATAGGGTCAAGTAGTCTGGGGTAGATAAAGATGCTTTTTGTCATTCAGGCACGATTCATGCTCAGGGGACAGAGTCAGCCACATCAAGAATAGCAACATCAGCTTGGAGCTCGGGGCTGTGCGGACTGCGGAGAGTCACTTCCATTGGGTCGGCCCCGGCGGCTAAACGGAAATACGAAGCGCTTAAATAATGCGACCCTAGACAAAGGGAGAACAGCATGAGAATGAAACAGTATATAATTGAATGTTTGACTAGAAAGATCATTTGGATCATGCTTTATGCAGTTCCGATAGATCTCATACATGCATGTCCCACATGTGGCGTGCGATATCGGTCCCTGCGTTTTTAGCGCGTGGCCTTCAGATTAATACCCACGGGGCATATCAAGGACCCTGATAGCGATAACAAACATAGTTTCTGTTGGTTATTTCGTCTGGTTCGGGTCTTGAGTTTCCTGGCTCGGGGATTTAAATTGATTCCCTATGAACAGCTGATAGCGGACTTTGTGGTATCCGAGACAATCATAGTACACCATCAACAAACCAGAATACCAAATCAGCATTCCACATGCCGACGAATTGAGAATAAAACAGACCCTCTTAGTCAAGGAGCTCTTCAATATCACGCAGCCTCAATCCAAGCGCTAACATAGACAACAATTGACGATGGCAATGGGCCCTACTGGTGGACTACGAACAAGACCCAAGGGGAATATAGACCAACTCAGACGTAAAAATGCCCAAGAAAGTCCAAAGCATGCATCAAGTCAGGTCGATAAAAGAAATGGTATTGCAATTCTAACTCAGAAGATGCAAATGACCCCTATAGTTTTGTACACATTGGCAATAGCCGAGGGAGCCATCAGAGTCTATCCAATTAGGCCTTGGACGCCATGATACCTAGAAGCCCGTTAGTACATGTCATGATGCCAATCTGTATTTTTTCTACGATGGCACTTACGCTCAACATCAGCAACGCTCTGCTGGAGGATCTGCTGGAGAACCTTGGGGTTCTCGAGCTCCTTCTGGATCTTGCTGATGATGGACTCGGCAAGCTCACGCTGCTGGCGCTGCTTAACCTGGCCCTCGTAGCGGACCCAGGAGTCGAGGACAGTCTTGGCCTCAGCAGCAAGGGCGGTGCGCTGCTCGAGCTCGTAGGCCTGAGCCTCGAGCTGGGCGGTCTCCTATAAAATTGCACACTCCGGTCAGATCAAGGTCTTTCTTTCCCCGGAGTATACCTCCGTTCGCCCAAAACGATATGCCATTCATACCTTAGAAACAGCGAAGAGCTGCTTGGTGACCTCGACAACACCGGACATCTCCTTAACGTTGTCAATGCGCTGCTTAACAGCGTTGGTGTGGTCGGCACGGGCAGCGTTCAGGATGTCCTTGTGCTTCTGGACCTGACCCTTGGCCCACTCGCCGTAGGCGGGACCACCGTACTTGGCAACGGCGGTGAAGACGGAGAGCAGGCAGAAGGCGGCGACGGTCTCCTCATTCATCACGTAGAGCTCGTTGCTGATGGCGGCGATGGACAGACCGGCGGCGGCGGACAGGGTGGCGGTCTTGGACACCAGAGAGTTGCCGGGAACAGCATCGAGGATCGACTGAGCCTTCTTAGCAGGCTCCTCGGCGGGCACACTGGAGGCCGCGCGGGTCGAGGTCAGGGCAGCGATGGCAGGGACACGGGCGGTAACGGAGGGCCGTAGCCGGGCGGCGCCTGGAGAGGGAAAGCGAGTCAGCTACCTGGATACGTTCGTACGGGAGGGCAGAGTCAATTTGCAACATACCAATGGCGCTCTTAGCAAGACGTGCGACCATTGTTGCGGATGGGAAAGATCCTTGTGAATAGGGTGGGTGGTTCGGAGAGGAGACTTGAGGTCGGGACGGCTAGGACGGGCTTGCACACGCTAACCCGTTTTGGAAACAGTCCAGTGCGGCGGAAAAACCCGGGCGCCGAGCTCCAAAAAATAATCTCAAGGTACACCCAAAAAAAAGTTGAAGATAGTAGATCCGAGATCACGCCAGCAATCTACGCGACACTCGCCCAAAATGCCTGCGACCGTGGATACCTCGAGCTCAAAGAAGCGCAAGAGCACCAAAAATGCCGGTGCCCCCTCCAAGCGCCGCGCTGTGGCTGAGGAAGACAGCTTGGCCGAGACCTTGTCGAAGGTTCAAGAGCTGGAGACTCAAATTGCGGAGTCGCGCAAATACTACAACAATATTGCGACCCTGATCTCGATGCTGAATGTGGAACAATCAGCGAAAAAGCCTGAGCTGGCAGTGGCCGTCTCTCTATGCCGAGTATTCAGTCGATTGATGGCAGCGGGCAACCTATCTGAGAGCAGTCGCGATGCCGAGAATGAGAAGATCGTGGTGGCGTGGTTGAAGGAGCGATGCTTGGAATATCAGCGTGCATTGCTATCTATCATTCGTGAGGCTGATACTACGTCTCAGGTGGGTGCAAATCTGGTTGGCTATCCATTCGTTAGGGCTCCGCTAATCAGAATACTAGGTTACGGCCCTGACCCTGAGCATGCGCCTCGTGAAGGAATACAGTACTCACATCTCTGGAGCAGACAGCAGTATCTGGTCTGGTTTCTTCAAAGACATCATTGAGGCCCTGGTGGAGGCCCAGAACGGCGAGGAGGTGCGAGCCGAATTCGTCGCAAAGTTCATGAAAGAATATGAAGATATTCGATACCAAACATTTGGACAAATAGCGTATGTCTTCCAATTCGCTGTTCCATTTTGATCCTTTGCTAATTTATTATAGTGAGTATGCCGCCGCTCGACGAAAGACCGACATTATCGAGATCCTTATTTCCCTCCTCTCGGCCTGCGACGAAGCACCGAGCTCTGATCACGAAATTGACGTCGAGAACTTCTTCGCAAAGCCCGAACCAAATAATAAACGTCTCCGCACTGTCCATGGTCACAAGAGGCGAGCGCAGGACGCATGGCTGGCCATCCTTCGCAACAATCTTTCCCAGGGTCAACGGAAGGCTCTTCTGCGTATTATGGTGCACACCATCGAGCCCTGGTTCACTCGGCCTGAACTCCTGATGGATTTCTTGACTGACTCATACAACGAGGGTGGTGCCATTTCTCTCCTTGCCCTGTCCGGTCTTTTCTACCTGATCCAAGAAAAGAACCTGGACTACCCGCAATTCTACGCCAGACTCTACTCGCTCCTCGACGCAGACCTGCTTCACTCCAAGCACCGATCACGCTTCTTCCGCCTGCTGAACACTTTCCTCGCCTCGACCCATCTTCCCGCCACCCTCGTGGCAAGCTTCATCAAGCGTCTCTCGCGTCTCTCACTCAACGCGCCTCCCTCGGCTATTGTTGTCATCGTGCCATTCATGTACAACCTCTTCAAGAGCCACCCGACTTGCACCTTTATGATGCATCGTGAGATTCGTGATAAGAAGTTTGCCGCCGAGATTGAGTCCGAAGGCATGGAGGACCCATACGACCCCAATGAGACGGACCCTACCCGCACCAATGCCATTGAAAGCAGTATCTGGGAAATCGAGACTCTTCAGTCCCACTACCACCCCAACGTCGCTGCCATCGCACGGATCATCTCCGAGCAGTTCACGAAACAGGCTTATCAATTGGAGGACTTTCTTGACCACACCTATCAGGGTATGGTGCAAGGCGAGCTTGGCACTGGAGAAAAACCACTGCGCAAGATTCCAGTGGTCGAGTACCAAATCCCCAAGCGTATCTTCACAGACCGCCTACTGGTGGAAGATGACGGTGTGGATTCTGGGGCTGGCTCTTTCATGCGTGGTCTCTGGGACTTTTCGTCCTAATTTCTCAACGTCCCAATTTTGCTGACCGCCCTAAGGCTTGTCTGATGTACGTTAGCCCTCAGTTCTTTGATATTTTTGCATATACCTAGACGTGATGGGCGTTGAAAAGGAATTCGTTTTTTATATTTTCATAAATTTTCTCGTTAATTACTGGAAGACTAAGCTGTCGTCTGCTGGCATTTTATGCCCAGCCTATACACACGCAAAACGATGTTTTCATCGGCCTCCAATTCCTCTCTGCTTCACCAAGGCACCAGTCCGAACGCTCCAGCCACTCCCAGCCTGAGCTGAAATTGACGTCAAGAGCTGCTCGGCTTGCTGTTCAACGAGCCGTCACTCTAGACGAAAAGGTCAGCACAATGGATCTCACAAGTCGCCCCACAACAGTGAATACATAGGTGTACTTACATCTTGTCGAGCTTCTTCTGCCGCTCCACAACGTTCATGCCTACGAGGGCGAACACCATCACCTAGTACCTGCTGACCATGTACGCTCCATCCCGTGCCAATGCGAAGAAAGCATCGGTCACATCCGGCCACCATGGCAACAGGTTTGTGAGCATCCAGGCCAATCTCACCCGAACCCGCCAGAAGACACCACAGACCTCGCCTTGACGATCGGCATCAAGGTCACGGGCTTCATTGAAGAAGCGCGTGAAAACCAGATCGATGGCATGGTTGGACTCGGCTGCCTGCACCCGTCCAGCGACATTCACACACAGTCGGTCAAGACGCCAGAAATACAACCGAGTCAGTGCGGTAACCCGGTGTATGAAAGGCGCAAGCCGCTGTTGGACGTTCCTCGCGAAGGTGAGGCCGAACATCAAGGTGTGTCTAGCCATCCACCGACGCGAATTCCGGGAGACGCGGGTGATGCGCAGGAATTCGGCCCTCTCCATGACCAAACGGTACCGGGTGATTATCGCAATGGTCCCGCGGCGAGAGCCTTCCAGGCGGGCTTGGGTGGTCGAGTCCGGGGTTGACTGGGGCTCCGGGTCCGGCTGCATGGTTGGGATCGATTGGTGGAGGTGATCAAGAACTATCTGCATCTCGCTTCTCAATGGCTGTTCGACGGGCCAGGCACGGGTGCTGAACTCGGGGATACCCCCACTCGAAGACGAAGATGAGGACCAGGGAATGTCATCTTCTACTGGCGGAAGAGCGTCGGCGGTTGAGCTCACAGATGGAGCCTCGCTTTCCGCTGGAGCTTCATCCTCAGGCGAAGCTGCTCTCTCGGCAGGAGGCGGCGAGTGAGACATCGGGAAAGGCGGATATGCTCGAAGCTTTATATTGAATCGCAAGATGGGAGGGGACTCGCAGGGAAAAGTGAATATTGGGTCTGAGATGGGGTCGCGACGAGGAAAGATTGTCGGAGAGTCTGCATATCTCATCAAAAAGCGTTTGCATTGGTCCTGGAAGCAATCGACCTTGCTGGCGTATTATTATACGGTCACTTGTTCGGGATGAATGGCTGAGGTGCAAGGGAGGCACCGAACACAGTCCCACCAGGGAGGTGCAAACGCAATGGTATCGAAGGCATTAGGTATCAATCGACGTAGAGAATGACTCTCGGCAGCAATATGTGATAGATTGACCAGATCGAGTACAAATACCGTTGCAAATTGCAATGACCAAGTCCAATGATGGTATGGCGAGAAATTATACACCGTGTGATTGACGATTTGTTCCAGGTTGAGCTGGTTTAACTTCATTATGTTGCAGAATGAGTCTTTCAGTGACCGACCGTGCCCAATACCGATACAAGGTTCGTCATGAGCAGTATTGTGGATAGTGCAAAGGTGCATCTTGTCGAACGTCTAGTGCGCAGCGAGACGATGCCGATAATAGAGGAGAGAGTATATCCATGGTGTTTATAGTTCGGCAAATAGAATCTTCCGCCCCGATAGGGGGACCGATTCATAGGAGATACTATCGAAGAGGACATCAGTCACGCGACCATGTATGATTCACGTTTGCGGTTTTCATACGTAACTAGTATCGAGCGTTAGTCAAGTGTACTGAAGACTCTTGTCCTCACTTTATGGAATTCCCCTTCCAAACGAGATTCTTGGACTGTTGATGTCCACCGACGTCAATCGGCTGGCAGCCGCCCTTGCAGATTATAAGATCGGCCGAGCAGTGATAGTATAAACACGGTTTTTGCGTACTGGCCACCCCTTGGTATGACACTCTGTTTAGAATGATTTTGAGAAATGCTTGTCAAAATGCCATGTTTGCAACTGCAAGTTTGGACGATACTGCCTACCCGTCTACCCTTGAGTTGTATCAAAACATCTCGGGAAGGGATAACATTCCTCAGGTTCCAGTGAGCTATTCTACTGGCGTTCAATGTACACTTCTTTTTTGCAATAAATAACGAATCATACGTAGTCTAGCAGATTTGGTGTTTAATAATATATCAAAGATTTGCTGTACATTGCCTGTTCGACAAACGATACTACAGCTGCTGATTCTCCGCTCTCGAGCGTAATACGATGCTCAGGTAGCTCGTTTTGTTATTGGAGAATCTTCCCCTCGATGCTCAGGCCGCTTATTGGGTAGATTTCTTCAAGTATTTTGAAGTCGCATACTTGATTGGGCAAAACTTGAAGGCCTCAACATCCCCGGAATGCCGCATTCTCTCCCAGACACACTAGAGCATCAACAAAAGAATACTAACATGCGACAATTCAGGTCCATCTTGCGGGGCTGGGAAAACACCAGGCTTTTCTTGCAGTAGAATAAAGAATCGTGATGCGCCACCGGGATCTCGCCTTCTACTCTACTGTATCTACTTCCGACGTCGACTTTTCTATGCACCACTCCTTTTAATCCTACAGCTTACTTTCTTTAACATCCGAATCAAACATTTCCGCCCCTTTTCTTCCAACCAACCGTCACTATGCATTTCGCCGGTGTCCTCGCCATCTCGGCTTCCCTCGTTGCTGTCGCCTACGCCAACGACCCTCTTGCCTTCACGGCTTGGCCCAAGGATATCCAGGCTGGAAAGCCTGTCACTCTGACCTGGGCTGGTGGTGCTACTGACCAGGTACTTACTTGTTCTCATTGAGGCGTAGATGTTTGAGGTCGCTGACTCGGGTGGTTGCATTTAGCCCGTCACTCTCACCCTCCGGAAAGGAACCTCAACCAACCTGCAGGATGTCGAGATCATCACCGCTCAGGCCAAGGATGGCACCTTCACCTGGACCCCCGGTGACAATGTCAAGAGTGGAGAGAACTATGCCTTCCAGATCACCCAGGGCGGCGAACGCAACTACTCTGCTCTTCTTAAGGCTGGACCCGCCGTCAAAGCCGTGTCAGCTTCGCAGTCTTCACAGACAAACACTGCGACTGGTACCAATACCAACTCCGCTCAAACCAGCAGCACTAGCAGCAGCTCCAGTACTAGCAGTGGCACTACTGCCACGCAAGCCTTTGCCACCACAAGCAAGCCCTTGATCAGCTCGTCAGCTGCCGCTACTCCATCCAGCAGCCCGGTTTCCTCAACTACAGTCACCAATTCCGTCACTGCTGCTGAACCCTTCGAGACCAGCAACATCAAGAATGGCAAGAAGGCCTCTGCCACCAGCAGCGTTCAAGATGGCGGCGCTTCATCTCTCCAGTCCTACTCACAACTCTTCATGGGTGCCCTGGGCATGCTTGTGTATCTCGTTCAGTAAATTGTATCGACCGCTGACGATGATGATGTTGAATTGGGTACACTATTACCTGTCGCTCGTTCCAAAACAGCCTTCCATCTTGTGTTCTTACTGTTCTGACCCATTCTCTTCAATACTGGACTGGGCCACCTTCAATGTACATAGTCCAATACCCCCCTTCATATCACTGAGAGGCGGCTTTGGTCGGGCGTTGTGGAGGTAATTGAATTGGTTTCAAGACATGTTGATTCATTCCTATTTTCCTCCTTTTATCTCTCGGATGGTGGTAACTGATGTCATCGATCGTGACAATGCAAGTCTATCGATGTGACACGTTAACTAAAAGTTTGTCAGGGTCACTGTTTACTCCTAAGCACCAGGGTCTCGGCAGCGGCATGGTGATCCATGTACCAATCAGGTTTAGCGGCCGAGTTAGCGCGATCCGTGCCTGGCGGAAATAACAATCGATAAGGGATCTTGTCAAACACAACTCCGTCCACAGCTCTACCTCTTTGTCTACTCCAACATCCTCCCTCACATCCGTTAGCTCTTTTCTCAATTTTGACAGCTCGTTCGGTCTTCCTCGGACCATTCTGTGAGAATTGACCAAGGAGCCATAAATTATCGCGAGTGCCGCGCGGACGAATTGATCCGCTCACCTCCGGCGCGCCCACCATTTCCTCCTCCTGGGATGTCGAGTTGACTTCTCGATTAAGCCGCTGACTCGGCGATGGTCAGACTCCGCGACAGGATCGCATCGTCGCATCTGGCCCTTTTGAAATTTGAAAACGGTATGTCAGCTTCTTCCCTCTTCTCTCTCCCCTCGTCGGCGACAACAGACGAGCAGTCCATCTCCCGCACCAACACCCTCTCTCACAACCCGCACCTGTCACCATGTCATCCATGGGGCGGGCGATCCGACGACTGGGCTCCTCACGGAAGCTCAACACAGCAGAGGGGATCAGCACTGACTCGCTGATCTCGATCCCAGAAGAAGCGCCGCAAGTGAATCTTGCGCCGGTGGACACTCAGTTGAACATGCACCGGTTCAACACACTTTTTGAGGAGGAAATGGCGGTAGAAGGCCCCAAAGGTTCGTTCAAATCTAACTGTACATCCTCTCATACATCGCACCTACTAACCTTACGCAATCGCTGCACAGACTCTCACACCTTGCCCGCGCAAGCCCCCACCTCGGCAAGTCCACGCCTCGGCAACGAGGCCCCGGCAGAATGGTCGGCTGTCGGCCACGCAGCAGCAACCGGCAAGTCAGGCCGTGTCATCCACAACCTGCAGGAGGAGGTGGCTCGTCTGAAGCGGGACTCCGCCCTCTGGCAATCCAGAGCGGAGGAGTCTCAGCGAACCAGCGAGGCCCTCAAAATCCAGATGGAGGAGATGGCCGATTGGCTCCGCCACAAGGAGCAGGTCAATGAGACCAGTCTCAAGTCCATTGACCGGAAGAACCGCAAGATCGAGGAATTGCGGGCCGAGCTGCATGCCGAGCGCACCAAGCGCCACGACGCGCAAATCGTAGCAAACGAGACCAACGAGGCGATGCGTGTGGAACGCCAGAACCACAATCGCGAAACCGCTCGTCTGCAAGAGGAGGCCAAGTACTTCAAAAACCAGTACGAGGTCCTGAGCAGTGCCACGAAGCGCGAAAAGGCCGACCTGGAGCGCCGGGTGGACAAGGCGTGGGAAAAGGTGAACTCCATTGCGGAGACGTCGAGCACCCAAGGCGAGTGCGCTAAGCGCCTAATGGTCATCGGGGACCAGAAGAACCGAGAGATCGACGGGCTGTACGAGGTGTATAACAAGGCGAAGGCCTTACATGCCGACTACAAGGAGACCAAGGACAAGGAGTTCCGGGGCACCATCGATCGGGCCCATGCCAACAACGCACTGATCGATGCTACTCTCAAAGAGCTCAAGGAAACTCAGGACAAGATGAGGTGGGTGATTCGGATGAGTGAGCTCAATGAGAGCAAGAAAGCCAACGGACAGCAGACCAAGGAAGCCGAGGAGCAACCAACATCCGAACCCCCATCCTCCTAGTGCGCTGGTTGCCGCTCTCAACCCTTGGAACTTGGTAACGGGCTAGTTTCTATGCTCAGTTCCAGTCCACGGCCCCCTTGATTCCTGTCCTTTCTTTCCTGTCTTCTGCTACTCGACATTTGATCTTTCGGTCCGTCTTTCTTCCGCCCATGCCATAAACGCCTGAGGTCCATCCGCCGCGCCATCATCATCAATACAACGCCTGTCCTCCGTCCTCCATCATCCGTCCTCCGCTTCTCTTGGTCCGACACCCCTTCTCTTTCCTCGACCATCTCTTTTTCATGTTCAGACCTTTCGTGGTTTCCGGCGTTTTGGCAGCGAAGATACCCATTGCTGCAGTTCGGTCAAGAACTCCGTTTCATCCCTTTTCTTTTACCATACTTCGCCGCCTCTCCCGCCTCTGCTGCTCTTCCTCTCTCCTGCCTCCCTCATTCTTAGAGTTGATGCCGTGATGACCCTGCATTATTTGGTTCGGTTTCTTTCGTGCTTCTATCTTCATGCACATTTGCATCTGGGTTTTCGTTCATGCTACACCGCATCTATGGGCGATATTCTTACTTTTCTCTGTACCAATACCCTTTCTTCTGATGTTTTCTATTCCAACATATTTTATCTCTGTTCCTCTTTTGAACAGGGTAATGCACTAATATTTTATCTCTAATTGCCTAATTGTCGTTCACTGTGTAAGCTTGACCATTCTCGAGTGGTTATGTCCCCTCGATAAGTCATCCGCAGCCCATCACTCGGAGCCACAATTGTTTCACGCTGGGGAAAGGGAGATTCCGCTCAATGGGTCCTTTTATGCAAGTCTGTGCCGTGTGGATTGTTGGAGATTACCGATCATAGCGCCCATCGACTCTTGTCGGATCTTGTCTCTCTCCCTTAAACCTGTCGACCTTTCCAAACATCTCCCACACTCTGCTCTCCTTACTTCCTTTCTTTTTTGCAACTATCTTCCTTTCTTCTTCACCCTTGGTGTAGGTGCACGTGAATCTTCCTTTCTATCTACTACCATCAGGTGCCGATTATTTCAGTTTCTGACATTATCACAGAGGCAAGCTCGTGGGAGGTCATTGTACCTTGCACTAGTCATTGATATCACATCCAAACCCAACTTGCTCATATCTCTATGACACTCCGTCATCATGGCGACCGAGCGTGAACTACAAGTGGCCTGTCTGTGGGGACTTCAGAACATTGCGGTATGTTCATGTCCTTGCCTTGAATATAATGTGATTAAATTTAGCTAACACGATATACATACATAGTTCCGCGAATTACAGGAGGAGATCATGTATGAAAGTCAGTTTTCCTTGAAGTGTATCAAGCTGATGGAATATAGAAACCTATCGCCTGGCACCCAGGTCAATTATTCGCTTCTTGAAGATGTGAGTACTTTGTTATGGATTGCAACTAGTCCATACATGCTGATCATTCATTTCTCAGGTCTTGGTTATCAAAGGCTGCTTTGATGATGATACAGAAGCCGCCGTGGTGGCATGCATCAAAAACTATGTCAAGAAACACATGCACCACAACCTACCCGATGTCAGTACTTTACTCGGATCAACATCTCCATGAGCCATTGAGCACTGATCCAGTCATACTATGCAGGCGCAGTCACGAATCCGTCAGATCGTCAGTATTGACGTTGGGGCCGCCTTGGGTAGCCGAGAGGGTCTGAAGTATGTCAAACCATCATCGTCGCTCATCAAAGAGGCCGAGGTCCGGGACGATGGTGCCTCGACTCCCGTGGCCACTGTTGCTCCCATTCAAGTCTCCCGGGCATGGATACCAGCTCGTATCAGAGTCGATTACTTTCGAAAAGATCCACACAGCATTCTTGATCGAGTAGCTGCGGCCACCAGTACGAACATCAGTCTTGACCACTCTGGTTCTAAGGGCATCACCATTCGTGTGTCTGCGGATGTTCCCGAAAAGGTCGACGATGCAATGGAAAAGCTCGGGAAGCTGGACCCTCTTCTGGTAAGGCTTATGAATGAACAGTCCCCCGAATCAACCACAGATATCTTACTTTTACAGGCACTTATCAATACCCCTCATCGAGCCTTTGCAAGTTACGTCCCCGATACATTTGGCCTGCGCTTCGGTATCCTTGAACTCGAGAAGCTGAACGACATCGCACCACGACGCATCCTCGTGGATCCAAAATCGCAAATCAAATACAGTATTCCCGGATTCTTGGTCCCGGTCTCCTGTCGCATCGATCCCGGTACCAGTACATTCCGCATCTCCGAGCACCTTCGCAATCCTACCGGAATCGAGACTGCGGTGCTCGGTGGAAATCGCCAGACTATAAGATGTTGGTCAGGATTCACTTACCCGGCAGTTGGCAAGCCTGGCGAGAATAGGGGTGCGCAATACTCAGGGCTCGTCGTTGTTAATCAGCCGGCCCTGCCCGGTGCTGAGCGTTCCGCTGCTGTGAAATCTCAAGCTCGTGCATCCGCCTCAGTGAAACAGGGACAGGAAGCTGACACTAAGGTTACCCCCGCTAGGCCTTCAAAAAGCCCGTTGGAGACCACAGGGTCTGAAAGGACAGCGAGAGTCGGTCGGCCTCCCCTGGCATCTCGATCTGTGTCTTCTTCTTTACCTTCAACCAAGCTATCAGGGGTCAAGACACGCAGGCCAGTCTTACCTGATGGCACAGTGCCCTTGACGAAGGCTAGAGCGCCTACACGTTCCACTACTCCCGCGGATTCTAAGAAGTCTACTCAGTCTGAGTCCCAGGGCTCTGACGCTCAGAAAAAGGTCCAGTCCGAGGTGTTCGGGCCAGGAAAGCGTCGACCTAGCCTTGTATTTGCGAAGGAGGTTCTGGAAGAAATCCTGAATTCAACCGAAGAGGTGGAGAAACCTCAAAGCTCACCAGAGAGACGACTGAGCACCGGTTCTTCCTCTGTTTCGAGTTCCAAATTCAAGGTCGCAACGCAGTCAGCGATTTCATCTGCCCAGCCTGTCACTCAGACTAGTACCAGAACTGGCGCTCATCAAGAGCAACAAAAGTGTATCAACTTGCTTGATAATGAACCTGTTATTGCCGGTGATGAGAAGACCACCCCTGCAAGCTCGCATTTTGAGGTAGCGTCGTTATCTGAGACTGCATCGACATCACCTGTACTTCATTCAGCCAAATCGACGAAAGATAGCGCCCCATCTGAGTCACCTGCATTTCAAGCGGCGTCATCAGAAGTCTCAAATGCCCTATCTGAGTATACGCAGAATTCTTCTAAGTCTTCGAGACAGGTACCTGAGTCTACACAATCGCCTGTTCTAGCCGGTGATGCTGTCTTTCATGACGATCAGGAGACCCCTCGGCCAATGAAGAGTCTCCCTCTGACTCCCAAAGGCCCAGCTAGCCTACCAGCTGACGATCAGAGCACCCCCCAGTTAACAAGGAGTCTCCCGGTCCCGCCTGCCGAGATATCAATCATCCCAGACGATAGTATTCGAGGAACTTGTGGATCAGCCGAGTCGCCTTCTAGTGTGGTTACTGGCAACCCAATCACCGCGCAAGCTACTGGTTACGGAGGTCCTACCACCCAGATGAATTGGAGTCCTTCGTATACTGTTTCTCCCCACTCGGTTTCAAGTGAGGCCTGGTTCCAGGGCCTGGGTATCGTATTTGGGGTACCAACTCAAGGTCCTCTCCCTTTGGGCCATGACATGTATGTCCCATTTATGCCATCTCTATGTCCAGGCCATCCCATTATCCTCCAGCCCATCTATTGTCCGACACAATTTCCTGGCTTCAGTATGCATCCTTCAGCCCTGGCTACATCAGGTCCATCCCAGTGGTCTACGGGGCAGGCTCCACCAATCTCGCAGCAGCAGCAGCAGCAGCTTCCTGGCACGACCTTCCAGCAAAGACAAACTCCCAGCCAGCACCCGTCTGCCTCATCTCTCGAGTATGGCGGAGGTTCCGAGAGTAGTGCTGCCTCCGCTGCTGGTACAGCTGCAACTTCCGGTGATAGTTCTCAGCCTCGGTCTCAATCGATAGTACCTCAGAGCCAGCGTGATTCAGTTGATCGGCCTATCTAGGAGAGGCTCGCTGACCCGGATGACGGAGACAAGAAGGATTTCCATTCACTAATGAATCAACGCACACCAAACCCCAGTGGCAATACAAAGGAGAGTTCCAACTCGGAGTCGAAGGCAAAAGGGAAAAAGCGCTGGACGCCCTTCGATATCCATTTCACCGTAAAAAATGATGATACATCTACTTCAGCAAGTCTCCTACCCCCAAAAGGGCGGCCGCACAATAGCCCAGCTCATGCCGGATTTGTCAAAGAAGTTTACAGGGCCCTCGCCCCCATTCTCACTACCGCCCAAGTCTTCCCGGGACCTTTAGAACTAGAGATTCAAATTGGACTTGTCACCATGATGAACAAGCTAAGAGCCGCAGAACAAAGCTACATGAGCTTTGATGAAATGAAAGAGGTTATCTCTCCTCGTGGAGAACTCAATCGGCCAAGCACAGTTTTTCTCGGCAGACTCACATCCTTGCCTGGTGATATCGATCACATTCTCAACGTCCGCCCCGATGGAGCCCGTCTCTTCGACGGCGACCCATCCACTTTCACCATCGATTATGAATTCCACTGTGTTTTGAAAACGGTTCACCACTCGTCATCTCAATCGATGAGAAAGGTAACCCCACAGTCAAGAAGCCCGAGGCTATCTTGAGGTCTGTTCATATCAGCTACCCAGATCGCATCTGGGATGCTACAGCTGTTCTTCATGGCCATTTCAGTCCTCATGGCAAACTAGATCCAGAAGTCGAGCGTGCCGTGCAATACATCGCGAAGAACTTATGGGTGGAGCCTAAGCGTAGCATTCGCCTCTTGACTCGTGTCGACAACAACATCCTCAGCGTGAAGAAGGTCATTTTAAAGCGCATCAGCTACCATCGCTGCACAAACGATCGGTACGTGAGCGATATCGGAGGTGGAATCGCCATGCACGGCCTTCAACTTCGAGTCACCGAGGTACAGGACCTGGCCCTCACAGCCCGTCAATCAAATTGCGACATTTTGGAGGCCGTTTGCGAGTCTTTGGATGACATGTTTACCGCTCACCGGCAGTGGTGGGAGATTGCATTGATCAGACCCTTCCATTCAAACCGCTCTTAGCCAGGGTGTTCCTACCACCATTGGAGATAATCACCGGAATTGGTGCCCCATCGACATCTTGGGTATCCAGACTGAACTCATCACCTGCGCGCCTGCTTCACCAACTGCTCAGTCGATCAATCACTATGGTCTGGGCTCACTGCTGGCCCTCGCTACGGCTGTTGTTGAAAATATCGATCCAGTTGGGTATTCCAACGCTGGTCCAGCTGGGGATAGGAACAAGGGGCGGCGGATGAAATTGCTGGAATGGAATAGTCGTGATTGAAAACTCTTCTTGATGGGAATGCAGACAGACAAATCTTGACTTTGGTGATGAACGGAGATCTTTCCATTTGATTAGTCAAGATATGGAATTCAATGCAATTGTTTGGAATCATGATTAGACATTGGCACTGTAATTGATGTCAAATTTGGAAATGAAAAACAATTGCTGTTCATTCTCTTGCCATAATTCTATCTATAAATGTTAACCCATACAAATAGCATGCAATCTCCTCCCTACTGTTGCACCTGTGATCCCACTCACTGCAAGAATTCACACCTCTCCCCACTCCCCTGCCCTAGCATCCGCCATTCCAAACTCATTCGTAATCCCAGATCCCTCTCTAATCCAATACGCCAAATGATCTGTCACCGTCTGTCGAACCAAAGTCCCACCAGTCGTATTCAAATTCATCAGCACAGGCGCGTCAGCGTTCCACCGCGGCTAATCTATATCGCCATTCGTTCCCTCGGGAACGGTAGCATTAGCCATCCCACCTTTACCGTCGGCAATAGATATCACTGGTGTATCGTTTATGATGAAGTTTCCCAGCATGCGTTGGAACACGTCTCTGAAGTTGGTATTTGGCACGGATGCTCCAACTGAGAAGTAGGCTGTTAGATCCGCGCCGTGGTATGCTGGTGTCACTGAGTACTGGTACTTCCAGCTTTTTTCCCTTGATCTTCGATCGCTTCTGAAGAGAAGGCATCAGTTAGCCAGTACGATGTGCAGTCGAAGGCTGACTCTGCGAAGATGTTGAAGGCGGTTTGTTGGAGGCCTGTTGCGAATTCGGATTGGTTGAGGGCTGTTGGGTCACGGTTTCCGAGGGTGTCGTAAGGAGGGCCGGTTGATTCGGGAGATGATGAAGCCACTTTGTATATCGAGAGGAGTTCGGCGAAATCTGAGGGCGTGAAGTCGGGAAATGTTGATTTGAGGTATTGCATAAAGGCGGCAGTGGTGTTTGTAGTTGGAGGACTGAGAGGGACACCGTCGTTGGCGTTATTCCTATGTGTTTTTAGTATAAATTAACGAAATTTTGGAGACAATACTATGCTGGCTTACCCCAGACATCATACGCTTGCCGCCGACTTTCTTCTCAGGTAGTTGTTTTGACGGAAGTTCTTGAATGAGTTCTCCATCTGTGACGGGTAAAAAAGCCCAGGTACCCCATGCACCTGATGTGGAAACATTGCCACTGGCATACTGGAGCTTCTCTGTGTCTGCATGTACTAAGCAGTCGAATATGGAAGAATCACTGGGCGTCCTATCATCATCATCACACCCCGCTCGTGCTGCAAAGTCGTGACAGTGCGCCGTTCGGCACCTCGTCGTTATACTTGAATTGTGTCGCAGTATAGGGACTCGCGGCGATGATCTAGCATGTAGTCAGAATAGTTTCAAATTCTTCAACAATGCTCACACTTACATTATTGAACAATCCATCGTCCTTGCCTCCATGTGCCGTAGCCTGTAGCATCACAGCCCCGGCCCCTGAAGACTCGCCCCCGATAGTTACCCGGGAAGGGTCTCCACCGAACTTGGTAATATACTCCTGTATCCATTCAAGTGCAAACCGCATGTCAAGCAGACCAGCATTGGTCTTGCCATATTTGTGTACATCCTCGGACGACAGGAACCCAAACGCGCCCAGTCGGTACTGGATAATGACGGATATGAACCCATTTTCATTTTGTCTTCATCCAGTCGCTAGGATCATAAGTCGCCCCAAAAAGACCGTAGCCACCGCCATCTGAGTAAATTCTGCAACTATCATAGCTAGAACTGATACGACAGGGCAATTCATAGGAGAACAGGAAGGTCTTTCACCCCAGCAGGAGCGAAAAAGTTCAGAAACAGACAATCCTCATCACCCAGGGCTGAATTGAATCCATAAACTTCCGGTAGTTTCGCAGCTCCCGACTGAGGGCAGAGAGGTGGCTGTTTCGTGGCAGGAATGATGGCTGTTCAATTCACTGATGGGGGCTGTGGGGCTTGCCAGCGTAGCTTTCCTATGGGTGGCGCGGCATATCGAATTCTAGTCAGTTGTTAGCACGAGGACTCCCGTCTGCCCGGTCATAATGTAGATTTTATCTCCCACCCTTTGAATATCTTGATGTCATAAGTGTCCTTATAAACATCCTGATATCTCGCGTATCTCAAGTCAACTACCGGACTGGCGGTGTGGATGAGGTTGGCAAGGGAGGCTGGAGCAAGGGTTAATGCTAGCAGCACGAGGCTGTGGATTCCAATCCCAAAGCCCATCGGAGATCTTCTGCGATAGTAGGTAATGTGAAGGAAAGGAAAACACTCATCAGGGATGAAACAAGAGTCGATAATTGGCACCTGTCGCAGCTGCCGACATGCAGTTGCGCCCAGACAAAGCCATGATTAATGGCATAAATGGGCACATTGACATGCTGTCAATCCCGTTTCTTAGATTCCGGTATCCACTTAACAGTGAACGCGATTATACCCTTGTTGACCTATCATTGCATTGGTCTAACTTTGCAGGGACCAGTGCCTATGTACTAGGGCTAACTATTGAACACCAGGGCAGAGGCCATGGGGGGCCTAACACGATGTAACTTAGTGCCAGTCCACACATGCTCCTTTGTCAATTCCATCGTGAATATACTAGAAGTATTGAGCTGAGTGCTACTCCATCTAATTGAGGTCGACACCTATTGCGAAATGAAGTAGGCGTTTCTTGTCCAGCTGACGAAACTCGGGGTTAGGGTCAATTGGAATATATATTGTTAACAGGCCGAGTCATAGATACCCTTGACAACTTCGAAACCAACGCCTCGCAACTGGATAGTACGTAGTTTTAATTAAGATTGTGATAATAAACTTAACTAGGAATTTCTCATTAAAAAAGAGAGAGCAACAGCTCAACCATAGCTACCAATTACGCGTTCGTAGTATAAAAAGAAAAACGAAAAAGAAAAAATGACCGACGCAGGGGTCGAACCTGCAATCTCTTGATTCGTAGTCAAGCGCCTTGCCATTGGGCCAGCCGGCCGTCACGTGAGATAGTATTCGAGGCCAGTCGGCCAAGCGATTCTCAGATATTAGTTTGCCAATATTTTGACTACATGACTGCCTAGACAAGCTTCAGACTGTGTTGCTCGACTGCCGCCGCTAGGTCAGGGGACTAGAATACATCTTGGCCTATTGGAGACTAACTATGTATTAAAAAATAGTGATTGAAATGAAGATACCGTGTCTTACATCCCAGTCCTCTCCTGAGCTTTGGCATCGAAAGAATGGGAAAATTGGATGGTTCATGTTATCACCTCAATACTTTCTTTGATCACAACAAACCACCTGGGCCATTTTCTATGCGAAATGGTAAATATGGGAGAAAGTTGGCGTCAATGACATGAAAGAGGTGCTTCGCATTTGCACTGGACCGATATGAAGAGTTCACTCTATATATATGCTGGAATACCCATAGCCATCACTTATTCCACAATGAAAGAGAGTCTATATTCTAGTGATGATTTATTCAAGAGCTATGCATCGAATGTACATCATGAAGTGCGCCACTGCAAAAGAAATTAGTCATCTAAACATGCAGTCAATCTATTCAGTCATCATCCTCCGGCGCATCATCCACACTACGCAGCCACGCGCTACGAGCATCAACCGCCGCCTTCCGCACGTCTCGCTTAGGATCATCCAAGACAGCACGCAGGGAGCGCAAGACTTGGATCTTTTCCGGTAGAAGTGGGGAGATAGACGGGGGTAGGCGAGCGGTACCTGCTGAATCACCAGGTGTCTGTTTAGCAGCCAAGAGGTAAAGACATTTCAGAGAATCAGCACGGAGACGAGGCGGGTTGACGACGTCAGACTTGATCTCTGTAGTCTTGAGTAGTCTCACAACGAGGCTGTGGACGTGCCCGCACTTATCGATCACAGCGACGCCATTGTCGCGGATGATCACTGCAAGAGTGTCGAGTGTAGCTGCGCGGACGGCGACGGAGTCGGAGGTTTGGAGGTCAAGGGATTGGAGGAGGAGAGGGAGTAGAGTGGGAAGTTCAGGCATGACTAGGGCCGTGGAGATGGTTGAGAGGATGCCGGCAAGTGCTGTAAGATGGGCCGGCTTGATGTGGTCCAAAGCCTTGGTGGGTTCGGAGTCGTCACTCGCGACAACGTTAACTTCGCGAATTCGCGAAGAGATCATCGGGATGACAGTTGTGAAGACACGTTGCTTGCACAGTAGGCGGATTGATGCACCATTTGTTGTGGAGACTACGTCGTCGTCACCAAGAAGAATGGAGAAACCACGAGCAGTAGAAGTGCTAGTCTGCTGATCGGGCGATGAAAGAAGACCCAAAAGAGAGGTCAGTATATGGGTGGTTGTCGGAGCGAGTCGGAGGACAAGGGCCTTGGAGAGCCAGAAAATGGTGCGGATAGTAGCTGGGCTGTAACTCTGCTTATCCGAAGAAACGAGAGAATCAAATAGATTCTCTGCAATATTCAAGTCTTCCTTTGACAGGAACTTGTTGACAAGCAAAGCCAGATGGCGCAGGAATGCCAGGTGTGTAGCCGGCTCCGAAGTTTCAGATACACAACGCTGCACCAAATCTGAAAGAAGCTCCGACATGTTGGGGGAGGTATAAGGGATGTGGCTGCTGCAGTCCTTGGACAGGCCTGCGAGAAGGTATGTGGAGATGATAATCGTGCGTTCTTGATCGGCTGTTGCGCCTTGTGCGAAAGGAACGGGAACAAAATCCTCGGTTGCAGAGAAAAGTTTGTAGACATTCTCTGCTACTTGCTGCTGTTTCTGGACAGAGACTGAACGCACAAGCAGGTTGCAGAGCCGACCGAGCGTGTCCAGGACAATAGAATCTTTGAGAATCTGGTTCTTTCCCTTGCTGGACGCCGACTCTGAGGCACTACGGCAGAGGCCAACAACGATCTTGTCGAAGTAGAGATCCACGCTCGGATCAGTATCCATCTTTCTTTGCTGCATGACAAAGAATAGGGTCATGAGAATGGCCCTTGGATACTCGATAGCACCAGGTTGCTCCTTTTGGAGCAGAACAGTCAGCTTGCTGAACAGACGGCGGAATAGAGTCTCGAAGATGTCTCTCTCGACACTGATCTGAGCCAGGGTATCCAGTGTAGAAAGATAGGTCGAGTTTGTGCCATCATCCTCATCTGGAAGCGTCGCGACAAACGCAGGAAAGGTGATATCCATAATCAGGCGAGGCTTATGCTTGGAGATTTCAGCAAGTGCCGCAATCGCTTCCTTCTTCAAGTCACCTCGGCCGGTGGACTCCTCCTGGAGCAGAATCTCATCCAGATACTGAACGAACAAGCCAATCTCATTGTCCTGGAAGAAATCACGCAGGGTGGAAAGACGAAGGAATCCCTTCAGAGCAGTCACCCGGAAAGAAACTTCTTCCTTGGCAGAACCCATCAGTGCCTGACCCAGAACATCCGAGAATTGATCCTTGAACTCAAGCAATGGGTTCCCGAGCGAGACTTCACCTCCTCGAGTTGTCCATTGGCCGAATACTTGGATTGCGGACTCGAACAGCACTGACAGAGTCTCAATAAGAGCTCTTTGCTTGGCGATGCCATCTGCTTCTTGGTAAATGGTGAAGATTGGGGCGACGACAGTTTGAACGATGATGGTAAACGCAAAGGCTGAAGCAGATGACAAGAATTTGAGAATCTGCTGCGCGGGCTTCGCCTGCTTCTGCTGGGGCTCTTGCAACTGGTCATTGCACTCCTTCGTGATTGGGCGCAGATACTGCGCAAGGGGCAGGTCCTGGGAGACCTGAGTGACACCTTCCGAGAGGCGTTTGGCGATGTCTTGCAGAGCTTGCAGAGAAGACTCGGAGAGGAATTCTTCTTGAGCGTTGAGAATCTCAAACTTCAGCACCTCCCAGATAGTAATTGAGTAGCGAGACACAGTGTCGGGATCGTATGAGTGAATACAGGCGATCAAAGTGTTGAGAGCGTCTTTCTGGAAGGTCATTAGCTTCTGTGAAGGTACAGAATCTACAATGAGCACGTACTTTGACATTGACAGAGGTAGAGTCTAGCTTATCGAGCAATGCCGGAATGGAATGAGGAGCGAAATGTCTGGTGGAAGAGATACAGTCCTGCAGGCGACCTTTCAAATCCTGGGCAGTAATTCCGTATGGGTCATTTGGTGGAGGTCGGAAGGTGATTGGGAAGTAGTTGTACACCGAGTCAAAGAGCAGCTATAAAATTTAGTAAAGAATGGTAACGCTGCAGCGATAGTGAACATACCTCGACGTGGTTTGTGATGTCCCATTCCATCATGACCACCTTCATAATGGAGAAAACCATCATCAAATTGCGTGGGTCCTTCTCACCCGTCATGAGATCCACGATTCCAACGAGGGAGGTTTCGCCCATATCGCGCAATGCTATCGATTCCTAGTTAGATATAGTAACAGAGAGGGCTGGACCCTGTACAACATACCGGCACGGTGTGATGACATCAACTCATTGAGCAATTGGTAAACCTGGAACCGCTGCGATTGGGATCGGGATTGGAGGTCCTGGAAATGGGAGAACAGACTAGAAATCAGTTAGCACTATGTCTCAAAGCCATACCACATAGTCCAATGCCATAGAACTGCCCAACTCTGACCCGGATTGAACATACGCTTGCGCTATCTCAGCAGCCAATTTCTTCGTAAACCGATCCAGCTTTTGCAGCGTATCCAATCCCGCAACAGCACCCCCATCCTCAATTCGATCACAGAAGAAGGACGTCAAGACCTGAACCTGTTGTCGGGTCAGGAACTTGGGCGGCAGCGCCTTAATGACCGAGGTGAGGAAGGAGACGGCCTTTCCACGGAGTATAGGATCTTCATCATTGATGTATTCGCCAAGTTGCTGAACAATTTCAATTAGGGTCGTCTTCTTGCTCTCGACATCTGCATTTAATTCCTCAATTAGAGTCACACGACTTGGTGAGTGCGGGGGAGTGTGGGCCGATGATCGGACTGACCTTGGGCGACGCCGTCGGCGATGCGTTTAGCTTCTTCTTTGTCGTGGTCCACCACTAACATGAAGGTCTGCAGGGCCGACATGATGCCAATTAATCGGCCGGTTCAGGCCAAGCGTGTGAAAGAAGTGCAGTGAACTGCTTCCGAAGATAAGGACTTCACCGGCTTTGTTTCCCCCTCCTCCCAATTTCTTGTGGTCCTTATCGATTACAGTCAGGTGATATGTAATGGACCTCTCCACATCACGTGCGACTTGTTGCGTCATGGGTGAGAGTGGCATGCGAGTCCTTGATAACGCCGCATACACCCAAGATGAAGGACATAAGGTCTCTCGCATCGATATTTCTACTTCTAAACCTTACTAGCTCTGCTACTGCACTTTGGGGCCTATCCATCCCTGTTCCACAACAGCAGCAGCCGCTAGTTCCATCGCAGGGTCAACAATCCATTATGAATAAATTCATCCCAGATATCATCAAATCCAAAGTTACAGCTCCGAGTGAGGACTTTGTCGGTGGCGCAGACCAACCAGTTGTCTCGGATGTTCTTCCAAAGACAAAAGGCATCAATATATTTGCTCAAATGACCCGAGATTTCGACTCCATCTCTTCGCGCCTTAATGACGCCTCCCACAACATCACAGTCCTAGCCCCGCGTAACAGTGCTGTGCAGGACCTACCCCGCAAGCCATGGGAGGATCCTGAAGACTGTGCTAAGTTTGGAGGAGTGCATGCTTATGAGGGTAGTGATGGCCAGGAGCGGGCGAGACGCAATCTGCGGCGTTTCGTAGAGGCTCATATTGTTCCTGTCAGCCCGTGGCGGGAGGGCGAAGAGGTCGAAAGCCTGGGAGGAGAGAAGTTGAAGTGGTCAAAAGAGGGCGACAAGGTTATTGTAAGTTCTACTTGTGAGTCTGCGCTGCAGTGTTCATAACTAACTGGCTATAGCTCCAACCGGGAAACATCGAGGTGGATACCGTCGCTGAGAAAGTCGCCAATGGAGAAGTCTGGGTGTTGAATGGCGTAATCAACTACCGCTCGGATTGATCGTACATAGTTATGAGATTATGAGATGAAACGATCCATGACAACTGGAATGATAATTGCTGGAAAGAATCGACCATAGTACAAACAAATTGATGTAAAGGTTAAACGCCGCAATCTCTTTTATCTATTCAGAGCCAGTGAGTTGCCCTCCACTGGAGCAGTAATATACACCGACACTGAGCATGAAATGCGCCTCATATCATCAATTAGTTCACCTCGGGCGCATAGTTCCGCAGAACGCGCTCCTCAACACCATCGAGAATGCAGAAGTGCTCCATGACCTCCAGGTTCTCTGCCTCGCTCAAGAACAGCTTGTCGGGATCCTGGCCAGGCTGCATGGGGTTCATCATAGCCGCGGGGTTAGCCTGGGCCATCTGCTGCGCCATCTGGTTGGCAGCTATGTAGGGTGATCAGCAATTAGTCCAAATTCCCAGAAGAGTACGTTCTTAGTTCCGGGAATAACCTACAGTTATCACTGCCCAAAATGAATCCAAAAACGGACTGCAAGCCCATCAAGTTGAGGAAGTACCACGACAGACTGGACACCCATTGGACATCTAAATCACGGGTCATCACACCAGACTGAAGCATGGACTTGAAGCGAATAGTCAATGGGAAAGGCAATTTCACTGTAATTTCCAGTCAGCACGTTGTAATACCAATCGCGATTAGTTCGTCCACGTACAGATCACGAATCCCGAGAAGAAAGCGTTGATCCAGCTCATAATCAGAGTCTGCGGAATCATCATCATCATGTTTCCCTTGAGCATGCCCATCATGGCTTCCATGCCTGCTGGGTCAGTCATCGGGTTCGCCGGCGGCTGGCCACGGTTGTTGGGATCCTTGAGGAACGCGCCGCTCCGGAAACCGTTAACAAGGTAGTTCTTGCGGGCCTCGAAAGATTCCCGGTCCAGAACGGCGCATGCATGGTTACGGAGGTTGACACCGCGGAGGAGAGCATGGCGTTCGCGAGACTCGGCCAGGGTGGAGGCGGGCTTGGGCGGCGTGTTCATCAGGACCGTTGCATAGTGGCGGAGGATACCGGTCAGGATCTGATGGAACAATGGATTAGCAATTGTCTCTCGAAGTATTTCGAATCGTCCAGATCGCAAACGTACCATAACCACCGAGATGGGGAAGAGGATCCAGTAGCTACATCGTAAGGGTCAGTACGGGCGCCGTGTCATTGTGACTTGAAGGAGGATCAATCTCACAAGAGAGCCGGATCCCGAAGGATAGTCTGCTCAACAACAGCCATGGTGAAAGACCAGGATGAAAAAAGAATGGCTGGTGGAATGAGGCCAACGAGTTGTCCGTGGCTGCGGAGGGGGAAAGGAAGGCGAAACCCTGACGGAGGTACGGCAGCGTGTCATTGGCCCGCCTTAGCTCCAGCTCTCTCCAAAGGGCCACGCCGCATCTTGCGCTCCTCGCGATAAACACTGAAATCTCTCTGCAACACAACACACTTTGCTCTCTTGTATCTCCTGATCTAAAGCAATATCTCATATCTATCTCCAAGCCTGTTCCATTTGGATTTAAATTGCTACCATGGCGGACCACAAGGTACCAGTCTACTCTACCAACGGTCCGTAGCGTCTCGATTTACTCCTTCGTTCCAATGCTTTCGTCCTCGGCAGCATGGACACCACTCTTTCGAGTCCAAGCTAACATGTCCCAAATTAACAGACCTCAAGTCAACTAGCGACGATGCTCTCCTCCCCTACCTAACCAATCTCCCTGCACCATACACCTTCTCTGTCGACAACACCAAGAGCAACATCCGCTTCGTGCTAGGCTACAGCGCCGTCGCAATTGCAGCTTTCACCTTCTATGCAGACCGAAAACTAGGCTGGGAAGCAACTACGTCACCCTGGATTATTGCCGCAGTGGTATCATACTTCATCCTCAATAGCGCGTTGACGTTTTGGATCTGGGCCGTCGAGGCTGGAGAGGTCTTCCACGGGAAGCGCAAGACTGGAGAGACTGTAAGTGAACAATATCTTGATCTCACTAGCTGAGAAGCTCGGCAAAAGTTCAAGCCTTTGTGCAAGAGACTAATCATTTCTGCTCAAATAGATTTCTATCTCTTCGTCCGTGCAGAAGAATTCCGTTCCTTACAAGCTACACGTGGTATACAAGTCGCCCACCGGCAAGGTTCTGCAGGATAAGAAGTTTGAAGCAGCCTTTACCAACTGGTTTTCCGCCGATGGCGTCTTCCACCCAGAGCCTTACCGCCGCTGGTTGGCTGGTGAGGTTGATGTGCTGAGATTGGCAGCCAAGGAGAACGAGAAGAAGGCTGGCGTTGGAAAGCAATAGGATGCCAGCACTAGATTTGGGCAAGAGAAGTAGTAGCAATTTCGCTGTTTCGGAAGGACAGAAGGAAATCTCACATATCAATCGTCTTAGCTTTAGGTTGTCTTACAGGGTCGATCGAAGGGCCAAAAACATGCATTTTGAAATGCGAGAGCGGGTTTACATCTTATAGTCGAATGTGACAATCTAACGTTTATCAAGCGAAGCTTTCTCTTTTTCTGTAGTTAGGTGTTAATTTCCGGACGATGAACACAACAAGTAAGAAAAAATAACAGCAAGAATGGAGCGATCGCATTCCTTAGTATACTCAAAATGGCTAAAAACAACAGAGTCTATATGGATAATCTTTTAGACATAACAACCTCGTAACATCCATCAAGCACAATAAACAGGCGTTTAAGAAGACGCCTCCAGGGTGCCCGGTCGCTCGGTGGCGGCGGCAGGCTGAACATTGTCCACCCGGCGGTTCTGGATGAGTCTCTGTGAAGTTGTTAGAATTCCGAAATCCATCTTAGATATCTGGAATGAAACGATGAAGACATACCAGCAGATTGCGCAGCAGGACAACGATGGTCACCTTGCCAATAGAAGGCACGAAGAGGGAGGCCTTCTCCTTGACCTCAGGGCCGAAGTTCTAGAAAAGGATGTTAGACAATGGACCGCTGATGATACAGTAAGATCTCGAATGGAACATACCTTCTCGCTGGAGAAGTTGATACACACGGCACCCTCGCGGAGCAGGCTAGTATCAAACTTATACTTCTCACCGGGCACACCCGAGATGACAACATCGCACAGCGGCGCAACATCCTTAAGAGTGGCACCCTCCATATCGACAATCTCGTGTCGGCGGTTCTTCAGACCCTCGCCACGGGTGAACTTTTGCACACCGGTGATATCAACACTGTACACGCAAGCACCGTCATTGGCAAGCAGCGCGGCCAATGGACGACCAACGACCTCAGAGCGGTTCACCACACAGATCGTGTGACCGAACAGACGGTTGCCGTAGGGAAGGATAGTGTTGTAGATGTTGAGGTACTCGAGGATCTTGATGTTGGCCAGCGGGGTGCAAGGCAGAATGCACTTTTGGCGCTTGGTCTCCGGGTCCAGGAAGCGGATATTCTGGTACATGTTGAAGATGTAACGATGGCTGAGACCCTCGACATCCTTGCCAACATCGACGATCTGCTGCAGGTACTGGTCCTGACGGTTGTTGAAGATCGGGTAGTAGACGATGATGCCGTCGACGTCCGAGTCGCCGTTGGCGGCGATGATGGACTCTTCGATGTCGTCGCGGGAGACCTCGCGGAGGGAGTACTTGAAGCCTCTATAGAAGGAATTACATGATTAGCTTAGGATCTATACTGCATGGGAGGTGCGGCGCATGTGGGGTTAAATATGACCTTCCTCTCGTCGCGATCTAGAGGAGGGGCAGGTATGAATCATACACAGTCCACCCCACCAAAGGCCACGCTCAAGAGCGATTGACAGCGCAAAACACAAACGAAAGCAAGGACTTACTGTTCCTCGCAAGTCTTCTGCGTCCACTGCGCATACATCAGCGCAGCGGGGTCATTGTTGGCCAGGAAGCCGACCAAGTGCGGCGGCTTCTCGAGGGTCTTGAGCCCCTCCTGGACCTCCTGGAGCAGGCCATTGGCGACATGCTTGGACAGCATGACCTTGCAGGAGGACTGGGAGGCGGGTGCTGGGGCCGACATGGCGACTGGTATAATTTCGAAACGCAAGAGCTGAACGAATAAACCCTTTTGGTTCACGCGGAGGACTCGCAATTCTGAGGGGAAAAGATTGTTCGCTTATCGATAAGAGTTCGGATGCCGCATTCGGCCTCACTTGCCGAAGTCGCTGCTTGGAACTATGTACTAGTTAGAGGGGGAATAAATCATGCTACACTTGGTGATAATATTCATTAATTGAATATTCCAATTCTGTACTAATAAATTGCCACAGTTGGAAGTCGTAAATTCCATCCCACCTCTCCTATATGAGATATTTTCGAATGAACACGCCTTTCTCTTGAGGTTCTTAGTAGAATGCCAAGTCGATAAGGTCCGAATACACGAGGCCAACTTCATAAAATATCACATGGTGTATGGCTCCAAAATACTAGCAAATCAGGTTTGTAAACCTAGTTTAGCTCGTTTCTCATCTCTTGTCATCAATTAGTACTGAAAGCAAATCGTTGATCATACAGCTCTTCTATGATCTCCCGGAATTTAGATCTTGCCCTACTTCACCACGCCAAGAAGTGTCATTTCTAGGCCTATATAGGTTTCAGTTAAACTTGACTTGGATCACTGGAAATAATATGGACAGCCATGTACAAGCATAACTCATACATTTTATACTGAAGGTAGTTAACTTGAAGTTGGTGCCATACGTCTCTTCTAGTAGTCAAGTACACAAGTAGTTATACCAATCATAAAACTCCTTAAGAACTACCCTCAGATGTAGCTATCTTGCTGGCTAGAGGATATGGCGGCAAAATAGCTCAGAACTGCGCCACAAACTGCGTAACCATACTAGGGTGGTTAGGGCACTGAGAGTGTAATAGGCCCCCTCGACCCTGGTGTGCTGGAAATGGGCTGACAGTACATCACATCCAGGCTCTTTCGTCCTTTTCTCCTCTTCTCCACAACCCGCCAGCTGCTCAGACATGATTAGATAGAAGAGTTCCCGGACGAGATTCTTCTCCATATAGTCTCCTTTCTATCCCCCGAGTCCTCAATCTGGGCACTGGCACAGACAAAACCGCCATCTTTACGCCGTTTGCCCCCCTTGCCTTTGTCGGTATAACGTGGTCTATGTCGATAACACCGCCCTGGACTGGGCAGCACAAAATGGAAATATGATTACATTTCAAAAAGCGCTAGACGCTGGCGCTCCCTTGCCAGCAAATCCACATTTTGGCAAAACAATGGAAGAACCTGTCGTGAACGCGTATGGCAAAAACGTCGGACGGCGTGTTTACGAAGAATGTCGGGCCCATCCGGCCTCACTCGCTGCCAAGGGTGGTCACGAGGAAATGATTAGATTCATGATTGGACGGGGTGTCAATGTGAACCTTAGAGACGGGGATGGATTCACGTTGCTGGCTTTTGCGTCTATCTACGGGCACACCTCGCTCGCGCGCTTCCTGCTTAGCCAGGGTGCTCGCCAGAGATTCAGCAGCCATATGAGCCACTACCCCTTACGGTTGGCTGTATATCATGGGTATGAAGATCTTGTTGATCTCCTTGTCGAGAATTTGAAGCAGGGCTGGGCAGATGGGTTTCTCGAGCAAATTCAGGATGCAGTCTGCGGCGCTGTAGTTGCAGGTCAAACTTCGATGGTCCGATATCTGATTGAGCACCATAACGCGCCAGTGACCTTTGTTATGTATTATGGCCATCCGATGACACCCCATATGCAGGCGGCCAGAGACGGGAGGGCTGATATGGTTCGATTACTTCTTCAGCTCGGGGATGAAGTCGATGTTGGTTCATCGCTCTCACCACGACTAGGGCAATCTCCTCTTAGTCCTCTCGCAGAGGCTGCAAGGGGAAATCATGCGGAAGTCGCCTAGATCCTGGTCTGGCTATCACATCTCATTATCCGCACACGAGAGTTAGCAACGTCCGCTGAGGAGAAGAACTTCCCAAGGGCAGAAATGCTACTCGATAAGGGAACCCATCCTGAGTTCCGCCAGGAGGACGTTCCCGAACCAGAGACCTTTCCAGATTGGAGCCTATGGCTACAGCCATTGCTACTAGCCGTAATCAACCGGGACTTGACCATGATAAAATTGCTGTTGAACAAGGGGGCGAACGCTAGTGTGTGGTGTTCGTACCAGCCTGAGCCCTCACCCAGTGTATTTTACCAGCATGTACTATTTTGGGCTGTCGAGTATGAACCTCGGTGGCGGCACTTTCAATAACCGGACCATACGGAATATTCTAATTATGCTATGGTGAAAATCCTCCTCGAGGGTGGTGCGAACCCTAATAAGTTCGATATTTTCGGGCAAACTCCGCTCTCATATGCTGTCAAGGCTGGACATGAGACCGTTATGAAGTTTCTGTTGAATCATGGCGCAAATCCTTACTGGGCAGTCAATGCGACTGGCCAGAAGCCGATATTCGATCGTGGGACGAAAGAGTCTATTCGAGCCACATTAGAAGAAGCCGAAGCAAGACAGTAGTCTGCATACAGTCTTCATGTTAACCTCATGGTTCTAATAAGTGTAGCTGAATAGTGATTAGTGACAACAGCAATACAGTGAGAATTTTATCGTTTTCGTAGTTGGGCGAGAGATTAGCTTGCCCTTGTACAGTAGGGTTTCATAAGTCTGAAACTATGGCCAATGTTCAATATCATCTTATCAGTCACGAGTTGAATAATAGACTAAGAAATGATACCTAAGCTATTACTAAAGACGATTACAGTGACTTCTAGGAAGGCCTTTCAAGAACAAAAAGTGAAAGCATATCTGTTGGGTGGTTTCTCTAGTCTCTAGATTCAGATTTTGAAATACCACTGTAAACCACTGTACACCACCCTGGGTTTTCGGCTTATAGGGTTCTCGATACTCGAGGAAGCAAGTCTCAAGGCAGTGAAAGACGAAAGAAATTCGCTGAGCTCGACATGAAGACGGGCATTTATATTTTGATCGCCGTCCTCAATGCCGCAGCAGCGGGTGCTTGTGTGGGATCAGCTTCAGGTGTGCAGGGTGTTCACGGGCGTGACGTACGCCATACCCTGGATGCAAAAGCTTCCTCGAAGAAGAGGGGTATCTTATATGATCTGCTCCGCAAGACTTGTGTGAAGAAGAAAAACCGGGGATTAGCAAGCTTTGCGCCTCCTTTACCCCATCGCAAGCACCTCATCGTGCTCGAGGGTATCCTGCCTGTGTGGTTCTCGACTCTTTAGAGACCGACAAAGGATGGTCCTTGCTCGACATCATCTGCCTGGCGGATGTGCGAGGCTATAAGATCTGCCATCAACATTCCATCTGCTCCACAATGGGAACCCTGAATGATGCCTTTCAGCCTTTGCAGGGGTATCGTATGTCACCAAGCAGCTTTGATCGGGTCTGTGCGTATCCCAATTGCATGGCCCCGGAACAGGAGGTCTGGTTTGGCTGCAAAGGACTGGCGGAGTCAAAGGATACCATGAGATCTCGAGAAGTAGGGGTTACTACTAGATACAGGCAAGGCATCAGACCAAGTGACATGGATCCCTGGAAGGATAGACATAGTTCAACATCAAGCCTCGCATATGAGTTCCCCCCAGCCAACTACAATCTACAACCTACAATATACAAAAAGACCAAAATAGAACAAAAGAAATAAATTGCGGATCCAACATGGAGAGACACATGGAGACCAGACGGAAGTTAGAAGACTAGTCTGGCCCTCCTCCCATCTCGCGCCCCCCGCGCGGAAAAAATCTAAACGTACAGGATATAATCACATTTTGGCAGCCCACCCATTCAGCACGTTGTCCCGTCCAAGCAAATCATTCCAGGACCGCCGTTGAGAGCAAGAGAAGAAGAAAAGCAAAGATGATAATCTCCTTTTCCCGGACCACAGTTCGACGACGCAAGATTTTTACATCGCTCTACGATCCAGTACTCTGTGAAATCATATCATTTGTTTTCTTTCGCCCAAGGGGCATTGTGGAAAGAGAAGCTGAAAGGAACAGAACGAAACAAATGGGGTCAAAATTGTACAAGCTATCTTGTCTATACACATAGAGTCAGGCAAAAACAATGAACGATCGCCTCATGCTTTTTGTGGACAAGGGAAATCATTCAAGAGTTCTCTGCGCATCTATGCGTTGAAAGAGCTGTTGAAGGCACCAATGACCTCCTTGAGCTTGGCCTCAAGCTCCTTGGAGACCTGGCCCTCCTTCTCGATGGTCTGCTGGATCTCGGGGTGGCTGCTCTTCAGGTGAGCGAGGAGGTCAGACTCCCAGGTGAGGATCTTGGCGACGGGGATGGAGTCAAGGAGACCGTTGACACCGGCGAAGATCAGGGGAACCATGTCGGAAACGGCCATGGGGGAGTACTGCTTCTGCTTGAGGAGCTCGGTGAGACGCTCACCACGGGCAAGGGTCTGCTTGGTGGAGGCATCAAGATCGGAACCGAACTGGGCGAAGGCAGCGACCTCACGGTACTGAGCAAGGAAGAGCTTCAGGGAACCGGCGACCTGCTTCATGGCCTTGACCTGGGCGGCGGAACCGACACGGGAGACGGACAGACCGACGTTAATGGCGGGACGGATACCCTTGTAGAAAAGCTCAGACTCCAAGAAGATCTGACCGTCGGTAATGGAAATGACGTTGGTGGGAATGTAGGCAGACACGTCACCACCCTGGGTCTCAATGATGGGCAGGGCAGTCAGGGAACCACCACCGTGGGTCTTGTTGTTCATCTTGGCGGCACGCTCGAGCAGACGAGAGTGGAGGTAGAAAACGTCACCGGGGTAAGCCTCACGACCGGGGGGACGGCGGAGCAGCAGAGACATCTGACGGTAGGCAACGGCCTGCTTGGACAGATCGTCGTAGATGATGACGGAGTGACGGCCGTTGTCACGGAACCACTCACCCATGGCGCAGCCAGTGAAGGGAGCGAGGTACTGCAGGGGAGCGGCCTCGGAGGCGGTGGCAGCAACGACGATGGAGTACTTCATGGCATCCTGCTCCTCAAGGGTCTTGACGAGCTGAGCGACGGTGGAACGCTTCTGACCGACGGCAACGTAGATACAGTACAGCTTCTGGGACTCGTCGCCGGAGTTGTTCCAACGCTTCTGGTTGAGCATGGTGTCGAGAGCGACGGCAGTCTTACCGGTCTGACGGTCACCAATGATCAACTCACGCTGACCACGGCCGATGGGCACCATGGAGTCGACACACTTCATACCAGTCTGGACGGGCTGGTTGACGGACTGACGGGGGAGAATACCGGGGGCCTTGAGCTGGGCACGGCGCTTCTCCTTGGCGTTAAGGGGACCCTTGCCGTCAATGGGGTTACCGAGAGCGTCGACGACACGGCCGAGCAGCTCGGGGCCGACGGGGACATCAACCTAGTGGAAAGAATGAGTATGATGGTTGAGAGGGAGTGACAATTTTGGAGATAGGGACCAATATCAAAATTGGACCTAGACCTCCTTTGAGGAGAAGAGAGGTACTTACAATCTCACCGGTACGCTTGACGGTCTGACCCTCCTTGACGAGACGGTCGGAACCGAAGAGCACAACACCAACCTGGCCGGCCTCGAGGTTCATGCACATACCCTTGACACCGGAGGCGAACCTGGAGATCCTGTTAGTTTTCCCGAATGCCAAGACTTTTCGGGTAAAGGAGATATATCACGTACTCGACCAGCTCCTCAGCCTGGACGTTGGTCATGCCGTGAACACGGGCAATACCGTCACTGTGAAGCTCAATTAGTTTCTAATTCGTTGCATTGTCGATTGGATGATATCGCGGGCGCGTTTGTCGAGATTGGATCGGGTAACCGAATTTTTCTCTTCCCGGGCAACCCTAGCGATTTCCTTTTTTTTTTGACGTACCCAACGGACAGAACGCGACCGGTCTCAGCGAGACCAGCCTCCTCCTGAACACCACGAATGCGCTGCTCCAGGATGGAGGAGACCTCGGTGGGCTGGGCCTTGGCCTCGGCGGCGTAGGAGCGAACCTGCTTGGAGGCACCGGCGAGGGGGCCGGGAACAGCCGCGCGGACCTGGAACGGGAGCGAGAAAAACTTGTCAACGGGGTGCTCTTCGAGCCAACATGCGATGAGGCCATCCTCAATGGATGATCGAAGGGGAGGGATGGGATCCGAGGACCAATCGAGCTCGAATTCGAGATGGAAAAGGTCGAACAGGGCGAGATGGAGATGGCGATGGAGAACGAGGATGGCCAGGATGGATTGGACTCACCGAAGCGACACGGCCAGTGGCCGAGACGGCGCGGCTGGACTGCCGCAGAGCGTTCCTGAACATTGTGAAAGGGGAGGGTTCAGAGGATGGGAGGATGGAATTCTCTGAAGGAGAGATGTAATTGGGGAGAGGAGGTTCGGAGAGGAGAGAGAAGGTTGTGGACGGGTGGGAAGGGAGAGCTTTGTCGGTCGGGGGGAGGCCAGGATTCTCAGGACTCGCGCTAAACTGCTTGGGGCAGGGGACGCTCCGATGTGGCCCTAGTGCGGACCCTCACCACGGTGTCTTCTTTTCGTGCTTGCGGAAACGGAGGTTCTGCTGTCTCACTGTCTAAATGTGATGAAATTGATCTTTTAGAATTACAACCTCTAATTTGACTCTAAATTCACCCCCTTTGCACTTGTATCTGTCATGTAGTGGATTGATTGTGGGAGGTGGAAGCGGCCCAGCCCTTCCCGTTTTTTTCTCTTCTCGGATCGGCGGGATCCCAAGTCAAGTGACTTGCTTAGCTAATGTCTTTCGTCACGGCAACCACAATCATCACAGTATTACCTCTCTCTATAGTTCAAGAGTATATTATCATACTTCTACATGGTTGAACTACTGACATCTCTCAACTGATATCCCTTCCATAGTATTCATTAGTTTCCATGGATCATCCTCCGAAGAGGCATCACCGGTTACCCCAGAGGGTCTACTGTCGGGTCCTGCCCCAGCAACCACCAGTTCCGAGACCGGTCAGACAGATGCAGATGCGCTCTGGGCATCACAACCCGACGAGGGTCAATGCAACCCCCGCATAAGCTCACTGACGCTCATAACAAGCTCGTTTTATCAAGATTCAAAGCGCAAGTAAAACAAACTCATACGCTTGCTTCAAAAGAATTTCCATAAAACAATTTCCCCCAGCAAGAGTCAACCGGAATAACCGAATGCCGAGATCATCCATCCACTGAGCCATATCCGCCGACCAGCGAGTTCTCAGCAATGCTTCACTGCGCCGCCTTAACCTTCTGTTCCTTGCGGAACTTGGCGATTTCTACCTCCACGCCCTTTTCCATCCGCGCCTTGAGTTCCGGTCGATAGCCAAAGAAGAACAGAATCTCCATCCAGACAAACAGCGGCGCAAGCAACACGGCCTGAACAAGGTTATCCAACAGCGCCGGGGCGCGGCCCTCGAACTTGCCGTGGCCGACAAATTGCGCCAGCCAGGACACAATGTGAATGCCGCCAGCCCAGTAGTTCACGCCCATTCCGTAGGTTCCGAGGAGGTAGTTTCCGCAAGCTGCGAAGCCGATCACCAACGGGGCGAGCAGGCCGCCCGCGACCGGTTCGAGAAGGACATAGAAAAAGGCGTAGATGAAGGCTCCGATTGTACCAGCGTTGGCAGGGAGGTAGTTGTTGGAGAGAATATCCGGGGTAGGGAGGAGAGGAGGGCAGTTACATGCCTACAGAGCCGAGTCAATTATCAGCTTTGCTGGTGTTCCCAAAAAAAGATGTAGTGGGATGGAAGAGAAAGAAAAAAGACTCACCAAGACAAGAGCCGTAAAGAGCAAAGCAGGCACACAGGTGATGTGAATAGCCACGTTCACCTAATTTATCTCATCAGTCCAATGCTGGGGCATCACGGTTGCACAAGGAGGGGCCACTATACGGGGTTATTGTGATAAGCTCCATACTGCGGAAGGTCAGCCACTGCCCCATAGTAAGCAACACGTTCGGGTGAGGCCGGGAACTCACAAAGAGAAGCTGTTTCTCGAGGTTCAGCGCCATGTTGAAGTGCTGGCCGGTGGAGAGGAGGTCGAAGTCGATGGTCGGCAGATGCTGGAGGGACAATTTTGGGGAAGAACGTCGCTGGGCTACATCATCAATTATTCGGACGCGCCAAGTGGTACCATCAGGCGTGCACAGTCGTCATGTGCTTGGGCCGAGGGACTCACAATTGGTGTTTCTGTACGGTATGGAGGGGGAAATATAGTGTGTTTCATTGTAATAATACGTAATTTGTGACAAGCCGTTGAACTGATATAGAACCAGGTCTCGATGCAGTCAATTTCTCGTAAGATGCAATAATTAATGAAAAATAGGAGTCATTGACAGTATGTAGTTAGTGAGTATTTTACAGATAGTACAAAAATTCAAAGTAGCATAATTACGAGGATATTCCGTCAACAATCGGAGAGTCGGATGAAGCTCAAGAATATTGAAAATCATCGACCATATTCATTAAACCGGACTTAAAGCATGCATGTGCATGGCCACTATTCAAACATGAAAAGAATCATAAAACTCCAATAGGTCGTTGACCCAAGAAAGGTGAGAAATGTATCCTCCTTCAACCGTAATTCCCCTCTCCCTAGATTGATCGTTTCGTCACTTGAACCTGAACTCCTTCGAGCAGGACCAGAGCACTACATCACATTAGTCGCCTTCAGGCAAAAATCAGGAAACTGTCAACTTACCCGCAATTTTCAACGACCTTTATTCCATCAACGGGCTTAAAGTCGTAGCGCATAAGAAGAGTTGGGATGAGCTGCCAAATATCAATTTAGCACAGACAGACTTGATTATCAGAAATGAAAACGAATAGTGTCTTACCTTAGTCATTTCAAGCCAACTAATGTCTAGTCTCAGATAAGCCAGGGCAGTCTTAGAAAATTTTGAATGTGTAGTACTTACTCTTTCCAAGACATGTTCGAGACCCTCCACCAAAGTTGAAGAAAAATCGCTCTGGCAGCACCAGTCAACATCTGAATGAACAGTCAAAGATATAACGATCCACAGTATACATACTCAAATAATTCTGGCGCTCCTGGTCTAGCCATCTCTCTGGCCGAAATTCTTCAGCGTCCGGGCCCCATATCTCAGGCAGCGTATGGATGACCCATGGTATAGTTCCAACGACCGTCTAACAACATCAGATCTGGAAAAATGAATCAAGCTTTGGATGTTACTCACTCCCTCTGGAATAAAGTCCTTGCCAATATGCATTCCCCCAGCTGGCACATCTCGGTCCATGATCATCCCAAAGGGTGGGTGAAGGCGCATCGACTCATACATCACAGCCTGGAGATACTCGCAAGCCTCAGCTTCTTCAAAGGTAATTGGATCATTGAGGTTCCCTTGTGCTTTCTTCTCCTTAAACTCATCCATCAGACGGTTATAAGCATCCGGGTTCTTCAGTAGCATAAGAAACGCCGCACAGAGTGAGGTTGCCGTTGTATCTGATCCCCCAAAGACGTTCGATGTCATCATGAATGCAATGTCCTGGTCTGTCAGCTGTGGTTTCGCCTTTTGAGTCTTGAAGAGCTGGCCCAGTATATCCTTGCTGTCACCACCGCGTTTCTTCCGGGCACTGATTTCTTGCGCTGCAAGTTGGAAGAAATGACCATTGCGGTCTGCTGCGGCGAGCCAGTTTCCAAAGATGGGAGTTATTTTTTGATTCAGTCGGAAGATCCACCCGGCATGCATTAGCCATGCAATAGATGACATAGACTTTTGGATTCGTAGGAATAGGCCATGATCGTCTGCGGCTTCGAGGTATCCGAATGGTTTTGAGAAGCTAATGGCACCGATGATATCTGCATTTCGTCAGCTCTGGTTGAGAATATATTAGGTATCATACACGTACCAAAGGCGTAAAGCTGCAGCCATATTCCTAGATCGAAAGTGTGGCCACTGATCTTGTCGAGCTGCTCGACCATTTGCGAGATCACGAGATCCACTTTGGGTTCGAGATGAACCATGGAGTCCATGGAATAAGCTCGAGCCACGAGCTTCCGCTGTTCAGAGTGGATTTTCTCATTGCGCTGGCCAACAAGATCAAATGAGCGCGTGCCTTGTACAACATTGTAGGCTGCGGCTTTGTGGAATTTATTCCCCGCCTCTATGGGGTGGTGGTCAACAAGCCTCGAGGTGAACCTGCAGGGCTATGGGGTTTGACGTACTGTATATTTCTCGAAAGGCTTCTGGATCTGCGATGCTCCTGGATATGAGTTCAGCATAAAGCATGTCACGCTTCGTCTTAAATAGGTAAGGGTAAAGTACAGTTCATTTGGGGCAACTCTGACAACGTTGCCATATTTCTTGTGTAATGCAATAAAGTCCCGGTGCGCATGTCCTCGAAGCGACAAATAGGCACGATATAGCTTGGTCAGTTTAGCCCAAAAGGGCCCCGGATATTTCGCTAATGGCGAGAAGAAGCACTGATAGATGACGTAGAACAGCACACCACAGATCGAGAGGATCTCAGCGGCGTAAAGGCTCATGAGAAACGGAGACATAGTAGTAAACATCGTAAGTGCTCCAACTACCGAAACACTGGAAGACAAAGCAGCACGAATTGCGGAATCCGCAAAAAAAGCCTTTTTGACTCGAGCTTCAATAAACCGGGTAACCCGGCCTCTATATATCCTGAATCAAGGGATGAGAGAGAAAGCGGTCGATCCAACCAATCTTGTCCAGTCCAACCAGAATTCGAGCCGCGAGGGGAAATAATTGCTCTCGGGCCCTCGGGCTCTTTGTTAATTACATCGGAGCTGCATGATGATATCGTGACCCCACCTGGGGTTACAGAGTAATGAACCATTCAAGGGTGTACACAACTCGACATCGTGCATAAAGAAAGTCAAATAAGAGCTTATACATGATTTGTGCCGTATCTCGGCTTTCTATTTACAACTTTGATCCAGCTATATTCTGTTTCTTGGATGAGATTACTGGAGCCTACGTAACCCCAAGCAAAACACTAGGTATGATCTTATAGTCCCAGACAGGTGGGTCGGGACATGCATGGGCGACCACCATGCAGGCTTATATCCACATTCTCGGCAATTCATTTCTGCGAGAAGTACATACATTCTTTGTTTGACAGCCTCTCATGAGGAGGTGGAAATCACTAAACAAAAATGGAGATCGTCATGAGTCCGAAAGTGGAGGGGTATCCGGGTAGATCGGTCAATTCACCGGACATAGCGGGGTCCGGAATCGGTACAGTATCGAAACAGGGCTTGAGATTAAGTTTGACTATGTGATTTGGGCGATAACTAAGCTCTTCGTAGACTAATATACAAGGTCAAGTTATCTAGAATCTGTGGACCTCCTGTATTCTGGGCGTTTTATTAGTCAAGATTCTTCCTGGGCTGTTGACTTAGAATATGGCCTGGACAAGACTAGTACCATGCTAATTAGCACACAGCTGTTTTCCATAATTCAGTGATGGCCTGGATTCAAAGTCCATTTCCTGAAATTGTGACAAGTCGGACATTGGCTAGGGACTGCTGCGGGACCCAACTGATCAGCACTGCGATCAAACGGCATAACGGGCTTACCTATCAAATGGTTATCACGCGATGCTGGCTCGTTTGATAGCTCCACTGAACGCGCCAATTTAAAATACTGCGGCCTGAAATACACTATATCTTTCTATTTGGATAGGATTTGCTGTCCGGGCCTGAGTTGGATTAAGCCATTCTATTTCCTTGAATTGCTTGTCGTACAAACCAAGTGTAGTTCCTTCGCCTTAGTACAGCAGAAACACATTATTTGAGGGTCAATACAGTAATCGATTCCTGGACCAGACGGAATAGAGCTCTTGAACTACCATTCAAATCACAGTGTGCCGTATCTTGGTATTGATGATGTGGGCGTGGGGACTGTCTCAAGCACTTTGTTCAACAAGCAAGATATATACTTCTCCTGGTCGATGATGCCAACAACTATACTCTTGGCAACGACCTCAACTTGTCAGAACACAACAAAGACCACCAGGTAAATTAAAATTATCTCTACAACTCAAATTCTATCACTAATCCCCTTTCTCTAGATTGTATCGTGATAGCCTCCATACTCCCAGTCCAACATGTGCGGAACAGTCATCACGTGACCAAGGTTATCCATCAACTTGGGAGCGGAGGAGGGACCAGCCGACAATCTCAGGCAAGCTCCAACATCGCGCTGGTAGCATCTGTGTATCTGCCTCTTTTCACCCAGGCAGGTTCACACCGCTTCCAAGAACCATTGACGCTCATTTGACGCGATTAATCCCCTCAAGTTTCGCCTCGCCCGCAGGTCATGAGCTAGCAGCTGTCGACACCGACCTCTTGACCTCTCCTCCACAACCCATTGCCTTCCCGGGAAAGCAACCACCGTCCTTCGGCCCTGATCATTCGAGCGACTACAGAGAGCATCATACTCAAAAGGATTTCGAGGTTCATTCAGTATCCACACACACGCCTTTTGCGCCGGCACCGCCCACGCTACCAGTCGACTCGCCCAGTGAATTGACTTTGAGCCGCTGACAACCGCAAATATGTTTTTCCTCAAGGAAGAGACCAAGGTCATTACCATGCACCCGTCCTATTTTGGACCGAACATGCGCGAATTCCTGATCGCCCGACTGAACGAGGAGGAAGAGGGCCGATGCACGGGCGACCACTTTGTGATCTGTGTTATGGACATGGTTGACATTGGCGAGGGTCGAGTTGTCCCCTCGAGCGGAAGTGCTGAGTACACCATCAAGTACCGTGCGATCATCTGGAAGCCGTTCCGTGGCGAGACGGTATGTATCTCGGAAGCTTGGATTGGATGCTTGACAATTGGGTGCTTGACATTGGGAGCAGCTGCTGACAGGTTGGCTCTTATTAGGTCGATGCGATTGTCACCTCCGTCAAGCCTACCGGTATCTTCACACTGGCCGGTCCTCTATCTGTCTTCATTGCGCGCAAAGTATGAACTTACTCGGGTTTCACTCTTCGAGTCTTCGAGGAGCGCTGCTGACATAGAAACCAGAACATTCCCTCCGATATCAAGTGGGAGCCGAATACCGTGCCACCACAGTACACCGATCATGCCGACCAAGTGATTGAGAAGGGAACAAGTCTGCGCCTGAAGATCCTCGGTGTCAAGCCGGATGTGGCGGCGATCAACGCCATTGGCACGATCAAGGAGGATTACCTTGGGTGAGTACCTCCGCTTTTCCACGAGGTCTAATGTTGGAGGGCTAACCGTTGTGTTCTACTTAGACCCTTGTAATGAGAAACGAGCCGCAAAATACCCAATTCCTCCTCTTTTCCATACCATCACGATTTGTACTCGATTCTGTCTACCCTGTCAATGGCATCGTGAATGCCAAGACCGTTCTTCTTGCGACGAAGAAGAAACCCACCAAGAAAAAAGAAATTTGTTGAAAGGGCTCTCCAGGGCGTCTACCAGGATAATGAGGCGACGATTGCAGCCTATGCTCATGCAAGCATGACCCTGGCGAGCGCGAGAGATTCATGAAATCAGACAGGCGCACATAGATAGCAGCCATTCTGGACTGCTTGCTTGCATTTCCATGTCCACCCGCAATCTTATCATTTCCACCATCCCCCCATTGCTGTCATTGATATTACAGGACTCCGCTGGGGGCCAGAACGGTGCTGGTCTGGGCCCGCCGAGCAGAAGAAGATCAACCCAGGCCCCAGAGCAATTGGGACTCGGTTCATTCCATTGTGCTATGGCTAGACCAGCTTGAGCTATGTACCATATTAACATACAATTGCATCTGGGATTGATAGCTATGCACGGAGTATACACCCGGACCAACCCAACTATGTAGTACTGTAGTTGTAGTCTTATGCATAACACCACATAACTGGCCGGCCATGAACTCTAATTATTGCAGGACCCAAGACATTCACAAGTTGCCCGAGAGACGGAGCCAAAAGGGACGCGAAGGGGGCTCAACCGTGGAACTCACAAACTAACAAACTGGGGCTCTTCCGTTCCACTAGTGAAACACTGGCGTGTTTTTTAGGTCTTGAGGAGTCCCCCGTGCGCGTGGTTGATTTCATTATTTCGGTCATATTTACCTGTTGAGGAGGGAGCTGGAAGTACTCGGTACCCTGATAACCATAGCCAGTTCTATATCCACTCCTTGTACCTGGTACCTTGGAAACGTCCTCGTCGCGTACCTGCAGAAATCCCAGGCTGGTTCCCAATTGCACGTTCATTCAAGGACTTCCAGGACACGTATGGACCAGACTCTCCCAAACAGTTCATCCCATGCTCCATAGAAATTCCTTCTAGGCGTTCTTGAGGACCTTCTTTACCAGTCTTGGGTGTCATCCCAGTCCCACCTGCTTCTCCTTCTCCTCCCCGTAGCTTCCCCTCGGCCTGGCTCATTTCCCACCCCTGATATCTTCCCGTCATCTCCCCCCGTTGTTCCTAAACTCTTTCTGCAACTTGTTTACCTTGCAGATTGTCTTGAAAAAAACCCACAGGGCCAACCATGACTTACCTCAAGGACAGCTATCAGCGGTTCCTGGCGAACCCCAGGACCGCGCCGTTGGCCGCCAATGCCTCGCTGATCTATGTCCCCACTACCACCAAAATCGAGGGCGCCGACGCAATCGCAACCCATACGACACGACAGGCAAGGATTGTCAAGAAGAACTCCGAGCGCATTATCAATGCCATTGAGAGCTCTGATGCGTTGTGCTTGGATATGGAGACCACCCTGGAGTTTGTCGAGGGTGGTGGCGCGTATCTCCCCTCGCTCGATGATAATTTCCTGGCCGACCGCGTCGTGACTTTCCCCACGGTAAACAATCCCCGATCTTGTTGCATGTTTGCACGGCGCCAAAAACGTTCCCCAGAGAGCTAGGCTAATGCACGTCCGTTTATCCACCTGCAGGTCCACATCGTCCACTTCAATGCCGAACAAGAAATCCAACAAGTCCGCATCTATTGGGACCAGGGCTCGCTACTGAAGGAGGTGGAGGTGATTGGCGCGCGCGGCCGTTCCTGGCCAATTCGCCCAGCACAAGAGCAGATTCGTCAGTTGAAGTCGGCCATTGAACTGAAGTCCGCTGCGCCTGTCCTCAAGCCATCCTCCGAAGGGAACAATGACTTGCCCCCTCGACCTGCGTCCCCAGGCAAGCGACACATCAAGGACCCTTACGCTGCGGACTCGCTGTTCGATCTGCTCTCTCCCCAGAAGGGCGACGACGCGAGAGAGCAGAATGATGCCCCTAGACCTTCATCCCCCGGCAAGCGACACACTCGCGATCCCTATGCCGCTGCCTCCTTGACAGAGCTGCTGTCGCCTAGCAAGGACGACTCTGCTCCTCCTCGCCCATACGCACGTTCATCTGCCCAGCCTGCGCCCCGCCAGTATGGCGAGCTATTCATCGGAGACGATGACGGCATGCCCAGCACACCCTCCAAAGCTCAGAAAGTGATCGCGCCCAAGGCTGGATCCAAATTCCAGGGCAACCGCATTTTTGAAGACGACGAGCCCACAGACGAGCGCGCCCCGTACAAGACCAACCCTCTGAAGTTCAACCACTTTGAGATTGGCGCCAACAACGCCGACCGGGAGGTCAAGGAGGAGCCGCAGCGCAAATCGCGTAACCAGTCGCAGTGGGATTTTGGCGATTTCGCCACTCCAGTGAAGAACACTGAGGAGGCCCGTGGATTCGGATATAGCGATGACGACGCGGAGGCCGAGTCTCCCCCTGCTCGTCCCGCAGTTCACAAGCCTCGTCGCGACGCGGATGTGCACTTTGAGATGACGGATGACAATGACGAGGAGGACGATGGCCGCGTTATCAGTTCCTATGAGAACCGCGGCAAAGGCCTTTACGAGAACCGTCTCTTCAACGAGGATGGTACCCCAAAGACCACCGCTGGAGAAAAGAATAAGCCCGAAGCCCTCGGTGTGACTGGTAACAATGTCAGTCGCAGCAAGGATTTCGACCCTCACTGGGAGATGGCCGACGAATCCCCCGCGCCCACCAGCCGCAACACCCCCAAGCCTGTCGCTTTGGATCGTGCCAGGGCTCTTCAAATGATGGAGTCATCGTGGGATAATTACGATCAGTCCCCTGAGCCTACTCGCCCTGCTACGTCTCTGCACAACCCATCTCGTCACAACCAGCGTTCTTGGACTATGGGTGACGAGTAAACGGTTGCAGACAGACTTGCATCGAATATGTCTTTGAGACGCGAAGAGGGGAACCGGGGCTACTTGATTGCTCCATTAAAAACAATACTTTACACCTTTCTGCCATGGTTAAGGCTACACTGCCAATGGCCTGGCCACACGAGACTAATGTTTCCTTCCCCTGAAATCACACCCCCTGATCACGAGCGATGTGTACCGATACCCACAACCATAAAACTACCTGCAAAGGACAGACAGACAGGCCGGAGGACGGACGGACAATACGGACGAGAAGAAATTGGGTCGTTTGCGTGGATGAAATGGAGAGAGTCCTTCTGTGCCTGGTTTATTTTCAATTTCTCCCCCGTGGGGCCTACTATTATCATACCATACCACTGTGTGCTTGCAGCCACCTTGCCATTCTTGTGACTTTTTTTCTTTTTTTTTTCCCCCTCTTTTTGAGTGTCTTTCTGTGTTGTGCTGCTTTTTTGGTTTGTGCTTTTGTACGATTTATTATTCCCAGTGTTAGAGTGTTTTATTTGATTGGTTTTCCTGACTTGATTTTGATCTTTCTTGAGTAATGTTATGGAATATTGATGAACTTGTGAGACGTTCACTCAAGACGACCTGTGAAACCACTGGAAAGCCGAGTAATGTTATGGAATATTGACTGACACGTGAGACATCCACTCAAGACTTCTTGCGAATCCCGCGACGGCTCCTCGTCTCAGCTCTTAGATCCGCGGGCCTTCTCCAAAAGTCGCTGTCATCGTCAACTTCATACTCACCATCGAATTTAACATCGTTATCAACGAAGCCATCGTCATCATCACTAGACAATATAGACCCAGTCCACGATACGGGCGGCTCGTAAGCACAGAACTTCCACCATAACTGTCTAGTGTTGTCTTGAAGTCACTTTTGGTCACGCAGTCACATTCTTCGTGAATCCTGAAGGTAACTTCAAGCCGGGGAGAGTATGCTTTAAGGCGAGCGGTAGCCAGCTCTAATATCTCCGTGTGAATGTCAGGAGGACTGCAGGCTCTGGGCGTCGCAAATATGTCGCTCTCGTTCACGGATATGAAGCGGCCCAGTGTGAGTCTCTTCAGGTTGGGACAGTAGCTCTGCAGCTTATCAAGGATGCAAGTTGCAGTGCTGTCAAGGTGCAACCCACATCTCCAGCACATCTGGGGGAAATTGACCTCAAGGCTCTCGATCCATTTTGTGTTCTCCGGCCCAATTTTTTTGAGGAACGAGAGGGTGAGATGAGATGACACACGGAAGAAGTCGAACGTGTTCTGGCTGTATAGGACCGAGCGAGCCTCATCGTGGATCTGTTTGTTTGCGCGGAGGAGGTTCAGGGCTAGCTCGGGTGGTGGGGATTTCGTTGTGATGCGACCTTCAAAGACCATGGCGTAAAGCGGTAGATAAAGTTGCGGACTTCACCGGGAAGGTCGAGGAAGGAAAGGCGAGTCGACATGTTGGTTTTGGATGGCTTCGATGGCTTGAATCGCTTGGATCGCGCCGTAGCACGAAGAGCTTTGATATCTGGTCAGTGGTGAAGGTGTAGACAAGTTCTCGAGAGATAGGGGAGATACCTTGTGAGGGTTCTTGAAGCTGCCGCTATCAGAACTAGACCATTCAAGTGAAGACCACGAATCGACATCGAAAGCACGGAGTTTCCAACCATAAGTGTCCAGCTTCGCCTTGAAGTCACCCTGGGTCACGCAGTCACAGTAGTAATCGATTCTCAAGGTAACTTCCAGCTCTTGAGACATTGCTCTAAGGCGAGCGGCAACCAACTCTGGTATCTCCACATGAGTTACTTGACGGGAGGAACAGTGAAATTGAATAGGTCTTCCTCGTCGAAAATGCTGTCCAAGGAGTCCAATGTGAGTCTCGTCAAGTTCGAAAAAGAGTAGGACGATAAGCTTTGATGTCTGGTCAGTGATGTGGGTATTCGAGGGAACAAGTTCTCGAGAGATGTCCGTGATACCTTTTGAGCGACGTGCGGATAAGGGGAGGAGAAAGAGCCTGGTATCAGGAAAGGAGGACAGGGAGGGGAAGAGTTATTGATGTCAGTGTTAGGAGATGGAGGATCTGGATAGCAAGAGATGTTTAATAGTGACGGGAAATGAAAACGGAGAAAAGGAACCCAGCGGTCTAGAAATAGAAGTAAACAGACGAGTATTCGTAGAGGATATGTGCGTCTTACCTATAAAGGTTCAATCTTCTGCTGCGAACAGCCCAGTAGCAGTTCAAAAGTCTGAATCTAGAGACCGGCGAAACCGCCCACCTAGAAATGCTTCCACTTCGTGTTCTTCGAAGGGTCTTTCTTGATAGCTTAGGCATCAGTGTTTAGTCTAGTACTCAACTTGTGGCTGAGAAGATAATTCTGAACGCTGGTCACATTTTCAAATTTATGAAACTGCACGGTACTTGCCTTGATGTAGAGATAGATAGTGCTGTTCATTTGAACTAACCTTAGATGTTGTCTTCAACCCGTATAGAAGTTCACGGCCAAGAGATGCATATCAGAATGGCTGGCTAGTATGAGTGGCCTCGATCTCTCATCCAAGGTCCTCTACTCGCAATCCCAATAGCCATATTCACCGGAGCCATTTTCAGCATCAAGGTCGGATTCACCACTGCCGCAACAGTAACAATATTTGGACCGGGCCGCCTTCCAGCCGTACTTAGCAAGGAAACCCTCAATTCCCAGTGGCCCAAATCCATCACAGAACTCATGAACAACACCAAGGTCTTTCAAGATTGCTTGGAACAGAGCATCGAGAATCGCGCCAAGATCTTCAAAGAGCTGGTCGGGGGTGGCCTGGATGTAATGAAGCAGACTCTCCATCTGCCAGGCTGCGCATCGGGCACTTCTCGAACCCGAGGGTCAAAATTCGTAAGTTGGGACAGTACTCCTGGATTTGTCCAAGGCTTGAGCACTGGATGGGTCTAACTGCATTCAGCCTTGTTGCAGACAAATTCGGGGCACCTGAATGCGAATCGCCCCGATTTGGCGGGGCATTATCAGGGCCAATCTGGTCCAAAAAGGAGACCATACTCTTTCCAGTCCAGTCATTGCCGAGGTCAAAGGAATTTTCTCCGTAAAGGATTGAGGTGCTTTCCTGGGCTGTCACTTGACTAGCCCGGACAAGGTTGAATGCCAGATCAATAGGCTTGTTACCGGGGTCGATGGGGGCTGAGCCTACCAAGGCGTATCGGAAATCATATTCCTCAGTTCCCCCGGAAGATCCAGAAAGGAGAGGCGGGTCGCCTTCTCATTGGTTTGCCGGTGTCCAGGGGATCTCGTTATTTGTCAGTAACGGGAGCATAAGAGGGAGATAGATGTTTGAAAGATGTTGTCGATACTGACCAAGGGAGGTGATGAATGGTATTTGAGAATTGAAAGGATGATCTCTTGATAATAACTGATGGGAATTTGAAGAGCGGAGGTGGATAGTTGAAGATGAAATGAAGGCAAAGCTGGACGGATCTATTTATATTAGAAGAATAGGCACACGAAAACGCGTACAAGAGCGCAGGAAAGCGTTGGAAGGGCAACCAAACGCAAGGCTGCCTAGGAGAATCTGTTTATGGAGAAGATACTCCGGAAACTGGATTCTGTTGATATCAGTTTGATTCTAGTCTGCTTCCAATGTTTGCTAGAGTCATTCGAAGATAGGAAAATATGGACGTGACAATGGAGTCTCGTACATTGACAATATTCTCGCCGCAAAAGGCCGATGGCGATGTGACCTATGTCGCGATACATATTGATGGGCTGAATTGCGTTGATAGTATTGAAATCAGTGGTAGTGACGATAGCTGCTCAATTCCGGCCGGCTATAAAGGGCACGGATGCTCATTAAATATAGAGAGCCAGGGCCCAAAAATTTGAATTCTCAAAAGACAAAGAGCAAGGACGCCGAAATTAGGAGAGGGATGTTCAAGGACCGCGTGAGGACATAGGAAGTCACTAGCGGAACATATCTATCTAGAGAGACAGCGAGCGAGGGTAGAACGGTCAGAAATTGTGGCAATTTTTGCAGAATTCAGATCCCCATCCTTCCCTGTAGGCGTCAATAGCGGGGACATACCCATCATCCTCGGATATATCCTCCTTTGGTATTGATATAAATACAGTTCTATATCCATAGATCTCTCTCACCAATCCGGTTTATAGAATAACTCGAGTTGAGTAAACCATGGGTAGGATTTCATTCGACATCCTCGTGAATGAGGCCCCAGTTAGAGATCAAATAAGAACAGGACCCGGTCGAGGTCTTCGTTAAACTTGGACGGGCAGACCAATGCGTATGACGTGGGATCCGTCTTCATAAAGAGGCGACATGCATGCGACCTTGTGCTGGCCGCGTGCGAGAGTGGCGACGTGGATAAGGTACACTGAACCATTCGCGCTCCTCGCGGCTTGGTAGGTAACCGAATCAAACATGCGCAGGATTAGCTGGATCAGAGAGCCCTCGAGACCGGCCATCGCGTCGTCCGGCTGTATGAGAGCGCACCCAACGTAGAACTCAGACTCGCTTGATCGATCTTTGAGGCTGACCAAGTCAGACGCCGTGTCCAACCTTCCACATAAAGGCACAACCCCTTGTCAAGGGGTCACTAGGAAAGGCCGGTCGCCCAGATAATCATTGGAGGGTTACAGGGAAAGCGCGACGCATCAGGTCCCCAGTTTGGTCGAAGTCGGCCTGGAACCGCGAGCTCCAATCGTGCGGAGTCATCGTGCAGAGACAATAGAAGACCCCTTCGCCATTGAGGCGGACGAAGGATAGCGAATTATACCAATGAGTATGGAAAAATATAGGTAGCATTGTGTTCAATATCTTCGCTGGTCTAAGTGAAACATGCAGGCCCCGTTAAGAGAGTATTGTATCTCCCCAGACGAGTTTGTGGTTGCAAATCATGTTTTGGATCTGGTTGGGGAGGCCGAGCAGAGACAGGCGGGCTGGCTGTGGTTCGGCGCAGCATTGGTGGGTGTCACACCAATTACTCGGATCTCTGTCCGCGATGTGAGTAAGAGAGGAAGATGGATTTCCCAGAGATGATTTTGATACTTATCAAAGATCGTGAAGACGACATCGTGAAGAAGAAACGTTTATGCCTTCTTTAATGGCCAGGCCATGCTCTGCAAGCCTCTTGGTTCTTGTAAGAGTATATGCCCGAGTGGATGTGTATATAATGAGAGTGTAAGTATATGGAGAGGTAGGAAATTGAGAGATGCAAGAAAATTGCGCAGAATCGTCTTTGGATGTTGGAAGAAGGACAAGGGAAATTACACCGTCAAACCGTGGATCAACTGGAAGTTGCCGGCATTCAAAGCTTCTTTACAGGGACATTCCAATATTCGGTCATCGAGAGCGGATGGCCTTGAAGAGCGCGTGCTTCAACATTGAGAGCATAATCGAAATGGATGACAATTACTACTATACTGGAGACTGACTATTCTTGAGCAAGGAGTGACAATATTGGGGTAAGGATCAATTTCCAATTTCTATGCTACGTAAAACTTAACAAAGAGTCAAACCACAGATCCAAGGTCCAATAGTCCGTGATAGATCTCCAAGTATCCGAGGGGAATCGAAAATCAATAGCAAAAGGAACGCGGAACCCAGAGCTGCGAAGACAGCAGCGCCGGGAAACATCGGAAACTGCGGCATCCAAAGCCGTAGAGAGAGCAGCGTCGACATCCTGAGGAGAACGACATCCAAAGCCGCAGAGACACTGAAACCGAAACAAGGTCCGCGGCACCTAAACCGCAGAAAAAGCAGTGCCAGAAACCCAAGGTTAGCGGCTTCTAAAGCCAGAAGAAAAGCAGCCCCAAAAGGTAAGATGGCGGCTCCAAAGCCGCAATAATAATACAACCAAAATTCCGAAGGACAGCGACATCCAGAGTCACAAGAAGCCAAGGAGAAACCAAGAACTTCAAGAACAACATGACCACAATAAATCGCAGACCAGGAAGGATGGATTCAATTCCAGCCCAAGAGAAAAGTAGGCATCCAAATGCCCGACACATTCACAAAAAAGTAAAAAATATTGCAATCGCCCTCCCAACCAACCCAATGATTGAAATACTTTCGCTTAAATGTAGAACATGGAATTCTTGACGCTATGGTGAACAGTTGCCTGGCTGGCCTCGGGAGCACGCTCACCACTTTCTCCACCGACGACACTACCCGCCGGAGTACCACTGGGAGTTGGGTCGAAGAGACCGCTCATGTAGCAGCGAGCGCGGGTGCAGACGAGATCGGCGTAGTAGGCGGGCGGACACACACTAACAGCCTTGGTGGCCCGGCCGAAGAGGTAGCACATCTTGTGTGTCAGGTCCTGGAGTTTGTCAGCGGCGCCGGCACCGGGTGCCACGCTTGGGTGCAGTGGGTAGAAGATCTCGTCCCAGACGGTGAAGTAGTGGGCGGGACGGGCGGTGCCCTGGAGCGCGGAGTGGGCTTGCAGGTAGAAGTCCCAGTGGCGGGACTCGGAGATGCCGCGGTCGACGATGGTGCCGGGCTGGGGGTTGGCGGAGCGCTCGGTTTCACTCTCGTTTGTTGGGTAGAAGCGGGTGTTGTGGCGTTTTCCGACGATGACGATGGCCATGCGGGGAAGACCCTTCTTGGTGTCGGAGGCTGGGTAGATGGTTTGGCAGGCTTTCTTGAGGAGGGGCAGTTCTTTCTCAATGACTGTGTCGTATTGGCCCTCTGACACGCCGTCACGATAGACGACGATGTTCTCTGGGAACTTGCCCTGGTTGTGATTTGCCCAGATCCTGATGCGGGATTGGAGAAGGGCGTCCAGGTCAGAAACCATTTCCTGGCGCGCGGGCTGGATGCGGATGTCTGCGGGCCACTGTGCTAGTTGCGCATCGACCGAGGCGACGATGCCGACCACACTGGGTGCGGAACTGGTGGAACCGGGGGAGGGGTGAGTAACGTCGAGACCAACGAGCATGGTCTTGCCATCGGCGAAGAAGCCCATATCCGAGTTTCGAAGGGTTTGGTTGGCACCACCCAGCTTGAGGTTAACCTTGAGGCCTACATTTGCCCAGTATTGAGGGCCAGGACCGCCAGGTTTCGAGAGCTTTTCGGCTTGCACGTTCACATTTTGTACACCACAGCGGACGTCGCAGACCTGCTTGACAATGTTGTAGACCTGGGCTTCCTTGGCAAAAAGGATACCCAAAATGAGCTGGGGTTGGTGCTTCTGTTGCAGTTCACGTACGGCCCTTTCGATAGCCGGAGCGTTGTCGACATTCCATTGATACACGAGCCTAATTCCTGGCTTCGGCTGATCAACCGCGATGCCCATTTCTCGGAGAGTCAGGGTAAACCCAGATAGTGCATGATTCAGACTTTCTTGGGTGAGACCGGGCCTGTTAGAGTCGATACAAAGCCAAGTCCAGTTCTTGAGTGTAGCAGGCTTAGAGAACTGAATGGACTGCATGTTCCAGCTGCCACCCCTGGCCTGAAGCACTTTCTGCTTGGCGTACATGATGGGGGGTGCTGGCAGGACACGGCCCTGCACCGTGATCAGGTTGTTACCTAAGTTGACGCCGAAGGAAGCCTAGAAAAGTGAGAGAAAGCGAGGGTGGTCAGCTGGACTTGAAAGCTTTTGCAATGTGGCATTTGGCCGATGCAGGGGAGTTAGAAAAAGAGGGTAGATTTTTCGCTTACCAGGGTGGCGTTTAGTGGTTGACCGATTCCCAATAAACCAACACCTTTCGTGGCAATGGACTCAGCATTCTGTGCTGGCGTACGATGCATGACAGCGAATCTGAGCATGTTCTGAGTCTGTTTTGGGGAGAGTTTGGTTTTGACTGGTTGACCAGCCTCAACATCGCAAACATCCGCAGGAAGGTAGACAGGCTTCTCTCGAGTTCCAACGTTGACCACAGGGAGGTCAGGATCCACGGCGAGGCCGTACTCTAAATAAAGTGGTCAGTTTGAGTAGAATGTCATTACACTCACAATGCATGCGGCTCACCTTGCTTGAAGAAATCAGCAACACTGATGTATTGACCGGCTCGAGCTGGGCCAGCCTTGGGAGCGGCCTTTTTGCCCCTTTTGCCCTTGCCTTCCCCATTTCCAGGTGATGTAGACTGCGAGCCAGGTGCCTCCAAGAAGAACCTAACATCGTGGGGACCAGATCCGTAGTTCTTCACCTGTGGCTTGTTGGCTGATGTGCCACCATCGCGAGGGGTGGCCAGACCCGAGATGGTCTTCACGCGAGCGGGCCGTTCTTTGCCATTCTTGCTCTTGCGCTTGATGTGTGTAGGGCAAACGCGCATGCGCTTCACAAAGGCTTCGAGTCGGTAGAGACTCTGATTGCGGTTGGCATCCATCCACTCTCTCAAGGTCCATGCCAAGGGGCCCGATTTGTAGCAGGCCAAGTATTTGACTTGGACATTCAACAAGACACGGGCTGTGGCAGCACGCACACTGACGAAGAAACCGCGTAGCACCTCCAGACCGCCCTCAAGGGTGGCCTTTTCCATGAGGCCTTGCTGAAGGCTGTAATGTCTATTGCCGCCGATGGAGGCGACCGAGCGTTCTGTCTTGGGATGGTGGCCGAGAATCACATTCAGAGCCTGGACAATTTCGGGCTTGGAGGTCAGCATGTCACCTGCATTGGTGGAGGTGAGGTAGTTGATCAAGTCGGCGGGGTTGATGTCACCAGTGTGTTGAACGGTGACCTTGAAGACCTTTGGGTTTTCGGAATATTCCTCATCGTTCTCGTCCTTGTAGCGCACATCGAGTTGGCCTTCAGTGAGCTTGGTGACGGAGAGGAGAGTTGACCGGTAGTCGGTTGCAATGCTCTTCAAGTTGGCAGAATAATGTTCCTCCAGCAGGAGACGCACGATCTGTCGTGCCTTTCTGCCAGCAGGCTCTCGTCCGCCCTCTGCGGCGATGGCGACATGATAGCGATAGATTGGTTTGCCCACCGAGGTCAGAGGCAGGTAATTAGCATAGAGCGTGACAGGCCGACCGAGAGTGCCGTATCCTGGCCGGTCGGGATATGCCTGAGCAGGGTTCTTTGCATTCTTCTGGCGACTTGCAACAAGCGCCTTGGCCATGGCATCTTCTGTCTTGATGACCGTAGCATCAGGTGGGGTGATAGGCTTGCCCTCACTGGAGGGTTCATGGGGTTAGGGTGATTGCTCAAGAGGTTTGAAGATGGATTGTTGTCAAGGGTTGATGGAAGGTTTTGGACTCACTTGTAGATCCGAGGGCCACCACCACCTCCTCGGCCTCCACGGCCTCCATAACCACCACGATCATTGCCACGGCCTCCATAACCTCCACGATCATTGCCACGACCCCGATAGTCTCCACGATCATTGCCACGACCCCGATAGTCTCCACGATCATTGCCACGACCCCGATAGTCTCCACGGCCGCCCCGATCACCACCGCGACCACCGCGATCGCCATATCCACGATTGCCACCCCGGTCACCCCCAGAAGGGCGGAAGGGGAGATTTTGGAAATCCCCTCGGCCACGACCTCCTCCGCGACCACCTCCGCGGTCTCCACGGTCTCCGCCACGATAGTTTTGACCGCGACCACCGCCGCGGGGGCGGGGTTGATCTGACATGATGTCAAGTTAAGAGAAGCTGCAATAGGAATCTAACAGTAGATGGTAACAGGATTAAGACAGGGAAGAAGTGATGTGATGTGAGAAGTGAGAGTAGAGAAGTAAGAGAAGTAGAGAAGTAGAGAGAGAGAGGTGAAGTTGTTGGTTCTTGAGCTTCGTAAATACTTCACGGCACGTACCTATCGTCCTTGTTTCCCCCACCAGCTTAGTCACCAACAAACAAAGAAACCAAGGTACGAAAGTTCCGTCTGGGGGGTCGAGGTAGATTCTGGATGTATCATTATTTTGCTTGTGACCGGTACTCGCCGAGTCCATACAGTAGGAGTAGTTCATGTTGTATACTGTACATTGTCAAAACCTATAGCTCCCGTATGAAGAGTATGGAGTATACAGATCCAATACAGCGGGGTTTCTTAAGTTTACTGTGGTAAAACCATGACCAATGTTCAGAATCACCTAAGCAGTCACAAGTTGAATAGAAGACTACCTAAGATATGATACCCTAGCTATCAATCAAGAGAATTCAAATGAACCTTCAAAAACCATTCAAAAAACAAGAAGTGGAAGCATTTCTATCTAATGGGTGGTTTTTCTGGTCTTAAGAATCAGATTTTTGAACTACTGTACGAGCCGTAGTAGTGGGGCTGGAGAAATGCGGTGTGCCACACTGGAAACATCCATGCAAGTTAAACTGAAAATTTTAGACTGTCACTTTGTTTTTAATGTATACATGGAGTGCTCTGTTTGGCAGTATCGTTGTCATTATATACTCCATACTTCTTCGAGATACTCCACAGTAGGCGACCCATCGAAGTTTTAGGGACCATGAATCATAGGTCTTAGCCTATTAGGCTATATCAGCCACGATATAAGAGGCTATGCTCAAGTTTTCAGTAGCTAACTAATTATTCCAGGCCACGTCTGGGCCTTCGATGACTCACTCCATCCCTGCTGGGCTTCTATGGCCAATCATAATGCCGGATGGGGACCAAAAACCACGCATTCCAAGGCATTTGGTGTTGGTGCTGACAAGTGTGGGATCCTGGATGAAGATTAGTCTCCGAGTGGATGGAACAGAGTAATATCATTGGATATTCGTATGGAAGACCCTCGTTCGTGAGGCAGCAACGACACGACCATCTGCATCATCGCAGTATTGCCCGCCGAGGAAAGGGAAAGTATGGCGGTGGCCCCATCCCGACCCGCACATTGGCTGAACCACAGAAGAGCCGTGAGATCATCAACGGACGGACTATCGTGGTGATAAGCCCCCAAAAACGGAGATAGCTCGGATTAATCATCAACGTTCCCTTGACGAAACTTGGGTGCGCGGAAACTTTGTCCCCTCTTGATTCTCTCGTTATTCTCATCGATCACCGGCTCAAAGGGGATTTGCGACTGGTATACGTCTTTATCACCCCTCGGAACCCACGTTTAGCCCCCAAAGACCGCCTCCTCTGCACGAGGCGACTGGGTCCAGTCTCCGACGACCCCTCTTAAACCCGTCGCAAGCTTTCAGCATCAACCCGAGACTTAGCGCAAACGGGAGAAGTCGTTCCAGTCATCCGGAGCGATTCATCACACATTTCGACTACGTCCATTCCAGCAAACGACGTGGACCGGATTAGCGCGACCTGGACGGCTCTGCGCAAGGCTAGGGCGGACAAGGCGCAACCCACACAAACTCGACGCGACTCCTCAGGGGCCTATCGCCAGAATCCTTTACGAGACAACCGCGAGCACAAAGTGTGTGCCCGACCGTAAACGCGGCCCACTGTTGAACCAAAACCAACTGGAGACGAACGAGCTCGACAAGCACCTCTAGGCTGTGCGCATTCAAGACCGGGCTCCAAAATCGAGGCCATCCTGACGGCAACCGGCAATTTACTGAGCCAAGGCATCTGGAAGAGTTGCTGAACTGGAGCGGGGTCACGATTCGTACTCGCTCGCTGCCCCTTCGAGTCCACACCACCTCTGAACAAAGGCGGAAACGGCCTTTCAACCCCACTCAAAATGACACCCACACCACCATCCACCACCTCATCCAGCGCGGGGGCCCATTCCCCTGAATTCAGGGTCATTCGCAAGCGAAACCGAGTACCTTTGTCATGTGCACCCTGCCGCCACCGAAAGTAAGTGTCTTCAAAAGAAAGTGAACCCAAAAGAATGAAGAAAAAGAATTAAAATGTTCCGCCCTCATAGAGATTCAAGTCTAACGATGGATTTGCAGACTGAAATGTAACCGTTCCCATCCTTGCGAGAACTGCGTCAAACGAGGCGACGCAGCATCATGTAACTACGCCCAGGCCAGCAGCCGCAAAAAGAACTCCCCACAGCAGACGTCCCCGACATCGCCCGATGACATGCAAAACCGGATCGACCGCTTGGAAGGGTTGGTCTTATCGCTGATGACCAATGGTAACCAGGCAGCTGGGCCGGCAGCTGCCCTGGCTGCAATCTCAGGGGAAAGTAGTGCTGGGTCGACCGGGTTGTCAAATGAGATTGATATCGACGATATCGACGATGACGCTGAGGGCGGTCCGGAAGAGAGCGACACGGAGCAGGTGACGAAATCATTTGGTGTCATGAAAATGGACAGCGGCAAGTCCTACTACATCAGTGAAGCCCACTGGGCTTCAGTGCTGAATGATGTGAGTCGATGCCGGTACTTTGCACCTTTGGACCCGACTAACCGCAATCTCATTAGATTTCCGAAGTGCGAAACTTCTTCACCACGCATAAGAAGCAGTTTGACGACCAGGCGGAGAAGTTGAAGGCTACTCGGCCAGAAACTGATAATCCCGGAGGCTCTACGCTGCTCTTCGGTGCCATGAAGCCATTAACTCGACCTGAGATCCTGGCGTCATTGCCCTCTAAGTACACAACTGATATTCTCGTTGCCCGCTATTTCAACAGCTACGACCCAGCAACGCATGTCCTCCACGGCCCCACCTTCCAAGCACAGTATAATAAGCACTGGGAAGATCCCACGAAAACAGAGCTAGTATGGATCGCAATGCTCTTTGCCATGATGAGACTATCGATGCTTTCATACCACCGGGAAGGTGATGAGCCTCCGGAGTTCCGGGGCAAGGCGATGGACATGGCGGGGTCCTTTAGGAACTCGGTAGCGCAATGTCTGACTCTAGCAGACTACACAAAACCACATCGTTTCCTAATCGAGACCTTGGTCTTCCACCTTTACGGTGATTTCTCACAGACTAGGGATGCAGATATCTCGATCTGGGTTCTTTCGGGCGTGATTGCCCGTCTGGCGATGCGCATGGGATACCACCGTGACTCGAAGATGTTCCCCAACATCACACCTTTCCAGGGTGAGATGCGACGTCGAGTCTGGGCCTTTGTGCGACAGGCAGATCTTCTATTTTCATTCCAGGTCGGCATGCCGAGTATGCTTCGCACCACGGATTCTGACACAGATTTGCCGCGAAACTTGTACGATGATGACTTTGACGAAGACAGCAAAGAACTGCCGCCAGCTCGCCAGATAAGCGAGCCAACGCCCATCTCCTATCTGATTACCAAGGCTCGTCTTACGTACGCCTTTGGCCGGGTCAATGAGCACTATTCGGCGGTTTCATCGTCCTCGTATGATAAAGTGATGGAGATTGATGCTGATCTGCGGCGGGGGCGGGATTTGATTCCTGATCACCTCCAAATTCGTCCGCTAGACGAGTGCCAGCTTGACCCCATCAACCTCATCATGTCGCGCTTCTCAGTAAGCCACTGTTCAATGGCCCTGCTAAGCACTTTTACTGACCCATTTGTAGGTAATGACTGTCTACCACAAAGCACAATGCGTGTTGCATCGACCATATCTCATTCGCGCTCGGGAGAATCCCCGCTTCACATACTCCCGCCGCACTTGCATCGACTCGGCCCTCGAGATTCTTGTGTTCCAGGCGATCCTACACGCAGAAACGCGCAATGGACGCCTCCGCGGCCGCACTGTCGTTACCTCCCTCACCTCTGCCGACTACCTCCTCGCCGCCACGATCGTCTGCCTAGACCTCTACCAGACCTTCCAGCTTCAGGCCTCGAACCGTCCCTCCGGCGACACGTACACATGGGGGCATGAACGACGCGAAGAGATGACGGGGGCGATCCAGCGCTCGAAAGAGATCTGGGACCAGCTGCGTGATGAGAGCATGGAGGCGTTCAAGGCGAGCTCCGTGCTTGGTGTCATGCTGAATAAAATTCATAGCGCCGTTCCGCCGCTTGAGAACACCTCAGGCACTGGCGGTGCTATATTCGAGACGCAAGACGAGAAGCAAAACGCGGCTATGACGCTAGGCTTGCTCAGTAGCGGCATGAGCCCGATGAGCCAGGGCCCGCCTCCGTTCACGGACCCGTTGTTCAAGATGAGTGATGCATCGATGCCGAGTAGCATGCCAGGCCCAACGGCTGAAATGCCAGGGCCTCTGTCGCCATTCAGTAGCATGTTCGGAACGATGCCGGACATGCAGGTCAATCTCGATTGGGTAGGTTGACACCACTTCTACTGATATGTATGATTTAGGTGGGATAAGTTACTAACAACGTGTGCAGGATGCATGGGATACGTATATTCAAAACCCAACTTTCGATACATCAAACCAGTTCTGGCCCATGATGGACCCTCAGCGCCAACAGACGCCGCAAGGAGTCGGAATGACCCAGCCTCCGATGACTAGCCCCTTGGGAACCACTCGGACATCTTCGATGTCGAATGGTGCCCCTTCACAACGTCTTCCCAACATATTCTCACCACCAGGGCCCTCGCCTGAAAGCGTTACATCATCGGTACCTGGCTTTACACCGATGTCCTCGCAATCGGGTAATAGCGGCCGTAGCCAGGGCCCGCTGTGAGAGGATGCCCTAGATCATGAGTATGATATGATGCCATGCGTTTTTTGCCCTTCCAGCTTTTTCGCGATTGTGCTTGTTGTGTTGCCATTACCTTTGTTATGCCTGGGATCTTGGTGTCTTAAGAATGGTTACAGGAGGATTTGGATCGGCTTCTGTTGATTTTATTACAAATTTGTGTTTTCTGGCGTGTTTCCGTCCTTGGAAAAGTTTGGGTTTGATATAGTCAAGTCTTTGCGGATTATTGGACAATGCACTGTGCAATGTACTAGGTTAGGTCTTGGATGTACCATATTGTTTCATGCCAATATACAGACTCCTCTCTAAGAAAATTTTCATCGAATAATAGTCTAAACCTATTGAACAATAGCCATTGATAGTCGTTGAAGTAAGGTTGAACAAAGTGCTACCGTATTGGCTTTCCCTTCCCATGTCCTCTTGGCTGGACACCCGATAGCGACCACGTGATCAGTCTTATCGCTCCCCAGAACTTTTTGATCGCGGCGACAACCGCGCATTGGAAATCGAGATCAGATATCTATTCTTTTCGGAGCTGTGAATAACTAGACTCTCCGCCACTAGCGCATCTAATAAAATGTGAGTCCCTCAAATGATGTTCTGTTGAATTATGTCAACGTCTCCCGAATCGCTTACGCATCTCGATCGAATCGGACCATTGCTAACTCAACTCTCTTCAAGGCATTGTTTCCGACGAGCATCATCACGACTCCTGGGCTCGGCACTCTCCTCTCAATCTATATCGACAGTGAGATCTCAGTGCAATATCACACGCCGCTCTATCCCTCGTCTCTCCCCGCGGAGCCCACACATCGCAGCCCTCCAAGTCCGGTGGAACTCAAATAAAAACGACCCATCAACATCAGCGGACCAGAAGGAACACAAAAATGAAGATGTAGAGGCTGCAACACAACCCAAGCCTGTGTCTTCCAACCTTGGAGCTCAGCAACAACCCCATAAGAAGGCAGCGCAAGCCCCCAGGGTCAAAATCCCTCCCAATGAAACCGTCTACATCGGCAATCTGTTCTACGATATCACCGCCGAAGATCTGCGGAAACATATGGAGAAGTACGGCACAGTGCTGAACACGATGATCACCCACGATAATCGGGGTCTTAGTAAAGGGTAAGCTTACAGCGCGAACCTCATCCCGGGTGCACTCTCTGACAAGGCCGACTAATCCCATATCACCCTCAGATTCGGCTACGTCCAGTTTAATACCATTGAGGAGGCGACAGCCGCAGTCGAAGGCATGCACTCCACCATCCTCGAAGGCCGCCATGTAGTCGTGCACTACGCCCGCACCCACTTCAACTACAAACGCGCCTCTTACCCACCCACCGAAACGCTCTTCATCGGCAGCCTACCCCTCGAAATGACAGATCGCGATCTGCAAGACCTTTTTCACGACGTTAAGAACCTGATCGATGTCCGGATTCCTGTCGACCGCCGCTCTGGCATGCCGCGTGGCTTTGCGCATGCGGAGTTTCTCAATACCGAGGCGGCAATGCAGGCTATGGAGATACTGGCGATGAAGAGACCGTATGGGCGGAAGTTGGGCGTTAGTTTTGCGGAGAGGAAGAGGGTCGGTATGATGAAGCCTAGGCCTGAGCCTGTGGATCAGGAGCAGGCGAAGGCGGAGGCGGAGGCTAGAAGGAGGGATAGGGCCCGCAGGGAAGCTGAAGAGGCTGAGGAGGCTGAGAGGGCTTTGGAGGAGGAAATTGCGTCGGAGAAAGAAGCGAAATTGGAGGATGTGACTCCTGTGGAGGGGAAGAAGGTATAAACACTCTCTTCCAATCTTGTATTATACCCATATAGCATCGGATGTATAAAACTGTACCATATTGACCCAAATACTTCCTTTTCACCACCTATACTTGCTCCATGACTGGCCATCAGTCGGTGTCAGTTTGGTGGCTTCTAGATCGGCAGATACCGCCACACGTGACCTCCGGGGAACCTCGGCTGACGGAAAGCCCATTAGTGAGCCATCGAACCCCACGTCTTCCAAGACGAATATCCGGGGCACGTTCTTTTTCCTCTTCACTCCTCGTTCTTCGGTGTCAAGTCAATTTCCAACACCGGTTCACACCTCTTTCTCCTCCATATCCGATACAACACACACACTTCATCACCATGTCGTTCCTCGGCGGAGCCGAATGCTCCACGGCGGGAAACCCCCTCACCCAATTCACCAAGCACGTCCAAGATGATAAGTCCCTCCAGCGAGACCGCCTGGTCGGCCGGGGCCCGGGCATGCAAGAAGGCATGCGGTCACGTGGTATGATGGGTGGACAGGACCAGGTATGTTCTTGGAATGTTGCAGACAACCCTGGCCCTTCCCCGAGGAGGGGAGGGGCCGCAGCGGCGGTCTGTGTACCACCGAATCTGTGACTCGGCGACTAACGGCAAGGCTCCTTGGACGCTCCGTCCGAGGGCCGATTGTTTAAGATGATGGACGATTTCATGCAGCAACCAGGCCAACAATTAAACGGACCGTCGCCACAGCCTTTCGCCATGGAGCATATGCGCCGGGAACTGGAGAATTTCCAGACCGCGCCTCCACGCACAGGTTCACCCGGATGGGCCGCGGAGTTTGACCCCGGCGAGCAAGCCCGCATGGAGGCTGCTTTCCCTGGTGCCGCGCAGATGAACAATACACCTGGATTCACGCCGGCCGAGTTCGCGCGCTTCCAACAGCAGAACCGGATGGGTATGCCACAGACGCAGAGCCCCACGACGGCAACCCCACCACTTATGGCGGGGTATCAGCGACCGATGGGAATGGGTGGATACATGGGCGGCATGGGCGGTATGGGTATGATGCGGCCGATGGGCATGCAGTCGCCGATGATGCAGCAGCCGGTGGAGGGACAGACACAGGACAAGGGCAAGGGCCGGATGGTCGAGCTGGACGATGAGAACTGGGAGGCTCAGTTTGCCGAGATGGAGACCGCGGGGAATGAGACTCAGACGGATGAGGAGGCTAACGCCGCGATGGAAGCGGAGCTGAACGAGCTGGACAGGTCAGTGCCCACCTCCGATGATGCCTTCGAATCCGTTTGGGAAAGAATCCAAGCTGAGACTGCTACGAGTAGAAAACTGGTTGAGGAAGGAGGTGACTTTGAGGTCACTGATAGTGTGCACGTGGGCGACCTGGGTGATTGGGAGGGCTTTGATAGCCTGAACACGCGATTCCGGGACCCACAGCTGGGTGACTACATGTTTGAAGAGGACAACGTTTATTCGGCTGTCAACAACCCCTTTGAGGAAGGCGTGAAGATCATGCGTGAGGGAGGAAACTTGTCATTGGCTGCGCTGGCCTTCGAAGCTGCCGTCCAGAAAGATCCCCAGCACGTGCAAGCCTGGACGATGCTGGGTTCAGCACAGGCACAAAATGAGAAGGAGCTGCCTGCTATCCGAGCTCTGGAGCAGGCACTCAAGATTGACGCAGGCAACCTCGACGCATTGATGGGCCTGGCTGTCTCATACACTAACGAAGGCTACGACTCAACTGCTTACCGCACCCTCGAGCGCTGGCTTTCGAACAAATACCCCTCGATTATTGATCCCAAGGAAGTCTCCGGTGATGCCGACCTGGGCTTCACAGACCGCCAACTCCTGCATGATCGCGTGACCGAGCTATTCATCCAGGCTGCACAGCTCTCCCCCTCTGGCGCCCAGATGGACCCAGATGTCCAAGTTGGTCTGGGCGTTCTCTTCTACTGCGCTGAAGAGTACGACAAAGCCGTCGACTGCTTCTCCGCCGCTCTGGCTTCCACTGAATCTGGTAGTACCAATCAGCGTGAGCAGCTCCATCTCCTTTGGAACCGCCTTGGCGCCACTCTCGCCAACAGCGGTCGCTCCGAGGAAGCCATCGAAGCTTACGAGCAGGCTCTCACCATCAACCCCAACTTCGTCCGCGCCCGCTACAACCTCGGCGTTTCCTGCATCAATATCGGCTGCTACCCGGAGGCCGCACAGCACCTTCTCGGTGCACTATCCATGCACCGCGTCGTCGAGCAAGAGGGTCGCGAGCGTGCTCGCGAGATCATCGGTGGCGGTGGTGCGCCCGATGGATTGGACGACGAGCGTCTTGAGCGGATGCTTCACATCAGCCAGAACCAGAGCACGAACCTGTATGATACGCTGCGTCGCGTGTTTAGCCAGATGGGACGACGTGATCTGGCAGACCAGGTGGTTGCTGGCATGGATGTGAACATCTTCCGCAAGGAATTTGAGTTTTAGTTAAGATTCCCCCGGATCTGATGTTGGAATTTGCATACGGATCGGACTGTTCTTTGTTTGTCATTATTTGTGCTGTTAGGATTGCCGGATGGGTCTGGCTGCGTCTTTATGGTTCATTTTTAGGTAGTCTACATATGATACAGCTGGATGGATATGCCTTGAAAGATATCAGGATGAGTTTCCAGACGACAGAATGGTAGTATATAATGAAGAGGATAAACAATTCAACACGATGCGGCCGCACCACCCGCATTACGCAGGTCGTATAGAAATGAATTGGCTTAGAAGAGGGGCTCGCAATTTTTCCTAATTTCAGCTGTAGAACATAAAACAAGATCATTTCAAGGCTCGTCGGGCTTGCAGTGCTTGCAGTGCTTGCAAGAAACACAAACGCAAGTGCGACAAACGCTTGCCGGTATGTAGCCTCTGTGATCGGACTGAGCGTGCTTGTGAGTACGATGAGACTCCTAAACCACCTCCCTCGGCGGATGAGTTCGAAGCTCTACAAGCTAGAATTACAGACCTCGAGGCTCGTCTGAGTAGCGCTCGTGGTAGTACTGCTTCTGTTGTTGGCCCTGGCCCTACACCACCGTCAACCGCCAGCAGCCCAGCATCGACCAATCACACAACCTCTTCGACCCGATTTCCATACGCCATGTTCCTCGATCTTCTGCAGACCGAGAATAACGTTCTCAAGGAGATGGTCCGCCAGCTTGAGGAGGGGTTGAATGAGGACTCGCAGAACTAGATCTCTGTTAACGCTCGATTTCGTTTTATGTCTTAGTCTAATTTCAAGCATACATATCAGTACACCTTTAATAATCGCGCCCAACTTCGGGGCCTTGACCGTAGATCTAACTAATCGGCCATGTGGGCGAGAGAGATCGAGTTCCAGTCCCTGCGTAGCTCCTTAACTAACGTGATCTTCCTCCCGTCCACGATTAAGTCCTCCTAGCACTTCTCGAAGGTCTGCACACGCAGACGTCGCCTCACGCCCTGTCGAACCACCCCCAAGTTCGAGATCCTGATTTTTATGATGTTGTCGGGCAGGAGGCGTAAAGCAGTGTCCGATACACTGGGATCAGGCATTTTTAGAGAATATAGGTTGTGTTTGCTCCTCATCCACTACATACGACCATAGGGTGTGGAGAACAGGGCTTCCCGTCCGCTGAGCCGTACTTAAGCCCAACGCCATTTGGCCATCCCAGCAAATAAGGTAGCCTAGCTCGGTGGGGAAATGGGTAATCGCCGCTTTAGGGTCGCGCGACCAGGGGTGATTGCACAATAGACAGGGTGAGAAGCTGGGTGAGAGCGGGTGATTCTCACCCTCCGTCGCGCAACTAGTGTCCATCTTGCTGTCTCAAAATTTGGACTCTGAGAAACTGTCCAAGCAGTGTGCACGTCATCAAAAGGTAGTGGAAAGAGCCTTGTTTATATAGACACTTAGGTATTATTGACTATTCGGACGCTCGTTAATCTATGACACTTACTATTGTATTAATTTAAGTAGGTCATTACATTTATGTACTGTAGCAGTAACGTTTAGAAGCACTGTAATGCCATATCCTTAGTTATCCGTTTGCAGCTAAGTCCTGAATACCCGTGTCGCTGTGTTATGATCCTATAACCTTGGGTACTTCGTGTCCCATTCTCTTGGAACACTTTGGAATAGGTTTATGGATGACCTCACGCTAGATAGCAATATCTTGAAGACCTAGTTCCTTCCACAGATCATGACTTGCGTCATTATGTATAATAGATCCATATGATGAAAGTTCCGCTCTATATATTGTGCTGGTGCTGAATCTTCTGCCGGGCTTGCTTGGGAGTTCCTGTCCGTTTTGTCCTTAACCGTTAGACCTCATCAGCGTGATCAGAGAAGGGTGGGTTCAATGAAACTTTCACAACCCTAGTACTGAGTTTCCGATTTGCATCCCACCAAGAGTGAGACGGCAGACCGAATAATGGAGATTGCAGCAAGCTCTGCTTTCGCAACGGGTAAACGGGCCCTAAATATTTTGAACAAATGGCTGGACGATGTGGAGATCGCGAAGTCCTGGTACGGAAAAGACTATGAACAATTTACAGGACTAGGCAAATGGCCACCCAACAAGAGCTTTCGTCTCACGATCAAGCATGTGTTCACAATAAAAAAGGATGACTGGCAGAAAGTTATCGAAGAGTGTCTCTCAGACTGTTACACATGGTGTCGTCCTACTGAAGGAGGAGAGTGCTGTTGACTACGAATTTTTAAGTCGCTACCTAAAGGTATTAGGGGCAGATTTTTACAGAAACCTACGAGTTCCCTACAATCATTGGCGATTGTTGAATCATTACCTGCCGCTCGCATCGGCTTATGGGGCTTGGTCGTTCTCGCCTTTGCTAATGGCGCGGGACAGAGCTTGAGAGAGGGTTCGACTGGAAGCTTCGTGGCGAAGTTGTCTGCCATTGACTTCATCGTGACCATTTGGCAGTACGATATAGCCGGACCAATATGTGCTCATCTTGAGCCAAGGGAGAAGGGCTCCGGGGGTCGAACTTTGCTTACTTCTCCTGAATGGAATAACTTGCTGTAGAGCGGTCATACGTTCAAGGAGTGTGACCATATACTCAGCTGGCCGCTTTCTGGTGAGCCACCAGAAGAAGCGCTAGGTGATTTGACCACAAACGTGCTGAATGGAGAATTAGCTCTGATCGTCATGGACGATCAGTGGGCCCAACAGCTCCAAAACAGCTTCGCAAGTTAGTCTATGCCGGCCATGAGCGATGGGAAGAGCTAGAAGATCTTATGAAGAGCGGAACGTTTCAGGGAAACGGTGTTAAGGGCCGCATCGGAAAAATCCGATAACTTCTCTTGGCCTTTAAACTCCTCTTGGTTGATGAGTCTCTGTCACCGAAAAGCATTATTCAAGAAGAGAGGAGAGAAGACACGCTGCACTATGCTCAAAATCAGTTAAAACTTGTTACAGAAGAGATCCGGAAGCTTGATGCAGACGAGAGAAGTATGCCAGGTTAGGACGATCAACAAGCTTTGCGCAAACATTTAAAAAATGAGATCTTGCCACTGCAAAAGAAGATTGTTGCCCTAATTCGACTATTGACCCTGCCAACAATAGTGAAACCTCACTTAAGCACACGTGGAACCGGCATACACGTCTCTCTAGCTTGATGTTTGTTATGTCAACCAGAAACGCTGCTTTCTATACGCCTACGCTGCTACGTCTCCTATAACAAATCCGCAACAATAGTGGAGAGGTGGGCCACCAAATTCAACCAAGCCACGGATGGAAAGTTCGCTTCTGAAAGCTAGCGCCTCAACCAGCACCCTTTATTTATCGAGAAGCTTCGCTCGCATCCCTTGCTTGCAAATGAGGTCGCCGTCATTTCTTCTCCACTCACTCAAAAAAACCTCCTTCTATGTTGAGAGCTGTCGCTGACAGTGGTGAGTGGTGGAGAAACTAAGTGGGTTCTGGGATGCAGTCTCAAGTCCAATGTATTTTGATCAACCCCACTTAGTTACCCAAGCCCCTAAACGGCTCAGTTCCTAAACACCCAATAGAAGCTCTATACTTTTGAGATATTTAATAGATTTAGTACATGAATGCAAAATGCAGACACAATTACAAGCAGGCAATTAGGATAATAAGTGCTTTCGTGGAGAATAGGGGCTGAGCGTAGATAAATTCAAGCCTTGCATAACATCCTAGAGGACGTGTCAAGAAGCTAAGGGCAGGGTTTTTTATGATGACAGTAAATTGTTATGACAATATGTCACGTAGCATTTGTTATCTTTGTAACAGAGAAAGATCTTTGCAGTCCTCAAATATAAATAGCGACTACTGTACTTTATAGCTCTACATTTTCTACATTTTGAGGTTTGGACAGCCCCAACAACAGGTTTAGAGGGTGCTCATGCGCAGTTAAGAGACCGTCCCTGGTGTTGAACTGAGCTACGTCGTTCTTTGTTCCATTTGCTAGAATTCTATGAGCCGCGAATTTGTTCTAGTAAAGTGCAAGATGGCCGGTGGTTCAATCAATGAGTCCACTGACATGTGGTAGCACTGACCTGGAGTGTAACTTGATACCAGCTAGATTCTTGATACCTAAAGTACAAGCTTTGCCTAATGCACGCCTATATTTATAGTATTTATACTTAGATATTTGGATAGCCTTGATCGTTACGTCCGACTCCATCAGAATCCTCGTGGTGGACAAAAGCCGAGGTAGAGTGTATGTGTAGTTATTTGCTTTCCCATAATATGCGCAGGAAGCCAGTAGAAGCTTTGTCGATCGTCTTGTAAAGTATACCATGAGGTCTCGAGGGCCACCACCCTCTTCTCCCATTCCCAATAGCTATGGGGAGGGGGTCCTTTCTATCGCCGCACGAAACGGGAATATAGGGATTGTTCGATGTGTCGTTGATGCCGGGGATCTTGATGTCGAAGCTTTGACCGACATATTACCGGATGCAGTGAAGGGCGGTAATCTGCCGGTGACAAGGCTACTCATTAACGCTGGCGCTGACGCTTGCGTTCTGGATAATGCTCGAAGGAGCCTCCTCTGATCAGTTAAGATGGATCGTTATAAAGCGCGGAGTAGTAGTATTCCGTTTAAAAAAGACTTCGCTGTCCTCGTATAACTTATATGTACTGTCCTTGTTCCAAACAGTAGCTGTATGTACCTTCCTAACACCTTAGACGTTAGATCTGTATCTAAAGCATATTATTGTAGCTGGCTTAGGAAGTGCTGCTCCAGCTCAAGACCTTGGGATTAGAGCACCCGCTGGTCTGTGCTCTTCTTCATCACTTGCATGGTACTGTGTGGCTGTTATATCCCCCTAAAATATCTATTCTAGCTGAGGAGCAGGGTCAGGCTTGGCTTGAATGTCGCCTTGGGCCAAAATAGTGTGCTTGTTGTCCGACACCATGAATATTACCCGAAAGGACAGAATTTCAGCGGGATTATTTTGTAAGTCGCCTATTTAATGTGTTAGTCATGATTCACCCAAGACTAACTAATTGCTAGGTATTAACAGCGTGGATTTATTAGTCGCTTATATAGTCCGAGCAAGTGTCCCGCGGATATAAATTACCGAACCACTCACTGTTCACTGTCTTCCAATAGGAGGTTTAACTTCTTTAGTTAGATCAACTCACTATAGCACTAGAGGCGCTAAATCATTGGTTCGATTACAAACAGACTGCATGGGAGGACAGCATATATGGACTTTACTGAGCGACGCACTTAGCTACTGAACACGATTCTCCGATTAAAAGTATCCAAGGCTTTCAGAATAAAAAGGGACGACTAGCAGAAAGTCTTCGAACACTGTCTCTCCGGCTGCTATGCATGGCATCGCCACATTCAGGACTCCAGAGAAGAGTGCTGCTGGCTATTTGTCTACTATGCGTTATCAGACGAGCTACGAGAACGATTTCTTTACAGGCCAGTGGAATCGCTTGCATTATTTGGGGTTGTCGCATCGCTCCCTGCGGCTCCTATTGATTCCTGGGGCCTGGTGTTCCTTGCTCTCGTAAGTGGCGCATCGGTTAGCGTTAGGAAAGGTTCTACCGGTGGTTACTTTGCCAAGTTAGATGCGAGAAGATTCCTTACCGTCTGACAAAAAACATTAGAGGACTTATCGCAGCTCATATTGAGCCAAAAAGGAGCATCCGTCTCAGGAATGAATCAGCTTCACACCAACTGAATGGAACAACCTACTTTGGTTCGGTCATACCTTGAAAGAACAGGACCATGTTTTTGGCTGGCCGCTTAAAGGCGAACCACCAGTAGAGACCCCTAAAGACCCAACGAAAAATATACCCAACGAAGAAATGACTCAGATAGTCATAGATAACCATTGGGTTCAAAAGCTACAGAAGCAACTCCGGTAATGACCTATACTTGTTGTAAGCAGTAGGAAAAAGTCCGAAAAGACGCAGAAAGTCCTAAGCTTAAAGAACATATTCACTTAATCTAACGGCATCTCTTAAGCTCATAGCTTATCTTAGTTAATGAGGCTCAACCTTCCGAAAGCTTGCTTATTGAGGAGGAGAGGGAGGAAGATACACTCCACTATACTAAAAAGAAATTAGACTTTATTCCAGATTTTCATTCTGCTAAAGAAGGGGCCGATGATAATCACGGCCAGGGAGGCGAGGAAGAATCTAAACTTAGGAAAATATTTAAGACTACCTTACCAGTCCAGGAAAAGATAGTTGCTTTAACTCGGCTGTTAACTTTACCGCAGAGGATTGCTCCGGAGATAAGCACTAGAGGTGCTAGCACTTATGTATCTTTAGCGTGACTTAGTATAATACTCTATGAGTCAATGTATCTGATCTATTCAAGGGAAAGCTCGTGGCAAACCTATGCTATAGTTAGACCGCTGTTCTTCCATCATCTCGGTCCACTTTGTCACCCCTGACGAAAAGCTAAGGGACAACTTCAAAAAAGATTGGGATCAACTTAATAGCGACTGGATTTGGCTTATCCTCGATGAAAAGGAGACAACGGTAGGCCACTTTTCACCATCTACATCGAAGATAACGGCGATTTCAAAGTCCGCGCTCGGTCGGGCAATCTCCCAGCGGCCATTCAAAACGCCTTGAGACCACTGCTAGCTGCGGACGCAGACAGCATGAAGGCACTTGTACGTCGCCTGGAACACCTTGCGAGGTTCAGAATGACAAGACAATTGGCCAATCCGGGCGTGCGGCCCCGCACATTATCTTGTCTCATCTCGATCAAGGTAGATACTGTACCGGAGGGCCAGAAAGATATAGGAAATAAAATTCTGTCCGTGCAAAAATTATTTTCTGGTTCGATGAAGTAATACCTGCGGCCCATGGATTAGGCACAGCTTGTGTCTCTGGACAGACCGTTTACACCGCTGGTTCTGGACAAAAATGATCACGAATTAACGTGCTTCCTTTGGCTATATCTGCCCTGACTCATACTGCCTGACCCATACTGAAAATGTCGGATGACTTGTTTCCAACCACGGTAACCAATATGATTGGCTTTTCCATTATGCGTGACTGCACAGTATAAAACAAACGCCTCCCAGTAATGACCTATGAGCTCAGATACAAGAAGTAATACGCATTCAACGATCAGTCCATAAAATTGAAAATCAATTCAGGCATTGTTCCGTACGTTGCGGTTTCGTCTCTAGCGTGCGCTTGGCTTCACACCAGGCTTGAGCTACCTTTTAGCGAACCTTCTACTTGAAATTGGCATTGATGGACTTGGCATATAATTTGAGGGTTTACCCGGTATAAAAGAATCAGATAAAATTAGTTTTGCTCACGAGCTTGGCCTATGAGCTTTGTCTTTTAATGCATATATCGTATGCACCAAAACAACCGTTCTCACCCTGACAGTCCAGCACTGTGGTAAAGCAGTCCCCTGTTGTTGGACACCCGCACCGTACCCAGGCATTAGCACATTTGAAGATGCAGTTATTCAAAGTATTCGCACAACTTTGGCCTCCACTGACCCGCGCACATATCTGCTGCCTCCCAGTAATCTCCCCCACCACATTACCACCACTAGGAAGACCATAGGTGAATTCACCTAGAGCCCACAATAGAACGACGTAGGACACTGTTTTATGCCACATTTCTGCGCGTAAACCCTGTGAAATGAGTAATCGTCACGAAGACCGTGAATTCTTGCAAAAGAGGAGCAGCTCACTTTTCTTGTTTAAAGTATCAAGTGTCAGTGTCGTAGGAGTAGGGCAGGGTATAGCTTTAGGGAATCTTTCGGTGATAGATTGCGAGTTATATTTTGAGTAGTCTTAGCTTTTAGGGGTCACTTAGTTATAAGTGACTTCGGGGCTTTTTTGGAGAAATTTAGAGAGTTTGCGAACTTAGGGGCCTCTTAGGATCTTATACCTTAGTAGCTACTTAGCACTAAACAAGTGACATAGTCGATGAGGTCACTATCTATAGTAGTGTAATACTATACCTTCCTCTAAAGAAGCCTAGACTTCTTTAAGAGACTAAAGCTACTTAGCACTAAATAAGTGATATAGTCGTTAAGGTTACTATCTATAGTAGTATAATACTATACCTTCCTCTAAAGAAGCCTAGACTTATCTAATATATTTAGTCTCTTGAAATTCTGAAGAAGTCTAGACTTCTTTAGAGGAAGGTATAGTATCACACTACTATAGATAGTGACCTTATCAATTATGTCACTTATTCAGTGCTAAGTAGCTACTAAGGTATAAGATTCTGAGAGGCCCCTAAGCTCGCAAACTCTCTAAATTTCTTCAAAAGCCCCGAAGTCACTTATAATTAAGTGACCCCTAAAGCTAAGACTACTGTATGTATATTTCGTTTTGGGCCGGAGCTGCCAGAATTGGCGTCGTTTGACGCCGAAAATGGCGTCGTCGGCCCAGGGGCTTCATGCCACGGCCCTAAAGCGACACGCCCACGCACGCGCTATCGGACCCGCGACCCACCCGACAAGCCCCACGCCTGGTGGCAAAACAGCCCCTTGACCATGACCCACCTGGCTATCACCCTGTTATCACCCCTTTCTCACCTGCTTCTCACCCAGCGCTCACCTGCTTCTCACCCGCCCTCACCTAGAGCCAACCTAGCGCTCACCTATACGCACCCTCGGCTCACCTCCCATTTCTTGCCGATTCCTGTAACGTCAAAACCTTTCAATGCATGGCCCCAGTCGGAGACGGAGATAGAAAAAAAAAATTGGTCCGCTCGTATCTAGTAGTAGGGGCTATGGCTTTTCCAGTAGGGGCTATGGCTTTTCCAATATAAATAGTGCACGCCCATGCTTTTTGAGATATATTCCCTTTCCTCCCAACTATACTCAAATCCATACTCCACTGCCACACTTGACCTCCAAGGCTAGTTTTCCTCCCTCTCGGTATCTCCCCGCGTTGCAGGTCGCTCCGATCACTGCCAACGACACGATAAGATGATTAGGCATCAGCGTCGATCTGGCCATGGAAGCCCTTACTTCGAATCGTCTTGCACAGAGTCCGAGAAAAGTGACGCAGAATCCGAAACCAACATGTCAACTCCGGAGCGTCCTTCAGTGTCAGGTAGACGCAACTCTCGAATTTTCCTCGCTCATAAACGTGGGCGTAACCGAAGGTTATCAATCGGTTCTAGCTCTACATCTGATGATGACAGAGGAAGTCGGACTCGCTACACAAGGCAGAAAAAGAAGCCCAGACTAGGAATACAGCCAGACAACATAACAACGGTCAAAGGCTGGCAGAATGACGCAGGCTTAAGCGACGCTGAAGTGGGGGATTCGACAACAGATCCAGATATCGAGACGGATAACACTTCATCTGATAGCGATAGTGATGGCTATGCAGAAGGTACGAAGACTCAGATTGCTTTTATTAAGAATCGTTGGGAAAGGTAAGCGAAGTCCACCGGTGGATATTCTCTGTAATCCATTGCCTAACTAGTGCCCAGATTCTGTCGGAAACAGCATCAAAAACAGTATATCTCTCCCAATTCGAGATGGAATGAGCCTCAGAACGCCCTTCGGGGGGCAGGAAAGAGAGAGTTCACTAAGTTTCTTTACTGGCTACTTCGAGTAGAGCGGGGTCAGGATAGGCGACGGACAAAAGGTATCCGGAGGGCTAGTACTCTTGGTACGTATTGGAAGAACTTTCTTCGCTATTACGAGAAAGCCAACGAGGACTCAATGCCACATGATCTGGCACGAAGAATGAGAAAGGTTAGACTTGAATATTCTTGTAATGAACATAGTACTGACGGAATGATTTCTGAAGAGCATTCGGAAGATTGTGAAAACGAAAGGGTTGATCACCGATGAAAAAGAGAAGCCACCGCTATATATTGAGGATGTGGTTGTCTTGCAAGAAGCGGTTCTCCGTACGATGGAAAAGCGGTTCTATATTGGACTTCAACGAATGCAACAATGCCTCTACAATCTCATGGCCTGCTTTACGGTGAATCGAATCAGTGCAATGAGAATGCTTCAATACAAACACATACAGTGCTCGATCCAACGAGATCCAAAAGGGGGGCCGCCCCGTATTCTACTGGAGATCACCTACGAGTTTGCTAAAAAGTATCTTGGTGTGACACAAGGGTATGGGTTGATGAACACTTTCTATATGATAAGTTGCTCTCTGTAGATACAAACAACTGACATTAAACAGCAACACTTTCATCATTCCCGAGATCATCCATGATCCCTCGCTTATGTTAAGCCCACATGAGTTTTTACTGGGTATTCTCTTCGACGACGATGCTTTCCGTGCCCCTGCAATAAGATCCCGGGACGACCTAAGGAAACTTTGGCTAGAAGATGGCCGGCAGCAGCTACAACTACCCCTGAAACACGAGAAGGCAGATCATTATGTATTCTGTAAGGTTGTGGCAACTCGCGGCGTTATTCAGATTGTGCGAGATCAACCGATCTCATCCACAGCTCTAGGAAAGCAGTATCAAACTTTCGGGGAAATTGCAGGCTTTCCTAACCTTTACACACATTGCAACCGTTATGGTGGTGGGACGATCCTCAATCAAAGTAGTAAGTCACTTAGCTCTTAATCATTGGGTGAAAGAAGAAAGGAGAACTAAGCAGGTAAAGGACTCGTGAGCGACGCACAACAAAACTTGATCATGAAACACGCCAGTACTCGAACGTTTTTGAACCATTATCTCCCACGTCGCATCGGTACAGACATGCAGGCCTTGATGCGAGGTCTGGAACCTGACACAGCGATGATGAGAGCTGTCACTCGGATGGGCAGATGGGTTGATACACGACGGCCTCGCGAACTTACTGATGCTCAGAAAGCCAGTGTTGAAACAATGCCGGAGCTGCAAGACGCGATCCACAAACGTGACAGGTTTGCTCTCAGTCTGAAACAAAGCCGCAAGAAGAGCCGCACTGAACTGGATCGGCATGAACAACTCAAGAGGGATGTAATCAACACACGCAGTCGGCTCCTTTACAATCTTCGCAAGCGTGTCCGGGAAGAATTTGATAGCAGTCAAGCAGTCGAGGATATTCAGCGACAGCTTGCTGCGGGAACAGCAGTTCATGACGACAAAACCAAGGAGCGGTTGGTAGCGGAGGAAAACATGCTGCCAGAGCAGATTTTTCTTTTGGAAAAGCTGATGACATGGCCGACCTCGTTGTCATTGGAGCGGGAGTGGAAGCGGCGCAACGAGGCAGTTGAAGCCGTTCGTATGTACTGCCGTGTGCGAGAAGGTGGGCCTCGACGAGGACGAAGACCGAAGAACCCCCCCACCTGTCGTGATAGTCTTGCACCACACAGCGCCCCTACACCAGCTTCTACACAGATCCCCATGTTACGTTTGCCGCGCGACGATGCTTTACGAAGAGCAGAAAAGTATATCCAGGCCGCCGCCCGACCACTAGGATGCTTCCAATGTTTTGGAAACCTAGAAGAATCGGAAGACTGTCGGATGAAACAATATTCTAGGCATAAACATCTTCTTCGTCACTTTAGGACTGCACATCTGGATGACCGTCACTGCAAGTACTGCAAAATGTCACTGGAGCATGAAGATGGTCTAAGGAGGCATGCTTATGAGAAGCATAGATTAAAGACTTAGGCCTTTCTGCTACCGTACGTTTTGAAATTGGTGCAACCTCTGAATGACATGATTGCTCTTTAGACTAAAATCCCCTTGTATATATTCAAAGTTCTTTCGAGAATTATGTACGCATTCTTCCATACATAGGTTACAATAATTTCAGGCGTGAACTCATTTATAAGTTCGATATATCAGACACCTCTATGCCCTCTCCTGAAGCCGGTTTCCTCGAGAGGTACTATTTAACATTAATCACGAGTGGTGCAGCTAATGATGCCCTAGACCTCGTTCCTTCTATTTTCTTTCCTTCTTAGCTAATTGATGGGGTAAGACCGAAGTCCTACCTACTAATTTCAGGAGCAACAGCGGCTAATGAGTCGAAGTGATGAGGGACAAAGAGAAGTTTTTTTCCTAACGTGAGAGCCTACTAAAAGGTTTGTTTGAAGTGTGTTATGTCACATGATGATTATGCAACTCAAACATCCCGGAAGCGCCCGAGGCTAGTAGCATTCAGGGTCCAGGGTATGGACAACAAAATTACAGAGTATGCCTATCTCGGATTTCCCTGCATCCTTTCTCTATTTTGCCCCAGTACTAGCAATCCTGACAGCGGTGCGGAGACAAGATCTGCGCTGAAGAGCAGAAGAGCCGAATGATGGAAGGGGCCCTGCCTAACAGCCCAGGGAAGATAGCGCTTCTTTCCCTGCTCTACTGATGACGACCGTCGCAACGAGCGTCATGGCTACGGCACTGAAACTCTATACATGCAGCCCAGCGGGTATACTTCAGCCCTCCAACTCACTACCATCACGACCAGCGTCGTAAACACGCCCACAACGATCATTATCCTCGCATCTGATGCCACTGCCTCAGTCTTCTCAGCCTTTCAGCCGTCAGGATGGGATAGTAGGAGTACGACGGATTTTCTTACCATTAGTCCAGCCGTCTGCCTATAGCACTGGCTGTATCAAGAAATGTCATCGACCAAGCACTACTCGGCTGCGTACTGCTGTGCTAGGTATGTCTATATGCCCCTTCATCTTATGTTGTTTCAATAGTCACCTTGTCTGTTCGATTTCCCTAACTATTGAGCCTCAGTGGTTTCGTATTTCGAGCACCGGGGCATGCTCTGCTGTGGTAAGTTGGCATGTTTGTGCAAAATTCAAATGCGGCGAGACCACCATCACCGCGCCGTTGGCGCCTAACAAAGATATAACGGGCCAACAGCTAATCTCTCTAGGTCTGAAAGGCTAAAACAGGTGGCACACTTTAGTTAGCCACATCAACCATGGATTAAAAAAAGTTACCGAATACGAACGACGGTTTCTTTTTGCCTCATGCTCATACAAACGTCATTATTCCGGAAGGCCCATTAAATATTCTATATAGCTAACGATGACTTTCAAAAACGTCGTGAACATTTTGACTGTTACAAACTACAATCAACATAAAGACTATGGGACAAGAATTGAATCCAGAATTTGAGAAAGTGATCGGGCATCATTTCCATGACCAAGGTTTGGTGGAGGAGGCTCTGGAAGAGTCTGGACTAGCATCTGCAGGGAATGAGCGGCTGGCCTTACTAGGAGACAAAATTCTCGACCTTATGCTGCTTCGTCGTTGGTACCATGAAGGCAACACTACAGGTATGTCTATCCTTCCATAATAGGTCTATCCTTCCATAATAGACATCAGGCTAATATACACAGAACAAGGGACATGCCAGCTTCAGACTTACGCCTGCAACAAGCAGTTAACCTCTATGGCTAGAGCCTTGGATTTGCAGAGATTTATCCACCAAAGACCAGACCTAGAAAGGAGTGTACCAGATAGCACATTGGCTACTACCGTGGAAGCTATTCTTGGTGCAGTTTGGCTTGATTCCGACGAGGACGTACAGCAGGTGAATGAAGTTATGGAGAAAATTAGGCTGTATCCATCCTCTGGCCGCGTTCCTACCTGATGTGCGGGATCCTCCACAGGTGAAAGTTGATTTAAATAATTTAACTATCCATCTATTTCTGTATTACGTATTGTCGATAATAAGAATCCGAGGGATTTCTTATGACTTGGAATATGCTACCCTCGGACAACAACAAGCTCTTATTCTTTTACAGAGCACCTAACGAACCAGAATGCCTTTGTCCGTTGTCACTACCCGACTTGGAAAAGGCAATACCACAGTCGGACAACCGGGCGGTTATCTTCCAATGAAACTACAATATCATGATGTTGGGTATACTTCTTATCGAAATTTTCATGCAGTCAAGGTTCGAGCGGTTCTGTACCAGGCAGGAAGACAGACACCAAGACAGAGGCCAATTCTGACCTGAAGATTGCCTACCGCCTAATAAACACAATGGACGACACACTGCATTGCGCTGCCATACGGGCTTGTTTAGATCTTGACTGGTTTCCAGAGGGTCAAGAGTCCTGCTTGAAGCTTGGAAGGTCAGAAAAGCGCTATTCACGAATGTTATTGAGCTGCTGAAGAGAGAGCAAGGGCTTGATTCCTCACTATGGAAACAATTATGCTCAACAATCCTTCTAGATGGATGTACCTGTGAGATTTCGGGGGCACGTAAACCAAAATACTAAGCCTTTTCTCGACGGAGGCCTATTGCTAGGATACTTCACGCCACGGGCACGGTGTGAAATATTTGGATTTAGGTGTACTGTCCGAGGCCGTAAAAGGAAGCGTTTGCACCGCTCCCGACTAAGGCCTCACTGAGGGAATGAGGCACGCTGCCACGGAATTGTACTAGCGCCACCCGTTGTGAGGCAATTTCATAGCGTAAGGGCACGATTGTGATCTCAGTCTTGATTTGCGGTCTCTCGTCAATAAGTGGTCGTAGTGGGCCCCTTGCAACGCGGTCTTGAGATCCCCGCCGGGCTGCTCGCTCGACAGGCCTGTCACCCTTAAGACGCGCGACTTTCTCTGGTTAGCTATCGCTATTTGCCTTGCTATTGTGGTAAATAAGATGAGGGTGGACCATACCTCGTTTGTTGATAGAAGGGCAGCTCACCTTTCCGGTGCGGCTGAATCCACTAACAGCCGCGGCGTATTGAGCATGGACCTAAAGTCACTAATATCATAAATTCTTGTGCATATTCGCAACCTTATGAAATCCGGTTTGCCGATTACGTGTAATGGCTATGTCACTGCAGCTCATTATAACAATACCCATAGAATTCCTAACCAGATATCGCCATTATTAAGTTGCTGTTGTCGACTTGGAGCCTTATTTGTAATACCCTTGAAGCCGAAGCAAATTCGAGGGGCTGGTAAGAGCGACATCGCTCTATTGATCTCGATTATACATTGCACATCATTAGTGGACTTGACCACAAGACATTCATCGAGCCCTTGGATCGATAAGCCAATCCGAGTGCTAGGTCAATCGTCGAGCGGGGTTCTCTGGCTGGATTCTTTGTTTGCTATCTGCACGGTACTTTGTAGAGCAAACAAAGAGAGCGCCGAGATCAGGTGGGAGAGAAGACAGGGGCCCCTTTTGACTATTGCTACATATATCCTTAGATCCTCACTTATTCTCCTAGAGTTTTTCTGCCCCTGACCCAATCTTGCCGAAGCCTTCAAAGTGCACATTTCATGTGCCCTCACCCATCCGTAATGTCGAAGAACGAGGGTTTTCGCACACTCTTGCCTGCGAATGAAAAGCGGGTGATAGGGTCTGTTGTTACAGAAGCAAAAAAGGAAATTCGGCGCAATGCTTCTTACGCTTGTACAGAGTGCCAGAGAAAGAAGACCAAGGTCACAATCCCGGCTTATCCTAGGTCAGAGTACGGAGCTAACATACTATCTTTCATTTAGTGCTCTGGAACGACGCCATGCACAAGGTGTACAACCGAAGCCCGCCAGTGTCTATACAATCATAGTGGCGATCGCCGACGCAAAGCATATACTGCCAGGCTGTTGAATTCACATGCTGCTCTTGTTCGACTGGCTGTCAAGCTTCGGTCCACAAGTCTCAAAGAGATATTATGGTTGGTCTGGCAAATTCAGAGCTTGCCGAGTGATCAAGACGCAGTCGAGTATCTTCTTCACACTCTGGATTAGTACATATGGGTCCTTCAAGTGCTGCTTTTCATCGATGAAGTGTCTCACATCGACTACCTGATGTAGCCAGAACGAAGCATCGTACGTACAGTGAATAGCTCAATGCAATATATTTCCATGTACCTACACATGAAGGGTTCAACTCTGTCAAATAGATCATGCTTGTCCGTAAATCATTCATGTTCGTTTTCATGAATGGCCCTCTAGTCTTTTATGTGTGCTCCTTTTCCACCAAGCTCGATGGGTTATCGCAGACCTTCACTACCTGATCACTTTGAAAGGAAAAGAAGCACTTACATCAGCCTAAGGACGCCGGTTGAAAAGCAAATTAAGATACCCAGCTAGTAGCAAACTGCAAATAATAACGTAGTGGAATATCTCTCAATGGATGAGGAGGCCGCAAGGCTGACTCGCATACCGAGCGCTGACGGCGACTGTCTATCGCCTCTGGCTTGGTGGTATCGATATACCGGTCCATGTAGATGAGCCGAAGCAAATCTAAGTGATGGGTTGACTTAGTCCATAGAATGGTGTTCTAGAGCATTAAGCAATATGCTCCAGAAGACCTTAGCGAATACCGAGCCGACACTGATTATCGGCCTGTGTAGCAAGGCATTGGTGCCCGTTTCAGCTCCATTTCTTCGCTGTTAGTGTTGAGTCTCAAGGTGCTGTCGCTATGATGCAGCTCCAGGTCCTCATTGTTGATACTGTGTCGCGAGGCAAAGTTTGCTTGAATTGTAGCGGCGTTCAGGTGGCTCATCGTATCGTAGTCCGAATCCATTTTGTCGGGCTTAGTTTAAGCGTTAAAGGTAGTAACCGTGATGAAATCGGCTTTGTAATTGCTAAAGCCTTCTGGAAATTCAATTGCGAGATAATTCCAGGACGACTTACGGTCCTTGTTGGTTCCTGGGAAGGTGCTGGTATGTACTCCATCAGAAAACTGCGGGCGTTGATCAGTGCTGACACTGAGCACCAAATGGTTATTTTGAACCTCATGAAGGCAAACTAAGCGCTTTTTCTCACCCAACCAGCTACACTGGTGGCTACAATAATACTAGATTATTTGAACCCCAAACTCATTACATCACCGGTGAGAGCCGCGGTATGCCTCTAACTACTGAGCATTTACGCAAAATGTTCAATGGCTAGTGAGGATTTGATGAAGAGGAAAGGTCGGTAGGTTGAAATTGACGTAAATGCTATATATACCCTAGATAGGGGGTTGTGTCTGAGAGTGCGAGGAATATGACACGGCCTGATGAACAACCGATTGCCACCGTTGCTGCAGATATACGAAATGAAGAAGGGCTGGATGGTCGATACTCTGGAGGCAACCACAACAGGTTTGATCCATTAAAGGTTATCCAGGAGATGTTGCCACTCAAGCCAAACCCATGTATTTTTGGTAGGGTCAAACGACTGGCGCCGGGCGCAACAGGCTCAGTGGACCCTAAATTTAAGGTGCCAATCACTGTGTGAAGATGGGTGGGCGTACTTCTATCAAATTGGAGGAAGTGATAAGAGTGAATGTCAAGGGTGGACACGCATTGGCCGGTGGCAGGATTCCAGATCCTGACGGTCTTATCACTCGACGCTGATGCGAGTCGGCTTCCATCTGACGACCACGTAATCGACATGACCCCTCTACTATGCCCCTTGAGGGTAGCCGCGCACTGGCCGGTGGCCAGATCCCAGATCCTGGCGGTCTTACCACTCGACGCTGATGCGAGTCGGCTTCCGTCTGGCGACCAGGCAATTGAGGTGACTAAGCTACTATGCCCCTCAAGGGTGGTCGCGCACTGGCCGGTGGCCGGATCCCAGATCCTCACGGTCTTATCGTAGGACGATAATGCGAGTCGGCTTCCATCTGGCGACCAGGCAATCGAGTTGACCGAGTCACTATGTCCCTCGATAGTAGACGCGCACTGGCCGGTGGCCGGATCCCAGATCCTGACGGTCTTATCACTCGACGCTGATGCAAGTCGGCTTCCATCTAGCGACCAGGCAATCAAGTTGACTGAGTCACTATGTCCCTCGATAGTAGACCCGCACTGGCCGGTGGCCGGATCCCAGATCCTCACGGTGTTATCAGCCGACGCTGACGCGAGTCGGCTTCCATCTGGCGACCAGGCAATCGACGTGACCAAGTCACTATGTCCCTCGAGGGTAGACGCGCACTGGCTAGTGGCCGGATCCCAGATCCTGACGGTGTTATCAGCCGACGCCGATGCGAGTCGGCTGCCATCTGGCGACCAGGCAATCGACGTGACCGTGTCACTATGTCCCTTGAGGGTAGACAGGCACTGACCAGTGGCCGGATCCCAGATCCTCAAGGTCTCATCATGAGATGCTGATGTGAGTCGGCTTCCATCTGGCGACCAGGCAATCGACGTGACCCGGCTACTATGCCCATCGAGGGTAGCCGCGCATTGGTCAGTGGCCGGATCCCAGATCCTCACGGTCTTATCGTAGGACACTAATGCGAGTCGGCTTCCATCTGGCGACCAGGTAATCGAGTTGACGAAGCTACTATGCCGCTCGAGGGTAGACGCGTACTGGCCAGTGGCCAGATCCCAGATCCTGACGGTCTTATCACTCGACGCTGATGCGAGTCGGCTTCCATCTGGCGACCAGGCAATTGAGGTGACTAAGCCACTATGCCCCTCAAGGGTGGTCGCGCACTGGCCGGTGGCCGGATCCCAGATCCTGACGGTCTTATCGTAGGACGCTGATGCGAGTCGGCTTCCATCTAGCGACCAGGCAATCGACGTGACCGAGTCACTATGTCCCTCGAGGGTAGACGCGCACTGGCCGGTGGCCGGATTCCAGATCCTTACGGTCCTATCGTAGGACGCTGATGCGAGTCGGCTTCTATCTGGCGACCAGGTAATCGACGTGACCGAGTCACTATGTCCCTCGAGGGTAGACAGGCACTGACCAGTGGCCGGATCCCAGATCCTCACGGTCCTATCGTAGGACGCTGATGCGAGTCGGCTTCCATCTGGCGACCAGGTAATCGACGTGACCGAGTCAATATGTCCCTCGAGGGTAGACAGGCACTGACCAGTGGCCGGATCCCAGATCCTCACGGTCCTATCGTAGGACGCTGATGTGAGTCGGCTGCCATCTGGCGACCAGGTAATCGACGTGACCGAGTCACTATGTCCCTCGAGGGTTTGAAGACATGAACTCCAGCTGCCATCTACTACTGGACTGTTCAAAATCCAATCGGGTTTCTCTTTCTGATAACATGTCCTGGTGGTACTTTGAGTTGGGCTAAAGACAAGTCCCGAACTGTATACCTGAAGGGGGCTGATTTCGATCGCATTTCTGTGGTATCGAATGAATCGGGACGCGTCTTGAACTCGGTCTAGCAGATCCCGTGACTCTCCTTTTTTCTGTGAAGTGCTTAGTTAAAGTCGAGCTATTTTCAAAAATTTCAAAAATCACTCACCTGGAGTAAGTCCTCTAGCTTCAGCATAGCGGTTATTCCTTCTAGTACGCTTCCCAAAATCCCGAGGCTTTCGAGCCAGTGAAGATATTTCTGCTGTAAAAACCTATACACACAGCCTCCATCATCAAGGCTATGATACTCGTCTTCACCACACCAACCTTCTAAAAGGTGATCAACCCAATACACACACGAGTATTTTACTGCTGTTAAAGGATTAGAGCGTAGATGTGTGAATCCATCGGTTGAAACTCCAAGCTTAAGATCGAGGATATTATGCTGAAGTGTCTTGAACATAGTTTGTAGAGATCGCGAGAAAATTGCAAGATGTTGTGCTTCTTGGCCCTCCGGAAACACCTCGATCCGTGCCTTTTCGAGTAGAAATTCCTTTGCAGACTGATGAATGAAAACAATAAAGTCCTCACGCCAAGTCAGGAACGAGCCACAAAGTGCGATAATCTCCAGTAAAGCTTCATCGTCATCGGAGAGATCATCAGGTATTTCAACTAGGGCAGTTAGTTCATCAAGAGTAATAGGACGATACGCAATTAACATAACAGCCAGTATTCGCTTGCAGATCTCAGCATCTTCAGACGTTCGAACCTGATCAATCATTCGACCGTATAAAGCATCTAGTCCAGGAGGGAACTCCTTAAGTCTTTTAAGGACATATCTCCGCGATGTCCTGTTGAGATCTTAACAAACTAGGGCGACCCAGAGGAAAGTGCCTTGTGAGTGTGACGATAAGTGACGGTAAACAACATCACGCATTTCATCTTTATACTTTTTGACTTCTGCTAATTGGTGGACCTTATGCCGAATGAACTGTTGCACAGCGTTATGAACGGATAACTCGTTTAACTCTAATGAGATAGGCGCTGTCTGAGTTGTAGTATTCAAACGCTCTTCGATACCAGGCCAGTTGCGGCTCGAGACAATCCACTTCACGTGTGGGTAGGTGGATGATTCCTGGACAACTAAGTTCAGAAGGAGAGGGAGGTCCTTTGTGCATTCGTCTAGCGCATCGATCACCAGATAAGTATTCTGTAGGGTGGGATCTTTCAACATATCGTTGAAGATCTTTGAGAGCGCATTCCATGCGTTTATGTCCTCAAATAGGGTCTTTCCAGCTTGATCGTACCGGCTCCGCACATGGGAGAGAAGCGATGCCTGCCTCACGACCAGTGAATATATCAGGCCACGAAGGACGGCTGTTGCACTATTGATTCGTACGTCCGTAGCTTGGCAAAAAAAGAAGGCGAGATTTGCATTATCCCCGATCGATCTGGTCAGTTCGTTGATGATCCCGCACAGTAGCATTGTCTTGCCTTTGCCAGGATCACCCTTGATCCAGAGGAGACGGCTGCTCTGGTTGTCTTGCCACTGTTTGAACTGCTCGTTGTCTAAAATCCATCGATACGAGTCTATGAGCAACCCTCCGTTGGTTTGTTCGATGCGGTCCTTGTCATCATGTGGACTGGTCGTTCGCAGATCCCGCAAGCACGCTTGATTCAATGACGCCTCCGGTTGCACTGGGGCAATCCAACTATTAGCCAGATTCTGTGCGAGTCGTGATTTCTACTACGTACCGAACTGAGCAGTAATATCGCCATGGTTCTCTCCGATTTGAAGCCCCGAGTTAGAGCCGTCGTATGAAATATTAGTTCCCATAATAGTCCATGATAGTCCTCAAATCAGGTTGATGCTTGGTAGTACCGAAGTTGGCGTTGCCGAATTGGAAGTTTACCCCGCAATCAGCTGACCGATGTATTTGGTCAGGGGAGCCAATCTTATCGATTTTACGGGCACACAGGTCAGCGGGACCCATAAAAGTTCATCGGGACCAAAAACATTCTGACTAATTTTGCATTCCGCTGAGTTGCCGGATCTTAATAGGACCTAAGTCCCTAAGCCATACAATATTCTTCAATACACGGATTTCTTTTGGATTTTTCTGTATTTAAATTTAGGTAACCTATATGTGGTTATGAAACAAACAGATTAAAGTAAATATTATAACTTATTAAGACCTAAAATATTTTGGGTCCCGATGAACTCTTTTTGGGTCCCGTTGAGCTGGAACCCGCGATTTTACTCCGGATATATCGACAAGAGGTTTATGCTGACATAATAAGTAGTGACCACGCAGTGCCAGTTCACTCATAATCGTAAAGTAAAAGCGTTTTAGTTAATGATCAGATGAGGCCACACATCGCGCAATGTATTTTATTTCAAGTACATTACATAAAAAACAATAAGGTGACTTTGTGCACGAATACGTTTCACAATCTTACGAGAAACTAAGTTAAAGATAGACTAGCGTGTTTCAAAATAGAGTTCGAGAAAGAATCGAAAAGAACAAAGAGGTGAAACTGATTTCGAGCGGCCCTGTACTCCGTACAGTACAGTACATTAGATAATAGATTTTCTGAGGATGGTATATCTAGTAGCGGCAAAATTCTCTGAGGTAGATGGTCACCAGGGGATGCTCAGAACTGATCGAAGTGAAACCAATCGATTACTGTATTTCTCCGGCCGGAAACAATTCTTCCCGATCGAAATAGTTCTGTTCTGATGACCATATAATTAAACAATCAATCAAGGAGTGATGCTGGGAACGCTAGAGATCCTTTTCGTTTCTTTGAACTGGTGTCGGGTAATAGGAGCCCTAGAAAGGTGAGAAGGCTTAGAACGCAGGAGATACTTTGCCGTGACGTACTAGCTGAGAGCGAAGGAACGACCAAAATCCAGATGGATCCGCGCTGAAGATAAAGACCTGCCCAGAATCTCGAATCCGTATGCCTAAACATACATCTGCCCCGCAAATCTGGCTAAACTCGTGTGACTTTTTCTCTAGGCTCGTTTTGCGCCGGTCTCTTTTTTGTCGAAGTGATTTCCTCCCCTGCGATCCACGAGAAGCACTAGCCATTATACCGGTAAGGTGAGGGTCCGAGGTTGTAACGGGGGGCCAGGTAACGGGGCTTGGTTTGACTTGTACAGCGAGTATTAGCTAGCAACTAAGAGCGTGGAAGAGGGGGACACACGCCTTTTATTTCTTTAAAAGCCCACGCAGGTATATAATATGTCATCACACCTTGTAATTTATTGAAAAGTATAGCCACCGCATTCTCCGAGTGGCTGAAGGGTAACACTTCCAACACTAGCTACTTAATCGCCGCGACCACCAAAACGGATCCCTTGTCTAGTTGATGAGTAATCATTTAATAGAGTAAATTGAGTACAAGGATCACGGTGACAGGGAAGACGGTAACCTTAGTTCAGGGGAGACTGGTAAAAGTTGTAGTCTGAAGGCTGCGACACCATTTGGTTCACTCACTGACCCCACGGACCCCGCCCGCCCGCCGTGAAAGAGTCAGATTATCGCGAAATAGGGTTGCGGGTAGCCTGCTCTCTCTGGCGTCCGACACCCAATTTTTTCTAGGATTGTAAAGACGAGACGCTATTGTTAGAAAGATGTGGAATTTTTTTGACTATAAATATTGGTCCTCAGTCTGATGCCTCTGTTATGCTATCGCTGGTTCGATAACACGCCCTCCCTTCAAGAATAATCTACCTTCATTAGTTATGCGGTCTGTCAACCTTCTTATACTAGGCCTAGCATACCTCGCAGGAGCGCTTGCAAATCTAGTCTCTGAGAGTGTTAATACTACCGAGCTTGATATTCGCCGCACCAATGCTTATCGATCCATCGCCTACTTTGTCAACTGGGTCAGTGCGCAATAACAACACCAGAATAAAATCACCCAGAACCACTGACTGGGCATATTAGGCGATCTATGGTCGTAACTTCAATCCTCAGGACCTCCCGGCCGACCAACTAACGCATGTGCTATATGCATTTGCTAACGTCCATCCAGATACCGGAATAGTGTATATTTCGGATTCTTGGGCCGACATAGAGAAGCACTATACTACTGATTCATGGACTGATACTGGAAATAACGTTTATGGATGTGCGAAACAGCTATTCCTGCTCAAGAAGAAGAATAGAAATCTCAAGATCCTACTGTCTATTGGCGGTTGGACCTATTCAGCTAACTTTGCGAAGCCCCTCGACACCGCCACGGGCCGTGCAAATTTCGCTTCCTCCGCTAAAGATCTAGTGATGAACCTTGGCTTTGATGGTATTGACATTGATTGGGAAGTAAGATCGGCAAAATATTGATCTTTATTACAAGAGAAATACTAATAGACACCTAGTATCCTGCGGATGAAACACAGGCAGATAATATGGTTGCAACGCTTCAACAATTACGCTCGGTATGCCATAGCAACACCCCTACCCCTTATTAGGCTCGAACTGACAGAAAAATAAGAGCTTAGACACATACAGCGCTACAGAAGACAGAAATTATCACTTCCTGATTAGCGTTGCATGCCCGGCTGGTATATTCTTCTAACCCTATAGTTTCATTGCTTCGTTTCTGATCCAGATACAGGACCAGCAAACTATCAAAAACTCCATATATCAGACATGGACAAATACCTTGATTTCTGGAACCTTATGGCCTATGACTACTCCGGTAGCTGGGATACCACCGCTGGCCATGACGCCAGTATCTATGCTTCGACTAGCAACCCATCTAGCACGCCCTTCAACACTGACCAGGCCGTCAAATACTATATCTCGCAAGGAGTAGCCGCCAGCAAGATTGTTATAGGTATGCCACTCTATGGGCGCTCATTTTTGAACACTAATGGGCCTGGTACTTCTTACACCGGCGTTGGAAGCGGTAGCTGGGAGAAGGGAGTGTGGGACTACAAGGCGCTACCCCAGCCTGGGGCAGAGGTTAGCTACCTTGAACAACCTATAGCTAGCTATAGTTATGATTCGTCGCAACGGACGATGATTAGCTATGATGACCCTCAAGTTGCACGAAAGAAGGCAGAGTATATTATGTCAAAAGGTTTGGGTGGGGGGATGTGGTGGGAAAGCAGTGGGGACAAGAAAGGCTCTGATAGCTTGATAAAAACGGTATGTGCCCTGATCCAGCTATTTCTCCTTGCAGGGTTGTCGTTAGCTAGGGGGTTTGTTTACTTACCGAACATTCTTCCCTTAGGTTGTTAATAAATTTGGCGGTGTCTGCGCTCTGGAGCAAGTCCAGAACGAGCTGAATTATCCGTCATCCTCTTACGATAACCTAAAGGCTGGATTTCCTTCCAATTAAGAGGCCGCTGTTAACTCAGTCAAGAGAATTCACGATAGCGTCTATTCCGCTCGGCTACTAAGGCGCCTATGGAGGAACGGTCGGTTATATATGAATAACATAACATTTGTTTTGAATAAATTGACTACGGATTCTTTTTTACTAGTATAAAATCTAAGGACTAGTAGGATTTCCTGAGAGAGCGGTTTGTAACCACTCTAGAATCTTAAGTACTTTTTATTCTATTTTACAAACCAAACAGGACGCTAGGCCTTGGACTAGAAATTGAGTACCGTTAGAGAATATCCATATCCAAAAAACCTCTTCTAGTTAGGTCTCTAACTCTCATATTTGTCAAATACATTAGTATGCAGTTTATTGTTCACGTAGCTTGACCGCGTGGCTTTATATTACCGCTGATGCTTTACCTAGAACTTAAATATAACTGTCAAACGGCGTGTTCTGTTTAAGAGTATCGTGCAAGAGGCCGTAGCCGGGGCTCTTAGAGTCTGAAACCTATCCCACGTGAGGCTGTCTAGACGTCACGAAGTGATTAAACCATAACGCTCACGGTTTTTATGGACAGTATATGCAACTTTACTAGCGGGACTACCAGAGTAAACGGACGGAAACCTGATTCCTTACGTTTTGAAAAACGTTGGAAGCATCCTAGCTGTGACAGGATAAATGGAATATAGGAAAAAAATCCATTAACATACATATAGGACCAGATTCGAATTACTAGATGAGCAACACAAAATAAAGGACCAAGTCTTAAATATGGCCCAAATACAGGAATAAGAACAAAATGAACACCGATTAAGGCTCCCCCTTTCGCGAAAAGAGCAAGCGAAAACTTCTTAAGAGAACTATACCTAGAGCCAACGATGACCACAATCAAACGCTGGGATCCTCAAGACTTTGCTCCAAAACTTCCTGAAGATAACGTGTTTCGTCACGGTGAAGGCTGACTTAGGGATTTTGCGGCCATCCGAAGCAAATTTTCAGTCTCGCATCCACTCACAAGAACGGGCTCAAAAACACTGGGAAGTTTCGCGACAATATGCCATTCAACTACCTTCTATAGACGTTATCGACGAAAGTTTCCTAGCAACCTGAAAATAATTTAGTCCAAACCAACATTTTCAGTGATCCGCACAGGCTGACCTTGGAGCATGCAGTCGGATCTTTCTGGGCTTCGGAACAGGCCTGCTCTGTCATGTCGACTACCACCTGCCGCTGAACGGAAGTCACAAGCTTCTCAGTGTTGTCGGCGGAGTTGATCACATGGAGCTTGCCATTCCAGTCGCTTTCGATAATGCGTCCAATAGACCACCATCTCTGCGCTCTTTGTTGAAGCTCTCCGCGTCTATCTGTACGAGGAATATATTAGTGTCGGGTGCTTCAAATTATAAAAGCGAGTTGAAGAGCATTACTCACCCTATAGTACTCTTTATGCAGCCAAGCTTTATGATACGAGATTATGTCACGCAATCCACCACCGCCCCTCCCGCCTATGGTGGCATAGACCGTTATAGGGGTCCCTTTGTTCTTTCCCCCGTAATCATTCATTGCGGTATAGGCGAACCAGTAGCAGTTATTACCAATAGGTTTGTACGTCCCCCCATTTTTGCTCACTCGCGAGATGGTTTCAGCGAGGCTAATGAAGCTGGGCTTCTTGTCGGTGTAAATGTAAGACTCTAAAGGGAGAGGAAGGTCATGTGGACCGTTCCATCGGCCTTTTTCGCCCTTTTCATCAAAGCCAATTGTCACTCTATCCACCGAGTCACGGCTAAAGGTGATTGGATTGATACTCGTGGTAATGACGTCGATGCTACTCTTTGGTACTCTACGCTCCGCGTAAACACGCGCTCGTTTATTTGACAATTCATCCTCAACGACGAATTGTATGTATTCATGGCCCCAAGCTGAGTCAAGATTTTTGACTCGCGTTAGACTGACGACGCGAAGAGATTCGTAGTCTTGGCTTGTATTGAGAATATGCTCGTACTATTCCTCTGGTAAGTAATGCTTCACTTTATTCGAAAAAACAAGCGGCATCGTGGTAGACATAGGAAAATAGTAAAAGCAAATCGTATAATTGTCCAAGGATACAGTACAGTACAAAGTATTCGAGTAGGACTGTGAGCGAACTCTCCTTTGATTTGTAGTAAATTTCAAGTATGAACCGGCGCCTTAAACCTATATATCGGAAACAAGTAGAGCTCTTCTATCGGGGTGGAGCTAATGCTGTACGGTTGGAGCATTTCACTTCTCCCTCGGCGTGGTGGATTAATGCGTGTGAATATACAAGGTCTGATCGCTAAAACGTGTGCTAACAAGAGGGAGCCCGAAGAGATTTGCGATGCTTCCTTTTGCTTGGAGGACTTGCTGATACAAGTCTATTTCCCGATGAACGAGGCTCAGGGCTTCGTGCAATCTCCGAAAGGGTTTGAGTCTGAGCACCGATTTATTGGCAAGAAAATCAACACGACACTCTAAGTTCTGGTTCGATGGCGGACTAACATCCACTATGACATTAGCAGTGCTAAGAACGATTATCTCAGATAGGGTCAAAAGTACAATTATTACCTAATTACTCCTTTTCTGTAAATAGCTTGGATCTGATGTAATGAGTAGTTGCTGGCCTGATGGAGGGACGCGCAGTGTGGCTATTTTGTATAATATGTATCTTCTAGGCTATTGTGGCTTCCTATTGGATGCCCGCTCTGCGACTAACTTAAAACAGATCCTTGCCCTGCGACCACTAAAACGGATCCTTGCCCTGCGACCACCAAAACGGATCCCTGTCTGCAACCACCAAAAAAGATCTATGCTTGGAAACTGTGAACTCCAATCCTTTGTCAAGAGTCGTGGGTTGGCGGCCGGGTAGTTCCTTCCAGATATACAATATTAAGATGTTCTTCGTGCTTTAGGAAATGTTGTCCACAGGGAACCAAATTAGTATCGGCAGGGATCCGTTTTAGTGGTTGCGGCGTATTCGCAGTCCTGTTTTATTCGCAGGTTCCGTGGAGCTAAACAGAGAATTTACCTGGATAAGCAATAGGCGTATCGTAATCCACTTCCCACTTTTGAAGCCACTAAAATGGATCCCGCTGATTGACTAGTGTGATCTCTAGTTAACTGTCCAAGTTTTCCATTGTTTGCAGCTTAGTAATTCCTATTCCCCTCCTTAGATATGTAATGGAGGGGCTTTTTTGGTGCTCTAAAGGATTGATGCCTGCAGATATCCTTTTGACTAGTCGCAGGGATGTGTTCTAGTACCCAGAGAGATAAAACATGGCGCATTTGCAGTTCTATATCATTCAAGAATACTTCACTGTCTAATGGGGACCTTCACTGTGGATAGACAAACTTACTGTGTTCTACTGTATATTGTAACGCCACTTTTCACCTTTTGTTACCGCTATGCGTTGGGTTTTGGGTACAAGTTTGTGGATCCACTCCAGGTGCTTAGAAGTCTTGTTCGCTATTTGAGTATACTTGTATTGTATTTCTAATGGACATAGATTGAAAGCGACGAGGGAAAAGCCGCCACTGTACTCCAACGACTACGCTCCGAGACTATTTCCATCCCAGAATTATAGTCCCGATGAAGCAGAAGTGCTGCTAATAAAATCGCTGCGATGTACGATCTGCCATGGCTATCGATCTGCCTGGTATCACAGAAGACACTCGAGTGATCCGATCAGATTTCCAGCGGTAGGAGTTTGTTCTCGTCGACGAACGAAATGCAAGCTATATCAACTGAGATGGAGCGCCTCTGTCGTGGACTTGCTGGTCATTCCGGAATTACCGGCGGATTCGCACATGGTACAAACGGAAAACTCTTCGAAGAAGCCACTGCTAGTTTGATATATATGTGACAATAATAGTCTGATATCTGTGCAACAATTTCTGATGTCATTCGTTCTCCTAATATGCTGGAAGAACATGACTTTCTCGTAAACAAGTTGATTGGCAGCTCTTTGAGGGAGTGTTATCTCTTGTCCTGTAGTAATAACTTTATAATCTGGTTCATTGTGGAGTCACTAAGGATATTACAATCACACAAAGATCTACTGGCACAGTAATCACCGCTTATATATATTACCATACATGCGATATGTGGTTTTCCCTTGGAAGCGGAGTACTATAAGGCCTCATGGAGAATCTTGAAGCGTGATCTGTCTAGGACGATCAGCAGAATCAATTAGCTGGGTATAATTATCAGTAAGATATGGTAAATATAAAAAGAGAGGGAGGCCATTGAAAAGTTTGGTTGTAATTGCAAATAAGCGTAAATCAAAAATATAAAGCAAGAATAATCTCAGATCAATACAAATTTCTCCCCTTCAATATCAGACAGGATTCCCTTCCTTCTTTAATGACAGACGGAGTTTGACGTGGAAGTCGCAGAAGCAGACTCGCTATCTAATACGGTAGCCGATGGAGAGACCGTGCTCGAAGAAGAGACCGTGCTCGAAGAAGAGACCGTGCTCGAAGAAGAGACCGTGCTCGACGAAGAGACCGTGCTCGAAGAAGAGACCGTGCTCGAAGAAGAGACCGTGCTCGAAGAAGAGACTGTGCTCGAAGAAGAGAAGGTGCTCGGGGAAGAGATCACCGACATGGACAATGGGCTAGTAGTGGTCATTAACTTATAATCAGACGCACTGCACCAACTGCCAACCCGTAGTCCATCGTTCAAGGTGCATGCTGACTTATCGCCGTTCTGATTGAAGAAGGTGACTTCACCAGCATCTGTGACCTTTATCCAGGCGACATCCTTGCCATCTTCAGTCCCACATGCTCCTACACTGAGGGTGGTGAAATCTTTGCGCTTGCCGTCCACGATCTCGCTCAGCTCTGCAAAGCCGGTCAGTATCTGGTAGTCAGGTTCAAATAGGTAGTATTGATACCTGAACAATCGGTTCCATTGATCTCTGCAAATGGTTCAGAGTAACCTGTACATCCATGGTTATCGTTGGACCACATCAGGCATTGGTGATCCTGGTTGATGACTCCGAGGGAAGCCCCCAAAGAGGTGCGAATAAAAGCTCCAATGAGAGCTGCTTGTACCAGAAGGTTCATTTTAGCGGATTGACAAAACTAGTTTTAAGTAATAGTAGATGATGATAGGGGCCACGCCGCTCTTTATAGTCAGGCTATATAAGGTCTCAGCTCAATCTACCTGCGACTATCAAAACGGACTCCTGCAACTACAAGAACAGACCCCTGCAATACCCAAATGGTGCTTCTGGGGCAGGAACTGCAAGCCAATACGGAAGTGCCGAGTAAATATGGAAAGAAGCTACTGAATAAGATACCCGATTTGTATTTTGAGTTACAGTACAGTACCACTATGATTGATATTTTGTAGAAGATCCTCCAAGTTTGGCTATGAGATTTTCGGACCACGTGAAGTGTATATAATGAACGAACTTCCCCTTCGACCAACAAATATTCTCCTTTTACCAACTAATATTCCTTTTGTTCCAAAATCGCTATGGGAAGATTTCTAAGGGTTCTAATGCGTGAGTAATGATTTTTAACACACTTCTAGGTATCTCACTATGGTTACAGTGCCGACCGTTATTGCCTTCCATATCCGGAAACACAGAGATACAACTTTCAAACCCTAGTCACATGATACGCTAACCAAATGTAAATTTCTCGTAAATTACTGATTTCGTATAAACATTGTAATAATACGGCAACTTGTATGAATACAACATTTAAGCACCAGAGGCCTGCACGACGAGCAGGCGTCATGCACACCGAGCAAATTAGTTGACCGTTGGCTATCCGTTGACTTCCCTCCTCCATCCCTCAGTTACTTCACTGCAGAGGGTCTGGCGCTGTCCTGGGTGTCGATATCGGGTCTTTATTAGGCATCAGGCATGCCCGGCTAATCCGTTAAACGCTCCACCGAATGAAGGCATGAAACCATTGGCAAGGACTCTCTTCGTACTGTATCATGACCATAATTTTTATGATATAGGCTTTCAACTCTGCAAAGAATCTTTTGATGGGGTTGAAATTCGGCGAATGAGGCTGCAATGTACGTACGATAATTTGACTCACGCGTCAGCACATGAGGTCTTGATCTGGTCTGAATGATGGCAAGATACGTTACCTGTGACAAGCACAGATTTTGTCTCCAGCCACCTCCCACAATGCTGCAGAAGCTGCTCAATAAACTATCCGAAGAAGGGGGCCATCGGTTGAACTTTCAAGTACGGTACAAAATGATACCATCTTGAGCAATGCAGGCAGAATCTGGAAACTTTGGCCGCGATGAATTTCGATACCTGGACCGGTGTTACACTAAGTGGTCACCAGCTAGTTTACCTATATCCTATCCTCTTACAGTAGTATTATAGGGCGATATACAGTATGATTTTTTCGTAGGTCTTTTACGAAGAAATTAGAAACTGGGAAAAATGAGATGGAAACTACTGACGTCTGCTATACACAAAATCTTATGAAAGAAACCTGCCCTGTTGTGTGCCCCAGAGCTAATAAATTGCCATCAATCACAGAACAGCTGGGTCGAAACTCAGAGGGAAGCCATAGTACATTATTGCCGTTCACCTCTATCCACTGCTCTCGGTTGATGAAAATCTCTGGATTCCTGTGGGCTAATCTAGAAGCATGATTTTCACCCCTAGACTGGACTTCAAGGACGCCCAAGTTGGTGATTAAACATGAACCATCCTGGGCAAAGTCAAGCTGTTTGATAGATCCCTTGACATTGATGGTCTGCTGGAGTGCGCCTGACTCCGTGTCCCAGAGGCATACTGTCTTATCATCAGAGCAAGATGCTAGCAGCCGGCTGTCGGGTGAGAAGGCCACTGAGAGGATCGAACTGAAGTGGCCCTCGAGGATATTCAGGAGCGCACCAGTCGCCGGGTCCCAGAGGCACACTATCTTATGAGAAGAGCCGGACGCTAGCAGCCGGCCGTCGGGTGAGAAGGCCACCGACCAAGTCGAATGCGAATGGTCCTCGAGGGTCTGCTGGAGTGTACCTGACTTCGTGTCCCAGAGGCGTACTGTCTTATCATCAGAGCCGGACGCCAGCAGCCGGCCGTCGGGTGCGAAGGCTACCGACATAACCGGTTGCGAATGGCCCTCGAGAGTATGCTGGATTGCGCCGGTCGCCGGGTCCCACACGCGTATAGTCATATCATAAGAACAAGATGCCAGTAGCCGGCCGTCGGGCGAGAATGCTATTGACCGGATTGAAAGTGAATGGCCCTCGAGGGTCCTCTGGAGCGCGCCCGTCGCGGGGTCCCAGAGGCACACTGTCTTATCATCAGAGCAAGATGCCAGCAGCCGGCTATCGGGCGAGAAAGCGATCGACCGAATCGAATGTGAACGGCCTTCGAAGGTCTGCTGGAGTACACACGCTGTGGGGTCCCAGAGGCGCACTATCTTATCATAAGAGCCGGACGCTAGCAGCCGGCTGTCCGGCGAGAAGGCCAGCGACCTAATAGAACCTGAATAGGCCGCGAGGGTCTGCTGGAGCGCGCCCGTCGACGGGTTCCAGAGGCGTACTGTCTTATCATCAGAGCCGGACGCCAGCAGCCGGCCATCGGGCGAGAAGGCCACGGACAGAATCGAACTTAAATGGCCCTCAAGAGTCATCTGGAGCACACCCGTCGCGGGGTCCCAGAGGCGCACTACCCTATCAGCAGAGCCAGACGCCAGCATTCGGCTGTCGGGCGAGAAGGCCACCGACCAAGTCGACTGCGATTGGCCCTTAAGGGTCTGCTGGAGCGCACCCGTCTTGGGGTCCCAGAGGTGCAGTACCTTATCATCAGAGCCGGACGCTAGCAGCCGGCCGTCGGGTGAGAATGCTAGCGACTTAATCCAATGAAAACGGCCTGCTAGGATTTGCTGGAGCGCGCCCGACTCCGTGTCCCAGAGGCGCACTATCCTATCGGCAGAGCCGGACGCTAACCGCCGGCCGTCGGGCGAGAAGGCTACCGACCAAATCGGACCAGAATGACCCTTGAGGGTCTGTTGGAGCGCGCCCGTCGACGGGTTCCAGAGGCGTACTGTCTTATCAAAAGAACCAGACGCCAGTAGCCGGCCATCGGGCGAGAAGGCCACCGACCGAATCCCGTGCGATTTTCCTTCGAGAGTCTGCTGGAGCGCGCCCGTCGCAGGGCTCCAGAGGCGCACTGTCTTGTCGAAAGAGGCGGATGCCAGCAGCAAGCCATTGGGCGAGAAAGCCACAGACTCAACTGAACCTGAATGCCCCTCGAGAGTCTGTAATTCGGCGCTCCACCTTTCCTCAACTCGAGGAATCTGAGATATCCAGGGAGGAATCTCTGCTTTAAACAACTTACGCGTTATTGACGTCTCGGGGATAAATATAAGACCTGCGACATAAAGCTGAAGAGGCGCTTTATCGGCTATCTGGCGATTTCTAAATATAAAGCGCTTTGCATCACGTAGAAACTCAGCCATTACGGAGTCGTTATGGCCCTAGGCATATTAGTGTTGATCCGGAAAGACTGTCTACAAAATTACTCACTGTTATCACTGTGTGGAGGAGATCAAGCATAGACACCACCTCTGATATTAGACCTAGCAGGCTCATCGCTTCCACCCAGTGCAAGAAATGTCTCTGGAGAAATAGTCGCACTTCCTTCTCGGCGGACAAGGCCTTGCCTTGCTTGAGATGGTATATCCAGTACCGACAAGAGTATTGCAACTCTGGTGGTAGATACTGGCGAATAAGTTGAGGGTTGATGTCTGCCCTAATCATTCCAGGGCTTGCTAGCTTACAAATATCTTTCTGCAGGTGGCTGCACATGGTTTGGAGACATGATTTAGCAATTTCTGTATGCTTTCTCGGCTCATCCACATAGAACTTTGATCGAGGCTGGACCAAAAATTCCCGAAATGATAGATGTAGTATCCTTACAGGCTGATCTCGATCATTGGGAACGCTCAACACCGATCGGAACGAATCCAATCGATTGCTGACCTGGTCTGCACTAATTCCAAGGAATGGCGACAGTGCATTTATCGAAAGGGGAACAGTAAGAATAATGATGGCGCCAACTATACTCTGGAATTCTTGCATAAGCTGTCGCTGCTCGAACTCATTACTCTCTTGGTCGTCCAGTAGTCGCGTTAGAATTGGTAGGTATGTCTTATCCATTCTCGACACGTATTTAGCTTGGTCCGTGAGAAGCTCCGCGAGGCGCGATTTAGGCTCCCATTTTGAGTTTTCGATATAACGGCACACAGTGGCAGCCGAAATAAACAGTGGAACGGACATGGTGACCAATTTTTGGATGACGTCATCGCCTGGCCAGGCTTGGGAAATATTTCTGTCGCGTTTGATCTTTGCAAATCGGTGCTGTAGGAATAAATGTATATCGTGTTCTGTCATCTCTTCGGGTATCTCATGAAGAGCTAGGTCCTGATATTCATGATCCGCGATCTCTGAAAAGCCGATGCTAATAGGGAGCTCAGGCCTGCTAGTCAAGAAGATCCGAATGCAGACCGCTTTCGCCTTCTGTAAAAGAGGCAGTAATCGAATTATATTTTGGATATCTTGATCATGGTCACATTCGTCTAAAGCGTCGATCACTATCACAGCGGTTCGAGGCTGTCGGCCGAGTTGGTCAAGATAAAGCAGCGGTTGAAGGAGTAATTTTTCAAACTGCTCCCTGAGCGATTTTGACGCAATATCAGGGTCATCATGGAGTGCCTTCTGCACGCCAGACCTCAGCTCAGGAATCCTGAGCATCAGTTGCGTTGTTAATGTCGTAAAAAGCTTCTTCGCGTTTCCCCGGTTCCCGTCACCCCTCTTAAAAAAGAAGCTGGCGCCTAGATTGTTGGTGTCTTTGAGCGATCTTGCCACTGTCCGAGATATTGTCGATTTTCCTGTCCCAGCCATTCCTTTTAACCAGAAGATACACTTTCCGTGCAGTAACTTAGCCCATTTTCCAATCTCCTTGAGAAGCCTGGTTCTAGTGCCACGAAGACATTCATCCTCATGTTGGTTCGCAAAAGAGTCAATTGCTGCCTCTTGAACAACCGGCAACTTGCCCAAGTCAATCTTTTGGTCCAAACATTCGATTGCCGTCATGGTAGTTCTATTGAAGGTTAGCGAGAGTGCATCTCATTATATGCAACAAATATATATAAACCTCTGGCTGCTGTTGAGACTAGTCAACTCCTGAGTAACTGTAGACAGTCAGCACAATAGCCCGAGTAAGTACAGGACGCGAAGGTTTCTCATAGAGTATGATTAATTAAACATCAATATCATTGGAATATTTATATGAACGATGAATTCATGTGATATTCTAACCTTGTTGGAGTTCTTGAGTAACACGCTCGGCCCAAGGAAGCATGGTATCAACACGCTGGGGCCGCAAAACCAGAAGTAACTCTCGTGCATACGCAGCAGCAGCGAGCGCCGCATACTTATGCCAGTCGTCATTCTTGTGAGAGTCGCAGTAATCGCAGATTCCACGAACTACCAGACATGGGACATTATTCATCAGACCCGCGGCTTCCATCTCAAAGCAGAGAATGTTCAGCTCCGGGTCTTCCGCATATGTATCCCGTACAATGGCATCCTTGAGAACTGAATTTCCTGACGCGATAGTCCCGTAGTGAACATATAGTAAACGGTGGTTCCGGCGCTCTGGCCGGTCCACTACCGAGATAAAGTCACAGCCGTCGCAAGTTGGTCTGTCCATATGGGGATAGTTTGTAGCATAAAGCCGGTCAACAGCTGGTCGTTGATAATCTTCCATATCATCGAGACGCTGAAGATGTTCCGCTAGTCTGTCTGGCTTCCTTTTATCACTGAATAGTCGACGCATCTCTGTAATTACTCCTAAAAGTTTCTCCGGCGGCGCGTTGAGTTGACCTGTCCTGTGAAACCGACCATCTTTGAACTTGCCTAGATCATATTGTATCACTCCGCCGAATCCATCTCTTGGTTGACTCACAACAACGTCCCCTAAGCGGATGTCATTTCGGGCGGTCGGAGCGCCGCCTCCGATTCCCACCATTAGTGCGAACCGTAGATGTGGGAACGTTCGAACCATATCTCGGGCAACACAGGCAGCTGAATTGGTGCCATACCGACCGGCTGGAAGACAACCAATCACCACGTAATGCTTCTCAATACGACCATAGGCGTACGTGTTATCATCATTGTTTTCGCTGATCTCTGGCCCGGGGAATTCTTCGTCGAGCATACGGCATGCACAGAAATATTCTTCTTCTAGAGCACAGATCCATGCTACCGTGTAGGAGTCCGTTGAATCAGGGTCTCGTTGCTGAGGTCGATTCATTATATCAGTAGAGAGACGAGCTACTGTGTTTTCACGTTGTCAACCCGAATTTGTGGGCTGGATTGTCTCCAGATAGACGGTAGGACGGTAGGATTAGGTGGAACCAGGGCATGCTTCAGTTTGAAGCTTGAGGAGAAAGAGGGGTAGGCGCTAATGGAGGTGCGGGCTGTTTTGAAGACGCGTATCTATTGGTGCAATAGCTCGAGGTAGGTTTCGGCTGGAGTGTCGGCCCGAACCGGGCTGTTATCGGAGTATGAACGAACGACGCAATTAGGAGGGGGGGGGGGGTTAGGCACGTAACACTACATATGTAACAATATAGATTTATAATGTTGTCCTTGTTACCATACAAACCTGGAACAACCTTTGAAATTCAGAGGTATCCGTATACGGTTTAGTATGTCATGTGATTAGGGTTTGAAAGAGTATCGCTGTGTTTCCGAATATGGAAGGCAATAACGGTCGCCACCGTAACAGTTTCCATTAGGTCGAGATAAAAGATCTCAGCAAAAGTATAGGGACAAATTTCAACTTAAAGGCGTTCCCGTGTCGACAGCCCAGTCAGCACTGGACGAACTGATTTTTGATCCCAAATGGAAGCCTAAACCGGAATGGGAGCTGGATAGAGGAAACGATTTTCTTGGAAACCCCTCGTGGATATTTACAAGCAAGGAAAATCCTGATTTGAGATTTGATGAAATGAAGCTGAGGATCTACCGATCCTTTTCATTTAGGCGCGTGGGTAGTTGGGACAACATAAAATATGTGCGCGAGAAAGAAGATCCTCCGCTTGGTTTCCTTAACGATGAGCGCCGGTTGAAGGCAATTCTGACCGATTACATGCCCCGGACATACTTAGTTTAGCCATCTCTCTATGTGGCGTCGTGGAAACCACTGCTAGCTTAAGTCGCATTTGGTTTGGTTTTTTCGATGTTGCTATTCAAGAGGGTAGCGTGGAAGACCTAGAGATTTGCTTTCTAGTTGTGTGTTAGTGTACAGTATGGATGGATGGATGGATGATCTCATTTACCCTGACCCCTCGCAATGAAAAGCGATATGCAGGCTACAACAACTATATATCCGCGTGCTTACATGTAGAATATTCCACTTCCTGAAAACGAACTTAGAGCCTCGTCAAGGCCTGCCTTGGCCTAATTGCCGTTCCCAATGTTAGGCTGCCCTCGTGGCGCGCGGCTCCAAAACCGTTGTGACGCCTCAGCGAAGTCTAGTACAGCCTGAACTGTCCTAGCCCGTGCGACGGTGTCTGGTTTACCTCTCTTACCGTCGGTTGAGACTCCCAGCAGACTCGAAACACTGCCAAACGCGTCTCCCGCTTCACTCCGTAGCTTCCTTCGAATACCCCTTAATTCCGGACAGTCCACCAGCACATGGGTGACCGTTTCTTGTGCGCCGCACACGCACTTATCATTGTCACGAAAGCCGAAGGTCTTGGCGTAGGTAGATAACCAATTGTGGCCTGTGCGTAGCTGTGTCAACAGGTACGCTCGGTTCCTCGGCAGACTCCCGTAAAGCCTTCTCGTGTAGTTTGCGGGCAGGGCGCTGTCAATCTTCCGGAGGTGGCCGCCTTTGTTGGATGATCTCCATTCCTGCTCCCACTGATCTAGGATATTACCGCGGAGGCGCGCGCTTTCCCTCGATAGTAGCGGGCGGAAGGGGTGGGTTTTGCCTGGGCAAGCGGCGTCCTTGGCCAGTCGGTCTGCAGCATCGTTTCCTGGGTTATCGCAATGTCCTGGCACCCATTGAAGGCGAAGCGCGATGCCTGCTGCCTGGGCTTCCGTGGCGGCTTGAAGGATCGCGTAAACGATCCGCTGTCCAGATTTGTTCCTTGGGTTCTGAGTTGCCTGCAAGGCTGATCGACTATCGCACAGGATTGTTGCTTGTTTTTGTCTGTTGGTTGAACCCTGATGGGCGAGCATGAAAACCATGCTAATCGCGTAGAAGATGCCAATGAGCTCCGCAACGTGAACCGACCACCGGTCCATTGGTCCCACTTGGATTTGTTTAGATTCGACGACCTGTAGGTTGTCGTCGAGTGTTACGACAGCAGCACCCAGGTGGCTCTCGCGTCCGGAGGCATCTGAATAGACAACAATGTCCGACGTGGACCGTGCAGCTTCGGCTCGCTCCACGGCTGTTTCTCGATCTGATCCAACGTCGATAACCGTGAAGGGTTCGGCTCGCCATGGTGGTAGCGGGCTTGGGTCGATCGTTTCTAGTTCGTCCAATCTTTCCAGGTTCATGGTTTTCAACGCTTCCGCCAGTGGGAAGCGAGGGGATGTTCCGATATTGTTCCTTCGTCTCTGAGCTCGTAATAGTGCGTTCCAAATGGGGTGGCTGCGTGGTAGAGTATGGAGCTTTGCGATGGTCCTCTGGGCTCGGTGGCGGAGGCGGAGGTGTGTTGGAAGGACGTGTGCTTCTACCTCTAACGTGGTGGTTGCCACTGTCCTAAAGGCCGACAGGATACGGATCAGGGGGACTCTCTGAACAGTGTTTAGGTGGCGTAGGTGGGTCTTATCGCGAAGAGGGTCGTGCCAAACCGTTGATGCGTAGTCTACCACTGGAGCGACACATGCCTGGTAGATCTGGCGCATTTGTTCTGGGCGGAGGTGTCGTAGCCCAGCCAGAGCGATAGCCACCTTCGTAGCCCGCTTGATGGCTTGCTGGACGTGCTCTTTCCACCGCAACTCATGGTCGAAGATCACACCTAATAATTTGGCTTTTGATGATGGTTCGATCGTATTCCCGTTCATGACCACTTCGCCTTGCAACTGCTCACCTTTCCTCCTAGTAAGGTGGATGAGCTCGGTCTTTTCGGTTGCAAAGGAGGACCCTGTCCGTCTAGCCCATTCCTCGATGCGGGGAATATCCTCGGATTGGATGTTGGCCAAGTTCTCCTCAGCTGAGTGGCCCACTCGCCAGCGGAAATAGTCATCGATGAAGGCCGACGCGCCGCCTTGGGAGGTGACCGGTTGGTCAACCAGGTCGGAGTTGAAGAATATAAACAGAATTGGTGACAGTGGCGAGCCCTGTGCTAGACCAGCGTTAAGTAGCGGCGCGATCTCTGTCCGGAAGTCGTCGAAACCGATGCTGGCGAACCGGTCGCTCATAAAACTTGCAATCCACTTCCTCGCGGTGGCTGGAATCCCCTTTGCATGAAGGCGAGAGTCGAGGCTGGTTTTGTTGACTCCATTGAAGGCGCCTTTCAGATCGAACGCGATGAGCGTCACAACTTTGCATTTATACCACGCGCGGTCGATAGCGTTAGAGAGGACCAGAAGGGCTTGTTCCGTGGTCCTGCCCGGCCGCCCTCCAAATTGTGTGTCGGGTAGCAGACCGTGCTTCTCGGCGAGGTACGATAGTCGTCGAGCTACAACTGTCTCGAGAAGTTTCCCCAGAGTGTTCAGGAGTGAGATCGGGCGATAGGCCCCAGGGACCGAGTAGTCCGGCTTTCCTGGTTTCCGCAGTACCACAATCTTTGCTCCCCGCCACCGCCTAGGGTGGTGACCTAGCTTGATTGATGCCGTGAAAATCCTGGTGATGAGCTGTCTCAGAGGCTGCCAGAGGTGCTTCCATACGAGGGCCGGAAGGCCGTCTTCCCCCGGTGCAGTGGAGCCCTTTGTTGCTTTGAGGGCTCGATGGATTTCTAGTTCCGTGATCGGTGGCCACGGTAGCTCCGGGGGTACCTGGACTGGTGGGTCTTCGTCGGGCTCGTTCATCTTGGGGAAGAAGGTGTCAAGAAACGCTTGGGCCTTTTCCTCGTTCTCGGCTAGCTCGTTGGACTCGACCTGCAGGGCAGGGATGCCCCCCCAGGTTTCTCGCGGTTTCATATAGGTAGCGGCCTTCCACAGTTTTCCTTCTCCCGCACCGTCCAGGAACTGTTTCCAGTACAACCTTTTGGCCTTTTCGATAGTACGGGTCCAGGTCCGACGTTTTTCTTGCATCTCTTCAAAGAGGGTCTCCGACTGTGTATGATGACGCCCATGCTCCGCGCAGCTCTCTTGCCATTTCCGGCGGACGTGGTTAACTTCGGATTGTTGGGCTTTCAGGTCTGGGGTGAACCAGCGTTTAGAGTAGGGGCTTAGTCGTCGATTCGGGGTGTGGTTCTCCACAGCCGATATCGTGATTTCCGTGAGCCTTTCTACTGCCTCATCTAGGGCCGGTCTCGTTTTGATCTCTTTCCATGGGCCCATCCGTAGAAGAACTTCAGCCCCAATCCTATCCCAATCGGCTCGTTCGTATGCTTTCCTCAATTTTGTGGTGGGCTTGCGGTAGGGTCGGAGGCTCCACTCCGAGTACGTTGCTCGGTGGTCAGACCCATAGTTTTCGTGGTAAAGGTGGCATTTAATGAGCATGTCCGGTCGGTCTGACACAGTCTGGTCTATTGTAGTGCTTTTTCCTGGGTCATTAAGGGGCCAAAGGTCGCAGTGCCTCGAGGTAGGCAAGTGTGGAGGTGGTGGCCAAGAGACATGACTACACAGCCAAGATTGCCCGTGGCAAAGACTTAACGAGTTCTTGGAACTGATGTAAAGCAGCTTCACCAGGCCCGCTTGTTCAGGCCACTGCCCTGGTTTTCAGCACGCGCATCTTTCGATGGACGCCCTCCAGATATTGAGGTCCCGGCAAAAACCTCTCACCCCAGGTGTCTCCAGGTTTGCTCCTTAAGCATGCATCATCAGCATTTCAGCTAGAACGACATCACATCTATCGCCCAGCCGCAGGTTCTCAGTGCGAGTGAGATAGTAAGACAGGCCGGACCTGCCCCACTAGGACGACACCACTTTGGCTGGTTAATTTCAGGTCCTCAGTGCGAGTGAGGTAGCTGTTTCTGTCTATTTGCACACCGACACGCGCGTCCGTCCTCTCGGGCCACATAGACAGTCTCGTCGGGTCCTCTCGACTCGTCCGTCACTGCCATTATGTGCCACGCCCCACAAGGAGAAGTCTCCCTGCTTCGCGTTACCAGCCGAGATCTCTCTCTGCCGGCCGACCGTGTCTCGCAAAGGCTGCTAGTAGTATCCCCATTGGCCCTGCAGGATACCCTCGCTGTCCTTCACTAACCAAGCCTGTGTCCCTGGCTTTGCAGCCCTCTCGAACACCCGTGGCTGTGCCTTAACGAGTCCGTCGAGGGTCGTCGCCAGACTGTACACCCCGCTTGGAAGAAGCCACGGGCTGTCCAGATCAGAGTTGCCCGTAGCTTCGCTTTAACGAGGTTCCGACCCAGGCCATTCCATGGAGCTCCCGATCGATCTATTCAGTCTGCTGCGCCGCCAGTTGTATTCCCCCTCGCCGCTCAACGCCATGTTGTGTGTTTCCATTTGTTCGTCTCGTCTTTCGTGTGCTGTCTTCGTTGTTTTCCTCGTTCAAGTTCGTAGGGCGTCTCGCGATCTCAGAGGGTGTTCAAGCTCAGAGGTGTCCTGTCTCCTGCCTAGGCGATACCACAACCACTGGAGAACAAGTCCAGCTTCGGTCTCGAGTACGAGTCGAGTAGGCAGTCGTCGGATGGTTTTCATAACCCGTTTTCCTCTGGTTTGTGTGGGGTGGATGGGGTGTCGTCAACCACGGAAAACTCTGCGGCCCGACCCCTATTCACCCCACGCGGATTCTTTTGGCTTCCCGTCCACGAAATGAGAGGGTACTGACACCGGACACCACGAGAAGGTAGAAATCCATCGTCCTAACTGCTTGACGAGAGCAGTTACCTGGCGTGCTCGCCAGGGGCTGTTAGTGTACAGTACGTCCCGAAACCGGTGCAACAGCCTACACTCTTCAAGTGTTTCTCTTGCCCCACCGCCAAGGCACACTAGTCTAGATTTGGAGTTCTTCCGGGAGTGGCGTGCGTATGCGTTCGTACGTAGATTATGTAATATTTTCAGGCATGTATTCACTTGTAAATTCAATACATCTGATACCTCGATGCCCCTCCTCTGATACAGCCTTCCTCGGGAGGCACCGTTTCACAATCAATCACGAGTGGTCCAACCAACGATGGCTCCAAACCTAGCTCCTTCTAAGCATGAGCTTATCTCTGACATGATCCACAGTGGCGAACTATCTATAACTCAGATGGCACAGGCCGCTGGTTGCAACAAGAGCACCATCTCGAGACTCTCGTCCAATATAAGAATGTTTGGCAGCGTCAAGTACCGCCAATTAAAGGCGGACGACCCCGTAATATCACTCCAGTCATGCTCAACGCTTTGTGCGACCATCTGATTGAGAAGCCTGCCCTATATTTGGACGAAATGGCTGTTTTCTGTGGGACGAATTCGCACTTCAAGCAACGAAAACGAGCATCAGTCGCGCCCTTAAGTCCAAAGGCTGGTCGAAAAAGACTGATCAGGTCAGAGCCCGAGAATGCAACCTTGATCTCCGGGACGAATACCATCATTTTATTTCAGACTTCAAGTCCTACCACCTTGTCTACGTCGATGAATCTGGCTGTGATAAAAGGAGAGGGTTCAGGCGAACGGGTTGGTCCCCACTTGGTACCGCGCCTGTTCAAGTATCGAAGTTCCATCGTGATCAGCGTTATCACATTCTGCCTGCGTATGCGCAAGATGGCATTGTTTTATCTCAAGTGTTCCGTTATAATTCCAAAATTATTTTATGAAATTACGCCACTACGCTAGCTCCACTGTGAAGGGAAAATAGTATATTCTATATTCAAGTACCTTCCTCATCTACTACCAATATCCAACATCTCTGTTTCCCACTCCAGTAAAGTTTGAGAACTGGATATGGTACCGTAATGATTGAGCCCAAGTATTTGCTTCTGCTTGGCCAGGCAATCTCGTAGTAACTCGAGGGCTTGGGTATTATAGCCTGAAGATTTCCAGGTAAAAGCGAGATTGGCCATACTCATCAGCGTGTCGGGATGGTCCACGCCGAGCTTCGTCTTGCGAGTCTCCATGACCTGCACCTCGAGCTGTTCCGCCTCCTCCCATCGGCCCTGATTCCAATACGTCACCGCTAGGTTGGCCATACTCGTCAGCGTGTCGGGATGGTCCACGCCGAGCTTCGTCTTGCGAGTCTCCATGACCTGCACCTCGAGCTGTTCCGCCTCCTCCCATCGGCCCTGGTTCCTATACGTCGATGCCAGGTTGGCCATACTCGTCAGCGTGTCGGGATGGTCCACGCCAAGCTTTATCTTGCTCGCCTTAATGACCTGCACCTCGAGCTGTTCCCCCTCCTCCCATCGGCCCTGGTTCCAATACGTTGATGCCAGGTTAGCCATACTGGTCAGCGTGTCGGGATAGTCCACGCCGAGTTTCGTCTTGCTCGCCTCAATGACCTGCACGAAGAGCTGTTCTGCCTCCTCCCATCGGCCCTGGTTCCAATACGTCGATGCTAGGTTGGACATACTCGTCAGCGTGTTGGGATGGTCCACGCCGAGCTTCGTCTTGCGAGTCTCTATGACCTGCAACAAGAGCTGTTCCGCCTCCTCCCATCGGCCCCGGTTCCTATACGTCGATGCCAGGTTGGACATACTCGTCAGCGTGTCGGGATGGTCCACGCCGAGCTTCGTCTTGCTTGCATCCATGACCTGCACGTCGAGCTGTTCCGCCTCCTCCCAACGGCCCTAGTTCTTATACGTCGATGCTAGGTTGGACACACTCGCCAGCGTGTTGGGATGGTCCACGCCGAGCTTCATCTTGCTCGCGTCAACAACCTGCACGAAGAGCTGTTCTGCCTCCTCCCATCGGCCCTAGTTCAAATACGTTGATGCCAGGTTGGACATACTCGTCAGCGTGTCGGGATGGTCCACGCCGAGCTTCGTCTTGCGAGTCTCCATGACCTGCACCTCGAGCTGTTCCGCCTCCTCCCATCGGCCCTAGTTCCAATAAGTCGCCGCTAGGTTGGTAATACTCCTCAGCGTGTCGGGATGGTCCACGCCAAGCTTCGTCTTGCGAGTCTCCATGACCTGCACCTCGAGCGGTTCCGCCTCCTCCCATCGGCCCTGGTTCCAATACGTCGATGCCAGGTTGGCCATACTCCTTAGCGTGTCGGGATGGTCCACGCCAAGCTTTATCTTGCTCGCCTCAATAACCTGCACGAAGAGCTGTTCTGCCTCCTCCCATCGGCCCTGGTTCCTATACGTCGATGCTAGGTTGGCTATACTCGTTAGCGTGTTGGGATAGTCCACGCTGAGCTTCATCTTGCTCGCCTCTATAACCTGCAACAAGAGCTGTTCCGCCTCCTCCCATCGGCCCTGGTTCCTATACGTTGATGCCAGGTTGGCCATACTGGTCAGCGTGTCGGGATGGTCCACGCCGAGTTTCGTCTTGCTCGCCTCAATGACCTGCACGAAGAGCTGTTCCGCCTCCTCCCATCGGCCCTGGTTCCTATACGTCGATGCCAGGTTGGCCATACTGGTCAGCGTGTCGGGATGGTCCACGCCGAGCTTTATCTTGCTCGCCTCAATGACCTGCACGAAGAGCTGTTCCGACTCCTCCCATCGGCCCTCTCGTAAATAGGCTTCGGCCAACATTGCAGCACTCGCAAGGGCCTCGTCATCCTTCGCACCTAGCAATTTGACTCTATACTTATGCGATTTCGATGCCATTTCCCTTACATCCGCAATATTGCCGCTTTCTGACGCGTACCATGCACCTCTATAAAGCAGCGTGGCCCATCGCAAGAGAGACTCTCGGGATTCTGGCCGTTGAGACATCGCTGACCGAACGTGAGGATAGAGAGACCGGCACTTCCCCCAATTTTCATACCGACCCGTAGGGAACTCTCCGTACATATTAGCGATAAAAATTTCCTTCCACCGTTCTGTTTCTCCATAAGATTTCAGCCACGCACGCGTAGTCAGTTGCACTAGTCGATGCATAGCAAAGGAAGTGCCATTCTCGCTAATAGATATAAATAAGTAATTCCGTAAAGTTGTGACATCATCTTCAAAGTCCGGACTTCCGTCGGATTCAGATATTTCCCCGTCACTAGAGTCGTCGAAGAGTTCTGTCCTTGAGGTGCAGACAGCCAGCGGCTGGCGGATAACGCTCTCGGGTATCTCTTACCGATCGAAAAAGCTCATAAGAGAAAGTAGTTCCGCTGCAGATGGCTTTTCGTCGCGAATATAGTCGAATGATATTTGCCAAGTCACTAGAATTGAGTTCTTTGCTTCCCAATCCCGGTCAAGTTGACCTGCCTCTTTTTGAGAAGTTTTATCGCTTCGTTATCACTCTTCTGAAAGTCTCTTAGGTATTGTGATACTGAATAGCGAGGCGCCCGATTTCGAATATAGCGCGCGGCCTGAGCTATTGCAAGCGGCATAAACTCCAGTTCTTCCACTAAGTGTTGGCTCTCTTGGCTTTCCTCGGGTTGATCAAGCGTCTTCTGAAGAAGCTCCAGTGCCTCAGACCGTACCATCGGTTCAACTTCAATAAGGTCCTTATGCTTAACCATCCTGAGCGCAGCCTCTCTGCTTCGACTAGTGATAATTATAGATCCATTCTGGCATCTAGGAACGTATTCTAAAAGAGGTTTCGTTGAGGCGTTTAGTGGCTCCTTCATTGAAGCCCCTTTCCCTGCTGCCGGAAGCGAACAAAGGAACTTATCATCATCCGCATTATCAAGGATACAAATCCATTTCCCCTTATTCTCATCCCGCAACCAGTTTTCGACCAGTTTAAATATGTTGGCCTTGGGATCCTGACGAGTAGGGATCTTTAGCTGCTCAGCGATGTCCCGGAAACTTTGCTCAAACCGGGCCACATTGCTTGCGTGGATCCAGAAAACCCATGTCTCTGGTGATTCTGATCGGATCTGATACGAGTATTCGATGGCAAGGTGCGATTTCCTTTCACTGGTGAGCCGCGGGCCAGGAACTGGTCGCCTCACACTTACCCGACACCACCTAGGCCGACCAGGGCTATTCTCGACCGTAGGATCGAGCTTTTCTCGTGAATCGACTGAAGCAGAGTCCTACGACAGACAAAGTCTGGATCGCGTGGGAATGGGATGATTGATAAAGGGTTCGGCGGAGTTTCTGGTCGCTCTAAAGGAGCAGCGGCTATTAGTAAGGCGGCCTTGATCTTGGTCGGGTTTTCTATCTAACCCTGAGGCAGATGAATTTCAGCGTGGATCGAGCCACTGCTATGTCCAACCTGGAGTCCACGATTTTTGTCCCCAAATGATATCGATGTCATGATGAAGTACTGTAAAGTGCCTCGTGTGTGGTTTGTGGTAAGTATTCTTCCTGGACTCCCACAAGCTGAAAGAGGGGCACTCCTCAGCCTCATCATGTGACTCCAAATCGCTAAGCCAAGAAATATCCGCGCCTCTTTGCCTCGTTTGCATGACCAGCGTTAAGGTTGACACCAAAAATTGATGCGGGCACTGACCCCACCCAGAAGGTCTCACATCCAGTGGGAAGTTAAAGCTGAAACAATAGGAGTGGCGGAGGGAAGTGTCAGGTTGCTAGGTTCTCGAGGCAATCCCTAGATCTAGTGTTTGACATGTTTGCATTTCTATAGAAAATTCTAGTTCCCTTGGGTCGCCAATACAGTTACGAGACAAGGCACCGTATTTAATGAAAGTAAATAATTGTATCGAGACTGGTACAGGAATATCGATATTCCGGTGCTATTCCTAATATGTCCTAGTCTCTCTTGGCGGTAGGTTTAGAGAATCACTGGAAGAGTGGAGGCCGTTGCACCGGTTTCGCAACGTACTGTAGCTGCTATGTACTGTACAGTACCTATTAATGTGGGAAGACCGAGAAACGGTTTGTGATGGTCTGGTGATAATCTGCTTTCGAACCCAATTTCTAGTCCTTTATCTGATTCTGGTTTACAACTCTACCTTCCGTCAAGGGAAGCAAAATTTCAACGGCTTCCAAACGCCTGTTTCGATTGCGGCACACAGTCACATATTTAAGTCTAGAGCACTTCCCAGCAGATTATGTCACCCGTACGGCCAGCAGTGAACACCGGTGACACGCGAGGACATTCGGGATCCTTCAAAATGGTTTGCCATCTTTTCCCGTTGCATAAAAGGTACATGCCGCAAATCGGGCTCAGATGACGTCTTTTGGAAATAGTTTTCCTGGTCCCAAAAATGTCAGGGCGCTGTATGACGCGAATCTTCTTGTGGGTGGCAAAAGAATACTGCGTCTGCACAGTGCTTGGTTTGAAAAGTCTCCGTGTGACGCTTTTCTTAAGCTCGATCAACTCATAAGAAAATATGACATCGTTTATATGAAGCACAATTTCCGGTATCTTTATCGTGCGCGTCTTATCAGGATTTGTAAAAGTGGTTTCGGGTAGAATGACTTTGTGCTTTGCTTTGTTGTAGCAATATCCTTCTCTGAGGGACTCGAATAGCAGATGCTGGAAATATTGTAAATCACCATTCCAATCGTTGATTGACAAAAGAACATAATGACGCCGAGGTCCATTGTAATCAGGCTTCCCAATCATGTCCAAGGTTGGACCAATAAGGCAAGGGCAAGCCTCTACTTCCAACGCCTTATCAATCCATTCATCGCTCTTGAATATCACCCTCCATAAAATGTTTTCTTGTTTCTCACTATAAAGGAGAGCATCAGCCATATTCTTGGTAGAATTGGGGAGCAGTGCATCCGCGATGAGATCGAAAACTTCTCGTGGGATTTTCCCGAGATTTGGCATGTTAAAAAGGGATATTATATCTCAAAGCTAGTAATATTAATCTTAAAGAATATGAATGGTTCATCCTTAAATTCGATCAGTTCGGCAGACAAACTGTTAAAGATATAGAAATACAACCGAGATTCTTCTTCATAAGAATCCAGACATCAGTGGGCGAAATAGAATAGGTCTTGTCGGCGACTGCAGGGATCCGATATGGTGGTTGCAAGGATTCGTTTTGGTGCTCTCGGCGACCTGTGTAATTGTAGATGGATTCCCGTTGGTCTGCTCGCCGCACAAGTAAAGCTATGTCTGTGCGTGGCTTATGTGCGGCAGATTGTCGGGTGGCTGTTGCCCGGATGAGTTTAGGGCCAAGGTCGCGCGACTAGGGTGAGAGAGGTACCTGATACCAGAACCTGTAATTACGGTAACGTTACAGATCTACCAGAGATATATTTAGAAGAGCTAGTGGGACTTTTACTGACCAAATCAAGCCTAGTGCAAGGGAAGTGGGGGCGCTGGGAAAGAAAGCGTGTCTCTTCGGAGGGGAATCTGTTTTCGAATTCTACTGTACTTATCTGGAAAATCAAGACTGCTCTTTCCTGAACTATTTACTCGTATCACAAATCGAAAAATCGCCACCGCGAACTCTTGCGGTTCTCTCAGCTAATAACTCCGTATGAGAAACTTTATCTACAGTGCCTTGAGCGGAAAAGTGGTATCGATATCCCAGGGCGGCATATATATCGTACTGTATTGTTGCCAAAACGAAAAACGATGGTATCATCGGAAGGCCAAGTCTTCTGCCTAGAGTAGTATATGTTGTTCGACTCTTCTTGTTGGAATATCTCTCACAATCTCGCCTGTTCTTCAAGATGAGCGCTACTTGTCTTTTGTAGCTTGTCTTGGGATCTACTTGAATATGGAACAGCGTTCTTATTAGATTGGACTATACCAGAGCGCTTTCTTGAGATATTTCAAGTCTCAGGAACTTTTGTAATATGAGCAGGTTCTCATAGTACGAGTTTTGTCACGGGACTGGATTCTCAAGAATGGTGCCTTCTTAGGAGGATCGTTATATAACTTAGTTTCCCAGGAGTTTTGGCATCGCAAGAATCCAATCATAGGAGACTTGTCTCATGAGATAATTCTCGACACCTTAGTCTTAAGAATGCCTACACGAGACAAGCCCCGTCACGGGATGGGATTCCTGGTATTGTATCGCTCCTGGGAACTTCTTCAAGTTACGTCTATACTCTTAAACCGATAGACGGTCAAGGAAACTATTCTTATATTGTATATCCTTCTAGAAAATCAGTCACAGACACTGGTCGGAAAAAAAACGACCGCAGCCTACAGCTCCTCCTCAACCTCTTCTAGCTGTTCGAGCTGTCTTCTTTTCAAAGGCCTTTCTGGCTTGTCTGGGAGCCGTGGCAGTAGAGCCGTGGCTCCTATAAGTTGCTTTTGATCTATAAGTTTTCTCTCCTCTTCAGTTGAAAACATAAAAATAGTATTAATACTGTCCGTAGTTCCTGCGCGAAAGCACATAGCAGGACTGACACTGTGTTGAAGATGGTTATAGAGCGCAAAACCTTTCCGCATGTATTTTATAGCAGATCGTTCTACAGCTTTACTGTCTGAGGGTTCCACCCGGATAATATCAGCCACTCGGAATTGATCACGCTCGAAAGACATGAATTTGAAATTAATAACTGCACTTGAATGAACAGCTGCAGGACGAGGCGGCTCATAATGGATCGGCTGTTCCCTGGTATGTGATGGAGTATCCATATCAGTCATTGCGGCTCTTGCCTGGTCGAGATTCGCATTAGACACAGCCTTATCCCTCTGTCTAGCAGGATCTTCAAAGGAATTCACTTCCTCTTCTATCGCCCCTAAGGCAGCCACATGAGATTGATTTTGTCCAGTATCCGAAAGCAATGCTTGATATTCTTGCTCCAATCGTTCTCGTTCCCAATCTTCATCAAGTCTCTCTCGTTCCTGAAGTGCCCGCATTAAATTTTCGTCGAATCTGCGTTGTGCCTCGATGTCTCTGTCTTCGACAATGCTACTTCTCCTTCGCACAGAATACACAGAGGGAGAGTAAATTCTAGCAGGATTTAGGTCCCCCTGCTCTGGATCTTCGTGTTCCGAAGCACTCTCTTCGGGGGTTGAAAGTTGTCCTGGGCTTTGAGAATGGCTAGTATGTGCATCGCTACTCTTATGTTGGGAAGCGATGGGAGACCTTAAATCGAGAGGATCGAGCAATAGCCTTGGGGAAACCTTATCTGCCTCTTGGCCTTCCAGCGCCTCTGCAGAGTCATTTTGATCTTCGGCAGCTACGGAGCTTTCAATACTCACGTGCTCGTTCTCAATGCCGTCTATGGGGTCAGCAAGGGCTACTAGGTTATCTGTTTCCTCTTGGTAGTTCTCCTGGACTGACCACGACGGGTTGACCTCTCCTGGTTGTACGTCGGGAGCTGGATCCGGCGAGTCGCTTTCATTGACGAAGAGTGGGGATATATCTCGCGTAGTTATACTGTGTGGTAAGCTTTCCGCTGTTGATTTTGAAGACGAACGTCTTCTAAAGTAGGCGAAATAAATACAGCGCCGAACAAACAAGGTCGTTAGGGGAGGAAATGGCGTTTCGGCATGTACATAATCGAAGAAAAGGTGTGGAGTATCTTGTGCATGGGTTTTGTTCTGTGGGAAGCCACTTCTCGCTCGAGAAGACACCCTAGTGTCTGCAAGGATCTCGCAAGTTGTTTCTCTGTGTTCAACAGCTGCCGAGAAACACTCAACTACACAATCAACAAGAGTCTCGAATTGTTCAGGTTCGTAGTGAAAATGATCCGGCTTTCGGGCTCGGAGCAGAGTATTACGTGTAATCAAACGGTCAGGTGACCTTTGGAGTAATTGTTTGATCTCCTTGGACCAAAAGCTAAGCCGGCGGGCTAGTCCGGCTATTTCAAAAAGTACACGCTCATCAAGCTCTCCGCGTTCTGACTTGGTCAATAGCTCCTTATCGTTCCTAGCGGGTGGCGGCATCGACTCATAATGTCGTATTGCGTACAACCACAGCTGCCGATATCCGATATCGAGACTATTAATACTGTTGGTAGCCTGTCGACGATACGCGAACTCGGAAGTTTGTACTAAACAATCTTGACTGTCTGGTGCATTCACAAAATTTCTCTTTATAGTATTCTATATAGACCCTTTCGGGGCGCCGAAAAGCCGTTTTATGCAATGTGCGTAGCGTTCGAAAAAGTAGAAATCTTTCCAGAACGTATATAGAGATAGTATAATCCTATCGAAATGCTTAATACGTCTCCAAATTTCTTTGCGTTGGGATTCATCAAAGGAAGAAAATATTTGCCGGCCAAGTATGAGTCCCTTGATTTTGTTTGCATCGGTCTTGCAGTTTCCAGGAGCCTTTGATTGTAATTGCAGCACAGTCTCAGGATCAATGCGTGTGAGAGCAGCTCGGTCACCGTCGACAAAAGACAAGTATGTGTCAAAAATGTGATCAAGGTATGTGAGCACTTCCTGGATAGCTGTTAGAATACTGAAAGTGTACAGGATCTGGAACATATACCTCGATCGACCTAATCGCAATAAGCCGATAGAGCAGGCTGAGTTTCATACCATCCAGCCAAAGACCCGGAATGGCAAGTAACCTATCAAATCCTTCACGTAGTTGTTCATTGGTCTCTTTGCTTAGCTGCTTTATTCGGTTTTGGTTGTTCTCAGATAAGCGCGACAACCACTTCCGTCGAAGCAAACTATTTCCCTCGCTTTCGTACTGTCGGATTTTCCTATATATCTCGCTATCTGTTGGTTTCCTCTCGTTAGCGTACTCCTCAATCAATGATGTTCTTAGGGGTACACTAAGGTCTATTAAATGGAGATCCGATCAGTTTAGAAATAAACAATTTCTTGTTGAAGACATACCGTCCAAGAAGAGATCTACCGTCCACCATCGCTCGGCGGGCGCTAATACCTTAGACGCAGTATACAAGCGGTGACGGCCATGAAGACCTCTTAACTGCCCTTTTGGAAATGTTAAAGTAGGTATACTTTTCCCAGAGCTCGTTAAAAGCGAATAAGCGTGGATATCAGCGTTCTTCAGCGCGTCCGCTAACGCCTGCTGTGAGAGGGTGGCGGGTACGTAGTTGGCGAGCTCAAACCGGCGGTAACCGCTCTTTTGGAAAATATTACAGAGCCTTTCTACGTTTCTATGATCAACCCACTGGCTTCTTGGACCCCTAAAATGGATCTCCGAAATCATAACTCGGGCGGCGCCTTTGTACTTCAATCGCTGCTCGTTAGCTTGTTTGACTTCATCTTCGGTCAGAAAAGCACGACGTATAACGAGAGTTTCTGCGAAATTGGTCTTTCGATATAGGAATAGTAATATGACTGTTTCCTATTAAAGGGCTTCGTAAGCTTGAGCGTGGGAATTTTATAGACGTGCTCCAAATGCTGATAAGGGCTGCACTAAAGAACCTTTTATGGGTACGATCAAACATGGTCTCGTTGGTATCTGATCAAGGTATTGGTGGTCTCAGGGATCCGTTTTGGTGCTTGCAGGGATCCGTTTTGTGGCTGCAGGGATCCGTTACGGTACCTGTATGAATACCGTGGTGAGAAGCCCTACGAGTTCTAGTGCCTGTTGTGGCTCCCCTTAGTTTTCCTTAGCTTCTACTTATTTCTGCAGCAGATATTTCATAAAGCTGGAAATTGCATCTGACTTCAATTGAATTAGGTTCACCCGTCTCTTCCAACCTTACTACCTGCTACTCTATCCCTAGTACTGATGGACAATGAAGAGAGAAGATTCATATGCTTCAATATCCCCCTTGACAAGGCTATTGATGGGCAGGTCAACGATTCAGGGCCCGGGCATACCAAGAATACAAAAATAAACAAAGAACGTGGTCATGAGCGAACTACCTATCTAACGGCACCCCTAAGGAAACGGAAAACTACGTATAATCAGACACCTTCCCCTAAAGCTAAATCTAACAAATCAACTGCCCAAAAAGTCAAGCACGAATCACTATAGAATACATTTGAAAAGATTTACGAGTGCGACCTAGCCGGACAAGCGGTGGTTGTCGCAAAGAAATCCAGGCCTAACCGGCTCTATTTCCTTAGGACATTCCCTGGGGACGACGAACTTGATGAGCTTCTTCACAGACTCCTATTCACTGAGCACGAAAATATTGCGTCAACAACAGATTCCTTCGCTACTACTGAGGGTCTTTTTATTATAGGTGATTTTATGCCTCTGACCCTCGGGCATATTGTGGCTTGCCGTCACTACCCAGATAAGGAACAGCTGAATGCTATAATGACCCAGGTCGGCTCCCTGACCCTGGCCCTGGTCGATGTATATAATAATGATGGATGTACAGATTTTGAACGGCCTTTCCTACATAGAAACCCAGGGCCTACAGCATGCGTCTCTGGACTCCTCCGGGATCTTGATGGACACTAATGGCTATATTAAGATTGGTATCACCGGCCCTTATTATGTAGACCTAGCTGGATTTAAGCTGACGAAGATCTAGGCCGTCTTGAAAGATGTACTGCAAGAACCAAGGAAAAGCCTTACCATACAGATATAGTGGGTAGTATTATGATGGAGCTGTTACAAAATTACACCAAGGACGATGGCATTGTTGGTATTGACAATATGGATCGTTGGCCCTCTGATTCACCTCCTGTTACTTTCCTCTCCTCCACGACTTCTGCTAGCTTATTGAAATCTCTTATGAAGGTATGGCACTTCTTTTCCAGCGCAAGGAGTACTTCTGATATTCTCTTGCCTTAAGCACCCCCTGATCAGCGAGATACCTTTTCGTAAGGAGACCCTTATCGGGTTAGCTTGGTTTGCTATTCATTCTACCAAGACATTTTGGTCTTACACATTATAAAATAATTCGACACGTTAGAGTGCATATTTATTATGATTGCCATATACTGCTTTCCATCGTTTCTTATTATTCCGATGTTCTGTCGTATAATGAACCTGTTTGGTATTGGCTGTATCCTACAAATAGGTAGGTAGTCTATTGTTAGTCTTCGTATAAGGTGTGGTTTTGGTTCTTGTATCTTAAAACCAGTATTTGTATTAAGTTCCACGCTAACTTTGAAACAATCTGTGTTTAGTTTCTTCGATACCCTTCTTAGCTTTCCTAGCTTCAGCTCCCCGTGTCTACGTGCATGGATATTAGAAAGTGGGACGTTTTCTTTGATTGCCCTTTACTACTGTATTATCTAGACTATGGTTGATATTCAAGGTTGATCAGGTTCAAACGTTGATCCAAGTGGCGTCGCACAATTTCCTGCAATCTATCACGGATATCTCCAGACGCGGACGCTAGTAGAAGTAATTCAAATTAGCTTTATACGTATCAAAAGTATACGAGAGAGCTGTCTCACTTAGAAGAAGCATTTCACCCCGATCAATTTGTAACGACGGTTCTTGCGTAGGATTCTTTTCAGAAAGTTCACTTATGACAATGTCTTCGTAGTCAGGGGCTCCTTCGTAAAAACAAGCTCGCTTATGATTTCTAAAAGACAATTTTTCAAGCAATGACGGATTTTTTCCCATATAAATCGACACACTTAGTATCTGCTCGCTTGTCAGATTCGATTCCTTCGGTTTATGTAAGCTCTTACGTACGTATCCATTATTTGGGATATCTTCTTTCAATAAATTATTGATATGCTCCTGTGCTATGACCGCAATTTCTACTTTATTAGTTGGGTTCTGCTCTTCTTCAACGCTTTTGAGTGACCTACCACGATTTTCAACTTGCCAGACAAGATGTACACGACGAACACGCAAAGTACATGTTTTATACCCTTGGATCAATTTCCTAGCGTATGGTAAGACAGCCGAGAGCCTAGAGTCGCTCGAAACAAGCAGCACGTATTGGTAGTCGTTAACGCGCTCGCTGAGGCTATGAGGCCCGCTGTAGAGGGCCATGGAGGAGTACCCCTCCGAGCCGATAGTTCGTAATTGGCGACCAATTGTTCCCGTAAGACCTTTGCGAGGCTGAACCAGAAGCTCTAGGACTGATTGCTTTTCCTGTGACCACGAAATAACCGTGAAGGGGTGAGTTTGTGTCCATGACCAAAAGCTCACTGCAGGGAGCCACAAGTTGATATACTGCCCAGCTTTCACATTTATTGGCCTTGGTAGGAGTAGTCGAACTTTGAATGGGGTTGTAGAGGTTTCAATGGATTTATGTCCGTGCCTTGATAAAATTGCCCTCGGGCATCTATTTCCCGAGAAAATTCCGTTCCGATATAGCAACCCGGCGAAGAACAAGCCTGATGTGGCAGCAAAAGCACTTATACCGATGATGAGGTATAGCCATGGCAGCAGCTCTCTTTTTGGGATGTGTCTCCAAAGTCCGTATACAGCCACAATTGTCAGGCCCTGGTGCGATCTAAGAAAAAATTCATAGGAAATGTTTCGCGCAAATGGAAGTGACATCAACGTAAGAGCTCCTAAGCTTGCAACTGCCTATCATGTTCATCAGACTTGAATATAGAGCTACCCTTTTCTGTTTTATTTTCACATACAATGATGGTGAATATACCTCGTGTACTTAACTGAGTGGATGAGCTCTTAAGGTCAAACCCAATGGCCCCGACGTGAAGCACCGCCAGCCCTATTGTCATCCAACCCGCCGCTCGATGCATCTTGCGATATCTTGCTAAAGAAACACCCAGAAGATCGGCCGCGTAGCTCAAGTGGCCTGCTCCCAGGAGTAGTACCATATTGATAAGAGATAGGCTACCGGCGCGTCGTGCAACATTTTCTATCGAGGTTCCACGGAAAAGAACGAGGATGGAATTCACCGTGATATATATCAGATGTTCAATTATTCCGATTGGGCTCTAAGGGCCCCAAAATCTGTGGCGAGAAACAACATAGCGATAAATAATATGACGATAAATAAAGACACGAACAGGACCCTTCCACTAAGTGAGTGACCTTAGAAGTCTGATGAAGACGAGGCCTAGGAGTATGCTTCCTGCTGTTATAGCGTAGATAGCGAGTGTATCCATTGTTAATTTACTGTACCACAGCATGCATAAAATTAGAGAGAATCGGTGGACAGACCGTTAAATATCTAGGGAGCCGAGATGCTTCTTACCAATCCAGAAACCAGTAGGCAAAACATAATGGGTCATGGCGGATATTATGACGGTAAGAGATAATCTATCTCCTGAACTGTCGACCCACAGACTTTGATAGTAACTGTTTTCGTAGTCGCAGGGATCCGTTCTGATGGTCGCAGGGATCCGTTATGGTGGTCGCAGGGATCCGTTATGGTGGTTGCGGGAATTTATATGGTGCCTACAGGGGCACGGTTTGGTGATTGCAGGCGTACGTTTCGTTGGTCATAGCGACCCGCTTTATTCTGACATCTGATCCCCGCTACTAGATACAATTTCTATTGGCAAATTATACTGTAGAAAATTGAAAGTGATATCTCGATTTTTTTAAGTCTTATTATGCAAGAAAGTTCCGAGTCTCGGGCAAATTGACAGAAACAAGGCTGTCTGGATCAGAACGAATCTTCATTTGCGAAACATTGCAGCATCTAAGAATGAAGGAAATCATGACGTGCACTATGAATTTTATCGTGCTCTCGCTTTACCTCTTCAAGCTTGACAAGCTTGTACACTATCAATAAAAAAAATGAAGATGCAACGGAAAGACTGGACACAATCACCGTCAGAAGAGCCATAATTGACCAGTCACCTCCATGCCCAGTGTAAAGGCTGACCATGGTGGTTAGAAGACTAGCGGATGAATTGAGAAGAGTTGGCCTAGTAGTGTAATCTCAGTGAGGGATCCTAATATAAGAGAATACACAGAAGGCAGGGCGGAGAGGACATTCGTTACATACATGAATATACGATTGATGAGCTATATATAGTTGCTCCTATACTTATAGTAAAGCCGACCCAGGAGTGCCAATCCCACGACAAAGAAAACACTCGCTAGCGCAAGTAGTGGGGGATTTTGGATGCTCTTGAGGATAATTTCTCCCGCTTCGTTATCTGACAATGTATTGTGGAGGGTGTCTGATTTTTGAAGAGATGTGAACGTGCCAGGAATTACAAGATAACCTGTAAGTAAAACCCAATGAGCTCCACTTGCTAGCAGATTATATTGCTATGGTGCCTTGTCGGCTTCGAGGATCATTCGAACGTAGCGTGTCTCCAAGGGCTCATATGATATCCCGCCTTCTGGATCAACCCGGGGGGAGAAAGTAGAACCTATAGTTAAGACGTTGCTACGTGAGACCTTTGCGGATACTGCTTTCTTTTTGTATTCCCTGCCAAGACCTTTCTCAGGTGCCCAAACAGTCTAAGTCATATCTGTGGAAGTCGTCTTGAATCCATTTTACGCAAGCACTAAAAGGTCCTCGTTATATAATTGGGATCAATACGACGTCGAAGGAATCAGCGTGCCATAATCTACCCTAATTGCGTAACATGATAGAATCATATATAAAATGCGATGAAACTTAGATTTCTGTCTCGTTGCTGCTATTTGTCTCATCCTGAATGTCGAGATACCTTAATTCCACCGCTTTATGGAGATCCTCAAGAGTAGCATATAGCTTATGCCTTGCGGCAAAATACTCCTTGAGCCTTTGAGGTTCGCGAGGTGGGATATATATGCCTTTCATGTCATCGAAAGTTTTGCGGATTAGCCTTGGCTTAGTGTAAAGCGTCTCCTGTTGAATTCTTAGCAAAGCTCTATAATTGAACTCCTGGGAAACTTACGAGTAATTCATCCCTAGGTGGCCATGAGGGGTTGTAGGAGGAATTGTAGATATAATTCTCTCGGTCGTGAACGATAAGCAGGTAAACTTCTGCGCCACAAATTTCCGAAAGCTGGTGAGCTTTCTCCTTAAGGGTCCTGCATCTCTTTTGAAATGTAACGCGGGGGTTTCTCTGCGAGTCAGGGCCACCCATCGTAGACTGAACGAGCCCAGAACTTGAAACCTGGCAGAGATGTGACTTAGGCTATAAGAATTTGAATCTGATATGAATGGGCAACAAAGGAAGTAGCCATTATTTATATTTTATGGGCTACTCAAAATCTATTCTCTGGAGGCTCCAGGGATTATTCAATATCCATATCTGATTCGTGACTCAAACTTAGGTGCGTTTTCTAGAGCCGGGGTCTCTGGATTGCCAGGATTCGGCGACCCTTCTTTTGTTTCTAGTGACACTTTTGTTAACATCACAGGCCGGGCACGGTTTGCGATATGGCGAACTATGATCTCTGTGGCCGAATGATGACTGCAAACCTTGTCTCGAAGCAAAGGTAGCCACACTTTCGGGAAAGCCAGATATTTTCTACCTTTTCTTTGTCTGTGACTGTATGTAGACATTAACAGTATAGTCCAAATGGCGAGTCAAGAACGAAATTGGATGATTGTAACAACTACATGAAGCACATAGACTGTCCATCCCCCCGAATACATCAATTAGTCCGCCGTCTGAGACATAACTAAGGCCTTCTGGGTAAAGATTTTCTAAGGCAAGGATGATCTCTCGGGCTGGGCCTTTACAACGCACTGACCCGGGGCACCAAAACGGCACATTTGTTTGCTCTGGTAACGAGCTAATTTGGAGAAAGAACCTAGAGATCAACAACGTGGTTGCTGCGTCCCGGGCTATCCGTGCGCTTCCGGGCTGGAGAAGTATAAGGTCACGATAATCATTCATAGCCCCTACTGCGTCAATCGCCTGTGGTGTATTTGCTAATGAGACATCTAAGCGATGACAGTCACCTCTGACTGACTCGCTCAGCCTCCCTACCCAATTCTTCCACTCGGTGTCTGTGTCCATTGTAGACATCTATGCGTTGAAACCCCTGCGAATAAAACCGTCACGAAAGACGTGGCGAAAATGAGGGATCTGCTTATTTGAAGGGGCTTTTCCGGTTCCTATCGATATCATCCGTATGGATCCCATGAACAGGGGCCAGATTTGGTTAGAAACCTGGCTCGCGACCTCCCCAGCAAAGTTGTGTTTCAATCCACTATCCTGAAAGGAACCAACACCCTCAAAATCTACAGGGGTAAAAAAGCTTGCGAACCAATCATTTAGTGAACTAAGAGAAGCTAATGCATGGGATGAACTTACAAAGGAGCGGCTGCTGTGGCACGCCCACTATGTTTTTGCCTGTTAGCGTAGTTTCGCCTCCAACCACGTAATAGGGAAAAACGTACGCTTTGCATACGCTAGGCTCGTTTCGTATGTCGTCGGGGCGTATTATACGGTGCCCTAGGAGTGTCAGTAAAAGCACATCACATAGTCACGTATAACTTGCTATATTTGTCCTTCGAGTCCTCGGATATGTTGAAATTCCCAATGACAAATGCACTTGTGTCCCTAGAAATACTCGTTGCAATTACTCCCACCTTCAGACCGGACCGTCTATGACCCGGAAGACGTTCCCGTGTAGCACCAAAAAGACGGCGATTTTCTCTAAACGCGCTCTTCAGAGCGGCATCGAAGACCTGAGAGTCATAACAACTATCGTGTAGAAGCCACTGAATCCATTTAACCAGTTCACCTAGTAGCGACTTGTAGCCCGAGACGTGGAAAAGCAGCGGGGGCAAAATCGACCGTCGTCTCTGCCTGAAAATTTGGTTCGCCAGTGTATTGAATCGTTCGGAGCATTCTGCAACATCCCACAACATTGCAAACAATCCCAGAGCAATAAGCCCCCCTAGTATCCTATAATCAGATTTGCTATGCCAATAAATTGGGGTCGTAAAAGTTTGATTTTGACTGACCTGAGCTTGTGCCGATAGCGAGGTCCACCACATTGTGGATGGTCGAAGGCTGCAAATGCTCCTGCACAAGAAGAAGGTATTCCAAAGGTATAACGCCTCTGACCCCTCCCCCATCGAGTGCAAGGATAGAAGGGCTTATGGTTGGTGGAAGAACATCTACGATGAGAGGCTTTCGGTAGAGGCAGTAAAGACAGCCTGTGACCGTAAATTGGTACTCTAACCCCGCCACCGGTTCGCCATAGACCTGGGCACAGCGATCGCAAAATGTATGACCGCAGTCTAAAACATGTTGCGCGCTATGCAGGAGGCAGAACAGACAGATGAGATTACTCCGTAAACAACTTAGTCGACCGCTCTGAGATTCGAGTTGCTGTTTTCGTAGGTCTGCTACGTTTATCAAACCTCCGGAGAAAAGGTCGAACTGTTCAGAGAAATGTCTCTCGATTAGATTTGTCTGTTCTTCTGGGCATAAGCCCGACCAAGTTTCTTGAACTTTTCTATGCGCCTGAATCAGGATCTTGCGGTACAGGGATCCGAAAACATCACGGGGATTTGTTGCTACAACTGTTAGGTTCATTAACATAGAGAGAGTATTCCTAATATACCAAACATTCCTAGTACGTAATGATCCATGAAAAGGGCCGATGCAATAGATGGAGCTAACTTATCCGAAGATAAGCGCGCGCGATCGGCGATCTCAAGATAGTGTACGAGGTTTGATTCCGTGCTCGGACATACCGGGCGATCCCTTCGCGTGGCTTTCACCACATCGAAAGCATTCCGGTTGTCGAGAGTATGGTGAAACGCTGATTGGAACAGCGCTTGAAAGTGAGTAGCATTTGGACGAGCATGATGTACCTGTCGAAGGAAAGATATTTCCGTTACTTCGTCGGTGATATAGGCTTTGATCCGCAGATAGTTCGCCGTTTCTGATAAACCGCCCTTGTGTAGACCAATGAAGGAAACCTTGGAGAACAGTTCAGACAAGTCTTTGTACCTATTTTTTTGAAGATACTCGTAGAACACGCTGTCGAATGATCTTTCAAGATTCTTATTTGTGGCTCCAGTCCTATATATAACAACCAATCTCGGCAAAAGTGTCCGAGGTAGGGAAGATGCCGAACCCAGTTCCATGCAGTTAACCAGGAACTCCTCGACCATTCTCATATTTGAAGTGTCATCAATGAAAATACATACTATATCCGCGAACAGAAAAACAAGCCGTGACCACAGTACTTGCAGCAGTCTGCCCGCAGAATAGTTATCCCACGACACGGGTTGACCCATTCCAGCGTCGAGTTTCAATTTGGGATGGAAGCGTTCCCCCTCCATAATGTCACCGTCCGCCAAAAGAACGGGCTCTCGACTTTCGAAGGAGGCGACATCGTATCTAAGCTGGATCATTGATTTCGAAACATGTCTCTTGATATTGTTCTGGTTATACAACCGCTGAAGGGCGTGATCTTTAGTTTGCCTGCCCAGAAAGACACATAACGATGGGTACTGGTTTTGGGGGTCAGGCAACTGGTTGACCACATTTGGCAGGCGACCGTGATCTAGGACAGCTAAACTGGAATCCTCTCGGACACCGATATCAAACCAGCCGATATCTATCGTATTCTGCATTGTGTGAGACACATGAAATGGAATCACTTTTCTTTCTTATTGAGAGTGATGGGCAATGTATTTAAGCTCTAGTTTACCCCTTCATTTTACGGATTGTTTTATAGCTAGGGTGATAATGGAATCTGGACTTACGATACTGTGACTATAGGCCACCGTGAAAGGGTGATCACTTCTTAACCCCCTGACACTAATACATCTACCTACCCCACGCTCACCCTATTCTCACCCACTCTCACCCACTCTCACCCACTCATCGCTCGTCCTACGTCAATGTACTTTTGTTATGAATGAATATAAATATTGGTGGTGGCAAATGGCAACTAGAAAATCCTTGCCACAGTGCCTGTTCTAGTTTAGTATCTAGTTTGACTATGCGGCCAATCAAATAATACGGACTTCCAACACAGGCTCCTGTTGGTACGGAGTGCGCTCAAGTGATGGGACATATTAAATGGCCTCTGCAACTAGAGGTTGCTTTTACATTCTTCAATCATGACTTTTCCTGGTAGCACAGGCCCCTACGAGGCCCCGATGCGTTGTCCTTCTATGCATGAAATATCGACAACCAGTCAAATCCTGTCGTACTTTCCACAACTTAATGAAAATGAAAGTGCAGTTACAGACAACTCCGTCCTGAATATTGATGAACTCTTACATGATGATGACTTGCAACTTCCTGATGTCGTATCTTATACGTATCAGGATCTATCAGAGGCCTATATGGCGGAGGGACTCTGCAGAAATCCAGTCAAAACCTTTCAGCACAACGGGTAAGCAAAGATAACCTTTGCCCTCTGATTGTTGAGATGGGTGCTGTTGTTCTAACCACACGTGAACGCAAGTTACTCTTCAATCCCGATGCCCGGCTTAAATGAAACAAAGTTTGACTTTTCCCAAACGGCTGAACGTTTACTTCTCCAGATGGAGCAGTTTACATTCACGATTCACCAATACGGCGATTCGGCGAACGAATTGGAGTCAAAGATAAACGTATGTACAAACTCCATTGGCCGCATTGAGCAACATGTGAACGCTATAGCTCATTAGGTGGATAATATGGAAAACCAGCTAGGTAGCATGCTAGGTGGCATGAACTATCAGCTTGATGATGTGAACGAAAAGATGGTAAGCCTCGATCTCAAGCTCAAAACTCTGGATGGTTACTTGTTAGAGATTGTAAAGCGTGAGAAGGATATGATGAGAGATTTTTGTGATTTTCCCAAAAGATAGCTATCCATCAATCAACACATATCACACCGCTAGAGTAACACTTGCGTAAGGAAACCAAAGACCCAAGACATATTCATTTGATATATATATAACTAAAAATGACTGCCTTACTATATCCTTAACATCTCCCACAACTTAGTAGGCTATTTCAACTAGCCAAAGTCCATTTTAACAAACAACGATCTTATAGCCTTCATGTTCTAGAAGTAACCCCCCTCTACTTTCCCTGATTCTGACTGCCAGAGGTCCAAGTATTGCCGCTCTGATTCATGCAGTCGTGCTGTAGCCTGAGAAAGTGCGTCTTCCAGTGAATTGAAAACAGCATACATCCGTTCCTGAAGCTGCAATAAAATTTGTTTGGTCTCTTTGTGCCATTGAAGCTCTGCCTTGAGATAACTCATTTTATATGCGAAGTCCTCTATTCGGGTCTTCAAATCGGGAGAAGACCTCTTCGCACGCTGCAATCGGGAAGGTAGTCTCTCGAGATTGGATGAAGTCCCTCCAAGGCATAGGATTTGATGGTCTGCCGGTGTTATGTCCTCAGAGATAGGCTTAAGGCGCTTAATTGGATACCGACTCATTGTAAATAAGGCAGAGACTGCGGATCACTTGGATGGATAAAGGGCTTAGGAAGTTATGCCACAGCCCTACTACCCGGGAACGGGTTTGTATTGTATTACTTGGATGCTAGACTACCTTTTTTCATCGCACCCGATGACGCAAGCGAAAGCGAGCACCGGAGAGGGGGGCAACTTGTATCTAAGTCGGAAAATGGAGCTAGTGCAAACAATAGAGCTATCAATAAATAGCAAATTATTGCGTCTAGATGTCCGCACCACTTATGTTTCTGCCCGTGGGTGGGCCTACTGTGTTCCAAATCAAGGAACAAAAAATGTAAAATGGATATGTACGTTTGTCTACGCGGTGACTCATTAGCAAACGGTGCCCTAACAAATATAGGGAAGCTATAGGCGTATAGTAAAAAGCCAATAGCGAACAAGAGCAACTGTTAGGATCTACGCTTCTATCCTTTTTTGAGAGAAAAAAAGACCGAAAAGGAAAGTCAAGGAAAGGGAAGAAAAAGAAATTGAAGGAACGGAAAGGAAATCCAATCGGTTCTAAGAGCTTGGGCGTTTGCCCTACCTCTACACTAGCTGCGACACCATTCTGGTGACCGCGCGACAGGTTAGTATTGCGAGACCTGTTTTCCAGTACCTAACATGCACTATGAGTCAGAATAGCGACACCTAGATGGTATCCTAGTCCCTGTGAACAGTAAGGCCAAGGTACGTTGGATACTGGGTATATGGATCTCGCTGTATCCTCTCAAATTGACGAATACAACGAAGGAAATCGCCTAAGGTGCTATTATATGTGGACATGTCTCTCCGATTTACGGGAGCCTTCCCCTCCGAAGAAGAGGCGCGTCAGGTAAAGCAGGAAACCATTATATTGTCTACAATTAATAACCTTACAACTTATTTTTAGAAGAGCACACAGGCTGTGGACGATGACCAAAATATATTTACCTGCATCGAAGCTCTACTGCGCCAAGAGCAGCAATCAAAGCACTACCAAGACCAGTTGGAATTCAAAATCAATAGTGATGTGGTAGAGTTTCAACGCTCCCGTGCCTATACCCTGCAGTTACAGAGGGTGGTTTGCGGACTCCAGTATCAAAGATCGCAGCTCGAGACCTTATTGGCCCATATGGCAGAGGCCTGTCGGGTTATGGCCCGAGATTTAGGGTTTGAAAAGGAGAAAGTACAGGAACTCGAGTCTCGTCTCGCTCAGGTTCTAAGCATTGAATATCTGCTGCAGCACTTGGCCCCCGGAGAGCGCCAGCGCGAACAGGTCAATGGTGAAGGGCTGAACGGTCATCTTTTGCTTGAAAATCAACACCAACGAGAATTGATCTTAAGTCTGGAATCCATCGTTCGGGAGCGCGAAGAAGCGATACGAGAGCTGAAATCTAGGCCTCTAGAGATAATGCAAGAGCTTCGATTGGCGAGTTTCGGCCAGCATCACCCAGGTGGATTAAGTCCAGACGAGATAAGCAAGGGTATGTCGGAACAGTCAAGCGTTGAGATCATCACGGAAAGACCTTTGTCCTTTACTCAAGAAGCCAAGGAATTTTGTACATAACCTTTTGCAAAGAATACTGCACAGATAGTGTCTCCTAATATTTTCGCTTACAACGTTATTGGATATCAAGCAACAGGAGTGTACGGACCTGCTAATGCCGACAAGGACTAGTTTGTCTCTTTGCAAAGACTATCTTTAACTGATCGGCAAAAGTACCTCGACTATGTAAGCGGATGTTTTGTAGACTTGGCGAACTTTTGTCCCTAAACGGTCCCTATTTCCAGCGCTAGACTAGTGATCCTTGGCTTACTTTAGGAGAGCTCGGAAGACCTATTCCTGGGCCGTCGCGAAGGCTCAAGAACCCGTTTGTCTATGGGACTGTGCCTGAAATCTGATTGCGGACCTACAGTGGGCGTTATTAGGGCCAGGTCTGGCCAGCATTTCTTGAAAGGTTAAGCGGGGGCAGATTGAAAAACTGCGCAATATGACTGCATACTATTTCAGAGGGAGCAAGGAGATTGCGATCGGCGCGTTCGTCTGGGGGGGCTCGTGGTAATCTGACTGTGCTCCGGTTAGTGCGATCGGCTAAGCCGCCGCATTATTGGACAAACGACCCTACAGACTGTTTGACTTTCAGACTTTGTCTTTAATTCGTTGTGGCTTACTTAGCCCTTGCTGGAAACTTGGATTACCGACTAATACAGTCAACACAGGTACATAGTCCGGTCGAAATGCAATCTATACCTTGTTAAAGGGGCTAGATGGAGTAAAATTTTTGGAAAATTACCATGTGGTTATTTGGTATGCAAGTTCCGGCGGTTCCGGCTTTACTGTTGGCGACTTAACACCTTTGAGGATGTCCTAGGAATCGGTCGTTTGATGATTCCTTTGCGGTTAGGTTATCCGTTTGCAATTCGCACTATTGTAGGCCCACCACCTTCCCTTTGAGTTCTTACTATATATCCGCGTTATGACCAAGTCCCACGTTCCGGGCTCCCCGAGCGCTATACGGCGTTACTGGGGATTTCGGAAGCATATTAATCTAGTACATTAATGTACATTGGCGCGTATTTTAGGGTTCTGGGAGGATTACTGGGCCGTCCCGACGGCTTAGGGTAGGTATTCGTCCTTTCGTCATGTGACGAGATAGGCACTATGCCTTCTATGCCTTTGAATAACATCATTTAGAAAGAATACGAATATCGTTTAAGCTTGGACCTTCCTAGCCGCTAAGTCCAAAAGTGGAGGGATGAAACCAGCGTTGCGCTCCGACAGCACTTGATTTATAGTTGTCTGCCAGTCTAATCTCACGCTTATCAGAGATATTTCGAATGTAGCGGGATTAGCGCGGTTACTTAGCTTGCTGTTTAGTGTGATCTCAAGCGTTCAAGTTGGATCTGCCGTGAGAGTGTGACTGGCGTGACCTCGCCAGGATGTCAATGACTATCACCAACAGCGCCTAATTCCCAGTCAAGATTGGCCCCAGCGGTATCGCTCTCTCCATCAGTCCAAAAATAGATGATTGTTAAAGCGGGGAAGGGCCACGGAACGTACTCATAGTCCGAAGAGCATACATGAGATGGAGTCTACATGTAGCGGGCAGCTCGAATCTTGGAAGACAAAGCGTACGACACTAACCTATCCCGGAGGGTGTGACCGTGATTGTCCGTGCATTTGTTCGGCAA